GAAGTCCCTAGCTACTCTCTCCAACGGCCGAACCACGCTCATCATTGCCCATCGGCTAAGCACCATCACGTCGGCAGAACTCATCCTAGTTCTAAGCGGTGGCCAGGTGGCCGAGAGCGGCACCCACGAGGAACTTGTGAGTATGGAAGGCCTTTATGCCCGTATGTGGAGAAAGCAAAATGGCGAGGCAAAGATACTTGAAGGCCAAGACAAGTTGAAGGGCATTTAAGGGGATCAGCTGTACACAATTCCACATACATAACACTGGCTACATATACAAAACGCTGAAAGAGCACTAAATGTTTGTTCCATAGTATGTAAGCTTCGAGTTCTTGATGTCTTTGCCAAAACCGGAGAATCGCGTGGATTTAACACGCACCCATTTCTGAGCAGCTATGATGTATTGACGAGGCCAATTAATCAACATGATGAAGATCTTTGAACGAGGACCTAATCCTTTGTGCGACCGCTTTTTCAATTCACACGTCTGTAACTACGATACCGTGAAGGCTTCAAATTCGCCATAACCTATAAATCGGAAAAATAGCGAGGTATTAAAAAGTGAGGATCTGGTTGGAAGAGATTAAAGATTGAGGGCCTCGGTCTTTTTCTCACAAAGCAGCCATGTGATCCAACAATACAGTAGCAATTCTGTCGAGTATGACATTGAATTTCGGATCGGGAGCCGACTATCCTCGAAGCTTCCTGCATCCACGGGTACCCCAAGTTTGCGCATATCTTAGCAACATCCTTGATAGAACATTTAAATACGGCTGGAGGGCAGGGAAACAAGATTTGCGGACCGAAACTGCTGGGACCGGTGATTAAATTGAGGTTATCAACCGGATTGCCTGAGCGAGAGATGGGTCGACGGGTTAGGCAACCTTGGCAACTAATTTCTATACAAACAATTATTTTTTAAAGCTGTTCAACCGATCTAGCTTCACAATCTGGTTTATTTGGTCATAATGAGAGAGATCTTGAAAAATTGTGAGTGTGTAAAACGCGTAACTACAAACAACTGTTTACTTCAAACCTCAGCTAAGCAGATGGTTCATTTCATCGAATCTACACCCCACTCTCCCTGCCCTCATTTTAATTGCCTGTTCATTAATATTATTCAGTTCTCTCAACTAGTTTAAACTTTTAAGTTATGACCAGCTTATTCTAGCTGAACATTACAAATTTTAATCATGAAGGATCTAAATAATGCGTAAAAAATCGCACATTTTTTGAACTCGTCATACCCAAACTACCAGAAGCGATGCCTTCAATGATCTGTTCACATTGATAAGAAAGGGCCGTCAATAAACACAATTTGCGGGGCAGGTGGCATCTGGTGGGGCCCAGCCATTGAACAATTACTAACAGCTACTGTTATGATGTTTGAGATAAAGTGGAAGGTCATGGATATTCACGATTTCAAAGTAGTTGGTACCTCTCCCTCTATCATTTCCCAATGGTTTTCGCATCCGCTTATAGAACCCACGTATTCTTTTAGAAATTCATTCGTACGACATCTTCAGCGTCGGATTGTACTGTATTGATATGCAATCCACATATTGCAATTAGATGGAAGTGGAGGAAGCTGATTATGATAATCAACAGTAAATGCAAGTAGCTGCTTTTTCCATTCTATTACATCCCCTCCCTGACTACCAAATTTATTTTTGAAGGACGATCATTGTTGAGTAGATATCTAAGAGGCACTTATTTGAAGCATCCATGTGGGTCAGACATTCGTGGTCTACCCTCATTGGAATGGTGGTATATGTCCCAGAGCTGTCTTCCGGGAATACGAGACGTCTGCCCTCTAGTCTCTATTGGTGTATCATCCAAAAGGGCTTCAACGCCAATACGATGAGACAGCCTCACGATATGGGTACAAAAACGCCTTTATTCCTAAATTTACTCTGGACGAACACTCAGGTAGGACATTCATATCTAAAAAGCCTGAAAATGCCTCGGAAGCAAGGTTCATCAGGACAGTTTCATGAGTCAATATTTATTAAATGGCCTTTCCATGGGTAAGTAATACATAGTCGGTGTGGTAGGCCGAAAGGAATGTAAGCCGCAACGGCACCATACAATAATGGTATCATATAGGATCCTACCTGTTTCATGTAACTCCCAGATTACAGGTGCTCCAAGTATTGTGGCTTATCTGTATTAAAGCGGTGGCTGTGCAGGCCGGACAAAAGCATTTGTAATTACTTTACATCTGTAAATAACAAGCGGTTGTATCTAATACGGGCCCAGAACATCACCTATCAAGCTGATGACCGAAATGGCCCGCTTATTATCAATCGAGTCTCGAGGCGTAATAGCACTTTCTTCGAAGATTGATTTTCTAGGATTCAATGTGTTTCAGAGATAATCCAAGTATATGGGAGTAGGTTGTCAGGCCTTGTCCATATATCCACCGTAAGGGGATACAAGTTGAAGTCCAACTGGTTTTCAAGCTCGTTCATTCATATGGATAGTGCAAAATTAATTTCGACGATATGGCTTGGGTCCTAGTCTGCAGGAGCCTCAAGCCACAACATTCGAAGCCTGTCACATGTAATCCAAAAGCACCGGCCTGGCAAACATAGACAGTATAATAAGATAAGCAAAAACTGTAATCCAAATCTGCAATTTGAAGCTGAAACGCCGAGGGCATTAAGTAGAATACAACCTTTTGGTTGCCAAGTACGAACAGGTTGAAATCGCCAGAGAGTTTCGGTGTCGACTTTTGTTGAAATTATCAGGTGCGCTTCATGGCAGCGAAAGCGGAGACCCAATGGAGTGGATTTTCGTGAAGAGATTGAGGATCACTTTGTACGCATAATAATTTAGTGTAGAAAGCTATTCAGTTGACGTTAGCTTTGCAAGATGCGCGTCTTCGCTCCAATAGATTAGCTCTTCCTGTTCTCTCGAATATCATGATTCGACTGAAAACTTTTAAGTCCTACTACCGGAATTAGCATGGCCGAACATGTAAGGTCCAGAGGCAAAAGTATGCCTCGAAGTCAAAGCAGAATGCTACAGACTGAAGACTGGCAAGCGAGGCTGATTATCGTAGCATGGCCGAGTCAGATCAGACACGTGCTCATTTTCATGCGTATTCGTGGCATCTTCAGACTTTCTCTTTCAGGTGTAATACTCCACCTGGGGCCTTCTGAGTTTCCGATATGAATCTCATCTAAATACGTATCAGTTTAGGTCAATTTTGCGAAATGTTCAGTTGTCTCACTGCCATCGGTCTTATGTCGATATCTGGCAAGATTGAGAAGAATGGGCATCATGGATCAAGCTCACTAGTGCGGGAGGGGCTATCGTTGGCCCAACTCAATCTGGGGAAGCACGCCATAGCCGATATACTATTTGCGTCGGGCTAACTGACAAAATGAGCATGCGTAAGTAAAATGGGTTTTCAATGCTGTGATCAGACCAAGGAATCAAACCAAGATCTGTTCTTTCCCAGACCTCAGTGGATTCTATACTCCTAAATTCAGTCAGCCACAGGCACCCTGCAAATTCACATGCTCCCCAGGTACAAGAGTGAAAGTTACGTGAATCTTCCAATCTAGGTCTTGACCATATATAACGAACTCAGAGCTTGGGCATACAGTATGCAGGGAACTGCTTTCAACTCTCATCGGATATGAAATATTGGATATCGATCAGGCTGTCGGTTTTCTTTGTGGCATCACACAGTCTGCATAATAGTTAGGCTTTTACTCTGGTTGTGGGGTTGAATAGAGACAGACCTGGTTTACTGACAGTTGCTAAACTTATGAGCAGAATTTACAAGGCTTTGAGGAGGGATCGATATTTCTTTATATACTTTGACTCTCAGCATTAGAGGTAACAGTTTTCGCGAATGGGGTACCAGCACTTAAGCTCCTAGGATCTATTTCTGTCTCGCCAATCACATCGGTGGCACGAAAGTCTGAGAGCTCCTAGGAAGTCATATCAGACTTCGGAGGACGAGGTATTTTCTGATAGCTAGTTAGAGCATGTTGGGCAAATGAGGGGCCACAATTTACTTCACGGGCGGCTAGATAATCCAATAGTCATGATCGATGAGTTTAGACTATTTTCGTGGACGTCGGATCGTCAGAGTTGAAGTCGTATTCCTAGGAGCAAGCGCAGGCAGCAAGAGCGATAATTCGTTGTTATTTACGCGCAAAATAATTAAAAAAAGGAAAAGAAAAAGAAAAAGAAATCAAAAACTACATTGGGTTTGGCAAGCTATCCAGTTGGACTATTTTGAGATGCTAGATATTGATCAAAAATTGAGGGTTGGATATTTTCCTCGACTGTGTTGAGACGGCATAGATGCGAGACGCGGCGAGTTGAATAGTGGAATAGCCGCAAAATGGTAGAACCAACGAAAGTGGTCTTACGACAGGCTTCGCCTCCCAGCTGGAGGTGGAACAACCAGGATTGACCACCAAATTGATGACGCCAGCCTTTCGTTGAGGGGACAACGGTCAAGAGTTGTGCTGACCAACTACGTTTGGATGAGGTTAGCGTGGTGCATTTTATTGAGGTAAGCTGCTGACTTAGCTGCTCCCACGCTCTGCTCAGGTCCTGCTCAGTGAGCAAATCAGAGCGCTCAGGTCATGCTCAGTGAGTGGGATCGCTCAGCTCAGTGAGCAAATCAGAGCGCTCAGGTCACGCTCAGTGAGCGTGATCGGATTGCTCACTGAGCGTGGCATCCGGCTTACATAACGATCAGGTGATACTCAGGGCGTGCTCAGTTCTACTCAGTGAGCAAAAAGCGGCAAGGGGTGAGCACTAAAACGGAAAGGGAAAGCCAAGACTTGTCAGACATTATCCTGTCTATATGAAAGACTGTTTACTGTGTCTTCAGAACAGCACCGCTTATGAAAGCCCGGTAGACAACGATGTCTATTCGTTCTTGTGTAAGGATTCTTTTTTTGTGGTTTCGCGTCGAGATGGTCAATAAACCCGTGGACGAGTGAAATGCTTACTTTGCATATTTAGTCAACATGAAATATACCCTTCAAACCTGCATCTTCACTCACCAGACCAACCCCGCCCTGTCGGCGTGCAATAGCAGCTGCAATCCCCTGGAGAAGAATTTGAATACATTGTGGGGGAAGGGAGGTGGGAAATGGGCGCCTCAGTACCAATACTGTCAGACAGATGATGCGTCTCTGGTCCAGTATCAGGGTGGTTGTGCGAGTTGTCTGGAGAAGCAGGATAACACCAAAGTATTGGGCAACTGTGAGTCTTCTTTTCTCCTGACTTTATGGAAGACCACAACTGACGTGGCATTTGTTTAGTCTTGGGAGCGATGGGATCAGCGTGCGACAGCAAACCCAATGCGACCAAGGACGAGACAGTCTCCCTCTCGCAATCACTCTTCACATTGACATCAACTTCCCCATCCCCTTCCTCTTCCTCTTCTCCGTCCTCGTCTCCTTCCACAACCTCAAACTCAGGACTAAGCTCAGGAGCTAAGATTGGAATTGGTATTGGAGTCGGAGTCGGGGTCACAGCATTGGGTGTGATGGCTGGTATCGTGTGGTTCTGTATAAGACGTCGCCGTGCTCAGCCCCAGTCTGGATCATACATGGCCCCGCCAGAAACACAGAGCTTCAGCGAACATACGACGCAGCAGAATTATGTGCCGGAACTTCCGACTTCCGATCCAAAGGGGCAACAGCCTACTGAAATAGGCGGGAAACAGGTTGTGGCAGAGTTACCCGGTCATATGAGTTCATGATAGAGTTTGTCTTTTGTTTTTAATATACATTGTCCATGTCCATACACATAGGACAGAGTATCGGGGGCAACAGGAGATCCTGACGTATGAGGCTCAATTGAGAAAGCTAGTCTCAGATCTAGATACTCCTAGGGGCTCCACCTCCAATTCAAGTGGTCTTGATACAAAATAGCGTGCTGTACACATATCATATCAATTTTTATTGGCAATGACCAGACCCAGAGAACGGGTATGATACTGACTACAATAGTATTGAGATAAGAACAATATTGAGGTCATATATATGCCTGAAAACCCAGGCATCATACAAGGCTGCCATTTTCTCTGGATCATATGGGAAAGTTATGAAAGACAGAGATGGAAGATAGCTTTATTCTTGGTTCAACTGGAATGCTCGATCTTCATTGCATGAATAATTTGGATAGCTTGGAAATGACAGAAGCATTGCTCGCTGCCCGAGGGTCCCGCTCGGGTCCCGCGGGTCCCGTCTCAATGCTGGCATTCTCCTATGAAATAGCTGCTTCAACGCGGTCTAGGCAATACCAAGAGTTATGCGTGTTGGTCCAATAGCGCGAAATGGAGATCTTGATCTTTTCAGAAAGCGGCCATATATCATTGTGTTCCTTCTGTTCCAAGCAAGGGGTAACTCAAAGATATTTCATCCAACCTGGCTTCACCTTGACACCAACCCGTTGCAATCATGGGTCAAGAGTCTGAGAAAGATAATATTTCGCTAAAAGAAGAGCTTAAATGGGAGGCAGAAGCAGAAGGAGCCTTCAGTGGTTATGTGGTTTGTTTGTTCCTAAGTCATTGTTGCGATTCGGTGTCTAATGTTCAGTAGAGAATCTTTCGTTATGGCTCCTCTACAGAGTATACCATGCAGGTATGCGCCACAGCCTGCGCACTTGGATCTGGCGTTGGAATGGCTCTGGTCAACTTGGTATTTGGACAGTTTATCACACTCATTCTCAACTATAGCAACGGCCACACTGATGCTGCTACCTTTCGAAGCAGCGCTGCATCGCTGAGGTATGTATCAAACAAACTGAAAATCAAATCACAGAACGGATCTAATCTAAAAACAGCCTGTATTTCTTTATTATTGGGCTCGCTCGCTTTTTTCTCACATACGGATACAGCACGCTATTCACACTTGCTGCATACCGTATCACACGAAACATCCGCCGGCTGTACTTGAAAGCAGGACTCAGCCAGGATATATCATTCTTTGATAAAGGCAGCAGTGGATCTATTGCTATGCAAGCGGCCTCAAATGGGAAACGAATTCAGGCTGGAATTTCCGAGAAACTGGGCCTTGTCATCCAGGGGTTCTCGTGTTTCATCTCTGCTTTTGTATTGGCATTTGTCACTTACTGGAAGTTGACACTCATTTGCTGCTGCATTGCCCCAGCTATCGTTCTTGTGATGGGTATCACGGCAACCATTGATGCTTCACTGGAGACGAAAATTCTTAGGATTCAGGCTCAGGCTGGAGCTTTTGCGGAGAGCCTCTTGTCGAGTTCGCGAACTGTTCATGCCTTTGGGCTTCGATCTCGTCTAGTGAATGAATACGGGAAGTATCTAAACGCGGCGAGAGCATTCGGAAACAAGAAGAGTGCCCTCCTTGGCTTCTTGTTTTCCGCAGAATACTCAGTCATCTTTGCCGGGTACGGTCTCTGCTTCTGGCAGGGTGTTGGGATGGTAGCCAGTGGGGAGGTGAAAGACGAAGGTGACATTTTCATGTGAGTAAAGCTATCTCGCTTTTTATATATGGCGTAACCCTAACAGTTTCATCGCAGTGTTCTTATGTCTGTCATCGTAGCAGCTACCAGCGTGACTTCCGTTGCACCATATTTCATGGAATTTACGCGTGCTGCATCCGCAGCATCAGAGCTATTTCAAATCATGGACCGTCCCTCGGCCATAGATCCATTCGACGAGTCGGGAGAAAAGCCAACAACGACCACCGGGTCTCTTGACTTTGAAGAGGTTTCCTTTGCGTATCCGACCCGTCCTGACGCTCAAGTTTTGAAGGAATTCTCGCTTCATATCCCCGCTGGTAAAACAACAGCACTGGTAGGGGCAAGCGGTTCTGGAAAAAGCACAATTATTGGACTTCTCGAAAGATGGTACAACCCTTCAGTAGGAAAGGTGAAGCTTGATGGCCGGCCAATCGAGTTGTTGAATCTCAAATGGCTTCGACAAAATGTCAGACTTGTCCAGCAAGAGCCGATCCTATTTGCTGGCACCGTTGCTGATAACATCGCAAACGGTCTTGTCGATACCCCGTGGGACCAAGAACCCCAAGAAAAGAAAACCCTACGCATTCAAGAGGCTGCTCGGATTGCATTCGCTCATGATTTTATCATGGAACTTCCAAACGGCTACGATACTGTCATTGGGGAGAGAGGCGGGTTGCTATCGGGTGGTCAGAAGCAGCGAGTTGCAATTGCTCGAAGTATTGTCTCTGAACCACGAATTCTTCTACTTGATGAGGCAACTAGTGCGCTAGATCCTCACTCCGAGGAGGTTGTTCAAGAAGCTTTGAACAACGTATCTCAGGGACGCACAACTATCACCATTGCTCATAAATTAGCCACTATCAGAGATTCTGATAATATTGTGGTTATGGACAAGGGCTGTATTCTGGAACAGGGCACTCATGCGTCATTGTTAGAGAAGGATGGTGCTTATGCACGCCTTGTTCATGCCCAAGATCTCTCTGTAGATACGGAAGCCTCCGATGACGATACAGATGATGAGCAACCAAAGACCGAGGACAATCGCTTGGATCTCACTGGTACACTCAGTCGGTACTCTACATCGACGAGATTAGCTGTGGAGAAGAATAGTAACCGAGATGACTTTGACAACTGGGAAAGAGTCGGGCTTTTGCATACAATTTGGCGAATTGTCACCTCCACCCCCGAACTCGGGTTGACATACTTTCTTGTGATTCTTTCATGTTTAGGAGGAAGTGAGTTCAAAGTTTGTCGGGGTTTGAAGCTCAAGCGATACTGACCTAGTCACAGCCGCTGTATTCCCGGGTCAAACGATTCTGATGTCTCGATTTATTGAAGTATTCGAATTCACTGGAGACAAAATGCGAGAAAAAGGGAATTTCTTTGCATTGATGTTCCTTGTCCTTGCAATCGGCACTCTTTTGGCGTACTTCCTGATGGGTTATACATCAAACATCGTCGCACAGGTATGAATCCATCTAGCTCCTTATCCCTAATTCCCGAAACAACTCACTAACTCATCCAAGACCCTGGGCCAAAAATATAGAACACAAATGGTCAGCAACATGCTTAAGCAGGATCTCCAATTCTTCGACCGCGCCGAAAACACTACCGGCGCTCTAACCAGCCGAGCGGAGACTCATCCACAGGCCATTTTCGAACTGATGGGATTCAACGTTTGTTTGATGCTTATATCCTCCGTGTCTGTTGTATCATGCAGTATTCTCGCCTTGGCTTACGCGTGGAAGCTCGGTCTTGTCATTGTATTGGGAGGACTTCCTCCCATGCTATATTCCGGGTATGCTCGTATCCGAATGGAGGGTGCGATGGACCACAATATTTCCAAATCATTCTCTAAGAGTGCTTCAATTGCTTCGGAAGCAGTGAACTCCATCAGAACGGTGTCTTCTTTGGCCATTGAGAATTCTGTGCTGGATCGGTACACTCAAGAGCTTGACACGGCCGTCAATGCTGCTACAAAGCCCTTGCTTCTTATAATGCTTCCGTTTGCATTTACTCAAAGTGTTGAGTACTCCTTTATGGCACTCGGATTTTGGTAAGTCTTCGACAAACGTCTTGGAATGGTTCAAAGCGCTGACGGTGAGATCCCGTGTCATTAGGTATGGATGTCGACTTGTCTCAACGGGGGACATCACTATGGTCAATTTCTTTATCGCCTTTTTGGGTGTATTCTTCTCAGGCCAGCAAGCCTCTATTCTTTTTGGACTCTCAAGCAGTAAGATATCGTCGGCATCTATGAGCAGCATACATACTAACACGGTTGACAATAGGTATGACAGCAGCAACCAATGCGGCAAATTACATCTTCTGGCTAGAAGACCTTCAACCAACAGTTCGGGAAACAGAAGATAACAAAGACATCGGACCTGAAGACTGGAAGAGCCTCGATCTGGACAACTTGCATTTCTCATACCCATTGAGACACAATGCCCGCGTACTTCGGGGCGTAAACCTTCAGGTATATCTGCACCATTGCGAAGAACTCTTGACTCAATCTAACCGACCGCACAGATCAAAGAAGGTCAATTCGTCGCCTTTGTCGGCGCCTCCGGCTGCGGAAAAAGCACAATGATAAGCATGCTGGAACGCTTCTATGACCCAGTCTCCGGCCAGATAAACATCGACTTGACAGCCCTATCGAACATGAACCCATGGCTTTACCGAAGCCAAGTAGCACTTGTGCAGCAAGAGCCAACGCTCTACCCAGGAACAATCCGTGAAAACATCTCACTGGGGGCACCGACAAACACCAACCACACCACAGCCTCAGATGAGGAAATCGAGGCGGCTTGTCGGGCCGCTAACGCTTGGGACTTCATCTCTTCCCTGCCCGATGGCCTAGCTACGCCGTGTGGAGCTAATGGTACACAGCTGTCAGGTGGTCAGCGTCAACGTATCGCGATATCCAGGGCTCTACTGCGTAACCCGCGGTTACTGCTTTTGGATGAGGCGACTAGTGCGTTGGATACGCAGTCTGAGAGGGTTGTACAGGAAGCATTGAACGAGGCTGCTTCGCACGGCGATAGGATCACTATTGCTGTTGCGCATCGGCTTTCGACTATCCGGCATGCGGATATTATTTGTGTTTTTGATGGGGGGAAGATTGCTGAGTCCGGGACTCATGAGCATTTGTTGACCAAGGGACGGCTTTATCCAAAGATGTGTGAGGCTCAGAATTTGGGGACTTGATGGTCTTGAATATCTCGGGGTGTGCCCTGCAAGATATGATATTTCAACTTTTAGAGGCTTTCTGGGTTAGAGGAATTTTTGTCATCTCGTTCTCTGTCACTTAGTTACTCCGAGCCCAATTTAGATTAGCTAGTTACATAATTCTTTTTGCCAAGATTGTCACCACTAGAATCCGGGGTCAGGGTCCTAGTTTACACTTTCATGTCATGCAGAAGCTATTTGGGTGGCGCGTGGGGGATCGCCGTTGTTTAATCGTGCTTAGTGGCGAGACTATGCAGGGAAGAGGCGAGGTACCCCACGGGGCACATGTTACATGATCCAAAAAAGGAGAAATGTTCATCGGAAAGAAATATCATTCAAGCGTGAGTATATGAAAATGCTAACTGTACAAGAAGAAAAACGCCGTCCCATGGTGCAATGGCTTTTTACAGCTTTCCAGCGGCCGCCTTGGCGTGGCGCTCGAAAGAGGACACAGGGGGAGCGGAGTTGGGGTTGGGGTGGTGCTTCTTAAGGGCCATGGTGACGTTGTACTCCATGTCGAGGGAAGCCTTGGGGTCGTTCTCGCGGGGCTTGAACTCTACAACGAGGTCGTCCTTGACAGCGAAGACGGAGTCGATCTCGAGGTGAGGGTCGTCGCTGGGGTAGAGCTGGTTGATGACGGTGGCGTATTCGGGGTGGGTGATCATCAAGTGGATGTGAGCGGGACGCATGGGGGAGCGGTCCATGAGGTTGAGCAGGACACCGGCGGGGCCGTCGGTGGGCAGAGAGTAGGGGGTGGGGTGGTAGCAGTACCACCAGAACTCGCCCTTCTCGTTGGAGGTGAACTTGCCGCGAAGGTTGTTCTCGGTCTGGGTAGGATCCTGGAAATCGTACTGGCCGTTGGCAGAGGCTTGCCAGATGTCGAGGACGGCGCCGGAGATGGGCTTGCCGGTCTCCATGTCCTTGATCACACCGTGCATGAGGGTGACACGGCCGTTGGGCTTGGGGTCCTGGATGATGCTGTCGCCGAGAGCGCGGAAGGGAGCGTTGGGGGACCAGAAGGGACCGAGAATGACGTTGGAGGTGGGGGAGAGACCGTCCTCAGTGATGATCTTGTTGGCGATCTCATCAACGAGACTAAAAATGTAATTAGTAAATGCTCAGAAAATAAGGCTGAAGCTGGTCGAGGCGGACTTACGACTCGAGACCAATCACATCGCAGATGCGGTGTCCCTCGTTACGGATGGGAGTGCTGATCTGGCCGATAGAGTTGATGAACTCAACACCGAGCATCCACTCGGCGGAGGTAAGCTCAACCTCACGAGCGAAGTCGTGGATGTGCTTGATGAGGGAACCCAAGACGACGCGAGCACGGTCGGGTGTGTTGGGGCCCATGCCGTTGACAACGGAGGGGGTGAAGTTAGGGTCGAATTGGCGAGGCATGGTGTCAGATGTGAGTGTGAAGATGAATGAGAAACTTCGAAACTCCGGAGAGACCCTGGAGGTCTATATACACGGGCTGCGACGGCATATCGGCCGGCTGGCTAACCTTGTGGGGGAGATCCAACGGTGCCAAACCCAAGAAAATACCGTCGCCACCTGCCGAATGGGTCGATCGCGTGAATCATCGAATGCGCACAAGTGCATCGGTCAGCCCCAACAGCCGAGTGGCGGCTGCTTTGCTAATATAGAAGCGCGGGGTTGCCGGAGTAGCTCTTACCCGCGGGTAAGCCCCGGCTCTATCCCCCCATATGTTACCCGCGCCACACCGGGATCCTGACTCAGCTGGCATTGTGCGTGATCTGATTGGTGCGGACTGCTCCTTCTTGGCACATTTCCGGCTTTTGCTTTTCCGAGCCACCCGGGGCTCACGTGCCATTCAAGGCAGTTCCCTCCGCCATGTTACAGAATTCATCCGGGGAATTGTATATGGCATGATTGGCCAACTAGTGCATAACACAGATAGACGAGCAAATAGAATTCGTTCATCCGTCCAGATCCGCGTTTGATCTCGGGCAGAGACCCCTCCCCCGGTCCCGTTTAGAGTTGGTTGGAGGCCTGGGAAATCAGGCCTACCGGAATATTAGTAGTACCGATCCCGCCATACACGCATAACTATACCATTGGCAATTCTGTAAAGTTACGTAGTGGAAAGTGAGCCTAGAGGACATATAAACTCAATCTGAGGGGCACTACACAATCTGAAGGGTCCTATACATGGTTGGGAGAAGAATTTAAACTACGATAATGGCCTCTGTAGATTTGATCATGTCTCACACCCCGAAGTATAACTATATTGCACAATAATGTTGACTTACTCGACCAGTGATTTGTCTTGTATGTCCAAACTCGAAAGCGTGTAGAGGCCAGCATAGCTCACGGGGCGAATTACCAGGGATGGAAATATTCAGAGTGCTTAAAAGGTTTTCCTGAGGCAGAGTCAACCCCCAGACTTTGGGACAAAGTTCGAGTGGCGATGTAGCCACTCGCCCCGGACTCGCACGGCTCACGCCCGCCGATCGATCCATGATCGAATTCCAAGGATTGGCTACGGATATTTTCCTGTCAAACCATTATTTGAAATTAAATTTGTTGGAAGTGGTGGGAAAATTCAAAATACAAGCAGGCCAATTAGCCCATTACGACCCCAAGTTCCAGACATTGACAGGGACTAAGAGTCTGAGTCCCGTGGAAAGATCCAGTGGCAATCTCAAAATTTTTGTTCTAGGTAGAACTCTAGACGAAACCAGTGTTGTGTGATATGGTGGAAGTGTGGGCTTTTGAACTTAGACTAGCATACAGTAAGGGTTTGCAGAAATATGGAGTATGGTTACAGGATTTGAACCATAGCTGATAAAGATATTGTGGGCGTTGGGCTCCTATCACCCAAGAATCTCCTAGAGACGATCGCCTTTCTCCCCTTTACATCAAACCTTCAAAGTTATTTTTTTCTTGGGGCAACATAGGCAAATGGACATATCGTAAGTAACAAAGAAATGCCAGATCGTAAGATGTCGTCAAAAAAGAACGAATTCCAAAAAGGCCATCTGCCAATTGGGTTTCCTATAATCTTCATGTCTATGGAGTACCTGGAACAATTATCTCCACAAAGCCACAGCGCTACAATAGTTTCACCATTCTCCCAGCTGTCTAATGCTCAGGGACCCCAGATTGCGATAGGAATCTCTCCATCCAAGGTTTTCTTGGCGAGCAGTTTTCCTGGTCCACCAGTCTGGGGATTTCCTTCCGTCAAGGCGACTGCATGACTATTTTGCAAGGCGACAGCAACCTTTCCGTTATCGTTGTTTATATCGAATTCACGCGGGAAAGACCCATAAGCAGGGAATAAACCGACAAATGAGACGTTCGTGGCACGATTTTCGTGGAAGGAGGCACATTTGAACACAGCAAAAGAGTCAATACCCTTGCCAAAAGTGGCATCGCCACGGTTCGATACCACAATATGATCATTTCCGGGCTTCGAAACATCTGTCAGACATGGTTCTTTGGCATAGCATGATGAAAATTATGGGACTGAACTTACCGTGATCTGAATTCCAGATACCTTCGAGCCATCGGGAGCAGCCTCTCCGCCATAGGAATTCTCCTCGAAGAACTTTGTAAAAGCCAATCCCTTTTGAGTGTATCGAGTTTTGAATGCACTCAACGTATTACCTAGCTCCGAGACAAGATATAATACAGTATCATTGCCGGATGCAGATTCTGTGTTAGGTGTCCAGAACACAGCATGTCGGGGACCTGATCCAGGCTTTACCAGCAAGGGTGACTGAGGCTGCAGATGGCCATTCGATGGAGAGATCTTGAATATGTGGATTCGGTCCATACCCAGGTCAGGAACCAAGACAAAGCGACCAGTCGGGTCAACGATCGCTCCATGTGGATGAGAAGCATCTTGACGGTCGGGCACTGGTCCAGGACCAGGAATTTGATATGTGAAGGTCTGAGTCTGGGCTAGGCGACCAGTTGAAGGATTCCATGTGTGGGCTGTGACAGCGGACGCTTCGCTACAAGTATCCAGTGACATTAATATGACTTTGAACGTTCATTCTTCAACGACCTTGGATAAACACCTACTAGTGTGCAACGGCAACAAACCGTTGCTGATGATTGCTAGGGATATTGTAGACAGCCGACATGACTGGGCCAGTCAGAGTTTCAATCTTGTCCAACGTGGTCAGAGACCCATTGGAATTGGCTCTGAAGGAAGTAAGACTGCCATTCGCAGCCCCTATTCCTTCATTCAGACAGAGCATCATGTTTTCTTCATCATCAAGCATCAGCCAAGATGGACTGATACCGCAGTCATTGGTTTGGGCGACCTTTGACAGCGAATAGCTTCCATTCTTGCTCTGCGGCGATAGCGTAGTCACAGTGCCGGAATATGATGCTGCATAGATGTGACTAGCGACAGAGAATGTGCCACAAAAGACCGTAGATAGAAGGGAAAGACGCATTTTGACAAGTGATTCGAATGCAGAACAAATTGTAGAAAAGAAACAGTTAAGTAGGATACCTTGACGAAGGGAGCAGACACAGATGGACGGAGTGGGAGATCGCTTGAACCTTGAAAAATACTTCTGACGCCACGCCGGAATACTTTCTAGCCAGAGAATCGAGTACTGTAAGCAAAGGCAGTCTAGATGGTCAACTAATTTATTCAGCAGAAAGATATTGTACTGCCTAAATGTCATTTCAAAGCAGAGTAGCTCTAGACGTACGTCCCTAGATTGTCACCGGTGTAAGCCCGAACGATGATCTGCAAGGGATGATTGGTAGACAGGAGGATGATACTTTCGGACCACATGTCTGCAGGAACACGAGTGTCGTCGTTGATGCTGGTTGGCTTGATAGTCAGGGGAGCGCCAAGATTAAAACAGGATTGAGTAACCTTGATGGTGGTGGAACGGACTTCCGTTGGTCCGCTGCTTGGCACTGACAATCCTCTAGAGGTATACATCATCATTCTCATCAGCCTACTTGGCGATCGATGTTCGGCATACCGAGAAGACATTCGGTATGCCGATCCACCCACGTGTTCACGGGCCGACGGCGGGTTTCACAACGTGACATGGCTGAACAGTAGGGCCGAAATGAGCTCCCGTCAACGCGGGATGTAATTGTCAGGTGTATAATCTCACTGTTAAAATGAGGAAGGCTAAGTTTTGGTGGCCATGCATGAGTTGCAGTCACCGATACGACAAATGGGGTAATTGGCATCCTTCAGAGTGGATATGATTGTCGCCCATTGTTGGTGAACTGCTTGTGACGCTGGGCGCCAAGGCCTGTCTGTACCTCCTTCATTTGTATCAATGACGAAAAATGCAGTTTACAGCCTGTAGGATACTGTCTATACTCGTGGACCAATGGAAATGGTATGCGTCTGCGTGTGCGTTGCTATAGTTGGAGCCGATGCTCATTTGTTGCGCGTGGAGGGATGTAGGTATAAAGATGTCCAACATTCCTGGTAGAAAGTGACAAGTTACAGCCCGGTCAGTTCCTCCTTTCATCGTTGACTTATCTTTTCGTTCCATTTGTGAACTCTGGAGAGATGAGGTCCCTAACCTTACTTCCCGGCCTCATTCTCGCCGCTGCCGCTCTTCCACGTCAGAATTTCGATATTCAGTCCAGTCTCCTTACCGATCCAACAAAGTTAGCTGGCAAAACCTTCGACTATGTTATTGCTGGTGGAGGCTTGACTGGTTTGACGGTTGCAGCCCGACTCAGTGAGAACTCCAACATCACCGTCCTCGTTATAGAAAGCGGCTTTTACGAATCGGACAAGGGGCCCATTATCGAAGACCTTAACGAATATGGCAAGGCTTTCGGTACTTCCGCCGATCACAGTTTCGAAACTGTCACGCTTGCGATTCATAACCGGACTGAGCTCATTCGATCAGGCAATGGCTTAGGAGGATCAACTTTGGTCAATGGAGGTTCTTGGACACGTCCACACAAAGCACAACTTGATGCCTGGGAAAGTGTGTTTGGTATGGAAGGATGGAACTGGGACAGTCTGCTTCCGTATATGAAGAAGATTGAAAACATCCGTCCCCCGACTGCTGAGCAGATCGCTGCCGGGCACCACTTCGATGCCAGCTGCCACGGCATGAACGGCACTGTTCACGTTGGTCCCCGAGACACAGGAGAGAGCTTTTCTCCGATGATCAAGAGTCTCATGAGTACTGGAGAGGCAATGGGTATTCCCGTTCAGAAGGACCTGGGCTGTGGTATTCCCCATGGTATCTCGATGCTTCCCAACAGTCTGCATGAGGATCAAACTCGGTCGGACGCTGCCCGCGAGTGGCTTCTTCCAAACTACAAGCGGAAAAATCTGAAAGTCTTGACTGGTCAGATGGTCGGACGTGTCTTGTTCAACAAGAACTCCTCTACTCCCAAGGCCTCTGGAGTGAACTTTGGAACTCACAAAAACGTCAACTTTAACGTCTATGCTCGACAGGAAGTGCTGTTAGCTGCTGGATCGACCGTTTCACCACAGATCCTTGAGCACTCTGGCATTGGCCTCAAGTCTACCCTCGACAATGTTGGCATCGAACAGCTCATTGAACTGCCAGTTGGTCTCAACCTTCAAGATCAAACCACCACGAATGTCCGATCCAGGATCAAACCGAATGGTGAAGGTCAGGGTCAGGCTGCCTACTTTGCGACTTTCAATGAGACTTTCGGCGATGAAGCCCCTCGTGCACACGAGCTTCTGAACACAAAGCTGGAAGAATGGGCCCACGACGCTGTCTCCCGCGGTGGTTTCCACAATGAGACCGCACTCCTGATTCAATACCAGAGCTACCGTGACTTACTTATCAACACTGATGTCTCCTTTTCTGAGATCTTCCTGGACACAGCTGGTAAATTAAGCTTTGATCTTTGGGACCTCCTCCCATTCACCCGCGGCTATGTGCACATCATGGACAGTGACCCTTATATTCGTCGCTTTGCCTACGATCCCCAGTACTTTTTGAATGAACTTGACCTACTCGGTCAAGCTGCGGCTTCAAAGCTGGCTCGAAGTCTTGCCAACACAGGAGAAATGACCCAGTACTTTGACGGCGAGACTATTCCTGGAGACAACCTGGCTTACAATGCTACACTCGATGAGTGGATGGATTATGTCAAACAGAATTTCCGTGCCAACTATCACGGTGTCGGTACTTGCTCTATGATGACCAAGGAGCTGGGTGGTGTTGTGGACGCAACCGCTCGTGTTTACGATGTTGAGGGTCTTCGTGTTATTGATGGTTCAATCCCTCCAACTCAGTTGTCTTCTCATGTCATGACTGTCTTTTATGGAATGGCCGAGAAAATTGCCGAGGCTATTCTTTCTGACTATCATAGCCAGTCTGAGTAAATTTGGTTGAAAATATGACCATTCCCATTACCCACCGGTCTGCAGCAAAAGTCCCAAACTTTGTGGGGGTATTGTTATAGATTTCCAGGGTATCCTTTGACGGGAACTTGCGTTTGAGTTTGGATAGACTGTTGTCACTCTTTCATTCTACACTAGCTACCTTTACCTTTATAGAAAGATATTATTGTCTTTATATTCTCGACCTCCATTCATCCATCATCACAGGAACCCGATGCATTGGGCTCAAAATCATTGAATCTCTTTGGACTAAGCGACTAAGCGCGAAAATATCGATGGTCTTAATTACTTAGCTTATCAACCACCCCCCCTTCCTCTCCTCCTCTTCGTATTTATTGCGATATACTGAAGGCTTGGTATTCCATCACGAGTATCAATTTGGGGGATACTGCTAACAATGGCGGCTTTCACGGGGAGACAGTTAGAGAAATGAGAAAGCGACAATTAAGAAATACCAAAAGTAGTGGGAAATCATCTAAATCCAAAAGGAATGCACTATTGGGCCTCTGGCATGGTTTGGATCCCTCCCTTTTAAATTAACATTCGGGCCGCAGCCTGGCAAGTTCGAGACTCCCTCGCCGAAATCATTCATTCGAGTAGCAAGCTTCTCGACAATGCCTCGGACCAGCCCAAACATAGCACAATGAAGCCTCTTGTCTTTGGAAACCTTCCGTCTTCCCGGCTTTCCTTGGTGGAAGAGCCACTCCCCAACATCGTCAAGTGTAAGGATGAAGTCCAGGACGGAGAATTGGAGGAGATTGAGCTGGGAGCCACATACAGCATTCGGTACGATGAATGGGCACTCTGGCATTATTTCATTCAGCCCGATCATGAGAGACAGCAATCCTTCCGCGTTACTATTGATGTCATTGACGCTTCGGTGTAATTACCTCGCAAGTCTTAGATTAAGAGCTAACTAGCTCTAGTCTTGCTGTCCTTACCGTTTACGCTCTTCTTCAGTCTGCAAATGAGATTTTCTTCATATCAGTGCATAAATTTGGTTTAGCATTGCTTTTCGTCAAATGAATACAGTTCTTTTCCGTAGGAACAATCGTCCCTATCGTAAATTCTCGCTATACACTTAAAGCAACTATGCTGTTATTTATTCGGGCACAAATTGTAGTCGTAAACCCTGGGGATTATTTCTAATAACAAATTCGTAAAATCTCATCTTTCTGTCGTCTGTCTTCGAATCATACACGAATGAAGGGCATGTTTCGTTTCACATCCTAAAAACCAAGTTATCGCTTGACGGTCGATTAAGTTCTGCGGTTGCTCCAATTCCAGTATATTCAGGAGTCATTAATCTGATACCTTTGCTTTTCGTAAAGCTGCCGAGAAGTATGAAAGCTTTGTGAGCCTAGCAAACACCATTGGACTTTCCAAGGTCACTCTGAAGTCCACGGGTTCATCCTGAGCCTACCAAGAGAAGTCTTCTGGAATATAATGGGGATATAATTCAAGAAGAGTATCTACAGCTGAACCAGCGGGCTGATGGCGTTGTAATCCTACGAGTCATAGAGCGGAGCAAGGAGAAGTCATGTTTAGTCATGAAGTGGATGCCCATGAGCACGTGAGTTTGCATCCAATGCAAATAATATTTTGAGTTTAGAAAGGATCTGGGTAAAAGAGATTCCGGAGCCAGACGTCAGATAAAAAGCCAATAGCGCCCTCGGTCAAGTTCCGATGCTAGTGGCATATTTGTTGTTTGAAAATGCTGTGGCTCCTAACACCGACCAAAATGAAAGACTCACGACATAAAACATTAAACATAAAACATCGGCGCGTGTGGTATAATAGGAATAAATCATCATTATGTACATCAAAAAGAGGGAGAGAGCTTTTGTCACCGCTCGGTGATCTCAAATAGCTCACCGGTACCGGAAAAGATCATCTGCAGGGGCCACTGGAGCCATGGGGTCCACCCTTCACCAATGGTGTCTCTGATGGATTGGACAATTGGTGGTGGCCACCCCTTAGTCCACCATCTGGAGCTCGACATGTAGAGCAGGGCGCAGTAGTAAGCGAATACCAACAATGCCTCTGGTCTTCTCTCTTCGAGGATGATGAGATACTCTGGGTCGACTCTGATAGGCCAAACGAATGCAAGGACATGGTCACTGGACTGCTTTAATTCAGCGACAATGCTGCAGAGCGTCTCGATTGCGAACTGGCATATTTGAGCGGTTCTCTTATCAGAGGAGTGATCCCTGATAGCTTTGGAGAGTTCACGAAGTTGAATATAGACAGCCTCGCTCTCCATGGGAGGAGTCCCATCTTGTGCTGAGTGTTCTTCGGTATTCTTCATGAGAGGAGCTACCGGTCCAATCTCAAGTGCTGACCGAAACTCCTCGTAGGTGAGAATGGACGGAAGGCCTTTTATCAAAATGATCCATTCTGAAAGCCGATAGCCAAGCCATATGTGTGCAGGATGATTGTCCTGGTTTGGCCTATCGTCACTCTCTGGTGGCCGGGCGAAGGAGATAATGAACAGGAGACAGGCACAGCCAAAACTGGCATGGCAAGTGTCTGGGTTCAAGGTTGGGATACATTGACGATAGCCCTTCAGTGCACTTTCATGATGGCTGTATGCTGCTCGGAGATAAATGTCCTTGGAATAGCTCAGACCGATCAACTGAGATACTTCAGTCTTCCCATGTTGATTTGCCATGTGGAAAGCCGATAGACCCAGGATGCAGTGAAGCAGATAGTCATTTTGCATGGCAAGTTGGACAAACTCAGCACCGAAGAATCTTTGAACCTCGACATTCTCCGAGAGAGACCATGCCGTCTTGGTGGTATAGTTATGGAGTAGTTCAAGGTCCAGACGGGATGTCGTGGAGAAGTTTGAATCAACAACCGGGGGTGGAGCGAAGGAGCAGACATGCCGACTTTTGACACATTGTGCACAAGGGACGGATCCATTTTCGTCACATTTTATTTTGCGCTTCTTGCATTGAATACAGCCGTTGCGGCTCTTTAGATGCTTCCGTCGGGTAGGCGCAGACGTCATTGTGTCTCTATCGGAGGCATGCTTGTCTCTTCAAGAGCAGTCCTGGTTGGACACTTGGTTTCAAGTGTCTTTGAGGCAGAGAATGAGCTGGAGAATAAAATGGATTCCAAGTTGATACTCTGCAGGCCCCAAATTTGAGACCTGTAAGGGAAACCTTATTAATCAGCCGCCCCGTGGATTCCCAGACTCCGTGGGCCGTGGACAGAGCCCCAAATACCCCGGATATTAATTTTGATGTCCAAGCAAAGGGATAGGGTTACATTCAACCTGAGATGGAGAACGAATATATTCCCACGCGAGTTAAGGGGCAAACAGAAAGGGTCCAAGTGTAGCCCGATGTCGCTTCAGCCCGATATCCCAGGCATCAATTGAAGTATATCGATCTTCGAAGATTTGCAGAACGCAGTAGCTCGCTTAAAATAGCTCCGTACACCGACTTGAGTGAGATCTAACTTTTTCCTCGTCTCGAGTACCGTTGCCACTTTCGGTATACAGCTATAGAATCGAAGTCGGCCTTCAAACCATTGTTTCGGCTCACTCTGGAGTGCAAGTTTTTGCCCCACCGGCATTCACCAGGCATGTCAGCCGCAAGATACTGTGAAACTGCCTAGTTTCCATTCCTGTTTCACGGCTCTCAGTTTCCACACTAGCACCCTAGCTTGTTTCTTATTCAAACAACCCAAATAAGTTGATCTCGAAGCCGCGCTGGGGGCTCAGCCTGCAAAGCAATCTGTATTAGAGGTGTAACTCTAAACAAATCGGGGCACATCGGACCCAATGCGACGAGCAGTGGCCCGAGTGCCGAAGATTGGTCTCCACATGGGCTCCATTGCGCTATTCTTCGCTGATCCACATCCAACCACTGGTGATTCACAACGCGCTTGACGCGCTCGACTCTTCATAGACCTCTTGCAGCCGGAGAAATGTTCTCGATGTGGATCACCGCAGCACATTGTAATTACTAGCAAGCCACACAAACAATGATGCCTCTTCTGTCACTTGATGCTTCATCCGAAGTGGCCCTCATCTGTAGCCTCATAATCTACCTTCCGCAGTGCCTTGTGAGTAACCCACGACAAGGCATCTGGTAACTAAATTGACAGTTAATCTTTTTGAAACGAGGTCAGATTGAACATCCAGAACACAATGTCAACACCTGATAGTCGTCCTCTTACGCCTCGAAAACCATGCCAGCATCTTTGATAATAATCAAGTGTTAGTCTTGCATGCTTTCAACTACCTGGGGTTCTGGTCTACAGCTTCAGATCTCTTGGCTTTTTTCGTCCAACGCTACTTATGCCTTCCATTCGCTTCCTCTAATTACTTTTTTTCAGGTCGTCAGCAAAACCATCGCTATCCTATACTAAATCGGCATTAAAACCAAGAATCACCGCATCCTCAAAATGACGCTGTCTTTCATCCAGAGTGGTTCGATGTCGAACCCTGAAATCCACTGGGATGACAGCATGGCAGCAAGTGTTGTGAAACTTTTCGTCCTGTATGGGACAATCGAGTGGATATTCGGAAATCACCAAACTGGAAATCGGTTGCGGAACTGTGGATACCAATGGTGATCTGGAGGGGGCTTTCAGGTTGCTTAGGGTTATGAAGAGCTCGAACTCCGGGTCAATAGATATCCATAGAGGCGGTCTCGGATGACGTAGATTCAGGATTCGATTAATTAAGCAATACGAAGGCCATGATTTCACTTACCAAACCGACTTCATAGTGAATACTGGAAGTTTGGTTTAAATGTATTTGCATGTACTGGATTTGCAGTAGGTTTTTGTTTGGATCGAGGCATTCTTCTTGTCGAATTTTGGAGGTTACTGACATACCACCTGCAGTATTTGTAGATACTGTGAATGACAAGAAAGGATAAAATGGTGTTTGGGCATGAAAATATTCAATCATCAGGATAGTATGATATGGAAAGAGGGTATAGGTTAAAAAAAAAAGCATAAAATCACATTGGAAACACCATGTAAATCCAACCGAAACTAGACGGGAAGCATCGGTGCTTCCAACCAAGACCGCCTAGGTAAAACACAAGAGAAAAATATAGACACCGTTTTTCATTACCGAGGGTCACCAAAAGACTCTTCGCATGACCATCCTCCATTGTTATCAATAAATGGAGAATGGGTAGGGTAATATCAATCATATAAAGCAGTGGAACACCAAGATATTGGAGACGTGACGGCCGAGCGCCATACAACATGACAGCATCGTAAGTCATTTTAATCATTTTGGTCATTCGTAACGAGACATCACATCATTTATGCAAGACTAGCAGTTCCTGCAGCGGCAGTCCCCCAGCGCAGTTTCCGGAGTCCACCTCGGACTGCTTCCTGTCCACACGAGGCCGATGACCGGGGGCCAGGAACACCCTCTCCTATCATGCCTACCTCGGTTCGACCAACTTCCCGACCGAGCATGTACCCGGCAGAGAAGCTGATAGCGGAGAACAGAACTACCACTCCAGCACTGATGACCCAAGTCATCATTGTGGGGCTGACAGGTGTTGTGGAATCCGCCATTGTCGCCCGGCGACTTTTCTTCGCGGCACTGCGGTCTTTGGAGGAACTTGAACGATGCTTTGACTTGGCAACAGCTGGAGTTGTTGAGATTGTCGATGGGCGTGTATCTCTATCCGAAGTCCCTACCGACGGACTCGTCTGGGGATACTGAGGGGAAGATCGAAGTTCCTCATCGCCACTCTCTTCTCCCATAGCTACTGATTCACCAACAAGGCGGAAGGCAGAGGGCTGTACAGTGGGTTGAGGAGCAGCCGGTGAAGTTGTGGGTTGATTGTCATTTTTCGGCAAGCCTCTTGCGGCGGCGGCACATGACAGAAGGGTGGACAGACTAGCGCGAAGGGCGGCATCATGGTCTGCATGGTGAGATGGTGAGATCATATTGTAAGGGCTGTGTTGATATTTATTGCTTCGTGTTGATCGCGAACTAGGGTATGACTCTCTTCGAGTCGCTGATTGTCGGCTCGAGGTAGATACATTGGCTTGACGGCGAGCATCGGAAGGGCGAGACCATGAAGTATCTGAGGTGGCTGGAGGGTGCGTGAACACATTGGGCTGAGGAACAAATGGAGACGGACTAATGCCCATCCCTAAAGCAGTGGAGGTATCGTCTTCATCATCACTAGAGGCAGCATCAGAGCTAGACGAGGGTTGTTCAGGGCGCATCGGTAAGGCAGTAGGGAAGGTTCTGCGAGGCATTTCTTCATTCGAGCTGCTGAGTACTCGGTCAGATTCGCTTTCGCTTTCTTCATATTCCTCTTGACTGCTGCTGGCTTGACTGGTGTCGTGCGATCCATAGGCCACCTGCGCTGTAGTGATAGCAGCAAGGTGTTGTAGGCGACGCCGTCGATTTCGGCGTTGGTATGCACCCGCTTCTCCCTGCTCGACACGTAAACCGGTGGTTATTATATCATCGCTGGTAGCAGCTGAGGAGATGGACGACGAGGACGGCTGCGACGACACGTCGATCCAGGAATCTATATAATGGCGTAGTGAGTACATTGTGTTGAGAAAACGAAAGCGCTTTGTGTATATGCATGTTTGAAGCGGACCTGCAGGGCAGGAAGGTACCAGGCAGGTTATAAAAAGGACTACATACCCTCTGATCTCATGGGTGCACCGGATAGCTGGGGCTGACCGTTATGAAGCGGCTGGCCATCGCGCGTCATCCGACTTGCGGCTCTGGGTTCACGCACCTGACCCAGAAGGTCGCAGTGATTAGGCTGCATGGCCAAAGAGTGAGATAGAAAGTAAAGAAAAGAAGGGGAATAAATAGAAGAGGAAGAAAGTCAGGCCACCTGGGTGCAATCGAAGCGGTCAACGTGGGGGGATGCGATAATCTTATCAATGTGGAGCTGGCGATCACTCCACTGATGCCCAAAGACTTCAACTTGTTCTGCCCAGGTAAAGTAAAACCCAGGAAAATTCCAAGTGTTTTCCAAAGCTTTTGAAAATGGATTTGGGTAAGACTAGGTGGGAGATGCGGTCATGAAGAGAGTCAAACCCTGGGAATCGAGTGATGAGGTGATCAGCAGACCAAACAGGTGATTTGCAGCCCGTGACGGGGTTGGCCGATAGGAGATGTGAGGGGGGTGAAAACAGAGGGCATCTTCTGGAATACTGGAAAGCACCGTAACTCTATGGAAGATTCAATTCCCAAGAAATTAATGAAAGCAAGGAATCAAGACAGCGCGACATCCGTCAAAGTGGTGATGCGCGCAAACAAAGAAGATTGTGGGGAAGGCGGTCACTCCGGGCAAAATACATCTTTGGTCGGTAGGTCTACAAACTACTGAGAAAGGAAGCCAAAATAAATATTGAAATGTTGTATCATATTGAAGATACTTTGGGCAAATAGCCTATTATCACATAGTTAAACACAAACTTTTTGTTTCCCAGTCAAAGAACCGTTGACACCGTTAGTTGCAAAATTCAAATGCAGTAGACAAGTTACGAGCTTAGAAGGTCATCTTGGTACCCTTGAACTCGGGGATGCTACCCTTGCCCTTGTTGAGACCACCGCCGCGACCACCACGGTCACCACCGAAGCCACCGCGGCCACCGCCACGACCACCTCCGCGGCCACCGAAGCCACCACCACCGCCGCGACCACCGAAGCCGCCACGGCCACCACCACGGCCACCTCCGCGGCCACCGAAGCCACCACGGTCACCACCCTGGGGACGGGGAGTGCTGAAGTCGAGACGGATAGCGCGACCCTCGATATCCTGACCCTGCAGGGCACCGTGAGCGGCCTTGGCCTCATCAATGGAAGCGAACTGGACGTAACCGAAGCCCTTGGGGCGGCCGGTCTCCTGCTCAGTAGGCAGACGGATACCGAGGACGCTGCCCTGGGCACCGAAGACCTCGTGGAGAGCATCCTCAGTGGCGCTGAAAGGAAGGTTGCCAACGAAGAGAGTGTCACTCTCGGGGCTGGTCTGGTCACCGTAAGAACGGGCACGGGCCTGAGTGCGCTCACCACCCTGCTGGTTGTTCTGGCGGCCAGTGGCGTAGTCGAGGTTGATGGTACGGCCGTCGAGGTCGGAACCCTTCTTGGCCTCCATGGCCTTGGCGGCATCGGCAGCGTTGGTGAACTCAACGTAACCGAAGCCACGGGAGCGACCGGACTCACGGTCGGTGACAATGCGGCAGCCGGAGAGCTCACCGAACTCGGCGAACTCACGCTGGAGCCACTCCTCGTCGACGTTCCAGGAGAGGTTACCAATGAAGAGGTTGGCGGAGGCACCCTCGGGAGCGTCGGCAGTCTTGGACTTCTTGGCAGCAGCCTCGGGCTCGTCATCAGCCTTGCGCTTCTTGGAGACGGTCTCCTTCTCGGACTCGGAGTCAGAGCTGTCAGAGTCAGAGTCGGAGTCGGAAGACTGGAAGACGAGTTAGTATCATGGTGGTAGTGAGCGACAGTGACAGGGTACATACCTCGGCCTTCTTGGCGGGCTTCTCGTCCTCAGACTCGGAGTCGGAGGAGTCGGAAGAGTCGGAGGACTCCTTAGCCTCCTTCTTGGCGGGCTTCTCATCCTCGGACTCGGAGTCAGAGGAGTCGGAAGAGTCGGAAGACTCCTCCTTGGCAGCGACCTTCTTCTCGGCCTTCTTGGGGGCGGGCTTCTCATCCTCGGACTCGGAGTCAGAGGAGTCGGAAGAGTCGGAAGACTCCTCCTTGGCAGCGACCTTCTTCTCAGCCTTCTTGGGGGCGGGCTTCTCATCCTCAGACTCAGACTCGGAGGAGCTGGAAGCATCCTTCATATCCTCATCGCTGGACTCGGACTCGGAGGAGCTGGGGGTAGGCTCCTTCTTCTTGTTCTTCTTGGAGGTCTTGTCCTCCTTGGAGGCGGTCTTGGCCTTGGTAGCCTTGGTGACGGCGGCGTCCTTGACCTTGTTGACGGTCTTGGAGGGCTTCTCAGCCTTTGTGGTAACCTTAGTCTTGGACATTGTGATCTATTGAGGAAGATGTTAGCAAATGATCTTCATAACAAACAAGGCTCATGAGTGGGGAGGCTTGGGGCTTGGCTTGGGTTGGGTAGGGTGGCACATACTAATTAACAAGTGAAAATTCCTTGTAGTATGTGCGGCAAAGCCCACGATCCCTCAGAAAACCCGTGTAAGGATAGAAAACGAAGCAACAGCCCTCGGAAAGAACTGCCAGGAGTGATCTAATCACAACTGGACGTTAACCCACAAGCCCTCGATGTTTCAAGCCCACAAGCAACTGACAGCCAATACTGTCTATGATATGTAACCCACGAGGAAGATGTCCCACAGAGCCCACAGAATAGATGTATACAAAGCCCACAGCCCTCAGAGTAACGATGCCCACAGAAAGTCTTGACTTACGAATGAAACCCACGCGACTGCGTTAGTTAGTGTGAAGAGAAAGGTTTTATGGGAGTAAGCAACCAAAAGATTGCTTAAGGAAGAGGGGAAGAGAAAAAAGTAAGGAGGATGGATGAAGAAGAAGAAAAAAAGAGCAGCTCCGGGGGACCTTCAGCTCTGATAAGGACGGCGAAAAAAAAAAATATTTCGAATGTCGGCAGAACGGGACCGCCTTCCGGAACAAAGTTAGTTCGGTGGAGACTTCACGGGTACCTGTTGGACGACTCACAGTCCCTGGTGCCTGTATATGTGTGTTGGCTTGACAGGTCGATTCTCCGGATCCTTCTTTACCGCCTGATTTGAGTCAATGGGACCCTAAGAGACCTCAAATCTTGCTATGGCTCCCAATACGCCCGCCTCGCATCGTCCCCGCAAGAAGAGAAAGTTCACGACTTCCCCGGGCTCCAACAATAATCTCATCTTGGACAAGGGTGATGGGAAGCAATACGCGGCATTCCCACTGGTCTCTTTCCTTTGGGGTGCTCGTGCAGGAGTTTCACTATGGCTGGTACTTCCTTTGATCCTCATGACCGTTGGCCTGTTCCGCTGGGCTGTGAGTTTGTGGGGTTATTCTGGTATGGGATATGATTCCTGTCTGCAAGCATTACCCTTACTGACAAGCTATGAAGGCTTCCAGGTTCCCCCCATGCACGGTGATTTCGAAGCGCAAAGGCATTGGATGGAGATTACTACACATCTTCCAATTTCCAGCTGGTACCTCTATGACCTACCATACTGGGGCCTAGACTATCCACCCTTGACCGCATACCATAGCTGGCTACTTGGCAAAATGTAAGCTCGCAATCTTTTCAACGAATTGTGGGATTTTCTGGACACTGACAACGCGCTTTTCTCTTTAGTGGCTCCGTTGTTGACCCAACATGGTTCGCCCTCGATACTTCCCGAGGCATCGAAGACCCCCATCTGAAGGTTTATATGCGTGCAACCGTCGTCGTATCCGAGTATCTGGTGTTCATTCCCGCTGTGGTCAATTTCTTGCGCCGTTACACTCGCATGCAGGGTGTCCATGCTTGGTCCGCCTCAATTGTTCTTGCCGCAGTTCTCCTCCAGCCAGCCAATATTCTGATCGACCACGGCCACTTCCAGTATAATACCGTCATGCTCGGGCTGGTGGTCGCAAGCTTGGACGCTATACTGGCAGGACGAATGCTATGGGCCTGCATCTTCTTCGTAGGTGCACTGGGATTCAAGCAAATGGCGCTATACTACGCTCCAGTAATGTTTGCCTATCTGCTTGGCGTCTGTGTCTTCCCTCGAGTTCGTATTTTGCGTCTTTTGAATATCTCCCTTGTCACCTTAGCTGCTTTTGCACTGCTACTGGCCCCGCTTCTGGTGGGGGCCTCCTCTGAGGAAGCCCGAAAGGTGTTTGCATCTTCCCCCGTGCCACCCTTACTCCAGGCAGTCCCTATCTCCCTTGACAAGAACTCTGTACTATACGGGTTGCTGTTCCAGCTGACGCAAATCGTGCACCGCGTATTCCCCTTCGCGCGCGGGCTTTTCGAAGACAAAGTTGCCAATGCTTGGTGTGCCATCCACACGTTTTATAAACTCACACGCTTTGATACCACCTTGCTACAGCGAGCGTCCCTCGGTGCTACCCTGGGATCTATCATTGTGCCATGTGCTATCATTTTCCGTCATCCCCGGGCTTCGCTTCTCCTTCCTGCTCTCTCCTGTGTTTCATGGGGCTTCTTCATGTTTTCCTTCCAGGTTCATGAGAAGAGTGTCCTCTTGCCTTTGCTTCCAATGACGCTGCTCCTCGCTGGTGATGGCGGTTTAAGCAAAGAAAACCGCGCCTGGGTTGGCTGGGCCAATGTACTTGGATCCTGGACCATGTATCCTCTCCTGAAGCGCGACGAGCTTCGTGTTCCCTACTTCATCATGACATTGCTTTGGGCCTATCTCCTTGGCCTTCCTCCTACATCCTTCGAGACTTACCGCAGTCGGCCAACCCTGGAGAACTCTAGCACTCATCTTGAACCCAATATTTTCACCACCCTCTTGCATTACGCTTTCTATCTTGTGATGATTGCCTGGCATGTCGCTGAGGCATTTGTTGCCCCGCCGCCAACGAAGCCGGACCTCTGGGTAGTCCTAAATGCCCTGGTTGGAGCCGGTGGCTTCGGGATTGCATATTTGTGGTGTATGTGGAAGCTATTCAGTCAGTGCCGCCAAATTGATCGTCAAGCGGCCGCGGAAGACAGCCCAAAAAAGAAGCAATGAGCGTGCTCTTGGGTGGATGGCGGTGTGCTTTCAGTGATACCCTAATTTCATTCTCTAACACCCAGTTTAAATGGGAGCTTATTCCAATCTAGTATTGCTTTTGTATGTCGTGTGGCTCTTGTGTAAGAGATGAGATGTCGTATTGAGAATTAAATGACTGTGATCTAAACCGCAAATGCTCTCATCGAGTCAAATATGTCTCCGAGCAAACATATTCAAAGCCCAGGCGATATCAAGAGAAAAGAACAAAACTCCCCCCAATTAATGCTAGCATAATACAATGTTGTATGGTACAGATCAGATGACCATCCGCTGTCTAGACTTTGAAGCCATATCCAGCCATGCACGCTTTGTACTGCTCAATTGTAGACTTGCACTCTTGTTCGGGATTGTCGGACTTGGAGAACAGCATGCAGTCATCACGGGAGGTCTTCTGGGGTTTGCAGACACAGCAAGGCTGGAGAGCAGGTAAGTCACTGCCTGTTTGATCCGGGAGTGTCGCTTCATACCTTGGGCTTCTCGGTTTGAGCGGGTTGGGTAGGTGCTTGCTCAGGAACAGCGGATTTCTCTATAGATTCCTATTAGCCATTGCAATGATTCCCGGGCTTATCCATTGTCCGGCGCATAGCGCAAGTGTCAAATCCGGGTTTGACGGGATAGTGTAAAACTCACCACTTGAGCTGAAGAGTCCAGACATTATGGAAGATATGCGAGTTTTTCGGAGGTGATGTCCAGAAAACGAAAGACAGGCAGCGAGTGTGAAGGATGAAATGCGAAATGTGAAGCCCAGCATGACTGACAGACCATCGGACATTATTAATGGCGACGCGGTTGGTCTCCCTCGCCCGCCGTAGTTATTTTTTTCTGGTTATCAACAAATTATTGCCCCGGATACGCCTCCTTCTTCTGCTTCCCTGCCTGTCTGGTTTTTTTCATCTCATTATTGGGTCTTGGGTCTAGTTCTGGGATTTGGTTCGCCATTGACTACCTGGTTTAATTTTCACCTTTCATTCTTTCACTCTTTCAGTCTCCTATCTCACTACCCCACCATGGCCCCTCCTAAGGTCTTCTCCCTCGAGGGCAAAGTCCTCAAGCTCGACAGCGCCGAAGATATCAATGCGCACATTCAAGCCCTGGTTGACAACACCGACTATACTGAAATTCGATTTGGAGGAAACACCCTGGGCATTGGCGCTTCCCAGCGTCTCGCCGAGGTCTTGAAAACCCAGAAGAACCTTGAGGCTGCATACCTTGATGATATCTTCACCGGTCGTCTCCTTTCTGAGATCCCCACTGCCTTGACCTCCCTCCTGAACGCAGTTCTTGAGATCTCGACCGTCCACACTGTCAACCTGAATGACAACGCCTTCGGTCTGAACACTTCCGCCCCACTTGTCGACTTCCTCTCCCGGCACGTGCCCCTCCGCCACCTCATCCTGAACAACAACGGACTCGGCCCCGCCGCTGGAACCCAGGTTGCGGATGCGCTGACAAAGCTGGCTGAGCGTAAGGAAGAAGCTCGCAAGGATGGCAAAGAGATTGCGCTCTTGGAGAGCGTTGTCTGTGGACGCAACCGCTTGGAGAACGGCAGCATGGAGGCCTGGGCTCGCGCTTACAAGGCCCACGCCGCTGGTTTGAAGTCAGTCAAAATGACCCAGAACGGTATCCGCCAGGAGGGTATCTCCCACCTCCTGACCCGGGGTCTGTACCACGCTAGCTCCCTGGAGGTTCTGGATCTGCAGGACAACACTTTCACCGTCATGGGTAGCACAGCCCTCGCCAACTCCCTGCCCGGCTGGCCCTCACTCCTTGAGCTTGGTGTCGGCGACTGCCTTCTCTCCGCCCGTGGTGGTGTGAAGGTTGCCCAAGCCCTAGCTACTAACAAGAACCCCAAACTTCAGACTCTGCGTCTGCAATACAACGAAATCAAGGCCGAGGCTGTCAAGGGCTTTACTCACGCTGCCAAGACTGCGCTGCCCAGCCTGCGCCGTGTTGAGCTCAACGGAAACATCTTCTCTGAGGATGACCCCAATGTGACTGAGCTTCGTGAGCTTTTGGAGGCTCGCCAGGAGGAGCACGGCACCGATGATGACCCCGAGGACACATGGGGTGTTGACGAACTTGATGAACTCGAAGAAGAGGATTCCGAGGAAGAAGAGGAGGAGGAGGAAGAGGAAGAAGAGGAAGAGGAGGAAGAGCGCAAGGCCGAGAAGGACCTCAAAGATGCTGACCGTGCCGAGGAAGAGAATGTTGCCCAGAAGTCTGACAAGGATGTCGACGCCCTGGCTGATGTCCTTGGCAAGACCGGTATCTAGACTTCTTGAGCTGTTGGACAACTGTCAATTCCCTCAGTGTGTGCCTCTCACTACTGGATCAGGACTCGCTTGATTCAGGTGCGAGAAATCACCAAGACATGGCTGTGAGGCACACCTGCCTATGGCTCAATTGCTGTCTCGACATTGGTTACGGCCACCCAAGTCCTGGGCTCCATGTACGAGGATTTGACTGACGATGCTTACGCTTTCCCCCCAAAACCCCATTTGTTATACCCCCTACAACCTACGATGACGAACCACATCTGCACATAATCATGTTTGCTTCAACCATATCCTGTTTGCATAGCCATGGACCCTACAATTCTTGAGAAGGATACACAGATTAGATGTGAATAAAATCTGGACAAGAAATATCAGAAAATCCTTAGTTTGTAAACAAAAGTAGGATTGATCTTGTCCTCAGCCTAAAACAGAAGTAAGTGAAATCTAAAAGAAATTTCCGAAAAGGGAAAGCAAAATCTTGGCGCAACCTCGGCCGCTTCAACACCCAAGGACGAATTTTTTGCTTCTCCAACATCCCATACACCACTCTCGTTACTCTTACAGCTCTCATTTGGTTGAGAACTACCCTCTGTATCCTCCACGGCTGCAGTCTCAGACACTATCCCGGTGACGCGACCGTGAAATATCCCAGGTGAGCACCTATACAACACACCCCTCACACATCACAGTTTTGCGCCAGCTCCCAATGTCATCATGGGCGCAATCACATTCATAGTATGCGCACTTGCTTCAAAATTGTGAAGCATGTCTCGGCTTGGCACAGAATTTCAGGGAGACAGTGGACACGTGCAATATGGTAGCGTGCCACCTACACTCACACAGGCTCATTTGATGGGGGTTCATCGAGAGTCATACTTTGTGTGACGTGTGTTGAACATATCTGTGCTATGTGATATGTGATTCTAGAGATCAAATGCGTGTGCTGTGACTATGTGAAATGCGCCGGCGTCCGGAGCTTTGCGAAGACCTTGCGCTGGAATGATTTGCGATAATGTACTGACAGCTTCAGTTTCTAGGCTCTCTCAATCTTCCCCACCCTTCTACGTCCTTCTCCGTTTTCTCTGGTCGCATTTCCTACGTACCCCGCACACCATGGCCATGGACGCCAAACAAATCGAGGCTAAGGCCAAGGACCTAGGCAAGGCCGCGACATCGAACGAGCCATCAGCTGTAATCCTGGGCTTGTTGAAGGATATCCAGACTGGCGTGCGCCCAACGGAAGACCTGCTTCGCAAGACCCGTATTGGTATCCTGGTCAACAAGTTCAAGTCTAGCAAGTCCCCCGAGATCGCGCGTCTCTCTAGCGAGATTGTGTCCAAGTGGCGGACAGAAGTGAACAAGCAGAAGCAAGGTGGAGGATCAGCAGCCAGCCGGGGCTCCAGTGGCTCGCCTCGGCCCGGACAGAATGGTACAGGAGCATCAACCCCAATCGCAGCCACGCCATCAGACAAGGCGTCGAAGCTGTCCGTGCCACCAGATAAAAGAACCTGGAAGATGGATAAGGTGGAAGTCAACCACACTGGTAGCAAAGTGCGCGACAGCTGCACGGGCTTGATGTATGATGGACTATGCATGGGCTCGACTGAACCTCCCAAGATTGTCCTGGCTCGGGCTATTGCCGTGGAGGTTGCTGCCCATGAACATCTCGGTCCTGAGACCAAGGAAGCCTATAAGACCAAGATCCGCAGCTTGTTCCAGAACCTCAAGAACAAGTCCAACCCTCAACTGCGTGTGCGGGTGGTTTCCGGAGAGATCACCGCTGATGACTTTGTGCGCATGACCTCTGACGAGTTGAAGTCTGTTGAGCAGCGTGAGGCCGATGCCAAGCTTCGCAAGGAGAACATGGATAAGGCCATGGTTCCCCAGCAAGAACGCAGTATCAGTCAGAGCTTGCAGTGCGGCAAGTGCGGCCAGCGCAAGGTCACCTACACCGAGGCTCAGACTCGCAGTGCTGATGAACCTATGACTTTGTTCTGTACGTGCACAAACTGCGGCAAGTCCTGGCGGCAGTGAGTCTGCAAGGTTAAAAGCTATTCGAAGCGGGTGTGTACTATCTCTCTGGGACTGGTGTTTGTTTTTGTTTCCTTTTTTTCCCCTCTTCGGACTTGCCACACAACCTTAGTCCACAAGCCATTGCTGGAGTTATTTTCTCGCAGACTTGAAGAGTATTTTTGTCTACTTCTGATTTTCTTCCGGTATGAAGCCTACCGGCTTTTTCAGAAACAATGGAGATTCAGATAAGCTAAGCTGCTATTTACCAAAAATAAGATATCCTACAGTTGTTTTCAAGGCACAGAGGCAGACGTGTAGTTTCACTGTCAACAAACAGAAACCACCTGGGCAAAACGTCATGGTTATGTAAGTTTGCATCTGAGATCACCTGGCAACCTTATATCAACCTTCAAGATCCTATAGATCAAGATCTAAATCCAACATCTCCCCTCTCTGGCCAGAATCAAAGAGCAAGAGAAAACAAAATGACAATCCGTACAAATATCACATCCCCAATCCAAACCCTCCTTCAAGCCCTAACAAACCCCCCAAAATCAAACCCCCTCGACGCACTCCTGGCAACATTCACAATCGACCCAGCCCCAAAATGCCACGAGCATGGCCTTCCGCAACTAGCTCCTTTCCTCGGCAGAACATTTACGGGCCAGAATGATATAGCTACCTACTTCAATCTCCTCTCGACACATCTAGAAATCCACAATATGGTCTTCGAACCTGAAGATGAGTGGGCTGTTGATGAAAGCCGTTTGGCTGTTTGTTTGCGGGGAAGGGCTACGTTTGCTTGGAAGGGGACTGGCCAGGCTTGGGATGAGACTTTTGTGTATCGCATTAAGCTTGCGGAAGAGTTGTCCCTGGCACAGGGCAAGAAGGGTGCTTGGAGGGTTTGTGAGTATTTCGTTTGGGCGGATACTGGCGCTGCTTATCTTGCTCGGCTGGGGAGGCTGGGGGATTTACTTGGGGATCAGATTGAGGGTGGAAAAGGGGGCATTTATCTTGACTATGATGCTAAGTCTCAGAAGTCCTAGAGAGAGGGAGGAAATGTTGTCTCTTGGAATCTCTACTTGGAGGGGTTGAAGGTCGATGGAAGTTGTGGTTAAGAAGAGAAGTGATGGAGGTGAAACAATCATGTACTATACTGACAAATATTGCCTTGTCAATGGATAGGATGGAAGTCCTCTTCGCCTCACTGTCAATTCTACTATCAAAAACTATGCTATCCACTTCCTGTTAAAGGACATCACTTCCCACCCACAACCGCCCAGTCAATCCACCCAACATTCTCAAACTCCCCAGTGGGTTTCTGAAACACTCTTTCGGGCTCACTGTAAGCCTTCCAAGCCTTTGTATCAAGCAAAGTATCAACACCCCCTGCAATCCGACCCGTCCGATTAAATCCAGCCCCAGAAACCGCATACTCGGCCATGAGCGTGACACCCTCCTGGAACCGCGCAACGCCAGAAACAACCCAATCAATGTAGCCACTAGACGTAATACTGCCGTCCTCGGTACACCGTGCAAAAATGGACCGGTGCTGACTATTCCATGGCCGGCCAAGCGCACATTCGCCAATGATATCAGGTGCAATGGATGTATTTGCCGCGCGCACGTCCGAATCCACAATATAGACGCCGTATTTGTTTGTGAAGGTTGTATTTGTCCCCTTCCAAGCTGTAATGCCGCCACCGCAGCCACGTAATTGAATCTCGCTGGACTGAATCCAGGCAGTGCCGAAGCCGTAGAGGAAATCCGTCTGGCCAGCTATTATACTTTGGTAGAAGTATGCGTTGCCGAGTTTGCCGACATAGACCTATCACAGCGAAGCAGAGTTAGTGAATAACCTTATCGGATTCGTTTACATCGTTGACGTTAGGTTAGGGTTTGGGATTCGAATTGAGTTTGGCTGTCGTCCGAATGGATCCAATTCCACTCATGGCCGTATCCATACCCAGAGGATACCCCCCAGAGCCACCCAGCCCCAGAAATATGGAGAGGCCTCGAAAGGAAACGCGGAAATGGAGTCGAATACAGGGCTTGAACTTACGGTATCCTGGTACGAATAAAACCCGCAATAGTAAAAGCCGCCATTGGCACGACTCAAACTCAAAGCGTGAGCCGGCCCATCCGAATAGTCAGACCACTCATTGATTAAATCAACATTGTAAACCCTAAAGTCCACATTTCCAAATGGTGTATCATCAGGCACGGCGTATCCGGTCGTTCCGGAGCCAGTCAGACTTGACTCCAGCGTGGGCGCTACAATGAGTACGCTCGAGTAAACATTGTCCACGCTTTGCCCGGTTGAGTCTTTGTTGGCTGCTGACCAGGTTATGCGGACTTGGTTGGCGGTGGCGTCTTTGGGGTTACTTGTTTCGCCTAGGAAGGTTATGGGTCCGGCGCGGGTGATGTTTAGCTGTTCGTTGTATGTGCCTGCTTTGATAAAAATGGTTGCTGGGGTTGTATTGTTGGGCAGGGCGTTTATTGCGGATTGGATTGTTTTGTAGGTTGGGACTTTCTGGTTCTTGTAGATGGTTGCGTTGGTCTGGGAGACTGTGATCGTCCCTGCTGGGCAGTTTTTGCCTGTTGTTTGGCACTGGCGGAGGATGCTCAGATTGTGGGATGAAGAGTCCAGCGCTGCTGCTGTTGTTTGGGGTAAGAGCAAGCTCAGAAGGGGGAGAAGATAGGAGACTCGCATTGTTGCGGTTGTCTCTTCTGTAGATACGAGGCAGGATTGAAAATTGATTGAATTGCTACTTTTATAGTATACAGTCCTACATCAAACTTCGAGAGGGGTATGATTTTTTCCATTCAGTTGCGGCAGACGGAAAATTAGATACACATCTTGCGCCAGTCAAGGCTGGAGCTTAGATTAGATCAGAATACGGAATCAGAATCCAGAGCGTGAAGGCATTGGACAATCTCCGCATATTCACGAAAAACGCCTGAGGTTGATGAAGCTTGTCTCCCCGCACGGGGGAAAATCATCCGGGGAAACCCAGTGGGAAAGCTAGGGACGGAGAATTGGGCTTCCACCTGTGAGCAATGAGGACGTGACGAAAGGAGCTGCGAAAGCAGGGGGCTGAAACCGGAGTGGATTCAATAAGGAATGGGAGCCAAGCATTGTTGACCAGGAATGCTACGAGATTAACATACAGGTTTACAATGGAGAATGATTGATTAGAATCCCTTAGATTGACTCAGTGCCACTATTAGCAACATACATACACGTAGAGAAAGAAAACTTGACTCTATCGGCAAACCGCAGCCAAGGGGTAAATGAAACACAAAAGTCTATGATACGGTAAAGGTGCAAAAAAAGACGGGAAACAGCCTTTTTAGACCCACGGCATGCATGTCCATGTAGGTGACACGGCAAAGTTTTGCGTGTAGTGGTAATCGCGGGAAAAGAAGTAAAGAAAAATTATGAACTCGGATCAGTAACGAGTTAAAAAAGCTGGCAAACGAGTAGTTTACTCGTCCTCCTCGACATCGTCGGCGCGAGCACCGAGGGTGTAGCGGGAGTTGCCATCCTTGTCCTGCTCGTGCTCGATAGCGAGCTTGGAAAGGTGGGCGATCATGTTCTCGATCTGGGTGTCGGCCTTGGAGCGGGTCTTGCGGCCGAGGTTGTCCAGAGCGGGAACGATGGTCAGGAGGTAGTACACAACGGCGATGATAACAGTAACACCGATAGAGTAAGCCCAGATGACAACGACGGTGACAATGTCGACATCGTTGTTCTTGGAGAAGCCGGGGCCAGCGGGGTCACGGGGAGAGGTCTGCTCCCAGTCGGGTGCGAGCCAGCCGAAGACACAGAACAAGGTGGCGAGGACATCGACGATGAAGATGGCGATGACCAACTGCCACGAGGGCCAGGTCTTACCACCACGGGTGACGAAGATCAACCAGTTCTCAGTAAGAGCAATCTCGAGGAAGAGAATCTCCTGGGGAGAACCGAAGTTCTGGATGATACCACCGTTCTCGAGGAAGAGGGTACCACGGATGATCCAGGTGGCGGCAGCGAGCATGATTCCGAGAACAACAGAGATGACCCAGATCTTGGGCAACTGCCACTCGACGGGGCGGGCCTCGAAGTGAGCGTTATCGTAAGCGACGGCAATGGTGGCCAAATCAGCGAACAGGGCGATGAAGACAATGAGGGAAGAGTCGACGGTCTCGTTGATGATGATCATGGAGGTGACAAGGTAGATCTCAAGGTGAAGACACAGAGCAATACGGTACTGAATGTAAGCCTTCATACGCTGGAAAATCTGACGGGCAAGCTTGATAGCATCGACGATGGTGGAGAGACCGGGGGCGAGGAAGACAATATCGGCGGCAGCCTGGGCAGCCTCGGTGGAACCCTCGACAGCGATACCACAGTCAGCCTTCTTGAGAGAGGGAGCATCGTTAACACCGTCACCAGTCATGGCGGTCAAGTGACCACGCTGCTGGAGCATCTCAACGACCTGGTACTTGTGCTCGGGGAAAACCTCAGCGAAACCGTCAGCCTTCTCAACGAGGTCGTGCTGGGCGGAACCAGCGAGACCACCGTGGATCAGACGCTCAGAGTCGTAAACCTTGGTACCGAGAGCAAGCATCTTGCAAGTCTCCTTAGCGATAGCGATGGCATCACCAGTCAACATCTTGACGGAGAGACCGAGAACCTGGGCTTCAGCGATGGTGTGGGCGGTATCCTCACGGGGGGGATCGAACATGGGGTACATGCCCAACAACTGCCAGGGCTCACCCTCCTTCATGACGGCGACACCGAGGGAACGGAAACCACGACGAGCGAACTCAGCAGCCTTGGCACGGTACATATCAGCCTCCTCCTTGGAGCACTGGGACATGTTGAGGATAGCCTTGGGAGCACCCTTGGCGCAAATGTAACGGACACCGTCGCAGGTACAGACAGTGGTAATACGCTTGGAGACGGGGTCGAAAGGAGTGTACTTCTCGGTGATCCAGTTGCGGGACAGGATCTCACGAGCCTTGGGGTAACGACGGAGAGTAAGGACAGTGACCTTGTCAATGGGGTCGAGGTTCTTGATGTTGTGGGAAGAGGCAATAGCAGCGACGGCCATCATCCAGTTGACATCAACACCCTCGGAGACGTAGGGCTCACGGATGGAGAGCTGGTTGGCAGTGAGGGTACCGGTCTTGTCAGAGCAAAGAACATCGACACCAGCGAGGGACTCAATGGCGGTGAGCTTCTGGACAATAGCCTTCTGCTCGGCGAGGTAGGCGGCACCGACAGCGAGGGTGGTGGTGGTAACAACGGGCAGACCGACGGGGACACCGATAATCAGGAGAATAAGAGTGTAGTGGAGCAAGTTGTTGTCACTGCCCTCGGGGGTAGCGATCTTAAGGTGACGGAAGAAACCACCAATCCAGGCAGCGAGAATCCAGAACATGACGAGAACGAGCAAAGAGGTACCGATGTTGTCCATGACAGCCTTGAAGTGACCGGAGTCCTGGGCACCCTGAACGAGGGCAGCGGTACGTCCAACGAAGGAGTGGCGGGCAGTAGCAGTGACAATACCGTAGGCCTTGCCACGCTTGCAACCGGTGGTGTAGTAACAGGTATCGGCCATGTACTTGTCGACGGCGAGAGACTCACCAGTGATGGCGGACTGATCACAAGCAATGAGGGAGACACCCTGGTGGACGTCACCCTCCTCATCATCGTCATCATCACCGTGCTTCTCCTTGAGAGTGTCGTCACCGGCGTTGGCGAGGTATTCCTTGTAGGCCTCGAACATCTCGGGCTTGGCGTAGTCACAGATCAGACGGACATCGGCAGGGATAACGGTACCCTCCTCGACGATAACAATGTCACCAGCAACGAGCTCACGGGCGAGAATCTCCTCCTCCTGACCGTTACGGATAACAATAGCACGCATAGCGATATCACCCTTGAGAGAAGCCACGACGTCGGCAGCCTGCTTCTCCTGGTACCAACCGACGAGAGCGTTGAGCAAAAGAATACCACAGATGACACCAAGATCGATCCAGTCACGGAGACCGGCAGCGAGGAGGACAGCAAGTTCCATAACTAAGGGAATTGTTAGCAATTGACTTCTCAGTGGCAGACGCGTCGAAGAAGCTCACCATAGAGAATGGGACCACGGAAGTAACCAATGAACTGAATGAAGATGTTGGTCTTCTCAGTAACGAGCTCGTTCCAACCGATCTTCTTGCGGCGGGGCTCGATGTCGGAGGTGCTCAGACCGGCGCGCATGTCAGTCTCGAGCCAGTCATCGGGGGTAACAAAGCCGTCGGAGACACCGTCGGTCTTGCCACCAAACTTCCACCAGGGCTTCTTCTTCTCCTCACCAGTGCTGAGGGCAGCAGCGGAAGAAGTAGAACCACGACGGCCATCCTTGGCAGTCGAGATGTACCGGTTCAAGGCAGAGTACTCATCAAGGTTACTCTCCTCACCGGCTTCGCGAGTGTGACGTTCGCCATTTTCGACGTCGACAGCATAGGAAATTCTCCGCTCCGCCATTGTTGCTGTTGCTACGGCTCACGCCTTTAACAAAATGAGCAATAAAGCACACCAACGGAAGACTGGTATGGCAGAGTCGGAATAAATCCTATAGAAGGGGAGAAAAGAGAAAAACGAGAGGGGTGGTTGGCAAGAGGGCAGTTTTATAATGAGGTACGGGGGGGGAGCCACAGAGAGAGGGAACCGGAGTGGGTGGGTGGATAAAGAGAAAAAAAAAGAATTAAAAGAAAAAAAAGGAAAGATGAAAAAGAAAAAAACTGAAAAAGACGGAAATTGATTGAAATAGGAAAAGAAGGTATTTGACCTGATGCCCCGTAGATACCTGGTTGCTGGGGGAGAGCGCCTGTAGCTCTGTTTTCTCTATTTTTCCTCTATTTTTTCCAATTGAATTTTTCAATACCACTAGCCCCTTTCTAGTATCCCTGTGGCCAATGAGGAATCGTCAATTCACATAGCAGGCGGTGGGTCCTCCTCCATGAGGCCTAGCGGTAACATCTCAAGCGCGCCCATGATACACACACAATACACAAAGCACCGGCAGGCCAGTGCCGAGCTGGCCTCCACAGAAGTGCCCCGGTTCTTACACTATGCGCGATTTTTGTCTGGGGAGAGACAGCGAGAGAGTAATTTCCCTTCTTCCCTTACTCTGTCTAGAACTAACAGAATTGGCGCAGATAACCCAAACTGTGTGTCTTGCACTATTTCCGGAGAATTGATATGCTAGCACAAAATAGTAGTCTCAATAGCATATCCCAATCGGAATGCCCTTGCAGCAGAATGTTCCTTCAAAACGACTTGGTCCGTGAGAGTCGACGTCTGCGGCGTACGATACTTGGTACTTGGTACCGTCTTACCCGGATGCGTGTAATGCCACGTCCTTACTGCCACCGCCTCGCCGAAGCTGCCTCCTACGATAGTCGATCTTTGCTTTCTCGGCTTCCCCCTGGCCTCGTGGAGTCAGAGTCATTTAATTCGGCGCTCCTTACTGGCTATAGACCTCCGCTAACATCTCCTAGTCTCTTCTGGGCGACATTGCTCAAATCACCGTGTGCAGAGACCCGACCGATGAAATCATCGCACCTAGATCGGCGACTCAATTCCCGACTCTCCCCCCCCCAACTGCTTCGAGTATCGTATCACACGCATATGATTAGGATTATTGGCCTTGTGAGAGCAGCAGAGATATTCCAAATGGTTACTGTACTGTAGGCTGCTAATTTGGGAGAAATTGTGTTCTGAGGTTAGATCTGAGTTGCTACCTATGACCATGTTTCTCTCCGAACCATGCGCCAGCTCATTACTCTGATCCCGCCTGACACGCTGCATGACTGCGTGCGGTCAAGGCACAATCCTAGCACAGCGCGATCTCCGAGTGCGGGAATACTCAATGGAGCATAGCATATCAGAGATCCGCGAACCCTTCAAGCTTCCCGGTGCATACAACTGTCTGCAGTCTGTCTTGCCATTGGATGAAACGTCGGCCATGGAACAAAAAAAAAGTACAGTCACAGTCACAGTCCCATTCATTGGGGGATGCACCCCGGCTTTCGATTGTGCCTTGGCAGGTTAATGTATATTCCCCAGGCCAATCTCCCATCTCCATCTCCTGGGGATTGATCGTGCACGGCCGACCATTTCTCTACAGTACTGTACAGGTTCTAGACAAGAAGATCAATTTGCAGTGATTCCTGTTTATTCGGGCCAGACAACCAGACAAGAGAGTCTAGTACCTATAACATTGCGCATTAATATATATCACCCGTCTCGTATATATACATTCATCCAGGCGCGTTCCGCGGCAGACGTGCCGCTACAGTAGGACTAGCATAATTATGGGGCGCCGATAATGATACCTAATAAATATTACTCACCTGCAAAGATACCATTTGCTTTCCCACGTCACTCTGGAGCCCCTGTCTCATCTCCATCATCTGCGAGAGGCATAGCTTAAGAAACATAAGCCAAACTTGTTCGGGAAACCGATCCGGTAAGAGAAATGCCCACGCTCCTCCCGCCGCCCCGTGCGAGAAACGAAAAAACGAAAGGCCTCGAATTGAGTTATTCCGGGGGATTCTCGCCGTTTAGCCTTTCACAGAAACCACGTCAGCCAAGCCAATTCGCCTCCAGCAATGCACTGTGGCAGACTAACAAAACTAGCCAAACGGATCGGATAATCGGATGATAATGGCCCTACAAGATACACTGTCGTTTTCGTAATCTCTCCCAGTTTACGCGCTCCCCCCCCCCCCCCACGACCCTTCAAAATCTTTAAACCGAGGTGCATAAGTGGAGAGCTCGGCGACTCCATCGAAAATTCGACCATCGAAGCCTCCAGAAAATTTGGAAATCCGTGTCCAGGGCTTCCCCCACGCGCGACCCGTGGATCCAACAGGCGATATCCGTAAGGGTCAATATGATAGAGGGACGCACACTAGCAATCCAGACGTCAACTGCAATTCAAATTGGCAGGGGGTGCTACCGTCCTCTCATCATATTAAATCCATGGGCGATCTGACCTGCAACGACTGGGCACCGGCGTTGCCATAAACGTAAATTGGGGGGCTGGGACTGGCCCTGTTTCATGATCTGCCAGAGCTACTGCACGAGCTGCGTGATATATTATAGCGCATCTAATTAGCATGAGTGATCGAAAACTCGCTTTCCAAGTGCTCCTGGTGAATCTAAATCTCGTGGCGAGTCTCGGTCGGGCCTGTGAGCCGACTTGACTATATTGTACATAGATCTACACTTGTCAAGCGTACCCTGCCATACTTGACCTTGTTATATGTCTATTAGTATTGTCAACTGTACACCGTCTGTACACGTGCACGAGACCTGAACTCACGCGATCTGACGTCTCCCTGGTCGATCACGCCGCTGATGTCGCTGATGGTCTGGGGAACCGCCGAGAGAAATCCTTTTACCGCACGGGCACCGTGTCGCCTCTTTACAAAATGCCTCATGGGGACATATCGGGCCCGACTTGATAATAGACGGTGAGAATAGAAAGTTTGGATTGCCACCAAGCTGATGCCCCGATTAGGCAAGATTACCAGAGCTGCTGTGGACAGAGTTAACTGCAGGCTAGGTGGACCTGGTGCGTGTTCGTACTGTTTTAGGGTGATTCTGGACGTCTTCTAGAAGGCCGGTTCCGTGGTTACACCCTTTCTCTTTTTTTTGGCCTCTCGCTTTGCATACTGCATAGTAGAACTGTACTTTGTTGCTTCGGGAAATCGGCATGCATGAAATGGCTCATTGTACTATGTAAGAGAGATAAGAATCAATCGACTGTTCCCTCTATGGCCTAGTATTAAAACGTCATGACTCGCTGTGACCATACCGATACCCTGCTCATTTCGACAAAAACGCCCTGAAAAGCTTTCACCTCCTTGCAGCCAATCACAACCCACGTAAACTCCTGACTCAGCGTCTCATTCCTGAATCTTCCGCACGCCGTCTGTGGACGTGCCGTGTGTGTGTATATGTCACCCTAGCGGTGATGATGTCGACACCTGCCCAAAACATACGCTGAAAAAAGCTCAATGCAATTGAGATGTACAATCGGGTTATCCATCGGGTTCTGCTGCTGTTACTGTTACTATACTGTAAAGGAGTCCACAATGTGTATCGGCCTAAGTCTTGGCTTCACCGCGCAGCCGTGTACCTACAGTAGTGGGCAATTAGTGCGATGGGCCTTCACTTTGCCCAGCAATCATACGCCCCAATTGCGGAAGAGAGGATCCCACACCCATCTGAATCAAACCCTCACCGGTGGGCCAGAGGAGCATCGTGAGCTGTCCCCACTGGACGATCGCCCGCCTGCCAAATCGTCGCTTGATTACGGTATCATTCGTACCGGACTGGTGTCCGAGGATTATTTGCCGATCGAGATCATGAGGCATTTTCTGTCGCTCTGTACCTACTGTACGGACTCATGTTACTGTACAACTAGCCCTCACCTCGAGATATCCGCGGAGATTTCCCTTGCATTCTCCGTACGTAGTCCCGTCTCAATGGCAGCTGTGCATTTCATAGTGTACTATATCCTAGCGAGCAGCTATCACCACCCCGATTGATATACAGTGGACACAGTATACGAGAGGTACTCGATACCAAAAAAATACTATACACACTATTCCCAACGCGCCGTTCGCCAAGACCCAGCTTTGTTCACCACCCCAGGATTTACATTACTGCCCATGGAGAAAAAAAGGAACAAAAGCGGGTGAAATAGGCATGCTACGGAGGTCAAAATACGGAGTCAACCCGGGTACGCTGTAGCGGCCCAGGCGAAAGGCCTCACCCTCGGCCTATTCAGGAAAGATGCCATGCAGCTCCCGCTGCAGAACAAAAAGGCAAATGGCCTGAAACGGGGCCCCGGTCCTGCGATGAACGTGGTTAGCTCTGGATAGAAAATGCCTCTCCTACAACTCATTTCGCCCCGTAATCGTAGCTAAGCTTACATGCCATGTACAGTTATACGATAGTCGTTCTTCTAGTCTACAGTACTTTCTGTTTGCCCTTTCCACTCGTACTCCGTACTTTATTGTACAGCTATCCAGACGTTTTGGGGTAAGAGGGGCGCGCGATGGTCATAGCTTCTGGTATTCAACGCTTTCTTTTCCTCTTGTCTCTCCTCTAGACAGTGTCGCTCCAATGCTAGTCCAGTTGGACTGTACAGTATAGTGTGTAGTGTGTAGCTACACCCAACTGAAAAAAGGAGAAAAAAGAATAGACAAAGGGAAAAAAAACTCGTCATTGCCGTCCAATGTCTCCAATGTCCGTGCTTTCGCCTTCACTGTTCAGGTCCTGGTTCAGGGCCAGGGCCAGCTGCGAGGCAATCCGATAATTGGGTATTCCCCATCTTCCCTTACTATTGGACCACCTCCCCGACTCAGTCGGCCTCGGTCTTGTCCGTCTTTGTTTCTGCTCTAAATGTTCACTAAAGTCGGCCAGTGTCGGCCGGAATCCCGTCTCCAACCCCGTCCTTCTTTTCGGGCTACGCGGCACGCGGGACTCGGCACCGCCTGCTACAGTTTCACATATCGAACCAGAGTTGAGTTTTTTTCATCTTGTCGTTGACTTTGTACCATAATATCTAGATAATCGCTAAATTGCCACGGTGTTGGATAAAAATAATTTCCTTGGTTCGCTTTTCTCCTCTCGCGTTTTGCCCTATTTTACCGATGGCTTACGGGCGCCCCCCGGTAAATTGTCTTATTCGTTTGTTCGGTTTGAAGGTGTTCCACAAAGTGTATTATTTGTTCGCCTTATCAGCCCTATTCAGCGCGGCACAATATTGATTATATTGTGCTCACATGTCGGTTAGCTGACTCGTGCCGATTACCCTGAGATCTGCTTCATTGTCTCTTTCCTTGGCTGCATACAAACCCTGTGCCGATCGAGAGGGCTCTCTTTGAGAGGATTTTCAGGACACGTCCCCAATGCGCACAGTTCGCTTGGAAGCGAGAACGAATGACTTGGCTAGACCGATTCTAGTCTCGGGGTTTGACGTGAGATTGCCTGCTAATAAGTTATGGTCCCTTGAACGGTCGGTGTTTGACCTCGGAGATTCTACACGTAGGGAGTTACCACAAAGAAACAGTGCTCGGGATATTCACGTGGAAGTGTGCAGTCACAAAGGTTGTCTATGTCTACTCGTCCATACTGTACAGTACCCAGTTCACCACCCGCAGTTTACCTTCGTTTCAGATCTACAGTACAGAGACAGCTTGCAGACAATAGCTAGCTAGAAATGGAAAGATGCCTCGCATGTCAACCCATACATCACTATACGGCATGCTATGACTTCACCAAGCTAGCTCTCCTCAAATGACATGACAACATACTCCTCAAAAGGGCAAAGAACAACGCCATCAAACCCAAAATAAAGACCTGAAAACACGTCGACGCGAAATCTCACCCCAAACAGCCCCCAAACATGGACTTACCCTAAAAGGCCACATGTTGAGAATTCCCCCTTCGGGCCTTGATCGACAGGAGAAGCAAACAAACCCCCACATCCCATTGCACAGAGACCCTCTAGTACCACGAATGTCGCAAGGGGATTTGTCTACGCCTGTGTTTGTCTCCATATTTTGCACATCACTATTTAATAAGGATGATTGGCGCCAGCTGCAAACCGGTCCTGGGGAGGTTCGTGCCTGACAACCCCGGCGCTGGATGTACTGTAAACAGTGCTGGAGGTGCGGGTGAAGGATCCAGGGGTATATTTCTCTGTTTGGAATATGCGGAATGGTATGGGCAGCGTGAGACGCGATGTTGTCATTTGACTGTCAGATACTACAGTAGGTTATTTGTTTGGGGGGATTTGGCTGGGCCCCCCTTTCTGTGACGCAAGAATGGAGCACTCACGGTCTGGGGATGTGTACAGTACTGTACAGTATGCGCTATGCTTCCCTTGGCAGTCTCTACCGCTGTGCACTATACCTGTCTACTATCTTCAATTCCCCCTGCTTCGCGCGACAGTAGCGATGGAGCTATGTATAGCACTAGTTTAGCCGAGGTGATTATGATGGACGTCAAGCATAGAACAGCTAACACGGATAGTATGCTAGTAGTTGCAGTGGCTTGACGCGATGGGTAAGTAACCCGATCACTACTTGCGCCATGGCCGTCGATAGAGGGCAATGCACACATGCCGTGGCAGTAGAAATTCTGGTATTTCATACCCTCTTGGCAATGTTTATTGGTACCAGGAGCAGGCTTGTGTTGCTGTCAGACTTCATACCTACATTGCTTTGCTCCAGAGGTTTCAGAGTTGCAATGTAGATGTAAGTGGGACGTCATACGATACTCGTTGGCTTGCGACAGTCCTGATACCTACAATGTCACTGCCACTACTGATCGGCTATACTCTATCCGGTGTTCAAGGTCAAAGCAAAACCATCGACTCGTTACAGTATCCCCGCATCATGAACTGTTGTTTCTATTGTTGGATCATTCTGCCTGGCAGGCTACGAGATAATTCTCTGTTGATCTATGTGGGCAGTTGGCTGCATAGCCACCGTTGAAATCACGTCTGATCCTAGCGCCGATTGACAACTATTGCCGGTGCCTGATACAATGGGGACGGTGCATACAGATTGAAATAAGGTTCTGTTCTAGAATTACAAGTATCATGTTCCCAGTTTCATTCGGTTTTTGGATACTTCCGCCGCATCACGGTACGAACTACGTAGCATTGACATGTACTGTACTCTGCATATCTGCCAAGTAAACCCAGGGATGGATTCGTGGAGAGTTCGGCTCGGGGGTGCGGGCAGTGATCGGCCATGTTGGCGTGCAGAGAAGAAGGGATCAATAGATAGTATTCAGGATTGTGAATGGACGGGCAATGAGTTCCCCCTGCCACAACGTGAGAGATGACTGCATGATCGACGATAAACAGGCGGTGCCAAGATCTAAGCATCAATACATGCAAGAGGGGGCGCAATAATGTTCCAGTTGTCAACAATTCGCAACTAAGTTTGGGGTTTTCTTGGCTGGCCGGGTTGGATACACGGCATTGCCCAATTATGAGACCTGTTTTGTCTTAAGTGGAAGGGGGGGGGGGGGCAGATCGACTTCTCGGGGTGACGGTTTATGTTCTCATCGTGGGTCCCGAACTGTCAATAGTCTGTACTTAGTCGGGGCTTGATGACATGCTCCGATGTGTTTTACTCCATTGAGAAGAATCAGAACCAAGATCTAAGGAATGAATACATCACATGGTTGCAGCAAGAAAGGGAGAAGATTCTCGCCCAATCCCTAATTCAGTGCAAAGCAGATCATTGCGCCTCATCCCTGTCCTCTCCGGGCAATCATTCTTGGCGCCCAGTCCCAAAAACAAAGCAGACACTATTCAAAGACCTCTTGGCTATTGACAAGGTTAAACACTACTGGAACTGAGTGTATAGATTCAGCACGGGATACAACAATGCCAATGCCAATGCCAATGTCCGCCTAAACCCTTGATCGGCTGATCTCCCTCTCTGTCTCTCGTACCTGACCAAGTTCCAACCCACCCTCGCCAAGACACGCCGTGCATCCCTTTCGCATTATCGTCTTGGCAAACATTGCGTCTAAACCCAACCCCCCTTTAACTAGCAGTCGGAGTCCGATATGCACAGCTGGTAGTATGCATCTCGGTGTGGGACTTGATCTCCGTGGGGGTGGAGAGGAGAGGGAAGACCGGTGCAAGGGCTAATTATTGTAATGATCGCGGCTTGGCGGGGGCAGTGTGCATGCTTTCCTCTGTACGTTGGACTGTGTTTACAGGCGGGATCGGTGTTACATTCGGGATGTGTGTGTGCAGATTACGGTGGAGGAGAGTGCTTTGTTTCTTGGGTGTTGCTGCCAGGGGTGTAGATAGACTTGGTTGATCGGGTGTATGCTTGTGTTCCTGCTTACAGAGTCAGTGAGCGATTTGATTCCTCCGGCCAAGGTGACGGTTGTCGAGAAGCCTTGGGGGTGTTTTATCGGAGTTGGTTGGTTAGTATTGTACTTCTAGACGATCTTGGCTTGTAGGACAGCGCGCCGGGCGTTGTGGATTTCGCCCGGCTGACCTCAGCCAGCTGGTGCTGGTTACACTGTATTTGCTGGTATGAGGCTTGCAGTGTGATTATCCTATTGTATAGACGAAGGCACATGCAACAATGTGAGTCGGCGTGCTTGTTATGCTCATATCAAGAGTTGTACACTTTTCGCCCAATTAGTATATGCGCAATGACAAAGATGGCCTATTTTCTTGAATTGACTGATAAAATCTGAATTGCATCCCGGTTGGTTGGTCACTGAATATATTGATTAATGCTAATATATGTTTTGTGGTTGAAGATATATCGTAGGTGTTCTGGGGTTGACATACACCTATTTTCTCGATATATATAACGACACCAGTTGGAACACAGGCATCAGCCATAGAATCCGGTAATTTTTTTAAATCTGGATATTTACATTGAAAGTGCTATTGAGCGTACCCATCTACCAGGGCTACCGAGTCCTAGTTTGCTAGGTCGAAGCCTACACCTACTCTCCCACTCCCATTCTCATTAACTCAACATCACCAGTATTGAGATCCTTCCCATTGATCTAGACCTAGTCACTGATAGCTATCCCGCATTTTCCCGATCCCACAGAAATGCTGCAAGGACTGCGTGTGATGTCATAGCTAATTAGAATGGAAAGAGCAAGCTATGCCGACGACCAAAGACGGAATATCCCCCTTGATTCACCTTGATTCGAGCTGTTTCTCTCAGCAGCCCATGCCACGCTGTCTCAGATCAGTCCCTGCATACTCCAACCACGTGGAGATACGATGCTGAAAGGAACTAGTGAAACAGGTCCAACAACGGTCGTATCAGATGTACCAAGGCGACGGGATTTAGAACGCGATTCTTGATCCTACGGTACATGGGACCATTGAGCCAGGCATGTGTTTCTCAATGGCAAACTTAGCTCGCCAACCTGAACAGTGGCCAGGCATTAGGACTGCTGGATCAAGCTTCTTCAAGTCGGTTACTGTGCTCTCGATTTGATCTGGTTCGCTCATGGCCAAATGAAACCCGCCGACTACGGCATGAACAGGCACCGTTTCACCAGTGAGTTGCAAGGCGTGCTTCACTGTGTTTACTACACCTGCATGGCTGCATCCTGTGAATACGACCAGGCCTTTGCCTAGCGGGTGTGTTAGTATGCGATTATCAGGCCACAGAGAGATCCACGCACCCTTTAAGTTGCAAATGAGAGATCGTTCATCGGTGATGCTTTCATCCGAGAACCAATCGTTCTCATCGGGATCATATCGTACTGCATTTCGCAGACCTGTCTCGTACGGTGTGACTCGTGGAATCTCCCCTGAAATGAGAAAGAAGTCATCCAACACCGTGTGTGGCTCAGCTCGCTTATCGACAGATGAGCCTGCGTTCTCCAATTCCTCAAAGGTCGGGTCTGCCTCGAGGGATATCGTCACTTCCGGCAGAGCAATACCCCGGTATACCGGTCGATCGGGATGCAGGTCAACGATAAGCTCGTCTGTGCGGCCCTGGGCCTTTTTCGCCTCATTGATCATGCGAATTGCTTTTGGGAGACCACCTATATTGCAGTCAGATAATGGAATATGAAGCTACACAGGCTGACTGTCATGGTCACAAACCGGAGTGATCTCGATGCCAATGAGATAGCTGGATGACTTCCACCGAGGAGAGATTAGGTCGCAGTCGATTCACATTTCGTTGCCAAGCATCTTCTTCAGGCCCAGCATCAAAGAGAATAGCATGTTTCTTATCGCCTTTCGTGGCTGTCTATCAAATGCTTAACGCGGGACTATCTCCACTTCAGTTCGTCCACTCACGACAAGAATTGATAGACCATGAGCTGAGCAGCACACATCTTCTAATTTGAGCTCCTTCCATGCGCCTCCACGGTCAGTCAATGTGTGCTTGGACATCATGGCGACGGTGCCCAGGTTCCCAGTGACCTGCACTGTATCTGGCGCTGGGGGCGACAGCGGATCCAGCTCATTGTCGATGATGACAATGGCATCCAGTGAATCGACTTCTTCGAGGTTCATTATGGGAACATCCTCGCTCTCATCACTGTTGATATCCATGTCAGCGGTCACATGTTTCAGTCAGGTTGCTTCACAGCCGAGGCCTAAGCAACATGAGACGGGGAAACTACCTAAAAGGATCGTGGCGAACTGGATTCAAGGGATCCATGGTGAATATGAAGCTGTTGAGCTATGAGCAGTGCAAGTGCAAGTATACTCGGCGAAAACCCTGGAGCTTATAAACTCCACTAATGCGGGGGAATCTCAGCTCTCCCCTAAAGATCTTCCAATCGCAACTTTCCCTCTCTCTCTTCGCCCTAATTTCTCACCATGCGCCCCTCTCGCAATCCCTTTCTGTTGCTCCTCGTCCTCCTTATTTCCCCTATCTCCGTCTCTGCGGTCGCTTCGTGTTTCAAAGTCGTCTCCGCGCTCGTCGGCCGACCGACTCATCTCTTCAACAAGTTCCAGAGCGAGATTTGTGATCAGGGATGCAAACCAACAGTTCCACACTGGGATCTATGGACTCGGAACAACACATTCGTTCCCGCCGTGCGCAGCCTGATACAGCGCATGAATGTCCCGCACAAAGAAGAGGCGCTACTGAAGATGGGCGATGACGTGGCGGTCACTATCAAGCAAAACTGCGGTCCTATGTTGAACGGAGGTCTACATATCTGCTCTGACCCAGAGATTCTGGCTGGCTTTGGCAACTGCTTCAAGCGCAATTTCCTCAAGGCATCCATCAAGCACTTGCCTGTGTTGATTCCAATGGCCTCTGATGCCTCGTGCAAAGAGCAGCTTACGTTTTTGGAGAGTGATCAGCTCTGGGAAGAGACTATTCCTGGCAATATGAGAGACTATGCTGCTGTTTGCGATCAATTGGGGCCATTTGACCATGATGAGCTGTGACGCAGTGACTTGCATACGAAGACGAAGACGAACATGAATATTGGATAATCCTAGATACCTCTATGTATACTTAATTCCTACAGAATACGACCTTGTTTCTTATGAAACACAGTAAGCAAACTAAAAACAATCCCCGACTCTCCAAACGCCTAACTCCGACTCCGTCACGGATGACGACAAGGCCGAACTTCGACCTCCGGATCGGACTCTTTCTTCTCTCAATATTCCCCGAAGGTCTCTTCCCCCTAATTGTTACCAAGAATAATGCAGTAACCCAGAAACATCCTTCTTCCTCTATGGCGCCCGCGACGCTTCTCCGCACTTTGCGGCCTGCCCTGCGTCCCTCCATCTGGCGCCCGCAACCCCGACGATACGCCCACCCAGGCCGATTCCAACCCTTCGTACCACCCTCCCCAAGCTCCCTAGGCAAACCCACTGCCGCAAAGACATACACAAGAACTCGGAGATGGCTGCGCCGGATCGTCTACGTCTCACTCGCCACAGGTGTGATTTACGGCATTGACAGGCAGTTCTATGCATTGTCGCTGACCCGCACTGCCCGCACCTTCTCTCTCGGTCTCCTGGTCGCTCTCGACTACAAAATAAACTTCCGTCCACACCCTCCGCTGGCTAGCTCAATTGCTGCCGTTCACGCTCGCAATGCCAAGCGACTATCAGACTTGCTACGGCATAATGGTGGTCTTTACTTGAAGATTGGACAAGCTATCGCTATGCAATCGGCGATTCTGCCGCCTGAATTCCAGAAGATGTTTTCGCGCATGTTTGACGATGCGCCCCAGAATGATTGGAAGGATGTTGAGAAGGTCATTCGGGAGGACTTTGGCAAGTCGCCCGAAGAGGTATTTGGGGTTTCCTTCACCGGCGAGGCTGGGAAAGGTGTCATGGAGCGCAAGGCCAGAGCTAGCGCAAGTGTCGCTCAGGTTCACTGGGCTCGTCTGCAGGATGGTCGCGAAGTTGCTATCAAGATTCAGAAACGGGAGATCGCAGAGCAAGTAGCTTGGGATCTCTGGGCTTTCAAGTAAGTCTCTACTGCTTAATCGCGACATGATCATGTACTGACTTTGGATTACCAGGGTTGTCGCATGGGTATACAGCAAGACATTTGATATCCCTTTCTACACGTTGGTTCCCTATGTGAGCGAGAGACTTTCCCTTGAGACGGACTTTGTCAATGAGGCAGACAACTCGGAAAATATGGCCAAGCTAGTGGCTGGTGAGCCCCGTCTGCGCGATCGTGTATACATCCCGCGAGTATATCGTGAATTGAGCTCGAGGCGCGTAATGACTGCGGAGTGGATAGAAGGTGTACGGCTCTGGGACAAAGAGGCCATCACACGCCCCTGGCGTGGTGGTTGGCGTGAGGGCAGTCCAGGCTGCCATGGGACACCTTTGGACCGCAAGGGTACACCGGTAGACACGAACCCGCAGCATGCAAAGGTCAAGCCTGAACGTGACTTTTGGCGAGGGTACAAGAACCGCGGTGGCCTGGGATTGTCACTCAAAGATGTGATGACCACCATGGTAGACTTATTCTCTGCCCAAATGTTCTTGTGGGGATGGGTTCACTGCGATCCACACCCCGGCAACATCTTCATCCGCCGAAAGCCCAATGGAAAGCCGGAGCTTGTCCTAATTGACCACGGACTGTACATCCACATGGATCCCGGATTCCGTCATCAATATGCCCGATTCTGGAAGGCCCTCTTGACTTTTGACAACCGCACGCTGAGTGAGATTGCTCAGGGTTGGGGTGTGAACAACCCAGACATCTTCGCATCAGCAACATTAATGCGCCCGTACCGTGGTGGAGATATGTCGACCCAGCGCGGTATCTCCGGCCTAAGCAAGTCTGAACGCGCCGAGCGACACTACGAGATGCAACAGGCAATGCGCAAGGCAGCCCGTCAAATCCTAGGCGACGAAACCAAATGGCCCAAAGAACTCATCTTCATCGGCCGCAACCTACGCATCGTCCAAGGCAACAACCAGTTCCTAGGCTCGCCCGTGAACCGTGTCAAGATCACAGGTATCTGGGCTTCGCGCGCCCTCATTGAATCCCCGGATCTACCGCTGGCCGAGAAGATCCGCAATATTGGCCGACACCTCATCTTCCGAGCGGTGCTGTTGACCACTGATATCTTTTTCTACTTCACCAAGGTGCGCCAGTTCTTGCATCTAGGTGGTGGCATGGAGGATGATATTGAGGCTCAGATGCAGAATATGGCTAAGGATATGGGTGTTGACCTTAACCATGACATTTTCGAAGGGTAGATTATCAGATAGACTTGTTACTCGGGAGGTAGGGGATGGTCTGGGACCGCCTGCTTATCTCTATTACAGAAAAATCTCCCTATGAATGTACACATATTATATTACGTTTGATTTCTAGATGAGCCGGGGTGAATATTGGATGACTAGAGGTGTTCATATCAAGGCTGTGGAATGAGCTGTGAGACAAAACTCATACTTTCTCATTTGATCAACCCCCAATCCAAACTCAGACTATCCAGATCGTCAGAATGCCCACTGGTTCAACCATTTAGCCATCATATCAGGCGTTATCGGAGGCAGTGACTTCATGGTTGGACTCGCAGCCTTCGTGTGCTCCATTTCAAGAGGAACGGATAGAGCTCCTTCTCCTTCAACCAGACTCTGATAGAACCCAAGCAATTTCAATGCTGGCTTACTTGCGAGGTCTTCCCGCGTCGGTATCTTAATCCGCCGGAGCTCTTCAATCCACTGCTCTATTCCTACCTCTTCCAATGCATACATATCATGAATTGGCTTTAGAAGGCTTTTCCATGTCGTGACTATGGGGTTGACTAGGTGGAACACGGACAAGGTGGTTTCAAGTGGTATCTTGCGGCGGGCGTGAACGATTTCCACCACAATTTTGGACAGCAGATCCTATGAAAACGAGTAAGCTATGATTTATACGTGTTATAATTGAGTTCGATACTGGTTGACAACTCACCACTGGAACCCAATCAACGGGAAATGCGCCAAGGGTAGATGGAACCTTCCCAAGAGACTTCGAAGTAGCAATAATAGCTGGAATCCACTCCTGCGGATTCCAATACCCAGTCTCAGTAGACGGCCCAGCAATCTGTCCCAAGCGATGAATGCTAGTCGGTACACCAGCCGTCCGAGAAGCTGCCAGACAGATCCGCTCACAGATATGCTTTGCCTCCCCATATCCCTGGCGAAGCGCCACATCGCAATCTTCAAATGGAAGTTCGGGGATGGCTGATCCATTGGATAGCATCCATCCACCGATTGCACCAATCGAAGAGAGGAAATGGATATGAGTACGATGTGCACTTTGAAGACTGAAGTCTATCAGATTACGCACGGCTCGGATGTGCACTTCTTCGAATGACTCGACTGAGATGTTGAAGTCCATCCTCCATGCGTTGTGGATGAATGTATCCACAGTTTGGAGCATTTCTTTGTATTTGACGGCGTCAATACCGAGTTGGGGCTCGCCGAGTGAGGTTTGGATAAATTCGACTTTGTCGGGAATTGTTGCGTCCAGACCTCTTTCTTTGAAGGCCTTCTGTTGTCTCTCTACTTGTCCATCTCGCGTCAGGCAGTAGACTTTGCTCACAGTCTTGTCTGACCGGAGCGAATCAAGAAGGTAGCTGCCGAGTGATCCAGTTGAACCTGTCAGTGCGACTGTAAGGGTGTCTGTTTTGCACATAGTGTGGACATGGCCTTGGTCTGGGAGATCGTTTGTATACTTTGCGACTAGCCCGTCGATCATTTCACGTCTCGAAGTTGTCTTTTTCTTTGTTCCGCTAAGCATTTCGTTGAGGAGAATCGCGATCTTGTCAATGCTTGGGTGCATGTAAATCATTTGGGGAGTGATATCCTTGAACCCTGTTGCCCTGAGGGTTGACGCTAGCTGGATAGTGCGCAGTGAGTCTAGTCCAACGTTGTAGAGATCGGCGTCATTTGCGCATGAATTGATGTCTGAAACGTGGAGCAAAAGGGATCGAACAAATTCTACAATGCTTGGGAAATCTGGAGAGGGCGGCAGGGTAATTGAAAGCTCTTCGGCATCTGGCAAAGAGTACATGTGCTCAATCTCATCTCTGTAATCGTCTGTCACAATTCGTCGTTGAGTACTTCCTTTCGGAGTTGTGGCAAAAGGTTTATCGCGAGATGCCAGTGTAATTTTGTTCTTCAGAACATGTCCATGTGCCGGGCTGATTCGGTTAGCCTCTTGCACTATTGGCCAGATAATTTCAATCACGTTGGTCTGTTTGTCGAGTGAGTCCAATTGACTCCAGCTCGGCTCAATCAACAAGGCTGTCTGGAATCTGCCGAGTCCAACGACAACCGCGCGAGCCACCATGGAGTGTCCCTCGATAATCTTCTCCATTGTGACAGGGTTGAACTTCTCGCCATTGTTAAGCACAATGACATCGTCTAAGCGACCGTGAAACCTCCACAGATTCGGTGTAGTTGGATGTTCCAAGTAAAGATCTTTCGTATGATAGCATTCAAGATCAGGGAATGTGTGGAAGATAGGCTGTAGTTCGGGATTCTCATGTCTGCACAAGACCATTTCGTGCAATCCACTCTCGACATGTTCCATTTTAATACCGAAAGTAGGACTCCACTCGAAGTAAGACCAGTCTCCATTCTCAGGTAGAAGAGACAGCACAAAACCGCCCTCCGTCGTACCAAGGAAGCTGACAAGCTGAGTGCATTCACTGAGCTTGCGACCGATTTCAGGTGACAGTGGCCCGCCTCCAAAATACACGCGGTTGAGTTTGGAGAGCGCATGCATTGACTCGGGGCTTGCTGCAAGATCTTCTAAAATGGATGGAGGGAAGAGCGCTGCAGTTGGCTGAGTGATATCAAGTACGCGTGTCACCAAGTCTGCTGATAGGGGCTTGTCTGGCATTATCACACATGGGATACCATGAAACACTGCCATGATAAGAAGTGCAAATCCCATGAGATGGAAGAAGGGAGTCGTGGAAAGAATTAAATCATCGGGATGTAGTCTGTTTGGAACACCAGCTACACGCCCTGCTGGTATAGGGACGTGGGCTCCATGATCCAAGGCTCCGAAGTATCCAAAAGTGAGTTGAATTGGTTTGGGAAATCCTTCGAAGTTGATCAGCGTGATTCAATGGCTATATTAGAGCATCTGGGATGTCTTACCCGTCGTGCCTGAGCTGTGAGCGATGAACGCTACTTTGTCTTTGACATCTTCATATGTCCCCACAAAAGGATAGAGGCTGGTGTCCTGAGACATCATATCTGCCAATGAAGGAACTTCGAGGCTGCTCACATGAGGTGCAGCAGAACATATCTCCCCAGCCTTTTGCCGTTTTTCGGAGCTGAAGGCAAGCTTGGAACAGTTGGTCATCTCAAAAAGGCGAACATGAGCTGCCTGGGAGTTACGTGTCGAGGAGAGCAAGGGCTATTGAAGCAGGTAAGAAAATGCTGTATATTTCATTAAATCAAGTTGTTTGAAGCTAGATCATACCTTGTAGCCAGTCTTGTTACATGCAATGACTATCACAAGATAGCGTACATCGTTTGATCCCAGATAAGCCAATGTCTCATTGTAAGAGTCACTTTTTCCAAACTCTTTCTCAATCCACCATGCCATGAAATTGACTGCATGGGCCAGTTGTTGGACACTCAAATCCACATAGGTTTCTGGACTATTAGAGCTCCCTGGCATAGAACAGACCTTTTTTTCCGGATGTGCCTCAGCCAAACTATCAATGACATGAGCCATGACACGTTTGCCAAGGCTTGGAATTGCAAAATCCGTCATTTTTACTGAGGTAAACGATGGCTTGAGCTTGTGATGACGAAAAGCTTTGATCGGTTGGGTACGACAATGGGCAGTCACTCCATAGAATCTTCTTTCCTAAGTATTAACTACGGGTGATGACGACATGTATGATCGGGTTCAGAATGCCAAAGGCCACGCCGCATTCAAAGTATGAACCCAAATCGGTTGCACCTTACAGAAGTGACACGTCTACTGCTGTAGGACGAGAAGAAGAAATTACAGTCTTCAGACCACGAGAAAGGGAAATCAAGACCCAAAAGTGTGACAAATCCACTTTCGATTACATCGTTTAGATAGTCGCATGCCAGGGAAGATCATGCATGATATCCAGAATAGGAACGATTATGACATAGAGCATGCCTGCCACCTCACAGCCGAAGGAAACCGGATCTTCAAGAATGATCATGTGTGCTCTCTACGATGCACACCTGTGCAGATTGTTGGCCTACTTTGTAGATCTATCGAGATTGTCGACTTTGGGATTGTGCGCAAGTTCTACTAGGAGAAAAACTAGCGACATACGTATATTTTCCTGTCCCACCCCAGGCGTGTGGCTTATCATGTGGAGTGATCTGCACACGGTGCAGATGATAATCAGCGTGTAGTGCCCTGAAAAGGGCGGAATGACCATTTTTTTTTAGCTTTTTTTCTGGGGGTTGAGCCCTAAGCAGTGGCCATTTTGAATTTTCAGCAACTCGTATAATGCAGCAGATTTCAGAGGATCTCTCCATAGAAAGGAATGCATTCATGACCCACTAGGTTACATAGTGAATGCCATAAATGACATTTTAGCTGCATATCGATGCTGCCTTAATGATGCGATGCGTAAGGAGGCGTATTTGACCGTATGACGTTATTATAATTGGGACACTGAATATGCTTCGGGTCATTCTGAACATGATTTCTGTGCTATACAAAAAGGCCTTGAATGAACGCCCGAGGCGCGACCAATCTTCAGACTGAGGCCATTCAATAGGGGACTTGGAGATAAAGTCCGGGTAAAGGCGGCCCGATCCGAGAATCTACCAGTATTGGTCAAGCTGCGTATTTTTGATCGCAAAATAAAATACCCCAAGAAAAGGACTTAGAAGAATGTGAAACTTTGATAGAGTACGATGAGCTCGTATAGAGGACGTAATTATCTCATTTCATCCTAGAACATTCAAAAAGATGGGTACTGTATTGAAAATTTTCTATCCAACTCTTGTGTTGATCACTAATAGTGGCATATGCTGTTCAAATGCAAAGTCCTATGTATCATATTTGCTGAACACCTCCATCTCAGCACGCTCAAATTCAGCAAAAATTGTTTTCTGTCTCTCCTCCGACCGTGGCTTGATGTCTGTCGCGTAGGGCTTAGCACACCGCAGGAATCCATCGGTATACCCAGTGACAGGGTCACAATCAATTGGGATTGGAACTCCACTAGAGTCCAGTTTGGGAGTAATATCGAATGCCCATAGCATCTTAGCAAAGGCCAAGAAAAGCCCACGTTCTGCGAGATGTATTCCAGGGCAGATGCGACGTCCTGAGCCGTACACGTAGTGATCACGGTTTTCGTAATCAGGCGAAGATGCATATACCGGTGCCAAATTGGTATGGTATTTGTACCTTGAAGGATTGAAATGGCTAGGGTCATCATGTAGAGTATCATCGTGATGCAATCCCCAGACGTTTATCATGACCGTAGAACCTGCGGGAATAGTCATCCCATCAATTGAGCTCTCTGTAACAATGATTAATGAGTTAGAGTAGAGCTGTGTCATTGAAATGATAGATAGAAATAGCTGACCTTTACTTGTAGCGTGTGGAAAGGCCGTTGGCATCACAGGTCGCCAGCGCAGGGTCTCTTTGACCACCATCGTTATATATGGTAGACTCGAGAAGTCTTCCCATGTAGGGGATCTCTCTGAGCCAATCACGTCATCAATGGATTTCTGTGCTTCCTTTTGAGCTTCCGGATACAAAGCCATAGCTTGAATGAAAGAAATGATCGTAATAGATGTGGTATCAGACCCACCCTCCAAGAGGTTTCCAAGCATGAGATCAATTTCGTGTCGAGTTAACTGCAGCTTTTCTTGCTGATCAAAGATCATGTCTAAGTAACTTTCGCTTTTTGTTGATCCGCCCTTTGCTCGACGAGATAATACCCGGTCTACAAGCGGACCGTAGACAGAATCCATGGTTTGAGAAAGACCGACAGACCGAGACTTCCAATTACCGAAAAATGTCTCTGGAATCCAATTCAAAAATGGGAAAATGTCAATTGGTGGAGTTGCACCCATCTCAAAAATCTCAGATATACCATCCAAGACAGTGTAGAGGCTGTTCATGTGAGGAGTTGATGGAGTTGCTGTCCGAATACCCGTGACTAAAACCACATTAGTGACCTTATTCTCAAAGTGACTTTTACATACCAAGACTCATGATGATGCTGTTTGGGAACCGCTTGCAGTGGCTCCTGAAATTATCCGGGCTGCAACATAGATCTCGAAGAAGCTGTGTAGCTTCAGCATTTTGAAGATGGTGATGACTCTTTTCGCAAAGAGTTTCATTAAAAAATTGATGATAGAGTCGCCGACCACGCCGCCATCTAGCATCAGGGCCGAGGAACATAAGATGATCATGATGGAAAACTAGATTGTCTGCAATGTACGATTTGGGTCGATCACTATAAATAGCTGATTGTTTGTCGATGAGCTGCTTGATCATGTACGGAGAGCTCAAAACAATGACATTTTGAGATCCCAACTTGAGTGAAAATATAGGCCCGTAAAGTGATACCCATTCTGTGAACCTGCCATATGTCATTAGCTCTGAGAAAACAATCGGGGCAAACCCGAATAGTGCATACTTGAGGTGGGCTCCAGTTCTAGGAATTTGGTGGATATTCCCAATGATGGGAAGACATGGAGGTCCTATACACACAAGTTCAGAAGACTAGTTTTCCATATCCGAGGGAATTTGCAAATACCTGGAGGCAAACCGGGAGCCCTCTGGCCTGGGAATTGACCTCGAGCCAGAAGTAGAATGGCGAATACTGCAAGAATCAGGGCGCAGCCTAGAGCTGCGTACATAATTGAGTCCCGAAAATGAAAAGTCTTGCAAAGATAATACTCAGTAAATGCTGAGGATCAACCATTTGGTTTTTATCGTCCGATCTGGCTGATGGTGTCGTGTCATACTTGACCGATCTACATGCATATCCCACTCGGCTCGGATGCATGTTGCAGATCCTGCTCATTTTTTTGCCATACAGTACAGTTAAGATTGCCCACACTCGCTACACTTCTGCAGTTGAATTTAAGTGTTTTATTCTCTTTCGCATCAGCTCAGAATTGCCATGTCACTACCCTCTTTTCTGTACTCCCAGATATTTGTGGGCCTTCCCCTGCCCGACCATGACTTTACGGGTCAGACAATCGTCATTACAGGCGGAAACACTGGCCTTGGATTTGAGGCAGCTCGGTGTATGTTGAAGCTGAATGCGTCTCACATCATACTTGGAGTCAGAAATTTGTCCAAGGGCCAAGCAGCCAAGGAAGATCTGGAGAAGTCTAATGGACAAACCAGCCGAATCGATGTGTTCCATTTGGACATGGAAAACTATCAGACGGTCGTTACATTCGCCGAATTCGTATCTTCCTTGCCTCGTATTGACGTGGCAATTCTTAATGCGGGAAAGATAGCCCAACATTATTATCTTGCGGAAAAAGACGAGAGCACAATCACAGTCAATGTTGTGAGCACTATGCTTTTAGCCTTGCTACTGCTCCCTAAGCTACGCGCCTCTGCCGAAGAAGAGAAACCATGCCCTCGGCTCGTCATTGTGTCTTCCGATCGGCATGTAATGACAGACCTACCAGAGTGGAAAACCCCCAACACATTTGAGGCTTTGCGGAACAAAACCCATTATGGGCCAGATGATCGGTAACCCAATTTCCACTTCTTATGATTTGCCTTGATCTGACTCTAACACTACAAAACCCAGATACTACGCATCTAAGCTTCTTTCAGTCCTATGCATGCGACAAATGGCGAAAGAAATCGAATCAACGAACCCCAAGGTTATTGTCAATGGGCTAACACCAGGATATTGCGTCACCAACCTTGTCACAGGCGTAGAAGGATTTTGGGGCTGGCAGCTTTATCTCATGAAGCTTTCCATAGCACGTACAGCAGAGCAAGGATCTCGCACATTGGTCCACGCAGCTACCTTGGGACCCGAAGGCCATGGAAAATACTTGAATGATTGCAAGATCGATGAGTTCGTTATCACATCCCTGCAATTTATGCCTTCTAACCATGAACTAGTGGCGCACTATCCCAGTTTGTTAGAAGTGAAGAGGGAAACCAAGCTCAACAGAAGGTATGGAAGGAATTACTCGAAAAGCTGGATTGTATTGTGCCCGGAGTATCAGGGAACGTTCATTGAACTGCCTCCTATGTCCTGATCTTCAAGTAGAATACTGGACCATATACAAATTCCAAGATTGAGTTCATCAATTATGTCGGACTTTATAAAACGGTTTGATGTCAAATACAGAGCCTTGTATCTATAACTGCGCTGAAAGCAGAAACAAACATAGCTTCGGTGAACATCCGGTGAGCACGATGAATAGAATGTAGAATAGCCGAGCAGAGATATACACGAAATACTGCACGAATCGTGACATGCAATCTGCAAGGTGTCCCAGTTCGGCGGACCCGGATCCCCACGATGTCTAGGGACTATCAGAGATCAGCGACGAGGGATCAGCATGCCTTGAGCAGAGAAATACGGTAAATGTAATACCGATACGAAGCTTGAACCCGACAAGGAACTCTGTACAACACGATGTACTTCAGCTTCACTTTTCTCACATTTAATGCAAGGGCAGAGTGCTCATGACTCATTCAAGAGGCAAAAATATTATCTTACTGATGCTGCCCCGCTGAGTGCTACATAAATATTCTCATAACCATTAAGTTCTTTCTTGATATCCACTGATAAACCAAAATTCGATCGGCGTCAATGCTCTCCTTGAACGGAATTGCCTTGATCACAGGCGCAGGTAAGTATGCACTCAGTCCCCTTACTGAGTTTGGCTGAGGTTTTCTAGCTAGTGGTATTGGCCAAGAATGTGCACTGGCTTTTGCAGCCCACGGTGCGACTGGCGTTATCTTCGCCGATCTCGACCTTTCTAGAGTCCAGGTGATTGCTGCAAAGAGTGCCAGAATTGCCACAAACTCTTCATATCGTGCTCTTCCAATATCAGTCGACGTCACGGACTCGGCCCAAGTCCGAGGCATGGTCTCTCAGACCCTGTCCATGTTTGGGAAGATTGACTACAATGTCAACTGTGCTGGAGTAAGTTATGTGCAGCAATAAACAGAATCTGGGTTAACTATTCCTTATCTAGGTGTCGATGAATACTGCAATCTCTCTGGAGGATATTCCAATTGAAGAGTGGGAACGGGTCAACAGAGTAAACGTCCACGGTATTCTACACTGTATGCAAGCTGTTGGCAAGGCAATGAAATCACAGCCGCGCATCACTCTTGCTGGTCGAGATCGCCCGAGAGATGCCGGAAAGGGATCTATTGTCAATATAGGATCAATTCATTCGTTCTTATCCGCTCCCGGAACGGCCCAATACACGACTTCGAAGCACGCCATGCTAGGCTTGACACGATCTGCAGGTATGGACCAACTGACTTTCCAAATTCTGCATAAAACAAGCACAGAATTGACACATTGATCAGCTATGGACTTTGCTTCTGAAGGAATTCGAGTCAATGCAGTCTGCCCCTCTTGGGTTAATACCCCAATGATCAATGACAATAAAGAGCTTGCTCAAGTACATAAGAGGTTGACTGAAGTTGTTCCATTGGGACGAATTGCTGAGCCAGAAGAAATTGCGGATGTCGCCTTGTATCTTTGTAGCTCTATGGCTAGCTACGTGACAGGGAGTGCTTGGATGGCCGATGGGGGCTTTACTTCGTCAACTAAGCTTTAGAATCAATTTCATATCCGCCCAATCGTGTACTAGAAATTGAACATTTAAAAATTTCATATTGTGTCAATTGAAGACATAATCTAGTCTAGCCATGAAAATAGTACATCGTAGAATGCTTTGGGATCCTGGAGGAAAGGTGCATGACCAAGACCGGGGAACATGTGGAACGTGCAATTCGGTATCATGGCTGCGGCAGCAGGACCAAGCTCATTATAGTGACCCAGCTTTGCAGCAACGGTGGACGATGACCAAGCTTTGCCAAGAGCTGTAATGTCGTTCTCTCCTACCATTAGGTAGGTACGTGTCTGCAAGAGAGGCAGCTGGTAGACTATTGGCTGCGATAGTAATGCGTCAGTGACGAGGGCCATCACATATGCGTAATCAGAGCCATATTCACTGGCATAGATGTTGGCTAACATATGGACCCAAGTATCGTATTCGGGTTTCCAAGTCGCATTGTGGAAGTAGCTGGCCAATTCATACGCCTTGAGGGTGGTGAAGTTCTGCACGACCTGACTTTCATATGTTGCGTCAATGGAAAGATAGGGTACGCCTTTGGCTACCCAGTCCTCCAGACCTAGGGGATCAACCAAGATAAGCTGCTGAACCTGGGTCGGGTACATGAGACCGTAACGAGCAGCGATCATACCACCCATCGAATGGCCGATTACCGTGACTTGATTGATATTTAGCGCTGCGAGCAAGCTGTTGATATTCTCTGCTTGCTGATGTACATTATAGGAGTAGCCTTGGGGCTTACTCGACTTGCAGAAGCCGATGTCGTCAGGCAGGATTACTCGATAGCCAGCGGCGGCCATGTGGCGCGCTGTATCTGCCCAAGTAACACCGCAGAAATTTCCCCCGTGCAGCAAGACCGCTGTCTTTTCAACTTTATGCTGCTTGTGCGCTGGTATGTCCATAAACGCCATCGTAAGATTCTGGCGCTGATTGTAGAAGTTGAACAGCTTCACCGGCCAAGGGTAAGTATAGTTTGATCCATATAGACTGTCTGGTACACGGCTATTGACAATAGTGCCAATTGAGTCGAAATTAGACTGCGCAGAAACGACAGCCATGCATGACAGTATCGCTGACCAGATACCGAAGGAGAACATCATCATGTGACTGAAGGAACACCACGATAATTGATATGGGAAGAATGAAGACCCAGTGGAGTGTCTGATGCAAAGGAAATGAAGACAGCTTAGCAGTCACAAACTGGAAATGGAGGGGTAGCCCTAGAGTCAGGGGTACATGCATTGCCCGTGGTAATTGCCTACCAGCCCCAGCCTTTCCTGTTTAGCTCTTGCATACCACCGAGACAGGGGTCTTTAGTCAACTGCAATTTAACTAGTACTGTATGAACTTAGTGTGTGGCGTATACGGGGTGGTTGCTGACAGGGATTTAGGCTTCGCATTTAAGATCACCAAAAGCAATCAAATCCATCGATCCTGCTCAATTGACTAAAATTGAGGCATCTTGCGTCTAAGGGCCAGGTATGTCCACGATATTGCTTGATATCAATAAATTATGGACTGAGTGTAGTGGTTGATGGAATTCATCACGACCAAGTGTCAATTACGCCAACTATATTGCCAACCAAGCGAGAAACGAATCGCGTATTTGATAAACATATTAAAATGTGTAAACAATACCGACAATCGTTCAGTCCTCCATTCCTGGTGAAGGTCTCGGATAGCACGGGTGAATGCTCTAACCAGGCCGCGCGAGGTTATTTGATTCCGAGGCGGCAATTTCCGCCAATAGGATCATTTCTAGTGTCGGGGCTACTATGCTACGTCGCTATTCCGCCGGTAATGTACCTTTGCAAGGAAGAAGAGAATAGTCGCTGAAGATAATTCCTCTAATATCTGCCAGTTTCGCTCACCCACACATTCCACATGCAATTCAAAAAGATATTTACAAGGCTTGAAGATTTATTAACAAAGGCTCTAGAATCTCTGTACGAAACTCTTCAAGAAGTATACCATTGCTGCGTTGATTTTACCCCAGATTACTCGCCCTTCTTTGACCTATTTTGTCATCCTTTGAAGGACCTCGGATAAGTTACCTAGATTGATGATAGATAATTTAGGGGCTTAGAATGACTTATAACAGTTGTTGAAGATAAGTGTATACTAATTGATCAGACGCTTTCTATTGATACCCAAACGAAAGATCACAAAATGGCAATGGTGGTGAAAAATTGAAGAGATTCAAACAAAAACCTTCTGTATCTTCCGTTGACATACCCCACGGAGAGTGACAGAAAACATCCCCTATAAACAGACATATCATTAGCATCAGGCTGTTCAAAACCCCTGGACACGTATCATGAGAGCAACCATACCTCCAACCAGACCACCTGGTGACTGGTTATTCACCACTATTTCTTGTTGCTCCCACATGTCGCCAGATGGATTGTATTTTGGAGGATTTGGTCCCATTGAGTAGTCATAGAAATGCGGAGAAAGAATATGCGTTATTTTTCTGCTAGATTCGGCCACCTTCATCGTCTCAGAAATTTGATCATCGGAGATTGATGGTTGCAGTTCCGGCTTGGATATATTTTCCTGGACACCCTGGGAACTAGATGGGATGCGGGTACAAGGAATTTGCAAGTTATAACACGGTAAACAAGGGTCTCCGAGGTCACACTTCGTCTTTCTTTCCCGGCATCTTTGACATGCGATTGATATTCTTTTGGATATTTGAAGGGGGAATTTGTGAAGTAGGATGTGTCGACTAAGAATGTCACTAAAACAATGTCAGTGGACATATAGAAATAGACTAGGCCCAGAGAGACATCTGAATACCTTCGCGTAAAGGACCGAGAGCATACTGAGCACGTATATGACCGAATGCCTCTGTGATTAGCTTGGTGACGTGTCAAATGCTCTTTAAGTTTGAAAGAACGGGAACAGCCAGAGATATAGCAGGGAAAGGTGTTTTCTTTTTGGGTCGGTTGGTCAAACATTTTTGATATAGGCACAGGACTAGCAGAGAGAAGATACGAGGTTTTCTTTTCTTGCGAAAGAAAATAGTGGGCTATCTAGACAGAGCATTTCAAACATAAGTGGATAAAACCAAGGGTTCAGGCCACACAAAGACCGCAAAGTTCAGCCAAAAAGTTAAGAAGCAGACCGCAGGTTAGCCCAGAGTCTGTTATGAGCTATCACAATCAAGTATCAAGAAGGGTCTACTAGTAGTCTTTTGGTAATAAATTGACTCCTTACTGTTAATTTTCATTATTTTACTTCTCTGTTCAATAGAACAGTCCACCTGAGACTCAAAAGTTCAATTGAGCGCATAACAGAGCAGATCGATCTCGGTAACGTTAGTAATCAACTAGCCAACCTAGGAACAACCTTGGAACACTTTCCGTCAGAACTGAGGTCTAGAGCTAAAAAGTAGAAATAAATTTCGAACCTTCATTTCAGGATACATGTGCGTTATTTTACGGCCTCAATTAGCTGAATTATTACAACATTCCATTTATCACAACATCAAGAAAACAACTGCAGGATTCAAGGCTGCATATACGGTGTAGCGGTAAGGCGATTATAATACACAGTACACATGCGTATCAATACGAATACAGTACATATGGTATTCATAGATAAACTTTGATCTTCATGCTTTAATTGGGGCAGAGTGGACTATCGTTTGCTTTCCAAGTAGAATGATTGGAGAAAGCCGAGGTACTAGAAGATAATCATCATCATTAGCTCCACTGTGAGTATGTGGCTTCGAAGTCAAAATCCACAGCCCTAGGCATCTGGATCGGATTGCCGACTCGCAAACCTGCATATGTACATAAGTCTGCATATCGATGACCAAAAACAAAATGATAGCTGAGAACATGACCCCAAAATCCTGTTTTTGAGACACCGAGTCGGAGCTGGAACATGTAGATCCTGTCCAGCATCCTGTTCATGCAATGATCTTGACGTCAAATAGATCGGTTTCTTGATCACGTTAATTATTTCAATCACAAAACTCAAAATCTTGCAGGGGAGTTACCTGGAGATCTTTGAAGGAGCGGTGTCAGCTCGCATATTGGCGTGGAGACTTTCATCGAAGACGAGATACACCGGTGGTCTCGATTGATCTACCAGCACATGGGACCAACTATTTGCAGTTTCATGTACCAAAATCTAGAGCGTTACTTATAAGTAAACTGCGGCTGATACATCATAGCTGTAAGATCAGATGGGCGCGAGCTGGAAGACCTGATGAACTATCACACTTCAGACTTGGGTTCAATTACGTTTATCTGCAGCCACAAGCTTATCCTTTATCTTATTATACCGAATAGTTCGATTTAGCTTGCACCGAATCTTTCAACATTATTATCCTCGCCTTCGTGTCAGACTATCGGAGCCAACAGCCAACAATATGTCATCTACACCTCAATCTCCTTCAAGTTTAACCACCAACGAAGACGGCGTGTACACCACTGACAGTAGTGAGCCTGTAAGTAAATCCGATAAAGTCAACAGTGAAGCAAAAATCTAATACACGGTTAAGGATACATACGATGGAGTAGCAGTGGTGGGAATGGGTTGCCGTGTTGCCGGAGGGGTTGAGAGCCCTGAACAGCTCTGGGAGTTCTTGCTGGCCCAAAAAGATGGCTCCAGTGAAGTCCCCCCAGCTAGATGGGAGCCATATTACAACCGAGATCCTCGAAACAAACAGATATTGAAAAAAGCCATCACTGGTGGATATTTTGTCAAGAACCTGGACGATTTTGATCCTCAGTTCTTTGGGATCTCGCCCAAAGAGGCCGAGCAAATGGATCCACAGCAGCGTGTCTCGCTTGAGGTTGCTTGGGAGGCATTGCAAGACGCTGGAATTCCAGCAAAATCTCTCAAAGGAACCAATACCTCCGTCTTTTGGGGAGTCAATTCCGACGATTTTTCCAAATTGCTTCTTGAAGACCTTCCGAATGTTGATGCTTGGATGGGAATTGGAACAGCCTACTGCGGAGTACCAAATCGTATCTCTTATCATCTCGATTTGATGGGGCCAAGCGTTGCTGTTGATGCTGCCTGTGCCTCTTCTCTTGTTGCCGTTCATAACGGTGTCTCCGCCATCTTGAATGGAGAATCCAACATTTCCATTGTTGGCGGCGTGAATGCACTTTATGGCCCTGGCCTGACTACTGTTCTGCAAAGAGCTGGTGCTCTAGCACTGGACGGCCGTTGCCGCTCATTCGATGATGGTGCAGTGGGATACGGTCGTGGAGAGGGAGCAGGGGCTGTCGTTTTGAAGCACCATGGCCAGGCCATCAGAGAAGGTGACCACATTCTTGGAATTGTCAGGGGCTCGGCTATAGCCCATGATGGCAAGACACATGGAATCATGGCCCCAAATGCTGTTTCACAAACACTGGTTGCAAAGAATGCATTGCAGGTCGCCAACCTCGAAGCCAGCAGTATTCAATATGTTGAAGCTCATGCAACATCGACTCCATTAGGTGACCCAACAGAGGTGTCAGCTATCAGTGCTGTGTATGGACTAAACATTGATCGTCCATGCTACATAGGCTCCATTAAACCAAATATTGGACATCTGGAGGCAGGTGCTGGTGTCATGGGCCTGATAAAAGCGGTTCTTACGGTTGAAAAAGGAATATTACTCCCTCAGACAAATCTCAAAACTCTGAACAGCCGTGTCAACTGGAAAACATCTGGCTTGGAAGTCGTTCAAACACCAAAGGCCTGGCCAGAAACTGATGCACCACGCCGAGCAGCTGTGTGCTCTTACGGATACGGCGGAACAGTCTCCCATGCTATACTGGAACAATACCAGGGAACACCCATCCAGGGTATTCCCATGACATATGAACGCAAAGACCTAATACTGCTTGTGTCGGCGCCCCAGAAGAAACGGCTACCCCTTGTTGCTGAGTCTCTCTGGTCTTGGTTCAAGTCAAATGCAACCAAAGAGAACTTGGCGAGCATCTGCACCACCCTGGCAACACGTCGTGATCACTACGAGTTTCGTGTGTCAGCCGTTATCAATGATGTTGATGAAGCCATAGAAGCTCTTGACAGACTTCGCCAAGCATCCATGAACAAGTGGATGACTGAAAGCCGTTGTCTACCTCAAGATCTGAGCAAAGAAACCGTATGGATATTCTCAGGTCATGGTGCCCAGTGGAACGAGATGGGCCAAGAGTTGCTTGCCAGCAACGAGGCATTCTGCAAGGCAATTGAACCCCTAGATGAGGTGGTGCAGAAAGAGATCGACTCGTCCCCTATTGAGTGGCTGCGCAATGGCGACTTCCAGTCTACCGACCGCATCCAAATATTGACATATGTCATGCAAGTTGGAATAGCTGCGGTCCTTCAAAGCCAAGGTGTATTCCCCGATGCAATTATTGGCCACTCGGTTGGCGAGATTGCGGCTAGTGTTGTCGCTGGTGCAATCTCACCAGTGGAGGGTGCCTTGGTTGTCACTCGGCGAGCGGTTCTGTACCGCCAGCTCATGGGCCAAGGAGCTATGCTTTTGGTCAATAAGTCCCCGGGTGATGTCAGTCAGGATATTCAAGGCCACGAGGACGTGGTTGTAGCAATCAATTCCTCGCCGTCATCTTGTGTTATTGCGGGCGCTAAAGACGAGATCGCGACGATCGCCGATGTATACAAGCAACAGGATGTTAAGGTATTCCCTGTACGAACAGACGTCGGATTTCACAGTCCCATGATGAAATCTCTCGGGGAGCCTTTGATTGGTGCCCTTCAACATGTTATTCACCCAGCCAAGCCTTCGGTGAAGCTATACTCGACGGCTCTTGCGGATCCCCGGGGCCAGAATCTGCGAGATGCAGAATATTGGGTGACAAACATGATCAATCCGGTCAGATTGACAGATGCAGTGAATGGCGCCGTAGAAGATGGATATAGAGTGTTCTTGGAGGTGGCAAGTCATCCCATCATATCACACTCGGTAACCGAGACCTTGTTAGACAGCGGGATAGACGACTTTTTGGTTGCATCCACTCTGCGAAGAGATCAACCGGCCGAAAAAAACATTCTCAATTGTCTCGGTCAGCTCCATTGCAGTGGTGCGGATGTTGATTGGAAGGCGCAAATGCCAGGTCCTTGGGCTGGAGGACTGCCAACAGGACCGTGGCTTCATCAGCCAATATTGCCCAAGATCTCATCAATTGCCACCAATATGGGCATACATGATGTCAACCAGCATAGCCTCGCTGGACACCGCATTGCCATTGCCGGAACTGATACCGTGGCCTACACCAGTTTACTGGACAAGGATTGCAAACCTTTCCCTGGAGACCACCCTGTCTCTGGCACTGAAATTGTTCCTGCGGCTTGTCTTTTGAACACTTTCTTCAAAAGCACAAATGGAAGACACCTAAAGGATGTCCAGTTGAAAGTTCCTGTGGTCATTGATGTTCCAAGAACAGTCCAAGTTGTCATCCAAGAACATCAAGCAAAGATCATGTCTCAACTTAGTTGCACCGAGAATGCCGATGACCATTCATGGCTTACTCACACCACCTCGTCGTGGAGTACCACTTGTGACTTGAATGAGGAGAAGATTGATCTAGGTAAATCCGGATGTCGATCTGGCAAACGGAATCCAGACGGCTTCACCATCGACTATTTAGCCAGTGTGGGAGTATCTGCCATGGGCTTCCCCTGGAAGGTGCTTGAGCACTATGGGGATTCAACAGAGATGCTCGCAAGAGTTGATATGGCACCAGGTCTAGATGTACCTGATTGGGATCAATCATCATGGGCACCACTCATGGATGCCGCGACTTCTATTGGATCTTGTATCTTCTTTCAAGAACCTCGTTTGCGAATGCCGTCGCAGGTTAAGCAGGTCGACATTTTCACGGAAAAGAACCCACCAAAGCTCGGTTGGGTCTATGTTCAGAGAGATTGCAGCAATGAGTCTTGCTCACATGTTCGTATTCTTGATGACCAGGGCGAAGTTCTTGTAAAATTTACCTCGATGCAATTCTCCGAGATTGAAGGTAGCCCAGACTCTAAAAAGCCAGTGTGTAACTTGGTTCATCGAGTTTCCTGGCCTCCAGTTCAGCCAGCCGAAGAGCCTCTCCGAGTTGAACAAGTGATTTTGGTGTCAAGTGATGCTTCCTTAATGCAAAAGTATGCAGACTCTCTTCCTGATCATGTCAAATCGCTTCAAGTCTCAGGGCCAGAGGAACTCCAGTCCATATCAGGCGAATCTTTTGCAGAGGGGACAGTGATTGCATACATCCCAGTCGAGGTTTCGTCCACTGCAGAGGTTTTTGAAGCTACTGAGAACCACACTTGGCAACTCCTTCAAATCATGAAGTGCACTATTCAGTCTTGTGCTCCAATTAGGGTGTTTGTTTTAACAACGAACGTCATGCAAGGTCAGTCACCGGCGGCACTTGCAAATGCTCCATTAGTGGGCCTTAGCAGAGTGATTGCAAGTGAACATCCAGACGACTTCGGTGGTCTTATTGATGGTGAATATCACTCGGTTTCTCTCACGACCATGAAGTACATTCGGGATGCGGATGTTGTTCGTATTCTTGATGGCGTACCACGCACCGCCAGACTGCGTACTCTTCCGACAGAGCTTCGTACCCAGTCAGTATCCCGCTCTCTTCCTTGTCCCCAAGGAACCTACCTAATTACAGGTGGCGTGGGCGCTCTCGGGCTTGCAACTGCAGAATTTCTAGTGAACAATGGAGCTCGACGACTGGTTTTACTATCCCGTCGCCAGCTTCCACCGCGGAAAACCTGGAATGATGCACAAGAGGACTTTCGGTCAATTATCAGCAAGATACAGGACTTGGAACAGCGGGGTGTTTCGGTTCATGCACTGGCCATTGATATTGGTGTCCCAAATGCAACGGACGAGCTACTTAGTGCTTTGCAACTACTTGATCTTCCACCGGTTTTGGGTGTTGTTCATGCAGCTGGTATTTTGGAGAATGAGTTAATACTGGAAAGCACACAGGCTGCATTCCATCGAGTCTTTTCTCCGAAGATTAATGGTGCCCTAGTCCTACACAAAGCCTTCCCTCCAGGTAGTCTTGATTTTTTCATGCTATTCTCTTCTTGTGGGCAACTGCTCGGATTCCCGGGACAGGGCTCGTACGGAAGTGCAAACGCCTTCCTGGACACATTGGCCACCCATCGCCGAAGCCTTGGCGAGAATTCAGTCGCCTTCCAGTGGACTTCCTGGAAAGAAATGGGGATGGGAAGTGACTCTGAGTTTGTAGCCGCAGAACTAGAAGGGAAGGGGGTTACGGATATCACACAAAGCGAAGCTTTCCAGGCTTGGACTCATCTCGCACAATATGACTTAGACCATGGAGTTGTGCTTCGCACACGAATGCTTGACTCGAGCGAACCAGTTCCTTCTCCTGTTTTGCAGGAGATTATTACTAGATCCTTGGGTGTCAACACTGGTAGCGAGGGATCCTGCAAAATGGAGGCCGCCGACACAATTCCTGCGTCTGGGCCTGAGCTCAGGAGCTACCTCGATGGGCACATTCGATCATGTGTTGCTACTGTGCTCCAAATGTCCCCGGATGATGTGGATTCTAGAGCTGCAATGAGTGATCTTGGTCTAGATTCTGTCATGAGTGTTGCCTTTAGACGACAACTCCAGCAGACTTTGAAGGTACCTGTTCCCCCAACGGTGGCCTGGAATCATCCTACCGTGAAGCATTTAGTTGAATGGTTTACTAAGAAACTAAGCCAACCCCATGTCTGATAGCTATCTAGCAACTGTCAAGCTTACTTCAAATTGAAATCAAAAGATGCTTTATTTATCATCATATCAGGCAGCAACATTATTGAATTCGAAGCAACTAATAAAGTCATCGAAGATGTTCTGGCTTGCTCACGAGGCTTCCTATAATTCTTTTCTACTGAGAGTCTGAAACTTCTCTCACATTGAATCGGATCATGCTTGCAAATCTACCTTCACGGGTATTGAACATCCTCATCAATTTAGGAGGAGACGGCCAAATACTAAGCCAATTCAATGACATGTTTCATTCTACTACTATACACAAAGAGCTCACATTCACTTCTGCGGCTCTGATTTCTAGCCAGCTTTTTATTTTCAGCTTGGTAGGCTTCTATTCTGTCCTCGTCACCAGGTTACCCTCATTGATTCTGATTTTTGACCAGGTGCATTATCTTCTTGGTCATACAGCAAAAATTTTGTTGATCATTGAAATTGCTCGAAAAGATGAGGCTCTTTCAGATCAAGACAGTGAGAGAAAACGACCTCTCACCTTCCGATCAATCTCCAAAGCCGTACGTGTCGTGTACAGGACGCAGAAACTTTACACATTCTCTCGTACACTTTCAATAGCTATTTTCTATGCGGTTACCCATTATGCGATCCGAGTTGGCTTGGAGATAGCAATTTTTAGACACAAATTGCTGATGCCATTGGCATACGCCTGTTCCTCAGTTCTCTTGTGCAAGCTTCATTTGGCATGGACCTGTGCTACTATCTCAGCACATCGACCTCGAATACTTTCATTGACGGGAAATGCAAACTACAGACAATTGAAGTGTTTGGCATTCCGCAGCTTCACTTATGGGATATGTCAAGCCTTGACGTATGGGGCTCAAAGTCTAATACAAGAGTCATTGATTCCCGCAGGGAAGGATACAACAGTATCCACGAGCAGGCAAGCCAGTGTGGAGATTCTTGGAGTGATTCTCATCCTTGCATTTCGCTTCTTGGGACTGCTACCAGCGTCTGTTAATCTCATATTGACCGAAATAAGTGTTTTGCCGAGAAATTTGGAAACAATTATTCCTTCGACAAAGCAACGTGGATCAACAATTGCAGAGCTGCTCGGAGGAGAAAGAGCTCCGCAGAGATCTGCAACACGAGGCATTGTATTCACAAAGTTTGGCGTGACCCAATTCATGTGGCTAATTGAGTTCCATTTGAAAATGTGTTTTGTCCTCATAGTCATCGAGTTAATCACGCCGATTGTCATTCTCGGCATTCTCTAAATCAGAATTCCGAATATCAATGTTCAACTTTCCACTTTTCAGCCCGAAGCTTCCACTAAAACTGCTCCTATTTCCAATTGACCAAAAATCACTAGATCTTGGATGGGTTCGCGCTCACCTCCTTTCCTATGTGGAGCACAGCCGATCCACTTCATCACCTCTCCCCACTCTCTATACTTGACTAGTAGGAAAGGTGCATCACGCAGATCTAGTCTATCAAGAAACCCACAATTATCTCAGATACAGGCTGATCCTGCAAGCTAAGAAACAATACCATACCATACAGCTGTTCATTTGCCTCACATATGCATCATGTGGAATGCATCATGCAGCGCTAAAGTCAGATCGTGGAACTAGCGCCGACTACCAGCTGATCGCCCATGATCACCCTTGATCGACCCGAGCAGGGTGTGAGCACGGTGAATGGGACATCTGCCATTTTTGTGCTTAAATAAAGTCCAAGACCGTTCCTCCTCAGCCCGTCGACATCCTCATTTTACCATGTCTTACTCGCTAGCACGAATTATACCAGGCACCAATGTTAGGTTCCCTGACAGGTCTTCTCTTAGGCACAATTCCGGTTCTTCAATTCCCTCTTGTCCTTCCACATCTTCTATCCAGCCGGGTATATCGTCCATGTCACGGATTCTACCAAGTACGACATTTGGAAAGGTAGCTCGGTGGCTATCCAAAGGCCGACTATGTCGATTCCCAGAAGAAAAACCGGGCTTTCAACTTCCGCGAGAGTATCAATACAATGGTAATTCTCAGTCTTCTACCTTTGTCCTGGATATGCATAAAGAAACATTGAGCAACGAAGATCACCATTCCGGCATCCATTCGGGGACACCGCCGAGTCAAACCCTAAATCCTGAGATCAGACCAGACGGCACGATCTTGGTGTCATGGTATGACCCCCAAGACCAAGATAATCCACACTATTGGCCATTATGGATAAAGTTCATGGTTCATTTTCAGATCAACTTCTATACATTTATTGTATACATGTCCTCCTCAATCTTCTCGGCTGCCCAGCCTGAATTTATGGAAACATATGGAGTGCCTTCATCAGTAGGCTCACTTGGCCTAGCACTTGTTCTTTTTGGATAACGTGGTCGGCAAGCGAGTGGGCCATGTAAGCGAGTGGGCCACCCAACCACTTTTTCGCATCCCGGTCTATCTATCTGTTTTCTATCAACCACCATGCCTCCAATTCGCGTCAGATCGAGCCAAAATTCCGTTCAGCAAGAAGGCCGTATCCTACTTGCTATACAGGCTATCAAGAGTAAAGAGATTAGCACTATTAGGCAGGCCGCAGACCAATTTCAGGTCCCCCGCACTACGCTCACGCGTCGACTACGCGGAACTACAAACCGCGCTGAATCTCGCGCAAATTGTCATAAAATGACACAAATTGAAGAGGAACTACTTCAGCAGCGGATACTATCGCTAGATCTACGTGGAGCAGCCCCTACACAAGCTCACGTACGAGAAATGGCGAATATCCTACTCGCGAAGCGTGGTTCTACCCCCATCCAAACCGTCGGCGAAAAATGGGTATATAACTTCACCCAACGCCATCCAGAGCTTTGTTCTCGCCTTTCACGACGATACGACTACCAGCGGGCACAGCAAGAGGATCCAAAGATTATTCAAGAGTGGTTCAACACTGTGCAAGCCACGATTCAGCAATACGGTATCCTTTCGGACGATATCTATAACTTTGACGAGACTGGCTTCGCAATGGGCCTTTGTGCGAATCAAAAAGTGATTACCCGATCAGAATACTACGGTCGGAGATCAGTTTTACAGCCAGGAAACCGTGAGTGGGTAACTGCAATCGAGTCAGTTAACGCTTCGGGGTGGGCGCTTCCACCGACCCTTATTTTTAAGGGTAAGCAATACAATCAAGCGTGGTTTAAAGACCTTCCACGCGACTGGCGTATCGAAGTTAGTGCGAACGGGTGGACGTCCGATAAGATCGGCCTTCGCTGGCTTCAAAAGCAATTTATTCCGTCGACAAATAGTCGTACGCATGGAAAATATCGACTCTTAGTCCTCGACGGACACGGAAGCCATCTTACGCCAGAATTCGATCAACTTTGCGCGGATCACGATATTATACCAATCTGTATGCCAGCGCATTCATCGCATCTTTTACAGCCTCTTGATATCGGATGTTTCGCGGTTTTAAAGCAATCGTACGGTACCTTAGTCGGTAACAAAATACGGCTCGGGATCAACCATATCGACAAGCTTAACTTCCTCCTAGCATATCCACAAGCTCGTGTCAACGCATTTAAAACAGACACAATCAAGAATAGCTTTCAAGCAGCAGGATTAGTACCATTCAATCCTCAAGAAGTGCTATCAAAGCTCAATATTCAACTTCGGACGCCGACGCCACCTTCCAGCCGTGGCAGTGACACAAGCGCATTTTACCCACATACACCCGCGAACGTTAACGAGCTTCTAAAGCAAGCATCCTCGATCAAAGAGTTCCTTAAGCAACGCTCAAATAGCCCACCCTCGCCTTCACAGGCAGCGCTAAACCAGCTTATTAAAGGCTGCCAAGTCGCAATGCAGAACGGTATACTTCTCGAGGAAGAAAACAAGCAACTACGTGCCGCCAACGCTACACAAAGGCAAAAGCGCGCTCGTGTGAATAGATGGATAGCCCACGATGACGGTTTATCAGTACAAGAAGCATTAGAGCTAGAGGAAGCTCACAATCAGTTCTTTCAGCCAAGAACAGGACCGAGGGTAGCGCTGGCGCAGGCTACGCAAGCACCGGTTATGCGGCGCCCACCTAAATGTGGTAAATGTAGCGAGATAGGGCACAAGAAGAATGCCTGTCTAAGAAGAGATTAATCAATATAATAGCGTTATGGTTGAGATATATCGATAAAAGTGTAGAAAAAGTGGTTGGGTGGCCCACTCGCTTACATGGCCCACTCGCTTGCCGACCACGTTATGGATTGGGAGCCTTACTATTCAGTCCATTATCTGAGATCCCAGCTATCGGTCGAAATCCTCCATATGTGATTTCCACAGCTGTCTTTGTTATTGTCAGTGGACTCGCCGTGGCAATTCACAATGTCCCGGGATTCCTTGTTTTGCGTTTCCTTCAGGGGTTCTTTGGATCACCAGGTTTAGCCACCGGCGCTGCATCCTTGACCGATATCACACAGCCCGTTAATATTCCGTATGCATTATGGATCTGGGGCACATGTGCGGTGGCCGCGCCTGCAATAGCTCCCTGTATAGCGGGCTTCGGAACCATGGCCAGAGGCTGGAAGTTATCTATGTGGGTGACTCTTTGGGGCGCGGCGCCCTGTTTGATCCTGCTCGTATGTTGAACGTCCTCTCACGAATGCTCCCAACTGCGCTAATCATACCGTAGCTATTCCTCCCGGAAACATCAGTTCCAACAATCTTGCACGAGCGTGCGAGACGTCTAAGAACATTGACTGGAAACCAATTGTTCAAAACCTCATCTGAGATCGACAGCAGCAAATATTCAATCAAATCCCTCGCTTATGACGCTTTAATTACACCATGGAAGATCAATACCCTAGACCCGGCTATTCTCTTCACAACTATATACACAGCCCTAGTATACGCCATTTTTTACTCATTCTTCGAAGTATTCCCACTCGTGTACCAAGAAATATATCGCATGAGCACCGCACACATGGGTCTCGTCTTTCTAGCTGCAATCATCGCCGTATTTCTCATCATGCCGTTCTACTGTCTCTTCATTCACAAGTACATCGCCAAGCCCATCCACAACGGCAACTTCCCTCCCCCAGAACGGAGACTGATACCTGCATTGTTCATCTCCCTGTTCGTTCCAACGGGAATGTATCTTTTTGCGTGGACTTCGCGGACTGATATCCATTGGACTGTGCCGACGGTGGGATTCATGCTCATCATCATGGGTGTTATTACCCTCCTGCAGTGTATGTTTGGTTATATGGCTATTGCGTATCCGGGTCACTCGGCGAGTTTGTTTGCTATGAATGATTTTGCCCGGTCGACTCTTGCTTTTGCGGCTATCTTGTGGTCTGGACCTTTGTATCGGAATCTCGGGGTTGCGAGGGGAACTAGTTTGATTGGGGCTATGACTGTGCCTTGTGTTTTTGGGATTTTTGCTTTGTATCTGTTCGGGCCGGAGTTGCGAAAGCGAAGTCAGTTTGCTTCGTGACGCTGTTAATGCTGTTGATGATTTTTCGGGTTAAAATTGTTTTTACTTGGGCCTTGTACGGTGTTTTGTGGGTTATTTCTTCAAAGGGGATAATCGAACGCTTTCATGACTATCAAAACACGTAAATATGAATAAAGACCAAAAGATACATCGTTTCTGTCCTCACTGTACAACAAAACACGGAAAACGGAGAAAAAAAAAGAAATCCAAATTAAACATGACGAAGGGGGCATTGTGGTAGATTGGTATCATCAAACGCTCAACAATCAAGTATTCACAAATGCATTGGCGTCCACTCCTGCCCTGGATAAGTCGTAGGAGACATCAAGATTTCTTCACTGGAATCATCACCAGTAACAGCAAGCTCCACAGGCCGAGGTGTGTCGTTTAGAACCCGAGCTTCGCCTTCACTCCTGTGAGGATGAATGGATGAAACTGCAGACGCGTTTGAGACAGCAATGTTGCGCGGAGCAAAGTATTCAGGGGTCAAGTTGGTCGAGCCATCTCCAATCGGTTTCCGGGATCGCAAGCTGGGTTGTGAGCTGAGGCCGTATTGTGGTTGCTCGTTCTGAATTGTTTGGGTAGGAAGCTCGTGTCTTCCTGAATCTTCCTCCTCTTCCTGCTCCTTCTTCTCACTCAGAGTACCAAGCGGCGCTTCTTGATTTGCATCGGGGTCTCGTTCCTCATTGTCCTCTTGCTCTTGCAGTTCCCGCCTTTGGATCTGAGAGTCTTGCAGCTCCTCAAGCGGGGACAGTGGCTTCGCCGATATGTCCTCATTGACTGGTATCGAAGACCGCGAGCGAGACTGGCCTAGTAGAGGCTGACTCAGTGCCCTCGTATGGTGAGAGCCAACGGGAGTTTCATTCATAGTGCCAGACTGGAAATGTGAGTAAAATCGACCTGGGCCAAGGGGGTTTGCCGAAGTGGTGGGGGGTAAGGAAATACTAGCACGCTGGTGAGTATCACGAGGTGGAGGCTTGGTGTCGCTTGGAGGTGGAGGCGGTGGAATTGTCGACTCAGGAGGCTCAGTTGGTAGAGGCTTTTGGACATCGGGAACCTTGTGAATTGGAGAGCTGTCATCCGGGATAGCAGATGTGTTGTCCACAGCGGTGTTTGCCGGCGGGAAAGAAGGCAGATCTTTCTCCAGCGGTTGTGAGACACTTCTAGTCAGATCTGTTGACTTCCTCCCGGAACCCTGAGTATCTTGGCGGCTAAAGAGGCCCTGCTCATGTTAGAAAAACAATCCAAACGTAGAAATAGAGACAACATACACTTATTCTGCTCAGTGCTCGTTTTCGCTGGCCTCCCGGTTGACCCTGGATCCCTTGAGCCTGGATTCCAGACAAGAGATCTCCCACCGAGGCGCGTCGACGCCTGCCGAAGCTTTTTAGCTTTCCCATGGTAGACTCCTCGTTTTGAAGCGGAGAGTTTGATTCTGAAGCTTGGGATAAACCATTCGCAGGCGTGGAAGGGCGAGTTCCTTTGCCATTGCCACCTTGCCTGCCAAAGCTACCGAAACTGAGCATGCTGCTCCTAGTCCCAGGCGAGTACCTGACTTCGTTTCTCAAGGGGCTCTGCACTCCTGGGAGAGAAGGCGGAAGGCCGCTGATAGATTTCCTCTTGGGTTCGAGAGCCTGAGCAGACTTTGAAGGTTCCAAGGAATCAACTGGTTCGTCGACATGCGCATCATCCTCGCCAAATAGAGCATTTTTGCCAAGGACTTCCTCATGAAGCCTTTCTGAAGAACCAAGTTTGTCATTCGTATCACTGGGATCGTTCTCAATGGGGTCCATGGGAGATGGAGGTTCTCCATCACTATCATCCTCCTGAGAGGTACGATGACGTTGCTCGTCGGGACCAAGTGTCGAAACTGACGGCTGACGTTGGGATACAGCATCAGGCACAAGCCCGCTATCCTTCGGAGGAGGAGATGGTGGAGCCTTGATGCTTTCGTCATATACTGGACGGATTGTTGGAGCAATGATCTGTGGCACGCTTTGATGAGGTGCATTCTCTGAATCATTCAAGCCCGGAAGAGGAACGACAAAAGGTTCATGAGAGACCATTGGTAAACTCTTCGATGTAGTTATTCTAATTGGCTTTTTGGCAGTGGGTTGTTCCATAGGAGTAGATTGCTGTAGTTGCGAGAGTCCCTGCGTAGACTTCCTCTTCTCATCGTTCGTCTGACTCGAGTTCAATGCCGTGGTAGTACTTGGCTCTTGGCTGCGGTCTGTGGGTGAAAGACCAAGAGCAGCTATCATTTCCTGCTCGAATTGGCCAGCGTAGTCTGATTTTCGAGACGGGTCGTTCTGAGGCACAACTCTGTTGGAAGATGACTGAGATGGCATACTCGCGTCGATGCCGTGGGGCAGAGAGTAATCTTCCGATTTGGCCACTCGGGCATGATCTTGCGTGTTACCTTCGGTCTGTAAAGCATCTAGTGAGGAACCGGCCAATCCTGTCGCAGGCTCAGAGCCAGTCCCGGTTCTCCCAAACTTGAACATAGGCAGGCTCCCAAGCGAAGCGGAATTGCGGCGAGGTTTACCACTTTCACCAGAGCCTGATGGCACGGAAAATTGAAAGCTGCGGCGAGGAGCATTCGGTATTGATTGACCCTACAGCATTACCAACATCAGAATAGAACATATTGGGGGGTGTTGAATTGAAAGGTCAGATGCATCAATCGTGTCGCATTCTAGAGCTCAATGCAAAGTGCTCGAAATTACATCGTAGTTTCCACGAAAAGAAACATTGCAGAATTAAAGGGAGACATTAATGCGACGGGCACTACCGCGCGAACCCCGAATGAATAGCCTCATAAAAAAAGAATCAGGTATCTACCTTTTCAGAACCTCCACTAGGTCGGAATTTGCTTCTGCCCTTGGCAAACAGGCCCTTGGCAGCTCCACTTGCTTTGCCACTAAACGCTCCAGCGGTATGAAGCAATTCCTTGCCTCGTTCTCCGACGTTCTGCTTGTTTATCACAGTGCCAATATGACCCGAAGGGCGTCTTATGTGAGTGGCGCTTGTCGGGGTGCCATCACTCAGATTCAAGGTCGATCCGATATTTCCGAGTGAAGTCAATTTGGGGAACCTGCTTCGGGAAGGCGAGGCACGTGTAATATCGGACATACTCTGGCTCTGTTCGACGACATCGACATGTTCGGGGTGTTCGTGGACCATGAATTGTAGCCAGTGGTTCAAGCCAGAGTCAAGAGTTGAGAATTGGTCCCGAGTGTGCTCGAACGACCTGATACGCTGGTCCACAGATGTGATACCAAGAATTTCACGGAAACCGAGAAGCTTAGACTCTTCCAGAGAAGAATCCGCGACATGCAAGGGGGCTTGAGGTTGCGGTGGGGTAGGCTCTGGTTCCATCACTTGCTGTGGTGGTGATAAATTTTCAGGCACAGGAGGAACGATTGAGAGTCGGGGCTTTTCAGTACGTTGAACATCCGAGCCTTCATTGTCAGACGAGAAGTAGTCGCGCGGGGCTGATTGCGATATCGCTTGCGATGCTGCTAGGGGTTCGTCTTCGGTGATAGGCTCAGGTTCTTGGGTAGCGAGTGGTGTATCCAGCAGGGGAGGAGAGGCGTAACTGCCGGGAATGTGAGGTTGAAGCTCAGCTCCAGATTCCTCTGCGTCCGATGATTCCCAGGAGAACCGCCTGCTCAACTTCTTTTTCGGCTGATCAACAATTGTTGACGAGGAATTGGCTAGGCCAGGGCCATCTGCGTATGGATCTCTAGACGCAAGAGGATGCGGCTCCGTCTGGTCTGGGAGACTCCCCGACACTAAAGCCTTCGGATCATCGTCCTGGCTGGGACCAGTTTGGCCACCCCAATATTTCTCAAACTGGTTAGGGATAGACTCGGTGGGTGGCTGCGATTGGGGTTGAGTGCTTGGGTCCGGGTCCGCCGATGGGGTGGTTTCCCGGCTCAACGAACGAATGATTTCTTCTCTCAGGCGATCATTATCTCCGTCTGCTGGCGAATTTCCCGTGCCAACAATCGTCGGGATTTCGCCACGATAGCTGTCAGGGCCCGATGCACTACCGAACTTGAGAGGAGCAGGCAAATCCTGACCATCGGTTGTGTATGGCTGCATTGCTGAGTCTTGGGAGAAAGATGGAGAGATTGTTGAGTCTGGGGAAATTTGCAGTTGTGCATGAACAGAAGACAAAGCTGTGTGGCCAGTGGGAGTTTGTTCGACCTGGGGTTTGCGGGATGGACTGTTGGCTCGATCAGGAAGGCTCAGGTCTCGGCGGTGACCGGGTTTGAACGCAGGGCCGTCGGGGGTGGCTTCTTTCCCAGTTTCATGAGGCTCCTCATGGATAGTTGGTGTTCTGTCTTCAATGTTTCGACCACTCATGATCGGGCTGATCACTGAAGTGCTGCCGCTGTTGGTCCCTTCGACACTGTCACCGGATTGAGGAGTCTCTGGGACATCAAACGCCTGGTGAACCACTGATCGGAATCCAGCTGAGTTATTATGCTGCAGCGGGGGCTGCTGGGGCTGCGACTCAGAGCTTGTGTCCTTGGGCAAACTAGAGTCTGCACCGCCCAGAAAATCAGTTCCAAACCCAGACAAACGTTGCACTTCTGGCAAGCCCATAGAGGAGTTGGCCATCTGTGTCTGCGATAGCCCAGATCCGTCAAGCTTACGACTGTTATCAACCAGAGGCGACGAAACTTGTGGACTTAAGGCTTCACCCTGGGCTGCCTTCTCCTCGCGCATTCGTTTATAAAGATCAGCCGGCCTAACGAAAGGTAGAGCCTTTTGGTCTATGCTGGGATTTCTGCCCCGCCCATCATTTGGGGTCGATTCATCAGCCCCAATGTGACTAGATAGACGCCTTGAGGTCAACTCGGACGAACTACCGGTATTGTGAGAGACATAAGGGGGCCGAGGTACCGGTGGCGGCGCCTCTTCCTCTTCTTCCTCATCCTCGTCAGAGCCCCAGTCGCCTCCGTCATAAGAATATTGTCTGGCCTCAACCCATCGTTTCGTTTTGGAGCGATTGACGTTCGGTTGAAACGAGATCGGGGTTCCCGCGCTGCTACCGCTGCCTGGGGATAGGGGATTGTGGACGTTGTTTGACGGGGAAGGTCTAACGTATATCTCAGCATTTATACGGCTGGAACTTGGGACTGAGCTTACCGTTGGGCTCCAAGCCCATGCGATTCAGTAGGGTCAGCCATAAGGAAAGTCGTAAAGTTTCAAAGAACGGGGGCGAGCTCGATTACCAGCATCGGCTGCTGCCTGGTGAATCCCAAGAAACTGGCGCGAGTGCCCACAAAAGCTTTCGAGGTTAAGAGGGACAAAAGATAAGACTATTCTTGAGTCCTTGAGGTCTGTCCAACAGCACCAGCGAGTGTATGGGAGGACAAAGGTGGCGATTTGGCCCGCGTTGGGCAAAGCGGCGATCAGCGTCAGGTGGAGAGTTACACTTGAAACAAGATTGTACAGAGATGACGTGTATGCACAAAAAAGAAAGAAAGAACAGGGGTAATTGCGCAACTGTAGCGACAATAATAGAAGTAATAAACGAAGAGAGACGCATTCGCATGTCCCCTGATTTCGAGATCTGTAAAGCTGTGGCGGTGCGGGGCACGTGACGTCGACGTTTCCAGTCTGGGTACGTGGACCAACGGGCAACGGAGTTAACGTACATTCGCTCTTCATCTCATTTGCCTGGAGACCATTTGCTTGCTTTCTTGTCTCTCCTTCTGCTCACTTTGGAGCTACTTGTAACAAAGCTTGTCTTCGCCTTTCAGATTCGCCCCCTTATCGATTGCAGATAGATCACTTCAACTTCACCTTCCAGACCGAATCCGGCCCCTCCTTTGAAACGCGCCTTGATTGGTTTCTGTACTTGGCACCAGCTATTAATTGAGCACAAACCTCCCTTCGATTTCACCCCAACCGTTTATACACTTTCCCCCACCTCACGAAATGGCCGGTCCGTCGATACAAGATCGCACCAGCGAGTTCAGCGCCATCCTGGGCCAGGCCCAGAAGCGCATGGGCACGTCGAAAGTCGGTTCACAGCGCCAGGCTCTACTGACCGACGCGCAAAGGCGACAGGCTGATCCCTCACCTCCTGGCGCACAAGATGCCAAGTCAGCGAGGTCAGAGTTCGCCCGGAAAGCCCGTGATATCGGCAGAGGCATCACAGGAACAATGGCAAAGCTTCAGCGACTGGCTGAGTGTAAGTACCGTTGTGATCATCTCTTGCGACGGAAGACTAACTGTATGCTTCAGTGGCGAAACGGAAAACGCTATTTGACGACCGTCCTGTCGAAATCTCGGAACTGACCTATGTCATTAAGCAAGACTTGGCTGCTTTGAACCAAAGCATTGCCTCGCTCCAGGCTCTCACCCATGCGCAACACCCCAAGTCCAGCCGTTCGAAGACAGATCAGGAAGGAGAGCACAATGACAATGTAAGTGAGACAATGAACACGAATAGGCGATTGCTTACCTGTTTTCTAGGTCGTCGTCATGCTACAAGGAAAGCTGGCCGATGTAGGCGCCAGCTTCAAGGAAGTGCTCGAGGTCCGCACCAAGAACATTCAAGCATCCCGAACACGAACAGAAAACTTCGTGTCTTCGGTATCCTCCAAATCACAAAATGCTCTCGATGCGCAGCGTTCTGACTCTCCTCTGTACAACACTTCCGGACGACGAACACCCCAACCAGGATATCAGGGCAACTCATCCGATATCCTGACCCTCGAGCCGCAAAATCCTTCCCCTCTAGGGCGCCCATCCTTCCAATCTGATCAGCAGTTGATGGTCATGGAAGAAGGAGAATCAAGCAACACATACGTTCAGGCGCGAGGTGAAGCCATCGAGGCTATCGAACGAACAATCAGTGAACTGGGTGGAATCTTCGGTCAATTGGCGCAGATGGTCAGCGAGCAATCAGAAATGATTCAACGTATCGATGCCAACACCGAAGACGTTGTGGACAATGTCCAAGGCGCCCAGCGCGAATTAATGAAATATTGGACGCGTGTTTCTGGCAATCGCTGGCTCATTGCTAAGATGTTTGGTATTTTGATGGTATGTCTACTCACTCATGGTCCCCTTTTCCCGGACATCGACTCACTGGCCCTTAGATTTTCTTCCTCCTCTGGGTCTTAATCTCATGATAGACATGAGACGAATCCCTTCTTCATACTGTATTATAATTCTTGACCCATGTTTTTCACGGAACATGGGCCTGCTGCATGACCGCACTCGCTGAGCATTGTCACTTCTCACTGGCTAGACTCTGGGATGTCTAGACCACCACACTCATTACTTCTCTTTTCTTTTTTTTTCTCTGTTTGGGACTGTGTCCCAACGGGTGACAGCAGTAAATATACCTCATGTACTAATTCCAATCCATCCATGAGATAAATGCCATGAATCATTCTCTGAAAATCTATTTCTCGTAAACATAACCCATATATTATCCTCATCTCCATTTCACCTTTCTTGATTAATCAAACTGCGCCATAACATCCCATAGCTCCGACTCCGCCCATCCCAATGAAGGCTGATTATTGAACAATTCCCAAACAAGACTATCATCCCACCCCTCAGACCTCGGCGCTTGAGATTGCACCCCGGACACATGAGCAGACTGAAGATCAACCATAGCCTCAGCAGCAGCACGACCAAAAGCCTCATCCTGTGTCTCAACCTGGTGTCCCTCGGACATGCCAGCCCCATTTTCCGCAACAGGCGGCTGCTCGGTGCGAGCGCGTTCCAGATTTCTTTTGATAAGTGGCGCACATAAATCTAGGAACTTGGCAAAAAGCTTATACAGCTTTCCAATAGACGCATTCGCCTCGGCAAATTGGTGTAGATCATCGGTTATAGTCTTGATCATTGTGAAGTCCTTCTCGTTTGAGGTAGCGATTACGTTGCAAAATAGGACAAAGAAGGGTGCCAGGGGGAATAGTAACATTGTCCTTTGAAAACCATTAGTCTTTTGGGGGAAAGTCCAAGCGCGTTGAATGATTTCAGTCATATGCATACCAAGTAAGGAAATAAGGATACGAGTCAATAGAATTGACCTGGCTTGAAAATGCCTCCTGTAGAGCTCGCAGGGTAGTCAGAGATTCTCGGGCTGTGTATAGACAGTTCTCGCACACCAGGCGGGACTTGAGCACCGATGAGCGCGCTTGAATGATTGTTGTTAATACCGAGTAGTAGTTAAAGTCCATTGATAACCATTCGCGGCGTAGGCTGCCCCATGATTGTGGGAAATCCTGTTCTTGGAGTTGGCGAAACTGAGAACCAGTCAGTAGATGTTCTTTCAAAGTTCCAGCTGGTCACTTGCCATTTGCATATTGGAATGGATCGTGTGTGCCCGCGCTACCAGGTCGGACAGTATTTTGGCTTTATCATTATCCTCTTTTGCCTTGGTATCAAGAAGTATACCCAACAAGGTGTGCTTTACCTCGGCATACTCAACTATGCCTGTCATGATAGTGAATGTCGGTAGGTCCGGATCAATGTGTATGAGATCCGTTGCTTTGACTTTGAGATCTGGCAAAGATGGCGGCCGAAGTAGTAGCAAGCTGAGAGTCTTGTCGAAATAGTAGCATGTGTAAACACAGGCATGGACGCTTTCTTCAATTTCGCTTCGCGGGTTGGGATCGGTGATATTATGATAGTTCAGAGAGACGATAACACGAGAAGCCAATGCTGTGAAGGTCCAGCAACGTGACATATTTCCCAGATACTGCATTAAGCGTGTCTGTCGTAGTCAGCGCATTTCAATAAAATTGGAGAGTAAAGAAGGAAACGTACCGCAGACATCAAAGACTGAAGCAAAAGAAGGCTCGGTGCAGCCGCCAGAGGAATCTGATTTAGCAATTCCAGGGCTGCTACCTCATATCTCTTTTTCAATTTTCGAAAATGCATTCTCAGTGGCTCGCTCGCGATCAACGGGGCCATTTTCGATATTACGCCCATAGCCTTGACCCAGACATTGATCTTATAATGTTGAAGTACTTGCTCACATTCGCTTCCCTCAATGATGGCAAGTCCCATTCTTTCCAAGATTCTATCGGAGATGTGATCTGGCCATAAAACTGTTCCTTGAGAGGTGGTCTGCTTGTCAGGCCCTAATGGAATGTTAATGCCACCCAGTTATTCCCGACTATCGACTCACCTGGTAGCATCATGTAAAGCAGCTCCGGGGTGAGTATTGGATCTTCCAAGTTTTCTTCAATGGCCATCTCATCCATTACACATGTCTCTTCCCAGTGTAGGGTGGGGTTTGATAGTTGGCCGACAAACTTCTGTGCTGATTCGAGTGCAGTTCGTCGGTCTTTCGAGAGAGCTGGATTGCGTTGGAGCTCGTGCTCAATATGTTCTCTAGCTTCGCTGGCGTGATGTGTTGACCCCGGGGAATGTGTCTCATGGTGATTCTTTTGCTGTAACACGCTCTGTGACTTCCGGCGTTTACTTGGTGGTGGGACAAATTGAGCTGTATCGTGTAGTTCATATATAATAGGCCGCTTCTGTTTGCCGCTTGGTCGCTCTGACGATCTGTTGTTTAAGGCCTCACTGATGCTCATTGGATTGGCGCCAGGTGATGAAGAGGTGCTACTAGCAGCATGATTGCTTGCTTGGAAAAGTGGTGTTTCTTGGCCCCTAGACTCTTCGAGCTTCGCTAGGCGCTCGGTCAATGCTTCAATACTGAATTTCATTAGTATTCTGCTCGATAAATAACTACGACGGGTCAAAATACCGTGAGACTCGCGGTCTATGAACTCGTGCCTGGCGTTGACGGAGACATTCTGCACCTGCGTCGACACAGTTCATACAAGGATTTGAGCGATCGCATTTTACCTTGATTGATGATTCCACGTCAGTTTAGGTTAAATGCCTTTTTGTCTGAGCTTGTTACCTTTCGGATATGACATAGATCGCACTAGTCACGAGTCAGCTAATCGTCCGGCTACAGCTTCCGCTACAGAGTCCCAGCAGATTGGAAAGGCGACAAATAGACTTACTGCAGACATGCTGAGAGCCCGACTCGGAAGTTCGGATTATTGAGATGTCAACTAATAACTCACGCAGAAAGTGGCAAGTTGGCACTTGTTTGTCGGATGTCGCCTATTCGGAGCCCGAAATACCGGGGCCGAACACAAGTGGTTAGCGCATTTCTGGCATCAACAGTATTTAACAGTATTAGCATGTCAAACAGTATATATTTCTGTACTTATGGCGGTAGCCGATGAAACAAATAAACTATGAGAATAAGGATCAAAGACCAAAGCTCATTGAAATTGACTGACGGAGCATATCCAAAACTCAGAAGCTGGTTACTGAAGAAATAACAGAACAACGAAGAGTTCAAGTGGCAATTATGATCAGCCTGGATTCATTTAGATGATAACGAGGTATCATGCTACTGAATTCAATTTGTTTGAGGCTATGTTGCAGTTATCTCATGAAATTATAGTATTGCACTTAAGTTATGGATCATAAGTATCGTAACAATAAGCACACTCCAGTTTCACAACAGAGCCATGCAGAACATGCACCTCCGTTTCCTCAACAGTGTGAGGAATAGCCCCCCGGTGATCCATCTCATTCTGTGCTGCATGGAACCAGATATGATTCAACTTCGGCTCGAGGGGTCGTTCGCCATGATGACTCTCATGTGCCATGTACTCATTCAAATCACGCCTCATTGAGAGTAAGAACTGCTTCTTATGTGACCATGTAGAATCGTGCGACGGCTTGTGTTTTCTTTGGTCGTCTTTCGCTACTGACACGAAGAACTGGACGATCCTTTCCATAGTTGACGTCGTCAGAAGTAGGCTGATCCAGCTTTCTGATGTTGCATGAGGAATTTCCGGTCGCATTAGACGCTGCATCGTTGAAAATAGAAGCTGCATGCAGTGATGGGTTGACAGGAAGATCTGGGTATCTGTGAAAGGCGCCTTTTGAAGGATTGCTTGTTGCCTCTGGACCGACAACGATAGGCTATGATGGTGATGGTGATGGTGATGGTGATGATGGTGCTTATCAGAGGCTTCCGAGTCATCTGCATTAGAAGCAGAAGATTCAAGAAAGAAGATAGCGTATGCTCTGTCAACCAGTCTCAATCAGTACAAGTACGCCAAGGATGGCAGGGTGGATCCCTACATCGGATGCAAAAGCTTGGCTTGAAGCGATGCCACAGCTTTACTATAGACGACTTCCTTCTCTGTCTTGGAAGATGCCCACAAGGGCTTGGCTAATGGATCAGTTTCTAGATGATGCTCAACCACATGATCCGCTAAATGGTAAGATAGCCGGAGACATGTTTTCCAACAACGATGCAAATCACCAAGATATCCAAGAGAATAACCCGCGTTATCATGATCCATACCAGTGCTGTATTCTGGCGGTGGTGGAGGGAAAAGCTCGGAGATGAAGTGAATATCATCTCCAGGCGACAGGCCCCCATAGACCCATTGGTCATGGTCGCCCTTATGCTTGCGAACTTGAATGTATGCCCATGCAATGGCAAATTCCAATTTTGCGACCCGATCGTGTAGTAAATGACTGGTTAGAGACAAGGAGCCAATATCTTTTAAACTGCATGATGCTGCGATCGCCACAAAGACGTGGGATGGAAGTCTTTTCCATATTGATTCCTTGGATCCCGCAGATATGGAGCTCCGTTTGCTTCTCCGGAGGACTGTTCGGACTCGCTCGAGGAAATGAGGCATGATTGAATCACCCCAGGAATTGCCTGACAGCTTTCTCCGGATTGCTTTGATATATTAAATAAAAGATGGCGGACAATTGTGTGGAGAAAAAACCTGCTGGGGGTGCTCGTATTCTCTATGCCCAGAAATGGAGGCGTAGTCATGAGATCAAATAGCCCTGGAAAGTGTCCAAACCAGAACTTTAAACACACAAGTATGGATTTTGCCAAGTGTAAACCATGAATAAAGAGCCGATTAATCAAACTTGAAACAAGCGAAATTGGAATGATGACTATGGTGGGTACAGTATGGTGGGCATGGTGGGCATGACACCTGCTATTTCAGGCAGAACCCAATCGCGGAAGTTTCCGCATCACAACGACTGGTCTTGGACTCTTCAGGGCTGTACAGCTACGGCGTCATATTCATCAGGGTTCATCGGTAGGAGGGCTTCATACATCTAGAGGTCTAACTCATTCAATGTTGCACGTCTCGAGCGATACTGCTCCAAGGGTTCTACTGCAGTGATAGTGTGATAGTGATGGCTGGCCCCGACCCCTTGAAGCAGAGCGCACATTCGCCGTCCAAATTGTCCACATCTAACTCATGTGTGGTTTGCCACAACCGCAAGGTCAAGTGCGACCGAAAAGACCCCTGCTCGAATTGCGCCAAAGCGGATGTGGAATGCATCTACCGGGCTCCACCCCCTCCTCGCCGTCGCAAGCGGGACACCGCGAGCGTGTCTCAGGGACGCGGGAAATCTCTTAGACGTATGGAGCCCGACGGTAATGGCTCTTCCATCCCGAACCGAGGTCCAAGTGGCCAGACGAAGAAAAGTGGATCTGGGAGGATGATCTTGAAAGATGGCAATTCTGTCTATCTGGACACGTAAGTTGCCCAGGTGGTACCAATGTCTACAGATGCATCTGGTTCGACGCTTATCTAACCTATGACATGTGTCCAGCAATCTATGGACAAGTGTGAGCAATGAGGTAATTGGACTCCTGGGAACTTCCACTGATATCGAACCTGACAAGTTGTCTAGCTTCCAGATGCAGCAGATGTATTGGGTGATGTATCAGATAGCGCCGTCGATGGCTCTGTCCAGAATTTTGACGACGACATAATATTACTGTCGACTTCTGCGACTAGGGAAAGTCTGACAGAATTGCATCCGAGTCCCTTGCACATCTTCAAGCTGTGGCAGGCATTTCTCGAGAATGTGAATCCTCTTACTAAGATTATTCATGCTCCAACCGTGCAGCAACAAATTCTGGAGGCAATGAGTGATCTTCCAAACATAAGCAAAGATCTAGAGGCACTTCTGTTCTCCATTTATTGCATTGCATTGGTGTCTTTACAAGCAGCAGATGTGGAAAAATCATTCGGGGAAAGTAAAAGGACCCTTCTATCAAAGTGCAGACGAGGAGCTCAATTAGCATTCCAAAATGCGTCGCTCCTTCGAACCTCGAGCTCGATGGTTCTTCAAGCATTTATGCTTTATCTAGTATGTGATGCGGTCTTTTACTTCTCAATCTAGCACTAATATCTCCATAGCTATGCATGCGTTCCTTTTCCGATCCACATACCATCTGGACTCTATGCGGTATCGCAACGCGGATTGCGCAGCGCATTGGCATTCACCGGGATGGATCCAGTCATGGCATCTCAGTATTTGATACCGAGATACGTCGCCGCATCTGGTTCCAACTCATGATCATAGACGCTACCTCTGCGCAATTCTGCGGTGTGGCTTCAACGCCCCTCCCAGGAGCGATCGACGTACAGCCACCGATGAACGCAAACGATAGCGATCTTGATCCTTGCATGACAGAACCAGCATATGAAAAGGAAGGGCCCACAGAAATGATATTCTGCCTGGCTCGAAGTGCATTTGGGAAATGGCTTCATCGCTGGTCAAACGAAACTGACGGATCTAACACTAGTCCGTGGTCTTTTCTCACTGCCTCCTCACTGACCCTTGATGAGAAGGATAGAGCGATCGATGAGCTCGAGACACACATGGAAGATAAATTCCTCCGCCATTGTGATAAATCTATTCCTCTGCATATTGCTACTTCCATGATGGCAAGTTCGGCTATACACTATACCCGACTCATGGCACATCATCCCCGCCAATACTCGGATCCGAGTCGCATTTCCCAGTCCGAGAAAGATATCATGTTTGAACATGCTCTCAAGATGACAGAGCATGCCGACTCCGCGCAAACATGTTCTGCTGTACGGAAGTATTCCTGGCACATGGTAAATCATATACCCTGGGATGCTATCATCCTACTGCTCTCAGATATGCGACACCGACGCAGCCGCGAGGAGAAAAGCAAAGTCTGGCATCTGATAGGCAACGTATACTCTCGCAATCTTCGAGAAAGCAAGGACATCCAAACACCTCTTCACAGAGCGATCCAAAACTTGATTGTAAAGGCTTGGCGGGCGTACATCGATGACTGTAACCAACATCATCATACTCCAACGCCTTGTCCGACAATTGTTGTAACATTGCTAGCCAGCGCAAAGGGTGCCGGTACCTATGAGTCACAGTCACAACCTGTTGAAGATATCGAGGCTGTCGAGAATGGGGCATCACAAGACCAGCCCGAACACGATTTTGCGACGGAACGGTTTGACCCGGCTGACGGTTTCGAGTTCTTACTTGGCGACAGCCCCATTGATTGGAATGAGTGGGATACTCTACTCAATCAGTTCCCAGCTAGTCTGACCGATGATGCGATATAGATGTCTAAATTTGCATTGTAGGAGTATCGGGGCATTTGGCATCTATTGTGGTACGAGAATTGACCTTAAGGCTCGCCTTTCATGGGGATCATTTCACGGAGTATCAAATGTGTATTTCTCAAGTTCATATTCAAATAATATAATTCCGCATTCTGTATTCTGAGGAACTTATTTCTCCCTAAGCCCGGTGGATTGCTCAAATTAGACCAACCCGATCGGTGGCGCCCTGATCGCGTGGGGGCTGAGGAGGCTCGGGGTCGGCGACTATAAGGCCGAGCAGTAACAATTTCTTGTTGTCCACAAGACATCTGATGATGGATGATGATGTACGAGTCTGAGGAATGTTATATAAAAAGGTTTCTATCTACCCTTCTTGTCAACTCAAAATCTTCATTCCAAGCATCCAACAAATATAGCCTTGAAACCATCCATCTATAAAGCCATTTCCATCACCTCCAACCACATATACAACCACATCTTCCACAACAAAAACCACTCAAACAAAACATGAAACCCAAAACAGAAGTCCTGATCACAGGCGCAGGCCCAACAGGCCTTGTCCTCGCCCTCTGGCTACACAAACAGGGAATAAAAACTCGCATAATCGACCAAGCAGGCGCACCCGCAAAGAACTCACGCGCACTAGTCGTGCACGCCCGAATCATAGAACTATATCGCCAGCTCGACCTTGCCGACAACCTCCTAGAAATAGGATACAAATTGCCCGCAACAAACCTCTGGGTCCACAAACGACACAAAGCTCACATTCCACTGGGTGACTTCGGCGACGAGCTGACGCCCTACCCGTTCATGCTAACAGTTCCACAAGATGAACATGAACGCATGCTTGAGAAAAGACTCAATGATCTTGGGATCTTTGTTGAGCGACGGGTGAAGTTGCTTGGCTTTGTGGACCATGGGTCTAACATTACAGCGACACTTTTCAGGGATGCTGAAGGTATCTCGGAGACGTTTGATGCGTCTTATATTGTCGGCTGTGATGGTGCGCATTCTGTTGTTCGACATGCAATTGGGGCCAAGTACGAGGGGGAGACATATAAGCCGCTTTTTTATATCGCCGATGTTGAAAGTCGGGATCAGACTCTTGCTAATGGGGAGGGGCATTTGATGGTCTCGAATGATACTTTCAATTTGATTGTTCCTTATAATAAGGAAGGGCATGTTCGACTTGTTGGGGTTACAATTCCGGACAGCAGTGATGAGACTCAACACCATGCATTAGCTGAGGAAGAGCACAAGATTACCTTTGATGATGTTCAGCCTCAGATTGAAGAGGCTATGGATCTGGAGATTGAAAAGGTTAATTGGTTCTCTACTTACCGCAGCCACCACCGCGTTGCTGAGAAGTTCCGGAAGAATCGAGCTTTCCTTGTCGGTGATGCGGCTCATATTCACAGTCCGGTTGGGGGTCAGGGCATGAATACTGGTATCATGGATGCGATCAATTTGGCATGGAAATTGGCAACTGTCTTGAAAAAGGAAATGGATGATGAAGCTAAGCACCAGCTGCTGGGATCGTACGATTCCGAACGTCGCGCCTTTGCTTTGAAGATTGTTACATCCACCGATGCGGGTTTCACCACACTGACATCGAAGGGAATATTCCCACACATCCTTCGGAACTGGCTCATTCCTTATCTTTTACCGCTCGCAGTGAAATTCGAACATGCCCGGACTCAGATCTTCCGCGGTGGATCGCAGCTCATTTGCAACTATCGGGGTAGCAGTCTGAGTCAAGACGGTGCAACTGGGATGGTGCAGTCTGGGGATCGTCTTCCGTGGACCAAAATGAGCCAGGGAGATAACTTTTCCACGTTACGCGATATTGGCTGGCAGATCCATGTATACGGGGAGACGCGGTCTCTTGGAGAATGGGCCCAGCGGAGGGCGATTAAGATCTTTGTTTTCCAATGGGATGAGCAGTGTGCCAAGACGGGGCTTATCAAGAATGCGGTTTATTTGCTGCGCCCTGATCATTATATTGCCGGGATCTTTGAGGGCCCTGTTGAATCGGAGCTTGAGAATTACTTCTCTGCCCGGGGCCTGTAGAAGTATGATATCCGGATTTCTCCACTCAATTTAAATATGCAATAGACTTCTAGCCCTATTCCTTCTGCACGTGTTGCATCTTCTCCACGACGATACCCGACTTATGCAGTCGAAGCATTAGTGAAAGGCATGCGCCAAGGATCGGATGTGATTGGTGACTTGGCAGAAATTAAAGACTCGGTCGACGGCTGTGATTGGTGTGCCTGCGGAGCTAAGCTCTGCATGGATCCACCTTGGCTTATACTTCGGCAGGCACACTTCTCCTTTCGCCAATCTCCGCTCAGTTATTGAGAATATCTGCATATCGAGACGAAGCGGAATCTTCCGATTCATTGCAGTCCACATGGCCTTGCCAGGTATCTCCATTCCTGACGCTAGTCGTTGTCCGGTTGGGATGCAGTTAGATATCAACCCGTGAAAGCTGACCACCGAAACATGTGGCCAGGATGCTCGTCGCTCATTAGTCGTGAAGAGGATGTAAGAATGTACTTCCCAAACAGGGTAAGTTCTTTTCTTCCATGCACGTTCTGTCTACGCAGGGATATAAAAGCCTCTTCCTATCCGGGAATATGATCATCGCACGCACCTCAGTCAAGCTCTCCAGTCTACTTCATTTCTTGGCAAGATGAAGACCAACGCTATTATCTCCCTGCTCGGTCTCTCCGGTAGCGCCCTCGGCGCTGCCGTGTCCAAGGGCACCGACCAGCCCTTCGGATACAAGTCCGGCTCCAAGGAGTCGATTGCCAACATGAAGGACAAGATTGAGAATGTTGTCTGGATTCTGCTGGAGAACCGCGGATTTGACAACATCCTGGGTGGTGTGAAGAAGGCTGGTCTTGACAACGTCGTCAACAACGGTCCCTTCTGGAACTACGAGAGTGTCAATGACACCAGCAGCAAGAAGTGGTACAGCCAGTACAAGGACTACGACTCCGTGCTCCATGACCCTGATCACTCGGTTACTGGTGTCAACTTTGAGATGTATGGTACTTACCACCCCGATAACGACGCTATTGCCAATGGTACCTTGACTCCCAACCTGAAGGGCTTTGTCAACCGTCAAATGGCTGCCTATCCCGCTATCTCTGCCCAGCGGGCTGCTGATGAGGTGATGGGATACTACTCCGAGGACGAGATCCCCACTCTCGTTGACTTGGTTGATGAGTTCACTACCTTCAACTACTGGCACTCTTGTGTCCCTGGTGTAAGTACTCTCCCTGGCTTGCAAGCAAAGAAATCTAACACTTAGCCAGCCTACCAACCCCAACCGTCTGTGTGCCGTCTCAGGTGTTACTGATGGCCACGGCTCTAACGATGAGAGCTTCGATGTGTCTGGCATTGACACCAACAGCATCTTCCAGGTCGCCTCCGAGAAGGGTATCTCGTGGCGCAACTACGATGGCACCAACGGCGACTTCCTGTCCGACGCCATGTTCTTCAACTGGACCGCACAGAACGCCAAGAGCAACGTTGTGCCCCTGCAGAACTTCTACCAAGATGCCTACCTTGGTCAACTTCCCCAGCTCTCCTACATCAACCCGTCATGCTGCGGCCTCAACACCAACTCCATGCACCCCTCCGGCAACGTCTCCTATGGCCAAGTCCTCCTGAAGCAGGTCTACGACGCTGTCCGCACCGGACCCCAGTGGGACAAGACCCTCCTCCTCATCACTTTTGATGAGACAGGTGGATTCTTTGACCACATCGCTCCTCCTCTTGCTGTCCGCCCCGATGACAAGACCTACACCGAGACCGCCAAGGATGGCAAGCCCTACACTCTCAACTTCGATCGTCTTGGTGGCCGTATGCCCACTTGGCTCGTCTCCCCCTATACTCCCCGTGGCCACGTCGAGAACTACGGTACCGATCCCGTTACTGGAAAGACTTCTTCTTACAGTGCCACCTCTGTCTTGAAGACTCTTGGTTACTTGTGGGATTTGGAGGATATGAGTCCTCGTGTCTCGCACTCCCCTGCCTTTGATCACCTTATTGGTACTAAGGCTCGCTCCAACACCCCTGGCGTCCTGAAGAACCCTCAGGTTTTCCCTGATGCTGTTTAAGTGTTCAAGTGAATGATTCTTTTGGGGATAACGAGGGAATGTTTGATGTGATATAATAAAATTTCGTCTACTGCTCATAATTATAACGTCAATATGAAGAAAATACGTGGTTTCTTATTTAGCATCCTCTTTCTGTGATCATTGCTGTGGGTTTGATACTTATGCTTTCCCCAAAGCCGTTCACAATATAAATTTCCAATGTACGCACCTACACTGAGCATTTGTAAAAAAACATAATCACTGAGATTTACTATTCAAATTTGAACCTGCTAGTAGCAGCCTAATATAATAAGAGTGAGTAAAAAGCACATGCAAAGCAGACATAGATGCTTACTCTGGACAATGTTATCTCCGTCGGATCCGGGTCTTCGGATCCGTAAAGATCGGAGTAAGGCCTCCCATCATCTCAGCTTATGGAAACATCACACACATGCGACGAAACTGTAGGATCAAAGCATAGAGCCAAGAAGGCACGTAGATGGGTATATAAAGAGCAGAGGCCCCCTGCGATGAATGGTAAACCAAGCCATAAGAGCAAAACAGCTACCAACACGGATCCCATATTCATCACCTCGATAAAATGACCTCCAACCACGTCGCGATCATAGGAGCTGGCCTCTCAGGTCTCACTCTAGCCCTATCTCTCCATAAGCAAAAGATCCCAAGCAAAATCTACGAATCAAGATCCGCATCCTTAGACATTGGCGGCGCCCTGATGCTCTCACCAAACGCCCTCCGAATCCTCGACAACATAGGAATCTACAAAAACATCAAAACCCGCGGCTTCAATTTCAACAACCTCTACTTCCGTACCTCAGTTCCATTAGACTCCTACGAATTCGGAAGCGAAGAAAAATACGGCTACGATGCCCTCCGCATCTATCGCCGCGAACTAATCGATGCCCTCCTCACTGCAACAAAAGAAGCGGGAATAGAAATTCACTACGGCAAGAAATTCATCCAAATCCTTGCCGAGACAGAGAGCAACGTCACCTGGGAATTCGACGACGGAACCACCGCCACAGCAGCATGTCTCGTCGGCGCCGATGGCATCCATTCCCAAGTCCGAAAATATCTCTATCCAGCCCTGGACCCGAAGTTCACCAATGCCATGGGTGTAACAGCCGCCGTACCAGCCTCCCAATTGAATCTCCCACCGGGATTCAATCTCCCAGTCACAATCATGAACCCGAAGCACGGGGCGTTCGTAATTGCCTTGCAACTCGCCGATGGATCAGAAGCCTTCATCGGGAAACAGAAGCGAGCACCGGAACTCGATCGCGAGGGCTGGAATTCCCTGCTTAACGATAAACAATGGTGTATCGACTTCCTCCGACAGGGAGCGGAAGATTTCCCGCAAGTCGTTCAAGATGCCGTCTCGAATATCCCCCTCGACAAGATCAATCTGTGGCCTTTCTATGTGGTGCCGAAATTGGATACTTGGACTTCGAGGCATTCTCGTGTTGTTATTCTCGGTGATGCTGCGCATGCTATTCCGCCTACGGCGGGACAGGGTATTAACCAGGCGTTTGAGGATGTTTATACTTTTGCGGTTATGCTTGCACGGTGTACATCTCTTGAGTTGGAGCGTGGGCTCAAGATTTGGCAGAGCGGAAGGCAGGCGCGTATTGATCGGATTTTGGAGCTTAATGCTCAGATTGATGCGAGGAGAATGCCTTCAGATCCTGCTTTGGGAAATGTGGAAATTGATAATCAGCCATTTGATTTAGAGTGGCTCTATAGTCCGGATTTTGATGTAATGGCGGAGGAATGGCTTGAGGAGGCTGCTGGGGTTTAGAGAATCTTTCTAGTTGGTTTCTTGTTGGAGACATAATAATTCGTTGAATGGCTAGCTTTGATTGTCTCTTCAAGATCGTAACCGAATCCTTGCGCCTGTTCTCGTATCATTTCATCTAGCTTCTTTAAGAAATTGGACGATTAATTATCTTCGGGTAAGAAGAAGAGCTCAGCAGAGCTTCAATCATATGCTACACTTAGATGGCACAGGCCAAGCATACATCAGAGATAAGATAAATGAGAGCCAAATTCTATCAACAACTACAGCCTAACTTTCTACACCAAAAGTAACTTACAATTTACATCGCGATAGAATAGCAGGTGGGTCTAGAGCCTCAGGCATACACGCTAGTCCCAACCAGGTGTCGATCTGGAGATTCTCGAATTCCGAGCCCGCAGACCACCGACCCTCTTACCAATCACACTCCCAAACAAACACAATGCCCTCCCCAATGCATATGGCAGGGCTCTTCAGCCGGGCCACTCGCAACATTGCAATTGAGGCCACTCCCGCATCCTCACAACGCATCCTCGCTCTCCTCCGAAACAACGCATCCCAATGCCGCGCCTACACCCAACAGCGACCACGCTGCCAACAGAGCGTGCGCAGCATGATCTCCGCCCAAAACAAGTTCTCCACATCTGCCTTTAGAGCTAGCTCTAAGGGTCCGACAATGGGCCAGATGCGCCAGCGTCACAACACCGGTCCCTTCTCGTGGAAGGCTGCGCTGCTCTTCGTCCTTACTGGTGCTGGCATGATGGTTTACTTCCGGGTCGAGAAGGCTCGTCTGGAGCGGAAGCGCATGGCAGAGATGAGTAAGGGTGTTGGGCGGCCGAAGGTCGGTGGTCCGTTTGTATTGAAGGATCTTGATGGGAATGAGTTTACTGCGGAGGATTTGAAGGGGAAATACAGCTTTGTGAGTTTCGCCTGAACAACAAACATGAACGAAATTCTCGAGTTTGATTTGGTTGCTTACATTGCATTGCTTTGTTAGGTCTACTTCGGCTTTACTCACTGCCCCGATATCTGCCCCGACGAGCTGGACAAGATGGCCGAGATCATTGAGAAGGTCAAGGCTTCCACCAAGGACGAAAAGCTCTTCATGCCTGTCTTCATTACCTGCGATCCTGTTCGTGATACACCCGAGGTGCTGCGCGAGTATCTCAAGGAGTTCCACCCCGGCATCGTCGGCTTGACCGGTACCTACGAGCAGGTCAAGAATGTGTGCAAGCAATACCGTGTGTATTTCAGTACACCCAAGGACGTGAAGCCCGGCGAAGATTACTTGGTGGACCACAGTATCTACTTCTACCTGATGGGTAAGTCAATGAATAGTCCTTGTGGAAACCATTCGACATGCTAACAACTCTACAGACCCCGATAATGACTTTGTCGAGTGTATCGGCCGCCAGGACACCCCCGAGAGTGCTTCCAAGGTCATCCTTGACCATATCAACGACTGGAAGCGCGAGGGCAAACCGATCAAGACTGAATAAGCGCTTTTGCAAACTGTATCGTGTATCTATGTACAATATAGCCATTTGAATATCTGAATACCCTACTCCGGATCCTTGATCAGTTTCGTTTTCTCGTTTAGGCCTAAAGAGTAGTCCTCGTAACTCATGCATATTCTGTAATTCAATCAATTTAGCACATCACCCTCAAAACCACTCCAGATCTGAAAGCACGAACCCTATACCCCCTCATTCCCCTTCACCAACCTCCCCTCACCATCCCTCTCCGCATTATCCCTCCACTCCATCCCCCCATCAACAAACTCCTCTCGCTTCCAGATCTCGGCTTTCTCCTTGCAAGCCTCAAGAATCTCCTCTCCAGCCCTCCACGCAGCCCCCCGATGTCCAGAACTAACAGCAATCGAAATAGAAGCCTCTCCAATAGGCACAACACCTAATCGATGTGCAATGCTCACACCAACAAGGTTATGTGCTTCAACAGCTGCCTCCGCGATCGCCGCTAGCGTCTTCAATGCTAGCGGTGGATATGCTGTGTAGCTTAGTTGGCTGACGGGGCGCCCTTCAAAGGTGTCGCGGGTTGTTCCTAGGAAAAGGATGTTTGCGCCAGCAGCTGGGGAGGCTGTTTGGTTCAGCTGGGTTGTTGCGTCGAGAGGTGTGTATGTTAGGGTTAGGTGGATGTTTTTTGGGGTATCTGTCCAGGTTCGTGGGTAGGTGTTTGGGTCTAAGTGTGGTGGAAGGGGGGTTGATCGTTGGTTGTCATTTTGCTGGCATTGGCTTTTGAGTGTATGAGAGAGAGAGGGTGTGAGTTTTTGGAGATATACAGTCCACAGTCCACGGGTAGGAAGGAAGACAGTGATGGTGATGGTGGGATGTCCTTATCGCTGCGGGGATACGAGGGCCCGGTGTGCGGAGAATGCCGAGGGCTTCAGTGTTTGGTCGACTTTATACTTAGCATTCTTTGCAATTGCGCTGGCTTTACGCTTCAGTTGGTTTTTTATGGGATCCGGATTATTGGATTCGGTCTAATTGATGGTCTGTCTATCAACTATTGGTTTGAAATGCTTCACAGAAGCAAAACAACTGCCTCATAAGGTCGAAGCTCCCATTTTCCGCCAGAGAAGCGCTGCGCAACGGCATCTGCACTCTCATAGGTATCAAGGAGAACCTTTTTCACTCCAGCAATGCCATTGCCAGCAGCGTCCCACTCCAGAATTTTCTCGGTCCAATGACATAAAACCAAGACTTTCTGGTCATTATACTGACGGGTATACGCGAAGATCTCTTGGCTTGGTTTATCTAAAAGCGTAAAGTCACCATAGACAAAAACATCCAGGTACTCCTTGCGCAGCTTCAGCACCGTGGACCAGTAGTGGTATGTCGAGTTGGGGTCCTTGACCTGGGCTTCGGCGTTGATGCGCGGATAGTCTGTGTTCACGGACATCCAAGGTTTCACACCGGGCCCGGTGAATCCTGCGTTCTCTGCGGCTGACCATTGTACGGGAGTTCGGCCATTGTCACGGGACTTCTTTTGATATTCCTGCAGTGCGACCTGTAGGACCTTGGGGTCGGATTTGGGAAGTCTGTGGGAGCGTCAGTGGAGGAACAGCGTGGGTGGAGAGTGGCAAGGTAATATACCTGTTCCAGTGGTTTAGACAGTCAATGTCCTTGTACTCTTCAATACCCCATTCCTTTGGCACATTTCTAGTGCCAATTTCTTGTCCTTGATATACAAATGGTGTACCAGCCTGCAATGCGAGGGCAGTAGCCAACATCTTCGATGCGACGAGGCGATGCTCTTCCGCGGCATTGGTATAGCGATCGATAGATCGAGGCTGGTCATGGTTCTCCCAGTAGAGTGCATTCCAGCCGCCATTGTCATACATGAAAGTCTGCCAGCGCTCAAAGAAGTCTTTGAGATCGGTAAGTTTCCAGCTACCCGGCTCGAACTTGTCATATTTGCCGTGGTCAATGTCGACATGCTCAAAGTTGAAGATCATGTTAATCTCATTGCGGTCGAATTGGACTGCTCGGAGTACTTCCTTCTCATCTGTAACGAATGGCATCTCGCCAACACTGAAGGCATCATACTCTTTCAGGATCTTCCCTAGACCCTGTAGGTACTCATGCAGACGTGGGCCGTTGGCATACCATTTATCTCCCCACTGCCAGGGCGTGCGGGGATCTTTGATGGGTGCATCGGGAAAGCTCTGCTCCTTGCTGATGAAGTTGATCACGTCCATTCGGAACCCATCGCAGCCTTTGTCTAGCCAGAAGCGCATGATATCGTGCACTGCCTGGCGAACTGGTGGGTGTTCCCAGTTCAGATCCGGTTGTTCCACTGCGTACAGATGAAGGTAGTACTCCTGGGTGCGTTCATCCCACTCCCAAGCACTTCCTAGTATCGTATATTAGCAGCTGTCTCGATCGAAAGTAGCAAAAACAATGTAATCGATACATACCCTGGAAATGCGATACCCAGTTATTAGGCGGCTGACGATTTCCCTGCTCGTCATACTTGGCTGGCTTCCAAACATACCAGTTTCGATACTCGTTGTCCTTGGAGCTACGGGATTGCTTGAACCATTCATGTTGATCGCTGGTGTGATTGACAACCAGATCCATGAGAAGCTTCAAACCCCGCTGGTGACACCCTTGAATCAATTTCTCGACATCTTCAACAGTGCCATATTCATCAGCAATGCTGTAGTAATCGGAAATATCATATCCCATGTCCACCTGGGGCGACTTGTAAGATGGGCACAACCAAACGATATCTATGGCTAGATTCTTGATGTAGTCCAGCTTAGAGATGATACCGGGGATGTCGCCGACGCCATCGTTGTTGGAGTCCTTGTAGGAGGCGGGCCAGATTTGGTATACGGAGCTTTCCTTCCACCAGGCGCGGTTGGTTGAATTTCCAGGTGCCATTGTTTATTGTTTTGTTACGGATATGGATGGAACCGAGATGCACAGGGAAGTTGTTTGATGATGGAATGAAGACCCAAGCGAACATTTATATATGAGGACAGATGGAGCTTGGCCCACGTCTACCGCGGGGCAGCGGGGAATAATCGGGCGATTCGTATGTTCTGATGGGCCAAGGGTATGCAGGATGCGTTGAATCAGAAACACCAGAACATTAGGAGTTTCTCCACCTGGGTTGTGTACCGCGATGATGATGACATACTTTGATTAATACCTAGTTTTAGTACGAAAGAATCCTGAGTTTCAATTCTCATTGGGAAGGACTATGAGAAGAGGCCCTACAGTAAAAGCTTAAATTTAGTTTGCTGTAGCTTCACTTAGGCTGATATGTACACTCACTAACCATACGAGTATATGGTTCTTATTTCATTCCATCCTCTATCATATCTTCACCTATTCTGCAAGAATTCTACCTGATGAGATTCACGGTTATCTCTTACAGTAGGCTTAGACATAGGCTATGTATCACCTGCATACCTTAACGTTATGTCTAGATACTCCATAGATGAGCATATTGTGAGAGTAGCTTAAGAGACAAACAGAAAAGGGACAGTATTAGATTAAACGTTACTTGTTTCTTACTCAATCAATGCACATCAGTTCATGTATATCAGATAATATAAGTTATATTCAAATCAGTCCAGAGACCAATTTGTATCTCGAAGCGTTAGAAATGCGTGATGCGGGCGGTGAAGATCTGCCGCTTATCGGGCTTATCGGGCTTATCGCAGGTTGCTCAGTTCGTATCCGCGTCACTATTGATCTTTGACCTTTCTCTCTCCATTCCCTCTTCCATCGAATGGTACTCCATGATGGCGCCTCCGTTTTCTGATCAGAGGTTTAACTCCAGCCAGGGCCGTAGGCCCAATCCTCCCCGCAGCGACCGGGATGGCCGCATGTATGACGATCGTCCGCGATCACGCTCGCCTGGAGGTACAAGCTCCTCCCCGCGCGGTAACGGTGTTTGACCCGAAGACCATGCTCAAAAGAATTCCCCCAAAGCGTAACAGATCAAGGCTAATATGAACACGATTGGAATTGGGCAATTTAGGCCACTCTGGCATGCCTCCTCGCAGACCTGCAGACCGCAGGCGCGAGTACTCCCGCGACCGCGACAGTCACCGCAGCCATGATCGAGATGAACGAGCCTACCGTGGCTCACGATCACCACCTCGTCGAGACAGACATGGATACCGCGACTGGGATCATGAGGGGGTTGGCTACAATCGCAGTCGCAGCCCTCGACGTGATCAGCCATACCTCGGTGAAGAAAGTCGGGAAGTAATGCTGGAGAATTTCCCAGTCGACATGACGGAGAATGATGTGAGTTTCTTCTGATCAGAAACAGCGATTCTCGGGAGATTATGTCACAGACAAGGCGCTGACGATAATGCTCCGGTAATAGATTGCAACGGAACTCAGAAATGCCTATCATGTTGACGGCCTCGAAGACATTCGAGTCATTCGTGATCGCCAGACGAGTAGGTGAACCCCACAAGACGATGTTTGATTGAGTAATGTCTGACTTTTGATCCTCCATGATAGAGTTGTCGAAACAGCTTGGCTTCTTGCGATTTCCAACGGTTGATGAATCGCGAGCGTTTGTTGAACAAAACCACCGGGGAATCTACTTGTATGGGCCAAGCGCTGGTCCTAACGACGGAAGTACCAAAGTACGCATTGCCTATAGCCGCGAGAGGGAAGACCGAGGCAGGGCGAAAGGAGAAGGTGACTGGATGTGTCGTATGGTATGTGAATTGAGGTGCGCAACAAACGCGGAAGGCGCTGAGCTAAACTCCCTAGTGCGCTATCGTGAACTATGCTACTCGGGTGAAGTGTTTTAAGTGCAACGCCCCCCGACCCGGTACGTCTTCTCCCATTTCCTTTCCTTCTCTCCGCTTGTCACTAACCATGCAAGCAGAGATGGCCTCTACGGGTATCCCCGGGGTTCCTGCCCCCAAGGCAGTGAACAGCGGTGACAATGATGCCGCACCTGAGAGTCAGCCGTCTCAATTTCTCCTATTTCGCGGATTGGAAGCATCTGTCACAGAGGAACTGCTTGCCAAAGGCGTGGCCAAACTGTATCGTCCTTCTGGCAGCAACGACAACTTGTCCGGTAACCAAAAGAAAGGCTCAAAGGTAGCCTCCACCACCGGCGACAGCAATCTTGGGGCACGCGAAGGCTCTATCCGCCGTGTATTGCTTGTACGTGATCGCAAGACCAATGGCAGCTGGCGCTATGGCTTTGCTGAGTTTGCAGGAATACTGGTACGTTTCTACCGCTCCCTCCCCCGATTGCTATCTGTTAACACTGTAAACAGGATGCTCAAGCTGCCATGACCCGCTTGAAATCCTTCGAAAAGTTCACCATCTCGTCCAAGCCCGTCACAGTCAGTTACATTCATGCAGGAGTGTTCATCCCAGTCATGACTCCCACGGCCAGCACTGCCCGTTTTTCATTCAGCCCATTGAACAACCCGTCTCTAAAGCTTATGTATTGGGACGATGAAGGCTTTGTCAATGAGCTCACCCTGTCACGAGAGGAAGACGACGCTTCGACTGAGCAGCACAAGGGAGAAAAGTCCGCTGCGCACCCCAATGACAAGGCCGTTAAAGATTCAGAGAAATCCAAGAAGAGAAAGGCGGATGCAGCGGCCAGCACCAACGCCAAGAAGCTCGCAATGCCATCCCAGCTGCAATTCTGGAGCAACCGTCACGCTGAACTTCATGGTATTTCTAACGATGCCGATGGAAATCCTGTTGAAACTAGCCCCGAACAGCCCGCCCCGTCTTCTGATGCAGCTGCTCCCTCAGCTCTGTCATACATAGATCCCAAGCGTCACTGCTGCTATCTGTGCCAGAGAGAGCTCAAAGATCTTCGCTACGCCTACGCACATGAGCGCCTCAGTGACCTCCACAAGGAAAATTTGTTGAAGCCAGAACGTCTAGCATTCGGCATGAAAAAGCTTATCAAGCATGGCCTTGTTCCTCCGCCCACCGATGACGCACAGCAATCTACCAATGAATACAGAGACCGTGCCAAGGAGCGCCGCAGTGCATTCGGACCACCCGCTGCCGCCGCCCGCCCAGCCCCAGCTGCACCCCAGGAGGAGGAAGTCCCAGTGCAGTCGACCTCGAAGGGTGCCTCCCTGCTCAGCAAGATGGGATGGTCAGAGGGCTCGGGCCTTGGTGCGCAAGGCACTGGTCTGACAGCCCCAATTTCTACTGAGGTCTATGCCCAGGGCGTGGGACTAGGTGCCCAAGGAGGAAAGCTAGGCGATGCAACCGAAGAAGCCGGCCGAAATACCCGGGGTCGTTACGATGAGTTCCTTGAGAAGACCAAGGACAATGCCCGCCAGCGTTACGAAAAATTGGACTAGGGAAGATGCTCATAATATCCGCCTGCAACGTTTCATCCCCCATATTGTTATCACTTTTTCTTTTCAATTTCTATGTTGCAGTGACAGATGGAAGAATATCGGCCGGGGAAATGAAGACCCTGGCCAACTGAATGTACGATAGCACCTCGATATCCATATGATATCCATATGACTTCTAAGCAAGAGCATTAACGCTGGAAATATTATCCTTACAATGTTGAAAGCTAAGCTATGCCAAGTAAATGCAGAATACTGTACAAGGTATCCAAATCATGAGTAGAGTGGTATCAACAAAACAACGAACACAAAAGGAGCCAGAACTTCAATCTAGTTCTCCTTCGTTCCCGACTCAAAGGACGACAACCTCTTTGCCTTCTCCTTCTCGAGCTGCTTCTCAAATCGATCACCAAGCACCTTACTGACCCACTCGGTAACCTCGGCCTCCAACTCTTCATCACTCTTAACAGGCGCATCACTGCCACCTTGCAACCCAGCCCTAACAAACCTCCGCATATCATCCAAACTATTGATATTCAATGCATACCCAGCTGCACCACCAGCCATCATACCGAATGACAAAACATTCAACGTAGCCAGATTGAGTGCCTCAAAGGCGTCCGCTGCGGAGTTCGAGTGCGGTTGGTGGTAGACGGAGCTCGTGTAAAAGGGTGGGATGCATGCGATGCGCTTTTTGTTAAAGGCTCGTCTGGTTACTAGTACTGTGAGGGCGAAGAAGGTCATTCCTCCAAACAGGAGCTTCAGGTTTGTATTCTCGCGCGCTGGTGGCCGAGGCAATTGCATTGGGAGCGTTGTGGGTGTGTCTTCTGGGGTTTGGGGTTGTTTCGGGTTGGATGTTTCTGAAGGCTTCTCTGAGCTTTCGGTGGGCTTTGGGCTTGAGCCCCAGCCGAAGAATGAGACCATTGTAGTTTGTTTGGTGTTGGTGAGGATGTGGATGGGAGGCTTGCTTCGTAATGCGGGTGTATCGGGCAGCTCACGGAGTCAGATGATCAAAGTGTTGGAGCTGAAAGCAAGGAAAATTGTAGACTTGGGCGATTGATCCCCTAGAGAGCTTGAGATGACTGAGTTTGCGCGGGGCTATCGGTTGGAGAGAGTTAAATCCGAGCGGAGAAGAGGATATCACCGGCACGTGACCCGTTCCGCGCTTGACGGCTTGGCATCTGCCTCAATATCTGCCAGATGATATTGAACTCCTGTCTGAATGGACCATGTTACCGTAATTGACCGCCTGTTTTGGTCGGAATATGTCCCCGGCATCATATGAAGCTCAACTACCTCGATGCAGGCCAGATGATACATCCGCGCCGAGAACATCTCACAACTGATGAAGACATTCCATTGATCGCAGCAGATCGGATAGATAGCCATGGTATACGGCGGAAAACCTAGTACGGGTTGCCAGAATTGCAGGAAGAGGCACATTAAGGTATTTCGCCATCTCAATCTTCCTTGATACCCTAATTCTCACAGTCTTGAAAGTGCGATGAAACTCGCCCCCACTGCCAGGCATGTACAAGAACAAAACGAGAATGTCCTGGCTACCCAGATCCATTTGATCTGATGTTAAGAGATCATACCCATTCATTCAGAAAGCCAGTAAGAGCAAGCCGTTCCCCGGCAACGAGCAACAGCTCGCGTTCCAGCTCGAGGGCTATAGAATTACCAGAACAGCCAGTGTCCTCAAAGAGACCATTGGCTTTAGGTCCAGTTGATCTCTACGCCAAGACCCCAATGATAACAACGCGTTGGCCTCCACTATTGGGTCCTGCTGATCTATACCAGCCCATGGAGGATACTGTGGTGCCGCTTTTCTTCAACTCTTACCTCTACCTTCCAAAAGATCCTCACATTCGAAATGGATTCATGGAAATCTTGCCTGTTTCTTTCTCGAATGCAAAGCCGCAATCACATTTATACGTCAGCACATTAGCGGTTGCTTTCTTCTCGGTTGCAGCTTGGACTGGACAGAGCTGCTTGCTTCGAGCATCGGAGCAATACTTCACTCAAGCATTGCCGAAAATTCGAGAGTCATTACAAAACGAGAATAGCGATTTGGATTCTATCTTACTTTCTATTCTCTTACTCTCAACATACGAGGTTAGTTGCGATGATGTACCTCAATGCCAATAAAAACTCACTCAAACTCTCCAAGGAATTCGTTGCCGTGAAAGACTGGGAGAAACCCGTGAAGGCTCACCTCCGGGGGGCTGTTGCTCTCATCAATAATCGCAAATCCAAAAAACTACAAACAGCGACATCGAGAACGATTGACCATGCAGTACAAACTCAAATCGTAAGCCAATTCCATCACACCTGCTAACTCCCTATTAACAAAATCTAGATCAAGACGAGCCGAGGCTTAACTAGTCCCACAGTACCAACCCCAAAAATCTGGCCACTATCACATCCAGTATCTTCATCAGGCCCTCGCCCACTCCTAGCCTCAGCAGCCTCACAAATCGTCAACCTTCGCGTACAATGGGAAAGAATAATAGAAAAACCAGCAAACGGAGCGGCAGTCACATCCCTATTAAACAAAGCAATCGAAATCGACACAAATCTCGCAGCATGGGCTCACCTAGTTCCACCACACTGGACACCCGTGGCAGCAAGCATAATTCCCGACTCCGTGCGCAAAGCAGGCATCTACAATATCCGCGTAGACTGCTACACAGACATGTGGATTGCCTCGACATGGAACACGTACCGCGACTGCCGCATCTTGGTACAGAGCATCATCCTCAGTTGTCTGCGTATGGAATCATCCTTGGATTCGCAAGGCCTAAAAACGATGATGGCTACCGCTACCGCGCACCGTCTCGCGGATGAGATCTGTGCAAGTGTTCCCTACTTCCTTGGGAGTCAAGTTGAGTCTGTTCGGATGAGAACAGGTCTTGTTGAGTATCCGTATGCGGAGACGAGACCGGTTTCTCAGACGCATAAGCAGATTGCGCCGCTTATGGGTGCTTGGTTTGTTTTGCCTTGCTTGAGGAATCTTCAGGCTGGCGTTTTGGGGTTGCCTTCTGAACAGATTGATTGGTTGAATGGGCAGATTGAGAGGGTGAGAGTTATTTACTTTCAGACGTGATTGAATGTCTGGTTCTGTTATAGATGGGTTGATCAAAACTATTTGTATGATTTAATGAGTCCTCTGTTAGAAAGAGGGAATCAAATTCAAGTAATAAGATAGAGTATGAGAAGATATCGATTTAATTTGATTCCATTTTATGCTATGCTATGGTTCGAAATATTCTATCTAAGATTATTATCCAACACAACGCTCATCTGAGATATCAGATGTCAGTCAGTGATACGGCAACAATGCAAAAGCGCCCAAAATGCAACTGTACTTGTAGGGAAAAAAGCAAGAACAAAAAAACACAGACAGTTCCAAACAATCATGAGAATACCGAAACAAAACATCACAGATAGTCGTAGCGCTCAAAAGAAACAACAGAAAACAACAATACAGGCTCGTAATCGAAGATGCAAATCATGATGACATGGCAAAACAAACACGCTAAATTGTCAAGATAAATAGGAAATCATTTCATAGTCCCGGTAGTAATAAGCATATCGGTTCTACCAGGACGGTGGAAGCGATCAATGCCAAGATGCTCCTTACCATCGCGCCCAACGTAAATGCCAAAGCCATACAAGGGCACATGGCGATCCGAAGGCGGCGCAACAATAAGACGGGTAACAAGATCAGTCTTGCTCCTCGGCTCGCGGAGGATCTTGTCCGACAGAAGCGGCGATTGATACAGATAGCTCATCATATCAGCAAGGGTCGTGATATCGTGAGGCAAATAGCGACATCTGCCTGGCCAAATTGACAGGAAGGAGACGGCGTATAAAGCACAGAAGCCGATTAGGGCGTAGAAGGCTGGCATTAAGGCAGAGATTCGGATGTCGTCGTGAGAGGGGTACCAGAGGGCGATGAAGACGCCTCCGGCGAGGATTGGGATTGCCAGGGATATCAGGCTCATTAGTGATATCCAGGCGACTTTGAAATGGCGGTTGAGGAGGGCGATGATCGTTACTTGGATTGGGAAGTGAGATGGGTAGGCGAGGAGAATGCTTTGCTCGGCGGATGCACCGCTTGGGGAGGAAAGTTCGACGTAAGGTTGAAGTGCGCGGAAGTAGACGTCAACAGGTTGCCAGACGAGGAAGAGGACATTGCCGATTAGGGCGGGGATGAAGCTGTAGAGGAAGTTTGAGGAGGAGAATGCGTTTGTCGATGGGAGAGTTGGAAGCTTGGGTGGGAAGCCGCCCTTGATACCGTTGTTGATGAAGCTGACGACGACAAAGGCGATCAGCAAGGCGAAGACGATTACAACCCAGATGATAACTGAGATCTTGCGTAAGAACCAAGGAGTCCAGCGGTAGCGGGCGAATGGCGAGTAAAGGGAGTTATCAGATTGATCGTTGGCGAGGGCAGCTTGGTGTTCAAGATCAACGCACACTTTTGCAAGACCATGCGGCTGCTTCTCTCTGCTTTTGCCGGTCTGATGAAGAGATGGAGTTCTGACTGGGGCATCGACCTCTCCGATTCCGTAGAAGATCTCAGGCTTGCTCGAGAGTCTCCAGTAGCCGAGTCGAAGAATTCGAGGATCAAGCGAGTCTCGTACTGTGGGAAGAGTTTCGGATCGCTCGAAGTCGTGGAGAATATTCGACCGTTGGATCAACGAGATGAGATCTGCCAGGCTGACGGGATCCCACATCAGACCAGACCAGCTGCGGAGGAAGCGCAGAGATAGTAGCAGCAGGCCAATTGTAAGAACGCCGTATAATGCAACCAATGTCCAGCCTAATGATTGAACCGAGGCCCATCTCCAAGCCCCCTCTCCATTAATGATGTAGTACTTTGCCTGGAAGAAACAGCTCAGAAGCGGGATTGCAAAGAAATTGTGCAGCCAGATCGTGAGCAAGGAGAAACCGAACAGAGGTTCACCATTTCTGAAATGCGACAAATCAGGGAATACGAAGCTTTTCGAGAGAACTGGTAATCCTTGAATAACCAAGCCCTTTTGTCTTTCAGCTGACATCATGGAGAAAGGTGCCGTGCGATATACTGCAGCTTGGATAACGAAAGACCAGATGATGATTGGCGCAGCGAGAGTTTGTGGGAGGAATTGAAGCACGAAGTAGTGTCCGCCACCTTGACCCTGATAGTCCCAAATTCCCTGGTGACGATGAGACCAAATGTTGCAGAAGACCACTGCTGCAATCATGAGCAGACAGCAAAAGACAGTCAGCATCAAAGCCCACGGCCGGAGGACGATAGGCAGGTAATTCAAAGGCGGATACAGTAAGCTCTGCTCTGGTTGTTCGACAGCAACGAAGGACTCTGGATCTACCGAGATAGGTCGTTGTGGTAAAGCTTGTGGCGATGGAGATGTATAGTTTGGTCTGACTGGTGGTGTTTCGTGGCGAATGGGCGTCCTCAAAGGTGTCCGCGTGCGGGTAAAGTAGCCCAGTCCCTCGTCCCAAACCAGTTGATTGTTTGGATAATCATCCCCAGTTGTTGTGGTCGAGAAAGAATCTTGTCTTGAGACTCCCCTAGATCTGTCTTGGGTGAGCTGATCGATTGCAAACCGGACGTACGGGGAGTCATCCAAGCCTGGGGTCGGGGCTGGTCCTGCGTAGTCACTAGGGACCCGACGAGCTGTCTCGTCAGATCCTGTGGCTTCCGATCTGACACTGGCTCGGGCGACTCTGTCATCTCCGAATCGGACCGTGCTGGATGTCGGTGGACGTGGTGAGCCATGATCTTCTTGAACAGGTTGACTTGGCTCCTCAGTGGGAAATTGGTGTGGCATGGTAGGAGAATGACCTCGAGAGGATGGTCTAGAGTCTGGAGTCTGGAATCGTCTCACTGTGACTCGACTATCTGGACTTGAGGAAGCTGCTCTGTCTGAGAACGAATAGTAGTCGTCTGAAGCAGCTATAGATTGTTGAGAGTCCATTCTTTGAAGCTGGGGCTTGCTAGCTATATAACAATTAGACTTGAATGAAACCTTGGAGCATTAGAAAGACAACGGGGCGGGGGATTTTATGCACGTACTATTAACGTTGCGCAGGCTGAAGTTTCTCGTCGGGGTCGACATGGCTGTGGAATGTGGATAGTGAGACCACGCGCGATGTTAATCCAGAAACATTCCTCGAGCTGGAGTTACAAAGGGATTTTCAGAACCAGCATTCGCTACCCAGTGGGTTTTTGTCTGTCAGTGTGCTGGGTTGACGTCTCCCAGCCTCCCCAGCCACACAGGGCTGCGGTCAAGCAACAACCCAATAGAAATAATTGAGACACGGGGGATTGTCCACTCAGACATTATTAATTGGATCAATCCGAAACTAAGACCAAATCAAATAGTCTATTGGAATTGGGTGGAATTGGGTTGTTTATCGGGCCGGACCAGCCCATCCTACGAAGCTTGGCTCTACCTAAGTGCGTTTGCATCTACCCAACATTTTGATCAATATTTTGAATGCCTTTGTCTATTTGATCCCATGTCAGCTTAGGGGCTAGGCTACCCTTTGACAGCTTCTTGTCGCTGTTTCCAACTGCTATGTAGAAATCTAGACCGATTGATGGTCAGGTTCCACACTGGAACCTCATACCGATAATTGCCAACAATTACTATCCTAGCTTGTTGCTACTGGCGATAGCTAAGCAGGGTAACTTTGCACAATTGCACAAACTCCCAACATGATGATGTGGTACAATTGGTTTCTCTCCCTTGCTGGCGTAGGTGGCTGGGCCTAGGGCTTCGGGTACAACTTTAAAGGATAAGGCTGTATCCAGGGCAGCGCATGAAACACCCAGCTAGGACTCAATAATTCTCAGACTCTAATTTAATCGTAGATCCAATTATCTGATGCCATGGAAGGCATAAAGAATAGTGTAAAATAAAATACTCGCGATGTGCTCATATGCAGCCAATAAAGCTCACCGCCCGCTCAACTACGCGGCCTATTCGCTTGCTGTACTTTAAGGTTATGATGCGTGGAGTTGACGAAGTAAATGATCAAGATAGCAAGATATGACTAGATCCCATTCTCATGAATATCAATAAACAGTATCAATTAATGAAAATCGTCGGACTTGGAGCGCATTGCAAACAAACGAAGTACAAGGTGGTGATAAGCCGATAAAAGCTGTCCATAAACAGGAAGGAAACGAATGCTGATTGGCAGAAAGATGTCCGGCTTACGGAGGCTTCTAATTGGAGAACCATACACATTTCAATTACAGTAGGGCCATGTTAACAACACACCCTATATCACAAGTTAGTGGATGTATAACATTAGCGTTAGCATTAGCGCATTTTCTGTAGGATTGCTTGCACGTCCTGAAGATTCGCTGATTCGAACTAGGCCTTCGACAAAAGATCGGATTCAGAGACAGCCAACGCTTCACCGGGAATGCCATTGTGAATTGGGTCCGTCGACTTGGACCTGCGAATCAAGGCCTCCAACTGCGGACCGACGTTCCGGCACCCCAGTATCACTTGAAGCCCATGGGAATCGGAGCGGTAAAAGACGAGCTGGCTTCGGCAGTTGAATGGGTCATTTCAATAGTGCAAGATTGACACTCAGCGGGGCCTCTTTTACGACCCCATTTTTGAGAGGTAGAAATGCCTATCTCACGGTTTTACCACTCATACATCAGATCAAAGCCTCTTTCCTATTTCTTTTCTACGACCAGTGTTCGTCGTTCAAAACTCCCCATCAGACATTAGATGCAAGTTGAACAAATAGAATACTCCGCATCTCCCATCCCGTTGATGCCGAAAAGCTTGATACTCGGATGTTCGCCGCCTCGGGTCTCGGGGTCTCGGGGCCTCGGAGGTGAGGTGTTAGTACCAACCCTATTGATTCTAGCAGAGGAGTCTACTGTATAAAGCCGATATATCCATTAAAGTGACCTCATAAGCTTGCCGTTTGATCCGGCTCCTGGTGTCGGCCGAATAATTGACTGTTACGTTTCTCGCTAAAAGTATTTGAATGCGGTATGCCGCCTGCTGCAGAAGCCTACAATATCAAAATCCCATTATTTCCATTACACCTCCACATATCCCGATAACATGTTTTACCAACCTGGAATCACCGAGCATAACCTTCCCCATGACCCTTTCAAGGTAAGAGCTAGCCATATTACATCCCCCAGTGATCCGACAGGCGTATACTCATCAAACCCAGGCGTGCGTCGTCCCTCGTCCCATTGGCTGGATATCGACCAAAAACAAACAAGGCCGAGCAAATCTAGCACCCTACTCCCAGTTCACAAACCTGACATTCGACCCACCCTACGTTGTCTTCTCCTCCAACCAAACGGTAACAGGAGAACGCAAAGACACAGTCATCAATGCCGAACAAACGGGCAGCTTTGTCTGGAACCTGGCAACCTGGGACACTCGCGAAGCAATGAACATAACCGCCGAACAAACTCCCTACGGCGTCGACGAATTCGAACGCGCCAACCTGGAAAAGGAGCAAGCCACTTTGGTTGATGTCCCTATGGTCAAGCAGTCGCCTGTCAAGTTCGAGTGCCAGTATCACACCACTCTTCGTCTGCCTGGTAACCCTCCCATGGGCACTGTCGACATCATCATTGGCAAGGTCATTGCCGTTCATGTCGCTGATGAGGTTTTGACGGATGGTATCCTGGATGTTGCTAAGACTCAGCCTATTGCGCGCTGTGGATACTACAAGTATGCCGTCATCCGGGAGACCTTTGATATGATTATTCCCAACATGTCTAAAGATGTGCTTTACGGATTGGAAGGCAATGCTGCCAGGAATCGACAGAGAAATGTTGAGTCTGGAGAGGAGGGGTTCCAGCAGCAATAAATTAGCAGTATAGTTTGAGGATCTTAATTGAACAAAGGCCACAGCCAATAGTGATGTGAGATTACATCAGATGGGCCGTGTAAAGTCGAGCTTGCATAACTCGGTAGATCTAGAGGTCAATCGATAATTTCCACTCCCTGGCTCCTTTTTCAGACTCGACTCGGCTGAAAATGAGACAGTAACAATACTCAGTGTGCACCAGTATGTATTACTCGCCCGTTTCGCATGGTTACCCTGTCTCACAAGTGTCAGTCATGAGTGATCACATCGACTTGGTTCCTGGAATGCATAGGAAAGGGATCCAGAACTTGCGAATATTTCCAGCGCCCCCAATCCCGGTCCTAACATAGCGTTCCTGGACCAGTGGCTCCCTCTCATCACCATGTACCCTATCATTCATGGTATCGTCCCTCATATTTGTCCAATTTTTCCGCAGCAGAACCATTCTGTCTAGTGTTTGTAAAGGCAGTTGGCCTTCTTCGTCCTCTGCTTTTTGTTGTTTGGACCATCTGAAAAGTCTCCATAGACAGTGCATATCCTCGCGGAGAGATCGAACGTGGGCTCTTGAATTAGATTGGGGGACTTGTGGAAGGACTAATCTATGTCCCTTTCGGATCAGCCCACTCTGTGAACTCAGATGCTGATGAAGAGAACCTACCGAATTTCCTGTATCGTGCTTGAGAATCATTTTACTGGAATGACCCAAAGTTCAACATGATATGAAGATCTGGGTGCTACATTTGCTCAGATATAAGTGATTGATCAATCTACGGGACGTCGTGGGTTACGCAGCCACTGTATGACCTCCCAAAGTGACGAACTGCGTCCTGAAACTAACCGTCGATCGACTGTAAAAGGCAAATTCTCTAAGATTCATGGCTGCATTCCAGTCAGCATTTCAGTTGGTCGCTTTGTATACCATAAAACGGTTGACATTTGAACCGTGGATTTTCATCTCTCATTTGACTCCCTTGGTCAAATAAATTCACCTGTGGTCGAACGAATGATCATCGCGTCATAGTGTGCAACTACCACGGGTGGCTTGTGTCTCCTCATTCGGGGCTATACTGAGTCTGTTGTAGTGGTGTGACCGGGATATAAGTGGTCAATGCCACCTGAGCAGGCCCGGAACGAGAATGACGTGGTCCTTATGCTCATGAAATAAGCTTAAATTGCATTGACCGAATGACCACGCACTTCAACCCCTGATGCATGTCCAGGCGACAACCCTGAAGCACACGAGGATCTTTGTTTCGGCTGATTATGATCAAATCTGATCTCATGGGTGGATCTGTTTCACCTTGATCGAGTGGACCTCAACGGCTCTCGAGTCCAGACTGCAGGTCCAAGCGTTTGGGGCCGGATAAGGCGAGGAACTTAGATTGCTGTGCCGTGTGGGCATATCTAGAGAGCAAATTGCGAAGTTGCAAGGGTTGTGACAGATTGAGATAATTCCTGGTAGACCAAATTTGAGAATTGCAGATCTCGTTTCACCAGCCAGACTCGGGTACCTGAAACCAAGTCTCCCTCTGTTTCGCAACAGTCTCGCCATCTTGCACGAAATAAGCTTCCGAGTTCGCTGTTCGCTGGTGGCGACATGTCCCGCGGGGCACCCGTGTACGGAACCGGTACGAAAAGTCTTCAATTAGAACGAAAGTTACTGAGTTATGTGGTTTAAACCAATGGCGAAGATCTCCAGTCTCAAATGAAGCCTGGAGAATGCTCCGCCGCACGCCCGGGCTTGGCGACACGGGGGCTGTCCTGCCCCCCCGAAGCCACGCCTCAGTCGCATCGAGCGAATGGGAGTCCGCATCGGCTCGTAGAGAACACCCCAGTTTTCTGGAGACGGGATCTGTGCTGCATTTAGCCTCCGCCACATCTCCAAAAGCATGGAAATGGAGAATCAGGATAGAGAGTTGAACCAGAATACAGTACGGACGTAGCTACGGTAGATAAAGACAGAGAATAGAGGGGATCATCTGACCGCCGGCCTGAGGCGCCCGTCCTCATCCACGGCTTCGTGCTGATGTATCAACCCTTGTCATTCTTGGTCATTCCTTTATTCCCTTGGCTGTTTCCCCTCATTCGCTCTTTTCAACCTCTTGGAAGCTTCTCCCTTTTCTCTTTGCTGCGCCAATGCTGCGTTAGAGTCCATTTCAAGTGCCCTCCCGTGTTGGCTATTTTGGAAATTACCACTCGTTTGACTATCTTTTCCCTTGGCTTGAGGAAGCTCAAGGTTCTTGAAGGGCCTACTCCTAAGGGCGCGCGCTGTCGCCTCCCCTCGCCATGTTGCTCAAGCCCGCGACACCCCTCACCATCCTATTACTGATCGCATTTGCGCTTCTCCTCCTCTCATGCCTGTCAACCCCCATTATCAAGGGAATTCCCTTGGCAACCTTCAAGGACGTTGATTACGGAGTATTTGGATATTGTAAAGGCGATGCCTGCACGAATATTCATGTGGGATACACCAGTAGTTCGTCGCTCTTTTTCGTTTCTGCCTGGCGGTGGCTAACTTGTGTGCAGACGATATCAGTAGCACCGGCGATGACTTCAATCTCCCCTCCAGCACCCGCAAATCGCTGTCCTCGATCCTCATCATTCATCCAGTCGCCGCATGCCTGACCCTCATTTGTCTCTGCCTGGCGGCGGCAGCCCACTTCCATAAGCCCTCCCACTCGCCGCGGTTCCTGTTGGCGCTCCTTATTCTGCTCTTGCCAACCCTGCTTGTGACTCTCTTGGCATTCTTAGTGGATATCTTGCTATTTGTACCGCATCTAGGATGGGGTGGCTGGATCGTCCTGGCGGCGACCATCATTCTGGTTTCTTGTGGGGTGGTCACCTGTGCCATGCGCCGGACCCTTGTGAGCCGCAAAGCAAGGAAGCGCAGGATCGCGGAAAATGCTGAGATGAGCGGCGAGAACTACTACAATCGCCAGAACGCTGCTGTGCCTCCTGTACCAGCTCCCCCTGTTTCTGAGACCAAGGAAGCCCTTGTGACGGGATCCCCGTCCTTTGAGGCAGGTCCGACGTTCGCGACATTCAACACAGAGCGCCGGGACAGCGACGATGACCGCACCCCGCTCAATACACAGGCCCCTATGAATGACGTTCCACCACCCCCCGACCGTCGCGGAACTCCTTACGGCGCGCAAGATGAGCTGGGCAATATGCCATCCCAAGGTCCCTACGGCGCGGGTCCTATGACACGCAACCCCTCCGATCCCCGAATCCGCCCTCAGTACTCGAATGGCAGCATGGGCTCTCAACGGGGTGGTGCGCCGCCCGGCTTCAATGGACGTGGGCGCGGTGGATATCCTCCCAGGGGCGGTTATGGACGCGGCGGCCCGTACATGGGACCTCGTGGGCCTTCCCCTGGTCAACGAGGCGGTTATATGGGACCTTCACCTCCCCGCGGAGGTCGCGGAGGCATGTTGCCGCCTCGGGGTCCACCCGCTGGATATGCCGTGGCCCCTACTAGCTTCGATGCATATGGCCGGCCCGTGTCACCTCCCCAGAATGATCCATACGGCTATGGATCCTCTCCGGGCCCGATGCGCCAACCATCTCCGGGTCCAATTGGCATGGCCGTGTCACCGGAGACGGTTGGTCAAGCCATTGAGATGCAGCCGCAGTCCCGGCGTTATGATGCCCCCGAGCCTAGCAAACGCATGAGCGGTGGTCCTCATGCGCTGTCAGTTGATGGTCACCATGCTCCCCTTGAAAGCCCGACTAGCATGTACAGTCGACCAGAGTCCTACATTCCTCCTCGTTCAGGCTGGAATGCCAATGACCGTCAGACTTTGTCCCCGCGGCCAAACGAATCGGCCCAGCCAGCTGCTCACAGTGGTACCAACTACTATGAAGATGTGGATCCGCGTTTCGCTCGTCGACCGTCGCCTCAAAGCGATGCCCCGGTTCCTTCATCATTGATGCCTGGAGGCCCTCACTGTACGTACTGAACGACCTAAAAGTATTCACAAGACTGTGCTGACCCTTTTTCAGTTTAATGAATTCCTTGGTTCTGTAGTGTCGCATCTCATTGGACACAATTGACTGGCACTTTCGACGCTTTGCGATACCCTTTTTTTCCTCTTTGATTTTCACTTCTTTGGCTATATCTTGATACGATTCATTTCCCCGGCATCATACCATGGTAAATGTGGTGTGGCTGGGCACGGAGTTACGGGCTCTATTTTTTCTCTTCTCTCTTTCCTGATGAATTACCTTCCTGGGCATATTTTTTCTCGGCGTTTCAGTTTGTTCCATCTGCTGAGTCGGATACACGGAATGGACAACATTCGAATGCTGAGCCAGGCTCTGCCTATTCATTGTATAGTGAGTGCGATGTACAGAAACGACCTGGAAGCTTTTGCCCCCTTTCCAGGCCAAAGCACTTGATGTTGCTGTTGGTTAAATTTTCCTTTCTACTATACTCTCTTGTCTACTTTTTTTCTTCCACTGGATGGTTTGAATTGTATAGAACCCAAATCCACATACTTTTATTGAATTTAGACCGATATAGTTGCACGTGACATGACGTAGATACACGAGGACCAAGAACCGCCGATCATGACGGCACTGTCACTTCCAAAAAGCTTGGTTGTATATTGTGCCACTGACATCGTTCGAATATATGGAGCCTTTCCCCTGGTCACGCGTCAATGGACACGTTTCGCTACCCTCTCCACCGGGGAATTTGATCCTTGCTCCATCCTGCTGCATGATCGTGATAGAATGACCAGGGCTTGAATGAGACTCACTTGGATCAACGACATTAACGATGAATGACCCTGGCCTTGACGACGCCGTTGCTGATGAGGCAGTGGCTCTCGATACTACCTCCAGCAACCGCCAAGATCAGAGTGATCAAGATTCATCAACTCGAGATGCGAAGTATCCTCGAGCTGCTCGATGGTGGTTTGCGAGTACAATATATCCCCTGACAGCTGTATGCTAGCCCAGAAACTCTGTTCTATTAATATAGAGTGCTAATGCCCTAGACAGGGCACATTCGGCCCAATGGCTAGCGCTTTCAACATATGCTCCCTGTCCCAACCCTGGCGAATGGACCTAACAAGCACCGGTGGAATAGACGTTCCTGATCCAAAATGGTAGGCGAATGAAATCCTTCCCAGCCACATCAAACCACATCAAATCCATCCTATTAACCACAAGAAACTAGGGCCATCGCCATAAACGCAGTATCCTTGGTTTTTGCCCTAGCAGCAAACCTAGCCCTATCCCTAAATATGGCCCGACGTATTCGCTTCGAAATCGCCCAACCAATAATCATCATCGGCTGGTATATCTCATCGGCACTCTTGATAGCAATCCTCATACCCTTCGGCGTGCTCATGTACAAACCAGAGAACGACGGCCGGATCTACTCCCAGGCATACTTCTATGGTGCATTCGCGGCGGGCATATACTTCATCATCTCCACTTTGATGCTGGCCACCGGCTACGGTGCCTGGAAGGGTCACTACAGTCGTGAATACAAGTTGACGACTAGCCAGCGGACGCTCATGCTGCAAACGATCATCTTTTGCTTTTATCTTCTTGGTGGATCAGCTGTCTATGCGCGAGTTGAGGGCTGGAGGTTCCTCGATGCCGTTTACTTCGCGGATTACACGTTGCTCACAATTGGAGTCGGGAACTTCGCGCCGGCTACACACCTTGGTCGGGGACTTTTGTTTCCCTATGCTGTTGGGGGTATTATCATTCTTGGCTTGATCATCTCCTCGATTCGCACTCTGATGTTGGAGAAGGGGAGACAGAAAGTTGGTGATATGCTCACGGATCACACGCACAAGTTCATCATGAAGGAGGCTTTCTCAGAACGGTCTAGGCTGCATGGTGTCGTCCCACCGCTTGGAAAGGAGAGTGTCAAGGCAGAAGGCTTGAGTGAGCGTGAGCAACAAAAGAGGGAGTTCATTGCTATGAATCAGGTTCGCGAGTTGGCGACTATTCAGCATAAGTGGCTCTCGCTTTTCATTTCGCTGACGCTCTGGATGGCTATGTGGTTTATTGGGGCTGTCGTCTTTTGGCGCTCTGAGACTGTGCAGCAATGGACATATTTCGAGGCGTTATACTTTGCCTACACGAGTCTTCTTACGATTGGATATGGTGACATATATCCGATCAGCAGCTTGGGAAAAGCTTTTTTCGTCTTTTGGTCTTTACTTGCTGTTCCGACGATTACAATTCTCATTTCGAATATTGGGGATACGCTTATCCGGTTCATTCGTGATGTGACATTGTTCCTTGGTGAGATCACTATCTTGCCTGGTGATCAATCATTTGTCGACCGGGTTAAAGATGTGTTCAACAAGTCTTGGATTGGATGGTGGCTTGAAGACAAAACTGGGGAAAAGACGGGACAATCCAAAGAGAAGGATAGTTCTGCTACTGGAAATGCCAACAATGACAGAAGTCAACTGGAAGCCGAGGAGCTGAATAAGGAACAAAATGCTCGTGAGCGCGGTGACTTTGTTGCTGAGAATGCCCATCATCGTCACTACCTTCTTTTCAAGGAAATACGCAAGATGATTGAGTATTCTTCTAGTCATTCCTCTCGACAGTTTGACTACTTGGAGTGGGAGTACTATCTCGGTCTGATAGCCGGAAAGAACAAGCTGCATTACGGCGGGGATGGAAGCAGCAAGGAACAAGGGGGAACGATTAACGACTGGAGGTGGATTGACAAGGAGAGTCCGTTGTTAGGGCATAAGACTGAGGTTGAGTGGTTACTAGGAGCACTGACAGAGGCTTTGGATCGTGAGTTGAGGGAGGCTAGTCAGCTCCATGATTCTGAGAGCGAGAACGGTGATAATTCAGGTCTTTCTGAACGCAAAGGCAACGAACGCGGGGTATGAACCTCATTCTTGAGATCACATCCCCAAGCCTGCACACGTTTCAGAGCACGAAACGAAGCCTGGAGCTCTTGATTGATGTCGCTAAGATGGTGCATAGCAGTGCTGCGCCGAAGGGAGCGCTCGGCACTTTGTGGACACAGCGATCAAGTCTGCGGAAGAGACCGATGGTGTCTGTTTCCACATTTAAGATAATTCAGATGTGGTTGCGCAGTTCTGTTCGCACCAGACTCATCTCATCGGTTGTTGGTTTCTGGGGAGAAGTTGGCCTGCGAGCTTGCCAATGACCCTGCTTCGAAGGACGCGAGGGAATGCGGGTAGTAACGTTATTGCCGACATGCTTCTCGCACCTATCCCCTCTTCTGAGCTGATGAGAGTAGTTGCAGGCCAATCCCCGTCCTGCTGCGCCCAGTATGATGACACACCTGGCCCATGGACCGTTTAGTTGTTGACAGTGTGTGCATTCATCTTTCATCTTTATGACAATCGCCATGGTGCTCAAAGATCTCTCCCGTTGCAATTGATCTTCATGAAGGTGGTCGGGAAGCATATTAATGTTTAATAACATCAGCTAGCCTATGAGGCATACTTGAGTATGCAAGACTGCTAAAGGAAGTAGTCGAGGTCAAACACTTCCGTTACACAACTGAATCAATGTTTACATAAATGTTCAGCTTCCTACTATGTGATGCCTGGTACGATAATTGTTGGATGAAGATGAGCAACGGGCTGAAGTACGCCATACAACAATGTAAACAACCCAACCATAGACAAATTGTACAATCTGATTGGTCAGTCAGGGCGAGGCTGTAAAGTAGCTGCGCAAGAATAATAAGCGCCGCAGTGGGATCAAGTGATGCTATATCCCTGCTAGTTTTGATAGGTTCTCAGACAATATCGTTCGGGGCCACAGGATATGCGCAGGAGATACAGTAGATCGTCTCTGCCAATGGATATTTGCCACACTGCCTCTGCATGTGTACCAGACCTGTGATGCCTAGATAAATACCCACTGCCTTGCTCAACCCCTCTTTCTGCAAGTTATAAATCATTTGAAAATGGCTCTGAAATACACAATCGCTGACCTTTTGCGGTTATCTGGCAATCCTACTATCACAATGGGGCAAGACACTACCACCAAGAAGACCGTATCCTCACCATGCTACCAGTGTCCAACTTGCAAATTGAATACGTTCAAATCAGGCAAAGCTCTCCGTGAACATCAGAAGGTCCTGCATAGTCAACCTTGTACTCGGTGCAATAAGAACTTCAGCAGCGCGGAAGGATTGGCGGCGCATGTAAGCGTCAAGCATCAGAAAGAGAAAAAGCCCCAGGTATTCCAATCTAACGACGATTCAGCATCCCCAACTAACAGAAATGTAGCCTCCTGTTCAGTCAACAGTCCCCAAACCACCACCTACGCCGACCACACTCCCTTGCCCCAGATGCACCAAGAACTTCAGCAGCTCACATAGTCTGGCTGATCATATGCGGGACAAAAATCACACTAAACAGACAGTGAAGACGACCAAACAGCCAACAATTGTCGCAGCACAAGACATAAACCAAACAGCAACATTGCCAGCCCCACAGTCACAAAGTCCAACGCCGGACCCTCATCCAGCGAACCCAGCACCAAATAGACCATCCAGTGACGCAGAAGAAGGTGAGACACCAATCCGACCCTACAACCCCCATATTCCACAACTAACCGAGTCCAAAATAGCACCAAGCAAGAAATATCCCATCCACAACCAATCCACAACCCTCCACCCCCTAGAACAAACCCTCCTCTTCAAATACCTCCTATCAAAACGTCACCCAATCCCCCATCTCAAACACCAAGGATACGACATCCCCGACGAGTCCAACACCACCCAGACAAAGCCCAGCACATGTCTGTATTCCGGAACGCCGCATTCAACACACGCCTATCCCAGTCCCCCACCAAAGCATCCTCAATGCAACATCCGAAGAGCTCTAGTCCTCAACACAAGAGCCAAGAAACAAGACACCACCGAGGTCATGGAGAACATCTCGGTAATTGACTTCTTGACCGGTGAAATCTTATTCACCGGCTCATCGGAAGAAACACCCCGAACCGGGGATGTGGATGTAGATGTATCAGACAATGGGAAGAAATGGGCGCGCGACGTGCTGGCTGAATATATGGACGATCAGACTATCTTGATTGGACATTGTTTGCAGGCCGATCTGAATGGGTTGGGAGTGGAATTGGGGATGGTTGCGGATCGGGTGGTTGATATTGCTATTCTTGTTGGCGAGGCGATCTATGGATCGACGCTTGTTGCTCGGCCCGGGATGAAGGGCTGGGGGTTGGGCGGGTTGGCGCGGAGTATGCTTGGCTGGGATATGGAGGGGATGGAAGGTGAGGGTTGTTTGGGGCCTGCGCTTGTTATTAGGGAGGTTTTAATTTGGTGTCTTGCTGAACCGGGTTGCTTGAGGGAGTGGGCTGAGGGGGTTAGGGTTGAGGGGAAGGGGAAGGGGAAGGAAGCGAAGGATTTGGAGGTGGAGGGTGAATTTGAGGACTTTGATTATGTTTGTAGAGATGATTTGGTGGATTGAGTGGGATTTGTTCGAGTATCTTGTTTGTTCTCGCTCTTTCGTGCTCATTGATATTTTCTCAATACATCGTCTCGTAATAGATATTCGTTGGTCCTATTCACTCAAGAGATATAGAGAATATAGTAGGACAATAATCAAGCATTGCAGTATTGAAACGAGAAAAAATGACACTAAAGACAAAAAGATATAAAACATAGGGGAGGGTAATGGATCGCCCAAACTGCAACTTGAATATTTGCGTACTCTTAGTTAGCTCCCTCTAACTTTAAAGCTCAAGATCTTGATGTATTTAAATTCCAACAAACAACATTTCCAATTATTGATACCAGCACTTCCAATGCTGGATCGAAACACGTCCATCGACTCAGTCACGAAACCCAACTCAATCAACCACACCAGCTATCCTCTCATATCTCCACTGAATAAGTCCCGCATTGATCAGCAAAGGCACAGCTTGATCCTCAATCCACTCAGTACATTTAATCAACGGCCTCCGAGCTTCCCCAGGAGCATAAAACATCAAAGGCCTCCACCTCTTAACAGGCTCCGTCTTCATGGTGGCCGTATTAAAAGCCTTCTGCTTCGGCGGCGCAGGAATCGACTGCAAAATATCATCCCAACTCTTTGGATAGTTCCGAGCCCTCGTATGTCCAATCAGCTCTTTGGAAAAGAAGTTCTCGTCGCTCTCTGGGTCGTCGCTTATCGCGGGCTCGTAGTGCATGCCAGTTACTAAGTCGCCGGTGACGTGGTGTTTGATTCCACTTCGTGGACCTTGTTCGTTGTCTTGGACGAATAGGATGGTGTGGTAGCGCAGTGGTGGCATGTCTGGGTCTTGGATTGATAGTTTGAATTTCACTTTGTAGACCGGGTAGATTTGAGATATTGGCATTTTGGGGCGGTTTGGGTGGTGTGCTGTAGATGGAGAAATGGTCGGGATGAGTGTGAGATTGCTTTGGTTTGTTCTTCCCCTCCTCGCGTCTTGGGTTATCACTGACTGCACTTAGCCGCTGAGGAAGCAAACGGATTGAGTACGCTGAGCTGAGATGTACGTGATGGGAAAAAACCAGAAGGGCTATACTATCGACTGCTAGGCCGGGCCTGAGTCATATACATAGAGCCCTATTTGAAGGTAACTTTGGTTCCAAACAACTGGCTCGTTATAGACATTCATTGGACCTATCTACTATGGAGAGATCGAGAATATTGGAGGACAATTAAGTATTATCACCATTGAAACGAGAATAAATGACACCGAAGACAAAAGAAATATGAAACAAAGGGGAGAGGGGAATGAAACGCCAAATTTACAAACACAAAAGAGACAAGAAAAACAAGAATTCCAACAAGATTCAACAAATTGAGATAGCAAGTAACCGACGCAAATCGAACATTTCAAATGGCAAAGAATAGCAGCAGTGTCCTCATCTCTGACAGCCACCGCAATCTCAATACCCAAATCACATTTTATGCACATAAGATAGCCTCAACCAACCAAAGCATCCACTAAAGAATACTGCGACTAGCCTGGCTGCGACTCCGCTGACTCGCACGACTCGGACTGGTCCGACTCGGCTCATCCTCTTCAAGGACATCACTGAGTCGAGTCGGGTGGCGATGACGGGGGTCACAGACTCCCAGCCCGTGCCAGGACCCCAGCCCGCACCACTGTAATCTGCGGCCGACACAGGCGGGTAAGGAGCCTGCGAAGGCGCAGAGGATGCAGCAGAGGTGTATGCGCCGTCGGGCATGTAGTGGCGATCGTCCTCGGGGGAATTGTCGTATTCCTCGCTTCCCTCGGAGAGAGGGGGTGGGTAGGAGAGAGGGTGTCCTTGGGCATCGTGTGCGTAATGCGCGTACTCCTCGTCGCCGGCGTCACTGCTGCCTACGTAGGAGCGGTCATCCGGTTCTGAGGTTGTGGGCTGCGCTGTGGCGTAGGGCATGGAGGTGTTTTGATGCTCGTAGAGTTGGCCCGAGTAGGGGGCTTTCGAGGTGGCTGGGGGGTCTGTCTTTTTGGGTTCGATGAAGGGATCGGAGCCGGTTGGGGACATCGGGGTGCCGTCTTCGTAGTATTGGCCGCTGGTACTTGGTCCGGTTGGTTTGCCGTAGGCGTCTGTGCCCATGCTGGTGGCTGTGGGGCCGCTTGGGTAGGGTCCTTCGCGGGTTTGGGGTCGGTTGGTTGTGTTGTGTCGGCTTGGGACACCGGATATCATGGGCACTACTTGCACGCCGCCGACGAGGGTTGGTTCGCCGTTGCGGAGGGAGTTGGTTCGGTCTCGCTCTTCCTGTTCGCGGCGGCCGAGTTCTTCCCATGCGCGGCGGGCTTCTTCTTTCGAGATTTGGAGTTCACGTCGCATCTCTTTGAGGAGCTCTTCTGCGTGAACTTTGTCTTTTTCGGCGGTTTGGACGGCTGCGAAGGCATCGGCTCGCCCTTGTCGTTCAGCTTTCAGCTGGCGGTCCAGGTCTGCTTGGACTTCCTTGGCTCGTTCCTGCTCGGCGCGGGTGTCGAAGAACCAGCGCTGGAACTTGCGTTCCGAGGATGCCCGGAGACGTTGCAATTCGACTACTGCATGAAACAAGTTGGCGCCAGCGGCGGACAAGTCGGTGATCTGTCGAGCAAGCTGTTGGCTGACAGGATCACGCTCTAGGTCCTCGTTGTGTTGTTCAAGCTTGCGCATCCAGTAACTGGTGAGGCCCTCCCAATGGGAGGAAAGGGTTTCCCATCGTTCAAATGCATGCGGGAAACCAACACGTCGCGGCTGTTGCAGAGATTGCGCGGTAGCAGATGATGCTGCAGCTGCGGCAGGTTGGGCAGGCTTGGAGAATCCACTCGGTCCGGTCTGAGCTCCAGCAGCAGCAGCACTCTTCGATCGGCCATGCTGTGATGCAGTTTCACCACGGGGCTGTTGACTAGATGTTTGGACTGGCCGAGATTGACCGGCAACTGGTCCTGCACTGGTCGTGGGAGGCGCGGGTTGTTGGCCAGCCGGTGGCCCACTGACAGGAACAGTATCAGGCTGTGCTTCAGCAGCCCTAGATGCGCGCGGGATCCGAGTTCGCGACTGGGAAGCGTTATCCCCAGAAATAGCAGCAGAATACTGCTGAGCCTGAGCCCGAGCCTGGGCCTCAGCCTGAATTTGAGCTTGCTCATGCTTCAGTTGCTGTCGTTCCAGTTCCTCCTGCTCCCTGTCTCGGGCATCCTGCTCTGCCTTGCGGCGGGCTTCCCGATCCCTTCGTTGTCTCATGATATCTGTCGGGGTTCGCATCCCACTCGGGGGCTGCGATGACCCCGACACTGGATTCAGATTTTGGGGTACACGGGCTCCACCATTCTGAGGACGGCCGTTGCCCATAGGTCCAGGAGGACCAGCTACGCCTACCATGTCTGACATGGAAGCATTCACTTCGTCCCAATCAGTTGAAAGTTGAAGGGGGCCGCGAATAGCGTCTTCGAGAGCAAAGAGAATTGCCGACGCAGTGCGCGATGAGACACCGGTGGTACGCTGCGGCCAATAGGATGTATCGAGGAGCTGGTAGGGGTCGTCTACAGTCGACCCGTTGTCATCAGTATGGGCTTCGGAAAGGGCCGGACGTAGCGCAGCAATTCCACTGGCTGGGGGCTGTTGCACAGAGCTTTGTCTTGTATGCGCCGGCTGAGGGTGAGGGTGCGGAGAGGCGTCTAGGGAGACCGCTCGACGATGGAGGTTTTGTCGAGTCTCTGGCTCTCGGCGAACGCGACGTAAGGTGCGCTGCGAGTCGGACGCGCTAGGAGGTCGGAATTGGGAGTCTGCTGAGGCGGACACTGGTCGTTGGGTCGCTGGCTGGCGATGCCGCGCAAAGGTCGTAAGTATGGGGTCGTTAACGTCGTGGACTTCGTCAGACGCTCTTGAGGTGTGTCGAGACACCTCAACGAAGGGTCGGTGGAATTGTGGATTAAAAGGCAATGCGAGGGTTCGTTAGGATAGCTCTCAAAGGAATCGCGATCGGTAATGTCGATCACTCAGGATTCGTGAAAGGATGACAGCCCCAAAGGCCGTACGTTTCGAATCTCGATCCACGAAATAACGCAATTGAGAGAAAAATCGATCTGATCTCAGAGGAGTTTGGGGAGGAGAAAGGGGAGTGGGAGGTGGCTGGTTAATTGGGATGGCTGGGGGTTGCCGCAGCTCAAGCTGCAGCGCAAATGTGTCTTAGGGCGCATGAAGCGCCAACACTGTCCAAGCCAGAAGAAGAGAGGATCAAGGTCTAAGAAAGGCAAAGGGGAAGTAAGAAAGCTCGAGGAAGAGGAATGCGAGGATTTCGGGAATGTCGAGGTCCTCCGTGCCCTAATGCCAACTTTTGGGGCTCTGTTTCAGCTGTCAGGTCCCAGCTCAATCATTCCAATCTCAGACCATGGGTAGACGAGAACGACAAGCTGGACCTTTCAGAACTCGACAATTGGCGATTTTCCAATATTGGAGCCGGTCGCACAGACGGTGATAGATCACTGGGGCATCAACTAGAATGGCTCACAGCAACGACATGTAAGGGAGAAAGGGAAACCGAGCAAAAACCTTCCACCAGAAGCACCAACAGGAGTGAGGCGAGATGATCGATCTCCATCGAGCAGCCATGGTTGGGCTGGAGACTAGCAAGTGCTAATTGTGGACTGATGCGCTGGCAGAACAGTCGCGTTTATAGTTCAGGCAGATATCAGTCTCTCTGACCAGACTGGAAACGAAGCCAGTTTCATCAGGCTCATCAGGTTCACTATTTTCACCTTCACTTTTGACCATTTTGCAAGCTGCAAGCCAGGAACACGGGTTTCCGAGACTTTTGGGTACCCCATTGGAACCATTGGAACCAGTGGTTCATTTCGCGTCGGCTCGGGTTTTCTCTCCACAGGGGAAGTTGCCCTTTCTGGATCACTTCGATGGACCATGTTATATTCGATATAACTTATTCTATGTATTCAGCATATTGCACATCTTCAACGTCTTTCATCTATGCCATATATTCTTCCCTTCCAATTGGCATTCAAAAGATGTGCAAGTATGCTTCCCCGCAATGACGTCGGCTCTGATGACAAAGCAGGTCCTGGATCTCCAGGGCTCAGTTATAGATCGCGATAGGTTGCATGTTTGCCTGACATGGTTGGAAGAGTACGTAGCGATATGACTATTATGAAGCCTCAATGGCATCGAAAAGGTCATGCTGTGAAAGCGATTAGAATGGAAAAAAGAAAACACCAGGCTCGCGCCAAGGTTCGTGATGGTATTAGGCATGTTGAGCTCAATGAATTGGCAAGCTTGGAGTTTAGATACATGGCTATTGATACTACCAGGTCTGTACTTGAGACATCTATATCCTTGGCCTTGCTGTATATTTCTCTGTCACATCCTGTTCTTCTAGCGCTAGAGGTTTCATGATCTGGAGTCCGATTGCCGAGGCCTTGGGGATATGAACCATGAATTTTGTCCCACCAAGCCCATACATGAACGAAGTAGATAGAGACATGTTATAGATAGCACACCTGAGCTAGCATAGCTCTAAGTATTGAGTCTGATTGACAAGGGATGTAGTGGTCATCCCATATTGGAAGATTCAACGCAGGGTGCGTACATGTCAACTCTCAGTGCCCTTCTATGTCGGAACTTTGCCAGATCCAAAGGCCGAGGCTCAAGCCCCAAAGAAGCAAAAAAGACCCACGCACTAGAAAAATCAAACATTGCCAAGGTCAAGGGCTGGGGGAATCGGTGGATAGGGTATTACTGTATGGGTTGTAAACCAGTTTGACCAATCCGAGGAAACAGCAAAGCCAGTCTTCTTCCGGGGACTGATTACAAAGTAGAAGGATATAAGGTATTTACTAGGCTAACAGAACATTGTACAGATGTACCCCGGAGTATAAGTTATAACGTTATAGGTACATCACCTAATAAGTCATAATGGTTCAACCGAGTTGAGGGTCAGGCCCGAACCGAAACTTTAGATAAAAATAGACAGTGACTGTGATATTGATGTCGGCCCCTTGGACTATCCCGAGGTCGAGACTTTTGCATAGTGATGACAAATAGAAGTTCTGCTCTTCAAATGTTCAGCCCTGAAGGGTTTGGTGACCGCCACAGCCAGTTATTGGGGCGCCAAGTGGGTTCTATTTACACCACAAAGTACCACTGAGCAAGATCAAACAAACAAAAATCCTATGTATTATGGAAATCTGAAGTTTTCTGAAAATTTGGAATGTCTGCGCGGTATGCTTAGCCACATTTGCGAAGATCTATTCTTGTTTTTTCTTGCGTCTACAGCATGGAGCGGTGTAGATGCATAAATATTGCCTTCATACAGACTAGATCATACAGTGGAAGTCGTTATAGCTTTCTATATGTACTATGTCACAGTGATGTGTGGTCCCAAAAGACTATAGAAGTGCAACTTGTTTGGTCCACGTAACATTAGTATTTCACTGAAGACTTGAACAAAAGCTCCAGGTTGGAACGTTTCAGATAATGCGCAAGATCCCTCAAGCCATAAGAGCAGATTAAGTACCGTGTATTCCATGTTTTCTGGAGTCACAGCTCCGTTAGTCACGCCCCTGGAGACCTCGGAATGAACCTTGGAAGGCTGACTTGTCACTCGATGCCGGGGCACTAGTGTGCGAGATACATCAACCAAGACCTCCTTATAAATCAAGTGTATTGCGGTCACTGGTAGCCAATGTATTTCTGTGTTAAGACAAGTTCATGGGAGCTGTACAGTGAAGCATCTGGGGTGAGTCCGAAACATCAAGCTATCTGTTGGTATCCATCAGATCTGTCTAGTAAATATAGAGCAAGCTCGGATGCACTTTTTCATTCGAGCTGCTGGGACGATATTGACTTTTGCAAAAGAAACAAAGGTTAGAGGTTGGAAGACAGAACCCCAGCTGGCGGAACCTAGACACTGTCAGATTGTTATCGACATTCACCTTGGAGTAACGTTAGGTATATCCGACGCCCACAAGCCATGATAGACAGAGCATCATACTATCACAAAAGTAGATGCAGCGTTTCATCGGATTGGTGCCATTGGCGTGGTCCGCGTCACATGGCGAATCTTCCAGCAGGCGGACGCCAATAGTGGGTTGCCGGCAATATTTAGACATGAAGGCGTGGTATATGTATGCATTTGGGGAGACCTTTAGACCCCTGCAGCAGTTGAAGTGTCTCTGCTGAAGCATGCGCTCACTGCAGATACTGTGACGGGCATCAAGCTTGCTTGTGGGACCGAGGAAGTGCCTTGTGCGCATGCGGTGCGGTGCGTTCAGTAGAAGCATCCCGGAAGAGCAATGCGAGTAATATGTACTGATGTACCTAGCAGTGGTTTGTATGCTGTGCATCATCAGATGCAAGATTTTGTTTTGTCGAGAGTTTTTCTCCGGAAGGTGAGCGCGACTGTGTTGACAAGTAGTTGGAATGAATAATCTGGGCAGAAAATTGCCTTTGCGCAATTTATGAAGCAGTTCAGGAGTAGATTCACTGCGAGACTTGTTTTATGGGGTCTTTTTGTCAGTGAGATTGAATGATTGTGTGACTCGGGAGTTGGCCACTTGCTAAGATGAGTGTTCCGGAGAGTTGCATAGATTGAGGATGGGATGATAAGAGACATAGCATGCCATTTTTGTCTCATATCATCTTTCTTTACCTTGTTAGTAGACCTGAACAGGAGGATGTGGAATTTACAAATATCGGCTTGTAATTCTCACAAGTCCCTGCAACGCGCTAATCAGAAACGCGTGAATTGACATTCCTTCAGCCTCCAACCATGTTTCCACAAAGCATGAAAGAACTCACTGGTATCGACAGACACATTAATATTTAGCTATCTCTTCAGAAGAATAACTAGATCGAAGTCTTGCGCGTCACCAGGGTATACGTATATGCGTAAATTTGTTATCGTCGTCGAATCCAGGGAGTCTATGTATGACTGACTGTTCTACCGACAAATAAAACACCATCATAATCAATTATTAAGAATCAACTCAAAAAAAGATGATAACTATCTCATATCAGCTCTCAGGAACTGCTATGAAATATGCATAGGGGGTACAAATATTTTGGTTCTCCTAGCGAGTGAGATCAATAAATTGTGCATCTCTTAAGGTCATTCTGGCAAAATATCGGTAGTATACAAACTGCTAGTTTATTTAAGAACAAAATCAATTTATACGTAAGTCTATTGCTGTACTGTCTTGATTTTATATGTGTAAATAGTGTGCGGTAGTTGGATGCTGATTATTCGAAACTGCGACACTCGTCCAAGATATATATGTGAGAGCGTGGCTTCCTTAAATCCTCTCCAGAACACCAGTATAATGACTACAGTATGATGGTGCTCTATCTCCTCTAAGAAATTTATATATTTTCAGTTTTACTCATTATAGTTTGAGGGCTTTACAGTGAATAGTTAAACCCTACGAAGCCGTCTTACAACCAATGCCGGGAAAACAGACCGCGCTAGCTGCAAAGACTATGCGAACAGAATTAGACACACATGATGACCACTATCACGAGTTCCGAGAACAACTACTCTACTTGAATCTGGGTGTTCACATTCAAGATGTTTAAATTGTAGATAGCCTACACTTTGGATGAACAGTGCGAGTGACCAACCAATCACAACCCCAGACCCCGTGATTACTGTTTAGAACCGATCACATGACGTCACTAGCCAAACTGTACTCCCGACCACCCTAAGCACCTTCAAGCCAGAGCTAGGGCGAGAGAGTATCGCAGGGCGGCTCTAGGCACCCCCTGAAGATGGGGCTCCAGGCCTGCAAAGCCAATTTCAAATCCCAAAGCGAGGAGAAAGGCCCTCGATACAACCTCATTTCACCGAGACACCCAACCCCGACAACCAGCAAAACAAACAACCACGAACAGATAGCTACATTGGCAATTTGGACCTACATCATGCAGAAGCAAAATGAGCCCCTGGGGAGCCGTGAAAGCAAAGAGGCCCAGACCCCAGCGGGAAGACGCTGCAAGGGTGCCAGTATCGGAAAATTAGACAGGGCCCGGAAGAGCTCCAAGCCGCGGCGCTACGGATGCACGAAGCGAAACCCGGCAGAGTCTCGAAGACCCAGTATTGAGGTAGGTTTCACGCATGCCTTGCAGGGTACAGCATAATCTCAGATCTGGAGCTTGGTGTTTTGGATCGGAGGTGTTTCACTGTTGTCCAGGGCCTGTGCTGGATGTTGGCCAATCAAGGATGTTCCGTACGAGACACTGAGGAAAAGACTACCGGGGACAGCAGGGTGGCTTCCTGACGGTAGGGATCAGAGGTGTCTCTGCTCTATTGTACTCTATCTCACGGGGAGGGCAAGGGAGGATGAAGCCCAAATTTTAGGGAGTGCCAGGGCGCTGATGGTCCTCGATTCCAGGCCTTGACTCCTGCTCGCCCTCCTTGAAATCCTGGAGTCCCTGGAGATAGATCCTGGGATCCCTGTGAGGGTTCTACTCGATAGACGGAAGCATGCATGTCATCTGATGCTAGTTCGCGGTGACCAGTTTCGGTCTTTCAATTTACATAAGATGGTCTGCAGTTACAATGGCGGAGGAATGTGATGAGGATGGGAGGCGAGGGTGGTCTGCCGAGACTGCTTCCCCGGTGGGTTCACTAGAATGAGATCGCGAGCAGTGCATGAACCGCTAGAGAGTTCCTGCGATGTCGATCAGGGGTACTACTGGGGGGGCTGCCGATATTTATACAGGTGCATGAATAGCTGCGCTGCGACGGCCATCGGTATAGCGGGATGCATGCAAGTCAAACTTTTCAATGGAATGTGGGGGGTTATTGATTGGAGTAGAATCATGTCTCGAGTGTTTGGGTGTTGATTAGTTGGAGGTGTCAACTCGAGATGCGATGGGTTTACAGCTCTGGAGTATAGATGAGAGCGTTATCCATCTTCCACACCAAAGCCTTTAGCTTCACAGAGGGCCACTCCCGAATGGTTCGATCATAAATTTCAAGAAATAAAGTTATTCGATGAACCAATAAACTCCGCCTGAATTGTTACAGCTGCACAACATTTGTGATCTGTCAAGTGTCAAGGTGCTCCTTGACGGGGTTGTCCGACCCTTGGATGAAGGTTCTGGGGGATATCTGGCCCTGTACTCCATCCACGGGAAAATAGATTCTACAGTAGTCCATTCTAGCAGAATCACGCCAGCTTGCTACAACCTGAATTCGAGGCATTTGAGCGAGTAACATCAGAAAGGCAGACCACAACGCCATGACGTAGGGGGATCACTCGAATGAAACGTTGAGGCTCGAATTTAACGTTGGTTGCTAGGACTGAGCCTGGAATGTACGTGTCTGTAGATAGCGTAAATGGCGTAGAGGGCGTCGAGCTGGCAAAAGTCCCAAATGACAAAGAAGAAAGTGTTCGATCGCGATCGGCGTAAGTGGCTCCGGCCCAGTGATATCTCACATTTCTCCCAGCCTCGGACTTCTGCGCAACCTCTGCAGCTCTGCAGCTTTTGCAGCACGGTGGTGCATAAGGATGCTGGTAAGCGTGGGTTGGAACTTTTGTCTGGACTTTTGCCTCCCTCAGCTTGGTATTGATCGAAATGATGAACCTGAAGGCAACACGACGAGTCTAATCACCGTCGTACTGTGTCACTTTTCCCCTGGAGTGCATGGGCAACACGAGCAACACACACAGGAGCACACACAATGAACCAGCAGACAGCAGATAACAGACAGAAATCAGAGTACACAGACAAGAGTCTACAACGTATCCTTCGGGATGTTTGTCGTCCAAAGCCCTACGGATCGAGTTCCGGGGCGCCCTTGCTGGGGAATCCAATGGAGGTCCTTGCTGCAACCCCTAGGGAAGGGGATGCAGGTCGGATAGGTCATGATCGTCTGTGCGGGTCTTTTGTTTACATGCATTGGCATGTCTAGCCACTGGCTCATTGTACGAGGCCGTGGAGGTTATTTTTGGTCTATAAACATATCCCTCCCTGATACACCCTTCTTCATTCTTCTCTCCACTCTCCACTCTCCACTCCTTCTCACTGTCGTTGTGCTCGGGTCCTAGAGATCCTTTACTCGTCCTTCACCTTGTTCGTTGTCGATCACCCCATGGCTCACGGAGATCTATACTGTCCAGGCGAGTTGGACGTGTTGCATAGTAACAGATCAGAGACGACCATTTGTCTACCATCACCATCACCAAGAAAGCGAATCTCAACCTATTACCCCAGATCTGGTCCTAGGGTGCTGGAGGAATCAAACCTGGACCCATTTTACCTCGAACAATCACTGGCCGACACGCCATCTTGGGATTACAACTCGGAGATGCGCAATGATAGTTTTGAAGACAACAGCCACTACTATACATTGTCATTGACCCCAGGAGATCAATTTCACCACTCATTGAACTACGGAGCCGACCGCTCTACACTGGCACAGGTCGAACTGGAGAATAGCTTGCGATTCCACCGATACACTCCCTCGACGGAGCGAAGCACTTTGCATAGCAGCCAGGATTCGTTTAGCTCCGTGCAGACCGACAGCACTACCCCCGATCTCACTCCTAGCAGCTCCTTCTCCTCAGCCTATTCATCGCCCGGTTGCCCTGACGTCGTCCTGCAAGCGACAGAGCAACTGTACAAGCACGCACAGGAGGCTCACCCAGAGTCCCGCCGTCGCTTCTACCTCCCTGCATCTACTCCCCCAAAATACTCACTTCCTCCCCCTCCTCCTCCACCGGTGGCGCCTTTGACCCCGGCGGATACTCGCCCTACCACTCCTTGCGAGCCATCGAACGACTCCACTACTACCATCACTATGGGTTACGAGGATATGACTGGAGCTGGGTCAATGTCGACCCGATCTCGCCGCAGAAAGCAGCCTCCAACCCTTCCCAACTTGTCCCGTGCCACCAGCTCCCACAGCTCCGGCCGCAAGCAATCTAGCCCTGGAACACGAGTTCCTCTGGATCCCTCCATGATTTCACCTCCATGTCTGATCAACCCCGTCACAATGGAGCCCCATATGACACACTTCGACCACCCTCTCTTCATTCCCGCCAATGACTGCCCCAGTCCTGTCCCCAGCCCTGTGGCTAGTTCCCCACCTATCTCCCGCCAATGGACAGCAACATCTATGGAACGGCCGTCGATTTCCACAATGGATGCCCGCTGCGAACAGTCCGTCTGGGAGTCAGATTCCGAGAGCGAGTCTGTTGGCCGAAAGTCCATCTCACGCAGACCAATTGACACCCTCCGCAAGGTTCGCAGCCGTGCGAAGCTTCGTGGTGCCAAGTCCCAACCTCGCCTTCACCAGACCATGCTCGATGACCAGGCAATGGAGCAGTTTCCCTGCATGCCAGACGACATCCTAGGTGAGCACCTGGCCGAGTCCATCCGCAACGCGAGTATGGACCGGCCTAGCACAAGCCGTGATGGTCTCCGTCCCTCTGGACTAGCAACGCTGCGCTTGGTTGCTCCCTCTACCACATCACTTGTCAAATCCCGCTCTCGGAAGAACAGCAGCATCAATAGCTCCGACGTAGATCGTTCAGCTGCTGCTGCCTTCCAAGCACAGTTCCGCCGCCGCCAGCGCTCGGATACCCCAGAGTGCTCCACCTCTTCACTCGGGAAGGACGACCGAGAGAAGCTCACATCCTTCTGCTTTGAGCAGCACCCTCAGCCTGCTATCCATGATGGTGCCCAGTCCCGCCCCTTCTTCCAGCGATTCATGGATTCCTTGCGATCCTTGAACTGCGGCAAGCCCACAAAAAAGACCAATGTATCTGTCATCTAATGCTTTCACAATCGGCGTTCCTGTTTCTGGACTCAACAATAACGGACTATCTCATTGCTACAATATCCCAGCTTCCTCAACGATCACTCCAACGATTTCCTATTGTCTCACGCTCAATGTGTTCATACGATCACGAACACTCACACTCGCTTATGCCGTCGGAACACTCGCCAGTTCGAGTATTCCGCACCCCGCGCACAATGAACTTAATGAATCTCCAGACCCGACTGTGGCTGGACTCCGACGCGCCTCAAGACGTTCTCTGCATGCGCACATCCGCGCTACGAAACGAACATGATATACCTGGTCCATGACCAAACTGTTTGACTCATGACTCGATACCCTCGGGCTCACTATCTTTAATTTTCCTTACTGTCTCATTCCTACATTTTGTCCGCCTAGCAGCGCTCTAGCTGTGTTGTATCACCATGTTTTTATTTTGCTTCAATCATGTGTTCTCCATCCCTGTCTGTCGCTTGATTTGATTCGATTCGTCTCACTTCCCGACTTCTATCTTTTTTTTCTTGCTATCTACTTGAATTGTACTCCCTATCATAGAAAAAACGGCGCTAGGTGTGGACTCCTCTCAGTCCTCTGGGCCCAAAACTGCATTTCTTTTGGGTTCCTACTTCAAATCAAAAAATTGTTTCAATCATCACACTCCTATTGCATAGACGAAACACATACTTCACACGTTACTTCAGTACATAACCGTTCTTCCGTCACGCTGTTGTCGAGGCAATGGAAATCTTCTCCGGAATGTTAGATGGACACATACAGCCACGCCCTCGAGGTATCCTCCGATCCTACCGCAGCCTCCACGCATATTAATAGCAACTTCGTCACTATTAAGACTAACCAAGGTATGTCTAACTTGTGTCTAATGTAGAAACTATGGAAGGTGTCTTCCCATCTGCCCTTCCACCTACGTTATCCCGCATTCTCCCACGGGGGTAACTGAATCTCAACCCCAACACCCCTTCACCAGGCTGCAAATCCTTCCGCACTCTTCCTTTCCCGGAAAACACCGAATATCCCCCTACTAGCGCACCGTCATTGTACTAGCACCTGAATAGGTAAACGTACTTACTTCACTAGATGATCCTCTGAACCGTCCAGACCCACAGTGATCACCCCAATCTGCAGCTGTCTTGGAACTACTTAATGTACGCGACAAGGGTGTGATCCTGGATCCTGGGACTCCCATTAACTGACCACTAGTCTATCCTTACCTGTCAATTTTGATCCCCTGCTACGTTAATGGTATACCCCACTATCAAGGCCTAGAGCTCATAGCCCGGATCGTGATCGTGATCGTGACCATGGCCCCGAGTACAAAGTACAGTGCTGACTGCGCCCTAGTGCACCGGGGACACGGATATGGGTCCGCTCGGGGAGCCGGGGCGTTGTTAGATCGACGAGTTGACGTCGTTAGGGTTTGGGGTTTGAGGGGACTACCTAGCACCAGTGGAGGTAACAGTGTCTGCGGTTGGGTATCGAGCACTCCGAGCTGCTGATCTCCGTGAATATTGTTTCCTCTGGTTTGTATTATAGATGTTCTCTCAGCTGGGCGAAGCTCAGCCCTCTCTGAGCGTACAGGTAAACCGTTGTGTGGGGATGGAACGCATCACCCATCCCTTGCGTCGGCCCCGTCCATCCGCGTACTTTCTGAACGCCCTCGGCTGAGAACACCCACAAACTGATTTTGATTTTGATTTTGATTTCAGATTCGGTGGAGAGGAGTCGATGGCTTGATATGGAGCACCGTACAGTTTTAATATCAGCCTAACGGCTCCGTCCCCGCTCTAATATCATTTTGATATCACAAACCATGAGCTTAATCTATTCTACAGTGTTGTAGACTTGAGCAAAGCACACAGATCTTCGGTATTCTGGATGCCACTTTGACAGGTTACGCTAGACAGGGGTCTCGATTGCCTCGGCCAAACAAATCCCCATCCCTTTTGTCGGGACTCTACATCACAAGTAAGGTGTCCCGATCCACCGGATGCACTATTTGCTTCCCCCGAGACGCAGCTCGGGTTTCAGATAGATCGGAGTTTGCAGAGCTGCGAGGTTCTCGATCGGGGGTTTGGTGGGGACTGGTACTTTGTTTCGGTTTCTCTTGTTCTTTCAATGATGCCTAGGCCTATGTACTGTACTGCTGCGAACGTGACATATGATCAGTCATTTTTGCCTCGTGTTGGTCGACCAATTGGTTCTTCTGGCCCGTTGCCTTACGGCTGGACTTCTTCCCCCCATGAGTCACAATCTCTATGTAGCTCAATTGCTTCCTAGGCTTTTCCCTGGAGTTGACATACATGTCTTAGCACTCGCAGGAAAACAGATCTCGATCTTGGTGTATGCCCCTGGCAACAGCCGTTCCTACAGGAGTCTGCAGAAACATCATCGACTCCTAGTGTCAATGTCTCAGCGAAACAACTTCGTTTAGTCCCACACAACACGGAACACACAGCGCGGACCGGGCTTCCGCCCCGCCACGTCCGGATCCTTGCAGGACAGCGGGTATCCAATCCAGGTTTTTGGGACTTGCATGGTCTAGGGGGAATCGTGCAGCGCGGGACGGCGACGGAAGACCCGAGAGACAGACAGTTGACTGGTCGTGCAGAAAGTTCCCAGTGCAACAACACAGAACGACCTTTTCGTCTCTTCGTCGAGAGCCTTTTGTTGTGTAGATCTCCGACCAAAGCACGGCTTCGTCGTGTCCATGACGAAGACATTGACCCCGGCCGTGTTTTGGTCGGCGCATGTCTAGGAACAGAGCTTCAACTCTGCTCCACGGCCTGCGCTGCAATGGCACCTGCGCCGCCGAGACCCGCGCTCTCGCTCTCGCCCTTGTTTTCCTCTTTCTCCTTCTCCTTCATCTCCAAGGCTTCCATATTCTCCTCCCAACGAGGAACAGCAACCCTCCCCTCCCACTTGGAAAGAACCACATCCCCCTTCCTCGCCAGCTGTACCTCCGCAGACTCCCCTTCCTTGCTCTTACTCTCGGGAACAACCTCGACAGGCACAGCCGGTGCCCCTTCAACCCCGGCACCAGCGAAAACAGCCTGCACATCCAGCTCCTTCAACGCAGCTTGGTAAAGCGCGCGAACATGCTCCCTCTTCTGTTGTCGTACTTCTGCCACTTCATCCGTATTCTCTTGGTCTTTACTCTCCCGCGTCGATGTAGCTGCACCACCCCGCACCGCCGGCTTCTTAACAACGCCCGGCCCACTGCGCTCTTCAAACCCACGTAGTAATCCCTCCATAATTCCTAGAATCGTACCGGCTCTCATGCCCATCTGTGCGCCGACCGGGAAGCCTGCATCGAAGCCTTCTTGAACATGTTGACCCTTTGCCATTGAGACGCCATCGCGGTAGCCCGCGGTGACGTGTTGGCGGCGGAGAGAGGGGAGGTCGGACGGCTCAGCTGTAGACCTTGGGGCTGAGGCTGAGGCAGTGGTTTCTTCTGCGGCGCGGTGTGGCGCGTGCAGCTCTCTTTCGCTGCGTGGTGGGGAAGAGCCGAAAATGTCATCCAGCGAGTTGTCGGCTGCGTGGTCGGTGTGTGTTGAGGTCATTGTTGTTGCTGGGGATGGAGGGGCGGATTGGGCGGAGCTTGAGTCTGTGTGTGTTTGGCTCATTACGCAGCGTTGGGGAGCTGTCGAGATGAAGTGATGTGGTGAACTGAACGAGAGAGAAAAATTGTTGCGCGGGGCTGTTCCCCACACTTCCGCCTTGACTCTATGAGTTATTCTCGACTTCTTTTCTTCCTATATTTGCGCATATCTTGCTTGTTCTACAAGGTATAGATGGTTCGTATTCCTGAATACCATTCTTCTTCCTTTGGAGTTCATGAGGTCACATACAGATCATGTTTGTTCTTTGCAAGCCAAGCGTTGCTTCATATAGAAATTATCCAGCACTTCAGAACTCATGGACAAGATTAAAATACAAAAAGGCATACTAATTAGAAGAGGATCCATAGTCAACTAAACAAGATGGACAATCTGTGATTTAGACCATTATCAACCAGTTCCATACAGATTGACGCAAGTCCAGATATTCAACCAACGCAATACAGGTTGACACAAGTCCAGGAAGCAATCAACCAGTGTAATACGGGTTAACGCAAGTCCAAGAGGTAACCAATGAGCCACCAGGACCAAAGGCGGCCTCAAGCGCCGACACAGCAGCCCAAGTGCCCATACCGGATGAAGCAAGACCACAACCAACGTAGATCAAGACCGGCACGCTGAGGTACCAGGTCTTCATGAACCCTCGAGCCCATCTCTTCATTCCACTATCGAGCCGGATGGTCTCACCAGTAGCAGGGTTGAAGCCTTCGCCTGGAAGTCTGGCACCGTCTTGGATCTTGTAAGCCAGATACATGACTCCAGAGAAGGAGTATGTGAAGTTCAGGCCGAAGAGGCCGCCGACGAAATTGGTGAAAGCTCCAAATTCGGGAATGGACATGGACACTACGAAGGCCAGGATCCAGTAGAGTGGTCCGAGGCCCCACCAACAGAACTTGCCCTTTTTCGATGCGATAGGGGGCAGGTGGAAGATTTCTTGGCCGATCTCGAGGTAGAGGGTCTTCATGCCGACATTGAAGTACAAGACTGTATATTTGGGTTAGTTTCTCGAAAAATTGTGGCTGTACAGGGGGCAGAAAATCTTACAGACGGCGAGCCATCCCGTCATGAGAGAAAGGACATTGCCAACAACTTGGAGGTTCTCTGGGTTGACGGACTGATTGACGTTACTGTAGCTGTATTGGCCGTAATAGTTGTAAACCTTTCCGAATGTTAGTCTTTGAAACTTGCATCAATGTCTTGTTGAGAGGCTTACAAAAGCACCGAAAAAGATATAGACAACTGTGATGAAAGTCTGCGCCAGGAGCAATCCTTTCCAAAAGTCGTTAGGGCGTCGCATTTCTGACAAGAAAGCGACAAACAAGACAGCACCGGAGTAGGCATCTGGCCACGAGTTAGCATTTTCGCACGATTAGGGCATGTCGTAATCAGTTGACTTACAAACCATGCTGTTAATGCCATTGAACTGAGCAGCAAACAGGTTGCTATCAGTAGGCTGATATAAAGCAGGTGGGGTGTTGACGAATGTTTTGACAGGAGCCATTGTCGATACGTCGGCCCACGCCTTGGGTAAAATACCGTTGTTCACAGCAGCAGTAGGGTCAGGGCCATATTTGGCCGCAGCGACACAACTAGTCAAGTCAGCCAATTGTCAGACACATACTCAGATCCTCTACTCACATAATGATAAAGGTGACAATGTTAATCCACACGGAGAAATTGCAGAACCAACCAAGGTGCTTAAGCGACCGCATATATCCACTCGCCATACCAACGACGAGGGAGATGACACCGCATACGACGAAGCAAAGATTGACGCTTCCAGCCAGCTGAGCAATGATACCTGTATTTCCAAGGAGAACAATGGCAACACTCAAAAACTGCTGCAGAGACTGCATGAAGTTGATAAAGTGGCGCATAGTTGGGCCATAGAGACGGAAGAAGGGATCACCAAAGCTCATCACCGGGTACCGGGACGAGTCAAGAGCAAGGAAGGTCCGCCAGATCATGATTCCAGAAGCGAAGGCAGCAATACCCATCAAGAGAAAGATGCCCACGCCCAGCCCGTAACCAGTGTTGGCGAACACGTAGGGTGTCTGACTCCAGCCCAAGATATCGGTTGTGATCAAGTAGAAAATGGCTCCCCAGCCAGCGTTGCGCAGGGCTCTGGCGGCAGTTCGCCATTCGGCGTCGAGGTCGTCGCTTTCAGATGGTGCGATGGGGCTCATTGTACCCTTTTCGCCGTCGACACCTATGGTCGCCTGCTTTTCGTTCCATCTTGAGGGTTCTTCATGAAGCTGTAGCTCACGCGAGTTGTGGACTGTAGCATCCTCGTAGGGGGCCTTGATGAAGTAGCCTTTGATGGATCCCAAGATACCGCCCGATTCGACAGGTTTGTAGTTGCGACTTTCCTGGTCTTCTAGCTCGCGCTCGATCTTGGCCCAGTATGTGAATTCTTCAAAAGTGACAGTTGGGTCGAGACGGGCTTCTAGTCCCCACTGTCGTTGACGGATACCAGGGTGGGTTCCGGCTTCATCCATCTTGCGTAGCTCTTCGGGTGATGCTACGTTCTCATATACCAGCTCCGTAGGGGCCGTGATGGGCATAGGCCCCGAAATCGCAGACATTACTGTGGTTTAACGGCAGCGAGTCTGGATAGAGCGTATGGAAAAAAGACAATTGAGTGAAAGCAGAAATAACGAGGCAGTCTAACCGAATACTTATATCTGGAGAGGGCTAAGACAGTGTGGGGGGAGGCGAGGATGGGCTTGAATGTGAACACGACCAATGTAGATGTAGAACCGTTTCATTACCACCTATACCGGTCTCCCTCAATTGCCTGATCCTATCGGTGTATTGTCGGCCTGGAAAAAAAATCAGGTGGCTTCAATTGCACCCCAGAAGCCCCGTTCATCTCGAGTATGGTCAGTTCATCTTTCCCATATCTTCTATCTTTCTATACGATTACTTGTTTTTTTTTTCCCTTGGACCCTTACGCCCTGCAGCTCGGCATAGTAAAACAAGCAATAGAGGCGCTGGGCGAAAAGTCTTGGTATCAAGTCGTACATGAACTGTACAGGCCATAACTGGTCTATCGGGGTTTGCCACCCTGGTCCAAGCGGCAATTAGATGAACGTGGGTCGTGTCTGATAGCCTTTTTAGTAGCGAAGTCCGATTGTGAAGATATGAGCAGGGAAGAAGATGATTGGGGCCGCACAGTCGGCCCTGGATGGGAAGGGGGGTTTCATTGGTCACGCGACTTACGAAACAATAATAAGTAGGCCCCGATTGGAAGTTTGGCCACGAACAATTTTGAAGCTTGACTCGACTAAGCTTTAGCTTGGCCTGAGTAAGCTTTAGCTAAAGCCACCATGGCCATATGGTGGGATGCAACGTCGGCTATTTCTTACGCCTCGGTTATCCACAGTGGCGGACTGAGGCAGTTTCCCCCGGGACTCCGGGTGCCTGACCATCTAATTGGGTTCCAAACCAGAGAACAGTGAGTTTACGTTGAGTTCTGACTGGCTTCTGACCGGCTTCTGGCTGGATTCTGGCTGAGGGGATCTCGCAACTCGGATTCGTGGGGTGGCCACGTTATCGAATGGCGCACACATTCGGTCTAACCACGCCGGAGCCCCGATGGTACACCGCACTGGAAAAAAAAGATAAAAAATTAGCATTGGAATATAGTAAGAGTCTCAGCCCTCATGGTCACTCGGAGCCCGTGCTGGTATGTACTCACTGATCCCGATTCCTCGAGGGACAGGACACAGCTCAGATAGGCAAGCCACAGCAGACATTATCTGGTATAGTTGCATATCCAGAACCCTGAAGAGACCAATTGGATTCAGACTGTTGGGCCTTAGGTTTCAATGGCATATCACTGGATTAAAGGTTCAACCTTCATTCATCGGTTTCAATTAACTTATCTCAAGAACTACATGAAGAATTCGGGCCAATCGCAAATAAAAAAGAAAATACACTCGCAGAACTCGGATAAGTTTCCGGCCTCGGGCTCAGTTATGGAATTGATGCTATCTTCAAAGCAGATGGAAGATGCCTGAGGTCTTTTACTGGTACATTATATGTCCAAATCGTATTTGCTGGACGCTTGTCTCTTCAGTCCAGCATTAAACCCTCACCAGCCCTGAAAATGACAGACTTCCCCGCTAGATGGGTAACGACATTGGGACATCGAAAGTAAGGTTGAAAAAGACAGGCCGGAAAAAGTTGTTAAATTTAGTCTGGCATGGAACTCAGAACTGACAGCAGTTGCTTCCAGCCTCTCCAGTGTTCATCTCACAATGCTCGGGGATTGTAACCTCTTTTTTCATATGTTCCAATCTTTTCCACGGCACGGATCCCAGACCTGAGCACCGGCCGGGGTTAACAAGCGGATCCCACCCACCTCGCAACCACAGGCCCACATTCGGTTGAGAATAACCCGCGGTCTACACGTCGAGGAGGCGTTCATGCAACGTGCTACATCCCCATTTCCGTTTCCCGCAGCTAGCGCCGCTCTCTAGAGCTCCAGAGCTGATACATAGACATAACATAAAAGTTTTAGCATAATTAAGCACGTCTCCATACCCCCGGAGAGGTGAGAGCCGGGGGACGTTAATTATAGTCATAACATATCATTTCTAAAGCGGATGCTTCCTATCCATCGACTCTTTATTGTAGAGGTAATCCATCGCAATTCAACTACACTGTGCTTTTTCCTTGAGCTCAGTTGCTATGATGCTTTCATATTCTGATTGCCTTATGCTGGGACAAGTGTTGATAACAATGGCAAGGTCACCCCGGATTTGACGGCAACGGCATTGTCGATCAATTTCGTGCGAAACCTGCTTTCCAGTCCTACACACACCTGCTTTTCAAGGTCGAGAATTCAATGACTGGTGTAAGATACTGCAAAATCTATAGCTCACTTTTTGAATGCTTTTATTAATCCTTTGATATCGAATGCTTGACCATCTATTGGAAAGTGTTAGAGAAATTTCAAGCCCTATGTAACAACTGGAGATCCAGTTGAATGCAAATTTTAGACTCAATTACAACTCTAAGTCTTCCGTGACTATTCACAAACATTCGACTTCATCTACACAGACAGAAACATATTTCAAGGCGCACATACCTTGCTCTATTCAGATTGTTGATCATACAAGCTGAGGAATACCAGGGGTCGTGAAAGCTCTCCAAGCAGCATCTTCGGTGTAAGTCAGAGACAGACTGTCAAAATTGACAAGGATCTTGGTCATTGTCGCTCTTTCGATATCTCATCGAGCAGAATACACCAGAGAAAAACCTGCCACCATCATCTCATCGGCTGTTGGAAACGATGGCAAGGCGTTATTTGCGAATGGGGATGATAAGTCCATGCTTTTTCTTGACCATACATAGCCTTGACGGCAATGTGAAACGTAAATACCCGGCCCTATCCATCTTTCATGGAAGTACCTATCAGCCTGGTCTATCATATCGCAAATGTTTAGCTTTTGATGGCCACTCAGAGGTAGTATCGCAACCTCGAGCAGGCCCAATGCAGGGAAAGGGCCAAAACACAAACTTTTTCGGAATACAACGCCAGCCATTCGACCTGACTTGTTCTTGTTTCCAACTCCAAGTTAATATCAATGATAACGGTCCATTTTTGAATGGTAGGAGCGGTGGCGTCGTTACTGCTTACTCGCTCGCGAATGCTGGCAACTGTGATGATCCAATGATCTTCTGCACTGGAGTCAGGAGAGTGAGCTACTTATCTGAAGTTACACATAGCACATGCCGTCGATGCCGTCGATGCCGTCGATACATTTTTTTGAGTCGAAATTCGATGGGGATAACATGGCTGGACGAGGATCTCAACAGTATGGAAGGCTTGAGATATACCTCAGGGATAACGAGTCAGGCTAAAGAACCGCTGAAAGTCCCAGCCCTGCAAGCGTTGGGAGAATTACCAGGGCTGTCTGGGGTCAAATTGGTATTTTTCATTTGTTCCAAGTCAGTTCGGAGCGCCAAGTTAAGAGGGCATTCACTAGCCCTAGGTAGCCCTGGAGGCCCCAGGGTACTCTGCTATGCTTACTGAGCATGCCAACTTTCTTCCCCCTCTCACCTGGCTCTGTCTGTTCCAATTTAATGCATGCCAGGCTTTGCAGATTATCCAGAGCCATACTCTGGTCCCGTCGACCGAATCCTCGGAGGGGGTCAACAACGGGGGGAACCTCGCTGCTGGTCCACAAAACTTACGATGACCAACGTACCTCACATTTCCTACCGGACTCAAAGCCAAGAATCAATCCATCGATGCATATGATCAAATGACGCCGGAAGGTGACCGTGGCATTCGATCATATGCAACGCCTTCAAGCCATAACGATGAAAGAGGACCGAACAACCGAATCCAACCCTCAACGCGACCAAGTACAGTGAACAAACTGTATACAAATATGCAAATGAAGCCCCAGTGCCCAGACCAAACCCGTGTGACAACGCAACTAAAATTCGTGTCGGCACTGCAAGCTGCACGTAAGACACGTCCCCTGAACCTAACAGGCGCCTATTCGCCATGTTCCTGAATCGGCGAGACACCACTCGTACATGCACCCAATGAGCAGACAGAAGAGTCCAGAAGACTTCTTCAAGTCCCCTCCCCCAGATCGGCTCCCAGACGAGCCGCGCCGAGAAGACCCTGAGGGTCTCGACACCACAGCGCCCGCCCAATAGCGGGCCAAGTATAGCCTTTTCCCCGACGCCAAGAGAGTATGCAAGAGACTGCGTTTTGCTTCTTTCAGCTGTCTTTTCAGCTGGAAAATAGGAACAGAGGTGTGATTTGAGGGGGGGATAGACTCCGCTTTGCAGCAGACTCGAACCAAAATAATGCGACCAGGATTGGAGGGGCTATAAGAAGAAACCATTCCCATCGTTCGATCGCACTCCAGCCCGAGTCCCGAATTTTGGGTCCTGATCTTGTTCTTATTTTTATTCTTCTTGTCTTTCCATCGAATTGACCATCGTTTCTGCCTGCATACAGTCCATTTCTCATAATGAATTTCTTGGCTCTATACCTGGCGCTCGTCAGCGTCTTTTCCAGCACAGTCGCTGCCCTGCCCAGACTTGAGCTCCGAGCAATTCTCGCTTATAGAAGTGTACGGCCAACCCCCTGTTCCATTCGCCAATACACCCCAACCAGACTCAAACCGCTAATGTTTCATAGTGGGACCTTCGCTTCCTGAGCGTTGCACCCCCAACTTGTAACCCCGACGACTCGAATTTGGACTATTCGATTTTCCATCGCTACGGCGCGAGTCCCCGCTCTTGTGAGGCGCTTGATACGGCGTCGTTCAACGCGACTAACCTCAAGAGTATCTCGTGGAAGAGTCCCGAGCCTTCGGATCAGCAGGATATTTGCTTGTTTAGTACCGCTGACTGCTCGGGTGGTGAGGGTGCTTTCCTCGGGACTATTACCTCCGGCTGGGATGTCTGCTATCTGTATAATGGTTTCTTGGGGTGGACTGTTATTGAGCATGGGGATAGCTGTGTTTGAGAGGTTGTATTGATGAAATCGTGGCGGCTGAGATCTATGGATCTGGTAATTGGGTTGATTGTTTGTGTTCATAACTCATTGGTAAATAACAAAAAGGTCATGGATGTATACACGGTACATGCTAAAAATTCTATATCTAGTCAAAGCAATTGTGCTTTTCTCTTTTGTGACTCTTCTTTGGCCTATTTGCAACTTCTTCGCCTTTACTATCTATAAGTTAAGGTAGACATGATGACGACTCAGTTTAGTGGCTAGTAATATACAATGGCTATCAAATCGGGAGGAAATAAAAAAGATGAGCATGACTATATGGATATGAGAAGATCAAATTGGTTAGAAGAACAAAAGAAAGTACGACGATGGACTTCATGAAGGTGAGAAGAAAGAGTCTGTCGGTGGTGTGGGATCGGAGAAAAGAGGAAGAAGGTCGACAAGGGAAAAAAGCAGACAGTCATGGCGGTAATTTATGGACAAGGTGATGTCTCGATTTCGAAGAGCATACACATATCAAACCCAGATCAGGAGACTTTGGAGAAATTTTAGGATACAAGATACTCAGTTGAAACCAATAACATGTCTAAATCATTTATTCAATCTAAAGAACGTCACAGAGACAAATGTATAAAAGTTAGATTATGTAGCCACCAACACCCGGAATCATGACATGAAACAAAAGCATGTTTACTCCCGGCCCGTGCCAGGAGTGAGGCGCCAGGCACGAAGAGGTAGAGCCTGCAATTTCCTAGCGGCAGGTTGAATAAACATGATGAACGTCACTACGCCGATGGCAACGCAAATCATGTTGGTCATATAGTAGCCATCGCGGTCGACTTGGCAGGTACCGCCGCCAGCGAGACAGCGGTTCTTCTCTGGCTCGAGGGCGCAGGAGAAGGCTGTGGTGATAAGGTCGCCTTTAAGAGATTCTGCTGCCGGGGCGGTGGTTGGTGGGAGACAGGTTGCTTCTGTGAAGAAGTCGACTAATTTTAGAACGAAGATTCGGGGGAATGTTCCGCCCAGGTTGCAGACACTGGGATTCATGTTAGTATGGAGACCGATAGGGGATATAATGTTGACTTACGTTGCCAGGAGAGTCATGTATGTTCCGCCAATGGCTGGGTCCGCAATGCGAGCGTGGAAGGCCGAAATGGCGACGAACATGACTGTGTTCATGAAGGTTGATAGGACGTGCTCGCCGATCACCGTCAGCATGTACCACATGGGTACCTCGGGAGCGCTAGGGTAGATCATGACGGTCAACTGGGCCAAGACAGCGGCTGCCAGCCGGCCAATAAAGGCCCAGCCCCAGAGACGCATGGCGCCGTAGTTGGTCGACCACTGGCCAGCATAGTAGCCCAGCATGATCTCAAAGGGGAAATCAATCAGCACCACCAACGCCATGTTATCCTGCCCGAAGCCCTTATCCAAAAGCTTCAAGCTAGTCACACCGTCATTAGCTTGGAAGCCGATCTTAGCAATCAAATGGATGAGAATGATAGTCTGAATGTTCTTCAGCTTCAGAACACTCCACATGCTCTTGTACACGTCCATGATGCTATCACGCTCCCGAGTGTGATCCTCCTTCTTAAGGAAGGCTAACCCCAATGTCACAATCAGGTACGCCCAGCCCCAGAAGGTAAGGTAGGTGCCGAGGGAGAGCAGGCCGCCCTCGCTGGGGATGGCCCTGAACCATCGATTGGCAAAGTCCTTCGAGTTGAACGCCAAGAAGACAGTATAAGACAGGAAGTGGCCCGCGGTCAATCCAACAGTCTGGGCAGTCGAGGCGTAAGAAATGTTGGGTGGGGACATGAGTGTGATGGCCCACCCGTCCACGGCGATGTCCTGAGTCGCACAGAAAAGCACCAGCATGAACCACCAGTAGGTGAACTTCCATACACCCGCACCACCATTGGCACCAGCCTGGACCATCATTTCTTCAATGTGTCCACCCAAGTAGATCATCGCGAGACCGGCAATGACCTGCACTGGTGTGATCCAGCTCTTGCGGCGCCCAAAGCGCGTACTCCAAACTGCATCGACAATCGGACTCCAAAAGAGTTTGAGAGAATAAGGGTATGAGGCGAGTGAGAAAATGCCAATTTGGCCGTAAGAGAGGTACGGCTTGAGTAGGAATGGGACGGAGCCCGTGGCCAGGCCCATGGGCACTCCCTGGAGGAAGTATAGGAGACAGAGAAGGAGGAAATTCCGGCGATCACTCGCAGGTAGGTTGTGGAAGGTTGTGTTTGCCATTACAGGCGTCTGCGGGATGACGGCAGGTTCATTGTCGAGAGAGAAGCTGGATCGCGACATCAGGGCGGCTGTTCGATCGGCGGAGGACTCGGAGGAGGGCGTGTCCCGCCTGCGCATTTCAATGTTGTTGTTCATCTTCCCATTCGCATGGCCGTTCGATCCCGTAGCTAATTTAAGGTTGGGTTTGGAGCGGCGCTTGGAGAGGCTCGCGTTCTTGCGTGTCATTGAAGTATAGTCTCGAGTCGAAGTTCACGTGTGACAGAAGTTGGGGATTGTAGTTATAAGTGAAAGAAGGGAGTGGGACAAAGATACCTAAGATGCCCAAGATGCCCAAGTTGGATTAATAAAAGAGTGAATGCATGAGCGTGGAAGGAATGGGGGAGTTGAACCTTGGAAGTTTGCAAACTGGCCTCTTGGCTGTCAAGTGGATTTGCAAATCCGGGGCAGTGCAGGGTCTCCAGATAGAACCGGTTATGACTGACTTCAACTATACGAGTTATATATATGTAGAGGTTACCTATCACTTCCAATTCATGTCGACATTGCTCTTTTTATATCTACTGGACCATCTGTGTTGAGGTAATAAATAGCTTATAAATCTATATGTCGGCCTGAGCGATGAAGACCGAACTGAATCGCACCCAGATTAGTAATTCCGTTGGCCACAGAGACCCCGAAACACCCCCAAATGCATGCGAGCGTGTAAGTTTAACCCTGAAAGTCGATACAATTTGGTGTCTGTTCGACCAAGGCCAAGCTTCTGCACGGTCGCGTCAACCGTATCACGTGCGCCCAAACAAACATCCCGATCTTCATCTGTAAGCCAATCTCGACCAAACCCCAACGTTCATAATGACCACAAAACCCTCCAACAAGCGCGCAACCCCCGATTTCCAACAAGATGAACTAGACACTTCAATAACCGCCATGCGCGCAGAAAGTAACCACCCCGTCTCCAAAATCACGCCCAAAACACCCCGAAACTAACAACCCCAAGTCCAGACCCTCCAAAAACGCAAACGCCTCCTGACATCCAGCCTCCTAACAACAAACAAAATCCAATCCCTCCTCAAAACCCCCAAAACCGAAACAACAACCACCCTTGAAGCCCTCTCTCCACTAGTCCAAGCCGCAGGCAAACACAACACCTCCAACCACCACCGCATAGCCTTCGGCGCAACAACCTTCCCCTTCAAAGACCCCTCACCAAACACAACCCCTCAAACCAGCAACCTCCTCGGCATCCGCCTCGACGTCTGCGCGCGTAATGGCCGGTTCGCGAAACCCTACTACGTCCTTCTCCGCCCAGAGCGCAGCCACGTCGCCGGCAAAGAGAAGGCCCGAAGACTAAGGGTCCACCGGCACACAATCCCGTCATTCATCTCCATCGCGAAGCTAGAGGGTGTTTATCTACCGCGCGCGCGGGTTCCTCGGGATCAGGCCGAAGACGGGGAGGGGGAGGATACGTCCTCGACCGAGGACGCGCCGAAAACAAGTAAGGGGAAGTCCGTCGCGCGCCGACAGGATCTGGTGGGCTTCGTGCGGGAGTTGCGACGGGAGTTGGTTGCGTGGCATATGCGCGTTGATGCGATCGATTTGCTGCGCGAATGGGTGGGGCTGGTTGATTCGGAGGGGCGGGTTGTCGCCCCGGCGCATGTGTTGCCTGATCCGAGTACGGGAATCGTGGGGTTATCGGGGGTGTCGATTGAGGCGCGGTATGTGCGTGTTGAGTGGGAGGATGGGCGGGTTGGACGGTTTAAGCTGTCGAATTGTGGGGTTGTGGAGAGGGCGGTTGTTATTGGGGATTCTGGGAGGGATAAGGTCACCGAGGATATGATTACAGGCGGTGGGGGGAGAGTTGAGGGGGTTCTTGAGAGGCTGAGGGTTCGGTCTGGGGCTGGGTCGCCTTCTTGAGTTGGCTCTGATATGACGATACAACCTGGTGATGGACGAGATGGATTTTGTTTGATCGGTTTTCTTTAGCGTGATACCCCAATACTGATTTTTTGGCAACGTACAACAGAGTCAAGGACTTGTAAATCAAGAACGAATTGTAATTGGTATATCTATTCAATGATTCCACCTAAGCTATGCAACCAGAAGACAAGCGCCGCAATCCATATGTAGTGCTCAAATTGTGTGTCCAAAGTCGGATTTCCAACATCATTACAAGAAGGGTAAGGGCATATCAAGGGCAGAGAAATACAGCAAGTCTAAGACACCAGGTCTGCCAAATGTCAGACATTAAATATTCAGACCAAAAGAAAGAGTATTAGAAGGGGGTATTAGTGATTGATGTCGTGTCATCGTGCGCTCTAAAGTTGAAGATTCAAAATCCCAAATTAAAAGCAAGTTAGGGCGCCACGCCATCCTGAGGACCAATTGTGTCTGGGGTACTCGATGCTCCCAGAGGCGAGGATCCCGGGACAGTAGTGGTGACGGGGGTATCGATGTCGGATGTAGCGTTTGTGAATGAGATTCGTGGTAGGGGGCCGTATAATTGTCCATTTCGCAATTCAAGGGTCCGGCGGAGGATAGCTTCTTCCAGCTGCCAGCGGTCACATAGAGAGGTCTTCTTGGAGTCCATGATCCGGTTGAGGGATGCTTCTTCGGTTTGTTGCGCCTGCTGGAGGGTAGTGATATTCTGCTTGTGTTGCTTGCACATCGTATTCAGGTCCTTTTCTAGGCGCGCCGTGGTTTCTTGGAGCTTGACTTCTTGGCGGTCTCGGAGGACTTTGATGCGGGCATCGTGGAGCTGGTCCATGGACTCATGATCGTGGTATTGCTGTTCAAGCTGTTCCATGTGTTGCCGAGTGAATTGGCGGGCTGGCGGGGTCGAAGCAGAGTCTGAGAATGACCCTGATGACCGTCCAGTCGTTGTTGCTGTGATGGAGGGGGAGGGTGGTGGACTAGCGTTGCGGAAATAGCCCTCCATGTGTTTGATGCGAGTGGCCGAGTTCATCTTGGCACGGTCGAACTCTCGTTGCTGTTCGATTTCAACTGCAAGTTGCCGTTCTTCCAGTCGAACGATATCGTCGATGTTCTTTTCACGCTTCTCTTCCTCCGTGCGCTCGTTCTCGGACCGCTTTTCAGATACAGCATCTTGGTGCCGGCGCCGGAGGCTGTTCAGAGCGGTCTCTTGGAAAGCTAGGTGACGATTCTTTTCGATCTCATGCTTCTTGTGCAATTCACTTAGCTCGGGATCATCCGCGCTTCGCTGTAATGCTTCTTTGTTGAACAAAGGAATCCTCAGCTTGGGAAGAGGGGCTTCGGTGGTTCGCTTGGGAGGACGAGGGATGGCCGGAGGAATATCTCCATCGTCGGGAGTATTAGAGTCAAGCGTAGGCTCGGTGTAGACCCGTTCCACGCCTTTATCATTCGTGGGGACGGCGATTCGCGAGTCAGGAGACATGACGAGGGGCGGGGAAGTGCGCTTCTTGCGAAAATGAATCCGGCCAATGGCAGATTTTATACTACTGCGCCGTCTCTCTTTCTTGTCCGCAGATGCGACACTCAGCATCGAATGACGATGCGATTTCCCCTCGGCAGAATCAAGGTATCTATGCCCAGCGAGTCCCATTCTCCCTTCACTCGAGCAGAGAGAGGTAGGCCGGGTAGACAGCGACGCCAGCGAGCGCGTACTGCCAGGCTTGAAATGATCGGAAGCGATTGTGATCTCCGACAGCGACGAAACAACCTGATCCAGCGCCGAGGTTGACGGAGAACCGGAATCATGCGACGGGGTGGCAGAGCCATCGTAGACAGAGATGCGATCGGTTGACGAGCCCGACGAGAGAACCGGCGACGAAAGCTCCAGTAAACCTGATGCGATCGAGGCAGACAACGGCGCTGTTGCTTCCATTTCTGGGATCTTCACGCCCAGTTGCCGGGCTTGGTCAGCCAGCTGTTGCGCCCGCGCTTGTTCGGCTTCTAATGAAGAGAGGTGGAGTACATCCTGGCGATATTGGGCCTCGTCGAAAATAAGGCCGTTAGACTCCATGGCCATTATGTACAGGGGTATGGGGGGTGGGGAGGCGCCGAGCCAGCGCGCGCATAAGCTGGTACCGATAAAAGGAGTGGACTCGCCCACGGCACTAGTAGTACGGTGGACGGGAGGGATTCAATGACAGCATCTGCCTGGAAAGTTCAGGAGGGGTTGGAGCTCTATGTAATGACAGGAAGGGAGGTAAAAGGTCAAAGCGAAATAACAGGAAAGGGGAAGATGATACGGGAATTTTTAATATGAAAGACCCACGCCTGACGCAATCTTTTTCATGGAAAATACGGAGTAAACGGAGGATGCGGAACTGTGAATAAACTTCTTAAGTTAACGTTGACTAGTGCAAAAGCTATCTATACCTTGACAAAAGCCCACGGGGACAAATTTATACTTGACTCTGCATGTTATCACCCCTCTATACAAAATACTAGTTGGGAAAGTAGGGCTTAGGGCTTGATGTAGTGCCTCGGTCCGGAGATATCTGGGTCAGGCCAGGAACCCCAGAACATATATACCCAGATGAAGATATGAATATATGAACCGATGAAAAGATGAGCATCTATCATCAGCCATTCAGCATGTCAACCCCCAACTGGTAGGCCAACTCTTTCAGTCCACGTTGTGGGGTTCCCGCCTTCGTGCGCTTGTCCCACGCATGATTACAGTCCGCCATGCGTTGGCGGACCACATGCCGTCCAGGCAACGCCTCAATCTTCTGAGCCAACTCCTCGGCCTCAAGTGCAAGAGAGTCCATCTCAGCAGTGATCATGAGGAGTCGTCGTGGGAACAGGTCTGCCTGTGCGAAAAGCGGAGAGATACGCGGATCTCGCCTATCAAAGGTAGAAGGAATATAACAACGGTTGAATAGGCGCCCGACTGAGACTGAGATCCCCCCACCTTTTCTGCTGGGGGCAAACTTTTGAGTGCCATCTGTGCTCAAATCGGTCACCGGATAGTATGCCAATAGCGAGTGGAAGGTGTCGGCGGGGAACAGGTTGGCGGCGGCGGCTAGCGCGAGGTTACCTCCAGCACTGAAGCCGGAAAGAGACACGTGGGTAAGGTCGAACTCTTCTGGCCGGGCTAACACATATTTGATGGCATCTTCAACGTCGTTTAGTGCTGCGGGGAAGGGATTCTCAGGCGCCAGGCGATATGCGCAATCGAGGACTGTGAATTTGGTCTCGCGACTCATTTGCCGGCAGAATTCATCATCGCTTCCATGATACGGTAACAAGAATCCACTGCCATGGAAGTTAAGGAGAACAGGTGATGGCCCAGTGCTGGAAGAGCGATACACATGAGCCGTGATGGATCGGCCCGCATCGCGGGACTTGATCTGGCGCACTTCATCTGGTGTAGCATGTACGGGAGCTATGAGGCCGATTATGAATCGAAGAATCACAGCCAGGCATTTATCTCGCCAATACGATAGAGACATTTGGGAGTTGTTGAAGATGAGAGTGAGCCGAGGCTCCAGAGCTGATTAGAACTAAGATAATCTCCACTTTACCTCCCTTGTTAGCTTCTCATGTGTTTCGAGAATGTGGTTCCAACAGTCAAGCATTACTAGGCCGGTGATCTAAAACACCCATACATTACACCATGTAGTTTGTCAGTTCATTGAATGAGGTTAAATCCGAACATAACCTGGAATAGTATCGAGGTTCCCTACGTCTCAGCCTATTAACTGAACCAAATACTCTCTAGATATGAGGTGCGTCGTTACATGCTATCTCCGTGCGGCGTTAGCTTTCAGCGCTGCCCAAAGAGAATTTCCACGCAGTGTCAATACATGCCACGCACCTCCTCCGCCAATAAAAGTGACCCATCGTGACGCCTCCTCTCGACATCACATCGACTCTATACCTCTTGGGTCCCAAGTCTTGAGGATATCATGTTAATCTTTATCACATCTCTCAAATACTGAACATAGCAAAATAACAAGGAATAAGACGCCACAAACCCCGTCACCCTCTAGGCTGCCATCTCCGTACACGATCTAGAAGATGGCGATCAAAGCCGACCCCAGCGATACCAAATTCACAGTGTTTATTCGCCTACCCTTTCCAAGGGGTGATTTTGTCGACCCACCACCAGTAAGATTTCCAAGCTATCGCTGTTGACCCTCGACTGACGCCAACAGGTGGAATGGGATACACACAAAGACCAAGCACTTTGGGATATCCTTTCGCGCCCGTCGAAAGGAGACATAGATTGTATGATTGACATGGACTTTTTACTTTCTTGATATATGGCTAATACCATGATAGGGAAAGCACTGTAAATACCCTTGCATCGTGGCCTGCAGCCGGCTACTGACATGGATCGTTTATCTAGTGCAGACAACTTTGAGGTCACCTTGCAGTTTCTACTTCAACAGGCTGCATGGCTGTATGATCGACAGTTATCACAGGTCCGCGCTCAAATTCGCAAGGTGGGAACTACACAGTCAAATTCGCCCTCTCCGGCTCCTGGGTCGGTTTCTGGGAGCACCGCTTTGGGTGGGCAAGCACAGAAAGAGGTGCCGGTGACAGGTACTTATTATCGTGGATGATATTTTGGAAGATATGAGACTCATGATGAGCAGCACCTCGAGGGCCAACGAGACCGACGTCTTTACAGAAGGATATTCCACGGCGATGTAGGAACCGAGCTCCATCTCCTATATGCAAGATCTGACATCGATTATAGCTCTTGATGATCGACGGGCCAGTACTTCGACTTTACCTGGTACTCAGAAACGCGGAACCCAAGACCCTCATCGTACTGACACACCCACAGCTGACGAGAAAGACTCTCGCTGGGATTCCCTTGGCCGTCGACCTTCGGTCGCTCATCGGGAACAGCCTGCTGCACCTGTTCTTCGATCCCCTCCGCTAGAGGAAGAAGATCTATCTTCCAGTCTCTCCGAAGAGTCCGATTCTGACGAAGAGACTGGCAGACGTATGCCGCGATTCAAGCGATTTGGCAAATTCTCCATCCAGCGCTCCGGCCTCCGCGATGACGAAGATGACGAAGATGACACCCCAGCCTTCCTGCCCCTTGTCCGAGAAAACGAACAAGCCCAACGCGAACGACCCGGCCAGGAACTCAGCGCTACTCTCCGGCTAGATGCCGAGCGAGCAGCTCAGCGACGACGCAACCCGGAACGTCCGGGTCATGCAATCCTTGCCACGGATTCCTCCACTAGCTCTATGAGTTCCGGAGCTCCGGTGAGTCTATCTCCCAGCGATAGCAGACGCATTAACCCCGCTGTGCCCACTATGCATGCCCGGCGACTCCCGGAATCTCGCCAGAACTCCCGGAAGTCGACGGCCTCCGGGCGTGAGGCCAGTGACGGTACCCCCAGCATGGGAAGCAGCTTTAGTGATCTTGATGGTGCGTACTTTGACCCCGTGGACCTGGAATTCCTACTGATCGACCCGTAGATGCAAGTGTCACCCAATCTGCCCTGGAGGAGGCTCTACTAAGCAATATGCAACATGGTGGGATGGCAAGTCGGATGAGCACGATCAGCCAGGCACTTCGCAGTCGCTATCTGCAGTGACACTTGCGGTCGACTTCTTTCCTGAACTACAAGCAAGCTTGGATGAGATCTTGGTTGGGTTGTAGACAGATGCAGCATGGACCATTTATCTTGACGGCCGAAACACTATCTAAGAAATGTGGCAACTATGAATTCAGGGTCCTTGAAAGTGCTCCATGTGTAGCACTTCATTAGCTTACATACTAGATTCTATGGAAAGGCGATAGGATTCCATGGGAGTAAGATTCTTCTTTCCTCCTTTGTTTTAATATTCTAGCATTGCAAAGCCCACAGTTGCCTCAGAGTTGAGTTCATATGTTGGATGTTGGATGTTGGCGGTTGAACTGTTGCATTCAACAGGTCGGTCCAACGGGAGCGCTAATGCCGGATCCAGTAACTCGGTCTCAACTGCGACTGTAACCGTCCCCCACCACGGCATCCGAGGCATCTTTCCTTCTTTTTATTACAGACATTTACAGACAACTCACAGCTTACAGCTCACAGCCCACAGACTCTATCACAATGGCAGCTCCATTAGTCGGCGAAATGTCGCCAGCGGAAGCGGAATCAGTCTACTTCAATGAATACCCCCCACCAAAGGCCCTTCCCAAACATGAAGCGCTGGCGCGCGCATTTATCAATCTCCACGTCGAGGAGAACCGACGAGTAGTCCTCGTCACATCAGGTGGCACAACGGTGCCTCTAGAAGCTCAGACCGTCCGATTCATTGACAATTTCTCCGCCGGAACACGCGGTGCCACATCCGCCGAGTACTTCCTAGAGCAAGGCTACGCCGTGATCTTCCTGCACCGCCAATACAGTCTCCTCCCATACTCGCGACACTACAGCCACTCAACAAATTGTTTCCTGGACTTCATGGACGAGGCCCCACCATCCTCGGAATCCTCAAACTCAGGCAGCGACAATGGACCGATTATGGTGCGCGACGAATACCAAGACCAAATGCGCAGTGTGCTCCGCAAATACCGCTACGCAAAGCAAAACAACCGCCTGCTCCTCCTCCCCTTCACAACCGTCTCTGAATACATGTTCGAGCTGCGCTCGCTAGCAAAACTCATGCGCCCGCTCGACGCCAATGCGCTCTTCTACCTGGCCGCCGCAGTAAGCGACTTCTTCATCCCGCGCAGCCGAATGGCCGAACACAAAATCCAATCCTCGGAATTACCCGCCCACCTTCAAAACCAAACCCCTAATGCCAATGCCGACGCCGACGCCACCGTCGACTCAAATGACATCTACACCGGCGAAAACGAAGAAGAACCCTCCCACCGCAAGAAGCTCGTCGTGAACCTGGACCCCGTACCGAAGTTCCTGCACCGACTCGTGGACGGCTGGGCCCCGGAAGGGAGTATGGTCGTTTCGTTCAAACTAGAGACGGATCCGTCATTGCTTGTTTACAAGGCGCGCACTGCGTTGCAGCGGTATTCGCATCATCTGGTCATTGGTAACCTGCTCTCCACGCGTAAGTGGGAGGTTGTCTTTATCACGCCTGATGCGCCGCATGAGCGCTGGCTGCGGGTTCCGAAGTCCAGGCGTAGTAAGAGTATTTCTGGGGTTGAGGATCAGGTTGGGTTGGCCGAGGCTAAGAAGGGGAATACTGTGCCTGTAGATCAGGTTCAGGGTGATAGTGTTCCTGATGGGAGCCATGATGGGATTGAGATTGAGAGTCTTATTATTCCCGAGTTGGTTAAGTTGCATGATAAGATGGTTGAGAAGAGGCAGTCGGCTTGAGTGTGGCTTAGTTGTATAATTGGTTAGAAATGGCATCTACTGTAATGGTATGCCGCATTTCATGGGGGCATTTAGCTTGAGTGATCTACGTATATTCTGTTTCTTTTTGGGGGTTCAATTACTATTCCAATATCGATTGACGCATACACTTTAATGTTGCTATTTTCATAGCAAGACCATGGCAACATTTGAACTAGAATTGTATGCCGTCAGCCAGCGACTCTATCCCCGCCATCCAATCATAGGTAGCATACAGACCCATACCAAATGGCTGAGTTGAGCCTTGACAAGGTCCACCAATCAGCTGTCAGCCAAGTATATGGCTGACTTGATCCATTTGAACAACTCGAAATGGCTGAGTTAACCAAATCTACAGAGCTTGTTCTAGAAAAGATATATAAAGCAAACCGACAGCATTTTCAAATACCAAACAATCAACCTCATTCTCAATTTCTTCCAAATCCAAAGCCAACCCCCGACCAACATGGATCGTTCCGCGTTCAAACCCGCCTACAAGAGCGCCATGAGATATACCAAGTAAATCCACGAATCCAATAACTGATCCATATCCAGTACTGACCAGACGGAATATCCAGTCTCGGAAACTCAGGCTTAAAAATCTCCAAAATAGTCCTAGGCGCCATGTCCTTTGGAAACACAGAAGGTTGGCACATGCCCGAAGAAAAAGCCCTCCCAATCCTGAAAGAGGCCTTTGAAAAGGGCATCAACACATGGGATACGGTACACTGCACCCACCCACCAAGTCAAATCCAATCAAAAGCTCACCAATCCCCAGGCGGACATCTACTCCTTCGGCGAATCCGAACGAATCATCGCCAAAGCCCTGCAGACATACTCTATTCCGCGCGAACAAGTCGTCCTCCTATCGAAATGTTACGGCGGGCTCCCAGCCCCAGGCGACATGGACGGACTCTCCGACATCGAGAAGATGTCCGCGATGATCGCCAACGACGGGATCATGGTTAATCGGATCGGGCTGTCGCGCAAGCATATTTTCGACGCCGTCGATGCTAGCGTTGGGAGACTTGGGACGTATCTTGATGTGCTACAGGTGCATCGGCTTGATCGGGATACGCCCCGTGAGGAGATTATGAGGGCATTGAATGATGTTGTGGAGAGTGGGAAGGTTCGGTATTTGGGTGCTAGTTCGGTAGGTTTTCACTTTGGGAGTAACTTATCCGTTGACTTGACGTTATGAGGTATAACGTTAAGCTATAGGTTTTTTTGAGTTGCACTAGGGCTAACTCGGTGCTTAGATGCATGCCTGGGAGTTCCAGGCGCTGAACAATATAGCCGATAAGAATGGCTGGCACAAATTCATTAGTATGCAGGATTACTACTCCCTGCTGCACCGCGAGGAAGAGCGTGAAATGCACCCTTACTGCCGTGATGCCGGTGTCGGGATTATACCCTGGTCGCCTCTTTCGCGAGGTCTCCTCACGCGCCCTTACAAGGTGACGCAGGACGAGCCGACTATGCGGCAGGGAACGGATTTCACCTCGGAGTGGTTGATGGGGGGGACTACTGAGGCGGATATTGCTATTATCAATCGGGTTGAGGAGTTGGCTATACAGAAGGGATGTAGTATGGCGCAGATTGGAATTGTGTGGTGCCTTGTCAAGGGGGTCAATCCTATTGTTGGATTGTCGAGTTCCAAGAGGCTCGATGAGGCAGTGCAGGCTGTGGCCCTATTTGAGGGTGGGGTTTTGACGGAGGAGGATGTGAAGTCTTTGGATGGGCTGTATGTTCCGAAGATGGCGTTGTCGGGGACTTGGTGATTCTATGTAGCTTGAGCTTGAGTGTTTCTGTCCTGCTGTTGTCGAACTGGGTATACTTCAATGACATCTCAACTTCACAACGTGGCGTGTCCCTGTGGATCCTAGGATCCCACTAAATGAGCGGGAACAGCTCAAGCTACCCCTGAACAAACACGGGAAACACCCATCAAGGGGGAAATGATGTGCAAGGTGGGAGGAAGTTGGAAGTTGGCAATGGGCAAGGGTTAACTATGCGCACTGAGGGGCGACGCGTATGTGTCAGCACAGATCATCCGTCAACCTTTCCCCAGTTCGAGTGCCAGAGGGGAGGTTCTGCCACAACACAGCATGGTGCCCCGTCGCAGGTTTAGTCGCCGCGTGATTGCAATTGCTGCTGCAATCGCCCTCTTCCTGCTCTATACCTGCTCCTCCGGCCATCGGGAATGGTACCCTCACTTCACAGCCTCCGACATCACCCCGGATCTCGATGAGAATGGCGAACCAGCTCCATTCTGTCCTCCTTTGCCAGGCATTGAGGATGTCCTGGTAGTCATGAAGACCGGAGTGACAGAATCCCAAGAAAAGGTCCCCATTCACTTCGGCACCACCCTACGCTGCATCCCCCACTACGTGATATACTCCGATTTCGAAGAAGAAATCCAAGGCGTCAAGATCCACGACGTCCTCCGAAACATGGACAGCGCCGCAAAAGAGAACCCCGATTTTGAATTCTATAACCGAATCGTGAAATACGGCCGCAAAGGGTTAGAACAACAAGACTTCGCCGACGAAGCCAACTCGGCAATCGGGAAACCCAACAACCCAGGCTGGAAACTGGACAAGTGGAAATTCCTCCCAATGGCCCAGGCATCCCTGCGCTACAAGCCCGACGCCAAATGGTTCATCTTCATCGAAGCAGACACCTACGTCTCCTGGCCCACCATCCTCACCTGGCTAGCCCGCTTCGACCCCCGCAAACCGCACTACCTCGGCACCGAAACACAAATCGCAGACGTCATCTTTGCTCACGGAGGCTCGGGCTTTGCCCTCTCGAACCCGGCTCTCCAGCGCGCTTCAGACGAGTACAGTACCCGCGAGGTCGAGCTGAACGCGTATACAGACCAGCACTGGGCAGGCGACTGCGTGCTGGGCAAAGTCCTCGCTGACGCAGGCGTCAACCTACACTTTACCTGGCCGATCCTGCAAAACTCCAATCTAGGCGAACTGGACGAATTCACCATTGACTTCCTTCGTCGTCCGTGGTGTTTCATCGCCGTGGCATTCCACCACCTCTCGCCAACCGACATCGAGAATCTCTGGAAATTCGAACAAAAGCGCTGGCGCGATGTAAGCTCCCTCTTAACCACTGCCCCCAAAGCCCACCTTTACTAACAACCAAATCCCCACCCACAGAAAAACAAACGCCTCCTCCTCCACAGCGACCTCTTCCGTGAATACCTCTACCAGGAAATCGCCACCCAGCCCATCCGCCTAAACTGGGACAACGCCGCAAACGACGACCAACCCTTCGCGAAAACCTTCGAAGACTGCCGGGAAGTCTGCGAGGTCTCGAAAACATGCGTGCAATTCTCGTTCCGCGACCAGAAGTGCTTCACGGGCTCCAGGCCGCGGCTAGGCAATGCAGCGGCGGTATCTGCGGATTCGACTTCCGGCTGGATTGTTCCGCGCATCTGGGATCTGATGGAGAAGACGGGGTATTGTCGGAAACCCGAGTTTGGGGATTAATTGAATATCGGTGCTATGCTTTGGGGGTTGGGGCTGGGATTGTATTTGTATTTGTGTTCCTTTCGGGATATGTATTGGTTGGCTGCTTTTGGGTGGGTTGGATGGGTTTGCTTAGGTCTGCATTGAGAGAGGATTATGTTGCTATACGTACATTGGATGAGTTGTCCGTGTGTGCTTGATGTTTATACCTGATTGCCCGGTGAGCGTGGGCATGGCATTGGCATTTTTTGGCTTGGTGAGGTCAAGAGATTGAGTCTTTTGCCTCTAATCATAGGTCTTGGACTTTGTACTACCATTTCATTGTCGGTTCTCTATATGATATGATCATTGGGTAGACATTCTTGTTTGGCGTTGGTGTTTTGCTGGGATTATCTTGATACATTGATCGCCGAACACAAGACCGTGAATTTATTATATCGCTGTTTCTATCAATTGTACTTGGGGCACCATCGGTATATTCAGTACTTTGGAGGGTGAATGTAGGAGAAACTGATCTCAAGGGAACGAACGAGTGTCATTAGCGGACGGTGTCAAGAAACCACTAGGAAGAGAGATCATAGACTAAGGATAATTAACAAGTGAACACCCAGCTTTTTCACTGTACAAAAACGATAGACATAGACCATAGACCTCAAACCCTAGACCTTGGACCAGATATACTCGACTCATAGTGGCGGAGCAGACACATCCTCCAAGCACTGATCAATGCGCATGATCTGATATCCGGCACTCTTGACATGTTGAATGAACTGCGGGAGATACCCAATTGTCGTCGGATTCAGGTAGTGCATCACTGCGAGGTTTCCTCCCTTTCCCACGCCGCGGTAGAATGCCTCCAGTTGTTTTTCTGGTGCGGAGGTATTGGCCCACAGCCAGTCCTCGACATCCACGCTCCAATTCACGATATAGGGATTTGCGATGTGTCGAGCGAGTTGTTGGCGCAGGCGTGCTGCTACGGTGCCGAATGGAGGGCGGAAGTATGAAGCTGCAGAAATCGGACGGGTTAGCAATGTCATAGGAAGAAGAGAAGAGGACGACGTACACTCGATACCCAGTTGGTCTTTGAATACCTGTATGGTCTGGATGATCTCGTCGTCAATTTGGCCAACGGTAGGAAGGGACTCCATCCTGTTCAACTCTGTCAGTATCTCAATACAACAGGATCATCAAGCGGATCCCACTTTGGATGAGTATTCGAGTGCAAGGCAATCTGATGACCCTTCTTCAACATATCTTTATAGAACGCAGTGAAATTCGACGACCGATCCCTAAGTCCAGCCCCAACAACGAAAAAAGTCACTCGCACATCCTCCTCGTCAAGGATACGCATGATCCTCTGAGAAAACTGAGGCTGTCCATCATCAATGCCAAAAGCAAAAGAGTTCGGACGCGAACAACGAAGCACCAACCTCCCACTTGGAAGCTTCCCCGGCAAACGAAAATGGCCATTCTCCGGCGATGGCTGAGGAACTCCCGACACGATCTCAACGCGGTGCAAGGTCATGGGCTCTTTGGTAAAGAAGCCATGGAAGGAAATAGAGACAACTCGGTTGAAATCAATCTCGAAATGCGTGAGAGGAATATAGAGATCACGAAGGCCTATTGGGATTCTGGCACTGCCTTTGGCATGTTTGCGTCGGCGGCCATTCTTACGGTGTCTCCCATTTTTGCCACTGTTGTGTCCTGGTGTATCCACGTCTATATCATCTTCGTCATCGTCATCGTAGTCATTGTCTTTGTCGTCGTCCCAATCTCCGTCACGGGACCGCTCTGAGGTTGGGTGGACCACGTACCGTTCTGCTTGAATTGTATCTGCAACGCTGGGAAAAGGACTGCGTTGGGGATTGCATTCGTCGTTGTGTTGATTCAATGAGACACTAAATTGATCTGTGCCTTCGAAGACTACATGCAGGAAGTCATGATACCATGGCATCAAGCTGTAGCAAGTGTTGGAATCGAACTGGGTGTGAAAGTTCTGATCTGGATCTCGTGGGAGTAGACGGATGAAGCCTGGTCCATGTTGTACTGAAAGGTTCTCGCCGGAGCCGTGCCAGAATCCCAAGTCGTTGTGAGTTGGGTTTTGGAAAGTGTCGATGACAAGGGGCGGTCCTATTTTCTGCTTGGATGGTGAGTTTGCGATATCTCGGAGTTCGTTCCAGTGACCGTGATTTTCAGGATTGTGGTAGAGGGCTGTGGTAGTCAAAATGAGAGAAAGGGCAATGCTTGAGCCTATAAATAAGCGATGCATGACGAAGACCTGGAGTTGTGAAAGAGTGAATGTGTCTGAAGAGAGAAGAGGTTGAGCTGGGAAAGGTCAAGAACGATCTTCATACCAGGCAGGCACCTTCCCAGGTCAGGCCTACAGGAAGCCAAATGATGGAGTAAGGGCTTGATTTAGTTAACTAAACTAGAATCATCACTACATCCCCCAGCAAAATCGAAAGATATCCATACGCTTCTCGGTCTGTGTCTCTGTTTCAAGCGTGGTTCTCTCCAGCTTTTCATCCTTTTTTTTTCTTTTTCTTTTTCAATTTTCAAGTTTCAGATTCCATTGTAGTCTTCACGCTTTCTTTGCCGGCTCAATTTTGAAAGTTTCAGTTGGCGAACCTAGTTCCAGATATCGTCGTCCTCGGCAGCCTTCCAGTGAGACTGAGTGGACTTGCTGGTAGACTGATCGTCATCCGCAGCAGCCTGAGTGATGGTGTTATTTCCATTTTCCTCAACAGCTTCATCGTCCGAGCCGTCATCGAAGTCGAGCACATCACCTTCAGGGCGAAAGCCTTCGAGGAAATCAGGCACCTGCTGCTTGCACTCGATGAGACTCTTGACAAGATCGGTAGCAAGGTCCTCGTTCCGATCATTGTAAAAGGAGCTGGCGAGGCCTTCGTTGCCAATGCGAGCAGTGCGGCCTGAGAGAACAAGGTTTATGATTAGCCAGAAGCCCAGGAATGAGTCTTGGAAAACGAATTTCCTAGATAAGATACATACCAATTCTGTGGACGTACTCATTGATACCACCGTGTCTAGCACTGGGCAGGTCGTAGTTGATCACATGGAGCACGTTGATGACGTCCAGTCCGCGGGCTGAGACTCCAGTCGCAACCATGACAGGGCACTTTGCGGTGCGGAAAGCACGACTGTTTGATTCATTAATAGGTGTTGATGAATGGAAATGGAAGCAGTACTCACATGGCATCCTCACGCTCACGCTGGGTTCGTCCGCTGTGGATAGAGGTGGAGGGGATTCCCGAGTTGTACAGGAAATCGTCCACAAAGTCAACCTGATCCCTGCTGTTGACAAAAACGAGAGTGCGCACAGGGGGCATGCTAACAATCAGATCGTATAGGGCCCGCATTTTCATGTCGTTATCAGCATAGATAATCTGGGAGCGTAAGCTGCAAGTCAACAGTCATTCCAAGGACGGAAGTCAACATACGTGCTGGGTAACATTGGTGTGAGAACTGCCAGCACGACCGACTCGGAGGCGCACATAATTGTCACTGAGATACTCTTGGGCGATCTTCTGGGGCTGTTTCTCGAACGTGGCCGAGAACATCAGATAGTGATGATCAGCATCCTCGTTGATATCTTGTTTGAGTCAGCAATTGAGCCAATAAATCCGGACCGCCGAGGAAGTCAAAGGAGAACACTTACCTCCTCCAGACATAATGCGTCGGAAATCATCTTCCCAGTCTGGCTGAAGCAACTCATCAGCCTCATCGATAACCGTGTATCTGTTATCATTAACATCAAGATTCAACTACCTATTGTCCAAATCGAGTCGAGTGGTACCTACCTAACTCGACAAAGAGAAAGAATACGGGTCTGCCGCATAAAGTCCAGAAGACGACCGGGGGTTGCAATGAGTATGTCACAGCCCTTCTGGAGCTCTTCGCGCTGAAGCCCCGAGGGAGCACCACCATAAACAACGCAAGGACGTAGCATGGAGCGGTAACACAGGCGGCGGGCCTCGTCAAAGATTTGAGTAGCGAGCTCGCGAGTGGGACAGACAATGAGGACCAGGGGCTCCGCTCGAACAGCATCTGTGGCAGCGTTGAAGCCCTCAGCAGTGTTTGGGCGAGGAGCAGCGAGCTTGCGTGTCTTGCCCATCAGCTTGGAGATGATTGGAATCAGGAAAGCCGCGGTTTTGCCAGACCCTTATTCCGTTAGTGCCGCTACTTAACCAGCCAGGGACGAGCACATACCAGTCTGGGCCACTGAGATCAAATCGTGTCCGGCGAGAATGGCAGGAACAGCGTAAGACTGCACAGCAGTTGGAGCATTGTATTGGCAAAGAGCAATGTTCTCGAGGACAACAGGGTGCAGGCCAGCATCCTCCCACTTCAAACAGTCAATATCTAGAGCAAGCACTTTGTCCTCACATTCTTACCTTGGTAGCAGGGTGGATAGTGGTCCCACTGTCAATACGAACGGCGTAGGCGTTAAGACTGAGACGAGGAACCGGTTGTAAGTGGTTGACTCAAAGTCATGATTGTTGGGTTGAGTGCACTTACTCGCTGAGACGATCTCCAACACGCTGAATGAGGCTTCCACGGAAGAGTTGCTTCTCTAGCTCCTCGTTAGGAGGGCCAACCTCGCCATAATCGGCGTCCCACTCGTATCGCTGGGCAATGCCAGCCCAGTCGCGAGATTCTCTGTCAGGCTTCGCATAGTCAAAGGGGATAGGATTGGTCCAGCCGAGACGAGCAGCCTCCTCGGGATCATCAACCCCGGACAGCTTGGAAGGCGCATCGCCCTTTGGAGGGACATTCTCGTTGCCGAGGGCAAGCGAGTCAATCTGTTCACCTAGGGTATCCATGATCACGAGACTTGATGAAGAGTGTGGAATCTGAGAGTAACGATGGACAGGGAACGCGCGAAAGATCACGTTTGGCTGACCAAAAAAGTCCTCAGATCACAACAAACCACCACATCCCAGAAAGGAAGGCACAACTGCCGCTTTGGGCTGACTTCCCAGGTTGGAAGGAACGCACCACCAGTCAACTTCCCAACTTTCCCTTCACATTGTGTGAAGATACTGTAGTGAGGCACACTTTGATATACTCTTGGCCTAGAATATCTTCCATCAATCATTTCTTTGGATATAGAAGTTGCAATCGCTTCTATTCCACAACCTCGTTTACACTTATGCACTAGGCCGATAGGTGGATTTAATTCGTCCTTGGATATCGAACAGCTCCTGAAAACTACCAGCATTTCAAATAGATCGACAATTAGATTGATATTGCTGTGAACGTTATTTGATCGATCCTACACTCCGGCCAAGGTCTTCCCTTTGCCTGAGGTAACTAGAATCACTGTATCCCTAAGCTGGAATTTTGGTAAACAACGTGTGATATGAATTTTCAAATCCTTTTACTTTCTGACTGCCTTGAGATTCTTATATACTCATATTCCTTACCCTGAGGTTCTACCCAAAATAGGGTTGGTTGTCACTTCCGTGCGTAGCTTATACTTCGCCCTACCCAATCGGGTAATGGGGTATAAGTTATTATATGGAATCAAAAGGCCTTTCTTCGTGCATTGGACCCTTGGTTCTCTAGACTTCAGAGTACCTTCAGCTGGTCTTTCATAGTATCCCTGATTTACGGACGGTCGTCCTTGGCGGTGCAGTCTGATCCTCCTTGTCAAGGCTACTGTATATTCTCTACCTATCGCATCTCAACTTGATATCACACAGTCCACTATGTCAGACCCAGAGTCTAGTCTCATTCCCATTATCATAGGAGAAGAACTGTCTGGCAACCATCAGCAAGGGATATCTCCTCTACTCCAGTATGGAAGAATACAGAATGCAGGATACCAAGGCTGAATGCAGTCAAGGAAATTTTGAGGACTCATGTTTATTTGCAGACAATCCAGACTAATGGTGATATTCATGATATCTCATACAACACAGCCACTGGAGCTCACCAAAGTGAGGAGATGAACCTCGGAAGTGGAACCTCCGGGTAGAAGGAGAACTACGCCGTAACCGTGGGCACGGCAACCTCACCTTCTCTCGACGCATCTTCAACTTTATCCTCAATCATCATGGCTCCCTCCGATATTCCGGAGGTAGATCCCAGTTTGCGTCGCAAGCGTCCTGCCCGCTTGGAGGAGGCCATCACCAACCCGGGCGCCGTCAAAATCAACGTCACGGGCGCCTTCATCGTCGACGATGAGGTCCGTTCCAAGAGCCCCGAGGCAGAGGGGGTACACTATGAAAACAAGGATATTCGACTTCCTCACCATACTGGCGTCGTGAGCCATGTCGCCGTCGATGTGAGTCGAGAAATGTGCCCCGCATTGCGACCGGTCCCCCCGCAATTTTGACAAAATATTCCCACGCGACCTCCCAACTGACAATCGGTAGATTGGCGGATCACTAGCAAAACTCGTGTATTTCACTCGCGAATTGGACTCGGCCGACAATGGAGGCCGCCTCAATTTCATCAACTTCGAGACTCACAGAATCGACATATGCATCAACTTCATTCGACAGCTCAAGGAGGAACACGAGAAACGCAATGGCTCTACAAGGGATGGGTTGTGTGTGGTAGCCACCGGTGGGGGAGCCTTCAAGTTTTACGACAAGCTGAAAGAGGCGCTGGATGTGAATATTCTCCGCGAGGAGGAGATGGAATGCTTGATCATTGGTGTGTTCCGGTCATGTCCGTCTGATTCCGCGCAAGGCTCACGATCATACAGGTCTCGATTTCTTCATTACTGAAATCCCGAACGAGGTTTTCACTTACAGCGATGCCGATACCGAGCCGATGCAGTATGCCGAGGCCCGACCCGACGTATACCCTTACCTCTTGGTCAACATAGGATCTGGCGTGTCAATGATCAAGGTCTCCGGTCCGAAACAACATGAGCGTGTGGGAGGAACTCACCTGGGTGGTGGCACCTTCTGGGGTCTCATGTCTTTGCTGACTGGCTCGCGGACCTTCGACGACATGTTGGCAATGGCTGACCGTGGGGATAATAGCGGTGTAGACATGCTCGTGGGAGATATCTATGGCATGGACTACAGCAAGATTGGTCTCAAAAGCACAGCCATTGCCAGCACATTTGGCAAGGTGTTCCGGTTAAAGAACGACGCTGAACAAGGTGCCGAGGACGGCGAGGGGTTGACCCACGGAGGTCCTGATGGGGATGAGAGCAACGGTGGGGTGAAATTCAACCCGGAAGACATGAGCCGTAGCCTCCTTTACGCCATCAGGTAGGTCACTTTCCTCATCTCCGGGCTCACCTGCGCAAGCTAACCTTGATTAGTAATAATATTGGCCAAATTGCCTATCTGCAGTCGGAAAAGCACCAGGTCAAGCACATCTACTTTGGTGGTTCATTCATCCGCGGTCATCGTCAAACAATGAACACTCTCTCTTACGCCATCCGGTTCTGGTCCAAGGGCGAGAAACAAGCATACTTTTTGCGCCACGAAGGCTACCTTGGCGCCGTCGGGGCTTTCATTCGTCGGCAACCACAGAATTGGGGCCGAAGAAACAGTGTCGACGACGTGGTTGCACCGCAGGCGGTTCGAAACCTCGTTACAAACAATAATGTCCTCAATCAACAACATACCAGGTCTTCGAGCGAATTATAACACTCGATTCTGTTGTAACTTTACCCTTCCTCTACAGTGAGACTCCACGCCCTTGGGGGGCAATTGAAAGCTCCCCTTGTCAGTCTTGTCAAAATCGCCGCGCGGAGTAGCAGTCTCAGTCGAGCTGTGAACTGCGATGTGGCAACTCCTATGGGAATTCTCATTGGTTTTACCCCTACCTCCTTGTGCATCCTTTTCACTACATTTCGGGATCCCAATCTTGTCAGAGTCATGTCTCCATTGCTTAAAAGAAAATGTTGATATACCCCATTTTCCAACCTATATATATAGAGTTGGTTACAATTTAGAGTGTTGAATTTCATATTATATTTGTTACAACCGTTCCTTTGTCTCGTCATCTAATCAACGATCTCGCAGATATCAGAACAGAGATCCCCCACATAGAGTGCGATGGTCGTGTTCGTGGCTGTTCGAATCGTTTCTCATGCTTGGTCTTTTGTCCAAAAAAGCTCTTGCGTGAACTATTTGTATAATTTTGAACAGGTTGGATGAAACATGTGGAGATAGAAGCGTATAAACGCAGTAGAAAACTTTAAACTAATAGACTAAAGTGCATATACTATGTTAGGCTCAACGCAATGTCATTTTCCCCGATCAATTTATCAACCCTATGCAAATAATCTAAAAGTTTCCCGTGTTCATATCCAGTAAGCTCCCGTACATATAGCTACTGCTTTCTAGGACGCCATGCGCTCAACACGAAGCTGCAGCTCCTTGACTAAATCTATCCCAGCCTTAGTAGACTCATCCAGGCTCTCTTCCGGCAATCCAAGCAGCTCATTCTGTGTCTTCTCCGTCATATCATTGGAATCATCCGGGAAAAACGTCCTTGCGTACAGCATCTTGCTAAATCCAGCCATGTTGCCGACTTTAACTTGAGCCAGACCATCCTCGTATCGCTTCTTGGTGTCCTCATGAGTTATCGTCCAGTCAGCCTCAGTAGTACCAGTGACGCGCTTGACACTCTCAAACATGTCGTTTTGGCTGACCACAAAGCTCTTAATGTACACACCCTTGTTAAGGAACGTGGACAGAGTAAGGCTTGTATCATTTTCGTCCTCGGGCAGCTCTCTTAGGCTCAATACCTTGGCCACAGCGCGCCCTACCTGCGATAGCGTTGAAGTAGAGTTCTTGGTATTGCCATCGTCGTAGATTGTCAGGGAACGCCTGTCAAAGTCGAACCCAAACCGCGCATTGCCGCCTGCCAAGCTGTAGTCGTACCAAAACCCACAGCACACTGTGATCCACTGCATGTCGAGTCTTTCAATCTCGTCCCTGTTAGCCTTGGCCACGGGCCCTAGCAGCGTGTCCTTGCCGAGTTGGATGTTGTCAATGTCGGCGCCGTACCCGTTCGGCATCACGTACGGAATACCAGCTTTGGCGGCCGCCTGGACAAGTCTGCTGTGGGTGTCCTTGGGGGCAGTCGGGGCCATGGTTATGATGAGGAATTGCTGGCCCTTGAGGGCGGTAACAATGGTGGCCTCGTCGTTGTAGTCGACTGGGGCGACTAGGACGCCCTCGGGCAGCTTGTTGCCACTGTCTTTGCGAGAAAGAGCTGTGACTGTGTGTCTTCCGGTCTGGAGAAGGGCATTGGTAATGTTCCATCCAATTGTGCCGCCAGCCTAAGTGCATTTGTTAGCGTTACTGTATATATGATCCAGGGAGGGCGGGTTTGCTCACACCAACAATAGCGACTCTTTCGATGTTGTTCTTGAAGCCGACAGACTGGTTTTTGGCGTACTTGGGCATTGTGACTCTATCGAAGATTAAGAATGTATTGATTGTTGTTATTATGGTCGAAAGCGGCGGTTAGGACTTTAGGCTTGTGAGCGAGGGGTGATTGTTCTGGCTTCTTTTCTCTGGAGCAGAGACTGTCAGTCTATTTATACCTTTCAGAGTGCTAAGTGCTTTTTTGAATCTCTGAAATTCCCCATATCAGCCTTGTTGTGTCCGATCAGGCCCGCACGCCGCACGCCGCAGCAGCCGCACGTAAAGCCGCACGTAAAGCCGCACACCACGGCAAATAATCTTCACCTACCAAGAGACAGACTAATGAACTTCCGATCAAATTTGTAATATCTTGGATTATAAATATGCAAATTTTCCAAATAGGAGCACATGTCATAATGCAGGGAACAAGGCAAACGCTATCATATGTAAAACGCTGAACTTCATTGGATCATCTAAGGATATCACAGCTGGCTTGATACATTATGTACTAAAAATGTTCATAGTGACTTTCATCTATATTCGACCACCCCCGTGGTACTACAACTGAGTGTCAGGACCGAGCATCGATAGATATGGCTCGATAAAAAACTGGTCCCAGTCTGCCATCCAGTCCATATCCGAATCAACAGTGTTGGTTTCGGATTCTGCCTGCGCCGAAAATAATAAATAGTTCGCCTCAACAGCTTCTAATTGAGCAAGTTCCTTTCGCTTCTTTGTCACCTTAAGACTAAGTAGATACTGTGCCATCGACAACGCCTCTCGCGTCAGCCCTGTATCAGCAGCCTTTACAAGGTTCTCCAAGCCCTTAAAGGCAGTGGCAATATGAGCAGAGGCATCTGGCGTGTCAATGGCCAACAGGATACAGGCATACTGGAAAACGCTGCCAATGACATTCCAGAAAAGACGACCCTGGTTAGCTTGCTGCTCGGCTGCCTCCACTGCGGCATTGCCGCTATCAATGACGAGCTTAATGACCTCGTCTGCTATGGAGATCTTGAGCTGGTAAAGGCGGCGATAGAAGCAGAACACGATGTCCGCCTTGGTCACCAATAGAAACGGATGCGTGATTTGAATCCCACCCAGTACTTGGAGACGCTCCAATAGCTCCTCACTAGGAGTAGGGGGCTGCGATTCGAGCTGGAAAGGTGAGTTGGGTGATGGAATAATCTGAATTAATTGAACGAATTGGTCGGCAACGGACCCCGATACCGGAATAATAGACCGACATGTCACGGCCGAAAAGTGCACAGGCGAGCGATCGTACTCATAGGACAGCATGTTATGCCCAGCCCATGAGATCCAAAATATTCTCCTCAGTCGATCCGTATCATGCCCAAGAACCGCAGCCCCGGCAATCAACGCCATCTTCTGAATGTTCTCTTCCTTATGCAGCCCTAACCCTTCACATAGGTGCATTTGAGTGCATGAGGCGATCCAGGCATTGCTGGGGCGGGTTGTGGCCCGTAGATAAAACACTCGCAAGCCCCATGCGACAATATGGTCGATGCCATGCAGCCGCATAGATGCCGGATCATCGAGAATAGCTTTGGCGTACTGTACCAGGTCAGACTCCCGCGAGTGTCGTTTAGCGGATAGGAATGACCCGAGAGCGGCCACGCCAGCGGCCACCGCAGCGAAGGCCACCGCGTTGCTACCAGAACTATGATAATAATCCCGGCAGCGTTGGGCGTAGATTCTTGAGTCCATCAAATCACCAACAGGGCCCAAAGCTGAAAAGTACACTTCTGAGTAGAAGCCAAGTTCTTCCTCCAAGATGAGAGTACCCAGAAAACAGTGAGCGTTGGATGCTTCCTCGGGACGAATGCCAAAGTTGTAGGCAAAGGACCGTGTTTTGGGGGGGGTTCAGAGCCAAGGGCCATACCCAGGATGTGTGGGAATGCCATGGCCGCTGATGCCCCAGAGTGTCTGAACTTTTGTTCGTCAAAGATGCCCGGGGAGGCGCCGGCCACGGATGTGGAGCCTTTTGTCGACGAGCGATCCGCTTCACGAGAGCTCCGCTCTATGCGAGACCGACTGTCTGGACTGCTTGCTGTAGGGGCCCGATTTGTCAGACGACTTTCACAGTCGAGGCTGACGCGCTTGGCTAAGGGCGGAACAAATACGCCGTCGCCTGTGGTATCAGTGATATCATCTTCACAATATCTGCAGCTGTATCCATAAGTGGTGCACATGCCACAAGGATACACGGTATCGCATTTTCGCTTGCGCTGATGACATGGAATGCATGCTTTTCTTGCGCGCTTGCGCTTGGTGATTGGATTTGACATGACTGACAAAATGCTAGGGGCTTCGAATTTCTACTGCTGTAGACATACACACTCAAATGTTAAATGGATGAATTTCCGGCCCACTCTTTCTGGATGGAGTTGGTACAATTATGGTATACGTAGGGGGTTGCTCAGATCGAGCGATTGGCGGGTCCAGGATGGTCAATTGGGGGCGGTCAATCAGGAAAGTGATACTATTTGTTCCAAGGTGAAAAAGGGGCCAATTCCGACGGCAAAAGCTCTCATTCTAGGCGTCGATGTTCTAGTTCCCCCATATTTTTTAGTTAAGACCTCCAAATTTAGAGGGCTGATGGCATCACGTGCGATAGATAACCGCTGAATCAGCCTCCACGTGGGGACTGCGCGTTCCAGCTGTTTCCTTCTTTAAATCAACAGCTTTTCCTCATGCCCTGCTCCGATAGTTCTGGTTGTGCTCGATGACGTCCCCTCCCTCGCTTGATCCTTTTCCTCCCCCAATTCCCGTCGACACCCACCCCAACCGCGCCCCAGGATCTAAGTCTCCTGAGCCCGAACGGACCCTCCCCGACCCCGATCGATTGGCACCGGAGGATGCTTACTTTGCGCCGTCCCTCTCACGCGTTCGGTCAGCCCCTGCAAATTACGACCATAATTTGCGCTCCCTGAACGGCGATAATGCAGCCCATCTCAGCTCTGCCGCGGCGTTACGCAAGAAATTGGGTGGTCCTGGAAGGCGTCGCAAGCGAAAGGGTGCTTGGAAGAAGTTGCTCTGGGTGAAACAGTCATGTATGTTTATGTCGGATCCCTGAGCTCCTAGTCTTTAGGGGTTACTGACTGTTTGCTGTAGACCCGGACAATTATACCGATACCGAAACATTTCTCGATCATCTGCAGCGCAACCCCAGAGTACGGCCATACGATTTCTGGCCTCTGGTAGCAGATTCAACCGTGATCGTACAGCATGTATGCTCAGTGGTGATATTTGTTTGTTGCTTCGTTGGTATTGTCCAAGACCGAGTCAGTCCTGTCTCAATTGTCTGCTGGGGAAGTGTTGGCACGGCCGTGGGATGGATTTTATGGGACAATTGGATCTGGAACGAACACGCGCAATCAACACAAAGCTCAGATCATACTGCTGAAGGCGATGATGGCTCCAGCTCGAGTTCAATCACGAGTGCGGCCAACCCTCATGCGAATGACACGCCACCCGACGATATTAAAACAAACGCCATTCACGGGCTTGGGTTGACGATGTCCGAGAATCAATCGAAAGAACACTTGGCTAGTCCTGGTGCAGGTCCCACCGAGAGCATTGACGGCGTGGCATATATGAATACCCAAGCCGCCTTGCCACCTGCCCCTCCCAGTGCTGTTCCCAATAGCACAGATGGATCATTCTCCCAGGAGATCCCTCGAGTCTCCATGTTATCACCTCGCAACCGACAGCGAATGACCACAGTTAAATCGGCTTTTCTGATTTACTTCGCCCTACTGGGATTGAGTCCCATTCTAAAATCCCTTACTAAATCAACCGCCAGTGACTCCATCTGGGCAATGAGCTGTTGGCTTTTAATCATGAATATATTTTCCTTCGACTATGGAAGTGGGGAAGGCGCGGGCGCCACCACCAAGTTCCCTGCTTCGTTGTCTACCAACGCAGCTGTAATGGCATCTACTGTTCTTGCCTCGCGGTTGCCTTCCACTACACACGTGTTCAGCCTCATGCTTTTCTCCATGGAGGTATTTGGGCTGTTTCCCATCTTCCGACGCCAACTGCGACAAAAGTCATGGACTGGTCATGTTGTACTGACACTCACTCTCGTGGTCGTTGCCGGTGGCGCTGTCGGTGTTACACTCAGCTGTGGGTGGGCAGCTGCTATTATTGGTTCTGTTCTGGGGGGTATTCTCACTGCTCTCGTGATGGGCGGGTGCAGCTGGTGGCTTATCAGCCTACAGAAGTATAAGAACGTTGTGATCGGTCCCTGGGACCCTGCGCGTCCTATCATTCGGCGCCATTGGAACTAACTCTCATCTTTAATCCTCAAATTTTGGCGCACCTGTGAAATACAACCGGAAGTGTGCTTTGTGGCTTTTCCTACATATACCCCTAGATCAATCTATCTTAATATCGAAGCATTCAGCCGATCTTAATGGCCCGTCGTTGGTGTTTGGCGGTTATATAACTGCGCATTGTCCGCGTTCCATGCCACTATCCCAAATATTCGGAATAAAAGCACTACCAAGTACCCCAGAAAACCTTGAATGAGATCTCCGAGCCTCACCCTGGTGATTGGGACTATACAATGACACAGAGGAATGTAGCCGAGAATGATATGCGAATCTGGCATGCCGCTGCCTCCGGGATTAAACGCTTGCCGCCCCCGCTAAGCAACACAGTCCAGATCTCCTGCTTGGCGTAGTTAAGCCACTGCATTGAAACACATGATGTTTAAAGTGCCTCAATTGTCGCCTGTTTCATGCTGATGGCTTTTCTCAACTCACATTCCCAGCCACGAATCACCTCCTTTTACCTCAACGCTTTATTGAGGAAGCCCTACAACATTCTCCGGCCAAAGGGATGGAGTGGATGACATGCATGAACGAAGAAATATGGGCCGAAGAGCAAGATGACACCCCTTCGGTTAGAGATCGCCGAGTACTGTACTCGCCGATCATTCGCGAGAGTATGTTGGGATGCCTATGCATTCTGGGGGACTATATACTCGATCATCTGCCCTGGGCTTGTCCACCTTGTCTTTCTTCTAATTCTCGGCTTTTCGCCTTTCACCCTCTACAGACAGGGCTTTTTTTTCTTCTGTTCGGCATTTTATTTGATTGTCTAGTCTGCCTATCTTCTCCGCCATGTTCAAGCACCTCGCACTCGGCCTTTTGGCCGCTCAATCTGTGGCTGCTACGCGCTTTGCCATGTACATTGACGAGTGAGTATAGAAACATTCATAAATATCAGAAGATGTTCAGCTAATGCAAAGCGAAGATACCATGTGACCGATCTGCCAGACTCTAGCCAGACTGAGGGCATTGAGTACGCCATCATGGCATTTGCCCCCTCGAAGATCTTCAACTCCGACTCGCCGCCATCATTCCAGCCATTCGAGTCTCCGGAGACCTTCCGCAAGCGCTTCGGTCCCGATACCAAGCTTGGTATTGCCATTGGAGGATGGGGTGATACTTCTGGATTCTCGGATAGTGTCAAGGATGACGCCTCAATTGAGCGCTATGCGAAGAATGTTGCTTCAATGCTCGAGTCGAACGGATTCGATGGTGTTGGTAAGTTAAATCCCGAACAGATCCGACGAAGCAATCTCAGAATTAACCCGAGAAATAAGACATTGACTGGGAGTACCCCGGTGGCAACGGCCAGGACTACAAACAAGTCCCCAACTCGGACAAGGTTGGCGAGATTGAAGCCTACCCTAAGTTCCTTGCAGCCATCCGTAAAGCCATTGGCGACGACAAGCTCCTCTCCATTGCCACTCCTGGCCGCGAGCAGGATTTCATTGCTTTCACTAAGGAGCAGGGCCCTAAGATCTTCGAGCCTGTTGACTATATCAATGTCATGAGCTACGATTTGGTTAACCGTCGTGACAACACCACTGGCCATGCCAGCTCTGTCCAGGGATCCCTGGATACTATCAACCACTACCTTGAGATTGGCGCTCCCCCCGAGAAGATTAACCTCGGCTTTGCATTTTACGCCAAGTGGTTTACCACCGATCCCGATTCCGACTGCGATGAGAACCCCCTCGGCTGCAAGATGGTCAAGCTTGAGAACGATGATGGAAGTGACAACGGCAAGTCTGGTGCTTTGACCTTCGAGGCTAGCGTTGTCGCCGATGCCCCCAAAGATCTCAAGACTTCCACTAACGGCAAGTGTGGATTTGGAGAGAAGTCCAAATGCCCTGAGGGATCGTGTTGCAGCGCCTACGGTAACTGGTATGTCTTTAATTCCAATCTATTTATTTCTTCACCAACTAATGCTGTGGAATAGTGGTACCGGCGATGACTTCTGCCAGGCCGGCTGTCTCTCTGACTACGGCACCTGCAAGGGCATCTCTATCACCGACTCGTGGCGCGATGCCGAGAAGAACGGCCAGACCGATGAGGATGCTGGCGGCCAGTACTACTTCGACAAGAAGAACAACCTCTTCTGGACCTGGGATACCCCTGACCTGATTACCCGCAAGTTCAAGGATATCGTCGCCGAGAAGCAGCTCGGTGGCGTTATGGCTTGGAGTTTGGGCGAGGATACCTATGGCTTCAAGCACCTTGAGGCTATGCAAAACGGTGTCAAGTCTCAATCTACTCAATCTACCATGGTTAGCGCTGCTCAGCCCGAAGCTGACGCTCCTATTCAGTCGTAAGAGGCTTGATTCAGCGTCAGCTATTTGAATTGTGGGGGATGAAGTTCGCTTGATTGAGAGGTGATGACACGACGGAGCACAGGTTGCTCTTAGCATATATTAATAATTTCATGATGCTATTGCTACCCTTGAATCTATTGCCTAGAAGTAGTTGAAGAATTCCCCCAGCACTTGGCTGTAGTCTGTTTCCAGTATTGTTTTTCTCGCCAATTCGATATCTGCCACACGCAACACTCGACTCTACAAAAAATCGGTCTTGAACGGTACAAGTAAAACACCAAAATATTGATTTCATGAGTTATTTACACGCAATTAGCCAAATACACAGCCCTATTGACCAGTCCACCTCTTCATCCAAGCCTCAACATACCGCTGGATCAGCCCTCCACTCACAGGGTCCTTAACAAGGGCTAGGGATGGGGTATCCAGGATCGTACGCCCAGACTCAAAAACCAACCCAGAACCTCTCTTCCCATGCACCTGGTTCTGATCCTGAGTCTGAGTGGCAGCCGCATACTTCGAATGCCAGAAATCAACAAGCTTGATACTCGGATTCTTCTCCGGATCCTGCTCGCTACTTGCAAGCCTTTGGAGCCATTCCTGCGGAGACACAACTTCGAAGTCCGGCAATGCACAGCCCTTCTTCAGAGCCGGCAGCAAGTCATCCGCCCAGCTGAATGTCTGCGGATTGACCAGATGATAAACCAGATCGACATCCGCCGATGCAGAATCCACATTCATCGCAAGATCCGTGATTGCTTGTCCGCACTGATCAACTGGAAGCCAGCTCGGCCGCTCATCCAATCGGGGCAATGCGCCTGTTGTCAATGCGCTGCGGAACATGAGTGCTATCGCCTCCGTCTCGTTCCATTGTGCGCTGGCGGTATCACCACCAAGCTGACCGATTCTCAGAACCCGGGACTGCATACCCGTCTGGCGCATGGCATTGCGGGTGATGTGCTCGGTGACCAGCTTCGACCTTCCGTAGCCGATACGCTGCGCATGCTCCAGATTCTCAATCATGGCCTCGGGTATTGATGCCGGCTTGGGGGTGTTGCTTCCGGCACTGACACTCGAGCAGAAGAAGAATCGGGCTGGCTTCGGTAGATGGGAGCGTAGGCAGAGATTGATCAGATTCCATGTTCCGCGGATGTGCTGCTGCTCAAATGAGCGTACGCCGAGGTTGAAATTCACGGCCCAGGCGCTGTGGATCACGCATGTCAGGGATGATAGTAGATGGTGGAGGACGTGGTCAGATAGACCGATGTTAGGCTGGGATAAATCGCTAGGCACTGCGTGGAGCTTGGCCGCTTCGGAATCTGTGAGCACGATATTCCGGTCGCTGAGGGACTTGTATAGACGAGCTCCTGCTGCTGCTTGTCCTGGTGCCCGTACAATTGCCCATACTTCGGAGACGGTTGGTCGTTTTAGTAATTCTGCGACAATAAAGGCTCCCAGGTTGCCTGTTGCACCGGTGACCATCACAACCTCTGCCTCTGGCTGTTGAGCGATAGTCGGGAAATGTTGAGTGAAGTGTGAGTACTTTTCGATCAGCTCGCGCATGACGTGCAGCTCATCTTCTTTCTCGAATTCTTGGCCAGTACGCATTTGATAGAGGTGTTTCGCAAGTGCGCTGACCGTTCCTTTCTCGAAAACGATGTTCTGGGACAGCTCTCCAACCTCGCCAATATCGAGGTCGCGCATGATGTATCTCCAAATCTGTGTTGTCTGTAAACTGTCAACGCCAGCAGAGAAGATATCTGCCTCGGCGCTAGACAGTGAGATGCCCAAGTCTTCACTGAACCGTGCCAGTAGCCAGCTCTTCAATTCTGGCACATCGAGAGCAAGAGTGCCTCTCTTCTGCCCATTTCCTTCGAACTTGGCATACACCTGTGCGATATCCTCCTCGAATTGCTGGTAGACTTGAGCCCGGATGCAGGTTCCCTTATCGGTCTTAGCATAGGGTACATCAGCGCCCTTGATCACAATCAAGTCCTTTGGAATTCGAGAAAACGTCTCAGCACGAGTATTTGCTGCCTCTACCGCGGGCCAGATAGTCTCCAAAAACTCGCCATCATCTAGGTGTGTTGCTTTTCCAGGCGCGCGGAAAATTAACGCACCAGGCACAGTTCGTTGGAAGCCAAACACAACACATTCGCTCACAATTGGCTCTTCTCTAACGCGACCTTCAATGGGAATGGGGAGTACTTTCTCTCCGTTGACCAGTGTAATTCGATCGTCCAGTCGACTGAGGTATTTGTACCGGTTGCTCTTCTCCGGGTCAGGGTGTCTTGTGAATAGATCGGCTGTTCGGAAGCTGTTTTCGGGGTTTTTCGCACTGAAGGGCGGCTTCGAGTTCGAAGGCCCCTTGCTCGGTAGTCCATCTAACGCTACACACTCAAAAACTCCAGGTGAAATTTCGTCCATGAGTGTGTAATCGGCAACTGGACGATGCAGCCGCATGTACTGCCACTCCGTGTCTCCTGGAGAGCGGAAAGAAGTCATGATCTGCCCGGTTTCTGTCGCTCCATAATTCGCCACCAGGTTTACGCCTTGGGCGACAAGTCGGTCGCCGAGGTCATCTGGACAGCTAGATCCGCCATACAGCACTAGCTGTGGGCGAGCCAAAGCTTGAATGCCTTCGGGCTGTTCTGCCAATAGCTTGATAACATATGGCACGGCACTGATCTGTTGTGGCTTGGCTACCTGCAGTGCATCAAACAGGTTCTGGTAGGTGACCGGAAGAGAGTGATTTCCGAGGTAAGCCGTTGCGCGAGTATAGAATGCCCGTCCAAATTCCATTAAAGCATGGGAGTGGAACAGTGGGCTGATATTGAAAAGACGGAGCCCGAAGCTCTTGCGGAAATTTGCCAGGGTTTGGAGGTTGCTTAGGAAAATGGGCTTGGGGAATCCAGTGCTTCCAGACGAATGCAGGATCCAGGCAATTTTCTTGCCCTCTCGTGACAAATCCACGCCCGCTCGCTTGAAGCGAGGTAGGCTGGCAGGACGGTTGAACCAGTTTTCACGCTGTAATAGAGGGAAACTCTTGCAATCAGGACGCTCGATGCAAATCTCATTGGTGACTTGCTGGAACTGCTTATTGATGATCATTTGGCTGCAATCCGCCATGTCCAATAGCCGCGTATAGGCAGGGGCTGTGAGTCTCGTAGACAAGAAGAGAATAGCATAGCCCAGGCGGTTTAATGCAAATTGCGTCAGAATCACCTCGAAACTAGATCCAGCCAGCATAGCTACCACTGGGGCCTTTTCAAGACTCGGGTCCTAGAAATTGATTAGTTAGGGTTGTAAAGGGCCGGCGAAGTTCTTACCGCAGGCGCAAGCCCCTGCTCCATGTAATAGCGAACAGCGACATCGGTATAGCGGTCGATGTCCCCGGCTGTGTGCTCTTCAAAATCGGCAGCTCCACGAATTGGATAGCATATCAGCGGTCGCTTTGCGTCATCCGGTTGAGTGGCGTGGGACTTCAATAGGCCGTCAATAGTCTGAAATTCCTCGATGTTAGGCCACTGGGCGTGAAGTGTGCCATTTAACAAGCGGGATGCGATATCTTTTGCTTCGGGCTGAGCGCCCTCTGTCATAGTAACTGTCGACATGGTTGTTGAGGTGGAAATTGTCGTTCCCCGCGTCTTTATATGAGCTCTCATCCCACGTCCCGGCGCTTTTCCGGTTTTCCGACTCGGAAAAGCATCGCTGCGGTTGTCTTCGCCACGCGATTTCCTGGGGAAATCCAGGCATTCAAGCACTTTTCAGGGTGAATCCTTGCCTTTCGACGTAGAATTCTTCCTTACCCCGGATTATTGGAGTCAAACGACTGTCAGATGACATTGGCAACACGCCCACTCTTCACCTCGGATATTGGACATCGACGGATAAGCGAAACTGAGTCAATACTTCTTTATGCATTTGAGAATAACGATGATATAGAACAATTCACTTGCTACTGACTCCAGGCTCTACAATAATCCCATATTATTCACTATTAAAAGCTAAGCTACTCGAATGTGGCAGAGCAGGACCCCTCAAACCCAAGTATATTTTCATGGCTCTTCTTACAACTTGATCTCTGGTCAGCTACCTATTCTTGTGAAAATGCACATTGTCTCCATCCTCAAATATCCAAGTATAGCTCCACATATAGACACGTCGATCATCTATAGCCAACTCTTATTCTACACAAGCACTCGAACAAGCAAAGTGTGGGGGTGCTTCCGCCCCGAACCTATCAACATCATTCGGTCGAGCGATGATTACTCTTAGCTCCTGCAAGTGTCTAGGATTATCAAGGGATCTTCAATTTCGCACAAATGGACTCATTTAGTCTCGCGCTGCTTTCGCTTTCCCCGCGTTTCCCCCACGTCTGTGACTTTCTGGGGAAGTGGAAAACTAGTAAATTCATAGGAAAAGAGGATTTCCAGGGGATATACTTGGCTCTATAAATCCCGGGGATTTCCAGCTCGACTTGGAACCCATAACTCTCTTGCTCGGATCTCTAAGCCCTGATCCATACGCAGCATGGCACGCAGTGAACATGAAATCAATGACACGGACGTGATGGGGGAGAAGGCGGACTTGTCGCATGAAGAGGTTGCATATTTGACACAGCTCACACCTGAGGAGAAAATACTTGAGAGGAAGCTTCGTCGACGTATTGATCTGTTGATCATGCCTTTAGTTATCATAGTCTATCTCATGAATTATATTGACCGGTATGTATCTACATTCTGATTTTTACCGTGTATTGACAGAGGTTTCACTATGTTCAGAAATAACTATGCTGCTGCGAAACTCCAAGGTCTTATGGAAGATCTCCATATTACTGATCAGCAATATCAAACCGGTCTCTCTGTTTTATTCGTTGCCTATATCTTGATGCAAGTGCCTTCGAATCTTCTGCTCAATTACATAGGTCGCCCCTCGCTTTACATCGGATTTTTTGTTTGTGCATGGGGTCTTGTTTCCGCACTTACAAGCCAGGTCCAGAGCTATGGGGGTATTGTTGCTTGTCGCTTTATACTAGGTTTGGTCGGTATGTCTCTTGCTGTGAGATCAGGTAACCAGTAATCTTGACTAACAAATATGAAGAATGTCCCTTCTTTGGTGGGGTCTTGTTCTACCTTTCCAAGTGGTATACTCAAAAAGAACTTGCCTTCCGAATGAGTGTTTTCTACTCGGGCTCACTCCTCAGTGGTGCTTTTGGTAACCTGATCGCTGCCGGCATCTTGAACGGGTTGGCTGGCGCACACGGCATAGCCGCCTGGCGCTGGCTCTATATCATCGAAGGCTCTATCACTTGCTTCATTGGTTTGATCATATGTGCAGTCCTGCCAGACTTCCCCGACACATGGCGACTACTCTCGCCCGAAATGCGAGCGGTCGCTATAAAGCGACTGGCGATTGAAGCAGCTGAAGCTGATGTGGATGAAGAGGGCGGTATGTTCTATTCCTATCTATTCCGATGTCGATCGTGCATAACAAATCTCTCAAGGCATGAGTCAACTCAAAGGGCTCAAGTTAGCCGTACTAGACATCAAGACCTGGGTCCTGGCTTTCGCCTACATGTGCATTGCCGGTGCAGGTGGATTCCAATACTTTTTTCCAACACTGACTGCCACCTTGGGCTACAGCAACTTCATCTCGTTACTTCTGGTCGCACCGCCATACATCTTCCTTGTCTTCTATAGTCTGCTCCACAGTTGGATCTCCGATCAAGTTGGCCAGCGCTTCTGGTTCTTCTTCTATCCAATTCCAATCACAATCATCGGATTCATCATCTTCATGACTGTCGACTCATTCGGGGTTCGATACTTCTCGTTCTTTTTGATGAACGCTACGTTTGCTCAGAATGGTACTCTGTACTCCTGGATTGCCAATGCCTTACCGCGCCCTCCGGCTAAACGTGCTGCTGCTTATGGTATTATCAATGCTATTGGAAATTCGGCTAGTATATGGACCCCTTATACCTACTATGATGCGCAGAGACCTTATTATCGCGTGGCGCTTGGTATTTGTATTGCTTTGCAGGTGCTGGGTGGCCTTGCTAGTGTCTTCTTGTTTTTCACTCTGCGTCTGCTTAACAAGCGTCAGCAGCGGCTTGAGAACGAGGATGTGCCACTGGATGAGAGAGATTTGCGGCGGCTACAACTTACTGCTGACAATGAAGGGGTTGATATCGCGGCTGCTCGGCGATTGCAGAAGGGGTTCCGGTATATGCTTTAGCTTGTTATATGATTCGGATGACCTTGTTAGTGATTGAGATTGAAGAGAAACGCCTTTGACGTCAATTAAACCGATTAGATGTGATGTTTTGGCTAAATTGGAAACAATCAACTTTGGAACACAGTCAGTGTAGATGAAGTGCATGAGGGAATACGAACAACCTTGACGAAATTAAAAAAATGGTGATCATTCCTGTAAGGTGTGTCAAATTAGGTACTCTGGAAATTTGAACAAAAATAAAAAAAAGAAACGAGGTGCGAGGGGGACTCGAACCCCCGACCTTTCGATTTGCAATCGAACGTTCTAAACCACTGAACTACCGCGCCTGGTTTGATGGAAGAGGCTCACCTCCCCAAAATTATATGCCAATAATTCTTATTAGTTTAGCTTGCCGGCTAACTGCTTCATTGTCGCCACAGTACTAATTCTGGCTATACTCTCTGGTATATGTTGGAACTATTGTTGTATGAAAAGACCATACGAAACTACTGACTCTAACCTTTTTCTAGGAAATCCATGGTTTCGGTCGGTTAATTGGTTTTCAGTCAAGTTTTGATCATTTCAGTCAGATATATATCTGTCAACACACCAGCTGAGAGTTGAGTTACCAACAATGGCACGACAAATTAAGAGAAGCAAGAAACAATGTAACATTCAATCTACAAATCAACTAAGTTAAGCTCAAGTTATTTTTTATCATCTGTCAAAAGGCAGAAAGTACGCCTGGAGGTTGTCCAACCACTGTAAGTGGCATCAAGCACTAGATTCTATTCGAAGAAAAGGCAGTGTACGCGAAAATTTCATAAATTGAATTCATAATTAAGCTCCTAAGCACTCCCCTTTAGCATAATTTCCTTCATGGATCCGGTAAATCCCTCTCCAATCCGAGTCAAGGGCGCTTCGATAGCAATGGGAGCCCACACAAAGTATTCACCGTTAACGCCAATCTTGGTTAGGAACTCCATAGACCGAGAGCCACCCCCAGATCCAGAAACAGTCAACAGAGTGGCGTTTCCTCGTCCAATCAAACTGACATCCGTCCAGGTATTCAAAGGGAGGGTATAATTGAGCGAGTACGGATTTCCCCCACTGATCAAAGTCACGTTGGAGATGGTACCATTGCCATTCACAAAGCTTGAATCAGGCCCATTAAACAGTGAGCCTGGGGTGTGGGAGGTAGGCTTGACTTTGAAAGAGAGCGTATAGTCACGCCCCTTGCTTCCAAGTGGTGTCTCAAGGTAACACCCGTTGGCGAAATGGAGAGTCGAGCCGGAGATCTTACAACCGTGTAGCTTTCCATTGTATCCATTACCTGAATGATCGGTTACAATGTCCGAGCTTCTGTCAAAAGTATAGTGAAGTATCGTATCAGACTTGCTAGGGATCCTCCGATCCAGGTTCTGAGCCGGAACCGCGGCCTGCAACCGGTCAAAGACGGAGGCATAATCCCCCTCGGTGATGTTACCTCCCCACTGCTTATCAGCAAGTGCAGGGAGCGCATCACGCCAGGAGTAATAGGTCTGCAGGACAGTTGTGGAGTTTGGACCATAGTCATTCCACAGGGCAGCTGCATGACCCAGCACCCGTGGGTTATTCCTGGGAGGATTGTCGCTCTTGTTAGAACTGTCGAATATGTTTGGTGAGAAGGGTGCGCCGTAAGGACCCTGAAAGATCTTGCTCAACTCAAGCTTCTGCGCGAATGACCCAGACCACCCGCCAACGAGATACATGTAATCGTCAGAGTTGAGAACATTATATCCATTCTGAATATAGTCGCTGTATGGCTTGTCCGCACTCACATCCCAATGTTGATAGGTCACGGATTTGGATACATTGGCACCTTGTTTCGGTGTGAAAGTACCCCAAATGCGCATCTGCTGACGACCCGATGACTCCTCTTGTATAAAAGTGTTCATTTCATTAACAAAGTGCGTATAATCTGAGACCAGATCACTGTCGTATTCATCGGCACCAATGTGAACAATCTTGCTCTGGAACCAGGGCAGGAAAGTGCGCCAAATGGTCTTCATAGTCGGGATAGTATCCGGATGGCTGATGTTGAGCATACTCAGGTCATCGAGGCCAAGCTCTGGCTTCCATTGAACAATGACAAGCGCATGGCCCGGTGCTTCAATCTCGGGGATGATGGTGACACCCCGCTGCGCACACTGTGCTTGAACATGGTCGAATTGCTCACGGGTGTAAGATTCATTTGCACGGCGATTCAGACCCGCGACAGCTTCATCATCAGACCAGAGTCGGAATGTTGCATACAGATCCATTGACCGTTCTGTCGAGTATATGTCGACGTTGTTGTAGAGGTTGTCATCCAGATGAACATGGAACGTGTTCTGCTTGAAAAATGAAAGGTACGAGCACATCTCGATTAAGAACTCTGGTGGATGATACTTGCGTCCTACATCGAGCTGGATGTATTCATTAGCGATGGTACCAGGAATGATTTCTATTGTATAGCTCACCATGGCCCCGCGAGTACCCCATCCTGGAGCATCTGCACCAGATCCTTTGGCCAAGCTCAATTCTCCAATGATAGCAGCCTGAATCACTGATCGTGTTCCCCACCATGCACCTAAAGAACTGGCTCCGGTGATAACGATGCCCTGATCGTCGACCGTCAAGGCATAAGCTTCAGAGGTGAATCGGCCTGCAACATCATGAAAATCCGTTTGATTTGCCAAAGTCACGAAGATGGTGTTTTCCAGGCGCTTGTTTCCTTGCGAAACCTTCAAATCCAAATCCAAGGTCGACTTAAGGTCTCCTTGGAAAGTCTCCGTAAATTGCTGCAAGGTTGGCGGTATCAAAGTCTGCCCATTGTTGTCCACCGAATCTGCATATTTTGAATCTATTACAATGCCAGAGAGTCTAGAAAGGTCATAATCGCCTCCTGTCTCTGTGAATGTTGTAGTGGGAACGGTTAACAGGTGGGCATAGCCTAGAGAAAACAGGTCAACCACAAGCAGATCTAGGAAAGGATTCTTAGTGTATACCTCCTAGACCATTAAAGGCACTAAAGACATAGAAAAACGAATTGTTAAGCTTCATTGTGCTTCGCAATTCACCAATGACGCTCAACTACTCAACAACAGACTATAAAGGGATATTTATGTTGGGAACAGTCAAAGTGGGGAGAATCCCTATGTAACCTGGCTATCTTTTAGAGTCGCATTACTGCAAGGAGAAGTTACGTTACAACCAGCAGAGAGGGGGAGACGCGTAGTTAGTCAATGGCAGTGACGATCGCAGGGGTTGTCCAACCAGCGGCTGGTTAAAAGTCCGGAGTTACAAGCGTGCAATTAGCGTGAAGACTGAGATTCGGTAAAATGAAACGTTTGATGTCATCGATAAAGACTTCAATAATATGAATGAAAGTCAATAAATAGGCACAGAGACCGGATAATACCTCACGACTTCCTGTTCCATTTTATTATCCAGCCCTCGTTCTATATTTGAATTGAAAGAAAAACTACATCTGTTTCATATCGGATATCAGAACGGAGTGTTATCTTTAGAGATGGAATTGGTTGAAATGATAGAAAATTTGTATCACCAAAAGAAGGACTGATCACAGTAAGTTATATACTTGCATGGTAACCAGGAAAATCATCCCCCACCATAGCCTCTGGCACTATATCTTGTCCTGTTAAGTGTTCTTCAGAGTCACAACATTTCCTGACTTGATCTATAGCCAAGGTTCCGATTCTCAACTACTCCACATTCAAAGATATTTGACAAGGCTCAACAGTAAATTAGTCTATTAGCAAACACCAGAAACATTAACTGTACATGTCTATATGGAGAAATTATACCCCATGCACTTAAACGCGGCACAGCCGACCATTTTGATCGGGAAGGCCATCTGAACTCTTCACAACCCAGTTCTCGCTTCCAACACCAGTAGGTGCGTAGAACAAAAAGGTAGGATCGTAACGCTGCTTAAGCTCATACAAGCGCCCATAGTTGGTACCGTAGAATGCCTGTTGGAAGTTCGGCTCTTGGATATCCGATTCGGACATGTATGCACCGGCGTCGGGACAGGTCGAGCGCCACTTGCCTAGAACATCATTGGTGAAATAATCCATCTTGGACTTGATGGCAGCATTTGAAGTAGTGTTCGTCCAGCTGGTAGACGTGATGGCGTGCATTAAAGTCTCGCGGAAAGCTGGGTTGGCTGCATTTGGCGGATTACCGCTCAATAGCTCAGCCTTCATGTTGAATGCAAGCAGGGGGAAGCCTGCAGTGACTGTGGCGCGCAAAGCATCAAAGGTCGAGTTAAGAGTCGTGGGATCCTCCCAGTTTGCACGGGGGAAAAGACGAGAGCCAGTCATCATTTCTGAGGAGGCGACGGTCTCTAGAGGGAACCCAGCCATCCAGCCGTCATGGAAGTTGTCGTAGTAGGTAGAGTTGGGGAGGAATGAGATGCCCAGCTCATGCAGCTCATCGTACCATGGCTTGACGAGAGCGTTAAATTGATCAATTGTATGGTTGACGGCGAAGAAGGGGTTCATCAAGAAAGAAAACGAGTCTGGCCCAGTTGCCAGTACCCAGAAGTATGCGTAGGTACCGGCGTCGGCATGAGCAGGGAACCGGTCAACGTATGATCGTACACCAGCCCAGAATGTATCTGCAGAAACATTCTGTCCAGTAGAAAAGTTGAATGTCGACACAGTGACGCCGGTCTTTGGGTAAACGCGAGAGATGAGCGAGGTGACAATACCAAATGTTCCTGGAAAAATAATTATCAGACTGATGTATGCAGAAATAACCAAGAGGAAACTTACCACCGCCACCACCACGCAAAGCCCAAAATAGATCGGAATCACTCTTCTCGGTCACAGTGATGAATCGACCATTAGCTAGCACGACTTCCATTGCCAGTACCTGGTCGGCAGCCAATCCATACTTGCTAGATAGAGGTGAATGGCCACCACCAAGAACATAGCCACCAGCAACACCGACAGTCTGCATTTTCAATGTCAGAAATTGGATTGGAAATATTGTTCAAAGGTCAACTCACCCTTCCTTCACCACCAACCGCAGTAAATCCCAGCTCCTTGCTCTTTTCATACAACTCGAAGGCCTGAACACCAGCGCCAATTTTGACAGCCGGTCCTTGGTAGCCAGAACTCTGGTAGTTCGCGTCATACTCGATATCCTTGAGGTTATGAGTCCATATACCCAGCGAACCAGCACCGGTCGACTTGCCATTGAAGTCATGACCAGTGTTCTTCACTACGAGCCGGATACCGGTGTTGCGCGCAAAGTTTACAGCAAGTTGGATCTGAGCCACATTGCTCACATTCACTGCATAGCTGCTGTATCCGCCAATAGTGCATGGAGCTGAGGCATTTGTCGTGGGTAGACAAGATCTGCCTTCAAACAGAGGCCACATGACCGAAGCTGGGTCCGCAGCACTTGCCGCAAGGTTAGTATACACTGGGTCGAAGATTATTTCAATCCGATGCACTTACTGAATGTTAGAGTCCGTCCACTGCGAGCTAATAGTCTCACATTCATTTTGGTCATACTCGGGCCACGATGAGTAGCAAGAAGCTGCTAAAGGCACTGTTTTGATGAGTGCACCGCCCAGCAGGTTGTCCAGTGCTGACCACGCAGACCGTGATGGCCACTGTCGATCGCCAGGGAAGACCTTGCATTCTCCCGATGACAAGGTGAGTTGATTTGTGCCATTACCACCAAATCCAACCAGCGCGGACCGGTTCTGGCTGAGATTTGCAACGACCCGATCGGTTAATTGAATCTTCTCGCTGTCAAAGAGAGACTCGCCAGAAGTGGAAGCCAAGGAAACTTTCTGAGAAGCGCCAGCCTCTCCAGGGGTAGCCAGCAAGAGAGCGTTGAGCAAAATGCCCATGCAAAAATGACCGGGGGCCATGATGTGTGTGAAGATGAAAAAAGACGCTACAGCCACGATCGACAAAAAGCCCGAAAACGTGGGCACGGGAGTCTTATTAAAGACCAAATGTGAGGCAAACCGCACAATATCTGCCACAATCTGCCACGAGGTTGACACTTGAGTGTTGAGATTGAGACAGAACTTGCCACTGAGCCCCACAATTCAACTAGAAGTGCTCGAGCACTCGCTTCCACCGCAGTGTCTCTTCTTCCAGCCGAAATGAGGATGGAGACGGATGGGGCGTCAACTCCGTCTGCAAACCCCTGGTAGATTGGCGCCACACTTTATCTGCGACGTCCAGTCTTTACTACTTTCCTCAATAACGGGCTAACTGCCGCATAATAGTGTGTGTGTCCGGCCGAGGTACTTCGTATACCCACTGTGATTACAGAATTCTAGGGGCTAGTGTGTCTGCCGGAGCCCTATGCATTTGGCCCCCTTGCGTGATCTGAATGGTCGGAATTTGCGCACTAGAATTTCTAGCGTGAGAATTCTTCGGAGAGGGCAAGAAATTCTACACCAACTTTGGCTTTCAAGAACAAAGTCAGACAGACAAGAAAATGTGATATCATTGACCCGGACACCGTTCGGGCATTGCTCCATCCGTCGAACTGGTCCACAGTTCACCGGCTTTCTCCACTCGAACCGGTCGATCCGATCTGCTTTTTGAGCGAATCCTTCAATATGCAAGGGATAACAAGGAATACTACTCTGACCTCAAGTTTGAGGAAAGCAGAAGCATTCGTGCCTCACGAAATCGCGCCATTCTCTTCACATGGGCTTTTGCGGTTCGAAACGATCAGTCGTTGGAATGAATCTCAAACCATAGCCCCAGAATAAGGTTATAGGTTCTCTAACAGATAACCAACTCAATTTCGTAACCCACAATTGGCAGAGACACATCCATTTCCCACGGATTTAACTCTATGAAAGTATCTCATTGGGTCTCGGAGGCTTCTGCACCACTTTTTCTTCCATGGACATGAGACAGTGTTGAAATATCACGCCAGCCGCGACGGCTTCCATCAGCATCCGAGAGGCGACTGATGTCTTTCTTTCTGCATTGTACCTGAAAAACGTCCACGGTTCTTCGGAGGAAGATGTTTGGGACCTACGTAGTATGTACCAAAAGACTCCCTGTCTGAAACGTCAAGTCAGGTGAGAAAGGATCTTAGAAGCATTTGACTGAAACAAAAGCCGATAAAAACATCCGAGGCTTCACATTCCAACATTAACTTACATCTGGGTCTGTGGAGTCGATCATCCACGCCCTCCCTCATTGGCCATTCCCCTGTTGACGGCCATGGAATTGATCGAAATTGATCTGAAAGCCAGTGCTGAACCCCAGTCTGTTCATGAAAAAAAAGGGACTGTCCCTGAATTCCAATCACAAACAAAAGCCAGAGAGGTGGGGTGTTGCAGGTGTGCAGATCTTGGGTTTCTGTGGCGGTCACCCTCGCCCTTGCATTATAAGAGCGAAACCCGGGCTTTTCTGGGATTTGTCTGCTGCACCAGAGAATAATGATTGACGACCACCATCAGAAGACTGCGCTGGGCATCGTGCTCGCTTTTGCCATTCTTGGAGGCATTGCTGTTCTTCTTCGGCTCTGGAGTCGATGGCTATCACGATCTGCGCTCACCAGCGGTATGTACTGACAATCCCGTCCTGACTCCAGTGATCTGCATTTCACTGTCATATATGCTGGTGGCACTTGCTCATGAAATTCTTTGCAGATGACTGCTTTATCCTTGCTGGATATGTAAGATCGGCGGACCTGACAGCGAAGGGTACAAATTGACATACTATCTATAGGTTCTTGCCGTATCTCAATCCGTCACCTCATGGTACTGTAAGTGATTATAGTCTAAAGACAACATTGGAACAGTGGCTGATCTTGAGATAGACATCAAAACCAACTATGTCGGTATTCACATTTGGGATGTACCCAAAGACTATAACCCAAGACCAGGGCTAGTGGTAAGCCCAATTCACTATTTTTCGAAAGATCAAAGGTTGACAGGGCCCAATGCTACAGTGGAATTTTGCCAACCAGCTCATCTATAATCCGGCCTTGACCCTGGTCAAAGTGTCGATCCTTCTTTTCTTGCGCCGACTGGACTCACGCTCACGAATTGTCAAGTACCTCATTTGGAGCTCAATGGCTGTGGTAGTCGGACTATTTGTTACTGTTATACTGGTTGATATTTTCCAATGCCACCCAGTGGCCTACGTCTACGATCAAACCATCCCAGGCGGCAAATGCATCAACCAGGGTGCATTCTATGTCTCGACTGCCGCACTCAATCTCTTCACCGATCTGATGGTACTTTCAATCCCCATCATCATCACATGGCGTCTGCAAATGCCTCTCCGCCGCAAGATCGCCGTGTGTATCATTCTGTGTCTTGGTGGAGTGTAAGTTATCTTCGAGCTCCGTCCCTAGCTAAATCCCACCTAACACCCTTCAAAGAGCAACCGCAATCGGCGTCTGGCGCATCATCATCCTCGCCAATGCCTTCATCTCAAAGAAGAAAAACCTCGACCCAACCTACGCAGTTGGCTTCTGCAGCTCAGCAGTAGAAGTCAACGTGGCTGTAGTAACAGCTTGCGCCCCCTCTTTGAAAGCAATCAGCACGAAATTCCTCCCAAGACTCCTGGGAAGCTCCAACGGAGGCGGCAAGTCAACCTACGGTGGCGGCACTGGCTCCGGAACAAGAAGTGGCTCTCAAAAACGCGGCATCTCCCATATCTCACACATTTTCTCACATCGCAGGTCGCATACCAAGTCTTCGCCATCGCGCTCTACCGAGGACGATGGATATGAAATGGCAGATCCGCTGGGCGGGCCGCGTGTTGACATCGGCACTGGCTCAGAGCCCTTTGATATGCGAAAGTATAAGCGTGGCGCTGATAGTCCTAGCTTTATAAGTTCTGATGATGATGGTGTGTCGGGGATTGTCAAGACTACTGATATTTCGGTTGGGTATGTCATGGAGCCTGGGCAGCAGGAAGGTCGGTCGAATGATGCGAGACCTGCCAGTGCTGATAGTTGGGTTTGAAGGATTGCTCAGTGTATAGAACTCATAGATGATTCAGATCAATTTCTTTTTAATATTTTATAACGAATGTCCTCTCCCAGCAAACGCGTCTAGTAAACTTGGATGACGTTTTGTGCTGGGTCCTAATCTTCTTCGCATGAAGCCATATCTCAATTGTACTATAAATTAGATACAAATGCAACTTCAAGTCAAATAGTTCTTATTGGCTATAATTCTTCCGAACATAATACAAGTGCTATGGTTGGAGTTGTGCATGTCCATGCAGCCTTCTCGGCGATATGAACTGATTGGAGATGCCGAGAGCCTATCAGAGAACTACGACGAGTTGGACTTCCCCGCATTGAGATTCTTATAAGTTTTTTCGGCTGACCTTTGTGAACTTGACTTTCATTTTGATTCTTGTGATTTCAATTGTACACATCTCAAGCTATGGCGACCAAATACGACCTTCCTTTCACGGTATGTAGATGGCCCGCATCTGTTGGCGGGGTGTTCGGCGAGATGTCCGAACTTCTCCGCTCGAGCTTCATTGTTGGACCTCAAGCTGGAAATGAAGCTAACACAAGGCCGTATAGCTATCAGACCCAACTCTGTTGAATGTTGATTCCTTCGTCGATGGCCAATGGGTCGAGGCAAAGAGTGGGAAGCGGTTTGAAGTACTCGGTAGGCAGCATTAAATATGCTCCGATTTACAAGACCACAACTAACTGATGCCACTTACCTGCAGACCCTGGTACTGACAAACCATGGGCTAGCTGCCCCAATAATGCAGTAGAAGATGTCACTGCAGCCGTAGAAACCGCCCACGCAGCATTTGAACAATTCCGCAAAGTCAACCCGCGCCAACGAGCAAAGTGGCTGCTAAAATGGCACGACCTCACGCTAGCCGCGAAAGAAGATCTCGCCCAAATCGTCACACACGAAACTGGCAAGCCGCTAGCCGAAGCATACGGAGAGATTGACTACTCCCTCGGCTTCTTGTGGTGGTTTGCAGGCGAGGCAGAGCGAATTCAGGGCACCGTTTCCACCGCAGCAGCACCAAACCGACGACTATTCACTATTAAACAGCCGATTGGAGTAGCTGCTGCACTGGTCCCGTGGAACTTCCCAGTTGCCATGGTACTGCGTAAGGTCGGCGCTGCGATGGCTGCCGGTTGCACGATGGTTGTGAAGCCAAGTCCTGAGACGCCGATCTCTGCACTCGTGTTGGCAGAGTTAGCGCAGCGTGCGGGCATTCCGGCTGGCGTTTTCAATGTTCTGACAACGGATTTGGAGAACACACCGTCGTTGAGTGAGGCGCTTTGCAAGCATCCACTTGTGAAGAAGGTGACTTTCACTGGATCGACGCGTGTCGGTAAGCTAGTAGCTTCTCACTGCGCGCATGGTCTCAAGAAAGTGACTCTTGAGCTTGGTGGTAACTGTCCCTTCATCGTCTTTGACGATGCCAACCTGGACCAGGCACTTGAGCAGTTGATGGCGCTGAAGTGGCGCCATGCTGGTCAGGCTTGTATTACTGCCAACCGAATCTATGTTCAGGCTGGAGTTTATGATCAGTTTGCTGCTCTTCTGAAAAAGCGTACTGCTGCTCTAATCGTTGGACATGGTGCTGCGGCTGGTACTACTATGGGCCCTTTGACCACACCCCGCAGCATCGAAAAGGCTACTGCTCAGATTGAAGATGCTCGTCGTCTCGGGGCGGATGTTCTGCTTGGTGGAAATCCTGTTGCTAAGCCGGGTTACTTCTTTGAGCCAACCATTTTATCGGGAATGACGGAAGAGATGCTCATCTCGCAAGAGGAATCATTTGCACCTATTGCTGCGCTGTACAGATTTGACACCGAGGAACAGGCAGTCAAGCTGGCTAATGATACCAGCATGGGCCTGGCCAGTTATGCTTTCACAAAGAACATTGATCGTATGTGGCGTCTGCTGGAGAACCTGGAGGCAGGCATGATCGGAATGAACACAGGTAAGTGTTTTCGAGAAAAAAAAAACAGGCAATATAAGCTAATGATTTCAAATAGGTAATCAATCGGCTGCTGAGTCGCCTTTCGGTGGCATCAAGGAGTCTGGATATGGCAAGGAGAGTGGAAAGGACGTTGCAGTCAACGAATACTTGGTGACCAAGACGGGAACATTGACACTTGAGGGTCAATACTGAAGAAGTCGTTCCATACAGTAGTGAACCATTAGTCTCAGTCAACCACAGAAGTCCAAACGGATATCGCCTTTCCGTTAACCCTTTTTGACAAGTATTACTCCTCTCGCTTTAGTGTGCCTAGCCAACTCACTAGCCGATTCAATTGAATTCAGTATCTATGTTTTCAAACAAATATCGAACATCAAACGTCAAACAGAGTTGAAAAGAGAAGATCGAGATTCACTGTAGTATAACTTCGTATAGATGACCGCATTGGGAATGACCAACGCACGGACCTTGATAGACTGGCAGCTTCTACTTGTTTCGCTTCACAACACTCCTCATCTTCACTGCCATACTACACCATACCGCTCTGTATTCTGGGCTTCTGTATTTGACTGAGAAAAGCTCTTTGTGCCTCTCACTCTCCGGTGAAAACAAGGATCGAGACAACGAAAAAAATTCAACATCCCCCACGTAACTTCAATTTTTCGCTACTTTTTACATCTTCAACCTCTTGGAAATTCTCGAGATGGACAGCCTTGATACACTTCGCCACATCATTCGACATCATGCGATCATCGATAATCATGCGCATAACCTGCTGAACCAGGAGTCGGCCAGTGATCTTGACAGCTACCCACTGGAAGCCATTACTTCCGAAGCCCACGGCCAAGCCTTGGAAAATGCCCGAACTACGTTGCCTTTGCTACGAGCTACGAACCAGCTTGCCGAGCTGTATGGTAGCCCCTGTGAAAACTGGGATGATGTCCTGTCAGCCCATGATCGTTGGGTCCGAGAGGACTACGACGGATTGATCCGCCGATCATTGAAAGGAACCCATGCACTGCTACTTGACGATCTTCTTGGCGATGATGAAGATATCGAAAAGTATGACTGGCATGATAGCTTCACTGTGTCAGCCACGAAGCGCATTGTCCGCATTGAAGCCGTTGCGGCGGATTTGATTCTTCAATTGGCCAGTAGCGAGCGCAAGGCTGGCGAAACAGTTTGGAACAACTTCCGTCAACGATTCCAAGATGCCCTTTCGGAGGCCATGGAAGATCCCAACGTCGTTGGCTTCAAGTCGGTTGTGTGTTACCGCACAGGGTTGGACGTGGATCCTTATTCATCCGATGATACTACGTTGGCAGGCTCGCTTGTGCGCACTCTTGACTCTGGGACTGTAAGATCTGGTTTCCGAGTTGAGGACAAGCCATTGAATGACTGGCTTGTTCAGCAGACATTGAAAGCCATCTCTTTCAAGAAAATGGCTGGTGTCGTGAAACCGTTGCAATTTCACACTGGTCTGGGTGATAACGATATCAACCTGGTGCGAGCTAATCCGGCATATTTGCAACCGTTGATTGCCCAGTATTCCAAGGCAGATATAATTTTACTGCACTCGGCATATCCTTATACTCGGGAAGCAGGTTACCTGGCCAGTGTGTACCCCAATGTCTATCTAGACCTTGGCGAGGTATTTCCCATGGTCAGCCGAGACGCCCAGGAAACTATCTTGCGACAAAGCTTTGAGCTCACGCCTGCCAACCGTCTTCTTTGGAGTACAGACGGACACTATCACCCCGAGACGTTCTGGCTGGCTAACCGTCAGTTCCGCCAGGCCCTTGAGATAGTAAGTTACAACTCTCCGATCGTCTTTCCATACTTATTCATATGCTTTCTAGGTACTGGTCGACTACGTCCAGAAAGGTGATTATACTACTTCACAAGCTACAAAAGTCGCTGCCGACATTCTGTTCCATAATTCCAATCGCCTCTACGGACTTAAATTGACCCCGGAATACACACCTGGAGTTCCTTTAGGCGCGCTATAAAGAAACGCTGGCTATGTAGGAGTGTGTACTGGTATGTCACATCCCTCGTATTGGTCAATTCGCCATTTGCTTGGTTTTAAATTGACGAGTCGTTTCTTTAGTTGATCCTTCTACTCTTTCCGACGATCAACGCTCGGTCGGCACTTGGTGTCACGACTCCGCTGCCCAAGTCCCTCCCCAGCCTCGAGGTGCTTGAGAGCGACGAGCCTCTTAAGGCTCCGCTGGGAACAGAGCTTGTTAGGAACTATAGTGTTGTTAAACGGGCCGAGTCGGGCCGTTTCGTGTCCATGTCGGAAGAAGCATGCCAAATGTGGCTTCTCAAGCGATACTAAACACTCGTATGATTTCAATGGAGGAAGGGACAGTGGTTAGACTATGTAAGTATATGAATTTTTCGTATGTTATGTGGAAAGAAGTATGATCATGAACTATTTCCATGTCATAATGTCCTGATGTCAAATCCTGCCAGATTCTTCACATAGATCACAGGCTCAGTATAGTAATCAAGAATATATGCATGAGCATGCCGGCTGAAGTAACCTCAAGGTGTAAGCACCTCGGTAGTTTACTTGATGCATAAGTATAGAATCAAATGCAAGAGGCGAAAAAAAAAACAATCGGGAGAATAGTGTAGACAAACATAAGTGAGATTAACTCCGGCCGTGGCTTCCCATGTACTCAGCTTAATTCGGCCTTGTCACAAATGAATTGCGTTATTCGTGAATATTTCAAACAATAGGGGTTTGAGGTTTGTTTTTGGGAGTGAAGAAGGCGAGAGGAAAAAGAACGGAGAAACCAATGAGAAGAATAACCAAAACGTAATCGTATTCGTTGTCTGATTTGTTGGTATTGGGTATGTTAACACAACATAGCAATACCGATCAATTGACCAGACTGACAAAGGTTCGAAATGTAGAGCGTGGTAAATGAAACAGAAGTATAAGTGATTGGGGGTTGGTAGAGATGAAGGAAGAGAGGAGCAACGGAGAAGGGAGAATGAAGAGAGTAGTGAGGTGGCTAAAACAGAATGCCATGTGACGCACGATAACAGGGAGTCAATGAAGCTAAGATCTCAGATGAACGGGAGAAAACAAGGACAGTAAAGATTGCACACCATCTCAACACAGCATAGGTGGTCAAGACTGCTTCAGTTCTTTCTCCATTGCATTATTTTCCCACTCACCCAGAAGCCGAGAGACTTCCCTGAACGAGACAGGCTTAGTGAGGAACAAATCGACACCAGAGGCCATAGCGTCAGACTCATCGCGTGAGCTGCTGAGCCCTGTCAAGGCAATAATGATGGCAGGCTTGCGGCCATCTTCGTCCTTTTCTAATGAACGAATGGCACGAGTAGCCTCAAAGCCATTCATGACAGGCATGGAAATGTCCATGAAGATAATATCGTATCCGCTCTGCATGCGCTCGACAGCCTCCACTGCCAACTTGCCATTCTCGGCAGCATCCAGCTCGGTGAGCTGGCGCTTTTTCAAGAATGTCATCATCAGATTGAGATTGATCCGGTTGTCGTCAACGACCAGGACGCGAGCCAGGCGCGAAGAGCTGATTGAGCCATCCACTAATGGTGGCGGCAAGGAGGCAGCGATAATCTCTTCGGGTAATGAGGTAATGACTGATGGCCCTGCCGGGGGTGAAGTACGCAACTTTTTGAGACGAGTCGCTGGTAACTTCAGCTCCGGGGCACTTCTGGCACCGACAGAAGATGGAGAACTGACGGGAGACACTGCAGAATGCAATGATGAAGTCCTAATAGGGAGATCGATTGGCTGCATGACGGATGCAGGTGTCCCGGATGCCGATCGATTTTGAGCTAGACTTCTTGCCACGCTTCGCGCTAACTTGTGTGGCCCGCAAGGACGGCGAATGATGTTCACAGAAGAAGCAAGAGGCAACCACTCGGACAGCGCACCGGTATAATCCACGGATTTGTGACATAAAATAAGCAAAGCGGGTAAAGTGACCGCTGGAGCGAGCTCGCGGAATTGCGGCAAGTCGTTTTCATCAATCAGGACAAGGTCAACTGTGTTTTCAGTTGACCACGAGACAAGCTCAATGTCGTACCATTCTGTCAGATAACGAGCGATCTCGGACCAATTGGAATGACTCGTGACCCCAGCTGGGTCAACGCCCCAAATCGCGGCTCGTTTCCCTGGATATCCTTCGCGCAGTAAAAGGGTTTGGGTCAGAGTTTCCCGATGCTGAATGAGCTGCCCAGATGACTCGATAGCAGGACTTTCCTTGCCAACAGGACGAGCCAGAGGAAGGGATACATGTACGGTGGTACCTTCTCCAGGTCGGCTACGAATGCGAATAGTTCCACTCAAGGCCTTGACCAAGCTTCGCACGATAGACAATCCTAGACCGGTGCCCACAGCTAAGGAATCCTCCTGAGCAAAAGGTGTGTAAAGCTTGCCACGTAAAAACTCCTCCGATATACCCTTGCCCGTGTCAGTGACGGTCAACGTGACTAAGTCCTCGAGGCCTTGCCGGCGCGATCGTCCTTCGGAGTGAGTTGACGCTTCTAACTGCAAAGTGACACGGCCAGCTTCCGTATACTTCATCGCGTTTCCGAACACGTTCATGATAATGCGGCGTAAAGCACCAGGCTGGGTGCGGTAGACCCAATCCCCATACGCCACATCCATGACAACCTCCACATTAGACCGCGCACTTTGCGATTTGGTGTGATGCGGCATCAACACGGGCAGATCAGCCGACGCGGTTGAGCTTTGCCCGTAAGCATGGCCAAGACAGATGCCTTCCACGACCTCTTCGGTTAATATGGCGAGATCCGTGGCTACGTATGTGTCGAGATGATAGGCAAGCTTGTCCGTTCCTTTGAAATCGAGCGGTTTCTCTTTCCTGCGTTTCATTGATTTCCATGTCCGTTCCAGAGATACCACTTTACTGAAATCAAGTACTTGGTTCATTGTATCCAGTAGGGTCCGGCCACATGCATTGACAGTCTCTAGCAACGAGTCTTGGAATTCGTTGAGGTGAGTGCTGTTCAAGAACTCGGCAGCAGCTAAAATTCCATGAAGTGGACTGCGAAGTTCATGACTAAACCAGTTGTCAGTCTGTGCTCCCCTGGTGCTATGTCTCGGGAAAAGCTGGAAGGAACACTTTACACCAAAACTGAAGGGTAATAATACTCACGATATGCTGCCGATGAAATCGCCTTTCTGGCGATCGGCAATGAGAGATTCGACGCGGCTATACTCGGCCATGATAGAGGATGAAAATCCAAGCACTGAGCTCAGTTCAACTGAAGTGGAAAACACCTGGGTCTCGACAGTACTCCAGCAGAAACACCCTGCAAACCATTGAGAGGCAACGGCATTCCATAATGGCACGAACATGATTTGCGTAGCATTCGGGAAGTACTGGTTCAACGTGCTGTTCTCTGCGGCCTTGCGCCTTTTCCGCGTGAGTTTGGAGAGCTCAGGTGGTGGAGGCGGTGGGGCGTCGGACAGAGAGCGACTGGAGGAACTATTTGTAGGTGTCAGGGGACCTATGGTGTCCTGTGAATGTTGATCATCGTCATCTGACGTTGAAATGAGTCCATCGCGATGGAAAGACCAGAGCTTTCCCCTAGGATAGCGACGAAGCATTAATTGCAGGAATGATCGATCCAAGTTGGCCGCAGCGCAAGTAGCCATTGAGCCAGCCTGAGGGGCGAATGGCTCATCATTTGTGGACGCTGACAACACCGGAGCAGGTCCACCTGAATCAGAAGAATCACTTCCACTATTTAAATCCAACGTGGGGCTGTTGTTTGCTTCAAGGAAGATAACGCCACTTTCGCCATTCAAGTCAAGACTCTCTCGAAGTAGGTTTGCAGCCCTGCGGAAGCACCAAGAATTTCCCTGCGAATCATCTGGCGGTAGACAATTTTGTGAAGCGCCCGTTAACCATTCCGGAAGAGAGCTGCCTAGACCGGTACCGGAGGTTCCTGTATCCAGCTTCGATTCGGATGGTTGTGAACTGAAGGAGGCCGCATCGTTGCTAGGGGATCTGCCGTTCGGTGAGTTGTTAGATGCCCGTTGCGATGCATTGTCTGCACTGTTGCCACGTGAGCTGCGCGAGGCACTGATCCGATTAGTCGGGTTTGAATTGATGGACCGTTCGTTCGGCGGACTGGTCGATGGCCCCTGGAACCCATCCTGTACGCTGTTTCCAGGTGAGCCACCCGAGAGACTGTTTTTATAGGATGCCGCTGACAAAGGAGCGGTGCTGCCGGTGCGTGATGGGTCCACGCTATCAACAAAGCTGGAGCTTCCTTCCACGAAATAGCTCAGTCCTCGGGAGAGGCGTGCCGCCCGGCGTCCTTCGGAAGCTTGCCTGCAAATTCTCAAATAGTCCATGACAAGCATTGACAGCGATCCCAGTGTGTCCTTCTCCAGAGGAGTCAATCCGTTCCGAGGTTTGGTGTCCAACGCGAAAAAGCACCCTAAATTGATGTTGTTCTCGGTGGTCAAGGGAGTTCCCGCATAGAACCGAAAGTGTGGGTCGTTTTCGACAAAGGGCTGGCGCTTATAACGATCATGCTCGCTCATGTCGTTGACAAGTAGAAATTGATACTCGGCGGTCTCGCGATTGTTGGGTGGCAATGAAACAGTGTCCTGTCGTTTGATGCGTCAAAATCATGGTATGAGGATTCTGATCAATTTGATCTTGGTCGACAGTGGCTCCGTATGTGCTAGCAGGCCGCAAAGAGCAAAACTTACCTTGCACACTCTCCACACTCTGCGGGTATCGGACGCCCCGAACCAAATGTGATCTTTCTCATCGTGAACCGAAGCGTCATTCAAGTTAAGACTTCTTGTGGCTTCGGCAATAATATGTTGTCTGTCGCGATCCGTCACAGCGATGACAACTCGCTCGACGTTCAGACGTAAGGCAGCCAGTTGAGCAAATGCAGTCAAAGTGCTGTTTGAGGTGCCCAAGATCAGAGCGTCACGGCCAAGTGCAGTCGATGGACGGAATCTATCGGACTCCAAGGGCGCCGAGCCTTCAGAGACTGGCGGTGTGTTGATATTGCCTGAAGAGCTAGAGAATGGGAACTCCTCGCTCGTCGGAACCCAAGACGGTACCACGCTAGGTTGTATGGAAGGCTGGTAGTAGCGGTAAAGCTCCCTCGCCCTGCGATCCGCATTGTGCTCAACGTGTCTCTCCGTCCGAACGTCTTCCATAGTTTGCCAATTGCGAGGGGGAAGTTTGAATGCAATGTTGCATCCTCCTACTCCAACTTGTGAGATTCGAGTTGAACGGTCGGATTGCGAGGACCGTTGGGAGTCGACGAGGCTCGAGAGGTTCGGGTGGCAGCAGGGGACTCAACGGGGCAGCGACGGGAAAGGAGTGACTGAAAAGGGAGGCGAGTGTCGGAGTGGTCGGCGTGGCTTGATCAGTCATAGGCAAAATGGAGCGGAAAGTGGAAATCCTAGATCCAAAAACAGAAACCGCTCTCCACATACAACCAAAAATAAAGTAGCGAGTCAGATGAAGCGCAGACTTTACTGTACAGTGTAGAGAATGAGAAAGGGTTCAGCCACTCGCGCAGGTAGGGATCTAATGTCAGGTGGAGACCAGCATTGGCGAGGGGTGGAGGGGATAAATGCTCCATATGATTTGATTAGTGAGATCGGACGCTCGGTGCACAATTGGAGTCGTGTACACTGGAGATCGACCGCTTCATCAACCCTCCCACTCGTGGCCTGGCACAGCATTGTGGGATCGACATTATTACTGTAAAGAACGCAACTCGATGTCGTTGGCTATGCATATGAACATGGCGGGAAGTGGCTTGATGTGGGCATCCACAGTGGCGAGAAGAAACCTCGAATGTGGAGGGAAGAGGGTTTTGAGTGGCTGTGAGGTCTACTGATGACCCAGTGGCGGCCTGAGGCCACCGATAATTGGTCAACCTCAGGCAACATTATTGGCCAGGAAGATCAGGCACAAACATTGATTGAAAGTGGGTCCAGGGTGAACTCGGCAATTTCTAGAATATTCAATAATCTTCAACCTTTAACTCACCTCTTGTGGTGATTGTTGGTATTCTACATGTACTGTATCATTACTGTAGCCCACTACAGTACATCGACTCATCAGCACTTGACATTCTGCAGTAAGCCATTGTCGTCATTCAAGCCACCCTGCGTGCGCCATTTACAGTACTGTAGCGCCGTTTTAAGCCCATGACGTCGGTGGCAAGATCATATGGCCGCCCTGCATGAGGACCCCATTAATCCCGTACTGTAGTCAGATAAGCATTGAGCTATGGGTGATCAACTCCACTATATGTGCCAGCTAAGGATGGCAATGTCTTTCAATTAAGGTCAGTCTGTATTATCCATATCAATGTCTCAAGCTTTAGCAGTCATTCCTACGAGTTATTGCCTGTAATTGCGCCCCAAATATATGCCGCCCACGATCCGAGTACCAACAGCGCTAGTGCTCCAAAGCTGACAAGGGAGATATTGCGAGTGCGGTGACGCTCCGTCATCAAGCTGCGCTCTCGAATCCTTTCAATAATGGCTGCCCCCGAAGTCAATCGCTTTTGCCGAGTCCACTGAAGGGGTGCCAGGTTGTCGGTTGTGAAGGAACCGATTAGAATAGCCGATCCAACCACCAAGGATCCAGCAGCAAGAACAAGGTATACTTGCACGACTCGGTGGTATGAATCATCATCTGCATCCTGTAGAGCTCCGGTGATGATGCGAATAATGATGCTCATGCTTTCATAATCATAATGTCAGCTCTAAATTTCAATAGTGAGCGATATGGTCAATCTTACGCGTTGTTCATGGTGACCTTCAATGCATATGCAGACCCAAAGACGGATTGGTGCCAGAGCGTGGTGCGAATACTATCAATGACGGAGGTAGGTCCAAAGGACAGGGCAATGGCATAGATGCCGAACGATGCTCCCGTACCTGCTTCGGATGTTGCGAAGTTGATGAGCACCATACTCAGCATCATACCAAGGCCGCAAGTGAACACTAGAATACTGAAATCAGTAACCCGTCAAAAATCCCAGGATTTTTAATACACTCACAGACAGATGCTCGGTTGCCGAGCACATCAATAAAAACACCCACACAAGGAACGAGGAAGAACCCTGTTCATTGTCAGTCTGATTTCAAATATTGCAACCATCTTCTGAGTGACACCATACCTGCATATTGTGACAGGGAGCTATACCACCCCGCCTTGATGGAATCAACATTGAACCGCTTCTCGGCCAACTCGGTGGCATTCTGGCTAAAGACGGTGGCCGCACTTGTCTGAAACACAGAGAACGCCATGATGGACCAAAACATCCAGGGTAGCTCGAACATCTTCCGGAATTCGAACTTTTTGTTCTTCTCTGTGAGCTGCTCTTTGGTCGCTGCGTCATACCGCCCCTTGTATCTGCGGTTGCAGTACTTGTTGAAGAACCAGAAGAGCGCACTGGCTAAGTTGGTGAATAAGTTCATGAAAACTGACGTCCAAAATACCCATGCGAAATTACCGGTTTTCTGCGCAATCATTAGCTTTTCTTCGATCTTTCTGATTCGAATACCTACCTTCGCAATGATATTGGCTGTCGACTTTCCAACAAATCCACCGATCTTACCAATTGCAAGCTCAAAGGCGAGCGTAGAAGCAAACCCATTACTAGGAGAGAACCAGGACGAAAACATCTTGTATTGAGCGACTTGTGTGGCGATGTCACCCAGAGCAAGGACGATCCGCCCTCCGATCATGAAGTTAAACGAGCGCACAGTTGTGGCAGCCGCGACGAGGATTGATCCGATGGTGTACACGAAGTTTCCGTAGACAATCATTTCTATACAAAAGGAAGATTGTCAGTATTTTCAATTGGTAAGCTTCATGCATTGGTTCATTAACACACCAGCTCCGCCGATCCGGTCGGTAACTATACCACTGGCCAGAAGCAGCACGGTGGCCATAAAATTCTCGCTTGCTTCTAGAAGTGAAAACTGAACATTGTCGATGTGCATTTGCTGCGATGAACTGATCAGTCGGCCTGACGTAGTTCATCAATGAAATTTCTCGTACTTTTTTGATCGTGCTCTTCATAGCACCTGTGACTCCGGAACTCCAGTGCGAGCCAAAGCTAATACACGAAATCAAAAGGACCGCGCAAAGCTTGGCAAGCAGAGGGGGTGATGTCTTTCCATCATCAGAGTCACTGTCAGAAGATCTCTCAGAAGGAGTAGATTTCTCTTCGACGACAGGCTCAGAGACCACATCCACCATCGTCTTTGAAGCCGACCCGTCGACAGCCATGATCACCTTTGATCTGATATTATCCCAGAACAAGAACACAAGGGCAGGTGGTGCAAATTGCCAACAGTATTTACTGAATTTAGGACTACCCCGAAATCTAAGAACCTTACTCTTTATAAGTCAATCACCCTCGGAGATTGATAGAAAGTTTCAACAGAACTTGGCATCATAACAGGCCAAGAGTGGCACACAAGTCCGAATCTCTTGGCCAGCGGTTCTTGGCCAGCGGTGAAATACGTAAAAAGAGCAGGGAAAAACATGTCTAGCGGAGTAGTCCTGCGGAGTCTCGATCAGATAAAGTCGACGTGAATCGGGGGTTTGACCTAAAGAGAGCTCGATGGACGCCTATTTTAAGTTCCAGTGCTCCATATCGGAGGAACGTCGGCGGAAATGGCTTGGTCTGCTTTCTCCAACGGCGATTTTGACGACGATTTGATCCACTGTGGAATCGTCCAAGCATCTCTCGGGCCCTTTTCGAGACACGAGGCTCCCTGCTCTGCAACGTTGGATTCTTCAACTAGTAACAGGCCCCGACGCTTGGCTCCGAGATCCCGCTCCGCAAGCTCAGACCGTCTCAGACCACGCTCGGATTTAAGGAGGATTTTTTATCTGATCTTACGAGAATTATGCGTGAAAATGAATTTGTACAGTTTTATTAGTAAGAGCAAGACTGCCTTCACAGGTTACTCCGGTAAAAACACGTAATAGATCCACGAATGCCACTCGTAATTCAAAAAGAAAAAGAAAAAAATCAACTCTTAATAGATGAATGCAGATGCAAACGCCAACAAGAAACAGGAAAGATCCCGATGATTCTATGAACCCCCGAGGACGCCCGATATATGAACGTGCCAAGCCGAGAAGAGACATGCGATGTTCCAGACAATCGCCACAGCCAAGATTCTCCTAGTGTATGTGCAGATTGAAACATGTGCAAATCAGAAGATAGCGCAGAAGACAGAATAAGGATCTAGATTAGAACCGTTCCATGAGCTGCTTGCGCACTGTCCACATGCGAGCTCGTTTGCCGTAGATATACATTGGAATCGTCATGAGCATGAAAAACAGCTGGATACCGCCGATGACGAGAAAGACATCCTTGGAGCCCTCGGCATCCAGCCAGTCGACGATGAACAGAGAGAAAATAAGGCCGTGGAGAATATCTATGACAAAAGGGTTAGATGGGACGAAGAAAATAAGAAATAAGGATTGGGGTGACATACTCTTGCTGAAATTCAATGTGACAAGCGCCTCGCCAGCATATTGACGATAGCTGTCCACGCAGAAAGTAATGGCGGTAGTACTGCCCAAGCAGCAGCCGAAAGAGATAAGTCCGAAGAAGATAGTAGGCACGATCCAATTGTCCTTGATCTCAGCACTCCAGCCAAAGGCCATTAATCCGATGACAGTAGACAAAGCGATGGGAATTGCCATGACAAGACGGAACTCGGGCTCGTAGATGCCGCCGTTGCGTTTGGTGAGATACCGGGTGATGATATCGGAGACCTTGCCGGCTACTGCAGTTCCCAAGAGACCGCCAACGAAGGGCGAGACGTAGACCAGACCAGTCTGAAGTGCAGTGAAGTTGTAATGCGCTCTGCCCTGGTAAAGATGGGCAACGGACTCTGAGAGCACGATCAACCAGCCGACAGACAGTGCGTAGACTACTGTTGACCAGAGTACAGATGGGTAGGCGAACAGAATGAATGGTCGCACAGCAACTCTGAACCAACTGTCTTGTGCTATTCTTCCATTCCATATTCCGAGGAGTTGAGAGTATGGGATCTTCGGGCGCTCACGGAGCCGATTAGTGTACTGAAGGGTTGCGGTGATAGGTGTTCCAGTAGGCTCTTGTGATTCAGTCCTTGCAGGTGAACGAGATGCCTCCAAGTCATCAGGGTTTGCCCCCGGTACAAGAGCATGAGGTGGAACTTGCAGGAAATCACCAGTCTTCTCGGTGACAGGAGTGGGTTGTTCGGAATTGATTTGATCGCCAGTGGTGGTATTTTCAGCACCAGGGGTGAAGTCAGTCTTTTCGATGTCAGTTCCGTGGCTTTCACCTCCCGCTTGATCATCTGCAAATCCAACATGCGTATTCTTGGACCTTTTCGTTGACAGGTTCAAATCAGAGTGATCTATAGGCTCCGTAGACTCTTCTGGTATTTGAACATGCGGGCGTCTCCCGCGGAACGGATGATGGACGATGTCAGAGACGCTGCGGCCTCCAAGGCGTGGGCGCTTGTGCTTGTGCTGACGAGGACGAGGAGTGCGGTCCCAAAATGTCTCGGGGACAAAGAAGAAGAGCAGTATCAGACATGCGCCTACGATGATCGCGACAATCCAGAATACCCAGCGCCAGGTCAGACCTCCAATGATAGCAGCACTCACTAGGGGGATAAGATTCTTTCCTCCCAGTAGTAGTAGTGTGTAGATGCCAACTCGGTAAGCTCTCTCATGCAAGAAGTAAATCTCGGCGATGGTAGCAGAGGGAAGACACTCAACCGGGCTCACTGCAAAGCCTTGGAAGATACGAGCGACGACGAGACTGGGGTAGTTCGGTGATGCTGCACACCAGATTGCTGAGATAATGAACATGGACGCCCCCAAGAGGTATACAGGCCGTTTTCCAAAGAGAATCGCAGTAGGCGACATCACGACTGATCCCAGACCTAGGCCCAACATGTAGAATCCAGTAGTGTAGGCAACTTGCTGCGTACTGACATTGTATTGGTCTGCAACCTCATTGAATCCAGCCGCTAAGATCGGAGTCATACCGCCTCCCATCAGGCAGTAGAAGCCGAGCGAGAGCAGTGCGGCATCTCTCTGCCAGACTGGCCAGTTCAAAGGGTCGTTCACAGAGTCATCTGGCTGCGGATCAAGGACGAACTGTCCATCGGGTGTTTTCTTCTTTGGCACCGCGGAGCGGGATCGAGAAGTAGATCGTGAGCGAGGGTAAGACGAAATCGAGGATGCTGAGGTCCGATGCGGCTGATGTCTCATGCCCAAAGGTTCATTGCGATTCGATGATAGGAGAAGGACCGTTCCTTAAATGAACCAAAAGTCAGTCACTTGTTCAGTGTTGCATATAGATCGCCTCTCAACTTACCAGGTACTTCGTCAGTTTGCTTGTCACTGAGAATTCCTAGTGTCGATTTCGCACGATAAGGCACATCGTCGCCAGACTCGGTATTTTCTGTCGGTTTTCCTCCAAAGAATCGCTTCCAACGCGAAGTGGTAGGCTGTTGGTGGACCACATCTGTTGCGACGTTCTCCTCCACCGTCGATAAGCGGCCTTCTGCGGGTGATACCATTTTGTGTAGAGGTACTAGAGCCGATATGGGCTTTCTAGAAGACTTGCCAAACAAGTAAGCTATGCACATGTTAGCGAGTGTTACAAAATTTCATGGTTTGGCCTGATGCAAGCACTTGAAGATGATGACTCGACCATGAGGGTGGGGAATTCACATTTATCTTGGATCCTGTCGCCCACAGGGAACAGTGTAATCTCCCCAGAACAACTCCTGGAGTCTGGTGTCAAGCCCAAAAATGTCGTCGGGAAGAAGCACCTCGTGAAACCGCCTAAAAATGAAGATAGGACTGATAAGAATGATAAAAAAAGGACGAAGCGATCAACGCTTGTGAATCAACCCAGACGGGTATAAATCACTCCAAGGCATAGTTTGAAGAGATCAAAAATCAAGAGATTGAATAGAGGATATATATATATAGAAAGAGAGAGAGAGTGAGAGTGAGAGTCGTATATCACGCGGAGGGAGATAAAGAAGATGATGTGATCGACGATCTCATGTGGCAGAGGGGGCGGTGAGTCGTCCAAAGGTACCCGTTCAGTACCACGCCGGTCGCACGCTTGCGAAGCCTAATTTAGGTAGCCTTCGAGTATCTTTGCTTTTGAGGTTATAGATCCAATTTACCCTCTTGCATAGGTGAGTGAGTGTAGAATGCAGATGAGTTGCCTTAGACTGTGACGCAGGGCCCTCTGTCAATCCCCCGATAAGCACACCGTTTCCGGACAGTGCCAACCTCGACAAGCACGATGTCGTGAATCCGCATCTCATGGGCCCAGTAAGCAGCGTTGATGAGCAGGTGGAGCTGGGACCACGCATTACGCGCCAGATAATGCAGTTTGGACCGGAATTCTATGCACGCAACCACGTTGTCCATGCCTGTACATCCGATCCCTGCCCGTGTCAATCTACGGTGAAGCTTAATAGCACTCAACTCGACCGAATCGTCCAATGCACACGGCCATTCTTGGGGGAATGCCAAGTCAAGCCATCCCGGTTCATACCTCGCGTTTGCGGAAAGAGTTTCACTGCACTGATTCGAGGCTATCGAGTGACATGTGTTCAATGGAGTTTCGGCGCTGACTGCTCAGATGATGTCTGGAGGGGTCTCAGCTGACTTGATGGGCGTTTGGCTGCCGTCATTGTGCAGATCGCTGATTGCGGGGGAACAAGGACTCCTGGGGCTTCTCTATACCGTTAGTCTTGAATCGTTTCCATTGTGCTCGGGCTACTGATGCGGTCATTGAAGTCTGTGGTTGCCTTGTTGTCCTATACCATGCTTGATGCCGGGGCAGACTGTTCCAGGTCTTGGAAACAGAAGAAAGAAAATGGATATCAGCGGTTAGGATCGACAGACTATTTTGGGGTATTTATTTATGGATATTTTACTTCATTTGGCGGAGGGGTTGTTTTGCTCCTCACAATTGACTTAGACTAAATCAAATAGCTGATAGGTAGCATTGCCCTCCTTGATCGCATGTCGAGTTCCAATTGCGGCTCAAGGTCTCAGGGGGCTTCACTCATAACATAAGTTTGGGTGTACCTTCATTCTTTCACCAGCTTCGGTCCAATTAGAAGTGCACTGAGGTGTTCCTGGCATTTTTCAAAACATTCACCTTTCTCCGCGGGATCAAGATTGGTTTGGAAGGACCCTGATCGACACGTTGGTGAGATCGTGTACCTTGCAGAGGAAGACGGGGGGGGGGGGGGGGGGGCTTTACTGAAGATATATGGCGATGTGCTTGAACAAAGCCCCCTGGGCGCTTGAACTGTGTATGAAATGACTTTTTATGGCTACTATATCACCTAAAACGTAGAATAAGATTCATGCCATCAAAACAAGGTAAGTTGCTGTGAACCTCCCTGAGGGTCCAGTTCAGGATTTGGAACATTATTGTACTGTATGTTCCTATTGGCACTTGAGTAACAGTCAACTTTAAAACCCTTCAGCATATTGATACTTAAGACACCAAATATAATGCATGAAACAAACAGCAAGTTGCTCATTGCATCCGGTGAATCACATCGACGGGATTACCAGCCCGTTTCCGGGAAGTCACGTGCACCCCCCTTTGCCCGTCCAGACAGGAAATAGCTCGTGTTGTCTCCTATAGTCCCTTGATTTTCTTGATTCCACATACTCTATATTAATATCGTTAACTCTTCCTACGTCGCTCCTTCAAATTTGCCTGACCGTGGTGGTCCTGGCCTCGAATCTCCGTACGCGACTAGGTGTCGTGGCATCAAAGAATTCTTCCACTTTCGATAACAGCTTTCTGTCCCTTACATCTCTTGTCCCTCAGGAGACATCGATTTTTCTTTTTTTTTCTTTTCAACCATTCTAAACTTGACCCTGGTTCATTCCTTCCGCGAGACAAGCCGACATCCACAATGAAGATTACCCAGTCGTCGTCGTTCCTTCTCTTCCTTCTTCCCGCCATCGCGGCCGCTCTCACCGACACCACATATAATGACAATATAAATTCTCGGGTTTCACGTGGTGCTTCTGATGTCAATTATCCCTCCGTTGACTCAGACACAGTCGCATCCAATGTTGCCAAAGGAGCGCTGGACGTTCCTGTGGATGGCAAGGATGGCAGACCGCACGCTGGCCCATGGGTGGAAACCAGCGGTGATCGGGATCGAAAGAGCGCCAAAGGAAGCGAGGAAATTGAGTCAGCTTCAACAAAATACGATACCAAGATACCGTCGGCGCAGCACATCAGCACCGAAGATGGGAAAGTGATCCCGCATTCGAACGGCGGCGTCATGGACGATCCGCATCGTGCGGGCCCGAAAGAAGGCACTCGGGGCACCGAAGGTGGTGTCACGGAGAAAGGAAAGGAAAACCAATACACATCCGAAAAGGTGCCCGGTAGTCCCAAAGAGGCGCCTCCATTGCCGCACAGCGAGACGAAGAAGCTGGCGTCTGACAGCGATGGCACAACGGTTGGCAGTGGAGGTCGGACCGCAGAGGGCGATGGCACCCTCGGGATGCTTGAGGTAAGCTTTCGCACCTTTTTTGAGAAAACAAACCCCGTCAGAACTAGTCTAATCAAAGTAGAAACCCGCCGATTTGCCGGAAAAGCCTCATGATATCCCACATCCTAAGCCGCCAGCCATGGTCAATGGCGACCCGCTCGCTCTTGAACATGGCACCCTCGGCTCCGGCTCATCTTCCAGTTCGTCTTCCTCGCTGAGCCACGAGTCGGGCTCCGATATTCCTGAACAAGGCAGCTCTCTGCACTCCCTGGTCTTCTCCTTTACTATGATTCTCGTCTCTGAGATTGGGGACAAGACTTTCCTTGTTGCTGCTCTCATGGCAATGCGTCACCCCCGTCTGGTAGTCTTCTCAGCCGCGTTCAGTGCCTTGATTGGCATGACTGTCCTCTCAGCTGTCTTGGGCCATGCTGTTCCTACCTTGATCCCCAAGACCTTCACAAAGTTCTTGGCTGCTGTTCTCTTCCTGATATTCGGTGTGAAGATGCTAAAGGAAGGCCGCGAAATGTCCCCGGATGAGGGAGTCGGCGAGGAAATGCGCGAGGTCGAGATGGAACTGGAAGAGAAGGAGCATCAGCAGCAGCGTATGGACCGCCGTCGCTCTTCAGTTACTCCCCACTCCCTCGAGGCTGGTCGTGCTGGCCGCCCCAAGACCCGTGGCTCTGGTAACCGCCTGCCTTCTCCCCCTGAGAGTGTGTCTTCTTCCTCTTCTCGTGGATCTTCTCCTCAACCCCGCCAAAGACTCAATGACCTCATTTCTGGACTGAACAACCTCTTCTCGCTGCTTCTCAGCCCCGCCTGGGTGCAGACCTTTGTCATGACCTTCCTCGGTGAATGGGGCGACCGTAGCCAGATCGCAACCATTGCCATGGCAGCCGGACAGGACTACTGGTGGGTGACTATCGGAGCCAGTGCCGGCCATGGAATTTGCACAGCTGCAGCGGTTATTGGTGGCCGAGCCATTGCTGGCAAGGTCAGCATGCGTGTTGGTATGTATTCCTAATTTTCTCTCATTTTGTGTAAGGAAAACGCTAATCATGACAATTGCAGTGACTCTCGGCGGTGCCGTTGCCTTCCTCATCTTTGGCGTTATCTACTTCATCGAAGCCATCTTTTAGAGCGCTGCATCTCCGCGGTTGTATGTGTTTATGGGATCTCATTTACAGTTTTTGGCGGTTGATTTGCTTAAAAAAGTCGATTGCATCTTTGTGAAATATTTCTGTTTTAATGATATAATTCTGTGTCTGGTCCACTCAATGACCAAGTCTTAATTGTGATATGTATTTCATGAACTAGACACGATGGACGTTAAGTTAAGAGTTGGAGTTTTCATGTGTTGGCCACGATCGTCTCAACCCCCGTAAACACAGAACCACGCCCCACTATGGATGGCAGTAACCAACCTGACGAACTTTCAATTCGGTCCCATGCCCAGCGAGCGACATCTGGACCTCAAAGTTTGTCTTTCGAGTGAAAAGAACCGCATCACAACGTCAATTCCACACCCCCAAGTATCGCTCAAGACCTAGTAAATTGTCAAATTCAATATTTCAAGGTGGTTTAATTCGCGCCGTTTATAAATTAGGTCCACTGGAACCAGGTCGGATCGAATGCGTTTTATTTACTTCATTGCAATATGGTCTCCATTTCTCGATGTATAAAAAACAGGTACAAGGACGCCGGCGTGGGAGTTAGCCGATTTACTTTTCTACATGCAGAGTCGTCCAAATTACCTCTTAAGGTAGACTTGGCACATTGAATAAAGTTTACTGAGCATTGAGACTTGTATACTGTCTGAGAGGCGGAGCGGGAGCACAAGATACCATTTATACAGTAGGTCAAGGTGTGTGGATAATGCAAAGCCAGAGTCGGATTTCGGACACACCTCTCCAGCATGGGATTATCGATATACTCATACTAAATAGTGAATCTCAATCGCACCGGAGTAACAGAATGAAACTGTAGTATCAAAAGATGTGGAATGAAAATACCGTTCTCAAATAATATAAACCAAGGTCCACAATGATGGGGTCTAAAGGTCCAAGATGATCAGATAAGATCAGATGGGGTCAATAGGGTTTGGAGAAAGGGGGTTTAGGGTCTGGAGGGTTAGGGTCTAGAGGTTATGGCCTAGAGGTTAGGGTTTACGGACTAACAATGTTACGGGGCTTCCGTCGGTCACCTGACTCATGGAAATATCCAGCACCCCACGGAAAAAGAATGATGCGCGCTTTTTTCGGACGTGCCGTGTTTCTCTTGGCAAACAACCCCGAAACCCTCACATTTTCTTCCTTTCCCATCTCAACATACTCATCTCCCATCAGATTCATTCCATCTTCATACAGTGGCTATCTTGATCAGATAACTCTCAGGGACCTGAATTTTGATTCCTTCAGCTGTTGCTGACGAAAAATCACACCTTGATCGCAAATCAACACTGCTACACGCGTGACATTCACGTGCCCTGAGCCACCGCCTTCCATGGCTACCGCGTCCAATCAGCGCCGGATCACGAGAAGCCAAAGTCGCGATATTGATAATGATCTACCAGGCAAATCTGCCATGAGCACTGGGGTGTCTTCTGGGCGAAATAGTAAGATATTTGATTCTTTGCGCTGGCGTCCAGTTTGAACCTACACTGTCTACCCACGCTTTGTCTTGGCGTCTATGAACAATGTCTTTCTTTAGTCCGAGGTTAGACATGCATCAGCCTGACATTTGTTGGTTCATATTTCATGTCTACTTAACTCATCTGACGCTCTCTACCTGCACTTTCCACTTGCAAATTTATTCTGACTTGCTCCAGTTCTAAGTCCCTTCCCAGAAGAGCACATGGCAAGCTCTCCTCGAAATCCTACCCCCAATCGCCGGGAAATTATACCCGAGTCGCCGGAGAACCATGAAGGTCACACTAATGTCTCTGGTACAACATTGGGACACAATGATGTGGACACAAATAATGTTGGTCTTGCGGAGGAGATCGCAACCAAGCTACCTCACGTTCAACAAGAAGCGAACAATGTCTTGGGATTGATAATTCCCCAGCATTTGATGCCTAGCATTCTTGCAGAGGAGGCTAAAAGGCTCCTTGATGTCAAGAATCCCAATCGCAAGCGATTCAGGCGTTACGTCGAAGGCATGAGAGACGAATTGAGTGACTTGACTCTTGTACGTCAAGACATGACGTTCCTCGAGATATCCGAGTTCCGCCACCGTCTTTCATCTGCTCAGTTTGAAACATCTCTTCCGAGTTTGCATCTGGCCAACTGTGCCCTGTTGGCCCTGAACATGTTCCTTCCCACCTTAGGTACCGACGACAAGCCTGAAGTCATTCAAGAGCTGGATATCAAATTCCCTGCATGCTTCATAGAGAGAATCGCGGACGCAACCACTGTCGGTACAATTGGAGCAACTGAACTTCACCAGGAGACATTCGACCTTGCTCTCAGCATTCGAACTCAATTCTTCATTATGGAGGTGGAGAGGCGTCGTGAACTCAGAAACTTTGATCCTATCGCCATCTTGCGACAGATCTTCTGCATGGATCTTATTCCTGGGGTAGAAGACAACCAAGAATCACCGACCACCTTCAGGGGCTTCAACTTGCCTGGCGTCTTGCAAGATGAGGATGGGCATCTTCCCGAGACCCTGCCTGAAAAATTCCAACAAGCTGTTTATGAAAGATTCAGTGATCTTCGCGACGAAATCTACGATGATGGTGTTGACAGCCTGAAGAAGCTCTACAAATTGCGCTTCTTTGAGCGAGAGCTTGCACGCTGGATCCAAGGACGCGACAGGGAGATCAAGAATGACCTCAAGCGTATCTCAGATGACCAAGCCGCAAGAGGGTCTTCACGTCGCTTGGTTTCAGCTTCAGTCGGTCCAACTAGCCTGCGCCAAGTTTCGGTGTTCTCTACACCACAGAAACCTCGTCTCCTAGAGCCGCCTCCTCAGCAAACTCCCCAGCAGTCCCGGTCGCCCCAGAATGTACCCACCGTGGAACTGGCTCCGGTTGTTGCTCACCAGCCCGAGATTCGAGTTTCCCAGTCCAAGGTCCCATCTCAGCCTTCGCCACAAGTTGTCCGCACTCAGGAGCAAGCTGCTAGAATGGAATCGCCCCTGTTTGTCGACCAGCATTCTGAGGCCCAGGCCCCCCAACCTCGGACCACGCCTCAAAAGCCTTCTACACCAGTTGTCCACCCCCAGACGCAGCCTAATACAACGGAACCCGAAAGACGGAAATCAAAGAGGTACTTAAAGTGAATTTCTCTTTTACTCGACTGCTAACATTTCTTGATAGCCATTATCGAAACTCGATTGCCATGGCAGCTCTCAAAAGCCGCATGGATCACAGCCGTCAACAAGACGAAGCAGCTCTTGAATCGCAGGCACCCAATCGCTTTTCGAATGAAGCAACCGGGGACCTGAGGGATCCTCCTGGGCCGTTCACCCTTGACCAAGAAACCCCGGAGCGGGAGATTCAGCAATCCCCCAACGTCACATACCCCAACATCGCAGATGATACCACCTTGCACCACAACGACGAAGATTTAGATATCAGTCGCGAAAGTGAGAGTGGATTCATGGCCTCTACGAGCCCCTCAGCCTCTGCTAGAATCAACCGGGTCAGCCACAACCCAGGCCGGTATTTCGACTCGCCGGAAAACGAAAGCACACAGCGGTCGGCTACACAGCGGCCCCCTGCTAGAAAAGCTTTCCCTGCCGGCCCTCGTTTCATTGATGCCCAGGACAGCCGTGCCCAAGTGTCGCCAATTAGCTCCATCTATGAACAAAGTGCAGAGAAACAACGGGCTGAACGTCCTGTGCCGAAAGATGTCAACCCGAAGAAGCGTGGCAGACGCCCATCCTACTCGAGTGACATCTCCGACGACGAGGCGTTCGAAGACAACGACCGCGATGTTGACCTCAGGGCCGAGAAGCCGAAACAAAATCTCCCGGCTGTGAAAAAACAGCGCACTGAAGCCGAGACTGTGTCCACTAGCGCAGCCAAACAGCTCCAGTCGAGTTTGACTCGGTCTACCCAGGTCCAAGCTGAAGCAGCTTCACCGAATGCAAGCCAGGTCAGCAGCACCGCTGAACCGATCATCAGGGCATCGCGATGGGAAGCTCAGCTTAACCGGCGCGCAGCAAGCCTGCCTTCTCGCAAGGCCAATCGAAAGTGGTCCGAGGAAGAGGACACGCGCCTGATCAAGTTAATGGCGCTGTTCGGCACTTCTTTCTCGAAAATCGAGAAAGAAGACAGCGTCTGCCCTGCCAGGGATGGCGGGCCGAAGCTGCAAGGCCGTAGCCAGGTGAACCTGAAAGACCGCGCGCGCAACTTGCGGCGCAAATACGAACGGTAGGTCATTCGTTTGTATCACAGTTGAGATCTTTGCTAACAACTTGCTTTACAGGGAAGGGAAGGAACTCCCACAAGGCTTGGAGTACGCCTCCAAGTAGGATTGCTGGCAGGTTTGCTTTCCTGGGGTTTGTTTGTTGGCCCTTTTTCTGTTAAAGAGATACCCCCGGAGTTATGCATTATTCTGTTTTGAGTTTCTTTATTCTATTTTCTTCGGCTTGTCAATAAATTCGTCCCTTGTCTATTCTTACTTCACTATTGTACATGGGCTTATTGAGAATAGCGCAGTAATGATATGCTGTATTCACTTCCATTCTCACTTGAAGATCATATAACTTTAGAGTATTGATTTCTATCTAGCTCCCGATGATAGCAATTCGACATGAGAGCGCTCTCAGATTCTGCTAAGTGCTGGCTTAAATTGCCAGGCCTCTTTAGCGAATCATCTCACCTTCAGTCTCCAAACAATGGAGCATGAGAATGCTGTGTACTGCCAGTCTCTCAATGCGGTGGATTGGAAGTAGATCAAGCATCTAGGGCGCCTTTCTCCGGAATAGCAACCCGTTCCAATTAAGGATATCTTTGATGGCATCGCGAGCAAGGGTGATGAGTGTTTCCTTGGGCGTGCAGAGTGTAGCGAGGCAACATCGAAACCGTTACAACGGCTCCGCGAAATCCAATACGGCTTCCACCATCTTGGCTCGAGACACTTTGTCTGGCTTACCTCTCCCTCCTTCTTGAGAGACTCCTAGCAGGCTCGACTCGCCTTAAAACGCGTCGCCGATCCTCTCCTGTAGCTCTCGCCGCAGGTCTCTCAGATTAGTTAACCCTGTAGAACATGGGTGATTGTTTCTCGGTCACCTCAGACGCACCAATTATCGTCCTGGGAGTGAAAGGCTTCCGCATGGATCGACAACCAGCAATGTCCCGTTCGAAGCTGTGTCAGTAGGTAGGCAGATTACCAGGCAGGGAGCTGTAAAGTCGCCTGGTGTACTTGACTGGCATTTTGTGGTCGATTCGACGGAGACGGGCCTGCCTTTGGTAGATTTATCCCAACTTTCTCTTCCACTGGCAGGATTCTATGTTGAAGATACACATTCTCTGGAAAACGAAAGGGAAAAGAATGCTCTTGACTGAACATATCCAGCAGCTCCGGCAGGCATACTTACATAGACCACTACGCCAATTTCCCACGCAATAATCGAGGCTTCTGGTCGCTTACGGTTGGCCTCTTCACCCACACTGGTGGTCTTTCATTTCGTTTTCTGCACAAGCATGCCATCCTGGGAAGATCAACTGGGACACCGCTTCGACCGACCGAGGTCGGTCTCAGGCCCCGTGAGGGCTTGCAGTACACCCGTACACCCTCGTTCCGCGTTAGCCGGGAAGTTTTCCCTCCGCTGAGCCGACTGTGTCCTGCGAAGAGCCCTCGTAGACTCTCCATCTGGCAGTGTATGTTAGTCGCTCTCTGACCGAGCTTCATCCCCAATGCATAAAAAGGGCTGACGAGTTGTTTGTGGCCGAGTCTCAATGTATTGAGGATGTCGGGGCAATGCAGAACAACTTCCGCTCAGCCCTGCTCAGCCCTCTCTACCCGGTAGGCGAAAGAAATGATTTCAGCGAAAGGTCGAAGTATGGTGCAATATTAGGAATACACGTGACTTCGCGGTGTCGTGCTGGTGGGAGCTTGGTTGTTTCTTGATGACCCCTCAGTAAAGTACAGGTCTTCAACAAGCGCCAACCACACCGACCACAACTTCACAAGCGAAGCTATCACAAAATAGTCAGAAAGCTTAGAAGCGAATTCATCGACAGGGCGCTATGAGTTGCTCCTGCTGCCAGCCAGCTACGCTCCCTCAACCAAATGAACCCCCGTCCGATGCAACCATGCATATTGACGTGGGAAGTCAAACACCCTCGCAAGTAAAAGATGGAGTCAGTCCAGTACGAGGCAATTCCGGAGATGTTGAACCCAGCAGCTTGGATAGTACTATGGAAGATGGTTGTGATAAGGACGGCGCATCACCAGACAAGGGTTGTCAAGATGATTGCTGCCGCAGCGACTCGGCCAACACCAAAGTTGAGGAAGCCCAGAACGAGAATAACCATCCTCTGCACCCCATTCAATACCCGGCAAATGCCTGCCATGACAAAGAGTCCTCTATATATTCCAAACAATGGACTTATCCAGGAAATTGCTGCCATGATCAGCCCTCAGAGGCCTTTTGCAACACGGATGTTCCACACCCTGTTGACTTGGCCCGGGGAGATTCAGAAGAAGGTCTTGTTATTGAAGCTAGCGAAGGAAAGAAAAAAACTGGTTTGCGCGCGCATCTCCCAGAAAGTTCCTCAGGCTCGTTTCCATTAAGCAACTCTACCCCTACCGAATTGAAAATCCCAGAATGTTGCAGCGGCATACCTGCCCCCTGCTGCGACGAGACTTGTCTGGATCGCTTGGCTTTACGCGAGTGTGATACAGGGAAGGACATCCCGCAGGTTGAAGTCACCGAACAAGGTGCGTTCATTAGAGCTATCCTAATTTGGAAATTATTAACTTGAGATTCAATGCAGCTGTTTCATTGAAATCGGGACTGGAGAAAAGTGAAGCACCCCAACACAGAGCCTGCGATCATCATCGACGTGCTGTTCGCGAACAGTATGCCACTACACTAGCAACTCTAGGATGTATCTGCCGTGCACTTGTTGCTCTAGGCAAAGAGACATGCTGTCCTCCTCGCGACATCCCTTCGACGTTGAGGGAACGAAGCTCCAGAGAATCGCTGAAAAGGGTACGCTCACGTATCTCGGTTGACTCCTGTTGCGCAAACGGCATATCTACATCTAGAGATGTTGAAGCAAGCCCAAAGCGACGCAATGCGTGTGGATCTGACAAAAGGGTTGTGGAGACCTGCTCTGGCAATACTTGTTGCAAACCTAAGAGCGCTTCTTCTTGGGATAACATCCCTGCTCTTTGCACATATGAAAGTCAAACTCGCGCCAGCGCCAAATCCTTGAAGCTAGATAACAGAGCCCGCACCGCGAGTGAGAGCAAAACTAGTGACTATGTTACTATGGCCCCTGACTTAGAGAGACAGAACATGGGAATCGAGCATGTCGTTCTCTCGGTTTCTGGCATGACTTGCACTGGTTGCGAGACGAAACTCAACAGAACTTTAGCCACAGTGTCAGGTGTCAAGAATTTAAAGACGAGCCTCATCTTGTCCCGCGCTGAATTCGACGTGGATCTCAATATGTCGAGTGTCAAACATGTGATGAATCATCTAGAGCGTACTACAGAGTTTCAATTTGATGTGATCACCAGCAGCAGCGGATCGAGCTTGGATATTATTACGTCTGAGGATCTATCAACGTTCATCAATCGACCATGGCCAGAAGGTGTGATAGAAGTATTTCCCATCAACAAGGACGAAATTCGCGTTTCATTCGATCCAGACGTGGTCGGGGCACGCGATCTTATCGAGAAACACTGGGCAGGGGTTGCGAGGCTCGCGCCCACCCGCGATGATCCAGCACTCGGGGTTGGGAAGAAGCATGTCCGTCATGTCGGATATATCACACTTTTGTCTGTGATTCTTACCATTCCGGTCTTGGTATTGGCATGGGCCCCGATTCCCGAGCGAGAAATACCCTATAGCTCTACCTCACTGGCTCTGGCTACGCTGGTTCAAGTTCTGGTCGTAGGGCCATTTTATCCAAAGGCGCTGAAGGCTCTTATTTTTTCAAAGGTCATTGAGATGGATCTCCTTATTGTTCTGAGCACTAGTGCAGCTTACATCTTTTCCCTTGTCTCGTTTGGCTACCTCGTGGCTGGCAACGCGTTGTCAACAGGACAATTCTTCGAGACCAGCACACTTTTGGTCACCTTAATCATGGTTGGGCGTTATGTTGCCGCGCTTGCCCGTCAGAAAGCAGTCGAGTCAATCTCTATTCGATCACTCCAGAGCCGAAATGCAGTCCTGGTGGATGATGTCAACTCGTTGGAGGGTAGGGAAATCGACGTCAGGCTTTTACAATACGGTGACATTTTTATGGTGGCCCCCGATACAAGGATTCCGACCGATGGTACCATTGTGTCTGGCTCATCAGAATTAAACGAGTCAATGATTACTGGGGAGTCTCGTACTGTCGAGAAGGGCCCCCAATCTCGCGTTATTGCTGGGACAATCAATGGCTCAGGAACTTTACTTATCCGGGTCACTCGACTGCCCGGCGACAACACCATCACCGCCATCGCTGCAATGGTGGATGAAGCTAAGCTATCCAAACCAAAAATGCAAGAACTGGCAGATAAAGTGGCTTCTTACTTTGTCCCCGTCATTGTGGCCCTAGCCATTGCCACGTTTGTCGTCTGGATTGCAGTTGGTGTGGCGGCCCAAGGTAAGTCTGGATCAGAAGCAGCCGTTCAGTCGATCACCTACGCCATTACTGTGCTTATTGTTTCCTGTCCCTGTGCTATTGGCCTCGCCGTTCCCATGGTGGTAGTATTTGCTGGTGGTATTGCGGCAGAGAAAGGGGTGATCTTTAAGTCCGCCGATGCCATCGAAGTAGCCTATAAGGCGTCTCACGTGGTCCTTGACAAAACAGGAACTCTGACCCAGGGCAATCTAAGCGTAGTCGTCGAACACTGTCTTGAGAACGGTGAATCACGACTCCCCTTCCTACTAGGCCTCATCAGTAACAACAAGCACCCGGTCTCCGTTGCAGTTGCAGACCACCTAAGGCGCAAAGGAATTATTGCAACAGCTTTCCCAGGAGCCAAAAGTCTGACCGGCCGAGGCATAGAGGGTGAGATGGCTGGACAGACGGTGCGGGGAGGGAATTCTCGTTGGCTAAATGTTCAAGATCAGCCGCTGGTACAGCCAGTGCTTCTCCGGGGCTATACTGTGTTCTGTTTTACCATCGACGGTGTATTGTGGGCGGTTTTTGGCCTCGAGGACTCTCTCAGGGATGAAGCTTCTCAGGTCGTTACCACTCTACTAAGACGGAATGTGTCCGTCCATGTGGTATCGGGTGATGACCTCGAGCCCGTTCAAAAAGTGGCATCAATCCTTGGGATTCCAGACAGAAATGTGCAAGCCCACAGCTCTCCATCTGACAAACAGTCCTACATTAAGAATCTTTTGGGAGACTCATCGAATGTTGAGCCCGTTGTCATATTTTGTGGAGATGGAACCAACGATGCTGTCGCGCTAGCGCAGGCGACTGTCGGCATTCACATGAATTCAGGTAGCGACCTTGCGCAGGCTGCTGCCGATGTGGTGTTAATGCGGCCAGATCTATCCGGAATTGTGACTGTAATGGATACGAGCAAAGTGTCTGTACGGCGCATCAAATTTAACTTCGGCTGGAGCTTCATTTACAACACATTTGCCGTGCTTCTTGCTGCCGGCGCATTCGTGAAAGCTAGGATTCCTCCTGAATTCGCTGGGCTCGGTGAACTTATCAGCGTGTTGCCGGTCATTATCGCCGCAGCCCTTCTGCGATGGACCAAGATCTAGGTTAGGCTACATACACTTCAGCATCAGAAATAACTCTGGGACGTGCTAGTTAAGTAGTTTGGTAGACTTACTTATGCGGAGCTAGGGAATTCAATGCGCTTCCACCGAACAACTCACCCATTTATTTGTTTAAAAACGTTCCCATGCCCATTCCGATGAGTTTCAGAATAGATATCCCATCCCACTAGGTTATTTGTGATTATCACACCGATTACTATTCTACTGGCTCCTAATTACCAATTTATTGCAGCCTTGTAGCCTTCATCATATAACAAAGAGGTGAAGACGAAGGCTACGGAAAAGTAGGGCGTGGATCAAGCTGGATCGCCGGATCTCCCCCACCATTTTAGGTCCCTTCTAGAACATTCCATAGGGGAATACAGTATGCGAAAATGACTGGATTAGCATTGAAGCCTAATAGTATCTAGTACTACGATAAGGCCAAGGGCTGGTTTTGAAATTGGCCCCATAGAGAATTAGCATGGTTCTCGTTGGTGCGATGAAACTCATCTGTTCCATTCGCTCCGAGTGATAAAACGACCCCATTGGATCCTAGCCCTGGAGGATACGTTGTCCATGACTAACACAGAATTCAGCTCGTGCCATTTCCCACAATGCTTGAGAAGCTGCGCAATAAAGTCCTCAAAGACGGACTCATCAGCTGAGACATAGAACACTCATGACACAAGAATGCCGTCTTGGGCATAGACAGGCAGTATCTGATATCGCTTTTCACGATGGAATGTCAATACTTGAACCGGTGCTATACCTAGCGGAGACGAGTGAACCCATTCTCCTAAAGCCTATCCTTTTATCACATCCAGACTCAACTAATAGACGAGGTGGCAAGACTGAAAGTCAGAGATAAAGTGGAGATATTCGTCACGTAGGTCTGAATTGCGCTCTTGGGCCTTGATTAGGGCGATTTTTTTTGGACCAGCCTTTGGACGTAGGAGCGCGGCTAATGTTCGATCTTGTTGCTTGAATAGCGAATTCGTCCTACAGAAAAATCCCCAGCTCGTCAAGGTACAGGGTGGGAGTTTCGAGTAAATAGTCACAAAAAGCCTCGAGAATGACTGGAGTGATGTTACGAGGTCGTCCGCCTTTGTTAGGCGGTGATTTGATGCTGCCGAGCATCCATATAGTGGAAGATATTCTCAGGATGGTACTTCTATTGTAGCCAGCAGCCTGTGCCCCTGTGGATCGGGTCATATATAAGCTCATGTTTAGAATGGGCTAGGTTTGGCGACATCCGGTTCGACTACTTGTGATTGATTTTTAAGATACGTCGTCCCTTGGGAGGTTGTGTTGAAGGTGGGGTAGGGAGCTGTCAGAGGTATTGGATTTGCAAGTGAATACTTGCTTTAACATACAATGTAATCTAAGTCAGAAACAATACACATCCAACTGACAGAGGTGCTCCGGGAAAACTCCCGATCTAGATTAGTGTCTTCGCAGTAGGGTCAGAGAATCAATTGAAGACTGGACGTAGGCGCACCAGCTTCGAGACGTACTGTATGACTTACTATCCAAGGATATTCAGCTGGGCAACTCAGGAACGACATCATGTTGCAGTCTACGGGGGCATAGCAGGCGACAAAAGCAAGCGAAAATGTGAGCATCAACTTGGTTACACCCAAACCCGAGATGTTCTTGAAAGAGTAGGTGTAGTGAAAAAGCCCGAAATTCCCGAAAAAGATATCGAAGTCCATTCGGCAGTAGTATATGCTAATCTAAAGCAGTCATGGTTATATTGAACCCACAACAAAAAACGAGTGTAAATGCCTATCCCAAGACAGGCAGTAAATGCATCGCAGAACCCGGACCAGCGGGTTAAGCACAGGAGGAAGATTCCAGATGAAATCACGATATTATCCCCGATTTCAATAGCATATCACGAGCTTGCTGACGATCCGGCGGGGGGTATATATCTGTACATGCAATATACATGGAATTAAAAGGAGACAAACAAGCGATAGCTGCAGTTGCAGTTTGTTTCCAATGCCCAACGATTTGACATTCCCCGAGGTAATCTTACAGCAACAGGCCCATGCCTGCGACAACAGCGCCCATCATCGACGATCCAACCTGAAGGGTGCCAGCGGCGTTGTTGGTCGGGGAAGCTGAGACGGTGGCCGATGTGGCGGCGGCGGTGGCGGCATTGGCGGACTTGGATGCGAGTGCGGTGACGCCCTTGGAGTTCATGGACGAGACCGCGGTCACGATGCCACTTGGGGCGGAGTTTGTCGTTGGCGCGACGATGATGCCTCCGGCAGCTGTGGCGGCGGTTGGTGCCGCGGTGGTCGATGCGCCATCTGAGGCAGAGTCTGGGGCGTTTTCCCCGATGATCTGGTAGACGGAGAAGGTGTCATTGCCGCCGCCTAGATTGAACGAAGAAGTGGTTAGTTGCGGTGGCCAATTTTATTGCATTCAGTTTCAATTGACATACAGGATTCAGCGGGCCAGCCAGGGCAAACCTGGTTGCACTTGTCGTCGTTCACCTTCTCTGTGGGAAGAGCGTCTCCGCAGTAGCACATGTTGCCGCGGGTCAGAGCGAAGACGCTTTTGCCAGCACCTAAACAATGATCTTGACAGTACCCGGGAGATTGATAGCTATAGGGACCCTGGTTTTTCAGGGAGCCAGCGTCAGAATAGCAGCCCATGTTGACCATCGAGTGCACGGGCAGGGCGAGCGCAAGAGCTGCGAGAATGATATTGGGATGCATGGTGGGTAGTTGGAAATATTCGAATTCAATTAGAGAGTGTAGTGTAGTAAAGAGCGATGGTGACAATTAAAGAAAATGACTCAGTTAGAGAGGGTGATGTGGTGTTGTGTAGAGAGGCGCAGGGAAAAAAGGGTCTAACAAGCTTCTTTAACTCCCGTTTGTTTGCAAGCTGTTCGGGCTCCATTTTTTTTCCCGATGAATTTTCTGTGGAGTACAGCTGGGGCCGATGACATCGAACAGCACCACTTGTCGAGCAAAGTCAGCTAGTGATCATCCTGAAACACTAAGCGACATGTTCTATTGAACTTCCGTTCGGGTCCCATTGGTTCGCAAGCTAATGATCGCCCGCTCGGCATCCCCAGATGTGGCGCCTTGCTTCCCTTTTCGAGAAGCCCATGACGGTGGATGGGGCCGTACAAGTCAAATATCTGAAACCGAGGATCAGTTCGCGTGTCTCTGGTGTCTCGCACTAACTGGATCCCGTATGGGGGGAGGTTTGGAGTGGATGTGTGTGGTGTGTGGGAGAAATCGCACATTGTTGTTGATTCCCCCTTGCTTCATTCCCTGCAAGACTTATTCTGTCAACGCAAGTCGAAACCTGAGGAATCTCAGCTAGAAGCTACGAATGGTGTCAGGGGTCGATTTAAACTCTGTGGTTACTCATCTCTGACCCATGGCTCAACCCCCTTTCTCTTGGGCTTTGTTTGGCGTTCGTCAGAGCCTCCAATGGATATTTGCCTCTCTGCCCCTTTTTATGAATTCTTTCTGTTCTCTCATCGGGTTTTGTAAAATGGAGGATCCTAATTTTCGTCTTGATGGAGCTGTGGAGAAACCACATGGTGATCGCCCCAAATTTGTCCACGCGAGTTGTCTTTTCGTGACCTATTCCACTGGTGATCCCCAAGTGCGTCATTTAGGACCAAATAGGCAAGTTCAAGTCCTGAAGTCAACCTCATCCAGTGCCCTACTGTAAGCATGTGTGTGATAGGCGGTGGAGGTGTGCTGCGCATACTGTACCAAGCAGACTTATTTATAGACCTCACATCCAAAGATGATAGGTCCGCCATCGGGGGCCATATTTCGATCCCTCGATGGCACCTTGCTCGAATAACTCAAGGTATTAGATAGATCGGGCACAGGCGCAGCCCTGCGGTAAATGAACCATAAGTAAGGCAGGGAACGATAATCAACTTCCCTGTAGCTCTTGCAATCTACAAGTGAGGCTAGACCCGCACCACAGCACAATGGGTGGTCATGCTTTGTAGATTATCTGGAGCGGCATCCGAACCTCATCTGAAGGAGGTAGGCTGGGTTCTATCTTGCGACCGCAGTCTCGATGCTATTTTTGTTCATCTTGGATTTGTTAGGATCCATAAGTGCCCACTTGCAAGGATGAAGATGACGAGAGAGATTGACAAGGACCGTAAGCATTCCTCCTGGGATTTCTAGAAATAGATCAAATCTGGGGGCCAACAGTCTTCAGGGTCGCCTATAACTTACTGTGCAGCTGATTGACCAGTAAGTCCTCACAGCAGGCCCTCTCGAGACACAGTTGACCTTGATAATTGCAATGTCAACAGCCCCGAGCTGTTGTTTTCTATCAACGATCGTGGCAAGGTCCCCCAATACGTCAAATATGTTGTGACTGGCTTTCTTGCACTCTTATCAAATTGAACAAAGCCGAAAAATACTAGCGAGTCATTTGCAAGAACAAACACACAAGATCTTCAAGATCAATTGCCAAGAGATGGAGTCGTGGATTTGCCTCTATATCTGCAGATATAGCTCTTATCCATTTCAAGACATCGCCTTCATAGCACCAAGACAACCTTTTATTTGATATGAGTCACTTAATGGTGTCGCGGGGTAGCTTGCAAACAATGCACGCGATGAAGTCAAATTTGAAAAATCATGCAACTTTATCCAAATAGTGCTAGTGTGACGGCAACAATTGACAATTCCAGTGCGATCATAGAAAGAATGATTTATCAATAACTCATCTGCAAATTATTGGAGATTGCGATATATGAAATGCCTTAAATGTTGACTCCGGAATCGTGGCTATACTCCCTACGCCAAGGGGTATTTATAAGCTTAATGCTCCATGGCTTGACAATCAACATTGCTTGATTGCTCGAAATCATTCCGCCATAACCGAACATGCAATCAGACGCCATGATAGTGCAAGATGACCCCAACCCTACAATACTACAATAACCCCAACTCTCGGCAAAGCGGCGCCTCTGATAGGGCAATTCGGGGTCGGCAAAGCCCGCCAGCCGAGCCAAAGAGAGGGGAAGATAAGGCCTTGGCGGTCTATTGACTATGAGTACTTCTCTTCATTTGAAGCTCTTTCTGCAATTTCTGTTTCTATCTGGAGTTAACGTTTCATAATGAAACCTGTCGCGCTTCTCGGGCTGGTCTCTGTGCCAGCGCTGGCCCTCAACATCCCAGCACAACAGCTTCTCTTTCCCGACGCCGATCTCTCTGGCTATTACAACAAGCTTCTATCGAAGCCTTCAGCCCAGGAAATATGCCCTCAAGCACCAAAGGTGGATTCTCCAAATGATGGATTGCATTCCTCCGATATTTTCCTCTCGGATGAGGCTTTCCGCGCTCGCCAGGCCGATCGTCTTTCGCGCGCGGTCCAGATCCCAACTACTGTGGGCGACTTTATGGATGACCCGTACGATGAGGCATTTGAGCCTATGGTCAAGTTCCAATCGCTTCTGGAAAAGATGTTCCCCCTAGTGTAAGAAAAAAACCGAGCATTGAGTGCTGCATGAAGTCGTAAAGCACAGGAGATAGGGGACAACGTACTAAGATCAATCTATAGACATGAGCGCGCAGAGGTTGACCATATCAATCGCCTGGGCTTAGTATTCACCTTTAAGGGAGCTGACGCCACACAAAAGCCCATCCTATTCATGGCTCATCAAGATGTCGTTCCAATTGACGACCCTTCCGACTGGACTCACCCTCCATTTGCGGGTACCTTCGACGGTGAATGGATCTGGGGCCGCGGATCAAGTGACTGCAAGAATGTGTTGATTGGGTTGATGTCCGTAGTTGAGGATCTTTTGTCTCAAGACTGGAAGCCCCAGCGTACAGTTCTCTTTGCCTTTGGCTTCGATGAGGAGTCGCACGGATTCCTCGGCGCTGGCTCAATCTCGGCAGCCCTTGAAGAAAAGTATGGCAAGGACTCATTTGACTTCATTCTTGACGAAGGTGGCATGGGTCTGCAGAGCCTGGGCAATGAAGCTGATGCTAACGATGATGTCTTGTATGCCCTCCCCGCTGTCGGCGAGAAGGGTAGTCTTGACCTGATCCTCGACATTGCTGTTCCTGGTGGCCACAGCTCTATCCCGCCTGCGCACACTGGTATTGGCATTATGGCTCAGATTCTGTATGAGCTCGAGCGGAAGGAGCTGTTCCCCGCGTGGTTGGATACCGACCACCCGGCACACGGAATGCTCCAGTGCCAGGCCCGTTTTTCGCCAGACCATGTTGAGACTTGGCTTGCGGATAAGCTAGCTGCACAGGACCCCGCCTCTTTGGGAGAAGCTGTTGCTAGCTCTCGTGGCCCGGCAGTCCGGTATACCATGCAGACATCACAGGCTGCAGACTTGATCCATGGCGGTGTCAAGACAAACGCTCTGCCAGAGAAGATCCAGGCCGTGGTAAATTATCGCGTTGCACTTCACCAGACACCCGATGAGCTTCTCGAGCGTGCTGTGCGACTCATCACTCCCATCGCCGAAGAGCACAACCTGGAAATGCGCATTGCATTCCCTGGCATGGAGCAGTCCACAGAGGGCGGTGCCAGTGATCGCACTATCACTTTCTCTCCTCTTAGTGTCCCCCTCAGCCCGGCTCCAATCTCACCCACAAACCCTCTCACCTCGAAAGTTTGGGCGCGATTCTCCGGTGTGGCACGTAGCGTCTTTGAATCGCATCCAAACCCACTGTCCAAATCGAGCACCAAGCCTAAAGTGGTTGTTTCCGGTGATGTAATGACCGGAAACACGGACACGCGCTTCTATTGGGCTTTGTCGAAGAACATTTACCGCTGGAGTCCATCTCGGGCAGGTGGCGCCCTGAATATTCACACTGTGGATGAGCGTATTCGGCTGGATGTGCATCTTGAAGGCATGATGCTCTATTACGGTTTGTTTTGCCCTTTGACTTAATCTTTTTGGGAACTGTCTGACTAACTTTGATATCTAGACCTCATTCGTTCTTTTGATAATTGGAACGAAAAGTCCGAGTAAATATTGCTTTGCGTATATTGGCAGCAATCAAGCTTCCCAAACATAGGGAAGGTTGCATAGGCTTATTTACAGCTGCATACCACAGGAGCGAATTGATATATGAGAGAACAACTATAGGATTGTCTGTCAATATCGTGCTTTGACTCATAACATTTTTTGTGCTTGATTTGACCTTTAGCTTGTAGGCTAAAGTACTATGCTTGTAACCTCTGACGACTGTAGATACATATGAGCCTCACTTTCGATTTCCAAGGTTCAAAGTTCGTATTGTAGCTGACTTAATCCCGCTTGAGCTTCTCAGTCTAAACAAGGCTTCTTATCGTAGCAACTTGTATAGACCCACCGGATGATGAATGTGACTTGTTCTAAACTATATGTAGAAGTAGCATATAATGCATGAATCTTTTCCATGGAATCTTGAGCTAAGCTTCAAAGATAAGCCGCAGTGATGTACATAGCGGGCTGGTGCATTGGTCCGAGTAGAAAGAGTAAAGGTGTCATCCTCCGATTCTCGGACTCATATTAGTTGGGTACAAAAAGCTTTTTGAAATACTCTTCAGGGATCTGATCATTGTGAGGGTGGTCAATGAAGCTTGATTCAGCTAAAGACACTTTGGCCGCTGATTTCATCTCGCTTATAGACAAAATGGTATATATTGTACAAAAGCAGAACACATAAGTAAATAAAAGCATATGAAACCTAGGCGTGCCGCTGTCTTTCAATAACGACTTTCTTGTTTGTTAAAGTTTGGAACATATGTTCTTGCTAAAACTATAGGTAAGAGATAAACAAGCCCCCAAAGAGAAAAACAGCTGAAGAAAGTAGAATCTCTGCCTTATAAGGAAGGCTTGGGTCAAAATAGAAGAAAAAGAAGAAGGAAATTGAGCCATGGATGAAGTGTATACTCACAAGTTGAGGGGCCAGGGGTGTAGAAATGACCTCGTTCCAGCAGCGCCCGAAGTAGAATGAAACCCATGTACCAACGGCATCAAAACTTCCACATTGGGACAATGTTCAGGCAGCATCGATTTCTAACACTCCACATATAAGGTTCTGCCTGACCGAAGCTTTGATCACGTCGGCCTCGCCTTGGCCCTAGACCTTGGTCGTCGTGGCATCCGCTCAACAGTCATCGAGCGAAATTTCGGTGCAGAAACTGGAACTAATGCCAAAGCAAGCGTGATCGATGAGCGAACGATGGAATTCTGTCGACTACTCGGTGTGCGTGACGATATTGCCAACGCTGGATTTCCCGCAGACCTTCCAGGCGATACTATCTTCTGCACCGCAATGGACGGTCATTACATCGGTCGCCTGGAAATGCCATCTGCAGCAACACGTGAAACACCAGAAGAATCGGCAGAAATGCTACGACGCTGTCCACAGATTTGGTTTGATCCTATCTTTGCACGTACCGTACATCGCCAGGGAATGGCAGATATTCGCTATGGCATGGAGGCTACAGGATGTGATCAGTCAGATAAAGGTGTGGTCTGCCACTTGAGAAATATCAGTAATGGTGTCTTGGAGGACGTGCGAGCGATGTATGTTGTTGCGTGTGACGGGGCCGCCAGTGTGATACGGAATGAGCTAGGGATTCCATTCGAAGGGAACGATCTAGGATACGCAATCAGCTCTATTGTTCAACTTGATCTTGCCAAATACAACCGTTGGACTACTGCAGAGCGCTTCATGTTCATTGGGCCTGATGGGACATGGGGAAATTTTACGACAATTGACGGACGCTTGCTCTGGCGCTTCTCTATTCTTGGCGGTAACGCCAAGGTTGATCTGTCAAATGTTGACATGGATGCGTTCGTGCAAAAAGCGATTGGAGGCGACAAACCCAGTTATAAAATTATCAAAACAGTCCAATGGCGACGAAGCCAATATAATGCCGCCACATATCACAGAGGACGAATCATCCTCGCCGGAGATGCGGCTCATACGATGTCCCCAACTGGTGGACACGGATTGAACACTGGTATTGGGGACATTATGGGCCTAAGCTGGGTCCTTCAGGCCTTGATTGAAGGATGGGGAGGACCTGACCTTCTAGATGCATACACTATTGAGCGTCGACCAATTGCCCTTCGTAACGGAGCTGGTTCAACTAGGAACTTTGGGATTTGGATCGACAAAGTTGGTCGTGACAAGGTACTAGATGATGGTCTCGAGGCCGATGAGCAACGAGACAGTCTTGGAAAGAATATGGCTGCTAAAATGCGACAAGAGTTTCAATCGTTGGGTCTGGCACTGGGATACAGCTATCCTGACTCACCGCTCATTATCCCTGATGGTTCCTCTGCCCCCTTGGATGACCCGGACTACTGTGTTCAAACCGTAGGACCAGGCCATCGTGCACCGCACTGCTGGATAGAGGTAGGCTGGTCGACAATTGATATTTTTGGACGTGGTTTCGTTCTTCTTTGCTTCGAAAAGGAGTTTACAGAGAACGAGAGAATCGTTCGAACAGCAAAAGAGTTTGTTATTCCTTTAGAAATAGCAGTCATATTAAATTCTGAGGCTGCAAGGCTATATGAAAGGCGATTGGTTCTTGTTCGTCCTGATGGAATGGTTGCCTGGCGTGGAGACACACTCCCAGATAATGTAGAGATGCTTCTCAATCAGGTTCGAGGTGTCTCTCAGGGCTAAATAGAGGCATGGACGCCATACTGTGCCCCATATTTCTTGAACCATAGCCTCGATAGCTTGAATTACTTAGGTACCCTGATTGTTGATACACATTATAGTGGGAGATCATAAAGACAAGCTTTGACTGCAATGAAGTAGGGACATGTCACGAAGTCATCCATTTCTTGAAAATTATGCTCCTTGATAGGGCATCAGATCATATACATTAGGCCTCATCTGCCAGTCACTCCCCACCTGACCTGTTTTTCGGGGTTTCCCATGCTCCCCATTGCCAGTATCTACCTGTCTGCTCGACCAGAGTCCCATCGAAGTGTCGGGATTCATTATCGGGGCTTATTTCGGGTATAGATATTGTCAGCAGAAGTCTGTCAATTCTATCATGCTGCAGGTCTACCATAACTCTAAAAGTATAGCCTTAGGGTCTCGGAATGCGAAAGTATGATCCTCAGGCAGGAATGTCTGCTGGGCACTAAGCTTAGCCATTGACTGGAGTGTAGTCAGAGAGCCTTGAAATGTTTCCCGAGACATGGATACATAGATTCACAATGTCCGGATTGGAGAACGATGAAAGACCGCAGCCTTTAATTGCTGATTCCCGTCCATGAACCATAATTTGAGCCTTGATTGTCCGGGTGCTTGTCCCCGAAGAGAATTCATAAGGTAGAAGCAACATACACTATAGAATATAAAGTATGAGACTTTGAAATTGGGAAACAAGCATCTAATAGAGTCTCACTTTCTCATTTCAATCTTGGCTTCAATTCAACGTATCTTTTCTTTCTTTTGCACTATCTACCTGCTCCATTCTCACAATGGCGGAGGATTGGAAGTTGTATCTTTTTGGAGATCAAGCATACAACATACAAACATACCGGCAAGATCTGCTTCGAAACAGAGACAATCCTGTTCTGGAGCATTTTCTGATGAAAGCATACGATGCCCTTCGTTCCGAGATCTATACACTGCCCTCAGCTACAAGAGATATATACCCTCGTTTCACATGCGTCGACGATGTAATTCAATGGAACCCAACCGGTGAAAGACTTGTGACGCTCGATATGGCTATCCCAGCTGAGCGTTGATTGGCTCAAATGCACGGACCCATGGTAAAACAAGCTTGATGAGTGGGGCCATCGGGGATCCAAGATCTCCCCCCATTGGTTAGCAGGACTATTCTTCAACTTCCGTGAGCTACCACCATGAAACACCACCCTGTGTCGTGGCTCGGAGTTAACGGTGTTCGAGGATACAAAATCTGATGTAAGTATGGCCAGCGCCTGCGCAATTTTGGACCAACATAATTCACAAGCGAGATCATTCCAGCAAAATGGCAACGAACAATGGGAAGGGCCGGGATGATCAAATCCTCAACAATGATATTGAGGACACTATAGATCAGACTCAGCCTGGCCAAGTGGAAGTATCTCTGTTTACGACAACTGCCCCCTCCTCTTCAGAACAAGAGATGGAAATCGTCCCTCGTTCTGAACGTCGAGGCTTAATGGGAAGATTTGCGCTCATCCCGGAGGTTGTCAACCCACACACTTACTTGAGTCAAACCAAGTGGTTGATGACACTTATTGTCAGCTTCGCTGCTATTACTTCCTCCACAGGCTCCTCAATCTACTATCGTGAGCATTCCTCAATTCAAATCTAGTCCAGTGTGGATATTCATCACGATACAGCCGCACTCTCTGAAGTTGCTCATGAGTTGCACACTACTCCGACAATAGCCAACCTGTCACTGGCTTTTTATATGCTTTCTATGGCCTTTACGTCAATGTGGTGGTACGAGAAATTTCAAGGAAATTGACCTGTCGGCTTTGGCTCACAAATTCTAGGTCATCTCTATCTGAAACTCATGGACGTCGTACAATATACCTTCTTTCTTTCTGTCTTTTCTTGGTATTTTCCTGTGTAAGTGCCGTCAGTGTAAATATCAGCATGTTGATTGTGTTTCGGATACTAAGCGGTGGAGCGGCAGTGTCTGTTCAATGTGTGGGAGCGGGGACTGTTTCTGACATCTGGGATCCGAAAGTAAGGGGTCGTGCAATGGGAATCTTCCAACTCGGACCTCTGGCCGGGCCAGGTTTAGCACCTGTCATCGGTGGTGCGTTGACTCATGGTCTCGGCTGGCGGAGTACGCTCTGGTTTCTCACCATCTTTGGCGGTGTGATGTTTATTCTCATTTTCCTGTGTCTGCCAGAGACGATTGAAAGACAGGCGCCGAAGTTGCAGTCGGATGGAAAGACGAATCTGAAGAAAGCATTGAAGCTGTTAAAATGTACATTCGGACCATTCCGAGTGATAGGTATGCTTCAATATCCCCCAGTGATTGTTGTCGTGTGGTCTGGCGTTATTGCATTTTTCGCCATGTTCATTCTCAACGTTTCCATTCAATCCACCTTTGAAAAAGCACCCTACAACTTCAGCGTGCTGCTAGTCGGACTGGTATACTTAGCTCCAACCATGGGTTACGCAATCTCCTCTATCCTTGGCGGCCACTGGATTGACTACATCATGATCCGTGAGGCACGCAAAGCCAATCGCTACGAGAACGGGAAGCTCAAATTTCTACCCGAAGACCGAATGCGTGAAAATATCTGGCTGGCTTTGACTTTATACCCGGCGGTATTGGTCTGGTACGGCTGGTCTGTTGACAAAGGCATACACTGATCAGTTGGCTGCGTGGCCTGCATCTTCTTTGGGCTCGGCATGATGCTTGTTATGGGATCTGTGAACACTGCCTTAACGGAGTTTACACCCAAGAGGGCATCCAGTGGTGTTGCTCTGGCCAACTTTCTGCGCAACATACTTTCCTGTACGGGTGCCATTATCACGCAGCCTCTGATCGGCGCAGTCGGTGTTGGGTGGACATGCTCGGCAGTTGCCATATTCGCATTTGTGACGGGTATTGCGGCCATTTTATCCCTTCGCATGTGGGGACCACAGTGGCGAGTGGTCATGGACCAAAGGTTAAATGCTGCGAAAACTTGAACTCCGAGGAACTTGGCCTGTGCAGCCGAGACGGCGTGGCTTGGAAGACCCTCTTTCTCGGATCTGTTCAGTGTCTCTTGGAGGATCTCGGTGTTTCGGCGTGACCGAGGATGTGAATGTGACGTTGTGTAGGTGTCGACTGCAGTCCAGCGCGGATCATCAGTGTTGCTCCAGTGTGATCTTCCCGCCATGCTGTAGGACGTGTGAATGAGTTGGTCTACTGTGGGAAATAATGAGCTTTGCTTTTTGGGCAACAGATACGGACGCCCTATAAAGGAAGCGATTGTTGGAACGAGCAGTTTCTTCATCAGGCAAAGCTTCAAAGAAAAGACAATGAAGCAAAAGCGGATCATAGATTCAGGGCAGATACTTCTAGAAAGATCTTCGGACTTAGGAATTAAGAAGGTCTGTACAACGAAAGTCAATTAGATGGGACAACCTTGGAAACTTCCTGTTCGGAATTTCGCGCTCGGAGTTAGCCGCTGGGGATACGTTGAGATCTCGGGCATCGAAAAGACTTCATCATTGAGTAAAGCTTTGGGTTTGTGGGACGACCATGGCTTTCTAGGAAAATTCAGTTGTTTTCATGTTTTCAGCCGTTTTTCGCAAAAGTATCTTGGTTGAACCTTTCCCGAGCCGCGTGGGAGCTCTGGGCTCGTAGGGTAGTGTTAAACAGAAGATAATCAAACAAACGACTTGCATAATATTGCCTAGCTCGTACGCGACAGAGCTCATATAGCTTAGTCCAAAACTATGGATGGGTATAGACAGAAGAAAAACACCAAGCAAGCCTGAGACCTACTTTGCGACAGGAGGGTAACTAGTACATGTTCCCCTTTTCTGGAGTAGGCTCAACACCAGATCAAGACATAAGAACGAAATCAAAATGTGGGCTCGTCAAAGAAGGTTAATTAACAAGAACTGAAGGCCCGCTTAGCGGACTAGAAGAGGCGCAAAAGCGCCACCCACAACAGGGCGGGCAACAAAGGTGTTTTGAGGATAGCTGCTTTTTATTAGTGATGTTCTCAATAAAGATTCGATAATTAAATAACTTACTTTCCAGAAACTGTGTCATACAAGTCAGTCAGAGGGCGGTTGGTAGGGGTCTCGTTGATCCAGGTTGCCAAGTCCTTGATGAACATATCCCGCGCTTTGCCTGAGGTAATCGCTGCGGTGAAGCACTCCCAGTCGCCTAGGACACAATATTAGTATTTCATGTTCGTCATAGTCAAGGATGAGGTTCCTACCCTTGGTGTAAGTGTGGCGGGTGTCAAGAGGCACACCGTATTGGTTCTCGACTGTCTGGTAGAAGTCACTCTGCATCTGGTAGACTGACTGTGGAACCAGACCCAAGCCAAGCTGAGCATCGGCGAATAGATTGTAGAGGAGACCTGCAGCTGGCATCAGAATTGTTGCATGAACTAGAGAATGTGGTCTGTACTAACCGTGGCTGTTGGTATCACCGTAAGATAAAGTAGTATGAGGTGGGTTGGCATTCTTGGCAATTGCCAGGCTCTGCCACTGGGTGATATAGTCCTTTGCGATACTCGAGAAATTGGCAGCATCTACGGGGTTGTTGGTCTTCTCGGCAATGACAGCCATGGCCTGGATACCAATCATGCCTTTGAGAGCCAGGTTGGTTTGGTTTCTAATCATGCTGGTCAGTTTCGAACTATCATGTCAGAAGGAGCTTACTCACGCCAATGAGCCGGCAAAGTCGTCAGTCGAGATCTGGTTTGCTGGGTAAAGGGCGTCCTCGACTAGATAGCTGGTCCACTGCTTAAGCAGGTCGTAGTGAGCGCGCAAGTAGTTGGTATTTCCAGATTGCTGAGCATAAGCTAAGGTCATGATGAGCATGTTTCCACACTCTTCCAAAGGCATCTTCTCATCATTTCCGTCGGAGTGGCCAGTAGCATTGGGGTAGCTTGAGCCCATGTCGTGCATGGAGTATTTGTTGGGATATTTTCCGGCTTCCTGGTTTTCAAACAAGGGGTCGAGAACGAGTTTGACAAACTCTGGGTTGGTGTACAGGAAAATAGGATAGGCAGGGAACACCACATCAACAGTGTTCATGTTACCATCAGACGAAATTTCCTTCAGGAACAGATACATGTGATCCTCAGTGCCACAAAGCTGTGTGGCACCGAACGCCTGTCGAGCAGATAGCGAAGTAATGGTGAGATAGTCCTGGCCGGCCGTGGCAATAGAGTCGGTAGCCACTCTGTTGTCAAAAGCGGTTGCGACTTCGTTCGACTCGCTGTAGTCCTTGTGGAAGAAAGACAGCGCATCCAACTCCGTGTCAAAGTAGCTCTTCCAGAGAGAAGGCAGAGGACCATAGTTGGAAGCACCTGCGAACTGAACTGCCTCGTCTTGGGCCAGACCAAGCGAGAAGAGCGTGCTGACGGGGGATGAGCTGACTGAGCCCAGGTCAGAAGAAAATCCGAAGACAGGCCATTGGTTTGAGATGGCTCGGAAATTAGTGTCACCACTGTTAGCGAGCTTGCCGGTTTGTGAGAATTGGCCGCGCACAACGGTGTCTGTGCCAGATTGGTAGGACATGTCTGTGGTTGCGTCGGTGGCCCAGTACCAGTTACCCCATTCGCCTTGCTCGTTGACCTGCGAGAAGGCCAACGGGGTCTGTCGATGGACTTTGTGGTAGGCCACACCATCTGTGGTGCCATACTCCCACTGTGCAATGGCAGAGCGGTCACCAGAGACCCATTCTACTGATGTATCAGTTTATGTTTCTATTAATCATTTCAAATCACTCACCGGCAGAGATATCAGCATAGACTTGAACATCGTGTGCCTTTCCATCAAGAGATGAGACTTCAACATTGAGGTACGAGAAGACCAGAGATTGGCGTTTGATATCACTGGGTGTGATAGGCGACATGAAAGTAATGTTCATCTCCAACTTGTTTTGAATGTTCATAGTGAATATACTCTTCGTTGACGTATATTCATATGCTGTTTGGTTAACAGTGTTAGTACCAGGCAATCCCATCCAGGTATAAACATTGCCGTCGACACGGATGAGACCACACCATCCAGTCACTTGGTTTCTAGGAAACCCATTAGCTAAACAGTATACTAAGGACATTTTACTGTCAGCTTACTGCCAAAAGACTGGCCATTGGCCAGCCAGGTATCCGCCGTTACCACCATCGCTACCAGCATCAAGCCAGGTGCTCAGGTAGGGCGACTTGACAGCAAGGGGAATAGAGGGAGGTCGAGCAGGAGTGAAAGTTGATTGCGCTTCAATGGAGGCAAAAAAGGAAGCGATCAACAGACCGAAGCGATACAGCTTCATCGTGACGGGGTATAGATGAGGAAAGGTTGGACAGGAACGCAAAAACTCAGCACCAGCGCGTAGCCCTTTTGTTATTTATTTGCGGGAAAAGGATATTAGCTCTCAGAAGCTTGGCATCGAGGCAGATAGAGCAAAAGCTACAGGCGATCGGCGTTGTGTTTACGAGAGAGGAATGCCAGGCGCATTTTTATAGTCGAGCATTCAACCCCCAAGAAAAGGGGGGAAGGGCTACGGCCCCTCCATAACCCGCATGCCAGAATGTGCTCTCTGCGGATTTGAAGATCGAAGTGGGTTAGCGCAGTAGAAATATGTGGCAGCAGACATGCATGTTCACTGTATACCCCCGGAGCATGCAAGTCGGATGACCTCGGTCAGCGGCCGTGGAATCAACCGATGCGGTAATTTCCACCATATGGCAGGCAAGAGATCCAGGATGTGAGGGGTCATGACAGGGGGCAGAGATGAAAGGTCGCCAGGACGGAGATAGGGACTTGGGCTCAGCTCAGGGCCGAACTTCAAGCCCGGCCATAATGCGGTCTGGGCGGTCCCCCGTAGAGACGGCATATTGAGGTAGCATGAAAGACAAGCGGCGGTCTATGCGGATCGACGAGGGAGTGGCGCCAGTGGTTGAGAGTCCCGGGGTAACTTAACTCCTTGATTTCAACGAGACGCCTTGCAGATGACCGGCGGCATGGCGCAAATCAAAGTGTGGAGGAGCAAATGAGGAGGTCAGAGATCAGGGCTGCGGAGAAAACAGGAACGGGGGCTTCAAGTCATCGCCGATAGGTTGAATCTCGTTCAAATGTGCCAAATGCATGGCCTTCGTGATGGCATCATGCGCACCAGGCCTCTGAGCTCATGCATGAAGCAATATCAAGCCGTGATGTTTGTGGTCTTTTAGTGTCCGAGTATGCGGGGGGGAATGACGATCCGCAGGAAGTATATTACTGGGATCATGTTGTTTAAAAATGTAAGTGAAGTGAATTTCAGCCAACCTTGCAAGTTGTTCAGATCGCCAAATTACCCGAAAGGGTCTCGGGGACCTGCAGAGAGAGTAGAGAAAGGGTTGTGTTCGCACAACTTCGAGATCTCAAATCAGAACGATTCCCCTTGCAGGGAGATTGGTCCTACACGTCAGCTTGCCGACTTTCCGGGAAAAATTCTGACATCTCCACCTTGATGCAAGTATCCAGTACTTGATGCATTGTGAGTTGATGTCGCGTGCGCCACGTAGCGAGTACATGCAGAGTCCGGTGTGGATTGGTCGATCCACCTCCCTATTGAACCTTGCTGTGATGGCCCTTCACCGTCCAATCTTGTTACAATGATTCTGGGTTGTAATAGTGAAAGTCTAAGGCTGAGGGTCTCTGTTAGGCTCAGAAATGAACCCAACCTTTGGTCCTGCTGTCTCATTTTCATTTCGGAGGATATTATCCCCTGTTTCAACTAAGTGTATAACCCTACACGACAGACTGAATAGAGCGAACTCCCATTCAATATATCAATGTGGCTCATTCTTATTGAAGAATTATCAAATAATTCGACTGTAGCGCTTTGGTCGTTTCTGTCATAAAGTGCATAGTGCATCGCGTGCCACTGGCCCCTCCTATGGGTACGGAGTATGCGGAGAGAGTCAGAGTCATCAAGGCTGTGAGGGCTAGGTACAGAGGACGTAGCAGCGAGTAAGTGAATGAAGTCTTATTCAGAGCAAGGCGCGGGTTCCAACTCATAGAAGATTGTAAAAACCTCGGCAAGGGTTGGTGAATGCTCGCGTTCTGATTCTTGTATAAGCTCTCATCTAAGATAAGTTAGGTTCTTTTACATCCTCTAACCTGAGTAAGTCTAACTCTTCTTCTGGTTATTGCACCCCCTTTCGCCGTACTTCAAACTCTCTAATAAGATCGTCGCATCCTACCGCGTTTCGTTCGAGCACCTATTCCGCTTCCTCGTACGAGAGGCCTTCCTACACTTCGTGCGTATATCTAGAATACGTACCACATTATAGCGGTCGGTCTCATCTAGGAAACACTCATCTTCTGTTGGTCCTTTGCCGTGTTCTCGTTCATACGGGTCGTCGCCTTCTGCTAGCGTAGGTTCTAGGTGCTGCACGCTGATCACCGGGTGTACCCTTCTCCACGCGCCGGGGAGGTCAAGCTTGTATGTGAGGTGCCCGACGCGTTCTAGCACCATGAAACGATTTGTATAATCATGACTTCTGAGAGACGTACTGTGGTTTCTGGATCGCCGTATATTGTCACGCCGTTTCGCAGTCTTTGCTCCATAGGGCCAGTGCTAGTCGGTCTCACTACGTACTATACTGGTTCCATTTTGGTTTCCGACCGTACGAGTTCTGCAACAGGTTGTGCTGCGTACGCATACAGTGAGTGCTATAGGCTTCTGTCTTGCCACGGGTTTCCTGCATGGTGCCGACGTGCGTTCCTTTCCACAGTGTACCCGCGTGGTGCGTTCAGTTTTCACATCCAAGCCATGGGATCTCGAACTTGGCGAGGCTGCCATCGAATGCCAACGCGCTATGTCTTCTTTCAAAAATCCAGTTGGTCTTTGGCATGTCTATTCCGGTTAATGTGACTGGAATCTCCACATGGTGTGGTGGTAACATTATCGCGACTGCTGCTGCGCCTTGGGCCTTGGCTGGTTTCCTTGTATGAACGTCGATCACAATCGTGATGCCCACACACGAGCCGATAAGCTTGGCTTGCTGACGTTGGGCGTCAAAATGATCTGCCTCGCCTGTAGAGCGGTATCTCCACGCCTATTCCAACGTGCATCTCAATCTCACTTCAGCCGCAACCTGAAATCTCACTCCTCCCAACAAGCAAATAGCTCCAACTAATGCCATGCCACACAAGCTCATATCAGAAAATGTTTTCCATCCGACCACGCCTACCGACAGCACAGCAGGACTGGATTATATCCTCCCAGCCTCATACAGAGACGACGAGCTGTCTCTGCATACCCCACTAAGCGAAATCTCCCAATTCCTCCTTCTGGACCTCTCAGTCCAGCGCCTGAATAAGATCGACAGCTACCTATGGCTAGCAGGCCGTCCAATGCCGCCTCGACCGTTAAACTACCAAATCTCAGTATCGCGCGAGATAATCCTCGACGAAAAGGCCGACATGCACCTCGTCTGGGGGCCTAATCGACACATCCACATCAAACCCCTACCCCGATATCTCCTAGACTCCAATTTCTGGGCTGCGCATATAGTCTGCGAAGAGCATGGCTCGGCCTCATTCAGCCAACAACAACCACAGTCACAGCTACTAGCCAAGAGAATCCCCAACCACAAAACCTCAGACTCAGGGGCTGTCACAGTCATCACCTGCCAGAAATGCGACCTCACAAAATCCGCCCTGGGCTTCTTAAGCTCTTACATAGCCCTGATGCAATACCCAAGCGACTTCGCAATCGCCAAAGCAAGCAACCTCCTCCCAGACTCCCTCACCTGGTCCACATGGCGCAGTCTAGTTCAAAACCTGATTTCGACTGATAGCATACGCCCGAGCAAGATCAACAACCGCTACAACTTCGGCGAACTGCGCTTGTCACGCTTGGACAAGATTTATGTCTTTTGTCGTGGGCATCTCCTGCGCGGGTATCGGTCCAGGTACCAGACCTATGACGAGTTGTTCCAGTCGTATCTGACGCTCATTACGGCGACGACGGTGTACATTGCGCTTGCTCTGACAGCCATGCAGGTGGGACTGGGTACCAATCGGTTGGCGCAGAATTCGGCGTTTCAAAATGCTTCTTATGGGTTTACTGTTTTTTCGATTTTGGGGCCGCTGTTGTTGCTGTTCCTTGTCATTTTGGTGGCTTTTGCTCATCTTGCAACGAATGCGCTGGCGACTATCTTCTTTAAGAAGGAACGGTTTCTGTTCTTGAAAAAGAGGAGCACTGTGGGAGCGTAGAGGAGAGATGAGTAGTTTGTCGTTATTTCGGGCAAGACAATAATGTAGCATATTTGTTTCTGGCTGGTTTGTAGAATGATATCTGGGTTTACATAGAATTGCCGAAGAATCACTGGTATCAAATGTATTCCATAAGATAATAAATGCAAGATACCCAAGAGCTCTGCCTCCATGAAACGCATTACATCCATCCGCCCATTTCCATCTCCACGGCCACGGCCACGTCCTCGGTAGAAAGAATCACGCACTTCTCGCAAGCTCAATACAGAATTCACCCCAATCCTGCCCCCCTTGCAAAGCAAGAATCTCCTCCGCAATGGCCTCCTCAAGCCGCTCCCCATATCGGCGCCTGTATTCAACCTTGACCTGCTCCAGATGTCTAGGCTCCCAATGCAGCCGAACAAGCCGGGAAATCAGTAATTCAGAGCGTTCCCGACCACTACGCGATTCGCGCAGGGCCTGGTGGAGAAGGAGGGCGTCACGCATCGGTCGGTTTATCGCACCGTTCAAGATATGCGCGAGAGTTTCTCCCTAGAACGAGAAGAGAGACTGGTCAGCAACAGCCAAGCAAAAGCAAAGCTCGGGAAACACAAAGTGAAGAACAAACATACCACAAGATTTCTCGACTTGGCAATCATCCCCTTGGCAAAATTATGCCGATAAGTCGACTCGTAAATGCGCAATACCTCGCGCAGATGCTCGTCGCTCCTCAGCACAATGATCTGGATCATGGCCGTCTCCCCGCCCTCGCGACTGACAAGTGCACGATACAAATCCTCCACATCGTCCCGGATTAAACGCGGATCAAGTGGTTCCCGGTCACTCTGACGGCGGCCCTCGAGCGCAAGCAAAATAGCAACACGGAATTTGTCCGCGCGGAGTTCCGAGCGCATACACCTCTCAAGACTATTCTCGTACCTTGTGTCCCGGAAACAAGACTTGATCTCGCGGATGGCGGAGTTTGATCGGCCCATTAGTGATTCGATGAGGAGTTCGCGACGGGATGTACCGGCTTGGTAGTAGCAGTTGGCCCAGTAAGCTTCTGATTCCCAGCGACCGAGAGCTGTGGCGTAGGCTACCTTGCCGAAGGATGAGGTCCCGAGCTTGAGGCGAAGGTGTTTGGCGAGGTTAATCCCCTTCCCGTGCATTCGGACACGGGTTTTATATTCTTGGCGGAGGAGGAGAATTTCGTCGCTGGTGAGGCGAGGCAGGATTTGGATGATGGGTTTGTTGTCGATGTTTCGGGTGTGGTTTAGGGCATTTTGCATTGCTATTGCGTCAGCGCCGGCGTCGTAGAAGGAGACGCGTTTGCGGTCACTTGTGGGTGAGATCAGGACCATATTTGCTGCGCTTGGGATTGATGAGCTTGAGTCGTGGCGGTCGTGGCCGGTTGTTGGGCGGGTGCGACGTTTGTCGTCTTTGCGGTCATCGCGCTCTTTTTCTTTTGTGTCTTTGCTACTGCGGGTGCGAGCGTCTTTCTCGCTAACTGAGGACTTGGATCGATGTCTTCTGTGACGACCTGAGTCTGAGGCTGAGTTTCCGCCGTCTAGACCCTCGATGTCTGAGATATCTTCATCGCGAATGGAGGGCACCACAATCGGCGATGGCATGGGTGAGATAGACTGGTAAGTACCACGATACGGCTCAAGCAATGGACTAGCAGGCGGATGAGCTCCATGAGCAACACCCGCACCAGCAACAGCAAGATTATTCGCCGACGAAACAGAAGCACCATGGGGACGAGCAGCGGATCTCCCACCGGGTGCAATTTCAACAAATTGAGGCTCCATGTTATAGCGATACGGCTGCTCGCCATGCGCCTGCGGCTGATACGCAGGCTGCGAAGCTTGCGCGTGAGACTGCCCAGTCCGTGAAAACTGCTCCTGCGCCGACGCAGTATAACCAGACTTAGGCTCTGACTTGGAGGAATACCGCACGCGAGGATCGACCTGGGCATACTGATACTGGCCTGGGTTTGCATACCCCGACGAAGTGGGCGGGTAAGCCGCATCTCCAGCAGGAGCCGCAGTGGTATACTGTGCCGGTGCATACCCAGCACTGGAAGTGGAGTACATACTCGCAGCGGGGTTCACATATTGCGGAGTGGGCAGGACAGGCGCAGGCGTCGATCCCGACCCGTTCGCATACCCTGAGCTCGAAGCAGGAGGGAACGCACCAGGCATACTGGCAGTCGACGCCTCAGCCTGCGACACCGGTGGCACAAAGCCCGGGCGTTCACATTCGGGAACGGAAGCCCAGTCGATATTACCCGCGCCTGGGTAAGTAGGAGCAGGACCAGGCTGGCGCGGCGCAGGCGCACCCGGTTGCGCATGCAAGAACTGCGCCGGCTGCGCGTAATCGAATCTGCCAGGGCGCGCATAGCTTGGATGACTGCCCGGCGCGTCACCATAGGCTAGCTCATCATCTACGGAATCATCATCGGACGACTCATCGCGGTCTCGACGACTTGCCCCGGTGGTGGAGCGAGGAGGCGACGAGGGCCGTCTGGAATGCGACCGGGAAGTGTATTCGCGGTCAGATTTGCGATCTCGATCTTGGTTCCGGTCGCGAGGAGCAAGTCGATCATCTTCCGACGCGGAATGCTCATAGCGGTCCTCGGTGCGACGTCTAGATTTCTCGGATTCGCGCTCGCGCTGGCGCCGCTTTGAATCTGAATCGGAGCCTGTGCGGTTCACATCGTAGAGCGCGGGGCTCCTGGGCGCACGGGAGATGACGTTGCGCGAGTCTTCTGCGCCTGAGCTACCGGCAGCTGTGGCACTGTCGCGTTGGCGTCGCTCGCTGATGAGTTTATACTGGCGTTCTATCTCGGCTTCTTCTTCTGAACTGTATGTCCTGCCTCGGCTGCGATCTCGGTCTCTTTCTCTATCTTTACCGCCTCGGTCTCGACCTCTAGATGAAGAAGCAGGAGTCGTTGGGGCGATCTCAATGGGTTCGCGAGTGCGGGAGGGGCCCGGGGAAGGTTGGCGGCTGTCGCGAGAGCGGGAGCGTTCGCGGGATTTGGAGCGGTTTCGCGACCGTGGGTCATTCACTTGGAGTGACATGGTTTGCGTCGCCGGATTGGGAGATTTGTTTATTTCCCTGTAGTTCGGGAGTTCGAGGCTTGAGCTTGGAGGTTTGATGTATATGAGGGGCGGGTAGGGGTTTCACGTTTCACACAAAGGACTGACACTCAGGGTTGGAGCTTGAATTCGACTCTGTGCGAGGCGGGGTGTGCAATGCTTTCGCCCTAAGCCATTCCCTTCAAGCTTGGAGTCTCGAGAAGAAAAAGAGGAGGGGAGAGGAAGAGGAATTGGGGGCGAAATTGCCCTCGTATTCAGCTTATTGTTGCCGTGATTCTTCAACATGCAGCTAAGACCGAATGGCTGTCATTGGTTAAGATACAGTGGCCTCGAGATCATCGGTTCAGCCGCAGGGGAAATTGTCTACTGTACGTCGAATCTTCAAATGTGAATAGAGGAATTTCAATGGGTAAAAATAATAAAAATAGGACTGGTACAGTTTCTCTCGAAACATTTTGTAAAGAGATTACACCTAGAAGACATAAAAAAGAAGCCTGGTGAGGAACAAGGCCGCGAAGAATGGGGGTATGTGCGGGAAAAAACTACAGAAAAGAAGAGACATTTAGCGCATGCGACGACCCGGAGGTCCCATGCGACCTTGATTCTGTTTCTGGGGCGGCTGTCCGTTGCGGTTGAGTCGGTTGGTTCTCCAGCGCTCATACCAGATCACGCGGCTGGCCTCCCGCAGCTCCGAGCGCCAGTCAGAGAAGACAGAGTCCTTCAGGCGCACAAAGTCACAGTGTTCGGGGTCGTAGGGGTCTGCGAATCCCCACGGGAAGCGACGGCCAACGGGTTCATCTCCAGCCGCCAGTGAGTGGGGGTCGGGCGACAGGATCGAGAAAGGAACATGCTGGTTGGCGGCTTGCGAGCCGCTGGACTTGCGGCTGGGGGAGGGCGAGGAGGGTACTCGGTCCTCGGTCTCTGCTTCCTGCGCTTCAGTTGTGTCTGGGGTTCCGGTCTCAATGAGAGACTTGGTTTCAGCCTCCTCTTCATCTGCGCTCTCCGACGAAGAGTATTCCTCCTGGTCCTCTAGGGTCAGGATCTCAAGGGGGTCAATGTTGGCCTGCTTCAAGCTGTTCCAAACCGCCTTGCGAAGATAGTTCATGTGAGCAGATGTAATAGTGTCCGCCTTGCTGATGACCGGCACAACCGTAGTCTTGCCCAAGACCGTGCGCAACACCTGCAGGTCCAGGTTCTCGTCAAGCACTCCAACCACAGGCGAATCAGAGGCCTTGGGTGTGCCATTGGTCGCACGCTCGGCGGCAGCGATGTTTTCATCGAGGCGCACAGGGTCCAGGAGCAAGAATGTGCAATGAATGTGAGTGTCGCGGGCTCCGGGAGAGCGGACCACCTTCATCTCCTCGGCGAGGGTCTCCTCAAACTTGCTCTCCAAGAAACCCGTTACAGCGCGCAGCTGCAGATCGGCAATATTGCGCTCCAGACCCACTGAGTCCCACAGTGTAAGTCCGACACGTTCTCCATCAAACTCCGTCTCCAGGTATTGCGATGTGAATCCCTCGTAGGCCGAGGTCTGGCGTTCGAGCTCATCCACCTCTTCAGGGGTACGTGAGGGGTGCTTATGCGGGGGCATGGTCAGCGCCTTGCGGAGGAAGTTGAGGAACTCGGTCTTTCCAGAGTTGCGAGCACCGATCACAAGCACACTGCGTAATGTATTAGTCTCCCTGCCTCAATTGTGTCTCATCCTAACTCACTTGTATGAAGTGGGGTCCTTGCGGCGGCGAACCCGACGCGGGCTGTTCACGGTACTGACCGCACTGCTCGCATAGCTATAGCGACCACGATGGGTCATGCTCTCACTGCGGGCATAGGGATCGACCACATTGGTAATTGAGGACGTCATGGAAGGCGAGGCGGAAGCGGCGAATCCGGACTGGGGACGAGGGGGCATGGATTTGGCCAGCTTGTCACGCTCCTCGCCGCCAAATGTTTCCAATACTGGAGCAGGAGAGAGATCTGGCAGTCGGGGGGCCGACTTGGGAGCGTAAGACTCACGCTGGCGACGGAGTTCATCCTCCATGGCTTGGGTTTTGGTCATTCTCTTGCGCGAACCGGAGGATTTGCGTTCACCCAGGGGTTCGGTAGATTTAGAACGACGCAGGAATCCAAGCGAGGTCCGGCGTTGGGCAAGCGTTTGCCCGTCATTGGGAGGGGCAGTAGCCATCTGGTTGAAACACGTTAGGTCACGGGTTCCTTCCCCCTCTCCGGGAATTGCCTTCCCCCAAATCTCACGTACTGTGGAATATAGCTTCACTCTTTACGCTCGCTATACAATGGTCTGGATTGCAAACTATCGTCTGGAATTGAATACTTTCAGCGTTTGAAGGGCGGAGTTCGATTGCAAAGGTCAGAGCAAAAAGGATCAAAGAGCGTTTTCCCAACCAGTGGGCAGGTCCGAGGGAGAATTGAAATTAAGACTCAAGGGTTCCGACTCTGGAGAGTGGGACTTGAATCTTACAGCGTCCAGCGTAGAAAAGGAGAGAAATGCGGAGAGAGGGAGAGAAAAGGGCGTTTCACGGCCTGTTACTGGTCTATTATATTACGAGGTTACGGATTCTCATCCTTAAGACTATTCAGGGGTAACGTGTCGGTCCCACTTGGAGCTTGGATGGGGCCTGGTTGGTGGTACTGTAGAGGCTAACACACGGGAAGTTGAGCCAATTGACTTTTTCTGGCTCAGGCCTTGAACATGAAGTTCGAGGGACAGAGTCGGTGGGATATTTCCCTTATACTTCATACACACATGGCAGAGCACCTCGTGGTTTCTTGGCTCGTGCGTAAGGGGCCGTTGTCGTCTCCACTTCCAATGTTGATTATCTCCTGCTTTATCAGCCACGACTAAGATTAAAGGATACCCTGAACAGGGCTGGCAGCAATGGGAAATTGGTCTTATTAAAACAGGGTTGGGTCAATGTCAACCATATTGAAGTGTCAGTGTTGGCACGGACATCTATACCGGACCAGCACGGCCTCTATGTCATATCAAAATTTTAGAGACTGATTCTCTTCGGTTTGAAACTGTAAAGAGCTTACACTATCATACCTAACCTTGTCCAAAGCTACACACACACACACACACACACACACACACACACATGAGCTTAACTCGGCTCCGAGGAGCCGACTGCCCCTACATAGCTACAATCGACAGGGACGAACGCACAGGCACAACTAACACCATTCTGACAGGTGAAACAAGATCCCCAAATCCGATCAAAGACTCAGAAATGAACGTTATTTCCCACCTGTCGATCCTCTCGCCTCCAATGCACCTAACGAGACTAAAGACGCCCAGTAATAACCGTATCGAGCCCTCTCAAAGCTCTACGAGTCTAGACGCAGGTCAACTCCGAAAGAACCGAGTCCAGCGCACATCACAGTTTCTCATCTCGGAACGCGACGTGGGGCCCGTTCCTTTCACGCGTCTGGTTGTTCTGGGACGCGAGAGAACTATTGGATCTCTACCCGGATCTTCTCTACCGGAGTTGACCTTTGGCCCCTGATCTCTCTATCTGGTTCTCTGATTTCAGGTCTTTGAATACCGATTTGTTCGGACTTACGGACGTACTTTGCCTGAAAAAGGAAGATCGTGTTTTGGGGAGTGGATCTGTGGGGCGGATTTCCCTCGCGTGCAGGAACCTCTGCGCCATCTGGCGAGAACTTTTCTTGTATGGTCGTGGTTTTTTTGTTTTTGTTTTTGTTTTTTACTTTCGGGCGAGTGAGACCGAGATGCGAGGATACACTAGCCTGCCTTAGCTTGCTGTTTTTTTTCTCTTTCTCTTTTCTTGCTTGTTTCATCTGCCCCTTCCTGATATCACATGTTGATATAACAATTTCCCGTCTAAATAACAATCTCAATTCGGTCTAGCACTTCTTATCTGCAGAGCTATACGTAATATCTCATCGCAAACCATACAGTAGGTACGCATCTCACGTAGTCGTATTGCCCGACCAAATCCTAAACGGCAAAACAATACACGGTTTAGACGGACACACCATCTTCCGATCTAGACTCTTGAACTTCGGTCCGTTGGGTCCAGCAACGTACTTTGCTTCTCCAAAGATAGAGGGCTCATTCGGCGGCTGGTCGTCTCCCCATTTTCCATTGAAATTTAGCCATGCGACTGGGTCATCGGCCGTAGCCGTGAAGATTGCCGTTGTTGGGTCGTAGGTGTATGTGTAAGCATTTAGCGTTGGGTCCCAGAGTTTGCCACGGTCTGTGTAATCCAAGAGGAAGCCTGTGGGGAAGTTGATTCCTGGGATGGTGTGATCATGTTGGCTGCGGGTGTCAAGTCAATTTTGATAGCTCGTGGGAGGAGAGTTTGGCTTACCCGGAGGTGGCGTAGTTGGCATGGGTTCCATTTCCCGAATATGAATACGGCCGTTTACCTCCTTTTTCTTCTTTTTCAACAGCGTTGTAGGTGAACGCTTGGCCGCTGGCGTGTTGGCTATACCAGATTGCTTCAGGTGTGCCATTAGCGAAGCGGATCATGTTGTGCTCCCTGTCTGATAGTCAATGACAAGATCACCCGTTGAATTTATCCCGTCTTACCAGTCTCCAATATGATCCCCGAATTCCATTCCGAGCACTTTATCGCCCTTGTTATATCTACACAGCTCAATCAGGATCGACGACTCGGAAAACAACTTTTGGAACACTCACGCATAAAAGTAAAAATAAAAGGCATCAACAGTCCCATTCTGACGATCAACAACAACAATAGCACATCCAGTCCCATCTCCGATCCGCCCCTCTAAGTCCGGAGTAATACCTCTAAACCAAGCCGGCTCGGGAATAGCATCAATCCCTCCAGACGAAGTCAAGTAAACACTTGTGTTGCCCAGGCTGTTTAGTGAGTCAAGATTATTGAGGTCCAGAGGAGACCGGGCGTCTTCAATGACAGTCCAGTTAACGTGCGGTTTTGTGTGATCGACTTGCTGCTGTATATCACTTGGCATGTATGTTTCCTGACTGTGGAGCCAGACCAGTGGAGCTGTGGAGTTGGGGCTCAGCACAAGTTACAGTACAGTCGATGCGGGTGGCTTACCGTATTCGAGGACATATTGTGGAATACTGGTCTCCGCCCGGGTATGGATTGAAGATAGGGCTATCAGTGCTAACGATAGAATGGGACGCATCTTGTCAATGCTACTCGGCGCCTGTGCGGAATAAGACCTCGTTTAGTTCAAAGGCAGTCTGAACAAAGTTTCTCACGGTCTTTCAAGTGTCTTTCTGGTGTGGTTTTATCTGAATATCCATCAGCATGACCGTATCACGAGTCCAATTAGGAACCCACACTAAAGTACATCCAACGAGGGGTCGACAGTCAGTTGAATATCAGTCCTTATGCAATAAAAGCGCACAGTAATCCCACAGTCTTCAAAACATCAGCACGATTCGTCGACTTGGATTGTTCTTCTCGCCAATGTGATCTTCTCAGCGAGGATCATGCCCGTCGTCCAGAGCCAGCCGAGCAATGCATGACAACTCACTATTTCAGTGCTGAACCAGACCACCAAGCCGGTAGTTACATGATGTGGGTAGCAATTTACAGTAATTTCGTAGTAATAGGGCGGCATTTTCGAGAAGCCCCCTTCCTTGGCTATCTGGTTACCTGGGTTTACCCTCCGGTGTTAGGTATGCAACCTCTGACCTCAGAGGAATGTGAGTCTTGAATTTAAGGCATCGTGTATGTATCAGGCGGAAAAGCGAAAAGGTTTGATTTGGTGATTGTGTATTAGGAGTTCGGTATAATCTGCATGGATATAGATCTTCGTTCACTATTGCTGTTTAGGTCTGTTAAGCTGATTGAGTCACCTGCCTGGAAAGCCCTCATGACAACAGGGCTGAGGCGGGGTCGAATCAGATCCAGGACTTTGGACCCATGTTGTACTTTGTGTTGATGTAGTAGATGTGGCACCCATACGCATAGATGTGTTTCGTCGATGTATCAGTGGTCTATAGTACTTGGTTGATCGGTATACTTTGTGAGATCGGCCAATCGCATTGCATACCTGCATCACCCTTCTAGGTCCTATGCTATGACAGGGCCAGAGTGATCTTTATGCAATTTGGGGCTGAATCTACATAATATAGCTGAAAAATCTGTCAAGCTTTGCTAATCCTTACTGAGAAAGGCCTATGAGCCCAAGTATAAAACCCGAGACACCCCGCGGGTGTCACGCCTAAGGCACCAAGATCCCAAATATCAAACTTTGAATTTTGTTTCTTCAGCGATAAGTGAATCGATTCCAAGATAGTCCTATAAGCTCCCCTTCTTGGCCCTCTCCGCTTCTTCAGCCTCCTTCCTCTCCTTCTCCTTCATAAGCTTAAAAAGTCTCAAATCCAATGGAATCCGATCCCCAAGCCAAGTAGCCCGCTGGGTATGATTACGTTCTTCCTCGCTGTGCACAGTATTCGGATGAACTAGGGCACTCAATGGCCCCCGGTTAATGACCAGCCAGGGGATGAAGGCGCCGAACTGCGCCGGTGTGAAAAGGTTCACTTCGAACATGGCTACTGGATGTGGGCCAATGGGCCGGTCGAAAAAAGTGTAAATCCGGAGCTCAGGGACTGTATCAATTGTTTAGTACTAGTTTCCTTGAAGAAGAAGAAAGAGGACCCAATGTGGGCTCTGCAACGACAAGACGCTACAGTCCTCGGTCTGTGGGGGGTCTTCAACTCACATTCTCGTCGAATCCGCTCCCAAAGAGCTTTGGCATAGGCAGCTTGATCTGGGTTATTCTTCAGAATGCATTAGTGGTCTTTTTCTCTGGGGTTTGATTCAAAACTGTGCGCTTGTCATGCCACACAACGTACCTGGAAATGATAAATATGGATATCGAAACCACCCTGGCGGCCCTTATCAAGAGGATCGGGAAATTCCTCGTAGGCTTTACTCAAAATCCCATGCTGCGGATTTTTGAATGATTTCCCATCCTCGCTTCTCTCCCTGTAATGGGGTGTGAGTGACTCGACTCCGGTGGACTCCGGATCAGCACATCGAGGTGCATGTACTTACTCAGGCAGTGGTTCGAGATTTTCATAGCCCTTTAATGGTGAGGAGTATTCGAAAGCGAATTGGTCTGTCATTTTGGGGTATTGGTGAGGATTGGGGGGAATTGAATAGGGAGGTTTGGTGAAGTGGCTTGACCCAAATATATAAGTGGAGGTATATATCGGGGTTGATCAGCAGGGGACACTGTCTTATCAATCAGTACGACATCAGTCCACAGTTCTCTCCTAATTCTGATCCAAGGTCTCTGATTTCATAAGCATCGGCCAATGGGTTGAAGCGAAAATGCCGTCAGTCGTTGCCTCAGTATCACCATTGGTCTGTATCGCGGGGGGTTCCGCGCCCGTTGACAAACTGCGCGGAACGTAGTGGATAACGTCAGAGGCTCTTCAACTTTGATATTTAGTGTCGTGTCAATACTCTGGTATAAGATAAATAATGTATGCTAATCACAAAAAAGGAATATGAGTAAATAAGAATATGCAGCTTCCACCCAAAAGTAATCTGACCATGCGCCATGGTATCACGTAGCAAGCAGACCCTAACACCAGTACCAGAAGAGCATCCATGAATGACTACCAAGCAGCTCGAACATTGATATGGCCTTCGTCATCAACAAACTTCCCACGATCCCATTCTCGACCTTCACCTTTCTTCGACCATTGAACATCCTCGGGGTTGCCTTCTCCTTTCAGCCCTGTAAACGCCGCATTGTTCTTCCATCGGTCGATAATGGTATTATCGATACCAGCCTCACGAAGCCTCTCTTCGCCTTTCTGTTTCCAGCGCGTCCGGTCGCGCAGCGCCTCCAGGGCCATATCCCAGTCGTCCTCTCCAGTCATGAGCCCCGCGACAGGTCGACGAGAAGATTGCTGGCCGGCAGCGTTGAAATCTTCGTCATCCAATTGTACATCGGTAGTCGGGTCATAACCTGGTGCAAAGTGGGCATCAATATTGCTCAGATGCTTGTATGCGCCTCGCCCCCGCGAACGAATGACTGCGTCCTTTTGATTGGGCGGAAGTGGCCCAACAAGGTCTTCCAAAGGATCAGACTCATTGCCAGTATCAGTTTGGCGTGCAGTCGTAGTAGAAGGTGAAGGTTGGTCGGTTCGTGTAGTGCTTTCTCGATGGGAGCGGAGGGGTGCTTTCGATGGCGCGTCGTCACCCCTCGGACGGGATTTATGCGTTTCCCGTGAGCGAGAACGGTGTCGAGTAGAAGTTTCATCATGGCGATCATGTCTTCGACGGCGGTGGCGGTCACTACTTCGGTCGCGACGAGGCGAATGGCTCCGTGATTTCGAGTAAGATCGGTCACGGCGCCGCCTACTGTAGTCCTTTTCTCTGTCCCGTCGATCCTTCTGAGAGTATTCATCATGTCGGTGTTCACGCCTTCGCTCGTCGCGATCCCGAGTTCGATCAACGTGTTCATCACGATCATCTTCTCTGCGACGATGCCGCCGTGATCGGTCTCGTTCCGTCGAAGAAGAGCGACTTCTATGTCTTCTTCTACTTGAGGTATGATTATCTCTCTTTCCATCTCGTCGACTTTCTCTTGGTCCCCGCACTTCACTGCGGTCGTCCGAGTCCCGAACGGTTCGGTCCGCTGAAACGGTCGAGCCCTGGGCTTTCAACTGGCGCATTCGCTCCCGTGATTCTCTCTCCTCCTTGCGCTTAAGTGCTGTGTTGTGGTTATCGGTTTCCTTGATTAGATGCCGTAAAAAGCGAGTATTGGGCTTGCGGGCGTTGCTGGCTGGCCTAGGTCTTTGTCAGCCCAGCATTCGAGCAAACCACAGAATAAGAGGGTATACATACTTGGACGGCATAAGAGCACTGAGTCCTTGGGACGAGTACTTCAAAGAGCTCTCCCGAGCCTCCTTGGCAAGAAGCTGCGCAACGTAATCGTCGTCCATGATCAAGGTGAGCCGCAAATCGCGGCGGTCCGAGGTGCCGAGCAGATGAAGCAGGTACAGTGAAAGAGATCAAACCTGAATTGATTCAATTGAATCGAACCATGATAGCAGTAAACAGAATTGAGAGGGCTATTCAAGTATTCTTTTGAGGCTAAAGGGTCCAGTCAACCTGCTGTCTCGAGAAGCACCTTCCAAAAATCGCCACACCGCCTTTGATATCGGTTATCTTGTTTACCTTGTCCCTCATTGACCCACCAAACATCTTCGACGTTTACAAGACACTCACGCGCTCGTCATGACTGATGCCTCAGCGGAAGCTCTTGCAGCACTGCAGGAGTTAGAACAGGAAGGGAATCTGAAACAGCGACTCGCGATTGTTCGCATTAGCGAGCCAATTTCGTTGGATGGCGGGCATGCCGGCCCATCGCCTTCAAAGCGGAGATCGGATGTTTCTGTGTTTGAAGATCCAACTCCTGCCTCACTAGAGGCTGATCTTACACATTATAAGGTATGTGTCATGAGCTTAGATACCGCAAATGCCTCAGAGTACTGATCTTATTGTATAGGAACTATTCTCGAAGCTGCGGTTCTCTTACCTCGAACAGGTAACCAAAGAAAAGTTCTTGCGCGCTATCGTAGGCGATCCGCCGGTGATTGTTGGACACAATGAGAACATGGAATTGGAAACACAACTGGCGGATGTGAAGGCCGAACTAAAGGCCCGGAAAGAAGATGCGCGCATAATGATCGAGGAAATGGAAGAAATGGGTCGCGACTTGGCAACCCGTGAGTTTCAGCGCTTACAAACAAGGAATATGCTGGCTAAAGCATCTCTCGCACAGGTTATAAGAATGTGGAACTTCAAATGACACAGCTCGAGACATTACCCGCTTCGATCGAGAATCTTGAATCCACCATCGCAAGTCTCCGCGCAAAGCAGGTCGCGAACATGGACCCCTCCGATTCCAGCGCCTCTTCGTCTCGAAACCTTCCGCTTCCTGCTACATTGTCATTGTTGGCTGAACGGGAGGCAGAGCTGGCGTCACTGAACCGCCAACTCGCTGCTGTGCAAAATACTCTGCCGCGAAAGACTCGAGAGGCCGAGGCCATTGAGAGAGAGAGCAGTGTTCTAGAACGACGGAAGGAGGAAGCTATAATGCAAGCCCGTGAGGCACAACGGAAGAAGCAACAGGGTGAAAGTGATGGGCTAGAAGAAATGGGACGGTGGTACAGAGGAGCGGAGGAAACATTGAAGGAACTAGTTGGGACCGAGGCATAGTCTGCAAGACAAGCCTAGACCACTGGACTAGTGTGAGACGATGCGATGATCAATGGGCTTTATCTAGGTGGATATGGGGGCGTTTGGGATCTACAACGTACATAATGCTAGGGGGTATTGCTGTTCAGACTACGATGGGTATGGAATTCGAAAGTAAATTTCGGGTTCCAAATTGAAGCCTTTGGCTGTTTTTGATTCATTTGTATTGGATGATCGTACAACGTGAGACGCTAGAATGCAGTCATGTTGAGCCTCCGATGTATTGAGGCGCCCCAATCGAAACCCGACCGTACTCCATTTTTTGAGATTGAGAGAGAATAATTTACTCCTCGTCCTCCTCAGCCTCCTCGGCGTCACCACCGGCGGCGGCAGCGGCCTTCTTGCGGCGAACACGGCCGGGACGGCCACCACCGAAGGGAGAGGTGAGGGAGAAGTCAATGTGCTTCTGGGAGTCAAGACGGACCATGAACGAGGGAACGTTGACGATCTGCTTGCCGACGCGGATGTGGCGCTGCTTGATGAGGACACGGGCGTGGTGGATGGACTTGGCGAGGCCAAGCTTGTAGACGCAGGTCTGGAGACGACGCTCAAGGAAATCCTCGACCTTGAGGGCAAGGACGTAATCGAGCTTCATGCGGGCCTCATCGAGGACACCGATGCGGACAAGACGGCGAATGAGGGCATTGCCTTCGAAGAGACGCTTGGGGTCCTTCTCGTCGAGGGTGAGGAGCTCACTAAGGAACGATATCAGTCTGATGTCCTTCACTTGCGTTGGTCCGATCGCTCGGGACCAGACCAGAATTGGAATCTTCACATACCGAGCAGCACGACGAATCTTGGACAGGGTGAGCTGGACACGCCAGACCTCGCGCTTGTTGCGCAAACCGTACTCACCGACGACCTTCAACTCAGAGTCACTAGAAAAATATGATTAGAGAGATGAAACGACATAACCAGAAGCACGCTTCTGATCATTGGCCGGAGAGTACTAACAGGCGAGCGGACTCGAAGGCTGCAAATGGAGTTAGTCTTCAATCTTCAATTTCTCATCAATCTTGAATTTCAAGATTGGAGGTTTTTGACAAGAGGTTCACTTACGGCGACGGGGGACCTTGTAGGTCTTGGAAGAGACACGACTGGACAAATATTAGAACGGTGTTGACTCCGTACGGCGATAATATACTCACGGGGCCATGGCTGCTGTCGGGTTGGCGGAGGTTGTCGAGGAGTTCGAAGTTCGCACACGATGAGCCCAAGACACAAAGAGTTGGAGAATTAGCGAGTTGCCTAATTGGGTTTGGTGCTTAGGGCTGGGAAGTGGATCAAGCCCTAACTTACATAACCATCCACACTGAAGTTACCCGAGCGGCTTCAGACTTCGAAGGTTGAAGGCCCCGTCGACAATCAACCACCAACCACCACACCACCGCCGTCATGCCTCACTCCTACGGTCTCCGCGCCGGCACTCGGGTACGTTTTGAATCTTTTTGCGACATACGACTTTTTCCCAACCCGTTGGAGGCATTTTGGGACCGATTGGACATATGCCTGGGAAACGGCCTTGGGAGGACCTAAGTGCTAACGAAACGACAGTATGCCTTCAGCCGTGGCTTCAAGGAGCACGGTATGATCCGTCTCTCCACCTACCTGAAGACCTACCGGTACGATTGAAATCCTCGAATCCCGAACAAACGAAACAAGAACTTGAGATCTGACGGAAATTTTCATATAGTGTTGGTGACATTGTCGACATCAAGGTTAACGGTGCCGTCCAGAAGGGGTCAGTACACATCCGATAATTCCATACGATATTCGCACCCACCGCAAGTCGCGATTCTACAAGTCGCGATCATTTACTCGGGCAATGCGAAACCAGCAAAGACAGACTCTAACAGTTTTGCAGTATGCCCCACAAGGTCTACCACGGTAAGACTGGTGTCGTCTACAACGTCACCAAGTCCTCGGTCGGTGTTATCCTCTACAAGCGTGTCGACAACCGCTACCTCGAGAAGCGCATCAGCGTCCGCATCGAGCACGTCCAGCACTCCCGCTCCCGTGAGGACTTCATCAAGCGTGTCAAGGAGAACGCCCTCAAGAAGCGTGAGGCCAAGGAGAAGGGTATCCACGTTCACCTGAAGCGCCAGGCTGTTGGTCCCCGTGAGGCCCACATGGTCGAGCAGGGCGCCAACGTCCCCGAGACCGTTGTCCCCATCGCCTACGACACCCACATTTAAAGGGATCGCAAAGGAACTGGGTCGGTGCGAGCGGTTGTTAGGTGTTTTTTACTGGGTTTTCACTCAATTTTTGCCTCTCCAAGGCTGAAATGGACTTGGGCTGCATGAGACGAAGCAAAGGGTTTCGGATGCCCTGGCACATCTCTCGCCTGTGCATAGATTCCCCTGAATGAAACAAAATCAAAAATATTTCCGAGTTCATGGCCAAATGCTTTTTCCGCTTGATTCTATTCATCTGTCATGGGCAGACTGTAGTGCTTCTTCGGGATTGAACTGCTCAAGTCCTCGTCTATGTATGGAGGACCCGGCAACCGCTCCACATGTAGTATGCAATTCACTAGGTCGATATTATCTGTATCTATTATGATATCAAGACTCCTGCGTTTCGACGCTCTGGAGATATATATTTCTCTCTCATTACGGTGCAGATCTGCTATCTGGTTGTATTATCGGCCACGATATCGTCTGGGTTACAGTGAAACTCTTGAATGATATTACATTGCAATCAACCTGAATACACTTCAAACCCGGTATGATCTATCAGCTGAGATATAAGTGATCTATAGTTTGCCCCCTAGAAATGCGGACTCTTTTAAGGGGACCAGACCCCGACCGCCTAAGAAAAAAAATCCGGAGAAAACTTGTCGACCTTTTTACTTTAATGGACACTTGATCATTATACCTTTCTACCTATTATGTTTTAAACTGCTTATTGGCTTTTGAATTGTTTCTTCTTTTTCCAGCACCAGCGTATCTCTGCCTTGACGGTCTCTATCTCCGATCCCGATGACTTTCTCCACGCCAGCTTCCAGCTCTGCGCCGGCGCAACTGGAAACTGCGACACAATTGAATAAAAATGTTGTTCCGCAATCACGAGAACTAGGCGATGTCATTCCAAACCGTTCGCCGCCAGCTCGTGATGAAAAGTCCGAGGCGAAGCCGCTTGCACACTTCGTCGCTGGAGGGTATGTTTTGAACCCAAAGAGCATCCGAGTTGCAGCGTTAAATGAGAACCCACGCTAACAGAAGCCTGAAGTCTGGGAGGAATGACCGCTGCGACTCTCACCTCCCCGCTTGATGTCCTCAAAACGCGCCTTCAATCCGACTTTTACAAGTCTCAGCTTCAGGCTTTACGAATTTCGCACCCTCCTCCGCCGCCGACATCAAATGCTCTAGTCTCTATGGTCCGGACTGCTGGCATGCATTTCGGCGAAACCTTCCAGATCCTCCGCTCAATACACGTCCACGAAGGCTGGCGCGCGCTGTTCAAAGGACTGGGTCCGAACCTGATCGGTGTCGTGCCGGCACGCGCTATCAACTTCTACATGTATGGAAACGGCAAGCGTGTCTTGAGTAATTACTTCGGCTATCAAAATCTTGAACAAACTCCCATGGGAATCCATCTGGCTGCAGCGGCAGTTGCTGGTATCGCCACAGGGACGGCAACCAACCCGATCTGGCTGGTGAAGACACGCCTGCAACTGGATAAGTCCAATGCGGAGCATGGCAAGAGCCGCCAGTACCGGAATAGCTACGACTGCGTCAAGCAGACTGTACGCCATGAGGGTATTCGCGGTCTCTACCGTGGTCTGTCCGCCTCGTATCTCGGTGTGACAGAGTCCTCTCTCCAGTGGGTTATGTATGAGCAGATGAAGATGTATCTCGCTCGCCGCGATTCTCTCAAGAAATCCGACCCAGCATACCAGTACAATTCGTGGGATTCCGCGGAGCTGTGGGGTGGACGGATCACCGCGGCTGGTCTGGCGAAGCTAGTGGCAGCTGCCATCACCTATCCGCACGAGGTCGTTCGCACTCGCCTTCGTCAGGCTCCGACCGTCGCGGTTGGTAACGGTCAGGTTGTCATGAAGTATACCGGCCTAGTCCAGTGCTTCAAGACCGTGTGGAAGGAGGAAGGAATGGTCGCCATGTACGGCGGCCTGACACCACACCTTCTGCGTGTTGTGCCCTCGGCCGCGATCATGTTTGGAATGTGAGTTGCTGCCAGGCTTTGATCTCATGATGCAATATACTGACTGTTTTTGATAGGTACGAAGTCATTCTGCGCATGTTTGGCACAACATCATAATCTATCGCGATTTGCGATTTGCGACTCGCTCACCGACACTCCCACCTCCGCACTAGTCGCATGGCGACTCGACTCTACTCTCAGTGCATTGCTTCCCAACCCTCACACCCTCTGTATAATACTTTCCTTCTTACGCACGCTCTTCACCGCTCCCCGAGAGATCCGGACGGGAAATAATTGGCTGCTTTCTCTATTGTGTATAGAAGGGGATCGGTCACTTGCATTACATGTCCACGGCGTATATGGGTTTACTCTTTTTTTTTTCTGTGATGGGCGCCTCTACTGCGCCCCTGTTGCTAATTGGCTCTTCAGGAATTCATGATTCCAAGACCACACCCTCAGTCACCTCCCACACCACTCCACTTGTGTACAATAAGATGTTTTGCAGCGCCTCGCGCGTGGCAAAGCAAAAAAAATTCACCTGAAAGAAAAGACAAAGAAATGTATCACATAGATGATGATATATATCAACTTCATATTTATCCTCACTGTCAGGGCTATGCATGCAGGTAGAATGCCTCGCAGAAGCATATCACGAGAAACGCAACACTATGCACAGCCTCCTTACACAGCGCAATCTCCACGTGTAGACAGGGATGAAGCTTCGGCTTCTGCCCGAAATGAACTATGTAGCCCTAATATTCCACAAGACCCTGAACTTCGCCATTCTTCTACTTCCATTTCCCGTGACCAAGGCACATCTATCATCTTTAGGCTGCTATCCATCTAAAACAAGGCGAAAGGTACACTCCAGACCGGCCAATACCAAGCAATCTACTGTCCAAGGCCTGCTCCACCAGGCTTATGTCAATGACAACCCCGTCGACAAGTGCCGCCCTGTTCTCGACCTCCTTTGATCGCGACATACGGTGGATCAGCCGAAATTGATCAGCTGTACTGTACACGCGAAAACACAACGTTTCGCAATCACCGACTTTTACCAATATCGCTAATGGCGGATATGCTTCTCGTATTCTGTCAGACCCCTGTTCTTGGGCAGTGATTGGACGGTCTCCAGCCAACCCCTCCTGTTACCGAGCGGTGACCATCTTTATTCCAGGGAAGCAAAGCCTTCTCTTGACATTGACGATCTCGGTTTGCACGGACGACGTTTCAAAATCTGCATCAACTTGCAGTAAGAACCTGGTGCTCTTTCCTTTGAGGGCATTGTACATGAACCCTTCTTTGTGATTGCACCCTGGATTGTCCACTTGATTGGACATTGTCTCCATTAGCGTGAACGGACGAGCAGATGGGGCTGTAGTGGAATGCCCGACGCCCAATGGCGCCGGGATGGCCATCCCCGGGTAATGTTCTGGAATCTCTGAATCCAGTTTCTTTGTCTGGGACTGTGGCATTATTGTTGAGTCGCGCGTTTGGCTGCCTCTTGTGTCTCCAGGGCTGCCCAGGTGTCAGACAAACCACTGTGGCTGTGCTTTCTGCTCACCGCCACATCTTCCTTCCTCTTTCGGAGTTCAACTGGACGCCTAATTTTTGATGTCTTCCAAGGTTGACTCGAGATACAAGGATTGAGACTGATATTGTACACCTGGGAGCTGCCAGGGTCTAACCTGGGTGATATTATGGTAGTTTCGGAGCCATTGCTCCTGTGTCAGCCACAGGAGCTCGCCTCTCCGGTAACGTGATGTCATAGTACGGGGAAGAAAATTGGTGATTGTCGAACCTCCCCATTCCTCCCCTCGCGCTTCTAATCCCCAACGGGGTAGTGTGCGACTGTATCTCTCTATGATATGATCTAGACCGTAACCAACATCTCCCCTCTGACATGGTGGCGTCAAAAGTGGCTTTGGCCTGGGGATCATGTTTGTGTAGATGCCCGAATCTGCTGGAGTCTAGACTAAATCTCCATCCTGGCAACCGCATGAATTCCTCTAAGTCTAAACCCTGAGCGCGCTTCTCCATAAATCCAAATCTAGACCACATGATGATGATGATCTACAAATGCTAGATCCTTCTCCATCCAAGTAGCGCCTAATCGAGCGCCTCGCCTGGTCCATCGCGCATACACACCCGTTGCGACCAAAGCTCCCCTTCGCGAACGTGACTTGTCTCCCAGGATGCCCCTTCACCGCAGTTTCCCCTGCCTCTAGACTTTCGGAGTGCCCGTCTCTCCAGGCACCCACGAGCCTGGTCTGCGCTCTGATTTGAAGATGGCGACAAGCAGGTAAAAGAAGGTGAAACTGGAGGAGTCCCGGGTATGGCCGCAGAAATCACCCGCTCATGTGTGCGAGAAGAGGGATTCATTTCTTGAATCACGCCTACTGTAGGAAGAACTCAGCCCCCCTCGCAACCGATCAATCATGACGACAGTTTTGGCAGGGTGAGGGTAATCGGGGAAAGCTTTACCCTGCTAGGGGTCTCGAGTCGAGCCTACTGGACCTCAGATTCGGATCCGAATTCTCCTAGGAATCGCGTGTTTCAGCATTAATATCGGCTGCGCTCGAGGGCTCGGTGATCTACTTCGCCGGGTGGCCGGTGGGATTTTCTCCGGTCCGCGCTCTGCATACTGTACATGTACAGTATACGCACGTAATTTCTGTGACCATTGACTCTTTACGGCCGCGCGACAAGAGATCAACAGGGGATTGGAATTTGAAGAGGAGGCGAGATTCCGTTGACTATACGGCATCTAGATGTATATTTGGCTCAAGGACTGTGACTCGGGATTGCTTGGGTCGTAGAGTAATTCCTCCACCCGGGGCAGGGCTGTTCGTTCTTCACCAAATACCCAATGACCGAATCCAGTGAGAAAAGAAAAGAAAAAAGAAAAAGGAAAAAAAAAATTAAGAAAAAAGATGAAGAAAAAAAAGGCAGAAAAAAAAAGAAAACAGAAACGAAAACGGGCCGATTGACGTATGGATCAGGCTTTGGAAGGGCTCGTTAACCTCGAAGGAAATTGGGCATACTGTACAGCCAGCTGCAATTCCACAGAGTCTCTCTTCATGGCCGGAGATGGAGTTGGCTCACACAAGCTCAGATCAAGAGCCTACCGAGTTCCAAAATTGTCCAGGCAATTATCATACAGTCAGTGCCGAGACTAAAAAAAAAAAGGGATCCACGCTGTCCCCTTGCGATCTTCGTTTAGCGTCATTTGGCGTCTTCTCCATCTCAATTCCCCAAGCCCTGGGTTATGTTCTATTAACCCGGGAGTCGTAGATAGGCAGCAAGTCATAAGAATACTTTCTGTCCTTATAACCAGTGCGCCGTCCCCTTCTATCTCAGTTCCACATCCTTTCTACCTCGATAGCATACATACCCTGGCGCCTTCTGCATTTCCCTGCACAATCGCCGATCTAGTTCCTGCAACACTATCATTGAGCACACAGCTAGCTTTCCTTAGCTACTGCTCCTACAATTCCTCCAGACATCTTGACATTGGGTTCACCGCAACCCCAATCCGATCGACGCCAAGATGAGTAAACGGTATGCTCGTGTTGAAATCTCCGGCAATAATCGTGACTATCCGGTCCATCATGGAGAGCAACTTCCAAGTTGTCACCTCTATTACTCTACCAAACATCCGATTGTTTCCTGACCTTATCAGACTTTCGGTTTTATTGACTTTTCTTTTATCCTAGCTCATCCTCGTCTGACGTCCCCCCAGCCAGCGCCTCCAACTCCCCCGGAAAAAGCAAATCCAGCGACAACAGCTCCCAGACGTTATCCACCAAGGTCAAGAAGCAGAAGGGCTCCTACATGCTTGACGAATGGGCCAAGTCTCCTGGCAAGGCGGACCCGTGGTCCTCGGTCAACCTCTCCACGGTCTCATACAAAAGCCGTGGATAGGTGCATTGCAAATGCATGCACAGTGTACCTATTAAGATGTTTTGATTATACTGTGTACAGTAGCTCGGGGGCGAATGGGCTCTGACTTCTCCCCCCTCCCCCCCCCCTCTTTCTTCTGATAAACCGGACAGGGCTGACTCTTGGGAGGGATGAGGATCGTCATGGGCGTTTTTCTTATTTCCTTTTTTTCCCTTTTTCCTCTTTTTTTCCTCTTTTTTTCCTCTTTTTTTCCCCTTCTTTTCTTTTCTTTTCATTTTGTTTCGTTTCGTTTTCCGGTTTTGGGTTTTCTTCTCTTATTTATTTTTCTTTTACTGAATTTTGTCATTTTTTGCTTGCATGGACGGACATGGGTATAGGGGAGCATCTTTGGAATTAGGACAGGAGGATAGAGAAATAGCATGTGTACTTTTGAAAGTTTGCTCTTTTTTTTTTTCTCTTACCCCATAGACAAAGTCACAGAGGCACCTTTTGCCTCCGGGTAGCGCAGTACGTCCAATGCTGACCTGACTTAGGTATTGCTCCCCGCTTAGGTCCCCGTACGATCATCGAGTACATGGAGAGAGTTTCGTCCAGAGTTTGCAGGTCGGGGGACCCGCCCCCGACCATACCTGGACTCCACTCGGTTTCCTCTCTTCGATATGCATTCGATCTCGGTTCCTCTCTGTTCCTCTCGGTTCCTCTCTGTCCCCCTCTGTCCCCCTCTGTCCCCCTCTGTTTATCTCTTTTATTCCTTTTATTCCGTTTCTGTCAATTCTTCATTTTTAATTCTGCATTTCCCAATCCATTCCCCAATCCATTCCCTTTCCCCTCCTTGGCCTGGATTTCACCTGGATCCACTCGTAGTCACTGGCCTCCAAAGGAGTGCCCCCTTTACCCAGAGCGTTCGCTCCACGCGTCCCCTGATACGATCAACCAAGACTGTCCCCAAGCGGCCAATCCAAGCCTTCCAAAAAAGTGCCCGCATCGGGCAAAATCACGAGGCGTAAAGCACAGAGTAATGAAGCTCAGTGGCGACTATCACGACTTGCCCCGGAATCTCGGAGAAAAAAATAATAAAAAGTACGGCGACAGTAACTGGCTTAGGAAGATAAGACCGCTCCATGCAAGCGAACAAGTCTAAATCTGGAACTAAATTACACCCTTTTTCTTTTTTCTGGCCCCCAGCTCCATACACGGAGCACGGTTGATTTATCCACAAGCCTCTTGCAGTAATCCCGGGCAGAACCCTGCTGGCAATCTGGTGGTGAAAATTTTTCACATCCCTGTGGTTTCTTGTTTTGATTGAGTTCATCAGTTCATCAGGCGGAGATACTATCTGCTCGGGAACCTGACGTTCCGGTTCACACGGGGCGTTGACTCCGGGCCTGTCAAGAGTCGGTATTATAATATTACTTTATTATGTTTATTTGGCTTCTGATATTTGATTTAAAGTATATTTAGAACGTGGTATAAAATTATTTAGTGATTTATTTTATATACCCCCTTGGACGCAGATATTTCACATATTGATACGTATGATCAGTGGATTTTATCCTAGAAAATCAGGATCTAGTGAGCGCTGATATCTTAGTACATGATGAAGACCTCTATACTTTTCAATATCACACTCTGTCTCCCTTCTGGGCTTGGGATTGTTCAAATGTCCTGTGTTTATGCTTCGATGACGACCTGCCGTGCGGCTCTCCTGCTCTCCTGTTCGCTAGCAGAAGTACATGCCAAAGTATGTACATTGGACCAACATTGTATTTCCCGTAGTGGGTCAAATGCATTTAATCTCCCTATCCGAGTCCGAGATGTACGAGGTCAATTACTCATGCAATTCACAATGTCAATCCTTACAATACTACAGTAGTTAGGCCGCAACAGGCTGGGATGTTGATTGGTTGGTTGTGACATGTGCCACACGGTACTGTAATTGGCTTTGGGTACGGTTTCCTGATCGAGTCACATCCAGAACGTCGGTTCTGTTGCCATGTTATCGGGTTCTTGCGTGGCTCCTCTTCACAACGTGGTCAGTTGATGAGAGATCCGGTCATATGGTATCGCGCTTCGAAGTCAACCCGAGACGCTGGCTGCTTCAACCCTTTGTACCGCAAGAAGCAATGCCCTGCAGCATGCTAAAGATGGTTGGCCAACCCAAGGCGAGATCTTAGTCATAGTGCATACGGTATCAAAACGGGGTTTTAGTAACGTTATTAAACAGTTTAGAGATTTGGCTACCCTTAACAGTCCATCAAACAGTATTTCACTACTCCTGTGATCACATTAAGATTCCACTTCTTTCCCTCTACTGTACAGTAATATCCTCCTAGAGGCTTGGGGATCCATTTCGCGGCTACTAGCCACATCGGGACATCAAAGTGGATTAATTCACGTCATGTTCGGACATTTCCTTGAATCCACTTTTCTCCGTGAACTACTGTAGACAGCTAACGCCCGCTCTAGGGATTGGTCTGCCGGATGGCAAAAACCAAGCTCTTGAGCTCTTGCACTGCCTCCGCCAAGCTTCAACGGGTAAAATTACAGATCCACACAAGTTTATGGTACTGACCCTGCCAAGGCCTGGTGAATCCAACGCATCATCTCTGGTGTTTGCTGTACGTATGCTAACCAGACGGTGGTTTATTAGCACGTCACAAAACAGGACTAGTCTCACTGGCCGAAAAAAGGGCGTTCATTTGATAGGGTCAAAGGAGTTCCCGGGGCCTGATTGGATGCTTTGCTTACTATACAGAGATACAGAGAGAGACCTGACCTGAGATGACTTGCTGCATAGTGTATTTTACCCATATCACCCACCTAGTCCTAATTTTTAATTGAAATCTGATTTGATTTATTTTGTCAGTTGCCCAAGATAAAACTAAAGTCGGTGTGGTGCCTACCATCACTGTTATATAAGGCTGCTTCCCTCAGGCTCTTTTGAGTGACTTCCCGATCTGGTTCTCATGCCCTGAACACCTTCACAACACCTTCACGTGATTCTTCGGGTTGCTCTCCCCAGAACACACTCAACATGTTGTCCACCTCCCATGATGATGAGGAGTTGGTCTTGCAACCGACTCCGTCCCGAATGCCATCCCAAATGCCATCCCAACCGTCGTCCCAACTGTCATCCCGAATGCCGTGGCAACAACCTCATCGTCCGGGGTCGATGACGTCGTCGGGGGGTTACTTAGGATCTGATCTTCGAGTGAGTCCTGATACAGACCAGGAAGCTACAGATGACTGATTTTGGATAGTATGCTCTGCACCCCTCCCAGTCCGGCATCCACTCTGAAGGAACGGGTCAAACGAGCGCCGAAGGAACCCAAGGTTGGAGCACACCTAATGACCCGGACCCTGGCGCTATTCAAATGGACAATTCTTTGCTGGATGATATCTCCGAGAGATATGCACCAGGGGAAGGAGGTATACCGCAATGTGTGGAGGTTCCCGGACTCGAGATCGACCCGAGTCAGCCTTCAGATGCCACTTTGTCTACCATCCAGTCTCGAGCAATGCTTGGTGCGCCAGACTCCAGTGACGCCATGCCACTTGCTCCACTGTCAATTCAGCAGGCCATGCGTCAGGTGATGATATCGGTGAACCAGGTGTCTCGCAATGATTACACTTCTGATCCAGTGTCTCAGGGGAACAGAGACCTTCAAGTACTCTACAGCTATCTAAATAATAATGGAATGCCGCCGCCACCATCCCAGTCTAATGTGTCATCCCAAAGGCGCGATAATGATGACAGACACAGGTGCCCGCTCTGCAGTTCAGGAAAGATTGTTAAATTTGGATCATTGAAGCGTCATCTCATTACTCATGAGATCTATCAATACCAATGGTGCTGCTATCATTGTGATCACAAAACTTTCCGACAGGATAGAGCAAATGATCACGAGCGGATTCACAAGGACAATCCGAATTTACATCATGTACCTCCGACTCGATACGATTTCCCAGTCCCTTTACACTGCTTTGGTTGTCCCAGAAATACATTTGACTCGTGGGAAGTTTTCTGGAAGCACATCAAGGACCACACCTTTATTTCTCGTTCCTCCGCCGGCCCTTCAGCCAAAGGTGGTTCAAGCCGTCGCGATTCACATGGGGGAGGGAACGGTGGAAATGCAAATGGCCCTGGCTATGGACCTTCTACAGCTGGCCCAAGCAACTACTTCGCACAGCAATCTCAAACCGGGAGTGACATCTATCCTAGTACATACCCCTATAGAGATTCCTCGTGGGCTCAAAATGGCAGTCATCGGCGACACTCGGCCTGGGATAGCCAGTCAAGCGTTGATCACCACCACGAGAGCGATCCCATGGCGGTTTCATATATTCCACAGGGACCCTTACTAGGGAGAGTCGACCGACATTCCAACGATCCCCGGACTTTCCAGAGCCCAGGATTACCGTTGGCAGACAAATCTGCAAAGCGGAAAAGAAAGGATAAACAGCCAATAAGTCAGGGTCCATCCAACCCCAGGAAATGTAGACGTTGCGACCATGATCTTTCCAATTGTATGAGATGCTGTCACACCATGGAGCCGATCAGTTCCTGCCACAAGTGTGATGGAGACTCCGCAGGAAATATCCAGGTTCAGGCCCCTGCACTGCTACCTGACCACAATCCCCAACGTCAACCACCTACCTTGGTTGAGCTTGATTTCGACGCAGGGTTGTCTTTTGGCAACTTCGAACAAGGCTATGAAACCCAGCATTATCCGTTTACCTCTGATCTCGAAGTCCAGTATTCCGGAGGGCAAACAGAAATGCAATTCTTTCCGAGTGAAACAGACACATTCGGCCCCGGTTCCAGCCTTCAAAACCCATTTGTTGGAATAGCAATGGTTGTCCCAGAGCCCCCATTGCTACAAAACTCTGGAATCATAGTCCAGGAGCCAATTTTTTTTGATTATGATCTCAACCTGCTGCAGAAAAAGGGGCTTGATTCACTAATTGGTCCGCGTCCCAAGGTCCAATGTGAAGAATACAGCCCCAAAGCCCCAGGTTGTCCTTCTTTCATTTCATTGTCAGATATTGCATCAAACACAAAGCAACCGCCAGCGACTCGCAAGACACCCAAGTCCGTGTCGCAATGCAACTACCCATATGTCAAACTTCACCACGTGCAGTGCGAAGCCCAAGCGGAAGCCAAAATGTCTCACCTCGAGCGTGTCAAGATGAAGTTTAAGATGTCCTCAGATGGACCGCAAGGCGGCCGTTCTCTCAAAATGCATGTTGAAGTCATCATAAAACTTCTCAGAATACGCTCAAAAGTCGCTGAGATGAGATCAAAGAAGAAAAAGAGAAGATTGCCTCTTCAGCCAACAGCCACTTCAGATGATGGCTACGACGCTGGGTCTGATACCGACTCCGCCAATGATGATTCTCTTGCTTCATCTCCTGGCGTTGGGATTGCACCGCTGATACAGTGGGAAGAGGTGGAAGAGCGGTCTTTCAGTTTTGATGTCAGCGAGTTTATTGACAACCTGTCTCAGTGGGGGAGTGGCATGGATTCGAACATGCGTCTGGACATGCTCTACTCAGACCCGCAACGGATATTGGACTTTATCTCCATCTACATCATGTTCAACTTCATATCAAAGTTGACGATGATCTAACGAATTCTGAGCCAGATGAGGGTCCCCACTTGATTGTCAGGGTTCCCACCATGAACCATCACGACTGTTTCTTGTTTTCTATTACTCTTTGGTTGGAGTTTCTTTCTTTCAATTTACGTTGTACTGGCGAATGTGGAGTCATGGGATCCATTCATTCGTGGAGTTGACACGCCATAATCATCATTTTGTCCTTACTTGCAGCGTGATATTGTTTTAATTATCTTCTTGCATGTCATGAGTTCAATCAATCACTTCAAGTTCAATTTATCTGTTGCAGTCCAACTATCATCGTAATGGCTTTTTAACAGGCGCTTCTGTATTCTCACTTTAACCTCAGATACTGTTCTTATCAGGCTCGATACCTTCTTGTTCGGTCTATCAACTAGGCGCTTAGTCGGCTGAGCAGTCCTCTCATTTTCCTATCTGCTTAACTCTCAGCCGAATCTCATTGACATCAATTCCACAGGACAACCGTGAATTGTACACATACTGAACAAGGGAGATCTACTCAAACCGCGAAGCCATACATGTTGCCATGCGTTATGGGAGGCATACTCCTATAAAACTTACACATTACATTTCCGAAATTGCACAAGATTGGTCCCAAAACGAACATCGTTTACACTGCGCCCCGTTTTCCCTACTCAGCCATAACTCCAGACCACCGCAATATACATCTCACTAGGCAAAAACACTGCCACTGTGGGCTCTAGGTGTCTAGTGCGACCTGATCTGCCTGGTCTTGGCTGCACTATCATTGGACGAACTTACAGGGGCCGTCACTCAGCCTTGTTTACGGAGCCTATCCATCAAAGTTGGGCATTAAGCATCCTTAGGGTTACATTTGGAGTTGGCAGAAGACGTCATTGTATCCGGCTGTATTCGGTGGAGGTTATGTAGTGTACAGTATTGTGCTGGTATTAAATGCAGGGGGGTATTAATGCAGTGAGTGCATAGCCTCACAGGTACGGTGCGAGATGTTTTCGAATACTGTGAGACGCCGACTCAGACCAAGTCGGTGCGGAATGTAGAGTTTGTTCAGATCAGCAGAGTTATCTGGTCAGTCTGAATCATGTACGAGATTGCGGGTGGATTATTGATCTTCTCCATAGTGAAGCGATCGATTTTACTGTGCAGCCAATCAGATTGGATCTTCGGAGCCTCAAGTGACACCTTAGGCACCAACTTTGATCGGAGTAGCACGTGTTCGCGTGGAATTCAGAAGGGAGTCCTAATTTAGCTACAGTTGGTAGTATGTTTTGAAAAAAGTATCCCATCGCTCACTTAAAAGCGGATGTGCCATGTAATATGCAAAGATTCAGTGATTTGTACAATAATCTCGTTAAGGTCGAGTTCCCGCTGGGTTGATAGCGCTGTACGCATACAAAATGTAAGACATTAATGAACAGCACATCATTCTTGTTACTTTGGATCAAATTTCCACATAGTTAATAGCGCTGTACACATACAAAAACTCAGATGAAACTGAAGCGCAAGGGAAAAAAATACCCAGATATTGTTCCTGATACACCATGAAAACGAAAAAGATAGATAGAAAGAACCGAGTCCCCATAGAAACCTGCACGCCCAGTTCCAGTCCTGTCTCATGGGTTCAAACATTGAAAAAGAAAAGCAGTAAGCATGGTCAGCTGCAGTCTCCCAGCTGTATTTCAGCTGTCTGCAGAGGATCCTCGAGGGATGTAGCTTGATCTTAGTTGCCCCTAGTCTTGGCGGCTTCGCTTGTTGCCATGGGGGTTCCAGGAGCCCTCGGAGGCGCCTCCCTGGCTGGCATTGTGGTTACCAGGATTGTTCTGGCCGCTTTGGTTGCCGTTAGTGGTGCCGTTGGAGTTGTTGTGGTTGAAATAGGCGTTGCCGGGATTAAATCCGGAGTTGGGTCCCTGGAAGCCCTGGCCTGTCAGGTGAAAAGAGATTAGCATTGAAACCTTAAGTGGGACGAGACAATCAACAGCTTACCACCCTGCATTCCCATGTTTCCACCCATGTTGCCCATCATAGGGTTCATACCTCCCATAGGATTCATCGGCATGCCACCCATTGGGTTCATACCGCCCATTCCCATCATACCGGGGCCGCCCATGTTTCCTCCGCGACCGCGCATCGCACCAGGGCCGCGCATGGCGTTGCCCATCATGTTGCCTCCGCGGTTGTTGTAGCCATAGTTTTGCATGCCCATTGGACCAGTCGGGAAACCGCCTTGGCCCATCATGTTGGGAGCAAAGTTGGGGACGTGGTTTCCGAAACCACCGCCACGGTTGTTGAAGTTGTTGCCCATTCCATTCATACCACGATTGTTGTAATTGCCTCTGCCACGGAAATTATTGCCCATGTTGCTGCTGTTGTTGTTGTTGTGGAAGTTACCGCCTCCTCCGGAATTGAAGCCGCCTCCGCGGCCACGGTCATTACGCATAGGGGCATCCTTAGGCAGAGTGCGGAATGGGTTCGAGTGAGGGCTGGTGTATTGGACAGGAAGCTTAAGAGCAGCGTCGTTGTCAATGCTGTGCTTGGTGGCAGTGGCTGCCTGTGGGTTGGTGAACTCGAGAAAGGCTTGTCTGTAGTCAATATATTAGTCTCATTGTTTCGAACTAAGGGGGTTTCATGCGTTGGAAGGTGATCTTACCCTTTGCTCTTGCCATTGACTTTGTGCTCACTGAAAGTCACATCCTTCAATCCTTGTTCGGCACCAGCGCGGTTCACCCAGCCCCGGATATCATCATCGGTTGTCCACCAGCTCATCTCTGAAATCAGCAGAGCGTTCGTAGCCGCGGGGTCAGTCGAACGACCGTCATAGTCTTTGCGCTTGGTGCCCTGAGGGGGTGTGGGAAGGGCATGCTCGGGATTCGGAGGAGCTGCCTGGTTGGTATTTTCGGGGGCAGACTGAGTCTGAGAAGGTGGCTGAGGAGTCTGGACGTTGTTGGGGGGCGCGGCTGGTTGGGGGTTAGCCTGAGGGAGGTTCTCCGGGGCATCAAGCACAAGATCGGAATCTTCATGCTTGAACTCAGCTGGTTCATTGGAACCACTGCCATCTCCGTAGATATCAATATCGAAATTGTCATCCTCACTGGCCATGATGATCTAGATCAGCGATCACCGTAGCAAATTGAAACTTGATAAATGTCTTCGATTTGCCTGTTATCTGATGTTCGATAATACAGGCTGGTCTTCAAAATGAAGGAATTGCACACGTCTGCAGACACACGACACCAATTAGCAAGGAAAGAAGGGAAAAAAGGCAAGAAAAAATATCGCAGTCAGAATCAGGCCACCAGAGGAGATGATAACCATATCAACAGCAAGGACTCATCTCCGGTCTCGTAACAAGAACAGATGGAAGGCAGCGGCCAAGAGCCCCCGAGAAGACACAGGGAGAAACATGTGGAATGAAGGCCAGTCAATACGTACATTCGAAGCTTGGTTGCTTCAAGGAAAGAGAATGCGCGTAGCTCGAAAGCCACGTACAGAGTTGCTTCCGTGCTGTCCGGAATACAGGATAAAGAAAAAAAGTGAAGAGACGAGAAACGGCCACAGGCAGGCGACGATTCCCGGCTGAAAGCGAGTGAGAGAAAAGAACAGAGAAGCAAGGTACACAACTGACGCTGCGCAACTGACAATACGCGATTGATTGACGATACTCAAGTAACGCCAAGTCGGGTTGAGAAGCTCGCAATCACAGTGAGTCAGTCAATCGCTTCAAGAAGGCAGCAGCAGTCAGTCGTGCGGAGAAGGGTGTAGAAAGTAAAGATATTGGGAGGGAGAGAGAGAAGGGCAGATGGATATAAGGCTGAGAGTGTGAGGAAAGAACCAGTGTGTCAAGTTTCCGTGCAATTCCGTCTGAATCTAGACGACATAAGCTGTCGTCTGCAATAGACTGGTCGCAAGGAGACGTCGGAGGTTGGAGCTAAGTTGCGCGCCGGACATTATTTAATCCGGCCCTCCCCCGGAACACCTGGTCTCTTCTTCTGGCCACTTCTCCTTTCTCTCCACACAACTTCCCATATCATCCACGATGTCTGAGACTTTCCAAGAACTTGCTGATATCCCTAAGGACTTTGTCCGGGAGGGCTCTCAATTCGTGCGCCGTTGCACCAAGCGTATGTCGATCCTCCATCCATCACAAGATGCTCGCTGACACTCGTGACAGCCGATAAGCGTGAATTCATCAAGATCAGCCAAGCAGTTGGCATGGGATTCCTTGTTATGGTATGAATCATTGGCGATTTTCATCCGGTTAATCGCAATATAACTGACATTGGCCACCAGGGAGCCATTGGGTACTTTGTCAAGCTGAGTTCGTTCTCCCATATTCGATCCTCGATCCTAGGCTCGCGTTTGCGCCTTGCCAAGTGCTTTGCATTAACATATCACAGTTCACATCCCTGTTAACCAGGTTTTGGTCGGCGGCGCATAAGCATCTCACACTTGCCGGTCCAACTCGAGGACCGAAGAGGCTATGTGCCTACAACACAGGGGGGTGTGGCAATCGACAGGACTGGGGCTGTTCCGCATTTTCATTGATTCCAGCTTTGAAATGAAGTATTGTTGACGGCGGAGTCTGTTAGCGGAGTTTGTTGGCGGCGTGGGGCGATTGGGGTTGACGGAATTGAGGCCAGAGGCGACGACGATGGTGAGATCGGTTTCCAACTTCTTAATTTCATATGCTGACCGAAGAGGTAGTGCATCTGAGATGCGGCAGTGCACTTTGATTGTGGCTAGTATTGAACAATCACCCCGGCGATTGTGCGCTCAATGAGACCTCGAGGCGACGACGACGATAAGATCGAGTTCCATTAAAATGGGCTTACATTGTGCCTACCAGAACGAAGGACCTCAGTCACATCTGACGACAAACTTGAAGCATATCGCGAACTTCTGACAAAAACTACACCTTATCTTCCCCACGCCGACAATACTCAGTCTCGTCCTAGTCTCTTCTGCTCCCCCTGGTGATATTTTTGAATTTACGTGGCACCCATGCCGCTTGGCGCTTTTTATTTGGAGATGCGATCGGAGGACAGTGTGATCGCTACCCATGAGATACCACCGTTTACGTATTTGTACCGATAGGGGTCCTTGTTTTGATACTTAATTGACACCTGACAAATTATCCCGTTTCCTTTGCTTTTTCTCCACGTGAAATTCGGGGATCATTCCTCCATATACGCATATATCCCCTGGAATGTGTATATACAAAGAGGGCTTGAACTGTTTTTGACATCTCTAGCATCCCGATCGGTGTTCTGGATTGGCCAGTGGCAGACCAATCGCTACGACTGTCAACTCAGGCGTCACATTGTGTTCATCAAGATCATCATTCCGGAGATGGGATACTAAGACAGAATAGACCATACACAGAGCATGCAAAAACGAGATACACTAAGCAGGACCTTAAACCCGGTCGAGTTGCTTTTATTGTACTGATAATATCACGAAGCAAGGCCGTCTCTTCCTATCTCACCATATATCTTCCTCCCCCTCCTCATGGATCTCCCAGCGGCGGACAGGCCGGCTCCGCAACGGACGTCGGGAATGCCTTGAAGCAGCGTTGTCTCGGTAATCGTTGAACTCGGGAACATATCGCAACTTATCATCATAGCTTTTGCCCACTGGAGGATCTCCTTCATCGTCAGTAGCACCAGCATTCCAGGAGTGTACGGTACATGTGCCGGTCGACAAGCCCCAGCCATTCCAAGAAGTTGCTGATACAGAATGAATATTAGCAATGTGCATCATCATCATCATCATCAATCAGGCTTGTACGTTAATCTTACCTGCTAGAACTGGTGTGTTGGGATGCCAGCTTGCATCTCGGACGCAAGTCCGCCAGAGCATCTCCCCACTCATCTCATACGCCGTCGCATACGCATCTGGATCTCGTGGTCGAGAGTTGATGGTTGCTTGTCCGACATTGATCGTCCCGGCAAGCGTGGCATCCATATTGTACACGTAAACTTGGCCATCCTCGCTACCGCTGTATACGTAACGCGAATTCGTGCTACCAGGCGGGGAGAAATGACAGCGGATCAAGGTCTTGAGCACATGGTGGCCCTGGAAGGTCACGACCGAGCAGTCACTCTTGGCGTTTCTGCGGTAAACCTCTGGATATGGCTCGAATCGGTAGTCGAATCCGGTTGTATAGTCTGTCGGGTCGATGTTCTCGATATCAGCGGACGTCATCATTTTCCGCAGATCCCAGAGCCTCATTGTTTGATCTTTGCTGTTGGATAAGACGTATCGGCCATCGCCTTTGCTGTCGACATATGTCAACCCCTCTGTGTGGCCCATGAAAGCACCGGCTTCGCGACCATCGCCCATTGAACGTCGATCCCAGACTCGGAGGGTTGTGTCGTCTGATCCGGAGTAGAGGATATGCGGTGATGAAGTATCGCCGTAGCACACAGCATTGACATGATGCTGATGTCGGTCTCGCAGATTCAAAACAGGCTGTTTCGTTTCCAGATCATAAACTATAACCGAGTCTTCTGATGTACCGGCGACAACCTCACGTCCATCTCCAGAGAATCGAAGAGACCATATCTGTTCAAAAATGGTTAGTTAGTCCGAAGTATGCAGGATGCATCAGAATAGGACATACTCCAAAGTGTGAAGTGCCAAAGCCCCGTCGCCTTCCTTGGCCTGGTACTGCAGAGAAATCTAGGACACTGGGGTCCGCGTCATCCTCGGGGTCTGTTGAGGCCATGTATGCTTGGCTTCTTATAGAGCTGTACACAAGGAATCGGTTGTCGGGGCTTAATGTCGCATCGGTGATTGTCCATTGGCCAAATGGATAGTCAACCGTTTTGTAATATTTCCAATCATATGGATTCGAAGTGTCATACATTCGAACCTTGAAGTCTTGAGCGCAGCTGAAAAAGAAATTACCGTCATCCGAAAATTGGCCCGAATAACTTCGCGAGTCATAGTGAATAATTCTGTCTGCAGTCGAGCTTGGAATCAAGCCCTTTGAAGAAATGGGTTAGCATCGTTCACTGTGACAAGCTTTCTGCATTTGAGGTGTACTTGACCTACCTGGGATATAGATTGATCAGCTCTTTTTTGGACTCCATGATTATCGATGCCCATTTCCCGCCATATCAAACCTGCTGTAAGACCTCTCTTGCGCTTTTTCAGCCGATCCACATAATATTGATTAGTTCCGAAGTCACCCTGTCCCATCAGTTTCACGCCCTCTGGATTGGGGACTGGGGGAAGTTTCGCGGGTTCTGCGAGCCGTCTTGCCCTAAGGCGATTTCGAAATATGGGTACATAGTCCTCATCGCTCTCCTCCTCCTCCTCTTCCATTTCTAGCTCCAGTTGTGCTTGATCTTCTAGCGGAACAGGCCACCCGTTAGAACTGAGAATGTCTTGTAACCCGCTGGAAGCAAGTAATTCGAAAAGCCGTGATGCCGGAACTGCAATGAATCAACAAGTGTTCAAGTGAGTTGATCTAGCTTTCTAGCAAAGCATACTTCTTGTATGTCCTCCATTCGGATCCCCCGGTCCCCCGCCCTCCACGTCATCTGCTGTGAGCTCTATCTGTATGTTTCCGATATTGATACGAGGAGCGTCTAGCAAATGGCAGGCATTAGAGATTCATTGTTTTCAATTCAGTGCATTTCATATTACCATCTGCGACTCCGAGATTCAGTTCTTCGTCCTCATTTGGCATGTCATCTTCCCATTCGTCACCGTCGGACGGCTCTAGTGCGGGGTGGTAGTCTGCGTCCAGCTCATCTTCTTCGAGCCATTCACGAGCAGGATGCCAGATAGCTTCTGACTCCCTGGGAGAGTCTCTCTCTGGTGAGCTCATTGTGGATGTGTAAGTTGCCCAGGTGGAAAGAGCAGGTCTTATCGATAATAGAAGTTCCGCTGTCAATTGGTCACCGCTCGCATTATGTCATCGGTGGATTGGTTTGTCCACGGGTATCTCCGACTTAACTCCGAGAGTGGAAGTAGACAATAATTTGATCTCTGTCTTGTCTACAATGTCTATATTGTCTCTATATTCCAAATGTGAAAGAGTTCCTGGATCCACTTAGGGCCTTTCCCGGACGTCCTTCGTCTGGCACCAACTTCTTTCTTGGCAATGCCAGCGAAAACCGTGTTTTCATACCCTGAGCCAATACTCTATCAGTCCCAATACGCTTGGAGTGATCATCGCTGCTGTCGTCGAACAAGGATGGTCAGTTGCTACGGACATGCCGTGTAGTCATTCATGCTAAGAAAGGAGCTACTTACGCGCTGTCATTGGGTGCTATGGTTTCGCCATTCCCTTCGGTAACATTTATACTGATCTTGAAGACTTTAAGACTATGACAACGCAAACATTACTGTTTCCGACAACTACGTATCTCTCAGATAGAGACAACCTGGATGATGGGTATGTGACCTATAAAATCGCGATCCCTCAAGGTATTAATGCTACCGCCGCCCACCACAGAAGTCATCCTCTGGCCCAACGAGCTCGTACTGTCGATGCGTTATAATCCATTCTAGCTGCCTTGGGTGTGAAGAAACACGACAATGAATCAAATCCTTGGAAGGCGCCAAAGACACTAGAAACGGACCGCTGCAGCCGTACTGGTCGTTTGCTAGGTCAAAGGGCGACAATTGTGACTATGCATCACAAGTCTTAGCTTAGCTAGTTATATTAGCTACAGCCAGTCAGAATAAGAGTCTTCTTTTTCATTTAAGCTCTGGTCCCTATGCATGCAGGAAGGGAAGTGTAGGGCTGTGGAAAACGTCAAAAGATAAGGTGAACGGATCAATCATTTGCCGAACCCCACTGATATGCGTCTCCAAGTTCCAACTGCTTTCTCCTCTTTGCTGTATTCACAAGATTAAGACGATCAGGCAGTCGCATTGAGCCATTTGAGTTTCCAGTTTACATTGACTAATATCCGATCATCTGGTCCCGATCCAAATAGCGAACGGCCTGTGTCTTCCCCAACCTCCCCTCCGCAACCCAACCCCCACCACAATGCAGTCCGTCCCCGAGTCCCGACAGCAGTCCTTCGAGGAAATCTATGGACCTCCCGAGAACTTCCTTGAGATTGAGGTGAGTCGCTTCATCAACAAGCGTAACCCCAGGCCCCCGAATCGCTCGTCCACGCCGATCTCCGGCGGGGTCATGTGCCCACATATCTTTCCTAACCACCTCTATACATCACTGTCGAGCAATATAAAGTTCCGATCAAGATACTAAACGAATCAACAGGTCCGCAACCCTCAAACCCACGGCACTTCGCGCAATATGTACACCTCGTACGAGATCGTGTGCAGAACCAACATCCCCGCTTTCAAACTGAAACATTCCGTCGTGCGCCGCCGGTACTCCGACTTCGAATACTTCCGCGATATCCTCGAGCGCGAAAGCACAAGGGTCACGATACCTCCACTGCCGGGCAAGGTCTTCACCAACCGTTTTAGCGATGATGTAATTGAGCACCGCCGCGAGGGTCTGCAGCGCTTCTTGCAGATTGTTGCCGGGCACCCTCTTCTGCAGACAGGCAGTAAGGTTCTGGCTAGCTTTATCCAGGGTGAGTTTGATGTTGTCTGCGCGGACTGGACATGGCGCTACCTAGAAAGACTCGAGTTGTGCTGACATGATATCATAGACCCCAACTGGGATCGCAACGCGTGGTAGATTACGATGGCGTTGATATTCTTTTTCCTCGTTTATGAGAAGCGAGCGTGCTTTCTTTTCGCTATTTTCTTGTTCCCACCCTCTATCTACCACTTACCTTTTCTCACTCCCCGCCTTGTCTCTCTACGACAGACATTCTTCGGCACTCGCGATTGAAAATGTGCACGGGCAGTTGTATGCTATGCGATGATCATTTTCTAGTTTTTTTATGCTCATTCGATAACCGAATTTGCCATTTATCTTCGTTGTACTGGGTGGACGGGCGCTTTTCCTGGGTTCCATGCTCCGCTTCGCAAATTTCTGTTTATCGTTGTCTTCTTTCAGCTTTGCTGTTCCATCTTGTGCATATTAAGAGCGAGTTGGTCTCCTTATGAATATCACCAAGTACATCTCTACCTCTTCACCATGAGACGTTAGACTTTTCAATTGGGTTATAAGACAACTCGAAAGAAAACAAGACTTTTGATTGATAGAAATTGTAGAGAGCCGTCGTGTACTGCGGGATATAGATAAAGGTCAAAAGGTCAGGAACAATAGCAAGAGCAAAAAAGAGAAGACAGATGAGATCCTCCGCCAAACACCCAGAATGTAAAGCAATAGAAAAACAACAGAAAACAAGATCGAAAAATAAGTGAAAAAAGGAAAAAGAAAAAGGATAGTAAAAATGCTTTCAAGTGAGGATATCCCAATTCATAGGAGCAAGCGTATTATCCTCCCAAGGTGTCTCAACCCCCGAAGATGTACCCGCGCCAGAGCCCTCATCCAAAGAGAATGAAAGCCCACCACCCCCAGCAGGTGGAAGACCCATAGAGTTCTCCAAGAACCCCTGAGGAAGCGGAGGCGGAGGCAAGAAAGCAGAATCCATAGGTCCGATATTAGACTGCTGACAAGGAGTAGCAGCATGACGACTCCTGGATGACAAATGACGCGGAGTGAGAATCGGCGTCGCTGCATTCGCATTCACCTTTGTTGGAGTTTGCTCGCGAGTAGCGACAGTAGTTGGCCTGGGCGTTGACCCTCCAGCCGGCGAGTTCTGACCAGAAGCCGAACCCGGACCTAGGCTTGGGCTTTGGGTCGTGAGTTTCTTGCCGCTCACGGAGCCGCCATCGCGATAGGCGTCTGGAAACTTTGTTCTGAATCTGTCGCGAAGGTCGGTTGATTTGCGGTGGCTTAGGTTCAGTCGCGCATCTTGCTGGATTAGGGTCCATTGAAATCCGTGGACTGCGTAGCCTTTCAGTAGGGCTTCGTCTTCGGCTGGAGTAAAGGGCCGTCGAGAGCGTCTTTTGGAATTCGTTACGTGCGGTTCTGGGATACCAAAGGATGCGAGGGCGATGGATGCGAGGCGAGATTTGTCCGAGGGCGCAGGAGTGCTTTGCTCCAATGATGGTGATTTTGATTGGGCGTTACTACTACTCCCAGCATCTGTATCAGGTGTAGGCGAGAGAGTGCTTGGGGTTGAGGATTTGTGTGGCTTAGTTGCTGGGCTTCCGGTACTGGAGGCTGGTTCGGAACTTTGACTCAGAGAATTTGGACGAGGAAGGTAGATCTTCCCCAGCGTTGTATCTGAGGGGTCTTTGGACTTAAGTAGGGCATTGGCCAGAGTGTCGTGGATTTGTTTCGCAGCTTCATTGGGGTCAGAAGCACTACAAAGAAATCAGTAATTTGATCTGATGAATCGTTGAGTTGAATACAATTACCGATAGGCCCATGGACATAGCACTCGAAATCTTAACAGAGCGAAAATTAGCATGCATAGGGGCGTTCATATACCACAAACGTACCTGTCTTTCAGATTCGAGGCAGACCTCTGATTAAACTCCAGTTCTGGTTGAGCAAGGATAGCAGTCCAATTTCCAATACCACACTTGACCACACCCCGAAGGAGAGCAGTCGTTTCCTCTTCGGTCCACATCCTCATGTTCTTACGGGATCGACCACGAGTTTTCGGGGGAATAGGCGCTTTCTCTTTCGGCGCGAGAGGCAAGTCACTGCTCTTGGGAATCTCTGCATCACGGATTGCCGGGTCAATTTCGTTCGTATCCAAAAGATTGGTAGGTTCGATGTTGTTGTCATTATCATTATGAACATCATCATTCTCATTGAGCGAGGTCCTGAGAATCTCTTCTAGTCTTGTATCTCTTCGCTCTACTGGCTGGTCATCAGCGGTCACATTCTGAGCAGAGGTTAAGACTCCGGGATCAATGGAAGCATTGCGCCCAGATGGCTTGTTCAGAAGCTGGGAAATATTAGACCCAGCCTCGATAGGTGGAAGAAGTGCAGCATTAGGTGGCGGCTCGTTCAGTCCATTCAATATAGCAAATGGTCCAAATGGAGGAGGTCGTTGTTCCTTCTGGGCCTGCGGAATTGGCAACTGTAAATGCTCGCTGAATGAATCGGCCTGGAGATCCAACCGGCGACGCTTGCGGGGTCCTTGAAGCGCATCGTCATCGAAAGAAGATGAGAACGGGAATTTCTCAAGTGCACGAAGGTTCACAAAGGCTGGAAGAATCGGTCTCGGCAGTCGTTCAACACTTGACTGTGAGTCGGCAGAAAGTTCGGTCTTCCTAGTCCGCGCAGCATTGAGGAATTCTGTCACTGTTGGTAGATTTGTTTTGGTATTTGCAGGGACTGTTCCATTGTTCTTATTTCCCTTGGATATATTATTCTCTCGAGCACCACTGGCATTGGGTTCGAGAGGTGATGGGACGCTTAGGGTTCGGGAGGAAACTGGTTCTCGTAGAGGGGCGATACGAAGAGAGAGTTGGGGGAGTTCGCGGAGAAGTGATTCATCTAGAGGACGCAGTGCACTAGACAACTCCATTGCAGTATGCTAATCACGAAAACATTGCCCTCATCCTGTGAGAAAGTGCAAGTAGATGTAAGTTCCGGCCGGTTGGATGTCACGATAAGATACGATAACGTGGGCGGTGTCGGCTGTCAGTAAAGGCGCGCATACGTCAGCGTCTATCGCCCTGAGGATCCCCTGACGATTGCTTCTGGCAACTGACTTTCTCAGGGTGATTTCACTTCTCTACCGTCCCATTCGCTACTTGAAACTATCTGGAATTCATTGCAGCTACCTGCAAAGTAAGTGCATGTATCCAAGTACCCTGCATTGCAGCAACCCATGAGCTTCGTCCTGCAGACCGCTCCGAGCAAATTCCAGCCAAGACCAAAAGAAGCTCCTCAGAAGCAGAAATAAAAGATTGACAAAGCTGCAGATCCTCAAAAATGCCCACCATCTTCCCAACATGGCCACACATCATCTTCGGCATCCTGGAGCCCATCTCACTGTACGTAGAACCAACAATACATCCAGCCCACACCATGACCGACAACTAACACATCCCATGATCCATGCAGGGCTCTCGGCAGCGTCTTCCCACTATATGACCTCCAAGGCTTCATAGCCGGCCAAACCCCCAATGTCGCCTCCCCACCAACCCTTCACCCCAGCAGCGTCGCCCTCGCCTACCAACTCGGCAATGTGTACTCTCTACTCTTCCTCGTCGGCGTGGGTGTCTGCTACACAACAACCGAACCTCGCGTGCTACGCAACTACCTGATCAGCCTCGCCATTGCTGATGTAGGCCACGTCTACGCCACGTTCCTGGGCATGGGCTGGGACGCGTTTGCGGATGTCGCGGCGTGGAATGCTCTGACGTGGGGTAATATCGGAGCTACGGCATTCCTGTTCGTCAATAGGATCGCTTATCTCCTAGGTGTGTTTGGATATGCACAGGCGCCTAAGGCGGCTGCCAAAAGAGAGTAGGGTGTGCTGCTGCTACGTTAGTTGGCGGAGTTTCGTGTGGTCTTTCCTCTGTTTCTCTTCTTTTCTTTATTTCCCTGGAGTTAAAAAAAAGTATCTGTCGTGGATTATGCTTCTCGTGATGTGTCGGTCTGCATATAACAGCGGTCTATATTTGCGTCTTGCTATGACTAAGTGTGGCTCCTCGGATGCAATGGGTGCCATTTGATTTGTAGGGTTTCTATCAAAATGACAGGGTATTAAACAGGAAAGCGTGTGAGCTGCATTACTGTCATGGAGCACTACAGGCCGGATCAACTCGATAACAAAGCCCTCGGCGCTACGGTCAAGACGGCAGGTCCGATCCTGGGCTTCAGGAGATCCAATGAGCTTTGTTATGCAACCTTGTATATAATAACCCTGCCATTGACTCTGACCAAAGCAAAAAATGAATCGAAAAAAAAGGAAAAAGAGAAAAAGAGAAAAAGAAAAAAAGAAACCACACAAAGAAAAAGAAAGCACATTAGCATAATGCAACGCCGGACTCCCCGGTACTGCTGGACGCTAGCATGGGGTATATTAAAGTAGAAATACAGATCATAATCGAAGCATTCGAAGGACAGTAAAATCGAGGAGACAGCCGCGGTGGCCGAATATTTGCCAGGGAAACATACATCAACGCATCGAAATTGGCCCGGGGGAGACAAACAAGTGCTCTTGAAACGAGTTCCACACACACTTCCTTTCTCACCTACGTCTACCCACAAACCCCCCCCCCTTGGTCTTTGGTCCGGTCTCGCCACCTGCAGCCACACCAGCCAAGCACATACCCCTGTAGCATTCTCTCAAAGGAGAGACATAAGCAAATTGTTTTGATCTGATGACTATTCTTTCCTTTTCAGATTGTGGTATACTCATCGGGTTCGTTGCAGGTATTGGAAGATGGGCTGGAGAACGGACTCGTCGGTTTGCTTGTATTCGCGAAGATGAGGGACCAGGAAAGGGATCCCGGGGTTTCTGCAGTAGTGTTTCCGGTACGAGGCGTAATTTTGGACTGGGTTCAGGAGGAGGCCGATTTCAGGGGGCGTCAGGGCTTCCAAGGTGATAGTTGGTCCGTCAGCTTGCATGGTCGAGACAGTGTAGTTATAGAGACCATTGAGGATTGCCGTAAGGGAATGGTAATCGCGGGTTGCGAGGAGATTCTATCGTTGTATCGTTAGCCAGGGGTCTTTACTGTAGAAGTTGGGGGTAACGGTGTGAGCAAAAAGACTTACCTGTGTGCATTCTTGGATATGAGGGATGAGATCTGGAAGCGCCGAGCAGCATTCCCAGACAGAGATGCTGAGTGTTTGCCAATGCCGAATCAACTTTCCTACCACGGCGTCCTCTGCTACGAGGTTCTGCCTGGTCATTTCGGCGAAATGATGTTCATCCAGGGCTTTTAAACTGCGGGCTAGATCGGACCCAGATGTCGATATGAGACAGTCCTCTAGAAAGGGAATCGAGGTGTTAAATGGCTTTTTCCAATCCATACTTGAAGCATGCATGTATTGTCGTCGGAACCGGACTGCTAGCACGCTCAGCATTTTCAGCATAGCGGCGAGTCTACCGGTTTCATCCTTGAACAGACGCTGAATCGGGCCAGCGACGAAGTCAAATCCAGCATTTGGTCGGGCCAGGTTACTGTTCTCAGGTCGCACAGCCAGCAAGGACTGTACCAGTGCTCGATGCGCGAAAGGACTGCGCGACCGAAGATGCTGGAATAGTCAGCGTGTGATCTGGAAAGTACTAAAGTCGAACTGAGAGGTTAGATTCACACCTTCTCGACCTCGGTGTATAGAGGTATAGTCTCGGGGTAAGCCTTCAAATGTTCCAAGAGAATGATGTATAGAGCCGTGTGCTGTTGTAGAAACCACTCGACTTTAATGGCCCGGTACCCAAGAGAAGCGCGTACCAGCTCTTCAAAGTCAATCTGTCTGAATTGAAAATGACTCTCGGTCTCAATAGCCATGGCGATTGTCCGGGCATCGTGAGACGGGGTTGATTCTAGCGGAAGCCAACTCCAGGGAATCGGGTCAAAAGGAGCGATACTGGACCGGCGCAGTATTTCTTCCACTCTCTGCATGTGTGAGAGACTGCCCAACAGTTGATGCTCATGGGGTTGAGACATGGCAAATAAAAAATTATCAATCGTATCAAGCCGACGAGCGCGAAGTGAGGTTCGCGGGAAATTCTCGTCGCTAAAGAGTCCAAATCGAATGAGCCGACTAATCTCCAGAATATCAAATGCCCAAAATACCGGCGTCGCTTCATCTTCCCACCAGCGATAGGATATGAAGAAGGCCGGAATCTCCACGCTCAACTGGAAGATGGGCTGGTACGAAGGACCCGATTCCGACGCCATCACGAACATTTCCAAGAGAAAAAGATGTAGAACGGACTCTCGACTCTGGACTCTTTGTATTCACGAGCGCTTCATTAGGTGCTCAGGTGACACGAACGTCCAGGTGAAGAAAACACGGCAAGTCTGGTCAAGGCCACACACGGTAAGGGTGATTGGCTTACAACATCAGGTTTTTCTCCACGTTAGATTTGGGAATGGTCTAATTTCCCTGGAAGTCCCGAAGGTCAAGAAGGCGAAAGGGGGTTGATCGGAAGGCTTCTAGGCTTGAATCCTACCCGTTGGGCTGCAGATGGTTCGGTTATCAATATGACAAGTGAGAGGATGATTGTTCAATCGGTTGGGGGATTTTGAGGAGCGGTCAACTCTTAAGTAAATTACGATGAGATCAGAGGTCGATCTCGAAGTCTCTTCGAAATGCGATACACCGCTGAAGTTTGTCTCTCGTGGGAGAGGCAAACTCTATGGAATGATATACTCCCCAGGCTGCCTCCTATTTTACAACCATTACACCGCTATCTTGAAAACAGGGAGTGTCCCCCCAAACCCCAATCATTGATTCCAAATCTATCATCGATCCAAGCCTGGAAATCTCAACGTGCCAAAACCCAGGGCCGAGGAACTGGGTTGCGGATAGCTCGGTAGATCCACGCGTGTCTGAGTTTATGGGGACAGAAAGGGTTTCAATCCCCCTTCATTGTCAATTGGAAGTATAGAACCTGTGTTCTAGACCCAAATGTTAACAATCCCATTATCGCACACGTCTCAAGCCGGCTCTCAGATCGCCCTCAGCTGATCGGAGGATTCGTCGTGCATTTTAATGCATTCTACCCCAGCATCAGCATTCTTTTCCTCGCAGCATTGGGCTGAAGGGCAGAAATACAGTAGTTTCCCTAGACTACTCCAGTCAATTCCAGCCTCGAAATGCAGGGAGAGAGACAGAACCACAGGCAATATTTTCCTTCTCCCCCCCCCCCCCTGTTCTATCATTCACAGTGGCAAAGTGGCCCCCTTACCACTAACCGCCACACATACATACACCCCCCTACTCCATTACCCCCTAAAAAGGAAAATCGCTTATTTCCCTGTTGCAACCGATGATCAGAACACCAACAGATTGCGACCCGTTCCAACGGCACGGCGCTTGGGTCCGGAGACCTTTTCCAGGTGGAGACGGAACGAACGTGGGAATGGAGTGAGTTTGGATCTATCAGATTGGCTCCTATACTCCGTATAGCCTTGAGCCTTGATAGGACCATCGGAGAAAAAAAAAAGAAGGGGGGATGAGAGTCATTCTCAGGAGAGGTGGAATATAATTCCGCTCTTCCCTACTGTGTCTATCCCCGTTACTCTCGCTTTCTCTTTCTCTCTCTCTCTCTCTCTTGTTATGAGATTATGATCTGATATCATACCCATTCCCAGGAAAACGAGTCACCAATTACTGTAGCACGGCCCACGGCCCGACCCTCCAATTCCAAGCGATGTACCCGTTCTCGGAGCTCATACGCCGATCGCCCGCAATCGAAGCAAAGCACTCTGCAACCACGGGATCAAACGGTTAGAAAGAAGTGCCGACATCTCCACACGGATTCGGTCGTTTTGGCACCGGAGAACAACCTTGTTCTCCGTCTCGATTCCGCCTGCTCCGGGGACATGACCAGCTGGCTCTAGTACAAGAACGTCACTGTACAGTACTGTTCTTCCCCCTTCCCCGATCCTGATCTGAGCTATGATCCCGGTCCCCATTCTGCGCCTTGGCTATATCGAGAGTGCACGCCATTATGTGCAAGTTCGACGGCACTTGTTAGATTGATTGGATTTGAACCCACGATCACGGAGAATGTCGGCAATCGATTCGATCTGCTTCTTCGCCCTCGATGCGCTTACTCCTTATCGGGACGTTTTCTTTCCACTAGTTTATTTCATGCACTGGTTCCTTTTTTTCTTGTTCGTGGCCTACGGTACAGTGCTGAATAGTACGCCTGCTGTTTGTTCGTCCAATGATACCGCGCGATCGTAGCCACTCTAGTACATCATGATCGTCGCTATGGGACGTACAGCAGTCCACCATTTACTAGACTGGGTTGGCAGTTTCGCCGTCGACAGGTCGGAGTTACATTGACTTCTATGTACATCGGCGCTGATCATCTCCGCGAATTACGTATACCGAATGAGGAAGATCTTCCCCCTCTTGAGCATACAGCTCGATAGTCTTCGGCTGGGGCTTGCTGTCATAGGTATGTCAAGCTGCTGATTCATGGAGGAATTGCCTTATCTGTAGTCTATATATTGATCGCCATCCACAGACTCGGTCTGGCTGGCTCGGAGGTGGACACCGTGTTTACTACGTATCGCCTGAGAAGTTAATCTATCTGTTTACTCAAGTCCAGTCCATGTCATATCCAAGACTCCGCGTAATTTCATGTCTAGCTTTAGGTTGTTACCGCTTCGGATATGCCGAGTTTAAAAGGCTATTGTTGGCTATGGAACGGGTTTCGCCGGGGATATAAATATATCGAGCTGAAGTGGAGGGCGCAGGACATGAGGGTACAGTACGAGCTGGACTTTCAGCTGCAGATATTGCATCTTGGGTCTCGATGCTGTTATTGGATTGGGTTGCGTTCTGGGCTTGCATTAGTGTCTGGTTTTATATGGACCTGAAGCTGGTGGACTGGACTATTGCTAAAGATGGGCTGGGGGATTACGAGCATGCTGGCAATCTCGTAGGCGAAGGACATCGAAGGGGGGAGCGGTGGTGGCCTAAGTATTGACTAACTTGCAGTACAACTCTTCAGATCTTCACTAGAGCAACGGTTCGAATAAGGCGCTACAGAACCAATTCAATGACATAGTTGAGACAGACAGGTTGAGATCCAAGGAAGCCAAAAGAATACGGTCATTAAATCATTTGAAAAAGAGGTAACGTTAAAATGGTATCATATCACTCGGAAACGGGATAGTCATCCCATCCCAGTTTTGTTTGCTATGGTTTCGAACCTACGGAATGATGTATCCCATAACAAGACAAGACGCCTGCTTCCCAGCTACAGTTTTTTACTTGTTTTTGTCCGGCTCACCAAAGCCCCAATGTCAGAAGACATTTAGTTGGCAATGGCGGTGGCACGGCGGCGGTCACGCTCCTCAGCAATGGAGAGCTTGACACCCTTGCCCTTGGGCAGGGAAACCCAAGGCTTCTCCTGTCCGATGACGAAGACGTTGGACTCGCGGGTAGCGAAGGTGTTGTCAATAGCGTCCTTGACGTGGACGATGTTGAAACCACCATCGTGGCGCTCACGGTGAGTGACGACACCAACACGACCCATGTTGCGACCACCAGTAGCCATGATGACAACACCGGTGTCGAACTTAACGAAGTCAACGATCTTGCCGGTGGCGGTCTCGACCTTGACAGTGTCGTTGACCTTGATGGCAGGGTCGGGGTAGCGGATGCTGTGGAGAGAAACACGCGTTAGCAAAACCTTGTTCATATCACAAAGGATCTTACTGTTTCCAGAAAGAAGGAACAGATGTTCCAAGTTCTCATGTTGTCCTCCGCCGATCAACCAAAGCCTGGTCCAACGACTGAATGACACGGAACTTGTGGAGAGTGAACTCACGTTCGCGCATCGTGCGTAACCAAGAATGGGATCCCGCCCTTGCCGAGCTGAACACGCTTGACCTTGCAGAGCTTGAACTCGGCCTCCTCAGCCTGGATGCGGTGGACGGTGAAACGGCCCTTGGTATCGTAGATGAGACGGAAGTGCTCGCCGGTCTTCTCGAGAGAGATGACGTCCATGAATCCAGCGGGGAAGGTGGAGTCGGTGCGGACCTTGCCGTCGACCTTGACCAGACGCTGCATCAGGATGGCCTTGACCTCGCGACCGTTCAGGGCGTACTTGAGACTATCGCGCAATAAATGTCAGCTGTTGTTCGTGGATGTCGGACTAGTTTCGAACTCGTACCGGTTACGGATGAAGACAATCAGGGGAAGGCAGTCCCGGAGCTTGTGGGGACCGGGGGAGGCCTTGGGAGCATAGGTTCCGGACATCTTGTCCAGGAGCCAGTGCGAAGGCGCACTAAGGCGCTTCTGGTGCTTCTTACTGTGAAAGCATTGCTGTTAGCGATATAATTCATCAAATGAAGATTTTTCTCCATCTGGGTTGCAGCAAGACACTGGCCGAAATCGCGTCCGGGTGGTCGACGAAGCCAGTATGCAGGCGCAATAGACAGAGGATAATGGCAGAAGACTTACGGTCCGCGAGCCATTTTGACTGATTTGTCGACGGTAGGTAAGTGGTCGGAGTGTCGCGATGAAAGAGAAGATCAGGGCCGAGAAATGCTAGGTGATAATACGGGTTTCGCTTAGCGGTCAGTGATTGTGTGGGCTAGCCCTAGCCCCAGCTAGTCCTGATTGGGTTATATTAGTAACTGATTACATCATGTAGATTTAACGGGTGATTATGTCATCTGATTGGCCCCTTCCTATTTGGGCGATCAACAGAACTTTTGTTTGTATAAAAGTTATATCTATTTGACATGCGCTGATAATTACACTTTTCATATCATCTTTAAATGTAGCCCTTGATAACAGCAACCTCGGCGTTGAGGATAGATGATCCAGCGGCTCCGATAACGGTGTTGTGAGAAAGAGCCGCGAATCGGATATCGAAGTGGCCACCCTTGGCGCCCTCGCGGACACGGCCAACGCTGACAGTGTAACCACCGGACAGATCACGGTCAAGTCTGGGCTGGGGACGGTCGGGCTCATCAAAGACCTTGATGGCAGGCTGGGGTGCGGAAGGAGCACCCAACTTCTGTGCCTCGGACTGGTATTCCCGCAAGGCCTCAACAACCTGCTCGGCGCTGGGGGTATCACGGTTCTTGAAGCGGAGCGAGACGAATGCCATATGACCGTCAGTGACACCGACACGGGTGCAAGTGGCACCGATGCGGAGACCAGACTGCTCGTCGAAACCGGTAGCACTGGCGTTCAGTGTACCCAGGATCTTCTGAGCCTCGTTCTCAAGCTTGTCCTCCTCGCCGCTAATGTAAGGGATGACGTTGTCCAGGATGTCCATGGTGGGCACACCGGGGTAGCCGGCTCCTGAGACGGCCTGCTCGGTGAAAACCTCGACTTCCTCAACAAGGCCGAACTTGGCCTGGAGAGCAGCGAAGGGAATAACAATTCCAATGACAGCACAGTTGGAATTGCAGACCAGGAAGCCCTTCTTGAGGCCGTACTGCTCGCGCTGGTGAGGGATCAGGTCTAGATGTTGGGGGTTCACAGTGGGAACAACCAGAGGGACTATGGGGTCCTTGCGGTAGTTCTTTGCGTTAGAGAACACAGGAATCTCTGCCTTCATGAAGGCCATCTCTGTATTTGATATATCAGCAGTGCAGTAGTAGTACGGGATATGATATCACATACCGGTCTCGCCAGCGATGTCACTGTTCAATCCAGAGAAGACAAGGTCACAGTCTGAGAACAGCTCGGCCTTGCACTCACGCAAAACAAGGTTGCTCAGCTTCTCGGACATGGGGCGGGCCTGCTTCCAGTTCACGGCATCCTTGTACTTCTTGTTTGCTGAACGCTCGGAAGCACCGATTGCCTGAAGCTCAAGGAAGGGGTGGTCTGCCAGCAAGAGAATAAAGCGCTGACCAACGGAGCCGGTAGCACCGAGTACACCTATATTTTGTCAGAACTATTCATGCATATTTATGTATACAATCTTGACTTGGATGTTGACGACATACCGCACTTCTTCTTGGGAAATTCGGGAGCCATCTTGGAGGTTTTGTGAGCGAATGAATCAACCTTGTATATGTTAGCAACTCCAGTAATTGAAAGAACACAAGGCTATCAATTGGTCTCTCAAGAAGTAAAAGAGACAGCGGCATGGTGAACTGGGCCATATATCACAGAGACCTGTATGAGTCAAAGCGTCTCCAAAGCCCCGCATGCGGTATGGAGGAGGCTCTGCAAGCTCCAATCCTTCGCAGATCTCATTGACAAAGAGATCAAGACACCAGTCTAGCCTTATAGCGATTGGAACAAGGGTCTACACTCACCAGTTTGCTGTTGATGGAGTGGAATGCTAGTGGCAATTGACCGTGACTGCGATATCGCTCTCGGCCAATTGCGCTTGCCCCGCGATGAGTCAGCTTCCTCCGGTCAGTCAAGAATTTGCAGCATTCTGATTGGCTCAACCTACTTGGTGTTCAGGTCAAAGTTTAACGTTCCGCGGTTTGGTCTGTTTGCACCGATGACGTCGCTGCAATTCATCTATACTCAAAATCTAACGCAAGTTTATGTAGTTTGCTGTATAATATTTTCAATGACCAGGTCCAGGAGAATCATCTGAGTGGTCAAATATTTTGCCAGGGTTCAAGAGCCACTTTGGATCCAATGACTGCTTGACACTGCGCATGACATTGATCGTCTCCAGTCCAAGTTCCTTCTTTAAAGATCCCTTCTTGCCCAGTCCGACACCATGCTCCCCCTGTACTCAATTAGCGACTGTCAAGAATCAAAGAGAATCGGCGTTAATACATACCGTGCAAGAGCCCTCCATTTCCAGCCCACGGTCAACCATGTCGTATACGACCTTCTCGACTCGCTCCCTCTCAGCGGGATCATTTCGGTCATACATGATGCTCGCGTGAAAGTTGCCGTCACCAATGTGTCCAAGGATACTAGCGAAAAGTCCAAGATCCACAAGTTCCTTCTTGGAGATTTCTGCAATTGTCAGCACCAAGATTCAAATAGCCGGAGAGGAAGCCATACCAATGATATCAGGCAGTCGAGAAATGGGAACTGCCACGTCTGTTGACCAAACCTCTGATCCCTCCTTACGCAGTGCCATCATACTCCACAGGGACTGCTTCCGTGCCGACCACAAATCATGAGCCTCGCGATCATCACGGGCAAATTCGAAGGACTCAGCATTATTGCTCTTTGCAAGCTTTGTCGTCAGATTGATACTATCCTGGACACCTGCAATAGTTCCAGAGAATTTGAAGAAAAGCGTTGGTGAGACCTTCCACGATCGACCGGTTCCACCCGCGCGGTTGATAACATCCATTTGAACATCATCCATGATCTCCATACATTGCACGGAAACGCCCTTCCGGATAAGCTGCATAGCAGTTGACGCAGCATCCCGAATAGTCGGGAACGCAACCACGCCAACTCGAGTCTGTTCAGGAATAGGTGCAAGCTTCAAAGTAGCTTCAGTGACAATTCCCAGGGTGCCCTCAGAACCAACAAACAGCCCGGTCAGGTTATACCCAGCAGAAGTTTTGCGGGGACGCTTCCGTGTCTTGATAATGCGTCCATCGGCCAACACGACAGTAAGGTTGATCACCCAGTCCTTCATTGTACCATACCGAACAGCATTTGTCCCACTACAATTCGTACCAACCATACCACCAATCATAGCGGAAGGACCGGGATCAACGGGGAAGAACATGCCTGTCTCCTTGATTTGTTCGTTCAACTCCATCCACTGGATCGATGGCTGCACCACGACATCCATGTCCTCCGGGTGAATTTCCAGAACTTTGTTCATGAAGGCGAAGTCGATGGTCAAACCACCAAGCGGCGCGGAAAAATTGGCTTCTAGACTCGATCCACCCGAGTAGGGAATCATAGGCATGCGGTACTTGTTGCAGATCTTGGCGATCTCGGCAACTTCTTCAGTCGTCGTAGGGTATGCAATGGCAACGGGTAACCGGTCTGCATTGAGACTGGACCATTCAGAGTATCCGTGCTGTTGAAGTTCATCTTCTTCAGTGCTGACCGCGTCGTCGCCTAGTTTGGTTCTCAGTTCACTGATGGCCTGGTTGTATACTTTTGTCAGTCCAATTCACTTTCGCAGCCAGTACATTGTGTAATTAGAATATCACCTTTTCGAAATCCTTCGCTGAGCCATACTGTGGCTTCTGAGATGCTTGTGCTGGTCCCTGGCCGTATGAAGCATATCCGTATCCCAACCCCGCAGCAAATGCGGAGACAAGGAGCGCCTTTGTCGGCGTCCAGAATGACAACGGAGCAGCTCCTTTTGATGATTCCGAGCTCGAGGAACTACTTTGGTCTGTTTTCTTCTCTGCGCCTGCTTTGGAACTATTCAATCGAGCCCCACGAGCTAGAATAGTCTGGTGAGGTGATATCCGGGGCCGACAAGGGACTCGGGCAGACAGCGCCCGCGAGACCCTGAGTGCTTGTTGCATGTCGAAGACAATGTATACAAAAGCAAACCAGAAGTTATTTGGAGAGTAAGGATTGAATTCAGAAAGGAAAGAGATCCAAGCCTGGCGACATCGCGGGCCAACATGATGTGATCGGCCTTTTGTCCTCGGGCTAATCCAAAGCGAGTTCGGCTATCGGAGTTCGGCCGAGAAGCTGACTCTGATATGAAGAACAAGCCAAAGCGGCTTAGAATTCCGTTTGAGAGCCAAGAGTGCGGAGAAGAAGCGTGGGTGAAGGCGTGGGGGACGGCTTGAGCCGCTATAGAATGGCTGAACATTGCTTTTTGGGATTCTTCAACAGGGAACTTTCATAATCAATAATGATTCTGTATGATAAACCGATATTAGTTCCCTATGATAGCTTGTTATTATGCGAAGAACATGTACAGTATGCAAAGTAGAAACTTGGAAACCAGAACTGTCATTGGCTCCGAGCATAAAACTCCGTTGATGGGGCAACACGTCCGCAAAGAACCTCCGAACCTACGACATCGCGACACCAGAACATCAAACCGGCATAAGAGCTATCTTATAATCTCCTCGCCAACAAAAATAGATCTTTTCCTGTATGCAAATTTGACACAATGGCAGAGCAGCTCGCTCTTGTGGTGCATGAGGTGGAACGTCTCGTGACCGCGCCCTACGTGCCATCATTACAGGTAAGTTGATATCAACCATTGGCCCAAGCAGATGGTTAACGTATGGCCACAGGATCTCTATGGCATTTCTCAGCAGTGTGCTTCGTCAACTATCAAGTCATGGGCATTCTATAAACCTTGCCAGGCCAGCGCGCTGGGCAATGTTCTAGTGGAAGCTTTATCGCGATCCCGCGTCGCTCTCTCTTTGATAACTGCATTCTGTATGATTGAACCAGAGTCACTTCTGAACAGGAAGCTAACACGGCATAGCATCTGCTTCATCATTTCGAGATGCTCTGCTAACCCGCCACTCGATGATACTTGATGCTTTTCTTCAAAAGGCACTAGAAACCAACGAGCATGAGGTGAGGCATCGGTATTCCAATATTCCAAAAATATCGACTGATAATTTCAGTATATCCCCGCATGTATTGCGCTGCTGTCTTCGCCCCTGCCAGCGGATGTAGTGCCCCCAGCACGCATTGGCCCCTTCATCACGAAGTTGGTGGGAATGATGTCTGACAATCCCGGTATTGAGACAATCAAACCTCTCTACACCATTATGAAAGGATTACAGGGTTCACCAAAAGTCCTCGACGACATCCCCTCCGAGGTCATGTCCAACCTTCAAGTGGAATTCACCAAGATTCTACGCAATTTCGATGACCACATGGGCAATCTCTTATGTCTTGGCACTTTCGCTCAAATCGCATTAGCACAACCACCATCTTCTCAAAATCAACACGGATCAGAATCAATCTCGTGGCTTCTCAACATCAAGGATTTCTTCGGCCCCAAGCGTGGATTAAAGACGCTGGATTTGGTTGTATTGCGCGTCATTCTTGCTTGCTCATCCAGCTGCAGCCTGTCACCATCACAGGCTGCTGAAAGCATTAAGCTAGCTATCTACATCGCTGATGTGGTCCAGTCTGATCAGAAACATAGTTGGATGGCTAGCAACTCTTCCAAACTTGCCAAGCTGTGCAATAAGGCTGGGACAGATGGCCTTGATGACAATATACGAACAATGGCATGTCGGTTTCTGTGTGGAGTGCAAAACACTACTAATAATTTCCTATAGGTTACAATATTTTTGCTTAGCCTCGTCCCTGCAAAGTCTTTGCCATCTCAAGTACGAGATTTTGGTTTAAACACCCTCTTGCACAAAGAAAGCCAGGAGGTTGTAGAGAAGGTACCCCCGCGGCTTATTTCACGACTATCCAGAAAGCTAGCTGTAAGTACAAAAGCCCCAGTATTTGGTTGATTTCTGACAACAACAGACATCTGGAGAACTGGCTTCCCAATATCTTTTGAACTTCACATGCTCTTCTTTAAAAACAAGTGGCATCCAAGACCATAAGACCGTCAGCAAGGTGTGCCTGGCAACTCTGATCTTGGCTGGTCTACAGGAAGGCGATTCAAAGTTGATGCTTTCTAATATTTCCAGCTCAATGGCCGCCTTCAAACAGAGCCTTGTCGAGATGCTTGAGAGCTTCCCTCGGAAACCAAGCAAAGATGTCTGCGATTAATCAGCTGTGTGCTTGTCTCAACAATGCACAATGCAAAACCAGCTGTTTGTATCCTTGCTCGGGCTCTACAATTGTGTTTCCTCAGAGCAAAATGGAGGTGATACTTTCATGCAATCTCTTGTTGGGTATGTAGAGAGATCATTGCCACATGGAAGCTGTAATTTTTCCCAGGCAGGTCCAACAGAAGTCTCTGGCTCGCTTTCCATACGCCATAGAGATGAATTCTCATTGCCGTGCGCCTCTCGCAATTGGCGCCAGGATATGGCCTCAGAATTCATGGAGACTTCGCGGCATACTCAAGCGACCATGATGCAAAAGATCGAAGATGCATGCTTTGAACTAGAGCGCCGCTGCTATGATGTGGAAGGTCCTGTTCGAGCCGCCGAGGAACAAAGAGACCAAATGGCCGAAGAGAATCGTCAGCTAAAAGAACACATTGAACAACAGGAGACTCGCCTAGGTGAATTCTCGGAATCTTTTGCTGGTCTTCATGATGAGAACACCCGCCTCGAGGAGCAACTGCAAAGCGAATCTTCACGAGCCGAACAGCTTTCAAAACTTTTTGCTTCTGTGAAGGAGGAGATTCAGACACAGCAATGGCAATCCGAGAAAGCTATTTGTCTCGAAAAAGAACAGGCTCGGTCTAAGGAGTTAGAAATGATGGCTGCCTTGACAGAAAAAGACGATCAAATAGAAGATCTTCAGCAGGAAATACGTCTTGTGCAAACTGAGAATGACCGAATCCGTCAGACTCTCGATCAAGTTTCAATGGAGAAAGATGCTTCTCTGGATACCTTCGGGCTTCTGAAAGAGGAGCTTGCAACTATGAAGGATAGTCTCGAGCAAAGCAGACTTCTCACTACTCGCAAGGAGGATGAGATCAAGCGGTTGTTGGCCGAGGAAGACAATCTACGTATAGAAGTGGCGACTCTGAAATCAACAGTATGTCTCTTAAATTTTCGTGGAAAGTTGGCATTTACTAACTGATTGCAGGTTGATAAACAAAATATCGAAGTTGAAAAAGCTGTCGATTTACTGCAAGAATCCGAGGGAAAAATGAGTAGTGAACTTGAGAAGCTCCAGCAGGATCATAAAGTGGAGGTCTCTAGGGCCACAACTAAGGTATGGGCTTACCCTTATTTGATGAACCTACAAGAATACATACTCAAGCAGCGATATTCAGATGGCCAAGCAGGAAGAAGAAATCAGACACTTGCAAGCCGCTATGGATGGTGTCACTCTAGATGCTTCTAAGAACGCCCTGTCCAAGGACAAACGAATCGCACATTTGGAAAGAAAGGTAAGCCACCGTCCATCTGTGAAAACCCTGATATACTAAATTATTCGGCCCTAGATCCAAGCTTTCCGTGATGAACGTGCCGCCAAGGCTCGCGAATTTTCCGAAGCTCAGCAACACATTGGAAGACTCATGGGTGTGATGGGCTTCTCGTCCAATGCCCCTGAATCCACCAGTCCCAAACATCAGCGGGCCAGATCAAGTATCTACCCGACAGAAGCTGCAGGTGCCCAACAACAAGTCAGTGATGACGAAGACACACAACTGGCACAGTCTTTTGAATCGTTGGCATCATTTAATGGACCCACACCCAAACGACCAAGAGGAAACCGTTCACCCCCAGCATTCACTACTCCTTCTGTCATGCCTCAGACAAGGGTTCAATCTACAACCAAGGGAATGCCCAAATCTGCCCGGCAGCCACTAGCAACTGCCAATAGCAAGAGTCCGATCAACCCTCAAGCAAGTGGTTTATCAAAGCCTCATGAAGTCGATACCTCGTTCCAGGAAAGTCAGGCACAGGAAAATATTGAAGGGCACAGACTAGAGGATTTTGATTTAGATATGGACCTTGAGTTTTCGAAGGAGTTCCTTCTTTCAAGTACTGCTTTTACGGGATCGAATGATCAAGCCGTGCTATAACTATTTCGAAAAGAAGCCCTTATCTTTTCAATCTCGAAGATTTTCTAATCCTTCCAAAATACTGAAAAAAAGAAAACTAAGGCCAGCAAATGTAGGATACAGAAGTTCGGAGTCTGCAAGGCTCTAATAATTACCTGCTGAAATAATTCAAACAAGGGCTATTCCCTATGATAGGCTAGGGCGTTCAAAGGACGACTTCAGGAATTTGGATAAGATAGGCATCAAAATGACAAGAAAATAGTTCTTTAGCTATGAGTCTATAAGACACATTTCTTCTCGTTGCGATACAAGAGCCCCGGGGGTTAACACTGACCACTAAGCGTACCAAAACGACGACAAAATATGGCCCCAGCTATAGATTTCTTATAAGATGGTGGTGCTTTTTGACAGAAACTTGCTTCTCTCGTCGCCATTTCGCGCAACCCCATCTCATTATCTTGTCTATCGAAAAAGGTTCATTGTATGTACCATTTGAGTTTGACACAGCACAAATTCACGCAAGCCACCCTGTCTCTGGGGCATGCTTCACCTATGGGTCCCGGCCCAACAGGTATGTGCCATACTCTCGCCACCTATCATGTGTCTTCAATTATCTGACTATCCGTCTCATCTGTGAGACAAAACGTTTTGTGGGTGATCGCTTGGAATAAGCATAGTCTGACATCGGCAATCCTGGTGAACTTCGACCTATTCTGTGACTGAGTACGAGATAAACCTGATCTGATACCAATCTCAAAGAGTCTGATCAGGCAAAAAAGAACTCTCGAATAGTCACATTGGATGCTTAAAACTTGTTCCACATCCACTCAGATCAAGAACCGCAATCGTGTATCTACGGGTGATCTAGTTTGTTCCACTTCTACTCCATTGCGACGGATCTATTCTCATTTCAGCCTTTTTCTGTCATTTGTTCTACTACAATTGTGAATCTTCTTCGCTTTCTTTGTTTTACCTTTATCACATCGCCTTGCTTCCGCTTCCACGGCTGTAAACTTCAAAGCTTCTTTTCTTACCTCAGGATATGTTCTGATCCTGGCTTTTCTTTACTTCGCTTTCACTTCTTCTCCTTCTCTGCTCTTTCACTTCAGCCACTGCCGAATCCTCTTATCACTTGCCAGTCCTGCAGCGTTAAAGCGAAAGCCGGGATGACTGAAATGACTGATCCCACAGGCGCTGGAGCACCAGTGTACACCTCCTGGAAGAAGCATGAGTCAGTCGGCATTGATCTTTCAGATGTTCCTAGGGCTGCGTCAACTCACGATATATATGATGCCCTAAAAAAGGAGGGCACTATCGTGAAAATCGACCTGTACGAGACCTCTGATGGCCGCGCAACTACCAGAGGCTTTGTGCGCTTCAGGTTAGTCTTGTCTCATTGCTAATTCTCATTATATCAAGATTAATTTTCAATAGCCCTCCCCCTGAGCGTGATTTCTGGACCAATGGCTGCTACCAAGTGCCCCTCCGCAATGGCCCTGTGGTGCCAATTAAACTGGGCCTGAATCATTTCTCCGATGGCGAGACTGTTCCCAGCCCAGTTCGCTCAAAGGTTCATATCCCTGCCAGGAAGGCAAGTGTTGAAAAAAATAAAGACTGTCAAAATGACCAGAGTACTAATTAATGACTGATATTAGGAGCTAATGACCACTAAAGTTGGCATTGGTATACTCGTCGATGCCGTGGCTGTCCATACCATGCACATCTTTGATCAGTCTTCTGGGCCTAGGTTTGTCATTGATGTGTTGCGCAGGTGTCTTTATGTATACTTCAAAGTAAGCATCCGCTCAAAGGCTGGCGACATGTCTCTGCATGACTATCGACTCAGATTCACCTTCCTCCAGCTGTCTCAAATCTTCGAGCAGTATGACACCACTACAGAGCAGACATCTTTTCTGATAATCCTGGACTCTTCGCCTATCCTTCATCGAAGACTGAAGAATATCTCATCCTCGTTTACCGGGATGAGGTACTGGAGAGAGGAGGATGCCTGGTATCGTCAGACAGCTATGCGTCGCAATCCACATGTCATCGATACATCCTGCAACAACCTGAAGAAGTCGGGACATATCATTGATGCAGGCTAGTATTGGTACACATTTGACCGTTGGCTTTAATTTTTCTGACTTTTGTCCTTGAAATAGCGCGATGGAACGTGTTCAAGATAACGTTCGCATCTGAACTCAAACAAGACGGCGAAGCCTTGAAGCTCACTCGAGCGATGTTCAAAGACTACAATATCTCCATCGAGGATGGGAACCGCTTTACCGAGAGAAAAGCCCGGCCAATCCCGGTGTGGCACTGGATCGATCACGTCGGGCCTCAGTCGAGCAAGGCTTCCTTGTTCCTGCTACAGGGCATGGGGAATGACAACTACGTGCACCTTCACATGCATGTTCGGTACCAGCTCGAAGTCTGCATATCTCATGGATATTTGTCTGAGTTCACAATGACTCGCGAGTTTGTTGAGAAGTTGAGTAACATGAAACCAGCCGAAGGCCAGAGACTGCTGGAGTACGTGGCAACACAGAAAAAGAAATACTTTGATCCAATGGAAATATTCGATTTGAAGCCCTCGAAAGGTACAACTGACACCAAAATCCCGGATTATTGTTGCTTCATGCGAACTGCACGAGTCACTCCAACTACCATCTACTACAACACCCCCTCCGTGGATGCCTCCAACCGCATCGTACGCAAATACTCGGAGGTGGCTGACCATTTCCTTCGTGTGCGGTTCACGGACGAGAAAACAGAAGGTCGCATTAACTCCTCTATGAGTGATAATAACAACGAGGTATTCACCAATGTTAAGCGGACACTGTCAAACGGCATCACTATTGGAGACCGACACTATGAGTTTCTTGCGTTTGGCAACTCTCAGTTTCGAGAACATGGCGCTTATTTCTTTGCCACAGGCGGGCCCATGACCGCAGCTTCAATCAGAGCCTGGATGGGTCAATTCAATCACATTCGAAATGTGGCCAAGTATGCGGCGAGACTGGGACAGTGTTTCTCGACTACTCGTGCCTTTTCCAGCACTAATGTCGTTGTTTCTCGGTGTGAGGATATTGTTCGCAACGGCTTTACTTTCTCAGATGGCGTTGGAAAGATATCGAAGTTTCTTGCGCAAATGGCCAAAAATGAACTTGATATCAAGACACCAACTCGAAACCTTCCATCGGCCTTCCAGTTTCGCCTCGGAGGTTCCAAGGGAATGCTTGTAGTTTCACCTGATCCTCACCCTCGAGAAGTGCATATCCGCCCCAGTCAATACAAGTTCAACACCGAGTCCAGCGGATTGGAGATAATTCGTTGGTCTCAATTTTCGTTTGCAACTCTGAACCGCCAGATCATCATCGTTCTCTCTGCTTTAGGAATCCCAGACAGGGCTTTTCTGAAGAAGCTGGACTATATGCTGAGCAGCTTTAATGATGCCATGACGGACGATCAGAAGGCCATTGAACTGCTGCAAAAGTGGATTGACCCAAATCAAATGACCCTCACAATCGCCCAGATGATTAGAGATGGTTTCAGACGTGCTGACGAGCCATATGTGTGCACTGTCCTTGAGCTATGGCGAGCTTGGCATTTGAAGTATCTGAAGGAGAAGGCTAAAATCACTGTCGAGCAAGGCGCTAACCTACTAGGCTGTCTGGATGAGGTCGGTGTCCTGAAAGGCCATTTCGAAGATCAAATACCAAAAGAAGACGCGCCACGGAGAGAGAAACTGGCTGCTCTGCCTGAAATTTTTGTACAGATCTGCCGCTGTGAAAAACAGGATGACAAACATGCTAAGTACGAAGTCATCGAAGGTGTCTGCATCTTGGCTCGTAATCCCTCTCTCCACCCTGGCGATATCCGTGTGGTCCGAGCAGTGAATCGACCTGAGCTGCACGACTATCGTGATGTAGTCGTGCTTCCTCAAACCGGCGATCGAGACGTTGCAAGCATGTGCTCAGGGGGTGATCTTGATGGCGACGACTACCTCGTCATTTGGGATCCGGATTTGATTCCAACTCATTGGTTCACGAAGCCCATGAATTACACTAGCAGAAAAGTCCCAGATCTTCTTCACGATGTGACAGTTGATGAGATCACTTCCTTCTTTGTCGTGTACATGAAGAATGACTGCCTGCCAACCATCGCACATGCTCATTTAGCCTTGGCTGATTGGCTTCCGAGGGGCGTCATGGAGAAGAAGTGCCTACGTCTGGCTCAACTCCATTCTGACGCTGTTGATTTTAACAAGACTGGCGCTGTTGCAGTCATGACGAAAGATTTGAGGCCCACAAAATGGCCTCATTTCATGGAGAAGAGACATGTTCCACCATCACGGACTTACAGGTCCAACAAGATCCTTGGCCAGCTGTACGACGCAGTAAAGATCCCTGCCTTTCTTCCCAATCTGAAAAAGCCCTTTGATCTTCGGGTCTTGACTTCGCCGCTCCTCGAAGCCAGTGAGAAATACATGGTCTATGCGAAAGAGCTCAAAGAGGAATATGATATGGCCGTACGACAAATCATGGCCCAATATGAGATTGAAACCGAGTTCGAGATCGTTTCCGGCTTTACTCTTCGTCACTGCTTCCCGGGCAAGGATTACAAGATGCAGGAAGACATGGGCCGGATCTCATCAACACTCCGGGGAGGATTCCGCCATCAGTGCTACAACAAAGTCGGGAAAACCGGTGATAATATTGCTGCCTTGGTACTCGCCATGTACCGTGTGACCCATGAAGAGATGACTGTAGCACTCAAGGCTCAACAGCAGGAAGAAACGTTGAGAGAAGACCTCTCAAATGTCAATGTGCCCAGAACCAAGCTTCCACTGATCAGTTTTCCTTGGATTTTCTCCGAAGTCCTTGGCAAGCTTGCAACGAACAAAGCCAGGGAGCACGCAGGGCCAGGAGAAGCCACTGCCGCTGTTCTTTCCGGTGAACCTCGGGGCAGCTTATTCTTCACTTACAAGCAGGCTCAGAGATCTACCCAGCCTGTTAATGGCCAGAAAGATCTAGAAATGGTAGAGCCTCCCGAGCTTACCGCATCTGCGCGACCCCCAAGTCCGTCGGGTTATTGGGAATCACTAGATGATGTTCCTAGCGAAGAAGGGGGCATCTCTAAAGATCTCAATGCAGAGCCACCTTTCAATGAGACCATCATGCGCAGTTTAAGAGAATGCCGTCTTGCATGCGAAAATGAGACCAGCGGACGTGAATCCAAGTGTTCAGTGCGACCTTGGTGTGAAATGGTTGAGCGCCATGGCGAGGTCTCGGAAATAGGCGGTAAAAGCGACGAAGGGGTTTGCTCCAAGGAGCCCGTGAAGATCGACATGGTGGAAGATGCTGAGATGAAGGGTAACTTCAAGCCTAACCCGCTTGATGAGCTGATGAACATGATCGGCTAGATAGTTGAAGGTAAGAGACTTGTTGCGTTACAGTGTCGAGATGGAGGTCGAGACAGACACCTAGAAAACCCCCAAAAATAGAGAATTATTCTCTTTAAATTATTGCTTAGTAGACAACTTAGCCTATTCATCCCAAAAAAAGTAAAGCCGGCAGCTGCGCCTGTACAAGGGTATATCCAACTCCTTTAGTCAGACCAAAACTCCATGAATCCCTGAATATCAACCACAACCAAGAGAGAACTCCAACCCTACCAGTCCAAACCCTCATCCCCTTTCAGCTCCAATAGGTCAATAACAGGCTCCAAAAGGTCCTTCGAATGCCTCAAATTGGCAGCATCTCTCGTCCGAGAATAAAACACCGGACAATCCATGCTATCACAGCTAACCTCATCAGCGGGCGTGACACCCATACAAGAACGACACACAGCCTCCAATTCAACAACCCGCTTCTCGGCCCTCTGTAACCGCGAAGAGACATCCAAAAGCGCAAGATGTGGTTGTTTCAGACAATCATCGCAGACAGGATCGGTAGTATCAGACAGCCGAGATCGACAGATGACACACGAGGACGACCGCATGTAAGATTCAAGTGTCTTCCGCGTTGATGCACCAAAGAAACCAGCGTTCAGATTCAGATTTTGGTTTGAAAAGGCTGACGCATCGACACGCCGGATCCGCCGTACCTTTGGCATCTCATCGTACCATTGACGAACATTTGCGCCCACAAGGTTGAAAATTCGTTCCAATGGAGGAATCAAGTTCTTCGTGATGTAGTACTCCGTATCTAGCTCTAATTGTGCATCGTGCAGCAAAGTCTGAGGCGCGACGCAGCGGTCAATCAGTCTTGATCCCGGCGCCCCAGTGACAACAACGTAGGGCACTCGCTCGTTGGTCTGTGGCTCGGAGCGCGGATCTTCCAGCATGCGTTTTGTGCTAAGCATGGCACCAGCGGGGAGTTGACCGCGATCACTGTATGTACCTAGGCGAACCTCTTTCGCGAAGCAGAAGTCTTGAATAGAGACGCGGCCTTGCATTATCTTGGCACATTGGCGCTGGAAGTAGGATTTCACTTGGCTGAGATCTGCCGTGCGGAACAGGGTCTTCAGAGCCTTTTCTTCGATCTTTTGTTCGGCGGGTGTGCCGTCACGCCGGACAGTTTCAATGCCTTTGGCATCGAATTCGGGCTCTGTTTGTGTGCGGTGCTCGTATTTGAAGCCGACGTAGCGCTTCTTAGCTAAGAGTACACAAGGGTGGTATACCTTTTCGAATTTGAGTTTGACTGGTCGTGGGTTTATATCTGTTACTGCTTGGGCAATCTCTTCGCCAATGTCGAAGGCCTGATCTCGGGTGCGACCTTTCAGGTAGACGAATAGACTGTCTGTGTCGCCGTAGACTACTTCGGCACCCCAGCGTTCAACAGAGTGAATGAATGCGATGGCTTTCTCCAGTGTTTCTCGTCCAGTTTGGACGATGCTGTCGGCAATTTCTGAACAGGGCATCCGTCCGGAGAACGAAGCAGACGTATATCCATACGTAACGTTGGCGATGAGCTTGAGTGCCAACTGTCTGTTATTCAAAAGTCGTTGCAACATCGTATCATCTTTGTCGGCCTTCATACCAGTCTTGACCATCACTCGAGTCTCGAGGATCTCTGAGAGCATTTTGGCCAATAATGATTGACGCGCTTCCTGGTTTGCATACATCATGCCGTTGGGTGCGATATTGATCTTGTCTTTGAGTAACTCCAAAAGCCTTGGCTGTCGCTGATAATCCTTGATACCCATCTTGTCCCTTCCACGCCAATGTGCTGCTCTGCCAAGGAACGTCGAATAACAGTAATTGTACGCAATCATGACACTCGGGTACAGTGATTGAAAATCAAGTACCAGCAGCGGACTTGTGTAGAAATCACTTTGTGGCTCCATGACCAGTGGCAGGCATTCCAACGCATTTTGCTGTCCGACCTGCTTTTTGCTCGGTGAAACTAGCAAAAAGTTCTCTGGTTTTGCGATCCGGAACATCAAAGACTCAACTTTGAATTGCGAGCCTCGAGACATCACTGAGGCAAAATCGATACCTAGCAATCGTGCTTGCTCACTCGTTCGTGGTGTCAACTCATTGCCCTCAAGAATTTCCAAATTCAGCTGCACACGTGAAATGAAGTAATCCATGACCTTGAGTAGATTGCGAGGCTTCCCGCTCTGGTACCACTGCGTCAGGTCCCGAGGAGAATAGTGGGGAATGCGACGGTGTAAGAGATGGAAGACGACATTTTCCATTGTATACTGCAGCAGGTTCAGCTCTCCTTTCATGGCGCGCCAGATGTTGAACATATGCCGGCCTGTGATGGTAATAGAAGATGAATGGTCGTGTCCCCATTTATTTGCCTCCTTCCCAAATCTTCCATGGGATTGAGACTTGGTCCTGGACAGCTCCTCGCAGATATCAAAGTCGTACTTCTTGCGAGCCCGTTCTATCACATATCCCCAGGAGGCATTGTGAACCTCGTACCCCGTGATGATGTCTGGATCATAGTACCGAACAATGTCAACCAGTCGGTTTATCAAATCCAGCTCGGTAGGCTCATGCTCCGCTTCAACTGTCAACACCTTAGATATTTTGTCTTCTGGCCTTTCTCCTTCACCTTGATAAATTATCCCAACATGGACGCCGGGAAGATGGCTATTGACCTCGAGTTCATCATCTTCAGATTGGATGCACCAGAACATGCATGTAATCTCATCTTCCTCGGGGTTTGCCAAGAGGGTTCCGCGCGTGTTCACATGCACTTCCATGCTCATCGTGCTCATATATTGAGTCTGATGCTCCACACTGGTGGACTTTCTTTTCTGTGAGTATTTGAAGCCGTGTGGGTTCTTTTGCGTGGGGCCTTCTATCTGCGAGAGAGCCTCTGGTTTTCGTTCAATGGGTTTTGGGTGAATGGGCTCTCCCGAGACGGACGCTTGAGAGGCTTCCATGTCCTCGAACCACTTGCTAACTTCTGACCGGCTAGGTGGAAGAGGAGCAAACTCCCAGACTCTCGCAGAACACTCTTCTCGAAGCTTCTGATCAGTTCTAGCTTGTTGTTCCTGGTTATAGGTTGTGGGTAACTGTTCGCCGAACATTGCAGGAGCCTCTGCTGTAGTCTCAAAGTCGGGGAGGTAGTGAATGGTGTCGCTCTCCAGCCGGAACTCTCTGCCGCCGTATTCTCTCGGTCTGTCAGGAACATCTGTCTCGTCACTGTAGTACGCTTTCTGGTATACAACGGAAGGGCGCCCATAGTCATTTATCGTTGAAGCAACCTTCTTCGAGGTTGGGCTTGCGAATCTGAAACAACTCAAACGAGTGTTTCTGGAAATATTAAATGCGCTATGAATGTTTCTGATGGTCTCGGCAAGATGTGGATCGAGTGAGATTGGCGTCACTGTTGAAGAAGAATGTAGATCTGAAGAGCTCGCAATTCCACTGACTTTACTTGAAACTTCAGGGGTAGATCCTGAAGGCAACGAGCTCGAAATCTGTAGGGAGGAATTCGAGCCCTTCTGGGAGCATTGGCCATCTTCCTGGCTGAACCGCATAATGGTCAAAGGATCATTGGGATCTTTAACAACCGGATATTTCAGCCGGCTATTATGACTATGTGATTTCGGACGGACCGTTCTTTGCGAGGAAGATGACCTAGGTCCCGATGCAGTTCCAGGAGGCGTGCCAAGTTCGCCCTCAAATGAAACTGTTTGCTGTTTTTGGCCCCCATCGTGAGTTCCCCCTCGGCTGTCGGGCTTCGCGCCATTGGTAAGAGGCCTGTGTTTTTTATTCAGGGGGTCGTCTGACTCGAAGGTCTCGAAGCGTTGCCTTTTGTGGGCGACTGTTCCGCTATGGCTGTAATGCCTTGGTCTCGATTCGTGAGATCGGTCTACCTCGTTCGAAGACGCTTCCTCGACTGTCTTGTTTGATCCTGTTTTCAAAACATTCGATTGGGCGAACTGCGTGGGTGCCGAAATATCGGGAAGGGGGAATTCGTCGAATACTCCATCGTAGAAGCTATCGCCTAAGGGTCCCTCCTCCTTCAAGTCGGGTTCGTGTTCCGTTTCTTCGCCCGAAACCTCGCCTCCACTGTCATCAACTGAATGATATTGTCCATTGGTTTGGGAGGACAAAGCAAGGCTCTCATCAACCGAGATTTCTGGCGCAGTCTGTCTGGTAGATTCTTGGTATTGAATTTCACCAGAAGTACTAACACCGATTTTGCCAGGGTAAAAATCTTCGACACTATCCAAAGTTGTCTTCACGTTTTTCTCCTGATCCTCAATATCAAGGAAGGTCTCAAATGAAATCTCTCTGTTCCCATCCTCGCGTTTCTCGTTGGCAATAAGTTCTGAGGCCATCTCACGGAACTCTTCCTCGTGTATCCAGCCTCCCCTCGATTGATTTCTTGGGTCCGCAGACATTGAAATCAATTCTTCGGGTCCAAATGGAGTACTGCCAGGATCAAGTATGCCCATCCTCCTCTGAAGTCTGCGAGTTTCATCCTGCCATAATCCAGCCATGCTCGGAACAAGTCGCTCGTTGAATGCAGCCGGTTTCAGTAGCTCGGTAAAGTCATGATGTAGCGGTCGTTCTTTGATATCCAATCGGTTCAGAATGTCTTCTACGCAGATATCGACCTCTAGCGGACAATTGCTTTGTTTCTGAAGTTCAGGGTCCTGAAGAATACTCTCGGGTCGGATTGAACGGTCGTGCCAGCGATGATCGAGATTGCTGAGTTCAAGATACTCAGGCACCGGTGCTCGAAACTTCACATTGGCACAATTCATGATGGCGCATCCGTACAAGTTATAGTCACACATCCATTGCGGGACGTATTGCATGTGCGCCTCGTACGGTTGGAGGGGCTGTTTTAACACAGCTCCCTGGTGCAGAAGATCTTCAAGGCGATTCATATGCCATGGGTTCAAGAGGTAGATTTTAAAGAAGAACCGCCATCCCACGTGGTATCCATAGAATGGAACACCTTTCACCAGGGTGATATGCGCCACAAAAGCGGTCCTTCGGTCGTATGCATTCCGACGGAAGCTGATAGCCAGGGCATGGTCGATCGAGAGATGAAGACTTCGGATCGCGGAGTTCACTGAAATATTTGTGAGTCAGGAGATCAAGGCAAATGCTGCTATACAATACGAACCGTCTTCTGGTGCCAATGACCCATTGTATTCAATATAGAGATATGGAAATGCGCCATGAACATGAACGCAGACTCGCTGCCCTGTTTCAGTGGCACCAAAAACCCGAATTACGGGCACCTTGGGCTTGTAATCTTTCTCAGGCCCGCCTACGCGTAAAGGTAGCGGAGGGTCTAATTCCGACGCGGTCGCCTGATAATGATCGATACAGTTGAGGCGCACCTGAAATGGCTCCATCGCTGTGGTATATGGCAGTCAAAAGCCACAGCGACATTTCGTATGCGCCCACTTGTTATTGCATGAAGGATGTTTGATATTTGATTGAAGAACGCGATATCTTGAGGTATGCCGAGCCAATAAACCTAGAACGCGCGAGACGCCTGATCACGTGCACTATCAATTCTCCAGCCGCCAAGCTTCGTATCGCAACCTCACTTTCTCATTACATCGGCAACAGCTGCAAGTGGCTGGCCTATTTGCAATCCACCATCTCTCTTTTCGAATTTCTGCTCTGTCTTCTTTCGGCCTACCAGCACCATGTCACGAAAGCCCGCGGATGTGGCGGCGAAAGAGCGCAACGAATACATTCCCGCTTTCATCTCGAAGAAGCCCTTCTACGTCGACGATGATCAAGACAATGACTACCTCGAGCATCAGCGTCTCCAAAAGACGAGTGCTGACCAATCTAAATGGTACGATCGAGGCAAGCGCGCAGGCCCGGCAGCCACGAAATACCGCAAAGGCGCATGTGAAAACTGCGGCGCGATGACGCACAAGACAAAAGACTGCCTCAGCCGACCCCGAAAGCATGGCGCCAAATGGACTGGTAAAGACATTCAAGCTGATGAGCTTATTCAGAAGGTTGACATGGGATGGGATGCCAAGAGAGACCGATGGAATGGTTACGATGCTAGCGAATATCGCCAAGTTGTCGAAGAATACGAAGAGATGGAAGCACTGAAGAAATTGGCAAAGGACGAGCAGGCTCTCAAAAAGCTCCAGAATGATGAAGATGGCGATGATGGACCCGAAGAAGATATTCGGTACGCCGAAGAGTCCGACATGGGCCGACAGCAAAGCACCGCAACTCGCAACCTACGCATTCGAGAAGATACCGCAAAATACCTGCTCAATCTGGATCTTGATTCTGCCAAATACGATCCCAAGACACGCCGAATGGTAGACATGGGCGCGCAGGATGACCAGGCATCGGCACTTGTTGCCGAGGAAAACTTTATTCGAGCTTCTGGTGATGCTGCGGAGTTTGAGAAAGCTCAGCAGTATGCCTGGGAGTCCCAGGAGAAGGGTCACCCACAACTTCACATCCAGGCCAATCCAACCTCCGGAGAAGTTCTCAGAAAGAAAGAAAAGGAGGATAGTGAGGCTAAGCGCCAGGCCCATCGTATGGCCCTCTTGGAGAAATACGGTGGTGGAGAGCACTCACAACCAAGTTCGCTGCGCGATACTATGGTTGTCGAAAACGAGCGCTTCGTTGAATACGACGAAAGTGGTGCCATCAAGGGCGCACCCAAGAAAGCCACCAAATCAAAGTACCCTGAGGATATAATGGTCAACAATCACTCTTCGGTCTTCGGTAGCTGGTGGTACCAGTTCCAATGGGGATATGCTTGCTGCTATTCCACTGTCAAGAACAGTTACTGCACTGGTGAAGACGGGAAGAAAGCCTTTGAGGAAGAGGGCAACATGTTACGTATGCTCGAGGCAAATGCAGAAACTGAGCAGCATGTTGATGACGCGGATGTCTCTCACGAGTCTGGCCAAAAGACCCCGATTGAGGAGAAGGAACCAAAATCCAATGCAAAGAAGCGAACCCTGGAAGAACTTCAGTCGGGTATCACGGAAGAAGAGCTTGAGGCTTATAAGCGAAAGCGGCAGGCTGCTGATGACCCGATGGCCAACTTCATCGGGAAAGATGATTTCTGATATCTTCATTCTGCATACATTTGCATGGGCGTTCGGATGTACTAAAATACCCTTTTCATATGCTGTTAAAACTGTAAACAAATGCATCATGTTAGTCTATAATTAGACATTGCCAAGTAGTGGATTATGATCGAGCCATACTACATACAATGAGCATTCAAGAAAACCCGCATATACAAGCTGGAAAGTAGTTTAACATATACCCGTCACGTGATATTATGTGAAGCACAGACCACCTGGGCATGCATATGGGTTCCACTTTGGGTTAGACTGATTCCAGGTCACGGGACAGGGTACAAGCCCTACCGACCGCACTCGCTTAGCAACACATCACCAGATCTCGGGAAGTTTTGATACGCCTAGCGACGACGACACCGACAACCAGCCCCTTCAACGGAATCGCCAGGTACGTTCGCATGCCGTTCCTTTACTCTGCGTATACTCTACTTGTGAATTTGCTAACGTCGTCTCTCTTCTGCAGTTCCATAATTCAAAATGAGTACGTCCGATGTCGAAATATCTCACCGCGATCCTACGCAACCTCGAATCTACTGAAACTAACAACCACTACAGCGAAGGGTACCTCAAGCTTCGGAAAGCGCCACAACAAGACGCACACTCTGTGCCGTCGTTGTGGTACGTATCAACTCAAATTTTCACGATCCCTCTCCCATCCGACCCGAAGTCGCAAATTTCTTTGTTCTTTGTCGAAATACAGAATTGGCGACCCCGGCGAAGACTTCCACCCAATATACACAAGGCAGAGAGCTAACCGGTGATATTTCCTCGACTATAGGCAAGCGGTCTTTCCACATTCAGAAGTCCACTTGTGCCAACTGTGGCTACCCTGCCGCCAAGACCCGCAAGTGTACGCAAATACCCCTCCCGAAGACTCTGGTGACATGAGATGGGCCATTTTTTTGGAACACGGACACCAAAATGAGAGAACGCTGGCTTACATGGAATTTTTTCGATCAACAGTCAACTGGGGTGAGAAGGCTAAGCGCCGCAAGACCACCGGCTCCGGCCGCATGCGCTCCCTCCGCGATGTCCACCGCCGCTTCCTGAACGGCTTCCAGACCGGTACCCCCAAGGGTGCCCGTGGCCCCGAGACCAACTAGATTCCCTTTTCGTCCGCTCGGCGTCGCGTTTTCGTTTTCGGAGAGGCTGGAATAGGAATGAGGGGAGGAATCCTGGCATGACATGAATTAGCATTACGGGCTAGCATTACTCGAAATGCAAATGGCAGTTCCGGAATCTTATCGCTTTCCCTTGGAGTTGGTGTGTGCAACTGTCGATCTCGTCTGTTTCTCTTTGTCACGCAAAGGATGGCGAAGTAAAAACTTGCGAGACGGTGGGCAAAGTTTCGTTGGAGGGGCTCTTCTCTATGGAGAAGAGCTGGATTAAAAAACATGGGAAAGCGTGCATGAATTTCCTTTTTCCTTTATGACTGGCGATTATTCCCATGTCGTGACAGATACAATGTGAAGACTCTTCCTAACGTTTCACGATCTGTTCTCCCAGTATGAGGCCTAACGTTTCACGATCTGTTCTCCCAGTATGAGGTGTTGACTATGCAGAGGAAAACTTGTCGACGTTCAATGGCTTTTTCGTATTTTGAAAGTCCACCTAATCTAAGAGTATACAGCTTCGGATTATGATTCCCCACGACCAAAAACACTGACGCCACCATCCCGTTGAATGAAGTAGAGAACTTCCTTCTCTTCCAAGCTTTCTTCTTCGCCGGCACTCCATCCGCCACCTCGACTGATCCTCAGCACCCCACTCACATCTTTCGCGGCCCCAGTCTCCAGAGTGCGGAGTTGCATTACCGACCTAGCCCGATGCGCCAACCCAATAGCGAATGCCGCATGTTCCGACTCAATTGTTGTAGCCAACTGTCCTGCCGATACAGATGCATTATGTATCAGCGGGGCATCCGTAGCCAGCGTTAGGACCGTAGCGTGTGCATGCTGTCAAAATCAGTCAGTCATGTAACTTGTTATACTTCCAGTTCCTCCAAGGATGTGTAATCTTACCTGCTGTAGCCCTGTGACCCACTCTGCCATCTCTGTAGCTCCAATACCCATGCCTGGTCCCGTCGCAGCAAGCAATAGGTCAGGCTGGTCTAGAATGAGAACTAGCTCCTCTCCATCCTCCATTGAAGATTTTTGCTGTTCAATAACAGACATGATGTCCTTCTCCATTAGGTCAAGGGCCGCGAGGCCACGGCCAGTGAAATGCAGCTTTTTCGCAATGCCCGGCTCTGCCTGGGCTCGCGTCACTTGGAGATTGCCTCTCGGGGCTGTCGCTGCTGGTGGCGGTCCCCTTCCAGGCACTGCTCCTGGTGGAGAGCGGAGAGGAAGGGTTGTGCGGGGGCTGCTCCCAAGAGCAGTCGGGGAGGTCTTAGGAGTGGCTGCATCTGGGGTGTAGAATAGCTCAGATAGACCGTCTATGAATGCAAATTGTTGTTTGTCTGCTAGACGAGCAAGGTCGAGGCCCTATTGAATTCATTAGCACCACAATCGCAGTACATGGGTTAATACATTGGTTATCACTCCAAATCCACCAAATTAATGTTTAAAACATATCATTTCAGGGTCGTTTACAATGTAGAGCTTTCCAAAACTTACCAATCGCTTCGCCTCTGTCTTCCAGAAATCATGACTCCGTAAGAAGCTCACGAGTACCACTTTCTTCTTGATTCCGTTTTGCAGTTCATCTGCGCCAAATGCCGGATTGAGGCTTGGCGAGCTTAAGGCAGCATGCAAGAATCTCAGTACCAACCAATTCGAAGTTGCACCAAGGATAGATGATGCCAATGTCAATGATGATTCGGGCAATGTTGATAGATATGGTGCAAGGAGGGGCGGTAGTGGGGGTTGCGAAGGCATATTTGCGCCTTTGTGCAATGATGATGTTGACTTTTTTGCAGCTTCGGGCTTAGCAGCTACAGGCTTTGATTATTCGCTTGCTTCAAACTCTCGGGTTTCTTTTTTGGCTGTGCTGGTCGAGTCGTGGAGGTGATGAGAAAAAAGTCTGCAGCTTGTGATTGGCCCCTCATCAATCCCGTCATGCCAAGACTTATATCGAGATGATATTGAGTGAATTTGATCGAATCTTGGCGGTTTCTTTCAAATTGTTATGTTTTATTGGAATATGAATGATGCTTCAGCCTGAAATAGTCATTTCCCACTCACAGTCCTCTAATTTCCGGTTGGGATGTGGTACTGTAAGTCTATCGCTATCAAATATATACTTCAAGTAACGTTATGATATATTTGATTTCCCTTGTTTTTACGATACTTCCACCAAGCACTTACTGAATACCGTTAATGGCACATGAAAGTAAGTTCCACATCATATAAAACAACCCCATCAAGCCTGAATTGCCAGAAAGTAACACGATTAAAAAGCCATAGTTTCTGCCTGAGGCACTCATGCGAGTTTTTTACGCATCACCTGACCGCTTCCCCACCATCCCCTCGATGCATCTTATCCGTCGCATTACAAGAGGCTAAGGTAGATCAATGTTCAATTTAGCGCCGATCGTGAGTCTTCCCCCAGTCTTCAAGTCTACTTGATGAGTCCCTCGTGCATGCATATCCCACGCCGGCTGTATCCGTGTGCTATACATCGATACCCGCCGGCGATCCCAGGGTGTTTGCGCAAAGCAGATGCATATAGTAAGATGTCAAATACATCATTTTGCTAACCACCTATGCAGATGACTGCTACTTTTTGTCATGATCAGAGCGCATTGGGTACATAAAACGAGAATCTCAAACTGCCTCGATAAAGATGGCAAGCACTCGTGATTCCCATTCATTTGCAGTATGTATCGATATAACCGTCATGCACAACAAGAGAAACTCTGTCTGACCGTTGAAATAGTGTGATGAATGCCGCTTGCGCAAATCAAGAGTGAGTGAATCTCTCAGCAAGTCCTTCGAGGCCATGCCTTTTGACCTGTCTTTTATAGTGCTCTAAAGAGCGTCCAGTCTGCATGCAATGCAGACAGCTGAACAAGGAATGCATATACAGCCCTAAAGTCAGCAGAAGTCCTTTGACTAGGCAGTAAGTTTTGCGAATTATTCATATGAAAAGTTAACTGACGACTTCAGACATTTGACCTATGTTGAAGATCGCCTCCACTCATTTGAAACAGCATTAGGAAGGCTGTTTCCAGGTGGTGATTTGGATGCCACCCTTCGATCTCTTCTTCAGAACCCGGAGCCCCCCCGAGCTCCCTCATCCAAGTCCTCTTCAAGGCACTCAACCCCGGCCAAGCATGAACCAGAGCGGGCTGAACCAGCACCGGAAGCTCTCCCCCAACAAGCCGATGGCTTTGACTGGGCCGAGAAAGAAATTACCCTTGGTGATTTGACTGACGGCATGGCTGCATTGTCCATTAAACCCGAAGGAGCTGGCTACTTTGGTGCTTCTTCAAGTGTTGTACCACTGCGAGCACTTTTTGATCATGGATTTGATCTCAATATACCTGTTCAGTCGGCTAGGTCCGGGGGTATACCCCTCAAAGCGCAGCTGCTCGAAAGTGCCCCATCTGGACTTATCGAACAAGCTTTCATCGACGCATATTTCCTTAACTATCACACTAGCTATCCATTCGTTCACGAGCCTACATTCAGGGCACAATTCAATGAGCCATCTTTGCGCCCACATGGGACAGCTTGGCACATTCTCCTCAACACCATCCTAGCTCTTGGAGCATGGAGCATTGGCGATGACAGCTCAGACCTTGACATCACATTCTACCAAGAAGCCAGAGGCTACTTACAGCAAGCATCTGTTTTTGAGACTGGTAACTTAACACTGGTCCAGGGACTATTGTTGCTGAGCAACTATGCCCAGAAACGGAACAAGCCCAACACCGGATGGAACTACCTTGGTCTGGCTGTCCGCATGGCCATGAGTTTGGGTCTTCACAAAGAGTTCCCTGGCTGGAAAATTAGCCTGTTGCAAAGAGAGATTCGAAGAAGATTGTGGTGGGGAGTATTCATTTTTGACAGTGGTGCCGCCAAGACCTTTGGGCGGCCAATTCTTCTTCCAGAGGCCTGCGTTATGGATGCAAAGCAGGTCCTCAATATCCAAGATGATGCTTTGACCCCTACAACAACCACTCTCCCCATGGAATGCTCCGGCCCAACTATCTACTCCGGGTTGATCGCTCAATCCCGCTTCCACCTCCTCACCAATAGCGTGTACCAGCGCCTCATATCGAGCCCTAGTCTCACACCGGAGGATACTCTCAACCTACAAAAGCCGATTGAAGAGTGGTATAACGATCTTCCATCATACCTAAAACACCCCCAACTGTCTCTCTCAGTGCAGCCCGCCCCTTCTGACCCCGACTTCGCACTCGTTCGGAATAGGTTGCTATGGCGGAACTGGAATCTTACCATCTTAATCTACAGACCGATTCTTCTGCGCTGGGCAGCCCGACGCTGGGCACCCCACACTAGCAGTAGTCCAGGGACGTCGGAAATAGGAGGCGAAGATCCTTGCGAGACAGAATGCCGAATGCGCTGTCTCCAGAATGCTCGGTTAACCATCTCTTCTATCTCTGAGTATATGGAAAACTACATCTGTACTCGACTAGGAGCATGGTACATGCTGTATGTTCTCTACCTTCCCCTCTAACAAACCGACCCATTTTAACCTCCAAACCAGCTACTTCCTCTTCCAAGCCGGCCTAATTCCAGTCGTCCTCCTAATGACAGACCCATCAAACCCAGAAGCCGCCTCCTGGGTGCAAGACATTGAAACCACAAAGGCCCTCCTAACCCACCCATCTCTCGGCACCAACCGCTTCGCAACCCGCTGCTACGAAGTAATCAACCGACTTCTCGGCCCCTCAGCCCCCTCCGCCCCCGGCATCCTACCAGAAGGAGCCCAGCAGCACGAGGACCAGAAACCTCCTTTCCAAATGATGCCCCAACAACAGCAGAATTTCGTGCCGTTCCCAGGACAGCTGTTTAGTGATCCCAGCTTCGGTGGGAGTTTATTCCCCGTCGAACAGCAGATGCAGATGCATAGTCCCGCCGGAATGGACTTTTCAGAGTGGGTGAATTTCCCGTCAGCAGAATGATTACACAAGTTGAATCCAATACCCTCTTTTCTGGTTTATTTGATGTTACCCGTTGATCGTTCTGGCTATGGTTATGTTGATGTATGGCTCTTTTCTTTTTTGGTGTGTAACTTGCATTGTAGGATGGGTTTGTGGGAATTGATCACCTGGCATGAAATGAACAGCGACAGCAATGGAAATAGTTATTCGGGCAGCATAAGTAAATATGTGAATTTTATGAGATTGAGCATGACGAACAATTGTGTTCCTAGCTTTGGGAGTAAGTAAGTTACACTTGGACAATCTCTGCATGTTGATCAGCCGGTTTGACCAAGTCGTCATCCTCCTCGATGGGTGTTCCGCGTAGCTCGGCCTCGATATTCTTGATGCGTTTCTTTTCCTCGTGGGCGGCTGTGTCACCAAAGATGAGGTCCATGTCTTCGAGAGTCTACGAGGAGCAGACAAGTTAGTGATTTGGCGCGGAAGAGAGTAAGATATCACCAAATGGCGCAAGCAAGATGAACATACCTTTCCTCGTGTTTCGGGAATGCAGAAATAGGTGAACAACAGTGCAAGCAAACAGAAAGCCGCAAAGAAGATGTATGTGCCCCAAGTGATTGATTCGAGCATGTCAGGAGTGACAAGTCCAATGATGCTAGAAGGAGATATCAGCCTGAAGCCAGTATACTGGCAGTCTATCACCACTTACAAATTGCACATCCATGTCGCCGAGGTAGTAATGGATATCGCCTTGGACCGAATTGAGAGATTGAAGATCTCAGACGGTAGAACCCAACCAATGGGAGCTGTAATAGAACCAGTCAATAGGCTATTCAAAAAACAGACCATACCAGAATGAGCAACTCTTACCAAAGGAATAGGAGAAGTTGATATCATAGATGTAGATAAAGGCGATGCCAGCCCATCCAGCCGATTGATTGTTCACCAGACCTGCCCCGTAGCCACCAAGGATACCACCAACAACGACCAGCGAGATACACGTTCCCGTGGCACCGGCCATGAGCAGAGGTCGACGCCCGACTTTGTCGATAAAGAATAGTGCTGGGAGCGTACTGAGACAATTGACGATGCCATATACGCCAGTCGCAAGGAGGGAGGTTGTATTACCATCTAGGCCTAGCTGGGCGAAGACTGTGGGTGCGTAGTAGATGATCGCTATAGAAATTAGACACTATAAGTAAGAAAAAGAGACCATAAGATAAGACTCACCATTGCATCCCATAAATTGTTGGAAGAACATAACAATACAACCAATAGCCAGACGTTTGAAACGGGACCAGGTCGTCACGAAAGACATGTACTTTGCAAAATATTAGTACACCTCAACACCAATGAAGGAAACAGGGTAGTGGGAATCCAAACCTGAGCAACATGCAATTTATACCCAGACAAGTTAGGGAAATGTTCCCTAGCAAAGGTATTCTCTAGCATGATCGAGGCCTTGATCTCAAGATATTCATTCAAAAGAACAGGACTATCTCTCGACTGCCGACGCAGCTTAGAGAGTGCAACGAGCGACTCGTCGTCGCGCTCTTTCATCAACAGCCAACGCGGCGAGTCCGGGAAGAAGAGCATTCCAATCCCCAAAATAACCGCCGGAAGAATCTGTATGGCGAGAGGGAGACGCCATGATGCCTCTGATTGTCCCGTGCAGCCAGACATAGGAACATCATGGTAAGGGTCAAAGGCAGGTCTAGCTGCCGTTCCCCCCGTATAAGGGATACCAGGAGCGCAACGCGTCCCACCAATATAGTTTGTTCCATAATCGATCCAATAACTGACCAAGATTCCAAGAGTAACAGATACTAACAGTCGTCAGTGAGCACGCCCTATCCCAGACATGGACGCTCGAAACAACCTACATTGCTGCAAAACAACCAGTCCACCCCGAATCTCGGGAATAGAGACCTCAGAGATGTACAACGGAACCACCATAGTAAGTTGACCAATCGCCAAACCAGCAATAGCACGACCAGCAAAGAGCATGGGGATGTTCATGGCTGCGCACTGAATAACCGACCCAATGGTAAAGACTACGACGGCCAAATTGATTGACAACTTGCGACCAATTCGGTCCGCGATAGGACCGTTGACCAAGGATCCGAACCAGGCTGCCAGCAACAGCGTCGACACGAACCAGCCCTTGAACCCACTGTCTGAGAAGACACGCGGGTATCGAGCGCCGAACGACTCCATTGTTATGACACCGCTGATGACACCTTGATCATAGCCAAACAACAGCCCTCCCAGGGTTGAGAACTGTTTACTCTTCTGTCAGTGGCCATGGTGTGGTCTCTACGTCCGGATTGGATCTTACCGATGCAACGCCGCAGAGATAGGGATTCTGTAGCACCAATGCAAAGCCCTTGGGCTGCGTATCTGTTGCAGACATGGCAGGCTAGATATTGAGAATTTTGAATAGCTTCGAGAGACGGTTCGTGTCCAACCTTTTATAGACTTCATGAGGTTCAGGCCGAAAAGAGTATCTCCTGATGCAGGAGCACAGTACTCCGTCTTATATAGACAGTCAAGAGTGACATTAAAGAGGAGGGCGGAGTGGTGCACTCCGAGCCCGAATTCAGGGAAGATCTCCGACTTATACTCGGCTTGATATGCGGAGAAGAGTGGGCCGAAGTTAACCTGACTCAGGGCCGACTTCTCTTTCGGACCAGGAGATCTCTGGCCATTGCCTGGTATGAGCCGGCTGTTTTGTGTGTTTGTGTGAGTTTGTTCGCGAGATCTCAACCTCCATGGCTGGACTATATTTTGCGTGCGCGTGTGCAGCACGTGCCCGGGAGTTGGGGTGGAGCTCTCCAGTCTGGAGTCTCGAGTCTGGGGAATAACCGACGATACCCCGTGGCCAGATTCTGTCCAGAATGTTGCCCTGGGAGTCAACCTATTGGCTTCCAATGACGGAGATAGGGGCCGCCCATGAGCGAATTTCTCTCTCATCGGGCCATTCCTGATGTGCGCACATGTGCCACCCAACTCTCTCCCTCTCTCTCCCTCTCTGCACTATTATGCGCATCTTTACCCGACGTTGCTACAATCCTATGGAAGAGTTGCAATCGCCCCTGTCTGTGGAAGGCACCGATACCACATAGGACAGCAATATCCTCCAGATAATGAGAAAGTAGCACGGGGCGGTACCGCTGCCCACACAGTAGTATAAAAACCAACTGCAATCCAGCAATGGATCACACCACAACGACTCGTCGGATCTCGAACTCAAGGGCCTTTCACCGCAACAATGTCCCAAATCCTCCGTATAGGAGTCCTCCTCGTAGGAAGTGTTCAACTCCTCGACCTCGCAGCCGTGGACCTCCTCAACATGGCCACACCAGAGTACCTCAATTCCTCTTCGCTCGCCCAAACCATCGTCCGTATGGGCCGGCCCTGTCAAATCCACTACATAGGCCACGAAGGCGCAGGAGGCATCACCACCGCAACAGCGCAGATGCCTATCCAGTTGACGGACGCACCGGCCGACGAGGCTGTTTCTCCGGGCAAATTGGATATCGTGGTGGTCCCGGGTCCTTCACCCAAAGCCATGCCGCCGGCGGAAGAATATCTCGAGTTCTTGCGCGGACATAATGCGGCGGGGACTTCGATTCTGGGGATTTGTACGGGGGCGTACATTGTTGGGTATTCGGGCATTGCGAAGGGGCGGTATGTCACGGCGCCTAGGTTATTGGTCCCGGCGATGAGAAAGTTGTTTCCTGAGGCGAGGATGTGGGATGATGGGGTTCGGGTTGCGAGGGATGGAAACTTGTGGACTAGCGGTATGACTTGTCTCTTCTTCTCTCCTCTTCTTCTGTTCTCTTCTGATCTTCGAAACCTTCACACTTCTGCACTTGTGCTGCTTGTTCCTTCTTCCGGGCATCTCACATTCCATATGGCACTGATTTGATCTGATCTGATCGTGCAGGCGGCATCACGACTGGGTTCGATCTTGTTCTTGAGTATCTCCGCGAGAATTACCCGGCACCACTCGTCAACGAAATCATTGCCCAAGCGGAAATCACACCTCGGCCAGTGCATTACAGTAGTTCGGCCAATGCAGCATCTGTGCTGTGGCAAATGGTCAAAGCACTTCCGAATACGATGCTTCAAATACTGAGGAAGTGACAAATAAAAGAGCCGATCCAAGATCAGCCTATTCCAATGCATCTCGTAATATATCCCCCCAAACCCCAAACCCCCAGTACGAAGTGAAGTATAAGAGGGTTACACCTCAAGCAAGACCGACGTCATCCCGAGGCTTCAGGCCCTGAATCGAGTTTCTGCACCGTCTCCTCTCCCCCAGCAATGAAACAAGATGATCACTCGATCATAATCCACGTCGTCTCACCACTAGATTATGCATGATATCGACACACAGCCCAGTAGTTGGAGTACGACGAAGCCAACTCCTTAACTAAAAATGCCAACACCAAAGCAAGAGCCCAAACAGAAACAGTCAAAAGAGAAATAGATCCAGATCAAGAACCAAACCCTAACCCAACCCCAAACCCCTTACATCCCAAATCCTCCGTCCTAGGAATACCTTCGTCAGCTCAACCAACTTCAACTTCATCACCTTTCCCAAACACCCCAATTGACACCTCCCTCCCAACCACATCAACAAGTGCGGCTCTCCCAGATCACCCACCACATCCACACCCACACTCCGGAGCATTATATTCACCATTAAAACGCAACCCGCCGATCCTCATCCCAATCCACCCCCCCCCCCCCCCCCCCCCCCAAATCCCACTTACCTTGCATTTCATCATTGTCGAGCCTGTGCTGCCTACACGCGCACTGCACTGCATCTCGCGTTACACAGCATACATCCACGTACCTACTTACGCATACTGCGCCAATAAAGGCCAAAAGAAAGAACAGAAAAGAAAAGAAAAAGAAAAAGAAATAAAACAAGATCGGGGAGGTTAGCCGTGCAATGCTGTTCTAGAACTGTCGTTACTGTTCTGTACTGTACTGTACAGTGCTGTTATCATTCACCAATGGAGGACTCGCCAGCACGCGTCATGTGTACAGTAGATACTGTACTGTATGTTGAACGAGCATGAATCGGGATCGTGTACGACGTTGCTGTGGCTGCGAGGGTTTGGTTTCGATGTTGGGATCGGGATGGGAATGGATTGCGAGGTCGATTCCGAGGTTGCTTCTTATCTCGATTTCATCGGTGAGGTCTGGGAGTGTCTAGACGCCTGTGCGGTCTGGCGGGGAGGGTGGGGGACAAGAGGGTTGGAATGGTCGGAATTGGGTTGGGGATTTGAGTGGGGATGTAAGGGATTTGGGGTGGAGAGGATGATTTGAGGTTATTTTGGAAGATGGCGATGAGGGTTGTGGTTGGTTGGTGGGATGAGATCGCGGTTCGATATGGGATTGGCTTGTCTTGTTGATACCAGAAATAGGATATACGATACTGATACTACTACTGGTGTTGACTGGGGAGTTTGTAGGTAGGAACTTGAACGTGTATTTCTTTAGGTTTCGTTGCTGGACCGATAAGAAAGAGAACAGAAAGGAGAATGTAACAAATCAAGTGGACGCAAGACCCCGGGGCTCGAACGAAGGAAGAAAGGAAAAAAGAGAAAAGGGCAAAACAAACAATCTGGGAGACACGCTCGTACCATGCAACGCACTGCACCACGCTAAGAGGACAATCATAGGAAAAGGGAGGAGAAGAAGATGAAGAAGAAGGGAAGAAAGACAAAGAGATCATAAGAGGCGTTTGATACGCCCATCCAAACCCCGGTTTCAGGGACTGGACTCGGGGAAACGGGAACCAAACCCCGTCGTCCAACCCAAGGGTGGACAAGTAAAGACGAAAGGAATAAAAAACAAAAGCACAAAAAAGAAATCCATCTCGTTAACGCATGGCATGTTTATCGTCGATCATGAGGTTCCCAATGAATTGGTTCAAAGTCCGAATTCTGGAAATGAGCTTGGTTGTAAGGCGAACTATGCAACACGTCAGTGATCACGCTATTATGTCATACAATGTCATCCCACAGGAGGCGAGGTGCTATGGTCTCACTTTTTAAAAGGCGTAGTGACAGGCAGCGATCGACTCAAATTCGGTTTCATAACCAAGGGGTTGAGTCTGATTTGCGGGCCGTCGGATGATCTGCTAGGCAAAGCAGTCATCGGGGGTGGTGCAGCAGAAGGGGGTGGTATTGGTGGCGGCGGCGAGGAGACCGGAAGAGATGGGATTGGCGCATGGGTCTGCATGGGCGACTGGTACATTTCCTGTTGGGGGGACATTCGGAATGGGCTGGTGGGAGTTGGTGAAACTGATGGCATGGGCGACATGGGCGTGGCCATCGCGAAGGATGGATCGGCCATGAGATTTGGGATGGCCATGAGAGAGGAATCGACGTCGAATCCAAGGGGACCTTCGCTCCAATTGGCGTAATCAGAGGTCATGGCGTATTGGTAGTTGACAATCGGTTCCATATTCACATTGGGGTCGGCTGGGTAGAGAAGGTCGTAGTGGCCGGGTCGGTAGAGCAGACGAATTGTCGCACCACTTGGGCTGTGAGGGGACAACTGGTGAGGTGTAACAGCATCGCCTTCACTTCGGTCGAGGTAGAGAATTTCCACGCCAAACCCGGCACCTTCAATGACTCCGTCGACCAGTGCCTGAAGACCAATCTCATCAATCTCCGTCTTCAATGGATCTATTTGCGAGGCACAATACTGCTCCAGCGGCACAGACAAGAAAGCCTGGTATCGATGCGGGTTCAGTCGCATCCAAGAGCTGGTCAAAAGTCTGAAATGAGTAATCACAGCACTAGACGCAAACTCATTATTGAAAGCCTCGGCAAGGAAAGACTCATCGCCCGCGCCGTTTTGAATCGCATTAATCGTCTGAGTAAAGAGATCCTCCGTCGCATCGGTAAAGATCTCATAAAGATGCTCCGAATGCCCAACCTGCTTCAAAAGGATCTCAAGCGACTTGAAGCGAGTGATCTCCCGTTGAATGCGCATAGGGTCCCGCAACGCAAACAACGTTTCAAAATAGCCAAAAGCCACCGCTACAGGGATTCGGGATTAGCATGTCAACACAACCCCACAGAGACAACCCATGCCGGGTTGCACCGGAACGGACATACCTCGCCAACCACAATTGCCATCACCTTTCATGATCCGATACTCTGGGTGGGTGATGGCCAGCGCCTAGATAGCACCTGTTAGACGCGTGACATTCTTCAAGTGGGTGACACAGGGAAAAGGGGGGCAAGAACGAAGCCACGAAAGCTTACATTAGTCTTTGACGAAAGCGCATGGTCTGCATTGGCATACTCCAACGCAACACTCTGGGTAGGCTCCTTGCGTGAGACCAGTGGACCCTGTCGGTGTCAAGTGTCAATGTCAGCGGTGAAGGCAAATCCGGAGCGATTAGGAATTGGTCCAACCAACCTGAACATCGGGTTCGTAGGAATTTGAGAGCTTTTGGAAACGCTCCATCTCATCGGCGGAGAGGGCATTCATGTTGGACATGATGGGATGTAAGTGAGAGTGAGAATGGGAATGCGAATGGGGATGCGAATGGGGATGCGAATGGGGATGCGAATGGGAATACGACGGATGGTAATGAGAATAGTCCGACAGCGAGAGAGCTACTGGAGGAAGAAGAGAAGAGGAAAGAGCGTCCCGATAGAGATGTAAATTCAGGTTCTGCTTCGGGAACGGATGAGAACCAAAGTGATGATTCCAGGGTTTTGATATGGACATCGCATACGAGTGGAAGTCAAGTTTATGTCTAGGGGGGAGTTAGATGGGCGTCCTACATATAAGGATGGAAACATACTCTTGACATTTGGTCGTGCAACACTAGACCCGCAAAGTCGACTTCTATTCACAGTCTCAGCCTGACGATCCAGTAATGGGGGTGTGTGTAGATAGGCCAATCGGGGGGAGGGAGCAACATGGTGAAATTGTGAGATCGGGAGTTTGTGAGTAGGTGTAAGTGCAAGTGTGATTGTATGTGTAAGTGTGTATGTATGTAGGTAAGTGTGTGTGGATAGAGAAACAATCACATTGTAGGATAGGATAGGAATGATGTCAGAGGGGGAGGTTCTCCATAAAAGCAGGAAGCCGAAAAGGGCATCTCACACAGGGATAACCGGAATCAATCTCCGAGAGTTAAACGGGGGAAAGGGTTGAAGAGAAAAAAGGAGAGAGAGAGAGAGGGGGAAATAAAAGGGAAAAGGGAAAGCAAACACACTCGCGTAAACGCCAAACCCCTCGGTCGGTTTACCAATTCCATCGCTTTTCTGTGATTTATTTTTCCCCTACTTTTATCCCCCGATTGCGAATCGGATTCCTTTGATCTAAAGCGGGGTTTGAATCGGTTTGAAGATATGAGCCTGGGAAAAAAAAATATCGTGGAAATCGACGCCTTAACTACGGGATACTAGTCGACCAGGGCGAAAGGCGATGGGATGGCTATCAGCGGCGACCACTGTGTCAACCATCACTTGACGGGTGCTCGGATATTCTGAACGGCTTTCTTTCCTTTTGGTGATGGTGATGAGCTGAGGGTATCACAGGCTTCCATGTCGGTATTTCAAGGAAATCGAGATCTGTGCATCGAGGCCTCCCAGGAGACAGGTCGGATCAGACAGAGGCCAATAGAAACAGGTTCAGCTGTGTTGTCGGTGCGTCCACATAGCATGCAGCAGGAGGGCCCTCCCCCCCCCCCCCCCTCTCCCTCCCTCCCCATCCGATGTAGGATGTACCTGAGCTGAATCGAGATAAGCCCAAGTGTACATGGGTGCATTTCTTTGTTTGCTAAGGCCTAGGCTCATTCTCGCAGTCATGGATGGCGAAACCTTGAGCATCCTTACGTGAGACGACATCAAGATCAGAAACGACAAAACAAGAACGGGAAACCAGACCTCGGGAAGTCATCGCCATGGAATAGATTTAGCGTCTTATGTCAGAGCAACTCTAAATAGCGGGTCTAAGAGAAATTCAGGACGGGCAGAATGGGAAGATGGGAATGGAAAAAGAATAAAAAAAGATCAGAAAGACTCGCGGCTCAACCGCAGGTACACACACCGGTGGAAGATCCCCCAAGGCTGAGCTTAGACCATTCTGGACGCAAGCGTCTGCTTAGCCCTATCCTTGCGACGCCCCGATCTCCCCTCATCGCCATACCCAGCAAACATCCCCCCGACTCCCTCCTCGGCGCGCAATCCCTCACCGTTCAATGTTGTTTGCCAGAGGGTGCGCAGCGCCGAGCTCCACTCGCCGACAGCGCGCAGCCGCTCCACGTCACTGGCACTCTCCACCACCACGGTGCCGCTATCCTGGTCAATCTTGGCACTGAGTTTCTTGTCGAGGATGAGGAAACTCAGAATTTCCAGGACCTCGGAGACCGAGATCTTGATGTGTTTGGAGATGAACTGCAGCGAGAAGCGGGTGTAGGGAGCGATGAGTTTGAGAACAGCCTTGGTGCGCATATTGCGGCTGACCTCGTCGATGTTCTCGGCGATAAAGGGATCTGCAAGCACGTCGGGATGTTTGCTCAACACCGCCTCGTATGCATGAATGTCGTCCCGCTGGAATGCATCGACCAGGTCTGTCATAGCCGAGATACGAGGGTCATTTTTGTAAGGCTTGGTCTCTTGCGAATCGAAGGGGTTGATATCGGATTTCATCAACATGGTCGTTAAGACCAGGTATTTGAGGACTTGGATTCGTTGCATGGATCCGGCTTCATCGTAGTTGCGGAATGATTCGAAGAAATCACTTTGAGCTTCCTTCCAGTTCTCCTCACTCATGTGCATCTTGCCTCCGCATTCACGAATGATTCCCATGATCTTGGGATGGGGCACTGCCGACCGGACTCGGAGGGCCCGTTGATACAGGGCTTTGAGGCGCTTATTATTCTTTGTCTCGGCAAACATCTGGATCTCCAGGGCGTATAGCTCGAGGAGGTAGGTTCCCTTGCTGGTGTCGTCCGTTCCGTCCTCATGTTGACATGCCCTGTGGAGTTCTCGCATCTTTTTGCTGAGCTGGGTGTATTGCTTGCGTTCTAGCCATAAACGGGCCAACTTGATGTTCGTCTTCAGCCATAGGCGCTCGTTGTTTGTGTTTTGGAACGATTGGAGGGTCAGGGAATAGAATTCCTCCATGCACTGATATGCTTCCACCTCGTCGGACCCCTTTTCAATGTAGTCGAGCATGTTATTGATGGACTTTTCGGAATAGTTTCGCGTCACGGCGGACTTGACATATGTGAGGAGTTCGCGATAATGTTTGACGGCCTGGCAGTCAGAGGTCAGTATGCTGACAACAGAGCTATCCAGATAGACTCACATCGCTGTATCGCCCGAGTTTGAATTCCAGCTTAATAGACTGCTTCAAGCCTTTGAATCCCCTATGTGCAGTCAGCGCCGGTCCTGGCGGTCACTGCCATGGGCCAAACCAAGTACCATTCGCTTTTGTCCTGTTCCATGGGCGCAATGCCTAAGAACTCGTCTATCGCCTCCTCCGGATTATCAACCTTGGTTTGTTTGGCATTGTAATATTTGTTCTCGATCCCGATATCCCCAGTGTCATCGTCGTCGGCGTCTTCGTATTCAAAGTCATAACTGCGGAGGTTAGCGCGGTCAGGCGGAGCGGAGCAGGGGCGGGATTACTCTTCGTCACCGGAATCTTGCATAAAATCATCATCGTCCGACATATTGGCGGTCGTAACTGAGAGTAAGGGAAGATAGGATTTAGAGTCGTAGAGTGGATGGGTCGAAGTGGTGGGGGGATGTTGGAGAAAGCTTGGATAAGTTACAGCTGCCAGCTTCCGCCTTGACCTTTACCTGGAGACCACATTTGACTTGCGCACTCTGCTTGTTTGTTATTCGGGGTTTCTATTGCTTTGTGATATTGTTCTTATTCTACCGGATATAAATATTATTGTCTCTTTTCATTGGACCCGGTTATTCGAATGTCTACTTAGCTTAAGTCTAGTTCATGCACCGGTGTCTGAAGTAGATTCTAGGCCGGCCATTATGTAGCCCAAGCAGCTCAAGTCCTGAACATAGACCATGTAGAACTGCGCAATAAAACACAGGGAAATGATCCGAATTACTCGTAACCTCAGGGGTTCGGTATGTTGATGATCTCGACATACCTGATATATTAATCGCCCCTAAAGATCAAGCTTAAATGCGATCAAGCAGGAGAAGCCAAGAGTCAGATTGCCGTATCGCCTATAATAGCAGTCTACAGCACCCATATGAGCGCAGCCGTACGGAGTAAAGATTATAGAGAAATGAAGTGGACCAGGGGGCTTGGAACCCTCGCCGATCCCTAGGCGTCATCGATGAAATCTGCTCCCCAACTCAACTTAACTTGTTCAACTCACTTCTCTCCTCTCTTTTTTTCCCTCCCATTTATCATCACTCCCCCAAGATGCAGCTCTGTGGCCGCCAAAAGCTCGTTCAGCGCAAGATGGTGCTGCTGTTAGTTGCCCCCCATTCTTATCGCAAGTCGCAAGGCGCAAACCAGATGCAATTGAACTAACGGATGAATAGAGGCGATGGAGCCTGCGGCAAGACATCGGCGCTGAACGTTTTTACTCGGGGGTGCGCATTTCCCCTCACCTGGCATTGATGGCATGACATAGCTGACTCCCCGTTTTAGTTTCTTCCCAACCGTCTAGTAAGAGCGTCTGTTCGGTCCCGGGTTATTTGATTCAGGTTTATTAACTATTGTCTCTTCAATTTACAGTGAGCCGACTGTTTTTGGTATGCGCTCATTCTCCAAACTCCACCTAGTGTTCGCTACTAACCTTTGCGATAATAGAGAACTACGTGCACGGTATTACTCCCTCAAGTCCCTCTATTCGCTCAATGCGATTCTAATGCGCGCTTTAGATATCTTTGTCGATGGGACACATGTGGAGCTGTCTCTCTGGGATACTGCGGGTCAGGAGGAGTTTGACCGTTTGCGCGCGCTTTCCTACGAGGACACCCATGTTTTGATGCTATGCTTCAGTGTAAGAGAATCTGTCGCTGCAATGACACAAGCAAGAAGCTAATCGTGGGGGTGGATAACAGGTCGACAGCCCCGACTCATTTGAGAACGTATCCTCCAAGTGGATCGCCGAAATCAACGACAATTGCCCGGGCGTGCGTGTGGTTCTGACGGCCCTCAAGTGTGATTTGCGCAAGGACGACGACCAGAACGATACCGATGCCATCTCGTTCGATCAGGGCCTTGCCAAGGCCAAGGAAATCGGCGCCGTGAAGTACCTCGGTGAGTGCAGTTCATATTCACCTCTCGTCGTGTGAGACTTGCGCAGAGCCCAGCTAACTCCAGTACCATAGAATGCTCCGCCGTCCAAAACAGGGGCATCAGAGAGAGCTTCTACGAAGCAGCCAAAGTCGCCATGGAAGTCAAGCCAACCGGAGCATCAACCTCCAGCCAGCAATGCGTTATCCTCTAAATGGGATTCGATGCCAGCACGCCCGACATGCATAGACCCCTGTCTTCTCTTCTTTTCTCTTCTCGCGTCGATTTATCGGGTATCTATGGCTTCTATCATATCTTTGAGTTTCCAGATATCCCGTCTTCGCAGCCCCTTTTCCTTCCCGCTTTCCGTCCTTCATCGATTCCCCCATGCATTTAGTGTTATGAGCTTGCCTAAGTCTTGTGTTCACTTGCGCGCGATTAATGTTTTGTTACTTCTACTTCTATCCCCCTCCATATCCAGTAATCAGTGGTATGGAGATTCGGTGCTCTACATGGCTCTTACAGGCTTATGCGGTTTTACAGCATTTCAGCGAGGTTGGTTCTCGTCTTTTTGATCCGTTTACAGATATAATACTGTTGGAATTGTATATGTCAAGATTAATCAATCCATGTTTGCTTTTTTACCAGAGCTCCTGCTCCATGCTCATCTTCATGCCGCTTTACCATACCACCTGAGATACCTCAGAAACGGGGTTGCCAATCAACCGGATCCGGGACTCCATACGTCGTATCTTTCCTGCTGGTAATAGCTAAGTTCCGGTGGCAATCATCTGTCATACCGGCCTACTGTATACTTTTAACCATACATCGATATCCCGGTGGTAAGGTTCGCAACAAGACTACCCCTTCACAAAGCAGTCCGACTTGACATGCAGGTCCCCGTCGGCTCTGACATGCATACAGTCATGATCGGGGGTACCCAGACAGATCATTGGCTCAGTACCACGACATTGTCATGCCTGCAGAGTACTGTATGAAACCAAGCAGCAAAGCTATGAATGAACCAATAGCAAAACGAAGAAAGCAAACAGGGAAGAAACTATACGACATCTATCCCATCTATTCGAATTAACTCCCTCATCCAAAGTAATCATACAAATCAGCACTGTATACTGTATAACATCCCCAAAACAGACCACTGCCTTAAAGTAAATCCTCCTCTCGAACCCGATAAACCTCCTCAATCCCCTCCCCCAAAGCCTTCTCCCCACAAGCAAAATCGGCATTCACACGCTCCACAAACCTCGCCACAAACGCATCCGCAACACTATCAATAGAAACACCATCTCCCTCAACCCCAACTCCCTGCAAACTAGTAGCCTCCTTCCCCTCCAACCCACAAGCAACAATCTGCCTAAAGAACCACATCGGCTCTTGCGTCACATTCAACCCAATCCCAAAAGAACTAATATTCCTCCTCAGATGCACGCCCACAGCAGTAATCTTCTTCGCCACCCGCTCCGCATCCCCAGAGGCAGTGTCTCGCACCCAAACCCCAGGATCCTCCGTCGTAAACCCCCGAACCCCGAACCCGTCCAGCAGATCAATCACACTATTCTCCAAGACGCGAATATGGCACCGAGGCGTCAGCCCAAGTCTCTTTAGATCGAGAATCGTGTATGCGACCATCTGGCCGGGTCCGTGGTAGGTGGTCTGCCCGCCGCGGAGGGTGGGATGGTATTCCGCTAGTGGGGGGCTGCCATTCGAGGCCCCGGTGAGGATTGAGCGGATGGGCTCGAGGGCTGGGGGGAGGGATAGGGGTGTGTTGTTCACGTTGCTTGGTGGGCTTGTATTTGAGGGGGGGAGGTCGCGCCGGCCTGTGGTGTAGACTGGGTTTGGGGTGAAGGTGATTATTGTTGGGTCTGGGGGTGGTGGGGGGTTTTTGGAGAGGGTGTTGGTTGGGTCGAGAGGATCTTGAGAAGAGAGGGAGCCTGGGGAGACTAGCTTTTTGTGTGTTAAGAGTCTTGTTGTTAGGGTTTGTTGGAGGTGGGAGACTCGGGCGAAAGGTGTTGTATTTGGGAGGTGGAGGTGGGCGAGGCGCATTTTTGGTAGTTGTTTTTTGATCGGAATTTGGAGATTTGGCTTTGATGACACTTTTTCGGTGTGATTGGAGGTTTGAAGTTGAGAATTAAGGTGGAATCTGTGTCAGCGCATGAAGGTTGCGTTTCCCGAGGAGTGAGAGGTTTTGCGGAGAAGCTGTGAGCTTTGACTCCGATAAGGTTTGATAGCCGTCATCGTCGACCTCAAATGTGTTATTCTACCTGGGCACTCTGTACACTATGAATGTGAATGGATGTCTCACTTGATTGTTGTGAATTGCTTGGCTTGTGTTTCTTATTTCATATTTTCTATTTATCAGGTCAAGCCAACCTAGCTATTTTACAAGCGCAGCCGTGCCGAACTGGATAAAGTATTGAATCATTGAACAACTGCTGGACAGACAACTTGCAACTTTTGAAATGCCAGAAGAACAAGTTCGAAAGGGAGCGACGCCGTTGACCAGATACCGGTGATGCCGAAACATTATGCGGAAACTCCATTAACCAGCTCAGCATTCTGACCCTCGGCCGGGAGCAAAACCCAGTCACGAACACCACCCTTCCAGTCCGCAATACGGCCCTCGGTCACACGAACTGTAACAACCCGCACATCAGTATCAATAGAGATACTAGGCCGTCTAGCATGGGGATCCTGCTGCTGCTGGCCAAACAGAGTGATCTCCTCCTCCTCAAAGGTATTATTCTCGAGGTGACGCTCCTTACACCACGACTCCTCCTCGGATCCAGAGTCCAAGAACCGGGCCTCACCACAGATAGTGGTGGAAATACTGGACAGCGCACTCGTGTTCAAATTGAGCAGCAGGCTGGCCAGAGACGACCGGGTCGCCGCGGGAGGAGGCGATCCCTCGCGTTCCCCGGTTGTAGCGCGGGTCGGGGGCCGATGTGACACCCAGTCGTGAACCAGCAAGGAAACGCGCGGGTTGGACAGCAGGTGGTTTGTTTTGCGCGATGCGGGGTTCGTGGTCATAATGATGGTGGGGTGGGGATCGTAGGGTGTCGAGGGGAGATAAGTATAGGACATCAGTGAGATATGGGGAGTTTTGTCATCGCATGTTGCGAGATGGAGCTGAGAATCGGGTTAGTTTGTGATTCTTCTCGATCTTCTTGAGCCGGATGTTGGTGGTACCACTTACGAAGCGGGAGTTCTTGAGGCATTGGATCACCTCGGATGGGAGGGATGTTGCGACATGAGGGTGGGTGGTTGTCGCAGATGCCTCGTAGGACAATGGGGGGTTCAGTGATTCAGCCATGATGCGTTGCTGAAGTGAAGCTTGGTGAAGAGTCGAGATCTGCCGATACTCGGGCGGTGTCTGATTGCCCAATCGCCGGATCGCCGTTGTCCGGAGCTACGTCATCACCTTCGTCTTCGCTATAACACCGTAAGCTATACATCTCTAACGTGATTCTACAGTATTAGGATCTTAGTACTGTAGGCTATGTTTACTAGCCGGAATACCCGCCGTTCTCGACTTGGTTTAGTCGTATGTTACACCTGCGCCTATACACGGAGTGAACGTGGAGACTCGGTTTCAGCATGTGGAGGATACAGGATACAGGATGCACGACTCACTCGTCCTGCCAATATCAGGCCATCGATCACAAGAGCACTGTCTCAAAGGTGTCATGGATACCAATAGACCCAATCATAGCAATCAGAGCTCGTAAGAGCTCTATAACCAAGTCTCAGGTACCCAGTACACATCAGCCATGTCATCATTACCCACATTTGGCTGGGTGATAGGCAGTCACTGGGGCAAATAGTACCAACACAGCCCGTCCCCAGTACCCGATCGACTGGGGGAAGCTCATTTTCCCCGCACATTCGAGCTCAAGTTTGAGAGATCAAATCAATTCACAGGCAAAAGCGGATTACCCTCCTTTGTCGGCAATTATTCCTGGGCTGCATACTTGACTTCCCCCTTCCTCTTCCCTTCTTCCCTCACCCTCACCCTTACCCTTGGCTTCACTCTCCCCTCTAATTTACTGGACTGTCTGCACCCTTCATCTACCCTCCTTGATCACCTCATTGTCGTGTGAACTTGTATTTCGTCATGTTGGCTCCACGCGTAGCCCGCTCAGCAACCTCGCTGTTACGGCCCTTCACCACATCAGCTGTGGCCTACCGATCACCCTCAATCAGAGATGTCACAGCCGATTCGACGGAGGAATTCCTCCGCCGGCAGAAGGAATTTCGCGAGAACCTGGAACAGGCTCGCTTGAGAAAAGAACAACAGGTAGAGAGTCAGTCTGTCAATGCTTCTGTCTCCTCTTCTACCCCTTCCCGTGAGTCCGCTCCCACTGCTCCGAAAGTGAGCAATGCGAGCAGCAATATTCGAACGCGTTCTTTCGATGCTGCGCAAACATTGGATCATATGGCAATGGGCTCACTGTCGATGCACCGTTATCTAGGAGAAGAACATCAGCAGGATGCCGCGAACAAACGGGGCCCTCTGTCCTCGCTCATCTACGGTACCAAGGAAGGCCAACACTTTGACAAGGACATCGAACGCTCCTTTTCGCAAGTGCTGGCGCGTGGTAAATATGTTCACTCTATTGTCATGCACGACGTCAAGCCGGATAAGGTCGATGAATATGTGGAGCTGGTGGGCCAGTGGTATCCACGTATGGCTGGCACCGAAGAGAACCGCGTCAATTTGGTCGGCAGCTGGCGAACACAAGTCGGTGACAATGATACCTTTAGTGCGTATGAAATCCGACCGAGCGATTGAGTGATTCACTGACTGGGTTGTTTGCATAGTCCACATTTGGGAATACCAACGTTACGAAGGCTACCATGCCTCGCTTCACAACATCTCGGAACACCCCGAGTTCCGTGAGTTCGACCGCAAGCTCAAAAGTCTAATCAAAAGCAAGAAAACGTCCCTCATGCAAGAGTTCTCTTTCTGGCCTACGACCCCACCCCGTCGTCTTGGTGGCCTGTTTGAGCTCCGGTCGTACACCCTGCACCCGGGCAACTTGTTGGAATGGGAGACACACTGGCGCCGTGGTCTGACCGCCCGTCGTGAGGTGATGGAAGGCGTGGGTGCCTGGTTTGTGCAAATTGGTGACTTGAACACCGTTCACCACCTCTGGCAATTCGCCAACTTGGAAGAGCGCAAGATTCGCCGTGAGCAGTCTTGGGGTGTTGAAGGATGGGCTGAGACTGTACACAAGACAGTACCTCTCATCCAGACCATGCAGAGTCGGATTCTCGTTCCGATGCCTTGGAGTCCTGTCGGTTAAATTGACAGTGCCGCGTTCGCCCTGACCTTTACGTTCCCTGAGGGTTGATCCCAGGATCTTGAAGCAAATTGTCAGGCAGATCCCCAATATATTTACAACGGGGGAAACCCTCTGCATCTGTATCTTAGCATTGGTTACGAAGCATTCGAAAGGCCGTCTATTTCGTTGATAGAAAGTAGAGTCGCGTAGCCAGAGTAGTCAGGAACCATATCCGGCTGTCGGGTAAAACCCCACTCGTATCCTCGACGATCCTAACTTTCTCGGCAGTAAATGAAGCATCTCATTGGCAAAAGTGCAGAGATCCAAGCGAAGTGTTGAGGGCACGTGTTGCCGAGTACAGGGCCCCTCTCCATGACAGCCATAGATGTGATTTAAACTCGGATCATCCCAAAGGAAAATATAGGAGGAAAAGACACAAAAGAATATAAGGAATCAAATAAACCCCCAAAAAAAGGGTGAAACAAAAAGACGAGTCTCAAGACCAAGTGTCAAGATCTTCAACATCGAATAGTTCCCTCCCCCGGAGACCCAGTTTTCCGCCTACTTTTTTTTCCGCTTTGTTTTCCTCCTTGAAATTCATCCATCGCCTGGACGCATCGCCTGGACACATCGCCTGGACACATCTCCAGTGATATTTTACCCGAGTCGACCTCGAACTCACATCCCGGATCGCATTACAATCGCGCGCCTATACCGCAACCCAGACGCGCCAACCGTCCGTCCCAATAACTTATATGCCTCCAGCACACCAACAACACACCCAATAATCACAGCGCGTAGCTAGTACGCGCATCACAGGGGAAATGGTGTACATCCGACAGAAGCACCTCCCAAACCTCAAGAACTACAAGTACGCGGGTGTTGACCACTCGCTCATCAGTCGGTACATCCTGAAGCCGTTTTACAACAAATGTGTTATCGGCTGTTTTCCCATGGGGATGGCGTGAGTATTCCCTCTCCATCTGTCTCATTGAACTCGTAAGGGAATTGGGCTTGGACTGGCCCTGAAGTTTGAGTCGACCGGGTACCTGGAAAAAGGACCAGGCACAATGCTCAACCCAGCTTCCCTTTCCTTCATTTCTCTCCGATCAATATATACAAGCGCAATATGACTGACTTTTGCCCGCTCTTTTGCTTTGCGCGTTAAAGACCCAATGCCGTAAGTCTTTGCCCATGCGACACATCTCTCCAGTCCAATGCACCCAACTATAAGACTCATGGATTCTAATCTCTTCTCTTGGGTGTATGTTAGATTACCCTCACCGGCTTCATGTTCGTCGTGTTCAATTTCATCACGGTCATGTGGTATAACCCGAATCTCGACACGGATTGCCCGACGTGGGTTTATGCCAGTTGCGCGCTAGGCTTGTTCCTATACCAGACTTTTGATGCTGTAGATGGCATGCAGGCGTATGTGGTGCTCCTCCTGGCTCAGGGAATCTTGACGAATCTAATTCTGGGTATAGACGGAGAACGAGACAGAGTGGACCTCTTGGAGAGCTGTTTGATCACAGTATGTCTATTCGAATCCATATTTGTATCCCGTGAGCAGGACGGATAGCTGACTACTCATTTCAGGTGTCGACGCATGCAACACCGGCCTCGGCGTACTGGTCTTTGCATCAGTGATGAACCTCGGCCAGGGCTGGATGACTTTCATTACCTTGTTCGGATGTAAGCCACGCCTCCGATATAAACCAGCCCAGTGAAATCCCTCTGACAACCACAGCAACCCTTACCTTCTATGTTCAAACCTGGGATGAATACTACACCCAGATCCTTACCCTAGGCGTGATCTCCGGCCCAGTCGAAGGCCTCCTAACCATCTGCACCGTGTTCGCATTCACGGCCTACGTCGGCGGCGGCAGTTTCTGGCACCAAGCCATGCTCCCAACCTTCGGCCTGTCCAAGCCAAGCTTCCTCTCAAACACTCTCTACGAAATGCCCTTCACACAGTGGTATCTCGTCTACGGCTCCTTCGTACTGATCTTCGCAACTGGCTCCAGCATCATGCATGTCATGCAGGTCCGTCGCGAGCGCGGCCAGGACCCCTTCACCCCTCTGTATGGACTGCTTCCCGTCGCTGTCATCTGGACGCTTGTTCCTGCCTACTTGTATCTCCAGCCGGCCATTCTGGAGAACTATACCATTCCATTTGGGCTGTTCGTTAGTCTGGTTTGTGCGTACTCTGTTGGGCGGATGATTGTTGGGCATCTTGTCCAGTCTGGTTTCCCCTACCAGAATGTTCTGCTCTACCCACTTGCACTGGGTGTGTTTGATAGTGCTGGTGCGGCTGTAGGTTTGTGGGAGAACCCCGTACTTGGATATGGTGTCGGCCAGGTTGCGTTTGTCTTCGTTTGCTTGGGCCTCTCTATTGGTATTTATGGAAGCTTTGTGGTACGTTTTCTTTCCTTGCCTCTTCCATCCCTTCTTCTACTTCGCTTGACTACAAATGGCTGACTCCTTTCCCCCCTCTAGTTCGACATCATCACCACGATATGTGATCACCTCGACATTTGGTGCCTGACCATCAAGTACCCCTTCACCGAGGAGACAGAGCACAAGAACGGTGTCGCCAAGAAGACCAAGTAAGGGGACCGGTGTGGGTGCAATCAAGTATACATTTTCGTGATTGATGCGTGGGTGGGACTAGTTCAACACCTCACCACACACTATCAATAGCTTCATTGCTGGGGAATTGGGTATAACCAGTACTCAAGGGGGAAAAGCATGGTTAATGATGCCTGGCTAATGATGTTTTCAGTACATAATTCTTTTCATTTTGTTCGGGGTTCGAGTGCCGATTTAGCGATAGAATATGAGTGTGTAATATGTTTATACATTGTTGTAAAGATCTTCCAAAAAGCTCAAAAAGAGACGTTGAAGAGTAAAGTTACTGTACTGCTGGGCCTGGGTAGGCAGTCTACACAGAACACCAGGGCTACATATGGTGATACTGAATAACTTGAAAGAGCCATTTAAAAGTTCTTGCGTTGTGTTTCATGAATGCTCAGTTTGCAGATGGTCATATCGTCGTAATTCAATTATCCTCATCATTAGTCGTGCTATCACGTAAGGAGAAAAGGAGAAAGCTTGCCGGTCGAATGCAAAGCTTCAATATTAGTACTTCCATCTTGGCTTAGCAAGGAGCTAGCATACTGGACGTGATCCAGTCCCAGTCAGTAAAATCTAGGTTATGTTGAAAGATCATAGATATCGGGGGACAAGTGATCAATGAATTGTACTGCAAATGCGGATCAAAAGATAATCGAGTTGTCTCGAACATGAAGCAAACCAATCAAGTTATTGAATAGACATGATAGACCGAGACGTGATAGACCGCAGCGTGTTGTAGCAAAGTCGAGTTCTTGTATATTAGGGCAAGGAATGCAAACGGAGTAGTAATAGCGAGCCGTAGGAAATATAGTGAGACAAACAATTGTCCAACCTGTTGGAAAGTCAACCATCCCTGTTTCTAGACAGCTGGAGCCAGTGATAGACAGCTATAGAGAGTAAAAGAGAAGTTGAGAAGAGTCGAGTGACTACATACTAGTCGCGGAATGCCTGCTAGGCCCAAACAGGAAGTCTCCACACGGGGAACCAGACATGGCTCTGCTTACATCAGGGCTTACCTGATGGCTTACCTACGGGAGGCCATCGCTGATTGGTGGGAGGTCTGCCGCCTTCCTGAAATAGGACACCAAGCGAGGGCACAAACGGGCACAAACCCTACCACCCCCAAACGGGACGCCCGGTCCAAATCCCTTCAAACTTCTCTTGGAAGACCACCTCATCCGCTACACACAAGGCCATCGCCATCAGCGCCATTAATCAACTATCTCGCTGATCGACTTTCACTCGTCAAGATGGTGAGCCCCCTTTTTTTCGGCCCTGATTTCGACCTTCACGCAAATCCCCATCCACATGGGGGGTCGACTATCATCGAATTTTCACATCGACTAACCACGTCGTCCTTAGGTTCTCGCGGTCGATCTCCTTAACCCCACGCCTCAGGCTGAGGCCCGTAAGCACAAGCTCAAGGTATGAAACAACCGATCTCCGAATACGATACGTGGAGGAAAAGATGAAAACCCAAACCCGAGATGGAAACCTGCACTGGAGACCTGGTACATGGATGCTCTCCGAGCAGAATGGACGAAGGAATACAACAGGACACCATCGGATATCGGGAATGGAAATTCAAGTGGAAATGATCGGAACAAGTGACTGATTCTTCGACTCGACCAACAGACCCTTGTGCCCCAGCCCCGCTCCTTCTTCATGGACGTCAAGTGCCCCGGTTGCTTCACCATCACCACCGTCTTCTCGCACGCCCAGACCGTCGTCATCTGCGCCGGTTGCTCCACCGTCCTTTGCCAGCCCACCGGTGGCAAGGCCCGTCTGACCGAGGGCTGCTCTTTCCGCCGCAAGTAAACGAGAAACGAATGAAAAACTTTTTTCTTGTTATGTTCCGGTTGAAACGTCAAAGAGAATTAGCATGGAGAAATTAGGATGAAAATACCAATCCCGGGGTTGACCTCTTCTTACCTCTTCTTTTTTGATTCGGCATAGGAGAGTTCCTACTTCTTTTAACCCGTCTCTTCCGGTCCCGGGCTTCAAAATGTCACATACCAAATTACCCTTTTTCAATATCACCCTTGCCCCTACGAAAAAAATGGATGGAATATTCTCTTTACAATTTCTTCGACTGGTTGGAATGGGAGGTGTGGATGGTGTGATATGCTTATCTCGCATCTACATCTACCTGCATCTTTGAGAAAGACAAATTTGAATGTGGCCTTTGGGACCCATTGCTCATCCTACTGTTTTCTTGCTCTTTTCTTTTTGCCTTTTCACGGTGATGATTCTAATATCTCAGCGTTGAATTTTTGTGTTTCTATGCATTGATGACGGATAGAAGATGGAATGACCCGCCCTCCCAACGACAACACCAAAAAAGCATTCGACAACAAAAAAAGCAACAGCATTCTGCTCAGGGAGTTCCGGATATCTGACACAATAAGGCACCAGGCTCTTTGGCTTGACTTTGTGCCACGTTTGATGTTTTGATTTCCTGATTTCTTGTGTTTTAAATGTATCTCCGACTTGTATAAAAAGGTTCTAGACTCAATTTAAGAGTTGCACCTTAGCCTAAACCCTGTAGCTTGAGCTTGTAGTCCTGGGCTTGTCGACCTCGAACCCTCGACATAGTTCACTTGTATGATGTCTTTGATGACCCCGGCCTATAGTATTTGGGATCTAGGATCATCACTGGCTGCACAAAACATGAGGCCAGCCTTACAAGTAGTCTATTTTCTTTGGCCAATGTCATGATTGCTTATGTGTGATAGCCACTCTCTGCCTTCCACCACCTAAACTTCACACACAGTACTGTATGATCATCTAGTTCCACTACAGCCTGTCCTACCAGGTGATCATGCGGAGAAACGCCACCCTGGTGTTATACTACTCTCCACAACCAAAGTTGGGTCTAAAAGTCCTGTCATGGAACAGACGATCCATGACATCATGTTTGGTTTTCTGATGATGCGCATTACATGGCATATGCAGATGGAATAGTCCAGAAAAGTAAAATGCGCACTGAGTAATCTCTGCTCCTATCCAGTACTTCTGATAGGAAGCCGGGTGTTTCCCAAGATCTCAAACTTATCCATCCAAGTATCCACTGAGTAGACGCTACAGTCCGTGCACGTCTCTATTTTTCTACTAGACATTGTCAACACAATTCATCTACTGTAGTGTAGATATAGATTCAAAGGAATTAAATAGTCGACAGGGGTATTGAATACGGAGTGTTACTGTTAAGAGTTCACTGTAGAGCACAATGTGTATACCAATATAAACGAACAAAAGCACCAATGCCACCATGCTTTCCAAAGAATATAGAAGCAGAAGAATATCAAGAAGCAACCCTTTATTCCATACCAGTGATGACCCTCATCTGGGCACTAACATCTGTAGCCCTGGAGGTCAAGTCACGGTAAGTCCTGATTTCCTATCACGGACTCCGCCTGCTTATCGCTTATCAGCGAAAAAGAGTCACTTCTCCTCCCCTCTTCCCCAGATGTATAAAAGAGTCCTGTCGCCCAAGGCTCTTCTGTCTAATACCCCAACCCTCCCACCCAAGTTCCACCCCATAAAACAGCATCATCTATCAACAATGGCACCAAACCCCTCCACCCAGCGCCAACCCCTAAAACTGCTGATGCTACACGGCTACACGCAATCAGGCCCCCTCTTCCACGCCAAAAGCCGCGCCTTGACAAAACACATCCAAAAAGCCTTTCCCCTGCATGATGTCAGCACCAGCTATCCCACAGCCCCGCTCCGCCTTCTGCCCGCCGAGATCCCCGGCTACGAGCCCTCAGAAACAAGCAATGAAACCTCCGCAATCGAAGCGTACGGCTGGTGGCGCCGCTCCAACACTGCCAATCCACCCTTATACACAGGCATGGAGGAAGGCCTGGCAACAGTCGCGCGCACCCTGGCCGAGGAGGGCCCCTTCGACGGCGTGATTGGGTTCTCGCAGGGCGCTGCGCTGGCTGCGATGGTTGCGTCGCTGCTGGAGCCTGGACGCAAGCGTAGCTTTGAGCATTTCGAATCCGTTACTGGCGAGGGTGGTGTGTCGGGCATGCCGTTCCTGGAGTCTTTTGCTGAGGAGGCGGGGTTCAAGCATCCGCCGCTTAAGTTTGCTATTTGTTATTCTGGGTTCAGGGCGCCTGGGGCGAGGTATCGTGGCTTCTTTGAAGAGCCGGCTATTCAGACACCCGTGCTGCATGTGCTTGGTAGTTTGGATGCTGTTGTTGAGGAGGGGAGGAGCCGGGCGTTGATTGAGGCTTGTGCTGGAGAGCCTGAGAAGGAGGGCTTGGTTGTTTGGCATCCTGGTGGTCACTTCTTGCCTAGTCAGCGACCTTACTTGGATGCTGCTGTGAAGTTTATTCGGGGATATGTTGGGCTCGAGGAGGAGAAGAAGAAAAAGGTTGAGGAGGTTGATGTCAATGATATGGATATGCCATTTTGACCGGCATATACTAGATTAGATTAGATTAGATTTGTGTATAGATGTCTGCATTTCTCAATTGACGAGTCAATGAGTTGACGACTGTTACTGTCTTTACTATTTCTACTGTGGATTTACTGCTGTAATATGAAAAGGTAATGTATGAATTCACATCTCATAGGTCTACCGGTGAATTAGATTACACGCGGTGGCATTCAATCCGACACATTCCAATCAGTGAGCCTTACCCACATCACTGCGAGTAGGCTGGATACGGGCCATCATCTCCTCCTTCGTGATCAAGTGATCAATGCGCTCAAGCAGACCCAGCAGGCTCTTCATGTCGCTGCTCCATTCGTTCAGGACATCATCAGCATCACGGGGTTTGGCAAAGTTGACCAACCGCGCGGGGCGGTCGATCTTGGCGTAGATGGTCTTCGACGTGACCAGGTCACTGATGTACTTCTCGGTCTCTTCCTCGGTGAGATCCAGAAGCTGGGTCAGGCGGCCCATCTGGATACGCGTGTAGTACTTGGCGACCACACGGACATTGTGTTCAATGACCCGTTTCCGTAGGTCTTGCCACCTCCGGTGAGCTTGGTTCTCAGTAGTCTGCTTGGCCTCGGCATCGAAGACGTCGGTGTTGCACAGGTGGGGACCGAACTGCTCGGCAACCATGGGCCAGCGCATCAACTCGGGGATGGTGAAGAGCTTAATGAGGCGGGCTTCCTCGGGGACTTGCGACAGACGGCTGTCTTGCTTGATGCGGTGCAGGAGATCGGATTGTTCATTATCGTATGGGGAGAGGACAACGTAGTAGACAATGCGGGCGAGTGACTATAATTCAGGTTAGTCCGAATCACAAAAAAAATGTGGATATGGAATCACATACGGCACGCAGCTGCTCTGGGTTGTTTTCGACGGCCTCCGTGTCCAGAACCTCCCGGTAGTTCTTGCAAACTTCGAGGTAGTTGTTGTCGTGGTTAGCCAAGGTGATCTGCTGTTCGAAGTAACGAAGCTTGAGATCTGTGACATCGTCATCCACCTCCATAGGAGCCTCATCAGGTCCACGGGTCTTCTCTCGCTCCTCAGCCTCCTTCTTAAGCTTCTCGATTTGCTCGGCGGACTTCTTGGGCTTGCGGTTGAAGTAGCGCTTGTTGATCTTGCGACTGAGAATCTGGGCCTGTGTCCAGTCCCCACGCTCAATGCACAAAGAGACCTGCTCCAAGATGAATTCTGTCTTTTCCCGTCTCGTCATCGATCCAAATGTCTCTACTTGCAGCTCACACAGGATGTCTGCTGCTGAGTTGAGGTCTCCTTGGGTCTTTTTGATATTCGAAAGGATGCGGGTGACGCGGGCTCGCTCTACTTCAACAAAGATCTTCGACGACTGTTAGCGATAATTTTATCACTCGCAAGGATAGTCAGCCTACCTTTCCCTCGGTCACTGTCCGCAGAGTCTCAATCACAGACATCTTAACCTCCAAGCTCGGTGTCTCCTCCAAGAATCCCATCACCGTCTGCACCATCTTCGTTGTGGCCTGCTTGAGTTGGGCATGTTTCTTGGATAGGAGGAGCACTTGGTCGTTGAGAAGGTTCCAGTCGCCGGCATTCTTGCTGATGGTAACAATGGCAATCAGGAGTCGCGATGTGGTGGCGAGATCAGATGCCTGAATAGGAAAGTGTCGGTTAGTGTGTGTTTCGCGGTGAAGTTGATGAGGTTCGGCGTCATACCTGTCTCGATTGCTTCTCCAAACCCAACAGCTTATCGATCGCTCCCTGGACATCGGTCTAATTATACGTTAATTCTGGCCTTGGTGCCTTTTGACTCGTTCAAACCACCCACCTTAGCAAGACCTTCCGCCTCTGGGATGAGCTTGTCGGCATCCTTGGTGAAGTCCTTCTCGGGCTTCAAGAGGCCGCCGGACATGATGACGATGTGGTTGATGTAGTGGTCGATTCGAAACAAGTCAATATCAAAGTGGACGGACTTTGGGCTGTTCTCGTATTGGACGCTGAGCGGCGTGAGATTCGTGGAATGGCAGATGAGATGGAGGTGATGCTGGAGCTCCGATGTTGCGCCCTTACGAGCTGGAAGCTCCGGTGCACGTGACCCAACATTGCTTTCGAAGGTTCTACAGTCACGAAGTCGAGCACACTTTCCATTAACCACCTTCGAAGACAGATTGGACTAGTGGTAGACAAAAATATGGGCCTGAATGCTAGCCATTTCTTTCCTAAATTAGGCATTCAACCATCATGTAGGCATATCGATAGAATCGATAGACGCAGGTATAAGAGCATACACGCACATATAACGTTCACATCTAACCTAACTACTAAGTCTTACATAGCTAAGTATACCTTTAGAGAGACCTATTACCATCGTCCTAGAGGACCATACACTGTACACGCCAGACCATATAACCCAATGCAGAAGCCAAACCCCGGTATTACCTAAGCAAGCACGCAATTGCCTTTAGCCGCATTGAGCCACAAAGAAGTATAGAAAAAAAAGATATAGACGTGAGTCACCTGATGGAGCCATTCGGAATTGATATTTGTGTGCCAGCAGACAATTCTTGACTTCTGTACGTTCTCTTTGAATCAGCAATTCGCCACGGATTAGTGGTGTCGAGGGTCCTTATCGTTATCACCAATCGCGAAAGCCCTTTTACTCATTCCTTTCTCCGCGGAAGTGTGGCAAGTCAAGCCATTGGGTGACTGTGACTACTTTATATTGACCAAAGGTCTCCCGGAGGATTCACACGCTCGAGACTAATCCGGAGTGTGCTCGCGATCGCAGATCCGAAAGCGTCTCTTTCTCAAAAAATCATTTGGAGGGGCATCGCGCTTCGTCCCACTATACTTCCACCATGAAGGATGCATCATCCACCACGGGGTCTGCCGCGCCGTTGATGGTGTCGTGGAATGCCGAATCACAAGTGCACTTGATCGTGGGCTCTAATCCTCTTGCTGCGGCGAGATGTACGAAGGCTCTCGAGGTCGGCGCACGACCAATCATTATTGCGCCGGAGACTGTGGACATGCATTACACTCTATCTGAGCATATCTCCAAAGGCTCTGCTCAATGGGTGCGTCGCGAGTTTCAAGATAGCGACTTGACAACCTTGGGAAGAGAAGAAATCGACCACGTTGTGGACCTGACCTTCGTCACTTTGGGTGGAGGTAACCCGCTGAGTATGACTTGCTTGTTCGACCCTTGACCTGCGGATACTGATCGAAGTATAGGCTCCCATATCTCGAAGCTCTGTCGGCGTCTAAGAATCCCTATCAATGTGTCAGACGCCCCCGAACTCTGCTCATTTACCCTACTCTCCACCTATTCGGATGGGCCCCTCCACGTCGGAATCACAACCTCAGGCCGTGGCTGCAAGCTTGCATCCCGTCTGCGCAGGGAGATTGCTGCTTTCCTTCCCCAGAACCTCGGCACGGCCATTGATAGAATGGGTGCCGTGCGGAGGCGGCTGTGGGAGGAAGACAATGCGGCCGGATCAGAAGGCACCTCCTATGAGGGAGAAGACGACGATACAACAGGTCAAAACCACACGTTCAACAATCTGGTCACAGAAGGAGATTCCGCGGCATCTAAGACGAGAAGAATGCGTTGGCTGTCCCAGATCTGTGAATACTGGCCTCTGCGAAAGCTGGTCTCTATCACCGATGCCGACATAGACGCCATCCTAGAAGCCTATTCTTCTGGAAAGGAGAATGCCCAAGATGTCAACGACATTGAATCTCCTTCGAAGAAAGGAAAAATCGTCCTCGCTGGCTCTGGACCCGGTCACCCAGACTTGCTCACTCGCGCTACGTATCACGCAATCCACAACGCCGACATCATTCTTGCAGACAAACTGGTCCCAGCCCCAGTACTGGATCTGATTCCCCGCCGAACAGAAGTGCACATTGCACGCAAGTTCCCCGGCAACGCAGACCAAGCCCAAGAGGAGTTCCTGCAGATGGGCCTGGCAGCCCTGAAAAACGGACGCCAGGTGCTCCGCTTGAAGCAGGGAGATCCTTACCTATATGGCCGTGGAGCAGAGGAATTCGAGTTTTTCAGAAACGAAGGCTATTCCCCGGTCGTGTTGCCTGGCATCACCAGCGCCATGAGCGCATCCCTATTCGCTGATATCCCCGCTACCCACCGCGGCGTCTCAGATCAGGTTCTCGTTTGCACAGGAACCGGTCGAAAGGGTGCTGCTCCAAACCCCCCTACCTACGTACCCACCCAAACAGTGGTATTCCTCATGGCTTTACACCGTCTCTCTGCTCTTATTGAGTCTCTCACCGGCTTCCCGGATGACACTGGGTCTCAAACTCGCACTCTCTGGCCCAAGGAAACACCATGTGCGATTGTCGAGCGCGCATCATGCCCAGACCAGCGCGTCATTCGCTCGACGCTGGAACATGTTTGTTTGGCATTTGAAGAGGCAGGATCACGACCACCAGGATTGTTGGTTGTTGGAGCCAGCTGTCACGTTTTGCACAATCCTCAAGGCCAAAAATGGGTAATTGAGGAAGGATTCCATGGATTGGATGAGCTGCGCAGCGAAGTGGACGCGGTTGCAGTCCCAGGGGAGAAGAGAAAGCGTGAAGCGTAATTTCTCCGATATGATGATTTTCAAGCGATGGAACTGCTGCATATGTAAATAGATAAGCATTCAGATACCCCAAGATACGAAATAGACATGATTCTTGAAATTCGATATATATGTAGTAGTGAAACAAAATAGTTGTAATATGTGAAGGTGCAGGGTCCGATAGCCAACATATATATAGTGGAGCCCGGGCCATGCTGATCACTCCACCTCATTCACATCTTCAATTCTTACAACCATCGTCAAATTATCAACAATGTCGAACAGGCCCGCAAAGCCAGTCTATTTCTCAAACGGAGAGTTGTTGGAGACGTAATGACCTCATTTTTGTCTACAAATACAGACCAGAACCCGCTGACTGGGACACAACAGGCCCCCGATCTCCGTGCGGCTCAGTCGCTTTGTGGAGAGCATCTACTTCTTCTTTGGCCTTTACTTCACTAGTCTATTCTCGGTATGTTTCTCTACCATGCGAAGGCTTCTTTTTCGCCCAGTCTCGCCTTCTCCCTTCCCTCTACTTCTCCCGCGCACCCAGATCAGGCTAACCCGTCACCCCATCCAGCTCGACGCCTACAAAGCCGCCGAGGACTCCTCATTCAACATTCACCGCTCAAGCAACAGATACACTACCCGGCCGCGCTGGGGAGGTAACTCCTCATATGGTTCAGGAGGTGGAGGTGGTGGAGGCGGCGGCGGCGGTGGTCCGGGACCAGCTCCGAGGCGCGTAGGGCGTGTGGACGATGTTCGCGGACCAGAGTGTGGAAGCTGTCGATAGATATATATTGACCGGCTTGCAAAAATCCTGCTGCATAATATCAATGCCAGGGAGGGTGCATGTATGAGAAGGGATGGTCCATTTGTGCAAGGAAGTTTTTACCCTATGCTGCATGGGGTTCTGGACGAGTGTTTTTCTCTTTCTTTGGTGGAGATTTGATCATCGAATGCAATGCATTGGAGATTGAAAGGGATCCTGCCGTTGCCTTGAGTTCCTGTATCCGAGTCAAGGGAAATAGTGTCCTCTATCAACTTCTCTTCCGTATAGTAAACACAACCAAACACCCGCCACACCGCCTCTTATCGTGTCAAGATGAATCACGGGGCGTCATCATGAGATGTTTAGTATACACGTGACATCCCCTCTTCTAGAAGAGGGGAAACAGTGAACTAAAATGCTACCTAAGGCGTGGATTACTATTCAGTATACCGGCGGACTGAATCCCGCATCCATTGAATTTGATATCCTATCGCCATTGACGCTTCATTACCGCAATTCCCAAAAATGAGCGCCATACCAGCAACCGATGCCGAATGGGCACAAAAGATATCAGACATGAAAAAACACCTCCCAAAACGAACGCTCAGCCAGCCGCCAATACCGCTGCGAATCAACCGGACAATAGACCACACCCTCCTAAGCACCCCCATCGACGTGACCCAAATCGACAACCTCTGCGAGGAAGCCCTCGACCAAGACTTTGCATCAGTCTGCGTCCGCCTCGAGCACGTCGCGCGGGCCGCAGCACTCGTCAAAGACTCCAACACGCTCGTAGCATGCGTAATAGCCTTCCCAGAAGGCACACACGAAACAATCGAGAAAGTACGCGAAGCCAAAGAAGCCGTAGCGCAAGGCGCGCGGGAACTGGACATGGTCATCTGGTACAATTTACTCAAGGAAGGCCGGTATACGGAAGTCTACGACGATATCCTGGCTGTGCGCAAGGCGGCCCCGTCACCGATTGTGCTCAAGGCGATTCTGGAGGCGTCTGTGCTTGATAAGGAGCAGTTGATTGATGCGACGATTGTGGCTTGTATGGCTGGGGCGGATTTCATTAAGACTAGTACTGGTTGGAATGGGGGTGCTTCTGTCCAGCATGTTGCGCTTATGAGGATTGCGGCTGATATGTGTGGACGGTCTTGCATGATTAAGGCTAGTGGGGGGCTTAGGACTGCTGAGGATGTTTTGAGGATGTTGAAGGCTGGGGCGCATCGGATTGGGACGAGTGGGGGAGTGAAGATCATGCGCGAGGTTAACGAGGGGGAGGTTTTGGAGCAGGGGGCTAGTCATGCTACTTATTGATGGGGATGAAGGATGAAGGATGCTGTTGTTATATCGGATTGGGGGTTGGGGATGTGGAGTGTGGTTTAGAGTTAACCTTGGAATGTATAACGGCATTCGTCTTATTCTAACGTTATACATTTTCTGTAGTGCAGGTTGGTATAACTTGGTGGGTGGATATATGCGGATCAAGCTATAGATGTCGTGAGCTATAGATAGACAGACTCGTCGGCGTGTATGTTAAGAGGTACCAGACTGCATATTTTCTATCAGAAATAAGTATATGCGTAATTGAATTGCTCATTCATGATATGGACGTAGCATCTTATTACCTGCCTGAAACCGAGATGATATATTTACTAAACACCAGCGCCGATCCTGCAAATCATGCCCAAAATACCAAAGGCGAACTTTTATTCATCACTTTGATCATCCGAGTCACTGGTCACAGCGCCATCGTCGATCTCCATCTTCTTGACAGCCGCATCGCCATTGCGACCCTTCTTCTCTGCAGCGAGCCATACCTCCCGTCTCTTAGTCGCGCGCTCCTGCTTCTTTGCTTGGCGCATGGCCTTGTCTTGCTGAGCAAGCTCCTGCTTCTCATGGAGCTCATTTATATGATCCTGCAAATTGGCAAGCTTGGAGCGCAGCTTAACGACCTCATCATCTGCACTGTGGCGAGCTGTCTCATTCACTGCTACCTTCTTCTTGAGCACAGACACTTCGCTTTCCAGCTCGGTAACTTGGGACTCGCGAGCAGCTGATTCCGCGGCGCTCTCTCTGGCTACTGGAGCACTTGAGGAGACACGGACTTCTGCGCCGGGCTGACGGAATGCGGCTAGCTCGGTGAGGCCATCCTGAATCATTGAGTCGGGGAAGAAGGCGTGGGTGAGCGCCTGAGAGAATTCGGTTGGTTTGCGAGATCGGTTTTCGGTGGGTGCGATGAGGTGAGTGTGGAACATGTACTCTGCTGGCACGGCACCAGAGGCATGTGCCGGTGCCGAAAGTCCATTGTCATGGCGGGGCTTGATGATAGTGTGCGCGGTCCGCTTCAAGTCTGACGAAGGGTGGGGAATGCCACCCGGGGGAAGCATAACAAGATTTGTGATCGGGTGGGTGTAATCGGCAACCGATGATGTATACTTGTGTCGCGCAATGTTCCATGATAGCACCTTGCCACCGTTGTGGCCGGACAGAAGTGTGGTGCCGTCATATGTAAGGGAGATTGTCTTAACTGAGCCGGACTCGGCTGAAGGAGGAAGCCACCTGTCTTCCATGGATACTTGCACAGGTGTAGATTGAACTGAGGAATCGTGAAGAGGATGCTGCACAGACTGGCCACGGTAGAAGTCCACTGACTGCACGCTGCCGTCTTCATATCCAACGTAGAATGCCCGGTCAACGGGGTCCAGAGCCACTGATGTCGCGGACAAAGGCAGAAGGAAGGTTCTCATCGCGCGCCCAGTCTGATAGTCCCATGCAATTGCGGTGTTATCCTTTGCGGTTGAAACCACAATGTTGTGTCGGCCATTGCTATGTCCTACAGCAAGGGAAGTGATACCTGCGCGGTGGTTTGAGAAGGTTCGGATAGGCGAGTTCGTCGGTTGACGAGTTGCGCTTAGAGCAGGCTTTGAGAATGACAAAATGCTAGGCAAGGACCAGACATGCACACTAGCATCAGCCGAGCCAGAGAGAATGAAGTTAGATGTAGGGTCGACAACGAGTGAGGTGACTGGTTGTAGATGAGAAGCTGTCGAGGCGACTTGACGACCTGTGCATGTCTAGAAAGGAAGAGCTGTCAGACGGACAACGACATTGCGAAATGATTTGACAAGATTGAACATACCTCCCATAGAATCAATCGGCCACCCTCGGTGCCCAGAACCAAGACATCACCATACTTGCCCCCCGCAACAGCAATGCTGCGGATACGCTCCGGAAATGGAACAATGGCCTCTTGGTTACCCTTTTCGCGACTGTACACGTGCACTACCGCTTTGTCGGCTTGGGCCGTGAAAATATGCGAGGGGCTGACAGCCAGACAGTTGGGCGCGGTCGAGCTCTTCTTGAAAGTCGATCGCAGTATGGACGTAGGCTGCAATTCGTGGACACAGATCCCTACATCTCTGAGCGAGGCTGTCGGAGATTTGGCGGATGACAGCACCGACGCCACAAATGATTCGGAAAGCATCAGGAATTCTAAATTGGAGAATGAGGCTGTAGAGGAGTTTCAAGTTTCATTCCTGCCGAGCTTTTTTTTCCTAATCGATAACGGAGATGTTTGCACTGTTTGACAGCGATCTATATGAAGTACCGTTGTGATGTGTCTATTGCGCTGTAGGTCGGTAGACTCATTGGGTTCTGCTAATGCAACCTTCTGAGAAATCTCCGATAGCTAATTCAGAGCCAACGCTAATGTAGCTAATGTTTCAGCTGCTAATTCCTTGCAACAGCTGAACATTTGAACTCTGGATGTATCATCATTAGTCAGCGCCAAAAGCCCTAAAAGTTTCAGCCGTATGAGGTATCAACTTGTTTTTTGCTCTAATCGATTCGGTCTGTCATCTTCATTTGGCTCTTGCCACCCAGAATGAGGCTTGTTGAATGCTTGCCTTTACCAAGCATTTATATCTAAGCTGTAGATGGATGGCAACCTTGGTATGAACCAGGTGACTGCAAGGGATAGACTCGAACGAGAAGAAGGGATGGATTGCCGTTGCAACGAGACACAACATCCAATGAAGACCCACTTCAGTACACCCTCTGGGCGATCGTATTGCCCTTCTCAAGGGACTTGATTCGTCCCGGCTTCATTTGCCCCCTCCCGCATCCCATTTGTCTCATTCCTAGTGCCCACCGGACACCTAGCTATGACGATATTAGGGGACAGATTAGGGCCTCTCCACGTTGACGGGCTCCTGCAGGACCAAAGATCGAACTCTGTATCCAATGGTTGTCCGTTCCTCGCTGGTCTCTCATCTTTCCTTGGAATGCAAGGACGACGCGACATTCTCACTATTATTACCCTGGCCCGTGCCTAGTACACCCGACGTGCGGGTTGTGCTTGACGACGGACCCTCTGTACAGCCTGAAGGGGGAATGGTGCTGAACATTTTCGGGGTTCTTCATGGCAGGGTTTCGGTCCTGTCAAGGGATGTCCACTTGAGCCTGACCCTATCCACCTTGAGCTACCTGACTAGCGCCACTACCTCTGTATAAGGATATATCCAGCCCCTGCATGGGTCGGAGATTGTGTTTGTTTTGGCTGATATTATACTCTTTCTGGATCTCATTCTCATCTTGGTTATTGTTGTGCAACCTACTTTGCTTTTTTCCATCTCCAACACGACTGCCTTCCCAGCCGCGTGCACCATTGTCCACTATGGACTGCGGTGTTAGAAAGATGCCCAACAAGGCATGCTTTCCACCGCCCATTCAAACTCATATAAAGAATCAAAATTCACACTCGTCTTGTATGAGCCACGATGCAATGACAACATTTGCTGAGCCTATTCCATCACCCCGCCGATGGTCGCCAACCTATCAACCTCGGAGGCGCAGCAGACAAGTGCCTTCGTTATCTTTCGTTCCATCACCAGTCATGCCTCGTATAGAATCGCATGATTATACAACCACTTTGACTCGACGTCCATTGGAACGAGGCCCGGCCTACATGTCGCCATTCAGATCGGTTCGCAGAATGAAGGAACCGTTTCAACTAATGCTCCCGACATCTCCAGCATCAGTTGATAGTGCACCTTGTTTTCCTGAAAAGCCAATGAGGACTTCAAAGCTGCCGGGCGGCCACAGTCTGCGAACATGGCGTTCGGATCAAAACCTGACATGCACAAATATGGAAACATTTGGGCTTTTACCAAGTCCACCAATATCAGAATCTAGGCCGGCGAGTGCAGGACCTGAGTCTTCATACTTTGACTCCAGGTCATCATCTGAAACAGACGATTCAAAAGAGGAGACAGAAACGGAAACAGAGACAGACACGGAAAACGCAACTGGGACCGACGCGGAGAATGAACGACAAGGGGAGACAGTCTCGATTGCGATCTCTGACGAGGGGAGGATCAGCTACCAAGCCTATCGACCTCCTGATTGGAAAGACCAGCCGCGAACAGACGTTATGAACGTTCACGAAGCACACTCGGAGTTCGTGCGGCAGTGCGAGGCAAACAACGAGGAAGGATCAAAAGCACCAGACAATTCGGTAATATCTATTACCTCTCCGAAGTCAGTCTACAGTGAGAAGAATTTCCCGCCGGGGAGCTCACCGCGACCGCAACGCCCCAGAACTGCGACTGTTTCAAGTGAAGCTAGCTGGGTACCGAGTAATTTCTCTTACTGTGAACGCTGGTTGCAAAACGTGCCAGTTGACAGAATAGACGACAAAGATACACCTCCACGGGTCGTCAACAGGCGAAAGGTCCAAATCGTGGAGAATGATCCGCCGATGCCAAAGCTGGATATCATACCAGGTGCCAAAGCTTTAGAGGAGCCTGTGGTAAGTTCTGATCTTCTCTTACTTCAGTCCGAATGACAGCTGACCTTATCTCAGCGCTTTGTTGTGGCTAGTAAAACCAAACCGAAGCTTGTTGACATTGCTCGACAATCTTCACCTTCCATACCGTTACCTCCGCCACCCTCTCTACAGCCACAGATCGTACCTACTACGCCAGATCAACGTCAGGAAGAGGTTTCTGCCTTTAGCCCAGACACTCCACTTGACATGTCTGATAGTGGCTATGGAACCCGTGATTCCGGCTATTCAATAGAAAGTTACGACGACCCTAAAGATGACGACGACGCATACACCGATCCAGGGTCACTGACCTCGGACAGCGTTACGTCCACCGTTGTCTGTGAAAGACCCGAATCTTCGCACGGGGAGCAAGAAACCTTCCCCCATCCCGCAATTAGATCTGGCAGTGTAAGTCCGACAGCATCCTCTCAAGACTTATCTGATTCCCCGGTGGGATCATCCAACATGTCCGACAAAGAGGAGGAGAAGCAGCGATTGTGGCACCATGAGTGGACCTTGGATGATCACGAATGGACTCTTGATGAGCTTGATCATTCCGTGAAAGACTTCCCCCGACACATGCTTCGCCTCACCTCACCTGTCATTGTCTTCCTCCGCAAAAATGACGAGAAGGCCCTTCTCAGGCCATTCCGTACTATCTTTCCCGATGTCACCGAAAACCTACTCGACTGTCTCTGCGCTGCTCTTCTAGCACGCAACTACCTTCTTTCGTTATCAACAATCAACCGCCGCAAACGTCCTGTTTCAAACAGGAACGACTCTTACGCTGTTGATGCTGTACCAACAAAAGCCTACAGCACATTAGGCATACAGATCCCCTCTGGATCTCCTGCCAAAATGACCAGCCGTCTCCTTGGATCTCGCAGTGCTGACCTTCGCCGTGAGCTCGAACGAATCATTGACAATCTCCTTTTTGCCATTTGTGGACGGTCCGACCCTACCCTCAAATCGGCCGTCGAAGTTCTTGCACAGGTCCTTGAAACCAATGCCTAGAATCGATCACTCCTTGCATCCAAATTTCCTTGCCTCTATCGGTCCTTCTTGCAGTACCTTCGTTCAATCTCCTCCTTTCATCTCTCTCGTCTCTCCTTCCATCTCCTTTTACCTCTTCGCTTGAACTGATATCACTTCACTCTCCTTGATCTCATCTCCTTTTCTCATCCTTGATCCTAATCTCCTGCTGCGCTCGGTGCCCAACCGACCCCCTCGCTCACTCATGATAACCTTTTCCTTTCTCTATCTTGTTAATCTCTTTTGTTATACTTCATACCCTTGCATCGCGATTCGTTCTTTGGAAATGGTGCTGGTGTTTTTGTGTTATGGATCCTGATTTGTATAATTACCTCTACGCCGCATAGAAACAATAATCATAATGGTGTTTTAAACCAGCACAATCTCTATTCTTCAACCTGTAGTTCCCTATCTTGAGCCATGGCGCTCTCTACTGTAGTTGCCCGCGTCACTCGGACCGCAGAGGCAAAAAGCTTTGTCATTCCGCGGGAAACACTCACCGCCGGGCAGAACCGCATGAATTGCGTGCCTCAACTTTCCACCTGCGATCTTCACGTAGACACATATCTACACATCATGGCAGCCCCTACAAGATGTCTACGACAGCTGTCGTCACTGAAAGCCACTGCTTCTCCCGCCGCAACCTCAATTGCCCCTTTTGCCCGCCGCACCTATGCCACCACGGATTCTCCATCCGCCACATCCAGCACACCGGGAACCACACGGCGGCGAGCAACAAAGTTCCAGGACAAGCTGAACGCCGGGCCTTCCTTCTCGGACTTTGTATCAGGAGGCCAAGATGAGATTCTTGACCCAGCCGAAGCCTACGCACTCAAGACCGCAATGGTCGGTCCAGCCGGCCGCAAGAAGGAAATGACCCGCCTGCCGGAGTGGCTCAAAACCCCCATCCCAGACTCAAAGAACTACCAACGCCTAAAGAAGGATCTGCGCGGATTAAATCTTCACACCGTCTGCGAAGAAGCCCGATGCCCCAACATCTCAGACTGCTGGGGCGGCAGCGACAAGTCCTCCGCCACAGCAACAATCATGCTAATGGGTGACACCTGCACGCGCGGATGCCGCTTCTGCAGCGTCAAGACCTCCCGCGCCCCTCCCCCGCTCGATCCACACGAACCCGAGAACACAGCCGAAGCCATTTCCCGCTGGAGTCTCGGATACGTGGTCCTGACCAGCGTCGACAGAGACGACCTAGCCGATGGTGGTGCGCGCCACTTTGCCGAGACAGTCATCAAGATCAAGCAGAAGAAGCCATCCATGCTGGTCGAGTGTCTGACTGGTGATTACCGCGGAGACCTGGAGATGGCGGCGCTAGTAGCACGCTCTGGATTGGACGTGTATGCGCACAATGTCGAGACCGTCGAGGAGTTGACACCCTTTGTGCGTGATCGCCGTGCTACTTTCCAGCAGTCCATTCGCGTGCTTGACGCTGCTAAGAAGGCCAGTCCCGATCTTATTACCAAGACCTCGCTCATGCTTGGTCTTGGCGAGACAGATGAGCAGCTCTGGGATGCTCTTCGCCAGCTCCGCGCTGTGAACGTTGATGTCGTGACTTTCGGCCAGTACATGCGTCCTACTAAGCGTCACATGGCTGTCCACGAGTACGTCACTCCAGATCGCTTTGAGATGTGGCGCCAGCGTGCTCTTGACATGGGATTCTTGTACTGTGCTTCTGGTCCGCTCGTTCGCAGCAGCTACAAGGCTGGTGAGGCGTTCATTGAAAATGTTCTTAAGAAGCGTCGCTCTGGTTCCGGTGCTGCTGAGGGTGCTGTCAGTGAGAGCACCGCTACCACCGATGCTACTCGCTAAGGGACTTTACTTTTCCCTTCGTTCTGAACAAACTCTCGTCTTTGATATCTAAACAACCTATACACTTTCGCCTGTCCTATCCTATCCTGTTCTGTTTTGCTTCGACTTCGTGCTCATATAATCTTACCTGCTGGCGCTAGCTATCTTGCATCTTTTGGGTTGTCGGTTTAGGGGTTTTCAAATAGGGGACATTTCTCTGTTCTTCGCTGGCTGTGTCATTTCAACAACACTACTACATTTCAACATTTTACAAGAATTGATTGAATTATTGAAGTCATTCGTGTGCGTCTTGACGGTAAATCCAGTATTATGCAGCAACAGATATCAACTCGATGCTGCGATTGACTTAAGTTGTCAGTCAACCTTATGTGTTCAAAAGATTGAGCTACAAAAGAACTTGTGCTGTAGTGCATAGCTTGTCTCTATCATAGAATCATAATTCGAGCCCTGCTCCAAGACCTCGACTAATTCTAGTTGATTCTATCAACGGGACCCGTTGGGAGATGTACTATAGCCACCAAGGTAGCTTATACCCTTGGCACTGTATAAGGAACGGCTGTCACGCTATACACGAGTTCCACGTGGGGCAATATGCAACTTCTACCCTTCTTGCTCCTCTTCGCTCACGATAAAAGGAAAAGGACAGACAAAATCTCAAATGACACTATATCAGAAGAAGTTCAGGTCCAGCCTCGACTACAGCTCTGTGGGTGCTGCTTTGGGCTTGACCCGAGTGGTGGTGGGGGTATAATTTGTCCATGGAGATAAAATGGATGAAAAGGGCACGGGTTCTGGCATACGGTAGATGTTCTACTAGGATGAGTTTCACCCGCACCCCTCTGGAAGATTTATTGACTTTCTGAGGTCAGCTCTGCGATGTCCTCGTTGTCCAGACCGAGGAGGTAGAGGATGTCTACGAGGCTCTCGCCGTTGATGCGGGTTGGGGCTTCGAGTTGGACCTTGGACTTGGCGCGCCAGGCGACGCCGAGGCCTGCGGCGTGAAGCATGAGAAGATCGTTGGCACCGTCGCCAACAGCCATGGTCTGTGAGAGCGGGATGTTGTGCTCGGCGGCGATGGACTTGAGGAGAGTGCGCTTGTGTGCGGCGTCGACGATGGGGTACGACGGCACAAGCTTGCCGGTGAGGGTCTGGGTGGCCTCGTTGATTTCGAGCTATAACAGGTCAGATCAAAGTTTAGCATCGAGTGAGAGAAATTGGCTTACGTGATTGGCAACGGCAATATCAATGCCGAGTTGCTCAGCAAGCCACTCCGCCAGAGGTTGGAAACCACCGCTCAGAACGGCAATCTTGTAACCCAGAGCCTTCAATGCACGGCAGAGCTCACGGGCACCCTTGGCAATCTTCAACACAGATTTGAGCTTTTCAAATACATCCGCGGAAACACCGTTGAGAAGACCAACGCGCTCCTTGAGCGAGGCAGTGAAGTCCAATTCGCCGTTCATGGCGCGTTCGGTGATTTCCTACGTCTATGTTAGTGGCTGAATCTTGGAAAAAACATCGAGATAAACATACAGAGACCTGCTTCTCGACACCAATAAACTTGGCGATCTCATCAATACACTCATTGTCAATCAAAGTGCTATCCATGTCAAACACAGCCAGGCGTTTGTGGCGGCGGAAGACACTCTCCTTTTGCAGAACAACCTCGACATTCCACTCGCGCTCAAAACGCCAGATGCTCTCGTGCTTACGCAGATCCGGGAAGGAGAGGTACTCCGGGTTTGGCGGGGGAGAGAAAGTGACCTCCACGACGCGCGGGTGCTCATCGCGGTCCAGACAGCGGTGCGAGGTGTTCATGCGCTGATAGGGTGTGGGCAGGCTTTCCAGAACCTGGAGGAAGTTGGTCAAGCACAGTTGCGAGACGTAAGGCCCGTATAGGTGATCCAGAGGTTCCGCCTCCGGGACGGGAGGTTCGCGGGGCATCTTGTCCATATCTTCTGTTGGAGCCGAACCCTCTGGAATGATGGGCGGTGGAAGCGGGGCGTTGGAGGTAGATGGCACATCGGGATGAATCTTGGGGTGAACGGGATGGGAGGACTTATAGTAGATAGTCGCGACGATTTGCGACGTGCCGCTTGGGAGCGGGTTTGATTGATGGTTGAAGATGCTGTGAATGATGCCGCTGTCGGTGACACGTTCGGGGTCTGGCTTGATTGGGCTCGAGTTGAGTGTCAGAATCTCGTCCACCTGGCTTGCCAACACCTCGCCAATGTTTTGGTTGATTGGGTTGATCGGGGCCATGGGCTTATACTGCTGATGGTCCTGGAGGAAAGAGCTGCTGCGCATTTGGCCGAGAGACGGCCGTGCCGGACGGTTGGATTCTGCCATAATGGCCTACAAGTAGTGAGAACTGGAAAATAGGTTAATATCGCAAGTAAAAATGCCCGAGATCCCGCACTTTGAGAAGATCAAAAACGTCCTTTGTCGATCGGGCACGTGGATTTGGTCCCCACCAAGGGTACCGCCTGGCAGAACAGAGGCCGGTGAGTAGGCACGTGATGTCTCTACACGTGATATTTCACGTGAGGGTTATCCGATCCACCGCCTGGCAGAATTATGAGGTGATGAGGAACCAAACTCCGGCGATGGAGACCTCATTCAGGTCCACCATGACAGATCGAGTAATGTATGAGCGGGCTTTGCCTCATATTACAGCATGGGCCATCATCAGTCCGGGTAGGTTTAGCTCCGAGCTTCTAGAAACTGGCTAACATCATACTTTAGACTACGGAGTAGGGAGATCAGGGTCGCAATGATTGCGCCCCATATTGGTCAGCGTTCATTACCAATGTCAAAATGACCAAACTATGCAAGGACTGCATGATTCTACAAATGTCTCGAAGATATCGGCATTTGACGGGGGAGTCAACACCGGATTTATCAGCTGAAATGCGTTGAAATGCCATACAAACGCCCGAAATGACTGTACGGCAGCCCACACCGACCCAAGACGCAAGTATTGCGTGCTCAGCAATCGGCCAAATTTTTCAGCAATTTCCGCCGTTTCAGGCAGGCGGTAGTCAGCAATGTCGTGATTGTGGCAGAACGGTCCTGGAACTATCGGATGGAGAGAAATGCCAGGCACCAAATGCCCATGATGTCGTGATTGTCCCCTCCCCCCGATCCCGGCTCTTATATTCCCTCCTAGCTTTCTAGGATCCTTCTTCTCATTCATCTCACTTGAACTTGCTGCTTCATCTCTTGTTCTTCACATAACTTTGACATACCTTTTGCATACTTCATTGATAAACCATACCATACATCACAATGCCGGCTAAGACGCCCGTCAGCTACCCCTCTGAGATGGAGGGCATTGATACCCACGATGCCATGACTGAGTCTGGCTATGTCAGTGCTGGCTCTGGCTCCAGCGAGGACTACGTCCCCGAGATTGTCTTTACCAAGCCTCATCTGCAGTTCCTTAACCGCCAGTTGCAATTCCTTGAGCCTCAAGGTTCGTTTTATGTCTATATCCCCTCTTTAGACCCTTATATCTGACTCATCTATATAGAGATCCTAAGATGGTGCATCACTTCTCTGCCTCACCTTTTCCAGACCACTGCTTTCGGTCTGACTGGTCTGGTTACTCTGGATATGCTATCCAAGTTGGAAGTGCCTCGCCCCCAAATGGTCGACCTCATCTTCCTTGACACTCTCTACCACTTCGATGAGACCCTGTCTTTGGTCGACCGTGTCCGCAGACGCTACCCAAACAACAATGTTCATGTGTACAAGCCTGCTGGCGCCGAGACCGCCGAAGAGTTCAAGGCTAAATACGGTGACCGCCTCTGGGAAACAGACGATGCTCTCTACGACTGGGTTGCCAAGGTTGAGCCTGCTCAGCGTGCCTATCGTGAAATGAACGTCCACGCCGTCCTCACTGGCCGTCGCCGTAGCCAGGGTGGCAAGCGTGGTGACCTCGACATCATCGAAGTTGACGAGGCTGGCCTCATTAAGATCAACCCCATGGCTAACTGGTCCTTCGACCAAGTCAAGGCATACGTCAAGGAGCACGGTGTCCCATACAACGATCTCCTCGACCGTGGTTACAAGAGCATTGGTGACTGGCACTCCACCCATCCCGTTGCTGACAACGAGGATGAGCGCTCCGGTCGCTGGAAGGGCCAGCAGAAGACCGAGTGTGGCATCCACAACCCTCGATCCAAGTACGCCCAGTATCTGATGGAGATGGAACGCAAGCGCCAGGAAGAAGCCCTCTCACAGGCTCTGCAGTCCCAAGTGGCTGTTTAAGTTCTTACTGCCTTGCTTTTATTTCCCCTCCATTGGCATACCCTCGGCGTTTTGTGATACCTCTACCTGTCATGACCTAGCGATTTGTTTTATTTGTTTTTTTCATTGCGTTTTACATATGGGTACATTCAATCCCTAAAAAGTACAAAAGTACTTGCACTCCCCAACTCCACCTACCCTGTACATACACGGAGTTGGCATTTAGATCTCGGGCCCACAATGGCATTTTTTGAGACATGATAATGAAACTTGATGATCATATAATACTCTTCCACTTGTTTAAAATTAATTTCTAATTTCCATTCACTTTTATACATGTGTAGAGCCTCAGCAGATCATTTGGCGTCAGGGTGCGTTCTAGAAATCGGTCACGTGTGTGGCCAACCCTAAGTAGATCATCAGGCATCACGGTATCAACTTAAGCTGCAATCCTCAGCCAATCGCTTCCTAATTTGATGGCGGACTACAGTAAATGTGAGAAAAGAAAGTCTACCAAAGCAGATAGATACCTAGAGAACACATTTTACTGTACTGTTTAGTGTTCGCCGGAGATGAAGAGAGACTGCACTGGAACCAGAGCACTTGTAAAATACTCTGATCTGCTTATGTAGGAGGTACATATTCACCGAGTCTTTAGACTCAGTGACATCGTCCTCGATATGTGCACTATGCGTATTCTTCATTCCGGTAGCCATTAGCCATCCCAGGTCTTCAATGTATATTAAGATCCATGAAATCAATCAGTCCGGACTCCATGCCACTATGGATACAAATCACCCCTCGAGAGCGGCAACAATCCTCTCCAAAGCCACATTCAAAACCTCGTACCCCTGCGTAAAGACAATTCGAAACCACCCATCTCTCTCAGACCCAAAAAGCGCCCCACTAGCCAAAAAGACCTTCTTCCCCAAGAGCCGCTGCATAACCTTCTCCCCAACATCCCCACCCTCGCTTTCCTCCGGATGCAATGCACGGAATCTTTTCCCCAGATCCATCCAAACAAAGAAAGCCGCATTACACCCGGTCGCATACTCAATCCCATTATCTCTCAAAAACCTCGTCGTATAGGCATAAGTCTCACCCAACAACTCCTGATTCCGCTTAATATACCAATCGGTAAACTCGAAATCCTCCAGCATAACCGAAGTCAGATGATCGACAGGCCCAGAAACAGAAGAATAAAGCGTACTCCCGGCCAAAGCCAAATGAACATCGGGATTAGCCTGGGAAATAATCACCCCAATGCGAACACCATTCGCGCCAAAATCCTTACTCATGCCCCAAAGCACATGCACAAGACCGGGATCAATAACACCCTCCAAATCCACCGACAAAGCAGATTCAAACGGCACAGCCGGCGGCCGCCCCCCATCCACCGTGTTCTCAAACGTCGACAGCGCATAGATCTCATCACTCACGAAGTGGATCTGATACCGCTGACACAACCGCATCAAGCCGACCAGCACGCTCCGCGGATAACATCTTCCGAGCGGGTTATGCGGATGACACAGCATGAGCACCCTGACGCGCTTTTGCGTCGTGCGCTGGAATTCAAGAATGGCCTGTTCGTATTTGCCCACGGCGTCGATTGCCAGCGGGTCGATGTCGTCGAAGGAAACGGGCACCACCACGGACCCGGATCGTAGTGATAGATCGGGAATGAACATCCCGTAGTAGGGTCTTCCGAGGAGAATGCCTTCGCCTGAATCGGCGAATGACCAGGAGATATGCTCGAGGGCCGAGGAGACGCCGTTGGTGGGTAAGAGGTGCTCTGCCTGTAATGGAATTACTGGCTTGAGGTGTTTGTTCAGGAATCCCGCAATGGCCTTTTTTAGTCGTGTTGAGCCTGACCCGCCTTCGTTGTAGGTCAGGTATTGTGCTGGCAGGGTCAGGGGTTTGTTTATGTGCTCCAGGAAGGAGGTGTGCATTAGGGTGTTTTCGGCTACGCCGACGTTTATGTAGCCATTAGGGTTGGTTTCTGGGTGCCATGAGTCTTTGGCGATTTCGTAAAATGGGTTGGTTGATTCGTTGGAAACGACTGTTTGGGCGCGCGTTGAGAGGGTTGATTGGGGCATCTTGAGGCTATGTGATAGATCCTTGGGTTTTGTGAATAGTTGAGGATATACTTCTAAGTGGAACGAAGATCTGTCGCTTTTGGACTTGCGATAAAACTGACGCAGGTTCTAACAAAGTTTTGCCCCGCAAATGTGACGGTGGAGAAATCGATAAGACTCTTGCGGTTCCTCCAGGCTCTATGTGGTATTCCTATTGCAATCACTTCAATGTCCTCAGGCTAACATTATTAGACAAAGCTGCATGTATTTGGATATATAAGTTAGATCTCTCTCTATTACATATAGTAAACTTAACCAAAAGTCTGCTCTTGCTTGGCACCAGCAACAGGAGCCAGATAACTAGGACGATCCTTCACATAGAACTCGATATCGATCTTTCCACCCAAATTAGCCTCGCCGCCATCTAGAGTACCAGCCTTGATACAGGTCATCTCAGGCATGATCTCGATTTCGGTGTAGAGGCTGGAGCCGCAGGTGGGGCAGAAGAAGTGCTTGTTGATTTTGCCGCTTGCGCCGATGGCATCGTAGGAGCTTGTTGTTCCTAAACATTAGAAAATCAAAAGTCAATATGCGATCCTCGTATAGTCATGGGGGATAGTCTAGAGGGGGAAGTTTTACCCTTGGTCACTTTCATACTGGTGCGGGGAACAACAGCGTTCGAGGTGAAAGCACCGCCCGTCCACTATCAAATTGTATGTATTAGAGTCATTTCAGTGGTATTCTGGGGAGTATTTTGACATACCTTCTGGCAATCGGTGCAATGACAAAGAGCGGACAGGTATTGTTCGACTAGAAACAATGTTAACTCAGGTGACCGGAAACTATATCCGCAGGACTTACCATCGGCAGCGTACCTAACGCCGCCGCACATGCAGCTTCCGGTAAGAGTCATGGTGTAATTAAGCTCGGGAGGAATACCTTGGGGGAATCAAAGGTAGAAAAGCGGGGAGAACGTCATTTTATACTTGGCTCTGTTCGGTGATTGAAGCGCGGGGAGAGGAACAAACACCGGAACACCGAAAGTGGGACGAAAGTAGGACATTCAGTGGTTAGGTTGGCTTCGGTTACAATGGGGCTAGATCTGCGAAAGATAGGGGTGCATAGCTTGAATGGCTTGATTTGGCGTGTAAAGTACGTGGAAATGCTACCTTATCTACGTGAAGCCCCAGGGAGTCGAATGGGCAGGCGGATAAAGATTGGCATCATTTCGAAAAATAAGGTCCTGCTTTATGTACAACAAGAAAAGCAGTGGGAAAATGGTCCAACGCCGAGTTCTACCACAAACAACGCAAAGTCAGAGACAAAGAACAAAGGGGAAAAAAAAAAGAAAAAGGCAAGTTGACACAAGACAGCACTGGTATATCACTTCAAAAGAAATCCATGTGAGAAACGTCATAAAGAGTAGATAAGAGAGAGGGGATCAAGGAACGAAGAAGGACGGGGGTATAGAAAATGGAGGGCCTGATGAAGGTAGACATTCAAAGTTCTCAGAAGAGGATGCGTATTGACAAGGAATTAAATGGGTTAATGTCTCTTGATCAAGATACCAGCACTTTACAAGGGTTTGATTCCTAGAGAAGATCAGGCCTTAGGTTTTTGGTTTTTTGTGAACACCTTCACTTGTGGACCCGCTGTCGGGGCTTTTTCTCTTTTTCTCTTGTTCGTCTTCTCGAGAAAAGCTGGGTCCACTGGGTACTGCCGGAGTCGGGAAGGTGAGGGGACTCGGCAGCATGTTGGAATCGGGACCGGAGCGACCAAAGCCCCATTCGGGGAAGAAGCTGGAGGGGGAGGGAAGGAGGGCGTCGGACACAAAGCGACTTGGAAGGGCAGATATAGGGGTCTCTATATTATTTGAGTTCCCGTTGTTATTTGGATTTCCACTATTGCTTCCGTAGGAGTCATTTCGAGTTGCTGCAACAGGTGGAGGTGGGCGTGCAAATGGATTTGGAGGCCCCGAAGCCCCCGCGCTTAATATTGCGCCAGCGGAGGGCGATGGAGGAGGTAAAACCACACCCGAGGGGCCATTTTCTGCGCTTCCTTTCGCTGGAGTAGAAGATTTATTCCCTGCAGAATCACGCGATGATTCGGCTGTAGCGCTGCCTCCATCAGAGTTCTCACTCGGAATTTGAACTTTCAGCTGCGGTCTCTTCGAAGGTAGCGTGCCACTATTTGTTCTGGACGGTGGTTTGATATCTGACGAAGAGGCAACGGACATTGGACGTGGTGTCTCTGTTGCAGCTCTGACAGGCATTGATCTTGTTCCTGGCGACGCTTCAGATCTGAGCGAAAGATTCATATGAGGTGGCTCATACGACGATGCTCCGAAATGGCGGGCAAGCACTGAACCTCGATCGTCGATAGGCGTAAAAATGCTTCGCGATTTAGAAAACGACTTCCCTTGCGGTGGCGACTGGCTGTGTTCTACTTTCATCACGCCCGAATCATCCTGAGGTTCAGAGATCGAGGGTCGTTCTTGCTGGTTGTCGGGTACAAATCCAGGGGGCATTGAGCCTCTACCGTGCTCTTGCATATAAGCTTGCTGCACCTGTTGCACCTGCTGAGCCTGCGCATGAGATCCGGGGGCATTCCGGCGGCATGCGAATGCTGCGGGAAATGCTGGGGTGTCTGATGCTGAGGTTGCATTTGTTGTGGTAAGCCGTGTGGGTGCATGGGAGGCGTCCCTTGGTGTGGTCCTGGTGGATGTCCATAGTGTGCATATTGTCCGGGTCGAGGCTGTTGGTTCATGGGATGAACATTTTGATTATACATCGATGGATTGGATATATAGGTAAAGTTTCCATTTTGGGGAGCTGGGGGTGGCGGTGGGGTGCCATGCTGTTGCGGACCCAAATTCGAGCTGACTCGACGAACGTGATTCCGGGAAGAGGGGCGAGAAGCTTGTGACTGAGGCGTGCCATGTCGTGTTAATGGCATACCACGGATTGGAGGAGATGCGGACGGGGCGTGGTTCATATGTTGGAAAGCAGGCTGGTTCTGGAGATGAGGGGGAATGGCGGAGTGGTTCTGTTGAACAGCTTGAATATCTTCGGGGGCTGGTGACGCTTCATCTTCTTCATCATCGTCGTCTCTCTTGCCCGCAAAGTCTTCCGGTCCTTTGTGCTCATGGGGAGGGCCAAACTAAAAGATTAAACTCGGTCAGAGGAGTTGTTATGAGCGCAGCGTGATTACTAACATATTGATAGCGACCAAGGGCATCGTGCATGTCACACGAGGAGTACTCGTATAGTTTCTTGTTGTGACCAAATATGATAACGGCTACGTCGACGGAACAGAGAACAGCGAGCTCATGGGCCTTCTTAAAAAGACCGCCCTTGCGCTTCAAGAATGTACTGTATGAGAAAACTCTAGTCAGTTATGAGTCCAGTTGCATGGTTGGGAGCTCAACTAACACTGAACGGTTGCGGTCATCCTTGATGGCCTTGATCTCAATCTTTCTCCGACCCATGATGAGAGCCTATGGGCGTACAAGATGCGCACCAATGGGAAAATTGAGAGAAAAAAAGAACAGTCAGCCGCGGAGCAAGTTGCGAACGACTTTGCGCGCTTATATTTCTCCAAGGAGATGCAAATTCGACGCGATGGCGATCGAGATTGCGCGATGATCGAGGGCGCAGAAAGCTGAAGAGTTTGTTTCGCCCTTTCGCGCCGATTGAGCCGAGAATATCAGACCGGCCAACAAAGAACCCCGGACGTCAAAGGTATGTCTTTGAAGAACGGATGAAACACACTAAAGACTCGGTCGGCGGGGGTTGGATGGCGCGACTCGAGTGGGGATGAAGAACAAGGCCCCTCGGAGTTCTGAGCAAAGCGAACCCGAGGAGAGCAACTAAAAAAAAAAAGTGAAGATCAAAACACAAAGTATGGGGGAGGGATTGACGATGCAGGCGAGGTTCTAAAGATAGAATCGAGGGAGAAGGAGAAAAGAAGAATCGAGCTGAGTCAGCCTGTGGCCTTAGGCGCCGAGCTATATTTATCCTCCGTCGAAAAAGTCCCTGACCCTGCAGTGGCTTGTCACAGTGGAGTCAACCCTTGGGTTTCCTATTGGTATGTTTATCGCTGGCCTTCTGGAGCTCGACACGGTCCCGGGCATGGGTCCATGATGTCAACTAGGAAGATTGGGGGACTACTGTAACTGTAGAGACTAACGTTATAGGCTAGAGGCTCAAAAGGGGTTGATATAAGATCATCACCACAGACTAGTCGATATAGTCTCCAAAACTCGATAAGCTCTCTCCAAAACACCATTTGGAATCCCTACTATTGACTTTACCGTAGATGGGGAGGGTCCTGTGACAAAGCCCTGACAGAGATTCTCCTGATCTCCTGATCTCCTGAGACTGACAAATACCGCGTGATATTCCCAGCCCTATCTAAATTGCCCAATGCTTCATCTACGATCTTAACTACGATTTCCAGTGATTGCATGATGATGACATCTGCTGCATACCAGAGAGCAGCTTGATCGTGTTAGGTACCGATATACCAATGTACCAATATCCGTGTTGTGCACACAGTCTCCCATCTGAAACGATTGATTGGTTCCAACGCGGCACAACTGTTTGACCAGTCGTCGCGATCGTCGCCCGGAGATTGGCTGGCATAGAACTCCCATAGGTCTAGAAAATGCTGAACTTGAAGAAATAAACGGTTAGGCGTGAAATATAGTACCTTGGGTCTACAAACCCAGATTTCTTGAGTGCATGTATGATCCCCGTCGGTATCATCCATTTTCTCTCTTCCAACGCACGGCCTCAGAGATCATTTTCCAAATCTTGAGATCTTGAGGGAAATTAAACGTGAATTCCTTCTTTGTGTGGCTAAGTCGAGACCGGGTAAGTTAGTCTACCGTTTACCGTTTACCCCTGAGCATCGCGACTTCGTGTTCCTCTTTTTTTTTCTTTCTCTCTTCTCCCAACGTCTTTCCTCCCTTTTGCTTATCTCTGGGGACTCTCCGGTTTTTGCTCTAGCTAGACCCATCGGATTCTAGACTAGGGATCCTTGACCTATCCCGAGCCTGTTCCCGGGGCTGCAGGACATCGCGGACGCGTCTAGAAGTTTTATCTATCTGCTTGGTTCAATTCCGTGTCGGTCTGCATCTTCACACAATTGAAACGTCTGCTAATTTTCTGGTCTGCGCAGAAGCAAAGAAGAAAAAAAAAAAAGGCGGAACCCACGTCTCCCCCACGTTTATTGACACACCGAAGTCGACCCCCTCACCATGTCGTTCCTCTCGCGAGTCTTCCGAAGCAAGGACTCCAATGCAACAAAGAAACATTCAAAGCCCACCGCCGCCGTAGATTTGGGTCCTGCAAAGCCCAAATGGACCGATGCGTGGCTACGGACAGATGTCGCGCCAGAGGAGGTGCAAGACCTCGTACGAGGTTGCGTGCATGAACTAAAGGCCCGAGGTAGGTGGATTTATATCCTGGCCGGCTGGAATGCTAGCTGCCACACGTATCCCTTCGGATTGCTGATCATTTGTTGCAGCCCTCAACACCCCGTTCCTCCTCCTACCATTCCGTCCCAGCTCCGATCCGAGTGCCGCTCGCACGTTCATTCGCAATTACTTCAACCAGTCATTTGAGAAGGGCTCGCCTGTTCGCGGTGATGATTTGGCGCAGGAGCTCCGGCTCACGGAGCCGATGGTGAGGATGATAAGCTAGGGAAGATTAACATGAACAATCACTGACACTGGAGATAGGTTCTGTGCAGTGTGGTGAAATGGTGTTGGAGCAGACTCCCCGGTGGAGTTGTCACTTGGGAGGCATATGAACTGTTCAAGGTTGGCGAACAAGGTGAGTGCGACTGGAATGCGGGGAGGAACTGGGCTGATGTGATCAGATTCGGATATGGCCCGCGATGCTTTCTCGACTTTCATCCCTATCAGTGTTGACTCTGATGCTCGCACTAAGATCATCTTCGACTTCTTCGACCTTTTGGCTGCCATTGCCGCTCATGGAAAGTCCAATGGCTTGGGAGGTCGCAAGCTTTCTCGATACGCTGGATGGTGGGCGTTTGAGCATGTCGACACAGGCAATGGATTCGAGGCTGCCTACAAGAACTGGGCTGCGTATGGACTCCTCCAGAAGTCTCTAGACGATGTGCTAATATGTTTTTCTATAGTGCTGCCGATGCTACGAGTCACTTGTTCTTTGCTTACCTCCGTTCGCTCTCCCCCGACGTGCCTCGCGGCGTGACCGGCATCTCATCGCTTCCCATCTCTCTCCAATCCCTCGTCGAAGCTACCGAATACCCTCCAGAGACACCTTCCTTGTTGCAGGTTACAACCACAAAGGTGGTGATGATTGTTGAGAATGTTTCGCCAACGCCATTCTCTCTGTTGCGACGCGCAAAGAACTTTGAATACCGCGATGATGACTGGCACCTACAGGAATTTGCAAACTATGAAGACCCTATCCGCGCTTTGACCGACGAATGTCTCCGTGTCCTGAAGTGTATCTCGTCTGCAAACGAATCTAGCGTCTCCAGCTCAAAACAGTCGACCAGCTTGCGGGATGCATCTTGGTCTCGTTTTGAGGATATTGGATTTGGTGGATCGATTGAGTCTGACGGAGACGAGGAAGAGACCAAGGAGAACCGCGCACCCGCTACTGCCAAGAGTGCAGCTACCTCAATGAACACCGTTCCCAAGTCTGGAGGAGGTGATCTTGGCCGTCCTACCACTCCTTCATGGGCAGACTTTATGTCCTCTGGATTTGCGGACGAGAATGGCAACCTTAAGAACAACGTAGGCCCTCTGCTCTTACCTCCTGATAAGGTGCTGCCTCCACTTGCGGCCGTTCGCGGCCAGAGCTCCCAGTCCCACAAGCGCAGCTTGGAGATCGAGCCCGATCTTGAGCCCGCTGAATTGGCTAGTATCAATACCTTGGACCTAGACGACTCTTTCTGGTGGGTGTGGATCAGCAGTCTATCAGGCGATGAGCCCTCAGCCCGCAAGGCAGTATTCGGCCGATGTGCCCTTCTCGAGACCGTTATTCGCGACACCAAATGGTTGATTCTAGAGGAACAGGTGAAGGGTGCTGCCCCTGAGCCCGAGGCTGGTGCGCAAATTGTCGAAAAGAAGCGATTCTTCAGCTTCGGAAGCCGCAAGGGAAAGCTCAACCGCCGCAAGTCATCCGCCAAGAAGATTTCTCCTCTTGAGGACTCTTACAAGCGATCCAACAACCAAGCCCCCCAGAGCAAGACCAGTATTGGTCCTGATCAGCACAAGCGCATTCAGGCAGCCGCGGCTGCTCTGCAAAAGAAGCACCGCGAGCAAGAAGCAGAGGCGAACCAGAACCCTGGCAACGCAGTTAACAACCGTTATTCGACTAAGACTAACTCGGTTATGACACTCCAGCCGGGCATCGTGAACGAGGCTTCCCAGGCCATGAAGTGGACCAGCAACTATGATAAGGGTGCCTTTAGAGCGGCATACTTGAGTAACACCCACGCTGGTACCGGCGCTCAGGACGAATTTGAGCCTCCCACTGAGCCGTCTACCCCTGAAGTTCCTGCTGAGAAGCCTAGCACTCCTGCTCCTGCTCCTGCAGAGAGTCCTATCAATGATGCTCCAGCACCACCCCCCAAAGACACAACGGCACCCGTTGCCACACCCCTTCCTCCATCCCCTGAGCCAGCCAAAAAAACCGTCAAGGTCACCAGCCCCGAGGAGGAAAAGGCCGATGCCAAGCCTGCTATTGTTGAAAAGCCCATTGAATCCAAGGAGTCGTCGGATGATTCAAGCAAGAAATTGACGAAGAAGAAGACGGGCAACTCTGGCTTCAAGAGCATGTTCAGTGCTAAGAAGAAGGCCGAACAGCCTCCTATGAAGGACACTGGCGCCACTTCAGCCGTAGCAGCAGCCCGTGCAGCCCTCGAAGCCAAGACTAAGGCGGCCCAGGAAACCCCTGTGGTGAAGAAGAAGCCTCTTCCCAAGGAAGCTGCCGTCGTGATTGAGCCTGTGGCCACCGAGACCAAGCCGTCAACTCTCCAGCGTGCCGAAGAACCCAAGGCAGAGTCTGTGGTTGAGCCCCCGACTCCCACCCGACCCTCCATTTCCCAGGAAGGGAACGGTGCGCCGCCAAAGACTAGACGTGCTGTTGAATATGATGCACTGTCCCGCGTTGGCACTCACGAACGCGCTGCCGCCGATCAGGAGTTCTCCAAGTTCGACCAGGGCCCTCTTCTTGATCAGCCTGCTTTTGTTCCGGAGTCACCCGTGTCACCTATGAGTGCCACTCCAGCAGAAGCGAAGGCTGAGCTTCCTCAAGCCCCGTCCAACGGCCATGCCACCAGACCCGAAACTAGTACCTCGTCTGAAGCCGCCCACCCCGAACAGGACCGATGGAGGTCTATCCGTGAGGCTGCCGCCCAGCGGGCTGCCGCTGCACAGGAAGAGCAGGAGCAGGAGCAACAGACCGAAACTACGACCCGGACTAGCCAGTCAGAGCGTACCGACGAGGGAGATACTAGCGGCGAAGAAAGTAAGTTTCACAATTTCTTGTCAATAAAATCTCATGACTAACGACTTTATTTAGCTATCGAATCTCGTGTCGCCCGTATCAAGGCCCGGGTGGCTGAGTTGACTGGAGGCGGCCTGGAGGCCGAGCAGCAGCGCTCTTAGACGCTACTCGTGCCAGTCCATGTCATCTCAATCACTGCAATCCCCCTGACAAGACAGCCCCGTCTTATTACCCACTTTTCGTTCATTTATACCCTTCTCCCAATCAGACCGACCACCTTGGTCGTCTTTGCATTTCGACTCTAGTCTGCTAAACGACCGCAAGATCCATTCACAGCAATGGCAAGACTAACGAATCTCGCGAAACGATTAACGGACACTACTCGGTTGTGACAATTATCTTTCTACTCCTTTCTTCTCTTCAAATCCCCTCCAACCCTGAACTGGTTAGATACCCCCTTTTTCGCCCTACCTTGGCTCTTGGTCCTTGAACTTGATTTTGATATCGATTGATTTCTCCTCCCAATCTACCAACTTTGAATATTCTTGTTTGGTTATTACTGTCTGTCACTTTGCTCTATTCCCCTTTTGCTTTTTGTTCATGCTTCCATATTACTATGGGGTTCATGTTGCTAGTTTGCTACCAATATGAATCATTTCTGTTCTGTCTTTGATCTATTGGTTTAATTTCTTTTCTTCTTTTTTTCGGATTGAAATCGGGCAGATAAAAACCACTCTCAACTGCGATTTTGCCCTACTTGGAAGGGCAGAATCCAAAACCTGAATAATAATAATAATAGGACGATTCATCAACAGCTCACATTTGGCATTACTCCATAACCCAGCCCAAGATGAGGCGACTAGCTCAGACTACCAAGTCAAAGCCCTAAAGCCCTCAAAATTTCCTCCCCGACCTTCCCAGCCGAAGCAGGATTTTGACCTGTAATCAACACACTACCTGTTCCAGCAGCTTTCCCAACAACCACCTTCTCCCCCCAAGGCTCAGCAGCCTTGACATACTTCCCGCCAGAGATCTTCTCAAGCTCAGTCTCCAACATGAACGGCATAACAGACGACAACGCCACCGCATCCTCCTCATCATTTGAAAATCCCGTAACCGTAACACCGGAAATGAGACGCTCGCCCGAAGGTGCCGTTGCGTTGAGCAGGACGCAGGGTGCATGACAGACTGCCGCAACGGGTTTATTTGCGGCGGCGAATGCTTGGATCAACGAGAGAGAGGTTTTGGAGGTTGTTAGGTCGAACATTGCTGCATAAATTTTTGTCAGTCTTGTACTTTTTTTTTTTTTTTTTTTTTTTGGAAGACTATTTTATGGCGTGGATCCGGGGAAACATACGTCCATGTCCACCAACATAGAAAATAGCATCGAACTCGCCAACGCGCGGAATCATATCCTCCAGCTTGTGCGTGTTCTCCCAGAGAGATTTTTGTTCTTTGAGGAATTTCTGCGATAGCTCGTCTGATTCGAACATCTTCACCGAGGCTGGGTCTAGGGGTGCCTCGCCGCCTTTTGGTGAGGCGATTGTTAGGGAGACTTTGTTTTTGAGGACTTCGTGGGGATGGGCGAATTCAGGCTGATATAGTGTGTTAGTCAATTTTTTTTCTCTGTGGAATAAATGTTGGACGGTATTGCATTGCATACCAAGAACCATCCGGTTGGGTTACCAGTGGCGTCGATCTTGCCATGGGAGGTGAGGACGATGAGGACTTTGGGAGTCATTTTGGTAGACTTTATGGGGATATAAAATCAAATTGAAGTTGAAGTAGGTAAATATGTATTCGTTTGAAGAAGAATAAGTTGATTAGGCCATAACTAGGAGCTTTATATGTTCTACATTGCTCCGTTTGCGGGTGTCCGGGGGGGAGCTGCATCATACATCACTATATCGTCAACACCCCCACCACGCACTAAGACAGTTGTGAATCATGTAGATTTGAGCCAATTGGATCATCTGTGGTGGAAACACTATCCCTTTGGAGAGTACAGGATTATCAAGAAACAAACATAGTCCTCCCGAAGGTCCCCCTATCTAGTGGATTGATCAACGTATCTAGCCTGAATAATACATTCAATGGCGCGTAAGCTCTCCATTTCTCTCAAACAATTCCTGCACACGCCCTGGCATTGAACATACTAGGTTTTCTAGCATATCAACGGGCAAAGCATCCCATCCTTCCTCGAGAAGAGCTATACGATCATCAGGTTCCCTAGGACCAGCAAGACCGCATCGCTCTGACACATAGCCATTTAGCCAGGTCCATAGGGCGTTCTGCGGGTTTAGGTCCAACGATCTTGGTGGATAAGAAGGGTTAACGACATCTAAACCATGCGATACATCTGTCATTGGAGGATTGCACCAAAGAGAGGGGGACCCGTCTTGGACAATAGATGCATCAATTTGATAATTGTCCCATAGATCAGCCTTGAATTGCAAAATATTCGGCAAAATATGCTCAGCATAAGCTCAGCCGTGAGAATCCCCCAGCTATCATCCCAGACAACAAGAGGACCTTTTTTACCGCCGGCAAAGCATGCCCAGACCCTAATTCCTTCCGGCCGAGGTGATTGTCCCATGAGCGCAGTTTCGTGGAATTCTTCGTCGGGGATCCGTAAGATATTAGGCATACGACGTCCTGTGGTTCGGAACAGAGCATCATCGCTAAAGATGACACCTTCTCCAGTCATCAACTGACCAGTTCTGACGGACCCGAGCCCACGCGAGACGTTTCAAAGGGTAGGTATAAACGGGCCGAACTTTGCAATGACGTCATCCTATGCCTACGAATGTCTCCAAGACCTTGGGAATTGAATGTTTGCAATTGTTCAGTCATTAATGATTAAATTGGTAATGTATATCATCGGTGTATGTGCAGATGTCAAGTGGAAAAACTTGGCAAAACAAAAAAGTCTTTGGGAAACAGATCATGTCAAAAAGGTCAGAAGCTCAATGCACTGTACATATACGTAAAAGTATACAAGTTGGGAAAGACTCGTATGCGAATGTATCGGGTATCGAGCAAAAATCAGTGGCTATCGTCGCAACGGATCGTAATTTTGGAGAATGTGGGAAGGTGTTGGCGTATATCACAGTATGTACCGCAATCGTCGAGTGGCCTCGGCAGCCACCAGTGCGCTGATCGCGCCGATGAAGAGGCAGATGGCGATGGCGTTGGGTCGATCTTTGTCCAAGTTCATCCACTTCGTATCAGAGGTGTTGTCTGTTGCGGGCCCGGGCCCAGGTTCTAGAATGCTGAAAACGATCCAACTGATCATTGTACCGACGAATTGGGGGAGAGTCGTGTACACATTGAGAACGCCTAGGTAAATGCCGGCCAGTTCGCCTGTTGACGGGGTGTTGGATGATGGGTCTTCCTCATCGGTGTCACTGTCGAAAGAGTCGTGGTGATTAAGTCTGAGCACGTCCAGCTCTGTGTCAGCAGAAGGGTTTGCGCGTAGACTGGCGGATGTGATCATCGTAACGTCGGAATTTGAGCTTGGCATTGCGGCTGAAGCACCCATTGTTAATCTGTTGATTTCCACGCCCATAAAGGCGAAAGGAGCCCAGCTAATAATTGCCCACGGGATACCACACACCGCTACCAGGAAGGTTGCGAATGCTCGGGAATGGGCCAGAGGAGCGAAGATCATCGTTCCAGCAAACATGATCTGCGAGATTAGCCAGGCTGTTTGAAGGTCGGGTCGGAATGCAGTCACGGCTTTGAGGGCAGCTGCAATGCCAGGTGGAGGTCGTGGAGTGAAACGTGTTCGCTTGGAGTCTGGCGGTTGGATACAAAATGGCAGGAGAACGGAGCTCAAGAAGGTAATGGATGAAAAGACGGTCAATGATAGACTGCCTACACGGCCGACCTCACCGAGCATATCGGTCGCCTTGGCCATGTCGTCTTTGGGGACACCATAGCGGAAATAGGTCTCGCCAACCCAGGTCGAGCTGTAGAAGAGGAAGGGGAACCAGCCTAAACAAAGTTAGACATGTAATTCTCACGTAGCATAGATTTTCTCATACCAATCCACGCCCAGAATTGTGCCCAGCAGATCGCTTGGATACGAGGCGGCAGTTCGAAAGTCGTCTTGAACAACTGTGAAAGCACTTGGAAAGCACCGGCCTTTCCATCATCGTCCCTACAATACCAGATTAGTCGAGAACATTCGATAGTTGTAAATAAACAAACCTTGCTGAAATCAGAACACGCTCCTTGACCGAATAAGAAGTGACAGCGACAGCGCCCACCAATAACAAGGCGGCGATGACGGTCATTTGCTTAAACTGTGTATCTCCAAGAAGACTGCCAAAGATACTGACAGTATCAATGGAGCCGACCACATAGGCACAGAGTTGGCCAATGGCGCACATTCTGCCGGCTAATATAACTGTCAGCGTTTTAGACTGAGACATATGGGGAAAGACCATACCCCATGCGGATCCAGCTTGCTGTAATGGAATCGGTAGCGTATCCACAATCAAACTACGACAACACGCCTGAACTATACAGCTGTCAGCAAGGCATACTTCGATAGATGTAGTTTTCCACTTACCAACATTGATGGAGAAATCCACCGCATAGATACTGATGATCGCCAAGGCAATTGTGCCATTTTTCGCCTGAGTAAATGAATGTTAGCATCCAAAACACAATACATCTACTGGAGATGAGGAGAAAATGCACGCACCTTTTCAGGATCTCTAACAAACAACCCAATGATTTCCGCCGTCCATCCCAAGATGAATAGACAAAGAGCCACGACAAAAGATCCAAAGACCATAAATGGTCTCCGACGACCCCATTTCGACCGCGATCGATCCGCAATGACACCAATAAGAGGCTGAATAATCAACCCAGATAGAGGGCCAGCAATCCAAACCAAAGAAGTCTTAGACTTGGTCAAACCAAGCTGTAGAAGGTAGGGCGTACAATCTAAACCAGGAAACGAGTTAGGACCCATCCACAATCCAACACTTAATCGAAAGTAGGGAAGCTCTTACAGGTCATCTCAGTACCCCATGTAAACCTAAGCCAAACATCCAAGAGTCAGCAAAACCACTCCCAAATTGCAACCCATATCTGAATCAATTGTCCCCAAGTCTCAAGTATTCACAGAGCGCAACAACCCTCACCACCCTCCCTAGACAAAAACAAAAGAGGAACGAGAAATACGCACTGCAACCCAACCAAGCTAAACGTCAACAAGGCCATCCGAGTCGCCTCAGACCGTCCCTTGATGGAGGGCGTACCCGCCCACCTCGCAGTCTGCGGCATTCTGCTTATCCACGGACTGGCATGCGCTTATAATTCTTCACCTCTACCAAAGGAAGCAAAAGTACGTATGCGGATTCGGATGCGGGCGAATGAGGATGTCGCCGGTAGTATCCCCCAGTAACTAGTTATGCGCGCGATTCAGAATTGACAGAGTATGATCCGGGTGTTCCGTGGCGTAGGATATGGTGTGGCGTTTCGGTTTGGCGTCCGGGGTGTGTCGCGTGAGGATGGGGCTTGTTCGTGGGGGGGCTGAAATGGCGACAATTGGCGCGGGCCAGCTGGGATTTGGGCTGGGGGGCGGTTATAGGGAGTGTATATGGGTAATATCGTTAGGTATGAGACTGTATTGGTGTGTAGGTGATCGGAGAGGAGCAGAATTGAAGCTGTCACAGCTGAGAAGAGAAAGAAGGAGAGAAAATCGGCAGGGCCTGAGCGGGCCCTTATCGAATTATTATTAATTAATCTTAACCCCACGGGCACTTGCCGATCTGTTTCAGGGTCTTGATGCTTCCTATTTGGATTGGAGTATTAGTTTCACCTCGAGTGTCTAGATTGTGTCTGTCTGTTTGCAGAGTACATGCACATGTCAATGCTCACTTCATTGGCTGGCTTCGGGGGACGAGATCGGATGACATAATCCGGTCCCTGAGTGCCAAATATAGAAACACGCGGGATGAACGTGGGACTAAAGGGGTGGCCTACACTTCCCAACGGTTGAAGTACAAAAAGACAGTATATTATAAAGCGTACATTCTTTCATTGCGTGCGTCGCATCCAATATCAATTGGATCTGTTAACCTAATTTAAGTATCACAGTATGAAGCGACACCTGTCAAGGCCAGTCGACCCAACAGGCGAAAAAAAGAGATTTTAATTTCTTCATGTCCCAGATCCGCTTCCCATAATCGTCGTAAACAGCTCATACCCTGATGGCCTACAGCCGGTTGGGGGCAGAGTTCGTCACAGGCCACTGGTAGCCAGCGGCGTCGCTGAACTTGTATCCGTACGAGGCAGTGAAGTCATCGAGAACGGCAGGGCCACGGGAGCCTATATATCAATTAGTGATGGATCAGGATAGATCAAGGGGGATATGCGTACCGTAGGGGTATTCCATGGGGATGATCTCCTTGTTGTCATCGAGGTAGTGGAGAAGGGGGCTGAACATGCGCCAGCTGGCATCCAACTCGTCATCACGGACGAAGTTGGAGTGGTCGCCCTTGAAGGCGTCCAGGATCAGAGACTCATAGGCCTCGGGAATCTTGAGATCGGAGAAGCGGCGGCGGTAGGTCAAGTCCAGCTCAGTAACCACCGTCTGCATGGACAGACCGGGGAGCTTGGAGTTCATCTTGATGTAGACGGACTCGTTGGGCTGGACGCGGATGACAAGCTCGTTGCGGGGAATGTCCTTGAAGATGCCGGAGGTGACATCCTTGAACTGAATACGGACCTCAGTCTTCTGCTCGTTCAGGGCTGCGGAGTGTTAGCTGCTATTCAACAGGTCCAGAGAATTTGATTCTTACCCTTTCCGGCCTTGAGGATGAAGGGAACGCCGTCCCAACGCTCGTTCTTGATGTATGCGACCAGCGCGCAGAAGGTGGGGCAGCGCGAGTCCTTGGGGACAGTGTCGTCCTCGAGGTAACCAGGCTTGCTGCCGTCAAGGGAGCGGCCGTACTGGCCAATGATGACGTTCTTGGGCTCGATGGCATCCATAGCGCGAAGGACGCGGACCTTCTCGTCACGGATGTCCTCGGAAGAGAAGGAGATGGGGCGCTCCATAGCGAGCAATGTGAGAACCTGCAGAAGATCTAGAAGCTGTTAGCATGGCTCTATTATTGTCAATGTCGCTTGGAACGTACGGTTCTGCATAACATCACGGATGATGCCGAACTCGTCGAAGTAACCGCCACGGCCCTCGGTGCCGAAGGGCTCCTTGAATGTGATCTGTAATCGAGGTTAGAAGTCGAACTGAAGCCGAACATATCTATCCAACCAACATACCTGAACGTTGTCGATGTGGTGGCGGTTCCATGTAGCGTTGAAGAACTCGTTGCCGAATCGCAGAATCAAGATGTTCTTAACCATCTCCTTACCGAGGTAGTGGTCGATACGGAAAATCTCCTCCTCCTTCCAGTTGGGTTCCAGGGCCTTCTGGAGATCGCGCGAGCTCTGAAGGTCCTTACCGAAGGGCTTCTCGACCTGTAGAACAATCTTATCAGTAAATGACCCAACCGTCAGCGTCCGGGTGACAAACAATAATACGGGCGAGACCGCTCTTGGGGTAGCAGTTGCGCTTGAGTTGATCAGAAACAGTAATAAAGACACTAGGAGGCAGAGCCATGTAGAAGACACGGTTGGACTCCTTTCCTTGGCGACCCTTCTCAATCTCCTCGAGATGCTTGTTCAGGTTGATGAAAGAGTCATCCTGATCATATTGGCCGGAAACGTAGGTGCAGAGCTTGCAGAATTGGTCTAATTGCTCCTCGATTTCCTTGGTGGGAACCTTGATGTAAGAGCGAACGCGCTTGAGGTATTCATCGTGCTCCATCTTCGTCCGGGCGTATCCGACGACCTTAATGTCCTTGGGGAGGAATTTGTTGCGGAACTATTTTAAAGAGTTAGTGGATCAAAACTTATTTCGATTCAAAAAAATAGGACATACAAGACCGAAGAGTGCAGGGAACTGTAACATGGTTAGCCAATGCTCGTCATAGCCTCGATGGAGGGGTACCAACAGTCTTCTTCTTCGCCAGATCACCGGAGGCACCTAGTACCACAATAATAGTATCATCTTTGAGTTCGATGGTGCTGAATGCGATATCCATTGTTAGTGGGTGTTGTGTAGAATTGACCGAGGAAGAATTTGCGGTGGACGGCGGCAATGGAGGGACTCGGCAGGGAGCTCTCGGGGTAATTTTTGCTTGCAAAAGTGCCCAGCGAAAGCAGCGAAGCAGTTCAGGATGAATCTCAAGTGCCTCAACAGTGCAATGGGAAAGGTTGAGGTTGAGATGAGGTATCCGGTGGGCTTCCGCCGGAGGGAGGGGGGAGGGGAGGTGATGTCAGAGACAGAAGGGGGAACAAACTCACCCAGCACTCTGGCGATCATCGGATTTGGCGACCATGCCAGACATATTGAAATCGCTATAGGAATGAGAAATTGATGGGAGAGATGAAATGGGAAGAGAAGAGGAAGGAGCCGGAGTACTTTTTCTACGGTCTCTCACAGCTTCGCTGGTGGGGCTTGAGGGGGTATTTTATGTGTTTTATGACTTCAGGGTAATTACTGCCATTTTTCTTGATGACGATAATCTATGACTGATCCTTTGCCTTTTTTTCTCCCCTAGGGTCGTTTTTGAAGTATTTAGTCTCGGCACTGCTCCTGGCCTAACCTTCTCAACCCAAATGCCGGTCTGCTGATTTTGTATGCCCTTCTTTTGCTTAACTCCGGTCTTCAGGATCAACCATTGTCAGTCACTCTAGTCTAGGGGGAGCCACTCTGAGATCCTACGGGATCTTACCCGGTCTTCCTCAATACTACTGACCCCGCGCAGCTTACTATAGTCTGGGTTCTACCTTACCTCGAGGGTGTGCAACGTGATGTCGCTTATGCCGGTCCGATTCGAATTCTTCATGCAGTTCCTCGACTTCTCACCTCCAGGGGCAGTCATCTGATAAATAAACTCACTAGGCGCGGATCACACTGCCCAAACAGGCTGAATTCGAGGGTGGAGCGGAGCGTATTGAACAGCTTTGCGGTCAACTACGCACATCTACGTACTGGATGTGTATGAAGTGGATCTGCTGCACGATAGGCAAGCCACCTTGAAGTGTGACATCCCCACTGACTCTATGTATCAAGAAACAGTCCAATACCGAGCACGCAACGTGATAAGAGAGAGCTCTACGGAGTACCGGTGACCGAAACCTTGGGGAGCGATCGGCATATTTGTCATCTCTCATACCAGACGGATTCTATTTTCCCGACTGTTATATCCGGTTGAGGTTCGAGGCTTTCGATCTAAAGGTCCGAATCCGGAGCATATTAACCGTAGAGTGTGACCTGCCCCTCGGTATATGTCCTAGTCCGGTTCGGTGAGAAAGTGTACGCTTGGGAATTTCCCCGAATCTGGGATGACCTCTTGAGTGTAGTCCCAACATGGTGGGGCATGGACTCTCTACATTTCCTAATAGGTGGTCTCGGTCTGATGTATGTAGATGTGCAGGGGCGCATTGTCAGGCTACAGTACTCGGATATCGGAGCAACGTGCTCAATTGTATCGCTATTTGGACACAGTTCACCTCTCTAACATTCATTTCTATATACTTGAAGACGGTGTATAAAATGTTGAATAAACAGTTGTTGAATAAACAGTTGTCGTCATGCTGAGGTTTGTCAGCTGAGACTGCGGGCAAACCGGTTCGGACTACAGTTGCCCGAGGTGGGATAGTCGGACCGGAGAAACATAGACCCTGCCAGGTGAAGGACTGTGCTGAGATAAGCAGTCTTATCTGGGCTGATCTAATCTGGCAGAAAATATCGGGCGGTATGTCGGACAGGAACAACCCAGACCCGAGGGGCTCGCTTAGCCCTAAGCCCTGTCACCTGATACACGGCGCACATTGGTTGTGCGCTCTATCGCTAGATTATCTCGATCCGACGACAACACGACAAACGATCTTGCGGGTCATTCCTTCGACTTTCTTTCCTTGCCCGCTCCCAGAAAAAAGCCGACACAATGCCTTCGGAACAAGGACACCGCCGTGAGTGAATCCCTACGATTATTAGATTGTCGTCGTGACAGTCTCGAATTCGCGATGGCGCAGGAAGACCCTGTGTGCGATGATTTAAATGACTTGATATGCTGACTTTCTTCTCTCTCCTAGTCTACGTCAAGTAAGTTATCATCGCACATTCCCATCATCGCACACGAGAGACGCCAGTTTGAAAAAAAGAAGACATGGAAGACATCAATTCTGGAGGATCCAAAAACCCATCGCAACCACATCGAATCATCGCCGATCAGAACAAACCATTAATACGATTTTCTTTGCAGGGGACGTCACCTGAGCTACCAGCGCTCTAAGCACGCCCAGAACCCCAACACGAGGTACTTATACCCTACGCTAGAAATGTGAATGGAAGGATGGAATTCTGATACTTGGTTTTACAGCTTGGTCAAGATCGAGGGCGTTGATGACACCAAGTCCGCCAACTTCTACCTTGGCAAGAAGGTCGCTTTCGTCTACCGGGCCAAGCGTGAGGTCCGCGGCTCCAACATTCGGGTGATCTGGGGCAAGGTCACCCGCCCGCACGGTACGTGAATCATCGAGCGGTCTCAGAGGCTGCAGTCTGCAACCGATGAGCCTCTCAAAATCCATCGACCCGAATCCATATCTAACTCTGTTACAGGCAACTCCGGTGTTGTCCGCGCTAAGTTCCGCAACAACCTCCCCCCCAAGACCTTCGGCGCTACCGTCCGCGTTATGCTCTACCCCTCCAACATCTAAACGGCTTCTTTGTGTTGTTTTTGTGGGCGATTCCCTTTACGCGCAGACGGTCGGTCAGGCAAGGAAAAGTCGACGGAACGAGCCGATGTTGATTTGAGGTGATGGAGTTGATGGGTTGATAACGTTTTATTCGTGGGAGAAGGCAGGGCCACCATGCCCTACGAATCAAAAAATTTACACTTTCATAGCTGTGTCGGCCCCGAGGCACCGGGAAGAGCTTAGTCTCGATATTTCTCCTTGTTCCTACAAACTGGCGAGCATGATGTGTCTGGTCGCGCAGCGTCACTTTCTCCCACTGTGTATCTGACGCTAATACGCACCAAATTCCATACCATTTCAATTTCAACCGGTCAATCGATCCGCATCTTTGTGTCAGTCTCGGTTTTAAGAGGAATTGCATTTTCTTGCTCTGGCCACTACATATTTTGCGACCCGTAACTTGACGGTATATGAGCGTGAAATGTAAATTGTATATGTCGTAGCTATTGTGGATCTGTGCTTGCACGCCTACAAAGGTACGTTTGATATATGGTGACTAGAGTGTTTTCGTGAGTAACGGTCTCGGCTTCCGGGACATGAACCTAGACCGCTATTCCACCAACCACTTCTACGCTGGCCACTTTCTTGAGTGCTAGTCTACACTATCAACTACGGTTGTACCATCACGAAGTTTGTCGCTAGCAACCCGAGCAGTAATTCCATGTTTCCAATCCTGTTCACTTTCCAAAATCCATAGATACCCTCCCTCTCTCTCTCTCTCTCTCTCTCTCTCCTTTTGCCCAACTTCATACGACTTACACCCTAACTTATCCAAAAGCAGATCCTACCCTGAACAAAGAAAGATTTCCTTTTGTCTATGTTCAAAGTAAACGAGATAAATTCCATTCATTTGTGGGCTGTAACGGGGTCTATTGGACCCTATTGGCTCTTGTCTAATCAGCCACAGCCACAGCCAAGCCAACAGGCTCTTGTCAAGGCCAGGATGACCAGGATGACCAACTCGTAGTCCCGGTACAAATGTCAATCTATTGATAATGCAAACATGTTCTCCAGGTTCATCAATAGAGAGAGACCTGCTTGAAACCTGGCACACTCCAAGTCTTCTTCTACCAAGTTACAGTTCATATCTGAAGTTCCTACCTTAATGCTAGACTCCTACAGCCTGAGCTTAAGATCCCTTAAGCTGTTGTATCGCCTTGTTAGTGTCAATATCAAGCTAACTCGGTTGATATCAAGCCGAGGTCTTACCTAACAAGGATGCTTAAGTATATCATGACTCAAAAAGCAACAGCTCGGGCAGTACCTTGTGCGTCAAAAAACCAACCAATGCTACAGTCATAGATAAAATTTACCGCATATGTAGACAAATCGAAAATACGTGTGCATGAGTGTTGACCAAAGGGGCCTACTCGGAACATTGGTGGTAGGCATAGGAAAATAACTCCGGCTCCAAAGTAAGCAGCAGATCCGTGATCGGCAATACATGTTAAATCGAAGTTTAATCTAACCAGAGCGACCATGCTCATGTCTTGCAGTTGGGAGCCAGCTCGCACGCGGTTGCTCTACCCAGCCAAAAGCTACATAGTGCCCATCGAATCCTCTCGGAATTCGCACATCTGTGGGATATTAATTCCAATCCATCAAAGACCAAGATAGTTCTGTTGCTGACCTATCTCATATTCATAATTATAACTGGATGGACTTGTGAGTGAGAATTCGGCGGGACGGCCTTGATCCACAGGTAGCAAACTCAATTCAGCAGTCCTACAAGCAAATCACCTTGATTCTATAATTTCAAGGCATACAGTGACTACAGCAATAGCCAGCTTGAGAATTATAGTACGCGTTCGATCACTTGCGGTGCTTTGTTTGCGTCAACGGAGAGAGAAAATGCGTAAGATATATAGTAAGACCTAGACTCCACTTATCCCGAAGTATAAAAACATCAACAACGTTAATCGTAAAGCAACATCCATCTATACCCCCCCGACCAATCCAAACGCCAACATCCAACGTAATATTCACCTCAAGAGATTTCCTTGTGAATTGACCATCGGTGTGCTTTCAGATTCTCCTTCCGACTGGTAGTGTGATCGCACGAGGGACATTCATAAGCACCCGGAGACACGTGCTGCGTCTCAATGTGTCGCTTGAGGACTCCCTTGCGGGAGAAGAAACGATCGTAGGTACAACCTACCCAGTCACACCTGAAGGTGCCGTAACGGTCGCCGTCACTAGACAGCAACGATGCGGTCAGGTATGTGATGAGAGACAGCGGAGCTCCACTAGGGTGGGTCTTACTTTTTTTGGGGTGCCCCACGAGTCAGACAAGGCCTCTTTGCCTTGGGAGGTTTCTTTGCAACTTTTCCGGAGGGGCTGGCTAGGTTTGAGGTGCAGGGCGATGGAATGACGTTCGCCCAAGGGTCGAGATAGTCGGGACCGTAGGGGCTTATGGGGGATACGGTGGTGCCAGCGGTATGAATGGACGTGGTGCTCAAGTTTCTCTTGTTGGGAGGCCTGGGTATAGGGTTTGGGCATAGATATTTTGCACTAGGTGGGTGGTTGGTTTCGTTGTTTGGGCCCGCGAGTTCTGGCGTGGAAGGAGATGGAGTGAAATCAGTCCAAGGACTTGGGTAGCAATCGGGATAGGGACTGTCTGGAGCAAAGATAGCAGTGTTGCTTTGAACCGGGACGCACGGTGAGTTGCTTTGAGCGACGGGCTTAGGGAAGGTGTTTGGGCTCAGGTAGAAAGATGGAACCGAGGTAGGAAGCGGAGCAAATGGGTGGGGAGCTGGGATCGCTGGATACTGAATGTGATAGTTGTATAGAGGGACTCCAACGGCGGGTACACTTCTCGAAATGGCCAAAGGCTCGGGGGATGGGGTCCCGAAGAAAGATTGAGATTGTCTGAACACCTCGCTTCTCCAGCTGTCCAACCCCGAGTTAGACCACGCGGTATCTTCTAAGCTATTGTTGGGTGTCGGGTGGTCCATAATGAGGGGAGACAACCAGAAAACCCTAATAAGAAGACTGTGGTGAAAATATGAACAGGGATGGCTAGCTGGTAGTTGAATATTCATACGGGGAAAGCCTTTGGGGCGAGGTGCGTCCCAGTACTTATAGAGATTGACATATTATAGACCACTCTTATGGCCCAAGAGTAGCCTAGATTCTAGAAAGGTAAAGGGGATGGAGAGCAGAGAACGAATGAGAAGCCCCAAAGATCGGCGGGCAAAGGGCGGGCTTCAGGACTTGACAAAGTACAAGTACACACCAGATACGATATGTGCCCCAGAGGGGAGCAAAATCTAAAAGGAAATAGGCATCAATGTCTGTTTCACTCAATTTACCTCATCTAGGTTCAACGTCCGAGAATTAAACAAGAAACAAGTGTCCCGAATACACGGTTCTTGGGATTTGGGAACCCCGATCTGGCTATTAAAAAATGCACGGGATCTTTTTCATGATGCAATTTTACTTCTGCACCTAGCGCTATTCCGCTGGATAATCCTCCCCATGGTTTCGAGTTTCTTAGACTAATCGTTTCCACGAAGAACTACTGCATGCACGGCCCCCGGATGTTACTCCTGCATGACTCGTAATCGGAAATTGCTGAGAGACGCATTGCACTGAGTGTGGACAAAAAGGAGACCCCAACTGGATAAAATAAAGCTGGATTGGACGATTGATGCAGGTGTCGTAGCCATAAGGCAATCTTGCGGACTGAAAAGACACCTAAAAAGGGCACGCAGAAAAGGGATCGACGGGCCATCATTCACTTTCGGCCCCCATTTTCACCCGGGTGCTGTTTGTACTGTACTGTATACATCATGAAATTCCCTGCATACCCCACTACCAGGCTCGTGGGAATAGACGAGGACGGATAGAGTAGATCTAACTGGTGTTCCTGCGTTTTTAATAATGAGCGTCCACGAGTAACCCGTCAAATTTGCTGAAGGTACGTACGTATGTATGTATGTCTGTGATGAGAACAAAAGTGGCCCCCAAGGCTGGGAATGTCAACTGTGCCAGGGATCATCTACGTACTTCCCCTTGTAGGCAGTGTAGCGCTTCTACCCTGCTGCGACTAGAGAGAACTACGGGGAAAGTATCGAAAAAGTGCCGTGACCGAAGAAAGCCGAGAGCAGGGATCGTGAGAGACAGGGATCAGGGTCGTACTGCATTGAATGGGACAGGTCTCTCAAGTGAGGGCAGAAGAGATAGTGACGTCGGTTAAGTCTTGCAGATGCCCGGCCCACATTCTCTGTCAAGAGATGATCATTTGAAATAATTAAACGTTCAATGATGTCGCGAGGATTGAGATATTTTAAAAACGGCATGAGACGACAGGGCGCTAAACATATTACCCCGGACAAGTCAGATTGGGATGAGTTTTGGACTATCGAGCTGAAAGACGAGAATCATGATTGGTGCACCTGTACTGTACTGTATGCGTTGGCCGAAAGCCAGAAAAGGAACTAGTGCAAAAGTACGTACAGTTGATTGACCGGACGCGGCTCAGCTTAGCCCCGAAATACTCGTTTATCGGAGCCGAACTTGCTTTCCTATCCTCTGATTCTTTGACAAATGACTCTTTTTTCAGGGTGAAATTATATCATTGTTGGTATGTCTGTTGTTCCTACCTTGCCATACTCAGTGTGGCGGCCATTCAAGACTAGGACAGCTACAACCAGCAGTGGTAGCAGTGTTCGCCCGAGTTCACTCGTGAATACTGGTGTGAACAGGTATTGTGTGCAATTTATTCTTTCAAAGACAGGTAGAAAACATCGAAAGTGATATCCCCGGGGTGCATGAAGTCAGAAGGTCTAGATGAGGCTCCCTACGTTCCGTTGCACAACATAAGCCAACCGTGATTCGGGGTCCAGACTCAACCCAAATTCCACTTGCAGCTCAACGTCTTTGTGGTGTATATATCATATGGAAAATTCCTATGTGGGCTTTCCTGTTGTCTCGACGATTAAACCGCTCGTCACATTCAGGGCAGACGAAAGAGCCATGCGAGATAAGTCCCGATGCTATAATCCAAGCAAAGCAAGTCTAGATCAGACAAAGAAGTATGCTGAATGAATTCGTGCTCATAGTGCCTGAATGACTGCTACAAGGGTGAATGCTGTACGGGACCTCGACCGTGCATGTGGTCCACAGATAGTGTAGGTGATGTCAAGGCCGTGGAGGCAGGGCAAACGAAGTGTTCGGTCATCCAATCCTCATCGACAGCCAAGACAAAATCGCCCGAGTCTCCATTGCATGAGCAGGACATGGTCAATAGACAGGGACGGGAACCGACATGTCAAGATCAAGAGGCACACTTGATTTCTTTCCTATGATCAAGTAGGAAAGAGCCAAAGTACTGTATATATCTGCGAAAGAGCCACGAAACCGCAAGTATGTGTGAAGCCACTTTGATTTTCACAGTGTATACAAATGCCCCGAAGACCTTGGCAAGAAGCAAGAGCTCAATACGATCAGATTGATACTTCTTCAACAATGCCGCTAACCAAATCAGCAGCCTCTGCAACCACCGCTCTAGTACTACCAACCGATATACAACCTTCTATACTTAAAGTCTGCAATGGTTGATCTGGTCCTCCTTGAAATGACGTCACATAGTCTTGAGCCTCATCCCCTGTCTCCACCCCCTCTTCCCCATGTCGCTCACATCCTCAGAGTATACATGCACACATCCTGTTATATGTCATGGTTCCGTAGTGACTATTGTATAATGGATTATGGGCCCAATTGTATCTTCCATGAGCAAGGGACACACCTCTGACAGTTGTTGGATGCCAAATTGTCCGGCTCCAGGTAAGGCCTATGGCTCTTCAAATCCAAATCTTGTTTCCGCTCACGATGCTGTTCTTGAATTGGCGATGTCTGAATCTATTATATGATTGATCAGACCTTGGCCAACAAAAATTTTCCAAGATGAGGCCAGGATCGTCAGTCGCCCCACATAATGTTTTGGCAAACAATATGAATCATATGCCGTATGCACTATATTCTCCAAATGTAACTCCGCAGCTTGTCGTCCAGCTCTCAGCCCATGCAAGAGAAATGCCAAGCAGCCACAGCCAGTCAAGCATGAGACATTAACTCTCTATACCGCGGCCCACTCAAGTAATCCATGTTGGAAGATTGCAAATCCTCCAACGGCAGAGACGAGATCTGATCAAAGCAGCTTCGAGGTCTGACCTGCTCCCCATGTAGTTCTAGTACTCTTCGAACAAACACTCCACCCTCACAATAAACCCTCCACCCATGGCTATCCGGATTCAAACCAGGACCATGGATCATCCACCGTGTAATGACCAAAACAGCCAAAGAGTGGAGATCACAAAGCTGAACTAGGGAATCAGTGTTGCATTGCCCACAGGTGTAAGTAAAGAAGTGGGGCTTGTCCGGATCTCGAAAGAACCGCAAAAGAAGCGCCATCAACTCAGTATAAGCCGAGTACGAATGCTCGCAAAGAGGGAACGTCTGCGAAGTTGCCCGTAGCTGACACAGCTGATTGTCGCGAACTAGAAGCATATCCTGGACGCGCAAACAAACACCCATTGGGGTCGGACAGATGCGAGCCTCGACCGAGACCAGCGATATCATTCTCATACCGAGTGATTGTCGCTGGGGGTGGGCCTGGATTTGGGTGTAGAATATAGAGTCCGCGGTGTCTCTTGGCGGTGGACCGTCGAGATAGGTCCTGACTAGTAGCCTGGTGAGAAAATTGAGATTAATGCCGTGAGACCCGATCCATAGATATCTTTTTATTCGCCTATGCAATCGACAGCTGTCCCACTGGCCCCGGGACCAGCATTCAATGCCACAGGCTTTCTTCCATTCTCTCTCGGTTATACCGAGGCATTTTGATCCATCGTATCTGTGGAGACGAATGCAGGCCTGACAAATAAAGTAGTCTGGTAGATCGCGTGCTAGAATTTCCAAGATGGAGAGTTTCCCGCTGTGTCTGTGAGGCGGCAGGAATTTGATATATCTGCTCAGCACTGCCAATAGTCGACGATTGCACAAGGACACGGCTATGATGTCGGCTGAATAGAGAAAGTCGGAGATTGATAAGAGCAGTTCTGGGATGAGGCCGGGTAGTGTGTTCGGATTGGGAATGATGGGGGTCTCGGTGTTGGAGATATTGCATTTTTGTAGGGGAGAGACTAGGGACTTGTATGAATGGCTGAGAGGTTGCATATTTAAGGTGAGTTGGCCAGTCACCGGTTAATTGTAGGTAAGTCACAGCCAGGAAACCCGAGAATCAGTATGCAGTTTGTCAGTTCAAGTCTTGGTTCAAAAACGAGGTCAAGTCTTCCAGTATCTCTTCAACAATCAGACAAAATGAGTAGGTCAGTGGTTGGATAGTTCTTGCAGATAGAAGGTTGACAGAATGAAAGAGGGTGAAGTGCGTGAGCGAAGTAGATAATATACCCAGTTACTGACTCATAGAACTACGTAATTTGTTCGAGGCTTCAGTATTGCCTATTTAGAAAAGTGTATAGCTATTAGTCGATATAGGAAATTAAGGTTATGTGGTCCCGTGGAGTTGACTCAAAAGGGTTCATTCTAGATACAGTACAACCAATAAACGAATTAAAAAGTAAGTATAACACCTGACAACCAAACCCTACAACAAAGCTTATTTGCTTAGTTCTTAACAATAACCCTTCGGCTCCACTCTAGATACATTATTCCACAAAACATGCAAACTTTCACATCCAACCCAACCTGTGAATCACTCACGCCGTCACCTCAGTAATAGCATACCGACTCCACTTCCGAATGACAGTTCCATACCGATAGAACACATACGGCACAGGAACCATGACAGCACTAATACACGCAAGAATGGTAAGAGTGTAATGAACACCCATATTCTTGTAGAATGGAATCCCAACCACAGTCATACCGCCCGCAGCAAAGTACCGCGAGACAGTCATGAAACCCAAAGCGGAGGCAGCATAGATACCGTACGAGTCGATGACGTACATGTAGGAACTGATGAAGATGCAAATGGCGCCAAAGCCGAAGAAAGAAGATGCAATTATAGGGGACCAGATTGAGACGGAGGCCTGGGTGGGTCGTTAGCATGTAAATTATTGAGGATAGTATGTAGTATATCCGGAGGGACAAAAGAACTTACGAAATCGGTCCAGCCCATCCAGAACAAACTGATAGGAATCAGTGGTGCGCCGACCATGGCAAACCAAAGTCTGATCTCGGGTTGAGTGTGGATGTTGTCCAAAGCGTGAGGATCGGTCGCTGGGTCAGTTCCGTTCTTTGCTTTGGCGGCTGCGGTGAAATCGCGCTTTGTCCAGTGGTAAATTGGGAATGCGAGGAGACCTGCGAGCATGATCCCAACGTACATTGCCACCCAGGTGATGTTGGTTAGTCCTTGTGAAATGCCATATACATCAGTGAAGATGTAAGTATAGCCATCAAAGAAGGTGAAGAGGACGATGTACAGAACGGTCATGTACATGGAAATCAAGAGGATGATGGGTTCCTGGAAAGTGATGAGGAACTGGCGTTTCAGGGCACCACCGATGCGAGTGAACAGTGGGATTTTCTCCATGTCCATTTCTGAGCGGAAGCGGTTATCACCTGTTGCCTTGCGCAAATGCTTTCCTTTCCATTTGAGGAGCAGTGGGGAGTAGGTCTCGGGCTGGAACAGAATGATAAGAGCCATGATTGCACCGGAGGCTATGAGAATGATCCAAGCCGTCCATTGCCACGAGAGAACCCCTGTTTGGCCGATGTACGATGCAATAACTGGGGCCAAGACAGGTCCACCGAATGACAAGATGGCATACATGGGGAAAGTGAGCGTCTTCTCAAGAGGATTCCATAGGTCCGCAATGGTACCACCTGCGCAGGTTAAAGGCGGGCAGCCAAAGATGCCAGCCAAAAAGCGGAAGGCCAGTTGGGCACCGATATTTGGAGCCAAGGCTGATCCCATGATGAAAATCATGAAAAGAGTAAGAGAGCCGGCGTAGACAGCATTGCGGCCGAGGATTTCAGACAGAGGTCCGCTAACCAGCGAACCGGCGGCGAATCCGAGCAAGTAGATACCTAGAACGTATGAGCTTACAACCACGGATTGGCAAGGAGCTGGCTCTTACCAGTAACCAACGATCCCACAACTTCGCTCACATCGTAATACTCCGTGATTTGAGGCAAAACCCCGGACTCGATAGCCGACGCAGCTCCAACAATGAAAGCCAATGCGGTGACGAGCAAAGTGGCGACCATGCGACTCGTAGTACTATAATTGCGAGGGTTGAGCGGATCATTCTCATGTTCCCACCCAACAATGAAGATATGAGACTTGGGATCGAGCTGTTTCTTTATATCAACCCCGGCCAGGGATCTGCCGAATGCTGTTTTCTCCGAATACTGCGTCGGCTTCTGCGCAAGAGGGGGCGACTCCGATTCAGTGACATCGTCATCTGTCTGATCCGATGGCGTCGGAGCTTCTGTTTCCAAGGGAGTCTCGTTCACGGGGAAAGCGGCGCCGCGTTCGGGGGCATCATTGAGCTGTCTGTGGACGGCATTTCCCAATCGTCGGAATTGCAGATAGGACTGCATTTTGAAATCTCGGGATTAGACTGAAATTTTGGATACTCCCGGGTTGTATTCTCACCGGTTGTGTATAGATATCTGGGTGTTTCCCTCAGATATTTTTAGTATTGTGGTCAACGCTGTCTCTGGCGACGGGGCGATAGAGAGCTAAAAGCAAAAGAAAAGAAGAAAAAAACAGGGAAGAAAAAGCATCCCTTCAAGGTTGAGGTCCACTCGGCTGATAAATCGGGTTCCCACTCTGGTCGGTTCAACGGCGACAAGCTGGTGGGCCTGATCACCAAAGCCCGAGAGCTTAGCGTCATGACCCTTGGGGGTACACATTTAACATGCATAATTTCCCTAGTGATTTATCAGCCATACGTTCTCCACTTCAATATGTCGACTAAGAACCAAGTCCACAATTTAGCCCCGTTAACAGGTTCGAGGAGCAAGAATGAAAGCCTCGGAGTTCCTGCCGTGGTTCCTCGGCCCGCACTTCCGGTTTCGGTAAGTGGATTCTCGGCCGAGTTCGCTCAGTTGTCCGAAGTGTACGAAGTGACTCGCCGAGAACTCCAGTATGCACCCGGACTTATAGACCCTGTGATGAAGCCCAGGGGGTGATTTGTCCGTAATTCCGTTCTACTCTTGATCATGAATTTAATATCTACGAGATTTGCACTTCAGATATAGGCCGATACTAACAATCTATTTATCGGAAATAGGGCGTTACAACAAGGCAATACATGTCATACAGTAGCTATACTATTTAGAAACTTCAAAGAGCCAAGGGGTACTCAGTCGACTCAAGACGCTCTGGATAAGTCAAACCACCCTGCTGGCGAACTTGGTCCATGACTTCCATGATCGCAATACTCTCATCCCAAGGCAAGCCCTCGCTCTCAAGTTTCCCATCGCGCAAACAGCGAGCAACTTCATCAGCTTCCCAGAACATGCCGCGCGCATCGTCAGGGATAGGCATGCTGACATCCTGGACGTTTGATGCATCTCCCGATTGCGCAGTTGGGACAACACGGAATCGCTCTGGTCGATAGGCAGGGCCGAAAACCTGGATATGGCCCTTAGTTCCGTGGATCTGGATGGAGGGACCAGCGGAGCCGCGATTGTCTGGATCGCTGGCAACGCGGAAGGCTGTCATTGCTACGGCGTGAGATGTTCGGTTAGGAAGGGCGGACGGGGTGGTGGTAGGGAATGTGATGAGCATGGTGGTGTCTTCGTCTGCTCCAGTGGCCGCGAATTTTGACATATGGGAGACAACCTGGGATGGTGCTTTGCGCTGGGATGGTGGTAGGGTATGGTAGAGGATCTGGAAGACCCAAGTCAGAGCATAGACTCCCACTGCGAGAGATTTAGCTCAGTCATACATGCTCGGAATGCCACACTTACAGTCAAGAAGCGCACCGCCCGCAAGGTCCTTGTTGACCATACGGTGGGTCAAGTCCCAGGCAGTCTCAGGCTCGTCTCCAATGCTCAAATCAGAAACCACTCGCAGGACCTCCCCAATGGCTCCGGTTTGCACTAGACGTCGCACTTCAATACTGAGTGGGAAGTATCGAGTCCAAACAGCTTCCATCAGGAATAGACCCTTCTTCTGCGCAGTTTCGCACAGGATCTTGGCCTGAGCTGCGTTCACGGTGAATGCCTTCTCACATAGAACATGCTTTCCGGCTTCCAGGGCCAGCATCGCATGCTGGAAGTGATGTGAGTGTGGGGTAGCAACGTAGATGGCCTGAACGTTGGCATCATTGACGGCCTCTGCGTAGGACCCGTAGGTCGCACATGGCTGGGGAATCTTGAGCTTCTCGACGAATGAATCGGCTGAAGCCTTGGACGAAGATGATGCTACGGCGACAACGGTGTGCTTGACGTCTGTAACTCCTTTGGTCGTTGGATCACGCAAAAGATCCTCCACAAATGCTTTCGACATAGTTAGATTTTTTTTTCCTACAACAAGCACATCTTGAACCACTCACTTTGTGCAATTCCGCCGGTGGCTGTTGATAGGTGTCAGTCTAGTCATCTCACTAATATATGATTTCCACGGAGCAGGGACTGACCGAGAATGCCCCATCGAAGATCAAAAACCATGATTAGTATAGATTTGTATGATAATTATGATAATTGTGAAATGGTCGTGAACAAGAAACGAAGGGTCTTTTATACCGGAAGAATCTCATACATCTGCGGGGGGCAAACCTGCTTCAACGCTCCAGTCAAGCCCCACACCAGGAATCAACCGATTGGCTGCTTTCCTCCTCCACTCTGAACTTTGTCTTCGCCTCGACCTGCCAGACCCTCGACCCGCAAAAGAACTTGACATCAGAGAATCTGCAAAACTCCGTCTGGAGAGAGTCGATTAAGAGTCGGACCAACATCATGGAAAAAGAAACAAATCGCAAGGCACCGGTCCGTTCTCACCATGGCTGCACAAATTGCCGCCGAAGCAAAGTCAAATGCGACGAGCAAAAGCCAAGCTGCACCCGGTGCTGGCAAAAAAACCTGCAGTGCACCAGTACCTATCAACTGAAATGGGAGTCCGATTACCGGTATCGCGGAGTCGCCTTTGGCAGATCGGGGCGCTGGGGGAAAAACTCACCTGAAAATCGGCAGACCCCAAGCCCAACGGGATCAAGTCCATCTTTCCCGGAAGAGGCTACATGGCTGGTAACCCCACCAGTCGATACCTGGACATTTCTCAATAATGATGTGTCTCTAATCCAACGACTGTGTGACGAGGAAGAAACACATACCGAGCCACATCTCTTGCCGGCTTTCAATGCCAAGCAGGTCATTGGCGAACAAGGACCGCGCGGATCAAGATCACCATCCACGAGGCCAACGTCTGGGATCGCAAAACCTTTAAACATGAACGAGGTGCTACTGCAGAACCTTCAACCTCCCCTCTCCCTATTCCCATCCCTAGACACACTAGGAAACCGAGTGTTATTCGACTATTATATCAACCAAGTATGTCCACGAACAGTACATAATCCGCATTCCCAATCCCCATTTGCATCCGTCATTCTTCCATACTGTGTATCAGCCTCGCCAACAGTCCTACGAGCCATCCAAGCTTTGGCCGCATGCCATTGGTCCCAATATGACCCCCAATACAGCAACATCAGCCTACAATTAAAGTCGCGGGTTCTAAACACCTTCCGAAAACGAATCAACACGGAACCTACCTCCCTGGTAGCAGACGATCCCGAAGTCTTGGTCATTGTCATGTTCCTTTGTCTCTTCGACATTGTGGATGATTGCGATAAACAATGGATTGTCCATCTCCAAGGAGCAAAGGACATAATTCGACTTCGACGAAAACAACAACGCCTCATAGCAGAAAAGAACGAAAATGATAGCGCAGGTAGCCCACAAGACCCGGTATCATCCTTTACAGAACTATTCTTCGCCTTCCAAGACGTCATGGGCCGAACAGCATGCGCCAAAGCAGATCTTTTCGGATCGAGCTACTGGCACGAAGACGACACCACCATAAATTCATGGATGGGATGCAGCCCAGCCCTCGTCTCAATTATATTCGCCGTCATGGATCTAAGCCGGTCACGCCGGGCCCTAGTCTCCAACGAAGACCAGCTAAATTTCAGCACTCGAGCGTCTGCACTAAACAAGAGACTCGACACCCTCAGACAAGGGTCTCACACCGCCGGAAAAGAAGACCAGACCATCTGCAAAATCGCCGAATTAAAACGACTCACCAGTACCGCCTACCTGAACTGTGCACTATACGGCGCGCACCCAGCAGAAGACACGACAAAGACCTACGTCCGAACGATACTGAGAGAAGTCGTCGAGCTGCTGGCTCAGGAATCAGCCTGCCATGTCATATGGCCTCTCTTCGTTGCTGCTGTCGAGCTGGATCCGCTTGATTTTGAGCTCTGGACCGATCCGGAGACTGGATTTGTAACTGATGGCAGGAGGCTTGTCTTGGAGCTGCTCGATCGCATGGCGAAGAATAGTGTGTCGAGTGTGTCGCGCACGCGCGCGGTTATTGAGCAGGTTTGGAAATCGAGGGACTTTGATCTTTTGAAGACTGCCAAGCTGAAAAGGGGGCCTATTGCGGCTTTGAATGATTGGGAAAGATACGTTGTTCCGTTCAGTGATGCTTTGAGTCTGGTATAGGGTTGCGGATAATGTTGTACATTTTACATTTAACATTTAAAATTTACTAGCTTTAATAATGTAGTAACATTTAATGGACCGTGTTCCGCGGTTCTAGAAGTACAGGAAGTCAATTCATACGTACATTATGAGACTAGCCTTCCTGCCATTTTGCCCTAATTCCAAACGACAGCCGCGAAGCTACTCCCACAATCGGCCTTTGGCACCTCTCTTGGACTAGCTGCGGTCATGGTTCAATGTCAGACATCTAGATCTACATACAACAAAGGGTATTCGTCATTCTGAAGAAAACAATGAAGGTTTTGATTCTGTGCATGCTGCTCGATACCTATGAAGAGCAAGCAATGTGTACAACAAGCTCGGAAAACTCATTCTCAACATTCATGAAATCGTCATTTATATGCAGGTAAACCGTGAAACTTGCAGAGAAAAAGAAGCCGAAATTATAGAACTAAGCATTAACTTTTTAAAATATGTGCGATGTAGCGCGGAGTAGAGTATGTGGAAAAAAGAGGTGCAATCGAATCAAGTCAAGTTAGACCTCAACTTCAGGCTTCAACTGAGCCTTGCGCTCTTCGTCGAGTCGTTCCTGGCGGGCCCGCTCTTGCTCAGCGAGACCAGTCTTCTGGAATGTGTGTTGGCGACTCAGCTCACGGGGACGAATGAACAGAGAAAGAATAAAGCCGACGCCAGCGACGGCAGTGTAGAAGATCCACATGCGGCTCAGGGCGTGGGTGTAGGCACCGAGGACAACCTCGCGCTGGGAGGCGGTGAGGCTCTCGATGAGGGACTTGGAAGCGCCTGCGAAAGAAGCAGAGATGGAAGCGGCGGTTTCGGGCCCGATGGCGGCGATGAGCTGGTCGGATTGTTGACCCATGATGTTTTGGTAGATGACTGTTCCCAAAACGACAGAGATGGATGTGGAGAGTTGACGGATGAATCCAAAGGTGGCGGTTGCTGTGGCCATGTCTGAGGGGCGGATGTTGGCCTGGAAGGCGACGAGCGGGGACTGGAAATTGGGACCAATTCCGAAACCGGCAATCAGCTGGAAGATGATAATGCGAGGCCATGAGGCATAGGGCTTGAGGTCGATGAATAGACCGAATCCGAGAACCATCATAAACATGCCTCCCACGATCAACTCGCGGAAGCGGCCTGTCTTCTTCATGACGATACCGGTAGCTGCGGAGGTAATCGCGAGAGATAGGACCATTGGCAAGACGTAGACACCACTCATGACGGGAGTCGCCAGAAGGACGGTTTGGAAGTAAAGCGGCAGGTAGTAGGTACCGGAGATGAAGACAAAGCCGTGACAGAAACAGACGCAGAGGATGAGGACGTTAGACCACTCGTTGAACAGTCGGGGAGGAATGATAGGGAACTTGGCGATCTTCCATTCGCTGAACATTGCCAGAGCCCAGACGACGACGCCGAAAACGATGAGACAGATGACAGTGGCTGAGGACCATGAGTACTTCACGCCTCCGAATTCCAGTCCAAAGAGGAACATCAGAGTGCCACCAATGATCAAGAAGGTGCCTGCCCAGTCGATAGTACGCAGACCTGCAATGAGCGGAGTCTTGGGAGATTCAATTTGAAGGAACAAGGTCAAAATAACGAAGGAAATTCCACCGATAGGAACTAAATCAAAATCATATTAGCATTAATATCCAGATCGACAAATCCTGGCACATACGGTTGAGGTAGAAACACCATCTCCAGGTTGCAGAACTACCAGAAAAGGCACCGCCAATGACTGGTCCCAATGCACCTGCAATAGCCCAAGTCGCTCCAAAGAGACCGTAATACATGGGTCGATCTCTAATAACAAGTTAGACGTAATCATCAGATGAATGAGGGTCATCATACCTCACACTGAACATATCAGTGACACTGATGTTGGCGAGGATAATGATACCACCGCCACCAACACCTTGAACGGCACGACCCGCCACGATCATGGCCATATTCTTCGCCAGGGCGCAGATCAGACTGCCAACAAGGAAGGCAACATTGGCAAGCAAGATGATATTCTTTCTACCCCAGATGTCACTCAGCTTGCCCCACAGTGGAATACAAGCAGCATTTGCCAAGAGATAAGATGAAGCAATCCATGAGTACCCGCTCTCGGAGGCATTGAACTGTGAGGCAATAACCGGTAGCGCAGTGGAAATAATAGTCTGCAAGATTGTTAGAAAAAGTTCCGAAGCAAGGGGTAGAGTTCGGTATACCATATCGAGAGCAGCAAGGAATAAAACCAACTGAATGCGACCAAGTTAGCTTTTGCTTTTTCCATTAGCGCCACATTTTCGGAGAATACTCACGCATAGAGCTGTCATCACGACAATAATCTTCTTCTTGCCCATCTTGGCCGCTTGAGAAGGTGTGCGATCCAGAGCCGGGCCTGTTGTGGTCTTCTCCATCGTGTTCTCCGCATCGTCAGGTGGGGAGGGTGTCTCTGCCGGGCCTTGCTCGAACGCATCCACGGGCGTTTTCTCCGGATGGGTCTTTTCAAAATCTGTGTCGACGCTCGAGGCGTCCTGGGGCTGGCGGTCACCCATTATACGAGGCGAGGGCGAAGGAAGAAAAGAGAGTTGCGGTTTCCTGGGCACGGGGAATAGAAGGGGGAGTAGAGCAGGGATGGACCCGTCGTGATTCTTCAAGCTGTCGCAAATATGTGAGCTTGTCAAACGGACATGACGAGACTAAATAGACCGCGAAGGAAAAAAGCAGAAGCGTCGGACAACGTATTTTCGGAGTTTAGCTCCAACAGCAGTCGGAGATGTTTTTGAGGCCGAATAAAATTAGATCGCGGGCCTCGGCTGTTTGCCAATGGCCGACTCCGACGCTAAAATCTGGATTCTTCATCATTTCCTTTTTCTGTTGCAGACTGGCTGATTAGCCGAGACTGACCATGGAGAATCCACTAGCGATCGACCCCAAGCTAGATCGGGTCTACTTGGATGGCGGATGCTATTCGTACATCTCGCTAGCAGTGAAATGACAGCTCTCATCCAGATCGAAGTCTCTGGTGTGCGTCATCTCTCACATATGATCTCCTATTCACACTAGGCAGCAGTGTCTGTCTAGTAGTATAGTACAGCCTTGCTTAGACGGTTGCTATCTTATGTCTATGTAGTTTCGTCACTTTTGGTATAGCTTTCTAGTAGTAATAGGCTACTTGTTCATATGTATGGATATGGATAACAACCCTTCATAATGACCGCATCAAACCACCCACGTTCATTCTACAAGCCAGTCATTCCAGCCACCATGATAACCCCAATACACCCAAAACGACCAAAATGTCCAAACAACGCCAACCCCAGAGTCGCCAACCCAAAGCCCCCCGAAACATCTTCCGGGCTCTGAAATCCCACCTCCAAAAACACCGCAAACCAAAGAACGCCATCTTCAATATATCCGACAAAATCATCTTCCAGATCAGCCACTATCTCGATCTAGTAGACCGAGCATGTCTCTCACTGAGCTGCAAGAAATACCTCTATCTCCTATCCTCAATCCGAACCCACCGGGACCTCTATAAACAGCCATGTTTTTCTATCAGACATACGATCAGACCGGATAATCGATCGTTTCTTTCTGATGCGCCGGTAGCGAAGCTATGCGCTCGGTTACAGAATGAAGACTGGGTGTTCTGCCGGACGTGTCGTAGGCTCCATACGCGCGATTCTTGGGGTAGACAGGAGTATGCTAGAAGGGTTAGAGAGCGGGAGCAAGCGAGGGAGACGATGAGGGTGAATCGGGCTTCAGCGTATATGCCTGGTCAGCCTTCTGCTATGCTTTTGATGACGACGGCTATGTTCGAGAGTGACTATTACCAATGACAATGACTATTATGGGGTTGGGTAATGGTTTATGGGTGGCTGGATGGCTATAGAGAGACTGCTATTTGCTTTTGACGGCGGGCTGGGGGGTGACTTTGTAAGTCTAGGGGATCTATATAGCATCGTCGTTTCATCTTACTGCAAGAGATGGAGGCCAGGCGGTGATACTGCTATCGGAATAAATGTGGATGAGGCAGTGACATGAGGATCTTCGTGATTCAATAACTCCTAGATGACATGCAATGACCAACGTGTTTTTCAAATGACTCTATGACCAAAGCAATATGGGGGGGATGGGGGGTATAAACGAAAAAGTCGACAACATAAGAACCAGAAAATGAAACCCATTGTACAACGGCAGCGCCAGAATGCATTAATCCTGCAATTGAAGGATTTCTGAGACGAGTCAGCAACCAAACCTCACCAACTTGTCACCAAGAACCAATAAATGAAAGACTTACCAGTCAAAAACTCCTCAAAGCTAACAGTGATATACCCATCCCGATCCTCATCATACCGCTTAAACACATCAGTCATGCGCTTCAGACTAATACAAGCCTGAACAAAAAGATCAAAGCTCATCCCATTCCGACTAGGATCCTTAGGATGTATCCCCATCTGCTTAGTCTTACTCTCAAAGACGCCAAACAGAACAGCGACAAACTTCGGACTGAGCCGATACCCAAAAGCAACCAGCGCATTCTCAAACTCGATCAGACTAATGCGCCCACTGCGGTCCTCGTCGAATCGATCAAACAATTCCCGCCACGCAGCCAGATACCGCCACAACGAGACGAACTCGTCAAAGTTTATCGTTCCGCTGCCGTCGCGGTCGAACATCCGGATCATCATCTTGACCGTGCGCGGGTGGAACGACGTGTAATCGCCATTCACCAGGGCCGAGCCGAGCTCTTGCTCGGTCAGCGTGCTGGAGTGCGAGACGTTCGCTGCGCGGAAGAGTGGGTAGAGCTGTTGCGGGTCATTGCTTGGTGCTGTGAGGGGTGGAGGAACGGGCGATTGCGGCGGGCGAGATTGCGGCGGGGGTCTGTTGCGCTGTGGCTGGACTGGCGGAGGGCCGAAGCCGTAGTTCTGGGGTGGGGGAGAGGGGTGGAGCGGGTGAGGCTGTGGGCGGTGCTGGGTTTGCGCGTGGCTCTGTGTGAGGGGAGGTGGGATGGTTGCTTGTGAGGGCCGGCCGCTGTAGGAGTGCGAGTGGGCGGACTCGATGCGCGGGGGCGGGGTTGAGTACGCGTGTTGTGGTGGTGCGCTGGAGACTGGCACTCGGGGTGGGACTCCGCTGTGGCCTGTTTGTGCTGGTGGGCGCGAGGGTAGGGGCTTTTGGCTGTGGCTTTGGCTTTGGCTTTGGCTTTGGTTTGCCATGCTCATCGAGCCTAACATCTGCGCGACCTGGATTTGGGGGTTTGGGTTAATAAACGCTTTGGGTGATGCCTGGGGGCGATTGATGTACCTGCTCGGGCTCGGCGTGCCTATATTTCGTTCTGTTAGCGATTGCGAGACTCTAGAAATGTTGCGGCTACTTACGCTGGGAGCGCATCCGGATTGTAGGATTTGTTGTAGGCCATGGTTGTGAGCAACGAAGGGGGAGTTCGCGACAGCCTCACACAGAAAGATAGTATGTAACAATCTCAGGAAGAGAAAAGAAAGAAAAGGAGTCAGGAGAATAGGTAGACGTGAAAGCGGAGCTCCGTGGGGCCATTTAGGAACGATTTTTAGCGCGCCAAGTGATAATGTCGGGGTTGAGGTTGCAAAGTGGTCTCGGGTGGTTATGAGAACTGCGGTGATGCTCTATCGAGGGGCTAATAGGTTCGCAAGATGTTCACTGAACTTTGTTAGTGTGGCTTCTACCCTGGTCTTAAATCATCAGCCCTATTGATCCGCTCTATAAATAATTTAACCGCCGCAATTACCTCAGGACCCGCTATGAGTCGTGTTCGTATAACTTGCTATTCAGCGTAACCGGAATTGTACTTTACACATTGCCGATCATTTTCTTCTCTTTTTGCCTCTTCGTCAGGAACTATTCACATTTTAAACTAGTCCTACTGTCACTAGGCCAAACGTGGAAGGTTCAAAATCAAGATCTTACTAAAAGAAGCAAAACAGTGACTACATAAGAAACCAGAGACTAAGAAAACAGGGGTATCTTCGCTTGATGATGCTACAGACAAGAAGAACGCTTTTAGAAACACCCGAAGAACAATCTTGAGCCTCAACAGCTCGGTCTCCCCACTAAGCGCTTAGATTCCCCCAAATGCAAGGTCCACCTCGGGCGCATGCTCACCTAACACGTCAATGATCTCCTTCCAGGCCTTCTCCTGAAGCTCTACCCCCTCTGCTCGGGAAGTTAGAGCATTCGACTCACTGAGATATCATTAGCCTCTATAACAAACCCAGGAAGAAGAGTCCAACTTACTCGAGATAGCCATCACTTCGCCAGCACTTGCCCTGGGACTCGACTCCTTGGTAGGTGGCGCTAACCAGTGAGCGGCTGCCCTGCTCAGTGGTCCGGGCAAACAACTTGAACAGAATCCACACTATCAACTGCTCATACCACTTGTCGTACTGGCGACCAAGGCCTGTTGCACACAGACCGGGGCTCACAGTGTTGACAATGATGGGGTGGGTCCCATCGGGGTTGCGCACATAGGTGGCAATACGCTTCATCACGATTTCAAGGAGCAGCTTCGAGACGCCGTATTGTTTGGGGCCCTTGAATTTCTTCGGATCGTTCAAGTGCTCCAACAGCAGTGCATCGGTACGCACGCTCTCGGCTTGAACTCGAACAAATTGCTGGCTGGAAACCACAGTCAGGTGAGACGGGTTGGCGTCATAGGCACTACTCTTCAGCTTGGGGAGCAGAAGCAGGGCCAGCAGAGAGGTGGACAAGGTGTTGACCTGCAAGGTCTCTTCCCAGCCCTCGGACGATTTGTTGTAGTCGCGGTTCCACAGCCCGGCATTCAGCAGGGCAATATCAAGGCGCTGTAACTCTGTGTTGGCACGCTCGGCAAACTTCTTGACACTGGCGAAGTTGTTCATTTCGAGTTCCCACACCTTGATGACATCGCGGCGGTTGGTCAACTTCTCAATCTCGGCCTTGGCTTTGCTACCCCGCTCCATGCTGCGACTCCCAATGATCAGAGACTCGACTCCGAGGTTGAGAATTTTGACGGCGGCTTCAAACCCGAGACCCGAGGTGGCACCCGTCAACAGGACGGTCTTCCCAGCGAAAGAGATTCCCTGAGGATCTGTGGGAGGTGTGTACTGCATCTTGAGCAGACGAAAAAGACCTGCCATCTTGGCTTTTTACGCACACAACAGAGCGTCTGGAGTGTCAGAAGGAGGTGCAACGCAGGAACAAAACGCGTCAGGTGAACAGTAGAGGCGATAAGCTGATAAGCTGATAAGCCGATAAGTATGACCGCAAACAGACACAGCAAATAGGAAATGATGATGGAGGATTGGAGAAAGATAAATGATGGAAATGAAGAAGATTCATATCATGCGGACGCAGTCTGAAATGGTCGCAATCACGGGGCTTCAAGCCGATCGGGGGCAAATGTTTCATACAAATATTATGCCGGCTTCCCGTTAGGGAAACCCCAATTGCTTCCCCGGCCACGGGTATGACACGGCTGTATCCCTCTCGCACACCCTTGTCTATATATAACCCTGACACAGCATCTTCGTAGGAATAATGTTGGTTGTCGTCCTAGAATTTCACATTCCTAGTCCTGTTTTATACGGCCTTGCACCCCGTTTGATGTGAATAGTACGGCCATCTGGGAGTCAATGGCTGACATGCCGAACAAGAAAATGTATTTTTAGACAGATAACAGAAAGAATGCTCTTGGGCTAGACTCGTGTAGATAAGTGAGCTAGCCATACATTGTACTCTCTTTATAGCCACTTGGCATACTCTACACGCAAGGGGTAGCAGCTCCTATGTGAAACCCATAGAGCAGCTCAAGGCCTACCTTAATGTCTCAAAAGAACCACATTGATAACACTCCTGTATTACATAGACTTATTAATAATAAACATGAACTGAAGTCCGAGAATAACATATTCAGATCCGAAAGCGGGGGGATGCTGTCTGTACTTAGTTCTTGCCACTGTTCGCTAACTTCATTTCATATACAGACTTCCAATCTGCCACACCAAGGTCTCGAGTTTAAAGATCAGTACAGCAGTTGCCCATTGTTTAGCAAACAGTGACATCCAGGCAATAAATAGTAGCCAATAAATGCAAGTTGTAGGGCTTGCCGTTTGTCTCACATCAATCATACAATAGACATGAGCTGGCTCTTGGCTTGAGATTAGTATAAGTTTACCTGAACTTGATCCCTTTCATTCAATTTGTTAGATTATTAATTCGATCTTGCAATCAAAAATCATGTTTTTTTGATTCACTGATCACATCTCCTTGTCCATTTCCGGCTGAAATCAGATTGATGAAAATCAAACGTACTAATTATTATGTAAAAGATATTGAAGGAGATGTATCGAAGAAGAATGACCCTTGTGATCAAATGTATCATGAGACAAAGGTCGCAACTGCTTTCGGATATAGTCTAGAGGATCTACGTATGCACCGTCCTAGACAACGCAATCCAAGGTATCAGCCGCGGAAATGTATGAGTAAAAAAAAAAACTACTAAAAGGAGTGTATAGCAAATGGTCAGCCTGCAATATACCTTTTTTTTTTCGCGTACGGTAGTTCGTTTCATTGATTGTTGCGCGTTCGGGCAAGGTCTTCTGCATAGAAGACGAAGGTCAAAAGTATCTGGTCCTCGCTCAAAACAAAGCTTGAAGAGCAACTTATTTGCTTTCCACTCTGACCTATGGCATCTTGATTCTCAGAAGGCATATATCTTCTATGATTTGCTGATTTCAATATGCCTGAAGGTCTGAGGTTGTATGGCTTATATAATCATTATAACTGGAAGGACCTCGGGAGAGATTTCAATGAGTCTAACAGATTCCCCACTATAAATATTGGATCACTCGTCTGCTGCTTCATTTGTTAAGCGAATCTACAAGCCTAAGTACGCTACGTGGATTTCATAGCTGCTCAAGTCAGATCGAAACCTTGGACACTCACCTCTGGCCTGCACAACATCACTCATAGCGCCGCCATGCACCTCGACAAGGAAATGTTAAAAGCTTATAGGACTTTCGAGTCTCTGGAAAAGAACCTCACACAGGAAGATATTTGGGAGGTAACTTATCTATTCGATCCCTGTATTTTCGGTATTTTCAAGAGCAATTCTTAACAATCCCTGGATTTAAAGAACCAAGTGCTATACAAACAAGCAACAAATGGAGACAACACGACACCTCAGCCCAGAGAACAAGACGCCCAGGTACTGTTTTCAATCTACATTCTCCATGCCAGAGCAGCATTATAGATGGTTGACTAACACCAAGCTACTAACTATAGGGACGGGCTCGGTGGGATATATGGAATTCAAAGAAGGGAATGCCCAAGGCGGAGGCCAGGGAAACCTTTTTGAGCAACGTTCAGTCGATTGAGGCAAAGTATGGTGAAAGTGTATAGACTTCAGAGATGTACGGCTATCGCCTGACTTTCTGCAAGGACGTGAAATGAAAGAGTGCCGGTGGGGACATTGTTCTCGACAGTAGTATCGGGGTTCTATCCCATATCAGTTATCGAATGAATAATCACGAGATACATTAAACGATACCGGATCTCTGCGGAAGTATCAAATCCAAATTTATAATCAAAAAATACAGTTACAACCCTTCGCGTTGAATCAAGACAATCAGAACCAGCAAGCATTACTGGCAGTGAAGAAAACCCAGTCTTTTCAGATACATACTTCGCTACTATACCATCAGATCAACCTAGACATAGACAGCTGAATTCAATCAATAGAGTATTTGTCTCCGTAGGAAAGATGAGTCACGTTTGTCAGGGCTGCACATCAGATATCTCGATATGGCGGAATCTGGTGCAAACAGTGCAAACACATATTGCTTGTGTATGGCGACAAGTCCACCTCGACCACAATTTATACCGGGATTGAAGTTTGACCCTGCATTTAAAGCTACTACAGGACCTCCTTGCTTCACTCATCCTTTTCATCGCCCAATATTTCGTTGAGAACGCCCACCAGTTGTCACTATCGACGGGTCGACGCGGGGCAGACCCACAACAGCAACCTCACAGAGCCAACATTTCAAACAGAATTAACGTTAACCCAAGCATCGTTGTAACATGGCAGCAACCGCACAAGGCCACCAGGTCCACCCAGAAGGTCGGACATGGAAGAATCACTTCCCCAAGGGTGATCTCTGGGTATTCGGTTACGGGTGAGTAGTTTGCCTGGCAGTCATCAAAACTGACATCTTGACATATGCTGATCATACATGTGAAGGAGCTTGATTTGGAAGCCACCACCACATTTCGGTATGTCCAAGAAATGATGTCGAGCTTTTACATCGAATGATGGGAAAGCAGCCTTCGTGCTTGGATAGCTTGGAGCGGAAAATTAATCCGTACGTCTTATCTTGCAGACCAGCGTGTTCCTGGGTATATCAGCGGTTATGTACGGCGGTTTTGGCAGGTATGTTACCCATGAAGTATTCGAGGGTGCTCAAAGCATCTGGACCAGTCTGACATGACGATCCTTTTTTTTGGAATCCAGGCTAGGTATGTCAATGCTCGTATCTGGGCTTTCAATCGCCATAAGCACCCACTAATGCAACCAAAAGTACCGACCACCGCGGCACCCCAGAACAACCTGGTAGAGTAGTCACCGTGATTGAGAGAGCCTTCTGGGAGACATTAGACGACCCGGTCTGTCCGCGCAATTCCCACTCACAGTATAATGAGCCCACAAAGAACTGACTCCTTCAACAGCTCGCACATCAAGAATCTGAATCTGAATCTACAGGGAAAGTCTGGGGCGCAGCATACCACATTCCTGCTTCACATGCAGAAGAAGTACACGACTACCTAGACGAGCGGGAGATAGACGGCTACAGCGCGCACTACACGCCCTTCCACCCAACTATTCATGTCGACAGCGCGACAGACTCATCGCCAATCATCTGCATGGTGTACATTGGCCAACCGTCTAACCCGCAATTCCTGCGCGAGACTGCCCGGCGGGAGCCGCAAGACGTGGCGCAGGTTATTAGTGCGGGTCATGGTCTTAGTGGGAAGAATACCGAGTATTTGTATTTACTGGAGAAGGCGCTCGAGGGACTTGGGCTAGGTACTGCTGATGTTCATGTCACGGATTTGGTGAAGCGGGTCAAGGCGATTGAGACGGAGGGGCTGGGTGAGGCTGAAGAAAGGGAGGCTGAGCTTGAGGTGACTAAGTCGCTGGAGGGGGCGGCTGCGGCGCCTGCTGAGGTGGATGGTCGGGATACTATTGAGTAAGGTCAGCCTGATGTAAATTATCATGGCTGGCCTATTTGTGTGGCTGGATTTAGGCCGATGCAGTGGACTGTCAAAGAAGCACATAGACAGGGCCTGTTCTCGACCCTGCAGGAGACCCTTATTGCCCTGTTATACTCCCGCTAGGTAGATTAAGCTTATGCGCATTATCGACGAACTCACTGATCATGCTCTGTCTGCTCTGTCGGAGAAAAGAACCCACCATGAAACAAATGACTGGGCAAACATGAAACCACACTATGCTCATTATGTGAAACGAGAAAACGATCGCAACGATAATGGACTTATAAACACAGCAGAGTAATCATAGAGATGCACAAGGTTGCTCAAGCGAGCTAGAAGCCCATATTTCCTTCCATTGCAAGCCAAAAGCGAAAAGAGAAAAAAAAAAGCAAACAAAAGTTGACACCATCTTTTCAGCCCTAGGTGCCTCGTATCTGAGCCGTTGTAATTCGTGGCTTATTTTTAAAAGGAACCGCCAATGAAGAGCCAAGTCAAATGAAAAGTTGGCCATCTAGTGGGTGTGATGGCCGTCCTGGGGTGCTTGCTCCGTGTTGTTGTTGCGCCACCCTTGACAAGTCAGTCACCCCGATGCTGCAGCGATCCGTGAGGAAATCATTGCTCACCACCACCGCCACCATACCCAGTGTTGGGACCGCCGCCTAGAAGAGCCTGTCAGAAAGTGAATAGGGGTCGAGCTAGTTGTACGACGCACCGTAGCCACCGTGGCCACCCGCACCGTATCCAGCGGGGCCACTAGGGGGATAGTTGTTATTGTTGTATCCCCGATTGTAACCACCACCATTGTATCCACCGCCGCCGTTGTACCCGCCAGAATTGTAGCCACCACCGCCCTGGTATCCAGGTTGAGGTTGTCCCGAATTATATCCGCCACGACCCTGGAAGCCGCCTTCAGGGCGTTGGGGCCGGTCAAAAGCTTTGTCGACACGAATAGTCCGTCCATCAAATCTTTCAAAATCATCAGAATCTTGTGATGGTAACAAGAGATAGGATAGCATAATGTTCTTACTCCTGGTTGTTCATTGCATTCATGGCGGCATCTGCATCAGCCTCATTGGCAAATCGAACAAAGCCAAACCCACGGCTACGCAAGGTCGCGCGGTCTTTCACAACGATCTGTGGGCGGGGGTCAGTTGAAGCTGATAGTGACTACCGGAGCATGTAGAACCCACAGCTTCTTGGATCTCTCCGAACTGTTGAAATCCCTCCCGCAGGGCCTCATCGTTAGTGTGCCAGGAAAGGCCACTGAACAATCGTTAGACTTGCTTAGGAAAACACGTGCTAGTCCTTGATACAAGGAATACATACTGGATAAAGAGCTTAGACATGATGGTGAACTTATTGTGAAACTAAATCAGTGATCACGGTTGGGCAGTGGCAGTCCAAGGGCAAAGGTAGAAGGTGAAAGCAGAGATGATTCACAAGAGGTCGAGATCAAGAATCCAAAGTCGTCGGGGTTGTAAAATGACAGGAAGATTCTAGTGGTTGTCAGGCGAGTCAGCACTCCCGTGTAACAATCACACTGCGTTAGGGCTTCCACATCTCTGGGAATTTTGTACGGACCGAACACCAATGGCAAGTGTGCACCGCGCAATATGCTGCTTACTGTGCCCTTGTCCGTGAGCTTTACCTTGAGAATGTGCAACTCTAGCCAACGGGAAGAGAGTTCAAAGTGGGGGGATGCAAAGATAACCCCCCAAGCTGCTAGTCCCGCTGGCTTGAACCTTCAGCTGATTGATTTGCGGGTTCTGTCGGGCTGGACTCAAAATGTGCAGTCAATCAGAAGACTCCCGGGGCTCCGTTCCACTGAGGAATTGGCGCACTAAAAGAAAACGGCTGATGTACACTTTCACTGCCCCTCGTTTCACTCTCTTGTTCGTGAGCCCAAGGTTGGGTTTGTAGGGCTGGATCTACAGCCAACTGAATTCTGTCCCAGCCTCATACATCTTGACCATCTCTGCCGCATAAAATGAGAGATAAGCCGCCCCATTCGCCAAGGTATCCAGCTGGGCTGAGCGGGGTCTCCGTGGGCCATAATATTTTGGCAGGTCTTAGTACCTCGCAGGTGAATCATTGGCTGTATGCATGCTTAGGCAATAGTGGGGTTTTTTTTTTCTCTTTCTTGTTCAGAACCCCCTTGCACAGGAATAATGATCTGGCCAGCATGCGGGCTCTAGCATGCAGTCACTGGGCCTAGCCCTGTCGGCTTTGGCTATGATCCTCGTGGGAGTTGTGTGCGTGCATCCGGTCAGAGGGGCAGTGCCCCGTGGGCCCACATGCGGCTTGTGCCGTGAATGCCGGAAGACTTCCGACTCTGGCGATCGGCATATGAAAGTCTATATTCTGTCAGCTGTGTTGGATCGAGTAGGGCGTCGTGGTCGAGCTGGGTGCCTCAGGCATGGGTTGTCTCTTCACATGAAAAGCTATGGTTGAGTAAAATGATGATAGAGGGTGTAGGGCCAATCAAAAAGATGGAAGGATGAGAGAATGGGAGACTGAGAGGATGGAAGGGCATATATGGTTTGGTCGTGCTTTCTTCGGCGGTGACCCTCCATCAATGCTGACTACCCCGGCTTCATACTTCCAATCTTTTGATCAGTTGTCCATTTTGTTCTAATGGCGAACAATACATCTACCGATGATGAGCAAGGACAAATTTATCAGTGGCTATCCTCAGTGAAAGATGCAGATCAAACTCTGGATAAAATTGCCGCAGGTGGGTGACGATTGCCAGTGGTGAAGCACACATTAACAAAGCATCAGATACGAAACAGCAGGGTTGGGGTGTCACGGCAATGGCCACTACTCCTCTCATATCATTGGAATCACCCGGAGACTTGCCTGGAATTACTCGTTCAACTCACAGAAAACGGAGTATCGACCATCGTGGCCAATCCCGAGAGTCGCTTCATATCCAAAGTCCCACACGAAATCAAGACCGCAACAAGAGAGCACGGCATAGCTATGAGCGAAAACCCAGACACAAGACCCACGATGATCATTACGAGTACAAAGAGCCATCAGCTGCAGCGTCTCGACCACTTGTCCGCAAGGGCAAGGCCAAGAATGGACACGGCAGAAAGCACACGTTGAATGATGATTTTCAAGCTGTCAACGTCACTGGGAACAGACTGACGGTAGGTGATTGTGATGATTCTGTTTACTATGATCATAACTGATTCAAGTCAACCTAGATTCCCAATCAAGCACGTCTGGGCATCTTCAACAAGGGAAAAACATCTTCGACAGCCGATCACCCTACCCGATCATCGGTTGGCAATTCAAAAGACGACTCCAGGAAAACGTCTAGGAGGAATCCCGCCGAGTCCGACTTAGCCTTTTCCGAGATGACCTTTTATCACGGAAAAAGACCACCAGTCCTGGGGCAATGTTGACTGCTGCCGAGGATACTCCTTTTATGCAGCATGAAAAGCCGACCCAGTCGAAAGGGTCGATCAAGTTATCTTCGAACAATGCATCAAAGACGCACACTGGAAATTCATTCCACAGGTCAGCGCAACAATTCGCCTTATCTCCCATGCCTCTGTCCTCCTTTGCCTGTGCTCCCACGAACAAGATTTCGTTGGCCTCCAAACCGTGTGTGTGTACCCTCCCAGGTATTCAAGTTGAAAAGGGCGGGATATCCGAGCAGTCTTCTTCTCCATATACCTGGCCCGAGAGCGAAGCCCAAGATACACTCCGAGAGCTTGCTCTGCAACAATACCTTCTAGAAGTTTTACACTCTGGCTTGGACCCACATGCTGCCTCTAGTGTTACCTCTGATCACCTGCCATCCCTCAGGTATTGGAGTCTCGCTGAGCTTTGGATGCTTTTGGAAGAGCGAAAAGCGTCGTGGTCGACAGAGACCGACAAAAAGCAACCTGTGTCGCTCAACCCGAAATCAAGAGATCAGAGCTCAGCGAAACAAGCAGTACAGCCATCGTTTACAGTCGTAGCACCGTCCCCACAGGGACTAGTTTGTGCTGATGTCAACCCCCAGGCAACTTCGAATTCAAGGGTCGCACTTGACCTCTCTCATGGAGGGCATAGTGGTTTTTTCTTCAGGGGAGATAAAGGTCATCCTCATCAGCCAAGAGGTCGATGCGGAGATGTGTCATCGGAGATAATCGAAGACTGCAACAGCTCGGGTGCCTCGCCTGAAGGTCGCCAAAGCCCACCTCGAGCAAAGGCTGAGTACTTCTCCACTTTTCCACAACAAGAATTCCCAAAGAGCGCCTCTTTCATTGATCTCGAGGATTTGGACCACGTTGAAGATGACGACTCATTTTATGAAACACTGGATACTGCTTACCATGCTATCATAGGCCCCGATGCTGCAGGGCAAGATGATGTCTTAGAGGCACCTGACTCACCTGTCCTCCTGGGCTCTTCAAGATTTAACGAAGCAAGTGATCCATTTACCACGCCACAGTCGACCGGGGATATGAGCGTTGTCCTCGCTACTCAACTTGAGAAAATAGAACAACCGCCACCCCTTGCTCAGAGCATCAAGCCGGAAAGAGCTGACACAGAAAGCTTGAGACTAAGTCACCAGGATAAGCGACTTAGGAACTCTTCAAAGAAGGGAGGGCTTGGTCAAAACACAATCCTGCCATGGTTGACTGGATACAACAATCCAAAGATACTCGTTCCAACCTCAAGCACATTGGAGCAAAATCAGGACCCGGATTTGTCTCACTTTTGGCGGCATAACAGATTGTATTAATCCTACATGAATTTGAGAATATGGATATTGGCTGCCGTACCTGAGACCATACATAGCAATCAATAACCGAGTTAACAAGAGAACAGAGATTACAAAATACAAAGTTGTATTGAATTGATTGTGTTAACTAGATCCAAGCATATGACGCGATACTGCCCGCCAACCTGATTTCACTTACTCCACCAACTTACGAGACTTATGTTGATGTCGAAATTTGGTTGTACTAGACGTTGACTACTGGGAATGTGATTCATTCTGCAGTATTAGTTAGGGAGGGGGATTGCACATCTTCGCGCAACGTTTATATGAGAGGAGTGAATGTATCACGATGAATGTTGGATTGATTGGGTATAAAGAGCCTTGGATGACAGGAGATCAAACACATCATCGGACTGACAAGGTCCTAATCCTTGGAGTGGTTCAAGGTTTGGATGCGGCCCGTCTATGTATCCCACCAGAATGATCCTAGATGTAGTCCCGGCTTTCCTTTCCGCGCCGGGTAAGACAATAAGGGATCGTCAAGAAAGGTGAAAGTTGCTGCAGAATAGCAGACATTCTTGTGGCAGCCGTTCTGCTTGCTGGTATGCTGAAGGGTCCACGAAAATAAGCCGGGTCGGTTTTGGAAACGAGATTGAACGCTGGAAGCTGGGTGTCAATTATGCTGCAGCAAAGAAGCAAGATGCAGATTTCGAGGTGTAATTATCGGTATGATGGAGATCATAGAGTGGCAGCTGCCTCAATGACACCCGCTGCCCTGAAGGCACCTGGGTTCTTTATTACCACCTCGACCGGGTAATTCCATTGCATAAATCTCGTCCAGCCTGGAAGCCAATCAGTTAGTATGAGTTGATTCAAGTCCTAGATTGTAATCCCATTCCACGTACTCCAATATGCGCATCGTCGCCCTAAGTATTTGCCGATGAACGGTACCAGGACCATGCTCAGAAGCAACTCCAGTTGCTCGATACTTTCTTGCCATTCTGCCTCGGCGTCGGAGAAGTCATCGGATAGCGTGTCGAGATCGGAGTCGGTTGTAGATTCAGAAGGAAGAGAAGCAATTTCATCCTCCGACTCGGAGTATGAGTTCTGTCTGGAGGGGACCATGTATGCGGACATCGAGAACGAGGGATTCGATCCGGCTGGAGGAGGTGAAGACATCGGAACGGGCTGTGATATCAGATCGGAAACGGAGCAGGAGAGAAAGACTGATCAAGCAGTGGCCTGCCTACTGCCATGTAACTGAGACGATCGACGGTGCCTTGCTCGACTGTTGACTTCCGCCTGCACGTGACCCGATTGACTCACGGTCACGTGGCCGATAACGCATCGCCTCAGTATCAATTTCAACAAGTTTGCCTCTATAGAACCTCAAGCTATTCAAATTACCGATCTGCAAGTTCCTCTACAGTGTGTGGTGGAGCGAATTGAATCTTTGAAGCCCAAAAGTATGGCTGACGCCGTAAGTCGCACTCTTGTCTTTTTGCCGACCCTCCCACATTTTCTTTGAGTCTGCACAATATCGACCCCTCGGCCGTCACCATTCAAAGCACCCACACCTTTGCGCTTGGAGATCTAGTCTGGCATTTTTTGGTTGAAAAATTTCAGAGCAATCTCTCCATCGTTTCTCTACATTTTTCACAGAGCTAACACCGCTTCTTGCTCCCCCGCCAGGAAATCGAAACCAAGCAACGCAAGTCGGTCGCATTCAGCGAAGGATCGGTCATCATGGATACCAACGGTCAAGTCACAGACGCCCCTCCGGCTGAGAAGCCCGCCGGTACGCAACAACTCCCCGATCTCGATTGCAGTCGCCTTAGTTCACGCCCCACTAACGTACACAATGCAGACAAGGAAGTCGACGAGGTCACCGACATGTTCAAGGGTCTCTCAAAAAAGAAGAAGACGAAGAAGTCCAAGACCACCGAGGGTGAGGATGGCGAGGCCGCCGCCGAGGGCGAGTTCGACCCCTCCACCATGAAGAAAAAGAAGACCTCCAAGTCCAAGTCCAAGTCCAAGGTCGACCCCGATGACTTCGAGGCCAAGCTTGCCGAGGCCGGCGTCACAGAGGAACTCGCCGAGGAACAGCCCGAGGAGATCCCCGAGGGTGACCGTGAGGCCGGTACTGGTATCTGGCAACACGACGCAACACAAGCCATCCCCTACTCGCTCCTCATCTCTCGCTTCTTCTCCCTCATCGAGAGCCACCACCCCGATCTCCTGTCCAGCGGCTCCAAGTCCTACAAGATTCCTCCTCCCCAGTGTCTGCGTGAAGGTAACCGTCGTACCGTCTTCGCCAACATCGCCGAGATTTGCAAGCGCATGAAGCGTTCCGAGGACCACGTCACGCAGTTCCTGTTCGCCGAATTGGGTACAAGCGGTAGTGTCGACGGTTCCCGCCGTCTCGTCATTAAGGGTCGATTCCAACAGAAGGGTATCGAGTCTGTTCTCCGTCGTTACATTGGTATGTGTCCATTGCAAACCCGCTCTTTCGACATCGTGCTAACTTTTTTCCTAGTCGAATACGTTACCTGCAAGACCTGCCGCAGCCCCGATACCGAGCTCAGCAAGGGTGAGAACCGTCTTTACTTCGTCACTTGCAACTCCTGTGGATCTCGCCGCTCCGTCGCCGCCATCAAGGCCGGTTTCCGTTCCCAGATCGGCCGCAGAAAGCGTGTGGGTTAAACGACCCATGGAGCTTTCTGAAATTTCGCGGAGGAAGAATTTGTTATTATCTATTCTTTATGCGTGTCACTTATTAGCACCTTGGCGGAAGAGGACAGAGCCCCGGCACTGTATCTTTGCCGCTGCGGTTTTGAGATGAGGAAACGATTTCAAGGATAGACAGGTTTAAAATGAAATGGACTGATATCACTATATGTTTTCTCAAGGGGTGTTTGGCCTTGCACATGATTTTGAATATTTGTGGATAATGGTTCTTACTAGCCGGGCTATCCTCAATCGCAAAGAATATGTCAACGATTAATCCAGATGAAACTCCAAGACTTCGACTTTTCGTGATTCTGTTGCAAGCTCATACCGGTTCGCAGAATCGAAGCTGTTCATGCCTTGAGGGGCTATATGCGACCAGCGGACTTTGGGCAGAGCCAACGTAGAGCCAGGGCATTTATAAGTCTATTTGTAATAGGAAACGTTGGAAGAAAGAAACATCACAATAGAAATTGCTGTACATAGAATGAAATAGAATAATGACTGTATCCGCCTGCTACTTGAACAAATTGGTATAACATGGAGACCTGCTCACGATGGTACAATGATAGTTGCGCTTGACGCATGCATAACAACAAATTTATAGTGCCGGATCTCAATCTGAAAGGCATGCCATAGACCATGCGCGGAAATCAGCCGCTGGCAGTACTCATCTTCATCTGGGCAGCAAAGGCGTGCAAGTTTCTTGTCTGTAGATAAACAGTTCCTGGACCTTCGAACTTGCAAGCAAGACCTTCACCAGTACCATAACCAGAGATGATACCGCCGGAAGCGACACGCTCGAGCTTGTATTTGCAGTTCCATGCAACGAGGTGGCCATTGTCGATGTAGTACTTCTCTCCTTCCACGAGCTGAACACCGAGACACATTAGCGCGAGCACTCATTGTGCCGGGGGAGGGGGTTCTATACATACATCTTTCTTGATGATTGCTCCGAAACTCTGCATCCACAAAAGACCGGTTCCTTCGATCTTGTAAATGAAAAGACCTTCACCCGAGAAGATGGCTTTGGAGAGACTTTGTGCCTTATACTCATGCTTCACGCCACTGGTACAAGCTATAAAGGCATCTCTTCCAATCTTCCACGTCTGGGTGCCATCCATACGGAGAACGACAAGATCACCCAAGACGGAGGGAGCAAGTAGAAGTTCGCCGGGTCCAGTGTAAGTAGACATTGAAATCTCACCACCGGCAATGATCTTCTTCCAACCGATCGAAATGGAACCCCGCAATGTCATAGTAGTAGACATTGCAATCATGACGCCTAAGTCAATTTTAGCATTTATATGACAGCAACAGGGCAGCAAGGAAGCGTGGGTTTCGCGTGCTTGCTTGCTAAGCTGATCTTACCAGGCCTGGCAGTAAGAGGACAGCCCATTGCAAGCTGCAACGTTAACAGAGAATTAGAATCTCTGTGGCTAATCCTGTAACTTCCTCCGTTGAAGGTTCCAACATCGTCCTCGTAGGTTGCTTTGGCTCCCATGAACTCCCCAGGTGGTGGTGCGCCTCCGGGGACCTTCTCTGTCATTCCCTTTGGTTGTGACTGGGATGAGATAGAAAGTCGGCCCAGTCCATTGTGCGGAGGAAAGTCACTTGATGGTGGACTAATTGTGGGAGGAGTACCTGAGGGTGGGGGAGGATATGCCTGCGAGATTCCTGCTTGGCCGCTCGGCGGACTGATAGAAGACGGTGGTGGTGGATATCCTCCATTTGAAGGAGTTCCTTGTTTTGGGGGTGGTGGATAGCTGAAGTTTGGAGGTGCATAACCGGAGTATTGCTGAGATTGTTGAAATGCTGAGATCATTAGCACATGGAGTGAATAACAAGGTGATCAAAAACCCAGTATCACTTACTTGTGACATGCGCGGGGGCTATAGATTGGAAATCCGTTAGTGTTGAGGATTAAGTGGCAGATTGTATAGATCAACCTACCCGACATAGGCGGCGGCGCAAATTGGTTATGTTGCGACATGATGAGTGAGGCCGATATCAACCTTTCCAATGAGTATGAATTATTCGCCAAAAACACTTTGTCATTGCTCCCGTTAGTTCGACTCTCTCAAATCACCAGGTCACCGCTGAAAACACTCACAGTTCTGGTTGCAATGGCTGCGGGGTAGGGCAAGCCAAGATCGTGACAATTTAGCTCCGTTGGCGAGAACTCTCGTCGAATCAACCGGTAAACTATTCACTATTACCCTTAAATGGAGCACATGCTAGAATGAGAAGAAATAAAAATGCAACGGGGGGTTGCGATGGGCTGTAGTCTTTTAAACCAGAGTTTCTCCGCACCAAGATCTCCCTGGCTATTATTAGCGCTACATGGCTTGAAGATGATTTGCCAAGGGGTCAGTCGAGGGAAAGCCTCTCATATTGGTTGTCGATTAGCTGTGATCGAATCACACTGGGCTACTGCAGGTCTATCCCATCCGGGCGCTTACAAGTTGCACTTGCGCAACTAACCGGGGGGTCCACAACTCACGAAGCCACGATTCGCGATGATCATTGGTGCGTAGCCAAATGTCAATATTGTAGCAGTTATTTTATCCTTGTTGGCAAAGAAAAGACATTCAATACAACGTTCACCATGCTTGGCGGTAACTTTGAATTCACTCAAAGTTTCACATGTTCAATAGTTACATATCTATCCAAATATCTCAAATTAAATAACAGAACGCTTCTGCATCTCCTCCTCCAACATGAGTATAGCTTCCGTGTTATTGGTTGTTCTGGCCAAATCCAAAGCTGTTCGATCATCCCAATCCTGCATCTCTGCATCGGCACCATTGATCAATAGCAAACGAAGTATCTCAGTCGACGAGTCTATTGATGCCAGCATCAGGGGCGTACGACTTTGGTCATTTGTAGCATTAATTTTGGGGTGAAATTGAACAAGTATTCTCACCAGTTCCACATTTTGCTTGGAGACTGCATTGTGAAGTGGTGTCATGGATCCGATTCCAATGGTATTGATATCAGCGCCATGTTGAAGAAGAATTTCAACAGTCTCGAGATGTTGCTCTTCCGTTGCCCAGTATAGAGCCGAGTATTTCCATTTCTGTATAGAGTCGATGGTAGCCCCATAATCTTGTAGCAAAAGAAGAACTATCTCACTGTAACCAGCCTGTGCGGCTGCTTCCAAGGGTCCAATCTTGTTGACCGTGCTTTTCCCATTCGGAGAAGCGCCGTTTGCCAACATCATCTTGATTGCTGGTAAGTCACGGTCAAGAATGAGTTTTATCATAGCTGAGTGATAGTCATAGTTCTCTGCTTCAATATTGGCACCGTGTCGGCGGAGAACCTGAATTGCCCATTCGGAATGGTTCTTTGCAGCGAACAAATATGCTGCATGGACCAGAAGAGGGACCTCTTTGCTCATTTCTGTCCATTGAGACAAGAAGAAGTACAACAGAGCAAAGTGTTTATTCGAGAGAGCCCATTGGAATGCGAGCTGATCTTCAGTTCCAGGTACCTCCCGATCAACCTCAATTTCCAGTGTTGGATAAGTAAGCCACTGTTGTAAGGTGTGTACGTTTCTTTCGGAGTCAACATCCTGTAGACCCGCCTCAAAGGATGGAGACAAGTACTCAGACGCACCCAGGGCCTCGAAATGTGGCTGCATCCAGTGTGAGGCTGACACATTCCTGCACGTATGCCATGCAATCCACCTCAGTTGTCTCGTAAAGGAGTTCCACCACTCGTTGCTAGCTGGAGAGCTCATCCAGCCATTGGGACGCCTGTCTCCCTTTGACTGGAAGAAACGCGCCCTCAAGTCAGATCGCAACATCTCGCAGATAATCTCAAATCCTGCGCGGCGGCCATTTTCGTCTCCTTCGATTATAGCCTGGCGACAGATATATCCAAGCTCGTAGACGGACTGTTCAAAATCGTGTCCATCTGATCTTTCGCATAGCCAGACTAGTAATTGCAGAGCATTCTTCCATTTTCCCTGTGCGATGGATTCGATTGTACGCTTTCGAACGTTGATTGAATCACCAGCAAGTTTTGGTAGAAGACCGCATTTATTCAAAGCCGGAACAATGCAAAGTAACGCTTCTTCTCGTGTTGCTAGACCACAAGTCTCTGTACAGTGCACAAGATCATTGATTCGACTGCTTTGGGCCACGAACGAGGAGTTAGGTCCGGGGATGATATCAACATCCCCACCGAGCTCTTCAAGATGACCCAAGACTTGTCGCAGAAACTGAATATAGATATCCTGTGCAGCCATCGTCTCAAGATTGCTATCCACTCTGACTACGAGAGTGTTCGTCTCATAACGATGCTTGTTCGATGCAAACCCGAACAGCTGAGACGAGAATTTCATCATTTCGGAGTTGATCATGGTAGCCTCCGTCTGGCGGAATATCCATTTCTGGAAGTAGAGATCTGTAACCTTTTTCTGTGAATCCTCTTTTCCCAGTCCGACCAGACGGTGAAGTTTGTGGTCAGTATTTTTCTTGGTTGACTTTTGAATTGACCAGACCCATAGGCCCAGAATAGCTTCGAGCTCGTTGACATCAATCTTCCATCGCAAGGTATCACCTCCTCGAAGTAAAATCATGCAGTACGCCTCCATCACAGGGTCGGACAACTGTGCCGAGGTCTTTCTGCATTCAGCAAGAAGGTTAAAAGTGAACATCTTCCCCAGATCCATTTCCCAAGTCGTGGACATCAAATCCATTGTCATTTCGATTGTCTTTGTCAGCTTTTGTGCTATCTGGCGTATAGGCAAATCATCCCAAGGCATAGTCAGCCCCTGATTCGAGCTAGATGTGAGCTGCGCTAGCCGAGCTCTCGTATGAATCAACTGTTTTGCCATAGAAATACTCGGATGGGAGGTGTATGTGGGTGATGATAGGGTTGTCGGATTATCTGGTGGCATCATTAAGTGGAACGAGTCCACATTTTCAAGGTGAAAAGTGAAACAATCCAGCTCTTGTTGTGTGGATGATAGTAGTTTTTGTTTGTCTCCAAATTTGTTCTCTTCTGGTGCCATTCTCTCTGTGCGGAGAATTGTTCGCACAATGGCCATCAAGAATGTTGATCCTAGCTGGGCGAGGATCACGGATGCGTGGAGGCCTCTCAGTCCCACAAACTGGAATATGAATCCTAAAAGTGTTGACGCCAAGGTTGAGTATATTTGGACATACTTCCTGTCGAATCGGTAGTCTCTGATAGACTTGATATAAGAAAGTTCTCCGGTCGTAGATGGTCCCCCATATGTTTTGGTCGTGAGAAATGCTTTGAAAACCTGGTCGTCTTCGTTCTGCTTTCCAGGTTGCAGCCAATATATTTTGCTTGGTTTTTGTGGTTCCAAGTAGTATTCTTTGGACGATCGTTCCATGATAAAGGCACAGAAGAACATTCCTATGAATAAAAGTGTTGACCCGACGACATAAAAGGGAAATGCATATGATGCTACCGGCTTATCATCCTTTTGAAACGTTTCTGGCCACATGAAGACCGTGAGTGCAGCAAACATGATTGACCCTATACATGATTGATAAATTAGTCGTCAGCCTTACTTCAAATAGGTGATCACTAACCCAACTGCAATGCAGTGCCAAGAACAGCAGCACAATAAAACCAGAATTGATCTCTCCTCTTGATACCTTTATTTAACGACAGATTCGGTATATCTAGCTCGGGAAGTTCACTAGGCGAAGATTTGCTCTGGCAAGTCCAAGCCCCTTCCACAAGTGCCTCCTTCAAAGTGCCGATTTTCGTCTTGATATTCCCCATCTTGGGATCCCCTTCTTCCCATACGACGATCTCCACAATCTTCTTTCGGCCAAAGACTCGAGTAATGCCACCATCATTGAAAAGCTCCGAAGTCGACTCCGAGACACAGGGAAGAAGTTCGCATTCCGCTTCCGCTGGTCCTTCCTGTGCTCGTCCCACAAAAGCTCGAAGAGATGAGCTGCCGCATATCCTGATCACCGATACCACGGCAGTCAAGACTCCTAGTGGTGAAAGAGCAAAGATAACATTGTCAAGAGTGCTGATGGACTCGGAGAGAAACTGTTTCGTAAGTCGTTCACCGAACAGAGTAATCAAAGGTGCCTTGACTTGACCATAAGCATATACTTCGATTTCAGACCTCATATCAACATTTGAACCTACCAAATCCGTCGCAAGGTTATTCGTAAAATCATCCCAGTCATCAGCAGCAACAAAAGGCGCAAATAAAATTACACAAAATAGCGAAAAATGCATCATATATCAACGACTCATCATACAGTAGAAACTTAAATGCTCGAATAAAGTCGCCAAACCACCCCCTCTTAAGACACTATACAGTAGATCGCAAATGCCGATCTCTCTAGCGAGTTCAAATATAGCCGTAGAGCCACAAGTGGCCCCATGGCAATACCGCAGCTAATAATATTCAGAGCATGGCTCTAAGTCAGATTTCTGAAACGGCTAAGGCAAGTAGTGCATATGTGTAGGCGCTGTGCTGGGTTAGCTGGGCGCATGTTCCCGAGTCGTTGTCGCTGCACTAAAAGCCGGCCCGCGTTGCGCTAGAGCACGGACTGGTTTGGAGCCGTTCTTTGTGGCTCTGGCGCGTAAGGCAATGGGGTATTAGCATCTAGTCTTGAGTATGTTATCTAGATAAGTCATCTTGCTGGTGGCTTGAAACGATTGAGATAATTTCTTGGAGGTTTGAGGGCTGGTTTATGTTGTGAAGAGCTTGGGCTTGCGCTGCTGGGTGAGGCTGAGTGGGCAGGGGTCCTTGTCGATAATATTGATCTTCTTGTTGATTGGCTAGGTACTTATGAGTTAATGTGTGCGAATCGTGACTATGAAATTGTGTATCGTTGGCTGAGTAGTGGGAAAACTGCTTGTACGCTGTGGACAGGGCTGAAAAGGATGTTTATGATAGGACAGGACAATCATTGGGCTGTTGAACATTCGCTTGAGAAACAGTGCAGTACTGACAAACATAAATTCACGGTTTCTAGGGCATGAAATGGAATACAAAACCCAGAGGTTTCAAGCCATCCTAATCATTATGCAAGGTGAAGATGATGGTCTCATATTAGTCCTTCAAAGGCCTTTGAGACTCTAGGATCCAGGCTTCGAGATAAATGGTACTATTCTCTCGTTCACTCCAAGGAGCCAGCCTTCGAACACGGTGATCCTCCTCTCTTATGGAATCAACTGCAGCCTAGAAAGTGTGCCAGCTCGCCAAAGTCAGGGCGAGTGAATAGTCTTTCCATACAATTAAAAAGACATCCCATCTGAATTCATCGAGCCCATGAATCTTAGCCGAGACATGCGCTAAGGTTGGGGGCGGCCTTGGCGCCCGAAGTTGAGGTTGAGTGCCCAGGGCATAGGGCACTGGACGTCTAAAGAGCACATATTCTTGAGCCTCTGGTTTATCACTAGCTGTCTTGTGACCGAGATCTTGCTAGAGAGACTATCATCTTCCCTTTACAGCGCCCAAGTGCACACCATTTAGGACAGAGCATCTCCTGTCATGATGACCTGGCTAAAGGATCTTTTCCATCGGAGCCCTGAAACATCCAACGCGAAAAATGAGGAGAAAGCAAACAAGCGCCGGAGCAAAGTACACAGCCAGAGGGTCCGCCAGCGGGAGAAAGAGCTGAACCGTCGATCTGGAGATAAGAGATTCTTCTGGGGCTCTGTGGCGGTGGACACAACACAGAGCGTGGTTCGCAAGGAGACACGGGGCCCTTGATGCCGTTGTCATCGATACAGGATCCTAGGATACAACTTGACTTATTTCTTCCGGTAAAGCCTTGTCAGAGAATTTGATCGAACAACGGGCTAACTAGCATGAGATCCACTTTGGTATAGTATAGAGTCATTCGATTAATTGAGCATAGCTTTTTGCCCTATTTCAACTCTACAGATTGGGAATAGTGCAAACGCTGCTATATCATAACAGTCTGGGGTGATCTGCCCCTATGAACCTGTCTACTGTCTACCTGCTTATTGAAATATCAATTGAATACTTGTTGGGTCCCTAGATATCGGACAATAGGAAAGATAACAGATGATGCTAATGTTTAGGGCAAGGGGTATCTTCCGATGAATGGTTGCTCAATGTCGATATTTGATTTGAGACTAAACTATGTAGGACCCCATAAGGGTAACATCATGAAGGGCTAATTAGCACGTAGGCTCAGCGAAAAGTCCAAAAACTTAGGTCATTGGCCTGTCAATAGACTCTGCCGAATGATCCCACTGAATACATCTGAAGCAAAAATTCAAGCCACCAACGCCTTATCAATGAGAATAGAACACGAAGCAGGGTAACCAGCAGAACATGCGTGTGTGAAACTAGAAAATGCTGTTCACAATGTTGGAACCCACTGTAGCACCGGCACCGAAGATAGCGGCATTACCAAGCTTCTTTCCGAATTTCTTGCCGCCTTCCTCGAACTTGTTCTGCTTGGGCTCTTCCGCGTTCGAGGGCTGACCACCCTGGCTAACTTCAAGGGGCATGTTTCCATAGTTGGTCGGAGGGGGCGAAGAGACAGTACTCTTCTCGTTGACAAGGTTCACATAGCTTCGGGGGAAGATACCCTCCTGGCCAGTGCGCTCGTTGCGACCACGCCACCCTACAGAGAAATTAGCTTCCATTCCAACATCAGATAGGAGGGCAATATCATACAGTCATCATTCATGTGCTCGATAATCTGAACGCGGTCTTGCGGCTGCAAGGCCAGGTCACCGGGGTCGGTGGGTGTGTATGCATACATGGCCGAGGCAAGACCAAGGATTGGCGGAACTTGGGGATAGGCTGGCGGGGCCTGAGGGGGCGGGCTTGCATATTGGTTCTGGGGAGGCGGGCTTGCGTATTGGTTGTGCATTGCGGCTTTCTCGAGAACGGACGTATTGGCCATTTGTTGGGTAGGAGGCGAGTAAGATGGTGTGTATGTAGCCGGAGGAGGCTGTGCCTGAATTGGCTGAACAGGGACCGGCTGGGCCAGTTGTCGGGGAGGTGAGGGCAATGCCTGCACTGCCTGGGTCTCGGAGCCGGCAGGAAGCTGTGAGAGGATGGAGGAGAGCTGTCGAGGAGTGATCACAGAGGTATCGGCAAGAAATTCAAGTTCCTAGTTGTAAAGGTTAGTTGGTACCTGGGACATTTTTCAGGAACCAAACGTTGGATACATACTGTCCGGACCATGCGGAGCGACCGGGCAGTCATGGCAGACGCGAACTCGCTGGAGGCCGCCATAGCGGGTGACACACGGTAAAGTATTGAAAGAGGAGCGCGAAGGAGCTATTTGCAAGAAGGTGACGAGGTGTAGCGAAGTGAGGGAGAGGAAGAATAAGGAGAAGGAAGAGTCGGGGGTTTGTGAGGTGCGGAGTTCAGATGTCTCATCCGCCCAAGGCCAAGATTTCAACAGTACAATTTGATAACTACCTAACCCCTAACTTATAATATACCGAAGCAATCGTGTGTTATTGCTTATTCGAGCCTGCTTTACTGTCCCTAGGTTTTTGTTTAATTGTTACTGTTTTTTTTTTTGCTTCCAAAGTCTTGATACAGCCCTAGCGATATCTACAGCCTTTGGAAGCACCATTACCGTCGCCAAATTATTGCCCTTGGATTTATTTTAAGAGAATACTAGTCAGGGTTATCATGTTCCCCATTCGCCGACTAGATCCATTCATGTTTATTTGACTGTTGCCTGAAAGGACCCATATGCATACTGTAGTTTTTGTGCCCAGACCTTGGCATAAGTCAACGCAGTAAGAAATGACTTATTGGTTGTTTTATGGTAGGTCAAGTGTGCTGTTTTAAGTGGAAAAAATGAGATTGAGATATAAATTTGCTTGATAGGCCTGTAATCAATACTTTACTAATACTTTATATAGCCTACAGCTGTGACAATAACCTATGGTCTATGATATTGAATTATACGACGATTTGAAAACAGACGACTACGCTTAATAGCCAAAGTTTAGCAACAATATAATGACATTCTCCTTTTCTTTAAACCAAGGAAGCCTTCGAGGGCAGATGCAACCGAAAAGATGTTTGAACGAGTGCTAACTGGACAGAAGAAAGTGCTAGGGCCGGTCCACAATTTGACCCTGAGATCCGTCCATAATCTCAGACTTCTATCCAGTGACGAAGGCCACCTAGATGAGGCCGAGCGGATGCTTTTGCGAGATGATACAACGCAATAAAAGGCATGCTAATCCATTGAACGATGATATCATTTAACATTCCCCCCAAGTATAAGTTCTGATGCACATTCGTGAATATCTCATAGGGATGTCGCTTTCTGATACCGGAAAATAAATCGAGAAATGTTTAAAGCAATCTACACGTTGTGTCAGTTCAATGCCAGGCCAATGCCTGGTTCCTGGGGCTCCCGTACTTTGTTGATTTGAAGAATACAGGGACAACATAATTTCGTTCAATGCCAACTTCAGAGAACAGGAATGAGATGGCTATGTTCCATAGCCTCAATCCCCGAATCTAGGTCAGATATATGTAGTCAGGAAGACTAAACCTATCCTGGTGCCCGATAGCTCAGCCTCATAGTGGGGTTGCGGTTAATAGGACTCATTATGACTCGTTTAATGGACAAAAGGATCTATGGGGCTATACATGTAAAGCAGAGAAGAAATTTTAGTTAGCCCATGACAGTAACTGCAATGGTCGCTTCCTATGATATCAGGGATTAGGGCTAATAATGTGCACGCAAGGCCATATGACATCAAGTGGGTCAAGCGACATCATGGTGTTTTTCAGATGATACAAGATTATAGTGTACGAAGTGGGTTGGTATCATTGAATAGCATTGTAGAAAGAGCATTCAGACTCTTAAAATACATTTCTTCTTGTGTCAAAGGTGTACAGTAATCCCTCAAGAGACTGTGCATGAAGTGTGGCTGTGGCAATCGACATGGTGGGGGATTGCCGGGTATCAAAAGGAACCCCTGCCAGTATATTGGTAATCCCAAAGAAAGAATGGTAGAGAAAGAAGACAGTAGATAATTATAGTCAGCAGAGACTCATCTAGGCTTGAGTCACACCTATAAAGAGGCCACAAAGAGTCCTGGAGAAAGAAGAGGCCATAGTCGTGAACGACGCTAGTCCCAAAGTAGACTAGTGCCAGCTCCCCTCCCTCGAGAAGCTTCTGTGTCATCGATATAAATTGCATTTCTCTCTCTGCACTCACACGATCAACGTCATCCTCTTCACCACCCTACTCAATCACCTCACTACATAACAACTCTTTACAAAATGTCTGACTGGGAGAGCACCACCAAGATTGGCAGCAAGTTCCGCGGAGCTGGCGCTGCCCCCCGCGAGACCGTCATCAAGGGCAAGGCCGCTTTGAACGCCGCCCAACGCTCCGGCGGTGTCATTGACACCAGCAAGAAGTACACCACTGGAAACACCGTAAGTGAAATAATCACCACCTAATAATTCATTCGCTTTCCAAAAACTATACTAACCAACACCAACAGGGTGCTAAGGCAGGCGCCCCCGAAGGCCAGCACCTCACCAAGGTCGATCGCAGCGACGACATCATCAAGCCCAAGACCGTCGGCCTGGCCGTCGCAGACGCCATCAAGAAGCGCCGCACCGAGGAGGGCTACAAGATGACCCAGAAGGAACTCGCCACCAAGTGCAACACCACCCCGACCATCGTCCAGGACTTCGAGCGTGGCACCGCCACCCCCGATCAGAAGGTCCTCGCTTCCATGGAGCGTGTCCTTAACATCAAGCTCCGTGGTACCGACATTGGTGCTGAGAAGTTCCCTAAGAAGAAATAGATGGTGAAACTTATCCGCCACATTTCTTTTCTGTTTCTTTTGTTCTGGGATGAATAATACCAGGATACGAGACCGGGGTACAGCTCCAAGGTCTGCCTTTTGCATTGCTCTTTTCTTGCGCTCAATGATTGTCATGTCTCTCACATTCTCATGAGTTGTCACTTTTTTCACTTTTTTTTTTTCCCTTATGGGTTTCACTTCTGCTGGTCAGATTAGCGCTGGCCTTGCATGGAAACGGGTCTAGAGGAGATATCATGAAAAAAAAAACTTGTATAAATGAGATACCTTACGTTCTGGTTATGATCAACATATATCTTCTCTTAGACTCCTTGGTAATGATCGTTGTAGATTTCGATAGTACTGTGAAAACAGTTATACCCGACAAAAAACCGTATAGGTTCATGATCTAACCCCACTTCTCATGGATAACTTAATATCTAATTACTGAAGAGGATGCAGATTGAAGATTTGCAAAGCTTGAATTGTCTATTTACTGATTGTATCTCTTCTGCTCGGGATCAATTCCCTGCAAAGAGAACAGACATAGAGCTCAACATGAACCATGTCATCTTTTTATTAAACAAAGACAATAACAGAAGGTACCAACTCCGATTGATCATGGAATCAATGAAATGAGAAAATCGTGTCCCAGAAGGTCATCGTCCCATTCCGTATGCGGGACCCAGGGGGGATCTATCCCAAGTCTTTTCGCCTCGTAAACACATACACACACGACGCATGACGATTCGATAACTTTCACCATTCACGCCACCTTTTACTTCCGCATCTGCTCGCGCTCGACCTCGTACATGAAGTCGAAATAAGACTTATCAAAGTGGTGAACACGGACGTATCCATCCTCACCACCGGAGGCGTATGCGGTACCAGCGGGGTGGACGTCGATGGTGTTGAGGGGACCGAAGTGGCCACGGACACGGCCGATCTCATCTTCGAAGATCTTGTGGTAGAAGCGAGCCTCGAATTTACCCTGGCGGGCTGAGGTAGTGGTGACATCCATAGCGGCCTGACCACCACCAAGAATCACATATTCCTTCTTTGGCGTAACGCTGGCAGTGTTGAGGGGAGTGTCGGAGGTGTAGGTCTTGAGGATGGCGAGGTTGCGGGAGGACATGAGCTATAGACAGTCAGTAGGAGAATTGGCGATGAACAACAAAGTGATTTTACCTTGGCGGACTTGTCTTTGGAGGCGGTGATGAAGCTGGTGCGGTCAGGGGAGAACTGGAGGTCGTTGATCTGATGGTCAAACTCGTGGGCCTGGATGTTCTCGATCTGGTCACCAGTCTAGAGCTTTGTTAGCTTCATATGTATATCAACCCATCAATCAAGCCATACCTTAGGGTCGTACTGGCTGACACTGCCATCCTCGTGCCCCGCAATGATGTACTTGGACAGGAAACTCCACCCCGCAACGGTAGCCTTGGACTCTGTGCAGGTAATGCGCAAGCTAGGCTCATCGGCCTGGTCGTTGAGGTTTTCGCCGTAGTTGATATCGAGGACTGCGATTGTACCGAGGAAACCCATACGCTTTTCCGTCACAGCCAAAAGTCTGCGTCCATCGGGCGAGAACTGCACACGCTTCACAGCTGTCGGGAAATCCCAAACCTTCACACATTCGCCCGACTTGACGTTCCATAGGCGCACGGTGTTGTCTGCGGATCCGGTAGCGAGAAGAGTGGTGTTGGGGCTGACATCGACAGTCCAGACGGCACCCTGGTGACCGTTGTATGTACCGATACGCTCGCCGTTGGCAGACCACCATGCGCACACAATCTTATCCTTGGAGACGGAGAAAAGGAGATCGCCATCGCTGTTGAACTTGATCTGGGTCAAGGACCGTTCCTGTTGCAGCCTCCGATTAGTTTCTTTGTGGATCCAGCAAGATTTCGAGGGAGCCCACGCACATGGCCGGAAAGCAAAATAGGACGCATCTTGACGGATGCGATGGAGTCGAAGATAAGATCGAAAAATCTGAGTCGACTCAGACGTGAGGAAGGCGGAGTGGCTTGGGGGGGTTATCACTTCGTTCTTTGACTGGTGAATTTCATCCGAGTGTGTTCAACCCGGGAAATTGTCGGCCCGAGAAATATTTCCTCTGCTCACCGCCCGCTGCTGCCCTAACTATGGGCATGGTGGCCTCAGGCAGGAACAAGGAGAAATCTCCGATTTTCCCCCGTCTCTCCGCATGAGACGTTAATTACTACGTACAAGAAGCAAAGGGAAACATTGACTGTAAGAGGAAGCCGGCATATCAGGGCTCAATTGAGGACATGTGAAGTGCATGTGAAGTTGAAGCTCTCACTTTTTTTTCTCGCACGATAACCACGGGGGTTCCCCCTCCCAAACAAGCAATAATTCATGCTCCTCCCCACCCTACCCCGCCGTGGTTTTTATCTCCAAGTCTATAGCCCTTTGCGTTTTCTCTCTTCTCCTTCCTCCATATCTTCATCGGCTAGAGGGTTTTCTTTGTGGTCGACTTCTCCTCAGAACGTCGGTTTTCCTTCCGCCAGACCCGTTTCCCCATTCCGCACCTTTTCCGGGTCTGCAATGACTGGCGCTAAAATTGATGGCACTGCCATCGCGAAGAGCATTCGCCAGGGCCTGAAGGATGAGATTGAACACCTTCAGGTGACGAACCCTCGATTCAAGCCCAACCTCATCATCTTCCAGGGTAAGCAACGTCGCTTTCGAGTCTGACAAGAGAAGATAAGACTAACAGATTTGGTGCGATACAGTCGGCAATCGATCGGATTCCAGTAAGGCTAATCTAAATATTATTCTGGGATGAAACTGATATGTCTTAGGCACCTATGTGCGCATGAAGTTGAAGGCTGCTCAAGAGGTACTTTTCCTATCTTCTATCTCATATCCCACGGGCAATCGTCTGACTGTACCTAGGCCAACATTATCTGCACATTGATCAATGTCCCCGAATCGAGCACCGAGCTAGAGCTCATCCAGGAGATCACCAAGGCCAACAATGACCCCGCCGTCCACGGCATTCTCGTCCAATTGCCCCTCCCCAGTCACATGTCCGAGCATGCGATTACCTCGACTGTTGCCGATGAGAAGGACGTCGATGGATTTGGCGCAATCAACATTGGAGAGCTTGCTAAGCGTGGTGGTCGCCCATTGTTCACCCCATGCACCCCTCTGGCCGTCATGGAGCTGCTGAAGGCTAGCGGCGTGGACCCTGCGGGCAAGGAGGCTGTTGTCCTTGGACGCAGTGACATCGTCGGTAGCCCTGTCAGCTACTTGCTTAAGAACGCCGATGCCACTGTCACAGTCTGCCACTCGAAGACCCCCGACATTGCCCGCCTCGTGAAGAATGCCGATATCGTTGTGGCAGCCATCGGCCAGACCGAAATGGTCAAGGGAGACTGGTTGAAGCCCGGTGCGGTGGTCATTGACGTTGGTATTAACTACAAGCCTGACGCAACCAAGAAGTCTGGTGAGCGACTGGTCGGAGATGTCGAGTTCGAGACTGCTGCTGAGGTGGCCTCGCAGATCACTCCTGTTCCCGGTGGTGTTGGTCCTATGACCGTTGCTATGCTGTTGAAGAACGTTGTTCACGCTGCGAAGGGCTACTTTGAGAAGCAGAAGGACCGTCACGTTACTCCTCTGCCCATTCGGATCCAAAACCCTGTGCCTTCCGATATTGCTATCTCGCGCGCACAGTACCCCAAGCCCATTACCCAGGTTGCCTCCGAGGTCGGCATTGCTCACCACGAGTTGGAGCCATATGGCCACACCAAGGCTAAGATCAGCCTCGGTGTTATGGAGCGACTTGCTCATCGCCGCAACGGAAAATACATTCTGGTTTGCGGTATTACCCCCACCCCTCTCGGTGAGGGTAAGTCCACCACCACATTGGGTCTTACCCAAGCGCTCGGCGCCCACCTGAACCGGATTTCCTTTGCCAATGTTCGACAGCCTAGCCAGGGTCCTACTTTCGGTATCAAGGGTGGTGCTGCCGGTGGAGGTTACAGTCAGGTTATTCCTATGGATGAGTTTAACCTTCACTTGACTGGTGATATCCATGCTATTACTGCCGCCAACAACCTTTTGGCTGCAGCTATTGAGACTCGCATGTTCCACGAGTCTACTCAGAAGGACGGTGCTCTGTACAAGCGTCTCGTTCCTGCAAACAAGGGCAAGCGCGAATTCAAGCCAATCATGTTCCGCCGCTTGAAGAAGCTTGGTATTGAGAAGACCAACCCCGACGACCTTACCGCGGAGGAGATCACCCGTTTTGCCCGTCTTGATATTGACCCAGAGACCATTACTTGGCGCCGTGTGCTCGACGTCAACGACCGTCACCTGCGCGGTATCACTGTTGGCCAGGCTCCCACCGAGAAGGGTCTGACTCGCGAGACCGGCTTTGATATCTCTGTCGCCAGCGAGTGTATGGCTATCCTTGCTCTGAGCAACGATTTGGAGGATATGCGCGAGCGTCTTGGTCGTATGGTCGTTGCCACCTCACGGGGCGGTGACCCCGTGACTTGCGACGACATTGGTGCCGGCGGTGCCCTCGCCGCCTTGATGAAGGATTCCATTAAGCCCAACCTCATGCAGAGTTTAGAGGGTACCCCTGTCATGGTGCACGCTGGTCCCTTCGCCAACATCAGTATTGGCGCCAGCTCTGCCATTGCCGACAAGCTTGCTCTTAAGTTGGCCGGTACTGAGCCTGATGAGGACCATGAAGCCAAGACCGGCTTTGTTGTTACCGAGGCAGGCTTTGACTTTACTATGGGTGGTGAGCGCTTCTTTAACATCAAGTGCCGCTCCTCTGGTCTGTCCCCAGACACGGTCGTCATTGTGGCTACGGTCCGTGCGTTGAAGGTGCACGGTGGTGGCCCCGAGATTAAGCCCGGTGCTCCCCTCGACGAGGTGTACCGCACCGAGAATGTGGATGTCCTCCGCAAGGGATGTGTTAACCTTCGTAAGCACATTGCCAATGCCAAGCAGTATGGCATCCCCGTCGTGGTCGCCATCAACCGATTTGAAACCGACACCGAAGCCGAAATTGCCGTCATTAAGGAGGAGTCCATTGCTGCGGGTGCAGAAGATGCTGTCCCTGCCAACCACTGGGCTGAGGGTGGAGCCGGTGCCGTTGATTTGGCCAAGGCTGTTATGACCGCCAGTTCTAAGGAGAAGGACTTCAAGCTTCTCTACGACCTGGACGGTAGCATTCAAGAGCGCATTGAGCGCATTGGCCAGGCTATGTACGGTGCTGACAAGGTCGAGTTCAGCGAGCTTGCCCAAAAGAAGGTTGATGTCTACACCAAGCAAGGATTCTCCAACCTACCGATCTGTATCGCCAAGACTCAGTACTCACTCAGTCACGACCCAGCCCTCAAGGGTGCCCCCACTGGCTTCACTGTGCCCATCCGGGATGTACGATTGGCCGTGGGAGCTGGATACCTGTACGTTGACTTTTGCCCTTGATTTTGTGGGATTGACACTAACATTCACCTATAGCTACGCTTTGGCCGCTGACATCCAGACCATCCCCGGACTGCCCACTGCCCCCGGTTACCTCAATGTGGACATTGACACGGAGACTGGTGACATTGACGGCATGTTTTAGAGTGAGATTGAAAGGAATTGATTGAGAGCTTGTATATACCGTGATTCGAAAGGTTTGGATCGATTTCAACATATAGGGTAATAGGCGTCTGCTTGAAGGTTAGACGGAGAATTTCAACACCAGGCTCAGTCCGTGGAATAGTTTTTATTGGCAATATTCCTATGCATTGTAATTTGTTGGATTTAATCCAATTTCTCCATGCGCATTCCCTTTACTATACCTTCAACTCTTCATCGTACAATTCGGTTCCTGGTTTCCCGGGGCGAATGAGGAGCCGGTGAGCGGCCGCGGAGCTCTGCTCCGATCTCCGGGAACGGCCTCCCACAGCGTACGCTCATCAAGCACAGCGGGTCGGATGGAGCTTTAACAAATTTAAACCTGAGATAGGAATAGGCCGATGAGTCAGGAGACTTGTCAAAGGAGATTTAAAGAAAACGGCAAATCCACTGAGAAGTGAAGCTCTCTCCGTCATCACTATCTCGTGACATCCGGCTTCGGCGCTTCTTTGCGGTTAATAAAGGAAGCATCAAACACATCTCCATTGCACCGGACAAGGCTTTTTCCTCTTCTCTCCCCCCCATTCTCGCCCTTCGTGCTATTTCCCCCCCATCATTCGGTAATCCCCCCTTCCTATTTGCCTTCGCTCTCTATTGTTCCGACCTCTCCCGTTCCCCCCGAATCCCGGAGTCGCCTCTGCTCTTCGTTTCTCCGGGGGAATACCCTTTCGACTCCACACTTCCTTTCTGCCGAACCTCATTCCCTCGGTTGTAACCCGCGGGCATTGAGTGGCCCGACTTGCGGTACATTACTGACTTCCGAACAAGACACGATGAACGCTCTCCGATCAAGTTCCGCATTCGCTCGCCGCTCGCTCACCCCTCTCTCTGCCCCTCTCTCTTCTTCTCTTCTCTCTTCCTCCTTCTCAACCTCCACTCGATCTATCTCAACCTCATTCTCCCGCACTTCTCGCGCTGTTGTATCTCCCCGCTGGTCCGGCCCAATTCCTCTGAACTTCGCTCAAATTCGCACGATGGCTTCCGAGACCAAGATCAAGGTTAAGAACCCGGTGGTGGAGTTGGATGGTGATGAGGTATGGACTCCCCTTTTATAGCTTAAATCTCTCCGGATTGTTCCACAAGCCTGCATTTCCATGTGCTTCGGCTGGCGCACTTGTCGTTCCCAAAACGCGGGGAAACACGGGGCATACTATGTCATGCATGTGTTAAACCCGTCGAGAATGATACCGCGCAACTCCAAATATGTCTCATTGGCATGTGCTAACCGGATCATCTTCGTGAATTTAGATGACCCGCATCATCTGGCAGGAAATCAGAGAAAAGGTACGCTTTCATACCCTCGGGCTAGTCATGCATGATCGGCGCCTCGCATTGAGGCGCATGCACTTGATGCATCACATTACGCCTCGGCTTGGTTTAGACTCAATGCTAACGGAAATATAGTTGATTCTGCCTTACCTCGACATTGACCTTAAGTACTACGATCTCGGTATTGAGTACCGTGACCAGACCGATGACAAGGTCACCGTTGAGGCCGCCGAGGCCATCAAGAAGTACGGTGTTGGTGTCAAGTGTGCCACTATCACTCCTGATGAGGCCCGTGTTGAGGAGTTCAAGCTGAAGAAGAGTATGCTCATACATCCCTCTGTTGCAACGACCGAAAGCTAACCTTGGCTAGTGTGGCTCTCCCCCAACGGCACTATCCGTAACATTCTTGGCGGTACCGTGTTCCGTGAGCCCATTGTCATTCCCCGTATTCCCCGCCTGGTCCCTGGCTGGACCAAGCCTATTGTTATTGGTCGTCACGCCTTCGGTGACCAGTACCGTGCCCAGGACCGTGTCATCACCGGCCCGGGTAAGCTTGAGCTCGTCTACACCCCCGTCGGTGGCGAGCCCGAGCGTGTCCAGGTCTACGACTTCCAGGGTGGTGGTGTCACCCAGTGCCAGTACAACACCGATGAGTCCATCGCTGGCTTCGCCCACTCCTCCTTCCAGATGGCCCTCATGAAGGGTCTCCCCCTGTACATGAGCACCAAGAACACCATCCTCAAGAAGTACGATGGTCGCTTCAAGGACATCTTCGAGGAGATCTTCGAGAAGAGCTACAAGAAGGACTTCGAGGCCAAGGGTATCTGGTACGAGCACCGTCTGATCGACGACATGGTCGCCCAGATGATCAAGTCCGAGGGTGGCTTCGTCATGGCCCTCAAGAACTACGACGGTGATGTCCAGTCCGACATCGTCGCCCAGGGATTCGGCTCTCTCGGCCTGATGACCTCCACTCTGACCACCCCTACCGGCGAGGCCTTTGAGTCTGAGGCCGCTCACGGCACCGTCACTCGTCACTACCGCGAGCACCAGAAGGGCCGCGAGACCTCCACCAACCCCATTGCCTCCATCTTCGCCTGGACCCGCGGTCTCATCCAGCGTGGCAAGATCGACAACACCCCTGAAGTTGTCGCCTTTGCTGAGGAGCTCGAGAAGGCCTGTACCGACGTCGTTAACGACGAGGCTATCATGACCAAGGATTTGGCTCTTGCTTGCGGCCGTAAGGACCGTGAGGCTTGGGTTACTACCGGCGAGTACATGGCTGCTGTTGAGCGCAGACTCAAGGCCAACCTCAAGGCTCGCCTGTAAATTGCTCTTTTCTATAAAACTTTTATGATATTTCCGCTTTAGACTCCAATTAGCGGAACAAAGATGATTGATTGGTTATGTACTTTTGGAATACCATTGTTCTTTACATGTGTTCTCGTATTACGCTATAAGTTAGTCGATCCGTATGAACTTCCTACGCCACTCAACTGTTGTCATCAGGCTCAAATGATCATTCCCTTATCACCCTTGGAAGTTTTTTCGCCCAAGTATACGTATGCCCTCTTCACAGTATTGTGGATGGCCTGTCTTACCAGTATAGTCACCAATGGTAAGTGATTCTGTTCTCTAGCACTGGACACAACACTATACTCGGTACTCTGTCATTCTATCAGGACATATCACATGTCACATAGTTCTGGCGGTATCCGTTCAGCCGCATCAACCGGCAGAATTGATTTTAGCCTGCAGTGGAATGTGAACATGGACACTTCCAGCCAACAGCCACATCCAGAATCAGAGCCTCAGTCATTACTTGCATATCAGCAACCTGTGGCATCAATGATGTTCTAGGCCCCTTCATTTTCGACAGCTTATCGCCTCGGAAAGTCCGAGCACGCAAACCCTCCACTCCGGGTCTATACTCTCAACTCTCTGCCGAACCCATTTTCCAGAATGGGCATTCTTCCACGGTACCTAGCCATTGCCTATCAACAGGCACTCAGAGAGTCTCCCCCTGGCAAGTGTACTCAACCGTGGGCACAAGCCCACAGGGCTAATATGTCCCAAAGCAACCATCCAAACTGTAAAAGACGCCACATCTGACTCGCAACCAACGCAAAAGGCCAATTTAACGAGTTTCCCTGACTCTCCCTAAATCGGCCAGACCGAAACCCAAAGTTGCGAAGCCCACCAACGAGCATCATCCCACAGCCGATGCAGAGTTTCCACAGGCCTAAAAGGTCACCCTGGACCGGGGTTCTGCAGATCATGCAGGCCCATCTTATAGGCTCCAACAGTCAAGCCATTGGACACAGTCATTCGCTGCTCAAGTTTCCGCCGAACAGCATGCTCGGCCGCGACTCGGATGTGGATGATAGATACGGGGACGGGTCTCCACTACTTTATCTGGTGGCCCAATCATAGTGGGCCCTGCAGTCCAGACTGCCAGTCCTTGACGCGGTCATGTCCGATTTCCGAATGCGGAGGTCGATGATGGGGGATCTTCATGGCGAACGCTCGGGATTCTTGGTCTTGGTCTCTGCAGCCCTAGATATGCTCTGCACATGTCCTGCAGAATTGGAAGTGTGAAACCCACCAGGTACTTAGGGTTTCCCGAGCTGTGTTCAAGGCAATTGTGCGTGAGTTCTTTATATACTTTGGGTTCGTCGCTTTTCGTCTAGTTCCTTGCTTTTTTTTACCTTTCGATGGTTCTCCCACCCGATTATCTTGTATATTTGATCGAGTCATGGTGATTTCGTTTGATATCACTATTTTCACTACTGGATAGTTCTATTCGATGGATCGACACAGCTACTTCTCTTTCTCCTTTTTTGTTCCCTTCCTCTTTTACTCGTTTTGAGTGTCATCTATCGCTTGCATTATCGATCGAATGTATGTTCTGATCGTATCAACTATCTTTACGGCCCTTGCGACCATCTGTGTCGCCTTGAGATTGGGGACGAGGTTCTGGCTGCTGAGGGCTCCGGGCTTGGACGATCTATTTATTACATGTGCATTGGTAGGTATTGCAGTTCATTTACCGATCCTCTATTCACGAGACACTGTCTCTGCAAAGGAACTGCAATACTAACATCTACTGTACATCAGATCGTCAATTTTGCCTTCTACGCCTTTGTCCTCGTCGGTAAGTGATCTGCTCGCCAACGTCACAATCTTAATCTCGGTCTAACATGTATACTTGATAGAACGCCGTTATGGACTCGGGAAAACAGAAAAATCCCTCCCCCCATACATCATTGAAGGCCAGCTACACGTAAGTCATACACCAACTCCAATGCCAACCCCAAGCCACTCACACAACCGCCAGTACCTATGGCTCTCAATCCCCTTCTACAACTTAACTCTGGTGTTCGCCAAGATATCCTGTCTATGGCTCTTCGTTCGCCTCTTCCGTCCACGTCCGTTCCTCATGATCGCATACATCACCATGGGCTGCCTAGTCATTGCAGGCCTGTGGATGACCATCAGCGGGTTCTTCTTCTGCAATCCTGTCCGTGCTTTCTGGAGTATTTCCCCTCAAGTCCGGTCCGATAAATGCCTCTCTGCTAGTGCGGTTTGGTTTACCAACGCCGGGATTCAAATCGGCACTGATCTTGTCATCTTAATTCTTCCTATGCCATTGATTTGGAAATTGCACATGCCAAGACGGCAGAAGTATGGTGTTTTGCTTTGTTTTGGGCTTGGGATCTTGTGAGTCTTTTACCAACCCGCGGTTCAACTTGATGGCAATCCATGCTGACGATGACTATTAAAGTGTCATCGCCACCAGCTCAGCCCGTCTCTCTCAATTGGCCATCATGCTCCACAGCAACAACTTCACGAGTATGTCCCCCCTAACCCAATTTATACATAAAAGCCAAATACCCCAAGAACCCCAAGAACCCCAAACTAACAAACCCCAGAAACAAACGCCCAAGCCGCAGTCTGGTCCTCCCTAGAAGCAAACATATCAATAATCTGCGCCTGCCTACCACCCCTACACCCGCTCGTCTCCCGAGTCTTCTCCTTCTGCTTCCTCCCACAACCCCTCCACTCCTCCCCCGGCTCAAAAGCCACCCACTCGCACACAACACAACTCACCGACTCGCGCAAACCATCAATCTACTCGCACTATGGCGCAAACCCCAGCCCAGACGGCGGAATCTGGTACAACGAGCTCTTCAACCCCGGTCCAGCCAGCTACTCAGCCAGCATTGCCAAGGTCAACACCAATGAAACCGACGGCGGGAACGAAGACGGCATTCGCGTCGTGAGGGAGCTGAGGATGCGCTCGGAGGAGATCCACACGCCGATTTTGAGGACCGGGTCGCCTCACGAGCGGGATCTGGAAATGGGCACCCTGGATAGTTGTAGTGCTCGTGGTGAACCTAGTATTGAGTGGGATTTGGGGGATTTCGAGTTCCCGGATTATAAGGAGAGGATGAATGCTCCTATTTGATTTTGGGACTATTATTGGTCCTTGTATATATTACAATTTATTGCATCACATGGTGGATGATCCACCGTACGCACATATGATCTTACTGATATCTTGTTTTCTTCTCTCTGGTGGGCTTAGATTTGCTTGGTTTTCTATGTAATGAGCTTCCTCGTTATGGATATCCCATACTTGATCGCAGAACAAAATATTGAGTATGGCGTTTAATAAATGTAGTATGTATAGTATGCATGATAATCTACAGCAGTCTCCTGTAGATCACAGATTTGCCCGAGAAACCATTTTCCCCTGCATGGCTTCCTCGATCGCCTTGGCCACGGCTACACACTTTTCTTCCCCATACCGGCCCCCAACAACCTGTACACCAACAGGCATACCTTCAATCAAGTCAATGTCATCTGCAGATAGTCAGCGCAGTCCCAATGGTCCAAAATAAAGGAAGAATACACTCACATTGCTTCTTGTTAAATTGATCGCTATCATTTCGGGGAACATGATCCAGCCATTCCTGATCAGGAACATCCTTCTCCCTCGAAACGGTAGTAACAGGAACCGCTAATGCGGCATAGCCCAAGAAATTCCAGATACTGGTGTAGCCCACGTACGCACTGGACTTGACCCATGTCCATGGTTTGTAGCCTACCCATGGTGTGTTGGGCATGATTATAGCGTCGACTCCGGCGGATATCCATTTATCAAGGTATTCTGATTCAAAGTTGTACTTGTCTGCGTGGAGCTATGTCCTGTGTCAAATTGAAGTTTCAAGATCAATATAAACAGGGTTGAAACTTACTTGGTGCGTCTCGGTAGTGGTTAATGTATCCTCCGGCTTTCCAACAAGCATGCCTTCAATAAGTGGCTCGCCTGTCAGCTCCGTCTTTCTTCGACAGCCTTCTCCGCCATCGGAGAAGATGGCTTTTGCCCAGAGAGTGTAGCCATAGCCGTGCGAGGAAGCATCCCATTCGAAGACTGGAGTTTTGTCGTCAGTACTTTATCCCATGATCTTTGAATGGATATCGGAGAAGATGCATTGCTCCTTACTGTCATGGCCGGCTGTTTTCAAAGCCTCAATAACCTCTCTCATAGCCCTAGCAACCGGCGGCTGGACTTTAACAACTCCATCATCAACCAAGAACCCAATCCTCAACCGCCTCCCACCCGCAGCCAAATGCTCTCTCCACGGAACAGGAGCAACATGCTGATCAACCTCCCAAGGCGACGCAACCGGCAAAGCCTCCATATACCGCTCAATAGTAGCCAAGCTACAAGCCATAGGCCCAGCGACGGACCGAACAATATCCTGCCCAGGACTAAAAGAACGTAATCAGCCCAACATCCACCATGCCACAAAACCCAAAAAGAAAAAACAGGAACTAAAGCAAAAACTTACTTCCCCCGCTCATAAGGATGTCTCCCAGGACTAGGCGACAGTCCATAAAGTCCACAAAGCGCCGCAGGAATCCGAATCGAGCCACCAAGATCAGTCCCAATGCCAAGGATGCTGCCACGAGCCGCAACAAGCGTTCCCTCGCCGCCGGAACTCCCACCGGATATCAAAGCCCGGTTGAATGGGTTGACGCACTGCCCGAAGACGTGGTTGTACGAGTCGGACATCATCATTGACTGGGGAAGATTCGTCTTCACGTACAGCACTGCGCCGAGGCGGCGGAGCGTCCTTGCGACTGATTTGTCGGCTTTTTCGGGGTTGTTTGTGAGTCCCACCCAGCCTGTATTTATGTTTGTTAGCTGTGATTGTCTTTGAGTTGCTGGATTATGGGTATGGGTATGAGTATGAGGATTGTTCTAAATATGGCTTTGGTTGCGGTTCTAGTGGAGGATAGATGGGATGGGATTTCAATGTACCGATTGACGTATCAACACCCTTGACGGAAAACAAATCTTTGATGGACACTGGTAGACCATGGAGAGGCCCAACGGTCTTGCCTGTTTTCGCGAGGTGGTCGTCCATTTCTTTGGCGGTGGCGAATGCCTCTTCGAAGAAGATCTCGGTGCAACATGTTGTTAATTGATGGGCCAGTGCTGCGCGTTTCGAAAATGCGCGGGTTAGATCCAGTGAGGAGAGTTCCCCGGATGAGAGCTTAGCTAGAAGAATGGCGATGTCAACCTCCTCTGTCAGGGCTAGTTCCTCTGGGGTGAGAATGGTGCGGAGATAAGCCAGGGCATTTGGGGTAGATTCGATTGAGGGGATTGGGGTTAGACGCCACTCGGGTGGAATCAGAGAGTGTTGATCCGCGCGCTTTTGCGTGGACCGTTCCTGGTAGGTGGCCATGTTGAGAGATGGTTAAAGGAGAGAAGTTGAGATGTTGAAGGGAAGAGACAAGTATAGCTAGGTAAGGTCAGGACCATCTGGGATAGGAAGGTCATCTCGGCTACCCAATCGTTCTCCTCTTCCCCCTCTTCTGATACGGCCCTCGCCAGTTCCGCCAGTCGCATTTCACGATATCGTTTTTTGGAGTCAGGTTTGGAATCTGGATGTGGGATCTGGTAGCATGGAGATAAGAAGTGAGGAGATATTGGGGTATGGACTATGTTGGCATTTTGATTCTCGACTAGGCTATGTCAGCCCCAGGGAAAGTGGTTGTCTTTACTCTCTGATTGAGATTCTTCATGATCGCAGATGGCTGAAGATAGTTAGTTCATGGTGGGCCAGCATCTAGTAGGGATGTCTTGATCAGCGAAAGCTCTCATCCGCCATTTCCGCATACAAGGACAGTGTAGTTTGATTACTAGATTCGGAAGAAGCTCTGTCTACCTATACAAGAGCTGACTCGTAGAAAATTGTTAACTCTTTCCCTAAGAGAGCTACTAAGAGAGCTCGAGAATCTATAAGGCAAATAAGCACGCGAGGCCTCCCACCGAACTAGAACCACCAAAGCTTGTTCGCAATTGGGGTAGCCTTTCTCCTCTACATGGCGTCACGATCCGACATATAACCCTCTTCAACAGACCGTATACATACATACTACGACGCAGCTGAAAGAATACATGTTGCAAAAATGACCAGCTCAGTCCCCCTTGTTGCTTGTTCTTGGTCAATTTATACACATCGTGATAACAGTCAACAACACATATAAGAATTGAATCTGAATTTTGACACCGCAAGGTCAATCTACACGTCCGCATTTATTCAAGCTGTGCAAAAAACAAAAGAAAAACAAAACAATGGAGAAATCGAAACCAGAGAGACAAACAAACAATAGGAAACAAAAAAAAGATATGGGGCTCAGCCGGGATTTGAACCCGGGACCTCCCGCAATCAAGATGGGATCATCTGAAGCTTCGGTGCTCCGAAGCGGGAATCATACGACTAGACCACTGAGCCTGTGGATATCTGGTTCGCTCTGGAAAGGAGTTATGCTGATGCCCTGTATTTCCTAAACTGTGATTGTTTGTTGGTCCCGTTGATCATATTAAGTTAGTTAGTCACATTCAATATGGAATTATTTTATTTTATATTTGAGTAGTGCTACAGCTTTGTGCTTTTTATGCTCACTGAATTTATGGGTGATATGCTACAACGAAGCCTTTCTCCCGGCAAAACCGGCACCGGCGATTGGGAAGACGAGAAATGGATTCAAGGACCAGACCTGCGGGGGTTGCGGAGTTCACTGCCTCCAAATTGCCTCCAAAACGGCTAGACGGCTAACTGGTTGGTGCTGCAGGTAAGATGCAGATAAGGGTCTAACAATTTCGGAACTTAAGTGATAACAGTCACAGTAACATCGCGTTAAGGGTCTTTCATATTACTGGATAAAAGCAAAAGGATAATAAAGAAGTTTCTTCATGTCCTAAAACTGGGAACAAAATCAACATAAGGAGTGTGATGCACAGCAGTGCGAGCCCTATGCTAGTCCTGACAAAAAGAATGTCTCACAAACAGAAAAGGGCAAAGGAATGACAAGTCCATTGACTTAAGCCCAGTTGAGAACGTGTCTTGATATCAGCATCTTTAACGTCAGTGACAAAAGAAAAAAAACCAACCAGGTGAAACATGCCTACAAACCCAAAGAAAAGCAGATTGGGAAATCCGAGTCACTCGAAACAAGGAAGCACCCGAAGCAGCAAAAACCAAGTATCAGGAACCGAAAGGAAAGGAATGACAAGTGCCTGTTGGCCGGGGAAGTACTGAAGCCCAATTTGCAAGCAAGAACGCTCAGAAGGAAACGCCCAAAAGAGAGGAGAGCAAAAGAAGGACAACTATTTAAACCTTGATCCCAATGCAAGAAGTAATAGAAGTGGCTGACAAAACGTAAAGTGTACAAAACGCAGAAACAATATCAAATAAACTCCATCATGCTCAATGCCTGACAATACCGGCCCGCCAATTGGGAATCTTCATCATGTGCCAGTATCGGCTGCCTCGATCGGTATGATTTCTCTTGCGCATCAACCGTTCACGGCGATCCCGTCTCTTGGTTGCGGCATTTGGCTGCTCTGCTTTTGACTGCGGAATCTCCTCAATGCGAGCTGGCGTGGGGGAAATAGGGGCTACTTGGTCTCCTGCTTCCTCACGACGCATTCGCACCTTGCGACGACCTTTCGATTTCACCTTTACCCGGATTGAAGGGACCTTGCTAATGCGACGTTTGGGGGTGTGGGCATCGACAGGGTATGACCAAGGCGCGGCGGTATCTGCACCTGCCACGATTTTCCGACGAAGACTGCTAGCGCTCCGATGAAGACTGACGGCACTCTGGTGAAGGCTGATGGCGCTCTGTTGGAGACTGCTGGTGCGGGAGATCCGTCTCGATCGCGTTCTCTGTATCTGCTTGGCCAAAATCGCAGCCATAGCCGCAGCAGAATGCGCAGATGCGGAACTATCATCCCGCAACGAGAGCACACGTCGAGGAGTGCCAACCAAGCCATCATCATGTGCGTGCGTGTGTCGCGAGTGGCGCTTCAAGATATCAGGCTTGGGCCTTGAGGGGATATTTCCAGATGAACCAATGGAAAGAGAAGAGTTGCTGATACTAAGCAATTCAGCATCATGAGCAGAACATGGCTCCGTCCTTGCACTGATCTGGTCAAAGCTTCCAGGTGGCATGGAGTTCTCTGTACCCGTCTCTGGTGAGTGTGCGTCTGAAGCCACCGCAAGTTCCTCTTTTTGCGCATGCGCGTCAACCAAACACATCCCGACGATAGGGGACTGCAGCATGGGGCAGAATGGAGGCTGTCCAAGTATTCCATATGTCACATCAAATTCGGTAGTTATGGCGCGAGGCTCGGACTGCATCTTCGGAGGCGAATAGCACTGCACAGGGAAGTTTTGAACACGAGCTGCACGGCTGGATGCAGAAGATGGTCCTCGCTCTGAAACACTTTTATGCTGGGAATCAACAGCACTGGTGCAGTGGCTGCAGATCACATCGTACTCTCCTTCGCGAGGAATGAAACTCAAGGATGCTGGGTAGAGACTCAAGTGCTTATCGGGCGTCCAATCGCAAACCTGCAGCCAGGATGGGAGCTCATCAAGTGGGATGAGTGGCGTCCAAAGCCCTTCTGGTCGCAGAATACAGAACCTCATCTGAACTGCGGATTGAGCAGGATGTTGTTGGGGGTGTAGTGGAGATGGATAGAGCATCTGATACCGAGGAGCGTATTGCATGTTGAAAGCTGAAGAGACTGGTCAAGCTGACAAGACTGAGATTAAATGAGTGTTGGAATGAATAGAACTTTGAAAAGAGTGTATAGTGGTGGAGAGAAGATGAAAGAGAAGAGAGAGAGAAAGGGAGAGGGAAGTTCAACTGATGATTACAAGAAGGAGCATATTGTGGAAGGAACAGAGGGTGATATGAAGCATTGGATATAGATACAGGCACTACAGCACTGGATCTCAAAGAAACAGCATCCAACTGATTCAAACTAAAATACTCAGCATGGCTACTGACCACCACTCAGTCAACAAATGAAGTATAGACCGCGATAAGCCCTTATCGCTGCAGTCAACTTGAATCATTCAAACAAGCAACGCATATGTACTTGACTTCCTCTGCCATGTGAGCGGCGAATCAAGCGGTGGACAAATTTTATATTGAGCTTAAGGCCTTGATAGCCTGCCGTATGACGCTAGTAGACTGCCACAAACTCCCTATTTCTCTGTTGTAGAACAAGCCAATTCTTTCCGAAACGAGAACGAACAACAAGCAATCTCCGGCGGACGACGATATTCGTATTCCCAACACTCTCCAGCTAATTCTTCCCAACAAAGAAACATCACATCATAGAACGGGACCTTTATCCACCCTACATCTTCCAAAGTACACCCTTCAATCTCCTCGAACTCATCTTCAAGCCTTTCCCCTCCATCGTAAGGGTCATACTCCTTCCAGACCTCTCGAATAAGTCGTACAACCCCTCCATTCTTCTTAGGGGTGAGAACAGAGTCTAAGACATCCTGCGTAATCTGAAGACAGTACTGATTTCGGTGCGATTTTAGAATCCGGCTAGTACCATGTTCATCTGGTACTGCGTTCTCTACCCACTGCTGAAAGTGCCGCCGTACCGTAGTAGTGGTAGCCCCGTCTAAACTTCCCGAGTCTTCAATCACAGTTAAGGCAAAGTTTTCAAGGATCTCAGGGGCTTCCATTTCTTCCAGAGTCTCGTAAGTATTGGTGAGTAGTCGACATATAAACTCGTCCCAGGCCGCTTGGCTCTGGTAGGTACATCGGTAAATGACAAAGCCCCAGGCGCGAAGGCCATTTCCACGGAGTTCCTCGTCGATTTGGTCGGGAAGGCACGGTGGATCCACGTACCATGGAGACTCCTCTAGGGGAGGGAATTGAGCAATTGGTCGAGTGTGCTTTTCAATGCGGCCAAGGCAGATAGGCGAGATATTTGCTGGTGAAATGGAGGAAAAGGCACGATGGGAGATATCTCGATATCGGTTTCTTTGTCTGACTCCAAACATGCGGCCCGTATCCAAGAAATTGAGTGAGATTGGAGTCGGACGAAGGAGTAAAAACAGCCTGGGTATCCCCCTAGCCGGAAGACTCATTGTATGCTTCTATAAGCGCTCGCTGAGCGTTCATTAGAAGTCAATAATCAATCACGTGAGCGATCTGAGGGCGGCATCTGAAATAGGAAAGCCCTACCCGGCAGATCAGGTACGGATAGCGACATACGCACGACGTCACACGTCTGGCTTCTTTCTCCTCTCAAATATCTATACCAATCGTCAGAATGACCACCCTCCAACACCCAACGCTCAAAGATCCAAGCAACGCAACCCGCTCAACCCCAACAATCACCCCAGAAGCCGCAGTCCTCCACATCGGCAGCTCCACCTTCATCGACGCCCCAGCAGCCAAAGTATGGGAGACCTTAACAAACACCTCAACCTGGCCAGCCTGGAACTCCTTCGTACCTCGCGTAACCATCCGCTCCCAGCCCTCCAACACAACCAATGCCACCAATGATACCACCGACCTCTCCCCAGTCTTCCAAAAAGACACCCGCTTCATCCTCCACGTCCGCATGGACCCTACCTCAACCTCCGAAAAGCCCCAAGCGTCGACAGACGTCTACGGCCGCGTAACAGAGAGCACAGCACCTAATGCTGAGACGGGCGAAAATGGCCGCATCGTTTGGGGCGTTGACCCTGATGCGCCGGGCGCGTATTCGCCGTCCATGCTGAAGGCGGAGCGGGTCCATGAGGTCACAGCTGTTGAGGGCGGGACTGAGGTGAGGAATTGGGAGGCGCAGACTGGCTGGCTTGTTTATATTGTAAAGGTGATGTATAAGGAGCGACTGAGGGCTAATTTCCAGTTGTGGGTTGATGATTTGACCCGATATGTTACCCTTCTGACTAAAGATGCATCCGGTGGGGAGAATATCGATGCTGGTGGAACTGACGATCCGGTGGAGGAGGGTGTGACCTCTGCCTGAGACTCTGGGTTTGTATCAATATTTTTGTGGTGTTCATTTGATTGCTCAAACTGTGCCCGGACTGGAAGCTTGTTTGGGCTTCCCTGTCCTGGCTACTCATATGTATGCAGATACTCGCCACTCTACGAGAAATGGTGTTGGCTGCCACTAAATAACTTCTACATACTGACAGATATCACAAAATTGAGTTTAGTATTATATTATGAAATGCTGACATCTATCCATGCAAATATTGTATCACCATATAGTATGATCATGCCCCCGAAACTCCATCTAACAGGGTATACCAAAAAAAAAAAGCAGTACCCTGAATGCGACCAAAAGAAAAGAAATACTCGAACAAGAGAAAAAAACGTCAACCCGAAAAAGAACCCTAGAAAAGACCAAAAAAAGGCCAAGAGATCAGGAAGAAACAGAAGCAGCAAGATCAACCCAATCACGGGTCGAAATGCGCATGGCAGGGTCCTTAACAACAGCCGGCCGAACAAGTTTCTCAACAAAGCCATTCCGAGGCACACGGTGCCCACTCGAGCCAGAACGCGTCAAATCCACAATCTGATGTCCCTGCCTGGCCATCGCCAGCCGCTGCATGTTACTGGTACCAGGGTACAACAGCAAGTCGCCAGTAGCAGCAGCAAGCAGCGTAGCAGCCAGCGAGAAAACATCAGACGCGGGTGTCGGCGCAATATCACCATTCGCCACCGTCAACGAAGCCAACATCTCGGGCGCCGTGAATGGCGGCGTAAACGCCGACATGGACGCGCGCGTCGTGTCGAGCGGGACGGCCGGGTCGTCAGGGATCTCGACGGCGGACGAGAAATCCGCGAACAGAGGCTCGAATGGGAAGGCGCTGGAAGCGACGTCGCTATTCTCGTCGGCGTCTACTGGTCGCAGGAGGATGTTGTGTGGCTTGATGTCACCGTGCACCATGCCTGCGACCTGGTGCAGCCAGTTCAGGCCTGCGATCAGCTTGCGCGCGAGAGCCTTGTACGAGGCTGTTCCCTGGACTGGGTCGAACATGGTTGGGGTCGCTGGCTGGCGCGCGCGCGCGATGTCGGCTTGGTCTTCTATGTATGTGGACAGGGAGAGGGGGATGGCGGTCATGACTAGGCCGTGCAGATCGTTGTGTTGGCCGTGGAAGGGGACGATGTAGGGTTCGTGGCCTGGGGTGAGGGTAAGGCGCGTTAGAGTTACGGCTTCGGCTTCCAGAACTGCACGGGCATCGCGGCGCACGGGCGCTTTCACAGCTAGGATGCGGCTGATTGAGACTGGCGAGCCTGGGGGTGTTGATGGAGTGTTGGCGAGTGCGGTGGTGATTTGTTGCGTTGAACGCGCTTTATATACTATGCTCCAGGCGCCGCGGCCGAATTCCACGGGGCGACTGTCGCCATTGTGGATGAGTTCAAGGTCGTTGGTGAAGTATAGGGGAGTTGTGATGTTTGGTCTCGGAGCAGAAAGTGATTGAGACAGTTTATCCAATGGATTGGGGGTTTGGTGACGCTTGGCGATTGGAGTCACGGGCGGCGTGAGACTCGATGTGGGGACTTGTGCCCGAGGCGTCGCCTCGGAGGTCTGCAGCGACAGCTGGAATGGGATATTCGCCATTGACACGAGAGCTGATCCGGGGGAATTTCAGACGAGCAGAGACACTGGGGTTATATGGGCTCGGAGAGAGGCCCGAGACAGGCCAAGGGCTCTAGTCAAATAGCTCTGATATCGGCGCCACTCGCACAGAGATAACTTCACAAACCACGGTTGGGGTCGCAGACTATGACGGGGGTGGCAACTGTTGGCGTGAGATTAGCCACTGCACGCTTATATACCGGAGTCGAGGCCTTGAGACCTTGAGACCTCGCGATAGGCGGACCTCAAAAGAGTATAAAGAACTCGAAAGAGTGAGAAGAAAAGGCTTCCAGGGCGCACAAAGCGCCAAAAGCGCCCTGTGTTGAGGGATCATATGGGGCCGAAAGCAAACAAAAACCCCCAAAAGAAACTAAAAGCCCCCGGTCTCGACCAAAAGGAAATGAAGGGCACCGAATGAATACTACGGTGTCGACGCTAAAGAAAAAGGGAAATTGGCTTTCGGAAGGGTTCGCGCTGATCGGAGGCCCACCGATCTCTAGATAGGATAAGTTGGTGGTGGCAGGCTATTGGTTATAGATGATAGATGATAGATGCATGATAACTAATACTGTACCTTGAGAGTCATCTCGTATCTCTGCTACAATAGTGGCGGAGAGTAGACTGGGCTATTCGATTCTACTCATTTTACTACTGCATGGCATTGTGGGCAATGCAGCCATCCCGGGCCCACCGCATGCGTCCACTCCCAACGGCTGCCAATGGCTTATCTTAGTACGGAGTAGTCATTTCCAAGGCATTGACTCATCATTCTTCGCGTTTGGAAATGTACGGGAATATCCTCTCCAAAGGTCAAGTCAGATGGCCACATCATCTCCCAGGAGTGAACATTCCTGGGGATCTTCACATCCAATCCTTCGGCCTCGTGCCCTAAACCCCCCCGGTCCGCAAAAGTTACCCGATTGGTCTCGATTATTCATACATCTATGTTCTCATATAAGTGATCAACTATAATACAGGGCTATAATACAGGGCTATAAATACAGGGCTATACATGCACGCTTAGTGCAGTTTGATGCTATCTTGTCCAGCTTGGAATGAGGTCAGCGTTCCACCCAACATGCGATTGAACTGCAATAGGCTCGTTCCAGGGGCGCTCTTCTCAAACTCAACAATAATCGCAAGCAGCGTGTCGGTGGACAGGGATCGCGCCCGGACCCCACTCAAGTCATAGTTCAAGTTGGCCTGATAGCAGAAGGCCGGGTCAGCGGAACCATCTGGCAAGGCCATAGGCCCATGACCAGGCTTCAGTCGCCGGTCGGCAAAGTGCGTGAGGCTTGGAATCAGCTGCACCAAGTCATTGATGCTCCGCCCGGGAAGAAGAGTACCAAGTAGATCGCTGACGGACATATTGACCGTGGGGTGCAAAGGAGCACTGATGGCCTGGAAGCGGGCGAGAAACTCGGCCACGTCCAAGGTGGGCATCTGGTCTATCTTCTGCAGCACAGGAGGATTAGGGTGGGCTTCAAAGTAGACCATGCCACGCGGGGAGTCGTGGGGATAAACATCCGGAGAGGGGATATAAAGGGGCTCAAATGGCCGTCGCTCCCAAACTAAGATAGAATCGTCGAAATTGTTGGAGAGCGCGACATTGCGGGCGTCATCGATCACTTTGTCATGAAATCTCTTTTTCATAAAGTGTATTTCGGAGAGCTCGGCAGTCTGGATGGATTGCAAATGTACGACATCACCCTCCAAACCTTTCAATCTCTCAGGCGTTTCATTGATATCTGCCGCTGCACGAGCAAACTTTCGTGAAAGTTCGTCAATCTCAAGCTGGCGATCAGCGAATCTTTGCCGGTAGTAAGACTGTGTGTTGTCCGTCTCCAATTTCCCAATAGCTGCGGTTCGTGCTTTGGCCAACTGCCTTCTTTTCTCTGCCTTCTCCTTGGATCCCAGATCGGCAGCTTTGATATCCGCCAGGAAAGCCTTATGTGAGTCCAGAAGTCGCCTCGGCGTGTAGGGCTGTGAACTCTTTCTTTTTGCGGTACGACCAGTACCCGTTGACTCAGGAATGGGTGGCACACATGCAAGGGGAGGTAGTTGTCGCTCTGGCGGCGTAACAACGCCCTGCGCTGCGGCTCTTTCGGCGACGCGGTCTCGATTTTTGACGGTGTCGTCAAAACTTCGCCAACTTAAATGGGTCTCAGGTAGATCGGGACTTGCGAGCTCGACACAGTGCAAGGCCAACATCTCGGTCAGCAATCCAACACGTTTGCGCTCTGCCATCGCTAGCGGGAGAATAGTCGAAATCTCAGCGTGGGGAAGTTGTGCAATGACTCGGACAGACCCGTAGCTGTGTAAGTCATGTCTTTGCAGACATGTTTGCAGGAACTTAATCCACCAGCGCCCCGGTGTCATATGGTCCTTTTTCGAAGTCGGCTGGGGTGGGTTTACCAAGACGAGAAGCGTATCGTTTTGCGGTAGACGTGCAGAGCCTTGGGACGGTATTTGTTGCTCTGGAAAGCTTTCTTTCACTAAAGAATTCCAATTGACCTGCTCCTTGTCCATTCCGGGCTGTGGATATATCTCCATAGGAAGGAGCTTGTAGCTAGGCTTGCTTTCGGCTAAGGGCTGGAGAAAATGTCCCCAGATGTCGATATCTGGTTCAATAAGAACATGACGGCGGGGTTTTAGGAAGTCATTGACTTTTGATGACCAAAGACCGCTGCCTGGCCAAAGGTCAAGGATATCCACCGGGGTATTTTGACGAAGATAGGGCGCAACACGCTCAATAATTTGGTCTGTGATCCCTGTAAGCTTCTTTTCTGTAACACCAGCTTCTGAAAAGACATACCACATAGTGGTTCATTCACAATTTCACTCCTAGTAAGGACCCGACGCTGGAACTTCTGTTTTCGAGTATGGTCGCGGATTTGTTCCGATAAAGGATTGCTCTCAGCGGTCTTCCATCTGATCCGAGATACACGGGTTGCAGGTAGTGCTCTAGCGGCCCTAGTGGCCATTCTGTGAATGGATACCAGAAATGGTCAGTATCATGAAGGGCAGAAAAAGAAGATGGCGCGTTGAAGTCCAAGTAGCAAGGCGCAGCTATTTTTTTCTCGGAGCGGAGAGACCAAGCTTCCCGCTCACCTCCCCACCAACTTTCCTCCCCATTCACGTCTAGATGCGGCTCTTACTATTGCCACTGGTCTTCCCAGGGTTAGGTCGAGGTTTAGGAGATTGTTTCTCCATGCCTTTTGAGGCTTGACAGGTATCAATATTTGTCTTCTGTCTCCGCGATGGCTTCCCCCATCGGCACCGGAGGTACTCCACCTCAGAGCGTGGAGAACATCACTCGCATCGCCCAAAACTACGAGTACAACTCAAATGTTCGCTTGCGATACTGGCTGAGAACGGCGGCAACGATTTTACGAGAGGTCAGTTACTTCTGTTTGCACCGGTTTTGTTCGTGCCTAATTTGTTTACCTCAGGCTCATATCTACGAATCGGAAGGACACGACGAACAAGCATATCTCCTCCTCTTTCGACATGCCCAGCTGATCCTAGTTCATCTTTCGAAACACCCGGATACAACCAAGTATGAAGAAGACCGCAAAGCCTTGGTGGCTGCCGAGAAAGAGGTGGAGAAGAACCTCAGCAAGCTGGAGGTTCTAAGACCCAGGATCAAGAAGCGATATGAGCGCTACACTCAGCTGATGCGCGAACGTCAATCTCGAAAACTGCCAACTCAATCCAAAATCATCCCGGAGCCGTCAGCGCAAGTTACAGACCCCGCCCTGGCCGGTGTCGCCGAACCCTTGGAAGCCGGTGAGAATCGGGATCTCGCTGTTCAGCTTGCACAATATGAGCTCAATCGGCGTGCCACTGTCAGGGGTGCCAAAGGATTATCGCCAGCGGAACTGGAGGCCCGTCGTGCAGCCGGCGTATGGGGCGATTGGGAAGCTGCGTCGAAACCGGATACTCGACCCGGTGATCAAGACTTGAGCCGGCGAATTCAAAATATCAGATCCAACATTGATAACACGCATCAGCCTGCTTATGACCAGCGTGTCAAGGATTCAACCAGTGGAGTTTCGTCCGTCTACAAATACCCAAGCGTGCCGCGCCAGAAGCCTCTGGAGCCTACTGTATCTCCAGGCCAGATTGCCATTCTTGATAAGAATGTCGAACGTCATGCGCCCCCTATCTTGCCTCCGAAAGAGCATATTGAGCCCAGTAGGGCCTCAATCATAAACACGACTGCACCGCCAATTCCATTCAAAGTGGCACCAACCCCACCACTGCCCGACAAGGTGCAAGCAGAGACAACGAGCACTACGCGGTCTGATCTTGACCCATCCAGTTATACCTTCAAACCCTCCGCCTATCTGGAAAATGGCACTCCCTTGCGCTCCGTCTTTCTACCAGCCGACCTCCGAAGTCGCTTTTTATCACTGGTTTCTCCCAATACCCGCAACAACTTGGAGACATGCGGAGTTCTTTGTGGTACTCTCGTCTCCAACGCACTTTTCATCTCCAAAGTCGTGATTCCAGAGCAGACTTCGACATCGGACACCTGCGAAACGGAGAACGAGTCTGCTCTCTTCGACTACTGTGATTCGGAGGACCTGATGGTTCTCGGATGGATTCACACACACCCATCGCAGACCTGTTTCATGAGCTCTCGCGACCTGCACACACACTGCGGCTATCAAGTCATGCTCCCGGAGAGCATCGCTATTGTGTGCGCCCCAAGCAAAGACCCGGACTGGGGCGTGTTCCGTCTCACTGACCCGCCAGGACTTAAGACTGTCTTGAACTGCACGCAGACGGGTCTATTCCACCCGCATGCGGAGGAAAACATCTACACTGGAGCTTTACGACCGGGGCACGTGTTTGAGGTCAATGGACTCGAGTTTGAGACAGTAGATCTGCGTCCTTAGTATGATGATATTGTTTCTTTCCACGTGGATCATCTGACGTAATGCTATTATGATACCAATCTTGTTTGAAATGAAATGACTTTTGACGTGGCAAGACCTGTCTACTAACCTGTGCTCTATCAGCACCAGGATGTTGCGTTCCTAATTTTAGGACCACTATTGCATCTCAATTCTGGTTTCTCTTTTCCAAATTATTTTCCAGATTTGAAATTTAGCCATTGAATATTATATAGCAAGCTTTTTGGCAGGTAATGAGTTGTTGCTTATAGTCGTGGTATGCTTGAATTTCCATGGGAAGGCTTATCAGATCCTAAACAATAGTGTAGTGTGGCTTGCGTCAATTTGGCATCAAACATGAACCCTAGAGCAACAATAATCTCAACATATAGATATAGAATATAGAATAACTTGTGCACATCGCAATCAGGGAACCAAAATAAGCAGCAGGTGAAGCCTGACGTGGCTCCCCCACAGATAAGCGATAGTGGTTTCATCACCTCCGCATACTTCTCTTTTCTCTTCTCTCTACTTACCTTAGGCTCAGCCGAAGCTCTTTTGCTAGCAATTGACTTGGAATCTCCGCATGTCGTCTTCATCTCAGGCAGATCTCTCCCCCGACCCTCCTATTCCCTCTTCCTCCACTTCGAGATCAGGATCTCACACGCCCACGCAAAAAACAACCAACACCTACCAATCCGCCGCCTCATACTTTTCCTACCCAGTCAGCCACGTTGTCTCAGGCCTCTACCGTCGCATAACCGAGCCAGACATATCTAAAGACATGCCTTCCTCACTCCCATGGTCGAGGTCATCCTCCTCCTCGGAGGTCTTCACGCCGCGCCGAACAGCCTCGCCCTTTCAGCCTCCACCCCTCACGCCCCTCACCTTGAGCATCCCAAAAGGCGCCGATCTCCTCCAGCAACAGCTCCTCACACGTGCTCTTGCCGAAGAAATTCGTCTCCTCGTCCCTCCACGCCTCCAACTAGCCGAGACCTGGCGACTGGCCTACAGCCTTGACCGCGACGGCGCCTCCCTCTCCACCCTTTACGAGAACTGCGCCGAGTTCTCGTACCGCAGCCCGCGGGCGGGCTACGTCCTTGTAATTCGCGACTCCTCCCCTTCAAGCTCTGTCTTCGGCGCCTACATGACCGACGCGCCTCACCCAGACTCGCAGTTCTTCGGCACGGGAGAATGCTTCCTCTGGCGCTCAAGCGTGCTCCCACCTCCGGCAAGCTTCCCTCTCGCCTTACCTGGCGAAGGTCCTCAGTCCGAGGAGGCTCTTGAGCGCGCTGGTCTCCCGCCTCCGCCTTCTGCGGATACTACTAATGCGGGCCGCTGGAGTACGCTGCGCAATGATCCCCAAGCGAAATTGAAGAATGTTCGATCGGAATCACCTTCTCACAATCTTAATATCAATATCAAAACCAATCTCGCTGCTGCTAGCGGTGGTGTCTTGGCGCCTCCGTCGCCTTCTTCTATTCCCTCGCGCAGTGGTGCTAGCACTCCTGAGCGTATTCGTTTCAAGGCGTTCCCCTACAGTGGCGTCAATGACTATATGATGTTCTGTGAAACTGGTTTCCTCAGTTTGGGAGGCGGGTAAGTACCTTCAGGTGTGGATCCATTGGTACTGTGAGCTAATGCCGAGATAGTGACGGTCACTACGGATTGTGGGTTGACCAAAGCCTCGAAAAGGGCGTTAGCGCCTCTTGCCAAACTTTCGGTAACGAGCCGCTTTCTGACGAAGGTGTCAAGTTTGATATTCTTGGAGTCGAGGTGTGGTATGTCGGCTCGTAGACAACCGGATTCATGCAGCTTGGTATTTGTATAAAGGACCTACACAAATATTGGCAGATCCAATACTCGGACAGTGCATCATACGAGAGTCTACAGTCATTGAACTTGGCATTCTCTGGACTAGAATTCCCTGCAAAGGAAATGGATTCAAGCGTCGAAGATAATTTTTCATATTCGGTTCATCAGCTGCACTTCAAATACCCGGACAACGATGTGATGCTGGATTTTTCGCATCGTTGTCCCTCGTCAATCTTTCAAATCTAATCTACTAGTTTCATTCTGCCTTGAATATTCATCAAAAACAGCCTACAGTTGCGAAGCAAGCTGCAATGTGGCCAATCACTCATATCTATCCAAATATATACATCTAGCTCAATCCATGCGCAGCTCGACCTTCAGCAATAATACTCAAGCACTTAGCAACCTTTTCCTTCTCCTTCAGAGCCTTCAACCAAGCAGTATATCGAGTGTATTCCATCAACTGATCGGCCCGGCCCAGTTCATGCAGTAGACCTTCACCGACCACAGCCCAGGTAACAAAAGACAAATCCGCATAGCTGCATTTACCACCGACTAACCAGCCCGTTCCATTCCTCTTCAAGCCCTCCTCTAAGACCCCAATTACTCGAATGATCTCATTGACATATCGCTCCGTTGCGGAAGGAAGCTTCTCGGGATGGAAGCGGGCGAACCACGTTGCTTGACCGAAATAGGGACCCTGGCCTGTATAATGGTTAGCTATACATTGCGAGGTGTGTATTTGGATGAGACCTTACCGGATGATTGGAAGGCTAGCCATTGCTGACAATGATGCTTCTCCACCAGCTCAGTGTAAGAGATTTTACCCTCCTTGTCGTATTGTTCGATCAAATAGAGAATAATTGCAGCAGTCTATCAAGTAATTATCAGATTGTGTCTCATCGGTAGTTATAGATAATTGCTTGCCTCCCAGAGCATGATGCTTGTGTTTGGATCCTTGATGGCAGGTAAGCGTCCATTGGGGTTAATCTCGAGATATTCAGGTCTTTTGACGTCGGCAAATTCGACAAGCTGGAGATGGTAGGGAAGATTGAGTTCTTCGAGTACCATGCATACTTTCCTTGAGGACTATATCAGTATCATCACTTGCCATCGTCCATGTTAGGCACTTACCATGGGTTGGGTCCGCCCCAGTGGCCCCAGATTTCGATTGGCTGAAGAGACATGGTAATTCAGAAGACAAGTTTGAGAATGATGGACTTGGTTCTTTTAAGTATGTTCGAGGAGAGGATGCGAAAGAAAAGTGAGCTTTGAGGAAGGACAACGGGGCTATTTATGTAGGCCAGAGCACGGCATCTTGATCTAGCCAACTATTTGAAATACGTTGCAACGAGATTGATTATGAACAACAAATCCATGTTACATCAAACTACCGTAAGTAAATTGGGGTTGCGAGAAAAATAGCGCGAGCAGAACAAGCATTGCGAGATCTTTGGCGTATGTTCTGGTCCGAATCAGGCATGGCGCAGCCGTTGCGAGGAATTTAGCGCCATTTCAAGGCCCGAGACCCTCTTTCGCTTTCTCTACTGCATATTTCCGCGAATTACAATGGTCAATCACGGCGCGAGAAAGGGATGCATGACCTGCAAATTTAGAAAAATCCAGTGCGATCTAGAATATCCGGTCTGTGGACAATGCACAAAGTCTGGAAGAGTCTGTTTGGGATATGGGGACAGGCAGACGCCTCATCCTACTACGACAGATCGACAATCTCTCTCATCTCATTCATCGAGCACCCCTGAAAGAGATGACAAACTACGACATATGGAAGATTCGACTCATGCCGTTTCATTTCTTGCAGATCTGCTCATGGGTACTAACGAAGACTCAAATGAGCAAGCTACACTGTCAAATGATACAACCGTATCTGCTATTCGCACAATCAGGAAGTGTCTCTACGCTTTGCAACAAACAGAACAGTCATTTGAGGATCGGAAAGCTTTGATTGCTGAGTACGGCACAGCAATTAGTCAAATAAGAGTCACACTGATGAGTTCACTGTTCTCACCATCTCTGGCTTGTGCCGCTTTTCTGTTTTCTACTTACGAGGTGTGTTTAAACTTTGAATGCCAGGACTTCATACTTATGCCAGTCCTAGATGATTGTAAATATTGACCCCAAAGACCAAACTTGGAGGATCCATCTCGAAGGACTTTTCAACCTCTTGTCGCAAATCTCTCACCACTCGGACTTGCCCACTGGTGACTTTGACACGCTACATCATGCAATCCAGATCTCCAGATCTGAAGGAGACAACATTCAAGCATTTGCATCATATGATGTGTCTAATCGAGTCAAGGCTTCACTGATATTAGACGTTACAAAACTTTGCCTACAACCATTAGTCTCTCAAGTTGAAAATCTGACAGAAGGGGAGCGCCCGCGAAAAATTGATATGCAGAAGTCTCGAGCCTCGATCAAACAGATTCAAAAAAATTTGAACTTATTCTCAAACATATGCCCCAAAGCAGAGCTCGATATGAAAAAGGTTCCCCCAGCTGAAAGATTGATGAATGTACGTATTCTCTCTAAACCTCTCTCGGAAAAGGCTAAAAGTTTTTTTATTCCAGGCCCTATCTTTAGTTCGATGGAATGACTATCATTGTCTTCGTATCATCATAGCCAATTTGCTTGTTTTGACAGGCGATTTTATTCATCCTGGAGATAATTACGAAGACACGCGAGAATTTGAAATTCTTTCCAGCATGATATACGAAGCAGGACAACACATATATTCTGCAATATCTGTGATAGCAGAGACAACTCCTATCGAAAGGAATCATTGCGATGAAGATCTCAGACTTCCAATCGGGGGCTTCTTACTGCTTTGGCCTATATGCTGTCTCCTTAAATCACAGGAGACCCCGCAGTCTCAGCAAAATAATATTCGGGAAAACCTCTGGTCCATTGGACTTCGCGCATTCATTCCCCATGCCTCGGCCCTGGTATGAATGCAATTCTTGATAGTCTGTCTAGTTAATGCTGAACATTTTAGGCGAATTCAAACGCAGAAACTACTAAGTGGGCCGACATTATCGCAGGATTACTTCTCACCCGTGTGGCTCTATCGCAGGAGATGCGGTATCTTTTTGATCATCCCAGTCTATGAGTCAGGGCTTTGGCTGAGATCCTCTCTATGCACGGTTGAGCCTCATTTGACCCACAGCGCTAACCGGGTTTGTCCGCCGACAGTTACTAACCTCCCAAGTGCTTTGATCGACCATCTGGACATCGCACTTTGATGGAATGACTCACATGACTGGATTAAAGTCGCTTCGTGTTGATCCCCAACTTCTTTTCTACCACTTTTTTTAGCCCCTCTTAAGCGAGTTGACTCACGCCCTGACATGCACAGGGCAACTCCCTCTTGCTACATAAACACGGAATTCCCCCATTTCCCCCATCTTTCTCTCTTCAACTCTTTCATGATGGAGAATCATGATCTTTTGATCCTTGTGGATGCTACGGCCTCCATGACGGAGTACCTTCGCTCTTTGAACACTTCCCTTCCACAGATCATTTCCATTTCTGCATTGACAGGATGCTTTTCACGCATCGGAGTCATCGCTTTCCGTGACTATGACTACTTTGGGGACGATCTTCTCAATTGGTCAGGGTGGCTGCATCAAAACTCAGACCAAGATTCGCAAGAACCTCAGCCCGATCTCATCGAGTTTGTCAAGCACCTCAAGCCACTTGGGAATAGCGATACCGATGAAGCCCAAAAGACAGCTCTTGCCAGGGCCTATGAACTTATGCGTCCAGATGCAAAGACCCTCATTTTCCTTTATACCGATGCACCCCCTCATCCGAACGTGGAGGACACAAGCCGCCTTCGCAATACGCCTCGAGAACAAGTTGCATTGAATCCAACTTCGTTTTCAAACTACGGAATCTCATTCAGAGACTGGGTGTCTGCGAGCAAAATACTTCGAGACGGACCAAAGCAAGCTCAGGTCTTCACTATCCTCGACGGTAACTCGGGAGGACATGATACAGGCTGGTACACCTATCTATGTCACATTACCGGTGGTGCTTGTACTGCTATGACACGAAATGAGGATCCCTCAAAACTGACAATCGATCTACTTCTGGCGTGGATGGGGGTAGAAAAAGTCTCCTCAGAAAGCTCTATGGTCACAGAGCGTACGACTGGATCACTCTTGCAGTATGAGTCTGCCGATGACATTGAGGAGTTCCAAAGTGAAAAAGATGCAAAGTCATTACGTTTCTTTTCGCATGGTTGGAATGATACCTGCGGAGACAATATCAGGGCCACCTTGTTGACCACCGACATCCTGAAAAAGCAAATCCCGAAGAAGACGACCCCTGTCCTGGATTTCGCGAAGCGCTGGAACACAGACCCACGATACAAAGATCTTGTTATCCGGAGTTTGAAACAAATCATTAATGACAATGTCCAGGCAATGGCCCTCAACCCTGTTTTTGGAACCCTTTGGAGAGCCGTTTGCAATGATAGGGAGCATGAGTATCGTGAAGAGCTACTGAGTGCGTTCAGCCGGAGCCTGGAAAAGATTGCAGACACGACTCAACGGGCGAGCATGAAGCTCTGGTTGGAGGAATCCTACGACTTCGCCCAAGAGATCACATCGCATATTGCCGAAGTGTCCGAAGAAGACAAGTATCCTTGCGTGTTTCTCGATCCAACTCTGAGCTTTGAGCGTACAGCCACTGGTGCTGAAGATAGCCCTAATTCCACGTCAAGTCTGACCCGCGCCGATCTGTTGGAAATTGGTCGATCATGCAATCCTCATATTCTACGCCGTATGGGAACTATCCTCACTCAGATGACTGTTGTGGAATCGGCAAATGACATGCCTGAACACATCGCCAGCGCTGGGAATGAACAAGTCGTGAGAATCCCGCTAGCGATGGCAGCCCAGAAATACCGCAATACCTTCTGGAAATATCTATTTCATCTCATTGTTCCCGGAACAAAGCTTTCTGCTCGTCCTGCGGCTCTTGTCGCTGCTCTCAGTCTCCGCATGGGGGTGAAGCCCCTGGCAGAACTGGCTGCGCAGGAAGTCATCCGTTTCAAAGACAAGTGGAATGATATTTCAACCCCCGAGAATTGGAATATTGGATGCTTGACACTTCTCATTGATGCCGATGAAGCACATCACAGACAGCAAACCGAGAGATTGTGCAATGATGGACCAGCCACGAATGACACCAGGCTTCTGAACCCCAGCGACAAATTATTCTTCGAGCGTCTTGTTGCCTTCAAGCTCCTTGAATCAAACCTCAACTCTAAGCTCAACGCGCAAATGCCCTGGACCCCAGACAAATCGAGTGGACCCATTGGACCCTTAGTGAAATGTCGGCAGTGCAACTTCCCCCGTTCTGTGACCATCATGGGAAAAGATGGCTCGTGTGGCCGGTGTCTTGGCGGAGATTCGATACAACCGATAGAAGCTGGAGTCTCGCACGATCATACTCCAACTTCCAATTCAACCTGGGTTGAATGTAGGGTAGTATCCTGCAAAGCCCAATACGTCGTTTATGCTGTCAAAGCACTGAATGTCTCTCCAAAATGCCACTACTGTCGAACCAATTCTTTGAATCCTGCCCCTACAGTCAAGTGCAACCGTTGTTTAAATTGCATGATCTGGCCCAAAGAATACAGACCATCCGACTTTGACGAGTCAGAATTCCTCTGCCCTCATTGCACAGCAGGCAACAAGCCCACAGCCGAAGTCCAAGTAACAGCAAACCAACTGGAAGCCGAGAATACTCTTTCCTGGCTCGCCGAAGACACAGAAAAGCCAAACAAAAGGGCTTTCCCAGACACCTCCATCTTCCAAACCATATCAACAATGGGCGCCGAAGGCTTCAAGTCCAGAATAACTCTCTTCCCAAACAAAGACACAAAGCCCAGCCTAATCTACAAAGGCAAACCAATCCACAACTCCCTCGACTTAATAACCAACCTCGAAAACCTCGTGGCAAAGCGCAAAACAATCAAAACAGACTGTTCCCTCTGCTTCTCCTCCTTCAAAGCAGGAACCCTAAGTCCAGCCTGCGGACGCACCGGCTGCCACCAGCAAATCTGCAGATCCTGCCTCGATGGCTGGTACGGCCTCAACACCGCCGGCTCGATCATAAACACGGCGGCACTAGCCTGCCCCTTCTGCCGACGACACCCTGCTTCGAATCGACTAGCAAAGCATGGAATGGGCATCCAGGCAGTTAGGGATCTGGCACTTGCCGTTCGAGACAAGGGCTCTTTGATCTATGCGTGGTGTCGGGGATGTCATACCGCCAAAGAACTCATGGAACGGAGCTGTGCTCGGGGAGCACCACCCGAGGTGCAGGACTGGGCTTGCGAGGAGTGTGTCGGTGAATGGGACCGAGCGCTGTTGGCTAATACCAGGGAGGGGAGGGCTAGGGCTGAGATTGAGGCCAGAATGAACACTGTCAAGCCTTGCCCTAAGTGTGAGACTATGACGATGCGGATATCGGGTTGTGGACATATGGAGTGCTCAGTTGAGGGGTGTGGCGCTCACTGGTGTTACTTCTGCGGAAAGCAATTTGGTTATGATGTGATCTACAAGCACATGAGTGAGGAGCATGGGGGTTTCTTTGGTGGAGAGTTTGAAGATGAAGATGAGGATGAGTGGAGAAGAGAGGGGTGGAGTGAAGATGAAGATGAGTGACGTATTGGATCTATGAGACGCTTGTCATGTTATTGCTATAATTACTCATAGCTGGATTGCTCAACTAGTTCATTGTCTACGGCAAGTGAGATCCCAGTCTGACCTGGTTCCCAACTCTTAGTTCATACGTGAGAACGACTTATAAGAGGGTCAACGTCATGCGAGATATAAAGTAAAAGAGCAATGGGGTTCATCCCGTCGACGAAAGCAAAGAACATCACAAGGAAATGGAAAAACACAAAACATCATGGGGTATGGGTAGTGATACAACAGTAGAAAGAAATTCAGAGGCCCGTGAGATAGAAGGAGTGAAAACATTAATAGGGAGAGTTGACAATGTCATCTCTGCCGAGGCGACTGCCCCAGCCACGTCCTCGCTTGGGCGTAGCAGGACCAGCAATAGACTCACGAGTGGGCTTCTGGAAGGAACGCTTGGCAACCATGTTGACCTCGTTTGGCAAGGCAACAATGACGTTCTTATCGGAGCCAAATCTGAAGTTGTCGGCCATGACATTCTCACCGTAGCGCTTGATAGTGTACGGATCCTTGCGGCCTGCAACGACCTTCTTCATGTTCCAGGTGATGATGAAGGGACCAGTGGCAGTAATGATGGAGGTTTCAGTTGAGTCAACACCGGTGTTGAATCGGGCTGGGGTGAATGACAGAGGCTGCTTGGTTTCATGCTGGAACTGCGCGACGTGGGCGGGCTGTAGGCCAAGGCGGCGCGGCTGGGGCTTTGAGTCCTTTGCGAATGCACGCTCAAACCCGAGCTTTCCTTCATTCTTACCTTCCTTTTGCAGGGAGTCAATCAGCAGCAGGTATGTACGACAAGTGGCCAACACCCAGCGTCCGTCAGCAGACACATCGAGACCGATGATGGGCTCGCCAAGAGCAGGAATGTGTGTCTTTGCGTTGATTCCAAGACGGTCGAACATGCGAATATCGCCCTTGTTCGAGGCGACAGCGAGGTAGCCCTTCTCCGTGGTCGCCATAGCCGAGAAGTCATTTTTGCTGGCGTATTGCTTCAAGTCCGAATCAACAAGCTTGTTACCGGCAAGACGAGGATCAATGCGGTACAACGCGTTCTTTGAGACACCAACAAAGGGTTGGGCGGCAGTCATTTGAGCGAATTTCTAGGCGAGTAGTCAGTATACACATGTAATGACATGTGGTATGATGGTACTTACGTTCTCAGGAGCAAAGGTCTCCACAGCAATGTCATCATGAACCTTCCATTCGTCGACAATCTTGCCATACTCCAAGTCCATCTTGTACAGGGAGTTTGGATCATTTCCATTCTGGAGAATCAGGTTTTGATCCTCAGCGTGGAGCATAACCTTCTTAGGGCTGAATAGACCACCCTTAGGGGTCTCCACCTTCGAGATGGTAGTAGAAAACTCGAGATTGTTGTGGGGAGTGTGCTTGAAGACACCGATCTTGGAACCGCGAACCACAAACGACCGATCGTGCTTGTATCCAACAGCCAATTGAGAGTTCACGTTCCCATCCGCATCGCGAGTGACCACGTCTTCCTCCTCTTCGTCACTATCATAGTGCTCACTATGCTGAGCATCATCCTTGTCATTATCTTCCTCTTCTTCGGCGTCTTCTTCCTCCTCTTCGGCCTCCTCAAGGGCAGCATCAGCATCCTCCATGGTGAGATCCTGGAAAGCATCAAGCACATAGTCTCGGTCATTCTCCTTGACCTTGGTCCACTTCATTTCATTCAACTGTTCCCATAGTGCCTGCATCAAGCCTTCCTGGAACCGTTCCTCGGAAGGCTGGTTCTTGAAACGCAACAGCCATGAGTAAGCCGAACCATCTTCGCCGTAGTGATTGAAGATGAAGGAAAGGTATTCGAAGTTGAAAACTGGGTTAATATCGGCCACAACAGCCTGTCCGAGCCATTCTTTGTCATTGCCAGTGATCTGAAGCCAGTACTGCCAAGTGCCAACCTCAGAGACAGAGGCAACCACCTCAGACTCCTGCTGAACAAATGTGCCAGTGGAGAAGTCGAACAAATGGAGCTCGGCAGTTTCTTTGCAAAGAATTTCTTTGACCTCAGGGTGGGCTGCAGAAGGAGGGGCAGTGGTCACCTCTTCCTCGAGGATAGGGGCCTTCACTTGTCCCTTGGACTGGGCATATTCCACGTCCTTGGCCATAGTTGCAGCGGAATCCTCAGATGTCGGGGGAGGCACGTGTGACTTTGTTGCTGGGGACGAGACTGGGCTGGCAGAAGGAATAGGCTTCTCTTCACTGTATGAGAATTCCTGTAGCTCGTCCTCGGTGGCTTTCTGGGCGCTGCGGCGGAATTTGCGTTCGTACTGGCACTGGAAGGCAGCAAGTTCAAAGGTGGCAACCTTGTCAGATGGGACAGAAGAATCGCAGATGAACTCAAAAAGGTCACCTGGGTCACCGCTCAGATCATCCCAAGCCAAAATCTTTTCTCCGCCGTCACGAAGCTCGGAGCGGAAATGAAGGCCCTGGTCGAGAAGGAAAACTTTCTCGTCCTTGTCCAAGCTGTCGCCGCCACCCTGTTCACCGTCGTCGTCCGCAAGTTCTTCCTCGCCCTCTTCGTAGGCTCTCTGAACCACAAGCTGGTATTGAAAGTCCTGACCGGTACGTCGGATTGTTGCGACGGCGTCCTTGAAGATAAGCTCCGAGTAACCCTTAGGCGACTGAGGGCGGACTAGATACAGCTCGCCTTGGGGGATTTCAATGATGGATTCTTTCGAAGCGTCACCGAACAAAAACTTGCTCACTATTAAATTTCAAATAACAAGAGGTTAGATAGCCATTCAAAGTAAGCCGTCACAAAAAAAAGCGCGGATATGGAGGGGCTTGGAGGGGCATGAAAAGCGCGTTGCTTACCGTTGCGGAGCATAAACATGGTTGCGAGGGGCAGCTGCCAAACAACCGAAATATGTGAAAGGTAGGTGAGAGAAAGAGGGAGCTGAAAGGAAAGAAACACAAAAGGGAGAGAAAGAGATCCGAGACAAGATACTCTTCTGCCTTGAGTGATTGATAGAGAGGAAACAACCTTGGAAACACAAGTTCTTGAACGCAATGAATTTCGCCTCCGTCATAGACTGTTCCTGGCTTAGTCATAAGGCTCTAAGGCATCAACGCTAGGCTATAACAGGCAATATCCTATAGTTGGGACAAGTTACAATCTATACTGCTTCTACATATTTTGAAGTTCCAATCTTGGAGGTAGAACGAGTTAATTCTAGGTTGTCCAGCATATAGTCTACAAGACACGTTCTATAAGGCGAGACTTCCAGGAGTATATGCTAGGTAGAACGTTCAAAACAGCGCTCGATCCTAGTGTTTGAGTCCTGAAAGAGCTTACTACTGACTGTTTCAAGAAACACTGTTATCATTCAATAGGGTTGAAATATGTACAAACCTTTTTTGCAAGGTCATATTGTGTATTTTGCGTTAATTCATGAAATCTGTGTCTACTTCTCCTCTTCTCCTTCATTCTCCACTGTTTCCTCCATTGCTTCGATCTGCTTCATTTGCTCTGCAGCATCTTCTTCATCATTTTCACCCTCAGAATCGTGTTCTGCCTCAACTGCAGCCTCGGCCTCAGCCTCAGTCACCTGTTGACCATCCTTCCCCTTCAACGTTCCACCTTTGCGTTGAGGAATGACTTTCATGAACGCCTCGCCCCAGTCTCGACACTCTAACCACTTTAGCATAATCTCAACAACATGGTTGGTGGCCAGAACAGAGCGATGAGACATTTCAATGTATTGACCAATGGGCAACTTGGCAGTTTTGATACCCTTTGCGACAGCCTGCTTGTAACAGACAGCCTTGTGTCTGTTCTTGTCCACAAGAGCACCAATGATATAAGTGCTATACGGCTTCAATTCAGTCAAGGTGTTATCACTATCACTGCTGAGATAAATGACCTCGCCATCTTCAGGCTTCGCATCGGGTTGTTCAGCGAAAGGGCCAACAAGGCTGCCTCCCCGCGGACCCGTCATCTGGGCCTTGGCGAGCTCAGCAGCATGTGTAAAGTCCTCCGGCATAAAACGAATGCGCTTCCAGTTCTTGTGGGCCCATAGGACGGTGTCGAATCGCTCTTTGAGAAGCTTATCGAATGATGAACACATCAAATGGGCATGGTATTGGGCGCGGCTGTTATCGGAGTAGGATCGTGTGAGTTGGGATGCGAGAGAAATGCGCTCTTTGGGCAGCATTAAGTCATCGTAACCGCAGTCCATCACGAATGTCAAGGGTATCAGTGTGGATTTGGTGTGCTTGGCTTTCGTAGATCGTATTGTCTCGCGGAGTTTTTCGACGGCTTCCTCGCCACCTGTCGCGCGTGCCTCATCGAAAAGAGCTTGACGGCGTTCCTTTTTCTGTGCAATCTTCTCTTTCTTTTGGTCTTTGCGCAAATCGCGCTTGGCCAAATAACTTTCGTGTCGACGGAGCTTTTTCAGTTGGTTCTTCGACATCTTGGACGGAGCACCTTCGGTACCCTCCTTGAGTGATGATTCATCGGCAGCGGCATATTTCCCAACAATGAATTCGGATAGATCGTGGGGTTCGTTCTCCATCACCGGCTCCGGCTCGTTGCCAGCCACCTCTATAGCTCCAGTCATGGCAGGATTGGGTGCCTGGGTCGAATCGTCGTGGCCAAGCTTGGGTTGTTTCCGAGGAGGTTCTTGATCCTCCATGCCGAGCAGGAGGTGCAAACTGCAAGTAATAAATGACAATCTCAAGGTGGGCTGTCAGTAGATCATGAAAAAAGCCCGCCCCGAAACCCGCTGGCCAATGACGTGCGCCACAGCCCTCATTACTGTTCTCCTCACGTGACACTGCCAATCCAACCTCAATTGTCACGGCGGCTTCAACGAACACCCTCCAAGCCCTCCACCCGCTCAATCCCGCCACCATGCCTCAGGATATGCCCCCAACGGGGGGCTACGCCCAAGTCCAGTACAAGGTATGCGATTCAAACCCGCTTCCAGAGTCTCAATGGCCCAGTACGCCCACACAAGCAAACCAGGACTAACGCGATCCGTCTTCTCTTTCTATAGCGGAACCTCCCTGCCCGCGGCTTCAAGCCCGTCTACTACATGATTGGCATGCACATGATCATGGCCTACGGATTCTACAAGTACTTCCACGGTGTCCGTGAGCAGCGGTACGTTTCAACCCCAGCAGCCAGCTCCCTTGCCCTTGCTCCGATCGTGCCGAGAAATCGCAATTGGAACCTTCTTCGACAGAAAACCCACAGAATCTCAACTACCACGGAGCATATGACTGACTTATTCTCAATTCCAGTGAGCTTGCCCGCGAGAAGATGTGGTCCCGTCTGCACATCACTCCTCTCCTCCAGGCCGAGGAGGACCGTGACCAGGTCCGTCGCCATTTCGCCGACAAGGCTCGCGCCAACGAGCTCCTCGGCTCCGATGCCAAGGTCTACAACTCTGACCGGTATGCTGACTTCACTCATATGAGAACTGCTTGGACCCGTGCTAACTATTTGCTTTTTTCTTGCAGCTTTGTCCGCCCTACTTTCGCCTATACCCCCGCCAGCGTCACTCAATAGACTGTTTGACAATGTCATTGGTTTTTAGTGATCCAAACCCTCTTTCCCTTTTGACTCTGTATGATGTTGGTGTTTTTGAAGTGCTTGATTGGGTGACCCTTTGCCTTTCATGATATACGGACGGAACTAGGTCTTTTCGGCCGTGAAAGACAAGCTTCATGGCAGGCAGGGTGAACCGTCTCGGATGAATTTCGAGGAAAACATTGTAGATACGTATTACTTGCCTAGTGAAGGGTTTAGTTCAGTCTTTTGCAATATGCTGTTTTTTTACTTGTTCAATTTTAAATCGTGTCTTAAAACCACCGCCTTTACATCGCATGAGCACATAATCTAAATCACTCTCATGATGTGCCTACAGTCATCCATCTATATCGTGCTACTAGCTTGATGTGACCCCCTTCCGAGCCCTCTCTCTGACGTAGTTCTGTGAGTTCAGCTTGTTCCAATCTACATCAGACTAATGAGGACGTTGGTCATGAAACTGGAATATATCAATGAAGCATGGCTGTATTTCTCTTTTTTAAAAATATCGCTTTCTCAAAGCGCTACCGCTCGCTCATGACAGGGATATTTGATAAGAAGCAACGCAAATGAACAAATAAAAAGCAAATGAGAGATAGAAAAAAAGGTTGCTGGGCTGTGAAGGTGAAATCAGCCGCAACGGTGTCTATTGAATTTGGATATTGTGGACATCGTATTGTATAGCAGGTAGTGTCGAGCTTACCCGAAAAGGTCAGCAACACCGCCAAGATCGGGACCATCATTGATATCAACACGGTGGTTCTGCTGCTGGGCCTCCACCTCATTGGTCATGTACCTCTCCTGCAAAGCAGAACGAGCCTTGCGGCGCTCCTCGCGGGAGCCTAAAATCTTGCCTTGTTCAGCGACACTGATACCACGCAGTGGCTCGAGAAGTTCGAGAATCAATGCACGCTGTTGACGCGGAGAAGTGCACCGGTGGAGCGTAGCTTCGGTCGAGGCAACCTTTTCCTCGGTGATTCCAGGCAAACTCAAGAAAACGGAGCGAGGGGTCTCGCTGCAGAAGCCGTAGAGGACCCAGATGGATGCAATCAGTTGGGCAAGGTCTTTTTGCATGTCGACAAAGTATGACTCATGTACAGATGTAATACAAGCTTGGAGGACCTCGGTACAAATGAACTCACGAATAGTTGCAGTGGTGGGAGTGTTGTTGGGGGGCGCAAAGTCTTGAAGAATGGATCGAATGACACGGGTAATGATACTACAGCAACGAGTATCGCGCATGCGAAGAGCGTGAGTGCAGAAGAGCATGACAGGCTCAAAGATCTCAGGGGAAGAGAGTACAAAGTGGCGAATGGAGTCAGCGAGCTCCGGAGTCGGCTGAGGTTCACTAGGGTCTACTTCAGCCCCATCAGGGTCTGAGAAGTCATAATCGGTCAGTTTCTTGTGTATAAATAAGATCGACAGTCGGGATCGCCGGGATTTCATACCGCCTCTCTGCGGATCGAATAGGCTGGCTACCATGATCACAGCAGAGTATGTTAACTGGCGCAGGACGCTTTCTGACTTCATCTCGGTAGTGAGATCTCCATCTGAAATTCCGTCTCTGCGCTGTTCAATGATTTCCCATTCAGTAGTGACTTTCCGGTCAATGTTGGTGAATAGAGTAGAGAGCATGGGGGGTAAAAATTGTGCGCGGAATCGCACGGGGCAATCATCGATGAGACAGCGTGAGATGTTCAAAAGAACAGAAAACTGATGAGAGGATAGATGTGGTGAGTCAACAAACAAGGCTTCGGCTAGAGGACCAGGGAGTTCTGCAAATCCGTAGAAGTGCTCTCGCATCCTGCTCATGCTGAACAACATGGAGTAGCATGCTTCGCGAACAGCCCTGACTTTGCCACGAACGGAGGAGGCAAATCCTTCCAATGTAGACTTGGATGAGGTGATTCGGGCATAGAATTCATCTCGACTGCCGGTAGAGATACCGGCTTGCCAGAATCGGTCCGTCAGAATGCGTTCCACGACCGGTTGCATACCTTCTACCATGTTCCAGTTGACAGGATTGTGGAAAGCGTGAGCATGGCTAGATGAATGAAGTTAGCTTGGAAGGCAGCGACATTTTTGCACCTATAATTACCTCACGAGCTGCAGCAAAGTGGGAAGAATCAAAGGAATCAGTTCATGCCACATCTCACAAGCAACACCATAAGCTTGAGCAGTTTTCTTCAGTCGGTCAGTAGAAACAGCGAGCATGGTTTTGGTGCCTCGCAATGGCAGCAGCTAAGACATCATGAGTCAGTCTAACCTAACCTCGAAGGGGGTCCGTCTCATACCTGGAACTTTCGGGTCATCTCTTCCTGGACCATCTTTCCCTCGTTGTCTAATTCCACCAACGACCAATCTTCTGATTTCTGTGCCTGTTTAGACTGCATGTATGGGCCAACATTCTCAAGGCCAAGCATGTTACAAAAACCTGGGAATGAAGAGCTGCTTTGACGGAATTGCTCGTCTTGCCATGCCTCCCTGATAGGCTGTAGGAAGGATGCAAGCCGGCCCTGACGCAAGAAACCATCGACATTGTTTGCTCGTTGCCTATAAACGGTCAGCAGGGTATATCTTAGAATAATGGGAAATATCCTCACATGATGATGAGCAGAATGGACGTAAGTTCCATCTGTAGCTTATCATCCACGCGGTTGGCCAATGTTATTTCTCTGATCTTTGGCTCGAGCAGATCATAGAATGACTGTGAAGGGTATTGTTAGAGGGAACGCTGAGCAAACAGGTAATAGATTCCAGCTTACAGCGAAGTAGTCGGAATAACGCATAGCCAAGCGGCGAAGTTCATGACTTGCAAGTCCATGAAGCTCTTTGATGGCCTCGGAGTATTGAGGATACTCGGGTCGGTCTGGCAGACGGGTCATAAGGATGTGCTCCAGGACCTTCAGAGCAAAGCCTGGATGGCTATCCAAAGCCTTTGAAGAAATATCGACAACCAATTTGATGACTCTCTGTTTCATCACCGGATCCTTTAACGCAAAAATAAGTATGTGACGCGATTGCTTGTATGAATGATTCCTACCTCATAGGATCTCTGCATCATGCTTGATGCCCAGTTTTCCACGGCGTGTTCCAATTCAATTCGTTGAGACTCCTGTTCATGATGTCAGTGACCATATATAGGAAGCGACATCATATTTTCTTACATCCTGCTGGGGCGCCTTTCCGTGGGCCGCAACCCATTTGTTGTAGCCCTTGATGACGGCCTCGACAACTGCAAATTGGGCATCGGCTCGCATGAGAGGGATAGATGATTTGCTGAAATTTTCCACTGGAAGATATGTTAGTAATTGAAACAGTTCACTTGAGATTAGCAAAGACTGACTGCTGAATGGCTGGACACCATTGTACAAGTTATCCAAATTGCCATCCACACGGCCCAAAATTTCGCGTACTGCCTCCTGAGGTCTCTTCAAGGTAATTGTCTCAATAATTGAGGAACAGTAACGTCGGTAATTGCCAACAAATGCATGTCTCTCGGGGGTTGTATCAATGTCCTCAACCAGGAACTGCACTGTGGGATCCTCTGCATCAGTAGGAAGAGACTCCCAGCGAAGCAGTCTTGAAGTGCAAATGTTAAGGAACTGGGGTGTCTGCTCCTGCACAAATTCCAAGCTGCTAATCTTTGAGATTGACAAAAGCTTAGACCACAAGTGGAGACAAGGTATAGACACGGTCAAGCTTTGATGCTGCATGATGTTGGTCATGAATTGCAAGAACGGGGGAAGATTCAATCGGCTCATGGTATCTCTGAGGAATCTTTGGTCTTCTAAGCACCCGGCAACGTAAGAGACCGTCTCGGACAGCTTCTTGGAGATAAGGTATTTAGGCTCGTCCACATCGTCTGGTCCCACAACGGACCATTCATATAATCTTTGCAAAACAACAAGATAATCGGTTTCAAAGATGAGGTAAACCAAATCATGAGATTCCTCGCATCCGATATTGTTTCGTCCGTAGAGCGCATGAAGAGCTTCGACAGCCCCCAAAAGCACCTGGTCATCTTGACACGGCAAAGCTCTGAAAATGCTAGACACAGCCCCCGAGGCAATAACAGCTTTATAGACAGACCAAGACAACGCAGACCTCAAGGTTGCCAGCGCCTTCACGGCCGCATCCCGGGCTTGTGTCGAGCTCGAGACATTTTGAACACAATCGTCGAGGAAACCGCAAATGCGGACCAACCAACCTTCCTCTCCACACCGCTGAACTGTGGGAGGGACTTTGTCCGAGGTGATTTGATCGACGATACCAGAAGGAGTAAAGATCTCAACGAGGGCTCGGTTGAGCTCCCCACCTCGCAGCGACGACACAATATCCTCACGGAAAAAGACGTCCTCGGACAGGGTCTCAAGAACAGAGAGTACAAGCTCCTTGTGCACGAGAGAAGCGCCCCAGAATTGCACCAGCGCCGCATCCATGTCCATCCAATCCAGTCCCCAGCTCTTCTTAGCAGCCTCAGCCCATAGCTGGGGGATCTTGTTGCGGAAATAGGTAGGATCTTCGGGTCGGACGTGTTCGGCAAGTTGTAGGATCATCGATCGCACGTTCGTAGCCTCTTCGGGGTTGGTAAAGGACATATGACGAAGGACATGGTCTAGGAGGGTGAGGCCGAAGTAGCGGACGACAGGTTCGTGTTCGGTGCGGGAGGCCAGTAGGAAGCCATTTCGCGCGGCAGCATCGGTCTGTTTCAGCGATTCGACAAATTGCGAGGCCTCTTTTCGCAGTTCGTTTGACGACGTGGGGTTGTGAATGAGCTGCAGGGCACGGATGATGTCGGCCATGCCGCCCTCCGACAACTCCTCCGCAGCCATGTTAACGCGCCGAAGGGTGTGTGAAGTTGAAGGTGTTCAATAGGTTTCAAGCTGGTGTCACAGTCCACCACTCATGTTAGGATCACAATGGATGGCCGTCCGTAAGCTAGCAGTCGGACACCGCAACGGCCATCTAAACACGCCACTCGCTCTTTCCGGGGAGGAGACAGGATTCGAAGTTGGGGGAATATCGGATCTGTATGGATTGGTCCTTATGCACGGCGTAATGCACGGGGTTGGTGGAGGCTAAATAGCAAACAATCGGTAAATCGGGGGACTTGGCTGAGAATTTTCCCTGGTCAACAATGTCACACCGCTCACCTATGCTCCACGCGTTGACTTTCCTTTCACTTTGTGGTCTGATAAGCGTGAAGAATCAAGTGGAATTTATCTGAGCTTCATCACCAGTCTGTTGTTTTTTTATATATATATATCCATGGATGTTTTGCCCCTCATTACGTTGTTTATCTTATCTCCTACTATACCGAACTATATACGGCCCCGGGGAGCCATCTCACTTACAGACGTCTCGAAAGCGCTCAATTTAGCAACCAATGTCAACTCAATTTCAAAAAGGCACGCAAAGATATCAAGATAAAGTAAAAGATAAATGAATCAGATCCCAATAAGCCACATTACATCAGAACGCAGTCGCCCTTCTGGCATTGCTCCAAGTAGGTAACATCTTCACCGGGGTTCACGAACTCTCCGGGCTTCCGCTTGATACCTTCAATCTTGATATCTTGCTCTCCTTCTGCATGCCACCAGCGGAGGCGTTGTAGTTTGACAGACTGAATATCTTGCACATCAATATCCCACTTGCCACCACTCACGGTAACCGCAAGACTGGTCTCTGGGAAGTGGAACTCGGGAAGATATATCTCCGTGGGAGCATGGGCAGTAGTAGGGCCCTTGGCCGTGAGGGACATGGTGAACGTGCAATTCTTCAAGTCAAAGACATGAGCATCCAGTCGCCCACTCACGTAGGTTGGACTAGGACGGAGGTAGGCCTCTGCGGCTCGATAGCCTTTAGCTTCACGCAGAGAAGGCTGAGACACATCGCTGGTGATTGAAGGTGTTGCCAGAGCGCCTTTTAGATTGCGAGGTCCGACTTCCCGATTCTCTCCATTGTTGTGGCTTTCAGAGTAGGCTGGGGATTGCCGATCGGGAGACCGAGAAGTGGTCCCTGCTGGCAATTCCAGGTCGTCATGAGAAAAGATGGACAAATCTTCTCCGTTCCACTGGTCACCCCACTCATGGTCATTCTAAGTTATGTGAGCGCCGTGCGTCTTCATTTTGAAAAATGTTAAGGTACTTACCTGTGTCACATATACCCACAAAGTGAAGCCGTTTGAGGCGCTGCCCTCAAGCGCAAAGTGATTCGCATCCATGGCGCTAGTCTGGCTGCTGTAATCGCCAGTCTTGTATGCATACTTGTCGTCCATGTCGTAAGGAATACCGATTTCGGTGAATACTAGGGGATGACTACCCATGTAATTCAGACTTTCATCTCGAAGGAATTTCAGCTGATCACGGAGGCAATTCCGAATGGCAGTCTCGCCGATCTTGACTGCAAAGGCGGGGGTATAATATTTGCCCCGAAGTACTCCAATGACATCCACATTGTAAAGCCGGTTCCTACTATAGTTAGTAAACCCGATATCCTATTTGAACATCAAGCTAGCTCTCACCAGTGTTTAGTCAGAAGAGTCAGTCCATCATAGTAATGGACAGCATGGACCATGTTAGGATCATCGTCATCTGTACCCTTCACATCAGGCGGCACTTCCATAACAGGCGGTTGGCAAAACATGATTGTATCGGGCCAGATATCTCGAATGGCGTTCTTGTAGTTCCGGTAATGATCCAGGAAGTATGAGTTTGTAAACTTCTCATAATCAAGTAATTCACCCGTCTGGGGGTTTTTGGAAAAATAATCCTTTTGCAAGAGTGTGTCAGTGGATGGGTCCCAAACTCCATGCTGAGCCCAGATACATTCCCCAAGCTTCCATCCTGGGTCTCGTTGCCAACCATATTTGCTATCATCGTGGTTAGCTGGCAGCCAGACCATCTCGCCTGCCGGGTCTACAAGTTCTGTGCCCGTCTTGTGAGGACCGAAACTGCCGAAGGCCCATGTTGCCTGCTCACATGCACGACCAGAGCCGGTGAGAATTGCTTGAAATGCGGTTGGAGATGTTCCTAGCTGGAGTTGTTGTTCAGCTGGGATAACCGAAATATCCTGGACACCGATGATACCGCGATGAGGTTCATTCATGCTCTCCCATCCAATAATCACCTCTCCCTCAAGATCACCCGCCTCGTGTATCTTTTGGGCCAAGTATGCACATGAACCAATGAAGTGATTTTGGAGATAGTCTTGGATATTGACTCCATCAATTATGGCCTTCGGTGCAAAATCTCGGCCTGCCCAAAACAAGGTAAATATGGTCTGGCAAACCAACCGGGTGTAGTTTGTGCTCCAAATCATCTTTGGAAATTCTGCAGGAACATCGTAGGTATTCTGGACCAACGCCGATTGTGTGACTTTAAAGGCCTTTGGATTTAGGCCTGCTGCATAAAGCGTCCACATCGGTGCTCCAGAACCTCCCGAGAAACGAGACCACTACTATAGTTCAGCACTGAATTGTGATTTTTTAATCATCAAAGCTTACCACATCCTGATGAGGATCCATAAAAACAAAGAATTCGTATTCTTTGGCTATGCGCAAAACCTCAATAGTGAAAGCAATCCACTCTTCATCGTAAATGCCTGGCCCAGCATGCTCAATGGCCTCCCAAGTAAATATATATCTTATAGTGTTGTAACCCCATTTCCGTAGCCGTTTGAAATGGATATGAGCATCTTCCAGTGGGAATGGACGTCCGACAAATGAGACATCGTCTCCCTCAAAGAACTTATCGGAGATGTATGTAGGAATGTCGGGTGTTTTGGGATACTTCGCATCGGCCGCAGCGTTGATACCTCTCAGTGTGATTTCACGGTTCTGAGGGTCTCGAAAAGTCTGGCCATCGACCCGAAGACGTAGGGGCGACATGCTGGGATTGGAAAGAGAATTAGGACAGCGGTGTTGATGTGTTAACGTATCTGGACGAATGGCGAAGGAGCGGACCTTCCAGTAGTCTTCACGTGGCCGTATTCGGTGATTCGGCCACAAATAAAGTTGTCTTTGTTGCTCTTGATATCCCCCGACAGCTTAGCTTTCCCCGGAGGCCTGATAACAGCGCAATTGCTCTCTCCCACGACCACGTCTGCTGATCAGCTGTCCGCGAAATTCAGAGAACAAAACGGGGTTGCGATGAGCAGTTGGCTCAAACAATAACAAAACAACAACAAAACCCGAGTGTCCCTGAAGCTGAGCAGTTGTGGTGTTGAGAGAAGAGGTGAGAGCGATAACGATAAGTGACGTATCGAAGCTAACCGATCTACCGCCTTTCTCCACCACACCAGTTTCTCCCCGCTGCACATACAGCCATGTCGTTCAAAGCTGCGTTGAAGGCTGTGCGAACAGCTTTGGAAGCAAAGGACTTCCAAGATGCTGCAGACAAGGCCAACGATATCATCAAGAAAGATCCAAAAAATTATCATGCGTATGATCCACCAGATCTTGTATCGAACTCGACTGACTGTGTTTTCCTCTCCAGATTCATCTTCCTCGGACTCGCAAATGACAAATTGAATAAAATTGAGGAGTCCGAGGGTGCATATTATGCTGCAGCTCGCATCAAAAGTGACGACCGACCCGCGTGGCAGGGATTGGTCTCTCTGTACGGCAGACTGGGCGCCAGCCAGCTTGATTCATTCCGCGATGTTGTCATTCGACTGGGAAAGATATACGCAGACAAGTATGCTTGTGGTACCATAAGTCAATGTGTCCAGAAAGACATGTCGCTAATTATTTCTAGTGACGAGAAGGAGCGTTGCCAAGACCTCGTCAACAAATACCTAAGAGTGGCCCAGAACCAAGGCTCGAAATCTCAAATCAGAGATGCGTTGGAGCTGCAATTACCAACCTCACCCCTGTATGACTTCCTCGAAGGCCGATTGCCGCACCCGTCACATACCTATAAGCGCTTAATCGAAGTGACTGAGAGCGAAGAAAAGGAATTCATCAATCGTGAGATTGGAGAACGGAGAACGCGTCTCGGAGCTCGGGTTGAAGAAGTGACCCAAGAAGTGAAACGAGAAGCATACAAAAGGAGCGGGCTTGAACAACTTTACCAGGGCTTGATTGACTGGACCAATGATGATGCCGTCCGACGTGAGTATGAGGAGAAGCTCTTTATGCGTGCGTGTCATGAACTTGATTTCCTTCCGGTGAAGGCGAAAGACGCAAAAAGAAAGGCAGTCTTCAAGGCGGCACATGACATGGTGATAATCAAACATCCATTTGAACCCGCATGGAACGTTTTTCTGGAGTGGCAGGACATTGAGTTCTCGAAGTACGATGTCGGGCACTTGCGTGAATTCATAGAGTTCTTTCCCGAATCTGGACTTTCCAAGGTTTTGAAAGGGTTCTTGTCGAGTGGACTTTCTCCCTTCCCCAAAGACCCCAAGGAGGATGCTGAGACCGAAGAAGAAAAGGCCTCCTCGCTGGATGAAGAAAATGATGAAGCTCTGTCCAGTGAAACAGATCCTCTCATTCTTATGGCAACTGGTTTGGAATCTGCTCGATCCTCGATCCTTGCTCATCGTATCCTGGCCAATTTGTATCTCACCCTAGAGGAATATGCAAGTGTCGTTGATGTTGCTCGTAAGGGTTTGTTAAACGTCAAGGACCTGATCAAATACAGTGGCATCAAAATCCCCAACATCACGGATTTCCTGAACATTGCACTTGCCAATTCTTTGATCCACTATCAATCACCTCGACATCACCCTGAAGCGAAAGCAATTTTCGAGGGAATATTGCAAAGAAAACCAACCTCTTCCGTCTGCCTACTCGGTATCGGTCTTATTCTTAAAGAAGACCAGGACTATGGAACGGCCGTCGACTTCTTAGGGCGTGCGCTTGCACGCGACAGCTCCAACATCAAGATCCGGGGAGAGCTTGCATGGTGTGTCGCTCTGAATGGCGACCTTCAATCTGGACTCGAGAGTCTGTCTAAGACTCTTGAAGATTTGAAGGAAACTCAGCCTGAAAACAGAGAGTTTGCATCTGATCTACTATACCGAATTGGATATTGTCAGTGGGAACTTGACCCTTCTCCAGCTGCACGGAAGGATCGCACAGGCGCTTATGCCAGCCTTTTCGCCTCTATCCAAGCCAACATGAACTTCGCACCTGCCTACACCCTGCTTGGCTTCTACTATGCCGATTACAAAAAGGACAAGAACCGAGCACGTCGGTGCTTCCATAAGGCATTTGAATTGTCCACATCTGAGATCGAAGCCGCCGAGCGACTTGCCAAGGGTTTTGCTGACTCGAAAGAATGGGATCTTGTCGAAGTTGTTGCACAGCGCGTGGATGACTCTGGCAAGGCCAAGCCTGCCCCTGGGTCCAAGCGCCGGGGATACAGCTGGCCATACGCTGCTCTGGGATCGGTGCAGATCAACAAGCAGCAGTATTCCAAAAGCATTCCTTCATTCCAAGCCGCGCTTCGACTCTCACCAAATGACTACCACTGTTGGGTTGGACTCGCAGAGAGCTACCACCACTCCGGTCGTTATGTTGCGGCAACCAAAGCATTTGAGCACGCCAAGACATTGGAGGCAGATCTCCCAGAAAAGGATCAGGAACACATCTGGTTTGCGCGATACATGCTCGCAAACGTTAAGCGGGAGCTTGGCCTGTTCGATGATGCAATTTCTAGCTACGAAGAAGTCCTCACCTCCAGGGCTGGTGACGTCGGTGTAACCATCGCCTTGCTTCAGACTCTTACCGAAAGTTCACTGCGAAGCCTGAGTTTGGGTCTGTTCAATGATGCCGCCGAGCTTTCATTCAAAGCCATTCAAGTGGCTAGCTCACTTGCACCGATTCAAAGTGACATCTTCAATCTGTGGAAAGCTGTTGGTGATGCATGCTCCAACTTCTCCTACATGAAGTCAAAGCTCAATAAATTGTCGCCTTCTGAATGTAGGGCTTTACTTGAAGTGGATCTCGACGCCATGGCCCTTGACTATATGACCGACATAGATGGCATTGGTAAGGATTGGCTTGAGTCCAGTGGAAATGAAGACTCAATCACATTTGATTTCTACGTCAAGATGTCTATCCTTGCGTACAAGCGTGCGCTTCACGTTTCCGTCAGTGATTTGCATGCCCAGGCCGTCGGGTGGTACAACCTTGGCTGGGCCGAATATCTTGCGTACCGCACCGCGCAGTCAGATTCAAGCAAGAATGGCAAGAAGCCGCGCAAATTCCTCAAAGCTTCCATGCGCTGCTTCAAGAGAGCAATTGAATTGGAGGCCGGCAACGCTGAGTTCTGGAATGCCCTGGGTGTGGTCACTACAAACATGAGCCCGAAAGTGGCGCAACATGCGTTTGTTAGAAGTTTGCATTTGAACGACCGCAACGCGCAAGTCTGGACCAACTTAGGAGCGCTCTATCTCCTACAAAATGATGTCCAACTTGCCAATGAAGTCTTTACACGAGCACAGTCTACTGACCCAGACTTCGCACAGGCTTGGGTTGGCCAAGGTTTGCTTGCCATGCTCGTTGGTGAAGTCAAGGAGGCCAGGGGTCTTTTCGAGCATGCCTTTGATATTTCAAACTCATCAAATACCATTCCCAAGCGCCAATACACCCTGAATCTTTTCGATCATCTTCTTCTTGACCCCTCCGCATCCAACGAGGTGTCTCAGCTTATTCAGCCATTCTTTGCTCTACACCAGCTCTGTATCCAGAACCCCACTGACCTGCCATTTGTCCATCTATCTGCTTTAATTGCGGAGAGAATGGGCGAAGTCACAGATGCCGAGATCAGTTTGCAAACTGTTTGTTCAGGCATGGAGACTGAGTTTGAAGAGACCGAGTCTCCAGCCTCTCTTTCAAAGTTCGCCCAGGCAAATGCAGACCTGGCACGTGTTTTACTCGCAAGTCACTCATATGAAGAAGCTGCCGAAAAGGCCGAGCTTGCTATCACTTTATCGGGCGAGGAAGATGCAGAAAAGTTTGACCCCGAAGCCTGCAAGAAGCTCCGACTATCGGCTCATTTGACCGCTGGCCTGGCGTTCTACTACACAAACTCCATGGACCGTGCTATTGATATGTTCCGTGACGCCCTCGAGGAAGCAGACAATGCCCCGGATGTGATCTGCCTTCTTGCTCAGGTTTTGTGGGCCAAAGGCGGAGAAGAAGACCGAGCTGTTGCCCGTGAGCAACTATTTGATTGTGTTGAAAAGCATCCCGATCATATCGGAGCAGTCAGCCTCCTTGGCGCAATTGCTCTTCTAGATGCAGACCGGGACGCAATCGAGGCCGTGGAGTCTGACCTTCAAAGCATGATCACACGTGACGGCGTCGATATTCACGACCGAGCCAAATTGATCAAGCTTCTCGCCGCAATCTCTGCCATGGGATTCACTGACAAGGCTGCACTTCCGGAAGATACGAGACGTGTTGGAGAGGCTACTGCTGCAGTTATGCTGTCCCCAAGCCAGCCCGCAGGATGGATGGAGCTGTCCTTGGCATCGCAATCTGCCTACCCAGCAGACATGGCTCTCGACCGTGCCCTGAAGAATGTACCACCTTACAGCAACCTCGAAGCTGCTGATCTCAGTGATGCTTTCGCACAGACCGGCAAGACCGGTGACGCCCTCCGTGCTATCATGATTGCGCCCTGGAAGTCCAATGGATGGGAAGAGTTGAACCACAGTGTATCTACCTTGGCCGCCTAGTCAGATTCCAGATGTTATCCTTAATGTCACGATTATGCTAGAGGAAAAGAAACATGAATGATTACTATTATTACAACAGAATTGACAAAAAGAAACACAGATATCCATTATATAACCAATGAGGGTATCACCGCCTTGCGCCTAATGTTCCAGTCGTTATTTCTCAAACATCCAGAGAAGATGTCTTTTCTAATAACCTCGCCTTCCTCCCTTCTTTCCGGTTCTTATCCAAAGCTTCGATCTTGCCCCCCAACACAGTTACAGTCGCCGGCGTAAGCAGTACCATTCCGCGAGCAACCGTAGGATTCCGAAGCAAAAGCTTTGCCCCAATACCAGGCTTATCTAGAGATATTCCCTCAATCCGCTGCATCTCAACTCCAATAGCGACAGTCCCAGCTGCGTCCTGGATCATCAAGCGATGTGGTCCTGATCCACTATTGCCTGGTGCAGCGATATTATTATTTGAACGATTGTTCTCCGAGGCCTCGGGGTCCTCGCCAATAGCGATAGTGCGTACGATTTCACGACCGCGGATAGCTTCTCCTCGCTCAACTCGCTCAATGGCTTCGATCTGACTCCACAGACTTGTGCCGATGTCTTCGATGTCTAGGACCTGTACCGGGATGGCGCCCTGCAGGCGTAGCTCTTGGACAGTCGGGGTTGCAATATTGGGAGGTAGAACACAAGACCGGTGCCTGGAGAGAGACTCTCTGATATCGGAAGCTAGAAGGCGGAAAATAGCTGTCTGCGCCAGCGCCGAGGCGGGGACATTTCGTGGTGCCGTGCCGGAGGATAGGAAGGCATTGAGCCAAGTTGAAGACACAGAGAGCGATTTGGAGCTCAAAATCTGAGCGGCGATTTGATCGGAACTAGCCATGACAGAGTAGAAGTCGTCATGACACAGTCAAACAGTGAGGAACAACAAAGATCGGGGAAGCTCTTGAAAGCGACAAGAGCACAGACCACCGCTTATAGCCGTCGAGGTGGCCGCCTGCTCACTTTCCTCTTTCACACATCATGTCGACTCTGTCCTCCCCTCGCCCGTCAATTGCCTCCTCGCGAGCCCCTTCTCCAGGGCCGCCTTCGTCCCGACCTTCTCTCGATACCCTCAATACCAACGTCAACGGCGGGCTCAGCGCCGCTTCTACCCCATCCACCGCGCGGGCTCTCTCCCCCTCATTCAACCCCCGACGGAATCGCAGCGCCCTTCGTGATTATTATAACCTCAAACCTCCTGGTGCGGACTCGTCTGCGTCTAGGGATGCCTCCCGATCACGCAGTGTACCGCGGAATACCGATGCCGGAGATCTATCCAACCCATCCGCTTTAGCCTCAGGGACTGAGCTTGACAGCGCGGACTTTGACCCACATCGCTATGTCGAGCACCTTCTTTCTTCTTCAACTCTATCCACGGTTCTCAAGGCCGAGAATACGCTTGTTGGAGATATCCGGACTCTCGACGGAGAGCGGAAGGCACTCGTTTACGATAACTACTCGAAGCTCATTCGTGCTGTGGAGACGATTGGAAAGATGCGACGCAGTATGGATGAGCGTGGTGCTCCGTTGACCATGACAAAGACCTTGGGTCCGGCAATTGCGTTTGTTGCTGAGACTGCGGGCGGACTCATTAAAGAAGGAGAAGAGCAACGACAGCGAATGAAAGAGGCTAAGGCTGAAGATGGAGCCTGCGGGTTGAAGAACGAGAAGGATACTGTCCGGTGGGTGCTTGGCGCACCCCGGAGACTGGAGAAGCTTGTAGCGGAGGATAAGCAGCAAGATGCGGAGAATCACTGGAAAGAGATCCAGCACTTGCTTGACGCTTGGGGTGAAGTCAAGGGTGTTGCTGAGATTCGGGAATCATGCGAAAAGGTTATGAGCCAGACAGGCCATGATGATTGAAAGCCTCCTTGTGCATTTCTTCAACACGATTCGAGCGGCTGACGCTCCTCCCCCTCCCACCGACGTTTACATGGAGCTTTCCCAATGGCTCGGCTCAACGTCTCATGACCTGGCCAAAGGAGATTATACCATCTTTGGGGCCTGCGTTCACAGTAGTTGCTCCTGCCGGACCTCGGGCTTTGGCACATAGCCAAATTCCCACTGGCAGAGACCACTGACCCACAAAGCGATACATAGAGACGCATTGTTTAAAGATACCCACTGCATTCAAAATATCAATCATGAAGCATGTTTTCATACATAATCAACGGTTCCAAGCAAGAACATCCCGACTGGAATACATACTCGCCTTCAACCCATACTCATTCTTCGAATTGACATTCAGATGAGAATAAGCATCAATCTTGTAATAAATCACCCGATTCTGACTACCCACAAGATCCATATCAACCAGACTGGACAGCACACGCTTGACATCCTCCTCCGCAGCAAAGTTAGCAGTATAAACACAAATCAGACGAGCCCGTCCAGACCCAGTCCCATCATCCGTAGCAACTTTAGCCGCATCACCAAGCTGCCCCTTTTCCGTGGCTCTAGCCACCACACTCCAGACTTCGTCGACATGTCCAACAGACGGGAAGAGCATCCACTTCCCCATCGTGACATCCGTCTCCTGCGCCAGACCGAGAATCGCCTTCTCCAGTCCCTGGCGGAGAGGATTTAATTTGCGAGTAAGGCCAGATGTACTCTGTGCACCTGATGCATTATGGACTTGTCGGAGTCGCGTACTTTCTTCCTCATAGTCATTCAGAAGCTCGTGTCCTTTCTTGACGAAAGATGCTACATTGCCGCCATTCTTGCGTGATCCTGTTGGTTTCCACGTCCAAATCCAGTTTGTGTCGTGCATACTCAGTTTTGATGGCTGGAGACGGGTCAGGAAGGATTCCACTGGCTCTGTTTTGCCGCGGCGGTCTTTGGGTAAGGTCGCTGGTGGTGGCGATGATGATGGTGATGCGTCTTTCATGCTGACATCTGATGAGGATGTTCCGGTGGGTTGGGCTGATGTGCATGCCCTATGTTGTTTTGTTGATGGCATTGTTTGATGAATCTGTGCCCAGAATGGCTCTGGGTCGAAGGATGCGCATGCTTTTTCTAGTTCGTTTCTTGTATCTTCGTCGCCTGGCGGATGTTCAGTGGGGCTTTATATCTAGATGAACTGGATGACATGGTGAGAACTTACCATAGTAGCTTGATTCCTGAGAAAATATCTCTTCGTGGGATGGCATCTTCGTATCCAGGATTATCTTGGTGATGTGAGACAGTGAAGGTGGAAGTATGGGAACCCCATGCTTTGTTCTGTTGTCTCCTCTTTCTCGTACCTTTTGTATGCAATTGCGCTACGTCACGATTGGTTGATGAACTTGAAGCAATACATGTGTGGTTTTGCTATCATTTTGAACGGTCATTATGTGTTTGCATGTATCAACCTTAGGTGTTATACAGATTTCTTTTGTCTTCCACCGTTTGTTTACACTACCCTACCAGTAGGGTTGACTATACAATATTTCTAGCTTTTATTTTGCTCTTGAACCTGACTATAGTAAAAATCACTTTCCAATCTCCTATTATTTGATTCGTAACCCAAGATCCAGATCTTTTGCATACTAGTCTCTCACATTATATCATTCAAGAGAGAGATCATATTCATTTCGTAGCAACAATTCCCGGCCAAACCTGATCAATGAATTTGATCAAATCCGACTTGAGTTCGTCTGGCTGTTCTAGCGCCGCAAAGTGGCCGCCCTATAATATTATACCAAGATCAGCATATCAGTTCGATTGTGGTTATGTCAAGTTGCATACCTTCTGATGCTGCTCATAGAAGACCAAGTCACCTGTCGTCTCAACCCAGGCGCGCGGTAGCCGGGCAATCTCCATAGGAAACGAAGAATATCCAAATGGCTTGTGGATATACCAGCGGGGATCATTGGACGCCGGAATAGGCGGGGGAGGATAGTTCTGTAAATGTAGGGATCAGGTGGTTGCTCAGAGTACATGGATATTCACAAATCAACTCACTTGACGATAGGTATAAATAGCCCGAGGGAACGTCTCTGTTAACCAATAGAGTGTGACAGACTCCAGGATGTCGTCTACTGCGAGAGGGTCATCGACCCATTCTAGGAATTTCTCACCGACCCTGTAGAGGTTAATATTTCACACTGCTGGGGATGGTTCTCATTTTGATTGAACTCACCATGCTAGAAGAGCGATAGGGCTAGAAGACACAACGTGACCAATAGTGCTAGGTCGGGTCCCGTGCTCCATCGCATATCCACTGCCGAAAGCTGCGAAGGTTTGCAATCTCTCTATGCCTTGTATTTCAAAGGCGTTGAGATTTTCATCGGTCATATTATCTGGACGTCTCATGAAAACGACATTGACTGACTGTTGGTTAGTACTTGATCGTGAAAGCAGTCGGGTCGAGATATTACTCACCATGGACAGCTGGAGCAAAACATGTTAGATCAAGCAGGACTCTGATCCCAAATGGATAAAAAAGAGTTCATACCTTTGCAGCTTTCATGGTCCGCGCCCAAATGTCTGGCAATCCGACTGCCAATATCACCGCCCTGAGCAACATAACCACTTTCAAATCCAAGATCTCTCATCAATTGATCCAGGATGGCAGCCACATCACTTGTGCCGAAATCTCTTTCAATTGGAGGGCCAGAAGAGAAAGCGTAGCCAGGCAATGAAGGTACAATCAAGTGATACGGCAGGGTCTCTGGAGTATACTCATCTTTGAACTTCTCCAAGATGGGCAAAAACTCCAAGAAGCTTCCTGAAATCCAGTAGTCAGTAATTGACCTGTGCACAGTCACATTCAAAGCAAGAAATAAAACGTACCAGGCCAGCCATGGATCAGTAGAACCGGAACAGCATCCTTCTTCTGCGAAAAAAGACCTACAAAGTGGATATTGACACCATCTACATCCGTCGTAAAGTGAGGAAAGGCATTGATACGACTCTCGGTAGCCCTCCTATTTCTGCAATTCAGTATGATGCATAGAGATGTGGGACTAGAGAAACTACCAGCTATAAGACCGCAGCCACAGATCTCGCATGGTCACCAGCCAATCAGTACCAACCCCATATCGACGGTCTGTTTGAGAATTCTCGTAGGTATGCGGGGCGAATTTGGCTAGCTTTAAGAGGGTTTCGAGCTCATTGAGCTTCACTTGCGGAACGGCTATTTTGAATGGTGTCGGAGAAGTCTTCGCCGTGGACGGCAGACTGCTGAATGGCAACATTGCGAGGGGTGGTGCTATCGTATTTTCTTTAATTTCTGGGGAGATTACGCGTTATATACTTGCGGGCTCGGACGTCGCGCGTCATCGGGTGCGGGGTTTCTTTTTTGGACATCGGCTTGCTTACAAACTCCGAGTCCAATCAATGATCCGTTGGGGGCTGTGTTATATGCCGAGATATGGTATGATATTGGTGGCTGATGCATTGACCAGAGAAATGAACTTGTAGTGCTGAAGCATACTCAATGAGCAGAACAACTAACGTTAAACTATAAGTGACTGCCATAAACTTGGCTTGGTCTGCGTTACTAGCCCTCATAACCTACATATGCCTTCGATAGCTTTTCGCGAACCCACTGGGTCTTCGTTAGTCTAATTAATCACACGATAAGATAGACTATATCACTCACCTCTCCTGCTTTGAAAGGCTCTTTGCAGGCTGGTCTGTCATGCGAGATATGATTTGGTAGGACCGAGACTGTGGCAGCATAATCAACACCAAAGAAAAATGGAATCGAAAAACGCTCTTGGCCCGTCAAGTTTGTCACTCGGTGAATAGTGGATTTGAACGTTTTATTTGTCCTGGGGGAATCAGCACCAGCGGAAAGAAAGACAGACAATCGTCTTACCAGATTGACAAGCAATCGGCTATGTTAACAACCAATGTACCGGGCAAGGGTGGTGCCAGTATCCATTCGCCACTGTGGTTCAGGACCTGTAGACCTGGAACACTACCTTGAGACAGGATAGTGAAGCATTCATAGTCCTAATGAAAATGTGAACTAATGCTCTTTTCGGTACTTGCGTGGCTCAAGCTTACAGTATGAGCCCCAAGCCCCTCGCGAACCTCCTCTTTCACGGGCTGAGGGGGATAATGCATCATCCTAGACGTGACACCTGGATTCTGAACCATAGAATCAAAGTGGTCTTCCGGTAAACTCAGAGCAAGAGCAAATATTCTCATCATCTTTCGGCAGAGTTCAAGAACCAAGGAACAATACTCAATATAGGTCTGAGAGAATTCTGGCAGCGTGTCCTGGCCAGGCCATTGGTTGTCTCCATATAATTCGTAAGGGTCACAAGGCAGAGTGTCATCTTTTGACTTTTGAGCATCCATTGCAGTTTCATATCCGATATCAAAGGCCTCAGAAAGAGCACTGACTGCATCTTCTGGTGCGATGGGGTTATCGTCTGTTCCTGTGGACTTCTCGGCACCTAAAGGACTGTAGCCGCGGAATTTCTGCGCGAGTTTAGTGCGCAAATTTCAATCTTACTGCTATGTGCAGGCTTACTGGCGAGTTTCCTATATAGAACTTCATTTTCTGCTCCTCGGGGAGACCGAAGAAGCCTTCTGCGGCGTTGTGGATTTCTTTGATAACCTCCTCCGGGATACCATGGTTCTGATGTAATCATATGAGTTCCGGCTGCTTAGTCTCTGTTCAATGTGGAGTGATCTTACTTTGATATAAAAGAAGCCAACTTGCGTACACACGTCATATATCGATCGAGCCAGCTGCTGTCGTTCTTCAAGATGTGGACTGTCAAGAGTTGACAGATCAATAATGGGGACATGATCACAGTCAGCAAGCTGTGAGTTTCCAATTTGCGTTTCAGTCATGCTGATGTTGATTGTGATTTTCTTTTTGAGGAAAACAGATGATTGGAAGGTTGGATCTATATGCTGTAAGGCAGTGCTACCTCGTCGCGGGGTAAGCCCCCGCCCTTATCACTCACCAACCATCTGGAAACGAATGGCTCTTGAGATAAATTATGAGTTTTGAGATTGTGAACACACTGTGGATAGTATTGGGATTCTTCCATTCATCTTATAGAAACTTCTGTACATTCAATTTGGATATGCCTTCAGCATATCTTTCTCCAGCTGCCAAAACTTCTTTTGAGTCATGAAGAGGCTACTTATTTTACAACCCAGATTAATTCACAACATTAAACCACAATTCGGAATGACTTAGGCAGAAGCCTCGGCAGCCTGAGTCGGAGACTTAGCGTCAAGCCAGCGCCACGAAGCCCAAGCTTGAACGAGGCATATGGCGGCTGAAAATTGTCAGTACGTGAAGAAAAGCCTTAGATCAATCATGCTTACCGAATACAACGGTCATGAAGAAGAACCCAACTCCCTCAACCAGTGAGCCACTCAACAGGGGCCCAACCATCATTCCGATACTATATCCAATTTCCGTCATGGAAAAGACGCGCAGGTTACTCCTGTTAGCCTCAAACATATGTGGATCTTTAGCTTCCATATCCTTGACCACATCTGGGAGCATGTTGTTAGTGTACTAGCCCAATAATCATGAAGGCTTGTTGGAACATGACTCACATGCTAATTGCACAGCTCCGACGCCGCGCACAAGCGGTAAAACAGTACCCAGCGCAATCAATGAACCAGTAAATATAGACTTGCCAGCTGTGATACCGCTAGCCCAGGGGAAATGAGGATCTCCAGGCACTCCCAATAGCAATATTAGAGGGACCATAATACTCCAGCCCAGGGTGGTGGGACCCCGTAAACCGCCTCTGTCACGGAGCCATCCGGCTGGCCCGCTAAGAGCGATATTGGGAACCTGCAGACAGAAAAACATCATACTGATAAGCAAGCTCTTCCAGCCGAATGTTTCTTTCAGGTGGACCGGAAGGGTGTTGTTGATTCCAGCGATGAGGGAGGAGACAACGACGACATTGAACAAGGCAGTCAGAACTCGTGCGTCTGTGAGCATAATCTTGTAATAGTCCTGCTTTGTTCCTTGTTTGATTTCCACTTCACAGTTGGCTGGTCTGACAGTATCCGGTGTTTCAGAAAGCAAGGGCCTTGTTTCCTCCGATGACTCAACATCCTGAGTAAATGGAGCACCGGCAGACTTGCTTGCAGCATCGGGTGAAGAAGCAGGGCGAGGTTCGATCATGACTAGTCGCGCAATAATATCCAAGGCGAGCACAACCATCGGGAGTGACCAGGCCGTCCAGTATCCAAACAATTGAAGCAGTGTACCACTCACGGTTGGTCCTCCGACCATTCCTGCGGTCACAAATGCCATTGCAAGTCCTATCGACTTTCCAAGATGCTTCTTGTCCACATTATTAGCTAAAAGGGAGAATCCAACAACCCAGGTGCCGGCCCCGGCTATACTTTGCAAGATGCGACCAACGAAGAGAACCCACACTGTGTTGGAATTAGCATAAGATTTTATTTTTCATTTCTTGGTAATTAATACCTGAAGTAGCGAGTGCAATCATAAGGGTACCCACGAAACATCCTGCCAGAGCGATCAGAAGAGGTGTCTTTTGACTCGGCGTCTTTTCGGCGAGATGGGCGACTATCGGCGCAGAAATAAGACCGAAAAATCCATGTGAAGTAAGCAGAGCAGTTGTATAGCTCTGAGTCAATGCTGGATCAATGTGCAGTCGTTCCTCGAGCATATAACTCAGGATTGGGGTGAGAAATCCATAGAGAAATGTCTCTGCTGCAATGTTAGGATGACTCAAAACAACCATGCGATGTGAAACACCAGCCACACGCACCTGCGAATAAAGCGACAGTAATCGAAGAAACCACAAGAGCTCTAGATGACCGCCACCGGTATCCCAGAGGCTTTTTCTCCAACATCACGATTAGTAGAACAAGTGTAGGAAACAAGAGGAGTGGGGGCAGCAAAGAAATAAGTAAATTTTTGGCGGCGCCACTCCAATATTTACCGATGCAAGTTGGACTAGTTACGTTAAGTATGGTTTTAGATAACAATTGGAGTCATTTTTATCGTGTCTGACTCTATCCTGCACGCTAAGCCCTGATTCTAGCGCCCTTCACAGAGTTTTCATCCATCGGGATTGCCCTCGCGTCTACTGGACTCAAAGCCGACATTGTGATTGACGCATCACTGCATGAATCTGCATCTTCTATGCACTCAGACTTGCACGGGGTCAGCTACATGGGATGTGTCATAGTTAGAGTTCGCGCCCTTTGCTGCAGCCCTCGAGGATGCTTACACTACACGAGGGCACAGGAAAAGCGATATGCAGGAGGTTCGTAATCCCTAACCTTGGAGTCTCAATGGTAATGTTACATGGAGAAGAGCCATCGCTTAGATCTGCAAGGAGATGGTGTATCCCTCTCTAGATTTTGATACCGCCGGCAACCGTCGGAGTGTTGGGATATTTTTGATGAGTCTTAGGCAGAAGTGGAAATATGTTTTGATCTGCTAATAGCTTCCAGTAAGTATGGGGCGTGTTTAGATAGGTTAACTCGAAAAGAAAGAGGCAATGATCTGGATGCAATGCAATGCAGTGAAACCCACAGAGGGTTCGAGCGATTACCACTCCCGGGATATGAAATGACACGCACGGATGTTCAGATGCCCGGTGCATGGATTGTCTGCAAATACAGTAGCGATGGAGCAATGTGGGCAGTGAGATGGCGTGCCTCGGATCGCAGAATTCGTGGCTGCCTGTAGAACCAGGCCACGTATAAACGGTTCTTCCTTCGGTCATCTTTTTGACCTTTTGTCTCATCTTTAAAGCGAAATCTCTTTTCATTATTTATCACCTTATCCCCCATTACTACTTAATTCAATTGAAAGTCTATGGCACTTTGTTTAGTGCATACAATGCTATATTGGATCTGACATGGTCCGAATTTGTCGTAACTTATTACCTCTAACATTATAGTCTATAAATCTATAATATCACCATTTTTAGACTCCCATCGTTCAAAAGGAATTGAAACAAATTATTGTTTTCTTGTATATCTCAAATCATCGTCATTGAGTAGATTTCAAGCAGTGGACTACTTTACGAAGGTGATATGGATATCTAGGTCGTTGGCAACACAATTCGATAATGATCATGTCCAGGTGATGAATCAATGGAATTGTATATTTAAAGATTACCGCTATTTTCCAAAAAAAGGCTTTCCCTCTGGTAGCTTCATAGCCATGCTTCTTCATGCGAAAATGCGCGAGGGAGAATAGTGGCCCTAAAATCTGAAGAGCCTAAGACTATGCCGGACCACGAGATATGAACCAATGCATAAACACAGTATACTGATTATTAGATGTGCTCAAAGCTTATTTAAACTAAAGTGTGAGACAAAGCTTTCATGATGCCAAGTGCGTCGTCTGGCAGCTCATCAAAAGGTCATAAACTCTGATAGACATAAAACCCTTTGTTACAAACTCGGGAGATCTGCATTTTTCCTCGCAATGTGTAAAATCCTTCTTCTTGTGATGATACGGCAACGGTGAAGCCTTCTGCATCCATATTATTGATCTCGTGGTTGATCGAGGTTCCGACATATGTCGATTATTGGCCCTATAAGCGGGGGTTCGATTTCAAGAACATCACATTCTTCAGCATTCTACTTCGCAGATCCTTTGGAAGACAGTCTGGGTGAATATGATTCTGAGATTCAACAAGATCCCAAATCCGCTCAGGTGTTCTTGTATACTCCGAGTGGATTCTCACCGCCTATGTTTGGCTCCAATCTCGACTTCCCGAGAAATGAAGGAAATGTGAGACCATTCACCTGACGGTCATTGCAAAACTGAATTGACTTGAATCTGTTATTTTCCAACATTGTGCATGGACCGTGTGACGCAGTTGGGATCAGATAAAAATCACAATGGCTGCAACCATTCAGCACCCGAATTCTGTAACGACAATTTTCCTAGACCAGCCTCCGAGCTGTCTAGAATTTTGTCCGGAGGTAGCAGACCACTTTATTGTGGGCACATATCTGCTATCAGAGAACAAGACAGACGACGGAGAGATACAACAATCCAAAACCGGCAGCATTCAGCTATGGAAGCTTGATCCTGTCAGCAAAGCACTGTAAGTCGTTGCATGAACCTGACAATATGCGCATTTAAATGTTCGTACCATAACCAATTGTACATAGATGCCAAGTCCAAAGAATCGCTGTGCCATATGCAGTATTTGACCTCCACTTCCACCCAAACCACAAGAATCTATTTGCAATCGCAAGTAGCGTGGGCACAGTATCTCTATTTGAAGTCTCAACCAACACATCAGCAGGAGTAGATGCATCTCCTAGCATAACTCAACTATGGACCAAGCAAGTCCACGAAGATCCATCCATCCCAGCTCTTTTCCTAGCATGGGCACCGGAGAATTGGTTCCCCAAGACACCAGCGGATGGGTTCGCCGTCACTTTCTCCGACAGCCGGACAGCCGTCTTCGGAACGGAGGGTGATATTCGCGAAGAAGACGGTCTAGCAGAATGGGGAACTTTCGAAGCAAAGCAAATGATCGAGGTCTGGTTTGTGGCCTTATCCACGGCATCCGCAAATCCCGACGACAGAAATTCATCCGGCATGCCCTTTATGTTCACTGGCAATGACTTTGGCTCATTACATACCCGTCGTTTCGACAACAGTGCGGAGTTGGACGACCCAGATGACCATATCTCGCCTATGCTTCTGGAGCACGATGATCGGGCGCGTCATCATACAGCTGGCGTGACTGCTATTCTCCCGCTTGCGGTTCCATTGGTTGATGATGCTCCTGTTCTTCTGACGGGAAGTTATGATGAGGGGTTGCGGGTTTACCAAGCTACACGCCGCGGGGAGGTTCTCGCTGAGCAAGGGCTTGAGGGTGGAGTTTGGCGGTTGCAGTTATTGAATACGACGCAAGTGCCGGGGTCTGCTGATCCGTCGAATGTTACGGAATGGAGCTTTTTGGTGCTGGCAAGCTGTATGCATGCTGGTACTAGGCTTGTTCGGGTGACTTGCTCGCAACAGGATGGTGCTCCCAGTTGGAGTATTGAAGTGCTGGCGAAGTTTACAGAGCACGAAAGTATGAACTACGCTAGTGGTGTATGGCAAGGCATGAAGGCTGGACAAGAGGAGTCTGGGGAGCTTCTATGTGTCTCGAGCAGCTTTTATGACCGGAGGTTGTGTGTGTGGACTGTAGATGTTTAGTCAAATAATAGACCAAATCATCTTACCCTAGCTATACCATTACTGCGCTCTACTGGAAATAAAGAAGCGAGATAATTCTAACATGATTGTTATCATGAACACGCTAGACAAATCACAATGCAGAAGCGACAGGTATACAAGTACATCCGCGCCCAAATAAATCATTCATACCCGAATACAGCATATCATTCCCATTGAAAAGATTATTAGACAATGGTTTCCAGTTCACGAGCGTAGCCCAACGCGTTCTCGATAACGGTACCGCTTGCCACCAAGATGTCCCTCTCGGACCTGGCAGCCGCTTCAGGCTCAACAGGGAAGTGTATCCGGCCGTCGCGGAGGATCCAGCCACGCTGCTGAGCAAACTCGATAACGGCACCTTCGGACTCGAGGAAGAGGAGGTTCTTGGCGTTGGAGATGGGGAGGGAAGGATAGGCCTTCTCCGAGCAGTCTGCAATTTCACTGCGGATGGTGCCAATGAGAACCTAGAAAGATCCTGGTCAGTAATTTGTTCAACACAATATCAATTCTGGTGCATCTTACATTCGAGAAGAGGCCAAAGTCCTCGGATGGGACACGCTCCGACTTTGTCTCCCTCCACACCTTGTCATAGCTTCCCTCCATCAAGTTGCGCTCCAGCTCGACGGGGTATTTGATGTATGTGTCATCCTCAACACGGCCACCCTGCAGGCTTGCCTCTTCGACCAATCCCTCTAGCACTGTGTGGAAATTGGCACTGTCACCCATGCTCAAAAGAAGAAGCAGGTACAGTCCTGTGATCTTGCTCCGCTGGCTAGTACTGAAATCCACATTTGACGAGTTCTGACCTACAAGCCCGGCGTGTCTCTCGAGATCGTAGAATGGCTGGAGTTGCTGGTAGTATCTTGTGAATAGCTGCGCGTCGGTCTGGCGAATTGAGGCGATGGCTCCTAACTCGAGGACTTGACGGGCGAGGACAACAAGTTGGGGAGGTGTGGAAGAGGTTGGTATCAATGCATTTTGCACGAGAAGAGCCCGCTTGGCACGGCTAAGGAGGTCGTTGGCGATGTCCAGCTGCTTGCGCTCGAGAGCACCTTGCAGCTCTGAGACAAGGGACTGTAAATCGGACATGGCGTGTGGGTGAGATTCAGAATTATGCTGAAAAACGGTAACTGGGCCGAAACGCAATCTAACGCTGGCGATGAGGAATAGCGGAGATAGAGAGCTTGAGATTGAGTGGATGCTTGTTGGTGACAATCCGGTGCTCATGACGGAGCTGCGGTGGGCGGTCAGCTTGTGATGGCACGTGACTGTGTTTATAATCGGAGAATCTCCACCGCCCGTTTACTTCTACTTCCTAGAGATTCTTTGACTTCTACTTTGACTAATTTCTGTCTTTTACTTTGATTATTTGGCTCTTTCAATCCAGCCAGCTTGTGTTAATTGAGGCTGCTTTTTGCAAAATCTCAAGACAGTGCTAACTGTACAAGGCTCTGGAAGAGAGGTGTCCCCAGTCCTGTCACAGGGTCCCACCCTTCGGTGGCATTCCAGCTTGCACCTGAAACTAGAGGCATTTTGATACCACCACTGATCTTCCCAGCACAACCAGCGGAACCACCTTGAACGATGTCTGTAAATCCAGGTTGCCCAAAGCTATAAAGCCATGGATTCAAAAAGCCCATGCGAGGTAGATTGGCTGCGAGGCGAGCAGCATTGAGCTGAGAAACTATAGCTGCGAATACTGGCGCCGATGCACTGAATATCTGAGTATGACTTATCTTCTAGAGGTTGGGAAGCACAAACCTTGTACCACCGACCAACAACCAATCCCCATGGTCTCGAACCACAAATTTACTGGACTGGGCTGCTACATCAGGTATTCCTCTTCCTTGGGGATTGTATAACCCACTCCATTTATCTCCAAGATTACTCAGATATGCTGTCACGGCGGTGTCCTGGTACGTTGGACGTGAGAACAGGTCTGAGAATCCGCCCCCGGAAAAGTCAATTGCACTTTCGGGGTTGGTGCCGTGCGTTCCTCCAACGGAGGTGACGAATGGGCAAGATGCTGGAAATGAAGGTAGGAACTTGGTCCGGTTCTGTCCGTCATTGCTTAGGCACGAACCTCCAGGCCCCGAATCTCCACTGCTGAAAAGCACTGAGACACCGCGGGCACCGAGCTGGGCAAATAGACTGCAAGTTGCATTTGCATAGGACTCGGGGACGCTCTGTTCATCTTCTCCGTATGAGTTTGTCAGCACAGCTGGGAGCTCGTGGTCCGAGAGACTAAGCAAGTAATGAAGCTGCTCAAGGTAAGGCTCATTTGTGGGCCCCGAACCACTTGGTCGGCCGATCTCTGGGATCATGGGTGCTCGTCCAGCTGTGGTGTAGAAAGTTGCTCTGACTGCATCTGCAAGGGATATGGCATACTGCACATCTAAGCTTGCTTCGGTGCTGTCAGATGAAGAGTTCTGATCGTTCAGTCCATCATGGATTGAAACAACGGTGAAGTTGCTTGTATTGTTTGTGGCGTATTGAGTCATGAAATGGTTGAAATCCCGGTATCGAGCGTATTGCTCTAGGTAACCAGATATCCCAAGAATATTGTGCCGATTTGGTCTGGTCGTCGTGTTCCCTGTTCCGTACAAGTCTCGAATGCAGGCTGGTGTGATAGTACTGTGACATCCAGCGGCCAAGTCTTCGGAGCTTGCCACTTTTGGTTGAACGAGAGACAATTTCAGAGATCTGAGATTGCTGAACCGAGTTGTTGGCTGGATTAATTGGACGTAACGATGTATATTACGAGGCACGGAATAACCGAGGGTACGGATGACTGAATCATTCTGAGCCTGTTGATCAAAATAGAAAAATTGCGTCTGCATCATTTTCTCGGCTTGGTCGAGTGGAACTGTGAACGTTATCCAATTGCCTGCTTGTTTGATAGAACTTGCAGGCACATTTCCTGATCTTAGCCATGCGTGGATTGAGTCTGAAACGGATTGGTGTGGGCGCAGGAACCCATTCACTTCTTCCCTTCTCATATGTTGACCGTAGGTTGCATGTCCTGGAGTTGATAATTCAATCACTTTTTTCTCAAATTCTGCAGCGTTGCTCTGGGTGATTGCCAAATTGAAGGTCATTAGTGTTGAAGCTGGAGGCTTGCTCCCTTTTGACCAACCCTCCGGGATATTGTCTAGCTGTTCAACTCGCTCATAGCTTGGAGCAAGAATTTGCATAAGCGAAGAGCCACATATTGAGAGATTCAAAATGTAAAAGGCTAAAGAGATAGGTCTCATTTTGCCCCGCAATGCTTGGTCAAATGTAATATACTTGAATACCGAGAGGGTGTGCTGTTTCTTCAGGCCTAGACACTCTTTATAGGATCTCTGTGGATACTATAGATCTCTCTAAGTTATATACTTTCTCAAAATCCAAGGGACTCCAACGTAGAGACAATGCCAAGCAGATTGGGTACAACCATACAACGTTGCACATTAATTCTATGGTTACCGGCATCACATCTACGATATAGTCAGCTCAGAAGACCCGTTGTAATACAAGCATTGGCGATGAGTGAATAATATCCGCGAGGTACACATTATGAAAGCTGGAAAGCCGGATCTTTTGCAAGGTAAGAGTGTTTTATTTTGACAATTTCACACTTGCTAGAAACTTCCGACCCTCAGCACACAGAAATACCCGCTAGCAACTTGAATGGCATCTCGATCAAGCATCACAAGTTCGGACTTCAACCAGTCTCGGTTGTACTACCCCAAAGCTTGGTATCAAGTCAAGGGTACCATCCCATATCCTTGATAGGCTGTAAGCATCTTCATGCAATGATCCGTATGTTACTTGCTGCAGGGAACGTTGAATTCTTGGATCTGGTTACCCTGCCTACTATAGGACGTACACCATCACTGTCACAGGGAATTCTTCCTTTGCATTTTCTATGGGGGCAGAAGAACACAAAACGTGTGGAAGATGCTCTGAGGGGGTACAAGAGGAGACACTGTGAGACTTGTCAGTTTCAGCCATGACTTATTTCAAATCATTTGACGAGGATGTCTATCCTCGCTGCCGGTATCCTGATATCTGGACACCTCTCCTTGTCAACCCAATATCATTACCTGTGCGTCATTAGTAGTACCCAGTCTAGCTTGCTTGAGTTCGTAGAGTAGAATATTAGGGTGTGATCAACAAGACGCACGTATAAGACTTAGTTGAGATGTCTATGATCAGGATATATATTTCTTCCAAAGGTTGTTGATCATATGTTATTTCAGTGGAAGTCTGTATAGCATCAGGACTGACTATGTAGACAATATCAGATCACAATATAGCAAGATAATGTATTATATCTGACAATATGTAAAGAGAAACAACCTGAGGTATTGAAGAAGGGCATAAAGGTGATGCCTTATTGCCTGACCGGATTATTGAGGCTCCGAAGAAATGCGGGATGATCGACGTCACGAATGGAGATGATTCACGCGTCAATCCGAGACCAATCAGTCCTGCAGAGAACTGCCCTAGTGGATATATTTCAATTCAGCCTTCTAAAACAGTCTTCGTTGTACTTTCGGGGGTTTGTCTTTGTGGCTTGAAGGGTTGAAGTGGAATGCGGGGATATCATAGTTGACCTGTTGCATTCCTCCATAGGGAACTTGTCCCTCTGCGGGGTGGCATGATTCGCTGATTCGACGTCATTGCTACATTTCACGTAATACAACTCTTGACCTCCCGAACTGGTTTCTGAACCTGAACTTCCACTTCATCCACCATGGCCGAAGCTGAATTGCAATACAACCGTCGGTTGTCGGCGGACAACCAGACCATCTCGAAATCCGAGATATCTCTCAAGGAGCGCTTTTTCCGCTACTTCCAGCATGAGATTACGGGTAAGATTACCGTACTCCATTGGGTTCATTACCCAAAGACAAAGAAGCATCTGACTCAAGTCATGTCGAAATCTAGATCTCCAACAAAAGATGGATCATCTTGCCGATACATCGCTCGTAGGTGGTGAACGTGTGGATGCAACAGACCACTGTCTGGCTGGCATCGTGCGTCTGTCAAATGAGGTCAAAGATGCAGCAAGCTACATCCCCACATACGACCAGCGAGTGTATGCCGAGGTATGCTACTATCAAAAGCATTGCTGCTTATGGGTAGAACTGATAACTTCACAGGCAATCAAAGCTTTGCAGGACCGACTGAGTGAGACACGTGCTGCGTTCGAGCCTCGTTCAAAATTCAGTTTCAAGACCAAGAAGAACGCTTCTGCTATCTCTCTCTCCGACGCCGCAACACTGGCAGCTGCAGGTCGGCTTACTGTCCCTGGATATCGTTCTCCTGGAGCCTCTTCTGTCAGTTCGTCAGCAAATCAGACACCTAACTATCCTTCCACTCCACTCAACGAACCAGATAGGCAGCAAGGTCAACAGGAGCGACCGGAATGCACACCAACCTCATTCCCGATTACTGCGGTTGATGATTTCGCGAGAAAATCTCACCCCCACAAGGCTGCTGGTCCATTTGCCGCCACGGGTGTTTCAGCTGTCTCTGTCGATGATCATTATGGTTTGCATATTATGCTTCCATCCTCTGGATCGACCTCCACAGTCGCCGCCTCCATCACCTCACTGGACCACTGCATTGTTGACATGTCCATCCCCACTGCCAATGGCAAGCCATATGCCAGTCTGACAGTTAAGAACATCAAGGAAAGCTTACTGGTATGCGGGAATGTGAGCGGCCCCGCTCACATTACTGGTGTTGAGAATACTGTCATGGTGGTTTCATGTCGTCAATTCCGGATGCATAACTGCAAAGACGTTGATGTCTACCTCAGTTGCTCTAGTAATCCCATTATTGAGGACTGTTCTAATATCAGATTTGGTCGGATCCCGAAGGCCTATGTTAGTATTCCATTTGGAGTTTTTTCCTACCAGTCATACTAATTCATTATCATAGGCATTGAACCATGATCGCCCTGATCATGAAGACCGCTGGAGCCAAGTTGAAGATTTCAAATGGATTAAGCCTGAGCCAAGTCCTAATTGGAGCCTACTTGACCCTAACGACGCTGTTCCTGAAGAGGTTTGGGCGGAGATTGTTCCTGGCGGGCCGGGATGGTCTCTGGAGGATATTTTGCACGCCATTCATCTCATCAAATGATAGTTTCATAAGATGAAGACGATTAAAATGCCATCATTTTTCAATAGCTTAAGTTTCTATTGGGCTAAAGCCTTCGATCTTTCCGCTCTTTCACGACTCACTACGGTCTCTACGTTTTCTTCAATCACTAATTTGCACTCAATCTTGTTCTTATCGCAGTATTCCCCCATGAAAATCTGCGGTTTCCTTTGGCTATCACTGATGAGGGGTTTCGGCCGCGTTAGGCTCTGGGATGTATTTGTAACTATGGACAGGAATTTACAATCATACTGAATGAGGGTTTCTGTTCTTGTATTACTGACGGTAGGAGCATTTCCTGTCCTTCTGGATGAAGAATGGCCAAACTGAAACAGAAGTAACCCCTAGAACTTCAACTTGAAAGCCAGCACTTGAGTGTCGAGGTCGTAGCCTGACTCGTCCTTATAATTGAACTTTCCAAAGTTCATGTGTCCTAGTAAACCGTTAGCCACCAACCCATTTGACGACAAGAACTATTAAGCATACCATCTTGAGTGATGAAGTCGTTGTCACTGAAGCTGAACAAGAAGTACTCCTTCTCTCCCGAGCCAGATGAATGAGGACTCACAGGCACCACCGCCAAACTCTCCCACTTCTCGTTAAGCAAGAACTCATCAACAGGACCACCATTATGAACACGGAACTTACCCAGCTCCGAATTCACATTATAATCCACGAAAGAGCAATACTCAGCAGGAAGAATCCCGTCCAACAAAGCACCCTCAGACGAAGCAATCGCCCCAGTGGCCTCATCATAATCCTTCTTACCCTTCAAATCAGTAACACCAGTACTTTTCTTCAGCGAGAAAATATCCGCATGCCGATAAACAGAGCGACTCTCGTCCTGCCCTCTCCCAAAGCCCGAGTCCCTAGCCAAAACCAAGAAATCCCCAGTCCCCAACTGATGAATCTCAGACTGCCCAGCAACACGAACAGCCTTCGCAGCATCCTTCTTCGTATAATCAACATAAGTAGGCAACAACACAACATGCTCACCCACAAACCCAGCATCACGCCCACTAATATCATAAACAAGCAACCTAGCCGGCCGACGAGTCGTCTTCCCCGGCCCACCCTCCTGATCAAGCGCACTCTGCATAAGAGCATACAACGTCCGCCCATCCGACGAAACAGTCAACCCCTCCAGCCCCTGATTATTATCCCGCCCAGACTCCGTATCAACAGGCACAGGAACCTCACTGGGATCATAGAGCGGCGGCGAATCAGCATTGAAACTGACCGTGCCATTCCGGCGAGGCAGATACGCCTGTGGAGGCTGGATGGCCTGGATCATGCGTCCGTGACCGTTGAATTTGTATATATACGGTCCGTATTCATCGGAGATCCAGAACCCGCCATCGCGCGCGTCGAGCACGAGTCCTTCTGTGTCAAGGGATACTCTTTTGCCGCCGGGTCCGGCCCCGCCGTAGCCGTTGCCTGTGTAGGTTGATACTGGGAGTGGGGGGAAGCCGGGGAACCTGGCGTGGCCGATTATGTCGGCGTCGAGGCCTGTTGTGGGCGCGCCGGTTGGGTCTGTTAGGAGGATTGTGTCGAGGTACGTGAGTTTGATGTTTGGGGGGGATGGGTTGTTAGGGCTTGCTTGCGGTGCTAGTTTTAGCGTTATGGTGAATTTGTGTATGCGCGATTGGAAGTTGAGGGTGCCGTTTGTGTTCCTGGATTTTGTTAGACTGGGGAGTTTTGCTGTTTGGATCACTTACCAGCCTCGATCTGGGAGTGTATAGACTATTCCGGTGTACTTGTCCAACCCTGTTGCATGCCAGGATGATTGGTCAATGGCAATTGAGCTGCCAATTCCTCCGATTGTATCACCGTATTTGTCTGTAGCGTTCGAGGGAATAAATCCATAGCCCGCAAGACCGGTATATTTGTATGTCGTCCCGGCGCAAGTTGTCTGGTTGACGACATGTTCAGCGGCCTGGGCTGTCACAGACAGAAGTGAAACCAAGAAAGTCCACTTCATATTGAAAAATGATTCAAATTGATCCAGGACATTTCTGAAGAGCGACTTACTCCATATTTATGTTGCCTCATACGTTGTGAATCGTTCCCCTCGGGCATCGCATTGGCAACTATTCCCAGTTAGTACAATGAACTAAGCACCACACAACGTGCGGGTGGTGCCGTGCGTCATTCGCTGATCGTGCCTGCAGGGATTGCACAGATATTATCCGAGTCGGCTTGAAATCTTGATCTATGCTAATCATTGCCCTGATTGGTATGTAGAGCCTAACGCACTATCTGATCCTCATGTTCGGAGGCTACGATGCCAGGTTTGGTTATGATTTATGCTCGCATGCTCTCTGGTTTTGGAGTTGACTTTTAAAAGTCTTATTTGATTACAACATATCTACTCCAATCTCATATCAAGTTATGCCTAGTTGGGGAATTTTGGCCTCAATTGTTCCAGGTCGTTGGCAGTTTCGGGTAACTGTTCGCGTCGAACCCCAGGTCCTGGTAGACAGTTGCATCTCCTGCATGCATGTCAGAATCTAGTGGGATCAATATATGATCGATGCAGGAACATACCCTGTAGAGCACTGATTCGCTCCTCATTTTCACCCTCCAACTTCTCCAACTCTTCGCCGGGCTCCTCTTCGTGGGGTAATTTCTCACCCTGTGAAGTCGCGGCTTTGCCAAGGCTGTTCTGTGCCTCGCCGATCATAAGAAATTGGGCATTGGGATAGTCCAAGAACTCTGGTTGGAGGGGTACCCATCGAAGATCTCCAAATTTATCGAGGACACTAAGAAGGAGTTAGGAAATGATACTTCTCATGAACTGGGTAAGGACATGCGTACGAAGGGGGGTACTCTGGATCCTCTGGCAACTGCCCAATCGGCGGACCGGGGTACTTAGGACTTTTCGATTGAACAAGCCAGCTCCCGCGCTCACCAAGACCAAACTCCTCTTGAACAGTTCCCAGTTCAGCAGGAATAGTAAGGATATACGCGAGATGGGAGGCTCGCGGTGTGGAGGTAATCGCGTAGACACCTTCCGCATAAGGTCTGGCTTCCTCCGTATGCCGTTCACCCATGGTCTTAGTCTGGTATGTCTTTCCGGCAATGAAATTTTCATGAAGTTCTTGCATAGATTGACCAGCCTTCTCGACAAAGCCCATGTCTCTCTCTTTGCCGGAAGTTGGGAACTTCTTCTTTGGGAGCATCATCAAGCGACAGCGGGCCTCTTTAGCCACTGGGCCTTGGCCATGATCGAATTCGGCGCCTAATGGGGTTGGGCGTAGTACAAAGAAGCTCCGGGCGATGTCACCAATGCTGTGGGGCTCCTCTATATTGACGCGTGGTCGGAAGAAGAAGTAGATGAAACCCTTCTCGAGAATATTTGAGGGTACCCTATTTTCTCTCTCCTCGGTGTCATGAAGGCCTGTTTCAATGCTTTCAGGTTGCTTCGAGGACTTTTCGTTGGGCTGCGCTTCAAGCGGCTTGTCCATTGCGCCTGGTGATTTGACTGACTCTGGCGTAGGAGGACCAATTGGCATTGTGCTCGGTACCACTTCTTCTGGTTTTTGTTCCAGTTTCAGGTCCTCCTTTTTGATATCCTCGGTTTTCTCTTTCTTTGCTTTTGGAGCTTTCTCGGTCGCGGCCTTTCGCTTGGTGGCCCGGGAAGGACCTGCAGATGGTTCAGCAGAGCTTGCAATAGCTTCCTTGGCCTTCTGAGCCGCATGGCGTGAGGAGGTTCGTGTAGCCATCTTATTTGATTGGGGTTTGACACCAATGCAAAGACGAAGTTGAGCGCAACTCAAGCAGTATGAGCTGCATATGACGTCATCCATACTTCATTTGATATCGTCACGCGTCAAGCTGAACAGGCGAAGCAGGGATCGAGAGCCATTGTAGATCAGTCAATGTCCATCTTGTCAGCTGCAAACTCATTCAAGCTCTCGGCACTGCTCATATCGGTCGTTTGACTTTCTGCACTTGAATTTGATCTTTCGTTCGCGTTGGGCTCCCTAAAATTGCAGAACGAATCGGTATCACTATAATCCTGAGACTCTTCGCTGCATCCTCTGCGTCTCTTTCGATAATGATCATTCACTTGGTGATGGGTTCCTGTCGATATAGTTCCACGTCTGCAGAAATGAGACCCAGAGTGAGATTGTGTAGAGCTCGCAATGGATACTGACTTCCTCTTCTGTCCCTTATTTCGTATGGCAGAATATGTGGTCGCATCGAAGCTGTCAGGTCGAACGTCAAAGCCATTTAAAGAATCTTTCAAGTCTCGCTGCCAGTGTTCGAAATGGTCTGGGAGACATGGTAACTTGCGCCTTGGCAATGTAGCCTGCGGTTCGTCGTCGGGCTCCTCGATGGCATATGGCCTCATGACTAGACCCCCATTGCTTTCATAGTTTCCATCGTCATCAAATGAGTCGATGTCGTCTGTAGGAGTCGAGGGTCCCGAATCGTTCACACTTTGGCCACTCTCATCTGTCGAGAGTTCCATGGGGTCTAGACTCCGCTCTGGGGTTTTCTCGAAAGGGAGGTTGTGATCCTGTTCGAAAACACCGGTGGGATTGATCATGTCAAGGCCCTCCATTCTAGATCGGGTCCTGACCGGAACTAAATCGATTTATGGTCAGGATGTTGCGAAGCACATCACGAGATTTTCAAAGGGAAACAGCAAAGAAAGGGGAAAATAAACTTCCAGTCGTAACAAAGCGTCCACAGATGGAAGATCTACGAAAGTGATGGTTTCCATAACATCATGGTCTTCCAGATGCTTCCGCGGGGAGTATGGGGGAGGACATGGGGGAGCAACTCCACCAACTTGGGCTGAGCAGACTAAATGACCTGGAACCCAGTGACCATGATTTGATTTCACTACACGTAGAATAGACCCTGATCTAATTATTTGAAAGTCCAACAGTCCAACCGTCGAAGGTCGAACAATCAAAGAACAAGTGACCTGAGCTCCCCCTGACCGCTCACCGCCCGGGAGCATGATTGGCCGTGGCATTCGCTTGAGTAGAGTCCACGTTTAGTTTACTGCTTCACCAACCGTCCAACGTGTTTACTTTTGCTCGACCTTCTTTTGCTAGGCAGTGGATGCAGTGGTCACCCCTGCTCTTACTTACTATCTAGTGTGCGGAGCTTGCTACTTCAAAGTGCGGCTCCGGCCAAGTCGTCAAGATGCAGTCCTCCCCAAACATGCTCACCAAGGTACACCCCTCCCAATGGCCTCGAAGCCATCGTCGCACCATCAGGAGATGGCTGCACTGTCAATTGGAGATGCTTACCACCATATGTTGTCTAGTTTGAGTCCAAATCCTCCAGAGCCAAGGGAATCGCATTCCATCCCAAACGGTCAGTGATTCCGCGGAGGGACACCTACACGTCGAAGCATCCGAACTGACCTCGAAGCAGGCCATGGATTCTCGTTTCTCTTCACTCTTCCACTATCCAGCTATGGGACTACCGCATGGGAACCCTTATTGACCGGTTCGAAGAACACGATGGCCCCGTCCGAGGCATTGATTTCCACCCGACCCAGCCCCTGTTTGTGTCCGGAGGTGATGATTACAAGATTAAGGTCTGGAACTACCAGACCCGGAGGTGTCTTTTCACTCTGAACGGTCACTTGGACTACGTGCGCACAGTATTCTTCCACCCCGAGCTCCCTTGGATCTTGTCTGCCTCCGATGATCAGACAATTAGAATCTGGAACTGGCAAAATCGGTCCCTCAGTACGAGCTCTCGGAACCCTATGTGTCGACATTGACTAACGCTCTGGTTTTTTTTTAGTTTGTACAATGACCGGTCACAACCACTATGTGATGTGCGCTCAGTTCCATCCCACCGAGGACCTCATCGCCTCCGCCTCATTGGACCAGTCCGTTCGCATTTGGGACATCTCCGGCTTGCGAAAGAAGCACTCGGCCCCGACCTCGATTTCATTCGAAGACCAGATGGCACGAGCCAATCCCAATCAAGCCGATATGTTTGGAAATACGGATGCAGTTGTGAAGTTTGTGTTGGAGGGTCATGACCGTGGTGTGAACTGGGTGTCGTTCCACCCCACACTCCCTCTGATCGTGTCAGCCGGTGACGACCGATTGATCAAGCTCTGGCGGATGAGTGATACCAAGGCCTGGGAAGTTGACACTTGCCGCGGTCACTTCCAGAACGCCTCTGCTGCTCTGTTCCACCCCCACCAGGACCTCATCCTGTCCGTTGGTGAAGACAAGACTATCCGTGTATGGGATCTTAACAAGCGTACTTCCGTCCAGTCTTTCAAGCGCGACCTCGACCGATTCTGGGTTATCGCTGCTCACCCCGAGATGAACCTGTTCGCCGCAGGCCACGACACCGGTGTCATGGTCTTCAAACTCGAACGGGAGCGTCCCGCGTCCGCCATTTATCAGAACCAGCTTTTCTATATCACCAAGGAGAAGCACGTCAAGTCATATGATTTCTCTAAGAATGTTGAGTCGCCGCCAATGCTCTCACTACGCAAGCTTGGCTCCCCTTGGGTCCCTCCTCGCACCGTTTCTTACAACCCCGCCGAGCGCGCTATTCTTGTCACCTCGCCCGCTGACAATGGAACGTATGAGTTGATTCATCTGCCTCGGGATGCTACCGGTGCGGTCGAACCTACAGACGTGAAGCGTGGCCAGGCTACATCGGCAGTCTTTGTCGCCCGTAACCGTTTTGCTGTCTTCAACCCCTCTACCCAGCAGGTCGACATCAAGGATCTCAGCAATTCTACGACCAAGACTATCAAGGCTCCCGCTGGCACAACTGATATCTACTTTGGTGGCACTGGATGCCTCCTTTTCATCACCCCTACGCATGTCTCTCTCTTCGATATCCAACAAAAGAAGCAGCTTGCAGAACTTGCTGTTAGCGGTGTGAAGTATGTGGTCTGGTCCAACGATGGATTGTACTGCGCTTTGCTCAGCAAGCACAATGTCACCATCGTTACCAAGACTCTCGAGCAGGTGAGCACCCTGCATGAGACCATTCGCATCAAGAGTGCCACTTGGGATGATGCCGGTGTTCTACTCTACTCTACCCTCAACCACATCAAGTACTCTCTCCTCAACGGTGACAACGGTATTATTCGCACTCTCGACCAGACCGTTTACCTCGTACGCGTCAAGGGACGCAATGTGTACGCACTGGACCGCAACGCCACACCCCGTATCCTGGAGATCGACCCCACTGAGTACCGATTCAAGCTCTCCCTGGTCAAGCGGAACTATGACGAGATGCTCCAGATCATCAAGACTTCCAGTCTTGTTGGCCAAAGCATTATCTCTTACCTGCAGAAGAAGGGCTACCCCGAAATTGCTTTGCAGTTCGTCCAGGACCCTCAGACTCGTTTCGACCTTGCCCTTGAGTGTGGTAACCTTGAGGTTGCTATCGAGATGGCTCGCGAATTGGACCGACCCAACTTCTGGAACAGACTGGGAACCGAGGCCTTGGCTCACGGTAACCACCAGACTGTTGAAATGACCTACCAAAAGCAGCGTAACTTCGACAAGCTTTCCTTCCTCTACCTGGCCACCGGTGACCAGGAGAAGCTCTCTCGTATGGCCAAGATCGCCGAACACCGTGGCGATTTCACTTCCCGCTTCCAGAACGCCATTTACCGTGGCGATGTTGAGGACCGAATCCAGATGTTCAAGGAAGTGGACTTGTACCCTCTGGCCTACCTCACTGCCAAGTCTCACGGTTTGACTGAAGAGGCTGAGTCAATTCTGGAGGCTTGTGGCCTGACCGAAGATCAAATCGGTCTGCCTACTCTCGAACAACCCCTCAAGGTTGCACACCCCATTGTCCCTACCTTCAAGTCCAACTGGCCAGTTAAGGCTGCTGGTCACTCTTCCTTCGAGAAGGCTCTTCTTGGAGAAGTTGGTGCCGCAGATGACGAGGCTGGCGCAGATGGCTTCGAGGCTGAGGAGGTGGAACAAGAAGCTACTCTTGCTCGTGAAACCCTGGATGATGACGAAGAAGATGCTTCCGGTTGGGATATGGGAGATGATGTCAATGTCGAAGAGGAAGTCGACTTCGTTAACGTGGAAACTGCCGAAGCCGGCGCAGGCAGCTCTGAGGCCGACTTGTGGGCTCGCAACTCCCCCCTTGCAGCTGACCACGTTGCTGCCGGCTCCTTCGAGACTGCCATGCAGCTCCTGAACCGTCAAGTTGGTGCTGTTCAATTCGCCCCTCTCAAGAGCCGATTCCTTGATATTTACAAGGCATCCAAGACCTATCTTCCCGCGACCCCTGGTCTTCCCCCTCTCGTCAACTATGTTCGCAGAACTGTCGAGGAAACTGACGCCCGCAAGATGCTCCCAGTCATCCCTCGGGACCTTGAGACCATCGCCAACATTGACTTACAAGAGGGCTACGCCGCCATGCGCTCAAACAAGCTTGAGGATGGTGTAAAGATTTTCAAGGATGTTCTTCACTCTGTTCTGATCAACACTGTCTCGTCTGAGGCTGAAGTTGAACAGGCAAAGAAGATCATTTCCACTGCCCGTGAATACATCCTCGCCATGTCTATTGAGCTTCAGCGTCGTACTCTTTCCACCGACACTCCCGAGGGCCTCAAGCGCAGCCTCGAGCTGTCTGCCTATTTCACTATTCCCAAGCTTGAGGTTGCTCATCGCCAGCTGGCATTGATGGCTGCCATGAAGCTCGCCTTCGCCAACCGCAACTACTCCTCCGCCTTGAGCTTCGCCAATCGGATGCTGGCTAATGGCGGCTCCGCCAAGCTTTTGGACCAGGTAAGAATTTGTGCAATCTAACTATATTGATCTCAGTGCTAACTATGCAAACAGGCCAAGAAGATCAAAGCTCAATGCGAACGCAACCCGCAAGATCAGATCGATATTGACTTCGACTCTTTCGCCGAATTCGACATCTGTGCCGCCTCCTACACCCCGATCTACAGCGGCTCCCCTAGCGTGTCGGATCCCTTCACCGGCGCCAAGTACCACCCCCAGTACAAGGGCAGCGTCTGCCGGATATCAGATGTCACGGAGATCGGTGCACCGGCCAGTGGTCTGCGCCTGTTCGTCCCCAGTCAATTTTAATTGCAGTCTGACGAAGCTTCACGGTTTTCTACCTTTTTTCCCCCTCTCTTCTTTCTGATATGAAGTTACAAAATGGGTTCCTTTTCATCTGCTCGAGGAGAGTTGTGTTTGGTGGCGCTTTTTTTATCGGCCGGGAGAAAGACAAAACTTCCTGCACAGTCCCCTGTCTAGATGTCTTTTTGTATCCAAGATTATAATTTCTTAGCGATCTAGTTTGTATGCGAACATGTTTACTCCTATTTCTTCGGATCCTCACTCGTAGAGCCACGGGACTAGTATCCAACCACAGTGGCATGGATTTTCAGGTGTCGCAGAATGTAAGTTATATCGTGATAGAAGTACAATCCCTCAATTCGTCAAGAATATGCATGTATACCGGATCATGTCTGGCAACTGTTGACAGTTCCCTTCCATTCTGGTGCTCACCCTCTTGCAGATAAAGCTACCTATCCCATCAACTGTTGGGCCTCAGATGAAATTGGATTAATCGATGGTCCGTCCTTTGTACAAGAAGAACGTCTTGAGTTCGTAGAAGTTACCGATGAAGAATGGGCTAAGAGGGCGATGAGCGAATAATCGATGCCATAACTTGGTCATATTCCAGGGCTTTTGGAGTATCGTATTTTACATCGAATTGTACCTTTCACATTGCATCAAACCATTGAAATTTCAATGAATCGGATGAATAATGAGCCCTTGCCTATTTGTGCAAGGACGCGTTGCCAGGTCATCTTCGAAAACGTGTACACGAGGCTTTGCACTACTGCCTGGACAGCGAATTCTGGGAGAGATTCTATAAGCCCATTGAGGCCACTGTAGATGCATTAGTCGGCCGAGTAGATATCTAATGTACAAAAAGGTCGAGCCAGATGAGTAGAGAGAAGAACAAACCATCGTCACCAGAAGAATACAGGTAAACACCCTACCAACTAATCACACCTCCCATCCTTCCACCCAGTCCGCCACCTCTCCTCCCAAAACCGACAATCAAACTCCTTCTTCCCGAGCTTCCGATTCACCTCATTATGAGCTTCACACATCCACCACCCAAACTCCTTCCGACTCTCCAGCTTGGGCTGATTCCTTCCACTGGGATGCGCCATCCAAGTTTGGAAATCATCCGCGCACACCCAGCACGGGTAGAGCTTCGAGAAAAACTTCAGAAATCCGCGCATATTCTCTTGGTGCTCTGTGTTGGCTTTCTCGGGGTACGTGGCTGCCATCGAATGCAGCAGTGTCCATGTTGAGCGGCCGAGTTGTTCGACGTCTGGGGGGCATTCTGCGGGTGTTTCGCTTGATGACGGCGTTGCGGATGCTGCTATGGCGGCAGTTGATGTCGCTGTTTTGCTTGCGCTGCCTGGGGTCTCCGCTTTGGCTTGTTTTGTTAGGGCTTTCCAGGATGCGACGGATGTGCAGGTGCGGCAGCTGAAGCGAGGTTAGTTTTGGTTTGGTTGGATAGCGGGTTGGTGCTGCCTGTGTCTGTCTCTGTATGTGGCGTGGTGAACTCACGGTTTGCCGTCCTTATCTAGGACAACGCCTTTTGGTAATGGGGCTTTCGAGTCATCGTCTCCAGGTTGCTTAGATGAGCTTGCGGCAGTTGGGAATTGGCTGAAGAGGTTCCCGGTGCCTTTGTATTGAGCATTGGGTTGCCCTGCTGGTATTTCTGCCATGGCAAATTGTCGTTTGTGCTCAGGTTTTTGAGGAATTGGGGATTGGTGGTTAGGGAAGTATGTCGGGGCTGATTTCTAATAGATGCGGAGAACGGCGGAGGCAAAAAGAGGCAATAATACCGGAATTTCGGGGCAAAAGATGGCAAGCAAAGAATAATAGTTTATTCAGAGTCGCCGGAAGAGAATAAGAAGTAGAAAAGGCACAGAAAAGAAAGAATGGCAGGTTTGGGAGCAGTTGTAAATGATCGCAGACAAAATGTCACGCCGATCAATCTCGATTCCGCTTTGTCATCCTCGCGCTCCCCGACGCGCATTGGGGTAACTCACGGTTTGCTGTCATTCGTTTGGACTCGCCATTGAAATATTTCCTATTTTCTATTACTGTTTGGAACTGAGGCCAATACATCTGGCCTTGCACTTACAACACCCGCCAGTAATCCTTCTAATTGCCGCTGGCCGATATAAAATGGCCCCGAAATATACCATGTCCGACTCCGAGGAAGACAATGTTGTGCCAACAGCTCCTTCCGATCAGAATATTGAAAAGGGTCTTCGTGACGGCGTTGCAGCTGTATACAAGTCTGGCAACATGGAGGAATTGACGGTGAAGCGCGTGCGCCTCGCAGTTGAGAAGAAGCTAGGACTTACAGAGGGATACTTCAAATCTACGGGTCAATGGAAAGCACGAAGTGAAGAGGTCATTCGGGACGAAGTGGTGAGAAGTGATAACAATTGTAAAAAGCTCTGATGTTAGGACAGACACTGACTTGCGATAATATACAGGAAAGACAAGACCACGCTGGGAATAACGCCGGACCACAATCTGCCGAAGCTTCACCATCTCCTTCTCCAAAGCCACAAAAAGCATCACTTCCCAAGCGAGCCAAGGCCGACAGTATGTCTAAGCCCAGGAAGCGCCAGAAGACAAAGACACCAGATTCAGAGGAGGAAAATGAACAGGACGGCGACTCCACTGCATCTGACAACAGTGAGGAGGTTACAAAGCCCAAGAAGCGAACCAAAGCACCAGTTAAGAAGTCAGCTGCATCTAAGCCCAAGAAGGTCGCGCCTGAAGTCTCAGATGTGGCTGAAAATGAATCCGACGCTTCTCAGCCGCCCGCAGCGGTGAAGGATGATTCCGAAAGCGAAATGTCGGTAGTTTTTGATGAAGAACCTCAAACCAAGCCGGCGCGCAAACGGAAGAGCGCAGATGGAGCTGTTACCAAAGCGAAGAAAGCGTCAAAAGCAAAAGATGCGGATCTCGACCCAGACCAGGCTGAGATCAAGCGGCTTCAGGGATGGCTTGTCAAGTGCGGCATCCGCAAATTGTGGGGGAAAGAGCTGGCTCCATATGATACGTCGAAGGCGAAGATCAGACATCTCAGGGAGATGCTGGACGATGCTGGGATGAAGGGCCGACCATCTCAGGAGAAAGCCAACCAGATTCGCGAAGAGCGGGAATTGAAAGCGGACTTGGAGCAGATCACACAGGGTGCGAAACAATGGGGTGCAAAAGCCAATGAAGAGGAAGGTGATGGCGATGCGAAGCCTCGGCGCAGGGCCGCTCGTGAATCGCAGGCGCTTGCGTTCTTGGAGAGCGATGACGAGGAGTCCGATTGATGATACCAAATAGCTTGTAATAGGTCGACTTCAACGTTCACCAGCTGGGCTGTTCGAACGTCGAGGACTGAATTATGGTTCCATCTCACTTATACTTCATAATCGAAACATATGGTCAATGGCATTCCATCAACGCCCGGTTTTTGGTCCACTCATGCGCTGTGCCACTAGACTGAAGACAGCGACAGAAGAGATAAAGAGAACGAGATTATAGAACTAGCAGAGATCATCAGTATATGCCGTGGGCTTGTTTCAAGGGTGACATACAGCTGTACGCGAGTACTCGTTCTCCTCGGCCTCTGTCCTGGCCTCAACAAAGAGACGACGCAAGTTAGGGAGATTAGCCTGCATATATGTTAGTCTTGGCACAGCTTCCAGCGTGTTGAGCTCACCATTGAGACGTGGGCAAGATCTGGGGTAGAAGTCGGAGGTTCCAAAAAGGAGAAGAGCGGGAGGTCCAGAAGCCATTTGTGGACATCTTTCGATCATCATTTCTTTCCCTCTTCATCCCTCCTTTTGCTTCCCCCCCACCATTCTTCCATTCGAATGTTCACGAGGAATATTGAAATAGTCTCCATATTCCTCGAACCTACGCGACCGCGACGCTCTATTCCCCCCCCCGCAGTCGCCCAACGCCCGACTTCCAACCCCGAGCGGAGGCACGACCTAGTCGTGGCTGAAGCTGTTCCAACTTCGTCATGGCGATGAACAAGATTCGCGGTGCCTTTGCGGTGCCCCGCAAGGGAGAGACCTTTGAATTGCGAGCTGGCCTTGTGTATGCGGCCCCCTCCTCCACAATGCGCTGTCCACTTCAGCATGACGATATAACAAATCACTGACCATTGTCACAGCTCTCAGTATGCCTATGAACGGTATGTAATAATACCAAAGCACTGGACCACATTTATGCATCCTTTGGGTGAGAGGCGAGAGGACAGGTAGCTGACAGCACAACAGGAAGGAGTCCATTCAGAAGACCATTATGGCCATGACTCTGGGCAAGGATGTCTCAGCTCTATTCCCAGATGTGCTCAAGAATATTGCCACAGCCGATCTTGAGCAGAAGAAATTGGTCTACCTTTATCTCATGTGGGTTTAGATGGTGCGCTTAAACGTGGCTACGTATGCTGATCGGTGGAATTCAATTCCCAGGAACTACGCCAAATCCCACCCTGACCTGTGTATTCTCGCCGTGAATACATTCGTACAAGACTCAGAAGACCCCAACCCGCTGATTCGTGCGCTGGCAATTCGAACAATGGGATGTATTCGAGTGGAAAAGATGGTGGACTACATGGAGGAACCTCTTCGCAAAACCCTCCGAGATGAGTCGCCGTATGTCCGCAAGACTGCTGCGATTTGCGTGGCCAAGCTCTTCGACCTCAACCCCGCAATGGCCCTCGAGAATGGATTTTTGGAAATGCTGCAGGAGATGATCGGTGACCCGAACCCAATGGTTGTGGCAAACTCGGTGACTGCACTGTCTGAGATTCAACACACGGCACCTGAGACACAGGCTCTACAAATTACCAATAACTCTCTACGGAAGATGCTGATGGCATTGAACGAGTGCACGGAATGGGGGCGCGTTACTATTCTCTCCACCTTGGCTGAATACAAGACATCTGATGTTAAGGAGTCGGAACACATTTGTGAACGAGTTGCGCCTCAGTTCCAGCACGTCAACTCTGGTGTAGTTCTTGCGGCAGTCAAGGCTGTGTTTTTACATATGAAAAACGTTAACCCTGAACTGTCGAAGACTTACCTTAAGAAGATGGCACCACCATTGGGTATGTTGTTCTTCTATAATGTCACTGAAATTCTTCTTCTTGCTAATCTTTCCTAGTCACTCTGGTTTCTTCGGCCCCCGAAGTGCAGTACGTGGCATTGAGAAATATTGACCTTTTGCTGCAGAAGCAGCCCGATATTCTCCAAAAGGAGCTCCGTGTATTCTTCTGCAAATACAATGACCCACCTTATGTCAAGTTCCAGAAGCTCGAGATTATGGTGCGCATAGCCAACGACCGCAATGTGGACCAGCTCCTGGCTGAATTGAAGGAGTACGCCCTTGAAGTTGATATGGACTTTGTCCGTCGAGCCGTCCGAGCCATTGGACAAGTCGCTATCAAGATTGAGAGCGCTAGCGAACGTTGCGTTAATACATTGCTGGACCTAATCAATACCAAGGTCAACTACGTCGTTCAGGAAGCGATTGTTGTTATCAAGGACATTTTCCGGAAATACCCTGGATACGAAGGAATCATCCCCACTCTTTGCCAGTGTATTGATGAGTTGGATGAACCAAATGCCAGAGCCGCTCTTATCTGGATCGTCGGAGAATATGCTGAGAAGATCAGCAATGCCGGTGATATTCTGGGAGGCTTTGTTGATGGATTCAACGAAGAATTCTCTTCGACCCAATTGCAGATTCTTACCGCGGTTGTCAAGCTCTTCCTTAAGCGGCCCGAGAAGGCTCAAGGTCTGGTGCAACGTGTACTTCAGGCTGCTACCGCTGAGAACGACAACCCTGACGTCCGTGACCGCGCCTACATCTACTGGCGTCTCTTGTCCAACACCAGCGATTCGAATGCTACCAAGAACATTGTGCTCTCAGATAAGCCACCTATTGTCACCACCATCCACTCTCTACCACCGGCACTCCTCGAGCAGCTCCTTACCGAATTGTCCACTCTCTCTTCCGTGTACCACAAGCCTCCAGAGCAATTCGTCGGAGCTGGCCGGTTCGGTGCCGATGCTGTCCAACGCGCTGCTATCGAGTACGTATCTAACTATTTCCTTGTCAATAATTTTGCTAACCTATCCACAGGGAACAAATCCAGAACGCGCGCGAAAACCCATTGGCTGCAGCGGCCGCGGCCGCAGCCGTCTCTGGCTCATCCGCACCTGCGCAGGCGCAAAACAACGTCGAGAACTTGCTGGACATCGATTTCGACGGCGGTGCTCCTGCCTCGGCGCAAGATCAGCCGTCCAGCGGCATGTCCGGCCTTGAGGGCCTGGGCGGCACTCCCATGCGCATCGAGTCTCCTGCAGTTGGAGCTCCGGCACCACAGTCCAGCAACAACTTGGATGACCTACTGGGCGTTTTTGGCGACTCAGGCCCCTCCCAGCCCTCGTCTAGCGGCGGTAACGGCGGCGGCGCCGCTGCTGATCTTATGAACGGCTTTGGTGGCCTAGATATCTCACAGAACAGCTCGCCGGCACCTCCCTCAGAAAATAACCAGACCAAGAAGTCTAACGAGGATATTTTGTCACTCTTCTAGAGTGGTGCAGTTAGATAGTCCACCGTACCGGGCTAGGTGGTGTTATATCCAGGTGTTTCGCAAGCGAGGATCTGGTCAGAACGAATAGATTGGTGTCTTTATGTGTTTAATTTTGCTTGCATCTTTCCAACGGAATTCAAAAGGCTCGTATGTACATTTCTTTGCCTTTCAAATACCGATTTTCTTACTGTGGCTGCATGTGGATAAGCGTCAAGGCGAGACCTTATAGTCCCTGCATTTGTGTACGGTAAGTGGTGAACCTAGTTTCGATCTTTACTGTAAAGTCGGCGCAACAGACATACGGCAAACCTCCCTCGCAATCCCAAATTTCCCCAAGATACACTGGCTAAAAAGAACCAAGATCTTCTGTTCTCGCAGACTAGGAATCCTGATTCCAAACAATTCACATGGGGGCAGCAATCGTGGATGAAAGTTGTTGGAAGCTGGCACTGAACGGGCTGGTTCAGCGGCCATTCTCTGTAAGCTGAAATCAGTGGCTAGCGATGGGGCATACCTCCGTCATATCTCTCCACAAGTGCTATGGGAGTCCACTCATGCCAACCAAGAAAGTCTGGAGAATAGGCAATTTAGAGTGAAATGGCGTCCCAATGCGGGATCTACTTGCAATCGCACCGCCAGACCTTGCGACAGGATCATTCTTTTGGTCTCATGGACTGGATTGGGGTACCTTTGCCGGTTTATCGGCCGATAGATACCGGGAGGGCTTGCCAATCGTGAAGGCTTTAGCACTGGAAGTTCTAGATGTGTAGTGTAGGAATTAATGGCAGTCATCCGAGGATATCAAGTGTGAGATACTTCACACTCCAAGAGCGATTCTCTAGTATAGCTTCATTTTCAAACCTCAAACTATCGCTTTCTATGTAGGAAATGTACCACAATTTCCGCAAGCAATGAAGCGGAATAACTAGAATCGACCTCTGTACATGCCTTGTTTAAAGGATCATAGTCGAGAGTGTTTGTAAATGACTGTATTAGATAAAATTGGCTACTCCCCCAACCTACCGAACCTACTTCAGGTTGCGTTTAGAAAGTGAGGGCGCTTATCTACGGTGATTTGGCCGGTTCACATGGCGGTCAGACAGCCCGGGGGCGATTTCGTTCTTTAAGTAAGGCTTAGTGAGAAAAAAGCGGCAAGCCCTAAGCACAAAGAGACAACCAAGTCGACATAAAATCCGATGCATAGGTATCATTAGCGCATCTTGGCTTCAATGTACGAATGCCAATAACCTTAACTTATAGAACAACATCAGTAATGAGGTCACGTATAACCATGGCAGCGCGGAGGACGGACACGATTTTTCACCTCATGTATCCGAGATGGCTCCACCGAGGGGCAAAAAGAAGGTTGAAGACAAATAATAAATGAGGAACAAATTGAGAAAAATTGCACAACTTACGCCAATGACCATTGGCAAAACCCTACCAATTGTGGCTCCATCAATTGCCCAGATGGTGTCCTTATCAGGGTCAATCCCGAAGGCTTTCCGAGTCCCCATCCGACTCCAACCTCAAGATCTGCCGTCGGGGTAGTAATTGCTTACCAATTGACCCAGAGATACCGAAGTTTCCAGCTTTAGAAAAAAAATGTGGACTCTGGTTCAGTCCCACTGCTGCGGGTATAAATGGGACAGTGGCCCCGGAGACGGGGGCTTAACGTCCTCCCCGTCAAATCTAGCAAAAAACTACATTCAAAATGACTACAGACTACAAGTTCGAAGGCTGGATGGGCCTTGATTCCACTGCCAGCGAGGGCAACATGGTCTGGCAAGAATTCACCCCCAAGACGTGGGAAGAGACCGACATCGATATCAAGATCTCGCACTGCGGTATTTGCGGTTCTGACCTGCACACCCTGCGGAGCGGCTGGGTGAGTCTATCTGTCCTATTTTCGTCCTAAATCCATGCGAAATCCCCCAATCAGGCCTTCCATGCTGACCATTGACCCAGAGAGCATCTGACTATCCCTGCTGTGTGGGCCACGAGATTGTGGGCACAGCTGTGCGTGTCGGAAGCCAAGTATCTGACATCAAGATCGGCGATCGTGTCGGCGTGGGTGCTCAGAGCGAGTCTTGCCTCGGCCGCCAGGGAGACTGCGCAGAATGCGCCATGGGAATGGAGCAGTACTGCAGCAAGAAGGTCATTGGCACCTACAACAGCAAGTTCTACAACGACGACAAGTCCTACGGAGGATATGCGCTGTACAACCGTGTGCCTGGACACTTTGCTATCAAGATTCCGGATGCCATTACGTCGGCTGATGCTGCGCCTATGCTGTGTGGTGGTGTAACTCTCTACAGCCCTCTCAAGCACAACAACTGTGGTCCCGGCAAGCGTGTTGGTATCATTGGTGTTGGTGGTCTTGGACACTTTGGTGTACTCTTTGCCAAGGCTATGGGAGCTGATCAGGTCGTTGCTATTTCACGCAAGCTGAGCAAGAAGGAGGATTCATTGAAGATGGGGGCTGATCTGTACATTGCTACTGATGATGAGCCTGAGTGGGCTACTGCCAACTCCCGGTCTTTGGATTTGATCATTTCCACTGTTTCTTCTACTAAGGTGAGTTTCTTTCTCTCTGGGTTGGGAAGTATACGAGATGGATGAGCGTGGAGCTAATCTTGAATCTAGATGCCCATGACTGAGTACCTGGGTCTTGTGAAGACCGGTGGTACTTTCGTTCAGGTCGGCCTTCCTGAAGATGGTGGTCTGTTCGTCTCTGTTCGCACCTTGATGCGCCAGATCAGCCTTCAGAGCTCCCTCGTTGGTAGCCCTAACGAGATCCGTGAGATGCTCCAGCTTGTCGCCGATAAGGGCATTCGTCCTTGGATTGAAGAGATCCCTATGAAGGATGCCAATAAGGCTATTGTTGATATGGAGGATGGCAAGGCACGCTACCGCTACGTGCTTGTCAATGACCAGTAAATGTATATAGATCATGATAGACATAGAGATGAGACCCTGAACGAGCGGCATTGAGTATATACCACGACTGCAATTGATATCTTGCTTATGACCGAGTCTAGAACTGAAACCCTAGCCATACGAGGCAATTCCGTAAAATTCTCGCCCTCTCTTCCTCATTTGCCTCATCTTCATCTTTCGCCGTCTTCTGCTCCAATCAGGCCGCACACGTGAGCGGCGCCGCTCTCGGAGACGCTAGTCTGCATTGGGCCACGGTGCCCCCGCGGTGGGATGAATCATTCCTCTTCTTTGCGCCTCTCTCTCTCTTTAATTCGTTTACTTTGTTGTCAATTGACTCTGTTTCTGGTCCATCATGTCTCCAACACTGTCACAAAAGTACTTGAGCACCCGAGGTGCGGAGTACGGAGTGAGTTGATCTCCGATCTGAAAAAAATAACCTGTGTCGCAACGGCTGCTAACATATCAGTTTTGTTTCTAGTTGTCTTTTGAGGATGTCGTTCTCAAGGGTCTGTCTGAGGATGGTGGCCTGTTCATCCCCGAGGAGATCCCTGCCCTTCCCGCCTCATGGGAGACCGAGTGGCGCGACTTGACATTCGAGGAGCTGGCATACGAGATTATGTCGCTTTACATCTCTCGCGATGAGATCCCTGCCGATGATCTTAAGGATATAATTCAACGGTCCTACTCGACTTTCCGCCACACTGAGCGTACTCCTTTGGTTGAGTTGGAGAAGGACCTACACCTGCTTGAACTCTTCCACGGCCCTACCTTTGCCTTCAAGGGTTTGTACCCTTCTTTTCCTCATTGGGCTGTTCTAATGTATCTTAGATGTGGCCCTTCAGCTCCTCGGAAACACTTTTGAATATTTCTTGACCCGCATGAACGCTGGCAAGACTGGCAAGGACAGACACCATCTGACCGTTGTCGGGTGAGTAATACGATCTCTCTTGTCCATACCAAAGAATTTGGCTGACTCTTTCAAGTGCTACTTCCGGTGACACTGGCTCCGCCGCTATCTATGGTCTCCGCGGCAAGAAGGATATCTCCGTGAGCATCTTATATCCCAACGGCAAGGTCTCCAAGATCCAGGAGGCTCAGATGACCTCCGTCCTTGACCCCAACGTGCACAACCTCAGAGTGGAGGGTTCTTTCGACGATTGCCAGGACATTGTCAAGGCCCTCTTCGCCGACAAGGACTTCAACACTACCCACAACATCGCCGCAGTTAACAGCATCAACTGGTGCCGAATCCTCGCCCAGATGACCTACTACTTCCACTCCTACTTCTCCCTGATCAAGTCGCCCGCCTACAACAAGGACTCCAAGGTCCGCGTAGTAGTCCCCTCCGGTAACTTCGGTGACATCCTAGCCGGCTGGTTCGCCAAGAAGATGGGTCTCCCCGCCGACAAACTCGTCATCGCCACCAACGAGAATGACATTCTCGACCGCTTCTTCCGCAGCGGTGGCCACTACACCAAGAAGGCCCTCGACTCCCCCACAGACCACGGTGTCAAGGAAACCCACAGTCCCGCCATGGACATCCTAGTCAGCAGCAACTTCGAGCGTCTCCTTTGGTTCCTCTCCTACCAGTCCGCTTCCGCAGGCTCAGCCGAAGAGCGCCGCAAGTACGCCTGCGACAGCGTCAGAGGCTGGCTCGACGATCTAAAGACCAAGGGCGGCTTCCAGGTCCCCAGCGCCGTCCTTGAAGGCGCCAAGGTCGACTTCGAAAGCGAGCGCGTCAGCAACGACGAGACCATTACCACCATCCGCGATATCTACTCCACCTCCTTCCCTACTGGCCTCACCGCCGGCAGCGCTAAGAGCTCTGTGACCGGTGGCTACATCCTGGACCCCCACTCCGCCGTCGGTGTCGCCGCCTCCCGCCGCTCTATCGTCCGCAACCCCGGCGCGGCCCACATCTCTCTGTCGACTGCCCACCCGGCCAAGTTTGCTAGCGCTGTTGACCTTGCTCTGCGGTCCGAGAATGGCTACAACTTCACTGAGATCTTGCCTCAGGAGTTCATTGGAATCGAGCAGCGTCCAAGCCGTGTCACCGATGTTGGTCGTGAGGCTGGTTGGCAAGGTGTGAAGGAGATTGTCAAGGCTGAGGTTGAGCAGGAGCTTCAGGGTCTCCGTTAAGTTTTGGTTAAATGTGGTTTTGTTTTGTTTGGACTTGACATAGACCAGACCGTTTGTATATGTGCAGTGCATAGTAACGATTTAGGGTACTACCTTTTTAAAAATATCCACTGTTGGTTTCCTTATCAGACACACATGAATTCGTCACCCATATCGCCCATAGATCGTTCTTCGTATGTAGACAGGTCTATACTGTCTGAGTCCCAGCGTAGAGAACAAAGAACTGCAATTTATTGCTTCCCAGATCTCTCAAAGTGGCGCTAGTCAAGTAAGGATTTGCAGTTAGTCGGAGGAGAATGACTAGTCTGGAGATTGTGGACACCCGCCCTGTTGCATATCTGTAGAGAGAGGCTCGCCACTATGATTATTTGAATTATAGCATACTATTAAAATTGGTTGACCTGCACTGTTCTTCTTCTAAGAGCTAAGAGCGTTAGCGGCGTCGCTATGATGCACTTTTCCATCGAAAAACCTCGGTGGTCTGTTGTGCAGTATCTGGTCACTTTGATGAGTTCAAGCTCTTGTCACGTTTATGGCGATCGATCATGCAATCAGGTAAATATCGGTGTTACTGATTGTTTTCCGAATGTCTGGGTTTTGTTGCGTTATAAAGTGAGAAAGTCATTTGGTAAAGACTATCACCAGAAAGCAGTATGGGGAACATGTGCTCTTGGGCAATGGTAGTTGGTCTTATCCTGGAGATTTCGCTGTTTGCGGTCTTAGTGTAGTATTTGATACCAAAACGGTTGGACTTTGACTTAGAGAGTCCTGAGAGCAACGTAGAAGCACAAAGTGAGACTGCACTGTAGACGATCTAATAGCCAAACGTCGAATTTGATATTTTCAAGTGCTTGAATTTTTTTGTTGAAAAAGAAGAGGCATAGAGGAATCATAGATCGGAATTGGTAGAATACAGTGAAATAATAAAATCAAGTCGAGCAAGGTATTCAAATGCAATACTTTTCAACGTATACTAGTATCAATGAAGGAAAAGAGAAATCAAAGCATAAGACTCTATATTACTATTAGTGTATTGATTATAGGCCCAACAAATTAGAAAAGACAAAAATCTCGAAATGACCAAGCAACTCTCGTTTCTCAGCTCCAGACCCCGTCAAGAACAGGAGAAGAGAAGACCAAGGGAAGCCTATAACAAGGCAGACACACAATACTCAGAATCCATGAGATATCTCTGATCCGCACCACGAGGACCAGAAGAATTCAGGATTTGAGAAGAAGGGGCAATTACTCAACCCCAGCCAGACCACACCCGAAGGGTGGATCCGTTGTCAAGACGTGCTCAACTGATTTACAGGAGAGCCATCATACCGACGATACCGGCAAGGAGACCGGCAGCGGGCTTGACGTTGGAGGCAGCACCAGTGAAGGTGTTGGGGGTGGAAGAGGAGCCGGGCTGCTCGGGGGTAGATGGGGTAGACTCGGGAGTAGAGGGAGTCTCGGGGGTGGTGGACTGCTCGGGGGTAGAGGGAGTCTCAGGGGTGGTGGACTGCTCAGGGGTGGAGGGCTGGCTGGCGGCAGGGACAGCGGGGACCGAGGCGGCGGGCTGGCTAGCAGCAGGGACAGCGGGAACTGAGGCAGCAGGGACAGCGGGGACCGAGGCAGCGGGCTGGCTGGCAGCAGGGACAGCAGGAACCGAGGCGGCGGGCTGGCTAGCAGCAGGGACAGCGGGAACTGAGGCAGCGGGCTGGCTAGCAGCAGGGACAGCGGGAACTGAGGCAGCGGGCTGGCTGGCAGCAGGAACAGCGGGCTGGCTGGCAGCAGGAACAGCGGGCTGGCTGGCAGCAGGAACAGCGGGCTTGCTGGAGGCAGGCACAACAGGAACAGCGGGCTTGCTGGAGGCAGGCACAACAGGCACAACGGGCACGCTGGAGGCAGGCACAACGGGCACAGCGGGCTTGGAAGAAGCGGGAGGAGGAGCAGGGGTCTCAGAAGACACAACGACGGCGCTGGTGACCTTAGCGGGAGCGGTAGGGCCAGCAGTGGCGGGCACAGTAGCGTTGGAGAAGGTCATGGGCTTCTCCTCGCACTGAGTGCAGACGGTGGTCTTGGTGATGGTGATGGTGCTTGTTCCAGTGACGGGGACGGTGAAGGTCTTGGAGCCCGAGGTGTGGGTCTCAGTGGTGACTAGGTCAATATTAGCAAGTTGGATCATGGCTTGATGTGGTTAGTTAAGTGAAGCTTACCAGGGCAGGTGGTGGTCACGATAGTGAGGGTCTTGGTGGTGCCCGGGTTCACAGGAGTGTGAGGCTTGGTGTGGGTGTGCACCGGGGTGGTGGAAGTGGTGGGCTTAGTCTCCGTGGTGTGAGTGTGCACCGGGGTGGTGGAGGTGGTGCAAGGAGTGGTGGGCTTGGTCTCCGTGGTGTGGGAGTGAGTCGGGGTGGTGTGGGTGTGCACCGGGGTGGTGGAGGTGGTGCACGGGGTGGTCCACGACTCATGCTTGTCGGTGGGACGAGTGAAAGACTCGTGGGCGGGCTTGGACCAGCTCTCGCCCCAGGCCTCAGCCTTGGGAGCGACGGCAGAAGCCTGAGCAGCGGGATTGATGAAGTCCTCACCACGAGCTTGCATGACACCGGCAAAGGCCGGGCTGGCAACAAGGGCCAAGAGAGCAACGGAGTTGATCATTTCGAGAAATTAAGGTCTTGCTTAAGAAACTTGAAGATAACGAGTGAAGATGGAATGGATGAAGAAAAAGAAGATTCGACAGGAGAGATGCCAGTTTATATGTCCTTTGCGATCAGTCACGATAGACATGGGTGCCACGGTCGTGTCCAGGAGAAAAAAAGGCAGACCTGATCCACAATATCACCGTCTGAGGCTGAATGCAGGAACAGTGACAGCCGAACGGTGAATGACAAAGGCACGAATGCAAGTTCATTGGATAATAAAGTTTTAGCAATGATACATCGATATGGCGGACTTGGATGCAAACGTGACAGCATGTAGTATCATTTTGGCAAGTAGTGCAGGAGTTCCCCATAAAGTAACCAAATGCGGAAGCATGGAGTAAAAGCGCTTGAAGATCGACAGCGCCCGTTCCGGATCTGCAAGATCTGTCAAGAAAACGATGAGATGATTGGATCTTCAATAGTTTCAATTGCAAATTCTCTTCATGTCAGACGAAAAGAAGGCTGTCATTAGTTGACTCAATGATCAAGCAAGAACTGCTGAGAGGGTAATTTTGATCATAGCGTTATCGTGCCAAAGACACTTACTCCGCACACAAAAGGGGTTCATATTCCGAGGGCCGGGGCTTGGTGTGGCACAAGACATTATACTGTATTGTGATGGACCATGTAGGGAAACCCTCTAATTGAGGGTAAAGATCCTGCGACCCTAACTCCACGCCATCGAAAAGTCCAAGAGCGTCGACCAGGAAGCAGCAGAGCAGGCTTTACGAATGGGAGCGTCGCCTGGGGTAGACTGGAATGTGGGGATGGCGTCAAACTGGGTGCATAATTACCCAATTGGCGCATGCTATACTGTAGGAATGTACAGGGCTTGGACATATCCCAAACAAAGCGTTCCCGGGTAGATCACAATAAGCTTCTACATGGAAGCAATTCATGGAATATCATGGACTATAGCGTCGTTGACAGTCATCAATGACGAGGAGATGTCGCTCTCGCTTTCGCACCAGACGTGGCCAAGGCTTGGCTGCGAACATTGCAGTGGACCTTTCGCCGGAAAGAGAGAATGGAGAGGTGAAAATTCTCTGGCCAATCCAATTCGATGACCTGTGTCGTACCGTTGCTGTACAGTTTTTAAACACTGGGACCACCTGCAAAGTCTAGATGTCATCCAAGGTTCTTTCTGACAGCGACAGGTACAGTGAGGCTGTGGTCCGCAAGCGGACATGGGTGAGACATGATCGTTCAAAGCGTAAGTAGGTAGCCCCTTCTGCTTTGTCAGTCATGTTGACAACTTTGAAGTAATCCCTGAGGCAAGAGAGGTGTCGTCCGGATGCAGCCATAGATAGAAATTACCCTTTTAAGAAGGCACGTGACCTAGGGCATAGGGCAGACGCGTGCACGGGTCTCCAACGCGTCGCGCGTCGCTATTTCCCGTTTAGGGTGTTTAATTGGCAGCTCAGTCCATCTGCCATCGCCAACTCCCTTACAATGCCTCACTCTGTATCGCCTATCGGTGCAGCTCAGCCTGATGATGAAATGCCGGACGCTCCTCCAGCCGAGACTTCAACCGAGAACAGCGGTGTCAAACTGGCAGACATGTTCGACGACGACGACGATGATGATGACGAGTTCCCTGCCTCCAGTGCTCCAGGCGTAAAAGTAAAGGAGGAGTAAGTCATCATCTGCACAGAAAAGTCTCTATAACTTATGAAAATCTCTCTACAGGCCGGCTCCTGCACCCTCAGGCGTGGACGAGGATATCATGCTTGCTTTTTACCAACGACTGTTTCCATTCCGATATCTTTTCCAGTGGCTCAACCATGGAATCATACCAACAAAGGATTTTGGAAACCGCGAGTTTGCACTCACTCTCCAAAATGATGCCTATCTCCGATACCAATCATACGCCACTGCGGACCTGTAAGGCTCTATCACAAGTACCACGATACCCATGTTGTATCCAAACTGACTTCGATTGGAATAGCTTCCGCAAAGATATTCTCCGAATGAATCCCTCTCGTTTTGAAATCGGACCTGTCTACAGCACCAACCCTCGAGACCGCAAAACGATGCGAGGCGGCCAAATGAAGCCCGTGTCGAAGGAACTGGTTTTCGATATTGATTTGACAGACTACGACGACATCCGTACTTGCTGTGTTAAGGCAAACATTTGTGCCAAGTGCTGGTCATTCGTAACAATGGCAATCAAAGTTATTGACACCGCTCTGCGGGAGGACTTCGGATTTGAACATATTCTTTGGGTATACTCAGGTCGTCGTGGTGCCCACGCTTGGGTTTGCGATCCGCGTGCACGCAATTTGCCGGATGATCGACGACGTGCTATTGCCGGTTATCTCGAAATCCTTCGTGGTGGTTCGCAAAGCGGCAAGAAAGTGAACGTGAAGCGGCCATTGCATCCTCATATTGTACGAAGTCTTGAACTGCTCAAGCATGACTTTGCTCGAACCACGCTTGGTGAGCAAGACACGTTTGAGAGTGCTGAGCAGGCCGAGCGTCTTTTGGCCTTGTTGCCTGATAAGACCTTAAACGAGTCTTTACGGAAAAAATGGGACTCATCACCAGGTCGTGCCAGTGCCAGCAAATGGGCAGACATTGATTCACTCGCTAAAACCGGCAAGAGCAGCACGTTGAACCCAGCTACCCTTCGAGACGCCAAGCAGGATATTGTCTTGGAATACACCTATCCACGCCTGGATGCCGAAGTCAGTAAGAAGATGATTCACTTGCTGAAGAGTCCATTCGTCATTCACCCTGGTACTGGTCGTATTTGTGTACCCATCGACCCCCGCAAAGCCGAAGAATTTGATCCTCTTTCTGTCCCAACAGTTATGAACCTGCTGGCGGAGATTGATGAATACGATGCGAAGCACCCTGCCGGAACAGCGGAAGCTGAAGTTCCAGAGGTTGAAGGCAGTGCAGTGAATGGCTCTGACATGAAAGGGAGTCGCAAGCTGCAGGACTATGAGAAGACTAGCCTCAAGCCATATATCGAGTTTTTCCGTTCCTTTATTGCAGGGCTCGTGAAGGAAGAACGGGCAGGCAAGCGCGAGCGCGATGAGAGTGGGCCTGGTATCAAGGCTGATCCCATGGAATTCTAGTGGATATAGGCCTATCCATGTGGCTGTTTAGCACCGTCTTATATCCTAGCATTATGACCTTATGCTCTATTAATTCTGTTCCATTATCCTATCTTGGGTGTTGACGGCGATTTTATGATTTATGTGGGAGTTGGGCGTTTCACTTGCACGGAAGTGGTTGTCTGGCCATTAAATTCAGACTATTGCATTTACTGCCTCTCATATTATGAAATCTATCAGACTCAAGATTTAGTGGATATCTTCCGGATGTCTGGTGTAGGAACCAGCCATCTTTGCTGTACTTTCAAAGTTGTATTTTACGCCCTCAAACCCTCTGAATGGTGCAAATAACGACCCTGGTGATGAATTTAGTATAATGGTGTGATACTGTATGCGTTCATTGAGGATCTGTGAAACCTTCCATGTGACTTGGGTTTTTATTACCAGTCTTGCTTTGACCATCAGAATATACTTTGTCAAAAGTGATCTTGCCTTGATGAAAATTACTTTGAATAGCATAAAAGAGACCATTTCAGTCATAATCCAATTGAACTGGTTGTATATTGAGAGGTATTGGTACAAGTCAAGTCGCACAAGTGGAAGTACTAGAGCAGACCCAGAATATGGAGATGGGAAGAGAGCTTCACAACAAACAGATTTGCCTTGAAGGGAACTCCCTCCTGGAAAGATTAAATGGGGATTGGGGAAGTTGAGAGGTATAGGAAATTTATGCGCCGACGAAGTTCTTGACAGCTGGGAGAGAGACATCCCATTAGCAAGCAGTTTCAAAAAGGGTAAGATAGGAAAGAGAACATACCATCCAACCAGCGAAGGTATTCCTTCTGCTCCTTGACGGAGATGTAGTCGGGAATCATGTTGGCGAACTCGGCGTTAAGGCCACGCTCCTCAAGGTAGCGCTCCCAGAGACCCTGGAGGTCCTCATCGAGGTTCTCGAACGGAGGACCGGCGTAGAGGCTCTGACGAGCCCAGTCCTTCTCGGCGGTCTGGGCCTGGGCGAGCTCAGCCTTGGCGAAGTGGGAAACCTCCTCGATCTGGAAGACACCGTCCTGGACGACAGTCTGGATCAAGAGGGCACCGAGGTTGGCCTTCTCGATAGTGACATTAACGCGGGCGGGGAAGCTAGGCTCGGGCTGCTCAAGCTCCTCAGCACCCTGGTTCTGGTTTTGGAAATCCAGCTCATCGGTCAGAGCGGCATCGTCAAATTCGTCATGCTCGCTGATGTTCTGGATGTCGGCGACGGTGAAGCTGACGCGGATGCTGCACAAGCATTTAGATTAGTATTTTTGTCCACACACAAAAGAATCGAAACGGTAATGGGCTGGCATGGGGTAGATCGTACTTCTCGTTGCCAAACTTCTTAGATAGGATAACCTCCTGCTCGCCCTGAACGTCCTTGACGGCCCACTCGCCACTCTTGACAATGGCATCGATGGTCTCCTGCTGCTCCTCGAACTCAGGAACATCGGAGGCCTTCTCATGCTTCAGTTCATCCTCGAGCTTGGCAAGAAGTTCGACATCGCCTAAAAAAAAAAACAATCAAGTCAGCCTCAGGCCATGTGTCGAGTTTGTGATCGGGAAAGACCGGATTCTCGCGGACTCTATCCAATTGAACAGAATGCATCTTACCTTCAGATGCGGGGGCCTTGAAGATGGAAGAGGTCGAGAAAGCAGCGTAGGCGGGCTTGACGGCCTGCTGGAAGGGCTGACGCAGCGCGGGCTTAGCAAACGCTGATGGGCGCAGAGCCGAAGAGGCAATGGAGCGCGAAAAGGTACGGGGGACCGAACGGGAGATAGTGCGAAGGGAAAGCATTGTGAATGTAGATAAAATGATCGGGGGATGAAGGAAGAAGAGAGCTTGGGAAAAGATGGAGGAGCTAACCCGATGATGTTGCCAGTGCCAAGACTTCTCCAGTTCGGCTCTACGTCTACGTGCATTCGAGCAAATTCCAGGAAAAGAAAGTTGATATGAGTTATATTTGAAATATTCGGCTGTACAGAATCTAAAAGAGTCAATGTACCCATCATGCGCCATCCCAGTTCTTTTTGGACACCAAACAATGTAAAAAAAAAATCAAAGCAATCGTGATCATGACATGCGATTGGGAGGGAAGCTTGAAGCCAGCTTTTCTCCGTCCTTCTTGACTCGGATGAACTTCATGGCGCTGAGGCCTGACCAGTCTCGGTTCCAGGCCTTCAATGTGGTCAAGACATATGAATCACTGAGGTCGGGCATCCAGAGACCGGTGGTGAACTCCCGATCCTCAACCTGCACACGCTCCTTCAAGGCCTCTTCCCGCTTGCTTGCAGGGCGTCCTTTGCGTCGCTCTGATTGAAGTTGCTCAATCTCCGGGGTATCACGGTTGATGTAACTAGTAAAGATAAGCCTCGAGTACAGTGTGTGGCATGCGGGCAGCACATACGTCTTGACAAATTCAGCCAGACCCTCGTCCGAAAGGGCTTCCTCAATATCCTGCACTGTCTCATAGATATAATCGATTCGATCCACTAGCCAAGTTAGTTGAATGACGCGCAAATTACGAGTCAATATGTCTCACTGTATGGCTGACGGGCTCTCATCACAGTGGCGGAATGGCGGGACAGTCGATCATCTCGAGCGCCGGCCTTACGCAGCCGGTGGGCGTCGCGGCTATTCTCATGGAGTGCATTGATAACTCCACGCTTCTTGGAGATCTGCTTATGAACTTTTGTAAGGGCGACAGGCATGATGGCGGTTCTGGTGAGAAATTCACTCCGTAGTCCGCGATGATAATTTTCTTGGGATGCACCTGCAGAATTGGGCGGTGACTTAAAATCACCGCCTTCCCCACTCGCCAAAAGCGCGTCCTGCGCGTCGAGATGGGAACGAACATTCCTGTGGAGTTATTTATTCCCTCGGCTGTTGAACTCATCTTCAACTTGGGTCCGACACTACACTTGTTACTACTTGGCTGCTTGTGAAATTGGAAGTCTATGTCCACATTTATTGCCTGAATTCGAGGACCCGCCTGTGCCTCGAACGGTGTCCACCATGGGCATCAAAGGTACGTTGCCAGATATTTACCAAGGGCAACTGAACAATACTTACATTGAGGTTAGGACTCCACGGGCTTCTTAAGTCCATTCAGAAGCCATGCCACATCAAGAAGTTCAGTGGGCAAACACTTGGAGTCGATGCATATGGATGGCTGCACCGTGGTACCGTTGCTTGTTCCGTGGATCTGGTCCTGGACAATCCCACTAGGAAGTAAGGCTTACTCTGATGTTCACATAACGCACTGATGACCATGAGGCTCATTTAATGACAGACACCTTGATTTCGTTCTCAACCGAGTACGCATGCTTCTTTTTTTCGGAGTCAAGCCCTACCTCGTTTTCGATGGCGACAATTTGCCCAGCAAGTCAGGTACAGAGCAGGATCGACACCAGAGGCGTCAGGAAAGCAAAGCCCTTGGACTCGAATTGCAACGGAAGGGGAGGCTGCCGGAGGCATACCAAGAATTTCAAAAGGCCGTCGACGTGACGCCCTACATGGCCCGCCAACTGATTGAAGAATTGAAGCAAATGAATGTGCAATATGTGGTGGCACCATACGAGGCAGATGCACAGTTGGTGTATCTCGAGCAGCAGGGCGTCATTCATGGTATCATATCAGAGGATTCCGATCTGCTTGTCTTTGGAGCTAAGCGGTTGCTTTCGAAACTGGACCAGCATGGAGAATGCATCGAGATTAACCGCGCTGACTTCACAAGTTGTCGTGAAGTTAGCCTAGTGGGCTGGAGTGATGCGGATTTCAGACGCATGTGCATTTTGAGTGGCTGTGATTATTTGGCAAATATTCCGAAGATGGGACTAAAGACTGCATACCGAGTCATTCGCAAGCATAAGACTGTTGAGAAAGCTCTGCGCATGCTCCAATTTGAGGGCCAATTTCGTGTCCCGGCCGACTACCAGGCCAACTTCAATCAGGCCGAGCTGACCTTCCTTTACCAGCGGGTTTTCTGCCACAAAGCTGAAAAGCTAGTCACCTTGACCCCGCCTGAAGATGGTGTCAACTTGAACGACTTACCATACATTGGTGGTGATATGGAACCTGAAATTGCTCTTGGTGTTTCTAGGGGTGACCTGGACCCCACTACCAAAGAACCCATTTGCATAAAGCCAATTTCTACCAATAAGTGGTCTCTGGGTATCAACCGTCGCCAGACATTGGGGACTTCCTCCGAGTTGAAGCCAAGGAAGCCGATTAATTCGTTCTTTACCCCGAAGCGTACTCCTCTGGCCGAACTAGATCCCAACAGTTTGACTCCATCACCCAGTCAGCAGCGACTGTTGGAACGCAACTCGAACAACTCTTGGCAGGCCAATGCGGCTCCCTCGCGTTCGAACTCTGTTAGGTCCACCCCTCTGCGGGCCTTCTCTGATCAAGGTCTTAGCCCGATGATTCGAAGTGTTGAGCGGTCATCCTTCCTGGCGCAGAGTGCAAGGTCATCGACTTTGCAACCGACAAAGCGACAAAGACTATGCTCCGAGACTGAGGGAGACTCGCTGCCTGCACATCCTTCGGCGCGCAGTCGGTTCTTTGTCCCCAGCACTGAACAAACTAGCCCCAGTGGACAAAAACTGTTTAGATCTAAGAAGCCCCGGCAGTCCGTGATGGATGTGTTCTCTGATGATGTGGCAGAAGACATCATGTCCAGCATTCCCGACCCGAGCGCAACATCCAGGCTGGGCGAGTCCCAACCTGAGAGTAATACCGAAACACCTGCCAAACCGAGTAAGGTTGATACCTCTGTCTCCCAGCCTACAAACAGTGGGGCATCGACAAGCACAGATATGGAGAAACCCCACAATTCGTCCGAGGATGACCCCACCAACTCCCCAACTTTTAATGAGGCTCTTCAGTATCATGTTGACCGTCAGAACTCGGGTCTCCTATCCAAGTTCACCTTCAAGTCTGGCCCAACACTGCCCGAACCAATGCTGGAGGCTGCTATTCCTCGCTCTCCCATGACAAAGATCCCCGTTGCTCAATTTCAGCAACCCGTGCCTCCGTCGACGCCCAAGACAAGCAGCATTGCTCGCGGAAATACTGCTCAACGACGCCTGACACCTCTGCAGCGTGTGGGACACGCTGCACTCGCTCGTTCTAATTCTATCAACCTACCTACAAAGCTTCGGGGTGCAACTTCAGTGGAGCCTTGGACCGAACAACCTTCCCCGGTCTCGAAAGAGTCATCATATACGGGCATCATCAATACCCAAGGCAGCGAGGATCAGATTGTTCCTGATAGCGAGGATGAGGAGGAAGAGCCCAGCGTTGGGCTTTCTGCTGCTCCTTTGGATCTCAAGCGCTTTTCTTTTACAACAAATTAACATCTGCATCGAAATTATTGGTTAGGGAGCATTGGGACAGGAAACATCTTGGGAGCCGGGTGCATTGGGCCACTGGTCATTTTTCTTTTGTTCTTTCTTGGCGCAACTGTGTTTGATATTGTTAGGTATATTGTTGCAGCATTGGGTAGTGTTTTGAAATATCAGCATATTAGAAGCCTGAAACAGGACCCATAATCGCCTTGTAAGCCCAACATGGCATATCTACGAGGTTGGGTGAATTGCGTGGCGCCTCCCGGTGGAACCCAACTTTATCGGGATCTGCGCTAGTCCAGATCAGGCCTAGCACAGACCCTCTCGCCCGTGTCGAGGGCAGAATTGCCTGTCTGAGAAGGCGGTCAGCCTTGGTTGCTGGGGAAGCGGGAGAGTAAACAAAGGTGGTTGGCCCAGCCTCCCATATTCCTATACACTTGCCTCATCCCCAGCCTCCAAATTCTTGCGAGAATCAGAATAGCGTGACGTGGAATCTTGAGCCAGCTACGGTCCCTTCTTTTCCTATCCCTTCCATTCCTTCTACACATTCCTCTCTTTCTGCCCGTGTCACCTGTTCCGTTGTATGCTGTCCAGACGTCTAGACAAATCTCTGACCCATCTCAATACTCCGCAGGTGCGAACCAGATAATACAGAGAGTCGATCCGCCTGTCAATCTGCCCGTGTGCTTCGACCTCGAACACATCCTGAACGAAACGACACCTGTGTTATCCTCCGCATTCTTTGTCCACATTCCAACGATCTTGATACCCGAAAGGCTTGTCATTGACACCAATCACGACCAGTGATCGATTGAACAGCACGCTGGGCTCTGAGATCTATTCCGGCTTCGAAACTCCTCCTCGGGGATCCGAGAAGTGAGTCAAGACATTTGAAAGGTCAACCTGGTGTTGATAATCGTTCGACACAATGGCAACCCCATTCGCTCAAAAATGGGCTCGTAAGTTATCATTCTTCTTTTGATCTAAGAGTATTGGAACGTTGTAGCTAATTACGACGCAGGCTTCATTCCTATGATCGGGTACCACCATGTTCTCATGATTATTATTGCAGTTGCAATTATCCTATTATGTGAGTGTACAGGACACAAGTTATTTGCTATGCGCATGTGGCAGCCACTAACTTTCTTCTTCTTAGCTCTTCTATTGGCCGGATGCTCTTCATCTTCACCACAGATCCCCAATATCTTCCTAATCTCGCTTTACTATGAAAAGTACAATCCTATCAGAGATCTCTCACAAGTACAGCCTGACGTTGCCACCGCCATCTCGAACATTGTTGGTGGTGCAGAGATGGAAGTTCGAGTTGGGTACTTTGGCATCTGTGTTCAGCCCGATAGAGGCTCATTCATTTGCAATGCCAATGCGACAGCGTTGGCTGAGATTGTCACTGTGGACCAAGACCCACTCAACTTAATCTGGGTTGCATCCACATTCAAGGATGCTGTTGTGTTCCCATACCTCCTGTGAGTCCACCAAAATTGCAGTATTGACTTTTGCTAATCATGAAACAGCATCGTTGCGGTCATTCTCGCATTCTTCTGCTTTATCCTACTCGCTACCTTTCCCGGTTGGCACGACGAGATCGATGAAACTGGATCGGAGCGTGAAGTCAAGCCTTTCCCCTCGCGACCCGTGTCTCAGGTCGCCCTCGCATTGATCTTTGTGTCATCCGTCTTTGTTCTTGTCTCTGTGCTATGGCAGCACACGGCATCAGTTGCGGCAAGTACCATCGCACAAGATATGGGCAACGGTAGTGTCAAAAGTGGCGTCGGATCCTCCGCCATGGTATTAGGTTGGTTTGGATTTGTCCTACTTGTCATAGTGACCGTCGGCCTTCTTTTCATGATCTTGAGCCTCAGTCTGATCCGGAAATTGACCGACGATGAATGATCTGGGTGATCCTATCGATCGACCTCAACTCTCAAGCAAACCCGTTTGCTTTTTCTTTTTGCTTTTTACGACTTACCTCAACCTCTACTTCACCTGCGCCATACCCTTCTTATAGCAGGACGACACAAATGGGAAATGAATAATAACTACGAGCACATGACACAGCTCACAACTCACGGAATGGATGGAAACGGAATACGACACTTGGGTGGATTGGATTTCCAATGGGAAATATGAATTTTTGGACAGCTTGGGATTTTCACGAACATATTTGAGGATTTAAGTTCTCGCATGATTTCTTCGTCGTTGATATAAGACAAGACCGACTATCAATCTTAAGAGTCACCACCTCTGGCTTTTCTGCTGATCTGTCGGGACTATGCCTTTTTTCTGACGTAGAATACAATGCCATTGAGTTACGCTTTTGTACAGTTTTCTTTATCTGCTGGTGTTTTGGACTTTTGTTGTGTGGATTATTGATTTCATGTTGGGCACTCGGCGTGCGATTTAAGTTATCTGATGTATAAAACAGTTTTTGTTCTTCATTCGTACTCTGTCTCTTTCTTCATCCAGTCCTGCAAATTCTACATAGTACTTTATTTTTATCAGACCTTCAATATCAGTAGTTATCAAACGCTTCATAGTGATGGAGACTACCAAGTCACCAGGTAGCCACTCCTAAAATCAGAGAACAGAAAGTTCCTTTCAAACGAAGGAAGTTATCTATTAACAGCTTTAGTTACAGGGTCATGCTAGTTCTCTAAACACTGCCACTCCGTAACATGGGCAGAATCAGAGCATCAGACAATGGTTCCATTGGATGGTTCGAATAGGGTTAAGTGGGGCGTGATCAACTTCATCGAGTGTGGGGCGACTGCTAGATCGGGCTACCACGACTCTAGATCTCATGAGAAGCGGCACTGTCGGTGACGAAAGACTCGTCTGGGAGGTCTGGATTGCTGCAGGTTTTCCGAGTATCAGTCAAAAGTTGGCATTCTCTTGGCTCACATCTTTCAATCCACTGTCACATTTTCCAATACAGGATAGAGACTCGAACCCTTACATGTATTGCGCATAAGAGAGCAGAATGATAGTTTCTTAAGCCTGCAGCAGTTGCTTTTTGTTTTTGAGCGTCAGTCTTCGCAAGGTAAAAGATATTCATAAGCTATGCGTACAAGACTAGAGCCCTTGAACTTAAAAAGACAAGCACCTCAGTGCTGAGTTGTGATCGTAAAATATGGATAAGAAGTACGAGGCACCCTGCGCCAACCCATTGCTGATGCACGCCAAACCCTGATGCAAGAAAACCCTGGAATGATACAGGAAGTCATATCCGATATTCTGGGATGAGCTTTTCAAAGCTGCGGCGGAAATGCTGGACACCTTTTGAGGATCAGTAGTCCATGGCATACGCTCCTCGTCCAGCACCGCCATGACCTCCCCCATCGCCATGGGAGGCTCCACCATAATCATCCAGCGACTTGTAGTGGTATGCTGCATGGTCGCCGCGGCCGCGACCTCGTCCACGGGAGCCTCTGTTGGCACGTCCACGTGTATTACCACGGGCACGGCCACGATAAGCTCCGCGTCGAGGACTTTCGTCAGAGTACTGGCCTCCACCTCGTTGGTTGGAGTTGTGACCGCCACGGGAATAAGATGATGCCCCATCATAGCTAGCATGATGTGTGGTCTGAGCCACGCCACTGTCATCTCGATCCTGGAAACGTCGCTTGTGGCTTTTATTCATGGTATATTGACCTTCGGTCTCAATCTTCAAGACGACCTTTTCTCCAACAACAGTGTCAAATACCATAGCCTGATCAGCAGGAACTGGGTGCCAATTTTGAATTCTCCCTGCGTCAACAAGGCGAGAGCCTTTGCGCACAGCCAGGACTACAATCGGCAGTGGGTTATCAGAATACACCGGCTCTGTTGCCGAGACAGGCGCCACGCGGGCAGCCCAGATTTTGTTTTCAAAGGTTCCGGTACCGGTAACCTTCCACTTGATGTTCTTGCCCATGCCTCCAACCTTGTCCAGAATGGAACGAGGGGCTGGGCGTGGGGTGATAAGAATGCTGTTAGCCATGTATTTGAGGTCATTAGAGTCAGCAAGACCAGGGGGTAGTGCTGGAACCAGCAAGTTCTCAGTCATCCTGTTTGAGTCCTCTTGGGAAAGAAGATATCCAGTGTAGAAAACAACGCGTTTGATGCTTAAACGACCATTGCGAATGTTTTTTGTGGATAGAGATGGTTCACGCAAAGCAAGATTGTGAGAATTAATCATGCGCTGCACTTCAGCGGTTTCGGCTACGGGATCAAGATATGTGCAGCCTTCAGTTACCTGGATCACTTCAGCAAGAATGGGCGCACGTGTGGTAGAAGAGGAAGCTCCAATCTGAAGCTTTTTGTTCATCTCTTCGAAGTAGTCCCGGAATGCTTTCACACTAGTAGAATGTTAGCACCCAAAGATACTCGCAGTGACCTCGTAAACTCACTGCTTGACACGATCTTCGTAGACGCGAATCTCTTCAGCCTGCTCGTAAGTGAGAACCAAATCTTCAAGGAAGGCCTGTTTGAATTCCATGGTTGATGAAAACCGCTGTCCATGTGGACCAACCTCGGGCTTGAGACCGATGAGATCGAATTCGAGTTTTTGGCTTGCCACCATCCGCTTGATGATGTCGGCAAACCCAGCCTCACTTCGGCCGGTCAACAGCACTGTGAGGGCATCTTTCTGCTCCATACTCATGCGTACCAAGCGAAGCTTTTGAAGGTCAGTTGAACTGTTCCTGGAGTGTAGGGTATATTGGAAGCCGCACAATTTGCTCATTCCACCAGCCTTCCCATGCGCGGGGCTCTTCAACCTCCACACCCTTTCCTGTTGTACCGAGGATGTTTGGGTCGTGCCACCACCCTCCATTGGCGAAGTGGTCCACGGATTGAAGGGATCCAATTGATGATCCATGCCATATCTGCGGGTTTGGCAACGGACTTAAGAATACTGCGAGGAATACGATATTAGCGACGGATTGACAAGGCTGAGATCGGTACTAAGTTGGGGGTCTCACGGGTGTTGTCAAAGTCGTAAACGTGAATTGCGCGGATCTTGCGCATAGCTATAGTGATAATCACGATTGTCAGTATATCCTAAGGCGGATTGACCAGGCTGTAATTCTTACCTGGGAGTTCTTTGTTCACAATAGACCAACGTCGCAGCGAGGTAATGGTGTGCGGCCTATTGTTGGCATGTATCCCGCTGGTGCTGTGAGCCATGGTGGAAGCTCCAAGGCGCGCGAGTTTCTCAGAAACGACTGCTTTGGCAGACCGCATACTATGGCCTTGTCAATGCAGAAAATATGTCTAGCGCATTTCGCAGAAACGCAGAAAGAGTTGAATGGTGAAAGAATGACGAAATGAGGAAGCGACAGAAGGAAAGAACCGAGTCGGAAGAAAGGCGCCAGGGAGGTTTTGCCGCCCGCTGAACGTGACTCCACCAACCTTATGGACGATGAGGTACGACAGCAAATTCTCCAGCGAACTCTGCAGGAGGTGGACGAGGAGTCTGCTATTGCCAATCCCTGTGTTATTTGTCTAGACAAAATCACCGAACCCTGCGTGGCTCAGCCATGTCATCATGCCAACTTCGACTTCTTGTGCCTCGTCAGTTGGCTGGAGCAACAACCTACCTGTCCCCTATGTATGTATACATTGCTCATCTGCTCTGACTGTAGCTGACCCGACTGTGCGACAGGTAAATCCGAGCTGACAGCCGTCGAATACGAACTCGAAGCCCCGGAAGGCCCGAAGCTATACAAGGTTCCGCCGCGGATCGCGAAGCCCCCCACACCAGCAGCGCCTAGATCACGCCCAGGGCCTCGCCACGGCCCTCGAGGAGGACGCAACTTTCCCCAGCCGTCTCGCCCCCAGCTCGATGATCCCCTTGAACGCCGGCGCAATGTGTATCGCAACCAGACATACTCTATGCGAGTTGGGACCAATCGCCTATCGCAATATCGAGAATTGACACCGGAGCTCTTCAACCGAGACGAAGAGCTTGTCTCAAGGGCTCGGAAGTGGATCCGCCGTGAACTGAAAGTGTTCAGCTTCTTAAACCCTGAAACTGAGGAGCAAGAGCGGACGCCCCAGCAGCAAGTGTCACGTCCGGGGCACCAACGGCTGGAGAATCGCAGAGCGAACAATGCCGAGTTTCTCCTTGAGTATGTAATCGCCATCCTGCGCACCGTTGATCTTAAAGGAAGTGCTGGACAGTCAGAGGAGCTGTTGCGCGATTTCATTGGACGCGAGAATGCTCGTTTGTTTATCCATGAATTACAGGCATGGCTGAGAAGTCCCTACATGTCGCTTGAAGACTGGGACCGCCATGTACAGTATTCAAACACTGCCAGGGCAACATCTGATACAGGGCGAGGAGAACCTCATCAGTTGGACCGCACTTGGCGTTCTGCAAGCAACCGAGGCAGAGCTCAATCGTTTCGTCGTCGGCCATACAGGTCACGGTCTCAAGAGGCACTTGATCGATCCAGGCGACTGCAGCATGCTCAGCAAAGATATCACCCATACTAATTATCAGCCAATTTGACGATCAAGTAGCTTGGAGTGGAACCGGCTACCTCAGGTTTGCCTCGGTTTATCTTACATCACATTTGATAGATTAGCCACTTAGGCGTGGTAAATGAACATATGCGAGCTTCAGGAAGCAATAGGACCCTTCAGCGAGCTAAAATAGTATGAATATCATAATTGTAACCCAAGTGTCTGGGGATAACCAAGTCGACAACGTCCAGTGCAAAATGAAAGGAGTATATGCATGCTATGAATGACTCCGAGTGAAGATTTGCTACTTATGCTGAATATAAATGCATTCGTTACATCATGAAAGCCAAAGCAAGGCTGTTGAGAATGCCTATCTTCGACGAAAGCGTCCCCCTCTACCCCGAGAACCTCCTCTGTTTCCAATCTTCAATGATCTAAAGTTTGCATGAGCCTGAGGATTGATCTTTCGAGCTGCTCGAGGTTTCTTTTCTTCGGGCGCAGCGGTCTTCGGAGGTTTCCCCAGAGATCCTGGCTCCTTCGGGTTTGCAGCAGCAGAAGATGATATAGCCTCCTTGATCCTCTCTGAGAAACTCTTCGTCCTGGCGACAGGCTTCGGCCGCTCGCCGAACTCAGGGTCGTCATCTGAGTCCGGATCAAATTCTGCTTCAGTGTCTAGTTCAGGCTCTGATAAGTTTGCAGCTGCAGCTTCTTCTGCCGCATTCTCAATGTCACTGGGGACATCGTCCCAGCCATCATTGGCATCATTGACATTCGGCGCAATTTGTGTTTCAAGAACCGCTGCCAACTCATCCTCATCTCCTGAGAATTCATCCTCTTCGATAACAGCCGGCTGTACCTTGGGCTTCGGCTGGTTGATCACCGGCCTCATAACCACTCTCCGAGTCGTTCGCTTCTGGCCCTTCTTCTTGTACTTGCGGTTGACATCCGGATTTTGACTTTCATCTTCCTGGTTCTTGGCTGCTTCTTCTGCTTCGGCCTCTTCCTCCATCTCACGCATCACTTCCCAATCGTCCTCCATGCGGTCCTCTTCCATATCCCGCAGTCCCTGGACCAGATGTGACAATCCCTTACTGGCGAATTGTTGTGGCTTGCGCGAGACAATCGGACTGAGACCTTGGCCACTATTGTTTGCATCGGATGGAAGATAACGACCAGAATTCGAACGACGAAGAAAAGAGGGTGTGCCAGAGTGAGCGGCCTGTGGTGAGATTGCCGACGGGCGTGCCGTTCGGTTATTCTGTGCCTCTTCATTGTCTTCCGCTTCAACCATAGCAGCGTAGCGCATCGTCGTGGGCGTGGCAAACAGGTTGGCAAGATAAAACTGTTTAGTCTCAGAGGCCGGAGTGCGCGCCAATCTGGGTGTTTCCTGTTGTGTTTCCTCCTCTGGATCTTCAGGAATCGTCGCAACAGGCCTCCGTTTGGACGGAGTTCTGAATCCTGCTGCTAAGTTACTCGTCTGCCTCTTTACGGAGGGTGTTCCACCACTGCCTCCAGACTCAGAGAGCATATCGAAAAGACCCAATGTTTTTCCATCTCGCTGGGGAGTTGGGCCAATTGCAGCTTTCAATGGTGACACTGCTGCCTGATGTGTACTAGGACTGAAGAGTCTGCGAAGGGTAGAGGGCGAATCATACGGATCGAGTTGCGCAGGATGGATTTTGGTGCGGTTATTGGACGGGGTCGCAAACAGCCCTTTAGAAGACTTGCGCGGGGTAGTTTGGGAATATGCGCCATCTGGTCCGGGAGGTGATGCATGTTTCCGCTTCTTAGACTGGCTTTCTGTTGTTTCCTGTCGGCGGTTTTCGCGTCGAGTTAGAGAGGCCTCGAGAGCTTTCAGTCGACTGTACTCCTTGTATTTCGCCGCTATAGGAATTTCATATTAGTTATTGACTCTATAGCAGGTCTTGCTGTGGTGCAAAAGACTTCACCTACCGATATCCGGATTCTGTTTGATATCATCGCGCCCGGCCTTCTTGCCTCCATGTGCTGACGCGAAGGCCTTCTCCCATGTTTTCAGGTCTGCACGAACATTGACAGCTTGAGCAGCAACCTCTGCACTAGATTTGAGAGCACTGTCTGCCATTATCGCATGCTGAGAATCCAATTGGGGTCGAACGCTTGGGCGCAAAGCGATCTGACGCGACGCGAAACACTCAACGCGCGGACGAAACGCGTCACATGATTCCCTTTCAAGCTCAAATATCTAGATTGAAAGGCACTTCAAGGGGACAATAAATTGATATATTAGTTTGCTGAAAGCCTCGTTTGATTATATAGCTACCCTAGAAATACAAACCTTTAGATGTGTTTACGTGCTTTTATTTCTCAACTAGTCACCGCGCTTGTTCGCTACAACTAAGTAAACTTAGAGCCGAGTCCTTTGGGAGATTGTTAGGGGCTAATCTATTAGGTGCAATGAATGCTTTGTCCATGATAAATTGGTTTTTCATTTGATTTCATAGATCAGCTTGCAAATGAGTGTCAAAACAGAGTCTCTTATTGGCGTGCTGCATACATTGACGATTCTTTCATTGCCACTCAATTTACCTATATCCAACATCGAAGACACCTATGTGAAATGTGAGCCCACTCCTCCCTCTGTAGCATAGTGCCGGGGACTGGAACCATAGCAACGCTTCTTATAATATAGTCGAGGTTATCGTTGGATCTCGATTGGATGCAGATGAAATCCTGCCAGTCAGAAGCCCCGCATTGAAAAGCTCCGCTAAGTGTAGAGGAACTGTCCTCTTGCAACTTATTGTATCAGACATCATTTAATCCCGTCGGTGTCTGTTGATTCCACCCAAATACAACGTCTAAATTCGTTAAACAACGAAGCTATAGCCATGGTTAATATCCCTACACAGCCTGGCTTGACTTCATGGTGGAGGACCGAACCGCATCATCTAGACGATCACATATCGTCTGAGTCTGTACCGAAAGAAGCAGATGTTGTAATCATTGGATCTGGAATATCCGGTGCATCGGTTGCATACAATCTTCTCCAACAAAATAAAGGACCCAGCCGACCAAAAATCACCATACTCGAAGCACGGCAAGCTTGTTCCGGGGCAACGGGGCGGAACGGTAAGCCATGTCATTAACGATCATATTCAGTTCATAAGTCTTACGGAAACATCAGGAGGTCACCTAAAACCAGACCCATACAGCTCGATCGGTCATTTGGCCGCAGAGTATGGTCCCGAGGCGGCTGCTGAGGTAGCCGAATTTGAGCAGGCCCATGTCGACGCCATTCGAAAGCTCGTGGAGACCGAGAAAATCGATTGTGACTTGGTCATCACCAAGGCCATTGATGTTCAACTTATGTCTAGAGAGAGCAACAAGGCTAAGGCTGCATTCGATCATTTGTCGACTCTGGGGGTCAAGTCGGTCAGACGAGTGAGCTTCTCTGATGAAAGAGAGGCACAGGAGGTATTTCTTTCGCAACTTGATGCTTGAAAATATTTCCAAACTAATAGTCCATAGAGATCGCGTGTCAAAGGAGCTAAAGGTTGTTTCAGTTATCAAGCGGGTCATGTCTGGCCCTATAAGTTGACACTCCACATCCTTAGTCGCTGTCTTGACCAAGGTGCAATGCTTTACACGAACACTCCCGCTCAATCTATTTCACCGGAGAAAGATAATGCGGGATTATGGACGATCGATACACCCAGGGGCCCAGTCAAAGCAAAACAGGTGGTCTTTGCCTGTAACGCATACACTTCAGCGATTCTTCCAATGTATTCAAACAAAATCATCCCAGTACGCGGAGTCTGTTGCAGAATAATACCTGCGAACCCGGTGAAAAGGCTTACAGAGACATATACTCTGCGGTGGAATAATGATGAAGCAGACTATCTGATCCCCCGCGAGGACGGCAGTATCATTGTTGGTGGTGGCTGGGGACAGTATGGCCGCGACCCGGGGAGATGGTACAACAATGCAAATGATCATGAGATGATTGAATCGGCCAAAGAGTACTTTGACGACTACATGCAACGAAACTTCCACGGCTGGGAGGAGAGCGGTGCATACGTGGAAAATATCTGGACTGGTAGTAAGTCATCCCTAGTCATATCTCCCATGAAAGAAGAACATATTGACGTGATAATCATCTAGTAATGGGATATTCCTCGGACTCTTTGCCTCATGTTGGTCATGTCCCCGGGAAGCCAGGTCAATTTATCAGTGCCGGTTTTACTGGCCATGGCATGCCACAGGCGTGGCTTTCTGGTAAGGGCGTGGCATCTATGATCTCGAACAGGCTCTCGTTCGCCGAGACTGGTATTCCGCAGATCTTTGAAACTACTCAGGCTCGTCTTGATCAAGACCGTAATGACATGCTTGATATGATGCCACCGTCTTCTCCGCGGCTGTAGATTTTCAGCCTAACCGGGCCCGGTGGAAGCTTCCTATCTATGGCCGAATGTCTGTCAATTACGATTAACGAAATACATACTAGTAAATATATCAATCATATCGATGCATGTCTACTCCGTTATTCCGAGTATGAGCGTCCTCGTCAGGCGACAGCGCAGACAGGAAAGGCCTCGGCAGACTTTATCCGGTCTATATAGGCGCCAATAACTTTCTAGGCACGGGTGGCTTGCCGAGAATTCCCATAGCGGCTTAGTTCCAAAGTGAAGCAATACGCGGGGAATTTTCGAAGAGTGAGCTAAAATATAAACTCCAGACAGCAGTGTCATGGTCTCACTCCCATTTCCCTCCCATTATGGCTGCATCCTGGATGCAGTCTCCGTTCGACCACGAGTTCGATATTCTCGTGGAAAATGAGCTTAAGAAGTGGAAAGTACCTGGTCTTAGCATTTCAGTTGTCCATGGACCCAACACATACTCCAAGGTAAGAAAAACGACAACAGTCGAAAATCAAGCGCTGATCAGTGTAAAGGCATACGGGGTGGCCGAGGTTCACTCGGAGTCTGATCCAACAACCGATCAACCACCTACGCAACGTATGATGTCTACCAACACACTGTTTCCAACTTGCAGCACGACCAAGGCCTTTACTGGTGCGGCTACGTCAATAGTGATTCAAGATAGCAAATCTACCGTAAGCCCAATCTCCTGGAATACGCCTCTGGCTAGTTTGATACCGGAAGACTTTTCTTTGGAAGATGCCTCTACGACTCAGATCATCACCTTGGAGGATGCCCTCTCCCATCGTTCTGGCATGCCCGAGCACGGCTGGACACTGGCGTTTATGCCGAAGAACGACATAACCATTCAAGACACAGTGCGCACCATGAAACACTTTCCTCTTGCGAGTGCTCCGCGAACAAAGTACAACTACAGCAACCACATGTATATTGCTGTATCACACGCATTAGAGAAACACACCGGCCAGCCGCTGGGTGAGATCATGAAGAAACGTATTTGGGAACCTCTGGGCATGCATGAGACATTCTTCTCCACCAAAGATGCCAAAGCCGATACATCGACTACTCACAGCTTTGCCCAGGGACACGACTGGGTTTCCAACGAAGAAGGTGGTGTGTTTGTTCCCCTGCCTAATAACGATTGGCAAGTAAATAGTGGTGCCGGTGCTATCGTCAGCAACGTCAGTGACTATGCCCTCTGGATTCGCGAGTTGATCGAGAGAAAGCGGCCCCTCGAGGGCCATGGTAGCTTGATAGAGCCACGAACCTTTCATTTCCAGAATGACGATTTGAACATCCCTGCCCCGTACCATGCATATGCGCTAGGCTGGTTTGTCGATCATTACCGAGGCCACAATTTCTACAGCCACCCTGGTGGCTGGCCTGGGTTTGGCAGCTGGGTTGGATTTATACCAGAGAAACAATTCGGGTTTGCTATTATGGGCAACTCATTCTCTGCTCGATATGCAGCGTTTAGATTGGGCACGTATCTTTTGGATAAGCAGCTTGGGATGCCGTACGATGCGGTACATGAGGGGCAAATCAACGACTGTATTGCAAGACATTCTACAGAGTGGCACGCACGACTTGAAAAAAAGACTGTGGAAGAGGCCAAGCGAGAATTGTATGGAACTTTGCTGGAACCTCCGATTCCGCATGCTTTGCCATTGCCCAAGTATGCTGGGAAATATAAACATCCTTCGAACATCAGTTTGACTTTGAAAGAGCATTCTGAGTCTCTCAAAGCAGACTTGCACGATCGAGTCATTCCCTGTGAGCTCTCCGTTGTCCATGCGAGCGGAGAGTTCTTTGTTGGTACCATCCACAACCGAGTCCAGAACTTGATGCCACCTTTCGCGGTGGAATTCCACATCGATGTGTCTGGAGCTGTTATCAAAGTTGGACTTCTTTTGGAACATGCGCTAGAGGGAAAAAAGATCTGGTTTGAGCGTTGTGAAGAGTAATCGCCGTACGGGAAATGGTGTCGGCTCTTCATTTCTAGAAATGCATTTGGGATATCATGTTCGCTGTATCGATGGACAACCTCAAAATGGACAATAAATCAAGGCATCTCTCTCCGGAGTTACCAACTCGTCAGTCCACGCACGCGATCAAATCCTCCTCGGAGCTGCGTGTCAGGGTGTACCACCTTTCCCTCGAGTAGCGTGTACTTGACGATGCCCTCACAATGCTCCGGTCGTACTCTTGCCAACCAAATCATCTGTTGGTCTTTCTTCCGGTAAACAAGAACATTTGCCGAGAACTTATGGCCACCGACATGGGACACGAAGAAGATACCGGCGCCTCCAGATCGCGAATCATCGGCGTCGCGGTCGAGTCCCAGTGGTCGTAGGTGTCGCTCGAGCTCGCGCTTGATCAAAGGAGCTGTAATTCCGCACCGTGCATCACGTCGCTTGTGTGAGCATAGTAGTACCACGTAATCCAGATCGCAGGGTCGAGAGCGAAGTCCGGGGATGGGGGCTACTGTGCCGGCGTCGGTGCCTTTTTCATTGAGTTGTGTTTGAGGCATGGGGTGGTCGATGAATCGGCTCATCACTTCCGGTACATCGGCCTGGGTGATACCGTCCACGAATGTGAATGAAGGGAGAATTAGAATTGATGTGGCTTCGTCGGCTTCCTCTGCTGTGTCGTGGTCTGGAGCATTGAGATTTGATGCTGAGACCATTATGCGCTGTATTAGGAGTCAGTCACCAAAGCACTCCGTGTGATATTTGCAGATCAAAATTCACCCCATGCTCGGATTTCGTCTTGTCAAATGCCTCCATCAAGGTACCCTTTTCGTGCTCAACTTTCTCCTTCCAGTCTGATCGCCCGGTCGCCACTAGAACGTGCGAATGGAAGGACTTGATGTGGCCGTATAATGGTATTATCGTGTCGACCTTGACTTTTGAGGGATATTGCACTGTGCAGTCGGCACAGTCTTTTAAACATTCAGGCCCGTCTGCCTCGGGGCTCACAGTCGGAAAGATGTACTCATTTGCGCGACCGAGAGAAAACCAGGAACGCAGCATTGTGTTTAAGATGCAATACTAAGCAGAAACCGAAGTTCAAGAAGTAAAAGAAGTAACCGAAGTAGAAGAAGTAGAAGTGGAAGTAGATGCCTGATATACTCTTCCTATCTCCGAGCTATCGGGAAGCGAAAACACCGACCTCCGGACTCGGGGAATTCGCTTCCTTTTCTTTGGCCCAATCGAAGTACTTCACTGCAGTAAATCCCACTCCCCTTGAATGATCTCCCGTAATTCAGCCTCTAGACTCGGCCGGGTCGGCTTCCAGCCCAGCTTACGCGCGCGAAGGGCCCGACACCGAACATTTAGCCCCCAACTGGCAGCCTCAAATCCAGCCTGATCCCGAGCCTGCTGAATGTCCATGGTTTGCTCCTCAGCACTCGATATGAATCCTGCCTCAACGGCAATCCGTGCAATTGACCTCGCCAGATCTCCCCAGCAATGCTCCCCATTCTCCGCAAGGACATATGATTCAGGACCCCATAGTAGCTCATTCCCATCTAGCGCACCCTGTACAAACAAAACGAACAGATCCGTCAAGTCATGGATGTGAACATTAGTCCCCATAGACTCTCCCAGTCCAATAATAGGAGCTTTCCCCCATTTAATCGTCGTCCGCGCCAACTCATAAACCTGTCGACTACGCTGTGAACAGGGTCCACGACCAACACCTAAAAGCACATTAGCTCAGTAGCACCGACCCACCTCGGCAATCTCCATTCGGACTGGACTACTTCATACCGTAAACTGTGACGGGTGAGATAATAGCCGCACGCAATACATCTGCATGAGCGCCCGCTGCCTCGAGCACGACCTTGTCCACGTCTCTGTGGAATGCATGGTCCGGGATGGAGACTATCTCTTTGATGCCATCCCAATCGTCGAAGATCTTGGCTCGTTTCATGCCGTATGTTTTCTCGTCTTCGTCGATGTAGCTGAAGATCCCTGCTCCGCTGGTGTGGAGCCAGTATGCCGGTCGCTCTGGGGTATGGCCTTGAACAATGCCTGCGACGATGGATTTCGCAGCTGGGAGGTTGTCTGCTGCGTCGGCAGAATCTGGGTTTGGTTTGTTGGCTGGACTTTTAGGTAGAATCATGGTTCAGGTGATTAACTCACGGATGATGATATCTGCATGGGCGCTCTCCTCCTTTAGAATAGTCGAGTCGTTGAGATCACCGTATACTATCTGCACTTGGGGATATCGGGCTTGGATTTGCTTTCCTTTCTCTTCTGTGCGGACGAGGACCCGATATGTGAAGGTGGGATATTGAACGATGAGCTGGGATAAGACATCACCGCCAATGTATCCTGTTACTCCTGTGCTGTTCGGCCTGTCAGTTTGGCTCTAGACGATATCATTCCTTTGTATTTAAGTATTTAAAGAGCAGCTTACATGAATACCTTGGACATTTTGGTAGTAGCCTAGACAGTGATTTCTCTGGAGGGTGTTGGCTTCCCTTGAACTTATTAAATGGGTTCAAGTTGGCTCTTTTCCAAAGAACTCCCCGATACCTTGCCCCTCATCCCTGGAAGGAATATGTATTCCGCCTTGGTCTATTAGTAATTCACCCGGATGCAAACTGGTGTATCTTCAACATTGGACGTCATTGCTAGAAGTTATAGGATGGATCTCAGGACTGGTAATATTCGATCTGATAAGATTTCTAGTCCGATTTCGGGGCAGCCGATCGCCTCTGCTCGTAGGTTGGGGTGGCGATGATCACATCTACCCCCCTACCGTGTAGCTACAATGTCTCACCACAATGAAGGAAACCCAACAGATGTCGTGGTGAACCATGCCAAGCAATAGAGTTTGCCCCTAGTGATGCTTAACCCCTGAAGTGCTGACCGTCAAGATTCTCGACGCAGGACTAAGATATATCGCCATTGTCCAGCCAGTCTGTAACCGCAGAGACATATGATCCAACTACATCAACATACCTGCTCTCGCAACAGATAACAGAAAAAAGACATTCGATAAAAATAGACGAAACCGAAAAGGTGCCGGGCGTACTTTCCGCATTTGGAAGAGCGGGGCCGGGGGCACGCGTCGACCTCGGACACCTTCTCTCGGGCATCTCGGGCATAAGTTGTATATCTTCAACAGATTGAATTGGAACTATGGAGATGGAGGTGCAAGATGTGACTGTGCCCGACCGAGTGCGCAAGCGCCGCCGTCGCACAATGGCATGCACGCAATGTCGCACTCGCAAGTTACGCTGTGATCGCGAGTATCCCACCTGCACGCGCTGCTTGAAGAGCAGGACGCCGAACAAGTGCACCTACGAGGATGGCTTCCTCTGGCAGCAGCCAACAACGGTGGCAACGACCTCATTTGCTCCGGAGCGAGGGCCCACCACAATGCCCCGAGCTGACCACACCCCTCTCGATACCCCAGACTCGGGGATAGCGACGGGGTCGGCTCGGACGGAGCCACTGCAGGCCAATGACCCTGACGCGGGCGCTGTATCGCACCATTTGCAGCACAGTAATCATCATCCGCATCATCCGCATCATTCGCACAAACATGATCACCCGTCACATGCTCTGGCGCCTCATTTTAGAGGCAAACCGCATGGTAAGGATCGCAAGGAGCGAGGCTTTTTGGAGACTGTTCTTGGTGCGCCCAAGGCTGCTGTGAATCAGGAGCCATATGTGAATACTGGCTTATTGCAGCGTCCAAAGAGATCTGCCCCTGAGTCTGATATGCAATCAATGCGAGTCGATGATGATCATCATTATGAGGACGAAGAAGACACGTTGACGCCGTCGCATCAGCTGGATCTTTCGCCTCGTATCATGATGAGAGGTCGGGAAACGAGGACTCGCTTTAGTGGATCGGGCATTTTTGCCAATCTTGTCGCGCAGGTAAGTTTCTCTTGGTCCAGTCGACTGGCAAAGATGCATCACACTGTGATATTTCGGAACTGACTCTTCTTGTAGTTTCCGGATATTCGAGCTTTTGCGGAAGAGATCAAGCTGTCTAACCCGGTCCTCTCTCAGGTTCGACCCGACCTAGAGAGAGTCAAGCGAGGACTATGGAAGCGCGTACCACTGAACACAGGATTTCCCGACCCTACCACAGAGTCACTCATCGGCATGCTGCCCTCGCGCGGTGTGGTGGATGAGTTAATTGGGTTGTATCTTACTTATATCGAATCTACCCACCGCATTCTTCACGTCCCATCCTTTCTGCGAGAGGTAGACGAGTTCTGGGCTATGTTAGACACACCAGGCGCCGCTTCCCCTGCGTTTGCCACCCAGCTTCTCTTGGTTCTCGCATGCGCATGGAATATTGCAGACTCTAGCAGTCTGCAATCCAAGAATATGGCGGAACTCAAGTGTTACACCGCTATTAATTGGGTTTTACATGCCGAGAAATGGATCGAGAACCTCCACATCAAGCGCCCAGATATTGCTTCAATGCGCCTGACCATCTTGTTGATATTGGCACGTAATACTCACGGGATGAAACGCAGCCAGTCCTGGCTTGCCATTGGCACTCTGGTGAAACAGGCGATGATGGCAGGTTACCATCGCGACCCAAGCCGATATACACGCATCTCGATCTTCAACAAAGAGATGAGACGACGAATCTGGACTACGATCGTAGAACTCGATCTGCAAATCGCGCTTGATCGTGGCATGCCACCTACAGTGCAAAGCTTCGACTACGATGCATCTACGGGGTTGAACATCCATGATGATGAGCTCCAGGAAAACACGACCGAGGTGCCAGAAAGCCGCCCATTAGGCGAACCCACTGACATGTCATTCCAAACCATTTTAAGTCGATCACTTTCTCTTCGCCTACAAGCCTGCTCCTTGATGCACTCCCCCCGAATCAGCTGTCGATATGAGGATATACAGCGCCTAGATTGGGAACTCGACCGGCACCTGTCTCGGGTTCCTGCATGGAGTTCGACGGAGCCAAACGACCTCATTACCCAGCACAAAGTCACACTGTGGAAAGCTTTGATAGAGACCAAGATCTCCCATACCCTCCTGTCCGTGCACACGCCTTTTGCCATTGAGGCCAGTAGAGAAGCGCTTTTCGCACCTTCAGCCCGGTCTCGCATGGATGCTGCGACCAGGATCTTAGTGACACAGCGGCGTCTACACGAGACCTCACGACCGCTTTCGTTGTGTCTGTTTGGTGAATGGACCCTCCACGCCTATATTTCCATCTGTCAACTTTTGCATTGCACCGAGTCCGACAACAGTATGTTCCTTGATTCTTTCCACGAACCAAAACTCATTCATTTAGGTGCTCCCTACTCGCCCACTTCCTCAACCTCCCTCCTTCAATCCCTCCCTGGTCTCCCCGAATCACTTCTTACCCTAGTCGAAACCGCCCTAGTCTCCCTCGAAGCCCGATCTTTGTTGGTGACCAAGGGTGCCAAGGACTATTTCTTTTTTTCGACCATCGTCGCGCTCGTCAAAGCCCGCTTATGGCCTGGGCAAGCAATCATGTACAAACAGCAAGTGGTAGAGCGAGTCCTTTCATTCACGCAGACTCTATTCTCCCGGCACGCCGGCTGCGAACACCTAGGGCCACCCGGAATGGGTAATTTCAAGACCAACCAGGTACGTCCGCCTTAGTCTCTCAGCCCGTCTCCCACTAACCCGATCGCAGGTGGCTGCATTCACTGCCACCCCCGGGATGGTACCCCTCATGCCGGCAGACCTCGAGGGAATGCTCCCTCCGCCCCATCTGGGTGTAACGGTAGGTTCCAAATTCTATAGTCACGGCACACCCGATACTAACTCGTATTCCATTCAGCCACCCGGAGGATTTGATCCTTTCTTGGATGTATTTGACTGGGAGGATCTCACCGGCATGACCCTGCCGTGTTGATTCCAGATAGGGACAAGGTAGCCGAAGAGTCTTGTTTTGCCAAAATCATGTATATTTCCTTCGCGCTGTCTCGGCGATTTTATGTTTATAAGTTATATGGAAATTCAAGATCAAAAACAACAAACAAAACCCCCTGTCTATCAATCAATCAGCATTGACCGGTTACGCAATTCCAATATCTGCACCAGTATCCGGTTGGTGTGATCGCATTTCTTGATTTCATACGTCAAGAGACCCAGTCGGGTCCACATCTGGATGATGATCCAAGAGATCAAAGTTAACACATGCAAGGGTCCGGCCCCGGCGGAAATCGCAACGGGAACAAAGCGGGACAGATGAAAGGGCTTATCAGGGTGTTGTGGTGTTGTGCTGAAGATGCCTGAGCAGCCGAGCTTTGGGGGCTAATTTCTTTAGTTCTGACGGTATTTTTAGCGACCTTGCACTTTTAGCGCCAAATCTAAGACTTTTTTATCGGGGGCGATCCTTGGGGCTCTCACTTGAGGGGGCGATCCTGGGGGTCTGGGGGCTATGTTTCTACGAACCGTCTAGCCTGGGAATATCTGGACCCTGAATTGTTAGTGTGCTGGATTGCAAGATAAATCAATTGGGCCGAAGATCAGAGATGACATTTTACTGTATCGGCTTAGGCAGTTATTGTCCTCCCCGCAACCGTGTCAAATCAAAGAGCAAAGATAGCCGGACAAGCTTTTGAACTGCCAATCAGCGACTGGGCGACGGAGTCTTTGTGTGCACCCTGCAGTGGGTCATGGTACCTGAGAGTACCTTGCCACCAGCACAAACTAGCCCTGGGGCTAAGTACCCCTCAGTACCATGAGCACCAAATATAGCAGCCTAAAGGCCCCCCCAAAAGCCCCTAAACAGCCGCTAAAACACTTGGCTTCGACTGGAGATTGTCGTCCCTGCACATAATCCTGGGGGCCATGTTGGTTCTTTCATCTTTCTTTCTTCTAGATTTCCCTTGCTGGCTGCATATAAACCATGTGTTAATCCCTCGCTTTCAGGGTAAGTATTCTCCATTCTCTATACTTCTGACATCCCCTATTCTTTGCCAGTTATAGCACAGGCATGTGCCAGTCAAACCAATAACTACAAGCAATTCTCCGGCCAAGATCAATTGACTAGAGCAAATTGCATTCGCGCCCGCAATATCCAGTGTCCGGTTGCACATCAAAAGTCCCTTTCACCATGCATCACCTCAGCCTCTTAGTATCACTATGTCTCACGATCGCAAGCCCACTAGCATGGGCCGCCCCAGCAACAGAGCACGCGGGCCAACTGTCTCTATCTCAAGTATACGACACAACCGACAAACTCCCCCTCCCTAATGAAGGCAACCTCCAAGTCCATGACCCAAACATCATCCTCCACGATGATCACTACTACCTCTTCAAAGGCGGCATCAACATCCCAATCTTCAAATCCGCCAACATGTCCGGACCGTGGGAAAACATCGGCACCGTCCTAGATGGCGACAGCATAATCGACAAGGGCAACCGGTCCCGCCCCTGGGCGCCAACGACCATCGAAAAAGACGGCAAGTTCTACTGCTACTACACGCTCAGCCGGGCCGGGTCGCAGAACAGCGCCATCGGCGTTGCGACAACGACCAAGCTGGACGGCAGTGCATGGACCGACCACGGCCTCTTGATCAACACGGGCAAGGGCCCCGGGTCCGACGTGTATCCGTACACGATCACGAATGCAATCGATGCGTCGTTCATCATGGACCAGGACTCTGGCCAGGCGTATCTCAACTACGGCAGTTTCTGGCATGATATTTGGCAAGTGCCGTTGTCGGATGATCTGCTGTCGGTCAAGGATGCCCATAAGCCCGATGCAGTGCAGTTGACGTATCTTCCGCGGCTGAAGATCAAGCCCGAGGAGGGCTCTTGGATGAGCTACCGCGGTGGATGGTACTATACTTGGTTCAGTCGTGGGAAGTGTTGCCATTTCGATGGCAAGTTCCCGGGGCGTGGAGATGAGTATAGTATTCGCGTTGGGAGGTCGCGGAATGTTCGTGGTCCGTTCAAGGATCGCGGTGGCACGCTTTTGACTGAGGGTGGTGGGGAGGTCGTCTATGGATCGAACCATGGAGTTGTTTATGCTCCTGGTGGTCTGGGTGTGCTTCCTGCTAGCAATACGTCTACGCCGGATATTCTTTACTATCATTATTTGGATACCAAGATTGGGTTCAAGGACAATGTGAGTCTTAGTACTTGGTTCTTGGTTCTTGGTGCATTTGACTGACCTCTTCACAGCAAGCTCGTTTGGGCTGGAATTACTTAAAGTATGATGATGGCTGGCCGGTCCCTATCGAGGGCCAGGATGAGGTGGCTAGCAAAGAGGCCGCGGAAAATAGTGCTGGGTCCGTTCATGGGGTTTATGGCTGGAGCCATCTCTCCATGGGTGCGGGTAAGTAGTGCGTCGTTTGGACCTTTTGCTTTACTCATACATTTGTTCTAGCTTTGTGGTTGTATATGTGGTTATAGGTGGACTCCCTCTGCACTGTATATAGATATTGCTCATGGTATTGAGCGACTACACTGATAGATCATAGCGACGGCGTTTGGATTGGGCCTGTGAGCATTATAACATGTTATTCGGCAGGTATCTTCATTTCTTTTCATCAATACATGCACCTTATAGTGCAATCTCAAGTTTCAAAGATTCCGATTGATCTCTCCCTACTGTAATATGTACATGTCTTTCCCATTCATACATCCCACCCTCCATCCACACTGACAATCTGACCAGTAGTATAAGAGGCCGCATCACTGAGCAAGAAAACAACCGTCTGGGCAACCTCCTCCGCAGTCCCAATGCGCGGAATAGCAGTCGGCGGCGGCGCAATACTACCCTGGATCTCCTTGGCGATATCAAGCAAGGGCGTCTGAATAGAGCCACTAAAGCACCAGATCAGTCACATCCAATCAACAAAGTTAAACCCATGAAAGACTCACGGTGCAACAGCATTAACCCGAATCCCAGGCCCAACCTCCTTAGCAACAGACCTCGTCAGCCCAACAACCCCATGCTTCGTAGTCGAATAAGCCGCATGCAAAGCAAACCCTCTCAGACCCTGAATACTACTAGCATTGACAATACTGCCACGCCCTCCCGGTGCAGACTCCAAGATGGCCCTCAATTCCGCCCGCAGACAATACATCAGTCCGGTCAGATTCACGCGCATCAACATATCCCACTCCTCATCATCCTGATCGATGAACTTGCCCGTGCCGTGCACCTTGCCAATCGTGCCCGCCATATTAGCCGCGCCGTCTAGCCGGCCGAAATGCGCGACTGTCGATGCGATCCACGCTTTCACCGCGGCCGCATTGCTGATGTCCAGGGCTGTTGTGGTGATCTTCCCCGGGCTGGGCTCGGCGTGCAAGGTTTGCAGCGCTGTCTCGAGGACTTGGGGGCTTAGGTCTGCTAGAGATAGGTGGGCTCCTTGGGCGTGTAGTTGCCGTGCGACTGCGAGGCCGATGCCGCCGAGGCCGGTTACGGCGTAGACTTTGTCTTTGACGGAGTCCATGTCCGTTGGGGGGTTGATGAGGATGGAGGGGTTGGATTCATTGGGGTTGAGGGGTCTACTATTTCCTGTGAGTAATGACAGGATGGGGTCGGAGATCCTCCGTGCCTTATGGAGTATGTTTGGCGCAGTTTTATAGGCTGTGTTTGGTATTCTAGTCCCTGTCCCCAGTGACGTTGGTCTCCACCTTTGGGGTTACATTGCCCCGTTGATACAGGCCTATGCTCCCGGGAGATATAGAATAAATGAACTGGGTATGGATATCGGATAGCGATACATATATAAGTTTCTGTCAAGGTGTTGCAGGCCCCAGATCAGCATTATTAGGAAACTTCCATTCCAGGAATGGAGTTACCCTTACACATTGAATCTAGAGTACCGACAGCTTCGGCTTGCGGATGCCTCTGAGTTCATAGACATGCGTATTTATTGTTCAATTAATATACTACCTAGACATGGTACTAGTAGGAATTGAATTGATGTTATTGATCAATGCAACCTTGTAGATTTCAACAGACCTTTGCCTCACGCTCGCCTCCAGGGCTGCAGCCATATGTTCTCATAGTAAGTGTCAGGCAAGACTATAAGGTAATTGCAGATTCAAAACGGCATTCAAATAATCCTTGGTCGCTTAAACGTCTTCTCAAATGACGGAACAACCATGGCAGCCGTCCATGGCAGCAGCCATACCGTTAATGCTCAACAAATTCTACAAGACATGACTTATCACATACATAAAACTAGTAAAATAAAACAACACCGAACAATGCAAGGGTATCTCAAAGCAAACAAATCCAACATCCCAAAATGCCCAATTTACACCAACGCTCCCAGCAAAAGGAGCCCAACAAGCAAAGACCCCCACGAGACGCCCCTCACACCAACACGACCAGCGCCAGACTTGACAGCCCGACTCCCATGCACAACCGAATGCGCGTTCAGACAATACATGACCCTCCGCGTCTCAGCCTCGGAAAAAGACGGACAAACCGCCGTGCAAGGGTCCGGATCCTCGAAAATCCACACGCGATGCGAACAGCACGACTGGAGGACTTCCTGCATGTCGGTGCTGGGGTTGCGCTCTTGGTATAACGGCACTTGGTTGTAGTAGTTGAGGTTGTTTGGCAGCGTCGGCATTGTGTCGCGTACGGTCGAGCATTCCTTGGGTTGAATGAAGGTTGTGCCGTTGGAATCTGTCATTTTGTGTGTGGGTTTCGAGAAATTGAGGGTTTGATGGTGTGGTTGGATGTGTCTCAGCCGGGCGATCCGAATTGCGCGGCGATGCGATGCGATCGCGGTGGGGTTTGGTTTGGCTGGTTGAGTTTGTGTGGGATAGACGGAGAGAAATGAAGATTGCGTCTGAGAACTGGAGAAGGAAGGGATCGCGATCGCAGTGGTCAACACGAACCCTTTTTTAAAGGGTCAGACGTGCCAAGACGCTATGTTGGGGATATTGATTCGAGTGGGGAGTCCAAGTCTTAGGGGCAAAATGGGCTTGATTGATTGGATTCGGTTTTAGTGGCTGATCGTGAAGTCATTGGCTGAGACAGGAATGGTTCGACGATGCTTATAGTTTGTTTCTCCTTGCTTTAGGGTGTGTGATCTATAGAGCGATTTATATATAGGCGGTCTACGGGACGAGCGTCAGACTGTTTCCCCCATGGCATCTACAGACGTGCGGTTTGATTAGCCTTGCGCCACATCTTCTTTCTGCGATCGTGGCCGGCGTTGAAGTCATCCACCCATTTTTGCTCGAACCGAGGTAGGCGTCGCCCTGGCGTGCCAGCGGCCGGTTCTCCCGCAAGGAGTCGAAGATCCTCAAAGTAGGCTTCGAACTCGGGATTGAGCACGGTGAACCCGGGTCCATCGCTCTTCAGGGCGATGCGGTCACTTTCCCATTTCTCCTGCTCTGCTAGTGGGGGCAGAGTGACCTTGCCAGCCAAAACGCGGGCGGCAGCAACAGCTTGCCATTCAAAGACTTTGAAGGTCAATCCAGCGCCGACCTAAGAAACATGTGTCAGAATTGTCAATCCAGGGCTGGGGAGAATCTGAAACTTACAGCCCCCACAAAGACCAGTGTCGGGTCGTGTCTATAGAAGACATGCTGGTATAAATCCGGGACACGATTATTCCGAGTAGCAACCTGAGGCAGGAAAGGCAGAGTCCAGCTGAAGCCAGTTCCAAATATGAGATGATCAACTCCAGTCTCGGAAGTTCCATCCTCGAAATACACCGTTTTGAGCTCATTCTCACTTGTGATGTGCGAGATAGGTGGCCTCCGTTGAATTTTGGGATGCTGAAAGGCCTCATCGCCAAAATACATGTTATACCGACCACGCACAACGGCAATAACCGGAGTCTGCGCACTATCAATCAAACTGACAGCAGTATCGGCAGCTGAGACCGACGCCCCGACAGTAATCACTTTCTGCAAGATATTAGCAAGACATAACCCCAAAGCCACTTCGCCCACTCACCTTGCCAATGTACTTCTCCGGGCCCCGATAATGCTTCGTATGCTCCACACTGCCCGGATACCGTGACGCAAACTCATTCAAGCCAGGGATGGCGGGGATATAAGGAACAGCATAATGCCCCGAAGCAACGACAACAGCATCAAAAACCTCCTGCCACCAATAATCAGACTGGCCCCCTTCCTTCTCCGTATCAGCTTCCGTCCGCCTCAGTGTAAGAGTCCACTTCCCATCCGCGCCCTTAACAGCCAGTTCAACGGTAGTATCAAACGATACAAGCCCGTCATACCCCTTCGCCACAAAAAGATCCTCAACATACTGCCTAATAACAGAATGATGCCGGAACGGCGTATCCGCACCATGTCGCTGAATAGACCACTCAGAGCGCACAGTAGGAATATCCTCTTGCGAAAATGACATGGCGCCTGCGTCCACGTTGGTCTCCAGCGTCGGGTACACGGGCGAATCCGTGAACCGGTCCTGGGAGACTACGCTGGTGCGGCATGGCAGCTTCGCCGGGATAGACAGCGGCTTATCAGCCGTTCGAGCAGATAGACCGTCCAGGTCGAAGTGCTGAGGCGGTTGATCGTCTCTTGAGACCCTTTTTGATTGGTTAGTTGGTTGATTCCCTGGATGTCGCGTGTAGCATGGGGTTCGTCGACGTGGATTTCTGGGACATACCAGCATCCGCCTGCCTTTTCTTGTCGGTCAAAGACGCGGATTACATCGAATGCCTTTTCTTGCGCTAGGGCGTCCACGGCAATGGCGCCTGCTGGGCCAGCACCAATTATCGCGACGCTTTTGATTGCCATGGTTTGTGTTTGTGTTATTTTCAGTGGCAGGGGAGAACAATAATTAATACGCTGGCCTTCGAGGTAATGTTTCTCGGCCGAAGATGAATATCTGAGGTCATGTTAGGCTCTGTCACGCCATCGCGCCGCTTTTGAGCAAATCGGAATTGGATCGGATTGGGACTGGGAAGTATACACTCGGTCTTGGGGTTATATTCACTCACATTCTATATGCAGGCATATGCAAGTGAGTTCTCGACTGTCTCGGGCGCTAAATTCTCAATGCCGAATTCTCCAGCTTCTCGAAATTTATTCATAGCCCGTCTGGGGGTGGTTCGGCATTTGTTTCGCGCATTTGATTGGTTGAGGTTGTTGAAGTTTTTACGGTCACGTGGAATCCATGAGGCAAGGGTCAGGAACTGTATTCTGATTGGTTGAACATTTAAACATCTACAGTAACTTACACATCTAGCATAAACATTTAGACATTTAGCCACACTTGAAAATGAGATGGTCCAATTTAGTAGCTACATGAGAAATAGCTAAGTAAAAACATCAGTAGCGTACCTCTCCGAGGTCCTCAATCGGTCAAAGAACTTCTCAGCAGCCTCGTCATCCCCAAGCTCAGCATCGGCAGGCAATTCCTCTCCCTGCTCCTTCAGCTCCGCAATCTTGACAACCCGCTGCTGAAGGTACATTTCCTTGCAAGCATCTCGAACAGCACCACCAACACCGGTGCTACCGCAGACATAGATCCTCGCCCCCTGCTCAAACAACTCAACCAGTTCAACCCGATCTTCAAGCATGAGGTCCTGGACATGTTTTCCTTGACTTCCGTCAGTTGGCCGGCTATACGCCCATCGAATATCAACGGCACCAAGCTTGGCCCACTCTGCCAATTCAGCTGCATGAATATCATCCTGGCCCTTGGTCCGACAGCCGACGTATAGAACCGCCTTGGCGGGTTGACCGTCGTGTAATTCATCAAAATTGGGCGAGCTGCGACGGCCGCGAATCTTCTCTGCGCGATCCATGATAAACCCACGGAAGGGGGCAAGCCCGCTACCGGCACAGGCCATGATCATTGGAGTCTCGAGTTCGTTGGGCGGTTTGAAGCCGGAGTGTGAAGGGCGCACGGTTATGTGAGCGCGTTCGCCAGCTTGAAGTTCGGAAAGATAGTTGGATGCGACGCCGAGGTATTGTTCGATTTCGGCGCCTTCGGCTGCAGAGGCCAAGGCGGGCGCATTTAGGACTGAGAAGCTGATTGAGCATTCGGATGGGTTGGCGAGTGGTGACGAGGAGATGGAGTACTGGCGCACACGCATGGGTGGGAGCATGGCGAGGAAGTCGCCGATTGGTAGTTTGATTGCTGGGTGGCGCATTAGGAGGTCCAGGGGGCTGACGCGCTTTTTGACGATTTCTTCGGTGAACCGGCTTGGGCTTGATGCTAGGTAGCGGAGCTCGGCTTGGGTTTCTGCGTCAAGGGTTGCATCTGCTAAGATATTGAGGTCACGCTTTGAGGCTGGTTGGGAGAGCTCGACGTAGGTTGACAGTAGCTCTGATGCTGAGATTGGGACATCGATCGGGATGGAGGGTGGTGGGCTTGAGCTTTGGGAGGGCTTTTTCACCCGGAGCACGGCATCCCATGGGAGGTCAAATCGGCTGATTGCGCGGCGGACGACTTGGCTTGGGTTTACCGGTAGAACGGCGAGGTAGTCACCGCACTGATATGTCATCTCGGATGGTAACTTGAAGCGCACCATGCGCTTTGTTGGGGCATCGCCGTGTGTCAAGATCTGGTTCTCGACAACGAAGCCCTCCTCCAACTGCAAGCCCAGGGTGGATGCCCTCATGCCTGAACTGACCTCAACCTGCAAGGAAGACTTAGGCTTGGAGGACTTCTCGGGACTAGCACCACCGAACTTGGCTGTAACAGCCGGCCAGAACGAAGTCTCGCCCCAGCTGTCGAAGTCAGTGAACATATCAGAGTTCGCTGCGTCAGCAAGACCAATCTCGCATAGACTATTGGCACCATTTTCTTTTGCCAACTGGTCAATGGCCTTGGGAATACGGTAGAAAGTGGAGGACCAATCATGGTGTCCACAGCCAAAGACCGCATAGTTGACACCATCCAGACCACTTCCCTTCAGCTCACTCAGCCACTGGAAGAAATGGGCTGCGTTGTCTGGAGGCTGGCCCTCGTATGAAGCGGAAATGAAAACAACCGGGTCGTTCTTGGGAATGTTTTCCTTGGCAGAGTCCAGAGAGCTAACCTTGGCAGCATATCCATAGGCAGTGGCATCATCAGCTAATCTGCGAGCAAACACCTCACAAGTACCTGTGTTGCTACCGTACAGAATATGCATAGGCTTCACCTTGCCATCGACGGGTGCAGCAACCTTGGGCTTGCGATCGCGACTGCCAGTAGCAGTCTCGGTGGGCGCACCACCAAGGGCAATGCTGAGCTGTGTGGGATCAAGATCATGTCTAAGGGTCGCCTTCATCTGGAAGTCCTTGGGCTTGATGGTAAGTGTCTGCTTAATACGCAGGTCGTAGCTAGGATTATCAAGCTCAAAGTTGAAGTTCTGAAGGAGCATTGCCACGATCAGGAGAACCTCTTGCCAGGCAAATGGTCTTCCGATACACCCTCGCATTCCATTGCCAAATGGCTTCCAGGCGTTCTTTGGTAGCTTGTCAAAGTGCTCATCGAGCATTCTTTCTGGCTTGAAGGAGTCGGCGTCGGGGCCGTAAACCTTTGGATCACGTTGCATCTTGCCCAGCATGAGGGCGATAGTCTCGTCTGGGTGCAAGACGTATTTCCCGCCTCCCAGTGTGACCGGATCCTCCTTGTTTTTGGTTGGATGTGGGTGTACTGCAATCATTGGAGCCGTCGGGTTCAGGCGAAGCGTCTCACGCATCACAGCTGTGATATAGGGCAATTTCGACATATCCTCGACAGCAATCTTGCGCTTGCCGATGACGGTGTCAACCTCTTCTTGTGCCTTCTGGTAGGCACTGGGGTTCTTGAGAAGATAGTAGAAAAGGAAAGACAGCATGCCGGATGTTGTCTCGTGGCCAGCAATCAAGAAAGTGATCATGTTATTCACAATCGAGTCATCAGTCAGACCCTGTCCAGTCTGAGGATCCCGACCCAGAATGAGGGCGTTAAGCAGATCCTTCTTTTCAACCGGATTCTCTTTCCGGTTATCGACAAGCTCCTGTGCAAGGTTCCGAAGATACTCAATGTCAGTCCAGTACTTGTTGTTCTCGGTCGTCGGCAAGCTATTGATCAAACCAGGTCGACGAGCGCGAGTTCCAGACCCAGCTAACAAGCCAACCATAGCCTCAACGAATGGATGCATTTCATCGTGATAGAATGAATTAAATCGGGTACCCATGGCGCAGAGGGCAATAGAGTCCAGCGTTAGGCGGGTAAAATCATCAGTGACGCCGATAGGTGTGGTGGGACCCTGGCGCGCCCATTTCATGACGAGTTGAGTGGCGATATCGTACATCTCTATTTGAATGTCAGTTCAACTTCGCTCGCTGGGCCAATTCCCGCATGAAAAATGAATATACTCACCATCGAACATCCCCCGAATCATCAATGGACCGAACGCAGGCACCAGGACTCGGTGGGCAACAGCCCAATTCTCCTCTCCCGGGTAGTTGGCTGTGAAAAGACCATCGTGGACGCCATTTCGGATCTCATGTAGACCGGCAGAGACAATCTTTGTAAATCGTTCCTCGTCGCATACTTCGTCGACTAGCTCATGCGAGCTGATGAATACTCTGGGTTTGCCGAAAGTGGTCAATCGAAAGATGTGGCCTGGAAATAGCAATTGAGTCCATCAGTCTATATATTCTCTTGTTTGTGTTCTCTTGTTTGTTGATCGGCATACCGTAGTTTTCGGCTAGTAGCTCGAAGCTCTTGGCTGGAACCTCGGGTTCGATATCGTAGATGTTACCCAAGATCGGGACGCCCCTTGGTCCCGGGATGGGAACCTCTTTTGTGGACATGATAGCTTTGGGGAAGAGATCTAAAGGAGGTCCAGACAGACGCGAAAGTCGATGGATCAGATTGGCGGGGTTGGGAGATCCCGTGCAACCAAATCCGGAGGTGGCGTTGACGCTTTTGGAGGTGAAGGTGCACGAAAGCTCACGAGGCAGGCTAGATATAGGCCGAGCAGATCAAGGAGATCAGTGAGATCAAACAAAAGCAGTGAAATGTTCTCTCTTATATAAAATTAAACCAGCCAGCACCGTACAGTTATCAAACCTCGGCCTCACACTTAGTAACTAAATCCCGTGTTTCAGGTGGCCCTGCAAAGGGTTCCACTGCGGATTAGGCGTGTCCGAATGCCAATCATGCTCGATGAATATTAATCGCGCCGAGAGCTAAACTTGGCAGAATCAAAAGGTCAAGAGGGTGTCGGTCGGATTTGATTCGAATCCCGAACTTATGATCGGAGTCGGCACAGATAATGAACATAACACTCACACTGGACTATAAGAAGGGGGTTGGATCATCCACGGAGCTGCATACGAATTAAGCCGACTCCGATCATGTCCACACGTATGTGTAGAAGGGACTCGTGTCACATTCTCCAGATGAGGTCATACGGCGTGGATAACCTCCGATGAGATGTTCATGGCCACTGTGATTCGCTAATATGAGCTGCTGCATGAGAGGCAGCCATCAGAGTTGGCTCCAATCGCAACACCATGGCTATGTGGAAGGAGCCGATGAACTGGGACTCGGTGGTCGTCAAAACAATGTGGGATACTCATGATCCCGTGCGACCCGCAAAGGGATACACTTACAAACAACATGCGGCAATGGCCTAACAATGCGAAATGAAATCCGTTTTATATGATAAAGTATATACAGGGATATGAGTTTGCAAAGGGCATAGCATCAGGCGGCAACAACGCCAACGAAAGAAATTTCGACCGAGGCCGAAAAGTGGGATATCAACAGAAAGAGGGCGCAGGCGAAACGAATGGGCTCTGCGGTGCAATGCGAAGACAGTGTGAGAAACAGAGAGAGATGAGACAGGCGAGATGGAGCCTGAGATGAGACAAGATGGTCATTATTCCGACTCCGTTGGTCGTCACAGAGGCCCGGCGCGTGTGGAATGGCACGGCGATATTGGGATAGCGCGGGAAATACTGCGCAACAGAGTGGAAACCAACAGAACAATTCATTAGGAAGGGAAACAAAGGTTGCAGGTTCGTGGAATACAATATTTTTCAAGGCTAGTTGTTGACCTGCTGGTAGCCACCATGCTTCCACTCGCTCTGCTTCCAGTCGTTCTGGAAGTTCTGCATCTCGGTGCGGTTCTCAGCGTAACGGCTATCGTCGAGGGCATGTTCGAGACGGCCCTTGCGGCGTTGGCGCAGACAGAAGATGAGGAAGGCTGCGATGCCGATGACTGCAGCTCCGGCTACACCACAGTAGATTCCAATGTGGGCTCCTTCGCCCAGGTCGGCCCATTTCTCGGCCAAAGTCTTGGCTGGGGGCTTGTTGAGCTCTGTGACTGTAGTAGAGTTTCCGCTGGATGTTGAGTTAGCTCTGATCTAAAACGCGATTATAATAACTTTGAACTTACCTAACCACGTCGATACTGTCGAATGAACCTGAGTGGTCCGAGTAGGTGTACTCCTTTCCAGTGTGGAAATCCTTCACGCGGAGCTTTCCAAGGGTCATGGTGAAAGGAGCATCGTCCCATTGAACCAGACCACCAGCCCACTCGATTGTACCCTGTGCGGCACTCTTCTCACCGGCAGGCCACAGACTGAACTTCACACGGCATGGTGTCTGTGGGTAGTTCTTTCCCCCAAGTGTACCCTTATCATCATAGTTGAGCTGACGGACCATCGTGCCGTCGATATACCATTGAAGTTTATCCTGATCCCAGTAGGTTGTGTAGTTGTGGAACTCGGTGTCTGCGTTTGTGACGTCGTGGTAACCGCCGCGATCGAAGGAGGTATCATTGCCTTTTCCGAAGAAGTTGGACTGCACCTGGCTAGTGTTGTATCCAACCCACTCCCAATCGATCTCGTCCAGGTCGTCGGATTCCAGGACCACACTGCTGATCAGACCACCACCCTTGGCCATCTTGACATGGGATTCGACGACACCAAAGAAAATATAAAAGTTGGATTGCAGCAGGGTCGATGATCCCTCTGCGGCGAGGGTGAACTCGGCTCCGTCATCGCCGTAGTTATAGGTTCCGGTGGTCATGTTCCAGATGGTGTCGTCCAACGTGGTATTGAAGTTCCATGTATGTTCTGTTCCTAGAGCCGGGTCTGCGGGACATGTTACGTTCAATGGGTTGCAGTCGGTTGATGTTTGGGCAGTGGCATAGCCGGCCAAAGCCAGCAAGGCAAGAGAGTACCACATATCTAATGAATGTAATCAGATCTGCCGATCTAAAGGAATGACTGTATAAAAAAAAGGAATGGATTCGAGAACGAAGCTCGATAGTAAAGAGTGGGATTGTGCCCGATTGCACGAGAAGACCGTCAGATGTACATGGAAGAAGGGAAAGGGGAAGGCTAAGTGGGCTTATAGGCTAGCAGTGTTTTGGGCGTTGGATTATTTTCGTGTTTTCCCCTTACGCTGCAGAGATTATGGGCAGGTCTGAGCTAGCCCAATCTGGTTAGTGGTGTCCAGTTTGGCGCAGGAGACTAACTGCATCTGGTAGTTCCCAGGGGTCCCGGACCTGAAACTAGTCTCCTTTGGGGTGATAACGACCCTGATTGGACGGACAAGGGAGAACGATAAGAACCCGCCGAAGTAATTAAAGCCGCAAAGGGTGTTTGTATACTCCGAATGGTCCAGTCTCAACATCAATACATGCTTCTACATGATATCCGATGTGATTGTCTTTCTCATGGAGGGTTCTACTATCTCTGAAGTCAACGGCAAGCAATCACTGCAAGCAGGATTTTGGCGGTTAGTTCCGGTCCAGACCAGTTGAGGAAAATCATCTGCAATGAAGATCCCTCTGACTTACTCATGCATATGTGCCCCTTGAAAACTCAAGGATGTCAATCTATTTCCGTTCGGTTCCTCAGACCTGTTCTTGAACCGACTTTGATGAGTATCCGCTCTTCATAACCAATAAAATGGCCACTCATAGGCCCAAGCCCTTTCCCCCCAGTGGAGATGTCTAAGTCAGGCTTTTCGCTGACTTCGTGAAGTGGAACCGTCCATCACACGAGGCTAACCCCAATTACTAGTCAGGGTCACGACCCCTTATTCGCCGATAAAAGTGTAGTGACGGCTGCGGCGTTCTTTCCATGACCGTTGGATGAACTCGTATACAGTAGAATCAGGGGGTCAAATTGATCGATCGAACGCCACGGGTTTCGTTGATGACACGGCTCGGTCCAGCTGGAGCATGCCAAGTACACTATATCTCTGGGCAGGTCTACTGATTTACGGCCCTACTGATCTTCTGTAGCCACATGTACACTGTAAGTTTTACAGCACAACGTGCTTTAATCCGAACGGTGACAACGACTTTCTAACCATGCATTCGAATTGCGACCGGGGAACAATCGCCTACATCACAATCGCCCTAATCAAGAAGCAAAGTGTCGATCGGCAATCTTGGAGGTTATCCCAATCTTCATAATCATCAGTCATCAAGCGTCATATCAGAAAGCGTGCACAAAAGCATCACTCATGTCCTGTCGCATAACTCAGGCTTCATGCCTGAACCCGGTCCATCCACAGCCCCATACTCATAAGTTAACTGAATGAACGGAGAAATCATGTCCATATCTCCGAGATCCCAAATCAAAAATAGCAAAACCACCTGCGCCATTCGATCAGTCAAGATTTCCACCCACCCAATCCCAATCAAAGCCCAGAAAAAGAAAAGGAAGAAATTAAAAATAAAATAAAAACCATTCCACAGCCCTATCCCCCGATAAAATAATCCATTCGGGGATCAATGGAATAAACCTTAGCAGGCCGACGCAAATTGTCGCGATCCCGATACCGCCGTGTATTCATCGGCTTCTCAACCTAGTCAACATAACTCGCAGAAGGACGACGCCGCTTCTTCCGACCGCGAATACTCACACTAATGCAGGTAATGGGCGGTATCCGACATCCGGCTTGTCGCCACCGCTCCACGCGCCTAGCAGGCTGAGGACACGCCCCGGTCAGAGAATTAGGAGTGTGCCTGCGACTGCGCTGCCGGATATAGTAGGCAGTTGTCGCCCCTTGGTTGTCTCGGTAGGATAGAATTGATTTGGGCCTGAGTTATATTTAAACATGGATTAGCTGCACAAGTGCGTTGGTCCGCAGCATTGGCGTTCCTGGCCCTGAAAAGTGGAGGTCAGGTCTGAACAATATACATGTACAGTACAGGACATGAAATCTAGGAAGGCGGTACTACCAATTACATATCATCACTTCAAAATGGTGAGCCAGCCCTGCGAGTTCATAGGAGCCGCGCCAGTCAGGGACGGTGACAGCCCGCTAATGATGGTCAGAGTAGTAGCTTCCTCTAAATTTTAAGCTAAAGACCTTACAGGTATCGCCGTCGTCGAAAGTTATTAGCGGAAGTGAGTATTCTTTGATCCGGGGAAGTCTTATGCTAGGGCATCATATATAAGATTCCATGGTATATTTCTTCGAACGAGGACTACATGGACTATGCAAGTTATTGTAAATTGTGGCTACAGACCGCAACCCATGCCATGAATAGCTGGAGGCCAATGGTCCCGAGGTCTACTGCCACGATTATGTCATCTAAGCATCAGGTTAAGTTAGGTCTAGCTTAAGGGAAAGCTTTTCATTATATACGAAGTTCACCAAGCATCAATGAATCTCTAGACTTGAACAAATCAAGTTTTGCTCCTACATCCATCCATCGTACAGGACCAATTTCATCATCTTCTCACTAGACATCATACCTTTAACAAACTACGCGCCGAAGTGTCCGGTAGCAAATCCCTCTCATTGCGGTCATCACTCCTCCGCTGTTCATATCACTTAGATATCGTCTCTATGCAGCTCCCCCTCAGAGCTCTCCCACAGTTCCCGGTCATCTATTGATACTATCCGTTCTGCATAGAAAAATGGCACCAGTCACGAGAAGAGCGGCCAGGGAGGCCTTGACTCCTCCACTTCTGGCAACGCCCGAGGTGCTTGAGATGATTCTGCTTCAGACGGATATGCGCACTCTTCTGACATCTTGCTCACGAGTCTGTCGAGACTGGCATGATCTGATCAACACGTCACCATCGATTCAAAAATCCCTCTTCTTCATCCCAATCAAAGAATCCGAATGGGGAGCGGGAGAAAAGCTCCCTAATCCGCTGCTGGCAGAGATGTTCCCTACCATGTTTCCTAATAAGGGCGACCTACCCATGCAAAATTTTTACTTTTCCGATTGCGCGATAGCCAAGGATCCCGCAAGTTTGAATCGGTTTGTCCAGAAAGGTGCTAGCTGGCGCAGGATGCTCGTGCAACAACCTCCTATCTTAGAGCTTGGCCTTTTCCATATTAATTCCGGCAGGGGTGGCGACTGCGCTCTTAGCGTTATTATACCTGTTAGTCTTACAATCTATCTAAAATTAGAATCTCCTGGCTGACACGGCGTGTTCAGGCGAATCCGACCAAGACACAAGATAGAGACGAGGGTCTTCGAATGGGAAGACTCTTTGGGGTCTTATTATTCGATTCGTCCATTCGAATGGGAAGGTTTGAGAGTGCACGTCTATACTGGTCAGCAAATGAGCCGATTGATTTCCATTCAAGACAAGAATCAAATGAAGATGCGTTTCATCGAATGCTTGGTCAAGTGGGTTTGGTTCTATATTCCCAGCGAGTCCTCCAGTGTGCGATGGGTTCCGTGCGTGGTTCGAGTGGCAATAGGATGATTATTGAGGCGTATCGAGAGCATGGCTTGGACGTTGATTCCCAAGCAAAGGAGATGAAAGCCCACAGGAGGTCGGCGAAAAAAATAGAATGGTCGGAAATAGATTCGGATGAAGGCGACTCAGAAGATTCTACTGAGTCATAAGGAACGGTCAAGAAAGCATAGGTGTTCAGCTTTTGTATACTCTCTCCATGGGACACGATGACTATTCAACTTTGAGATATTCTGATACTATAGCGGAAATTCAACCCATGGGCTCAAAACCATAAGCCGTTCTTGCGATTCTCAGATCAAAGGTCCTTCCTGCAAAGCTTCAGAGACACATTTCCTCCATTGGAGGTAGACATGATGGTTGATAATCATCTCATCTCCTCTAGCTACTTCCTGTCAAACTGCACATGTCCCGGGGAAGGCGGCACATTCCCAGTCTCCCACGTTTTCGCATCCTCTCCAAGCTCAAATTCGATCGTGCCACCATTCGTCATGACATCCTCGTGCTCAAACCAGTTCTTGGTCCATGCTTTGCCATTGATCCTAACGCTCTGCACATAATACCCACTCTCGAGACCAGTAGCGGAGATTCGGAGTGTCTTGTTTCCGTTGATTGTCATGTTCAGATCGGGGAACCAGGGCGACGAGAGCAGGTAAACGGGCTGGGTGACGATTGGGTAAATACCCAGCATCTGCCATAAGAGCCAGGAATTCATTGCGCCTGCGTCGCTGTTTCCAGGGATTCCGTAGGCTGTATCTTTGAAACTATTGGGGAAATTGTCAGCGCGCTCACATTGGATCGAACATTTGTGTACTCACTATTGATTGGCTAGACTGCGAGACTGCCTGACACTCTTGTATTGCTTGTTGATGTAGTTGTAAAGATAAGGCGTGGCAAAGTCGGGTTCGTTGCTGTGTTGCAATTAGTCTTCTGGCTCTTACTATGGAAATGAGTCCAAGCTACCTACCCAATGTTAATTAATGTGGTGATGGCTGCGCCATTCGCACCGAGATTTTGAACGGACATGTTTGGTTTGAACTACAATTCTGTCAGTGACGATGTGTGTTTTCAGTGGGCTTCAAGACTGACCATTAAATCGAGTCGAGACTCGAATGTCGTCTCCCCTCCCATGAACTCAATGAGAGTCTTCACATCATGAGGAATGACAAAAGAGTATTCTGCCAGCCCAAAGTCAGCTCTATTCAATCTCAAAGAAACAATCAACTTACCCCATGGAATCCCCTCGTAAGTATAATCCTGCCACTCACACCCATAGCACAACAACGGATCATATCCACTATCATTGAACGATCCATTTGAGAACTTCGGTGCCATAAACCCACTGAAACCCAGACTCTTGACATCAGGATTCCAAATATTCTGCCACCCAGCGGATCGATTAAGATACTTCTCTCGGTCACCGGGCATTTCCCCGGCGGCGACCTGACTGACAGCGAAATCATTCAAGCTATACTCAACGGTGCGCGAGATACAGCGCGTGTTATGGTCCTGGGATACATATCCCAGTTCTTTCCAGTCATCTAGCGCACCGCGACCTTCTTTGGTACTTGCTGTCATATCTGTTGGATCAAAGGTGTTGTAGGGTGTGACTTCTGCGTCCTTCTTCATAGCTGCGTAGCCTTCCGTCCAGTTTATGGCGCCTCGCATGCCTTTGACGTATGCGTCAGCTAGGACGTTGTCTGCATCGGAGCCACCTTGGACCAGTCCGTTCCAGTTTCCTGAGCGACCGTCTGGGAGGAATCCTGCGTGTCTGTGGGGTTGGAAGCTTAGTTCGGCTCTTACTTTGGTATTTTGGGGTCCCTTACTTCCAAATATCAATCAGTCCTCGGATCATGGACTCGTAGTATTCTGGCTGGAAGATGTGATAGAAGCTAACAGTGCAGCGGAAAATATCCCCTGTCCAGGTGGTCAGTTATCTATTTCTGAAGCAATGTGAAAAATTTACTCACACATTGTGTAGAAATCATCCCAGTAAGGCTCCTCTGAATTCCATAGAGGATTCTCTCCAGTTCGATCCGAAGGCATCAGGTGAATGAAATACAACGAGCTGTACAATAGCCTGACCTGCGTCATGTTGGCAGAGTCATCAAGTGGAACTTGAATCTTATTGAACACATCCATATTCCATTCCTTAACCGCAGCAGCGACTGTATCGTTCAATTTCCATGATGGAATCTCCTTTTGTATGTAGGAACGGGCCCGGTCGGTGGAAATAGATGATATACCAACGCGCGAGGTAATATGCGAAGCAGGTCCATCGTTCCAGCTGAGTAGCAAGCCAATGCGATTGTTCATGGGACCTGATGTTACTTTACTTGATTTGTTTTTGAATGTTGGTTCGCTTATTCCGCCATTGGCTAGATTTTGGTATCTGGTCATCGGATCTGTATTGATGCCAGAGAATGTCTGCGTCTGGTCTGGCAGAGCCGAAAATTCTCCGTAGAAGTAGACAGTAAATGGAGCTCCTGTGTCCTGTTAGATGATTTCTGGTGTATTTGATCTGAAGGGTTACCGTTATTCCATCCTCCAGCATACGTGCCATACCCACTGTATGCTTTACCATTGGCTTCAATCTGGATCTCGCCTCCCACAAATATCTGGCCGTTCGCATCGCCAGGAGAGCCCGGGAGATACTGGTCGGATTGTCAGTCTAAGCTCTCCTAATTCAAGAATTCAGAGATCTGACATGCGACACATCAACAAGCACATGCTTCTCACCCTCCGGAAACGAATACTCCATGATACCAGCATGCCGAGAAGCGGAGAGCTCAACAGTGATTCCATTCTTCAGATTAGTCTTGTAGTATCCTAACCTGGCAGTATCATTGCCAATCTAATACGATCAGTTTCATCGAAAGAATGATTGCAAGCCCAACCCGCAGCAACATACCCTGGGCTGACTATAAGTCATATTATCAAGCACATTGACCGGCACATCAACAGAAGTCAAAGGCATCTGCGAGATCAATCCATACTTGGGCGACCCGCCAGTCCCACTCTCATGCATCATACTAATACCAGTGACATTCCCATCAGGCGTCCAACCGCCGTTAAGAACGGCAGTGCTCCAGTTCGCGGCGGTAGAGTCAATGCCGACTTTAGCCACGCCAAAGGGCAGCGCACCTCCCACGAAGATATCACCTCCGCCGAAGCCGGTACCTGGCTCGGGGCCTTCGGAGCCCATGAAAGGATTCACATATTGGGAGAGGTCTTCCTGGGCGGCTGTTGCGGGGCTTGTATGTATAAGTAGGAGGCCTGCAATACCCCTGAGTGGGATAGACCATATACGCATTTCACCTTTATAATGCGAGGTCAGTGGTTAATGGTGATGTTCCGTCTTGGTTGTGGGGAGTGAAAGGGGAAGCTGCGCCTTGCTTGCTTTTATACATTCCTGCGCGAGGGTGAAGAAATACGGTGTAACCCTGGCATATATTTTAAGGCTGGAGGAACTTCGCTTTGACTGAGTGATTTCTAACAAAATTCATTGTCAATGGTTAACCCCCGCATGGATGCACTATCACTGGAAGCAGCGGTAACAAGCATCTGTGCCCGGGGTCGATGCGTGCCATGACATAGTTGATCTGCACGGGTCTGGAGATATGTTACATTGGACTAGAGTATTGGGGTAACTAAGAGCTTGTTCGGAGATTCCAGACCCGACAATCATAAGAAATAAACAAGTGGAAAGTTGAACGGCGATCAATGCGGAGTAGGCAAAGTCGGCTTTAGGCTGAATCTTCCCATGCCTGGTTGGCGGCTATGGCATACCAAGTATCAGCTATTCGGTTCAAAAATACATTTGTATAAAGTGTACGAGCATGATTGTTAGAAGAAACGATAACCAAAAATCCCTAGACTCCAGACCCATGATATCATCAAAAACAGCAGACAATCCTGTGCATCCAGACAAGTGGTGAAACCCAAGAACGGCAATAAGGCATAACATCTTCAGTCATTACCGACCCGTGATATAATCCCGGTTCTCAATTGTTACGCTCTTTGTCATATGATTGACTTTGTAGACACCGACCAGTCGGGCGGCAAGTTCGAACTATAACAAAGTCAGTACAGTTCCACTGAGTCGGGGAAGAGTGCCACGTACCATGTTGTTTCGCAAGGAAATGACAATGAATTGTGCATTCTTCGTCCGCTCCTTGATGTAAGAGGCGACGATAGAAACCTGCAAGGCAGTTAGCAAATAGTTCAAAGACAACTCGCACGAAAAGACTCACGTTTCGGAAATCCAGAGCGGCATCAATCTCGTCCATGACATAGAGCGGGGTAGGCTTGTAGTGGTGCAGAGCGAAGACCAGCGCCAAACTGGACAAAGTCTTTTCTCCGCCAGACAAGTTGCCGATGTTCTTCCAGCTCTTCTTAGGAGGCATGACTGAGAACAGAATACCTTCCGAGAAGGGGTCTAAGGAGTCTACCAGCTCTAACTCGGCGTTACCTCCCATGGTGATCATTTGGTACATCTCCTTCAGGCGCAAAGAAATGATGCCAAATCCTTCCATGAATCCATTCAAACGAGAGGATCGAAGTCCGTCCAAACGGGCCTTGGCACCATCGCGGGATGCCAATGCGGTGTTTAGATCCGCTGAACGTGATTCGTGCTCAGCAGCACGGCGACGGTATTCCTCGATGACCGATAGATCAACGGAGGCATTGTGAACCTTCTCTTCTAGGGCAGCAATGACTGCCTTCAGTGACTCCTTGTTCATGGCCTCGAGCTCATCCTTCGTGTACATCTGAAGCTCTGTGGGCTCCTGCTCCTCGCCGATATCGCTGATGTTCTGGACGGTCAGCTTGGACAGCTTCTCTTCCCAGTAGCGACTGCGCTTTTGGTTTTCAGTCAAAGCCTTCTGATTCTCGTCTAGCTTGTTGCGCATCTCAATCTCGGTGGCCCGTGTCTCATTAAGCTCGGCAACCTTCGCGTCAAGTTCCTCTTTCATGGTCTGGAGCTCGCCCTTCTTGGTTTCCAATGCCTAGAAATAATCAGCTTGAAGTTCATTCGTTCCAAATATTTGCAATCTTACCTCTTGGGCATCCTCGGCCTTCTGTCTCCACTCGGAAGCGTCATTGTCCTTGTTGGAGACATCCTCTTCCAACTTCTCTAGATCGTCGGTGATTTGACCAATCTCCTTCTCTGAGTCGTCGCGAGATTTCGAGTGTTTCTTGATAAGCTTCTCGTTCTTGGATTGTTGGACCTCGGCGTTGGATATTTCTTCAGCAAGCATGCCGATTTGCTCCTTAAGGCCGTCGACCTTGGCCTTTTGGCCACGAAGCCGAACACCACCAACCTCCATGATCTTGCTCTGAAGAGTGGAAATCTCCTCCTCGATGCCACTTTTCTCGTCGTTGAGCATATCGATCTCTTTCTCGGCCTTGGCGATTTGTTTCTCGAGGGCAGCGATTTGGCCTTCATCAGAGTCCGATGGCTGGTGCTGCGCGCCTAGCTCTTTGACGCGTCTTTGGGCATCAACGAGGCTACGCTTGGTACTTTCAATCTCGATCATGATCTTTTGGATCTTAGTCTCCACGCGCGGGATTTCTTCGAGTCTTTCCCGCATCTGAGCTTCGACATTTCGCTGCTTTTCTTGGAAGGCCTGGAATTTCCTCTCGAGATCCTCGAGATCAGTCTCCAGGCGAGCCATTTGATCCTTTGTGACCTCTGCGACCTGTTTTGAAGACATGCCACCCTTGGCGACACGTGTTCCACCACCACTCATTGTTCCTGACACATCAATTAATTGACCATCAAGAGTCACCACTCGCCACCGGCGAGCACCATAGGCAATACGGTTGGCTTGCTCAAGGTCCTTGGCAACCAAGGTATTTTGCATTACACTGTAGAAAGCAGGTGCGAACATTTCATCCTTGGGCTTGACGAGATCAAAGAGACGCGGAACACTCTCGGGTGTGTAAATTGTGGACATATCACGGCGGGGGAGACGGTCAAGCAGAATGAAGTTGGCTCGGCCAAGGTTGTTCTTCCGCAAGTAGTCGATACACTGCTGACCAACCTCGACAGTTTCCACAACCATATTGTTGAGAGCAGGACAAGCGGTGGAGATTGCGATATCGTACTTTTCGTCGATAGTACCCAAGTTGCCCAGTCTGCCATGGAATCCATCGATACGACCAGACTCTTTGAGTCGCATCAAGCCAGTCAAGACACTTCCACTGTTCTGAGTACTTGCTAGGCTGGCGCGAGCATCTTCGGCCTTTTGACGGGCACTCGATACATGTGAACGAACCTCGGGTTCACGGCCAGCGTATTTCTTGAGATCGTGCTTGAACTTTTCCACCTCGTACTCCAGGGTTTCTTTCTGGGCTTGTCGCTCTTCAAGGTCGTTTTGTTTGGACTGCAAACTTTCCTCGATCGTCCCAATCTTGGCCTGTGCCTCCTCAAGAAGAACAGTTCCAGCGTTGCTACGTTCACGTAAGATGTCAAGTTCACTCTCGGCGACAGCAACTGCAGATTGCTTTTGGTTGATCTTCTCGTTCCAGGGCTCGAGGGACTTCTGCTTCGCGGCAATTTGATCAGATAGGCCCTGGGTCTTGCCCTTGAGGCCCTCGCGGATTGTGTTGAGTTCCTTCTCCTCCGTTGACATTTCCATTTCAAGCTGGGTAGTCTCGGCAGTCTTCTTCTCAATGTCGTCGGTAAACTTCTCGACCAAACTCTGGCATTCCGAAGCAGCAAGTCGGCTGGTTTGCATTGCCTTTTCAAGCTTCTTTTGCTTGCCAAGCAAGAACTTCTTTTTTTCCTCAAACTTCACCGACTCTTTGTCGTACTTAGCCATCTCTTTGAGCAAGGCCTGTGTGTCCTTCTCCATAGATTCGTAAAGGCGAACACCTTTCTTGTAGGCCTTTTCAATCTCTTTAATGCCGGATTCATTTCCCTCGTGTTTCTCGAGTTCCATGTTCAACAGCTCCTGCATCTGAAGAATAGCCTCTTCTGTAACGCGGACGTTGTCGGCGCACTCGTCAATGTAAATCTGGTAAAGTGCGGATTGCTTCTGAGCCAATTCGTTCTCCTCCCGAATATATGCCAGAGCTTTGTCCTTCTTATCCACCAAGGCGGTCTTCTCTTTTTCTACGTGCTGGACGCGGTTGTTCTTCTCCACGCAGACATCGTTCAAGGTTTCGAGCTCGGTCGCAGCTTCGTCGATAGGTGTCTTATACTTTGAGGTTCCGATGATGTCCTCTAGATATTCCAACAAGCCTTCATCGTGTTCGTTGGCTGCTTTCGGTTTCATCTGAGCAATAGACTCGACCTCACCCTGCAAAATCAAGAATCGCTTGTGATCGAGGTCAATTCCTCGGTCGCGGAGGAACGCTCCAACAGTTGCAAAGTTGGTTTCCTTTTTGTTCATGTAGTATTTGCTGGTGTTGTTCTTGAAGGCGCGTCGAGAAACGATCAGTTGGGAATCTGGGACAAGTTCAGATCCGCCTTCGGGCAAATCAAGGACTTGTGCGAAATGGACCTCAACTTCACAGAAGGCGAGGTCTGGATACTGAGCAGAGTTATGAATAAGAGCAGAAATTTTGCCCTGTCGCATTTTGCTAGCACGGAAACCAAACACAAAGAGTAGCGAGTCAATAACGTTAGACTTTCCGGAGCCGTTGGGTCCGACGACGGACGAGAAGGAGGCGTGGAAGGGTCCGACAATTTGCTTTCCCGCGTAACTCTTGAAATTTGTCAGAATAAGATTTTCAATAATCATTCGGGGCTTTGGTGCTGCGGGTTCTTCAGGGGCCGTGGGTATCTGTGTCCTTGACTTCGCGACGATATCCATGGGTTTCTCCAAGACAGTCGAGTTCGGGTTGATAATGGAAATCTGAGACTTGGGTTCGTCCGATTCTTTCGCGGGCGATTGGTTCACGGCGGACTCAGTGATGTCGGACAAAGGTGGCACACTTGCGCGTGCTCGCGCTTGAGGTTCTGGCGATTCGGATGGCTCTGGAGTAGGGAGTGAGCCCTTGGCCGGCTTGGGTGTGATTGAGCCGCGACTCTTGCGGGGCATACTTTTTCTTTTCAAAGCCGCATTTCTAGATGGGGACTCAGGATCGGCTTCGATCGATGCGATACTAACGCCCTCATCGTTCTCGTCGTTCTCGTCATGTTCATCATTCGTTTCATTCTCCTCGGTGTCCATTTGCGACGCATCGGAATCATCCGTTATCGCTTCTTGGGCTTTTTTGGCAGGACGTGCGGTAGTAGGTGTCTTCGGTTCTAAGGTCATCAGACTCTTGGAGGTTCTCTTTGCCTTCTTGGGAACGGGGGTGTAATCCTCCTCCTCGGCTTCTTCTTCGTCATCATGCGTATCGGGTGTAGGTGTGACATTTCCGGGGTCTTCGGATTCAGAGGTATCTTCGACAACATAGCTCCGACGGGGAGCAGACCGGCGCGATGATCTGCCCTTAGCGACTGCAGCCATGATGGATTAGGGTGATTGCATGGAGGTGGGATTGTTTTGTCCGACGAAAGTGGGTTGTTTACCTCGCGCCCAAAGAGGGAAAGCGGCCGTCCTTCTGCCACAACAAGCCCTTCACCGCCCTGTCCCGCCGTAAGTTACCGTACGGTAATTACCTCTCCGCGGAGCTTCAACTTTACCTTGCGACTCTCACAACGCTTTTCGCTTTGCATCATCATGGCGCCCTGGGATAACTTTGACCAGGTGTTCTCCTTCAACAAGAAGTATACCTATGAGCCTAAAGCTGTTGAACAGATCCTTGCCAATCGGCGTGCCTTCGAAAACCAACTCTTCGCCGACCGACTGCTTAGACTGCTTGGTATCCAAGGAGGTATGACTGGAAGCTCCAGCCGCAAGGTTTAGGATAAAGACTTACCTTCTTCTAGTGACCAAGCTCTACCCGCCCAAGAGCAATGCAGACCTCCGCGAACTCTTCAATCAAATTGTCTCTTCCGAACTGGACATCGAACACAAACAATCTCTAGTGTACTATGTCCTCAAAGACTGTCGCACAGCACCAGAAGCTCCAGCTCAGTTTGCGCAACGATGCCACCTACCCGAGAAATATCGACTCTTCATTGAAGGCCTTTGGCACCTTGACCGGCTTGATTTCCGAGTTAGTTCACACAGCGATTCTCAAGATCAATACTACTGGCAATTACTGACTACATTAGCGAGCACTTGAGTGCCTCACAGAACCGTCCCTTATTCCTACCTTCCCGGATGAGATTCTCTACGCTCTGACTCTCACTAAGCTTCCCCGACACGACGACAGCCTCGCAATCGCATATTATCTTACTGTGGCTCCCCCTCTCGCCAGCGAAAAGGTTCGCAAGGCTTTCTTTGAAACTCTCAGTCGGTCCAATATCACAGAGGCGTTCTACTTCACGCGCAAGTACGATGACGCCCACCGTCAGAGCTTCTTTGAGCAGCTAGTGGAATTTGTTCACAAGGCCAGTCCTGGTCAGACCAGAAGCCGGCGCGCAATGGAACTGGTTGGACTGCCGCTAGATGAGGATGAGGAAGCATGGTTCGAGTCAGTATTGCTACATGGCAATGCAAGCACACTCCCTGGGGCCAAGGATACTGTCATGATGCGACGTCTCGCAACTGGCCAACTTTCCAATGCTTCCCCCGATCTTGAATCCTTGAGTGGGAAGAAAGTGGATGGTTTGAACTGGGATAACCTTCGAGGAAGCATAAGACACCTGTAGACGATATACCCGACCAGTGCAGTGTCACTGGGATCAATATTTGATTAGAATCGAAATAGCAAAAGGAGTTAACGGTCATTGCAATTATTTTCTTCATAGGCTGTAATGTTATAATCATGTCGAGGCTGTGGTAAAATAAAGAATTATTAAGATCTCTGGTATGATATCGCCTAGATGATCGCTATATATAGTGTAGAATGCACCGGTTTTTCATTGTCCTTTTGCTCATTGCCATACTAAGTCAGCTCTCAGATTTTCTCAGAGACCAAAATAAAGCGATTCAATTACATTTGACTCTTGACTTAATCCAAGCATCAAAAGATTTGCAGTATTCGAAACTTGAAGACAAACTTCATCACAGCCCAGCGTGGCGATAAGATACCGGAGACCGCGAAAAAGTGCAAACCACACGATTTTCCCTTGCTAACGCGCTGCCCCAACCTATTATATTCATTCAGTCTCTTCAGTTATCTCTTAACTCATTGTTCAACAAACACAGTACAAGATCCAGCTTCTTGCGTAACACTACTGTGCTCCTTTGTCTCCTGGCTTTGCCTCTGACCCTGAGGAGCTAACCCGGCAACCGAGACTAACAATGACCGTCTGCACGTTTTTTCAGCAGGGCCGCTGCAGATTCGGGGGTATGTATCGATCGAGCCCAGTTCAGACAAGCCGCTAACATTCTGATCTCAGATAAGTGCAAATTCGAGCATCCTGGCCGAAGCACGGCTGGCCCTTCGGGGAATAGATTCGGAGCTCTCTCTGGGTTTGGTGAGTATATCTGATGTTTCTATGCCAGCCATCTCGTCTCAAATTCTGCATACAATGCCTGTTAATGTTTCAAATCTACTTGTTTACTCCATTCCCGTGTCGCTTCCCTTCTTCCATTGCTTCCCAACCCTTGCTCTGGCAACAGCACTGTCAAGACCATGCCCGTTCTACTCAGTCCTGGTTACCCAGCCCTTTACTGCCTTGATACGCTACTGGTTGGTCCTTCTTAGAAGCTGGAGTCATTGTCTAACAGAGTTTCTACAACAGGTGGAACATCTTCTCCAAACCAATCCCAAAGTACGAAGTATGCAGATGAGTAAGTTAACCTCTCAGCAATATCCAACGGGGCTTGGAACTTACTTGGACACAGCTTCGGCGTAAATTCCAGTGATATCAAACTTGATCTGACTGCCGGCAAGAACCGTCCACTCTGGATCTTTTCTGCCTACTCACCACAGCAACATGTTCCACGTCAGCTGTTCGGTGGTCCTGGCCGTGAGCAAAGCCCCGAAGAATTACGCGCGCGCCATTATGAACTGGCGGCTGCGGGTAGCATTGATCAGGCAGTTCAGGAATCCCAGGCCCTTTGGACTGAGTCTATGAAACAGATGGAAGTTGCCCTGGGTGATCTGAATGGCGCAGTAACATTCATCATCAATGGCAAAAACGAGCACCCTAACAGATTCGATATTGTTGAGGGCAAGACAGGCCCCGATGCTGCCCAAGCGCCTGCATCCTTGGGCAATGCTCCCTCGGGCTTTGGACAACCGTCCACTGTAGGCCAGTCATCTGGCTTCGGTCAGCCTTCAACTTTAGGTCAGTCTTCAGGCTTTGGGCAGCCTTCGACCTCAGGCCAATCCTCTGGCTTCGGCCAACCCTCAACTATGGGACAATCTTCTGGCTTCGGCCAACCCTCGACCTTAGGTCAATCCTCCGGCTTTGGCCAACCCTCGTCCCTTGGTCAATCATCCGGATTTGGACAACCCTCGACTCTAGGCCAGTCATCTGGCTTCGGCCAACCATCAACTTTGGGCCAGTCTTCAGGTTTCGGGCAGCCCTCGACCTCAGGCCAATCCTCTGGCTTCGGCCAACCATCAACTTTGGGTCAGTCCTCTGGGTTTGGACAGCCATCCAACTTGGGTGGCTCCGGCTTCGGTCAGCCATCGACTCTGGGAGGACAATCTGGGTTTGGCAAACCAGGGTTTGGTCAACCCGCAGCCCCAGCAGCCCCGGCATCAAACCCTTTCGGCGCTCCAGCTACCTCTTCGTCACCCTTCAGCCAAATCTCCAACAATCAGCCAGCTCCCGGAGGCTTCGGGCAGCCTGCTCCTACGAACGCGCCCTCGCCATTCGCACAGACCGCTGCACAACAACCTGCAGCTCCTGCCTCTGGCGGATTTGGACAACCACAACCGACCTCCGGATTCCCACCATCTCAGCCCGCCGCAGCCAATCCATTTGGTGCACCCTCTCAACCAGCAGCTAATCCATTTGGCCAACCCGCCGTACCGCAAGGCGTGCCAGTGCAGCATGTCGATGCTGGCCCTCGAGCTTTCCTCAAGCTTGATGACCCGAGCCAGCTGAACCCACTTCCAGACCTACAGGGCGAGACAAGGCATGATCCATCGTCCAAGCGTCTGACTCTGTGGAAGGGCCGCCCGGTGAAGTACGTCAATGACCACCCTTGCTATTTACACCCGCAAGACAACAGCACGTTGGTTCGCGTCAACTTCCCTAATGGACCGCCTGATCCAGCAGGTCTCCGTGATTCTCAAGGCAAGCCAGAGGAATACACTCCAGAGATTGCCGAGGCATATGAATTCTATCTTAACAATGGTTACTTCAAGGATGGCATTCCATCCGTACCTCCCAAGAGAGAGTGGATCAGCTTCGATTTTTGATATCAACATTGCGATTTGCATTCTCTTATTTGTTTCTGTCCTTTGTGAATGGTGATCTTTTCCGGCGTAACATAACACGGTAACTTATGTCCGGTATGCGCAAACATGGTCAATGGCGTTAGGGAGGTGTTTTTGTTTCGAGTATCAGCAACTGAATCTTACGAATTTAACTACAACCACCAAGCTACGGAATAAGAATATTGCTTTTTCAAGATGTTTCCAATTTTTATTTTGGTATATTAGGTCAAACGGGACCACCCATAGAACAGATGAAGTCCTGCAGGTTCGCACTGAATCCAACGTAGCGCATTCACACTGCGATTTCGCCAGTACATGGTCCCTCCCTAAAGCAAGCCCAGGGCTAGATCATTTAAGCGGCAATGGTAACCTCAACCTCAACACCGGCCTCGATGTTGATGATGATCTGCTTGACGGTCTCAGTGGGGGCGAGGAGGCTGTAAAGGATCTAGGTTAGTGACTGCAAGCTCATTCGGAAATCCTGCTTTGTAGACAGCGGGGAAAACTCACTCGATCAGACGCTTGTGGATGCGCATCTCGTACTTGTCCCAGGTCTTGGAACCCTCACCGTTGGGGGTCTTACGGGTGGAGATCTGGAGGGTCTTGGTAGGGAGACGGACGGGACCCTTGACCTGGAGGGACTTGGAGCGGGCACGGTCGATGAGCTCCTGGCAGACCTTCTCGAGGGAGGCAACCTTGCGGGAGGTCAAGGTGATGCGGATCTTGTGGACCTTCTATAGAGCAAGCGAGAGAGGCAATTAGTATTTGTTCAGGTGTTGTGAGGCCCTTTCACACTGTGCGCACAACGACGACAGCGTGCAATTGGGACCATAAAAGGTTGGCGACAACGTACAGGGCCCTCGCCGAAATCCTTCTCGGGCTTCTGGAAAGACATCTTGAATGATTGGTGCTGGTGGGTGGATTAGCGGGTGAAGTCGAGAGGTTCAAGGAGGAGATCACGTACAATTTAAAAAGGCGAATGCCGTCAAGACCTGAACTTCTAGGCTCGGTAAGGTGATGATGGCTGGCAGAAACCGTGTGGAGCGAGAATTTGATACCGAAAAGTTCAGTGCGAAAGTCTTGGCGCTTCGGTTATCGCACGCTAAGCCGCTTTGGGTGCCCTGGACCTAACTGCTGAGTCATGGCTGAGTCATCGCTCTTTTGGGACAGCTTCCAAGTTTAAGGCATTCGAGATATAATCACGGGCTGACGATTGTTTGCGTGTTCTTGCTTTGCCTGTTCATTTGTCCGTTGCGCTCCTTTATACATCTCTAGTCAACCCAGCAAAACTTGCCCCAATGGCGGAGTTTCCGCCGCTGGCTCCGGTGCCCTCCCCCGCAGTGCGGAGGACAATCCCCTCGAACGACTGGCAAACTTGTCTAGATGCATGGATGACCTTGTTAGGCATACGTCTCAATGCCTCGGATCAGCAGTTTCGAACCGTGGCTGCTCAAGATGCATCTGCACCCTCATACCTGGGATCTTACTATCACTACGCTGCAGCGGGAGACTCTAGTCTCCAGAGTGGACCTAAAGCTCGACAGCTTCGGAAGCTTTGCTTTTTAGCAACAAGGCGCTATTTACTTGTTTTGCAAAACCCACCAGACGGCCTACTGGACTGGAGGCTTCTCGGTGATTTATGTTGTTGCTACCCTTCAAGCACGGTTCTCAAATCTTCATTATCAAATGCTTGGGATTTACACCATGACAAGATCACTTCCAGCATCGAAAAAGCAAAGGCCACTGTGATCAAGAACCTCTCTTCGACAAACTCTTTCTCAAATCCCGAAGTCATCTCAGACATCCGCCGCTTAACTATCCTTGCCTCTGTGCTTCCGGCTACCGGTCAGGTACTCATGGCGGGTTCTGACTTCCTGGATACGGTCTCAGAAGCCTACCAAGCAAAAGCTGGCAGAGAAGAGTTCCGGAAGATTCTAGTAGCCAATATTTATGTTGGGTTGATTTCTTTATTGAAGGAACAATCTGCTAACATGTCATTGTTATTGGATCAGCTGTTCGGCCTTAAAGCTGCTGCCCGAGTGGGAACACCGAAGATGAAGAAGGAGGCAACCTTGCTATCAGACCTTGTTTGCAGCTCGGACTTGCTTCTTCGGTTGGAGAAATATCTTACTAGTCACCCCCAGAAACGGGGAGAAGATCTTCTATCCAGCTTGCGCGCTTACCAAGAAGAATCCAAATCACTTCATCATCGATACCAAAGAAAGAAGAAGATTGACAAAGGAAAAGATGCATCCTCAGGGGTCCTCATCCCGGAGGAGCTTCACGCACACAAGATGTCCCTTGTCACCCAAGTACAAGACCTTTTCCCGGATCTTGGCTCGGCGTTCGTCGTACGGCTATTGGATTTCTACAACGACAACCCGGAGACAATTGTCGCCCACCTCCTCGACGACTCACTCCCTCTAGAACTCCAGTCCTTAGATAGATCGGAGCAACTAGCCCCGACAGCAGAACCACGCCATAGCCACCTCTCTCCACAACCAACACCGCCAGAAATGCCATCGCCTCAACCAGAATCCCTCCCAATGCGCAAAAACATCTTCGACAAAGACGTCGACATCGCCGAATTGAGCCGCTTAGACGAAGCAGCCGGCAAAGGCAAACTCCATTTCGGCCGCGTGGACGCAGACCAAACAGCCGACACAGTGCTAGCAGATCGAAGCCATCACGCCGCAAACAAAGCAGCAATCCTTTCCGCACTGGCCGCCTTCGACTCAGACGATGATGAACGCGACGATACCTACGACGCAGCCGATGTGGGCGGCACCGTGGACGGCGTAACGGCCGGCACAGATGCCGAAGCCGATGCAGCTGCCCAGACCCGCCGCGCAGCAGACCTCGATATGACCCTCTTCCGAACGTACAAGTCCAACCCCGGCCTGTTTACCCGAGACTCGGCTACCCGCCGCTCCCAGCCTCGTGCATCGCTGAAACGGGAAACTGAAATGACGGACGAAGCTATTGAGGGTTGGGCTGTTATGCTCACGCGTGATCCCAGGCGGCTTGCTAAACTTGAGGACCGGCTGGCTATGGATGCTAGCGGGTCTGGCGGTAGTGGTCCTCTGAATCAGCCTGAGTTACGTTCTACTTCTTACCGGAGGCCGCAGCCCCGCGAGGAGGGCGAGGAGGGCTCTGATGAGGGTGAATCTTCTGGTCCGCCTGGTTCACGTGGACGTGGTGCTGGTGCTGGAAGAGGTGGAAGGGGACGTGGAGGCGGAGGTGGTGGTCGGGGGCGTGGTGGACGTGGTGGTGGACCTGCTTCGTCTGGGGCTCAGGCTCAGCCGGAATCTGCTGCTTCGCGACAGAGGAAAGAGGCTAATAAGGGGAGTCGGGCGAATCATAATCGTCGACAGCAGCATGCGAAGAAGATGGCGCGTGGGGGTGCAATGCCTGGCTAAAAGCAAATAAGTTATCGATATGGTACATGTGGAGCTCATAGGGTCAATATGACCCTTGAATATGTCTCGCTTGACGACCATACATGTAATCTAGACATTTTGGAAACGATTACAAAAACAGTTACAAAGCATTGAAACGGAAATCATTCGTTGATCATTAATAACCCAGAACACATAAAATTGTGGTATGGGTTGTCGCGACAATATATTTACACAGGAGCCTCGTTCACATGGCCCGCAAGGAACTTTCTCTCATTCACCAGTGAATCAATGATGATGGTCCGAGAAGACACCCGTTTCGGACATTGATTTGCGGCATTCCTCCATGAGGCGGAGCTGCTTCGCCACGTCGCCGAGACGGCTGATCACCTCTTTGTTGCCATCATAGAAGGTGAAAATCGCATACGGGATACCAGTATCACGGCAGAATTCTAAGACATGCTGTTGAGCACGACGCAAGTTGTGTCGCGGCATGCGTGGGTATAGATGGTGGATGGCCTGGAACTGCAGGCCTCCATGGAAGAAATCAAGCCACGTCGGGCAGTCGACGTCCATGGTGGTGCGAAGCATCTTCTGTGGGAAGGACTCGGCAACTCCTAGATCAGCGGTTGACATGGCGAAGTGGGATAGGGTGATTTGGACATGCAGGGGGGAGGGGACGATGTTCGAGATGAGAAGGAAGGTCAGACGGCTGCTGGTATCGGGAAGTGTTTTGTACAAAATCCCGTAGCCATACCAGGTCCAGAAGAAGACCTGTCCGACAAGCTCTAAGTAGAAGTGCCACCAGGCGGGGCCCTTTCGAGGAGCCTGGCGCTTCAGGAGATATTCCCAACTCAGGGCAGTCAGATTGAAACGTGCGAGGGACATGATAGGGTAGTAAAGGTAGTTCTGGAACTTAAGCAGGAATTGAGCAGGAATATCGAAAGTCATGACTCGGTCATAGTATGTGCTCCGGAGGCTGCCAAAGAAACGATGCGAGATGGCAAAGAATGGGATGTGCTCAATATCAGGATCATGCTCGGGTTCGTTGGTCACAATATGATGCACGTTATGGCTTCGTTTCCACCAACCAAGACTCAATCCACCAATGAAATCTGCGATGATTATCCCAATAACACTGTCCACGTGGAAATTGTGTGTAATTCCCATATGACCAGCATCATGGGCAGTGAAAACAAGCTGGTGCCACACGCAGCCTAGGAAAAATGCCGAGGCTGCCCACCATTCCATGCGTAGAAACATGTATGACAGGCCTGCGAATAGACTGTATCGACAGCATTCAATGAAGTATGCGAAGTAGTTGCAGTTGAAAAGACCCTCAGCCTTCAGCCGCTGGTTTAGCTCGCGGTATTTGCGCTTGATCTCCTCCTGGCTCGCGGTGTTCAACGAAGGATATTTGGCAATGTCAAATGCAATCTCTTCTTTGGTTCTGGCATCCAAAAACTTTGGCTGAGGCATTGCGGTCGGGTTCTGAGAAGCACTATCGGTGGCTGTGATTGACTTCCTTTGACGGACCGAGGCTTTTGAGTCGACCGCGTCGAAGACTGGTGAAGGGGGAACAGATCCATCATGACTAGAGCCATAGGAGCTCTCTTGGCTTGTTGAATCCTCCTCCGTCGAGCAAGAGTCTTCCGTGTAGGGACGGTACTTGCCGCCCTGGATTGGGGGTAGGAAGTTGATCCAAATTCCTTCAATTCGACCGATCTGATACGAGGGCATGCGGTCACGGGCTTCTTGTGAATGTAGTCTATATCAAAGATACCCAGATTAGCTATGTCATGGTCTGTGGCTTATCCAACAACGTACGCATTGATCTCGTCTGTTGCATCCCTGCCCACCATGTGCTTGATGGACTTGTCTCCTCCAGGATGGAACTTGATCCAGGCGTCTACCTTCAAGACACGGTCCTCAAAGATGATCACATGTTTTCCCTCTGCAATAAGACCTTCAATATACCGGCGAGTCAAGACGGTGTCTTTCCGGGATGGTTGGGGCTTCTCCATGGTGTGAATGCGCGATGTGGATATTCAGGGTCAACAAAAGTGACTTCTTTACAAGGACATTGTTCAGATGCAACAAAATGAGTGACAAGGAGAAAGTTCAGAGAAAGCACACGCAGCAGCGAAGGGAGAGATGGGAAAGATAGGAAACAAGGCAGAAACATTGCGGAGCTCAGCGGGGATCGATCGGCGGTCAGCTCGTGCTTCCAAGCCTGTCACCTTCTTCATTACTATACACTTCATCTTGTATGGCATGATGGTGAGCATTTCTTCAGCATGTCTTGATCTTGTATTGATTCTGATAGGCTACAATTTCGACACTCACCCAAACATGGCTCCAATGGGATCGGGTTCGTATACCCCCCGTAGTCCGGTGGCCTGACTGACTCGGATGCAGGACCCTACAACCCGTGCAGAGATAGAACAGTTACGGGACTCTGATGCCACTGAAGAATTGGAGAAGCGCTTGAGAAACCGTGCGTGTTATTGTATTCTGCTTAATTGAGTCTTGAATACATATCTGACCCGAGTATAGGCATCGAATTCGGAACAGCGGGTCTACGAGGCCGCATGGCAGCAGGGTTCTCCTGCATGAACTCTCTGATAGTCATACAAGCCTCGCAAGGCCTAGCCAAGTTTATCCGTGATCAGCGTTCTGACATCGCCTCACATGGTGTAGTCATTGGCCATGATGCGCGTCACAACTCTAAGAAATTTGCCGCACTCGCTGCCAACGCTTTCATTGCGCAGAAGATTCCGGTTTTTCTGTTTGACCAGGAAGCACCAACGCCACTGGTACCGTTCGGTGTGAACTATTTCCATGCCGCTGCGGGTATCATGGTAACGGCGAGCCATGTATGTTGACCTGGAAACCCACAACATGCACTTACTGACTCGGGCGATTAAAGAACCCAGCTCAAGATAATGGTAAGCTGCTTAAATCATGTACAGAGAACTACAAGCTAATTTTTCTTTAGGATACAAAGTGTGAGAGAAGCCGTGATAAATGCTAAGCAGCAGCTAATAAACTGCGCTATATAGATACTCGAGCAATGGTGCGCAGATTAACCGACCCGAAGATGGAGAAATTGCGCAGTCTATCAAGGAGAACCTTGAACCTTGGCCAACAGCATGGGAACCACTGCAGCCAGGCGAATACTTGCGCTCGGATTCATACCAGAAACTTCTTCCCCACTACAAAGAGCAGGTTGGGAAGTTCATGGTACGTCTTTGAAAATCGATTGGGGTGACAGCTCTGATGATTCTTTTAGAGATCCACTGTAGGAGACTGGAAGCCCCCAAAGCCATTTGTCTACACTCCTCTTCATGGTGTTGGAGGCCTCGTACTACCGGAGTTGTGTCACTCACTTGGAATCGACAATCTTGCGCCTGTTGAAGCCCAAGAGAAGCCAGATCCGGACTTCCCCACTGTGAAGTTCCCTAATCCCGAGGAGAGCGGCGCGTTGGATCTCGCTATCGAAACTGCTGATAAACAAGGAAAGACATTGATCATCGCGAATGACCCGGACGCTGATCGGTTTGCTGTAGCGGAGAAAGTAGAGTGAGTGTTTCTCCCTTTTTGATTATTTATTGCTAATGTTTAACACAGCGGAAAATGGCAATTATTGACTGGAAATCACGTTGGAGTCCTACTGGCGTCTCATATCTTGGATTCCTATGATGCCGACAAAGACTGGTCTCACATCTCTGTCTTGACAACCACGGTTTCGAGTGGTATGCTTGCCAGAATGGCAGCTGCAAAGGGCGTTCACTTCAAAGAGACCCTTACGGGCTTCAAATGGATGGCCAATGTTGCTCGGGACCTTGAGAAAGAAGGGAAGACTGTTTCATTTGCTTATGAGGAAGCCTTAGGATACATGTTCCCATCCGTCTGCTATGACAAGGACGGAATTACAGCGGCCACAGTATTCCTTGCCGCAGAAGCGAAATGGAGATCACAGGGTTTGACTGTGTTTGCCAAGCTTCAGCAACTCTTTGCAGAATTCGGCCACTATGAGACCTTGAACAATTATTTCCGATCTTCCGACCCGAAGCTCACTTCAACATTATTCCAAGGGATCAGAAAGGGCTCTTACCTGAAAGACATGAAATTCGGCCGTTTCAAGATCCTACGGTGGAGAGACTTAACGGGAGGCTATGACTCTAGCACTCCTGATAACAAACCTGACTTGCCTGAAGATCCCACCAGCCAAATGTTAACTCTGTGGCTGGAGGGTGGTGTTCGCTTCACATTCCGAGGCTCGGGCACAGAGCCGAAGGTCAAATGTATGCGTGCCCTTCCCTTGTTTTATTTTATTCATTTTGGTTGCTAATCAAATTATTGGAAACAGTCTACATTGAGAGCTGCGGCGATTCTCGTGAAGATGCCGTAAAGGCAGTTTGCGAAACGTTCCTTGCTATTCAGAGAGAATGGGTTGAACGTTTCACGCCTTCGATGTCATACAGCAAGCAGCTTTCTACGTCATCGGGTCATATCCTAAATGTGGAGTGAACGCTGATAGTGATATGGAATATGAAAAGAGCAAGAATACTTTATGAAATGTCAACTATTGAGAAAATCCAACAGCAGCGGTCATTTCACTGACCGTCAAATTCAAAGATCAAGATTTCCATGCCATCTCCGGCGGTAAATTTGGAGTGCTAGAGCAAACATCCAGTGATACCGCAAGATGCAAGGCGTAAATACCATAAAAGCAGTGCTTCAAATGCAGTACAAATGATGACCCAAGCCATCAAGCCGCGTTTCTCATACTCTGTTTCAAAACAGAAACCGATGAACATCTCCCAAGAGCCACGACTTGATTTCTTGCAAGGCATCTAGATCATTGCTTGGCAATGCCTCTTGAACCTTACCATCATACCAGCCATATGTGCGTTTGACAAAGCTCAGATGATGGCCCATAGAGCGGGCAGAATCAAAATCGATAATTACGGGGTCATTGCCCTGAAACATGATATTGCATGGATTCAGATCGTTATGCACAATGCCCAAGCTGTGAAGATGGCGAATACCTCGTTCAATCTGCTCCGTCCAGCCTTCGACCTGTTCCGGATCGGCCCCGCGCCTCTGGTAGGCAAAGTCCAATTTGCTGCGTCTGAGGGGGTTTACGTGTTCCATGAGTGTCTCATCGTAGCTCGTAAAATAGATGCCTCTGATTCGGCCATTTTCCATCACTGCACACCCGTGGTACTGAGAGACATTCGGGTGTGGGTTGTTCTTCAATAGCTCGCAGGTCTTCACTTCTTCAATCCATGTCTCCTTGATGGCGGTTGGATATCTAGGATTATATGTTGACAGACTCGGCTTTTTCAGGAACCAGTTTGAGTGGCGTGGCGGTGGATCTTCTGCTCTGGTGAAGGAGTCCTGGAATTCGGGGGAAACGTGTGCACTTTGGATCCTGTTGGTGCCGTACAGATCGCTGAGTTGAATGTCTTGGGGCTCGGCAAATCGTCTTCGGGAATATGCCCGGTAGATTGTGCCACCTGTCTTGTAGACTATGATGGTCCTTTGGAATACAAAGTCCTCCATCGGACCTCCGAAGTCTTCGGAGCATTCAAGGATCTCCATTCAGGGTTACGGGCATGGGAGTGGAGAAGCTGCAAGCCGTTGCAGAAAATACCACGCTTCGGACGTGGGATGTTGCTGATTTCAGAGGTATCAAACGGAGACGTACGAGGATCACGAGAAGAAGCGGGTTTCCGTCCAGTTGCAATCAAAAGTACTGCAAGGCTTGTTTGTCTCAGGCCAGCCAATGCTTGTGCGAGGTAACCCAAGCATCATGACTAGGAGGGACATTCAAGGAGACTACAAAACCTCTGGAATATAGATCAATGAAGCTTGACCCAGGGCTTCTTCTCTTTCAACCTCATTCACTATGTGCCAAAATTATGTGCAGGCCCAAACTAGGCAATCTTCCAATCATTCGCACTATGCAAACTTAGCGCAGCGAAATGATCACATTTGTCCCAGTTCGTTGCACCACGTTCATCAGACTAGGCCTTACTTCAAAAGCCATGATTCCTTCCAACGCCAACAGCGTGAAGCCACCAAGACCAAAGACGTGTCCCACACCTTTGATTGCCCACGGTATGATCGAGGAGCTTTTCGAAGGTATGAAGTTGGATCATATGTTCAAGGAGATCTTTGCATGACGTTGTCTGCTTGTCACTAACAAAAACCTTTAGGCAAGACACCAAACCAAAAGCCCCAGCTTGCACTCTACATCACGATAGCTGCCCCTGTCACCGGCACGAACACCCATGTATTCATGCCCGGTCCCGGTCTCAAATATCAGACTCGAGCGAAGATGAGGGCTATGACTCGTATACTTCCCAAACAAAATTGCACCAGTGTGTCATTCACGCTGCCAAAAAAGAACGCTACTACCTCAAATCTTCAAGTGACACACTCAAGCACATTCACAGTCATAACGCCCCGCCAGTCTCAGGCACCTGCGCTCGTACAACAGTGAACGTGTCACAGAAAAACGGGGGTGGGCAGAATAACAAGTGTGTCAGATTCAGTGATGAGGAGATATCGACAACTGTCAGCTCGCTATATTCCACCTGTAGATCTCAGGTTTCGGCAGATCATCTGTGCCATGTATCTCGAAATTATGGTCGTCAAGGCCCAGCGAAAGACTACAGAGAACCAAGGCCGTGTTGTAGGACGGTGTGGGGTCCACCACCACCCGAGACAGATTCAAGAAGACATGAGACGGGTCTTAGATCGAGACATTGAGACTTGTCTTGGAAGCAAAGATACCGTCTGTCTGTAGGCTAAAGCATTTATTCATTTTCACGGATATTCTCCGTTGCCTATTAGCTCCGAACAGATCCTAGAATCAACCCTGTGATCATTACTTTACTTTGTCGTTCTAGATAGAAAATGTTTATTTGTCATATTGTAATACTAATCAAAATATTCATCGAGATTTCTCGTCGTTGGATTACAAATGCAGGAATGGCTTTACCTCCAAGTTGCACTTGCGGTAGCAGTGGCACCCGAGCAGCCAGTTGGCACGGTGTAGCTTCTATTAGGGTCGCTTTCCCAGACAATACTGCCGTCCGTCTCTTTCTTGATGAACTTGTACTCAAACGTGGTACCGACGGGGAGAGAAATTGTGGCAGTCCACAATGGGTTTGACGACGTATACGAGCCTGCAGACAGAGCAATCGCAGACGAGGTAGACCAAGAGCCCAATTGGCTGATTGAACCAACGACGTAAACATTCTCTCCGTATGTAGTAGTGACTAGCTCGTTGAATGTCACTGCAAGGGATGTCGCAGCGGTACATGTTGTTGTTGTTGTTGTTGTTGTTGTCGAAGTAGTAGTAGTACTCGTCTTGGTAGCGGAAGTTGTTGTCGTTGACTTAGTAGAAGTCGTGGTAGAAGTCGATCCTGACCCAGATCCAGTGATAGCAATATCGGCACAGTGGAGATACACCTGCGCGGTCTGGAATGAGTTCCATCTGAAGCGAAGCAGGGTGTGATCGGAGCTGTAGTTTGGGATCTTGATTTTCTTGGTGACTGTATAACCACCGGCGATGGTGGTCTTGCAAGAATTCAAAGCTGCGCCATCCACACCTTGGCATCCGCGGTTGGAGTCAGCATTGAAGGCGTTACAAGTAAACCAATCATTGCGGTAGCATGCTTGATCAGAGGTGCAGTCTGGATTATAGCCACAGGTCTGTCCATCGACATCAGTGCATTTCAATTCGCCATCCAGGAAACAGTCTTCTGCGGCTTGTTTCTCCTCTGTGGTTGGGAGATATCCCGGAGTCAAAAACAAGTCGACCAAAGTCTGGTTCTGGCAGACACCGTAGGTGAACATGCCGCCATGATCGCCGTTGTTGTCAACACACCATTGCACTTCGACAATATCGTTGGCAGTATATGTAGCTACCACGGAGTTACCCCAATAATCTCCGGGTTGGTTATAGTCCACGCTAACTCGAGCATTGTATCCACATGGCCCACTGCGGCCAACCTGTGCTGCTTCAACGTCAGGCCAAGCAGTGACGGGCTCAAGAATCGAGCATTCAGGACAGGTATCAATGCCAGCCTAAAGCATATCAAGTTAGCAATGTACGGCATGAACTTGTACTTCCGGGTCATACCTCAAATCCCAGTCGTGTACGACTTGAGGGAATCGTCAGGTATCCATGAGCATTGACTGAGGCTAGCAGACTTGCCAGTGTCAGAACACTTGTAGTCTTCATGATGTCGAAGTGTGCTTTCTTGGATTGAATTTAGAGACTGGTCATGACCTCCCCAATGCGATATCCTCGCCCTTTTAAAAGATCAATGATACATATCTTCATGTACTGTCCATTCGGTTAATACTGTATTTAGTTCAGCAAAAAGCCCCAACGGCCATTGCCATCACTGTCTCCGCCAAGAACAACCCCTATTGGGGAAAGACCGCCGGTCTGAAACTCTGGGCATATCTTGGCGTCTCCCTTGGCATTCATATAATCCAAGCTGAATCCCCAGGACATGATGGAAAAGCCGACAATTGCCCGCTAACAATCAGCCATAGGCGCAAGGCTAAGAAGAATCGGTGTTAGGTCTTCGTCAGTTCCTTGAATAATCAACGACTTGACAAGCCGATGAATCTCCGCTTCCCCGCATACCTTGTTTTAGCGAGGTCTCCTGAAGAGTCATGGGATAAACAAGTCTTTCAGTAAGTTGATTGGCCCACAGTATGGTTGTAACCGAGATGAAAGGCGTAAACCATGGTCTGTTAGGCGAGTAGTGTAATTGTTTCATGCGAATTCGGCAGGGTAGGGCGACGATGGCTTTCGGGCTCTCCGCCTACACAAGATATCTGGGGTGCATGATGGCACAGAGATTTTGCGCGATATTGAAAAGTCTGGCATATCAGAGTCCATGTATTTCAAGAGATAGAAACAGTCTAACAGCATGTATCAATTGTCCTTCGATACTATTCAGAAATTGAAGCGCGCAAGGAATGCGATGTAAATAATTTGCAAGAACAAATCTAACAACATAGAGAGAGATTCCAGTTGGCAACTTATGAACAATCTTTCAAGGTTGAAACTGCGATGGAGTCTGTCTTTACCAACTCCATTCTCCGTGGGTCTCGAGCGGGCCGACCCGGCAAATTGTACCCGCTCCGGTGATGTCACTGTTGTCCAGGTGAATTCCGAACAGGCATACGCATGTTGCGTGTGGCACAGCCAAAAGAGAACAAACCTAACACGTGAGCCAAAAAAAAACTGGGAAGAGGACAAGAATGATCGGAAAAGAATCTAATTCAAAGGCAAGGAATATCGCCCGACCTGGATCCGAGATTGGTTATTAGTGCTGACGGCGGAAGCGGATTGTGTTATCTGTCTAACATTCGGAATCCTTTCGCACACGTCAGCAGAGATGGGATAAGTCAGAGGCCTTGCATGCGATGAGCAAGGCGGCACCCTATCCGGAAGACCAAGGTGCCTCTGTCAAGGGGACTCCAATGGCTAAGCTTTACACCCCCAGCAGGTCCGAAGCTGACGTATCGAATTCCAGTAGATATTCCGACCCCCGGAAGCTTAGCGCAGTCTGTGAGTGACTGTTGTTTTCTCAAATGGACAGAACCTGATGCGCAGGGGTCGTGGACCCATAAACGGTGGATCTTGCGAGCAGATCCGCTCCCTCAATGCATGTTGGCCTAGAATGGATTCATAGGTCCACAAGATAGTCTACACAAGCAATGTACTAATTATAGAAGTCGGAAGTTTTGTCAAGCCGCAAAGCTTGTCGACGATCATAGGCCTAAAGAATAATCACGAAACCCGCATTGGTATTAATTCCTGCAAAGCCTGGATAACACGGCAGTGTATAGGTCAAAGGGCGCACCATCCGAGGCTAAGAGGGCTTTTGGATGCTTACATAGTGGGGCTTCCGACAGCCTTATGCGGCGTAGTAAGCTGAAATCAAGCTTTCGATTAAGATAATCCCCTGTCAGTCCGACCGACGTGGTATTCCGCTTGGTGAAACAAGATCCGCCGGGCGATTCGTTATCCGGTCTAACTATTCGGAGACCCGATGTATCGTATCATGAGTCTCAACAAGTCCCGAATTCATTCTCTAGCTCAGTGATGAATCGGATATGGATCCTTGCAATGGAGAGCAGCTTGTCTCATCCTTGCCTACAAATAGCCCGTTGAACCACGCTGTTATTCTGTTTTCCATTCACCACAGATCAATATCCAGCAAAGACAATCATCTCAAGCTCAATTCAGCCGATTTCAATACTTCTACCTCTGCCAATTCATTATCTTCTCTCCAGCAAAATGGGATTCCAGGACAAGCGAGTTGTTGTTGTTGGCGGTGGCCTAGGTGGCCTGGCCTTCATGAACGCAGCCCTCTATGCCGGTGTCAAGAACATTCAGCTCTACGAGCAGGCTCATCAATTCGGCGAGGTTGGTGCCGGTGTTGACATCACTGCCAATGCAAACCGCATCCTCGATGCTTTCGGCCTCAAAGAGTCCCTGCTACGTCGATCTTCGCCTCAGCTGCCTTACTACATGCAATACCACCATTATAAGTCTGGCGATCGTCTCGGTCATATCGAAGAGTTCTCGCAGCCCCACGCACGCTTGATCCACCGAGCTCATCTCCTGGACTCGATCAAAGAGCCTGTTCCTGAGGAATTATTGCATTTGCAAAAGCGTCTCTCGTCTATCCATCGCAACACTAGCTCTGACGCCGCGCCATACACTCTGTATTTTGAAGACGGCACCACCACCAGTGCGGATATCATTATTGGATGTGATGGTATCAAGTCCCGGGTCCGACGCGAATTAGGTTTTGACGACTCACCGAACTACTCTGGCCAGGTGGTCTACCGTGGCTTCGTCGAGTACAAGGATTTGCCCGAGGATACTGCAAAGCTGCTTCGCAACGTGGTGAACTTCCGCGGGCCGAAGCGTCACATTTTGTGTCTGCCAGTCGGCAACCCGGCCACTCAAACTGACCGTGTCGGTGTCATTGGCTTTATGTCTGAGCCGCTCGATTCCTGGGACTCTGAAAACTGGATGGCCCGGTCGGAAATTGGCACTCTATACGATCATGTCCGGGACTGGTGCCCACAGGTACAGGACATCATCAAGGGTCTCTCCAAGGGATCTCCTGATGGTCGTTTGATGAAGCAGGCCCTTTATGTTCGAGACCCACTGGACAAGTGGTTTGAGATGCGAGACCAGATGGATGGTGGTATTGTCCTTCTGGGCGATGCGGTCCACTCGACTCTCCCTCACCAAGGTACGTCTTGATATCCCGACTGCTTTGTTCCAAGGAACAACATTTACTGATGTTTTACAATAGGTCAGGGTGTCTGTATGGCTATTGAATCCGGGATTGCGCTGGCCACTATTCTTTCGCATTGGAAAGGCGATGACCTACAGGCTCTTTGAGTTGGTGGCTTTGTACCGAAATTTAGATAATAGAATAGATTATTTTGTTTCTTCGCAGATATGATATCCTACTTTACCTACTTCTGACAAACCAGCCACCTGATGACAAACTCACCGTGCAACAAAAGTGAGACTGGTTCAACCCTAACTTCTGTGACAAAGGAGCAGTTCTTGGCACTCTTCGGGGCCCGCGGATCCCGCCAAGTGACCAACCATTTCCCGCTCGATGGATGTATTTCCCAGAAGTGACGCTGAGCTTCATAATCCGAATTCAAAAAGATGGGTCATTCTATATGATGCTTGCTAATCAACCTTTGGATTACATCCGTTCTGTGATAAAATTGAAGCATAGATTGCTATAAAAGTCCACAGTATACTCTTGTTTTTCTGATAGATACCTCCATGCTATGTCAACTTGCTAAGAACCAGTTCGATCTTCTTTCTTTCCTCGCTCCTCATTATCTTTGACTGATCCACTCGGTGCATCAGTGCCCGGTGCTCCCAACCACTTCAGCCTACATCAATTTTATCTTCGATTCAAAGTCAAGTCTCAACATGCGATTGGCAATTGCTGGATCGGGTGACCTGGCGAGCTATCTCGTCGAAGAGTTCACGGCAAAGGGCCATGATGTGGTACTGCTCACTCGCAGCCTGAAACCCCGGTTCAGTGACCTGTCGCAGGTGAAGCAAGTGATTGTGGATTATGCGGCGGTCGAATCAATCGTCAACGCAATCTCGGACTGTGAAGCCATGATCTCCACGATTCTCGACTACTCGGAGGGCTTCATCGATGTGCATCTTGCCTTAATTGAGGCATGCAAGCGAAGCCCCCTTTGCAAGCGGTTCATTCCCTCCGAGTTTGGAGGCAACCTTGAAACACACCCCCATCAGCCCGAGTTCTACTTCCGCACACGCGAACCAGTCCGTAAGGTCCTCCGTGCGCAAACTGAGTTGGAATGGACTTTGATTTCCGTGGGCTGGTTGATCGACTACGTTGTCCCAGCAAAGAACCGGTATCTCAAGGATATTGGACCTGCATTCCCGATTGATCTTGAGAATCAAACAATACTCATCCCGGGCACTGGGTTAGAGCCAGTCAATGTTACGTGTGCTCGGGATGTGGCAAAGAGTCTCGTCGCTCTGTTGAGAAGCGCAAAGTGGGATACGTACACCTACATCACCGGAGAGAAGACATGCTGGGCGGACATTAGCCGCGCTTTTACCGAAAAGTACCCTACTTTTTCTATATCTCACAAGGATAAGGCAATTCTCGAGCAGGAGGCAAAGGAAGGTGGAGATGAGGCGCTCTTCGCTGAATATCAACTGTTTTCTGTCACGGGAGCAGCTTGTTTCGACGATGCTAAGGTCCTGAACCAGCGGGAGAGATTTTTCCCCGAAATTCGCTTCCGAAATATCCAGGATCTTTTTGGGGCTGTTGATAAAGACAATCAGGTCATAGTTTGATTTGGTTTGAGACATAGCCTAGCTAGAGTGCAAGATATAGCCTACGGTCAGATCCATCAGATTTTAGCAGCTTGTCAGAGATTTTAGCTCAATCTTTTAGTTCAATTAAGTTATTTGCTTGTTTCACCTGAGAGTATCCAAACCATGTCATTTCTGAGTCTGGACAGGCCATAGCATACTCGGTGATGGTTTTCCCCACAAGTTCAGTAATATCAGGGACGGGTGAAGCATGAACGAGCTCATACCAAGTGGCATTGTATAGTATTCCTTCAATATCAGATCCATACACCTTAGTTTCCAAGGTGCCAAGGTTCCAAGGTTGTCACGAGCACCTGGGCAGCCTCGGAAGTTTAGTCAGCCCTGCATTACACGGGCGCGCGTCATCGTCTCTGCTTAGCCTGTTTCACTGATATCCGATCACATTGCATTCTATATAATTCGGGGATATCCCAGTGTCCCCGTCAAACATTCATCTTCCTTTAATAATCACATAACGTTATAATATATTCTTCATTATGCCTCTTGTTGTACCGGGAATCAACTCCACCATGGGCGATAAGTCAGAGTGGGTCAATAAGCTGATGGGCAAGACCATCGGTGATTCTAGTAATGAGACGGTATGGAGTGGAACTTCTTCAAATACTTACATGAGAATGAAACTGACTGCTTGCTAGTCATTTGCTAAGCGGGACCTCCCTGAGTCTCATCGTGTTCTGAAGCCTGGTGACATGAAGTCTATGGATCATAACCCGGACAGGTAATGTTCTCCATGGACATAGAGTGATGACGGCTACTGATCAGTACTTGTAGACTCAACGTCCACGTCGACGAAGAAGGTGCTGTGAACAACGTCACCTATGGTTAGACACGGTCCTTATACACCTGCTAAGCTGTCATGATTTGAAAGACTGAATACATGTACCAATTTCTAAATTTAACGTTATCTAATAATGAGTTGACATCTATACCGAAGAGCCTATAACCATATTTGGACCAAAGAGACCTACTCAGCCTTCCATCTGAGCAGAGTAAGAGAGTGCTTAGGGAAAACATAAGTGCCCTTCCCACCCCAGACTGTCTCCTCAACACGGACCTCCTCAGCACCATTCATGTTACTAGCAGCGATATTCGCCCCAGTAACAGTAAACACAGTAACATCACCAGTAGCGCCCTCAACAACGCTCTCCAAATCCTTCTCATCAGAAATATTCACAACAGCAACATTCACAAATCCATCCTCACCAAGCGCAGCACTAACATCCAACCAAGGTGTATCCTTTGCACTGCGAATCCACTTCGGCCAAGTCTCCCCTTCATAAGTTCCACAAGAAACATGGCTAGCAACAGTCCAGCCACGCATATACCGCGAGAACAAATACAGGGGCCACCAAGTCGTCTGCTTCGTAATGCCCTCAGGGGTAGTCATCAACGGCGAAATAACATTAACAGTCTGCGCAATACACGCCATACCGACATCCTTGCTCTTCCGAATGAAGACATTCAGCCAGGCAGCAACAGCCAGCGCGTCGGAGAGGTTGTAGTTCTCCTCAGCGCCCTTGCTGCCCTCAGCACGGATCGGGTCCCAGACATTCCACTCGTCGAAGCAGATTGTTGGGCGGAGTTGTTCTGGTGGGACGCCGTTCTCGGCGCGTGCGAGGTCAATGAGACCGGAAGTGATCTCGATGGCGCGTTCTGCTGCTAGTGGGGCTGTGACGTTTGGTAGATGCTCTGATGAGCATGTGTAGAGGTGGATGCTGTGCATGTCGATGAGGGGCACTGCGCTGGTGGAGAGAGCTGAGTGGGCTGGTACGAGGCAGTGCTTAAGGGTGTAGTAGTCCCATGAGGCTGTTCCATCTTGACCGCAGAGAATTAGGATGAGGGTGGGGTCCAGGAGTTTGAGGGCTATAGAGGATTAATATATATATCTGGCGATGAAGATGGAGGGAGTTGCATTACCTTTGGCCCATTGGATGGCCTTGTGGGCATAAGCCTCCTTGGTCATTTGCTCAACTTGCCAGGGACCCCATGTCTCGTTTCCGAGGGCCCAGTATTTGACCTGGATTTGTTAGGGCATTGAAATAAAAATGTGTCCATTGGGATGCATACATTGTAAGGCTCTTCGCGGCCATTCTTCCGGCGCAGGTTGGCATAGTATGTATTGCCAGTACCATTGCAGTACTCAACCCAGCCCAAAGCTGTATTGATTCCAGATCAGCATTGCTTCAAATCTAATCATTGAGCAAGAGCATACCTTCATCTAGAGTACCAGTTCCAAAGTTGAAGCAAAGATAGGGCTCAGTTCCCAAAGCCTCACACCACTGCATGAACTCATCGGTACCAAACTGATTGGTCTCTGTTCCAAGCCAAGCCAGCTCGGGTCTATGGATTATAGTCAGCTCAGATGGTCATAGTGTAGCGGGCGAGCTAAGCATACCTGGATGGGCGTTGGTCCTTAGGGCCAACGCCATCAAGCCAGTGATAGGTTGCGCAGAAATTACCGCCGGGGTATCGAACGACAGGGATATTGAGCCCCTTCAACGCCTCCAAGACATCCTTCCGGAATCCTTTTTCATCGGATAACGGGTTGCCCGGGTCATAGATGCCGCCATAGATACAACGTCCCATATGCCTAGGAAGATAATTAGTTATGCCATGCACGGTTGCCTCGACGATCTTACTCAGTGAAGCCGGCATAGATGTTCGGGTTGATCTTGGAGATGCGCCGAGCAGGATGAACAGAGATGACCGGCGTCTCATGATCTTCCAATTTGGTCAAGGTAGTCATTTTGCAGGTCTTTTTTGGGGGGTTTCTACTTAGGTTACGACAGTAGAAAGTAGCTTTAGCTTAGAAGTGAGTCTTAGAAAGAACTTGCCTAATAAATAACAATAGAAAGGAAAGCGGCTTCTCCTATAAGCGGCAAAACTCCTGCGGGGAAGCTGGTGCTGGCAACAAACCACACGATGCTCGTTCTGGCTAGTTTCGCGCTCGATCAAAGCCATGTCAGACGCGCCAAGCTGGAAAAACCTCGGCAAGTATCCAATAACCCGACAGGCGAGATTCCCAGCTCCAACCCTGAATGCAGTGGGAGATATTCCGTCAATCACCACACGGCCTCCGTGGCGCCACATTGCTGCGTTAATCATGCCCCCGCAGCATTGAAGGTATTTCGATTCCAGCACGGCTGTTAGTGTGAACGGAGCTGCGTCCGATCATTTGCTACCGAGACGCCTTTCGAATGGCCAGGTTAGACTTTTCCGATCTAGCTCGGTTAAATCAGCATAGAGCATACGATCACCCTGGCTGGTGGCTTTGCCTAAGCTATTTGCTCCGAGTCTGGAGTGCTCAGTTCCGATGGAGTATATCTAGGGATCATCGCCCCCCGGAGAATGTGGTGATATGTGGAGATCCCCAGATTTCTTCCCCATACTTTGATTCCCATCACCATGCGTCTTTCGCCAAAGTGGTACCAGGTAAGGATGAGATGGACCATATTGATGTGCTCGTGTTGATCATTTCTATAGTTCCTGGTTGGCGTGTTCGCCTCGCTCGGTTCATTCCTGTACGGATGTTAGTATCGTCTCCCGGTGTTGAAGGATTCCATTTTAACACAGCTCTAGATGACTTGGGTGTTATTGCCGAGGTTATTGTCTGCCAATCCTTCAAAACGAAGTTTGCTCCATCTGATACCGAGAGGTATGTTAGGTTCCTATGGATTTGATATCTCTTGCTAATAACTTTCCAGCGGTCTGGTCGTATCCCTGTTCACAGCCGGTGCTTTCTTCGGTGCTGGTTTCGCTGGTCCCAGTGGTGATTACCTTGGCAGAAGACGCACCATCTCTCTGGGATGTTTGGTCTTTTGTCTAGGAGGTGGCCTCCAAACTGGCGCCAGAACCATCGCCTACCTATATAGTGGACGTCTCCTTGCTGGATTTGGGTATGTCATTTCACCCCGCACAAAAGCATTCGAGAAACCAGAAATGGGTGGCTAATTCGCATTAGTGTCGGTTTCCTTACCATGATGATTCCCCTGTACCAGGCCGAGATCTGTCACCCGAGTATCCGTGGCCGAGTGACAGCCCTGCAGCAGTTCATGCTGGGTGTTGGAGCTCTTTGTGCTTCTTGGATCTCCTATGGAACATACGTTGGCTTCAAGCCAGACAACCAAGCCCAATGGCAATTGCCGCTGGGCTTGCAGATTGCTCCTGCTGTGTTCCTTGGTCTGTTGATCATGTTCTTCCCCGAGGTAAGCGATTAATTGGATCTCTTCTCAGCTTGAAAATACAATATCTAACATGCTCTAGTCTCCTCGCTGGCTCATTGACCACGGCAAGTCCGAAGAAGGTCTGAAGACCTTGGCCAAGCTCCATGCTCATGGTAATGAGAACGATGCCTGGGTTCAGGCTGAGTACGCTCAAATCCAGGAGAGTATCACCTTCGAGCACGAGAACGAGGCCAAGTCATACCTTGATCTCCTGACCAATCGTTCTTCGTTCCGTCGACTGTTCCTCTGCTGTGCGCTCCAAGCTTCTGTTCAAATGACCGGTGTATCTGCCATCCAGTAAGCTCTCTCAACATGTAGCCAGGGGAAGACACTAATGTGAAGCTAGATACTACTCCGTCACGATCTACGAGCAAATTGGAATCTCAGGCTCCGACACCCTCCGATACCAAGCCATCAACTCAATCATCGCCCTGATCGCCCAGTTCCTCTGCATGATGTTCATCGATCGTTTCGGTCGTCGCTGGACACTGATCACCGGAAATCTCGGCAACATGGTGACATTCATCATCGCCACAATCCTACTGGCCCAGTTCCCCCCGACAACAAGTAACAGCGGCGCTCACTGGGGATTCATCATCATGACCTGGCTCTACAACTTCTCCTTCTCAGCAACCTGCGGCCCCCTCTCATGGATCATCCCCGCCGAAGTGTTCGACACGCGGACCCGTTCCAAGGGTGTTTCGATCGCGACGATGACTTCGTACGCGTTCAACACCATGATCGGACAGATCACGCCCATCGCCATGACAAACATTCAATACCGGTTCTACTACATCTTCGTCGTTTGCAACTTTACCAATGCGCTCTTCTTCTATTTCCTCTTGCCTGAGACTAAGAAGGTGCCTCTTGAGGAGATGAATGCCATGTTCTCCAACGCCCCTTGGATTGTGCCCTTCAGCAAGAGAGAGGATTACATCAGTCATGATCTCGAGCGCAAGATTGAGGAGCAGGAGGTTAAGCAGAGTACAATGCACTATGAGGTTGAGGAGAAATGAGAAATGAATGTCTTTTGATATCTCATACCCGCATCCTCTGATTGGTTTATCTTTTATCTTTGAATCTTGAGCTGTCAGTGCTTATGCATGTGCCTTCTGCCTTCTGCCATGAAGAAATATCGTTGCTTGAGGAAATGTTGTTGCCTATATACTCCTTTGTCTAGGATCCGCAGAGACTTGAAAAACTGATTGTATTTCATGAATGATATCATTCACTGCAACTCAGCAGCATTTCATCTACTTACTTACCGTATTTCTCTTTCGCATAATCTATAACCTTAAAAGGTATTACATTCCTCAGTGGGATCGCATTCGACCGTCATGTCAATCAATTGAAGTTGCAACCTACGATATAAAACGACCCCTATTCCTACCCTCCACAGAATATCAGTCTCCACAAGCAGGCAGGCACTGTATGACACTGTGGCTGCACTATCCCAGATCGAAGCCAATAGCACATTATATACTCAAGCGCAACTCCACAGGGCCTATTCCGATTGGCTTATAACAGAAGCTTGTCGGCGTCCGAAAAGAGGCTAGTCGCCCAGCACGGGGAACCAACTAAGCGACTTTTTCACTCAACTTACTTGTTGCATCAGTCAACAGTGATCATTTATACAGCAAATATCCCAGTCTGCGTACAGATTGACCACTTAGAGCACATGGGTCTAATTTTAGCAATCCTTAGCAATCTTCTGCCTGGCCCTGATGTATTCACTAGTAACGAGGGACAAGGCATTGTTATAATACTGTAATTCGAGTTGAGTCCGATATAGTCTTTGAGGTGAAAAGACGTGAAGGAAATCTGAGAATCGTATTCCGAAAAATGAATTTCTACTGCACGCTCTCACGAATGCGAATTATAACTTTGTCTCTTGCCCTGGTCATTACTATGTGGTTGTAATCATGTACACTAGACTAAACGTACCTTATGATTACACTACTTTAATCCTCGCAGGAGCAGATATGATTCTCATGTTAACAGACCAAACAAGTATATACTTGTGCTCATGCCCTCCCATCGCCTCACACAATGTTCACTGGATTTATCGACCGCTACTGAGCCCTGGAGATATAGTCAGTCACGTGGAGACTATACCTGAGTCATTCCTGAATTTATTGAAGGTTGACCAGGATGTCTACATACAACTCAACTACAGTACTTTCATTCAATATGACGGCAGCATCACGAGGGGCAGTCTTCGTCCCCATTGAATTGATCATATATATCGCGAGGTTTCTACAGCCAGCTGACATTATAAATCTGCTGCGAGCAGCGAAAGGCCTTGACAAACTACTCACATCCCATCATCTGAACGTCAAAGGCGATAAGGACGAAACGATATTTCATCTCATTGCAAGAGACGGAGATGAGAATCTGATGAAAATGTTTCTCGGTAAATGTGGGATATCCAGCATCATCCGTGACGATACTACACAATTACATCAAGCTAAGACGTTCGGACAAGTATCAAGAACAGGATTCCTGGCCTCGACTACTTTCAACATCAACGAACTCGACCGTCATAGAGAAGCCCCGCTACATTGGGCCGCTAAGCAAGGACACGAATCGATCGTGAAACTGCTACTTGACAGAGAAGACATCAAGCCCGACCTAGAAAATAACCGATATCGAACGCCGCTGTCGCTCGCAGCAGAACAGGGACACTTGCCCGTTGTGGATCTTCTGCTGCGACAGAATGAAGTGAATCCCAATTCGAAGGATTATTACGACCAAACACCGCTGTCATTTGCTGCCGAACATGGACATGTATCAGTTGTGGAGTTATTGCTTCAACAAGACGGTATTGACGCTGATGCGGAGACTTATGATCAAGACGCTGCGGGGAGGTGGCTACCTCAAGACGGGGGACGTACGCCGTTGTCATTTGCGGCTGGGAACGGGCATCTTGCAGTGGTGGAACTGTTGGTGCGGCGAGATGTTGACGCGGATTCAATTGATGATAGCCATCGTACGCCGCTGTGGTGGGCGGCAAAACATGGTCATTTGGCTGTTGTGGAGGTGTTGGTGCGAAGGGGGGACGTTGGCGTTGATTTTAAAGATAAATGTGGTCGTTCGCCTTTGTCATGGGCTGTTGCGGGAGGGCATCAAGCAGTGGTGGAGTTGCTGGTGCAAATGGGATGTTGAGGCTGATTTGAAGACAATTGTGGCCAGACCATGTTACTGTAGGATTTGTAGAATTCTCACTGGAACAAATAAATAGTCATGATAAATCCCATGACGACTTTTGCTCGATGGTCTCTTGTAGAAACTGTGGCTACTCCATAAGTTAGCTCGGTGATATCTAGTGTGTAGCTCTATATTATAAGTTATCGCGAATAGTACATAGCATTCAATTTGGGCCGTAGGTATTCTTGCTGCTATACAGCTTCTCTGGAGATGCTAGTGACGAGTGGGCATGGCATCCGTAAAGCAGTTTCAGGTAAAATACACAAGGGCATGTCCCCGTCATGTAAGTTACAAGGGCTGTTCCCGGATCGAGCTGCATACCTTATTTGTATTAGCGTGATTCGAGCTATTATAAGTTGAACCCTCCCGTGAATACGCAACCCAAACTAACCCAACCAATATAGCAACCAAAATGGCAACCATCGAAGAGTCCTTCCAAGCCGCCATCGACTCCAAAAAGATCAACGGTGCTGTCGTATGCACCAGAAACAAAAATGGAACATTCACCTACAACAAAGCCATGGGCCAACGCACCCTGCTTTCTGGCGAACAGAAACCCCAAGAATTAAACGACATGCTATACCTAGCCAGCGCAACAAAAATCATAACCACCATCGCAGCAATGCAATGCGTCGAAGAGGGCACATTGACTCTAGACGACGACATCTCGCCCATCTGCCCAGAACTCGGATCCAAACAAGTGCTTACAGGATTCACGGACGACGAAGCCAAAACCCCCATCCTGGAAGCGACGAACCGCCCAATTACACTGCGGATGCTACTTAGCCACAGTGCAGGCGTGACATACCACTTCCTGGACCCGAAGATCGGAGCATGGCGCGAGAGATTTGGTGTGGCCGACGAAGCCCCGCAGAAGAATGTTGAAGACACTTTCTCGTATCCGCTCAGTTTCCAGCCTGGCGAGGGTTGGATGTATGGCTCGGGTCATGATTGGGCTGGGCGGATTGTCGAGCGTGTTACTGGACAGACATTGGGTGAACGGATGCAGGAGCGGGTGTTTACGCCATTGGGGTTTTCGGATGCGCAGTTTTATCCTGTGAGTCGTGAGGATCTGCGGGAGAGACTTGTTGATCTGAATCCGGATGATGTTGAGGGTCTTGGGCGGGCGGTTCTTGGGGGTGGGGGTGATATCAATAAACGGTCAAAAGGGCATTTTGGGGGACATGGGTTGTTTATGACTGGGCCTGATTTCCTGAAGATTTTGGGGTCTTTGTTGGATGGGGACGAGGTTTTGTTGAAACGGGGTACTGTTGATGGGATGTTCGTGCAGCAGCTTGGCGAGCAGGCTGAGAAGAGCCATTTGGAGAAATTAGATGGTCCTATTGGGCCTATGTTCCGAATTGGGGTCGAGCCTGGGGTCAGGGTTGGCTATGGGCTGAGTGGGCTGTTGACTCTTGAGGATATTGATGGGTGGCAAGGGGAAGGGAGTTTGAGTTGGGGAGGAGGGTTGACATTGACTTGGTTTGTTGATCGGAAGAATGGGCTTTGTGGTGTTGGGGCAGTTCAGTCTGCTTTGCCTGTTGATGGGGGACTGGTTGCTGAGTTGAAGCAGGTGTTCCGGAAAGATGTTTACCATAAATTTGCTGAGTGGAAGCAACAGTCTTGATATACATATAAATCGGTACAATCAGACACAAGAGTCAATATGAGTTTGAATGAAAGAAAAGAAAGTCAATCAGTTGAAGTAGTAGATTAAGATCATTCGCTAAATCTGACTCTGATGTACACAGTTCAGTTGGTTCCATTGGATACCTGCTCGAATATTATGCATGGGAGGGACCAAAACAGGTCGGTCAACTACGACGCCTCACTCTGAATCAGAGCTGTATCCCGCCAGGCCGAGCGAGACCGGGGCTGGTTTCACCGGTGACTTTTGTGGTTGACTCTGTTCGGGTTTCGCAGCAGTCTTGGAGGGTGTGGAGGCGGCGACTTCACTGGGCTTGGGATTTTGTTGCGCTGCCTGCTTAGGCTTTGATCCACGGTCAGCTTCAGGCTTCTGTGCATCTGGTTCCTGGGATTTTTTCTCGGTCAACGAAGCTTTGCGCTTTTTCCCGGGAATCAGAAGATCCTTCTGCTTGTCGCGGCGCCTCTTGCGCGCCGGCGCAGTCCATTCCTCTTCCTCCGCAGGTGTAACATCCGACGAGGTCGGTCCGAGTAGAGCCTTTTCGGCCTCTTCGCGCTGTCGCCGGAAAACCTCGAGCTGATCAGCCGTGTCGCGCTTCACCGCAGCCTCCTGAGCTCTTGTTGATTCCAGGACGGAATCCAGAAAGTCAACCTCGTCTTCGTCCAGCGAACGGAATTGGTTCTTCAGTCGGGATTTCTCCTCAAAGGCTTCTTGTTTGGCCACTACACATTAACCGCGGGAAATCACCCTAACACGTCAGTCTGATTTCCTGGATCCATTGGCTGCATTTTCCGCCATTGCGGGGTGCAGACCAGCCTCATCGCCAAGTCAAGCTCACTTTTGTTGCGCTCCAGGACCTCAAAGAGACTTTTGCCGTCATCCTGTTTGCCTATCTCGGCCTTTCGCCTCCGCTCCTCCTCTAGCTCTTGTTGCGCTTTGAGCCACTCATCATCCCGCTCAATCGGCTGCTCGTTGGTTCCGGCTGAAACGAATCCCGAAGACATGACGCCGATCGGGATAAAGTGGGAAGGGTAACGGGATCCAGGACTCGGGTATAATGGTATAATGCAGGTGATATGGGGATTTGTTAATTATCCGGGGGGGGGGAACGAAAGGTGGGGGAGGGTAATAGACCGAGCGAATAACGGGAGTTACGTTCAGTCGGGTGAAAGCGAATGAGAAAGTTCTGGAAAGGGCAGTTTTGCGGCGCGACCAGCTTGGAAAGGAGCCAATTGGGGACCTGAGGATGAAAAGTGTACAGTCAGCAGTGGGCCTGGCTATTTAGCCGGAATGGAGAGGGATGACGGAGATGTGAAGGACCATAGTACTCCGTGAGGAAAACGTCAACTTATGGATGATAATCGGGTAATTCCTAACACTAACATAATACATGTAACATAATAACCTTCTTGACCCCAAAACTCCTTCCAAGGTTGCTTTGAGTGGACAAATATAGTGCGTTGTAAGCATTTCCCCACTACCCCTCTGAGATCATTGCTCTTGGACCTGCCCACTTTAGGACGCCTCCCATTATAAAAGACCCCTACTCCCCCCTAAAGATTTGGTTTCTCTCATCAATTCATATTTATACCTCCAAAATGTCCAACCAGCACACTCAGTGAGTCTAATCTGAGCGCAATGTCGGAAGACCATCCTACTGACCACCTTTGCTCTATAGGAAGACCTACACCCTCAACACCGGTGACAAGATCCCCGCCATTGGTCTTGGAACATGGCAATCGAAGCCCAATGAGGTCCGCATCGCTGTTCGCGATGCCCTCCTGGCTGGTTACCGTCACATTGACACTGCCCTGGCCTACGGCAACGAGGCCGAGGTTGGTGCCGGTATCAAGGATTCCGGCGTGCCCCGCGAGCAGATCTGGCTCACCACCAAGCTGGACAACCCCTGGCACAAGCGCGTGAACGAGGGTATTGAGTCCTCTCTCAAGGATCTTGGTACCGACTACGTCGATCTCTACCTCATTCACTGGCCCAGCTCGACCGACCCCAACGACCTGTCCAAGCACCACCCTGACTGGGACTTCATCAAGACCTGGCAAGACATGCAGAAGCTCCCTGCCACTGGCAAGGTGCGCAACATTGGTGTCTCCAACTTTGGCATCAAGAACATGGAGAAGCTCCTCAACGACCCCAGCTGCAAGATCGTCCCCGCCGTCAACCAGATCGAGCTGCACCCCAACAACCCCTCCCCCAAGCTCGTCGCCTACAACACCTCCAAGGGCATTCACTCCACCGGCTACTCCTGCCTGGGCTCCACCGACTCTCCCCTCTACAAGGATGCCACTCTTCTGAAGATCGCCGAGAACAAGGGCAAGACTCCCCAGCAGGTACTCCTCGTCTGGGGTATTACCAAGGGCTGGAGTGTCATCCCCAAGTCTGTTAACAAGGCCCGCATTGAGGGTAACCTTGACATTAACGGCTGGGAGTTGACTGCTGAGGAGGTTAACCAGCTGGACAACCTCAAGGACCGCTTCAAGGTCTGCGGTGACGCCTGGTTGCCCGTCAAGGTCTTCTTCGGTGATGACGAGTAAATATGTAACGATGATGTTTTATGAAGTACATAGGCTTTAGATACCAAAAGAATCCATTTGTTAGATGAACAATTCGCGAGTCCACCCCGCCATGCATAGTGCAGTAACAAACCAGACAAACCAGTGCAATAGAGCAAATCAGACAAACAAAATGGTGCTAAGCCTTTTTGGGATGCAAAGTCAGTGACTTGTCACGAGGGTGGCGATGCACCGCCACTGCGGGTCATGCTTGGGGCGGAGAGATAAGGGTATACCCCAGCATCATCAGGCCTCCCTCCTTCTCCATCCGTCTTACTATTCAAATTAGGATACACGTCTCTCAACTCTCAGCATGGCGCCTCCAAATGGGCACCTGCTGCTCCCTAAGATATGGAGAGCAGCTAGGTACGTGTACAACTTCTTGTCGCCTCCTCATCGAGGAACAATGGCAGTCATCAACTAACGTCATCCCAGGTTTGCCTATGAAAAGGCTTCCAAGGCCATTCGGTCTAAATTACCAGAACCTCAATACAACTCGTTGCGATATCAACCTGCCTATGCCCGCATCAATCGCCAGCCAATCAGTCGTGCCGCTGCCATCCGTCAAGCCCGCAGTCGCCACTTCTCGACTCGTGCTGCCAGTGCTTTTACCTCTGCGATTAGATCTACATTCGGTGCCGAAGGTACCGCCCATGCCACTTCTCGCATCGTATCCAACGTCGGCCGACTGAGCAGCCGTGCGCCCTTTGCTTCTACCCTTCGGCCCAATCTGACCGGTGGTACTCTCGGCCGCACCGCGGGAGGGTACGCCGTTGGAGCAGGCCGCTTTGGTGGAGCCAGATACTTTTCCCATGGTCCTGCAGCCCCGGCACAAGTTATCCAGAATGTTTCCCAGGGAGTTCGTGCCTTCTTCCTCTCTGGGCAGAAGGTTCGATTCGATGGCCTTGATCCCAATACCGGCGAGAAGCGCTATAAGGCTGTCACCGTTCTCCAGGATCAAGCGGAGCGCAAGATGAACTCCATCCCGCGTAATTCTCCTGGCTCTTACCTTGACTTTCAGGTTTCTCCCACCATCACTGCTTTCGGTGCCCTGGGTGGTCTCAGTCAGACTTCATCTGTCCCATGTGACACCCTGAACTCCGAGGGACTCATGGACATCCTTTCTGCCGACTTTGCTCGTGCTCTGAAGGATTTTGCGGCTATTATGAATGATCTCAAACGTTTGGCGTCGCTAGGGGACCTCCCAATCACCCTTCACGAACGCTCCACCATACGAGTACGCTTCCCAGGCTGCGACGCAGACACAGTGGAGCGACTTTGTGATGAGGCCGGAGTTCAGAGAGGCCGCATCGTCCAAGACGAAGACTTCGATCTTCGTACTGGTGCTGACATGGCCCTGTTGTTCCCCTTCGCACCCAGCGTTCCACCGTCACCTGACACCGACTATTACTTCGAAAAGGCTCCCAAGATGCAAACTCAATATCCCCAGGATCTGGACTGGCATGAAATGATGACGCCCTCTTCGCCAGGTATCAGTCGTGACTCTGGAAATGCCATCAGCTTCGAGGATAGTCAACTCTATGGTGCCAATCCCTGGAGAACCTCATCTCAAAGCTACTCTAGTATCAACGTTAGTGAACTTGGCGATCAAGCTTTCTTCCCAGAATACTCCAGTGCTGGTCCGCAGGAGAGCAAGTCTGCTTATGAAGGCGTTGAGGGCATTTACAAGTTCCTGGCTGAATGTGATCATGCCCAGCGTTCATAACCGACGATTAGACATCGTTGAGCCTTTCTACTTTCATTATTTTCTTCTCTTGGCCTCGTTTCCCCCCTTTTAATTGCGTTGAATATTTCCCAGGCTGAAGCCGGGTCCACATGATGATATATACCACTCCACTCTTTCACTTTCCTATTCGTCAGCATCTACTCAATTGAATGAAAATTTTGATTTGATGCATATGCTTCGCTGGTTTCTAAAACAAGCGTGTCTTAAACCGTAGGCGAAAGACATCACTTTTGCGTTCTAGGAACGGCTTTCGTCCTTGATCTTATTGTAACCTAATCCTTGTCAACACCAGTTCAGGTGATGAACAGGCACAAGTATGTCACCTCCTGACCCAGTTCTACGCTAGACTTCTCTTAATGAATTTAGGCTAAGAGGTCCTTGGAACGGACATGCCGTCCTTGGCACAACATTGACCAGTCCATATACTTGAAACTCATAGATCCCTTGACCCATTCACTCCTGGACCCTGCATTCATAGTGTTTAATGTGCGGGGTCGTGAGACTGAAGAATTTCGAAGGATTTGGCTGTCAAGAGCCGAGAAATGGCGTTTCCTCAGCACGTAGGTTTGAACACAGACCGCAAACCTTGCAACATCCTGACAAGGCTTTCGTTTCATGTCTAACCCTTAGAGATAACATATATACTCCCAGGCATATCTGGAGGCTTGAAAGGAAGTTCAAGTTCGTTCTCCATATTTCACCATGCTGTTGCCAGCTCACATATAGCCGTCCATGAACAGCTATCGACTTTCTCTTCTCGTGTGTTTTCGCCTGCATGAATATCTCCATATAAGCAAAAACTAATATCAAATACTGCTACTATCTGGAACTTCGTTTGACATCTTCCGCGCCGAGTTTGGAGAGGATCGACTACAGCCCATCCCCTTTGGGGACGGAGTATCAATTCCGTATGAGATATCAGGGTCTTCAGACTACCCCAGATTTTCACCCCTTGACCTTCTAGGCAAGCCATACCTAATTGCATGCAGCTTGAGCTCATGCCTCTCACGAGACGAACGTGCATTTGGCTAAGTCTCGAAATCTCTCTTGGTAAAATGCAGAAACGACGCATTTAACGGAACCCTTCATGGTGTCATCGTCAAATAGCCTGGGATGATGTTGCATCAACTTCGGATTACGGCTTCTTGTTCCGATATTATGGGAAGGGGTGTTGCTTTGGATGAATATATAAAGAAACAGAAATAACACGATTTACGTTTCCATGAAATCAAATCCCGCAAGACCAACAACTAAGCCACATTCCACCAGTCAATTCCCACCAGCATGCGATATCTCGCTTCAATCGTGCCACTTTTGGCCACAACTGCAGCTGCAGCCGTCATTCAGAACGTCCCCCGAGCTGCAATTACAGGAAATCCCTTCTCGGGCTATCAACTCTACCCAAACACATACTATGCATCAGAAGTCTCAGCCTCGGCCCTGCCATCAATGACAGGAGCAGCCGCAGCTGCAGCAAGCAAAGCAGCCCAGGTGCCATCGTTCTTCTGGCTGTAAGTATTGACATTTCGAAATTAAAACAGAATTGTTTCAACCCCAAGCCACAAAATGTCCCTCCAATTCTAACATCTCTCTTCTTTTCTCTTCTTTCAGAGATACCGCAGCCAAAGTCCCGACAATGAGCACCTACCTGGCAGATATCAAAGCCAAAAATGCCGCTGGTGCTAGTCCCCCAATTGCGGGCACATTCGTGGTATACGATCTTCCTGATCGGGACTGTGCCGCTTTGGCAAGTAACGGGGAGTATTCAATTGCCAATGGGGGAGTTGCAAAATACAAGGCTTATATTGATTCTATTCGGGCTATTTTGCTTCAGTACTCTGATGTTAGGACGATTCTGGTTATTGGTACGTGAATTAACGTTGCAATGGTGCTTCAGCAGCTAATTGTTCCTCTCCTCTAGAGCCTGATAGCTTGGCTAATTTAGTCACCAACATGGCTGTTTCCAAGTGTGCTAATGCCCATGATGCTTATTTGGAATGTACCAATTACGCAGTTACGCAATTGAATTTGGACAATGTTGCCATGTATCTCGATGCTGGTGAGTTTCATGTCTGGGCTACTTCTTTCCCACCCGCTAACAATTCCTACAGGACATGCGGGATGGCTTGGTTGGCCAGCCAATTTGAGCCCAGCAGCAACACTTTTCGCACAGGTATATAACAATGCCTTGAAGCCTGCATCACTCCGAGGACTGGCCACAAATGTTGCCAATTACAACGGCTGGTCTCTGTCTACGTGCCCATCGTACACCTCGGGTGATTCCAACTGCGACGAGAAGAGATATGTTAATGCAATTGCCCCCCTTCTCTCGAGTGCAGGCTGGGATGCTCACTTCATTACTGACACTGGTGTGTAACTGAAGAATACCCCGAGTTTCAAGTATAGCCGTTAACTTTACTTTTAGGTCGAAATGGTGTCCAACCTACCCAGCAGAATGCCTGGGGTGATTGGTGCAATGTGAAAGGAACTGGATTTGGTGTTCGCCCGACTACTACTACCGGTGATGCGCTTGAGGATGCGTTTGTTTGGGTGAAGCCTGGCGGCGAGAGTGATGGCACTTCGGATAGTAGTTCGGCTCGCTACGATGCTCACTGTGGATACAGTGATGCTCTTCAGCCTGCTCCTGAAGCTGGAACCTGGTTCCAGGTAAGTGAAGCATGGATTTTATCACCGATTTGACTGTGTGCTGATTGTTCTGCTTAGGCGTACTTCGCTCAGCTTATCGCAAACGCAAACCCCTCATTCTAAGCACTGAAATTGACTGGAACTGTGGTTAGGTAGACAGTTAGCAGGTCAAGAAATTATCAATGAGATGTCGCAATTATTGAAATCCTATCGTATGTGTAGCAAATGAAGCTTGCCAGTTGTGTAGATGTAAAGGGCGGTGTATACATCCGGCATTATATTGGCAAAACTTCAGACCGCCCACTAGCGAAGAGGCTATCTCGTGATAACGAGCGGGATACATTTACACTCCTCAAGCTGAATCTCACAACCCCGCCGTCCCTTTTATAAACCAATTTGCGACCCTAGAGACTAGTCACGACAAGACAGTCTCCTAATATCTCAGCTGTGCAGGTCTGGGCTCCTCCAGCAGCTTGGGCTCCGTGACCCCGCCTGTGGCTCCTCCTCAACCCGCGCGCAGAGTGCAAAATAATTCGAGCTACCGCGCACCCAACAACATAACGATATAATGGAGGACTTCAATAGCGAGACAGATAGCGACTACACAAGCTACTGGCGTGACTGGGTAAGTGGGATTTCTTTTTATCATAGCTCTGCAGCCTGGGGGGGCAGATCGCATCTCCGAGTCAGCGCAACGAGAGCACATGCCAGCCTTGGAGTTGTTGTTGCGAATGGCGTCCAGAACACAAAGGCAGTGAGCGTGTGATGGGAGGACCCGCCGAGTTCATTACACTTGCCATCGGACGAAAGCTACACCATTTCGCCCGTCTTCGTGTCTTCGTTCCTGCGTCGTTCTCTTGCTCTCGCCTCGCTCTCAATGATGCCTCACTTTGGACCAAAATTGGTTTGCCGCCAATTCCTCCAACGCCTCCAACAAATCCAACTCCTCCCGCTCTCGGCCGTTTGCTATTTTTTTGGTATCACCCTCCAGGGATTCGCTCTCCGTCTGGGCCGCTATGCGGTGATGCTCTCGGCCAAGGGCCAGCAATGCGGAGCGGCGAGATCGTACATTGGAGTGTTCTTGTTGTGCTTCGCTGCTCCTTCGCTGGTTCTAACTGGCTGGATAATCAGCCAAATGGAGGACCTGAAGGCCTCCTTTGCTCTAGGAGTCAGTCCTGATGCTTTGGCTGTCAGTGGTCAGGACTACCATGCAGTTGGGGACACGGCCTGGCGTGACATCATAAGCAAAAGCGCACACGATGGCGATTGCGATTGCTACCCCGAGCTTGATGAAAATTACAACATATGGACGATCAAGATGCTAATGGCAATTATTTCCGTTCAGTTTGTTTCCTCTCGCGGCAATGAGTACTTTTGTGAAATCGATGAGGATTACCTGACCGATCGTTTCAACCTCACTGGCCTGAACACTGAGGTTTCCTACTACCAATATGCTCTTGACCTTGTGACCGATGTTTTCGACCTCGATGCCGACGATGACCTCCGCGAGCAAATCGAAAAGTCGGCTCGTCACCTTTACGGCTTGGTCCATGCTCGGTACATCGTGACCACTCGCGGCCTTGCTAAAATGGTATGTCCAAAGTGCAACAAGATCGAGTCATTACATGCTAATGTACCTTAGCTTGAGAAGTACAAGAAGAGCGACTTCGGCAAATGCCCTCGTGTGATGTGCGAAGGCCATGCTTTGTTGCCAGTGGGCCAGTCCGACATTCCCAACCAGAGCACTGTCAAATTGTACTGCCCTAAGTGTGAAGATATTTACAACCCCAAGTCTTCCCGCCACGCATCTATCGACGGTGCTTACTTCGGTACCTCTTTCCACTCTATCTTGTTCCAGGTGTACCCTGCTCTCAATCCTGAGAAGAGCGCCCGCCGTTACGAGCCCCGGATTTATGGCTTCAAGGTGCACGCCGCAGCTGCGCTCGCTCGCTACCAGGACCTCAACCGCGAGGATCTGAAGTGGCGTCTATCCGCGGCTGGCATCAACCACAAATTTGTCGAGGACAGTGACAGTGATGAGGATGCTTTTGAATACGACGAGGAAGCCCAAGCTGCTGAGCCAGCCAAGGCCGAGCGGGTCATCGGTGACGCCGCATCTGGTCGCATGGATGTCGAGAAGTGATCCTGTTACTTCCTGAAGCTGCTACCAATCTTCCATGAGCAAGAGTACGGCGCAATGAGGGATTTCTGATGTCTTCTTTTGAGATGTGTTTACGAACGGCGTTGTCAGGCTTGCATGGCCAATCTTCAATGGTTTTTTTTTTTCTTTTTTCTTCGACTTCGCTTGTATCTACATTATTTGTCTGGTCTTTGCAGTAAAGCAGGACTCAATAACAACGAAACATCGTTCGATCTGACATGTTCTCATAAAATTGCGTTGATGCTAAATATGGGTATGCGCAGTTTCGACGCAGACTATTTACAGTGTAATGCTATAGTTAGTTAGAATCATCATCTCAAGTAGTCAGGCCCATCGCCTGCAGTTCTTCGAACGCATAGATCACTGCACGAGCAAGCTGGTCCCCCTTCTCCCACGCCTCGTCATGCTCACCGCTGATCGACAACACCCGCACTCTACGGTCCTTCGTAGACAACTCATGCACAGGAACCTGAGCCTCAACATTCTCCCACCGTCTCAGGGCCTCCTCCATAGCCTCAACCTGAGACCCATCAACGAGTTCATCCTCCTTGGACTGCGCCAGAACAGCCAACCGCCCAGATCTCCAACCACCCTCGACACCCCGCGACCCAACCATCTGCGCCGGCGAGACCGCATCCCAAAGCAACTCATCGTCCCCAAATGCGCCCGCGATGAACTCGCGATACGCATCAATCCCAGCGTTCCTATCGCGCAAACGCCTCAAGTCATAGATACCAGCAACACCCACAATAGCAGTAGGCTGCACAGTCAAGCGCGGCGGCAATGGGCCAGGCGAAGTAGACACAGGCCCGATATGAACATCAGTATTATTCAAGGCACCCTTGAACGCCTGCTCACGGTGTCCCGCAACAGCTCCCATAACAGCCTGGAACGCCAGCGTCGCGCCGCAACTATGCCCAAGAAGAATATAGCGCCCGCCAAAGGCGTATGTATTCTGAAGAAAGGCCAGCGCAGCCTCTACATCGCGGATATGATCTGGGTGCGTTGCATCACGGTATTCTTTCGTTCCGGTGCGGGTTGGGTCTTGGGGGTGATTTGGGTGTGCGCTCAGACGGTAGGAGATTGATGCGAATCCGGCGATGGGGAGGCCTGGTGTTTTGCGCAGAATGTCTTCAGTTGCTTTGAATGAGTCCGCTGTTACTGTTGGGTCACGCCAGGCGCCGCCGTGGATGTAGCTGCGCAGCGATCCTGATTAGTTCATTGCGCCGTTGATTGGGAGGTGAGGGCGTTGGCATACATCACCCAGTAACCATTGGTGTTGGTTAATTGTGTTACGGAGACGTGTTGTAGATCATGGACTCGGCCGTAGGCCACGGTCCTTGTAGGTTGGTTCGGCATCTTGTGGAAGGTTGAGGGGATGATGTGCAATGGGGAAGTGGGACGAGATAACAGTTTCAGTCGACAGGCTAATTTAGCATCCCTAGCATAGAATCATGTCTCGCTATTCACATTTATATACTCTGGAATTTGTATACTTCAATTTTGTACAAAACGAAATAAACTCAACTTTACAAAAACGAGGAATGTCGAAATATACAGGTATTTGCCCCTCGTTCTGGCTGGGGATCCGTGTATGGTATTACCCTTCCATAGTACCACGCTAAGCCCGAACAGGAATCAATGGCTCCTTTCACACAAACCGATCAAGTCAACCGTCTCAACACAACTGCCCATCTGTTGCAACTCTACACAATGGCCGAGTATGTGAATCACACAGGCACTTTCAAATGACAATACTGACTTACTTGCAGAACTCCCGCTTCCCTCGCGGCCGTCCAGGTCGAGGCCTTGGTACAGTCCTCCGGCGAAAATCTCCAATCTGCTCCAGAATGCTGATGATACTCCCAGGTGGTCATGAAAATCATCAAGCACTGCTCCCAGACCTTCCCTACCACTGCCACCGGCGCCCTTGTCGGTATGGATGTCGACGGCACCCTCGAAATCACGAATACTTTCCCTTTCCCCGTCGTTGAGGTCCCCGCCGAATCGCACTTTGACAACGCCGCTCCCAACCCCGCCGCCGCCGCTCCCCGGGCTAAGGCCAACGCTACCTACTCTGGCGAGATGATTCGCATGCTGCGCGAGGTCAACACTGATGCCAACAACGTCGGCTGGTACACCAGCGCCAACATGGGCAACTTTGTGAACATGAACGTGATCGAGAACCAATTCTACTACCAGAGCCAGATGAACGAGCGCACAGTTGCCCTCGTTCACGATGTCAGCCGCAGTGCCCAGGGCAGCCTCAGCCTCCGCGCTTTCCGCCTTTCATCCAAGTTCATGGCTGGTTTCAAGGAGAACAAGTTCACCTCCGAGGAGTACGTACCGGGTCCACGGAGAGGAAAAATTGGGAATACTGACAATCTCGCAGCTTGCAAAAGTCTAACATGCGCCACCAAGACATCTTCGAAGAGCTCCCCGTCAAGATCCACAACTCGCACCTGATCACCTCTTTCATCCACCAGCTGCAGTGCCCTACCACATCGGCCTCCACTGAGCTTCCTCCTTCCCTGGCCGCCCTCGAGTCCAGCCCCTTCAACAAGACCTCTCCCCTCGCCCCTAACCTCGAAAACATGTCGCTCAGCATCGACCCCTTCCTGGAGAAGAACTGCGACCTCCTTCTGGACAGCATTGAGACCCACAACACCGAGGTCAACAACTACCAGTACTACCAGCGTGTGCTCGGTCGTGAGCAGCAGAAGATCAACAACTGGAAGACGAAGCGCGCCCAGGAGAACGCTACCCGCGCCACTCTCAACCAGCCCCTCCTCCCCGAGGATGAGTGGCAGCGTCTGTTCAAGCTCCCAGCCGAGCCCAGCCGTCTGGAGAGCATGCTCAACACCCGCCAGGTGGACCAGTACGCCCGCCAGGTCGACAGCTTTGTCTCGTCCAGCACGGGCAAGATGTTCGCCATCAAGGGCAACTTGTTGCCCAACGAGGTTTCGAAATAAATATGATGATTTGCAAGGGAAGACACGATGCTTCTGGGATTGCATGACCTTTTTACGGCGTAGGGAGGGAAAATGTTCTCTATTTGGGATGTTAATATGACTTCCTTTTTCTTTCTTCTATCTGCGATGAGCCGATCCGAGTCTCTCTGGATATGTGACTCTGGTGTGTGCATCGTTTTGTATTCAGTCATAGAAGGAAAATTACACTTTTTCAGATTCCAAGATTTCCCATCATTTATCAAAAGATCGACTTTCTGGCATACTGGATTCCCTGTCCTGGAGATGTTATAGTGATGATCTCCCAGCCCTATGTGAGATCGTCAAAAAGTCCCTCATTGCCTCTGGAGTCATATTTAGAAATTGATAGCCATTTCCTCAATCTATAGTTAAACCCTAACTACCACTCCCTAACAACCAAAGGAACGTGCAAAAACCTGAACCCAGACTCCTCAACACCAGGCAACCTCCCAGCCCGAATATTAACCTGCAAAGACTGATGCAACAACCTAGGAGCCTTCAGACCCTTGTCCCTCTCTCTCCTCAAAGCAACAAACTCTTCCTCCGAAATCCCCTCCTTCAGATGCTTATTCAACCTCTTATGATCCCGCACACTCATCCAAGGCACAGGCTCGCTCCGTCCTTCAGGCGGGTAATCATGACCCGTCCAGATCCTATAGTGATCCGGCAACGCGAGCAATTTACGCCCTGAAGCGTACAGATCTCGCGCCGAGCCACCAGGAAAGTCGCAGCGGGCAGTGCCTATATCTATGTGGAACAGGCTATCGCCACAGAAGAGGTTTTCTAGTATTTATCAGTACTGCATTTCAACGAGTTAGGTGGAATGAAACCAATCCTCTCCACTTACCGCCAATCATATATCCCAAATGGTCCGGCGTATGTCCAGGAAGATGCACAGCCTTCGCACTCACCTCCCCAATCGAAAATACCTCATCGTCATCGAAGAGTCTATCGAACACGCGGACGTATTCTGCCTCTGGTACGCCATACCGCTTGGCGAACAGAGTCTGGACCTGTTCGATGCGTTTGCCAATACATACAGGCGGTTTCAGGTCTTGCTCTTTGGCAAGACGGGCTTGGAGATAGGCTGCTGCACTGAGGTGGTCGGCATGGGCGTGTGTTTCGAGGATTTTGTCGATTTTGTAGCCCTTTTCTTTGATTTTTGATAGGATTGCGTCTGCTGCTTCTGTTGTTATGGCTTGGGTTGCAGGGTCGTAGTTCAGGACTGGATCAATTATGACTGCTTGGTTGGTTTTGGGGTCCGAGATTAGGTATTGCCATGTCCCCGAGGATTTTTCGAATATTGAGTGGATTGTTGGGTTGGGTGGTGGTGTTGCTGTTGTGGATGCAGCGCGAGTGGATGTGCTTGTTTGGTTGTGTGAACGGAGATTATGGTTCATTTTTGGGAGTGGGTTTATTGTTGAATGTATGATCCTGGAGGTAAAGAAGGTATCTCTTGGTGGTCTTGATATTGAGGCTGTTGTGGCATTCTGGTGGAAGAGACGCAGTGGTCTATGGCTGGATAGCCGCGAAGCCTGGCGGGATGTGTGGCACACACGATGCATTATTGGTTCCAATTGTCGTGTCATGTCATATGATTGTCGATATGTATGCATTTAGTAGATTTCAAGAGTAAAATATAGATTGACATCAATGATGGTCCAGGTCATGGATACAAATCAAGATGTGTCATCCAAGGTCGCCGACTCGGTGAACAAGGTCGGCGAATATCCGGCGATTGATTTAAAGATCACTTCAAACTAGTTCAGAAGCCCGCCACTGGTGGCAATTTATCGAGAGATTTATATTTCCATTAGATGTGCTTGTGTTGTTTGGAATGAACCGGAAACCGCCTGGTCTCGGGCCCGTATTTCTCCGAACTATTTTGCTTCATTATTTGTTGGTATTTGGGTACAGCAAGCACAAGGGATAGGGCGTATTCTCGAGTCGTGTCTAGAGTACCCTGAGAAAATGTATACGCTGGGCTTACAACAATGTGTCCTATCCTGCAGTCCATCCGTGGCTTGTTCTACTCTTTTTTACCTCCTTAATAGCCGGCCTGGTAATCTCTACGAGACTATTGTGTTTGTATAATATCTACCTTGTACCTCGTTCAATTTCCGAAACTATAAACACAAAACAATCAAATGCTGTCGAAATGAAAGGGTCAACAAATTAGAGCACAGCCACAATTTCGTAGCTGTCAGAGCCAAGATAAGATGTTAAAGACCCATTTATATTGCAGTTGGCCAATTGAATCTCGCTCATGCCGCATCGAAGACCAAAACAAAATGAATAGCAGCTTTTAAACTCCCAAAAAGAGTAAAGTTATACTTGACAAGGGGTATCACGTGGTGATGGGCTTGACTGCGCAACTTCACTCCTCCTCCTCCTCTTAAACAACCCACAACGCACTCATCATCATCATCTTCTTCTCCTGTTTGCCGTAGACTCCCACTTCATCAAATCCCAAACATATCGATCAAAATGCCTGGTGTTCGTAAGTGAACTTGCCATCTTATACATCGAATTGTCCCTGAGTCTGGCGCCTTACATTCAAAATATGATGCTGACATTCCCCAGCCCCTGATGCACTTGAGCAGGTGAAGAAGGGCTTCAAGCGGTTCTTCAGTCGCAAGAAGAACAAGAAGCCCGCCAAAACAACCGAGCCTGCTGCAACTGCCCCTGTGGCCGGTGAGGCGGCTGCGAAGCCCACCGGCCCCACTGCCGCCCCGGAAAATGACCCTGGTATGATGCCCTTTTTCCCCCACTAACCCCCATCTTGCTTACTTTCTTGTACCAATACTAACAAATGGACCGTTCAGACGCTGCCAAGCCAGCTGAGACAACTCCCGCTGCCCCAACAGATACAACTGCTGCTAAGCCCGAGGCTGAGGCCCCTGCTGCCCAACCTGAAGCTACCCCCGAAGCCCCTGCTGCTCCCAAGGCAGAGGCTCAGGCTCCTGCTGCTCAACCTGAAGCTACACCTGAAGCTCCTGTTGCTCCAGCCGAAGCTCCAGCTGCTCCTGCTGAAGCTCCTGCCGCTCCAACCGATACCCCTGCTGCCAAGGCAGAGGAACCTGTCAAGACTGGTAATTGAACCTCCCATCGCCAAGAAGTAGAGAACAATGCTAACAGCAACTTTAGATACCCCCGCGAAGTAAAGTAGTGCCTTTTGACTTGGACCACTAGCACATGACTTCTCATCAGAAACATCCATGGATGCTATGGCATTGTTTTGTCTCGAGGGCATACCATTTCAGGATGCTTACTATACATAATTACCTTTGATACCTTGAGATACCAATTTCATAATACTTTGAGCTGATAAGACTATTCAAATCACATCGGATGCCTTGTAGCATCATATCTTGTCGTATAGCCCTCGAGCCTACTAAAGCATTGGCCACCAGCGTCCTGAGTTCTGTCGTGAGAGGTTGTTAGACTCTTACCGATCTTGATACCAGATGCTTTTTTGGCTCGAGGTTACAGACACATGCATGATCTATAAGGCTTCTTTCTTGCTTCCACGTGCATAAGTGGGACCTCGATTGGATTTTTCATGGATTATATTCCGCATGAGAGATACCCGAAGCCAAGAGGCAGTCGGCGATCATGAAATCAGCTACTCCAAGACCTACAGCTCTCCAGCTCTGGAGAAAGGAGATGACGTGAGACAGTGGCATGTTGTATGGAAATTGAACCCCGAATGCGGTGGATCGGCGATCAACCGCAACCCCGATATCGGACTGGGTTAATCCGGATCCCGGTGATCACGACATCGAGCTGTTCCTGATCTCAAACTTTTTTTGTTAGCTCTATTTGGTCATATCAAAATGTTTCAAAGTCGTGTTTCATTAGCAGCTCGCGCTGCCCAGCGTTCAATTGCCCCTCAATCGAGAGGTCTTGCGACTGCCTCCCCCGTGAGCTCCGCTGCCCGCACCCACAAGATTGTAGTGGTGGGCGGTGGTAGTGCTGGTATCTCAATCAGCCACCAGCTCCTCCACTCCGGAAAGTTCGCACAAGATGACATCGCTGTCATTGACCCTGCGCAATGGCACCACTATCAGCCTGGTTGGACTCTGGTCGGCGGTGGTCTCAAGAACAAAGAGGACCTACGTCAGCCCATGAACAGCTTGATTGACCCCAAGTTCAAGTTCTACAACCAATCTGTGGGCTCCTTCGCCCCTGCTGATAATGCCATTACCCTCGAGAACGGTGACAAGCTCAGCTACGAGCAGCTTGTTGTTGTGCCCGGCATCAACATCAACTACGGCCAAATCAAGGGTCTCCCCGAGGCTCTCGCTGACCGAAACTCGACCGTGTCCTCCATCTACGGCTACGACACCTGTGACAAGGTCTTCCGCACAATCGAAAACCTCCGCGAAGGCAAGGCTATCTTCACCCAGCCCGCCGGTGTGATCAAGTGCGCGGGTGCTCCCCAGAAGGCCATGTGGCTCGCATTGGACCACTGGAAGCGTGCCGGTCTCTACAACCCCTCCAACCCCGCCGAATCCCCCATCAACATCAGCTATGCTACCGGTCTCCCTGTGATGTTCGGTGTGCCCAAGTACAATGCCATCCTCGACCAGATGCGCAAGGACCGCGGCGTCGAGGGACTCTTCCAGCACGACCTGGTCGCCATCGACGGCAAGTCTGCTGTCTTCGCTACCCCTCAGGGTGAGGTCGTCAAGCCTTTCGAGCTGCTGCACGTGTCGCCCAAGATGGGCGCCCATGCCTTCGTCAAGAGCAGCCCTCTTGCTAACGAGATGGGTATGGTCGATGTCCACGATAACACCACCCAGCACAAGAAGTTCGCCAACGTCTGGTCCGCTGGCGATGCCTCCAGTCTGCCCACATCCAAGACCGCCGCCGCTGTCACCGCTGAGGCTCCTGTCCTCGTCCGCAACCTCCTGCAGAGCATGGAGGGTAAGGAGCTTGATGCTTCTTATGACGGTTACACTTCCTGCCCTCTCTTGACTGAGTACGGTAAGGTTCTCCTTGCTGAGTTCAAGTACGGTGGTGAGCCTAAGGAGACCTTCAACAACTGGTTCGGTATTGACCAGGGCGAGCCCCGTCGTGCCTTCTACCACTTGAAGAAGGACTTCTTCCCTTGGGTTTACCAGAACTATATGGTTAAGGGTAACTGGGGCGGTCCTAAGGGCTGGAAATAAATTATAGATGAAAATTGTGTAATATAGATTGAATTGAGATGCAGCGATACCCTGACTGTTACGCATAAGGGGCGAGAATAATATGAGAAGAATATCAAGAATGCGCCATATAAGATACCTGCCATAGGGTTGGACTGTACTTGTAAGTTCAAGGGTGTCGATGATATCATCGCTCATCATAGCCCTACAATGGACAATCTTGGCCAGTGACTTTTACACTATCTCTGCCATATGATGTTTCTCCTCTTACTTTCGTAGATTTCGTTTTGATATTTAGCCATGTATAACAGTCATACCGATATATGGGTGGTGAGTGCCTTGTTGACCTCGCAACTAGATATATAATCAAACGGGGATTTTCCTAATCCTAGCACCACAGTCACATCAAAAACCAGCTAACAATGTATTAAAAACCAGGCAGGTGCATTTGCAGCAGTAGTAGTCGACTTCATCGTCTACCCCTTTGACACACTCAAAACCCGCATCCAATCACCAAGCTACGAGAAAGTATTCAAAGATGCACGCACAGGCGCAGTCCAACGCAACATATTATTCAAAGGTCTATACCAAGGAGTCTGGAGCGTCGTATTCTCCACAGTACCCTCATGTATGTATTACTTATTACTTCACCATTAAAATTACCCGGGCCCTAACCACTCACAAAACCCAGCCGGCGCATTCTTCACAACGTACGAAGCAGTCAAAAGCGTCTTACACAACTCCTCCAAATCCAACCAGAGCAAAAGCCCTTCAGCCGCAAATGGAACCCTAAACAAATTGCAACTCCCATTCACACATTCCCTTCCAACACCTGTAATACACGGCATTGCATCCTCAGCCGGCGAGATGGTATCATGTCTCATGCTCACACCAGCAGAAGTCCTAAAGCAGAACGCACAGATGATAACCCAATCTCAATTCCAACCCCAATCAAACAGTCAAAGTATTCATTCATCCACAGAGCACAGGAACGTATCAGCTATGCGCCAAGTCCTCTCCAAATTCAAACATCAGCCCTGGCGTCTCTGGAGCGGATATACCGCGCTCGTCGGTCGCAATCTCCCCACAACAGCTATTCAGTTCCCGATGTTTGAATTTGTTCGTTCGCGGTTGATTGACCGGCGCCGGAGACGGAAGGCGGAGGTTGCTCGTCTGGGGAATGGCCGTGGTGCTTTTGAATCCGAGCAGTCGGATCAGTTGATTGAACGGGCTGGGTTGACGGGTCTTGCGGCTGCTATTTCGGGGACGATTGCTTCGACGGTCACGACGCCGATTGATGTTATTAAGACCAGGGTTATGCTTTCGGCTGGGGAGGGTCGGTCTGGGGAATTAGAGGGATCGTTGAATGGGAGGAAAGCGAGGAAAGGACCGTTTGGTGTAGGGAGAGATATACTGCGTAATGAGGGTGTTCAGGGGTTGTTCAAGGGTGGCTTGATTCGGGCTGGATGGTCGGCTGTTGCTTTAGGGTTGTATCTTGGTCTTTATGAAGGTGGGAGGTTTTGGCTTGAGAAGAGGAGGATGGAGAGGGATGGGATGAGGAGAGATGATGGGGGCCAGGTTATTTAGTATAGAAGGTCTTTGATGGGGCATATATTTTGACCAAAGTGATCCCTATAAACTCCGGTTTTTGTCAAACTTTGTGTGTTCTTTTAACGGCATCAACTATGGCTTTGCTTAGAGACAAGGGATTGTCTTTGTTCTCAAAGAGCCTTATACCTTCCCAGGGGACAAAGCGGCTATGTTCACGGTATTGTGCTATATTGTCTCAACAGGTCTTGAATGAAGCATTGAAAGGATGAAACGCTCGAAGATTTAGCACACTAGGATCGAGGTTTCTTAGTATAAATATCATCGGCATTGCCCCGATAGCACCATACCAAACCCGAATTGAAACCGAAATCTCATATACCATACAATATGTCCTCAAGAAAATTCTCACCTGCCAACCCACCATGGCGAAAAAATGCCACGGACAGTGACGACGGCTATGAAGCCGACGACGAGTCCAACAAGTCACAAGTCACCGCCGCTGCCTTTAAAGACACACCAGACAAGCTTCGAGGAGTATTCCACTTCGAAATCCACCGGGAGTACAGTAAATTATCCAGCTCACCCGACAAGGTAAGCCAATGGATAAACTCTTCCTATTTCCTCTGGAGTATGTGTGCTTCACTCGCAGACTCGGGTTCCGATCCTGAATGGACCAGGGCATTCGAACTATGGCGGCCAACATGGGATCAGATTCAAGAGGAGCTACGGGTATCTGAGGATACCGGAGTCCCTGTCAAGATTCCTCTCGCACCAGTTAATCTTGCATCCGTGCAACCGGGGAATGTAATTCAGATGGGCATTGAAGATAAGGATTGGGTTATTGAGATTGAGCAGGGGGGTGATGATAATGATGCTGTGTTATATGATAATCAGGATATTTGGGCACTCTGGCAACGTGTTGTTGCAGCGCCTGTGGGTTCAACTGATGCTTTTTATGTTACTCTTCAGGATACTGCGAGGATTTGTCCTCGGTCATGAAGAGTTTATTAATCGTTATGGTTTCTTTTCATATACTTTAGTTTAATTGACAACAGGAGCAATGCCTGTTGAATTTGTCTCCCTTTTCTCATTCAAGTATATAAAGTGTGATTCACATATGAATGCAGTTACAATATGAATTGGCCTTGAGATCGATAAACCCTATCAGATAAACAGATAATTCAATAGCAGTAGAACGGCAGATCGCAGCAATGCAAGGCAAATAGATACAGCCTTGACTTATTCTTCGATAGTCATCAGCAAGGGATCTTCACGTGGGAAAAGGTGGAGAATTTCTTTTTTTAGGTGTTGAGAACTGTACGTCATAGAGCGAAAAACTGAAAATGACCGTATTATGGCCAGTGTGACCGAGTGGTTTAAGGTGCCAGATTTAAGATTCTCCCAAGAATAAAACCCTGGTGGGGCAACCCGCGCGAGTTCGAACCTCGTCGCTGGCATTTTTTTATGTATTTTTTATATATCTCCAGAACATACTTACTGTTTCATTCTTGCCTCTGATTATGTTGAAATTATTTATCTTTCATTAAGTGGCAAACGGAGTTTTATTTTTCACTATCTAGGAATCTTGGAACTAGCTAGCTAAAACCTCATTCCCTTAGGACACCTGTAGATAGACCCTAACTTCCAGCATACATTCATCGTATGCCCGGATGAACAAGATATTCACGAACACCAACACCAAAGAGAAAAGTAGAGTAAAATTGTCCGTTTTCACATACTGAGTCATAGTATCATATCATATCTGTCGTCACATCTTGTCCATCTGCATATCCACAGTCACATACAAACGAATCCAAAACGCTTTAAGCAATGTACAAAAAAGACCAAAACCAAATTCCCGCCAAACAGTAAACACATCAAATACAAACAACCGCCAACTTGTTTTTTTCATTTGCACACTTAAAAGGTCGTTAGTTTCCTAAACCAGCTCGATTTCCCTTTCGCAGCTGAACTAGGCGGAGCACCCTGCCGACTCCCAGGCTGCGATCTCATACCACGATCGCGCTCATAGTCACCACTGCCAGAGCTACTCTTCACACCTTCCCGACGAGACCCCCGTCGCCGAGAACGGGCATCATCAACCTCTTCATCGGGGTACTTGGCACGATGGCGAGCTTTCCGACGAGCAGCGCGACGAGCCTCCTCGTCCGACGAGAGGGAATGGCCATTACCGTTTTCATTGGTCGCGCTGGCAGGAGGCATGTCAAGAACAGTGGGCATGATCGGCGGCGGCTCTGGTGGCTCGTCAGCTTGAGAATAGACCCACGAGGAGGTCTTAGTCTTGCCCGCGCCTGGTTTCATAGGAGTCGGCCGATAGGACTCTTCGGGCTCCGGTGCAGCCCTGGACTTGCGACGACGAGCTTTGAGGTCGTCCGGTGCTCGTGAGCTCCGACCTCCTCGATGATCTACGATCTCCCGTTCGTCTGGGAGGACGTCGTTGGGGTATCGGTCTTCGACGCGGGACCGCCGGCGGCTTGCCTTTGCAGCGAGCATTTCTTCCTCGCGCAATCGTCGTCGTTCGCGTCTCTCGGCTGCTTTGGCTTCGGCGGCGGCTTCGACTTCGCGGGCTTCGGCTTCGCGGGCGGCCTCTTCGTCTCTTGCGGCTTGTTCTTCGCGCATCCGACGCTCCTCGCGGGCTGCTCGTCGTGCTCGTTTCTCTTCTTGACGGCGCTCTTCTTCCTCTTCTTCACGGGCGCGCTGTTCACGTGCCCTTTCTTTTCTTCTTACGCGTCGCTCTTCAGCTTCCCGGGCTTCCCGGGCTTCGTTCTCACGTGCCATCTCGCGTGCCATCTCGCGTGCGTCAGAGGGCGCCTGTCGAGATGCTCGCTTTGCCTTGCGCGCTGCCCTGCGAGCTTCGGCGTCTTCAGGCTCGGTTTCTGCACCTTCGAATCCGCCAGCTGCATCCGTCACGAATCCTTCAGCATCGGTGTCTGGTCTGACAGATCCCCTGCGTCGATCATTGCGGCGTAATTTACGGGCTGCTTCACGCTCTGTTTCTGTGGCATATTTCCCGTCATCATCCCGATACGAGCGTGATTTCTTCCTTTCCGGCATTTCCGGCCTAGTACTCTTCCTGAACGAGCCAATCAGCCCCATGATACCACCTGTCTCTGGTTTCTTAGGTGTCGTGTTGGACCGCTTGAGACGTCGTTCTCTTGGGGGTGCGTCAGCCATATCGTCAGGTCCTGAGACGATATCTGGAGGTGGCTGTGCTTGTTCCGCGTCGACGATAACTCCGTCATCATCGTCTTCTGGCTTGGCGCGGGGCTGATTACTATGGTTAATACCAACTTGGTCAGAGTACAATGATTGGTTCACGAACCTGTCTCTTAGACTTGCGCTTCGAGCGACTGGAGTCCTCCTTTGGTGAATGGCCCTCTACATCCTCCTTGTCAACCATAACAAGATCGTCGTCCTCGATTGCGTATGGATCCCGAGCTGTGAGATGCATTGTCAGCGCGAAGATACAGATGAGGGCCGATATAAAAAAACAAACCTGATTTCCGCCTCTCAGTGCGCGGCCGTTCACGACGGGACTTGGAAGCGTTGATACCCATCATTTTGGCTGCCTTATCAGCAACCTCTGCCTTTTCATCTGGAGGTGGAGTGGGCGTAGAAGCCTTATCCTCTTCAACAGATGGTCGTCTAGACACTGGTTTGGAAGAAGACTCATGCTTGCGCGTCGATTTGCTCCGAGACTGGGGTGTTCCCAGAACCATATTCGCCAAGGCCAAACTTCGCTGATTCTTCGAAGAGCGAACCTCGCGTTCCCGACGTTTTTCGTGGTCAGATGAAGATTTCTCAACTTCTGGTTCAGCTTCTTTTGGCCGAGATTTACTCAACTTGGTTCGCACCGCTGCGGAGGGGGAGCGCTCTCGAGTTGACTCTTTCTTCTTTGGCTTTTCTGGTTCCTCTTGGACCTTGACTTCCTTTGGTTCCTTCGGTTCCGTTGGTTCTTTAGGTTCCTTTGGTTCTTTAGGCTCCTTCTTACTGGACTCCTTTTTATTGGATTTCTTAGGCGGTGGAGCTGCAGCTCCCCAGAAGCCCCAGGATGAAGTATTAGTGCGCTCAGCGCGAGGTCGGTCCTTCTTGGAAGTCTTTGGTGGCTCCTCCGGCGGAGGCGTGGGAGGAACATCCTTGGTCTCTTCCACTGGCTCCTCAGGTTCAGGTTCAGGTTCAGGTTCAGCCTCAGGGGCTGGATCAGCTTCTGGTTCGGCTTCCGGCTCAGGTTCGGGCTCAGGGGCCGGATCTGGGTCAGCTTCGGGCGCAGGTGGTTCCTCTGGTGGCGGTGGGGGAGTGGGTGGTTTAGCAGCAGCGGCCGCTGCTTGCAGTTTCTTATACTTCTTGAGTTCCTTCTTTGACATCTTCGAAAGATCAGGCTCTGGTTCGGGCTCAGGGACTGGTTCAGGTTCAGGTTCAGGTTCGGGTTCTGGCTCAGGTTCTGGCTCAGGCTCAGGCTCGGGTTCTGGCTCAGGTTCTGGTTCATCACCAAAGTCTGGAAAGCTCCCTGGGACAGAATCCTTTGACTTCGACTTTGACTTGCTTTTCTTCGTTGGCTCCGGTTCAGGTTCAGGTTCAGGTTCTGGCTCAGGCTCAGGTTCGGGCTCAGGCTCTGGAGCTGGTTCGGCCTTCTCTTTGCTTTTGCTTTTGGCGGCCTTTTCTCCCTTAAGTTTATCTTTCTTAGCTTGTTCCAGAGCTTTGATACGCTCAGCCACGCTGAGTTTCGATGTCTTAGATTTCTTCTCAGGCAGGGGAGGTTCTTCCTTGACGGGTTCTGGCTCTGGCTCTGGCTCTGGCTCTGGTTCTGGTTCTGGTTCTGGTTCCGGTTCTGGCTCTGGCTCTGGTTCAGGATCTGCTGGCGGGTCATCACCAACATCGATAAGTAGATCATCCTCAATAGGCTCGGGCTCCTTCTTTTCTTCCTTGGTCTTTTTCGTCGATTTCGATTTACTCGTTGAAGTACCTGTTAAAGTTGACCAGAAACTCTTAGAGGTCTTTTCCTCCTTAGGAGACTCAATAGCCTTCGTCTTCTTTGAGCTCTTTGCCTTAGGAGCCAGCTCTGCCCATATGTCATCCCCATTATCACCCATGGCCTCAGGCTCAGGAGTCAAGCCCTGGGCAGGAGGAGTTGGTGCAGGCGGAGGAGGCTCTTCGATATCCTTGCCTTTCTTTTTCTTTTTCTTCTCCTTGGTGACGCCCCAACCCCAGCCATCATCTTCAGCTGGCTTCTCAGGTTCAGGCTCTGGCTCTGGCTCTGGCTCCGGTTCAGGTTCAGGTTCAGGCTCTGGCTCAGGTTCAGGCTCGGGTTCTGGAGCAGGCGGTTCCTCGGGTTTATCGGATGGAAGTTCGAAGTCCTTGCCTGGGATGGGTAGACCCTTCCGGATCAATTGCTTTTCTCGCTTCTTGCGCTCTTTGGAGGAAAGGTCTTTCCAACCTTCGTATAGAGGGTCGTCATGAACTGGTTTCTCCGGCTCTGGCTCTGGCTCTGGCTCCGGCTCTGGCTCTGGTTCGGGTTCCGGCTCTGGCTCAGGTTCTGGCTCCGGCTCTGGCTCTGGTTCGGGTTCAGGTTCAGGCTCGACTTTGCCCTTCTTTTTCTTCTTGTCCTTCGTAGAAACGCCCCACGAGAAACCAACGTCGACTACAGGTTCTGGATCGGGCTCGGGCAAAGGCTCAGGCTCAGGCTCTGGTTCCTTGGTCTTTTTGTCCTTTTTCTTAACTGTTGTACCCCATCCACCCATCCAGTCATCCGCTGGCGGAGGATCTGGAGCAGGCTCTGGATCAGCTAAGAGGTCAATCTTCTTCTTATCCTTTGATTTGGATCCAGAGAAGCTCCAATCGTTGTCTAGCTCGGGGGACTTCTCAGGCTCAATGACAACCTCTGCAGCTTGGGCTTCTGCTTGTTCCGCTGCCAATTTCGCCATGGCTTCATCCTCATCTTTCCACTTCTTCTCCATGTCCTTCTTCGCCTTGCGCTGTTCTTTCTTGGACAGGTTCAAGTACCATGCTTCCTGTGTGAAGTCGGGTCTCACTGGAGGAGCCGGAGGAGCTGGAGGGGGTGGAGGAGGTACAGGCTCGGGTTCTGGCTCAGGCTCAGCTTTGCCCTTTTTTTTCTTGTCTTTGGTTTGAATATCCCAGCCTCCCCAATCATTCTCTTGCTTCTCAGGTGGAGCGTCCAAGTCGCCAAAATCGAATTCGCCAGCGGTTTTTGAAGATTTCTTTTTGGCAGCGCCCCAAGGATTGTTATCATCTTTGGGAGGCTCCTCGAGATCAAGCTTGTCCCCAGTGCTCCAGTCCTTACCCCAACCCCCAAAACTGAAGCCGGTTCCGCCGGTTTTAGGGGCCGGACTATCAAAGTTCAAGTCCAGTTGCGGTGCGCTGCCGTCCAAACTTATATCCTGGAATCCTCCAGGGGGTCCTTCATCCTGTTCTCCTATTTAGAGAAGTCCAATTTGACATAAAATAACAGGAGGTCATACCTTGCTCTTCTTTTTTTCCCAACAGTATCAAACGCGGCCCAGGATTCATCACCACCGCCATCCTGGTCCGCCCAGCTAAGATCCTTAGCGGCAGATTCTTCGGCGGCTTTCCGTTCTTCCTCCTCTTTCGCGAGTTTCTCGGCCTCTTCCTCCTCTTGCTTCTTCTTCTTGTCCTTCTTGCTCCCGCTTACATTCCAATCACTCCAGTCATCACCTCCACCACCTCCATCACCGGCGCCACCCCCGTCACCGCCCCCATCTCCTCCACCGTCACCGCTGGCTGGGTCGTCCGCTGGAGGATCCGCACCACCATCTGCAGGTGGAGGGGGAGGAGGGGGAGGAGGAGGAGCAGCAGCTTTCTTCGCAGCAGGTTTGCCTTTCTTCTTATGTTCCCTCACACCAGTCAGCTCCCCAAAATCAATACGAACATCCAACATGCGATCTTTCAGCAATGTAGAAGACGTCGTAGGCGATTTATCTCTCGGAGTCTGCGGTGCAGAAGAAAGGACAGACCATTTGCGCTGCGCAAGCGGAGGAAGCGCAGAGTATTCGGGAGGGAGATCAAGGACCACATCATCGTAGGAAGGCGGCTGGTCGCACAACAGTGACTCCGAGCAGCGCGAACTCAATTGGGCGCATAAATCGAATCCCTTCGGCCGGACATTGACCCCCAGAACAAACGTAGCCCAGACATCATCCACGACTCTGTCGGCCTCCTTCCTCAGATCTGCTGTGTTGTATGCGACATCCTCCAGACATTGTATCTTCCCCGCGCCTGCGCGATAAGACCCATCCGTTAGAACCTCCATGTCGAACTTGCATGCGATGGCACGATCCAATCACAGATCTGTCGACTCCGCGATATCGAGTGCGAACGCATGGGGGGATCGGTTCGTGCGAGTCTAATCCCGGTGGGGGGAGATGGACCCCAACTCAGCAGACAAACAGGCGGGGCGAGCGAGGATAGGTTCTGGGTGTGGAATGACCCGGCGCGCAACCGGGCGTTTGAGTCCGGGTAGAGTGGTGGACAGGTCGAAAGTTAATGTGTCAGATCTAACGAAACGAGCAGCGCACGCCCGGCGCAAATTCAAGGGTTCCAGTGTTTGTTTCGGGGATGTGCGATAAGACCTAGATGAGAGCTGAACAGGATTAGAGACACAGGGAAGTGTGAGAACAGGAGTTCAGGAAGGAAAGGGAAAAGTTGGGGATCAGCTGGAGGCAGGGATGAAAGTAGTTGGGGCGGTAAAGGTGAAGATCATCTCTACATGCCTGGGGAAGAATTCGATTCCCGATTGGATTGGGATGATTGGGTCTTTACTGTCGACTCAGGTCTATATTTCGGTCTCTGCGATGAATCAGACAGCAGCCTAATGGACTCGCCAATGTACAAGAAAAGAATCCAATATCAACAGGACGGGATTTAACTTTTCTGCCTCCAATGCTTTGGCTTACATTCTGCATGGCATACTAACTTATAGGCACAGACTGTGATATCCAGGTCTGACTGTCCTATCGGCCATCAGAGTGCCCCTCCATCAGCGCTGCAGGTGAACCAGGATACAAAGTACTGGACTGGACTGGACTTGTCTTGACTTCCAGCGCTTCAACACTTCCAATTTCCACTACACCGCAACCATGGCACGACCCTCGCCCATCCACGGCTCAATCGAGAATAGACTATCGCGTTCCATGGGTGCCCAACTAGCGGCATTACCCGTCTGCATGGAATAAACAAACCTGCAGTAACTTCCTACAATGCAGGGTGTGGCTCTACTGTATACTGTACTGTGTGGGTATGGACCAACGGCACTGTCGAGCAGTTTGATGCATCACATTCGACCTTCTTCAACCCGAGATTTATGTTGGAATCGGTGCTGAAACGGTGGACTCCTCATCTTTCAGCCTAATTCATTCGTCGCGGTATCTACACTAGATCGCTCTGGCGCTCTGCAAGTGCAGCACACCCATTGCTCACCGCCACTTGTGCATCGGAGCAAAACAACCCACCAGTGCGGGGGGGGGGGGGGGGGGGGGTGGAGAGCTGGTGGCAACCAAGTTGAATCGCTGTTATGAGTCAGACTATGTGATACAGTACACTAAGTGCACTGCATCTACTGCAGAATGAACGACACTGGATTTTGGAGAACGGGTGGGCGCAAGGTGATTGCTTCGAAAATAAATGATCTGCATAGCATCCGCACCCAGAAACAGAGACAGAAACTATAAAAACACAGTGGCATGAACTAGAATACAGCGAGGAAAAAAGGGAATTGAGCGACATGGAAGCTGAGCCGCGCACATAACATACACCAGACTGGCCTTCAATGAATCAAAGAGCAACTTAGGATGAATCTTCCGCCTTGGAGGGAACTGGATATCCGTACACCTCCTGGTGCTCTCTCTGGTATCGCGCAGAATCTTCGACCGCCAGTTTGTGGTAGGTCTATGACGACAATTAGTTTATGCATGTAAATCACTCATCATGACATCCATACCTCTTTCTCTGTCTCAGGCAGTGCGGCCCAGTCTTTCGCAAAGGTGGCAAATCGCTCCCGAGCATCCATATGCTGGTTGTCACTGGATCTGAGGCGCTCCGTGAAGTACAAGTTGTAGCTGGTGGAAGCCCTTTTGACTAAGCGCTCATCTGGAATCGGGGACCAGCGCTTGGAGCGAGTCTTGTCCTCGACGCGGTGAAGCTGCTGACGGGCATTGTTGGCTTGTCTGATCTGGAGGGGGGTGTACGAGTTCAGCCATGCTTCAAATGCAGCTTTGTTCGCAATCTTGTTTTGCTCGGCCTGAGCTCGGTATTTCTATATACTTGGTGATTAGTCTGTGGAAGACAGAGATGGGCATTTGGTCACGTACCGCTTCATTTGGAACGGGCTTGATCAACTCGGCAGCCCTCTTCATCGTTTCTACCGGGGGATACTGTCCCTTGATCTCATTGATCTTATCAATGATCGCGAGATTGTAATAGTTTTCACTCGCACGCTTGGGAATTTCCAGTGCAGTCTCCTTCAGCTGCTTGATGTGGTCCTTATGCTCACGACGCTTCCGCATCTCTTGTTGCTTCTCGGTCAAGGGCTTCTTCTTGGTCGAGGTAGTCTTAGCACTGTCGGTCTTCGCCTTGGGCTTTCTGGCCTTGGGGGAGGCATCAGTCGCGAACGCGTTGGATTGGAAGAGGGATTGAGTCGCGGAGATATTCTGGAACTGGGCGCGCACCTGGCGCACGTTGCTCGCCAGAGAAAGGTGGCATAGCTGGTTCTGCACGCCGATCAGGGTATTAGGGCGAGTGGAAGCACCGAAGTGCAGGGGTCGGACGGCACCCCGAGCTGCAGACTGCCAAGCCATGATCAATTGTCGGAGTAAACTGAGACTTGAAGTAGAAAGGTAAACAAAGCTAGAAAGTGAAATTGCAAGATAGCACCACAAGAGCTTCTGACGCAAGCGGAGAAGGAGGCTGGCGCCCCCTTCGTTTGGATCTATCCGCATCGGGTTAGCTCAGGACAGGTGCACGTGACACCATCTGCTCCACGATTGCTTCACTTCTCGGGTCACTACGTTTGACACGTTTGTTTGCCCACGACGTAATCTTGTCGACCTGAGAGCTTATTTCGTGCAGAGAGGTGACGCTTTCTCTTTCATCACTCGGTACCCCGAGTGATTTTGAGCTCCAGTAACACTCACTGATTAGCCTGCAACAATGGCTCGCCACGGGGATACTCGCTCACCATCACCTGTAGGCAGCACATTCTCTTCATCCAGGCGCAATCGCCGTGATGACGATCGTTATGACAGAAGCCGGCGGGATGATGGGCGCGGTTATCGCAGATCCCGCAGCCCAGAGGTACGTGTGGCGACTCGCAAGATATTTTCAAGGCAAACTTCTGACCATGGTTATATCATACAGAGACGCTACCGTGAGCGCGAGCGCGCTCGTGATCGAGATGGATACAGACGTCGTGACCGCTCGCTAGACCGCCGCGACGAAGACAACTACAGACCAGGTCGCAGAGACCGATCCCGAGACCGTAGGCGCTCCAGAGACCGAAACGAAGACGTTGATCGTCGACGAAGTCGCGACAGAGATTACCGGACTAGGCGAGACGAATCGCGCGAACGGGATCGCAGGCGAAGAGATGATTCTGCTGATTTGAAGCCGAAATCTAGACGGGATGCCAGTCGTGACCGCACCACGAACAGACGGTCAACGTCCAGAACTGGAGAGCCACCGAAACAATCCACACCGACTACCACTGCACAGACGGACGAAGCCAAAAAAGCGGAGAGGCAAGCAAGGCTGGAGGCATGGAAGCAGAAACAGGCCGCCGAGCGCGAGCGCAAACAACGAGAGCAGGAAGCGGCGGGTCCGAACAATATCCTGGACCAGATTGATCGACAAAAGGTTGCCTCTCCAGCCGTGGGCTCACCTCAGACTCCGACAACCGCTGCTGAGTCCCCGGCTCCCACTGCGTACCCTGGAAAATTCGATCCTAAAGCTATCGCAAAACCATCGACAGCAAACTCTGCCACCCCTGCAGTCCTCGGGACTGATGTTGCAGTGCCAACGTCCAAACTGGCTGCAACAGCTAATAAACCTGCTCCTGCGCCCGCCAAGCTTTCCGGTCCTTTGAAAGCCAAAGGTAATGTTAGTGGATTTGGCTTGGGTACCAAGCAAGCTTCGGACGCTGAGAAACCCTCTGCACCTAAAACTCTGGGCTTTGGCGAAGAAGAATCCACTCGCAAGAAGCTGGAGCGATTACCGACCCCGCCTTTCGATGACTCCAAAGATGCCGAGCCAGCAACAAATGCAGACGAAGATGACGATGTTGATATGCATGATGAAGAAACGGAAGAAACTGCTGCAGCGGTAGCACGTGCGGCCGCCGAGCGACGAGAAGAGCGTCTTCAGAATACTGAAAATGGAGATGTTCAAATGGAAGATTCAACGAATGGACAGGTCGATTCTACCGCCATGGAGGTTGACGAAGCCGACGAAGTTGACCCTTTGGATGCTTTCATGTTTGAGCTCCAAGATACCGCGCCATCAAAGAAGACATCAGGTGCCAAGTTCGGGAAGAAGAAGAAGGATTCACAGCAACCGCAGGCCATGTTTGGAGATGATGAGGATGCGGGTGTCACCGCCGTTGGTGCTGATGATGCTGCTGATGACCTTCTCGCTATCGCCAAAAAGAGAAAGAAGCGCGAGCTCCCTACCATCGACCATGCCAAGCTCGAATATGAGCCGTTCCGCAAGAACTTCTACACCGAGCCTTCCGACCTTGCTGGTATGAGCGAGGCGGAGGTTGCGAATTTGCGCCTTGAATTAGATGGCATCAAGATCCGTGGTTCCAACGTGCCCACTCCTGTTCAAAAGTGGTCTCAATGCGGACTGGGTGTGCAGACCTTGGACGTTGTCTCTAAGCTTGGCTATGAAAGCCTAACCTCTATTCAAGCTCAGGCTATTCCTGCAATCATGTCAGGTCGCAATACCATTGGTGTGGCCAAGACTGGTTCAGGAAAGACAGCTGCTTTCTTGATCCCAATGTTCCGACACATCAAAGACCAACGGCCACTATCTTCAATGGAAGGCCCCATTGGACTGATAATGACCCCTACCCGTGAATTGGCTGTTCAGATTCACAAGGACTGCAAGCCTTACCTGAAGGCCCTGAACCTTCGGGCTGTTTGTGCGTATGGTGGAGCTCCCATCAAGGACCAAATTTCAGACTTGAAGCGAGGAGCTGAAATTGTTGTTTGCACTCCCGGTCGTGTCCTTGATCTGCTAGCTGCAAACTCAGGCCGTGTCCTTAACCTGAGCAGGGTCACGTATGTCGTCCTAGATGAGGCAGACCGCATGTTCGACATGGGCTTTGAACCACAGGTCATGAAGATTGTGAACCGCATCCGCCCTGATCGCCAGACTGTGCTGTTCTCAGCTACCTTCCCCAGGAACATGGAGTCATTGGCTAGAAAGGCACTGGAAGATCCCATCGAGATTACTGTCGGTGGTAGAAGTGTTGTTGCATCGGAAATTACACAAATTGTGGAAGTTCGCAATGAAGACAAAAAGTTCGTCCGCTTACTGGAGCTGCTGGGTAACCTATACTCCGATGATGAAAATGAGGATGTCCGATCTTTGATCTTCGTGGAACGTCAGGAGTCTGCCGATGCTTTGCTCCAAGAGCTGATGCGCAAAGGCTATCCGTGTATGTCGATCCACGGTGGAAAGGACCAGATCGATCGTGATTCCACGATTGAAGATTTCAAGGCAGGCATTTTCCCTGTCCTGATTGCCACGTCTGTCGCTGCTCGTGGTTTGGATGTCAAACAACTCAAACTGGTTGTCAACTATGACGCTCCCAATCACATGGAGGACTATGTTCATCGTGTGGGTCGAACCGGTCGAGCTGGAAACACTGGAACTGCCGTGACCTTCATCACGGAAGGACAGGACCGGTATGCAGTAGACATCGCAAAGGCTCTGAAACAAAGTGGACAAGAGGTGCCCGAACCAGTCAAAAAGCTTGTTGACGGTTTCCACGAGAAAGTCAGGGCCGGAAAGGAGCACAAAGCTGGAAATAACGCTGGCTTCGGTGGTAAAGGTCTGGATCGACTTGATGAGGAACGTGAAACTGCCCGTATGCGCGAGCGACGTACATACAAGACTGGCGATAACGATGACGAGGAAGAAGAGAGTGAGGACGATGAAGAGAAGAAGGAGGATCGCTTCAACAAGGCTCTATCCGCCGTTCAATCCGCCAACCCACCCGCCGCGCCATCGTCGGCTTCTCTGCCGGGTGTTCCCAAGGGCATCGACTTGGATGGCAAGATCACTGTCCATCGAACCGAAAAGGATCCCGCCGGTGGTCCCAAGAATGCGCTGGACAAGGTTGGCTCTGCGGTTGCAAGTATCAACGCACGTCTCAGCCGCGCCGGTGTCATGAGGTCCGGAGTCCCCATCGACAACCGTGGACCCGATGCCGGCGCATTCCACGCAACCATGGAGATCAACGATTTCCCTCGTAAGTTCCTACCCTACCCCCCTGCCATCCTACCTAAATCGATAGTAATCTGTTCTAACAATTTTCTTCCACACAGAGAAAGCACGTTGGGCCGTTACCAACCGTACGAACGTCGCCAAGATCCTGGAATCGTCTGGTACCTCCATCACAACAAAGGGCAACTTCTACGCAAATGGCAAGGAACCCGCCGCCGGCGAGCTCCCTAAGCTGTACATTCTAGTGGAGGGTGAGACTGAGATCTCCGTCACTAATGCTATGCGTGAGTTGATGCGCCTATTGAAGGAGGGTACGATTGCGGCGGCGGACAGCGAGGCGCGTGCCCCTGTTGGTGGTCGTTACAACGTGCTTTAATTGAATGCCATTTTTGTGGTGACATGGAGAGCGGATTTGTGGTTGCATCTCTGTTTGTACAATACCCTCAGTCGTCTAGGCCCGCGTACATTACCCGGCGGTTGAATTTGATCATGTTTACATGGCTACGATATTGTTTGTAACAATCAAGTGTGAACTGCAGATGGTGTAATACGTAATTAGATCTAAGGCTTAATTAAGAACGTGTTAGATGGAGAGTAGTCTTAAAGAGATACAAGGTAAGTCATGGTGCTGTACAGAGTGACTAGGTTTCAAATCTGTAGGTACAGGTCAGCCAAAAGGTGGCTGGATGGACGTGGCTGGGGGTGACGAGGGAGGTGAAATGAGGCCAAGGGTGAACGCAAGGGGATATGATCCACCTTGGAAGTCAGGTTCTCAACAAGAGGCAAAGTGTTGAGAATACGAATCAAGTCTAGTCATTCTCTTCTCCAAGATCGAGCCACTGGCTCAAGATTGATGAAAAGAAAGGTCCACGAATGGAGAGTGCCAAAGAATGCGCCTGTCAATGACCCGAAAGCCATTGAACAGACTGTTCCGCCGCGCTGTGCAATGCAGGGACCAGACTGTGGTGAGCCGCCTTGATGATCGCGGCCACCCAAACAAGGTAAGTATGAAGAAGAAAGAAAAAAAGAGGAAGAGAAACGGAAGTGGCCAGCTATTTATACCCACAAGCTGGGCATCTGATCACATGACGTCATGTGACGTCATGTCAACTAAGAAGGTGATCCATTCGACTGAGCTCTAGCGTTACCTATTTAGTAATTTATCTACCGCCCTGCATACACCCCTAGCATGATCATCAGGATCATCTCCCAACTGCGTCAGTTGGGAACCTTAGGAACCTGACTAGAGACTTTGGATCACTATTCCGTACTGCCTGAGGGTTGAAGGATTTCTTGAGGGCCATATTAAAAACACACCCCAAATTGACAAAAACATGCCCCTCCCTATAGGATAGCGAATGTACAACATCGGCGTTAGGATTAGCGCATTTTTCGTATTTTATCTTACCTCATATTTCACCTCATATTTCACATATAATGTGCATCAACTCTTGGCATTTTTATGAATCAGATCAATCGTCAATCCTCACGTAGTAGTACTGAATTCATGGAAATTCTAAGAGCTCGATGAATTTTCTAAGTAGAATATAAGGTAAAATAAAACACCAAGAATGCGCTAATTCTAACGCTGTTGCTATGTACAAGGCATCACGACGGACTATAGCAAGCCCAACATGCAGTTACTCAACTCTCCGTGCGGAGCCAACTACTTCGGGTCCAGCAGCCTCATCCCCTCCCGTAGGTCCTGCTGCCGCCGTTAACCCCGTGGTTACCCCTCAAACCCTCAATGCTGTGATTGCAGACATCGAGGAAGACTTTATGATAGTCATTGATACTCCGAGTAAGCCGCAGAGAAGCACTAGAACCTCTATAAAAGCGCAGGAAGTTATGAGGTAAGCATATATATATTCACTTAACACTATATGGACATCGCTAACTTCTCTATATCAGGATCATGAGACTAAGCGCGCGCTCTTAACTATGGCGGTCGTCAGAGCTTAGGCAACGAAACATCTTCCTCCTCGTGGCTACATCTACCGTATGAGGCCCTTAAAACTGCCCGGACAATAAATTCCGAAGGAGCTTCTGAGACCTAAGTACAATCGAACGTAGTGCGGAGGAGACAATCACCCCTTGTAAACATTTGTAGGACACACGCTTTAACGTACATAAGAAGAAATTATCACTTTAATCGAGGAGCTCATATGCACCAGAACCCTCCACCTTACAGTTACCTCCCTTTACATCAGAACCCGTAGATTCCAATGCACCACATATCCGTATTCATTCCCACCTCCTAGCAGCCTCGGCACCATCAACATCGCGCGCTGCCCTCTCAGTGCGACTCACTTGATCCAACGTCTGCGCATGTGTCTGTGCCTTCTGAGTGGCTAGTTTAGATCCTAATTTACCTTTACCTGTGGAAGTGCTATCGGCGCGTTTCTGTATAGCGGGTAGAGTGATAAGCCAGCGGATCTGACACCTCATGGAAAGTTTGCCCGTTGAATAGCTTTCATGCGGGTTGTTCACATACCTGTGCAGCAATTGCTGCATTGGCGCGTGCCTCATCAGTAGGTGCTTCGCTTCCTCCAGTGTTGGTGTTGGCATTGCTCTCGCCGAGGGTGCGGCCGGGTGTTGCTTTCCAGTTTGTCTTGGCTGGAAGCGGGGCACGGGGTGATGCATTCTGCTCTGATGGGTTTGTTCCGACTGCGCGACCAGGCTGGGTGAAGGGGTCGTTGCCCTTGTTGGAACTACGGGAGCAGATGTTTCCCATTGTTGTTGTTCGTTGGAGGTAAGAGGGGAAGGGATGCGATTGAAGTGATTGGCGGTGCAAGTTTTGGGTTCCCCGTCGGCGCACACTTGGCGCAATGCTTTGGGTCTAGTCTGTATTATGGAGATATGAAAGGCACAATCAGTGTGGAAGGTGCAATGATATTGGTATGGCAACGACTAACGTTATGCTGCGAAGTGGGTTGGACGAAGGGCGCATTGCGATAAGATAGTCGATCCGGGGCAAAGGCGGTGAGATACATTGAACAGTGATGTCAGCATTTCAGTCTGCAACTTGTCCATTTCTTCTCGGAAATTCTGATTGCATTGCTCCATGATATCTACCGTATCGTTTTCACTGTTGAATGCATACAATTCACCGCTCAACTTAGGGTTTCAGGACGCCATGTGGAAGGGCGGGCAAAGAGGGCAGAATGAGTCAGCAGGGCTGAGTGGATCGGCCCTGAAGCCCTGGGAAATGGCTTCCGCGGGGAAGAATTCTCATCGGAATGCTGGGGAGTCCTGCAGGCTCTCTCTCCGTCGATCTACAGGTCCTGACTCTGCCGTACTACGACACCATGTGTGCATGAGCTCTCCGCTTGCCAACTGGGCCAACACCATTCGCCCGAAAATCATGACGCCTAACCCCCAAGGTCCCCATCCTTTCCATCGTCCCGAAGGTCCTCACTGCGGGCAGCATCAGGTTCCCCCCTGATCTCATCCTTTCGCCTTTACGCATCTTCCAAGGTCCTCTTTCTCCTGCACAGGAAATTTCCGATCGTGTCGGTTAATCACAGCCGCGCATGCAGACCCGAGCGTCCAAGCGCATGACACAACAGCGAGACCACATTTTGTGTGAGGGGATCATTTGGTACTATTGAGACCTACTGTTGGGAGAACATACATTTTGGACTTTCTAGGTGGCGTTTTGATTCGGCCGCTTGCGTGATTTCGCAGGTTGGATATTGAACCTGGACATTGCCTGGTAGCCCGCTTGCGATCCTTACCCCCTTCGGTTCTTCAACTACTTTCCTTGATATCGTCCACTGCATTTTGATAGCGTGGCACACTGTCCCCCAAAAACCCCTCTTCCAATCTGGCCATAATTCTTTTCCTCTACCTGAAGTGAACCGTGCACCATGGCGTCTCAACCCCAAGGCGACTTTTGCCTTGAATGCAACTGGGAGGCGTTTCACCTCGATGGGAAGGAAACAGGAGATTCTTCGGTCAATCATTCCCAACATCATTGGGATTGTTCAAGCCATGAGCATCACACGGCCCTCCCTCATTGTGAAGTGGACGAAGCCTGTTGTGATGTAGATGACTGCGCGCTAGACTGTGGGTCAATGTGTGATGGCTTTGTAGCCTGTGGTCCTTCTACTGTCTGCTCTGTTACCAACTGCGAAGACGACAACTGCGAGGACAACGACTGCGAAGACCATTGCGAAGAAAATCATTGTGACGATACCCACTGCGAAGATCTCTGTGCAGCTGATCATTGCGAAGAAACCAACTGTGATCCCACACATTGTGACAGTATTGATCCTCTTTGCTTCGATAATCACTGCTGTGACGGAACCGAGAATCAGGACTGCTCATTTGACACATTATTCGGACTGAACACTCCGCTGTCGCTAGACACAGGGATGTTCCCCCCAACAACCATGGGACACCATGTTAGTCATGGAGCGAAAGCTCTAGAGCACCCTCTGCCTGGAACCATCGATCCAAGTCAACATCATAACTTCCTACACTCCTACCAGACACATGCTACCACCTGCGACCAGAATGTACCCAACCACTTCGAATGTGATGGTTTCCAGAAAGACCTGCAAGGGATGTTCATGGCGCCCCCTTTGCCGACGCAGACCGAGGTGAACCCGGCTGAGGTATTCCATATGCTTGGAATGTGTTCAGACTTTTCGATATGCCAGGATCAACACACTGATCCTCAGACCGATGTCTCCCCAGTGCCACCGTTTGATAAATCTAAAACCGACCTGACAGACGCATTTAATTGTTTCCACCCCGACCACCATCATGTCCATGGTCACTTCAAGAATCCCAATGATCTCAACCTGACCACCTCAAGAGGACCTCACCGAAACCACCATCGCTGCCGAGCTCACCACCATGCCCACTCTCACCCATACTCTCCATACTCACGGCAATCCCGTTCGAGTATCAGCTCTCACCTCTTATCTAGTCCTGGGGAGACTCCTCCACCCCTCGACGGGGGTGCATCATCTGTGTTGACTACTCCAGATTTCTCCGAGGAGAATGATTTGCATATTTGCAAATGGTCAACATCGATCCATGGAATTCAAGCCGCATGTGGTGCTACTTTCGCCGATGCCGGTGCTCTTCAAGAACACCTTGTTGCTAGCCACATGAACACTGTGCATGGTGCCAAGGGGAACGGGTACTACTGCTGTTGGGAGGGATGCCATCGTCCACATGAGCCTTTCTCGCAAAAGTCGAAGCTTCAGGGCCACTTCCTCACCCATAGCAACTACAAGAACTTCTCGTGCTCAGTGTGTGGAAAGGCATTTGCTCGACAGGCGACATTAGACCGGCACGAGCGCAGCCACCGTGGTGATAAGCCATATGCTTGCAAGCATTGTGGTAAATCATTCACCGATAGCAGCGAGTTGAAAACACACTCCCGTACCCATACTGGAGAGAAGCCGTTTAAATGCACCTGGCCAGGCTGTAGCTTTACTACTGGTGACTCTTCGAACATGTCTAGTCACAGACTCACCCACGGAGAACGAAGACACAAATGTCAATTCCCCGGATGCACGAAGAGTTTTACTCGACCTGGTATGCTCACAATCCGTCTCTTTTTAAATTTTACCACTGCTAACAGGAATCACAGACCAACTCAAGCGTCACCAGAAGACAACACACAAAATGGAGTCCTGCTCTACCCTTCCTTCACCGAGCTCCGATCACTTTACCTTGACACCTTTTACCCTCGCCTAATAAACCACACACATCGAATACCTTATTGTACACGACTGTCATGCTTCACGACCCAACGGATGTGGCCTTACTAACGGCCGGGCGTATGATGGCCGGAGAAAACCCAAGTGTCTGGCGTTTTACCGTTTCAAGGACCACGAAAATTAGTTGATACCACCTGCGCTGAACCAAGCCAGGACTGTTCGTCCTTAATGTAGAGAGGCTGAGCCAGTTGCCTGGTCTCGCACTGGCCAGCCGTCTTTGATATTTTCTTGTTCTATGATACATATTACAATGGCTCGCATCGGGTCCGGAACCCGTACTCGGGCATTTCTGTTTGATTCTACTGTTCAATCTTTGTACCCTGCTATGAATTTATCAATTGCATGTGGCAATTCCATTTTCAAGACAACAGAGATGATAAATATACACTCCGTAGATCCTGTATAAACACACCTCCCCCGCTCGCAAAGACTCTACTCCTCATGAGCCCTCTCCTCCAACAGCTCAATAGCATTCTTCAACTCCCGAATCCGCTGTCCAACCCGTCTCCGCACCTCATCCTTCACGCCACGCGGCACTTCGGCAGGGTCATAATTAGTCTCGATAATAGGCCCATCACCATCATCCTCGGCAGCGTCAGCCGCAACACCATTTCCATTTCCAGTTTCACTCTCACTCTCAACCTCCCCTGGACGCGCGGTGTACAGATGGTAAACAGCGGACAACTGGTTCAACGCATCGCGCGCAGATTCCCGATCCGAAGCTGCATAGATAGTTCCGGTATCAGTGCTCTCGGTTGCGATTTCGAATTCGTCTTTGGCTATTTCGTAAAGTTCTTGCAGTTCTTCGATTAGGAGGTCTGCTTCGGCTTTGCCGGTGGAGCCGTTAAGGTCTGCGTAGCTTCGGATTGTTGTTTGTGGGATGCATGATGGGACTGATGTTCGATGAGTTGTCGGGCGGATTTTAGTGGTGGTTGTGAGACTGTGTAGGCTGCGAGCTGCCATTTGCGAGGACCGGATGGCGTGTTGTGGTCGTAGGCTTTGATTGCCTAGACGGAGGAGGGTGGTGCTCCGTGTTGGTCGAATATAGGCTAAGCCAGACATTTTGAAATTCGAGCTTAGGAAATGATGGGAGCTGTTGCTGTGCAATTGGAAATGGAAGTGTCGGAGGGAACTTGAAGCTCAGAAGTCGTATGAGGCCCGGGAATGACGTAGCCGGGTCATCGGCATCACGTGCTGATAACCATATCAATTTCTCGAAGTATACAGTTGGATCACTTAGGGCAAGAGTTTGTTACCAAAGAGAGAGATACATAGTCATTAATACTTAACTATATTAACACAGAGTGATATGGATCTTACTATAATGAGTTGACAGTATTGTCCGGTGCATGGAATTCAACATAATTTCTGTCGTCATCAAGGGGAATGCAGTGTTGTCTGAGATTGATATGCGAGGGAGAATTGACGGCTAATCCATTCCATGGACCTCAATCCCTCTTGCCGTGTTCGAATGAGTATAGTCCTTCATGACACTTTTGCCGAAATTGCCCAGATTGATCCAGGGATCTCGATTGGTGGAAACCGGACTTTACATACATGGCGGCTAAATGCAGGTACTGAAGATGCGGGGAGAGTATGAATGCCTTTCCATTCTTGGAAATTTCCCCTTGAACTTGAAGAGAATCCCCTGTCAATGCGATCGGACCGCCGGGCCGGACATACTGTACCATCCATGTAAACAGCCGTAGATTCAGGGGAATGCATTCTTCACGTCTCCAGTAAAGTTAATATAAATGTCACGAAATCCTACAGATCTGACCAAGTATACATACCAGTCCTTCCACAATGACAAGAAGCTATCTCACAACCATATTGGCTCTTCTGCCACTGGTGGCTTCTCAGCAAATTGGCCTCCCCGACCTTCACCCAAAACTAGACACATGGAAATGCACAACTAAACACGGCTGCACAAAACACCAGACATCAATTGTGCTAGATGCCCTCTCTCACCCACTCCACGAAATAGGTAACCAAAGTGCCTCATGCGGAGACTGGTCAAATGGGCTGAACACCGATCTTTGCGCAACAGCAGAAGAATGCGCCGACAACTGCATCCTCGACGGTGTCAACTACGCAGCTCATGGCGTAGCAACCAAAGGCGACACCCTCAAGCTCCATCAATATATGAAAGTTGACGGGACATACTCATCCGTATCCCCACGCGTGTATCTTCTTAACGAAGACGGAAAAAACTACGACATGCTGCAGCTCCTCAACCAAGAGATCAGTTTCGACGTGGATGTCTCGACTCTCGTGTGTGGCATGAATGGTGCGCTATATTTGGCCGAGATGCTCCAGACTGGTGGACGAAACGAGCTCAATCCCGCCGGCGCACAGTACGGGACTGGATATTGCGATGCGCAGTGTCCGGTTCTCCCATGGGTGAATGGCGTGGCGAATGTTGGGTCTTCTGGAGCTTGTTGTAATGAGATGGATCTTTGGGAGGCGAATTCTGTGTCAACGGGGTATACACCTCACGCATGCAACATCACGCAGGTTTATGAATGTTCTGGGGATCTCTGTGGGAGTGATGGTGTTTGTGACAAGTCGGGTTGTGGGTTTAACCCTTATGCTCTTGGTGACCATGATTACTATGGGTATCGGGGGATTGTTGACACGAACAAGCCATTTACGGTTGTGACGCAGTTTTTGACGGAGGATAGTACTGCGACGGGGACATTGAAAGAGATTCGTCGGTTGTATGTGCAGAAGGGAAAAGTGATTCAGAATGCGGTGACACAAGTGTCCGGCAGCAAGGTTGATTCTATCACTGAGGAGTATTGTTCGAATTCTGCCAGCTACTTTGAGCAGATGGGAGGTTTGACGCAAATGGGCAAGGCGCTTGGTCGAGGAATGGTCTTGATTTTCAGTATTTGGAATGACTCAGGTGCTTTCATGAACTGGCTAGATAGCGGCAGTGCTGGGTCTTGCAATAGCACCGAAGGAAACCCCGAGTTGATTATTGCGCAGCATCCGGAGACATCTGTTACATTTTCCAATATCAGATGGGGAGATATTGGGTCTACTTTTAAGGGAAGGTAGAATTTCCATAAATCAAATGCCATTCTGCTTGTCGATTTCTAACTATGACCAGTAACTCTTCATTCATAATATTCAATTCAAAAGCCAATCTTCAAAAGTCATTAATGAGCGTATGCAGTTCGTGTCATCATGCGTTACCAACAAACGAATCTTCCATTGTAATATCGATCTTCTCTCAAGAAACATCCAGGTGCATATTCATGGGGCAAATATATGCTCAGAGTACCTTTACTCCTGCTGGCCAGTGACAGCCTTGATGTCCTTGTCCTGGTTCTGGTCCTGGGGGTTGACAGGGTAGTTCTGGTATGAGCCATAGTTCTTGTAGTTTCCGTAGCTCTGGTAGCGGTTGTTCTGAGCACTGGGGGTAACCTGGGCGCCGTTCGCCGAGTTCCAGTTGTTGGCAGCACTGGGAATGTCACGAGGGAAGATGGGAGTGGGAGTGATCAGGTCGGAAGCGACACGCGAGGCATGGTCCCAGTTCTCGCGGTACAAAGAGTCATCATCGCGGTTGCGATCATTGTTGCGGTTGTAATCATCGTTGCGGCTGTAGTCATCATCGTTGTTGTAGTTTTTGTAGTCGTTGTTATCATCATCGTTGTAGTTCCCGTTGTTGTTGTTGTTGTTCTCGCCATCCTGGCGCCAGCTACGACGGACAGGGGTATGAGCAGTCAAGTCAGCCATAGGAGTAGCCTTGTTCTCAAGTCCAGGGTGGTTTATGCGCTCAGCCTCAGCACCAGTGGGAGTAATTTCTCCGGGAATGATGCTGCGCTTCTGATTTGCGTGCCACTGGCCATTGGCGTCGGTCCAGCCACCCTGGTTGTTTTGGTTGTTGGCATGCCACTGGCCATTGGCATCAGTCCAGCCACCCTGGTTGTTCTCGTTGTTGGCATGCCATTGGCCGTTGGCATCAGTCCAGCCGTTCTGATCGTTCTCGTTGTTTGCGTGCCATTGACCATTGGCGTCGGTCCAGCCATTCTGGTCTTGGTTGTTGTTGTTGGCATGCCACTGGCCATTGGCATCAGTCCAACCACCCTGGTTGTTCTGGTTGTCATTGGGCCAGCTGCGAGCTACAACACCGCGAGGCTGGTTGTACTGTCCATTCTGGTTGTACTGTCCATTCTGATTGTATTGGCCGTTCTGATTGTATTGGCCGTTCTGGTTATATTGGCCGTTTTGGCTGTTGTCACGCCACTGGCCATTGCGGTCAACGTAGCCGTTCTGGTTGACCTGACCGTTGTTGTTGTAGCGGTTGTCATCGTTGTTGGGGATAAATTGTCCACTCTGGTCGTAGTGGCCCTTGCGATACTGTCCACTGGGATCCCACTGACCGGCTTGGTCGTTGGGGTCCACTGGGAGAGCGAGAGCTGCCAGAGGGGAGACAGCCAAAAGAAGAAGGCCGTTGATCATAGAATAACGCATCTTGATGAAAATAATTCTAGTAAATTCTCAAAAAGTGATAGAGAAAAGTTTTGTTTTGAGAGGTCTCTTGTTTTCCTGAAGCTCTAGAGAGTTGCTTGTTGGAATAAAGATTGAAACCCGGTTGATGGCCCTGTATTTATATCCGAGTGGAAGCAGCTTTGAGCTTTTGAATTACGTAGCTCATAGCTACTCAGGAACAGCTCATTGAGCTACGGGCAACAATGTCTGAGCTTGGATCTCGTATTCCATCCTTGAGTTTTGATGTTGTTCGGTGTTGCTGCAAGGGACGGCTGTGAACGTGTAGTCGAGAATCATGGCGCCTTGCGGGGGATAAGTGATTTGACGTATGATGATCTCAGAGAACGGTGGATTTATAATTAATTTAGGCAATAGAATTGTAATCCAGGTTTACTGTGGTTGGTGGACGAGGAAGAGTTGCATGATGAACCTCGCATCAAGCTGCAGGCAAGTCGGTGCAGATCCTGCCTGTAGGGGATTAATAGCATTCCTCGAAGATCCCCCGAAGTCAACAGTTGCAGATCGTGTCCAAACAGATGGACGACACGCTTACGACAGCTGCATATATGTTGTCGATTCTCCCTTGAGCGATTTCACACGTTGTCTGTGCGCCACGCTTCTGGGATTCTCATCGGCCTGGAAAACGTGTGAGACATGCAGGAAAGACATTGCATCAATTGCTTTCTTGCTCAAGTTTACTTCAATAGCGAGGCTGGACGAAGCGGGGGGCTGTTGAAGTTGCGGTCTGGGGTCGGAAGTTGGAAGTTGGAAATAGCGACACTGCCCTATGTTGAAGTTGAGGTATACCGCTTGTCCCCTTTACATTCGGGTTCTTGTTGAATCGCTTTTCTCTTTTACCAAAGGGCATCTAAATTTTCAAAATACGAGCTATGTTTCGAAACAACTCTGATAAAGAGGATTTCTCCCGAGAGTCTGGCGAGCATCTATTAGCAGAAGAAGAGGGCACACATTGGAGCGGTGGTGATGAACCATCTTCGGATACTTGCAAAGCTGTGGCTATTATCTTGCTCCAAACTTGTGTTTTGGTGTTCATGTTTCTTGTGGGATGTGTATTCGGTTTCTACTGGCGTGGAGACTTGAACAGCCTATGCAGTCGACATGTATCTCAATACTGTGAGTACACCCCAAGCATGCTTCCGAGGACAACTTTACTGACGTAATTTAGCTACTGTGATGAAGGAGGTTGGGATTGAGTATAGTCTACAAGAGTTCAATGGATCGCTGTTGAAGGAGAATGTCTTCAGACAGAATGCCGGCCCAGAGGTTGATGCAGCATGGGAATCACTAGGTGTCAACTGTATGTTACAAAAATCTATCTCTTCTCGAACTCAGCTCACTGACGGTGTTACTCAAGATCGAGGTATCAGAGTACCAGCAGAAGATGCCGAACAGTCTGGTCTTGCCACCGACCAGGTCAAGATCAAAGAGAAGTATGGCGGAGGGTTCCCAGCGAACGTGGAAGGATTACACCACCTTCACTGCCTAGTATGAAAACGATTATCTCTATCAAGGGTCTCTGTTTATGATCTGCTAACTTTGGATAGAATCTTCTTCGTCAATCCCTCTATTACAATTATGACTACTATCACGAAAAGGGCGAGGGGCCCTTTGTCAATAACGACTATATTGTTCGTCGACACGTTTGTACGTATTCAACATCTGACGTCCTCAAAAAGATGTCTTACTCACAAGATTTTCTCTCAAAGCCCATTGCCTTGATATTATTCGACAAGAACTTATGTGCACAGTTGATAGTGGAGTGCTGGGCCAAATCTGGATTTACCCTGAGAACCCCGAGCCCTACGTCGACTTCAACACCCAACACCGCTGCAAGAACTTCGATGCCGTCCGAAGCTGGGCAGAGGCTAACCAGCTACCCGGGGACCTACCTGAGGACTTCCTAGAGCCACCAGCCGAGGGAGATCGAATCTATGCTAAGATGCCATGAGAAATAATCACGAACAATGATGTAGAATGCATCGAAACACGAATACAGCGAAGCGATCAACTATCATAGTAAAATTCCAATACGCAAAAACATCGTGCACACGTATCATTCATCAAGTCCATAAACCCCCAAATCTACACTCATCCCAACCAAAGCAAAAACAGCACTCTCTTTCCCCCCAAAAACACTCAACGCCTTAACCCCCCTATTCTCAAGCCCAATCTTCTCCAAAACTCTACAACTCCGCCTATCATCCGCAGCACAGAACCCAAAAACAGCATCAACCCCAAGCTCCGCACGCGCATACTCGATCAACCCCTTCGCAGCCTCAGTCGCATACCCCTTCCCACTTTCCTCAGGCAAAATAACGTAACCAACATCCGGTGCGAGATAATGCAGGTCTGGTGGTGCGCCTTTCATAAGGGAGACCGTTCCAATAGGAATTTGTGTATTGTCTTCGCTTGTGCGCGAAACGAGGAACATGCCGTAGCCATTGCGGGCGTAAGCTGGTAAGACGCGGCGTTGGAGAAATGTGGATGCTTTTTCTGGGGTGTCTATTGAAGTCTTGCCGCAGGCTTTGACGAAGTCTTCTGTGTTCCAGAGCTGGACTAGGAAATTGCAGTGGATTTTGTCGGTGGGGTTGAAGGGGTTTATTTGGAGGCGGGTGGTTCTTATGGTGAAGTTTGGTGGGATAGAGGCTTGTTCTGAGGTTTTCGACATTTTGAATATTATCTATTTGTTTCAGTAATTTAAGTCACTTGGTTGTTATTTAAGTTGCCTGGTGTGCTTATAACTTAGCTCATGAGCGCTATGTTGCTGCATTGTTGTGACAGTGCTTGAGAGCTGGGCTGTCTACGAATGACTCACAGCGTGGGGGCCAACACAAGAGATTAGATTGCGGATTTCCGTCGGAGTAAGCTTCTGACTGGGATTCTGTTAGTAACTTGGGTCGCAACTTTTGTACTTATTGTCTAAGCCTAGATTAGCCGAAGGTAACGAGTACCTTCACCAAGAAGAACAGCTAGATGTGGAAAGTATTCAAGTCGCGATATGATAAAAGTACAAAGCAAGTACAAAAGCAACCAAGTAAGGAAATTTCAATCTAACATACGTATCTCTCAACCTGGTCGAGCGCACACTCACGGCGCGGCATGAGGACTACCAGATTGTTCGTTGAATTGAAGTAATAGAAATGTAGTAATGTTACTATTGTTGATACTAAATAAGAGGCACGGCATGGTGAAACTATTTATGTATTGAAGTCAACCTACGTGGAACCCTCTAATGGCACTGTAGTCTCTAATCACAGGTCTGCTCCTGGAAGATGTTCCAGGGAATTCACATTCTTCATATAGCGCTACACTGTAGGAGATCAAATCATATCAGAACGTGGCATACGCTCGATAAAGAGTCAACCCCATGGTAGTTGAAAATTCCAACTCTGCGTTCTTTGCCGCAAAATAAACATCTCCCTCCCCAATTTCATGACTTGTTCCATCACCCACACTCATATTTCCAAAGCCCTGAGTCACCACCAAGATACTAGGACTCTCAAGTATGCGGTGCTTTTCGGATTGTGTGGATGACAAGGCCACACCTAGGACGTTGAACTCGCTAAATGGAGGGGCATATTCATTGGATCTTCCTTTCAGTCCAATCGGGCTCTTTCTCTGTTGGAGCAGAGATTCTGCTGGGCCATGTGGTTTGAATGTGAGCGCCTGTGCAAATAACTCGATGTTATCACGGTCAGCGCGTGGACAGAATCCCGTGTTCAAAACGTTATCAGAGCGCGCCATGCACTCCATAATGTCCCCAGAAAACCACGCATGGATGCCGTCGGCTGGAACACAGACAGCTTCTCCAGGCTCTAGAACCATATAGTTCATGAGAAGAGCGGCGACCAAGTTACCATTGTCGAATGCCGAATACTGTTTGCTGAGTCGATCAAGAAGTGCTGGAACATTCTCATTGTCTCCAAACTCAGACAAAGATATGTCTTGTATTTTGGTGATAATCTCGGATACGGTGTCCGGGGCCAGGTTAAGCAATGTTTCACATAGTTGTCGTAAAGCTCCATCATCGAAGACCTTATCTGCTGGTACAAGGTGCTCCAACGGTTTCAATCGCATGAGCTCTGCAATTTTGTCTAAGGGTTTGAACCCAACAAAAAGTTCGAATCGTGATAGGGCGATTGCAATTTCGGGCTTATGATTGGTGTCGCCAAACTTTTCAGGGTCCTTCGCATGCAAACGCTCGGCAAGACTTTTGTCAGGGTGAATTTGAAGTGGAAGCGCTTTAGCAAAGGAGAGCACCTACTGCTAGTTAGCATCATGATTAGAGCGACTAAAATATCTTTTGTATTTCACCTTGGGCAGAAATGGAATGTCAGGCCCGTATCTGTCGCAAACCGACTGTCCAACCAGATCTGGATTGTTCTTAAGATGCTCAGAGAGAAGAGTCCCGGTAGACCGAATCCTAGAAGGCACAGAAGGATATGTACCCATCCACATCTGCGTGATATTAACGCCATTGGATCACTGGGTATGTATGACAGGAGAACCACTCACTTCCGAATAAGTTTCTGAGGGGTCAAGCTTTCCAGCATCAGGCATATGGGACCAAAGCCGCCCAGCGAGTGAGCTTTCACCTTGTTTGCCCCAAGGATCGTGCTAGAATCGGATGTTAAGATTGTTGCAGAATAGTAATGTCTAGGTATGTTGCAGTATCTTACTTTGCATTCGCAAACGAGCTGCAATACTCCGTCCGCCATTGTAAAAGGTGTACAAAACTCAGTTTCTCGAAGTATATAGGAATTGAAAATATCAAATGCTCAATTTTTGATTACAATTTAGCCAGGCCGTTGAGATTGCCCAGGATTGATATGGGACCAATTACGTTGATCTTTCGTCATCCATTTTGAGGGGACAAACAGGTATCATGATCTCAAGTTATGCTAAGACTCATACAACACATTACAACTCCTGGATATTGATAAGTTCTAACTTGATTCTGTGGCCTATTTTTGATGTTGATGTGGTCGTCATCAGTCAAAATGATGATACCGTCATACCGACGCCTTGATTAGCCTTGCTTTCTTTGCTTGTGTACATAGTCGAGGACGTGACGGTCAGTTCTTTATGCCAAAAAGCTCTATCAGGACCAATGAAGAAGGTCAAATTACTTTGAATCCGTCGTCAAGACATTCACAGAATAGCAGAAGGTCGCGAGAATATTTACTGCAACCAACGCCTGACTGGCCCGCAGTCGACTGAGAAGGTCACATGAATAATTACGGAACCCAATTCTAATGCCTCATTAGCGGAGCTTTCAAATCTACGTTAGTAGAGGCACTTAATAATGACCTTCGCCTACCGTCTATTTCTGTTTATATAACTCGACTAGGGAAGGAAATAGCTCTACGACTACGACTTTTCTTGGTCCGAGGTTGTTCGCATGGAATGGCCAATCAAAGTTTGAATGAGACGAGAAGCGTTTCGTGAGGAGATTAGTTCAGTCCTAAAGTACAGATATCCAGCCTTTAGTTGAATGAACAATTAACTATTCACGGTTGAGATTCTTACATCATATTGCCAAGGGAACAAGATACCGAAACAAGGTTTAAGAGCGAGCTCGACGAATTCTAGGTGATTGCCGAGATCCTGGCATGATTATACGTCACATTGACGAGATGGAAATTTTTACTTAAATTCTCAGCCGCTACCCTGAGCAACTTGAGTCTACTGCGAACTATCATAGATTACGAATTGCCAACATGCAACAGGAAGTGGAAAAGCCCGCTCGGGGCCCTCAATCTCAATTCCAACAGGGTGAGCTCATGTACATCTATTTGTGCTTGTTTGAGAATTCATGAGAGAAACAGGTCACCAAGTCCCTATTGAGCATCAGAAGAAGCCTGGTCTACAGACTGAGATGGCAGATCCGAAGCCCACCTCAAGCAAGCTTCCAACCGAGGATGGTGGGTATCAAACCTACAAAGCGGCGGGGAAGCTTTTAGGGAAAAATGCCATAATCACTGGTGGTGATTCAGGAATTGGTCGCGCAGTTGCTATTCTATTTGCCATGGAAGGAGCCTCTTGCCTAATCACGTATCTTCCCGAGGAGGAAAAAGACGCGCAAGAGACGAAAAAACGAGTAGAGGAAATTGGACAAAACTGTTATTGCTACGCCACAGACATTCGGGATAAGAATAATTGCCAAGCAGTGGTCGACACAGCTCTTAAAACCTTGGGTGGTATTGACATCCTGGTTAATAATGCTGGGACTCAAACAATGATTGACGATATCAAAGATTTAGAAGAGCATGTGTCTTCTATCCTATATCGTCGAGTGATATTTATTAACATAATTTCACAGGTCTCAATGGGAAAGCACTTTTGACACCAACATCCACCCTATCTTCTATCTTTCGAAATATGCAATCCCTCATCTGAAAAGCGGCTCGACTATTATCAACTGTGCATCGGTTAATCACTATATTGGTCGGCCTGATCTACTCGACTACACGTCGACAAAGGGAGCAATCGTTGCGTTCACCAGGGGTCTATCTAACCAGCAAGTCAAAAATGGCATTCGAGTGAATTGTGTGTGTCCTGGGCCAGGTAATTTCAATCGCTCCTAGAAAACTTTGGGTAATAGCTAATCTGGGTATAGTATGGACACCTCTTATTCCAGCAACCATGAATACCGCCGCCAAGGAGCAGTTCAGCGGCACACCGATGGGTCGCCCAGGACAACCCAGTGAGGTTGCCACATGCTTTGTTTTCCTTGCAAGCCAGGATAGTAGCTTTATCTCTGGGCAAAGTTTGCATCCTAACGGGGGAGTAGTTGTCAACGGATGAACGGTCGATAGAAATTGATATGAATATGATATGAACTTACATTTGAGCTTAAATGTAGAGCTTCAAAAATGCTTGACTCGGCCTGTGACCATTCACAATCTGGGCGTATGTCGTCAAGCGTTGTGACCTCTTTTGATATATGCAAATTTTGAATCGACTACTATACCCTAATCTATATTAGGGTGTTTCTACTTAAGGCCCATGAATAAAATCGCGGGTGTGGAGTTCCAACTGAACAATAGAATAGTCAACATTATGCTTTTCATTCCTTGACCGCACCTATCTACCCTGATTCATTGACAGCACCGTCTCGGTTCTGTTCGTTCAAAAGCAGTCAGCCACCATTCCATCGTACATCATGACAAGAGCATACTTTCAAGTTAGTGCAATTCTCGCAATTAGTACAGTGTACCATGTTTGAACAATTTCGACAATTGGTACAATTTCTCATATTCGAACATTGGTTGCAATTTTCACAATCGGTGCAATTACTGCAAAATGAACAGTTGATGCAGTCATTACAATTGGAACACTGGATTGATTCGTTAATATCTTTCAGTACTGAAATGAAGGCAGAGAAGTAGTAGGGTGGGATAATGATCTAGCTGGTGTAGAAGCGTACGTTATTGCATCCTGGGAATCGACATTACCATTAGCTTGGACAGCCCGATTGTATCATATGAGCTCACCTTGGCAGTTATGACAGTTGCTGTTGTTTCTGTTTCCGCCGCCATCTCTGGAAAAGAAAATTGGTTGGCGATTGCGTCCATTGACGGAGATATAGTGGGCACAAGCGAGTGTGCAGAACGCTTTCAACTCACATATTGTGAATAGGTTCTGGAGAATCATGCTTCATCTTGTCCACAAAGATAATATTTTCCTTGAATGCGTTTGTTTTTAAGACTTTAGATGAGATGGATCTTATCAGGCGGGATGAAAGGAGCCAATATCGTTAACTCTATGTCATTGTGACGTAATCATTGTCTGCATGTCGCCGGAGAGATACCATTCATTGCTCAAGCTAACGGGTACAATTGACAGTAACGATCTAGTTGATAGCAAATGCTGTAGCAACAGATGAGTTTCCTTCTTCCTAAATAAGTACTAGGAAATATATACAACTTGAGATCAAATTTAATTTCCAATCACTTGTAGGTGCCGCCTAGAAGTTCGTTCTTGACATCGGCCTTTGGGTGAAACGACATAAGGAAGCGACTTCAGGCGGCGGCGGAGAGTGGTACGAGGTGTATCAAATCGAATTATTGTATCTTGAATTGAGACAATTTCCTGCTTCTTAGTAGCCTGAATTGCCAGCAAGAGCCTACTCTTTTACGCTATGCGCTTTTGAGTATATCGAGTACGAATTAGTGGTATGGTGGGTGGTTAAAGGAAAAAGAACTAGCTTGACCGATGCGTTTTTAGGTGCGCTCGGTGGCGGTGGCCGCTCGGTAGTGAATTACGTTATCTAGTGAGCGAGGTTTATGATGATACAATGCTCAGGGGCGTGTTCAGCTTTACTCAGTGAGCGAAAAGTGGCATGGGGGGGGGGGGGGGGGGAAGCACTAAAATGGAAAGGGAAAGCCAGGTCGCGCGGCCTAAATTTTGATGTTTATGTACAATGACAAATTTGAAGCTAGCAACCTAGGTAATAATGACCTCTCTTTTCCCGAGGAATAGGTTGATTACCTTGGATAATCTCATCAAACCGGCGGAAAATGCGGTCATAATTCTGGCCATACTTACCAAGCTCTCGTAAGCGAATTGACACCCAATCTTGATAGATTTGATCTGAGGTAGCAATTCCTGCGATGAAAAGTGGCCAAACAATCCGGACTACAAGACGGGGTCGACTGCGGTGTAACTTCAGACCGAGTTCGAGAACTTGTAATACGGCAGTGTTGAGGGGAATGATAGTGTTGTAGTCTTGAATGCCTGACCAGTCATTCACGAGATCTTGGAAGCACAGGTGGAAGTATACAATTGTGCCGTAGTATGTGATGGCTGACCAGAAGACCGTTTCCATGATGCGACGGTCGCCGGCGACGTCGCAGGTGTTTGATCTTCTGGCTGAGGTGAGGAGTGTGTCATATTCCTAATCCTGTTAGTAAGATGATAATAGGAAGACGGAGGACTGGAACATATGCGCGCTTACAATAGACAGCGTGTTGATCTCTTTGATGATCCGTTGATAGGGAGAGCCCTCGCCGAAGCTGATCTCCGATGTTGAGCTTTGTTTAAACATCTCCGTGATTTTGAACTGAATGACATGGCTGCGGTGATATAGTGTAAGACCCGAGAGATTCTCTAAATCATCCAATTGAGATGACATAGGATATTCTTCCCCCCAGAAGCGGGCAGGAGATTGTCTGCTCAATCTGTACAGATATGGAAGGCTTAGGGGTGTATTGCCAGCCTCTGATCGTAAAAAGAACCTAAAGATATCTGTATCGAGACGTGCAGTTTCAGATCCAAAGAACAGGGCTGCAGGTGTGAAGAAGTACAGCGTCCATAAAAGGAACAGAGGCACACAAGTGCCGCCAAGTCCATGCGCAGGACTAGGAGCAGAAAGATGTGTATTACTTGCAGTATCGTCCAGACCTGCAACGTCTAGCCGGGGTTGTGTGTTCTGCAAGGGATCTTGACCTTCTGCCGTAATGGTAGGTGGACGGGTTTGGCCTTGGAGCAAAGGCACGATGTGGTTGTGTAAGAGAGTCTCGATGCCCCGAATGTGAATATTAATCGCGGAGGCACCACTTCCAAAGCGATTCTCATAATCTATCATCAACCAAAGCGTGATAAAGATGGCTTCAATATGCCGTGGAGATTTTACCTCCTGCTTGAGTGCTTCCCTGAGACCCGATAGGGCGCGGCCGTAATGTACTCTGCCATCCATGTCTGATTGCTCATTGCTCATAAGCTGGTCGTAAGAGTGCTCTGAATCGTAAAGTCTGGATCGATGAATCTCCCTCGCAGCACTAGCCAGAATCATGCTCATGACCATCGGCTCTCTGGTGGCAACTTTATGGTATGCATACGAAACTGTTGACCAAGGCCAGTGCTTACCAAGAATCACTACTAATATTGAGTCTTGCAGGTAGCCCAAGCACTGGCGGTCAAATCCTGACAGTGACAGAGAGTTGGCAGCTTGAATGACACGAGACTGCGCGCCACTTGCCGGGCTGCGAATTGACAGTGACCCCGGAGAAGGTGGAGTAACCTGGAGATGTAATTGCTTCCTTGCAGGCTTGGACTGGCTCGCATTAGGGGTTTCATCCCTTTCTGCAACCTCTCTTGGAGAGAATCTCTCTGTCGAGGTACGATGTGATCTCCGCGGTATCGGGCCGCCTTTCCACTCACACAGAATGCGAGCTGCCAAGCATCTCCGACATTGGGGTTCCTCGTGCCCTTGAGATGGCACTTTCTCTTCGTCACACTTGACCTTGCGGATTCGGCAAGTGCGGCAGCCTTGACTAGCTGTTAGCGAGCGCTGCAAGGGAGAGGGTCTGTGGATCCTTGCCTGTCCGGGAACGGGTCTTCCCCGGTTTATGCATTGTCGATAGGACCAGCCTTCGCGAAAACACAGTCCATATAGTGTTCCATTCACCTCGGCTATGTCATTGATTTCCAAGTAGCGTCAAGAGATATACAACCTCACGCGACAATCGTGTCTGATAGCGCAGATATGGAGAGGGGAAGAGGCGGAGGGGAAGAGAACGAGAACGCTATCAGGATCCACTGGAGCCGAGTTCTGGACGCTGATTGGCTGCGTCGGCTGTTCCTTGGTGGATGCCGATGCCGAGAGCTTACTTCGATCCTGCGCTGTGATTGGCTGGACAATTCGTCGTTGCATCGGCTATTCTCCGTTTCTGGCTCTTAAAAATCGAGGTTGAACTTCCTGTTTTCAACAAACCTTGCTAATTTGAGCTTCACCATGCATTTCCCGGAATCTCACAGTCGCTTCTTGAAAAGCGTACAAGATGCGCTCCAGCGCTATGATTCACAGCTCAATGACATCAATCAAAAGGTAGGAAACGGATGATTACAGCCTGTACGAGACCTGCAGCTAATGTATATCAGATCTGGTCAAACCCAGAGCTTGCCTATGCAGAATTTGATGCTCATGACAACATCTGTGCGCTTTTTGAAAGCCTCAAGTCGGAAGGATATTCAGTCCGGAGAAAGGCGTATGAACTAGAGACTGCGCTCGAGATTGAATACACCCAAGGCAGTGGGGGCCGAGTAGTGGCTTTCAATGCCGAGTACGATGCTCTGCCTGGAATTGGCCACGCTTGTGGCCATAATCTCATCGCAACAAGCTCAATCGCGGCATTCATTGCCACTTGCGAGGCCATGAAGGCTCAAGCTGAATCCTCATCAGCCTCGGGATTTACCGTTCGTCTGCTAGGTACCCCGGCTGAGGAATCAGGGGGTGGTAAAGTGCGACTGATCAACAAGGGTGCTTATAAGGGTATTGATGCCTGCCTTATGGTCCACCCGGTACCGATGGTACCCGGAAAACCAGAGTTGATGGGTATTGCAACCACCCTCGAAGGAGGATTCCTCGCCAACGATAAAGTCAAAGTAACTTTTACGGGCAAACCTGCCCATGCTGCAGCGGCTCCATGGGAAGGAATCAATGCACTAGATGCTGTCGTGTCTGCATATGTTAATATTTCTCTTCTCCGACAACAGATTCTACCAACCCAGAAAGTTCACGGAGTCATTGTGAACGGAGGGGATCGACCTAACATTATCCCCATGTCTGCTCAAGTCGACTATTATATCCGCTCTCCAACCAAGAAGACACTTAAGCCCTTGACCGAAAAAGTGCTGAAATGCTTCGAGGCTGCTGCGACCGCTACTGGGTGCAAGGTTGAATTTGAATGGTATGACGACCGCTATTACTTTGAACTTATATATGACTGACTTAAGTACGTGACAGGGGCCCTTCATATGATGACTTGAAGAGCAACAAGCCAATCTGCGAAAGTTATGTGTCGGCAATGCGAGCAATGGGGTACCACACCTTGCTTGATAACTCTGGAGAAAAGAGCGCCCTTGCTGGAGCATCCACAGATATGGGTATGTCTATATCAAAGTTATGTTCGAGATCCAGCTAATGCTTACTTAGGAAATGTTTCTTACGTTGTTCCTGGATTCCACGGACTATTCACCATTCCTGTTGATGGTGTTAACCATACACCACAGTTTACTAGTGGTGCTGGATCTGCTGAGGGCTTCAAGCGCGCCATTGGTTGTGCGGCAGGTATGGCCATGGTCGCTTGCCAACTCTTGGTTGATGATAAATTTGCGGAAGATGTCAAGAAGAATTTTGAGGAATGATAAAGTATAATTTGAGTAACAAATCAGATAATGCAGCTCGGCAATCAAGAATACGAATTAAATTTCGGAAATGAAATGTTATCTGTCAATGATTTCTGGTAGAAGGCCTCGGCCTACAGCTGTTAGGACTCAGTCTTGTGACGAGTGATCTAACTTACCCTTAAAACTATCAAGACCCACTGGCCTTATCCGGGGAAAATAGGCTCAAGCAAAAGTCAGACCAATAACAGACTCTCCATCGTGGTCCAAAGCTAAAGCTGGACTTTCTTCTATCTTTGCCACAGCTTCCATCCTGCCAAGTCTCTTCTAGCCTTGCCGACACAGCCAATGAGTATATCAGCCAAGATAAGTCCCGGTCCTCTGCTATCTGGGCTTCTGATATTGCGGGGATAAGTCTGTCTCCGAACGACAGCACAGTCAAGATCAATGTACCATATAAATACTAAAACTAATAAGACCTCTTTCATGCTCATTATCATATTTCCATCTGTCATCGATACTAGCTTTAGTGATGGCAGCTCTATCAAGCAAGAAACAAGCTCTCCAAGCTGATAGCGAGATTGATCAACAGAGTCTCGATAATGGAGCACTGGAATCTTCATTCCAATACTCTGCTGCCGCAGAGAAGAAATTGGTTCGGAAGATTGATCTGATGTAAGTAAATTTGACAGTGCATCTTCTTTCAAGCAAAAGCTGACCAGGCGCATTCTTCTAGGATTCTTCCAATCATGGTTTTCGCATACATGCTTGCCTTTCTCGACAAACAAGCCTTAGGATACACAGCGCTCATGGGTATTCGGGAGGATTTGCATCTCGTAGGTGCTCAATACAATTGGTCGTCGAGCATATTCTACTTTGGATACTTGTTCTTCTCGTGAGTTATGATTTGCTCGGCACAACAGCACCTTCTCATGCTTACCATGAGGCAGATATCCCGCATCTCTTTTAATGGTGAAATTCCCGCTCGGGAAATATCTTGCAGTCAGTTTGTACGTTCTACAAGACTCCCAATATTTCATGGTTTCTCCTTCTGACATGACCAAAGTATGCTTTGGGCCGTTGTCCTAGCTTGTCATGCTGCATGCACAGATTTCAAGGGTATCATGATAGTTCGCTTCTTCCTTGGATGCGCAGAAGCCAGTCTCTCACCAGGGTTCACTCTGATTACGTCGCTGTGGTACAGGACATCGGAGCAGCCACTTCGTCATGGTATTTGGTTCTGTGGCAACTCCATTTCTCTCATCTTTGGCAATTTGATTGCGGTTGGGATTTTGCAAATTAAAGGGTCTCTCCGAGCATGGCAGGTAAAAAACTTTACATCTTTGACAGCCAAAATTTATTCTTACCTTTTATTTAGTGGCTATTTATCATTTTCGGACTCGTGACATTCCTTTGGGGAATTGTGATGCTGTTCCGACTTCCCGATTCACCAACCACTGCCAGCTTCCTCACAGAGGAAGAAAAGCTCATTGCAATGGAACGTCTGAAAGCTAACCAAACCGGCTACAAGACATCAAATATTGACGGTCCTCAAATTCTAGAGGCGTTTATCGACCCCAAAACATGGATTCTTGCGGTTTTGATTTTAGCGGCCAATATTCCAAACGGCGGATTTACAACCGTGAGCCTACTATTCAAAATCCAAAGATGACCTACTAAAGAAAAGACAGTTTAACGGATTGGTCTTGCAAGGATTCGGCTTTTCCACTTTCCACACTCTCTTGCTTGGTATCCCCGGCGGCTTTGTTGTGTTTATCTTTGTTCTCTCATCGTAAGGTGCTGCGTGGATATCACCGAGAATCATGCTAACGATCTCACACAGCGGAATTATATCGTCAAAGATTGCAAAGTCCCGCTGTCTTGTCATGGCTGCATGCAATGTCATCAGGTAAATTCATCGGCGAAAAAATCTGTACTTTTACACCGTGAGTATGCACTGACGTAATGCGCAGTATCGTAGGAAGTGCACTCGTATACGCGACCAAGCCAGTTGGCTCCCGATATGCCGGTCTCATTCTAATGGGAATTTATTCTGCGGCAATGCCCATCTCCATGGCTATGATCAGTTCCAATGTTGCTGGATTCACCAAGAAAGCAACTGTTAGTGCAATCTATTTCATTTTGTACTGTACTGGCAACATCGTTGGTCCACAACTCTTCTTCGCGAGAGAAGCACCGAAATACCAGGTATGGCTCCAAGGCTTTGAATTGGCTTTTCTGTCTAATAAGAACTTAGAGTGGCTTCCTTGCAATTATCATCTGTTTGGTGATCTGCGTGCTCGATTGCTTCCTTCTCTTGTTCTACCTTCAATGGACAAACAGTCAACGTGACAAGAAGGCGATGTTAGATGTAGGATCTCAACCGCAAGAGAAAGATGTGGTTCGACAGCCCGGGTCTCAATTGCTGGATATTACGGACTTCAAGAACCAGAGCTTCCGATATGTCTACTAGTGAGATTATTTTTCTTGGAATAGATATCTTTCAGTCTGTTTACGCGGTCATTCCTTATTAATCGACGTAAAATGCTATGTACAAAGTAGTCTATGGTGAATATAAATGAGAAAGCGACAAAGAAAGCTTCCAGCAGTTTAGATGTTAAATTTTCCAGCGAGATCATTCTTATGATTAATTATCCCGTATACAAGATTACCGTAATGGCATATTTGACCTCACTCTAGTCTGCCTTACAGGCTGGAATAAGCCGACCACACAATGTCACATCGAGTGCAAAATTCACGATGATCCGACGAGGTCTGTGGAAAGCTCTCGACTTCATGAGAACCAGATTATTGATAAATATGTTACAAATTGAGATTGCTTTTGTCACTTTCATGAGAAATAGATACAAAAAGTAAGAAATTCACGTCCTTATCATAGATACAAGCTCAGTTTCTGTTAGAGTGACGAGTTACCTGCAGGCTTTCCTGCCTGTGGATAGAAGCGGCTGCTGCCAGCGACGTCCTCACGGCGACGGGCATCAGGATCTGTATCTACCCGCTGGTCAGGCTTATCTGCATTGGGGTCGTAGATTCCTGCAGGTTTTCCAGCTTGAGGCATATATGCAGTGCTGGAAGATACGTTCTGGCGACCTTGGTCCGAATCTAACCTGGAGTCAACCTTGTTGACGATATTGCTATTGTGAGGACCAGCAGTGCCTTTGCAAGCACCACCATGACCATGATCTTGTACAGAGCTTGGATGAGAGCCTGTGCCTTGGTTGTCTGAATACGCGATTAGATCTGACTAATGTCTTAATTGAAGAATTGGAAGAGACAATGGTACCTTTGCGACTGTTAGACATACTGAATTATGATGCTTGATGGTGTAATTCACTTCATCTTCAACGACCAGGAGCAACTGCTTATATATATTCGCTGATTGCGTATAAGTGACGTCGTCAGCGCTAAAGAATAACCCTAAAGGAGTTCATCTGTTTTATCAGGTTTTGGGACTTGCCATTCTTCTCGACCATTTTAATCGAAGTGTTCTATTGAACTTTCTTCAAATTCTGAAATCTGGACGTAATTGACTTGTCCAAGATTCCCAGTCGCGTATAAAATCCACCAAGTACAACTAAACTCACCGCGGAAAACATCTATGGATCTTCACCTCAACCATTTTTAAAACCATTTTTCAGGGAATGCTCTTAACTCTCACAGTTTAGAATAATAACAACTAATGAGAAGGTATTCATTGGATGCAAAATCAAAATTTCAGGTAATGCGCGGAGATAAGTGGCGAAGATATGAATGATCTTATAATGACGCAACACACCCAATCCAACAAGACATACATCCATTTCTTCTAGACATCTTGGTGTAGTACATGTATGTAGCACAATACAGAACTAATTGGCATCTCTGAAGTAATTGAATTGATCAATGAATCTTTCAACTCCAGGGAACTGTCATCCCTCGCTCATGTGACTCTCTTGCAAGTTCAATAACCCGAAGGACATCTCTGGATTCGGTCGCCTTTACAACCAATTCAGCCTTCCCTTGAATAGCATCCGCAAGATTCTCATAGAGACCTAGCCACCGCCCTGTGACTGTTGGGTACCTACCAACGAACTTGTTGACCTTTGAGTCGAAACTTTGAACTGTGCTATCGAATTCCTCAATCGTAGTGAGTAACCCATTGAGGTATTCCGGTTCTGCCCCAAACATAGCATCAAGAGGTTTTTTGCCTGCTGCAATAGCTTCTTCTTGAGGACAAGTGCTTCTTTCCTGGAATTTCAAGAAAGATCCCTTTGTCCCCCGCACTAGTAGTTTGAGTTGTTGAGCCATGGGAGTTGTCACGGATGTTTTGACCGTAACGATTAGATCCTGTTGCGTGCCGGTATATTGCAATATAATGGTGAAAGAGTCCTCGACTTCGCTGTCAATACCGCGTTGAGCACGGAAAAACCCTGTGATGGAGCTTGGGCGTCCGAATAAAACCAAAGCCTGGTCTAGGCTGTGTGTTCCTGTGGAATCCTCCTCTTAGCATGTTCCAAGAGTAATGATGTTGCAATTCTCACCCAAGCCAAACGCCATTCCAGCACCTGGCGTGTACTCCTTTTCTGACATCAAAGATAACCAGGACGGGGACTCGAAGTCGTAATGGATTTCGGCCTCGTTAATTTCGCCCAAGGCATTTTCCTTCATGAGCTTTTTCAGAGTCTGGAAATCGCCGTCCTAGAGCACAGAAATCTCGTCAGTCTGTGACAAAGAGTTCAATGAGGTTTTTGGTCATACCCATCTTCTGTTCTGGAAACAAGTCACGATAACGCCCTTTTGATCAGCAAGTTGGATGGCCTTGTCTGCCTCTTCGGCTGAGCTTGCGAATGGCTTGTCAACGATCACTAGTGCGCCAAGTAGAGTCAGCGGCAGTTTATTGTAGCCTCTGAAGATAGATCAAATTACCATGCTTTCCGGCATCTATTGCCTTCTCTGCGAACATGGCATGTGTGTCGAGATGAGTTGCGACAACAACAAGTTGAATTTCCAGATCGGCAAAGAATTCATCGGCGAGCCTGTAATGTTTGACGGCTGGGAGATCAACTGTGCAGTGCGAACCACTGGGAGAAGATGCAGGGTCTTCTGGCGCTGCAGTCCTTTGTAAGATTGCAACAATCTCGTACTCTGGGACAGCGCTGATGAAAGGAATATGGAAGTTCTTGGCGGCAAAGCCATACCCGACAATTCCAACTTTGATAGGCGACATTGGAAATTATTATGCGCAAATATTATGTTATGAGATTGTGGAATAATATCCAGGTAGAAAGAAAGAAAGGAAAGGAAAGAAAAGTTTTCAGGAGGTAACAGGAAATAGGGTTGTGATTATGTCCAAAGCCTACATCCCGTTCCCCTCCCCGGTCCGTGACGCAAAGGTAGGACTGGCGTAATGGGCTCCAGGACCGATTACATGGATTAGGAATCTAAATTTGGACTGGGCAAATGAAAAAAAAAAAAAACGAGAACAAGCCGAAAATCAAGCCTATATAATGACTGGCGACCAATATAATCACCCGACATTCAACCGATTAGCTGAACCCTTGATTTGGAAGGGGAATTTAGTTTCCGCGTCGAACTAAGCCTGGTCGTTTAGCTTCATGATTGGTTACATTTTGAAAGCCCCATGATGCCAAGAATGTCATAGAGGGGTTGTGTTTGTGCCTTCGGGTCTGGTACGACACTGTGTTGCAGAGAGTATGCATATTTGTATTTCTATCTCCTCTACTCTCCTAATCAATGATAACCACATTCTTTCCGTTTCCAGCTCCGGAAAGATAGTCTTGTTTCATCTTTTCTGCCTCCTCCAACCTCCACTCTTTGACCTCAACATGCAGCTTCTTTTCATCAAATAAGGCAACAAGCTCCTGTGCTTGAGCGGTATCAGCGACCAAGGATCCGACCAATGTAATATCCTTGTAAATGGTCGTGTTATACGACATTGTGATCCCCTTCTCTGGTTGTCCCAAAAGAACCATAGTCCCATGCTTCCTAGTGAGAGCTGCCGCCAGCTCGAATGCAGGAGGGCTATCAGTTGCAAGTACAGTGGCATCAAGTCCACGGTAATTGGAAGAAATGATCTTATCGATAGATGCCATGGATTTCTCGATCGGATCAGTGGCCAAAATGAGGGCATCGGGCTTATACTCGTAAGCTGAGACGGCGTCCAATGCAGATTGTTTGACATCAATAGCTGCGACTTTGTAGCCCTAAACCTCGAATTAGCAATAGCTTTACTTTTTCAATGACAATTCCCACTTACCATGGACTTTGCGATTTGTGTTCCAATATGACCAAGTCCCCCGATACCAACGATACCAATCGAGCCGCCTCTTGGGACATTTGCTCGAACAATGCCTCCATAGATACTAATGCCGGCGCACATTAATGGAGCTGCTACCTTGAATTCCATTTCATCGGGTATCTTCACAATGAAGCGGGCATCTCTATATAAGATCAGAAGTGTCAGTGACTGGGTTGACTGATTTCTTTTCGACCTCAACACTCACGCAACCATATATTCAGCCCAGCCCCCGTCGGTCGTCAACCCCTTCATTAGAGGGGCGTCGCAGTAGATAGGCAGACCAGCCTTGCAATCCGCGCATTCTCCTGAAAGCAAACATTAACATCCCGCATACAGTAATAGTAACAAGCCTCGTACTTACCACAGACACTATCAAAATTGATACAACCAACCCTATCTCCCCGACGGAAATCCTTCACATCCGAGCCTACCTCTTCGATAATACCAGCAGGCTCGTGCGACCCAATAAATGGCAAAGGGGAGTTAAATTCATTGTTGAGTGCCATGAGATCTGTGTGACAGAATCCGGCAGCCTTTATGCGTACCAGAACTTGATGAGGCTTTGGTTTTGGAACGGGCACTTCGGATACTTGGTAGGGCTCATTGTATTGCCGGATTTGGATGGCCTTCATGGTGGTTGGAGACATTTTGATCAAATATTTACTGTAGTTGGCCTGAGCGATTGGGAGGAGGAAAGGTTGAAAGGTGTGCAACTGATATAATTTGTCTCTAGGTATGACGTGGAAGAAGATCTTCTCCAATTTCTCCAAATCGGAGTGTATCTTGTTCTTGGCAATCAAGCCATGGGTTCCCCAGACCATTCCACTTGACCTCAACTTTGAACGAGATGAGAATAGCTCACAATGATGAGATGTAAAACTAACACGTCAAATAATGATGATCGCGTTAAGTCGCGCTCGGCCTTTCGGGGGATCATACCCCGCAATCTCAAGAAACTCGTTGACTAGCCTGAATGGGGCTGGATTTTGCGGGGGATTACAGGAATAGAATGATGATGAGACGAAAGCAAGGGGTTTTTCTTTATTATAGTAGGCTTCATTCAGAAAATCCTTTTCATCTTCAGAATAGGAGGCCAGACTACCTCTGTGTTTCGTTTCACTGGATGCTGGAACCAGGACTCGAATTACAATTCTCTACGAGGCATTGGACCCTGCTTATATTATCTCCTTGTCAAATGGGATGAAACTTGAAAAATGTCAGGACTTTCACCAGAGACGAATTTATCTCAGTGTCTCTTAGCGGTCAACTTAGCCACCGGAGTATGAGCCCCGAGGTACGATGTCAGACCCGGACGCAGCGCACCAGGTGAAATCAAATCTTTTCTCATCAGCAACCGCATCCACTATATACCAGAATGTGAAGAAATTTGTCTAGCGTGGTCCCTTTCTCAGAATGCTTAGCTGTATGGACGCTATGTAGAATATGCAAGATGAGGTAATTCGTGGGGCAATGAGGGGCAGCTACACCTCGAATTCAACCCTCAATTCTGGACATTCGAAGTCCAAATCATTCGTATATAAGTCATTATGCCACAACCAACTACTCGCGAGGAAGTCCTGGCCCGACTTCGCAAGACCGTCGACGATGGCTCCATCATTGTTGGAGCTGGTGCAGGTATCCACCAAGCAACCGACCACGAGATTCAAAGTCTAACCCTCAAACCCCAGGGATCGGCCTGTCAGCCAAAGCCGTTGAACAAGGCGGCGCTGATCTGATTCTGATCTACAACTCGGGACGATTCCGCATGGCAGGACGCGGTTCTTTAGCCGGTCTGATGCCATACTCGGATGCTAATAAAGTTGTTGTCGAGATGGTATGTTACAACCAACCCAGCCTCAGTGATCAGAGTCTACAACTAACAAAACAACCCAGGCCAGCGAGGTCCTTCCAGTGGTGGAGCATACGCCCGTCCTCGCCGGCGTCTGCGGCACCGACCCCTTCCGCTCAATGCCCCAATTCCTCACCGAATTACAGCGCATTGGCTTCGTCGGCGTACAGAACTTCCCCACAGTGGGCCTCATCGATGGCCAATTTCGATTGAATCTAGAAGAGACGGGGATGGGCTACGACAAGGAGGTGGAGATGATCGCGACCGCGCACCAACTCGGCCTGGTCACCACGCCGTACGTGTTCAACGCCGAGGACGCAGTCAAGATGGCGCGAGCGGGTGCCGATGTGGTAGTCGCCCACGCGGGCCTGACTACCTCTGGTGCGATCGGGGCCCTGAGCGGACGCTCACTAGAGGATTGTGTGGGGTTTGTGCAGGAGATCCGCGATGCGGCGGCTGGAGTTAACCCCGAGATTCTGGTCTTGTGTCATGGCGGACCCATTGCGCGCCCAGCAGATGCAGAGTATGTGCTTTCGCGGACCCAGGGCGTGCATGGGTTCTTTGGAGCGAGTAGTATGGAGCGATTGCCGGTGGAGGTTGCCATCAAGGAGAACGCGGCGGAATTCAAGAAGTTGAGAGTGTCGGGCCGAAGTAATTAGCCGTTGCCCCGGTCCGTCCCAATCGGGCAATTTCCCTCCGCAGTTTCCCCATACCTTTCGTCTCTCGGCTAAATGCTGTCAATACAAGAAGCTCAACGGTCCCATTCTTTTTCTTTACTCTTCTCTAGTATTCACTTCTGCTTCTGTATAACATCAACATGGCCCGCGTCTTGGAAGGCAAATTCGGCATCGTCACTGGCGGATCGCGGGGTAAAGTGCCCTTCCCCGCATTAGGAAAAGCAGAGACTAACACGCTGGCAGGAATTGGCGAAGCAATTGCTCGCAACCTAGCTGCAAAGGGCTGCAACCTCCTCCTCAACTTCACATCCGAGTCTTCGCGCGCCCCCACCGAAGCACTCTGCTCCTCCCTCACCTCAACCCACGGTATCAAGTGCGAGAGCGTGCAAGCCGATCTCAGCAAGGCCGCCGAAGCAGTGACGCCAATTATTGCAGCCGCCCAGCAACACTTTAGTAAAGATGGCAAGCTCCAGATCGACATTCTGGTCAACAACGCCGGTGTCTCATCCGACCGCAACCTAAACGACGCCAACAAGGGCCCCATCGAGGCCGAGCACTTCCACTGGCAGTACTCCATCAACGTCCTGGCCCCACTCCTCCTCACACAGGCCTGCAGTCCCTACCTCCCCACCGATCGCAGTGGCCGCATTGTCAACATCTCCAGTGTTTCATCCTCGCTGGGATTCGTCGGCCAGTCCATTTACGGTGGAACCAAGGCTGCGATTGAGGCTATGACTCGTACCTGGGCTCGTGAGCTTGCGGACCGTGCTACTGTCAATGCAGTCAACCCTGGTCCTGTTATTGGCGATATGTACTTTGCCACTGGAGATCAGTTCTGGAAGGATATCCAGGGATATCAGGATAACACACCGCTGAGCAAGTTGGATCTTAATAATGAGGATACAATGGCTCGCTTGACAGATGAGCAAAAGCGTCTTATTCAGGAGAAGATGGGTGGGCGCAGACCGGCCTTTACTTCTGAGGTTGCTGGTGTTGTTGGCATGCTTTGCACGCCTGATGGACTTTGGTGTACTGGCAGTGTTGTTTGTGCTAATGGTGGTATGAAGATGGGACAATGAGCTAGAATATAAAAGCCCAATTTTCCTACATTTTGATACCATGCTTAGATCAAATTCAAGGCCAAAAACAAGATCTACATAATTCCAAGTCCAAGTTCAAGCGCAAAGACGAGTCAAATCCCAAGTCAACAACATTGTATACAGTGACGCCACTTACCCCACACCGACACCCCTCAGCTTCAACTCTTTACTTCACTCCAACTCCAATCCATTAACACCCCCTGGAGCAACCTATAATCTCCCACGGCAATTCACAATGCCTTCAACTCCAACACCCCCAACAATCCTCCTCCTAGGAACCTGCGACACCAAACTCCCAGAACTGCTCTACACAAAAGCAGCCATAGAATCCCAAACCGACCCAACAACAAACCAACACCTCAAAGTCCACCTTCTAGACATCGGCCGCACCCAAACAGCTCACAGTTCAATAACAACAACCCAACAAGACCTGCTCACCGCAACTCAAACCCAACCCCCAGATACAGATATCTCCACCCTCCCAAGAGCAGAATACATAAAAACCCTAACCCCCCACGCAACAACCTTCACAAAAACCCTCTTCGAAACAGCCTCCATCCACGGCATCCTCGCAATAGGCGGCTCATGCGGCACAGCCCTTGCAAGCGCCGTGATGCGCGACGCACTACCCATCGGATTCCCCAAGATGATGGTCTCGACCATGGCATCCGGTGACGTGGCGCCTTACATCGGCGAAACAGACATCTGTATGATGTACAGTGTCGTCGACATAGCAGGCAGGAACCGGGTTCTCGAGGGCGTGTTGGAGAATACAGCGGGCGGGATTGGGGGCATGGCGGGGCGGTTTTTGCTTCGTTCTACTGGTGACGTTGGGCGAGAGGGGGAGGTGCAAGGGGAGGGGGCTGTTCAAGTTGCTATTTCGATGTTTGGGGTGACGACGCCGGCGGTGACGCGCGCCAGGGAATATTTGGAGTCTGTTTTGGCTGGGTGTGAGGTTTATGTTTTTCATGCTACTGGGTCTGGGGGGAGGGCGATGGAGCGGTTGATTCGGGAAGGGCGTATTGATGCGGTGCTTGATTTGACGACGACGGAGATTGCGGATGAGGTTGTTGGGGGGGTTTTGAGTGCTGGGCCTGAGAGGTTGTGTGCAGCGACTGCGGCGGGCATTCCTCGGGTTGTTAGTGTTGGGGCGTGTGATATGGTGAATTTTGGTGGAATTGGGAGTGTTCCTGCTTCTTTCCGGGGCGAAACGGGGAAGGGGAGGCTGTTTCATGAGCATAATGAGACTGTTACGCTGATGCGGACTACGAAGGAGGAATGTGTTCAGATTGGAAAGGTGATTGCGCGAAATTTGATGGGGAAGGGGACTGGTAAGACGAAGGTGGTCTTGCCGGTTGGGGGTGTGAGTATGATTGATGTGCCTGGGGGGCCCTTTTGGGATCCCGAGGTTGATGAGGTTTTGTTTTCGACGTTGGAGGATGAGTTGAAGGGGAGCGGGATTGAGGTGGTGAGAGATTCTCGCGCGATCAATGATCCTGGGTTTGCGGTTCTCGCTGCGGATGCGTTGGTCAAGTTGATTCGAGAGTAGATTTACTTCCTACGAGAAACATACAGCTTTACAACGTACTGCACAATAAATATTGACGCATAGCTTCGATTGTTGAAGGTCTACACAGTCACAATCGGCCCATGGAGGCCCACACAGAATAAGGTATCAAGGTTCAAATCCCACCGTACGCAGTGTTGAATGCAAGACCATCCCAGGTCATCCCACGCCAAAACAAAACATTAGAAAACACACCACCGGTGCAGGCCACTTTTTATGCCGTTGAAGGACAACCACTTTTGAGTTCTAAGTTGATAGAGAACTCGAATGCCAATCATAACATCGTCGAATCATGTTGAAAGTCTATATCCCAAGAAACTCATTGAATATCGAACGCAATTGGAAAAGAGAGAGGGATTAATAGCTTAGTAGCGGTAGATCTCGCTCTTGAAGGGACCCTCGGTGTCGAGGGAGAGGTACTCAGCCTGGACGGGGGTGAGCTTGGTGAGCTTGGCGTTGACGTGGGCCAAGTGGCAACGAGCGACCTGCTCGTCGAGCTGCTTGGGCAGAACGTAGACGCCAATGGGCTTGCGGCCGCCGGCACCGAACTCGATGTACTTGCTGCCGAACTGGGCATCCTCGGCCTTGAACAGAGCAATCTGGGCAAGGACCTGGTTGGAGAAGGAGCAAGACATGACGAAGGAAGAGTGGCCGGTGGCACAGCCGAGGTTGACAAGACGACCCTCAGCGAGGAGGATGATGTTCTTGCCGTTCAGCTGGTAGCGGTCAACCTGGGGCTTGATGTTCTGGACGGACTGAGCGTTGGCCTTGAGCCAGGCAACGTCGATCTCAATATCGAAGTGACCAATGTTGCAGACAATGGCGTCATTGCGCATGGCCTCGAAGTGAGAGCCGACGAGGATGTCACGGCAGCCAGTGGTGGTGACGAAGATCTGACCGATGGGGGCAGCAGCCTCCATGGTGTCAACCTCGAAACCCTGGACGGCAGCCTGGAGGGCGTTGATGGGGTCGACCTCGGTGACAATGACACGGGCACCCATGGAGTGGAGAGCCTGGGCACAACCCTTACCGACATCACCGTATCCGGCGACGACAGCAATCTTACCAGCGATCATGACATCGGTGGCACGCTTGATACCGTCGATGAGGGACTCACGGCAACCGTAAAGGTTGTCGAACTTGGACTTGGTGACACAGTCGTTAACGTTGATGGCGGGAACCTTGAGCTTGTTCTCCTTGAGCATCTTGTAGAGGTGGTGGACACCGGTGGTGGTCTCCTCGGAGACACCGAAGCAGTCCTCGAGCATCTCGGGGTACTTGGTGTGGACGAGGGAGGTGAGGTCACCACCGTCATCGAGGATGAGGTTCAGCTTCTTGCCATCCTTGAAGGCCTGGAGCTGCTGGTCGAGACACCACTGGTACTCCTCCTCAGTCTCACCCTTCCAGGCGAAGCTGCAGACAAAAAAGCGGTCAGCGGAGGGGTCCACAAAAGTAAAAACTGGCACCATTGAACTTACACAGGGACACCAGCGGCAGCAATGGCGGCAGCGGCGTGGTCCTGGGTGGAGAAGATGTTGCAGGAAGTCCAGGTAACCTCAGCACCGAGGTGGGTGAGGGTCTCGATGAGAACGGCAGTCTGGATGGCTGGAATATTGTCAGGAAAAGGCTCAATGTTTTTGTGACAGATCACATACTCATGTGAAGACAACCAGCAATGCGGGCACCAGCGAGGGGCTGGTCAGCACCGTACTTCTCACGGATGGCCATGAGACCGGGCATCTCAACCTCGGAGAGCTCGATCTCGCGGCGACCGAAGGCGGCGAGAGACTGTCAAAAGAGGTCAATGATTGGAAAATGTGGATAGTGGATTGAGAGGACGTACGAGGTCAGCGACCTTGAACTTTTGTGCGGGGGCAGCCATTATGAAGATATGTAAAGAACTGAAGAATGTCAGTGAGGAACAAGCCGCTTTATATAGGATGAACGAACCAAGAAGAAGGGTATGGAGGGAATGGATGGAGGAAAGAGGAAGAGTGGGAGAAGAAAAGGAGGGAGGGGAAAACTCTCCGCTAGTGAAGGATCGCCAAGGCAAGTACTGGTACAGAGTGTGTGGTACAATTAAACTAGCACGTGCAGGTACCAGTACCTCTCAGGATCCGTGGTGGGCTGACTGATAGCGGGGGTCCCCCGCTGAGTCATCCTGTTATCGGCAGCTGCTGAGTCCAATCACCTGCCGGACTCTGACCAGCTCGACCTCCTACATCCCACAGTGCATATGAGATGTGCATGATTTCAATAGTTTACAAGGTCCCAACGGGACCAACAGGGAAAGTGTTGGTGTGACAATGGTTGAAATTGGAGGCACAGTACAGGCAATCAAGTGGAGCTGTGATCGTCACAAACGCTGAAAGAATTGACCGATCAGACTAATCTAGCCCCGAGAAACACGAAGAACAAATTAAATTGAATAATGGCATGGTCTCATCAATCATGAAGGGGGAAATCATAAATCAAACAAAAAATTTTCCAGGAATAAGGAATGGCAGACTAATAAGAAATCTGCGGAGCCTCCGTCACCCCATAAGGATTGTCATCATGATAAACAGGTGTTCGACCGTGCAGGTCGTTGGTCGATGGGGCAGACTCAATCTCATCAGGCCAGCGGCTCTTTCGGTGAGAACCACCGCCTTGACTGCGAGTGCGACGCATCTCACGCTTGACACGACGGTGGGCACACTCATCCTGGAAAGTATGATTCTCCTTCCGCTTCTCGTTGACTTCCTTCCATTCACCATAAGCGCCCTTGATACCGAGGGCAGCAAGTCCAAGGCTAACAGCATCCAGAGAGTTAGCTTTGATGCGGCGTTTGCGGGCCTCCTCAGGTGTGATCTCTCCCTCCTTCAACTGTTGCATGCGCTTCTTCCGCTTCTCCATACTACCGTACAGACCATGGGCAGCATGGATGGTAGCCACACTGGCCAAGCCTGAGGTCAATAGCATATCCCTCTTCAACTTCTTGCGTTGCTTCTTCTCATCAGAACTGTCGCCTAGGTCAGAATCACTCTCGGAGCTTGAGCGTCGGCCGCGATCGTTAGATCGGGCTTCATTCTCGCCGCGCGGTGCGCTAAGGGGTGCATAAGGGGGATTTCTTCCGTCAAGAGAACGGTATCGACCTACATCTCTCGAGCCTCTGCCCCGTCTCGAGTCCCGGCTGTAATAATCGCTGTCACCATCTGAATCGGAATAGTCGTCGTGCCGGTCGCGACGATGACGCCGCTCCCTGTTATCTCTGTGGTCCCGATGGGTGTCTCTTTCTCTTCTGTCTCGGCTGCCTCGGCTGCGCTCTTGTTCTCCAAGGCCAAGTGCGGCCATTCCCTTGCTGATGTATTCCGAAACACTCTTGCTGCGCTTGTGGGAGCCACGCTCATCATCACTGTGGGAATCAGCCCGGCCACGAGGACGAGACCGAGATCGAGAGAATCGATCAAAGACTTCTTTTCCAGCAGCAGCAATGGCGCCACTCGCAGCGAGGTTCTTCAGACCACTACCCGAGCCATGACTGTTTCGACCGCGGGAGCGGGAGCGTGATCCGCCGCCAACGAAATGACTAGCAGCAAGACCAGCAAGGGTAGATTCAACCACATGGCGAGTGCCGTGCTTGTTGGGGTCCTTATCGACAAGACCATCAGTGCCACCGGCAGCGACAGCAGCAGTAAGGATACGCTTTCCCTTTGCACCAGCCCACTCGCCGGGCTCTTTGCGCTGTTTGAAGGCTTCGATAGCACCGGCAGTCAACGCAGCACGAGCAGCCTGCGCGATACGCTGTTCACTGCGATCCCGTCCACCGCGGCCACTGCCACGATGGCGACTGCGGCTGCGTGAATCAGACGGCGATCGAGAATAGGACCTGTTGCGATGACGGGACTTGGAACGTCCACGACTACCAGAAGCAGCAGCACCGCCGAGGCCTAGTGCGCCAAGGGCCTGCTCGCTGAAAGACTTGCGACGGCTGTGACGGGGCGGAGAGCGACTTGGAGAAGAATCAGATTCGTACTTGGAGCGACGAGAGCCTTGTCAGACAGTCAGCAAAATGGTTCCCAGATGCACGTCCGCTTGGAGACTTACGTTTGTCCTCATAATGTCTAGAGCGACGAGGACGAGACGAGCGAGAGTAAGCATCATCGTAGTGAGGACCGTAACCGCTGACGGAGGACGCCCGTCGCACGTTTTCATGGACGGGACGCGAAGTCCTGGGCCGTCGGGAAGTGTAAGCGCGCTCGTAGACATAGTCCGAGTCTGGGGGGTAGTCGCGCTGCACTTCCTCGATGGAGTCATCGCTGACTCGACGGCTGTACTCGCGATCGTTCCTTGCATAACGACCCCTCGGATCATCGTACGGATCAGCGTAGGTGGCTGGGCGGCTGTAGCGGTCGCGCGGTGCGTATCGGCGATCCTCATAGTACGCCATGGGTACGGCAGACGATGAAAAGGAACGACAAAATGAAAATCAAAAGAGTTGGCGAAAGATGTGAGCTGCTACTGCTCACTAGGAATATGGTGAAGAGAGAAGAGACTGGATTAGGGTGTAGGGCTAAGAGATATTGGCGGGGCAGGTGGTGTGACGTCGATTCAGATGGGCGATTTTTTGGGGCTGGAGGACTTGGCAGTGGCTGAGAGTTATAGATGTGTAGATGGGCTTTGGTTCACAGATGAGAAAGTACGAAGTACAAAAGATGAAGTAGCTTATTAGATTATATATAAGTATTGTTTCAATATGACGTGTGTGGTTTGCTGTCAGGAGTGGTGGAATGTTCGAAGGAAATGCTTGTCCCATCGAATGAGCTTCACGACTGCGTTTCACATATTGACCCCGACGTCATCTCGCATTCGGTAAAGATCAGGGAATTTGACAGCACTCCACGTTGATTGTGACTGACCGCTCCGAGGATGAGAGTAGGCAAGGAGTTTTTGAGTCTTCAGGTTTGAGGGTTATACTTGAAAGTAAACATTGGTTCCACGGGTCAGGCGGGCATTGGGGGGGGGGGGGGGGGGGGGGGGTTCAGGCACCAAGGCACTAAGGCAAACAGGCATCCACTTTCATAGCCCATAGAACCATCTCCACTATGGATTGCATACTTAAGCTTATCCTAAAAATACTTTAAGCCTAGAACCTAACAAGAATCCAACTTTTCCATGCTCTTTCTCCATGCTGATCTATGTCAAAGGTGCCCAGCGTAGTACGCATTCCCCAGGACCCCAGTGGCTTACAATCAGACCAACACGAAATCAAGGATATCATCTAGTACAGCCGGAACAGGTTACACACATATCATTCGATTCATGGGAATCCTAGCTAGGATGGTACAAGTGACGCTGGAGCACCGAGTCCAGAAAGGCAAATTTCAACACATCACACATAACGTTAACAACAAGCAGAACATGGTACAGGAGGGATATAAAACAGGTAGACAATGTGCCCAAAGGAAAAGGACAAAAAGGTAAATGATAAATGGTAAATGGTAAAGAAACACACAAAAATAGAAAGATAGAAGAAACATAAGAATTCAAAACATGTGTTGTAACCCGAGACGTTTCGTCGGATATTTTGAAACGTCCGGTGGTGGGTCATGCAGATGATCGCTAGTGCTGAAAATGCATGTTCGAGAGCCCTGAATGGAAATTTTGTAGACAGGAAATTGCCTGCACACTGCTCTGCAGTCAGGCACAAGGAACTGTCTCTGTCGGATAAAAAATTGGTCGTATAAGAGAGATGAGGAGGTTTGAGGGGGTGGTCGGTAGTAAAAAGAAATGGATATAGACCTATGAAGGCGCATGCGTTGAAGGACCGGCAGGAGGCCTCGTAACAGCCTCCATGGGTTGACTGAGATTCCGCTGGTGTGAAGCCGAAGCAAATGTCGAATCAGGACGAGGCATAGCCCAGCGAGCATCATTTTCCGGTTCGGAAGTAGAACGCATTTCATCCGAATGCGTGCGGTGGGTGCGAATGTGCTGCTTCATATTGTCTTTCCGAGTAAACGCCTTGTTGCAAATGGGGCAATGAACGCTCTTTTCACCGGTATGCTTCTTGCCATGGCGGGCTGCATGGCCGGAGGTGGTGAAAGTAGCAACACAGCCGTGACTAGCGGCGTAGGGGCATGGATACTTGTTCTTTCGGCCTGTACCGCGACCCGCTCCAGGCTGGGAAGAGGTCGTTTCTGAAGTACTGGAGCGCGTTTCGGGCGGCGTCCGAGGAGCTGCTGGTCCGCGCGTTGGGAAACGGTAGGGTTCCCGTCGCGGATCCTGCCGGGCATACGGGTGATAAGCTGAAGGTTGACTGGTGATGTAGTCGTAGGCGGAGCCGTCGGACGAGCCTGGCGAGACAGGCTGGACAGCTTCGTTCACTGGGGCAAACGGGAGTCGTGTGCCTCGCGGTGAGGCTGCTGGTGATTCGGATGCAGCATGGGGACGGGCGTGCTGGTCGCTGACGGGCGCGGGTCGCTGCTCTAGATAGTAGGATGGTGAAGTCTGAGTCCGACTGAGTCGGGGTGCGGAGCGGACCGCAAAAGACGGGTTATCGTCATTGTTGAGAATGGACACAATACTCGTCCGGCAGCTGGACATCTCCTCTAGGCCCCGATATGCGGTCAACGGGGCTGAAAAGCTATACTAAAAGGCACAATGGGTTAGTTTAAATGATTGGACAACCGGCTCTGCCGGGCTCTGGAGGCTCGACAGAATTCGAGAGATCACAGATCTTAAGACAGAGAAAAGGGAGGAGAGAAAGAGTATCTCCCCGTCTCGACAGCAAACGCACCAGCGGCTCTCGAAAGATGTTTGTCCTCTCGGTCGTGTAACACGTCGACAACATTAGACCCTAAATCGGCAGTCGCCTACAGACCTAAGCAGAAGCCCGGTGACTCGAGTAAAAGCCGGGTTCCGAGTTGCCACTGGCGAAGTATAGGTGGTTGATAGAGTAGTCGGAATGGTCTGGCAAATGGGTAGATCTGACAATCTCCGGTGAATCTCCCTTTGCTTGGCTTTTCTTGTAAAGTTGTAATTGCTGTGGGGAACACAATCCTCAACGGCAGTTGCAAACTGGGCTGGGGATGTTGCAGAAGACGTCCGGTTGTCAACCCGGGTAAGAGGCAATAGTTCAGGAGGAAAGGGAAAGGCGCTCTGCGCGTTGATCAAAAGACGAGATAAGGAGGGGAAAGTAGAAAAGTAGGGTTCACGGTGGGAAGAAAGCAGAGAAGGATCAAAAGGCCAGAAATGAGAGAAAGAAAAGAGACCAAGCATATGGTTATCAGAACTAATTATACTAAACGCGAAAGAAGCCAAGCTCCAGGGTCTGGCGAGGCTCCATAGTGGAGCAAAGCACATATTATAGGCAGACATATATAATACGGGACCCCTAATCCACCCTGTGCAGACCCGTTTTGTTACTCCGTTTCTTCCGGCCCGCGACACTGGCGGAGTCGATCTTTTTTTCTTTTCTTTTTTCCTTTTTCTCTTTTTTTGTACTGTACTCCGTAGTTGTTCGTTAATTCCGAGTGAGACTAGGGCTTCGGTTGGTGGAAGCGAAACGAATGATCCACCATCGGCAGAACTACGGGCTGAATTCTCCTGGGACGGACAAGCTTTTAGCCCCATTACAGATTCCTATGCGTAGGCGTCAACAACAGAAAAGAGATGATCGGTCCGAATGCAAATCAATAGAATCAAATGGAGCAGAGTCAAATCCAGTCACCGTCACCGAGATAACCCTAAATCTACGTAAGTGATGATGTTAGTCTCCAATTTGGGAATGGACCTCCGGCTCGGACATTCCAGGACGGATCCGTAACGTATTGTCACGGTTTTAGCTTGTATTTAGCGCCCTATGGCGATCTCGCCTTACGACTCGGTGAAGAGTGGAAGATGATTCCCCGTTTTCTCTCTAGAAAGGGTACTCTCAGCCGAGTATGAAAATCCTCACCGGTCTGCAGCCCTGAATCACATGCATGTTGAGAAGGATGGATTGACCTCGACATGACATCTACACACGATAACCTAATCTCCAAGATCGTCAACGTTATAAGATATTGGCTCGTGCTACACTTCGTACTCGTACGCGTCCAGCGCCCGCCCCGCCCCGAAAACCCATTTGCGCGGGGGCTCTCCGCTGAGGGTACGTAAGAGGGTAACGTGAGAATACTACGACTGTCGAGAGGCACAAAAGGATTTGTCGGGCTAGTTACGAAGCCAGGTTATGCTAGTCGAATTTCCAGTATGAACGGAGCATGGACTAACGTGATTTGGAGATCAACAGGAAGTGCTCGTGGTATTACGTGTATGTATACTCGTATTGCTCTGAATCATGGAGATCAGGCCAAGCTTCAACGCGATCTGGAACATGCCCGAGAAAGATGTGGTTCGTGGCAGAACGCGGACCGTTTTGGGGCTTCTTGAGCCGATGATTTGTCTAAGCTCGATCTTAGACGGGGCATACGTATGCAGCCTACGTATCTCCGTAGTTTGGCGCTGTCTAGTCCTTCTCCAGCAAATACACTTCCGTACTTGCCTGGGCTAGTGTTTTAGCGCTCGAATCAACCCTACTCATTCTACCTCCCAACTTACGCCACAAGCTTGACTCGTCAGGGCCCTGTACCCGGCTTACGTCCCTGCAAGGACCCTTGACCCTTTTCGTGTTCTTTTTTTGCCTTTCTTTTTTTTTTTTCCATTTCTTTTTCCACATCTTTCGTATTGCTTACCCCTCAAGACGCAGGGACTCGTGGCCACTCCCCTCCGCTTACTAGGTCGGGACTAGCTGGGCGTCAGCTACCTGTGTAGCTTCGCTCTAATCACCGTTCCCGCTTAGCGGCATGGAGACCCTAATTTACTACTGCACCCGCCACTTTCTGCCCACGCGGCCTTTTTATCTGCGTGGCTTGAACCCGGATTCTCGGCGCATCCATCTCGGCGATTTATTTAGCAATTTGCTCGTGGCTAATCAAAATAGTCGTTCAATAGTTTCGGTCTTACCCTCCAAGTCTGGAGTATAAGCCCATATCTTTGACAGCTCCACCGGGAACAGGCTATCAGGAAAACAATCATCATGATGCAACTAGCTTTCCCCCGAGGTCATCAATGCATATCTTATTTCCGAATCATCCGATAACAAGGAAACAAAAAAAAAAAAAAAAGGGAAAACTCACTCCCTCACCTTCATCCCCACCCAGTCCCCGCACACCATCAACCTTCAACCTCTCAGTACTGTACATACACAGCCACAGCCCCAGTCTTCGCCATCCTGCTGCCTGATTTCCAGAAGTCGAAGCTATCAATGCTCATAATCGCATCGGGTTCGGCACTTATGCAAGTCCATAGAGACGATCCGGCAGATACCCTTCCGACAATTTATTTATCTTCTAGACCGTGGGGCCCTCGCTTCGCCCAAGACGCAGAATCCAGATCGGAGGCCCCATCCCACTAAGACCCCTGTGGCTCATGTCTGACTTTCGCACTATTGATCTATTTTAAATCCGAGGACCGAGGGGGTTCTTTGCTGTCCACCGGGACCAGAACACTGCGAGATGGAATGATCAGTTACCGCAAGTGATGGTCACTGTAATACTGCGTAGTCCAAGTGCACATCCCTTAACGCCGAGAAACTAAAAAAATAAACCTTGGAACGGGGTCGGTGACTAAGCGGGGAGACCGACGCCGAGCTGAGTCATCCCACGTGCAGTCCCTGCAATTCCTTCAGGGCTTGGGAAGCGATGGGTTTGATGCCCCAAGATCCCTTAAGCATATTTGGACGCTGAGGTTCGCCTTGCCAATCCACAATCCACCCGGACCCGAGACCGAGTATCGGCGAATCCTCGCAAATAATCCATATGTCAAGTAAAGAGGCAAGTCATGCATACTCTATTCCAGATTCCAGATTCCAGCCCTACTTTCCGACAAGCACGTACCAAAGCCACACATTCAACATAGCCAGTAGAGAAAAATCAAAATCATTACAACCCCCAGTTATCAAAGTTTCCCACTTGCATATCATATCCCAGTTACCGTACTCCGTACACCTTCGTTATCGCTTCCATAGTGGAGCACGAAGATTGACCGCATTTTTCATTGCCTTTTTTCATTTTTATTTTTTCTGTTTTGTCCTGATTTGGTCTTGGTTTTCGTCTTTTCTCTTTTCTATTTTCTGTTTTCTGGGTATTTTTTGCACACAATCGCTAACCATAACGTTGCGGACCCGACTCTCTCTTTCTCTCTTCCCCACCAATTTATCAATTATCGATTATCGATACGAGATGGAAATGTATCAGCTCACACCCACATTGGATATCCATGTCCACATAGTACGTACTTTCCCCATTCTGTTCGGACCCATTCTCGAGGGGTTTGGCGACCTACTCGATTTGGCAAAGGGTGCATCGGACAGCGAACAACCGACGAAAGGAGGCCAAGGGGCAGAGTGGGTGTAGTTGTACCCTTACAGATAGGGTACGATATAGGGTGAACTTACATCCAAAATAGTGTTAGAGCACGTGGCTGTAAAGGCAGAGGCGTCGACGAGTACGCAACATCCAAGCAGAAAAGTAGCCTCAGACCCGTCCACGAACAGATTTTAGATTTAGGGTAGTCGACGTACCCATGGATCACCCCTTAGTCCAGGGCTCGGGCTCGGGCTTGGGTTTGGGCTTGGACAATGGGTCGATCCCGTGGACAGGCAACATGATACTGTACGGACGGTAGCTGTCCAGTACTGTTCATGCCTCGGACGTGGCCAATGCGAGCGATGACAACGGAATGCAATGCAATGCAATGGCCCGACCACACCTATTACTCATACTGTACTCCTCTTGATCAGACCCGGACCCCTCCAGAGTAGGGTAGCGTATGTAGTGTACGTATGCGTAGACCCCCGTTTTAGCTCGACAAGAATAACCACAGCTCCGTTTCAGCCGGCCCCCCCCCCCCTCTTCCTCTCCTCCCCTCTCCATTCTTTCAATAGATCGGTATTCGTATTAGTGCCGGTTTCGGCTCGCAAGGTTCCGTTCATTCATTTATATACTGAACTGTACTGTCAGCTGGAGGAAACGTATGCATGTACATGTAAGTTGACGTGATGTATTTTGTACTAAGTGGACAATTAGAGGCTTCGGCGCCAATTTTGTCGGCCTTGCTTGCCTACTTCGATCTTTGTTACGACTTTAGGTATAGTAAATGTAAATAGATCTTGATAAGGAGTAAAAATACTCTGGAGCTAATTGCACCAGCAGGCGGGCGTAACGCACCCTGTCCGTTAGCGTCCCCAGATTTCAAGAGGCTGCGTAAGCGAAAACGTCATGCCGGTGGATGGGATGTCGATGCCCCGTATTATGTGTGCTTTGTTGCCTGCCAAGAGGGTCGGAAGTTATTTTGTTCAACTGATAGGCTAACCCCTGCATTAGCTGTGGAGAGGAGGCGCGAGTTTGAGGGGCTTGAGGGGTTGGTTTGACGCGAATGCGAGGCCCTGGATGCAGGGTTGGGGGTTGAAATTTTTTTTCGGATCTTGAGGGTAAGGTGAGGGTTGGATTGGGAGGGTCAGATTTGCCAAGAGTCTTGGGAGATGGTCGTGTGGTCGAGATTGGTTGTAATGAAGACTATTGTCTGCATATTCTGGAGGCGTTGAGCCCTGCACGATTCCAGTCTCAAGCTTTTCACTCCCGCTGCTTGACGATCAAGCGTGAATATCTTGCCGCTAGCTTGATCAGTCTGCGAACAGGTCATGGCTTGCCGCTGATGAGAAGCGATAGCCTCGTATGGTGTGCTATAGGGTTTCTTTCGTCTGATACCTTGGTCCCATCAACCGAGTCCCAAACATATCAATGCGGAGGTGAGATCGTGGATTGTAGAAGCACTAGGGCTTCTGGCACGTCTTCCGATAAATCGCCAGGGAAGTGGACAACGAGCCACAACAGGCTGAACTTTTGCAATGATTGCGAAGGAAGTGTCATCTCAGTTGCTGGGAGTGGTTTCTGAAATGAAGCCGCATGTTTCGGCACGGTGAACTAGCGAGCATCAACTGGCCTTTCCTCTGACACTCACTCGGTATGTCCACCTTCTGTACTCGGTCTCAGAATCCGAAATATCGACCACTGATGACTGACAAAAAGAACTAACCTTAGAATAGGACTGACCATCTAGCACCATTGTCATGGTTTCTCAACAGCACCAGTTCAGACCTAGAGCCGACGAAGAATCGATTAAACACCCTGTACAGCTGCCGAGCTGGCTTTATCAACAAGCCCCGACCATTTCATCATTTTGATTTTGGCTTGGACCAGGATTATTCTGACACCATCATGTCTCTATCGTGACATGAATCGGATAATGGCAATGGATCAATCTCCACATGCAAATACACGGCATACACTGTTTCCGAACTGAGATCTCGGCTGATGTCCACACGCGAACAAACAAGAATTATAAGAGAGCGGGCTTAGAGGTAGGTTCAGTTCAGTGAGTGGTGTTCCCATCAGCAGTCACGGAGTGAGTTTGGCCCATGCTTTTTGGTAAAGACGAAGGGCAGGTGTCGGATTTGTCGTCCGACGATAACATTCTGTAGATATCAAGTTTGAAAATTATGCTCTTAAGTGAAATGAGAAAGTTGCTGTGAAACGTCTAGGATTGGCCCCTCGCGCCCTCACCTGGTCCTCACAGTATCGAAGCAACATACTCATGCCAACCAACAACGCAAAGCAGGTCTGTATAATAGGCTCGGCAGGGTAGCGCTCCGGTCCAGTATGCGATGAGCGCTGACAACGCAAGTTGCGCTACGATGGCCAACAACCTCAGTGCAGGATCTGATAGCAAATGGGTGTAAAGTAACACATCGCGGAGTTCGAGGTCCCAAGAACCGCTATTTGAAGGCTTTGAACAATCGCCTCGTATATCTCGAGGCAATGTTGGAACGTCACTTGCCAGGTCAGCAGTTTCGAAGGGATCTTCAGGGATCTCAAGGCAGCCGCAACCTAATACCTCCGGCTTTGTTTGGTGCTTTTGCGCCTGTTGAAGCTCATGTTGCTAATGAATGGCAACAAGAAAGGCATATTCTTCCCAATCAGGGCGTCGGGGGCTGTTTGATGGGCCTACCTCGGATAGGGTTTCTTCCTCCGTTGAATTGTCGACGGCGCCATGTGCTCAGTTGCCGCTAGATGACTCGGTGCATGAGGAATTGTAAATAAACATCTCGGACCCCCTCACTCTTCGTATTGTCTGTTAGGCAAAAATGCAGAATATATCCATAACAAGTCCTCTCAGAGACCAACTCGACTTGGATCGTGTACACCAGTCAATCAAAATTATTTAACAGCGACAACAATTACCCTGGATACTGTAGTTTGCAACATTTTCATATCCTGGATCTGGGTTTCAGTCACCTCGTCGCGGCTTTTACGCCCTCCGTTTATGATTTGAGGTTTTCTGCCTTAGGGGCACTTTATTTTCTATTCTTGCTATGAGTCATTTTCATGAGAGTCGGGAGGCTGCTGCGTTGTTGGGGGGTTCAGGGTGATTCTTTGGTGCTTGCGGGGTGGTTGAATCTCTTGTGTTTGGGTTGACGGAGGGTGGGAATTAGGTTGGTGTGACTGATGAGTTTATCTTCTTTAGCATGGTTGATGTTCTCTGTGTTCGTGTTTCGGGGTTTGCTGTTTTATTCTTTGCGAGGCAGTGGGATGTTCGAAAGTTGAACGTTGCGCTCAGTCACGTTCGTCCCAGCCGAGAGAGGGGTTGAATGGATGACCTTGGGCACTGGGAAGTGCCTCGATTATCTAAGAATTCTGCGACTGTCTGATTGTTGATTTGGTAAAGTTGCTGTAATGCGGAAGGAGTCTGCGAATGTTATCAGTTGCGCTAACTTGTCCCCGCTCGCGCATGGAAAGAGTCTGCGAAGTGTCTTATGGCATATCTCGGAGGAATTAGTTATAAGAACCAGGTTGTTCCTGATATTATTGATCTTTATTTTATTTTGACTCCGTGACCCTGCCAATTTCTAGAGCCCAATTCACACAATGCGCCTGGTTACTTCGACTCTATACTCGTCGCTCCTCTACGGAGCTTTGGCTCTCAATGTGGGCCCAGAATATAGCCATCCAATTGAAGGTCAGTTCCGAAAGACCCGAAGAGCATTCAAAACTAACTAATCAATAGACCTCGACGTCGATCTTCCATTTTCTCAACCGGTCACCTTTGCCCATCTAGAATGGCAGAGATGTCTCGCAGCCTCACATAACAAGGTAACTCACCCATCTACGTACCAATAGTATAAAGAGCTATTCTAACCCAATTACCAGCCTCTCGACATCGCTGTCCTCGGCTTCCCCTACGACACTTCAACCTCATATCGCCCAGGCGCCCGGTTCGGCCCACGAGGCATCCGCGCAGGATCCGCACGAGAGAAGAAAGGCCGCAGCTACAATACTGTTTATGGCGTGGATCCCTACGATGAGGGCTTGGAGATTGTCAGTGCTAACATATATTCCGGAATCCCAAATACGCTAACCCACTTTTCAGATCGATTGTGGCGATATCCCCATTACGCCCTTTGATGCCGCCCATGCCTTCAAGCAGATGGAGCAGGGGTACAGACAAGTGCTTTATCACCCGACTTCGGAGGGCAATTCTTGGGAACACCCTCGTATTGTGAGTTTGGGAGGTGATCACTCTATTGTTCTGCCGATTTTGCGATCCTTGAAAACGGTTTATGGGCCGATCTCGGTGATTCATCTTGATTCGCATCTTGATACGTACGTTCTTTGATCTGCTTTTGGGGAACGGAGTTTGGCTGACAGGCTTGCTTGTAGCTGGGATCCTTATGAGGGTTATACTGGTATTGCGTCGAATCAGTCGGCGATTACTCATGGTACTTTCTTCTGGCATGCTAGTCGAGAGGGCTGTATTAGCAAGGGGACTAGTGTTCATGGTGGATTGAGAACGAAGCTTTTTGTGAGTTTGATTCTTTGATTTGTTTGGGCTTTGCTTTTCTGACAGACTCGGTCGATGTTTCAGGGCCCTAAAGATTACGAAATTGATCAGAACGTCGGGTTTACAATCATTGAGGCTCATGAGATCGACGACATTGGCATGTCGGGCATCATTGAGAAGGTTCGCAATACTGTGAAGGATACGCCTACTTATCTTTCTATTGATATTGATGGTGAGGTTTATCTTAAATTCTGACTTGATTGCTTCGGGGCTAACACATTCCATCAGTCCTCGATCCGAGCATCGCCCCTGCTACAGGAACCCCAGAATCTGGCGGCTGGACCACCCGCGAATTGAAAAGATTCATCAAAGGTCTCGAGGGTGTGAACCTAGTCGGTGCTGACGTTGTCGAAGTCAGTCCACCGTACGACACTGTCGCCGAAACGACATCTGTTGCCGCCGCAGATCTGATTGTCGATATCCTTGCATCGATGGTCAAAGTGAAGGAAGGACCCTTGGCGAAGACAACAAAGGACGAGCTGTAAAGATTTCCCAAGCCTTGATTTGAAAGCCAAAGACAGCAAGCGAACTAAAGAAGTACCATTACATACAAATGAAACCATGATAGCCCTCATATTGGCAAGACCAATTTCCCAGATTGTTTCAACGCATCTCTCCAACCAAGCACATTCGGATCTGCATCCATGATTGCCCAGATTTCGAGAATGACCTTCCACTGTCTCTTAAAGTTGCCCATCGAGTATCCCTGTATCCGCTCCCACCATTCCACCCAAGGCACTCGGTCGGTTGCTTCGCATGCAGCAATAAAAGCAGGCCAAGACATGGGCGCTGCTCGTTTTTCGCCACCGAGATATTCATCTTTCAAGTCCTCGGCAAGAGTGAGATTCTCCAAAACCACGTTGACACGTCTTTGCATGCTAGCCGCGCCGCAATTTTCGATTGTCTGGTAGCAGAATATCGTAATTGCGCTGTGAAATGCGCGAGCTTGGCATCGCACTATCTCGAACATGGTCTGCTCATTGGATTTCAGCAGGTAGGATGACTCGGATTCAATGTCCCACTGGGCGATTTGGTCGCGCAGGGTGATGCAGGCTTCTTGTAATATGGGTGGCACTTTCTTTCCCTGATAGAAAGCTAGATATTCCGCTAGTTGGCAAACCTTTTGTAGGAGGTTTCCTAATGTTGGAGTGATGCCATACATATACTCGACGCTTCTGTCGTTATAATCGAAATAAGGAGGTTCGAAGAGTAAAGCGGTGGTTGGCCAGGGTTTGGGTTCTAGTTCGTGTACGGTTGTCCGAGCTAGGAGACTTAAGAAATTGCAAATGGTGTTGACTTGATGATTTGAATCTTCAAATGTCCCTGCGTTCAAATTCGGCGTTTGTAGCTGTTTGCAACCCTTCAAGTGGATTGGGAAATCAGAGTCTTCACCGGTCATTGTCTGTTCAAGGCTGTTAACCCCATAATTTTCAGTATTAAAAGGGATTACCCACGTCAATGGTTACCAAAGATAACATGGCTGTTAGAAATACAGTGTGTTGCTGAGAGTCTTTTGGACTTGTCAGAGCGGCATTGAGCGCCTGGAGAGATTTGGTCCTGTGTTGAAGGCCGAGCTTGTGGTAACTCGCAGAACCACCCTGCATATTCCGTAGATGGAATGCAGCTGATGATAGCAAGCTGTGAAAAAGCGAGATGGAAACTGCTGAGGCAGGCCCCCCATTCTGGGCAAGAAAAAGATCTGGGCACCCTTCGAGTGCGTATGGGAAATATGTTGTTCGCCATGGATTGCGTGGATGAAATACTGGTTGTAGCAAGTCCGCAACATGATTCTTGTAGTGGAACATTAGCATCGATACTTTGGCGTTTCTGAAGAATGGCATTGAAATCTCGAGATGTGGCGAAGGCGTTCTTGGAAGGGTATTTTGTTCCCAGCTTGAACTTGGAATCAATTGATTCTCTTGCATGAGGTCACTCATTTCAAAACCGCTTTCGTTTGGTAGGAAATAGTCATCTTGAGAGATATCTGATATAACTCTGGCAGAGTCATCTGGCTCGAGAGATTCACGATGGCGAGCAGAACTCTCCTGGAGTACCTCTGGGGCAACAGGCACATCACAAGAAGCCTCACCCTTGAAAAATACTGCAAAGGGACCTACTCTCATAGTCTTGGAAGGAAAGAAGATGGTATCAATCTCAGACAACATGCGATTGACCTCGCTTTCTGGAATACTTGGCGAACACGCCTGATCTGCCTAATCTATCAGTCTTGTTCTCATTCGAATGACGTTCCAACTTACCTAGTCCAATCTGCCTGCGTTTGAAACCTTGGGAGTTTTGCTTCTTTCCATATACCCAGCATAAATTAACCCCGTATCCTGCACACTGTAAGCCAGACTTCTGACAGACCCCACATCCGTTCTGTCGGCGCTCATCGCACTTGACCTTTCGAGATCTGCATGTCCAGCACCTGTGTGGGTCAGTCCGATGCTCACATCTAGCTTCGTGGATCTTACCCAGTGAATGTGACCGATTTTGGTTTCTTTTGTGGTCGTGCAGGGGCTTTTCGAGCCGCTTCTACCGGGCTTCTCATGGTTGAGCAATCGTCCCGTCCGGAGATTAGTCCTTCATCAATCCCATGCACTGTGGCTGTAGACAAATACTGAATCATTGATGCCGGGGCTAACAATTATGCGATAAGATTGAGAAAAGGGTTTTAGCGCAGTCAACAGTGCGGGGGTCCAGGAAATGGCCGATACCGAACGAGGATAAGGGCCGGTGGACTCAAACTTGCAAAATATCTTTTCTATGGACTTTTTTGTTCGTCGCTCTATTGGAGTGTTACAAGTTCTTCCCTTGCTAACTAAAGCTCTTTCCAGGGCCACCATAGCTCCTGTCTAAATCAAGCCACACATTAGCATTTTGTATTTCTCCAAGGTTAGGCTTCAAAGAGTAAAAAACGATATTTTAGTAACATTAATAATGGCTTTTCTTATCTTATCGCAGCTAAGGCAGGAGCCAGCGAGTGTCGACGTCACATTCGGCCACTTTACATTAGGGCTGATCGTCTTCTGGTAGAACTTGGAGTGTCAAATGACATTTGCTATTGAGGTAGTATATCCTAGGTAAGATCAAACCAAAAAATCATCAGAAAAGTGCTTCAACATAACCAAGATTGCTTGAGCTCTTATTGAGATACAGCTCAGGGGTTGAGTCATTTCTAATCTTGAAAGAGACAAACGCGCAGAGTGTGAGTCAGCTACATAGAAAAACAGAAGTAAATTAAGTTATCAGACACGCAAAGTGGACTTGATGATCGAGAAGTCGAACTAGATGTTGCGCTGAAGACAATGTGTGTGAGCAGCGCTTGTATCATGGATGGACGCTGGGCTGGCCTAAGCTATCTATGATGGGAAGCGACTTTCTAAGTTGGTCGTGATCAACTTGCATTTTTTAACTTGACTACTACCTCGGGGACTCGTCCGCATGGGGCTTATAGCTTCAATGTGTCTGCATGTCATCGTAGTGCCGAAATGGAGAATTCGATTGGCCCGAGTAGTGACGCGCTTGTTGATATTACTTTCGGGGGTATTTCCTACGATTATGCATTGAGTCGGGGAACTTCCGTTCCTGTGCATAGCTTGAAAGATGAGGCTTTTGCGGGAGATGGTGTGCTGACTGTCAGGGTTTCGGACTCTTCTGCGGTTCTTCTTACTTCGAATTAAAGTTGGTTAATATATTGGAGGCTGAACTGCCCATTCCAGTATTCCATACTTCCATGATCCTCGATGTTGTATTTCGCTAGCTCTCTTCGAGCAATACTGTTTTGGACAGACTATGTTTCGCCCTTTATATGAGTAGATAGGGCTGAAAGACTGAAAAAACGCCTGTAAAAAATGTAACAAATGTAAAGAACCTCCGACCTTAATTTATAGGTTCGGGGGACCGCACAGCTTACCGCGGGTAGGGTTTAATAACATTGGACAAAGCAGAAAGGTCCAGCCCTGATAGAAATGTACTTGTGCAAGAACCCTGAAAGCTCATATGCCGGCCACCGCAAAGGCACCAATCAGCAAACTCACTCATTTCCCCTAAACAGGCTATAGACGCAGCTAACATCGCTAACACCCGCACTGTCCATTTGGCCCCCAACAAATACGACTCAGCCGCAGAAAAGCTAAGAGACGACCTCAGTGTATATAACGCTTTCTGTGGCGTGCCACTGATGGCTTTCTGATAAGCCCCAGAGCCCTGTTCTCGACTCTGCCCTCCCATTTGTGTTTCTTTCACCTCACAATGGCCGGGTCGCGCGAGTCGCAGCATTCACTGCTTTCAGCGGACTCGCTGAACAATCCACCGCAGGGCTCTTGGGGCCCGTTGGGTCGCTTATCTTTCGAGGAGGACTATGCTTACCACGCTACCGAGCGTCAGTCTGAGGATGTAGTCCGTGATGTCGGACTGGGTATCTCTAATCATGCCGGTGATGCTATTCCTCATTATGATCGAGCTTCAATGGACAGTTCAGCGACAACTACTCCCCACTCTGCTCCCAAGACTCCATTGCCTCCGTATTCTCCCACGAAATGCCCCAATCGCACGACGGTGCTGCAGAAACGGCTTTCGTGGATCCCGATGACTATCTTTGTGCTTGCTCTCTATGCGACTATATTCTCCGGTATCTATCTCGTTATTGCCCTGCGTAAGCCTCGGTGGAGTATGGTCTCCAGTGATGGGCCGATTGTGCCGTCTACGGCTAGCCTGCTGAGCGCGTCTTTTGCAAAGAGTATCGAGTTAGCCTATGTCACTGTTTGTGTGGCATTTCTGGGACAGGTACTAAGCCGGCGAGCTTTGATGACCGAGTCCCGAGGAATTAGTATCTCGGATATGAACATGAGGACATGGATCATGCAGCCGGGCTCGATGATTGTCCATTGGGAGACGCTACGATATTCGGCGCTTACTTTCCTCGGTGCTATTGCACTGGTTGCAACATTCGTGGCGATGCTATACACACCGGCTGCCCAAGCGTTAGGTGAATTCCTCTTCTCGCAGCAGTGGGCTACTAAGAACTAACCTGTAGCAGTCGCACCCAATCTCATTCTTGGTCCCGTTGAATCAAAAGTCTTTCAAGGCAAAGTATCTGCTAGCTTTGCCAACCCAGTTTATCTCGCCTATAACTGTCAAACCCCAGTCACTGTTGACATGGACAGTGATTACCGCAACACAACATGTCTCCAGATTGAACACGTCGGCCATGCCTATCACAACTACCAACAATGGATAGCCAAATGGAGCTCTTTAGTTGCAAACAATACCGCAACCTCAACAGAACTCCATAGTCGCCCACAGCCGACAGGCTCCCTCTGGGATAACACCACAGTCACAGGCAGCTGGATTCAGATCCAAAACATCACAGCCCTCTCCAAGAAACACAAAAGAATGGTCAACAACATAACAATGGCAATGCCACACGGCGGCATCACCGCAGCAGCAATGGACCCCATAAACAAGATAAAACAGCCCCGATCCACCTTAGCATCCGGCGAAGGAGAATACACACTAAACGCCTCAATCCCATCCCCAGCAATAAACGTCCTCTGCACAGGAATGACCAAAGACGAACTCGGCCCCCTTGTCTACGCCTCCTGGCCAGGCGGCGACAAATTCAACGCCACATCCTGGAGCAACAACCCCCCGTCCGACATCCCAGGGCCCTCATCCTGGCTGAACCGAACAGTCGTCGACGACCTCTTCGAGTTCGGTCCAAAGTACAGCCATCGCCCACCAATCTTCGGCAAATACCCTGAACCCTACAACACCATCCTCGGCACAACAGGAATCTCACCCACAAACGCCATCTACCTCCTCGGCACCTCACCCCCAAACACAACCACCCCAGCCTACGTGCTCTGCTCCCTCCGCGCAAAACTAACAGGCGTCTGCTCTACCCAATACAAAGCCGCATCCAGCGGTGCATTTCTCAGCTCGACATGCGAGCAACCCGGCAACGACTTACAGTATAATCGCCGATACGCAGATCGCAAGTTCGAAGAGGGGTTCTGGGAATCCGACTACAAGAATATCGTATCGGAGTGGGCGAAAGCTTTGAGTCTGGGCGCGGGGATAACAGACGGCGAAGCTAGTAATGCCCGACTGCTTATGCAGATGATGCCCAGGTACGATAACAAGACGGATAGCTTCTCGCTTGATGCGCGCATGCCTTCTATTGCCGAGGGACTGGCTGTTATGGCGGGGAGTACTTTGATTCTCAGTTCTCAGGATTCGCCGTTTGTGCAGGGGTGGAATTATAGTCTTGCGAATCATAATATCTTGTCTGGGGGTGCTTATCAGTATTTTGATGGCAGGCTTCAGGCGATGGGATATGCTTCTGGGTGGACGGAGCAGTGGCAGGGGGCTTTTTATGTTGTTTTGGTGTTTGCGTTTTTGACCAGTGCTGTTTGCTTGGGATTTGTGATCTTTGAGGCGAGGGGACGCCAGGTTACGGATTTTACAGAACCGCAGAATCTCTTTTGCTTTGGCTGTTAATAGTCCGCAGACGGAGCAGTTGAAGGGGGCTTGTGGGTGTGGGCCTTGGGGGAAGCAGCTCAAGGAGAGGTGGTTTATTGACATGGAGGAGGAGGATGAGCATTATTTTATTCGCAATAAGATGGAGGGGAATACAACTTATGTTGGGGCTGAGGGGAGGATGGAACAGATGGAAGTCGACGATGGGCCGAAGGTATTGAGTCCTGCTGTTAATGAGTTCCGGAGGGTGTCGAAGAGGGATTCGCTTTTGGCAAGGTTTTATTGAGAGACAATAGGATAAGACGGGTTTACTACTGATGCTATAGGGATAATAGTTAATATACAATAATCGGATATATAGGAGCAAGACGAGGGTGACCGTAGCGAGATATCAGTGTATCTCCAGATTTACACTATTTACACAACACGCAAAGCAAACGGAAAGAATAGAAGCCATGTCGGCCAGAAATGCGATGAATATGTACAAAACAACACAAAGCCCATTTCAGAGCTAGGAGAGCTAGACACTAGACATGGTGAATCACAAGAATCACAATCACAATCACAATCACAACAAGGAGACTAGAGACGGAGAACAGAAACAGAGAACTGTGGCACAACGCTAATGAATCGCTCATACACACAGACAAAACGAGAATGCTAGATGCAACACGAGGAGATGCGATACTTTTGCAAGGACACCGATAGCCATGGGGACGCCATCAAAGGAATGGAATAGGGTAGTAAGGGAGGAGATATGAGATGATATGCACAGAGGGGTCCGGTGAGGTCGGATGGGTATTGAGAGTAGAAGAAGGAATGGAATGTATGTGAGACGTAGAGGTTGTTTGTCTCCGAATGACGGGAGCTTGAGCTTGGAGTGGGGGAGGGATCAACGATCAGCGTGGATATTGAGCCAGCTCATATCTGAATTGACGTTGTTGTTGGTCCGCCCTTGCATTGGCAGCTCGTCGATGTCCTCTGGGATTATGGCACTGGATCTCCGTACGTTTGAATTCCTAGCCTTGTCAACGAGGCCTGTGTATGATGATGTGCCCGGCAAATCGCGCGTGCTCGAGTTGTAGAAGCTGTTGCTGTAGTTGCTGCTGCTGGGTCGGCCCAGCCAGCTAGAGTGGCCGGCACCTTGCCAGTTCTCGTCGCGGTCACTTTCCGAGACCATGCTGATGGAGCTTGCTGTGGAAATTCGGGCGGATTGGCTCTCTGGGATGACCAGGCTTCGGCCGCCCTGTTCGGAGGCGGATTCTGTGGTTGGGCTGGCGCTCATGACACGACCCAAAGGTTTGGGTTGGTCCAAGAATCCCATGTTCAAGGGTGTCAGATTAGACATTGGCCAAGCGCTTCCACGGTAGTCTGACTTCGTGTAGATAGAACTCATGGTCGAGCGATCAGATGGCATTCCGCCTAGGTTGGTGGTGTTGTTGTCTTCGAAGTACTTGCCCCATCCCTCGTCTGTGGTACGATCCCCAGCCTGGTTGCTTCTGCTGGAGTCTGGGCCTCCTTCTGTTTCATCGGTATAGATGCTTGACGCGCCCATAGCCCCGCTGGAGGGAATTGTGGAGAGCGGGCTGCTCTGACGAGGAGCGGATAGTCCGTAGCCCATCACATTAGGTGGCTTGAGAGATTTCTCTCCGTTGTACTGTCCAGTCACAATTGCCAACGAATCTGTCGAAGCGGCGGCAACTGGAACAGGAGACCTCGCCATGGGGTAGGCGCCTTCAGTTAGGGGTTCTATGCCCTGGTCCTGGAAGCTGAGTCGGTCCTTGCTATCGCCACCACCCTTGCCAGACTGCAGCTGTTTCTTTTGCTTTTCGCGTCGGATAAAGAAGAGAAGGAGTAGCAGGATGAGGCCGAAACCGAGGACGCTTCCCAGAGTTGCGCCGAGAATAGTCTTGGCGTGGTCACTCAAGCCACCACCGGCAGCTGCGGAAGATGTGGATGTAGGAGTGGCCGTTGCGGAAGCTGAGGTCGAAGCTGAAGTAGTTGAAGTGGCAGTTGGGGAAGCCGATGTCATTGATGATGTAGTTGATGGCTTGAGAACATTCTGATCTCCGCTTCCGTAGAAGAGCTCTGTGGCATTCGCCCAGCTATTGGAGGTCTGGTTGAAAATCGCTAATGAGTCATGACCTCCACCATGAGAGAGCACAACCATGTTATCCCCCTGCGCGAGGGCAAAGTTGGTCCAGCTGTTGGATGGGGCTAATGTAGCATTGTAAGATGAATCCGTAAGACTCCTCTTGCCAATGGTGGTGGCGGGGCTCTGTAGCTTTCCCTTGGAGCTGAGTAGATAGCTAGAAACACTGTTGGGTGAAGTGTTCATGGTGAACTCCTGGAGTACAATGTTCTTGTCAGAGTCTGACACAATGGTACATTGAGAGTTAGTTGGAATTGCGGAAGGAAGAGTCGCTTCCGAGAGACTCCAGCCATTACCAGGTTCAAAGATATGGACAGCCGTGTTGGTAACAGAGCCACCAATCATGGCAATCTCAGATTCACTCCAGGGCAAAAGAATGGGTTGATATAAAGCCGGAGCGCCCTGGGGAACACCAGAACTGATGTTGTATGGTGCATTTGCTTGAATGAGTAAGGTTGACCCGGATTCGGTAGTGCTGCCATCTGTCATACCAGCATAGACCAGAATCTGGGACAAGGAGGAAATGTACGCGGCACCGTGGCCCGTTCGGTTCACCATCACCTGCGAGTCCGCATCCAGGGTCAAGTTTTGCCATTTCTGGGTCTTGAATGTAAACTCTTGCAGGCCATTGTAGCCAGCAGGGCCGGTCCCGCCGACCACATAAAATGCTTCGTCACTCTTTACACAGGCAGCGCCAGTGACCGGTGTTCCTTTTGGCAATTCGTGCCAGGTTTGGTTCTCTTGGAGCGATATTGATAGAAAGTCGCCATGGGAGAAGACGTAGAGGGTGTTGCTATGGATGGTGGAGCAATCACCCTCGAGGGTGACTTGGGGTTCGGGGACAGTCATTTTGAATCACCACAAGCTGTAGATCACAGACAGAAACGAGAGCGGGTGGCCAGCCAACGATTCAAAGACTGTAAAACGAATGTGCCGCCAAAGCACTATCTCATCTCGACGTGATAGAGTCAGCGATGCCACTTGGCGAGGTACAATGGAAGTCGATGCGATTTGGGAATCTGAGTGTGATTCTCCTCTCCGGGGTGCAATGTGGTTCCGAGGTCTCGGTGGATCGCGTATCGGATGAGTCGGCGACTCGTATGACACCACTCAAGCAGTTGCTTCAGGGGGGGAAGAGGTCACAACGGGAGATTTCTGCAGCGACGCGTCGGGTAAGAGAAAAAAAAATGTGATCAATGGTAATTTCCAAATAAAATCCGAAGGGTCTGACGTCGGGCGAACCAGTCGAGGCGAAAAAGCGATAGAGCAGGGGGAAAAAACGGAGCAAACGAACGAGGTTGGAAAGAACGAAAGAATGGCTGTGAGACCGGCACTATCAAACGAGTGCACAGCACACGAGGAGTCGAGACAGGAAATGAGAAGCCCTGGAGAGAAGGGAGAGAGAAGTCAACCCCCTAACGGAGGAGGTTAGCGGGGACGCCATCCCTTAAAGGGGAAAGATTTCGTCACCTCAATTTCAGTTGGATCTTGGGGCTCATCTTTGGTGAGAGTATCTTGAATTTGTGATTATGCTTATGGTGCTTGCTATGGCTATGGCTATTGGTAGTGGTCTTCTTCGTCTATTGCCTCTCCGGTACTACTTGAGGGGAGTATTTCGAAGCCACCGAACAGCGCAGGGACTCCCCCTGTCCGTATACATCTGAGACAAACAGCCTTGAAGCAAGGAACAAGCGACCCTAGCAGAATTACCGTCTAACACAGTCCTCTGTAAAGTGTTCAACAGTGACAGGTAAACAGTGCCAGTCAACCAGAATCAACAAGGGGCTGACAACAAACATCCCACCCAAGGTTCCTGGTCTCACGACCCATGGTTGACTTGGCGGATGCCATGGTTCGTCTGGTGCGTTCGCTCTGACCCTGATTCTACAGCCTCACAATTTAGTCAGTTGAGAAAATGATCTATGACATTCACGGGGAAATCGCCTGCAAAAGACAGCAGTTACACGTTCCTGATTCCTGATGGTGCAAGGTCCAAGTTCTACGGGCGTGGAACCGAGCCCAGTCGCCCGGCATAATTGGCTCAACGCCATGATCGACAGGGACTAGCTCCAGTAGATGTGATAGGAGAATTTCAACTAGCGAAGCCAATTGGCCATGACATCACGATGTGGTTCATCACACCTGGGGATACTGTACAGACAGTACTGTATGGGACTGCAGAACCAAATCGATCTGGCAGTACAAGATGCACACGCATGCCAACTCCGTGGCTGCGGACGATCTCGCATATTGGCTACTGTAGTAGAACCCCATAAATGATACCGTTGCATTCATTGGCTAGGTTTTCAAGTCAACTGCTGCAGGTACCACTTTTTTCCTCGTGCTACGATTCAGCGATACAGTCAGCCTGCTGGCGTTCGTCGATGGGGTGGAGAGAATTTGGTTGCACGACAGGTTGAATGGAACATTGGAGTAGGAATCCAAAGAGATGGATTCTGTGTGGGAAATGTATCAGAATGATCAATTTCGAGAGTACGACTAAATATATTATTACACAGAGCCGAGAAGGATTGACTGAATGCGGCAGAGAATGTGCAGGCTGATGGGAAGAAAGGTGGGACATGACTGCCTATGTTTGATGGCATGCAGATTGTAATGGTATTGGGTCTGATTACTATAACACATGGGAAAAAAAACCTCCATTCCCGTGCCCATGAACTTGGAAGAGAATGGTCATGGACATCAAGAACCTCAGCAAAAGAAAATCCATCACACATTTCACGACTGTGCTTGCTTCCATTGGTGTGCCTTTTGGAGCAGGCGGGAAAGGTTGGCAGCGGATTGGTCGTCTGCGGGGAACACATAGTCCATGTACTCCTCGTATCGGTCGTCCTCCAGCTTGCGGCGCTTCTTGACACGACGGGGCATCTGTTTTTCGATCTTCTCGATATCCTCGGGCGATCCGTGAGTGTTTTCGAATGAGCGCCAGGCATTGAGAAGTTCCACACGCTGGAGTAAGTTAGTATCAATAATGAGGGAGCGGTGGAAATGACGTACCTCTTCTTTGAGCTCCTTGTCCTTGAACACCTTGTGTGCCCGGGTGAAGACTGCACGAGCCCGTGTCTTCGCTTCTTCGCTGATCGGCTTTTCCTCCTCCTCGTCCTCCTCCTCTTCGCCCTCCGGCACGTTGACCTCGAACCGAGCGTAGTTGATCCAGACCTTGACGTGATCGGTCTTCTGGAGTAGACGCTCGTACAAATGGCGGACTCGTTCATACTCGCCTTCATATTCCTCGAAGTCGATGTAGGACTTCCACACAAGCTCGGGCATGTCGAGGGTAGGTTGGTCAATGCCTAGCTCGTAGATAGCTCTTGCCCGCTCCAAATCATCCAGACCCCGTTCCAACTCTGCAAACTGCATCCAGGACTGACTGTTGGAAGAGTTCCATTCAATTTGCTTTTCGTACAAGGTCCGGCACCGCACGAATTCAAACAGTTGGCGTTCAAGGTCGATATAGCCACGGAAGAGCTTGTCCTTCGGACACATACCAATGGCCTGTCCGAGTGTTTTCCGTGCAGTCTGTAGCTCCATCTGGCGGATCTCAAACTGTGCTTTCAAGAGCCAAATCTTGGCGAAGGTGAACTTCTTGTGTGGAATCAGCCGAAGACATTCCTGGTAGATTTGTCGGGCGCGATCCACTTCTTTTGCCTCCATCTCTTCCCACACAGCGTAGAAAATCCAGAGGTAGATGTACCGGCGCCAATGTCTCTTCTCTTGTGAGGGAGGTATCTGTGCAATGGCCCGTTCGTAGATGTCCCGCACCCGCTCCGGGTCGCCTGATGTCTCCTCCAGGCGCGCAAAGTCGAACCAGATATCATAGTTGCGAGGGTTCTCCTTAAGCTGCTCCTCGTAGTACACTCTGCGCTTTGATAAGATGACATCTTCCACACCCTCACGATCACCATATTGCTTCTCAAAGGTTGTGTAGGACTTGTGAAGAACCATAGACTTGGACCGGGGGAGTCGATCTAGAGCGTACTTGTAAATAGCACGTGCACGCTCATACTCCTTCAGCTTGGCCTCGAATTTGGCATATGCGACAAAGAGCTTCTCGTCCATGAAGTCCTCGCCGAGCGTCTCAATTGCCAATCCATAGACCTCGCGGACCAAATCACTAGTTCCATACTCTTCCTCAAAACGGGCCCATTTGATCCAATTTCGCGGTTCGGGGTGCACAACAGTGAAGCGCTGGAACACACCGCGTGCACGTTCGAATTCACTGTACCGTTTCTCCAGCTTGATGTATGCACTCCAGGCGCCCTCATCGGGCTCCCACGACATCCACCGTTCAAATACTTGGCGGGTGCCAGGAATGTTACCCAGCGTCTCCTCCATGTAGACATACTTGAACCATAGCTTGTCGATACGGGGCAGGATGGTTACAGCACGGTCCAGCAGGTTTCGGGCGTGGTTGATGTTTCGAGTTTTCATTTCGGCTTCGATATAGCGAATCCATAATACCACTGAGGTCGAGTCGACATCGAGCGCACGCTCGAAGATTGAGCGAGCCCGACGGTATTCTTTCTGTTCGAGTTCCCAGGCGGCATAGCGCATCCAGTTGTTCATGTTAATGCGGTTACGCCGCACATAGTCTTCAAAGTCCTTTCTCTTCCGACCCTGGTACTCGTGTAGTTCTTCGAGGTCGGCAAAGCGCTGTGTCGGTGCTTCCAGGCCTGGCTCCTGCCGGTCCACAGCCTCGCGAAGCAATTGCTCTGCAGAGATCTGGATTGGCGCGGCGGCCTTGTTCTTGACCCGGGGAGGGCCACGGGATGCCTCCATTGTGATGGTTTGGTATCAGCCGGTGCTGATATCAGAGGAGTGGTTTGCGGTCGAGGTGTGGAGTGAACGTCTTCGACGATAAGTTTGTGACAAGTGCGCGATGGGAGAGAAAATTGAATTATAGAAGAAGCTTCACCGCAACTGCGTGACCAGTTACCCTGCAAATAACTCACAAATTGTCTCACGCCCAAGTCACTGACAAGAGAAGAGTAGCTTGGTCTGCAACTCGGAGAATTCGCGATGAAATCACAGAGCTGCGGGTTTGGTCGTTGTCGCCACCCGCGCAGCTCTCCCTGACTAAGCACTTTTCCATCCTTCCATTCTGGAACATTTGCTCTCCTTAGCTTTCTCAAGGTCTTGGGGCCATCTACGCAAGATTTACTTTCGAACTCAGATAGGACTGCCTGATCTGCCACCATGTCGACTGCTGAAGAACTGTTGCGCGACTTCGAGTCCGATGAGGAGTTCGATGCGGGCGAGGAAAATGACCTACAAGCCGAACAGGAAGAAGAGACCCAAGAAGCCCCCGGCGTGGCCAACGACTTCGACCTTTCTATCTCCACTGCCGATGAGCTGAACCGCCTACACAAAGTTTTGCGCGATCACTACTCCATTCGATTCCCTGAGCTCGAAACGCTTGTCACAACTCCCATCAAGTACGCCAAAACGGTTGCTATTCTTCAAAATGGCCCACTCAACGACATCAAGGCGCTATCGACCACTTCAGACAACATGGTCGGCGCACCCCTTAAGTCAGTCCTTGACGGACCGTCGTTGATGGTGGTTGCGGTGGAGGGAACGACCACCCGAGGCCGAGAGATGACAGAGTCGGAACTCCAGCAGGTTCTTGACACATGCGAGAGAATTTTGAAGCTCGATAGAGAGCGTCTTGCACTTACAGAAAGCATCCAATCCCGCATGAACCAGATTGCGCCTAACCTGGCAGCACTCATTGGACCTGAAACCGCTGCCCAGTTCCTTAACCAGACCGGAGGCCTTCTCGAGTTGGCGAAGATTCCCGCTTGCAACCTGGGCGCACAAGGATCGCGTAGACAAGAAGGACTGGGTCTTGCGACCAACCACGGTGTTCGATCGCAAGGATTCCTCTACGACTCTGAGCTTCTCCAGGAAGTGCCCAACGATCTCAAGAAACAAGGAATTCGGATTGTGTCGGCCAAGATGGTTCTCGCTACCCGCGCCGATGTCTCCAACTATGCCAAGGATGGATCACTCGGTGAAGACTTGAAGCAGCAATGCTACACCCGACTAGAGAAGCTGACTGAAGCTGCACCAAACTCCGGTACAAAGGCTCTCCCTGCGCCCGATGACAAGCCCTCCAGAAAGCGTGGTGGTTGGCGTGCCCGCAAGGCTAAGGAGGCCGTCGCCATGACCGAGCTCCGCAAGGCGCAGAACCGTGTTGCGTTTGGCAAGGAAGAATCAGAGGTGGGATACGGTACAGGTTCCGGCACCGTTGGTTTGGGTATGCTCGGCCAACAGAACGATGGCCGCATTCGCGCGACGCAGATCGACCAGCGCACTCGTGCCAGGCTCAGCAAGAACAACAAGGGGTGGGGTACTTCCACCCCCGCCAGTGGAACCGCTTCATCGCTACGAGGCTTTGGCCAAGGCGCAAGTGGCACAGCCAGTGTTCTGCAGGCCCGTGGTCTCCGCACATCGGGAATCGGATCGTCCACCGCAGGTACATCCAGTACCATTGCCTTTACACCTGTCCAAGGCCTGGAGCTTGTGGACCCCAAGGTGCAGGCAGAGCTGAAGCGCAAGCGCGAGGCCGAGGAAAACCGATGGTTCAAGTCTGGAACTTTCACTCAGGCCCCAAACCAGGGCAATGGCAATGCGCAGGGTGGGGATAATGGCGGCTTCAAGGTGCCGGCACTGCCTCCCAAGAAGAAGGTCGACACGGGCGATGGCAAGATGGGTCCGCCTCCCAAGCGGTAAAGAATCGCTATCGTGTCCTTGCATTTGACGGCGTTCAGGAGGAAGATCAGGAGGCCTGAGCTTCTATGATTTTACGTGATACCAACTCGTTTGTACATTAAACAGCCGAAATCAAAAATCAAAACATTCGTATTTTTAACACTGATCTCTTATCACAGAGCAATATTGGAAGCCAAGTCATATTCCAAAAATCCCGAAGTTTCGAGGGTGTTGCCACGGCCCCAGAACGTCTTCACGGATTTAGGGCTCAGCGACAACACGTGCACGTTTCAGAATATTCACAGAGTGGCGAGGGATTCGCCGGAAGTCCTCGAACCGTAACCAAATTTTTGAGAATCCCTTCAAATGGCGTGCTTATGAAACGGCGGCAAGTAAAGGATCTCGCAATAACCGTGGAATGTGGTACAAGACAAAGGCAAAAAAGTTTATATATTTGGGTGGTCTTGTACGTCGGCCCATTTTAGCCCAATTTTCACACCTTACTTGCAATTAAGCCCATTGTCCTGAAAGTAATATACTTAAGCACTATTCGATCTATCATAACACACAAATCACCGTCCAGCCCAAAGCATGACGTTCCATATCGCCTCCACCACCAACACGGCCACCACAATCACCGAAACAAAACCCAAAGAGCCAGTTTCACCTCACGGCTCACCCTTAACCCAGATCATCCACCACAGCCATGTAACAACAGACTTCGACCCGCACCGCTTCAATGCAGCCGCGGCCCAACAACTCCAACCGCGACGGAAATCCCAAGTCACGGATACCCGCCTCATCGCCTCGCCATATAACAGCGCCAACCACCTACTGGATATATCCACTTTGGAACAACAAGACCGTCTCTTTGCATTGGCATTGTCATATCTCAAGCCCACGCGCGTTGACTATGCCACGGCTGCATATACGGAATCGTTCAACTGGACGGAAGTTTTTGAGTTGCTGAAGGCCTTTTCGGACGCTGAGAATCATGCGTGGAAACGGCGCTCTTATTATGTTGTGATTTTCCGGTCTGTGTTGCTGCCGGATGTTGATTCGGAGTATTTGTATGCACTTGATGCGCATTCGCATCGCGAGGCAATGGCTAGTGGGGGTTTGTTGAAGTATTGGTTTGGGGCCAAGGATGATTTGGGGAGGAATTTGGCTACTTGTGAGTATTGTTTCTGTTTGTATATGTTCTTTGGTTGGGGATTGATTGGGCTTATACGTTGGTTTTCTAGGTATTTGGCGGAACCGGGATGATGCTCGGCTTGGGGGTCGGGGGCCATGGCATGCTCGCGCAAGAGCTGCTGGGTCGGTGTTGTATGAGCAGATTTTGTTCACGACGCTGGGGTTGAATATTGCCGATGGAGTGGGATCGTGGGATCTAAGTGACTGGAAGGAGGATGCAGAGGGACAATGATTAGAGAATGTCCAATGTTTAAGCACCTAATAGATATATACAGGAATTCGATCAGACCCAGGATTCTCGGCTCTCCAGATCCCCATCATCCCCATCATCCCCATCATCTCCGTCATATCCAACACATCCAACATATTCAAGAGAAGCAAAGGAACAAAAAGGGAAATATTCCCCGCAGTGGACCAGGGATTCTCCACATGTCGACTAGGCCTAAACAGGCAATCGCGTTGTACATCATTGCGGGAAATGTTACTCTTTGCTGTCTCTCTGCTGTCTCTCTGCTGTCTCTCTGTCGTTTCTTAGCTTTTGCATCCCCATCCTACCTCATCTATGCAGTCATGCAAACAAGTCCTGCTATCCAATTTGCGTAGAAATGCGGGGCATCGGGGTCAGCCTTGATTTGTATGCTATGTGGTTGGCCACTCCTCCAGAGGTAATCCAAACCCCTCCGAGGAACTAGGATCCAGCAATGTTATAAGAAGGCGACCTTTCCCCTCAACTTCTCGTTTGATTCGAACCTCCAAAGAAAACTTCAATCATAACATCCACAATGGTCGGCCTTCAAGCAGACAACATCGCTGTCAACGACGGCCCCTTGACCTCCGAGAACGCAGCCCTCCTCCGCCCCTCAGATCCAACCCTCCCGCTAGAAGAGCTTCGCAAAAGATACGATGAGGATGGCTACCTCTTCCTGAAGCAAGTCCTCCCCCGCCAGGATGTGCTCGACGCCCGCAATTCATACTTCTCCTCCCTGCAATCAACCGGTGTTTTGAAGCCCGACACAGAACCAGTAGCGGGTATCTTCGACCCAGCCAAAAGCCACCTCGACTATCCCGGTATTGGCGCCGGACATATCGGCGGTAACGGGAAGCCGGGTGGTGATCGAGCAGCTGCCTTTGTGGATCTGGCCCTCGATGCACACTACCAGGACTGGTATGCCGAGAAGTTCTGTAACCACCCAACGCTGTATGACTTTGTCGCCAAGTTCTCGCATTGGGGCAAGGATACACTGAATCTGCGCCGTACGTTGCTGCGAAACAATATTCCTGGGTCGAAGCCTATTGGCGTGCATTATGATCAGATCTTCTTGAGATATGGTGATCCGACTAGTGTCACGGCTTGGGTTCCCATGGGCGATATCAAGATAAATGGAGGTGGTTTGATCTACCTTGAAGACGGTGTGTTAAGTCTTTTTTTCTTGTCTTTGTTTGCTCGGGTCGTGAGTACTAATTGAGTTCATGAATCAGGGGACAAAGTCGGGGTTCAGTTGGAAGAAGCCTTTTATACCAAGGCCAAGGCGGCTGGTATGACCGACGAAGAAGCCAAATCCGCATTCAACACAAACATGATGACAACGGGTCTGCTCTCCGAGTTCCCGAGTGAATTTGCTCGCGAAAATGGTCGTCGCTGGTTGGTGTCGGCCTACGAAGCTGGAGATGTAGTTTTGCACAAGCCTCATATGGTTTGTCACCCAAGACTTCATGTGAAATGGGGGTTCCGTACTAATCAAGGAGCTGTAGATCCATGCGTCGACTATTAACAACGACCCCGACAATGTCATTCGTCTTGCTACCGACCTGCGGTTCTGCGACTCGTCTAAGCCTTATGATAAGGTGAATTCCACTTCGCTGCGGTTGAAAACAATAGCTGACTTGTATTCACAGAGATGGATGAACTTTTACACTTTCGGAGACGGGGTTTAAGGTGAATGTGACGGGGATGCAGATGATATAGCGTGGATATTGACCAAGATTATGTAGATAGATGTATTATTTGGCAGATGAAGACACGCAATTGAAATCAAACCAGCCACATCTATTGTAGAACCTGCAGTCAACCGCATGGCTTGACGTAGGAAAAGTTGCATGGGAGGCACGATGAGACAGAAGCATGCAAGCACAAGACAGTATCACTTTCTCATTCCTGTAAAACCCCTAGTAAGCTTTCAAACAAGTCATATTTTATCGTCATATTGTATCGGTGTTATCATTATGATCCAACAAGGGTGACTTTGATTGGCAGGAGAGCGGTGCCTGGAATGCTACTTGCAATTTTTGGTGATCCCAGGCACAGACTTATCCCTAGATCCACGAATGGTCCTCTTGCCAACAAGAATCTGTGGCCTACGAAACAAGGCTGTATAGGGCAGTCTTGGAAGGTATTTATAAACCTGTAAAAGGAGTTTCAGTTCTGTGTACACACCGTTAAGGGATACGAAACTGGTAGTATCTAACCATTGGCATTTGGATTCTAAGGAACATCATTCCAAACTACGACAGGCGGTATTTCGCTAATTTCAAACAAACAAAGAACTATATATGAAGTATCTGTGGGTCCCTGATCGCCCGCTAGTGCCTCAAATCTTGTTGTGATTGTTATGAGACCTGTTGATAGACCTCTTCGCTCTTATTAGAGGTATACCGCTCTCGACCCTTGACCGATCTAATACGAACGCACATAAAATTTCAAATACAACATGTCGCAGATTATTTCAAGGCCATCATGGCTCGGTGTTGCTGTCCTAGCACTGCTAGCAGTATCAACTGTCAATGCTGCCCCAATCCGTGAAAATCAGGAAATGGAGACAGAGCAGCCGACTAAAGTTGAATCTCGATCTCCTGTGAGTTGTTCGCGAAATCCACACACTTCTATTGTAAAAGTAGACTAATGAGAGTACAGCGACTGATCCCCGACACCGAAGGGTACGTCCACGACCTCCTGCAAGGGATAGGCATAGAAGATCCAGAGGCAACACCAACCGGCACACCAACCACTGCAAGCATGAAAACCGAGAAAGGCCAACCGGAGAATGAAACTGCTACACCAACTACTCACATCACTTACTCCAGCTCCGTGAGCTACACACCTACTTACGGCAGCAACGGGGCAGGCTTCACACACACTGTCAAGCACGAGGAGAGCAACAACAAGCCCATTGAGAATATTCAGATCATGCCTGGATGGGGTGACAACAAGAAAATTACTTCTGAAGATCTGCCAGGTCTCTTTGATGCTATGTACAAGGAGGTAAAGCACCGGTTCAGCGATATGGTCGATAGCTCTGATGAGATTGGATTGGATGGATTTATGTGATGAGACTGAAACAGGTGTTGGATAGAGCGGATCTTATGAAGTATTATTGACTTACGGGACTCTGAAGGAAAAGATTTTTGGCTGGTTTTGTATTTTTGCGATGTACTATTATCGATATGCAATTTATTATAGTTCTAGTTATGGATTTGAATCATAAAATGGACATTCATATTCTTTAAAGAAAATCAACCTGTTTTGTTTCCCCTCTAGTTTCTTTCCCATCTGGACTTTGATTTTCTTTGGATCAGAAGGAACTGATTCAATCGCAGGCATGATCATCTGCGGACATATAAACTGTGAAGTTTTCGCGAACAGGAAGCTCCATTTGCGACACGCTGTGGTACAGATAGGTCCAGTTAATATCGATATGGTTAAATTTGGCATCTAACAGTAGAATTCTGGCAGAATTTTCTGCAATCTGTAGAGCTATACTGAAGTTTGGTTCCCCGACGACAGGAATCGATACACAGGTCCTGAACGTGGAGTGAAGATTTTCAGTGGTTACCCAAACTTTGCGCTCTTCCATTCTTTCTACAACCTGGCTCATAACTTTGTGAGCATAACTAGGAGAGCCTCTCAGGAACGCGGTAACCCAGTAAATTGGTTGGATAGTCTGCCAATTGTGAACGTCTTCTCGGAGAATAACTCCATTCTGAATAACCAAACCTTTAGGTGTATACAAGCCCGGGGCTACTTCAATCACTTCTTTTGCAGCACGCTCTTGGTTCGTCATAGTGAGTGAGAGTTCTATAATCAAACAATGTGGTATAAGCCTCGCTTTCGACTCAAAGTCGGTAAGTGATGATCAGTGTGGTGATAAATATGAAGACCAAGTTAGACAGTAGGTCATTCAAATACTTTGAGCCATTGCTATGCTTAGCAAGCTACTCCTTCAATATCTTGGAAAAATACCTTTCATTCATACAAAAGCGTTCCAAGGCATAAAGAGTAATCAATGGCGTCGATGGCAGTCTAAGACGCTCATGCACAAGAGCTGGATAGACTAGAGACCAACTGAGAGCTTTGAATCCCTTAGACTATGACTCAAAGACATTTATGACTTCATTGAAGACTAATATCTTGTTTCTAGCCTTTAATAACCCAAAGTGGGCATCATCAGAATAATGAGCTAGCATTCGTGGGATTAAATATTTCGTAAGACTTTGACTTGCAGCTTTGAACGAAATGTCCGACATTTAATAAGGCAAAGCTGTCTGGAGATTTCAGAGATTTTGAAGAGCTGAAATTATTCTTTACGATACACTATTACCACCACCACTACTACTAATCTTGATTTGCAAGCCTCTACGTTTAGCGTCATGAGATTCAAACATATAATGGGAAAATGATAATTTGATCAGAGTCAAATGAAACAATCTTTTTCATTTGGATTATGATATTCCTTTCAAGTCAAGAAATATCGAGTTATTTTTAGGAGGCGACTAAGATGGAGCTCTATCAGATAGGAATCAGAACACTTTCTTGAAGAGGAACGTCTTCTAGTTTCATGCCGGCATTGAAATACTCCCAATTGATCTGAGCACAACCAACCTGGGATTTTATCATGAGTTCCCTCGCTCTTTGACCTACCAAGTCGAGGCCCCTCCGAACGTTGAATTCCCCGAGGACAGGGATCGATACGCAACTTCTGTACCAACTGTTGAGGTTTATGTTGGTCAGATAAACATCGTTATAATGGTCGATTTGAAAGCACCATTGTTGAAAGACCTGCAACGCATTGCTAGGCTGTCCATGTATAAAAGTAGTAACAAACCAAACTTGCTGATTATGGGCAAGATTTCCAAAATCCCGGGGGTTCTCGGAGGCATAAATTCCGTCTATAATCAGCATAGCTTTGGGGGTTGTTTGGCCCGAAGGAAGTTCGATAGTTTCTTTGGCAGCACCTGACAGGACAGGGCCAGGGTAAGACATGATGGATAGCGACCTGATGGGTGGTTTGTAATTTGACTTCTCGATGCGAGTAGTGATAATGAATTTGGTGAATTATGCAAACTGGACAGCGAGTCGTTTAAATACTTTAACAGTTGGCCATATGTTGTACAAATCTATTCTATTGCTCTCAATAAAGACCTTCTCTTCATTATGGGATTGTGAGCAGTTCATTCATAAGAGTCTTACAATAAAGAGAACAATCGGGGCCTTTGAGTTTCTCGGCTCAAGGTTCGAAGGCGTGAAAGGGCTGGTGCAAGCTCAAGAGCTTATAATTAGCGACGAATGACTACTGAAAATGATTGAGGTCATGAGACAAAGTAGTGTTCATCATTTGATTGACAGTGATATGAACATTTAGACTAGCTTATTTTGTACACCATTTCGAAGACCAGGAACCTTTCCATATATTTTATGAGCTCCGACTTAGCCTCTCCGCCGCCTTTTTGCTCTTTGGCCTCTTTCAAGTCCATTTTCAAGGGTTTCAGGTAGTTCAACCAGCTCATATCTAGGTGCAGGTGTAAAGGAATCACGACCGATATTGTACGATCTAGTCTTATAATGGTTGGAATACAGTCTTCGATTTCCGGCTACACGCAGGCAAAAGATACCTAGGGATTCCAAGAGCTCATTCACACTGAATGTCTCGAAAATCACAATTCCGAGTCGAACGCGAGAGTTGATACTTGGACTTGGACTTAACGCCCTTAACTCCGGTTCTCGATTTCCGACCACATCTCCGGACGCAAATAGGCAAAAGATGCTCGGAGATCGAGCAAAGCAGAAGAAACTAGAATCAAAGCTCATGATTAGAGCGAATACTACGAGGCTTGTGGATCTTCAACCTCTATTGATTGTCTTCGACTGACTCGGCGGGGCAAATGCAAAAACCATAAGAGGGACCGCTTCACCGTTTCCTTCTCCCACACCATTCTGCTGTGCTATACTTTTCTCTCTCCTCTACATTTTTCTTTTCTATTTGTTCCAATCTAATTGACAATGCCTTCGCTTGTTGGAAAAGAAGTCGGCCCTACCGGGTACGGCACCATGAGTGTGTTTCCCTCCAGAGACAGCAATTGATGGCCACATACTGATCAACTTACTAGGAATGACTTGGAACCCTCAGCCTCCATCCCAAGAAACATGCTTTGAAACCTTGAACACGGCCCTCGAGCTGGGTGCCAACTTCTGGAACGGTGGCGAGCTTTACGGCACCCCGGAGTTCAACTCTCTCCACCTGCTGAACGAGTACTTCACCAAGTATCCCGAGAATGCCGACAAGGTCGTTCTCAGCATCAAGGGTGGCTTGAAACGGGGACAGCTCATCCCGGATGGCTCCGAGGAGAACATTCGTCGTAGCGTGGATGAGTGTCTCCGTGTTCTTGACGGTAAGAAGAAGCTTGACATCTTCGAATGTGCTCGTCAAGATGCCAAGTCCCCCGTTGAGAACACCGTCAAGGTCCTCGCGGAGTATATTAAGGAAGGCAAGATTGGAGGTATTGGTCTGAGTGAGGTTGATGCCGAGACAATCCGTCGCGCGTACGTGCATTTCTATCATAGTGTCCCGAGAGAACTTGGTCTAACTACTTTGACAGTCACAAGGTGCACCCCATTGCCGCGGTCGAGGTGGAAATGTCACTTTGGTCTACTGATATCCTAGAAAACGACATCGCCAAAACCTGTGCTGAGCTCCAGATTCCCGTCATCGCTTACTCGCCCCTGGGCCGGGGTGTCCTCACAGGAGCCGTCACCTCCATCGCCGATATCCCCGAAGGCGACTTCCGGCGCCACATGTCCCGCTTCCAAGAGGAGAACTTCCAGGAAAATCTGAAGCTGATCAAGGCTGTCAGTGACCTGGCCACTCGCAAGAGTGTTGCTCCATCTCAGATTGCCCTGGCCTGGATTCGCAGCCAGAGCAGCAAGCCTGATATGCCCACTATTATCCCCATTCCTGGCGGTACTACAAAGGACAAGGTTATCCAAAATATGGGTGGTGTGCAGACATTGACGGATGCTGAGCTCGCTGAGATTGATGCCCTGCTGAAGGTTCACGTTGTTGCTGGGCCTCGGTACTAGATAACATGCTTTGGGACGGGTTAGCAATGAACTAGAATATATCAAAACACAGTTTAGAAGCCATTTCTTGTCTTCACATATGTCAGATCAAGTGTAGAATAAGTCAACATGCAACCTCACAATGCATTGTATACACGGAGATTGTCGGCATTGCAGAATTCTTTCGAATAATCATCATTGAAGCATGCTGGGGGATAAGAAAATAAACAATATCTTACCATTGAGTTAGTGTATCAGTGTGAATATAGGTCTAAGGTCAATATAATGCAGATCATCATCAATATGTTCATCGTCAAAGCATTGGCAAGGAGTGAAGGAGGAACGGAGACCTTTGTGTGGATGTCACGTGAAGCGGAGTGATCCAGTACGAGCACGTGACCCTGCCTCCTCGCATCGCGATGCCGTCGCGACAGCTTCATACTTCAATCTCGTTTGCCATCTCTGATTGTACATGTATTGTTAGACTACAATGGCTTCAAGGGAATCTCCTGGTTCTCCCCTTTCATCGGTCGGGTCCCTCGAGACCTCGGACCATGAATCCATGAAACAAGACAGTCGCGCGCATTCGCCCTCGATGTCAAATGTCCCCCCCTCGAAACGACGTCGCACCGGCATTGCATCATGGGATCGCCAAACTCCTCTCTCCACGGCTCAGGATGACAACCAACCACCTCCCTCTCCGACAGACTCGATCTCCTCTGACAGCTCCGGCGATATCCCTAACTCCCCTAGCATACTCGGCATCTTGGGTACCAACCAGGAAGATGACTATAGCGGTCAGAGTACTGACCAAGTCACGATCTGTCGATGGGATGGATGTACCGCTGGTGACCTCGGGAACATGGATGGGTTGGTGCAGCACCTTCACAATGAGCATATCGGCAGCCGACAGAAACGGTACTCGTGCGAGTGGACCGACTGCACTCGTAAAGGTCAAACACATGCCAGTGCTTACGCTCTGCGCGCACATATGAGAAGTCATACCCGTGAAAAGCCCTTCTACTGCACGTTACCTGGTATGTTACTCTCAGATCCCAGGTTTTACTCGCCATAGCAAACATCGGCTTACTGATTATGTCAAACAGAATGTGACCGCAACTTCACTCGATCGGACGCTTTGACCAAACACATGCGCTCCGTGCATGAGACAGACACGATGCGCCCCATCGACTCGCTCTCCAAGGCTCACGCAGCCCCTGGCAGCACGGCCGGCACCCCGGCTTCCAAAGTCCAGCGCATTCGTCTGAAGCTCACTCAACCCAAAGAACCAGGCACCGAGTCCGAGCCACTCGCTGAAACTACTGTCCCACCTAACAACCCCATTATCAGTACGAATGAAGTACCTGATCTCGACGAAACCACAATGCCGGAGTTTGGGCCCGAACTGAACTTCGACCAGCACGAGCTGTCCTTGCCTCCGCGCGACCTGTACCGTCTGCTCCGTCGCCAGATCGCCTGGGCCGGGAAGGAGACTGCGCAGCTGCAAGCCCAGTGGGAAGAGATTCGGCCGAGGCGTGAGCAGGCATGGCGCGAGAAAGAAGTCATCTTCGATGATCTCATTGATGCCGAGCTAGGTCTTTTCAGTGCAATTATGGGCTCTGTGCCTCCAGCAAATCTCACCACTAGTCTGGAGAAGCTGCAGCAACAGCAGCAGCAGTTCCAGATCCAGCAGGAGCAGTTACAGGAGAAGTCCATTGAGATGCCTCTTCCGCATCCGCATCCGCATCCCCATGTTGAGGGTAGTGCTTAGATGAAAGCCCTCTCTCAAGTTCGGATTTCTTCTCTTTGTTGTTCTTGTACTATGGCGTGCATGGCGTTTGGCCCTGCAATCTTTTTTTTTTACTGCATTCCCCGGGCAAAGGGAAAAGGACGTAATTTCGATGGAATGTATGAATAGCTTTCGGCCCTTTTCCAACAACAGCTCACTGCTACAAGTGATGCCCAAAATGATATTGTCGATAATGTGACTCTTTATAGTCTCCTCAAACCTCTTCCAGTATAAAATGACGCGCCCGATTGTTCCACTCTCCCACTTCTTCGTTTTCGTTGTTGCGCAGCACATGGACGGTGTCGACAGATAACTTACCCAATCCAATCACCATCCTAGGATGCTTGATTTATTCCGGCCAAGCTAGATTGATGTTCATTGTTTCTTCCTTGGATTTGATACTAAGTAAGCCAGGTCCTGGTGTCGATTGAAAGAATCTTGTCCTCCATCAATTCCGTATCGTAATAGAATCTAAGCTGGCCTCGTGTGAGTTACTATAATACAGTAGGTTCATCCAATCTAGATGCATTTACGCGGCACGGCAAGACCTTGCCCTAATGTTAGCAGCTTAATCAATGGAAAACGAGGAAATTTTATGTCTAGACCTAACGGTCTTGGTCGATGATCTGGCATTGGGTCTAAGCCACAAAAATAAGAAACAAAAATGACACAGAAAACGCGCCCTGCCGAGTGATCTCATGAAGATACAAAGAAAATCAATCGACGCCGTGGCAGCCATCCCATAAGATACATATGCCGAGAATAAAATCAAAATCAAGATCAACTTGGCCTTGGCTCGCTGAGGCATACCGTGGATTCGGCCGTGTCGGTATATCTCAGCGGGCATGAAAACCAACAGCAAATTATAGCAAAGAAGGGACTAACTGAAACAACCAACACCAAAGAAAGCTATGGGATGGAAGTCCATGGTGGTTCCCTGCAGAACGGAGATGAAGAAAGAGAAGGAAAGCAAGACCCAAACACGCCATGCAGTGATGATCCAAGAATGAAGTGTAGTAGTCATTTCAAACCGGAACCCTCCTCTCTGTGCTTTTGGGTTTCACGCAAATCACTCGACGCCTTTCGCAATGCCATACAACGAGTTCAAGTTGTATCCATATGTACCTTCAACCAAAGAACCAGAGAGAAAAAGACAGACAGACTCCTTCCGCACGGACATAAGTGATGTCTGAGCAGATTGACAGTTGCAGTAATCAATTCCAAAAGCCCAAATGCTGAATTTCAAGGTCCAATGCAAGAATGCAGAATGAACGGAGGACAGGATTGTGCAAAATCAAAGAAATTTGCAGGAAACAAAGAAGAAATCAATATAAAAGAAAAAGGGATATGTTGCAAGTGTCTACCGTGAGAAAGGATAGATATCTGGGACAAAGAAACGCTGAACATGCATGTCATCAAACCGTGCTAAAGTGAGAATAATCTGAAACCAAGAACACCTGAATCTGTGGTATAACGGGAACCAAAGAGGCTTACGCTGATGTTCCGTTAGAGGGCTTAGAAGCCTTGCTGGCTTCCATGACCTTGTTGAACATCTGTTGTAGCTTGGCTCCACTGGCATCCTTGTTTGGCCAGTAGTTCAGTGAGACGTAATCCCAAAGGCGAACTTCCAAGGAGGGCATGGATTGGGAACCTTCCAGGGTATTGCGAATGAATTCACCAATTTTGACAAGAGTAAGGCGGAGCTTCTGAGCCCTCTCGTTCTTGCTAGGATAATTCTTGGCTGTAATCATTGCCACTTGTTTCAGATTGGCAACAATGGGCTTGAAAAACATGGAGGCCATGTCCTCTTTATTAGAACTGCCATTTTCGTGCCCTTTGCGTCGGCGAAGGTCGTCGTTTGAGGCATCAGACAGGCGATGGCGAGGACGGTCAATATCCATACCCGACCGTGGGCGAGAGTCGCGATTGGGGGTGTGGTGCCGATCATCCCGGCCGCCATGGGTGTGGGAGCGTGCCCGTGAACGATCAGACTCGCGGTGACCCTTGCGAGAGCCCGAGGGAGCTGGGGAGGCAGAAACGCTGCCGCTACCAGAAACCCGTGAGTTCCGTTTGTTGTTCCGGTGGTGGTTGTCTACTGCCCTCCTGGCGGTGGCATTGTTGTTATACTTGTTCCTCAAAACAGACATGAGATATTCAGCTCGGCGAACAAGGTGTACAGCGCCTGGCGACTTAGTGGCTTTTTCCTCGCCCTGTAAGCGCTGTGTCTTTCGTTCCACTCGGTGTTCCTCGAGGAAGAATTTGTCACCAAGACCGAGGTCAGCATCATCACGAATCTGAGTCCATGCACCAAATCCATGGCGTGCGATACCAATGAGAAGCATTCCATCCTCACGTGCACCCCAAACACAGCTGTAGTCCGCCGTCTTGGTGGCCTCCGGAAGACGGAATGTCCTGAAGTCAGGGAGCGAAATAGTGATGCTCCGGATAAGACGCATGTCAGGCGGGCGCTCGACAATCGTCCAAGCATTGAGACGTTTCACGCCATGGTGATCGAACAGAACTGCTTTCTGCTCCTTTTTTGTGGGATTTCTCCCCGATTGCTTCATTGCCTCCAGTTGGTCAAGGCTTTCTTGAACGAGCGCATTGGCTTTATCGGTGATCTCACGGAGAGCTGCACGAATAGTATCCCGATCGCGAGTTTGCAATCGGGCATCTTCAAGAATGAGTTCTTCGGAGTCATCTATATCACCATAGCGGAGGAAAGCCCTCGAGAGAGCACGGTACTCTTTCTCGCCGAGAGGACGTTTGGGGTCCAGTGAGGCACTCTCATCTTCGCCATCGTCAATATGAACTTGAGCTCGCGCTAGGCGCTTCGCCTTACGTTCCTCTCGCGAATCCTTAGTATCTGTGGGGGCATGACGTTTGCGAGGTCGGTTTTGTTCAATCACTTCAGCAAGGTAAACCTCATCATCTTTGCGCTTTTCCTCGGCCTTGATTTCATCGAGTTGGTCCTTGGGAATGATGTCATCCCAAGTAAGATCGTCGACTTTGATGTCGACGAAATCGAAAGCTTTCAGGAACTCCTCACCACCGTCAGCCTGTATTTGCTCTGCCTCCTCTGTCTGGTGCAGTTCTGCATTCGCGAGAACAGAGTCGATGTCGAGTTGCTCCAACTTCTTTTGGTTGTCAGTTTGCTCGAACATCTTCTGGCCACGGCGTTTGAGAATACGAGAGATGTCATCGGTAGAATTGGGCTCGCTGACGACACGAGCCATCTTGTTTTGCATCTCAGACGCTTCCTTGTCCGTGACACCACGCTGAATAGTAATGAACTCGAGCAGGAGCTTGTTACGAGCTCTCTCAATGACCTCCTCTTCGATTGTATCCTTCGACACAAGACGGTAAACACTGACAGGTCTTGTTTGACCGATTCGATGGGCTCTTGCCATGGCCTGCAAATCAGCCTGGGGGTTCCAATCCGAGTCGAACAGAACAACAGTGTCTGCAGTCATCAGATTAATACCCAGGCCACCAGCACGGGTGGAGAGAAGGAATGCAAAATCGGTGCTACCGGGGGCGTTGTAGTGCTCAATAGCCAGGCGACGCGCGGCGGACGGGATGGTTCCATCGAGACGTTGGTATTTATAGCCGCGGTATTCCATATATTCACTCAGAATGTTGAGCATGCCAACCATTTGGCAAAAGATCAGAACGCGATGGCCATCACCTCGCAGCTTGCGGAGAAGCTGGTCGAGGAGCATCATCTTTCCACTACTGGTAATCATCGCACGAAGAATGTCTTCACGGCGAGAGCTACCTTCCAAGATCTTGGCTTCGGCGTTGGGGAACATGAAAGGGTGGTTGCTAGCCTTTTTCAACTCCATCATGATGTTCAAAAGAGATTGCTTCATTCCCCTGTTTCCGTCATTCAAGGCGGCGTAGTTCTTGGTCAAAATGTTCTTATAGTATTCCAATTGAACATCAGACAATTCAACACGAATAATCTTTTCGGTTTTAGGGGGAAGGTCAGACTCGACCTTGGACTTGGTACGACGCAACATGAAAGGTTGAATGGCGTCTGTTAGTTCTGCCAGCTTTTGCGATGCAGCCTCGGAATTCAGATCCATATCCACATCGACTTGGATCAAACCGGGGTTGAGGAAGTCCATCAGAGCTGAGAGTTCAGCGAGGTTGTTTTGAATTGGAGTACCGGTGATGAGAAGACGGGCCTGGCACTTCCACTCAAACAACTTCATATAGAGTTGAGAGTCCCGGTTTTTGAGACGGTGGGCCTCATCAACGGCCATAAACTGCCATTTGAATTGGCCAAGGAAAGGGGAATCGTTCATTGCGTACTCGTAGGTGGTTAACAAGACATGGAATTTTGGACGCTTGGGATTCCCATCTACCATCAGCTCGTAATCACGGAGGACGGAGCGAGCTTTTTCGCTGCCGTTGTAGACCACGTAGTTGAGGTCCGGTGTCCAATTGTCGAATGTGTCAGCCCAAGCTGGCATAGTGGAAAGGGGGACAATGACAATGAATGGCCCTTGCTGCCGTCTAACATGTCGCATCCAGTTTATGAAAGAGACGGTTTGCACGGTCTTTCCGAGACCCATCTCATCTGCCAGAACCACATTGCGACCTCTGACCCAGTTGAAAGCCAAGAAGTTGAGACCCTTGATCTGGAAATCCTTCAGCTCTCCGTTTTGTAAAAAGCTGGGAGTGCCGTGAATGGGCTCGAACGACTTGCGTGTGGCTAATGTAGTCTCGTTCTTGTCAGATATAGGTTGACGAGCAGTGCGATCCAAGAAACGATCGATTTCGCGCTGTGCAATCTCGCTGACAATATCTTCGGGCTCCCATGTACATGAGTCATAGAACAGGCGCTTCCATTTGACGAGGTATTCGGTGGTACCATCATCACTGTCACGTACACCGATGACCCGCTCAACCATTTTATAGTCTTCGATAGCCTCGACGTCACGTTCGCGATCAAGGTTCCACTTTTCCCTGTCTTCCGGAGGGACGTCAACGCCATACTGTAAGCGGATATCCTCGTTGAGAACCTTTCGAACGTAATTGTCAACGCGACGCGTGCTGCGGAAGTTCGACATAGACTCATTGTTTTCCCAAGTGGCATGATAGTGAGACTTGTCTTGCCACTTGATGCAAAATTCGAAGTCATTACGGTCGACGTCCTGAGTTTGGGGGTCAACGCCCTCCTTGAGGCGGTGATTGAGAACCACATCGACGGCAGGCCGGTTGTCCTCAGCATAGGTTTCTGCCCAGTAGTTCGGCGGAAGGTCCTCTGGGTCTTCTTCAAACATGGCTTCGTCTTCGTCGTCTTCTTCATTGTAGTTCGATACCTTGTTAGCGGTTCGCGTTGAGAAGCGAACTTCATTCAAGGAAGGTTCATAGCTTGTCGTGTGTTGGAGACGTCGCCTCCTTGCTTTGCTTGCACGAGCACTCTTTCCTCCATATTCATCACTGTCTGACTCCGAAAGTGATGACACGGTGGCGGACCGTGAGGCTTTAGAAGGTTGTTGAGATGTTTCGGTACGCCGACGCTTCGAACGAGGCGCGACAATATCGGACTCTGAGTCAGACGAGTCGGCGAGGTGACGTGTTGTGCGAGCGCGACCACTTCGACGAAGTCCATACAGGTCGGGATTTTGTCTTATTAACTCGGTTTCGGAGACCGGCGACGATCCGCGCCTCCCACCGCGAGCTGAGGCAGGGGATGAAGAGTTTTCACGGCTATATGGATTGGCATCATCTTCATAGTTATCCTCCGCAGCATCATCATCCTCAGCATCTGATTCCGCAGATGCGCCATCATATGAGTCGTCCGCGGCATCGGGTTCGGGGGAGGACTCGGACACGGGATGTACATCAAAGAGTTCGGACGGGCTGCGTGCTCGTTGTGCTGCCGAATTGGCTTCGCCATGACTATCATCGGCGAATGGTGAAGCAGGGTAGGCGTTAGACATTGTGGCGGTGGAAAGAGGCTCTTGAGCAGATGGGATCACCATGCCAGAGGCTATAACCGAGGGGCAGTCAGCATTGAAGCTCAATTCGGGCTGGGGCAGGCATGAAAGAGGCAGAGATGGGTAGAATGAAGTCACGCGATCCAGATTGTGGTAAAATAGAGCTATAACCCCGGCAGAATAGGCCAGGATATTAGGTTTGATGGAAGGGTATGTTTTTTGATGACGGGTGGGATGGACGCGGCGGGACGTCAAGAGAAAGCAATGGCCAGGTTGGCACACGCAGTCAGACTCGAAGAAACCAGTGACGCGTTCCTCGAAAAGCCCGGACCATCAAGACAGAGATCGGAGCAGAAATAAGGTATTCAAGGATTCGTGCAGTGGGTCGAAGAGCGCGGAGATGTACCGCGGCGAACGATTCGGGCGACGACTCTGAGCTCGAGGAAAAGATAAAATCACTTACACTCCATAGCGTGGTGACCCCGAAAGCGGGGAATCGGGAGATCAATGTGGAAAAGAAAATGGTGGGTGGGGGAGAAGCGTTGGCTGGTATGGGGGAAGAGGAGACGAGACTTGGAAGAACAAGAGGATTGGGGACTGGAGGGTTTGCTTCATCTGACACCCGATCTTTCAGGCAGAAGAAGGCCTCCCGATGTAGACTAGCGCATTCGCTTGCCGCCGGCATCTGGCCAAATCACGTGGCAGGCGGAACAATAGATGGTCCGGTGCTGACCAACAGCCAATCACCGCTTTGATAAATAAGTGACGCAGTTTTGGCCTGAGGCATACCAGCCCACAATACGAAAGAGAATGCATTCAATTCTGCCGCCCCTCGATCATTGATAGTGTGTTCTGTCTTCTTTGCAAAGTCGAGTCTGCGCGGACATTTGGTGCTTCTCTGCACTCTTACATACCTGCGACAGCACTTTTCAGACCTAACCAACGCAACCCCCCACGTCTACTCTCGACTCGTTCTTTTTTATCTTTTTCATACCCGATTCAGGTTCTTTGAACCACATCCACCACCATGTCTGACAAGCTTACACGGTATGTTTTGAGAGCTCTCGGAGTCCTTTATACTCTACTAACGTGAATTCCCCTCGATAGTATTGCGATCATCAACACTGACAAGGTTCGTCGAGAAATACCCCACTAATACCGTTTTCTCTCCGGTTCGCGACAGCGTGGCTCACATCACATGTTTTCAACTCTATAGTGCAAACCGAAGGTATGCGACTCTCTACAATGTTCTTTTGGTTGTATCAGGGGCTGATCGGTTACAGAAATGTCGTCAAGAGTGCAAGAAGGCGTGTCCCGTAGTCCGCTCCGGAAAGCTTTGCATTGAGGTCGACCCTACCTCCAAGATCGCCTTCATCTCCGAGCGTCTGTGTATTGGTTGTGGTATCTGCCCCAAGAAGTGCCCCTTCGGTGCCATTCACATTATCAACTTGCCCACCAACCTCGAGACCCAAGTCACCCACCGTTACTCGGCCAACAGTTTCAAGCTTCACCGTCTTCCCATGCCCCGCCCCGGTCAGGTTCTCGGTCTTGTTGGAACCAACGGTATCGGAAAGAGTACTGCTTTGAAGATCTTGAGTGGCAAGCTCAAGCCCAACCTGGGTCGTTACGATAACCCTCCTGACTGGGAAGAGATCCTGAAGTACTTCCGTGGTTCCGAACTGCAGAGTAAGAACCACCCAGATACAATTGGAGGACATGAAGGAAACTGACTTGAGTAGACTACTTCACTAAGGTTCTTGAGGATAACCTGAAGGCTGTTGTTAAGCCTCAGTATGTCGACCAGATCCCCCGTGCCGTGAAGGGCCCTATCCAGCAGGTCGCCCAGCTCATCGATGCCCGTTCTCAACTCGACAACAAGGAGGAGATTATGGACGTTCTTGGTTCGTCTTGATTGTTAATTGTATTATTTCGAAAAAATCGCTAATATCTGCCCAGAACTGCGCCAGGTTGCCGAACGTGATATTGGTCACCTTTCCGGTGGTGAGCTTCAGCGTTTCGCCATTGGTCTGGTTTGTGTGCAGAAGGCCGACGTGTAGGTTCTGCGATGCATAATGTCTAGTTCTAATACTAATAATGAATCAGGTACATGTTCGACGAGCCTTCCTCATATCTCGATGTCAAGCAGCGTCTGGCTGCTGCTCGCACTATCCGTGGCCTTCTCCGTCCCGACGACTACGTTATTGTTGTTGAGCACGATTTGTCTGTGCTTGACTACCTTTCTGACTTCATTTGCGTGCTTTACGGTCGACCCGCTGTTTACGGTGTTGTCACTCTTCCTTCCTCCGTCCGTGAAGGTATCAACATCTTCTTGGATGGTCACATCCCTACCGAGAACTTGCGTTTCCGTGAAGAGTCCCTCACTTTCCGTCTTGCTGAAGCTGGTGAGGACTTCATTGTCGACAAGGATCGCGCCTTCTCCTACCCTGCCATGGAAAAGACCCTTGGTGGCTTCCACCTTAAGGTCGAACCCGGAAAGTTCACTGACTCTGAGATCGTTGTCATGATGGGTGAGAACGGAACCGGAAAGACCACTTTCTGTAGAATGCTTGCTGGTGCCGAGAAGCCTGACGGTCTCATCTCCGTGCCCAAGATGAACATCAGTATGAAGCCTCAGAAGATCACCCCCAAGTTCCAGGGTACCGTCCGCCAGCTGTTCTTCAAGCGTATCAAGGCCGCGTTCCTGTCTCCTCAGTTCCAGACCGACGTCTACAAGCCCCTCAAGATGGACGACTTCATTGACCAGGAAGTCCAAAACCTGTCTGGTGGTGAATTGCAGCGTGTCGCCATTGTCTTGGCCCTGGGTATTCCCGCTGATATCTACCTGATTGACGAGCCCAGTGCCTACCTGGACTCCGAGCAGCGTATTGTCGCCGCCCGTGTCATCAAGCGTTTCATCATGCACACCAAAAAGACCGCTTTCATTGTCGAGCACGATTTCATCATGGCCACCTACCTCGCTGACCGTGTCATTGTCTTCGACGGAAAGCCTTCCGTGGACGCTCGCGCCAACACCCCCGAGTCCCTCGTCACCGGTTGCAACCGCTTCTTGAAGAGCCTGGACGTCACTTTCCGTCGTGACCCCAACTCTTACCGCCCCCGTATCAACAAGAACAACAGTCAGATGGACCAGGAGCAGAAGTTGGCCGGTAACTTCTACTTCTTGGAGGAAGAGGCCTGAACAGGGCGTCTTCAATGAGCACTGTCGCTGCCGTCACAAATATGATGGCCGTGGCTCTGAGCAGCGGCGCAACCGGCGTCGCAGCAACAGACAGATCATGTGGTTAATGGAGTTCCCAGGCGTTTGTGTAGCCGTGGTGGTCCAAGGCAAGGGACAGCATCGCTGCTCCGGGTCCTTTTTCGGTGGCGGCGATAGTCCCTCGGACGACACTGGCGATGACGATTTAAATGGCAGCAATGACTACGGCTAATGAAGGGGAGGTTGACCCGATTGGGTTCACCCCAACCATTCCCCGGTCTAGTACGCTCATTCATTTTAGCGACCTGCTGCCATTCGTCAATCCATCATCAAAGGCCTATGTCGTTATTCGCCTTGCAACCACCTTCTCTGGATTTGTTCGACATATTCAGGGACATCGGCTACCGAACGGGAACACATGTCCGCAGATCTTTCACACATTTACAATTTTTTGATCGTGAACAGGGATCGGCATAGTTTGTTCCAACGGAGTTATTTTACATTAGGTTGGAGGGTTTGGGTTTTCAAAAGTTTTTTAGACTTTACGCATCGGTTCCATGATGGATTTTTTTTTCGAACTGGATTGGTCCTTTTTCAGGCCGGGGATGGCATGGGCTGAGCTGCAGGGTTACCTTATTTTACTTTTAGTTGGGTTTGACCTGCCTGCAGATTCTTAGAAATGTTATCTTTTATCTCGTTCAATTCAATTTAAGTTTCCAGTGTTTTGTTCTTCCGTTAAAAGTGATTGTAGTTAGGGCACGCAGGCCGCCTGATTATATATTTCCACAATAGGAAATACGTATAGCCTGATTCATTTATGAGAATCAGCGAAAGAAAATAGAAACAGACCAATCATAAAATAAAAGAAAGAGCTCATTGTTCAAAGACAATCTTGTTTATCTTCAGATCACAGTAAGTTATGTTTAATTCATACAAGTGCGACATCGCATTACAGGAGGCCTATCTCGGCACCTTCAGACTCTATGAACAACCCCATCCCTTGATAGCACACGACAATGGGTCTCACTCAGACTGGCAACCAGCTAGCTAAACCAGGGCTAGGACCGGCAGCTCTACTTAAGATACTCGGTCACTATGAAGAGAAAGTTTGGACAAACGACCTCAGACGGGCACGGAATTGGCTTTGGTAAAAGTGAAGAATAATGTTGAATAAGAGGTCATCGGTGGATTACCATCCACCTCCACTGGTACTATGATTGCCCTATGCGTACATGATATTGGAGTTTCCCTATTTGTCTCCATCAAAATCAGCATCGATTACCATGCACAACGAACAGAACTTTGACTGTGTATTCGGGTTGTATGTTATCCCTAGATGAAAATAGAAGAGACCTCAGGACTCTATCCCCCAATGCTGAGTTCTGATATCAATCGCGCTTGTTATTCTGGCCTCGATTGAGTTAGAAATAATTAAGCAATTTACTCCTCTTCTTCAATCTCGCCTTCTTCACTGCCAGAATGGATAGCCTTCTCATCTTGCTTGGTATCCTGCTTGGCATCTTGCTTTGTATCTTCTCCCTCTTCAGGAATGGCGGATTGCTCTCGACGAGGAGCCCGAGAGCCCCTGCTACGTTCCCGCTCACGGCTATCACGACGATAGCGCTTCGCAGACCGGCTAGCAACGCTCTCAGAATCACTGTCGCGACGGCGTCGACGGTCTCCGCTGGCCACACTGCGAGTATCGCCGCCGCCACCATAGTCAAGTTCATCACGCCCACCACGGGGGTCACCTCGGGTGCGGTAAAGACGCTCGCGCTGGTCCTCACGTGGATCGGCATCGCGGGCAGAACGCGAACCACGATCGAAGTCGCGGTCTCGAGAGCGGTAACGGTCCCGGTCACTGCGTTCATCGCGGCGGTCACGGGACGGGGAGATCCCACTGACCTTGCGATAGGTTCGCTCACGGTCTGCTTGGGCCTTGCGGCGGTCTGCTTCGTATGCGTCGAGTTCTGGGGTTCGGCTGACTCGTCCACTTGGTCCACGTCTTTCTCCTCGACCGCTTCGGTAGTCACGATCGCGATCGTAATCCCGTCGACTCCCACGGCTTTGGGCGTGTTCACGGTCCTTCTCTGCGTCTTCGTCGCGTTCTTTCATGCGGCGAATTGTCTTGTCAAAGGCAGCTTCTCGAAGCTCATCCGATTCAACGGCTTTGTATTCTTCATATTTCTCAAGGCGAGGTTGGACTTCGCTCCAGGTATCAGTCACCCGGACAGGTGGCTCCAGGCGCTTAATTCGAAAACGCAGGGCATCTGCGGCACGGCGTTGGTGGCGGTCTGCAGCATGCTTCTCTTCTTCATTGCGGCGAGCTGCCTTGTCCTGAATACGCTGGAAAATAAGATTGAGGATATCGGAATCGAGTTTAGAGGTGCGGCGGTCAGCAGTCATAATGGCGTTGAATTCGTCGAACGATGTTTCAGTGTTGACTTCGAATCGTTTATCCTGCGTTTGTTAGCTTCATTAGTTCAATTGTTTCCAAGAATTGTAGCTCACATCGAGGACATCCAGAACATCATTTCGGGGACCACGCAACGACCGCTCCTCTTCTTCAACCATATCCCAGAAGAGGTCAAGAGGGGTCGATCCAGATTGTCCAAGAATACCGTGATACCTGGGGTCATCTTGAACCAGCGGACAGATGTTCATCCACTTGCTGCCTGCCTTGATTTTTCCTTGAGATCTGAGCTCTTTGAGCAGCTCCAGGAACTGCTCTCGGCCCTTGCGCTCCTTTCGGGCTCTCGCGGCCTTGTGCTGCTGGCGCGCATCGTTAAATGCGCGTTCTAAGGACTTGATGTGGTTTTCAAAGGCGGTCAGAATGTCAGATTTGCTTAAGGTCTTGAACTTGTCATCACCCTGGAACTTGTCATCAGACTGAATAATAGCATGCGCCTCGGACCACCGTGTGTACGGCTCCAAGTCCAGCGAGCCGAGGATGTTGACCAGCTCATCCATAGCGGCCTTTCGAGTGACAGCCTCCTGTTCAACATGAGTCTTCTTCGCTTGAAGAAGATATTCCTCGAAGAGTTGGCGTCTCTCGTTTTCATCGTCGGTAGCGCGGAAAGTGGTCTCGCCTTCAATGATGGGACGAATAGTCTTCCAGCGACTGTAGTGCTTGATTTCGGGATGACGCTTCAGCATGGTGTTGAAATCGGCGCGGAGCTTCGCGAATCTTTCCTTCGCTCGGTCCTTTTCCTGCATGCGAACGTCGACCGCGTATTTCTCAAATGCTGCCTTCCGGTCTCGCGGGTCTTTCAGAGCACGGTATTGGGGGTCTTTGATGGTAGCGCGCATTGTCTCCTCCCACGTCCAATCAGGCTGGACATTGTGTCGCTTGAGCAGCTTCATGAATGCGCTCTCAGCTTCCTCGAGAGAATTGTAGTCGGGATCAGTTTGTGCCTTGAATTCGGGAGCGGCGACTGCGGGATTGTTGTCATAAGAGCCGTATCCAATGCGCCGGTCACTGTATCCACGATCACCACGTTCACCTCGCTCGCCTCGGTCGTAGTCGTCACGGTCCCGGTGTTGAGACTGCGGGGCGTAGCTTGAACCACCTGCGACATAGGATGAACCACTAAAGTACGGTCAACACAGGTGCTGGGAGGTCCAGGAGGTTACTTACGCGACTGGGGCTGCTGGAGGAGCCGGCGCTTGTGCAAGGGCATTCTGGTATTCCTCGGGCATATCCCATCTGCTGGCCTTAGTTTGCGCGTGATACCAGTACTTGCGCCCGTCAGCTGCAGTGTGTTCCCTCCAAGGCTGATTTTCTAGCGCAATCTAGAAAGGAGTTAGTCCAGTACAGAACAACGAGTTTAGCACATACCTCGACCGCGGTCATCAATTCTTGCGGCTTTGTCCATTGGGTCGCTTTGGTCTGCACATTGTAATAGTACACGCGTCCATCGGTATTCCGCGCCTCCTGCCACAAGGCAGTTGAGGTGTCGTTGGGATTCATGGCGGATGCGTGAGCGAGAGAAAGAGGTGAAAACGGAGGCTTGATGAAGCTCCGCGTGTTTGCACAGTTTGCACCGACCACTTATCGTTTATCTCCTGAGACTCGACGCTCTTTCAACTTACATGCGACGTAGCTATGCCTGGCTTGGAGATCCCAGGTGAATTTCTACGCCATGCAATTCTTGATACAGTGGTCCCTCATGCACCTGCGCTCGATATCGAGGGGGCCCTGAGCTCGGCCTTGGAGGACGGAGCTGATGATCTCCCCTCTGTTTTGTCTTCAATTCCGCAGCGATCTCTCTTGTTTTTTGGTATGCAAGTCACCAGTCTTCTGCGCCTAGTCTTGCTTACTAAAATTTCGCAGATGAATCTGTCCCCGTTCGCATTGTTTTGCGACTGTCCGATTGTTCAGAGACCATCCTGAAGCACTATCTACCTCGACTTGAAGTTAAGCTCGACGTGTTTGCAGTTGACCCGGCCGAGTCTGTTGCTGAAAATCCCACGCCCACTAGAGACATCATAAATTCGGGCATAGTACGCGGTGAAGAGGACCCGCTCGTTGTTTTCAATGAATTTGAGGGCGAGGAAGGCAGTGGTAACCATGTTTACTTGGTCTGGAACATTGATGCCACACTCAGTGAGTTTGAGACCGGGACTCGAATGAGTAATGACTAACTAAGTTATGCAGAACGACCCCGAATTCGCATCCAACAACCATCACTTTTGTTTATTGCATCTGCTAGCCTAAGCCCGTCAGATGGCTGTCGCCAAGAGGACTCGGATGATGACTACCTCCCCTCGCTCGTTCCAGCATCGTCAAATATGCTTCAGCCTTTATCTGGGGACAAATCAATCGGTCACAAAGAGCCTTTCCTTCCTGCTTCCAGGCTCTTGAGAGTTGTACCAACAACATACAACGAAGACCCAATATATAACATTCAGCAACAACACGGCCAGCCTTTCCGTGTTGTACCTGCAGCGAGTGCAAGGATACGATATTCTCGACTCAATTCATACACTGGCCGTCCAACCACTATTGCCAGTCTCGACTTTGAAGTCACGCCGTTTTTGAACAACCAAGTCTCATTTGACAAAGCCGAGCTCCAACTATCTGAAGGGACAATCGAGTCATTATCTGACGTACCGGGTCTCGCTCTCCCATTGACATGCTACCCCAGAGACGATGTGACGCTCATGTACAAACTCACGCCAGAGTACGGTCCCGAGACGAATCTTTCCTCAACTGCCACGTTTAGCGTGCTAGATATTTCACTTGGAGCAACAATTCTTGTGGATGATGATTGCAAACCGCGCATTTCTATGCAGTGGAGAACCAACGTCGACTTCTCAGTTGCCCTAAACCCTACTTATGGGGGTCCAAGTCCGGCACTGCAAAGAAACAACAGACCTACTAGTCTGTCAGTGTCAACCCAAGCTGGTACACCATCCAATAACCGTAGCTCACTGCGAGAACGGGCATACTCGGTTACTGATGTCGGTATCACTATATCTTTCTCTGGGCCTACTCGTGTCCAAGTGGGTACTGTTTTCTCCTGGGATGTATTCATTGTGAACCGATCAAATGTCCCCCGCAAATTCGCTTTGATTGCAGTACCAAGAAGAAAACGCGTGGATCCACGGGGACATGTTGCTCGACCTTCCTCGTCATCCATCAATAGCCGAAAGGAGGACCATGTGGCTGAGGCAGTGACAGACGACAATATTGTACACGCCAGACAAAAGAGTGTAGCCGGTCAAGAAGTTGAGCTCATCAGTTTGAGCACAGATATTCGCGTGGGGTAAGTTCTCTGTTTTTCTCACCTCCAGTCCTCTGCTAACAGATCCAGACCTCTCATGCCGGGAACCTGCCATTCAACCGAGCTCAAACTCCTACCACTTGCCACAGGCCCCCTTCACTTGGAAGCTATCCGACTTGTAGATCTGAACACGAATGAAACGACCGATATCCGAGACCTACCGGACATCCTGGCAGATGATCAGCCTCGCTCCAGTTGAGACATCGCTGCGCAGTATATAATACCCACGGAAATGAGCTACTCTATGAGTCATGCGAATTTAAAAAAATTTAAACTCTGAACAAATGTGACGAAAAAAAAGTGAATAATGATTGAGCATTCGGACTTGTACACAACGAGCTGGGTATTGACTAACCGATCCCGCAGAGTAAATCGCCCGTTAGCCAGGAGACCTACAAACAGACTCCGATACTAGACTGCTACTGATTGTAATCGACCTCAAAGCTATGCAAGAATCAGCAATCTAGAGAGCCAGAATATGCCCAGTAAAATCTCCGGCTTCACCCCAATCCACCACAATCAACCTCAGTTCCTCGACATCGAATTTATAATCTTCCCCTCCTCAGAAATCAAATAAAGTTCAATAGTAGACAAGAAGCTATGCCCACTAAGCCCAATACCAAGCACCTGCTCAGCAAAGATCCGCATCTGCAACGGCATGAACAGCTCGGGATAAAAACCCATGATACGCTCCTCAGAGATGTCAACCACAGCAGAGCTCCAGTCATCATTAGAAGAAGCAAAAAGCATGCATTCAACCCCAGTATCCCCAGCCCACCACTCAGGCACAAGGTCGCCCCTTTTCTCCGCCTGTCGAAGGTACAGGCCGAAATCGCTCACGTTTGTGAACAAGTGCTGCATCACGTACGGACGATCATCCCACACACGCAGGCGGTAAGAATCAATGAGCAGCTTGAAGACATCTTTTTTGGAGCGGCTATCGAGCCAGGAGCTGCATCGGAGGGCATGGAAGGGGAAGAAGATTTCAACGTCCAGGACGGCGAATTTGTCTTTCAGGTGTGCCGTTATGCAATTCATCGCCGCTTTTTGTTCTTTTGTGCGGGTCTCAGAGCTGACTGCAGTGGATTCAGCTGCTTTGTTGATGGCTTGACTGCGGGTTGTGGCTTTGCAGTCGTCTTTGTGGGAATCCCAGTCTTGTTTCTGGCATGTCTTTGAGCAATACCAAATTGAGTTGCAGCCACCGCATTTCTTCAGGATCAGAGTATCGGACTCTGACTGTTTGCACTTGGCGCAAGTCATCTTGCCGAGAGAGTGATTTCCTGACATGATACTGTTGTATTTTGTTTATCTGGAGATATTAGCTAGGTTCATGTGGACGAGAAGGGAAAGTCAGGAAAGCTCATGGTTCGCTGTCAGATATCCGAGAGAACTGGTAGCTGAAATAATTGACTAAAAGAGAAGATCACAGACTATCTCTTAGACTACTCGTATTTAGGGGCTGTATACCTACATCAGACTACAACGACTTGGATCCATGAATGTAACCATACAAAGCTCACTTCTCTGATTTTGAGATCCATGACTACTCATGTACACCTCCACTACTCTTACATCATACCAAGGCCTAGTATTCAAGTGCGATGAAAACAGAAAAGATCCAAACAATCGTGAGCGGTCTCACTGCTCCGACTTCATCTCCTCCTCAAGCTGAGGTAGCACACTCTTCCGGCCCGGAACCACTCCGAAGAGCTGCTCCGCAAACATACAAAGCTGCAAATAGATCAGAGGATCACCATAGCGGTCCAGGAGGTCCAACATCTTATGAGGACGTTCCACCCCCCCCCCCCCTCCCTCTCCCAAGGCTCATCAGCGATGCCGAAGCGGATGAGGTTGTCGGTATTGCTTTGCGCCCACCACTTGGGAAGAAGACGAGCCTTCCGTGCAAGCTTCGTAGAGAGCTCGAAGAAGTCTCTCTTGACTATGGACTCGATGCCGGTTTGCATCAGCCGCAAGACGAACATGTCATTGAGATCGTCATCATCCCAGAAGCGGAGCCGCAAGGCATCGACGATTAGCTTGCAGATATCGCTCTCACTGCGATTGAATAGCCACTTTAGGGCCTTCAGTTGAGTGAGGGGCTTTGGCACATGTGTTTGGAGGGCAGGTTCGACCTTGCCCTGGCCCGCAGCCCGTCGTGCAACTGCTGCGAGTATTTTGGCGTGTTCGGTAACGCTTGCGCGGTTATCGGTGGGCTCTTGGTAGGTATTCTCGGGGTTGGGGTTTCCACATGTCAGCTTGTGGCGCTTCCAGTCTGCAACCTGGCAGTATCTGGAACAGTAACGTGCCCAGAGGCATCGGCCGCAATGTTTGCTGGTCTCGTCCAATGACGTGCCGCAGCCAGTGCAAACTGTGACTGTTCCCTGCGATTTCTCAGAGAGTGTGTCCGGTGTGAATCTGATGCGCTTGCCGCCTGGTTCGAGCCCGTCGGAGACAGAGGTAGATTGAGTGATGGGCTCACAGACTATGCTGTGTATTGTGAAGTCGGTCGCCTGGCAGTCTATTGGACAGTAGTAAACTGAACAACAAAGTCCACAAAACACAGGTGAATGTATTGCGTTGTCGCAGATAAGTCAATGAAACTCTGCTCTGACAGCAGAGCTAGAGGTTACTTCATACATGGCGAGCAGAGGGAATGGCTGAGTAACAAACTTGTGTCAGGATTGTTACAAAACAAGGGAAGCCAGATCCAACAAGAGATCTCCTGATGTAGATACTTGGAAAAAAAGGCGCGAAGAGAAGAATCAAGCTCAAATGAGGGAATGAAATGCGAAGAAGAAAAGTAAACAAGCCAGGGAATCCGTCAAGAAGAGCTAGCGCGTCTATAAAACCGAGGCAGTAGCGTAGGGCTAATTGCGCGTCTGGGGGCGGTTCAACCAAGACAGACAGGAACTGTCACCCCCCAACAGAGAATAGTCGCTTCTACCTTCATATGATTCATGTTTGCTGGTCCGTTGACACTTCCCACTGGATCACTTGGATATCGACCAATTTGCCCCCGCAAACAGAATTAGTCGATATTGATTGACACATTAAGCTCAGCAATAATGATCAATATACCACAACATACATTGATTGAGTTGTGTTTAGGCAAGTGATGTGTAAATCGGTGGCCAATTCTTCTCGTAGGAGACTCTGCTATGAATGGCATATATAACGCAGGCTGCACACATGGGTACAACAGAGACTAATGATCTTATATTATAATTCCCATATAATCTTAGCATCAAGACATCATTATGTCTATGGAAATTGATACAGCCTTTCAGCCACACGGTGTTTAGGATCATTTTGTCTCCGAGTTCAAGGCGCCATGAGATACAGAGACACCCAGTGTCAGTTGTCGTATCCTACACACAATCAGCCATTTTGACTACATACGATCAATGCTATGGTGCATACTTATGTTACACTGTGGTCCAACATTTTATAGTTCCCGCAGTTCATTGATGGCCTCTGATTGGCTGACAAAGATGACGGGGTAATCGACGACCAGGTGACTTTTTGTTAGTCAGGCGGAGACGCGGAGATGGAGATCTGCGTGGCTTCACACTATCGACATCATTCCTGACATCCCTCTATACAATTACATAACCCCGGATCTCTGGGGTTCGTATAGCGCAGTCCCTTGAATTTCATTGAGTTTGCGTCATACTGGCGCAGCCTCGCCCTCATCCAAACTCAGCGTTCTAATCCTCCAGTCATCATCCTCCATCATGATCTCCTCCGCGAAGCGAAAAGTCCTCGATGGACTGAATAAGAGATACATCTACGGTCGCGTGGTACGTGAATCCACCTAGTCCGACATCTCGCTGTCGCGCTGTTGCGCCCCCGGCCTGTTTGAAAGAGGCTAACCCTGTCGCCTGATGTCATTATTTTACAGCCTCTATTGCACACGATCATCTTTATCATCGAGATGGCCGTAGCGGCCCGGCTTGCTGCCAAATTCAACACCTACTATGCTGAAAAACCAGGTATGCGATTACCCGCCACATCCCGCTGTCCCACACTGACTCGTTATCTCTTGATAGTGCTTACGACGATGGTTACAAACGCTGTAAGCTACCCTCAGTCTAGCTCGATCATATACGAATGCATAATTGACAGCGCGGGAATACAGGTCCTTGGTGGCGTGGCCGATACTGTTGCTCAGCTGATTACGGCTTTCAGAACTCGTCGAGCCCAGACCTCTGAGAGCAGCGAAGACTTCCTTTCGATAGAGATTCATGATTTGGACAAGGAGAAGCCGCCAGCTGTCGGAGAGCTGGGCTTTTCCCGTCGCTCCCCTCCACCTTTTGATTTTGAACGTCTCACCAGGTTCATGGCCTATGGTTTCTTCATGGCCCCGATCCAATTCCAGTGGTTTGGCTTCTTATCTAGGGCATTCCCGCTCACCAAAACGAACCCAACTGCTCCGGCCTTCAAGCGCGTTGCGTTTGATCAGTTTATTTTTGCGCCGTTTGGTATGTTCCCACTCTGTTCTTCTTCGACTTGAGCTAATCCGATCAGGTCTGGCGTGTTTCTTCACCTACATGACCATTGCTGAAGGTGGTGGCCGGCGGGCATTGACACAAAAGTTCCGCGATGTTTACCTGCCTACCCTGAAGGCCAACTTTGTGCTCTGGCCTGCGGTGCAGATCCTCAATTTCCGGGTCGTGCCTATCCAGTTTCAAATTGTAAGTTCAGCAGCCCTGTGACAACCGAGCTTTCCTAACCTCTCCACTCTCTAGCCCTTTGTGTCAACCATTGGTATTGCGTGGACCGCGTACCTTTCCCTTACCAACTCCTCCGAGGAATCCTAATTACACGCTTCCAGCGAGTATCATGTTAACGACCGAGTTATAAACCGCAATCGCTTTTTTTTTTGGCTTTGTTTTGTTAGGCGCTTGGGGTAAACGGCTTTCATGTAAATTGTTCTTTGGGTTTTGCATTCCAAAAGGCTGGATATTGCACATTTGGGTATTAATGATTTGGTCTTTTGGGAATCGAATTTGCTTTTCACGTTACATGTTTCAGCGGCTGAGGCCATTTCCATCAGTAGACGATTACCCCAGGAACACCCGAGTCCGAGGCTACGAGGACCCTCAAGGCCCGGCCTTCCCCGTACTGACGGCAGCTCTCCAAGCTATACGGAGTAGGGAGCTATCGTATAGGACCGTTCAGCGCTCTATAAGAGAACAAGTCGCCTACAGTACTCAAGACAATTTTAAAATTTTATTCTGAGTAGAAATTGCTCTAATATCGAGCAATCGAATTAAAAAACCGCCGTTCTGACATTCCATAGTCCGGCAAAGAAATATGGCAGCTCTGACATCAGTCCCGTATCAGCCCGATCAGCTCTCCGGGGGAAGGTGGGGTACCCATGAGAAAGGTAGAGATATTGCTAATATACTTCTGCTACAGGGGTTTAATTCATTGACCAAAAAGTACCGCTTGCGGACGAATACATCACCGGTAAGTACTCGGGGGGAGGATGCGACACCTCTTCACCGGACCCCCACCAAACCCCTCCACTGATCGCGACTCACCGTGGCCTGATTAGTTCTTCTTTTCTTTCCCCTCCTCCTTTCTTACCATTGTTGACTCCCATATCTATCACAATGTCTCTCTCCAACAAGCTTCCCATTACTGATGTCGACCTCAAGGACAAGCGTGTCTTGATCCGGGTATGTCTCCTCCACAAGTACTAATCAATTACTGGACCAGCGACTAATTGGAGCAGGTTGATTTCAACGTCCCCCTCGACGAGAACAAGAACGTCACCAACCCCCAGCGTATCACCGGTGCTCTGCCCACCATCAAGTATGCCATTGAGAACGGCGCCAAGGCTGTTGTGCTCATGTCCCACCTTGGCCGTCCCGATGGTAAGGTCAACCCCAAGTACAGCTTGAAGCCCGTGGTCCCCGTGCTCGAGGGTCTCATTGGCAAGGATGTCATCTTCACCGAGGACTGCGTCGGTCCCCAGACTGAGGAGATCGTCAACAAGGCCACCGGTGGCCAGATTGTCCTGCTCGAGAACCTGCGTTTCCACGCCGAGGAGGAGGGCAGCTCCAAGGATGCCGAGGGCAAGAAGGTCAAGGCCGACAAGGCTGCTATCGATGAGTTCCGCAAGGGTCTCACTGCCCTCGGTGACGTCTACGTCAGTAAGTAGAAATCATCCCGCGCGAAGCTTGTTCCTAGCTCACAGATCGTAGACGATGCTTTCGGTACTGCCCACCGTGCCCACAGCTCCATGGTCGGAGTCGACCTCCCCCAGAAGGCCGCCGGTTTCCTCGTGAAGAAGGAGCTCGAGTACTTCGCTAAGGCCCTCGAGAACCCAGCCCGTCCCTTCCTCGCCATCCTCGGAGGTGCCAAGGTCTCGGACAAGATCCAGCTGATCGACAACCTCCTCCCCAAGGTTAACAGCCTGATCATCACCGGCGCCATGGCCTTCACCTTCAAGAAGACCTTGGAGAACGTCAAGATCGGCAACTCCCTCTTCGACGAAGCCGGCAGCAAGATCGTCGGCGAGATCGTTGAGAAGGCCAAGAAGTTCAACGTCGAGATCGTCCTCCCCGTCGACTACGTCACTGCTGACAAGTTCGCCGCTGATGCCAAGGTCGGCGCTGCCACCGATGCCACCGGCATCCCCGACGGCTACATGGGTCTGGACGTCGGCCCCGAGTCCGTCAAGCTCTACGAGAAGACCATCGCCGAGGCCAAGACTATCCTCTGGAACGGTCCCCCCGGTGTCTTCGAGCTGAAGCCCTTCGCCAACGCTACCGAGAAGACTCTCAATGCTGCCGTCAAGGCCGCCCAATCTGGCGCCATTGTTATCATCGGTGGTGGTGACACTGCTACCGTTGCTGCCAAGTACAACGTTGAGGACAAGCTCTCCCACGTTTCCACTGGTGGTGGTGCCTCCCTCGAGTTGCTTGAGGGCAAGGATCTGCCCGGTGTTGCTGCTCTGTCCAGTAAGTAAATGATCAAAAATAGATGGGTGGCGGGGGTTCAATAGCTTCTTCTGTCGTCTCGAGCATGTTTATGAAACTGTAATGTACACAGCCAATGAATTTTCTTTTTAATTACATCTTCCAAGATTCCTCGATTGGATAGCTAAGTTTGGTTTTGGTAGGTACGAAACCCAAACTTTGAGCGCCTTGTGCCATGGAGGGTTACCCAACTACTGCAAGGCAGTGCAAATAGAGTCCAATATAAAATGTTCATGTTTATCTCCATACCAGAAGAGGAGATTGTCGCATAGTCTTGGTAAACGCAAGGTTACCGATCACACCCAACTTCTTTCTTCCCGAGTAATCTCACAAACACAAACCCCGGGATCTAGCTTCAACCAGGAAGAAGATTCTCAAAACCTGAAGATCAAGGCCCATTCATATTGATGCAATTAAAAGTTCATAAATTAAACAAAACATTTCTCATTTCCCGACAAGTCCACGGCCCATCAATGGCAGACGAAACCACTCTTCCCTCCTTTCATTCCAACCCATTGAAGTCCATTGTTATGCAGAAACAGAGGGGTATATGTGGTATGCAAAATGGAGAGAGGCGATGAACTAGCCGACCGGTGTTGACAGCAATGTCGAAAGCGATGCGGGGTTCCTTCTCATCTAGTCTGTGGATGGGAGTGCGTGTCTCGTTTGGGGGTCGTGCTTGGTGTCTTGTTTAGGATGATGCTTCGACTTTCTTTAGTTCTTCTCTGTTGGAGGAATGTCTGTTAGCTGTGGGTTTGATGGAAGGGGTGTGAGGTCATGTCCGGGTTGACGATGAGATTCTGGTTTGGATTGAGGGGGTGGATGAAATGGGATATTGGGTGTGACTGAGCACGAGTGACTGTAGATTCGCAGTGCTGAAGCGAGATGCAGAACCATCGTCATCGTCATCGCTATCGCCATCGCCATCTCGGGTGGGTGTCTCGTAGGAGTGAATACGCACTGGAGCTGCTTGGAGAAATCCTCCGCGGCATCATCATCATCCCAGCTCTCTTCCCAGAGATGCTCGCTTCCACCATTTGCTGTCGAGCCTGCGGTAGGCTCGGCTTCTTCCTGGGGCCAGTCTGTATATTGCCAGGTTAGTGTGGGTGTTGTGGAAGGGTGTCGTGTTGCGGTATGGTACCTTCAACGGGGAAGTCTTCGAATTCGTCGTCTTCCTCTAGCACTTGGGGCTTCTGCTGCTGGGGCTGCTCTGAGAGCTCGGACTTTTGGGTAGACATTGTGTGTAATGTATGTATGTGTGTGTGTAGTTAAGGCAAGTGAGGTTGGAGTTGGAGCTGTCAGAGCTGAGAGCGGTGACTAAGGCGATAGGCGATAAGCCCGAACCTTTAGAACAAAGAATCGACAGTCAACTGGTGGGCGAATGGGGTGAATAGGCAATAGTCTGAACTATTTCATACGCGGAATAGACCAAACGATCGAGAATCAATCAGACCTCCATATCACAGATCCAGATCCAGATCCAGGCTCGGGCTCGATCTCGCTAACTACTTTGCCCCTCGGAGCTGCCGGCACGCCTAACTCTTAGGTCCATGGACTACATTATTTGGCCCCTCCCCTGAAACAAGATCCTCTGGACTTTCTTCTACTTGACTTCTTATCTCCAGGCAGATGTTCCCGGAACTTGTGCTCGTATTCGGATTTGAGTGGGACCGTTGACATTCTTCCCAATCCGGTGTTTTCTCACGCTTCGGTCTTAGGCATACTTGTTTTCCACTTTTTCACTTCTTCAACTCTAGGTCTGCACCATGTTGCGAGTCGGTTCATGGCTGTACGGCAAGAAGCCGACACAGTCGGTAGACTCGGTGGTCGAAATCAAAGACTGTAAGTGGCGCAGAACCTCTCCCCGATCGAAAGCGTGCTGACAGAATTGCGACAGTGGTGCAAGCGATGCAAGGTGGGCACCCGTGGAGGACACAATGGAGAAATCGATACTAATCCCAACCCCAAGCGGCGACAATGATCCTCAATGACGATGTCGACGGTGCAGAAGCAAATCTCGCTACGGGGTCCTCGACTTTCCACCTGGTGCGTGATCGGCACTATATCCAATGACGTAACCTCTCTGACTTCGATATAGTTGGGCAAAGGCGTGGTCGCGTTTGTACGAGCCACATTGGGATTCGAGCAGGAGATTATGCGACAAGGTGGAGATACTTTCCGGGTTCCAAAGCTCTCATACTGACTTGTGCAGCCTCCGAACGACTCGGCGAAGCGGAAACCAGCGCGAGCAACGACCAGACTCGGGCGCAACAGAACGCCAATGCCCCCAATGCCTTCCACTCGGACATCTATGCCCCCGGCTCGGAATATGCCCTTTGCCAAGCAATTGCCCAGTTGATGAGTGCCGTTGTAGGTGTACTGAACGAAAGCCTGACAGAAAGTATCAAGGCGTTCTATAGGCTGAGAAAGGCCTATATTACGCTAGACGCCATCATGAAGATGGAGGAAAAATTCATGGAATCACAAAACCTGAAAAAGCACTTACTTCCCAGCGCCAGTGATCTTTCGAAGTCGAGTGCCGAATGTCCGGAGGACAAGTCAGACTCGTCGAATCAAATCTCGAAAGACGACGGCAAAGTGGCCACAAATGCAAGCGCTGAGCTAAACCGATCCTTGAGCGGGTTGACCGTAGCTGCTGAAGCAGTATCTCCGGGTGCCTCAACGCCTTCTGCAAAGCACATCCATCACGATCCTGACTCGGAGATTTTCAAGAACGAAATTGATGTTTTTGTGCACTCCGGCTCTAATTTCTGTTTCGGAATCCTTCTTCTACTGATCTCCATGGTCCCTCCAGCATTCAGCAAGTTACTTTCCATTATTGGATTCCACGGTGACAAGCAACGAGGACTAAGAATGCTGTGGCAAGCCAGCAAGTTCCACAACTTGATCGGCGGTATGGCTGCCCTGGCATTGCTTGGCTATTACAATGGCTTCGTTCGCTACTGCGATATCATGCCCGACCCGACTCCTGGTGAGACCGATGTTGAAGGATATCCCCAGGAGAGACTGGCTGCTTTGCTGGCCGAGATGCGATCTAGGTTTCCTAAAAGTCAGCTCTGGCTGCTCGAAGAATCGCGTATGAAGGGTGCGAATAAGGACCTGGAAGGTGCTCTTGCGCTCCTCGACACAAACACCAAGAGTCCTCTAAAGCAGGTCGAAGGATTGTGCGTTTTTGAGAAGAGTTTGAATGCATTATTCTTGCACGAATACGAGGTCTGTGCCGAGGCATTCATTGAGGTGAGTTATTCGACCTAATACGAGGGGCGTCCCGCTAATCTTGTAGTGTGTGGATCTCAATTCCTGGTCCCGGTCCCTATATTATTACATCGCCGGATCTTGTCATGTAGCGCTATACCGAAGGAACATTGCAGACCCCAAGCTGGCAGAAGAACACGCCAAAAAGGCTGCCCTGTACCTCCGTGAAGCACCAGCCCATGCCGGCAAAAAGCGCTTCATGGCCCGCCAACTCCCATTCGACGTCTTCGTCGCCCGGAAAATCGCCAAGTGGGAAGCACGCGCCAAGGAGTGGAACGTGCCTCTCGTGGATGCCATTGGCGTGGACCCCGTCGAAGAGATGATCTTCTTCTGGAATGGCCACAGTCGCATGACGGAGGCGCAGCTTGAGGAATCCCTCACCAGACTAGCTTGGTGTGAAAGCGACGCAAACAAGACCTGGTCTCGCGAAGGCATTGAAGAAAAGGCCATCCTGGAACTTCTTCGTGCGGCTGTCCTGCGCTCATTATGCAAATACGATGAGGCAAAGAACATTATCCAGACTCGCGTGTTGAACCACGATAAGTCTCTGTTCAAGGGTCATCTGAAGGACGACTGGGTTCATCCAGTTGCGCACTTTGAAATGGCGGCTAACTTTTGGATGGAGCGTTCTACGTATCAGACGCTTCATGGGTTGTCTACAACCACCCCAGCCGTTGAATCTGACAAGACTTCCACCGCCTCTGGGAGTAGTTCTCAGATTGACACTGAAAGAAAGCAGGTGCGTCAGTGTAAGGAGTACCTCGACCACGCTGCTCGGTGGGAGAGCTACGAATTGGATGCCCGCATTGGTCTTAAGGTCACTGCTGCCATGGAGGCCGTTCACAAGTGGGAGAGCGTGCATCCATCCACTTAGGTGGTGCTCATGAGGGATTCAACAGGCAAATTAGGGGACACATCTTTGATATGGACACATGTATCATACCATATCACTTTATAGACTTGTTTAGAAGTTACGTTCTGTTCTGTACATCTATATCCATATCACGTGACGTCCAACATCGCCTTCTCTTACTGGCCAATTTCTTCTCCACACTCCGGAGATATTCCCAGACTGCGACACTTGAAGTATGAAATCTGGATGCGTGCAGCTGCGCACAAGCCATGTTAAACTCCCCATTCCTCTTGACTCTCTACGTCGAAATGGACTTGTACCCACCAATCGAGTTACAAGGGTCCCCAATAGTCCAACGCCACCCCAAACCAAAGGAACCGGATAACACGGCTTCGCCGCCATCGGAGGTCCGAAAAGCAAGATCCGAAAAGCTTGAATAAAGCAATGAGGGTCCCCGACTCCAGTAAAACTCCAGTGGACTGCAGTGGACTCCACGTCAACACCCGCCCAACCCATTCGTCTTGATTTGTGAGCCTGTGAACCGCCTGCCGTCTCATACCCACTTCGCCTTATATCCGGGCAATATCTTTTTCCATCGGAGATTTCGCTGGTGAATTTTTGGTCTCCAATTTTTTGTTTCTTCCCCTCAGCGGCTCTTCTCCAAGCTGCAAGCGACAACGAAGATCAATGTCCTGTTGACTTCATAACACTATCTCTCCAAAATGACAGAACAAAGGCCCCATTCAAATCGCACTAGCATATCCACCGATATAATCGATGTCGAATCTCTCCATATTGGCAACCATAACCGCAATCGCAGTCACAGCATTGACAGCGCCGTCACAGCACCCCTAGAAAAGCAAAACACCTCGGCCTCGGGGATATCGGTCTTTGAGCAGCGCGCGCAATCGGTCATATCGCGCATTCGGAGTCGCGAACCGGGACAGACTGCTAAATTTACTCATCCACTGTCGCATACGAAGACCACCGAAGATGCGATTGTGGATTTTGAAGGGGATGATGATCCTTATCGCCCGCTAAACTGGGGGTTTAGAAAGAAAGCTGTGACTACTATTCTGTATGGGTTGACTACTATGGGTACGTTTTGTCATGGATGTTTGGGCTTGGTGCGAATGAGGATTGTGCTAATTCGGTTTTTGTTTTCGATTTTAGGGTCTACTTGGGCGAGTTCTGTGTAAGTTCATGGTTTATGTTGCTTGGGCTGTGAATCGGGGCTAATGTTGTTAATAGGTATTCAACTGGCCAGGGTCAAGTCAGCCAGGAGTTTGGTGTTTCTGATGAAGTTTCTACACTTGGTACATCATTACTTTTGTTTGGTTTGGGATTGGGTCCTCTTATCTGGGCGCCTTTATCAGAAGTGTTTGGGCGCAAGCCTGCTGTGTTGGCGCCATATTTCCTCGCTGCTGTCTTTTCTTTTGGAACAGCGACTTCGAAAGACTTGCAGACTATCATGATTACTCGATTCTTCACGGGCTTCTTCGGCTCAGCCCCTGTGACAAATACTGGAGGTGTCTTGGGTGACATTTGGACACCCGAACAACGCGGAGCTGCCATTGTTGGTTATGCCATGGCAGTGGTGGGTGGGCCTGTCCTCGGTCCAATTGTCGGTGGTGCCATTTGCCAAAGTTATCTTGGCTGGCGATGGACCGAATACGTGAGCACCTTTCCCGCAATTCAACATGAATTTCCACTGACAGGTATTAGATCACCGGAATAATGATGATGTTTTTCTTAATACTGGATCTTCTCTTCGTCGACGAAAGCTACCCACCAGTCCTACTAGTCTACAAAGCACGCCGGCTTCGATTTGAAACAGGAAACTGGGCCCTGCACGCTCGCCACGAAGAATGGGACGTAACCTTCAAAGAACTGGGCAACAAATACCTCATCCGACCCTTCCAACTTCTCTCAACTCCAATCTGCTTCCTAGTCGCCCTCTACGCCTCCTTCGTCTACGGTATTCTCTATCTTTCGCTAGCAGCCTTCCCAATTGTCTTCCAAGAAGGACGCGGCTGGAACCAAGTCGTCGGCGCCCTCCCTTTCCTCGCATACCTAGTCGGCATCCTAATCGGTGGCGTCGTAAACCTCGCAAACCAAAGCTTCTACCTCAAACGCTTCAAGGCAAATGGCAATCGCGCAATTCCAGAAGCGAGACTGCCGCCTATGATGATCGGTTCTGTGCTGTTCGCAAGCGGCCTGTTCGTCTTCGGCTGGACGAGCCCGAAAAACATCCATTGGATTGCTCCCCTCATCGGCGCTGTCATGATGGGTTTCGGATTCTTTACTATCTTCCAGGCTGCGCTGAACTATCTTATTGATACGTTCCAGAAATATGCTGCTAGCGCTATTGCCGCCAACACGTTCTTGCGGTCTATCTTCGCAGGCTGTTTCCCTCTTTTCACTACCGCTATGTTTCACAACCTCGGTGTGCCTTGGGCTGCTAGTGTTCTTGGGTTCTTCTCTGTTGCGCTTATTCCTATCCCGTATTTGTTCTACACATACGGAAAGAGGATCCGCGCGCGCGGATTTTGGTCGCGCGAATCTGTTTGAGAGTACTGCTTTGGGCATTGGACATAATTTGTTGGTGGAAGCTAACTCTAACTTGTGCATTGTACATACTTGCGGCTTTGCCCCCTTGCATGGAGGATATGATACCCTTGAGTTACACCCATCCAACTCACCTTGTCGTTATGATTGATATAATGGAATTTACGAATGAAATACATACCTCAATGGTTACGGGTCTACCGGCTTATGAATGGAGGAAGGATCAATGGAGACGTTTCGATATATTAGGTGAGACAAAAATCAACAAAGCACAAAGCTCAGAGTAGACAAGGGAGAAAAAAGTAATGAGAGAATGGAAGTACGTATAAACGAACAAACATCCGATCTGAAGATCGCAATTGTAAAAACATACCCAAGATGCAGGAACAAACGCCAACAGATGGATACAAAGGAAATAGAAACAATAAAAGAGGGATTGAGGAATATTTCTTCCCTGAGTTCCCAAAGTGACACCTTTTTTTTTTTTTTTTTCTCTTTTGTTTTTTTGTCAATTTATTTTGCTGTCAATCATCTCCAACTTGATGTGAAGATCAAACTCGTTCTGCGACCAACGCGTTGTTACGGCGGGTGAGCTTGCGCGCCAGCATCTTAGCCTTTGACCAGGTCTTCTTCTTCTCGACACGAGCCATAGGCTCAGGTGAGTCAAGAACGGCGCCTGTAGCGAGGTGTTCCGTTGGAACATCATCGATATGCTTGGTATTGTGCAAAGCAAGAACAGCCATCTGCCCCAGGAACGAAGGATGCTCGATAAGGTCTTCAAGTCGAACTTTGAGCCCTTCCTGCTCAAGTAGCCAGGTAAGTTGGGCCAAATTGAAGATGTCGCCTCCAAGATCGAAGAAGGACGAGTCGAGCTGGAAGGTTGACTGATGGGAAGGCTTTTCATCGTCGTCGGGACCGATGGGTGCGGTGGGCGTGCGGCTGGGAAGAACCTGGTGCCAGGAGCGGGAAAGAATGTCAGAGTGCACAAGGAGCTCCGCAATGGAGCGAGACTTGAGGTGTGCGCTGAGGAAGTGCTCGTCTGAGGGACGGGAGAGGTCGTCAATTGTCTGGGCTGGGAGCGAACGGAGCATGCTGGCTGATGGCAGTGATGCGCTTGGGTTTGCCACTAAGGACTGTGCGATCTCGCATGCCATGTCGAGGACCTTTGATGCAAATGATGGCATGATTGGGCCCTTCTCAGAGTAGCCTAGGGTGACATCCAGTCCACGTTCGCCAGACGGGCGCGAGACCATAGTCAGGTCGGCAAGGTTGTCGTTGACTCCAACGCCGCCCATGCGGTACTTCGTAGAGTCCAGCTCCAGAGTGCCTTCGTAGTCAACGTTCTGGTGGAAAACCGAGGTGGTAAAGTAGGTCCAGGAGGGCCAGTCAGTGCATTGTTTGATGATCTCACGGAAGCCGAGAGACTCAAAAGGCATGTTGGAGACCTGTTGATCTTGAATATAGCGGAAGAGGTCGAGGCCTGTCATGTTCTCGCTGAGTTTTACACGCACTGGGATGACGTTAACACACGGCCCAACAGTGTTCTCAATTCCAGGGACAGTGGCGTTGCGGCCGCTGATTGTGAGACCGAAGACAACATCGCACTGAGCGGACAGTTTTGCCAGAGCGAGAGCCCAGGCAGCTTGCATGACAGTTGCGATAGTAACATTTCCAAGGGCACTTGGTGAAATTTCGATGCGCTTGTGGATCTCAGTAAATGCTCCGACATTTTGGAACATGCTGGTGCCTTTACGGCGCACAACTTGGGTCATTTGAGATCCCCTTAGTAGATCAGCCCAGTGGCGGTAGTGGTCAGGGCCAATTGTGCCCGGCAGCTGTCGAAGGTAGCTGGCATAGGGGGTGACTGGCGGCAGGGGGCTTCCCTCGTATCCGTGCTTGATGGCAGCCATGATCTTAGACAGACACACTCCGTCATACTGAGTGTGTGATAGACGAATCAAGATACGGTGCTGGTCGCTTCCCTTCTTCTTGACCACGTAGAATTGGACGTACTGCTCTCCTTCACGCGGCCCATACTCACGGTCACGCTGTTGGAGAGTCATGGTGAACTCATCGAGTGCACGATCAGTCTCGTAGACAAAGATACTAGGGCGTATCTTACGCAACACGACCTGGAAGAATTGGTCGTGGAAGCAAACAAAAACGGTCCGCAAAATGTCGAAGGCATCGACAACCTTCAGGCAACTCTCGCGGAGGCGGCGCAAGTCCAGAGGGCCGTTTCCTTCGAGGAAGAAGTAGTTGAGCATCCACCGTGACTTGAATAGAGTTGCTGTCAGCGACATAGCCTGGAAGTCCGTGACAGGAAGGACATCCGCGATTCCACCCTTGAAAACACCAATTTTCGGGCAAATTCCGCGCTGAACATCCGCGTCATCAACGCACGAGGACTTAAGCATTTCAATGCTTTCAGACGACGGGGTAGGTCTAAGAATTTTTGGTGCCAGCAATGTTGAGGAGGTTTCATAGAAATCATCATCCTTGGTAAGCGCAGATTCGGGTTGGAGATCCTGGTTCAGCATCTGCTGGGTGACGTTCGCAGCACGGACTGTGGAAACCATATCCGCAAAGACAGGATTGTTAAAGACATCCGCGACGGTGAGAACAAGGCCCTCTTCACGAGCGGCGCTAACCATCTTCATGGCGGTGATACTGTCACCACCCAACTTAAAGAAGCTGTCTTGGTGTCTCACCACGTTGGGCGAGAGGCCAAGAGCAGTACTCCAGAGGTTCCACAACTTCCTTTCCACATCAGCCGACACCCCATCCTCGCTAGAGCGAGATGTCGCTGAGCATATCCCCGAGTCATCAGCTCCCCGGACACCCGTCTGGTATGGCGACTCCGCTGTGGCGTAAGGGCGTACATAGTCAGACAAGCCAGTAGTTTCAATAGAGGGAACCTGCAATTTTCCATCTCTTAACATCTTTGCGATGATCTCATGAACACGGTCGTCGATAATCTTCTGAATGGCGGTACTATCCATTGCTTCTCCGGTGGACTTGGCTTTATCGGCGAGAGTGGTTTGAGAATGATCCCAATCCACAGACTCTGAAGAAGCGTCGGTACCAAATTTGACTTGCGACAAAGTCGTAGTTGGGGATTCAATAAATCCAGTGAATACTCTGGCAATGGTATCAGCCAGAGCCTGCGCCTGTTCCTCGGTGACAACATCGTTCCAATATCTCAGAAGAATGCCCTCTTGGCCACGAGCGATCTCAACATTCACAGTGACCGCATACTGGATTTTGTTAGTGAGTGAGGGAGTTGTGGTTAAAATGCACTTACTTCACTGGGGTCATGGGCGTGCTGAAGATCGAACGACAGACCCTTGTCCTTGGTGCCACCCGCGACTGAGTGGTTCTGGATGGACAGGGTTGTGTTAAACAGCGGTTGTCCTTGAATGCCAAGCTCATGCTGGATGCTGGCCAATGAGCAGCTTTGGTGGGGGATGCACTTGAAATAATCATCTTGCACGCTCTTGGAAAGATCAGTGAGCGTCTGTTGACCAGAGAACTGAACTCTACAGCACAGCATGTTAATAAATATACCAACCATGTCCTGGATGCCATTGACAGGGGCATCGCGGCCAGCAGACAAATAGCCGAAGCAGACATCATCAGATTGGGTGAACTGGCGTAGGACAATGGCCCAAGCGGACAGGGTGAGGTTGGCAAGAGTGACAGAGCTCTTTTCGCAAAAATTGAGCAGCTCAGGGAAGCGTTGGAAGTTCATCATTACTCCCTTGAGTTCATGTTCGAAGCCATATTCAGCGGTGTGGGCAACATGACAAGGTCGCACGCCTCTAAGATATTTCTTCCAGTGGCCAAGAGCCTCACTTTGACTTTGAGTGCGAATGAACTTGATGTAATCGCTAAAGGCAGGACCTGGGCCCTCGGGAAGCTTGCGCTCGTACGCGAGAGGTAGATCGCGAAGAAGAACATCGACGGAGCCGCCGTCAATGATGGCGTGGTTAATCTCAAGTTTCAAAACGACACATCCACTGTTGGTCTTGCATACGATCATTTGGTGGGACAGTTTCGATTGTCGCATGGCATTTGAGTCACGAAGAGAGATAGCAGCAAGCTTCTCTTCTACTTCAGAGTCGTGACATTCCACACATAGGATGCTGCTGGTGACGTTCTTGAGCACCAGCTGGTCGAATGAGCCGCCCGCGTAGCTGCTGTCGACAAAGATAGTTCGGAGCACAGGGTGACGATCAACGACTGCTTGCCAAGCTCGGGCAAGCCTCTCTGCGTCGACTTTTCCACCCTTTGCGTCCTTGATTTCGAACACTGTGTGGAACATGTAGGCGTTGGGATCGCGAAGCTGGCTGAGCAAGAGGCCCTCTTGCATAGGCGAGCAGGGGAAGATGTCCTCAACGTCATCCTTGTTACGTATGCCGGCCTTGCGGAATGTGCTCGTGGTAAGCGTCTGGAGGCCTTGGTAGGTGATGGGGAGAAGAGGATAATCGCTTAGTGTAGGCTCTGGAGTGGCAGTCTTCAGCATCATAATGTCCTTCTCGAGGGTCTGTTTGCATTGCATAATCCAGCGGCGAACCTGAGGCTCGTGCTGCATCTTGCGGTTGTAGTTGAAAGCCACGTTGAGACGCTCTTTGATGACGATCGCGGACAATTCGAACAGGGCAAAGCGTGTGGTTTGCGGGCCCATGTCACCTGCGACTGCAAAGTCCGAGCTGTCGAAAACACTACCGTGGTGGTGGAAGAGGGAGTCAGCGCGCTCCAGCTGTTGCAGTCGACCAAGATAATTAAACAGAATCTCCAATGGAACAGGGAAGCTAGAGGAAGCCGCGTCGTTCTGGAGAAGGCTTTTAGTAAAGAAGGGTCTTCCATTGTCTGTCAGTTTACGACGAGTGTCCTTGACTCGCTTTATAATGTCGGTAACACAGTCTGTTTAGGTTAGCCCGCGGTCAAAGACGCATCGTAAATGGGACTCACTGGTTTCTCCGTCGACGACGAGGGGTGCCATGGTGGTGAACCAGCCGACAGTCCTGGAGAGATCAATGGTGGGGTCCCATGGCTCTCTGCCATGTCCTTCATTGTAAATTGTGGGAACATTGCGATCTGTAAATGTGCGAGCAAAAGAGTGGATAATAGCAGAAAGTAGAATATCAACGGTATCAGTGCCAAAGACGTCGTGGCAGCCGTCGAGAATGAACTTGGTGGTCTCCTCACTCAAGCTGAAAGACTCCATCTTGAGATCGTCGTAGACATTTGGTGTGTCCTGCATACCCCAGTAGCTCAAGTTCGGCCTCTCAGGGGTGAAGGGGAGGGTGATAGTTGCGTCGTGAGTTTTTAATCTCTCGCTCTGCATGGCGCACCAGCTTTGGAAGGAGAGTGCCTTTTCCATAGACAAGGAACCAGAAACTACAAGCTCCTCAAGATCTTGCAGTACAATGCGCCAAGACACCATATCTATGCACAAATGATGAGCAACAAGGAAAAGAATCTGACCGCCAGCGCGAAGATTAAACAAATCAGCTGCAAGGATAGGGCCATTGTGAGGGTCCAGAGAACGCTGGCTGTCTGCTATCTTTGGAACCATTGCGCGGGTATCACCAACAGAGTGGACATTGAATCGGAAAGACTCGTCAACCTCTGTGGCAGTCTTTTGCTTCCAGACATTGTTTTTCGCGCTAAAACGTGCGCGAAGCATCGCATGTTGACCGATCACTGCCTTGATGGCTCGGCGAAGCACCTCAGCCTCAACGCGACGGGAGATGCGAACAGTGATACTCTGGTTGAACCGGGCGTCACCCTTGAAAGAGTGCGAGCTTTGCACGTAAAGCTTCTGTACAGGTGAAAGGGCAAAACATTCACCAGTCTTCTCCTCGTGCTTAGTGACGGTGACCTTCGTCCCCGCTTTCTGAGCAAGCTCTTTAACAGATCGACTCTGCAAAATGTCGTGCAGTGTAACAACAAGGCCTTGCTTGCGGGCTCTGGATATGACAGCCATACCAGTGATACTGTCGCCGCCTGAAAAAAATCGATCAGTATTCCATTTGTGAAAACAATTATTAGACGGAACTTACCCAAACTGACAAAAGATCGGTCGACATTGACCTTTTGCAAAGAGATGTTGAGGACCTGCGCGAAGATCTCGCGGATGATTTTGAGGGAGCCAGTCTTTTCCTGCTCTTGTTGCGGCTTCGCCTCAGTCTTACCGCGCTTGATGCGATCATAGTCAGCCATGATACGCTCATAAGACTCGTCATCAATATCCTCAATCCAGGCGGTAATCTTCTTCCTGTCAAGCTTGCCCGAGACAAGCATGGGAAGTTTTTTGATGAGAGCCCAGGTCTGGGGAACCATGTAGATTGGGAGCTGGCCCTCGAGACTCTTCTGAACATCCACCAATTCATTATAAGCGTGACGCTCAAGCTCATCCTCGTCAACAAGCTCGCAAGGCTTGTCCGAAATCAATTTGGTATCAGCGGCAACACTGTTCAGAGACATGACAGTTACAAGGCGCTGCTTGAGCGGGCCACTCTTGGGCAGAATGACAACGGCGTGGCGAACACGAGTATCTTCGTACAAACGGTGTTCAATCTCACCAAGCTCCATGCGCTGGCCGTGGAGCTTCACTTGGTGGTCCTTGCGGCTGATATATTCAATGGACCCATCGGGGTTGTAGTAGCACAGGTCACCAGTCTTATAGATACGCCGAGGGCCGTCGACCTTGGATTCGAAGTCTTTGATCCAAATTGGATCAGTGACGAAAGCCTCGGCATTCTTCTCGGGATTTTTAAGGTACTCTCTTGCAAGAGCAGCACCTTCCAGAGCCAATTCGCCGACCGCACCAAGTGGAGTGAGCCGGTCGTGATTGTCAGGATCGACAATCCACGTCAGAGTGCTCGGGATACCATAACCAATCCGTGCAGGATCACGGCTGGCGGCGACTGCATTGTCAATCACAGCAAAGACGCATGTTTCGGTCGGGCCATATCCATTCATAAGATGGACAGTGTTGGCCCACTTGGTGATAACTTCCTTGGACATCTTTTCGCCGCCACAGACGAGATGCTTGAGGCAGGGAACAGAGGAAGGCTCGATGATGCTGGCAATGGACGGAGTAAGGAAGGTCCAAGTGACATTCAAACGACGAATGGCGCCAGAGACATCGTTAAGTCGGTCATCTTCACTGGGGACACAAATGGTACCGCCCAGCATGAGGATTGCAAGGGTTTCCATGATAGCAGCGTCAAACGTCAGCGAGGCGAACTGGAAAACTCGCGATGTGGCGTCCATGTTGACCATTGGCGCAAAAGCCATGATACTGCTGACGACGTTTCGATGCTCCACGATTATTCCTTTGGCCCGTCCGGTACTTCCAGAAGTGAACAGGGCGTAAGCCATGTTGGACGGTTTAACTGGTTGGCGACTGCGGTTGGATACCTTGAGTGATCCATATGCCTTGATGGTTTCTTTGCTGATTGGAACAACGGTTTTCACGACACGGCTGTATCGGGTGGTGTAATTGGGAGTACAAAGAATCATGTTGGCGCCAACATCAGCAAGTATCTCTTCGTGGCGCGAAGTGGGATGAGAAGGATCGAGAGGCACATAACCACCACCAGCGATGAGAATACTGATCAGGGTAACCATTGCCCAAGCCGACTTGTCAAGACAGACAGGAACGAATACCTCTGGTCCAACACCGCGAGAAATAAGGTAGTTGGCAAAGCCAGATGCGAGGTCCCAGAACTCTCTATACGTGAGATCACCATCCCAAGCGCGCACAGCAGGAGCATTGGGCGTTTCGGCAGATTTCTCACAAATGAAGTCCTGCACACATCGCTCTACGACGAGAGGTGTACGACCATTCCATTGGGCGATCTCAGTCTTGTCTTCGGGGCTGACCATATCCAGATCGCTGATCTTACTGGTGCTGTTCTTTGGTAATGCAATCAGTTGGCTGAGCACATGTGAGAATTGCTCAGTGATGCGCTTCGTTTGCCAGCCATTGATGACAAGTTCATCATGGTGGACAGTGAATGAGATGCTGGTCTTGGAAATGCCACATTCCACAACCAGAGGATGAGTGAAGAAGTCCTCACTTGTTTCGCGCTTCTCGTCAATCCAGATCTTGTTGTCTAGATCGCCATCATTTGACTGGATGACCAGCAAGTTCTTGAAATCGCAGGCACTGGAAGTATCTTTGTTGATTTGGCGAATGCGCTGCAGACCGGAGTGCAGGTGTGGAATCATTTGAGTCGTTGACTGGTGAATAGTCTGAAGGTACTCCAGAGTTGACATAGCATTGTCCACTTTAACACGGGTGGGAACGGTGCTCAGTACAGGACCAGCAATTTGAGCAACACCAGGAAGATCAATGTTTCTTCCTGACAAAGTCTCACCGAAGCAAACATCACCAGATGAGGAATGCGTGGCTACGACAATAGCCCAGGCAGCACGCATGAGAACAGGAATGGTAAATTCGACGGTATCAGGCATTCTGGAAACCTTTAAGTTGTGGTACTGGGTGTTTCCGGCGCGGATGGCATCAGGCACTGCGTTTTTGTTCTGAGGGAAGGGAGGGCTGGAAAGCTCGGCCAAGTAGGCTTTCCAGTAGGCATCCGACTCTTGCATGTCCTTATTGACTAGGTAATCAATGAAGAGATTATAGGGAGTTCCAAGGACCTTGTTTTGAACAGCAAGGTAGTTTTCCTCAACCTTACGGAAGACAAGGGGAATGCTCCATCCATCGTAAAGTGCGTGATGAACAGACCAGAGGAAGTACTTGGAGGTAGATCCATGAGGCTGGACCATGGCGTAGCTAGTTAGAGGTGCACCGTTTTCGTTAGGCAGGTGCATAATGTCGTCGGGAAGGGAATCGAACGACTCGGCATGTACCCAGGATATGGGAGCATCTTTCAAGACAACCTGGGCGAAGTTCATGGATTCAGTGTGAACGATGCGAGTGCGCAGGATTTCAAGGTCTGTGACAGTCGTCTGCCAAGCGTCCTTAAATCGGTTGACATCAATTCCATCGGCAAGTCTGAAAGCCGGCTGCGCGACGTAAGAACCACTGTGTTTGATTGAGAGTGTAAGAAGACCCTCTTGAACTGCACTGCAGGGGTAGACGTCATCTATGAGGTCCTTGGACAGCTGGCAAATGTCGGTAAGCTCGTCAAATAGTCCCTCACTATCCACATCGGGAGGTAGAAGTGAGAACGGCTTGATAACCGTTGCCTCAGCCTTCACCGTAACAGTTTTATTGGCGCAGCTCTTGGCCATATCGAAGAGGACCGGGGTGTTGAAGATGCTGGAGACAGTGAGGGATATTCCTTCTGCTTGAGCTGCTCCAACTAGATTCATGGCTGAAAAGGAGTCGCCACCCAGGGCAAAGAAGCTGTCGTCTGGAGTGACAGATCCTGCTTCGAGCTCCAAGGTACTCTCAACAAGGGCCACGATCTTGAGCTCCATACCATCGGCCAAGGTCTCCTCCGTTTTCTCACCTCCGGTGAAGGTGATGTACGATTTCAAGGTTTCCTTGGACAAAGACTGGACCATCGCCTTCAGTCTCCTGCGATCAATCTTGGCGGAAGAAGTGAATGGAAGGTTGCGAATGGGGAAGAACAGTCTCGGCATCATGCTCTGAGGCAGAAGCTTAGGCAAAGAGGCCTTCATATTCTGAATAGCATCCATATTTGAAACAGAGATGGCAAGCAACAAAGGATCCGCCCCAGGAATCGTTGGGGCGAACTGATCACTGCTACCTCCGTTGGAAGCAGGGTCGTGAACAGTGAAGAATGCAGCTAGGCCCTTAGCAATGGTGCGTTCCTCGGGAACGACGACATCGACAGCGACCTGGGAATCCTCAGGAAGGCAGCGGAGACACTGTTGTTCAATTTCCTCAAGTTCAATTCGCTGGCCGTTAAACTTGATCTGTGTGTCCTTTCGGGAGATGAAAGCAAGGGTGCCATCACCGTTGTAGCGAACCAGATCACCAGTGCGGTACATCCGATCCTGACGCTTGAATAGACCCTGAAACCCAGCGTGATGAGACCAGGTTGGATTCTCGAAGAAAGCCGCTTTGGTTTTTGCTTCATTTGCGAGATATCCACGAGCGATGTTGCTTCCTTCCAATATCAGTTCACCGACAGCACCAACTGGTAGAAGGCGGTTGCAGTTGTTGGGGTCCACGATCCAGACTCTGCAGTTGGCAGCCCGTCCGATGGATGTAGGATCGTCATTGACGCGGTTGCCATCCCAGTCAATCTTGACACCAACAGTAGCGACGACAGTAGCTTCAGAGGGACCGTAGGCATTGATGACAAATCTGTCGCCCCAGCGGTCAATATGGTTGGAGGGCATCTTCTCACCACCGGTGATGATAGTCTTCAGTGTGGGGACGGTCTTGGGTTCCAATGTGTTGACAATTGCAGGGGGGAGGACATGTAATTAGCCTCCATGCGACGAATCGCACCCCCGAGATTGTTCATACGTTCCTCCTCACTAGGGACGCAGACACAACCACCAGTCATAAGGGTCATCATGATTTCGAGAACGCTCACATCAAAAGTATAGTTCGAGAACTGCAATGCGCGGGTACCGGAATTCATATGTAAAGCATCGGTCATGGCCAAGGCTGTGGTGCTCAATGCCGTATGTTCCACGACGGTAGCCTTGGGCTTTCCAGTCGTTCCGGAGGTAAAGATAGCATAGGCTGCGTTGTGGGGAGCGGGTCGAATGCAGGACATAGCGAGAGGCGAGTCAGGGAGTTGCGAGATGGAAGTTTGGCACACAGCCAACGACTTCTTGCACAACTTGGACACTTTGGCGTGAACCGAAGAAGAACAGAGAACAAGGTCGGTTCCAATCTCATCAATTAGCATTTTAAGGCGGGAGTCTGGGTGGGACGGATCGATAGAGACGAAAGCTCCCCCAGCCTTGAGAACAGCCAACTGGGCAACCACGGCCCAGGCGGACTTCTCGAAACAAAGCACGACGAAAACTTCTGGTTGGATTCCGAGGCTGGAGAGATGGCGAGCAAGACGACTGGAGACGATTTCGAGCTGCCCGTAGGTAAAGTTTTTGTCCCAGGAACAGACAGCGTCGGCACGAGGGTGCAGTAGCGCCTGCTGCTGGATGAGCTCGTCTGCGCATTTCTCGACCCGGGGAGGGGAGGCGGCGTTCCACTCGCGAATCTGGCGAGCAGATCGTTCGGTAATAAGATCAATATCACCCACAGTGCGTTCATGATGGTTGAGAGTCAAGATATTGTCCAATACCTGATCAAACGTGTCGATAACATGGTTGATCTGGGAGGAGGAGAGGGTTTCGGAGGAGTAGTTGAAATGAATTTCGGCGTGCGAGTGGGAGACATCGGCTTGAACGAGAATGCTATAGCTACTGGAGGTGTTGGGCTCCCGGGCACTTCCCTTGGGCAGAGACGCGGCCTTGCGATAGGTGAGAGAGGTGTTGAAGAGTGTTACATCCCCAAGCCCAAGCTGGCGCTTGACAGCATCCAGAGAGACAGCATTCAAAGTGCTCGTCTCAGTGTTAAGCTTTGCTTGTTGGAGAATTTCCAGCAGCTTTCGTTCATTCCGTGCCAGGAAACGACATGTGGAAATCGACTGGGTGTCCAATTTGTCGTTCTCCGAGGACAAATATGAATACCCAAAGCAGACATCGTCTGATCCTGTGTACCACTTCAGAACAATAGCCCAAGCAAACTGGAAGAGAGTCTCGACTGAGGTGCCAGACAATTTACAGAACGCATGAGTCGTGGCCGTCTGCTTGTTAAGTGTGCGCGTAGAGCGACCATCTTTTCCTGACTCGTGACACAGTGCAGGGAATATGCACGGCTCAACATCGGCGAGATACTCCTTCCAGAAAGCGGCATTATCCCCGGAGAGGCTGGCGTGTTGGGAACTCCGGTTGCCAAACTTGTTTCCAATCCAGGATTTGATGTCGAAAGATGCCAAGGTACTGGTTGCAAGCTCCTGTGTCTCGACTTGAAGGGCCTGGCGATTTAGCTTTCCAAAAGGAGTGAGTGGAAGGGAGGTGATGGGGATATAAATACTAGGAACCTTGCTGTTGGACAAGCAGTTGCTAAGATGGCTGTGAAGACTATTCACGGTGGTCGTCACGTCGGGGGAAGGAGTACCTATGACGCGTTCGCCGAACGCGACTGACGGAGTGTCCGCAGAAACCAAAAATGCGACAAGAGCCTCAACTGCAACATTGTCACGTTTGAGGGAAACACTTTCCACGACACATTTCTTGTTAGCCCCCAGGAATTTGTCAATCTCTTGGTTAGCGTGTGCCAGGTCGCCAGCCAAAAGGTTTGCGTGTGTGTCGCTTTTGCGTCCAATATATACAAGCGATCCATCGGAGTTGTAGCGAACAAGGTCACCAGTCTTGAAGATGCGGTGTTTGCCATCGCCGCGTCTAGCGGAGAGCCAAGATGGACTGTCAAAGAAGTCGTCAGACTCGCGGGTGTTGTCGAGATAACCACGTGCCACGACAGGTCCCTGAAGTGCCAGTTCACCAACGCTACCAATTGGAACAAGTGTCTTGGGGTTTTCCGTGTCAACAACCCAAGCTACACAGGAGGTGCTCTTTCCGATCAGAGTGGCCTCATCTTGACCGGGCGAACAGAAAAGGTGGAAGCAGGCAGAAGAACTCTCGGTTGTACCATACAGAACCTGGAGATGGAGATCATCGGTCTTCCAGTTGTCTATGATATTCTGAGAGACAACTTCGCCTCCAAGAGCAATGGATCGTAGTCCCGGGACATGTTTGGGCGAGAAGAATCCTGCGGCCGTGGGAGTGATGCTAGCAACGTTTGCATGGAGAACGTTGATAGAGGTGGCCAAATTGAGAGGATCGATGTCAGCGGGAATGCAAACACAGCCACCCCACATGAAAGTACCGATCGCTTCAAGGAGGAATGCGTCCGATGTATGAGGAGCGAACTGCAGTGTGCGAGACACATCAGCGATTGCCATGGTGGTAGCAAATGCCTCAGCACGACTCATGACGACTGAGTGATCAAGAACGACCCCCTTGGCGGGACTGGATGTGCCGCTAGTCAGCGCAACATATGCAACATCGGAGGGCTGCGTGGCAGGCTTCAGAATCTCATCCGGGAGGTATTCGAGTAGGGACTCGCTGACAGGAATGACATAAGGCACAATGTCTTCAAGTGTTTGAGCCTTCTGGGGCGAAGCAAGTGCGACTTGAAGAACGTTCTCGACAATCCACTTCTCTACCATTGGGGACTTCTGAGTGCTATCCATAGGGATGCAGCCACCACCAGCCTTCATGACAGCCAAAATGGAGACCATATTCCATGTGGACTTCTCGAAGCAGACAGGAACCATTGTACCCGGGACGACGCCAAAGCTGATCAAGTAAGTTGCCAGGCGCGAGGAGTATTGATCAAGCTTAGAGTAGGTGAGATTACCGTCCCAGGCTGTGACAGCAAGAGCATCAGGGCGTTTCTTGGCCATTTCTTGGACAACGTGGTGAGCACACTTCTCGAAGGATTTGGGAATCTTGTTATTCCAGGTCATGATCTGAGTCTTGTTGTCCTCGCTGAGGCTGTCAAGATCACTGAGTTTGCCGTCAATGTTGCAGACAATGTTATCGAGACACCGAACATACGTGTTGGCTACATTCATAGCCTGCGCATCGGAGAGGTTGGTAGTCCAGTAGTTGAGGTCAATCCGGGCCTTGGTTTCCATAGCTTCAATGTTGATGAAGACTGGGAACTCTGCTGGATCATGAATAGAGCCAACCTCGATACACTCAATCTCACTTTGCACAGTATCCTTGGAACTTGGAAGGCGGCGATAAGAGACACCAGAGTTGAAGAGATTGGTGTCAGCTAACTTCAAGGCATGTTGGATATCAATCAGGGAGGTGTGGCGGAAGGAGAGGCTCTCCATATAATCATTTTGGATCTTTTGCAGAACATCGCTGAGGCTCGTATCACCACAGAACTTCATGCGGCAGACCAAAAGATTAATGATCGGACCAACCGCCCACTGGATTTGATCAACAGGGACATCCCGAAGCGAGGCCATGTAACTAAAGGATACATCATCCGATCCAGAAAAGGCACGGAGGGTGAGACCCCAAGCCGCGTTGAAGACATTCGCCAGCGTAACGCCGCGCTTTTCGCAAACACTCTGGAGCTCGGCGAGCGCATTGAAGTGGACAGGAATAGACCGGAGGCTCTTCTCTGACTTTTCACCATCGGTCAGGACGGGGAAGTGGCAGGGCTTTGCACCACTCAGGTACGAGCGCCAATAGTTCATACTAGCTTGCTTCGGGGCATTTTGCAAGTACTGCATGTAGTCACGGAACAATGGCTGCGGGCTGTCTTCCAGTCTTCCGGCGTAGGCCAATTGCAAGTCACGGAGGATGATTGAGATGGAATTACCGTCCATGGCTGCGTGGCTGAGTTCAATGCGGGCGAAGAGGCGACCAGTGGCTGTCTGGCAGATGGAGAACCGATACGCTGGCGCAATCTCGCTGTAGTCTTTGGCCTCCTGCTTGTCGAAAGTCGTGAGGACATCGCTATCACCAGATGATTGTAGCAAGACAGGGGCGACATGGTACTTCTTGAGCACAACTTGGCAAAAAGGATCACGTGGAGTGAGGTTCTCTGCGAAGATGGTCCTGAACATCGCATGGTGGGAGACAACCTGCTGCCAGGCATTCGCTAGTCTGTCCAGGTTGGGCTGACCAGCACCAGTGCCCCGAATCTCGAACGTGTCATGGACAGCGTAATAAGAGTTGTCCCGGGTACGGCCAAGCAGAATGCCCTGCTGCATACGAGAGCAAGGGTAGATATCTTCCACCAAGTCCGGAGACTCTATACCCATAGCGGGCAACTTCTCGTGTAACATCTTCTCCAATGTTGGATATGTCAATGAGAGCATCGGGAATGAGCTCAGAGTCAAACGAGATGACAAAAGGGGCAGCTGCTCGGAAAGAGAAACGAGCAGTTCCTGGCAGTTGGAGACCCAACGGTGAATGCGGTTCTGGTGCTGCATGATCTTGTTGAAGGAGAAGTTGAAACGGATCTTGCCAGCAACAACCATAGCAGAAATCTCGAACAAGCCAAAGCGAGGAGTGTCGCGTCCGAAGTCAGCGGCACCGCCTCCTTGGCCAGCCTCGCCCGCCATCTGGTCCACAAGCTGGAAGAGTCCATCTTTTCGCTGGAGATCACGATGCTGACCAACATAGTTGAAAGACATCTCGAACGGATGAGGGTGAGAAGGTCCTGTTTTACCAGCAGTGGCCAGGACCCGGCTGGTGAAGTCTGCACGACCGTTGTCCGAAACACGTCGACGCAGGTCCTTCACCTTGATGACAGTATCGATCGGATCATCAGACTTATATGAAGAGATAAATATTGGTTGTAGGATCGTGAACCAGCCAACCGTGTGCGAGATATCGATCGATGAGTCCCATGTTTCACGTCCATGCCCTTCGTTGTAGATAGTCGGCAAACCACGGTCGGGGAATGACCGGCCAAATGAGTGAATCATTGCTGCAAGGAAGATATCGATTGGCTCTGTTCCAAGCGCTTGATGGCTGTCGAAGAGAATTGCGCTCGTATGAGCTGGGTCGATTTCGAAAGAGGCACAGTCGACATCTCCATATGTCGTCTCGGTGTTCTGGAGTCCCCAGTAGCCAAACTCCGGAGTGGCCAAAGCATCTGTCGCAACCTTTTCCTCGGTTCGAAGGTTGTTGCACTGCTCACTCTGGAGGCGACACCAAGTTTGGAAGGGTAGAGAGTCGTTGCTGGCACTCTTTTGAGGGTTCAGGATGAAGTCTTCCAAGTCCTGAAGGATAATCTTCCATGAGACGATATCGACAACCAAATGATGAGCAGTCATTGACAGCACATGCGATTCACCCGTAACCGCGAAGTAATCAACTGCCAGCAGTGGGCCGGAGAAGCAGTTGATAGATGACTGGCTATCAGCGATGTGGGGCTTGACGGCATCCATGTGGCTAACTTTGTGTGTCTTCCATCTATAAGATCCGGTTATATCGCGGGTGATTCGTTGACTGGATGCCGTTGCGCGTCCTGTGTCAGTATATCGGGCGCGAAGCATAGAGTGACGAGTGACCAGGGTCTCGACAGCGTTCCGTAAGGTTCTCTCATCAAGTGGCTTGTTCATGCGAACCAAAACGCCCTGGTTAAAGTGACCTTGTCCCTCCTTACGAACGCCGAAGTGGAGAGTTTGAATAGGTGAGAGGTCGAATGGCTGATCGACAGCCTCCTCGTAGGTGGTGGTGTTGTCAGTAGCCTTGGCTCGGGTTGCCAAATCCCGGATCGATTTGCTGCGAAGAATTTCCTGTACTGAGAGTACGAACCCACTCTTCTTGCAGAGACCAATACATGACATTGCGGCGATAGAGTCACCTCCAAGCGCCAGGAAACTCTCGTTCAAGTTCAACTGGTTCAGAGGAATATTAAGGACGCGGCTATACACAGCTGCCAAAGCTTCCTCACGGTTGTTGGCCGGCTGTGACGTCTCTGCGTCCAGGATCGCAACAGAGGCACTGTGCTGAAGATCTGGATCACTTTCCATGCCGGCAACCCAAGTAGCGATACCCTTGCGGTCAAGTTTCCCGGAGGGCAAGAGAGGCAAAGCTTCAACGCAGAGCCAAACAGCAGGGACCATATAAGTCGGAAGTCGTGCGAGGAGACGTTCACGGAGTCCGGGTATAAGTTCGGCCTTTTTCGAGGCAGAGACTAGACGCAACGGCTCCAAATCCGACTCGGACTGTTCAGCGAGTAACCCGGCGGAAGAAACAACCGCTGCGAGACGACCCTTGGAGAAGCCCGACTTGGGGAAAAATACGGAGCAGTGGGTGACGTGCAAGTCAGCACTGAGCTGGTTCTCGATTTCGCCAAGCTCAATGCGCTGTCCGTGGACCTTAACCTGCGTATCTTTTCGACCAACGTAGTTGAGTGCACCAGAGTCAGCGTTGTACCGCACAATATCACCAGTCTTATAAAATCTGCGGTTAGAGGCAGTATCCGCCTCCAATTTCGTGAAAGCAGGATCGTAGATGAATGATTCATTTGTCTTCTGGGGGTTATTCACGTAGCACCGGGCTAGGGACGGGCCTTCCAAAAGTAGTTCGCCGGGGCAGCCCACAGGGACGAGTTCGTCATGGTTATCAGGGTTCACAAGCCAAGCCCTGACACCGATGGGTAGACCGATATCTTTGCAATCGGTGTCTGGTGTAATCCACGAGTTGAGCACGGAGGCAACGCTGGCCTCAGTTGGTCCATAACCATTGACTAATTTGATTCTGGACCAAGTAGCCAGCTGGGACTGCGACATTGCTTCACCGGCCAGAACCAGACTCTGCAGTCCTGGGACACTGTCGATTTCAATAAATCCGATGAATGACGGGGTAAAGCATGCTTGGGTGACACGCATATCATTGATAGTGCTGACGATGTCGTTGAGCCGGGCCTCCTCACTCGGGATGCACACGCAGGCACCATGTATGAGCGGCGTCAACGACTCGGACAAACTGGCATCGAACGTGTGAGCTGCGAACTGGAGACAGCGAGAGTCACGGAAGACGCGCAGGCCAGGCCCATGCACCATGGCACTCGAGAGGAATGCTCGGTGCTCCAGCAAGGTTCCCTGAAGAAGTATAAAAGTCAGCGGTTTCATCCCTGCTATCTCCAGGGGTTAAGCGGGGTTTTCTCTCACCTTTGGCTCCCCAGTAGAGCCGGAGGTAAACAAAACATAAGCCGCATTTTGACTGGTAACTCCCGATGCGAGGTCGACACTGTCTACGTCGGACAAGCGATCCAAAGTGTCCGCGCTGAGGGGGATCAAAGTCTTTACGATAGGTCGAAGTTTTTCTGCACGCGTGTCGGAGCAGATCACAACTGCAGCCTGGACGGATGTGATGAGGTTCTGCAGTCGGGAAGTTGGGTGCGTGGCATCAAGTGGGACAAAAGCTCCCCCGGCCTTCATCACGCCAAGCATTGCGACGATGTTCCATTTCTGCCCTGGTCAGCCTTTCCTTTTCACAACTCTTCACAAACTCTTCGCAAACCGTTCGCAAATTTAAAGAAGAAACTAACCGATTTGTCGAAACACAATCCCACGCGGATTTCGGGGCCGACCCCCTGCATGCGCAGATGGCATGCAAGTTTGGACGCCTGGTAGTCCAGCTGCGCATAGGTAAAGCTGCCATCCCAGGCACACACAGCTTCGCGGTCTGGTCCACTTAGGACTTGATCATGGATAGCTTCGTGGATGCAGCGATCATGAAGTTGAGGAATGGTGGAATTCCAATTGCGAATGCGTTGCCAGTCATTCTCCGAGAACAAATTAAGCTGGCTAATAGCGGTTTTCTCGGCAGACAGGACTTTGGCAAGTAATTGTTCAAAAATGTTGGCGACACTCTTCATCTGGTCGGCGGACATATCACCCTTACGCCACTCGAGGGACATGCTGATGTCCCCACGCATGACCTTGACATGGAGACGGACTTGACACTGCACGTTGTTAGCACAGTCTGCAATCTTCAAATCGCCACTGCTCTCGGATTTCACTGACCTCATCTGGGAGAGCCGCTGCCAGGATTGGTTTCGACGGTGATGCCGGCGGATCATATGTACGCAACATCAAAATGGTATTGAAAGGGAGATATCCCTCGGACGTCTCCTCCGAGCTTCCACCATTGTGTTGTTTGTTTAGGCCTGTTGCGCCCACCTTGTCTAGAATTGCCGTGAGAGAGTCGTTTTCGTTGATCGATACGCGAATAGTGGAAATATTGGCGCCATTGGCACGCTGTACAGTTGATTTGGGAGACCGCGAGTCTCCCTCGAGATGTTGATAACCGAAACAAATGTCCTCCGAACGGATGTAGTAGTGGAGCACGAGAGCCCAGGTTGTCCGCAAAAGCGAATCCAGCCGACCTTCGTTGCATGCGGTTAATAACTGCGCATGCTGGGCGGCGGTTGGCCTTGTCTTCATCGAGACCGGCCGTTTGGCCCCGTCGACCGCCGAGGCGAACCGAGGGAGATAGCACTGGGTGGAATGAGCCATGTCTAATTACTGGGTATCGTACGTCTTTCCGGTTTGTGCTGATCGCTTCCTGCGGTTGAAGCGAGTGAATGGGACCTCAATGGATAATGAACGACAGAATTAATCCAAGAGGAGTGTGCAAGTGGCAGCGCTCGCGAAATCGGATGGATCCGGTTGCTTTAAACAGCTACAGGTCTTTTTTTTTGTTTTTGTTTTCTAATCCTGGACATAGTACCCAAGTCGACATCACCGTAGCGGGGCCAGAGCCTGGAGCAATAGGGAAATGCGCTTTCTTCCTTGCATGGGTTCGGATCTAGATGAGTGCGAGCCACAGAAAGATACGTATTGTGGATCAGCTGCTTGGCCCCTGTGGAACTGAGTCAGACACTTTTTTCATAATTTTACGCTAATTTCGCTGTAAGTTAACCCTTTCGCAACCTAATCCGTTGTGGCTGCTAACACCGGACATGCAGGGGCAAAGTCCTGGGCACATCTTCCCCAAGCGAAGAGGCCTGCAGTTCCCCGACTCACCCTTGCGGTCTCGAACGTGGCTCCCAGCAAGGTATAAACGCCCGAACAATCGATACGCCACCGACAAATGAAGGCGTTGCTTGCGTGATCGTGATTTTGATTCTCTACTTGGGCTGCTTGTCGTGCTGACTTGCTGACGGTGATCACAGTGTCTAAATAAATAGAAGACAGCGAAAAGGAGCTTTGATCTCGTTGTGCCCACCTTCCTGTAGAGATACGAAGGGATGCTGGAGTTGTCTTCTGCACCAAGATGGCGCCAACGCAGGTATACGAGCATCTCACGAGGCGAGCTGATTATCTTTTACACCGACTTGTGCACATGGCACTGTCCTCGTCCGAAGCACTTGGCAGGTCTTAGTTCCCATGCTCTACGACGGGCCTTGAAGCTTGCGGTAGGGTTGAAATACGGTGTCGATCGATGATGATTTACCTCGCAGTCTGTCATCCCCAATCTGTGAGGGCATGGACGTGCTGATCTGTCTGATCGCGATCGGAAAGTTAATATGCCCTCACTGTTGTCTTGGATCAAACTTTGGGGTACTTCCAAGGAATGTGAGTCTAGCAGTGGGGTATTCCCCGGAGTCATCTTTTCGCCCCTTCAAACGAAGTACGTCAGGCACTGGATCTGCAGTTTTGACAGATATTTCTTAGGAAAAGATGGACGACTTCGGAGGAATACTCTGGGTGGGGGCGGATAGCCCTAACAACGGCATCGGCGAAAGCACCGGAACGACAAAGCCGGAAATTCTTGCGAATCAATTCCCTAATTTGGGGGCTACGAACGTAATGAAGTGATGCGTATGTCGTTCGCAAGATTGTTGTAAAGGCGTACGCCACTAGCAGTGGCGTCTGCAAGGGTCTTCAAGGAGCGGGTTCATCCGCGACCTATCTACTTGGCTCGATCATGAATAGTACCATCTACAGTATGCTTTATAGCTTAACCCCTATTTCTGAGGTTACATTCTGACGAGCGTTCTTTGGAATTGTTATGGTCAAGGACCTATCATTCAATCTAGACCGCCAAAGTAATTGTACTCGATCCTGCGATCGTGGCTAGGAACTGCCTCTTGCATTACACCTTTCACCATACTGTCTCTGTGTTTTGGTCTCGCTTTTTATTTTTATTTTTGTTTTTATTTCTTCTTCTTTCCTTTATCTCGCTAAACCTTTTTTAGTATCATTTAGTTTCTTTTGTCGTCGTCTTCGCTCTCGTATAAGCCGACAGTAAAAATGGAGAATCTGGAACGTACATTTGTGATCTCCACTCACTCGTCCGTTCAGATTTTAACCTCAAGATCGATTTTGATAGGCGTCCGTTACCCCTGTTCGGGTCGCGCCGTCTGGCTATTAGGCGTTTTTTTCTGTGTTGCCTGTCAGCGGGACTCCGCTCAGGTCCACCAATAGTCCAGGCTGTCCAAGTTAAGTGGTAAGTCGCGTAGATCGTTGGCTTGGGCTCCCGAACTAACCGGTTTGTGGCCTGTCGGGAGGCTTGTTTGGCGAGCACTAGGCATTGCTAGCTCAGGTCTAGTGTGAGAGGTGCTATCCTTAGCTCCCGGGCTGGCGCCGATGCTGAATCATTGTGCACTAGACCATACACAAAAGGGAGCTGACAAGGTAATAGCATTGTTATGATCCACCCGGCGTCTGCATGACAGGTCACTTTGAAAATTGTGTGTAATGGCTTGAGCCCCAAGAATAAATTGGCAGATGGGACATAGTATACACATTATACATGCGATATATTTGAGTGCAGAAGGTAAATCTGACTCAACATGCTGTCGCATGTCCCTCCGCAATGTGAAGGAGGGATTTGGAATCGCGTGCATATGTTTATGCACTGGCTTTGCCACCCATCAACCACGCTTCACAAAAAAACCGGGCTCACCCCGGTCGGCATCCACTATGCCAGCCTGTCCAATTTCTCTGCCGTACATGTAGGTACAGATCCCGAGTACTGCACATTGGCCCAGTGACCGTGGCCGCCACGTCTTGAGATGCAGGATTCCACGTATATGTACTGTACTGTACGTACAGTACATGCCCACACGTTAGGTCGGGTTCAGTTGAAATCTTAAACGCCGAGATCAGCCGATGACGATTCGACAGGTTCTGGGGAGGGGCCACTACAGTACGTTTAGTCTGTTCTATACCAGGAAGAATGGACGATTGGTCCGGAGGTCGCGTTGGAATCCTGGTCGCAGCCACTACCGCGAGTCAGAAGAAGCAAAAACGATGCCATGACAGCTCGGGGACGTCAGGTGGAGTACTTCAGAGAAAATTGGGATCGTGACTGGGAAGGGAGTCTGTAAACTTCGTCTTTCTTTACTCTATGCAGGCGATGTAGCCGAAACTCTACCTCACCGAGTTCTTCCAAGTCATCGTGTTCGTGTGTGTGTGCGTCTGACCCCGAAGCCATGCGGTCAGAGGAAAGTTGAGAAAATTCAAGAATTAAGAACCTGTTAGTGCGAAGTTTCACTTTGGATCCAAAAGGATCGCCCGTCACACTAGGTGAACCGCCCTCGCATAAGGTGGAAAGCTAGCTTGCCCTAGGTCCAGACAGAGGACTTGGCCCAAGGACGAAGGGAGATCTTCTGAGCACCCAATTGGCCCCTGAGATTATAATTATTACTCGATGCAAGGTCATACTTCTAACCTCGTGTTGCTCCAGATATTCTGTACACCTCTTGGAAGTTTTGCTTCCTGACTCCAGGGGGGACTCGGTCTATTGGTTCCTCTGCATCCCCCACATCCCCAGGGGGGGGGGATGAGACCGCGGGAAATTGAGCTTTATGTCAATATGATCACATTTGGATGAACAAGTGGAGACATTAACTCGCAATCCAATCTCTGGTGGAAAAAACAGCCATAGAAAATACCCCGAAATATACCCAATTGCCCCTGTTAGGTGCAGCTCAGTGGGTTGCTGTACAGGAGACAGCATGACAACCGAAGTCTAGATGAGCTCATGGGGCTTTGCCAAAATTGGCATTGTAAGATAATTGCATCAAGTGTTTAATTCCCTGTCCACTCTGGTGCAGGAGCCAGTGGCAAGGCTCCTCAGGGCGAGTTCAGGGCTGTGATCCTCCTAGATGTAGTCAGCTCCTGCAAGAGGGATACAAGACCTAATTGACTCCTATGTACCTTCTATGCCTTCTGCCGCTAGTAGAAGTATGATTCTAATGTCGCTTTTTGGATGCATCCAATTCCAAACTAAAGGCCTGAACTTCCCCTAATGCATATGCTCTAACTCCATACACTCGTTAACTCGTTGTTGCATTTTTTTTATTCTAATTCCTCGTGTCACTCGTTCCGTCTCTCTTCTCTTTAACCATCCTTTGTCGACAGGTGGTTCAAGATTAGACATGGCTTCCTCTCACTCTACAGGACCGTCCTGCCACGATCTGGACAATACTATGCGTATTGGCGCTGGATCGTGTCGCGGGGGCTTTGACTTCTCTCTTTTATTCGAAGAAACTATTCTTGAGATCTTACCTATTGTCTTAATGCTAATTGTCATTCCCGTTCGTCTCTGGCACCTCTCGCAAAAACGAAACAAAGTTGTTGGATCAGGGTTGCTACTTGTCAAGCTTGTAAGTGCCAGTTATCCCATTGCTTTTTCCAGTTCGCAGGGAATTCAGTTCGAATTGAAATGCGCCGAACATGAAGAATATTTCTTTTCTAATGCTTGCTTTCTATGACAGGCAGCATGGTTTGGACTGCTAGCGCTGCAAATCACTCAGACTGCTCTATGGTCAGCGCCGGCAGCCGACAAGACGAAAGCTTCTATTGCAGCGAATGCACTTCTGACAGTCGGTGTGGTCGTGCTCGGTCTACTTTCATATGCAGAGCACATGCGATCCGTGAAACCATCGTTTATTTTAAACACCTACCTCTTCTGCAGCCTGCTATTCGATGTTGCCCGGACCCGGACTCTATGGCTACGTCGCGTGGACTCGTTCAATCAAACCATCGCCATTGTTACTACCGTAGCACTGGTAGTTAAGTTTGTTATTTTCGTTCTTGAAGCTATTGAGAAGAGACATATTCTCAAATCAGAGTATGCCGGTTACCCTCCAGAAGCGACAGCGGGTTTCTATAACCGCGCGGTCTTCTGGTGGCTGAACCCGCTATTCAAGATTGGCTTTACCAGCTTCCTTCGTGTGGAGGACCTGGCTGTTCTTGACAAGCAATTGAGTTCTGAGCGTCTACTCGCCAGCTTCGAAGAAACATGGAGCAAAGGTAATATCTTCATCCGTTATATGTCATACATGCCTTGCTGACTGAATCTAGTGACTCAAAAATCTCCCAATACCTTGCAAATAGAAGCACTCAAGGCTGCCAAGTGGCCTTTGCTTGCAGGTATACCTGCTCGAGCCTGTGTGGTGGCTTTCAACTTCTGTCAGCCTTTGCTTCTTGAGAGATCTCTATCTTTCTTCAACTCCCCCGTGAACAAAGAGTCCAACAATGTTGGATACGGACTGATCGGTGCTTATATCATGGTTTACTGTGGTCTTGGAATTTCAATGGGTCAATATCAACACTTGACTTACCGTGGGATCACCATGGTGCGAGGCATCCTCATCACGATGCTCTACAAGAAGGCCAGCTGTCTCACTCTGACCGATACCGACCCTGCCAACTCAGTAACCCTAATGAGTGCAGATGTCGAGCGTATCACGCAAGGCTGGCAGACAATGCATGAAATCTGGGCAAACTCGATCGAGATTGCTCTGGCAATTTACCTCCTTGAGCGTCAACTCGGGGTTTCCTGTGTGGTTCCCGTGTGTGTCGCCCTCTTCGCCTTGATCGGATCATTGATCGGTATGTCTTTTGTGGTTGCCCGGCAAGCCAAATGGCTGGAGGCTATTGAGAGGCGTATTTCTTCTACTTCTGGGATGCTTGGTTCTATCAAGGGTGTTAAGATGCTCGGCTTGCAAAATTCCATGATGAAGTTCGTGCATGGTCTTCGCCTCGACGAATTGGATATTTCTAGGAAATTCCGTACCCTACTCGTCTATAACATGGCTTTCGGCTGGTTGACTCGCATCTTCGCTCCCATCTTCACATTCGGTGTCTATGTCGGCATCTCCAGCAATCCTTTGACTGTTTCCCGAGTTTTCACATCTCTGTCGCTTTTCTCTCTTCTCGCAGATCCCTTGTTAACCTTGGTCATGGCTTTGATGTCTTTTGCCGGTGCTCTTGGGTCTTTCCAGCGTATCCAACAATTCCTGGATAAGGAGGATCACTCCGATCGCCGACGCCGATCCTCTCAGACTCTTACGCTTGAGGATCTCGGTGAGAAGCGCCTTCTGGCCAAGTGCAACGATCTTAATCTTTCTTCGTCTTCCATCGGCTCCGACTCGATCGAGTCTTATAAGCACTCGCGCACTAATTCCTCCATGACCAATGCCGTGATGATCTCGAACGGAAGCTTCGGCTGGGATGCGGACAAAGAGCCAATCCTCAAGGACATCACATTGACTGTTGCTCGTGGGAGCTTTACCATGCTTATTGGATCATCCGGATGCGGCAAGTCAACCCTTCTCAAGGCCCTTCTTGGAGAGGTGCCTTGTTCAGAGGGCCAGGTCGAACTGTCCACCCCCAGTGTCGCTTTCTGTGATCAAACTCCCTGGCATATGAACGGTACTATCAAGGATAGTATTGTCGCTATGTCTGACTACGATCCTCAATGGTATTCCACTGTGATTCAAGCCTGTGCCCTGGAAGAAGATCTTGCACAGTTCCCTCGTGGAGACGCCGCTATCATTGGTAGCAAGGGTATTGCTCTCAGTGGAGGACAAAGCCAGCGTATCGCACTTGCTCGGGCAGTGTATGCTCGGAGAAACATCATCGTCCTCGACGATGCCCTTAGTGGACTTGACGCTACTACTGAAAATCACATCTTCCACAACCTGTTCGGAAGCACCGGAATTCTGAGAGAGCTTGGGGCTACTACCATTGTGGCATCCTCTTCCGTTAAGCGCCTTCCTTACTCTGATCACATCGTCGTGATGGATACTACTGGTCGCATCAACGAACAAGGAAATTTCACTGCTCTGAACAAGACTGGTGGATACGTCTCAAGCTTCGGTCTCGGGTCGCCTGACTGGGATTACAAACCTCAAAGATTCTCTGACTCTCCGAGCTATAACAGCATTGACACTGTTCAGAAGGAAAAGGAAGCACTGGCTGAAGAGCCAGAGAATCGTGAGACTGGTGGTGATCTTGGAATCTACACGTACTATATTGACGCCATTGGATGGCTCCCAGCAACGATCTTCATGGTCGCCATGGCCAGCTTTATCTTCTGCATTTCTTTCCCGAGTATTTGGATGAAGTGGTGGGCCCAGTCTGATACTGCACACCCCAAGCAGGAGATCGGTTACTATCTCGGTATCTACGTGATGCTTGGCTGTCTCGGCATGATTACTCTGCTCGTCGGCGCCTGGGAGATGATTATCACCATGGTCCCCAAGTCTGGCGAGAGCTTCCACCGCAAATTGTTGACGACTGTTCTCAGTGCACCTATGCTGTTCTTTTCCAGTACCGACAGTGGATCAATTCTCAACAGATTCAGTCAGGACTTGATGCTCATCGATATGGAACTTCCTATTGCTGCCATTAATACTGTTGCTACGTTCTTCCTCTGTCTAGCACAGATGGCACTCATTGGTGTCTCGTCGAAGTATGCGGCTATCTCTTTTCCAATCGTTCTCGGTATCTTGTTCTTGATTCAGAAGATGTACTTGCGCACTTCACGCCAGCTCCGTTACCTCGATCTTGAGGCCAAGGCACCACTGTACTCTCACTTTACCGACTGCTTGCAGGGTCTTGTGACCTTACGTGCCTTTGGATGGCAGCATGCTATGGAGAAGAAGAACATTGAACTCCTGGATCACTCGCAGCGGCCCTTCTACTTCATGTTTGCTATCCAGCGCTGGCTTACTCTCTCGCTGGATATGGTTGTGGCTGGTATCGCCGTGCTTCTCATTATTCTGGTTGTGGCACTCCGTGGATCTAATCTCAGTGCTGGCTATGTTGGTGTTGCTTTGTTGAACGTTATTCAGTTCAGTCAGAGTATCAAGCTCCTGGTTACTTTCTGGACCAACCTGGAGACTCACATTGGGTCTATTCAGCGTATCAAGGACTTCTGTCAGACTGTTCAGTCGGAAGATAAGCCTGGTGAGGACGGCGATGTGCCTCCCAACTGGCCGTCCAATGGTGCAGTCAGCTTCCAGTCCGTCTCTGCGGCATACAGACCCTCCGAGCCTGTTCTCAATGATGTCTCTCTCACCATCAAGGCCGGGGAGAAAGTCGGAATTTGCGGCCGAACCGGAAGGTGAGAATCTACAATACAAATGTCTTTATTTGCACAGTGCTAACCAACTACCAGCGGCAAAACCTCAATGATCATGAGCATCTTCCGCATGATGGAACTAACCAGCGGCACCATCACCGTGGACGGAGTTGACCTAGCTACTCTCCCCCGACGCGAGATTCGCTCACGCATCAATGGTGTCTCCCAAGACTCCCTCCTATTCAAGGGCAGCGTGCGCCTCAACGCCGACCCAACAGGAGTCTGCACCGACCAAGACATCCAGACCGCACTCCGGAGCGTGCAGCTCCTGCCAGCAATCCAAGAAAAGGGCAGCCTGGACACCGACATCGACGAGATCCACCTCTCGCACGGCCAAAAGCAACTCTTCTGCCTTGCCCGCGCCCTCCTTCGCCCGGGCAACATACTCATTCTGGATGAAGCCACCAGCAAGTAAGTCTCACCTCTCTCGCCTCCCTATTGCCATGCACCAGATCCCCCTCGCATGTCCTGATCCGCATCTTCCGCCCTGCGCAATATATTGTTTTGCAGTGGTGGCCTCAAATCCCCTACATCCCCTGCATGAGGCGGTTGGATCCGAGCGCGAATCAATTATTAGCGTTTGCGATCTATGCATGTCTCCACATCTCATATCTCACACCTCATCCCTTGCTCCGTGTGTCTGGGGACAATTTGACTAACTGAAACCGCAGTATCGATACCAAGACCGATGAAATTATGCAGCGCGTCATCAGGGAGAAGTTCTGTAATCACACGATCATCGCGGTCGCCCACAAACTTGATACCATTCTAGACTTTGATCGCATCGTTGTCTTGGATGCAGGGCGTATCATTGAGAATGGCGAGCCGTACGCCCTCCTGACAGAACCCAAGTCGCACTTCAGCAAGTTGTATGCCAGTGCCCAGGCAACCGAGGAGTCGGAGTGATCTCCCTATCTCAGACTTCTTTTGCGAGTTTCTATTGTTTCCGGTCCATGGCGAACTTGTCTTGGGCTCGATTGCTTGATTGTTTTTGCACCAATTTTCTGCGCACCTGCTCGGATTGAAGCGTCTTGCTGCTGGTTGTTATGGCGCGTCAATCATCCACATTCTTTGGTCTCTTGGGGTACATATCGACATCGACATACTGACTTTTAGTGATCTTTGGTCATTTGGTTCTTTGGCGTTACATATTGTTTTGTTTCTGTGTTTATTTCTTTGGTGGAATTATGATTAAAATGCCTTTCTTGACTCTCGTTTATATTATTTGAAGTTGTAGAAGGGATCAGGTCAGATCAGGCTGAATTGGATGGAATGGCATACTTGGAACTATACTTCATATATCTCTGTGTTTGCTCTCAATTATCATTGAGGCTATAAATTGGAAACCATCTTTTGCTCTTTACTTCAGAATGTCTTTTGTGAAAATAAAGAAAAGTGTATTACACGGTCGCATAATTGGTACGTGTTGTTGCACTCCTTTGATGAAGCACTCCCATGTAAATTATGGAGGCCAAGCACCTTTGTCTCATCATCTGCCTTTTTCTTTTATCTTCTCGGGCTACAATAAACTACTAGATATTCTATTGTCAGCCTACATCTCTTCAATTTATTGGTGACTAAACTTCTTCCGGATGTAGAAATATCGTGATTATTCCCTATGGAACCGCAGATATATATCTCTAAGACGAGTCTGAGTTGAACAATCACAAAACATTTGCTCTGCCTTTCAAGACCCCATGTGTCTCATAGAGTTATATGAGCCTTTTCCTGCATCAGTATTCCCATTCTCCTTGTCTCTGTCTGTCTATGATCATAGGACATCCCTGGTATATCATCGGAGCTCTTGGCTTTATCACCACCCAATATGACCAACTTTTCCTTGGAAGTCAATTAATCATGCCGTCGCTGATATATAAGTGTGTTAAATACAGACAAAATCTGGAGAACTACCTTATAGCCCGTACGCCACAGGCAGGTAATTTGTTAGTTTTGTCATCGATAATATTGACCGATTCACGTTTACTGTCTAGCCGTAACTCAATCCACTACGTAGCAAGAAAAGTGACACAAAAGTCCAAGTCGAATTTAGCCCCTATTCAGAGAAAAAGAGCAACCTTATGAAAAAAAGAAAGAAAATTAGGGGAAAACACCGATAGAGTACCATACACAGGTCAAAAAGATCAAATTCAAAAAGCGAATAAAGAGGCAGATCAAGAACCCCTCGGCCTAAAATGCAAGTCACAAAAGTCATGAAGAAAACCCCCCCAAGACGAATCAATCCCGCCTCAACTACAAAACCATCGTGTCATCATTATCGAAATCCCCCTCTTCCTCCTCGCCCAGAAGACCGAACTCCCAATCACCACGCTCAATGCGACTAACGCGGTCGAGCTCGGACTGGAACTCGCGGCGGAGATGTTCGAGCGTCACGATGATGCGACGTTTAAGGAGGTGGTTGGTGGGTGGGAACTCGAAGGATACTAGGCTGTCGCGCCGGTTGATGGATGCAATGCTGTTACTTCTGTTGTGGGTTGGTGCGAAGGCGACGGTGTTGGGGGATCGCTTAGCGAGGGGTGTGGACGCGCTGGCATCTTCCATGAAGACGTCTTCGTCGGTATGTGTGCTGCGCCGTCTTTCTTCGGTCGGGGCGTTCATTGCGGGTCCATTCTCGACTAGGATATAGGCCTCGCTTTTGTCGACGCAGGCGAGCAAGTTGATTAGTGACAGGAGCTCGTGGCGAATTTCTTTGCTTTCGGCATCGTCTTCTTCGGGGCGGGATTCATCGCGGTCCTTTCCTTTCTGGGCAAGAGCGGATGACGGTGCGTCGCGGGCATTGCGGAGACGCTGGACATTGCGGTAGGCGATCTCGGCCGCGCCGCGGTAGTCATTCCGGGCAATCCGGTAAGCCTGCAGGATGCGGTTGTAGTCGGGGGAGGCTTCGACGGTGTTGTTGTCGGCATCCAGCCAAGAAGCATAAGTGCTCTGTTTGTGGGTGAGGTGGACGAGGATCTCGTCGATGAAAGAGGCGATACTTGGCACGAGGGAGGTAGGGAAACGGAGGATCTGCTTGAGGCCCGCAGTGCCGGGGCCAGAGACAGTCAGGATGGTGGAGACGAGCTCGGTCAGCTCTATTTTTTGCAGCTTGATGTCCTGCAATCTGGCCAGAGCGGAGTAGGCTTGATCAAACTGGCAGGTCTTAAGGGCTCCGGTGAACAGACGAGACAGTAGATCATCGCGCATGGCTGGGTACTCGGCGTCGTGTTCGGCCCCAAGTTCTGAGTCAAGGGCCTGCAGCGCCAGGCTGGCAAAGTCCGCAACATGTGAGTATGAGCGCATCTTTTCAAAGATAGAAAGGATGTGTTGGTAGTATTTTGCAAGGCCGTTGTGGAAGCAATCGACATCCAGGAGATCTAGCAGCTCTGCTGACATATCGGAGAGATTGCCCATTGGCTTTCCAGAAGCTGTGAAGAGTTAGTGCTGCATTAAGAAAATAGATAGTAGAATACATACAGAGCAAGTATGCTGCCTTCCGGAAGTAGATAGCCGCAGTATCAAATTCAGACATGGCCACATGTAGCCGACCCTTGATGTAAGTCGACCATGAAGTGCTTGCCTGGAAGCGAGAGAAGTCCCATGCAAGATCAATGTTGTTCTTTGCAATTAGATCACATTGAATGTGGGCAACGGCGTTCTGATAGTTGACTTCACCCTCGCGGGTAATCCACGCGACAACATCTCTGATTCCAAGAGTCAAAGTATAGCTTTGTGGGGAGTCAATGGCTTGCTGGGGCTTGATATCGGTGACGAACAGATCTTCAAGAATAGTTGCGGTTCTTTGGTTCTTGTTGGCCGCATTACGGTCCCTCAGCGAACGACTTGGTGTTGACAAGTCATTTCGTACCTTCGGAACACTGTCGGGGCACTTGCGCACATTCGAGCTGAGCCAGTTCATCATCTCATATTCGCGCAGAAGGTCAGTGATGGTGGAGAAGAGGTCTGCCGCATTGAAGTCAGACTTGGAGGTTTGTTCCCATTCGCCATCCACGAAGGTGACCAAGATCAACAGGTCGAAGAACATTTGGCGCATGATAGAAATCGTCTCCTGGGCCCCACTGACTAGAACTCGAGCACCAAAGTAGGTTGATGCAAGTTCCGAGTCCTCTCCGCAGAAAACTAGCGCTGCGGTATGGATGATGGAATTGAACACCTCCATAGGGAGACAATCGGTCTTCATATGTTCGCTCAGCGCAGCATCTAGTGTGTCAAAGGATTTGTTGGAAATTCCATTCGCAAAGTCGCATCGCTCGCGGAAAACTTCCATGCGGTCCGTGATCGATGTTGATGGCTCAGAGAAGATTTCAGCATGAAGAGCAGCCCGGCACGCCCCTTCGAGCTCAGGAGAGAATCTCTTCCGGAAATCGGATGCCACCTTAATCAAGGCAGAGGCTGTGTCATAGCACGGGCCGAGCTCTCTAGTTAAGTTACGGTGTCTCCAGCGATCGATCATCTTGGCCACTCCATCAGAAAGTTCCGTGCTTGAATTGTGCAGAAGCAATTCATTGACGCTGCATTCCCGAATGACAGCACAAGAGTCCGACAGGAGAAGCCACGGCATATCGGTGTATGAGTCGTAGGTCAGAGAAACAGGTTCGAATCGACGCTTGTTGAGATCCTCCACGACTTGCCAGAACTGACGCCATTTTGAATCCGTGTCTGTGCAGAACCGAGTGAAGTCCATCTCATCATCAGCAAATTTGCGGAGCGAGACTGCTGCTGCTATCGTCGAGCAGAGTCGTTCCTCCAGTGGGACATTCTTCTTGGGTACAAATGAAGCTGACGAAAGCGGCTTGATAGCTTCTTGGTAAACAGTCAAAGCGGTCTCGAGAACCTCGGGAAGATATCTGTGAGGTTGCAAGAGGTATTGAAGCCACTTATCGGTAGGATCCACCACATCATCGATAACCAGAGGAGCCGGTGCTTCTTGTCTATGGGTTTCAAATGTTGTTGAAACCCAATTACTCGACCAATCTTTCACCAGAGTTTGAAGGTCGAAATGCAAAGTGTAGAGCTGGTATAGACCGTGGTTTCTCCAGAGAACCCACAACTCCATGCCCTTGCCTTCTTCTCGGGACTTGACCTGGAAATCAGCAATGCTCCAGAACATGTTGCCCGTGACATCAGGGTCCACTGCCCGGAAAACGCTATCTGGGAAGAGCTCTTCAATGATCAAATCAGATGTGAGACCACCCTTGACAGCCCAGAACTTGAATTTCCCATCCTCGAAAGGCGAGTATGTGACAACGTAGAAGCGGTGCCCTCCGTCCATTGCCCGCTCGGCATTGAAGACGCGCATGAACGATGATTCAGCGGCGTTCAAAGTGTAGGGTACAAGATCCGGATCCTGCAATGAGCGTCCCAAGAGGTCCTTTGTTGCAGCTAATTTGTTTGTCGCGAGATTCCAGATTTTCAGAGTGTGGTTCAGACAAATTGCGAAAACGTAGGTCTCGTCGGAGGTAGTGGCAATGGCGTTTGCGACATTCAAATCGAGGTTCCGTCCGTCATGTCTAATCGAGGATGGTGCGTTCCATTTCACGAGGCCGCGAATCGAAGAGCCCCATGTCCGTTCATCGAAGGTAAGAGGAGACCAATGCGAGCCTAATTGGAAGAATTATTGGTTAAAACTCTATCCGTGAAAGTATCAGAAAGCCGGAACAACCACTTACCATCATCGCCAGCTCTCCGTGTCAGCCGCAAGAGCGCGCCGTTGTCTAAAGAAATAAACAGCTCCAGGGGGCTGCTCGCGTGTAGCCGGTGCGGATGCGAAAAAGCCAACGGGGCAGGAGAGAAAGCCTTGCACCAATCCTTCATATTCTCATCAATCGAAGAGGTCCGGCGGAAGTACTCGGGACGTAGAGACACGGTGTGAAGGGTCTTAGAGGCGGTAATCACAAAGACATTGAGGATTTCGTGATCCTCGGGGTCTGCCAATGCAACTCCATGAGGAAGGATTTGCTCCTGGAAATCCAGTCGCAGAGTCACATTGTACTCATAGACTTCCGCGCCGCCCTTTGTCAAGTCCGCGCACTGAATCTCCAGCACCTTGTTGTCGTTGATGACCCTCCACAGGAACGTTCGCGGGTAGACTTTGCGTTTGCGGAAGTAGACCTCTCCTTGTGTCGCGAGGTAGCGTCTGGCAAAATCGTCTTCGTCCTTGGCGGTCGGTGGCTGCTCTTGGGTGAAGGAGATTGAAAAGCGTGGACGACTGATCAGGCCGCCGTCGGGGGCAGGAAATTGAATATTGGCGACAGTGTTCGGCGAGTAGGGCCGAAGATCGACCCTTGAGTCTTTGTAAATTCTCGCCATGATCGATTGACGCGAGGTTCCAGGGTCAACTCAGAACTCCATGGCAATGTTGAAGGGAAGTGTTGCAAGGCGGGAAGCTGGAGCTCTCAAAAAACAAAGTCTTGGCGCGATAAAGCGGAACTTTCACTGGAGATCATTCTTGACCACTTTTTTCATGCTTTCTCACTGACGAGCTTCGTTTGTATTTGTCTGTTTATCACTCACTTCGCTCTGGATTATTAGCTTCAATATATAAGGTTTTTCTTTTTAGTTTCAGTTCATACGTCCCAAGCCCTACTGTACGTTAAGTTATCAGGTTGGTAAAGGCCAGTAACAAGAAAATGACAATGCTTTTCATAACAGTTTCAATGCTATTAGATACAAAATGTAAACGCTGAGATATTGCAGTCCGCGCGAAAGGCAGGAAAACGGAGGGATGCTCATCAAGTCACTAACATCGTGTCGCAGACAGGGAATAGCCCGCTCATTTATCCTCCAAATCCTTCTCATTAGGATCACCAATACCATCTTCATTGATAGCGAAGAGGCAATCACTCTCGGGGAGACAAGGGCTGTCATAGATCTTGCAGATACGAGTCTCACCACGACCCTTCTTTAGACTCAGTCGAGTCGTACTGGCGTGTGCAATGATATTACCTCCAATGGGCTTCTTAGGGTCAGGATTGAACATAGCACTGGGCCCGCCATCAACCTGGGCAACAACCTGGTTGGTAATAACGACCGCAATACCGAACTCGTCTGCGAGACGCTGCAGGGTTCGCATAAACTTGGCTAGATGCGTCTGCCGAGATGAAAGCTCACCGCGGCCGTTGAAATCCGTTCGGTACAAAGAGGTCGCCGAGTCAACAACCAACAGAGAGAATCGCGTCTCACACATCATCTGCGATGCTTGGTTGAGTAGCTGCAGCTGGTGATCCGAGTTGTATGCACGGGCATATGCAACATTATCAAGAACCTCCTCGCCAACGAGACCATATCGCTGCGCAACTGCAAGCAAGCGCACGGGTCGGAAGGTTCCCTCTGTATCGATATACAGACACTTTCCTTCACCACCACCCATATCGAAGGGCAACTGGCAAGTCACTGCCAGCGTATGGCAGATCTGACTCTTTCCCGTTCTGAACTCTCCAAATATTTCCGTAATCGACCCCGTTTCAACACCACCTCCCAGTAGCGTATCGAGGCGCTTAGATCCCGTTGTGATGGAGATGAGCTCGCTTCGCCTAGCGTGCATTTCTGTTGCGGTTGTGAATCCCATTGGCACTAGTTTGGCAGCTGGGTGATCCATTCTCATCAGCAATCTGATTTACAAGCAGATGTACGTGCCAGACATGGGGTGGGCTTACCCTCGACTAGGATCTTGGTAGCCTTTTGTTCCGAGATACCCTTGATCTGTTCCAGTAACCGCTTTGGTCTGGATTCAGTGAATGTTAGCAAGAGCGGGACTAGGAGCGACGTTGCCAGCGTCTCGAAACGGCAATGAACCACATGGTCGTGGATAACGTACGTGTAGGCAACGGCCTCGACAGTGTGGTATCCTGCATCCACAAACAACTTGATATCCCTCCCCGTCAAGCCGGCAACGCCCTATCGCAGCAATCATCAGCTGTTCCGTTCAGCGACATGTAGCAAGTACAAGCGGCGTTCACTCACATCCAGTGCAGAGAGCGGGGTTGGGGCACCGGGGCCAGGAAGCCCACCTTCATCGAATTGTTCTTGCCCTTCCATTCTGCCAGTGTATTTCTTTGCTATACTGACTCCGAGGTGTCCATCCACCTCTTTTGTGGGTACTTGAGGCTCCGGTGCGCGAGGCTGGATTGTAGAGACGCGTTTGTGTGGGATTTTTCGTGCGTGGTGGTGATTTCTTCTGTAGAGCCAGTCTAACAAAGCAAATGTCAGATAAAATGCTTTAGCAGGTCGTCACTCGAGCGATAAGTCGAGTTGTGGCAAATTATCTTTGAGTCAACAATTCCCCTCGACGCGTTGATGGAATCGCGAGATCACGTGGGGCTGCTGCCTTGACTTTGCCCGATACGGAGAAAACAAATAGTTGAATCCGGTTCAATCTGTGGACACCGACATCGTGTGCTTGCATTAATTAGTAGGGACTTGGTCTCATATCTTGTGCGGTGGTTCAACTACTCTCGGTATGTAAAATCCAATGTCAATGTCAATTTGCAACGGTCTAAGAATACAATTCTGCCCTGTTAAGATAACATCGCCATAATTTCCTCTAAAAATGCTTCTCTCATGTCAATCGAAGCTTACGCAGGACCAAGGTATTATCTGCGCCATGTACCAGAACGCCAGATTGAATGGAATGCTAAATGTATTGAGGGCAGCGAGCCGCTGTCGAAAGTCTCAAGGTGAATGTTAGGCTCCAGGCAGTCTAGACATGCCGAGATTATGATTTTTCTTTTGGAAAAGTGCGCTTCATTGCGCTTCATTCTCAGGGGAGGAGTTCATCCACGGACGGAAAGGACGAAGCAGTGACTTTCGAAAATTCCGCTTCTGGTACTCTCGCAAGGCAGGGTTGAACTCGAGTTGGTCCGTCGGTGCGCCCATTTGGATATTTTCATTAAAGATCTGACTCATCTTGCGTCGGAACTCTTCCGATGATCGCCGGCGAGGATTTTCTTCGAGAGAATCTGCATTAGTTTCGGTTCCATGGCAGTGTGGTCATATTTGGATCTTACTTGTCAACCGAGAAGTGCGCTTCTTTTCTTTCGGAGCATAATCCATTTCACTTATGCCATCAGAGCCGGTGTTTTTATCTTTGGTCTCGGAATGGCGACTTGAGCTAAAGAGCCGAGTATGGAAACTAGCACGCCTCTGACTGCGCGTTACTTCTTGTCCGCTGACCATTCTCTCTTCCTGTGCAGGCGTCATGCTGAGGGCACTCGGGTTGATTGGCAAGCTCGCGCGGCTTGACATGTGATGTTGTTTGTGCTCGTAGACAAAACCAGCAGAGGTGAAGTCTAGCTGTGAGAGGACTCCGCGTCGGGCAGCCGGAGCTACGGGTGTCGGGCTTATCAGACTACACTCAACTCCCAATGAGGACTTGGGGGCCTCAAATACTTTGGATGGTAGTCTGAAGGCTGGACTGGCCGGCCGGCTTCCCACCGGGGTTGCGGGCTGGCAAGGACTGTGGGCAGGTGTGTTGAAATTCGACACCCAGATTCCTTCGATTGCGATTCCACTCTCCAATGCCCGAGCACCGAAGGGGATCTCATCCCTATGCAGCATTGGATACTGCTCGGCCTCTTCTTCTCTTGCTTGTGCCTCTGCTGCAGCATACTTGCGGATGATCCACCGGTTGTAGGCTAACACGCCCAGGGCATAAACCAGTACTAGGGCCTGCGGATGCTGTCAGTTGTGTCTGTGGCAGTATGGATAGAATTCCCATACAATCAGCATTGCCAGAACCTGTCGATGCAGTAGTCAGTGAATGTGTTCTTTGTTCAAAATGTCCAGTCATACCACGCTGAGCTTCTCCCATAATTGCCAATCCTTCCAGAAGGCCATGATTGTGTTCTGAGATTGGGTCTTCTGCTGCGACCAAGACAATGAATATGCAATAAGGACTCGGCTTATGGGTAAAAGAGAGAGAGCAGTGAGGGAGAGTTGGCTGAGAAATGAAATAATGATGTGAGAGTGTTTGGATCAATACTTCGGAAGGAACACTCTGGAGCATGCCAGCTTGATATGTTTTTTTCCTGATTTCTGGCAGTAGCCTGAGAAGACCCGATACGTCTTCCTACTTTTGTAATTCAAGCTATGTATGTCTTGGAAATGTATCTATGTTTATTGTACTGTCTTACGCCAGTAGCCTGGGGACAATGAATGTATGCAGTTACCCTCTGACCCTGGACTAGAGGTCAAACGTAGAGTATACGCAATTTCGGTTAAATCCTGGTAAATCTCAAGGTTATGATAGGAATAAAATCGTATCTCAATAAGCGCCAAAGTAATCTTCAGTGGCCATTTCATTTTGAGGGGCAAAAGAAATAGCAAGCGCAAAAAAGAATCTCTCCCTCGGGGAATCGAACCCCGGTCTCCCGCGCTTATCGGTATTAATGACAAGCGGAAATCATCACCACTAGACCAAGGAAGATTGAATGACCGAGTTACTGCTCGACCACTTGGCTGGTTGATGGAAGATACGGCCATCTTTGACTTTATGTTCATAACAAAATATAGCACAACCATGCCCCCACGTTCATCGCGATATCCATCTCACGTTTTATAGGCAGTTTGTGACAAAGATTCAGTTGATCAGAACAAGATGCAATTAATCTCAAATCAATTTATTACTGTTTGGAATGCCAAAATCCACCATCTTTCCATGAAAGTATAGATATCAGACCAACGCCTGGATATATATCTCAAACCATGAGGGGCTTGTGTGTACTTTCAATCCCCTTTTTATCCATTGATAACTTTATCCGGATACCAACTACTCTGAACACCAGCTACTCCGTATTCGTTATCAAAGCATCTGATAGACACGAAATCCTCCGGAGACCAACTGGCCTGATATGGAAATTGGCAGCCGACTGCCGGATTCCTGACATCCCCTTGGTAGGATTTCGTAGCACAATCTCGTTCACCGTACACGAGACACTGACCACGAGTAATAAAGTACGACTTGGGCTGGGTGATCTTTTGGCCTTTGCAGCTGCCCCAGTTAAGGCCGCCGTCGGTCCATAGCCGACACGAGGTCTGTTTATCATTGATGTCTGTATTGAGATTGTCGGAGAGATTGACGCAGGATATGTCTTTCGTGTCGTGCCCTTGGAGTGAGATGTATTCTTCGCCCTTGCAACCTTTCTCCTTGTAGATTGTAAGTTGCCATGCAGGAACCGGTGTTTCGCTTGTAGTTTTGGTGGCTTTTTTCTCGGTTGTTGTGCTTGACTTTTTGGTGATGGTGGTGACCTTTCGTGTTTTCTTCGAAGTGGTGCTTGTAGTTTTGCTGGATATTTTTGAAGTTGTGCTCGGAAGACTTGCATTCGTTTCAGAAGAAGCAATCTTCTTGGTCGGAGCATCTTCCAGTTTACAATTAGAAACACAGCCCGTACCACAGAAATCGGCAGTGGTTCCGCATGTACCTAGCTTAGAACACTTATAACATGGTCAGTAATTGTAACAAGATTGATTGAAAGGTGTTGCCACTCACACATGCACCAGAATGACACGGGTTAAGGGAGCCAAGATCAGACATCCCGAGAGGACGCATAGTACCAGGCACCTGAGGACCACAGGTAGCATGCGGGAGAGCTACTGGCATTGGAAGTTTTCCAGAACCGAGACACATGAAGACACCCTGCTTCAATCCACTGCAGCCCGTCCAGCCCCAAACCCCAATGTTCCAGGTCTCAATATTGGCCCTGCTGATTCCATATTGAGTGGCAAGGGCAGCACAACTATCTCCTGCCTGGACAGTATAAGTATGACAAATACCTTGGGAATCTGCCGTTAGTGCAGAATTACGTTTATGGAGTGAATTGGACAGAACCGAGTCACCGTCGCTTTCGAGCAGGGCAAGAGCCGCAGAAAGAAACAAAAGAATGAGAAGACTGAAGAGTTTTATGTTGATCATTGCATCAAAGATGCCCTCGAATATAATTTCGCATCCAAAGGATCAATCGGAATTATATAGACTATCGAAGGAACATCGAAACATATGAACCGCCAGGGATCAATGCCGAGAAATATGAATGCCCGTCAAACATGAGTGGCAAGCTTGAGGTATAAGAACTGGCCAAATCCGATTTAAGAACTCAACTCATTGTTCATATGCGGACCCCAGTAAAAAACATCGCCCAGAGCCAAGATGCACCAGGAATGCTGGGGACAAAAGTCCAGGCCAGACAAAGAGCCAAGTCACTCGCCGCAATGGTATGTAAAGGTATCCTTTGTGTTTTCATGTATGATCGCCCGAACAGGGTTTGAATAAGGTTATTGATTCACCCGCGCGCCTGCAGCTCTATTGATCCCGTTTTCAAAGCCGGCATTGAATAATACTTGTTACATGGTCGAATATTTCCTATTAAAAGATGGCTGTCCCCTTAAGTCTGTTAAATTACTCGTGACTAGGCGGCCAAGAGACCACCTTGAATCCTCTAACTCTTATGGACTAAACCCGGGGAGATAGTTTCTTTCACCCGATCGTCAATAATGATTGGGGTACCAAATAGGAATGAGATAAAAGAATAGAGGTCAATAAATTTGAGGCCTAGAAAAAAGTCTGATAAATGTGATTTGGAAGATTGTCCAAATTAAGAAATTTAAAGAAAAAGATTGATTCATTCTGTAATGGCAAATTTGTGCCATGCAAACTAACATCTAAATTGTCATCAAAACGTAAGGCTAAATAGAACATGCAAGATTAATGTAAAGAAGGGACCACTCTTTTCTGTCTACCACCAACAGTCTAGACAGCAATTGCCGGGGCAAGGGTACCTCCCAACAGCGAATCACTCTCATTGACGTAGCTGTCTGTGCCTGTTCGGAAGGCGATCTCTTCTTGGCTGACAGCCGGAACGGCCTGATGAGCGGGCCAAATCTCATGACCAGCTTCCTCCTCCTTGGAGCGGTGTTCTGTGACGACATCGCGCACAGTCTTCTGGAAGTGGAGTGGACCCTGCTCCATCTCGGGGTGGAGCTGACCGTTGACAAATACACCGGCGTTGAGGTTCTTCTGGGAATGGATGCAAAGGTACTTGTCCTCGGACATGATACGCTTGTACATGTCGCTTATGAGGTTGAAGGCCTCGTCGGTGGCATCCTTGTGACGATAGACTTCGTACCGCATTACACACTTGGTAGGGCTGGTAGGAGTGAATCGCTGCATGAAGAAGAAGTTGGGGCTAGAATATCAGGTTAGCAATGTTCTGTCGCTGGCAATAGTGATACGATCCACTTACGAGATGTTGAAAGAGGCGTTGGGCCAGAAGTAGGTGGTGGCTATCCGGAAGCCCTTTTCGATCTGATCCTGGCGAGGAGCACCGTAGTGCTGAATGTGGCCGTCCTTGGTCTTGACATAGTAGGAGTTGAGGTCGGCAATGGTGGGGATATCAGGGTGGGCAACCTGGCAGTGGTAGCACTCGTTGTAGTTGTCGGCCAAGATCTTCCAGTTGAATTCGCCCTCCATGTCCCAGGTATGATCGAACTGGTAATTCTCAAAGTTGTAGTGCTCGAACCGGGGCTGCTCATCAACTCCCTCGAAGTCATCCTTCCAGGCCACCTCAGGGGTCTCGCTCGCATCTAGGTTGACCCAGACGAAGCCATTCTTGTCGAGGTGCACATGGACGGGAATGAGGTCACTGTTGAAAGCCTTTACGTTTCCTTCGTGGTCCTTTGCAATGACGAACTCATAACCGGCGGCGTCATATTGAACGCAGTCACCAGCGTTAGGGACACGGTGCTTGTGGGTAGTAAGGAGCCACTTGCGCGAGAAGATCGATCGGCGTTCAAGCTCATACATAGCTTGGGAGGTGTACCATGAAGCAGGCAGAGCACGAATGGGCTCCTTCTTTTCCTTCACTGGCTCAGGCGCCGGGGCGGAAGTACCGAAGAAATTCCTCAAGAAGGACATAGTGAACTTGAAGTGAAAGAAATATCTTTGATGGAATAAGATAGAGATTGATATTGAAGTATCAACTTTGTATGCTGAAGCTGTTGATAAACAACATTGAAGCTGGAGATTATAGCTGTTCTATATAGCCATCTAGATATCAACCGTAACACGGTGCTGATCACACCCTCAGCACCTCCCAGGATGACATGTTCGGTAACCGTCCTTTCGCATCCGAACCGATGACATTTTGGGATGTCCATCGCGATCAGGTGGCCAATGTCGACGGGAGATATAAGTAGAAACCGATCAGGTGACCGGTAGATACCCCAACCGGGCCGAATGGCTTGGAAAGTTATCGAGCAAACATTCTGCCGAACAGCCCAAATTTGATCCGGGGGTTAGTTGTGGCAAGGGTGATAGCACCCCGGACTACACTATTGGCTTATCAGAGGTCCACGTTGATCTCATTCCGATGCCCGTTCGCGGTTCGGTGGAGATCCGTTCCACACCGGCTGTTTAGAGATACCTAAAAGGGCAGTTATTTATCATCGCCCATGCTGCAGGGGCTTTGAAACCGGATGTCTGGGGAACTGCAAGATGGGCTTTAGAATGAATGATCGTGCATCAATCCAATTGCGACGCATGAGTAGCCGGCTATCGGAAAGAGAACAATATGTAACTTCCAAGACCTGAATAGTGTAGATGTCATGATAAATGGCAAATTAGAATTGACGGTAGGCTAATAATACGTATCAGAGGCTTTGAGGTCTGGGCTGATTACCCATTCATGGAAAATAACATTTGGCTGCCCCTTCTCTCCCTTCTGCTCACTATCTTCCTATCTTGCTATCCCTTGGGCGTCAAACTTTGGATATTCTTTGTTTGCACCCTGACACGTGTCAAATATAGGCGATAAGGATTAACATGGGGTTACATTGAAAGTTGAGGTTAGTTTCGTCTCTGGTCTTCTGATTCTTGTTCCACCGTGAAATTCTTACGGCTTGCGGGGACGAAAGCCAATAAATCAGCAGCAAAGAACTTGCCAATTGCCCATTTCAAGCTTATCTCTGTGATGTATATTGAAATGTTCTCACTTTCTGACATTCAGACCACGAGGGAACCAATATCCCCACGAACCGGTCAATAGCCCTCTTTTCGGCTTTGAGCTGCCTCACTCGGATGAATCACCCCAGCTACTTGATAAGATGAAGAAGATATCTGGGGACCCAAAAAGGAGATACACGGAGAAAATCAGAGCAGATTCGACACTGATCGCCAGGCTCTCCACATTGACTGGATCAGATAACCATTTCCTAATATTGACTGAAGCTGAAGTGCCCTTCTGAAATCTACACCAGTACCTCTTATTTTGTCACGCTAACAACCCTGCTGCTCTTGCAGAAACGCCTGGCGCGTCAACTGTTGCCTTTTGCTCTTCGGGGGGACAAAATAACAGTTTCGTTCATTTGACAGATTGCTGTACATTGACGTCCTTGTTAACTAGCGTTACAAGCATAGTTGGAACCGATCTTTATATTCAGCAAGATATACTGTGCTATGCAAATATCAGAATTGCATTGAAGTAGTAATCCATGGCATTCGCATTCGATGAAGATTGGCTGATGCATCATTCCCGAAATATGGAAATTATAATGATCAGCAGTTGGCTCCAACATGTTTCCACCTTGGCCTTTGTATAATTCTCTCCTGGGCTCGAAGTCTCCCGCTTATGTCAAATGCTCACAAATGGTCCCTGCACGTGATGTTGATGTAGGAAAGTGCACGGACATCCTGTTGTTGTCGACTACATTCCTTGTATAATTTGCGCTTCTGGGGTCTTGACCTCCTGGATCAACAGAGGAAGGACCCACCTTATGGGTAGGATAGCTACAAGAATACCACAAGGCTATCACTATCACCATGGCACTGCAATTCATTGACCAGAGCATCAGCGGGATAGGCCACTCTGACAGGCGCATCATCCGCTCCCACGTCATGCGAGGCAAAAATGCAGGCAAGCAGCGCAGATCTACCAAGAAGCAAAAGAATATTCTAGAGCCCAAGTCCCTGCTGCATGCTCCAGGATCTGGATATACAATCCCACGACAGGTGCTCTGGAGCGACTTATGTGTCACTTCGTTTCCTGAAGAGCTCAGCTCTCAGTCGATGGGGCTCATGCACCGGTGTACGTATTCTACCTTCGCTGTTCCAATAATCAACCATGTATTTTGTTGTCTGATGTCAGAACTATAGGGTTTTTTGACATAAGCGATACGCTATTCCCACCGCAGTTCTGTTCCAAGTTCGACATTGTAAGATCGATTTGGGTCAACTGTATTCTCGCAGACGAAGCATGTGAGTGACGCCATTGAAATTTAATTCACACAGCACCGTTGACCACCAGATTCCCAGATTTTCACAGCACTTTGGCTATATCGGCGTCTTATGTTGACTTTTTCCAGCGGAAGCCAGCAACATCGCAGAAAAATCTCCACCATATCTCAAAGGCATATGCTTTGGTCAATGTAAAACTGTCGGGCCCATTCCCAGTTTCCGACAGTGCTATAGCCGCCGTGGTTAGTCTCGCAATATACCAGCAAATACATCACCAGCCTGCAATCGGAATTGTACATCTCCACGGACTCTATCGCATGATACAGTTACGAGGTGGGATCGACAAGGTAATGCAGGAAAATCGTTCATTGGCAATGAAGCCGTTAAGGTACGTGAAACGACTTGCTTTCAAGCCTTGCCTTCAATTCGCGCAAATACTTGCTTCGGAATGAAGCTCTATAATCTCATCTAACTATTTCAGACTCGATGTTGAATTAGCGATGCAGAATGGCACGCCCACCTTGTTCCGTAGCAACGAAGTGCCCATTCGGTCGATCCTATGCGATTCAATTGCCAGTGGACCGAGTCCCACAGCTAGCTCTTGGATGCCACTCATTATGCTAGATCTGCTTAACTTTGCGAACTTGCTTAATGCAATAGAGAAAAGACCAGAATCAAAGCTTGACCCTCTGGACTATACAGAGACGCTTCTGTCCCTCCTTTATCGCCTTGTCGATGTCTCGATTCCAACAGAAACCCCCACGAATCCCGAAGGACTTCATGAAAATGTGAAATACCTTGCGATGCTGTCTTTTATGACGACATTACTACCTGAGTTCACCAGCGATGGACCTAACTTTCCTCTTCTTTCTGAACGCCTGAAAAAAGCTATCCAAGACCTTTGCATCATGACATCAGAAGGTGCGGATTATAATTCACCTTTGATGTTATGGACTTTTTTCATGAGCGCGATATCGACGTCAAATTCGAAAGACCATCATTGGTTATCGAATTCAATTGCCACTCATTGTAGAAGACTAGGACTAAACAATTGGACTGCCATACAGCAGCAGCTTTGTCAGTTTCCTTGGATTTTTAGCTTACATGAAGCCCCAGGCCGCCGCTTTTGGGAAAATATGTGACCAGGAGCAGAGAAGTCCCATGTGATGATTTATCATAATAATTGTGACGATACAAGACATTACGTTCTTATCGCGTGATTTGGGAATCATGAAATTGTGCCTTCCACGACATTGCCTAGTCATTTTATTGTACGCTGTGTTCCATTAGGTGCCCGCGTATCCAGACTAGTTGCACGACTTGGGGAAGATGGCCCACTTGATGTACAGCTGTTCACGCGGCGAGTACTGGAAAACAATACAACTTTATTCAACTTGTTATTTAATAGGTCTTTGCGCCTGGGAAGTCTTTCTAACATCTTAAGATACGCGTTTTAATACGTGCGGCAGCTTTGTGAGTGCAGCCACAGCATTCAGATATCTTGATAAAATCAGGTATAGCCATTGAACAACCAGTTTTGGAACTAACGATATTGGCTGTCTATAAGGAAATGCGTTTCACTAGCTGCAGCACTCGATGAGGTATCAGCCTTGAAAACAAAGCCGCCTCTGAAGATCTACTTGAGCTGTGAGACACAGCCCGGCTGCACAGACTCTAGCTTTGAAGCGATCTCGCCCCAGATGCTGTTCTGTATCTTCTGGCCCTCATCATTTGTGAGCCACGTCGGCACCCAAAACTCCTTGATCTTGCAACCGGATAGCAACTTCCCATGGCCCTCCTCGCCCACCACCAGACCATGTAGGAAGGTGCGACTACCAATCTCTGCGGTTCGGGCCATTATGACCCGAAGTGCTTCGTGCATGACTTTGGTGAAGGTGCGAGCATCGCGGCCTAGGCCAGTGGTGCAGATACCCGGAGCGACCATAGTGATGACAACGCCAGTGCGCTCGACAGGACAGAGGGCTGCAAAGCGGCGTACGGCACACTCTTCGATGAGCTTACTCAGAGCATATCTTTGGCTGTATGTTAATAGCAATATAATAACATGGATTGGAACAAAAACCCACCTCGAGTCCATGTTGGCCCGCCTTTGGTCGTTAAACCCGTCAAAGATAAGGCCTTTGCGGCTCTTATCCATCTCGCTCTTGACAGTGTATCCAAGAACACTGACGATGAAGACGAGCGTGGGCTTGATGTTGAATTTCCTGGCACACTCTTTGAGCTTGGGCATCAGGAGAATGCCGAGAAATAAAGTGTTGATGACATTGACAAATATACTCGTCTCTATGCCTTCGACCTGCGACCACACATCGATCATGATCCCCGCATTGCAGATAAAGCCATCAATCCTATCAAAATCCTTTGCCAACTTCTTTACAAAGCTCTGAACCGACGAGTAGGCTGACATATCTATGTGTCGTATCTTTGGAAAGGTCAGTATCGATCACAGTCCTCAAGAACTTGCAGAGCGCACCTGAACCACTCCCTTGCGGCGAGTCGTCTTCTCAATGTCGTTTTTGGCAGCTTCTCCCGCTTCCATATTCCGCACAGCAAGCACAACGCATTCGGCTGATGCCGCGACCAGATGTCGCGCTGTCTCGAGACCAAGGCCGGAGTTGCCACCTGTAATCACATAGGTTTTGCCGACGCAGGTCGTCTCATCAACTAGGATTGGAAGCGTCCGATACTGCTCAGCAGCTAAACGAAGCATCACCATCTTGTAATAGTCTTGTCAACGGGTTCCTGTCTAGGTGTTGTCTGGGTGATGGGGGTAGAGGCTTGGGTACTGTATGCAAGCTTCACTGGGAGACTTGTGCCGAATGCTGCGATGTAAGAAAGAAGGAAGAGATGAAGCCTGCGAGAGCATTACCTCCTCCTTGCTTTATATGTCCTCTCGGAACCATACCACCGCAACCCGGGGCTCTCTTCTATGTACCCTGGCCAATCTGAGATTGGCGTCCTCTTTCGGACTAGCCCACGGCTAAGTTAATTGACAGCAAGAGATGAAGATCGAGTGTCGACCAATCAGAAGTCACTGCGGCTGCATAGAGACTCCACTATCTCATACTTGACCAATCCGATATTGGTTTCCTTTTTGGGAAATACCCGCCCCGGTATTTTGGACTCCGTTGGCTCTTCTTTGAGTATCCACGCTAGCTAGGTGTCATGTTATTGACCATGGATTTGGAGAACGGTTGTTCATTCAACCTGTCTAACTCTTTTCTCGCAAGTTGTCCGTTCGAGTAGGGCGATAGCTCTGGAGACCTCGGGAACAAAGTCTGATTAGTCATCACCACCACAGCAACCTTCAATGTTGGGAACCCGTGGACCATTGGACCCTTGAGAACATCCATGGATGTCAGCTCGTGGTCAATCTGACTTCACGACTCCCGTTTACTTGCAAGCGCTAGCTTCCGAGGTACTGCAAAGATACTACTTGCTCTTTCCTGATTTCACAAAAAGTAGACGTTGATTGGGAAGAAGTGAAAGCTCGGACTGGTATCATGGAATACGAGGATTTCAGTCGACCATTCCGCTTCATAGTCACAGGTCGACTTCTCGCTATTCTTTACAATGGCAGAGAATTCGAGTTACACCAGGACCGCCACGGCCGCGGAACTTTGTTTCATCTGTCCGATGACGAGGAACAGATAATCTTTAATCGCAGCTATATCGGGAGCCTCTCTAGTCACTCGGACTTTCCAGACGACGTATTCTACATCAAACGTGACCAACAGTACATTTCCTCGGAAGGAGACTGGACAGAAAGCATCAAAAATGCACTCATGGTCCAGATTGACCCAGAGCCAACCTGGGGCAACCCCCTCCAACAATCGCACCCCTCGTCAACCGGGTTACTAGCACCGACAACCCTATCTCTGCCGATGGAATTGATCTCTACCAGCCGGGCCAGCAATTTATACTGTACCCTTTCGGAGGTCTGTGGATGGGAAACACCGAGCGCTCACCAGAAGACAAACTTGTCTTTCGTGGAAATCCATACAGCGATGGAATGACCTTCGAATTTTCCGTGCATAATGGGAATATGCGGATTACCTCCGATGACGGCATGTTTCTGTCTGTCGTAATGCCGACCAACACTACCGAGTGCCGAGACGAAAAGTGTCAACAGCATACTGCGTCCACTCGGTGCCCACAATGCCAGCGGAGATACACTATGGGCTTCGTCTCCGAGCCGCGCGACTGTATCACGCTTATCCCGCGTGGACTGCCTAGCATGTTTGTCTTCTTTGATAGTATCTACTATTACCATCTTGATGCTCTTAGGGGTAGTTACGCCGAGTTGGTGCGAGTGGAGCGTATTGAGGATGCCTCGCTGTTCCAGTTTGTTAGTTTTCTATCTTAATGTACAGCAGAATCCTCGTGCCTAGGCAGTCAACTGTTATATATCTAGAATTTGAACATAGTCAAGGATATCATTCAAGACAAGTCGTCTGCATTGAACCAGCACAGCCTCAAAAAGGCTAGAAAGGCCAGCGGACGACTCAAAGTGCTATAAAAGGTCGTAAAAAGTTGACATATAAAATCAACGTCATTTGGTATCATATTTACATGCAATGCTTTCTTTCAAAAAAGCATCATTTCCGGTGTTCCTGGATAATTAGAAGGTCTGATTGGAAGGTAGAATGCCAGAAGTCCCTTGCCGGCTCATCACTAGCCCGACACACAAAGAAGAATTCCTCCAACAACACGACAGCCCGATTCCATTCTTGTAATGACAATTGATCTGCGATGTCCTTAAGGCGTGCAACAAACCAGGAATGACACTTCATGGACTTCGACGAAAGACTGCCAATGAAAAGTATCCAGAATAGCAAGTCCGGAGCAGTACTCTTAAGAACAGAGAAACTCGTAATTAGGCTTTCCCGCAGCATATGAATAAGGCGGTCCAGACATGGGATTCCGTATATTGACCAAATCCGGACGGACGTGTAGGTCAGTATGCCGAGTCGCAAGGTCTCTTCGAAGGGCGTAAGCGAAATCTCGTGTGGGAGAGATATTAGTCGGTAAGCCAAGAACAATAAGCAGTCGTTCTCAACCGACATGGGCTCGACATCCACATTGGCAAAACTCTCATAGTAGGAGATTATTTGCTGAAATGATGAAATTATTGACTTGAATGTAGGGTGGATATTCCTAGACCAAGAAGCGGTGAAAAAGCGAATACCCAGAGAGGAGCTTTCCGTGAAGCGATTCTTGGATCTGAAGAAAGCGGACTCTTTGAGGACTCGACTTTGGAATTTCGAACACATATCAATTATCGGCATTGTGTCACTCATGATGCCTCGCAAAAACTGGCAGCTACACCAGGAGAAAATAATAGTGATTAGTGGACGTCGTCAATATGGCGTGGTGTTACTTCTTACCAATAGACCATAGCAAGCGTTCCATGGTCAAGCATATCCATCCCGCCTATGGCGTCTATTATCTTTTTCATGCCGTTTATATGGGTGTCAACAGCCTCTATATTGGCCTCCAAAGCCTGTGTCATGATTTATTTGTGAGCAAATCTCCACTTTCCAAGATCAAAAACAAAATATCCGTGCTGTAAAGCCAGGGAAGACTCTTACCTCAGAAACAATTATATGAGAAATGATAAAAACCGTTTGTTCAGAGTACATGGTGGCTGTATTCTGCAGTATGCATTGGAGTGACTTGATAGTTCCCACGCGAAGGCGAATCGCATCATGAGTTGGCTTTTGCACAGTTGCCGTCGAAGCACCAGAAGCTGTTAGAATTGCAGCACGATGTGATGCACTGATCGACAATTTTATCAACATCAACGTGGGATCTTGGACGGCTCTCTGCCAAAACCAAACCGTGACATCGCTGGAACAGAGAGGGAAGCAGGCTCTTGCGCTATGAATTCGATCTAATTACTGTGTCAGCCATATGCCACCTCAAGGATATGACGGATATGTCGATCATAGTAACAACCTCAACACCAGGTCCGATCGTTGTGTACTCACAATGATGGAAGTAAAGATTGGGATTATGATTTGGGCTAAAAGCCAGACCAGGGGCCCCATCAAGCACTCCTGCTCCGAGACATCGGACTAATACTGAGGTCTGCTCTGGACTGCCCTCGGAATCACTGGTGGAATCACTGTTATCGCTTGACACACAGCGGGTTGAGGCATTGGTCGTATGGGACGGTGGACAGTGCCCTGTGGAGAACTGTCCGGGGTTGCCTTGCTGCTGCTTTTCTCTCCGTAAGCGATGATGGCGTGTTCTCACAAAAGCCTGTTTAGACCGGAGTAGTTCGCGGCCCTTTGATCGATCATCCTGGTAATCCACCCACAGGAATTCTCGCTGCCGAACGGGTAAATTCTTGGCTGGTTTGGGGTGTGGGACCCGGTTCGACTGGGTACTGGATTGAGTGGACGCCATAAATAGATGTACAAGATTTGTCGTGCAGTGGTGAGATGACTAGGTTGCCTGGAAATCCTTTCCCCTGAAACCCCGCTCGGCCCTCCAAATTGTGTTGGGCTGGTCTTTTCGCGTAGGTCGGAACTAGTGAGCATAGAGTCACCGCCTTCGGCAGATGATTTATGCGTCGTGTGTGCATTCTGTCGTGAGTATTCTGGGTTCTGCAGTGCTACGAAGGGAAGACGTGACAGTGGAGAGAAGAAGTAGACAAGCTGGTCCAGGAAGTAGAAAGAGAGCTTCAATCTACTTCTGCACAGCTGCAAGTGAGACATTCAAGGAGTACCATTTACTGGATTGGACTAGTCCTGCCAGCGGCATGACGGACGGTGGGACCACGTCAAGTTAACCTAAATACTCGGTAAATGGAGAGTTGATCTTGAAAAGGACATGGTTCAATAGCACAACCCTGCGATCAGCACTTTATACAAGCCTTGGGATCAGCCGTCGACGAAAAAGGCTATGCCAAGACAGTCTAGTCCTTTTTCGGATGACTTCCGTATTTGGAAGTGTTCCATATTGGGAAGCGTTCCAGAACGCCTGCATGCTTTAATTTGACCACCATGCAGTTCCTCGTATGCACTGGCTCAGGGAGCAGAGTATCTACCGCAGTAGGCGGGGTATGAGTAGGGTATCGCTGGGATCTAGCCGACAACCTTTGAATCCCCCCTTTGACCATACATTAGTATCAACTGCAAGGCAAACATCTTAAAGCAATATCGTCCAGTAGAGCGAGTAAGATGTATAAAAAGGTGCATAAGGGGTGGATGGAGCGTTGTGACTCTCACGAGAAGGAGAATCCTGCAGATGCACGTTCTTCGCTAAGATCTGACGTGCAGTAACATGTACCCCTGTTGGCCCCTGCTTACGGGTTCCGTCACGGGGTAAATTGAAAGGACCAAGCTGTTGAATGGGGGTGAAATCACACTATACCCTAAAAGGGAAACAGTACTACAAAAGCCGAGCATTGGTATCTTTGATTTCGCGTCTCTGCGTTGCGCTAAGGATCGGCAGTGTATAGTTTGTCCATGTTTGGAGCATGTAAATAACTCCACAGCGAAGATCTAAGGTTACTGACACGCCTGTAATTTCCGCCCGTTGAGTCCTATCTCGTTTTGTTCTTTACTATATCCGCATACGCCAAATGAAGACACCGATGTGGCACCTAGCCCCCTACTGATAGAAAAGGGCTTGTAGCATGCACACTACTTATATTACGAGCCCTGCATATGTCCAAAAGCATCGGTCTTCCAACGCCATAAATCACTTTTCAAATCTATTTCTCCACACACCACATAAGTCTTTTGTTTAGTCTCTCCGCGATGGCGTTCTTTTGCGACTCTTACAACCATTTCGAGAATTTCATCCCTCAAACAAATGATTTGGATTGGAGGGATTACTATTCGCTATATTCGCCGTATTCGCCATATCCGTTGACGCCCGGGGCATACGAAAGTACGCCTCCAGCAGAATTACAATTTCCCGATATACAATGTATGGCTACTCTGCAGCCATATTCTGGAGGGACAAAGACGTACAGCACAGCATTATCCCCGCCGATATCACAAGACCTCTCATTAGGATCTGACAGCAGCTCACCTTGGTCCTGTCCGACCGACGTACAAACTGATGTGTATAAACCATTTGAATCATCTCAAAGGACCGACCAATGTCCTCTCTTTCCCAACGAGGTCCCCGACCTCGTCGGCAATAGCCATGCCTTCAGAAAGCACAGCATTTCCGAAGATGAAACTCGAACACCAAGATCTGAGTATCTTCCCCGAATTATCTCCCCTACCCTTTGAATCGTTGCATTCTGACTATTAATCAGTGCGCAGAGCTCTGTGGTCTATTGTGGTTGGAAGGGCTGTGTGTATTCCGGGGGCTTTTCACGTGAGGCATGCCTATGGCGACATATCAAATCAACCCATATATCACCGAAGGCGTTGAAGTGTTCACTCTGCAACAAAACATTTGGACTTGGGCGGGAGGACAAGCTTCGAGCACACAAGCGGCTCGCGCATAGACGAGGCTGACGTCTTATACGTGTTTCTTTTGGAATTAGGTGTTTGGGAGCTCTGTACATAACTAGCGAATTTGTATGATAAGGATACTTTGGCCGTTGATAGGATAATTTTGCACCCTCAATTAAAGATCGAAGAAGAGAAGCCCAGAAAATTTTGAAAAACTGACAGCTGCTGCTGAGATCAGGCGAAACTATGGAAACCGCGGTCCGTTCCGCTACCCACTCGTGGAGAGATCTTGGCCCCAGCCAAAAGATTTTGTGAAATCAGAGTCTGTTTGCCGAAAGCTAGTCAAACCTCTCAGTAGGGGCGTATGATAGGATTTCTATCATTGAATAGCTTCAGCCTTCATCATTTTTCCTTCCTCCCTACTTGACGTACAAGATCTGAACAATGCGCAATTCCCGGATTTTAAGCAATTCTATGGACTTCAAGCAGTAGAATCTTTTCTGGCAGAAATATGCGAGCGGTGACTTGACTGAATCAGTTAACTTATGTCAAGAAGCTGGTTTATGTTTCAACATGCAAAGGCTTCCCGGACATGCTTATGCAAATGCAACACATTTTCAACTCCCTTCCAAAAAATAGAATCAATTCGCAAAAGGCCTAGATGCAGGCAGGGTAAGAATTCGGCCTTCAAGCGCATGTCTCGACGTACGTCACGGAGACAAGCTACCCATTTGTCTGCCTCCCTGCGATCACCGGATCGTGCGGCTATCTCCAGTATTTGGAAACATATGGATGAGAATGCGGTGGCACTCCAGGCTGGCCATACAGTCTCGACATCCTCAGGTCTTAGATCATGTATAAAACGAGCTGCTGCCATGATGCATGCTTCTCCTGAGATGCGGGCCTGCTGATATGTCATCAAATACTCTGCCCCAGGTGCATCATTCGATAGTTCGGCTGCTGGCTGTAGGAACGGTCTGAGAAAAGCCCTACAGATGATTAAATGGATATAATGATAGCTCATTTCAAGCGTTCTGTCCTGTCTCACTGATCTTCCTTGATCTGATGAGCAAGGCTGGCTTGATGATGTGAATGATTCTTTATGCCACGAATGAAGTTCCTGAAGTAGTGGACCCGTTATTGCAACAGTTCTCTGAACATCGCCACATAATTCATTAACAGCGCGAGGGGAGCTGATGAAGATCAGTCGCGGAAAGAAAGAAGATTGACAAACAGGCAAATAAACTTACTATAATTGTACAAGAACACGGTCAAGTAGAGAGTCGAGTTCCGCTTTTTTCATAACATTTGACCAAGCCAGAGGGTCAAGACCACTGATCAGATAATCACTTTGGCTAAGACCTGCCACGAGCCAATTATCATAAGTCAACAAGGGTGGGCGACCAAGACTCAAAGCAAGCCACTTGTCTGTCGAATAAATGAGACAAGACAAGGATCGACGCTGGAATATTTCTCGTGAGGATATTTGCCAAGACTTTGGATCTAGATGTAGTCCAAGCGTATGAGCACAAGCAACAAGGGTACTAAGCTGTGTCCATTTCAAGCCACTGTCAAGCACAATCGGGTTTGGGTAAGGTCGAATGACCAATGTAAGCAATGTACGTATGATACATAGCTTCGGTGCATGGATCTCATATAGAATCGCATCGTTGATAATTTGATGAAGTGCGACGGCAGATGGCTTATCGTATGCAAGATCAATGCAAAGCTTTTCATCAAATTTGGTAAAGGGCTCGACTATTAAGTACGCACTGGCAAGAAAATGCGGCGGAGTAGTCTTGGGATCCAATTGACCCGATGGCCCGAGCAAAGGATATTGTGATAGGATGATCGTATCAAACAGAGTGATAAGTCTGCGGCCAATATCTGCTGGTACCAATAATTCCAATTTCTGCCTTGTGTCAATGGTTGAAACTTTGCTGCATCCATTTTCTTCCCTGCTGAAACCGAATACTGATGGGTTTGACATTAAAAACTGTGTTGGATTGGAGCCTGAGGATATCGATTGGATGTTGAGATTTTTGAAACGAAATGCCCCGGATGTGTCATACTGGTACCGACTGATCAGCGACGGGTCCATGTCGCCACTACTTCCCAGCAATTGTGCTGTCATGGAAACGTGAGTATCAAGACAAACGGAAACCTCCTGTGAGAGGGTTGCTGGGATAGTTGTATTTGGGGTTTCCACGTCTTTCAACTGTTGAGACCCGGGCGGTTGCGGGGATGTGCAAAAGAAGTTGCCCGGACTAAATCCAGTCGCCCAGTTCCCATCTTCAAATACCCCCGAAACCGAGGCCCCAGATCGCTCGAAAATATCTGGAAATCCTTGGGGCCCAGTGAGAACCACACTGGCTGCATCGTTATCAAGCGCCATTAAACTATCCTCGGTTGAGTCCCCGACTGAGACCGCCTGAAATCCCAGGAGCGGGTTCATCTCTCCATTCAAATTTGGACGCACTCTATTGAGAAACGGTGGTCGTGGTCTTGATGTTGGCTGCATGAATGTACACTCTTTCCCATGAAGTGTGCAGAGATAACAGGGAGGCGATCGGTCAATACGACAAGCTGCCTTCTTGGTGCGACAGGAGTCACACGCGCGATCTCGCTTGCTCATGTATCTACGAGCCCTGTTCGACATCTAAGATTTTCCTGATGCTAAGCGGTCGGAAGTGTCTAAGTTGGATGAACCCGTGGACATGATCAGAGTGATAGACCATCAGGCCCCACTTTTCACGTGCCTACGCCTCCTCTAAGCGCCAGCGACCTTTAGACAAGTGTACAACAGATATGTACTTGCTAAGGCGATATGGTGTAGCGATAGTTCAATGAGATAACCCGGCGCAACTTATGATGGTAAGTGGCCAGGGCTGCAAAAGCCCACGTGCCGAAGTGGCTACACCACGTGCGTCTTATGTGATTCCTACACTAGTACAGGATAACCTACCTACTAACACTTATGATGTTGAATTCCGATAGAGAAATTTACGGCTCATTGATTTTGACTGGAACTGCTGAATCAGATCATTCTCTGTTCTAGCCAAGATGTACCTCCCGAAGGAGCCGACTTGTATCTTCGATATAAACAAAACTTTGCGAAAGCCCTCTTTGTGGGTGATTGTAGTGTGCAAATGCGTGCGGCATTCCAGGGTATCTTTTCATTGTGACATGGTTCCCAGCCTTCTGCAAAAGATGACCATAATACTCTCCTTCGTCCCGTTCAAGATCAAACTCAGCCGTGATAATGTGTGCCCTCGCAAGGTTTTCGAATAAAGGGGCGAGAACGGGTGTGCAGATCCAATCCTTTGTCAATATTCTCTCTTGAACATCTAAGTAATTTTCAGTAAAACAAGAATTGAACTTGGATAGACGAACAAGGAAGGGCAGTCTCACCATCATCATCTCCCAGCCAATACTTCAGAAACCATTGCTCTCTCCCCAAGGGCCCCCAAGGTGCTTTGTGATACAGTAATACACTTTCATAGGGACATGTTGTTTTATTAAGCTCCCTTCTTTTGAGACAGTAGCGCATATCTGTTGCCGGAACAATGATCAACTGTAATTTCAGTTCAATGCCGGCATCCCGGGCAAAATGGCCTAGTACAGCTGTCATTTGACCCCCTGCTGATAGACCCCCAATAGAGACACTAGTTGAATCAATGTTAAGATTCGAAGCATTTTTTATTGTCTGTATCCACATTCCACGTCAGCCAAATCGAACGAAGCGTGTATAGTGCATCGTAATTACCCATTTCACAGCATCCCATGAGTCGTAGATGCTGGTCGGATAGGGAAACTCGGGGGCGAGGCGGTAGTCAACATCGACAATTTTGATTTGAGCTTTATTGCACATGTGTCTGCACCATGCTGCCTCGGAATTTAAATTTCCAAGAACCCATCCGCCTGAATTTGTAATACACAATCGACTTTTAGTGTTCAAAACTGTGGTTTTAACTTCAATATGGTTATGCATACCTCCATGAAAATTTAAATGAACCGGAAAAGGTCCCGGTCCAGCTGGTGTATAGACTCTGATCATGATATTTCCAGCAGGGTTCGAAACGGGAATTTCCAAATCCTCAACATGAAAGACAGGCGGCCCTAAATTACGGTGAGTATGAATTCTCCATCGATATCCTGTTTTAGAAATCAAAATTAGGACTTTGACATACCAGGGCACGTTGGAAATGTGAAGCTGTAAGCAGCGGGATCCTTTCGAAATTCCTCAAGGGATAGCTCATCGGCCCGCACCATGGAGCTACCATGTCTTTCCCATAAACTTACCCACTCAGGGTCTAAGCCAGTAAGGAGACTTTTCGGAATGGATAGACGTGAATCATTTCTGGGCTCTTCTATCGAAATAAATGCTGTCTGCGTAGTTGCCATTGTGACCTCGTAGAGCAGTTGGATAATGTTTGGAAGGGATTGTGCTAGCAGAATGTCAAAGAAAAAAGCGAACCCAATGGTTAACAATCTCTGTCAGGTGATGCCAGTGGTGGTAGGTTTTGTGACCGCTCAATAAACTTCGGAAATCCTGCAGGACTCCGGTTGGCGGCATAGAAGCGCACCTGGACTCCGATCTAGGGCTCCGATAGGCATTGCAGGGGCGGCTTATCTGCGGGGATGTCAGGGCCACCCCGGATTTGTCCATGTTTGTTTCACCAAGCGTTAATTATATTCAATACCCCATCTACAGTTCTCGTCAGGAGAAAATTGTCGTCTTTCTGTGTGGTTCGACAAAAACCACTGTAAACGAGTTGCTCCGCCAAGATGGATTTCGTCTCAGTCAATGATCGAAGAGAGCAAACAACTGATATGCAGAAGGTTGAACAGGGCCCAGTAGATATCTACGCTGGCCATCGGCGTGTTCCTGACAAGTTTCCCCGTGTCGCACTACTGATCCTTGTGGTCGAGGTATGTTACCCACTTAATACGCCGATACCCACATTTACATGCTTATTCACATCCAAACTTAACAGCTTGGCGAGCGGTTCACTTACTTTGGTCTCAGCGGTCCACTGCAAAATTATATCAAGTATGTTACAATGAACATGCATGGAGCCGTCAAGTGTCTTGGTGACTGTGTCTTATAACCTTTACTTTCTAGTAACCCCTATCGTCCAGGCTCAGATCTCCCTGGTGCGCTAGGCAAAGGGCAAGCAGTCGCATCAGCCCTAGGAAACTTCTTCAAGTTCTGGGCCTACGCTTCTACAATAATTGGCGCGATTGTTGCAGGTAGGGTCTAAGTTTCAGTGAAATTTTACAAAACGGTTGCTGATAGCTTGCCAGATCAATATGTAGGCAAATTCAAAGCGATTACAATCTCTCTGGCAATTTACATCGTCGGACTGATCATCCTGGTCGCTTCTGCAACACCAAGTGGTATTGCGAGTAATGCTGGCTTTGGTGGATTGATCGCCGCCATGGTCATCATTGGCCTGGGAACCGGAGGAATCAAAGCCAACGTTACTCCAATGTGCGCCGAGCAATACAAAAATGCGGAACCCGCTCTAAAGCGGCTCAAGTCCGGCGAGATTGTGATTGTTGATCCTGAGTTGACCATACAGCGACTCTTCATGTGGTTCTACTGGGTCGTCAACGTTGGTGCCCTCTCACCCTTAATCACGGTTAATGTTGAGGCCAAGGCGTCCTTTTGGCTCGCGTATCTGATTCCATTGATGTAAGTCACAGTTACGATGAGAATCATTATTTTTTAAAAAGCTACGACCTAACTATCTCCAGCGCAATATGTCTCTCAGCCGTTGTTTTCTTATCTGGCCAGAAGAAATATGTGAAGGTTCCTCCACAGGGCTCCGCAATCATAGATGCGTGTAAAGTCTTGAATATCGTTCGCCAAGAGAAGAATTTCCATGATGCAAAGCCTTCATCTCTTGAGGCTGCCGGCCGCTTGGGGAGATATCCATTTGCATCCTCATCACGATATACGGATCAGTACGTTGCAGACGTCCGTAGAGGGTTTAGAAGCTGCAGAGTGGGTTGAGACTCTATTTACTTCCATAATTGAGTGCTTACACGTCCCCTAGATGTTTGTTTTCCTCCCGTTTTATTTTATCTGTTGGGTCCAGATTTGGAACAACCTCATCTCACAAGCTGGTCAAATGGCACTGCATGGAACACCGAACGATCTGCTCCAGAACCTAGATCCAATCGCCTTATGCATTTTCATTCCGCTCCTTGACTGTATGTATTGTTGTTATCATGCCGATTGAAGCATTAACTTACAATCATCTTAGTGGGACTTTATCCATTACTCCGCAAATTCAAAATCAACTTCAGTCCAGTCCGTCGAATATTTACCGGATTTCTGCTTGTCTCATTCTCCATGGTCTACGCAAGCGTGTTACAACACTTCATTTACACCTCACCGAGCAACAGTATACACGTTTGGATTCAAGCTCCGGCGTACATTTTTGTCGCTATGTCAGAAGCCTTCGTTATTGTGACTGGCTTGGAACTTGCCTTCACGAACGCCCCCCAAAAGTAAGTTAAAGCCACCTTCAATACTTGTTCGTAAACAATTGACGTATGTTTTAGTTTGAGGTCCTTTATCTCTGCCTTGTTTTGGCTGATGATTGGTGTCGCGGCAGCTATTTGCATCGGTCTCACTCCGGTTTCCCAAGACCCTTATCTCGTCTGGATGTATGGATCTCTCGGAATAGTTGGATTTTTTGCTGGGTGTCTCTTTTATTTTTGTTTCAGAAAAAGTGCTTCTCTTGATTCAGAGTCTCTGGAAGTCGTGACAGGGATCGAAGGAAACAGCGAGGAAGTTTCACATGTAATCAACTGTTATAAACAAAGCGAAGCACGGTAATGTGGAGATGAAAGTTAGCTAGGGCATCAACACATATTTTTCTATCATGTGTAAAATTGTAGTTTGCTAAGTCCTTTACTTGGATCCCTTGTGATGACAAGAAAGTACCTGAACATGAGCTAGGTGCATATTATTGCATTTGATGCTGTTATTTCCATCGGGGTTCTCGCGTGACTTAAACCATTACTTCCAGTAAAGCCCGGGGGTTTTTATTGAAATGTGAAGGTTTGTATTGGATGGAAAATGGCTGTAGGTAATTCAAGTGAAGTTTAACAAAGCCTCCTGAGACCACTGAATGTTGTCGAACCAGGCCATAAAATCGAGTTCACCGTCTAAATCACAGTTTTCAAGCCAGCTTTCAGGTAGTTCAATATCTGGCAACGACGAGGCCGGCTGGAGATATGTAGACTCAATTCGATCGAGAACCCGTCGAATAAATCTCGCTCCTTGCTGGGCAATCTCATATATTCCTTGGTGCGGCGATACCAGCATGGTCAGATGAGAGACAAAAAGACTGAGCTTTTGGATAGTAAGCGAACGGAAGTTGGCAGGCAACGACAGTAATGATACATTCGGTATCTGAGAAGTATTCTCCGAAAGTAGTGCCGAAGTCAGAATACCTGCGGCAGGAAGGCCCATGTAACACAACTAAAATTATGTGAGCTTATGCGATTTCATGGTAGTATCGAGGACTAGTGTAGTCTCACATCCCACGACATATTCGTCATCAAGTGAGCTGGCCGGGTCTGGATCGCAATCCTGTCAGATAGCGTGATAAGTATTTCCAACGAGCTCTCAATGAGACCTTCTGAGCTTATCCCAATGCGCTTTAGCAAGATTCGATGTAGCAGAAATTCCTGGTAGGTAAACTCTAGGTGGGTGAAAGCGCGACCCTCGTCTTTGGCAGATCTGTAGGCACCCGCAGTAGCTTCCTCTGGGCACCAGCGTAAAAACGATGGAAGTTCCTGTTGCGTTCGGCGCGATTCCTGAATTAAATTTCTGTGTAGAAGCTTCGTATCAGTCTCTTAATATCAGAAATGTATGAAGTATACATGGGTGGGATACGAACTCAGCTCTTGCTAGAATATCTTGAGTTATAGGACCCAAAGACAATTCTAAGATACTTTCTCGTAGCAAACTTATCAGTTTTATGACCCGAAGCCTGACGCCAACGGTCAGCTTTCCTTCAGTATTCCAGCCATTTTCATTGAGATTTTGCAGTGCTTTCTTCGCTTCACAACGTGGGAGTACCATAGTCTCGTAGCTTATATCCAAAGGGAGCGGGATGGCACAGTAGCGAGAACAGATCCGAGGAGGACGTCCCAAAGAAGTTGCTAGCTCCTTATCAATTGCGTATGCGCAAACCATGACTCTCTTTCTGATCTCAACCAAGAAAAACGGAAATCTTTCTTCAAGATAACCACCGGATTGATGTAAGCAAAGTGCGTAGACGGTAGTTGATAGATCTCCGAGCTTTTGCCAGACTCTATAGTCTACCCGAAAATCAGCTATGTTTCACTTTTTCGAGAGGTAATATTAAAGATTGGTTACCATTATAGTTACACATCATAGTCAAGAGCACTATTTGCTGGGTAATAAGCCAGGAAAATGGATCGCTAGTTGCCCTAGCATTATTGCAAAATTGGCAGCAAATCTCACCAACAGCGATGGCTATGTTTCTGAGCTCGGACTTATCAAGATTCCATGGGTTCCGATGTGTGAAGATCGGATTATCATCGGGTGTAAGGAACAGTGCTGTCCCCAATAGGGCGAAGACGAGTCCAATGGTTTCCCATCTCGCGGTTATCGAATCAAAATATTCAGGCGCATTTATCGTCGAATATGTTTGAACCTCGTTCGATGTGTTAACAAATATTTGTCGGGACAAAGTAGCCAGCGATGTATGGGTGCTCTGTGAGCTGCGGATCGCACAATCATACATTCGCTCCATAGAATCACATAGGGCGCGAGTTATAGAAGGACCGAGAAACCATCCCGGGGATACTTTGTTCTTCAATTCAATGATCTCGCAGAACCAACGTATTTTCTGCAGGTGGGATAGAATCTCAACTCCTAGCAACACCTGGCTGCTGTCGCTTGGTGAGGTAAGTGTTGGTGGGTTACCTGCTTCTTCGATGGGTAAGATGCTTTGGGGAGAGAACCGCCCTGGCACCCTGTGTCCCAGACTCTGTTTTCCAGTCGGAGCCCATCTTGCAATATGCTGGCTGAGTGGCGTATATTCTTCATCTGGGAGCGACAGGCTTGGCGCGGCTGTGTTGGGAATGTTTCGATCCAAACGAAATACCAACTGATTGCCCGGGCGCTGTCGTTTCTGGGGTCTGTGCGAGACTACTCTGGATGGCTGTGCGTGCAGCTCAGTGAGCTGAGCAGAATGAGAGAAGCAACGTTCGACTTGGCCATGAGAGCGGCATCGACCGCAGATGGGACTTTGGTGGTCGCATCCAAGTTTGGACTTCCGACAAGGCTCGCATGATCGCAGCTGCCCATTTCCACGAGACATTGGCATCTTGATCTCAATTGTGCCCGAGGAAAGAAAATCATAAGGCTTGGAGACTTGAAATAAAGTGGCCGACAAGGCTTCGGCATCGGAGCTCATGAAATTTCCTTTTCAGGAAAATCTAGCTGGAACTCCGAATGGACAGTGAAACACCAACTTTACCAGTGATTGAAAAAAGGCCTACTACGATGGCCTTGGACATCTCATATACGTTGTAATAGGCACGTTGCGATTCGTTTACGAAATTACTCAATGGCGGAGTAAGAACTGTTTCGCATGCGATCAGATGAGACATTACAGCGAAGTTCTTAGCGCAGAAAAAGGATGAACGGCGGAGGTTCAATGAAAGGACAAGAAACAATACGGCACTTAATCAACAACTGATCTTTGTTGGGCATACGTACATCCTGTTTACTGAAGAAAGAGGATAGAAAAAAAAGGCACAGCACGGAATCAGTCAGGAAGTATTCGAACAGCAAAAAAAAGACAAGCGTTCACCAAGTGCCCAGGGAGCTCGCTGCTCACTGAGTGTAAGTATGGGCAGAAGTCTATTCAGTGAGCTAGACTACCAATACCCCCAAAGAAACAGTACCAGCTAAGGTACAAAACCCGGCAAAATGCCTCCACCAATCACAACTTATACCGTGTCACTCCATATTGCAATGCCGCCAATCGGAGCAGCTTTCTACTCACGAGATAAGCGGTTGTGCCCCAGTGGAAATACTATCTAGAACCAAGATAAGCTGTTGAATGTCATGGAGCTGAATTTCTAACAAGCAGCCTCTCATGAGTTCCGGCTACTGTAAGTCTTCATGGTGACCGTTTGACTGTGACAGTGCCGCAAAGCCTTTTTAGGTCAAATACCAAGGACATGACATCTATTTCGCAATTCCAAAAAACACGGTATAGAATTCGTCTATGTCTCTTCTGAATATTCCGAAACACGTATATGGGCATGTATTGATATGTCATGGGCGAGGTGAGGTAGAGATCGCGGGTCCTCAATGTGACCAAAAGGGCTAGCAAATCCGCACCCGAACAATCCTCCTGAAAAAAAAATAACTATACATCAAAAAGCAAAATTGTTAATATACAAATTGTGCAGTCCGTGGACCGCGCGCGGCTAGACTTGTTCCGCCGTTCTGCCTGGAGAAACTAAGATGCCAACAGAATACAGTGGGAGAGGATAAACAGCTTCTCTCGTTTGAACAAACGTATCAGGCAATCAAACAATCAACCCGTTGGGAGACTCCGGGTTATTAGGATCGAACTTCCAGCGCCGTCTGTTCTCCAAGATCCACCACTGAGCAACATGTGCAGCCTCATTCAGCCACCTGGCTGCATCGACGCCAGCAGTGTTCTGCACGACGTCAATCAGAGTGACAACATCAAGGTCTTCCTCGGGAGACAGCTCAAAGGGGTCTTTGATGACGTTGGTGAATCGCCATGGTGCATCAGCTACCAGAGGTACGACGAGGCGGTATGGCTGGGCCGCGGATCGCATGGAAACCCATGTTCCGCCAGGGTTCATTGTAGAGAAATGCCATTCTTGCTTGCCGTCTTTCTCGGTGATGAGTGGTCGTAGCATTGACTGGCCCTCGTACAATGGCAACAAGTCATTAAGGATCTTTGTGGATTGCTCGTCCATTGAGCCGGTTTCAATGAGGAGATCCAAGAGGGTGGGAAGGATTTGAGTTGAGAGAACCGGGCTATCAACTTCGATTTGAGGTATCTTGGGGTGCGAGAAGAACAGAGGCACATGGAAACTGGCAACATGGGGGTCATGGAAGGCTGTGATACCACCGTCATTAGGAAGTGATAGACCGCTGTAATCTGGTTAGCAGAATTCTTGAATAGGGTGTTTCGTATGGGCAGAACTTACTGATCACCGGCCATGACAAGGAGAGTCTCGTCTGCAACACCAGCTTCTTCAAGAACCTCAAGGATCTCAGAAATCCACTGGTCTTGGTAGTGCATGGTATTGAGATGTCTGTTTAACTTCAAGTTGAGACCGGAACCCGCATCACCCAACATTTCCTCGTATTCACCGGGGATGAAGTAAGGAGTATGGGTATTGTGGGTCAAATGACTGAGGAAGACACGAGTATTGTTCTTTTTGGCGTCGGCAAACAGATCACGAATATAGTTCTTCAAAACCTTGTCCTCGTGTCCATGATGTTCCTCCTCTTCATTTTCTTCCGGTATGTATTTCCTCCCATTGTCATTAATAGATTCTCTTGTCATGATGTCTTTGTAGCCTAGATGAGGAGTGAGATTCTCCTGCTTATCCCAGGTACCGTAGTGCGATTGCATCCACATAGTGTGCCAAGGCCAAGAAGTCCAATCAGCACCCTCGGCGGTTGTGTTAGGCTGATGATTTAATGCTTCAAAAATGTGCGGCAAACACGGCTGGTAAATATCGTGCATATACTCGAGTTGGTTTTCGACAGCCATGGGGTTGGCACCACAAACAGTGCCCGTGATACTCTTCAGAGTATAGGTACCTGATGTGTAAGCTTTGCTTGCACTGATGCCTCCATATGGCTTGGGATGCTCCTCGCCCTTGCGGAAGCCGGTTTCGAATCCGGTCAGCCTCTCAGCAGTGGGGGTGAGGTTGGATAATCTGGCCATAACGTCCTTGGGGATACTGCCATTTTTGTATGACTTATCAATGAGATCCATCATGAAGGAGTCCGAGCGGAAGGGCCAAATATCCTGGCGAGTGCTTTCCAACTTGACAAGAATGATATGCTTAATCTTCACACTTCCGTTGTGAAGCGCATCCCGAAGAGGCTCCAAAATGTTGTTTTGAAGGTTCGGAATATGCAAAGGATCTTTCAGTGGGTTATAGTGGGCATATTTAGATTCCTGGATTGTCCTGTTGAACTCAAGGTAGCGGAAAGGCGACCAATCAGGGAATTCACCTGTTGCGTCGTCCACAGGGAGCCAGTCAAATGTCGGGAAATGATCCAAAGCAGAGTTATCCTTCAGCAAAGGGTAATAACCCGGTAGCGTTGCGGCGGTTACATGGGCGGGCCGATATTTGGGGCCACCAAACGGCGCGAGAGGCAGAGACTCAGAGAGGAAGCTGTAAGCTGTATCCTGTGGACGAATAAGACTCAGGAGAATTACCACGGAGCTGCACAGGACGATGATCGCACGCTTCCATAGCGAGTGTGTCGTCCGTACAGGAGGAACTCTAGGCGTATCCAGCAAGGCCACCGAATCACTGTCGCTGTCATGGTAGTCATCGATAGCGATCTCCTCGTAAATCTCTGGGTCTGGCAAGGGCTTCTTGCGACGGCAGCGACTGAACGCGGCGGAGAAGACTGAAGCCCAGACCTCCAGAAACGCATCTGTAGCACGGAATAAATACGGTGTAGCAAAGTATGCACCAACCATGATCAATCCCTCGACGAGGAACGCGACAAATAACCCTCCCAAGACAGTCTTGGCGGACACACTCTTATGGAATGTTTTCGATCTTCGCCAGTAGATCTCCAAGCCGGTTTGAACATAAAAGGAGATATTAGCAGCGCTCATTCCAGAAACACCAAGACTAAAACTGCGTTAGCGTTTCCAAAGTCCGAACTGAACAAGAAAAAAAAAACACTTACCTGAAGATCACAATGACCGCAGCTGCTATGTCTCTAGTAGTACGCCATTGAAATGACCGGGTGAGGCCGCACGCGACCAGGATCAATACGATATCCACCAAGAAGAAGGTGGGGCCCCAGAGAAGGGAGGAGAGTGTCAGTGACTTCAAATGGATGAAGACATGGAAGCATTTCGACAGCACGAGGGAGATAAAAATGACGGAAAAGAAGTATTTGCGTGAAATTTCCCATCCGATGTCAATATGTTCCTGAGGAGATTTGGCGACGGCGAGAGCGAAGAGAAGCGCTTCCCGGAAACGGCCACCAAGTTGGTGGGGGAAGCCCCCTAGTCGGTCGGAAGATTTCATCACGTACGCATGTAAAGAAGCGCAGGGGACGTTAATTCATGGACCTATATAGCAGAAGACACGTCTAGGAGGAGGACGACTGTCTATATGAGCGTAAGGGAGAGAGAAGGCATGAGTTGCAGCTTGCTAAAATTGGAATCTGAGAGACGAACGGAAATGGGCGCGCAAGGCTCTCCAGGGTCCAACGGGCGGTCGTGATGGTTACTCCACATCCCGCCACGAGGTGATTCGGTCAATGATCGGCAGAAATCGTCGAGGCATGGAAATGACAGGGTCGCCTTACAGGGCCCCAAATGGGGCTAAAAAAGCCTCCGGTATGAGAGGCGTGGTTCAATCATGACTTGACGCAGGCACAGCTATTCTAAGTTTCGTATAGATTCCCAAGTGAACTACATCTTCTTTTGGGAAGAAATTTTAACTGGGCAACTTGTCGCGTGCCCCCTAATGGAGGCATCGAATCTGCCAAGATTAGTCGACTGCTCCTATTGGCCGCGTATCGCCAACTCTCCACAGTTCTATTCGGAGCCCCAAGCGGAATCGCTGCAAATTGTTCAAAGCAACCTTGTTATGCAACCAGATTTCATACAGTCTGTATCCTACTTGCAAATGGTACCTGGATAGTACTATGAATTATTGCGACGTGGTCTGTCCGTTGCGATTAGGGTCAATGCGGTCGCGTGACTCGGCTCTTATCCGACTTTTAAGTTAGGCACCCTCCAGACTGACCAATACCTTACAAACTTGCGATATAAGTTCTTCCGATGATGTGCGAATTACATTTGACTACAGGGTGTAATAAAATACGGGGCTTCGTCCACTCAGCCGTAGCCACATATTCCGTTCTCAATGTGTCCTTCGCAACTAAGCGACGCTTGAGGGTGAACGTAGTTGAGACCCAGTTTCCAGCTGCCTGATGCTCAAATCAAGTTTTCAACCCCCTAACGCCTAGCACCCGCCCCCGTCACTTCTCCTTCACCGCCTTACATTCTCGTTATCATCTCCCGGGGGCCAAGATTCAGATATTTTCTAATTTAAGCACGCTATAATTTAGCTCGTTGGAAGATGATATTAAATTATTCTCAATAATATGTAAAAAGGAGAAAAGTAAAGCAAAAATGTCCTGTTAAAGGCTACGCGCTCAGTATCTTATTCTTATCCTTAGGGGATTCGATAGTTTTACGTGACCCATCCGGCGAAAGAGACGTCACATTACCGATTTACCTCATCTAACTAAGAATAGATGGCTAAAAAGCCCAGTCTCCGATTCTCGATCTTCGGGACAGCCCAAATGCTTCACAAGGCCGACCAAAAAAAGCGAACAAGCTCCTCAGTGTCATCTTTGCTATCGGAATTCGACTTGAAGAGAAATTGAGCGTGGTAGGGGCCTTTCGTTTCGGATTACACGCAGAAAGCCATTTTGTTGTTATACTGTTTGAGAAAGTCTTCGTTGAGCATCAATTTGAGTACCCTCAAAGCCACTGCTATTGGGTAGGTAAGTGGTGCCTTATAGTGTAACTCTGGCCTTTACGGGCCAATTCGTTTCTCCGGAAAGTAACAATCGAGGGGAGCTGAATAAACGACCTAGCTCCCCACCAAGGTTGCATAAGGTGATAGCGCGTAATATAAAGTGAAGCCGAGCCCTATGAAGTGGTTGCCTCCCGGACGCGTGAAAGATGGGATCCGTTATTCTTATTAGATCTAATGAAACAGAGTTTGGGGCCTGAGGATACTAAGTTAGCTACGTTGTCCCAGCAATAACTCTATTGACCCGGCATGAAGGTGCAACCTACATCTAAGTCCGATGGGATGGGGTCTTGCGTCAGTGTGTTTTGAGAAAAGGCCCAAAGAAAGTGCATGCGCTGACTAGTATCATGAAGGGTATGAAACATTCTGTGCATGCCTTTGTCATCAATTTTGTTTTAAGGTAGAACGTTACGATCTACGGTGGTTTGCAGGGTATGTATCAAGTTTGATGCCTCAACTGTCACATGACACAATGATGGTCTGATAAGTACGATTTTTGGAGGTCGGCTACGCTGAATTTGAGAATAAAAAGCACAATTCATGGTAGAGCACACTTACTAGTCTATCAGGAGACATAATGCGATCCTCATAACTTCAAACATGAGAATCTCAGTGACTATGTCATCTGGTCACGTGGAACGGGTTTTCTGTGTATAGTTCTTTTTAGTCCAGACTCTGCTTCTTCATGCATTTCAAGTTCTTTCTTAAGGCCTTGGTCTATTCTTAGAATACGACCTCAATTATCGCGTTATCTTGATCTTGTATTTGTATACTTCTGGGTTTCTGATATATGTTTGGCGGAAGCGGTAAATCGTAGACGACATCACGATGACGACAGCATTAAAATCATCCTAAATAACACTTCGCCGGTCGACAGCAGCATGTTGAGCTCTTCTCATCTCAATAAGACACTATGAGCTATACATTCAATGATGACACTCACGGTTCCGACATCACTCATCTATTCCCCGAGCGGGTACAGGGAAAGACATGTATAAGCCCTCACTCACCAATCAGCCACTAACTAACAGACCAAGTCATCCTATCAGGTTTTAAAAAAAGAGACCTAGTCGCCGCAACAGCAGATGCCCTTGCGGCTGCAGGTGCAGGGATAATAATCTGCACTGGTCACTGCCAAACCGAAGCCCGACCTATCATCGACCACATCAACCGCAAATACAAGAAAGTAAACATGGTGTTCGTAACGGCAGACACAGGCAGTCTGGCCTCGGTACAGGAAGCGGGCCACGCGATTAAGAGGATGGGGTTACCGATCAATGGATTCGTAGGATTTCCTTCTGTGATGGCCGTCGAATGGGAAAAGACGAGGGATGGATTCGAGACGCATTTTCAACGGAATTATCTTTGTCTTTTCCTGCTTCTTAAGTTGGTCTCTGATTGTATGGCGCCTGGTTCGAGGGTTGTTCTTGTGACGTCCACTGTGCGTACTGACGTACGGGCGCCGACTTGGTTTGACGTTGGATTTTCGGTGAGTTACTTGTTTTCTCACCGAGCGTATTGTATCGCTGACTTGGACAGAATGGAAAGGACTATCATTGTCTGGATGGATACGCGCAATCTTCGACGGCGAACATCCTGTTCGCCAAAACTCTATCGAATATGTACCGGAATCGACCTATTGTGGCGTTCTCGGCAAATCCTGGAAGTGAGTCTAATTTCGCATCCGACTAAGATTTGATTGACTCTCCTCATTCTGCGCAGATACCAAAACCAATATCCAGACCTATGTCACAATGGATCAAGTAAATACATGGCTGGAGCGGAAGAAAATAGGTTCGTCGATCTAGATCTAGATCCAAAGACTCATCTGATCTTGATCATAGCGGGGGAGGAGATACCGAAATTTCGACAGCAAGCGCCGAAGTCGCTGTCTCAAGGTAGTGCGACGGTTTTACGGGGGTTACTTGACCCAGGCTTGGAAGGTGGGTGAAATATGTGTCAAAAACACATCTAATGGCGTCTTCATGCACTGAGATATGATATTGCAGACCAGCCTGGAGCGTTCCTGGATGCTTGTCAGCCGCACAATTTACCGCATCTTGATTTCCCCGCCGGCGAAGAAAGTGCCACGGCGCTGTGGAGGCGAAGCGAAGAATTCCTCGAGGCGTTTTTTGGTTAACAGTCTGTTTGAGCCGCAATAGGGAATGCATCTATTCGATATCTAGTGTGGCTTTAGGGTCACTTCACTACAGTACCTACAGTATTTCAACCCGATGCAAGACTTACCCTCCTGCATGTCTATTGAGTAACGTTCGCCGCGTCCCAAAAAGTTATCATTTGATTCAATGGAGGCCAAGGCTATGGAGACGGCGGTTAAGGGAAAGCGCAAGCCGCTGTGTACTGTATTGATTGCAGGATTGTTACCAGTAAGTTAAGTGAGGAACGACATGTTTGGAAATCTTTTGCTACGGTCAATATTTGCGACCAATTGCGCGGTACCCGCAACAGCACTGCACTACAGCTCTAACTTGAATGAGTTTCCTTGGGATTTGGGGTGTTCCCTTCCGTAATGGAAAGAAATCCACTTGGTTATCACTGGGATTTCATGTTGATCCGGCTTCCATATTACGCTTAAAAGGGGAACACCATATCGTTCCCTATTGGATTTCGCTTAGTTAGACGTCAATAAATAATTGCAGTTTGTGACTAGCGCTTAATTGCTTTTTTTCTTTTGCAAAACGCACCCTATGGAATTGTTCAAGACTCAAGACCCACAGAGAGGAAATTCGAAGACCCTAGGGATTGTTCCCCCAGGCAACGGCGCAGATCAACATGAGTTTGTCTTAGTATAATCTTTAAACTTTACTCCTTCAGAGATCCAAATGAAGCACCAGAAAGACTGAAAGGTCAGTTTAGTGCCAAAGTGCACTCGAGAATGAGATTCAATATGTATTTGTGCAAGGAAAAAATTCTCTACTCTTTAGCATATTCACTACCATTTTCTGCGCCAACCGTTTTAGCCCACCAACATCGTGATTATGATATCGTGGTGGTCGGAGGCACATCAGCAGGATACTCCGCCGCGATCCAGGCGGCACGGCTGAATCGGTCGGTCGCCCTGCTTGAGACCTCGAAGCATGTTGGAGGAATTGCAATCGAGGGTGCAGGCGGGACGGACATTGATTCTCAGGTAAAACCCGACAATCCAAGCACAGTACATTGCCCAAATTTTTTTCATATAGCTCATTTTACTGGACAGAGCTCTTTCCAAAATTCAGTGACTGTTGGTCCTCTCGCACATGAGTTTTACCGACGCGTCGCCGCCCGGTACAACAACACAGATGCCTTTGACGAGGCGTGGAAGAACCACACCAAGGATAAAGACTTATGGCGATTTGAATGTCATGTCGGACAGTCCGTAATTGAAGATTGGCTTGCCGAAGAAGAGAAACTAGATGTCTACCTAGAGACAGCTCTCAGGGGCGCTGGGAATGGAGATGGAGTAACAATGTCCGGCACAGCAATCAGTAAGATTGAGACAGAGGCGGGTGACACTTTCTCTGCCCGATATTTCATCGATGCGACGTATGAAGGAGATCTGCTTGCTGCATCAGGGGTGCCTTACACCATTGGCCGTGAATCCACTGTCCCCTACAATGAAAGTCTCGCAGGCATTCAGTACAACACAAGTTTCTCGCAACTTACCGTCAATGTCGATCCATATTTAATTTCTGGGAATGTGTCAAGTGGAATGATTCCGACCGTTCAAAACCAAGCTCTTGGAAAGGCCGGCGCTGGGTCTGTATCTTTTTCCCAAACAACGAGATGCTTTTGAAACTGATCTTTCATGCGCCATTGCAGAGATAGGAACATACAAGCCTACTCGTGGCGACTGTGTCTCACAAATCAGACTTCCAATATTGTGCCTTTCTCTCGGCCTAGCAACTATGATCCCAAGCAGTACGAAATATACAAACGATATGTTGCCGCTGGTGGGCAAATTTTCAAGCCAAGCGTCGTACTACCCAATGGTAAAACGGATATGATTGGCACTGCGACAGATGGACTTGGGTTTGATATGCCAGGACGCACTCTGAAATACCCGGAGGCAAGCCATTCAGAGAGAGCGAAGCTCTTTGATGACTTGGCACAGTGGCAAAAAGGTACATATATCTCCAGAGTTGAAGTCAGTTGTGGGTCAAAGGATATGGCATTAACTTGGAACGCTATCGAATGCAGGACTGTTATACTTCCTCGCCAACGATGAGTCAATGCCGAGTGCGACTCGAAGTGAATGGTCCACGTGGGGTTATGCAAAGGATGAGTTTTTAGACAATGATCATTTCCCACGGGCAATGTATGTTCGCGATGCCAGGCGAATGATCCGAGATGACATAGCTATCACGATGCATAATTCAGAATACGGTTATCCCGAAGCTACCGTTGAGGATCCAATTCTGACAAATCTGTGGCCTATTGTAAGGCAACAAATTTCTGCGAAGATAAAATCACTGGAGTCTTGCTGATCAATGGTTTAAATCAGGATATGCATTCTACTCGACGGATCGTGCGGAACGGGAGTATCTACGACGAAGGCTTTATCTGGAAGCAAGGGCCGGACTGGAAGGTCAGTTACAGCTTTCCTCGGTTGGAAACCTTCCACATCTAACCAGTGACCTTCAAATAGCCATGGGTGCTGTCTTATCAAGCCATTGTTCCCAAATCTCATCAATGCAGCAACCTATTTGTTCCTACTTCCCCCTCTAGCAGTCATCTGGGCTTCAGCTTACTGCGTATCGAACATACCTTCATGAGCATGGGACAAGTCAGTGCCTTTGCAGCAGATATTGCTATACTTACAGCGGCAACGAGCTCACAGGAAGTTGATTACATGCTACTGCGTAAGAAACTTGATGCTGCTGGTTTTTTGCTAGATCCCAATGCTGATGACCTTCCGGTTCGTGTTCGCAACTCTTGAGCAATTCACTTTCACTGAAACTTTCTATTGGGAAAGCCGTGTAATATCAGCCATGAGAAAATGGATATAATTTGCTCACATAAAAAGAAAGACAGATCTCCATCTCATGAGTTCCAAGCGAAAGCTATCACAGATATACGAGATTGATTCATGCGACATTACAAGGGCCTAAATCTTGAGATAATCATATAGAGAGCGATATTTAAAGTTGGTGTGAGCACATCTACTATGAAAAGACCTTTGGTAGCCCAAACTAAAGATTTTCGGACTACTTGTTATTGGTAAGTATGCGTAAAGCTATACCAGACATAACTTACAGCATTGCGTAGAATTGAAGAGGAAATGTATCTACACGACAGATGTGACCATCAAAAGGTGTGCTGAATCGCTCAACTATGAAAAATACGTGTGTTTAGACCATCCTAATGCGTTCAGCTGAGTCATAAAATTCACCAGTTGACTACCTGAAGGGCCTCACAAGGGGCTCGGCTACCGGCTCCGCTTAGCTATCAGTCGCTTTGCGACTCATGGAAGTCCTTGTTTCCGTTCATGATATAGCGAGAACTTCAAAATCTACAAGAGAACAGCCCTGCAGAGATCTATAAAGCTTGAAAGCTGGCAGCTTTGATAGGCGCCGTAATTTCTAGCGCCCGCCCGCATTCGAAATCCAACTGATGTGTGCCCATGTGGATACCTCGTAAAGCCTGCGGAATGAAGGGTCTAGCGAGTCAGCACTAGTTTGAAAATGAAGGGGACACAACTTACAGGGTAAAAGGTTAATCGCTGACAAAAGAGGCCCTTGATGCCCAATGGATACCTCTCATAACTTTTGTGGATGGCAAAATAGAGCCCTCAATTCTGCTTTTTAGAACGGAGTAGGGCCGAATCTGTCGCCGAATTACTCTCAACCGCCTACTAAATGTGATACTATTGAAAAAAAGACTTCTGTTCTGAAGAAAAAAGATGTGGCAGAAACAAGGGCCTTACCCACCAAAAATCAACTAGCGACACGGGATGAACGTGGCGCCCTATCACCAACAAAGCCGCCGCATGCCCCTCATATGGAGAGAAAATCTCAGCCGCAACTACGCCAAAAGAGGGTTTTCTGACATGATGGGTTTCGCGTTGCATTGTCAGCTGCGGAGTACAAGTCAGCTATGGAGTATAAGATTCCCATGAGCCCCCAACTGTATTTCGACAGAGGAAAATTAGCGAGTAACTCGCAAAGACAAATCTTCAGATCCTGGCTTATAATAATCCCCGGTACGACTGACAAGGTGCACCATGTCAGATCCAGTCGAGAACGACTACAACCTGCAGGAGGCGTGGGACAGGGCATGCACATCATTCGCACAGACAGCGAAGGTTGACCTCACCACTGCGCCGAAGTTTACTGTCGATCAAGTACTCGACCAGATCCGAACAAAGCAGGATGAAGATGACGAGAAAAACAACAAGTATAAGACGGCAAAGGATGTGATCGGCAAAACGTTGAACTTCGTTATGGTCTTAGGTGGCATAGCCGCCCAAGGTGCTAGTATGGTGGGTGATTATAAATCAGTTCGAAAACAATACAGTAGTTGATAATATTGTGATAGGTATTTGCACCGAGCAGTTTGTGCTTCAATGCGATTTCGTATCTCATTAGCACGGGAGCAAAGTACAAGCGCATTTTCAGCAGTCTCTCCGAGTTGTTTCGGCGCATTTCCGACGTGCTAGAACGCTGCAAGATCTACATGCGGCTTCCTGCTGACGCAGTTGACATTTCACTGCGTAAGATCATCAATGAGGAACTGGTGTGCTTTGTCGATATTTGTGCTTTGTCCATCAAAGTGTTGAAGGGTCACAAAGTCTTTACAGCACTGAAGGTCTTTGCATTTGACAGTGATGAGGGAGTGAGTGGCCAGCTAGGTCGCCTGCAAACACTGGTGGAGCGCGAGTCTCAGATGCGTGCAACTCTAGGATTTGAGTCCCAGAAGACGAGCGAGAGAAATATCATTGAAAACAAAGAAGGAACCAAAAAGATCAATACCACTGTGGACAAACTGCTCACTTTCGAGAAGAAGAAAGACGCAGACAATGTTGTTAAAAGGCTATTGAACAATATTGATTCAAGCCTTGATACCCCGAGTGAGACTTACAAGGCCTCACAAACAGTCTACAAGCGGCTCTTGAATGACCAGGTTCAGGGAAGTGGAGCGTGGCTTCAGACGGATCCTCAGTACACATCATGGGCGGGTCTTGAGGACGAATCCTTTTCAATACTTGGTATTTCTGGCGGCGAAGGATACGGCAAGTCGTTCCTTTTTGCGGCAATAGTCCAACATCTACAAGAGACTCCTTCACATGTCACCAATGATCTCAAGTGTATCTCTACTGCCTACCACATTTTCGAGCAGGAGAAGGGCGATGCCTCCTTAATCAAGGCCCTCAAGGTTCTCGCATGGCAGATCGCTAATACAGATGTTGTTTATCGCAAAGATTTAAGCTCTTCGAAATTCGGCAGCGTCAACCAGATAGATGACGTTTGGGAAGCGCTTTATGCGAAATCTTACAAATGCGACTCAACTTTCTTCCTTCTGCTTGATGGCGTTGACCAGATGAGCAAGAACCATCTCAAGGACTTCACACAGCTTTTATCAGGATTGAAAACTATATCTCAGACTTGGCCACGTTTTAAGCTTCGCATCCTTCTCTCTGGACGTGACAAAACGATGAGCAAAATCAAAACTCAGATTGGAGAAGGAATATCTATCATCGATGTGGCTTCGAAAAACAGCGACGACATGCAGAAGTTTGTCATTGATCGCATGAACAAGATGGAGATTTTGGGCGGTTCATCAGACCAAGTCCTTTCATTGCGACGCGAGATCTTGCAAGCCCTCACAACGCAGACACATGGTGATTTCGTCAACGTCGGCCTTATGCTACATGAGATCAGTGGCAAACAACGTCCAGGTGAAATCCGAGATATTCTGTCACGTTCAGGAGGCAACCGATCCGACACAATTGTGAGAAAGATGGAACTATTGAATGAGACACTCAGCGATGAAGATATCTCTGATCTCAACGATCTTCTTACCTGGGTAGTGTTTGCTTCGCGGCCACTCACTCTGGAAGAATTGGAAGCAGTTCTCTTCCTCAAGACCCGCGAGGCCTCTCTTCGTCCATTGGCAGAGAAGATCAGCGATCAATATTCGTCACTGTTCAAGGTCTTGGGTGATCCGAACCCCACAACTAAGATAATCCCGCCCACATCGAGAGTTTTGCTAGTCTCTGACTCCATAGAAGAGTTCTTGCGGACTACGCCTGAAAACGAAGCTGCTGAAAACGAGAAGGACGCGATAAATAGAGGTGATGTCAACGAGGTTGAAGTCAGAATCGTGAAGAGATTTCTTGAGTCAGTGTGTGACCCGAAACTGTTCAACAAATTCGGATTCGAAGATTTCTTCCAAAGGAAGCTGAAGGGAAAGACTGCTAGGGTAGGAGTCGATGTTGAAAGCGCACACCTCAAGATCGTCACATCTTGCCTGGATGTCCTTTGTTCTGAGCAATCGCCCGGTCTCACTCCCTTGCTTGATTATGCAATGAACTTTCTCCCTGTGCATCTACAGAGCGCAGATCCATCATTGACACAGCCTCAACAGAAGAGTGCTCTTGGGCCTCAACTTGTGAGCCTGTTTTACGATGAAGAAATTATCCAACGATGGTGGATAGCAGAGAATCCATGGTCAAGGCACGATTGGATCTACAGCGACGATTATGCTGACGTTGCGCTGAAATGGCTGCGGGACTCGGCTGTTACTAGAAACATCTCTGTGGAACAGACCAAGTGGGTGAAGAGTCTGAGTTCGAAGTCGGAACCCGATGCAGATATCATCGAGCACATCGGTCGGTTTTTGGCACGCAATTGGCTTCAAACCAGTGTGTTGGGCATCACAGAGGCTTTCGCAGCATTCAATGGATATGCCACAAAGGTCCGTCTAAAGGAATGAGGGCGAGGCAAAGGATAATTGATGACTCGGTAACTAATGGTGTTCTAGATTGAGAATCGCAAGAATCCGACGCTTTTGAGATCTACCAGTGACCCAAGCCTAGGTGATATCAGTGCCTCCCAGATCTTGGACACAGCAGAGTACGCTCGAAAGCATATTGGACTCGAAAATTTGGGTTACGAGGAGACGCGAAATCTAGCGCGTACCCTTCGAGAGTATCACCAGTACCCCGAGGCGATCGAAAAGTTCAAGCTAGCTTCCTCACTCGACGCATACAACTGGTTCTCGGAATGGGGCTTGGCAACCTGTTATGCATACAAGAAGGATTATACACTCGCAATTGAGATAGTGGAAGAAGCTAAGAAGGTCATCAGGGCTGGAAACAACGAAGAAGACCATGCAACCATCCCGGACTTGGATTGTGACCTCGCTGAATGGAATGGAAATGCCGGGAATATTGATCAAGCTGTTGCGATATACGAATCCCTCCTTCACGCTAATCCCGATGACTACAATACAGCACTTGCCCTGATGCTCCTGTTCCACAATGAAAAGAATCGTGAGGGTCTACTTCGTTTCTTAGACTCTCTCAAGGAGTCTATCGATGAAACAACCGGCCTAGATCGGCGGACGCAAGCATTCCACGCCCACTACGGTAGTGCAGAATACCACGCAACAATTTTTGCCGTTGGCTCAGAAGCCGACGCCTTTAATTTCATCTTCGAGAGCTACGAGACTGCCATAAACGCGGCTAAGGCACGACTCGTGGAGGCAAGGAAGACAGGTGACACCGGAGAAGAAGAGTTCAGCCGTGCATGCCAAGCAATGCTCATGCATCATCTTGCAAACCTTTGTTATGAGAATAGTACCGAAAAGCCCGAGCGCAAGGAGCTCGCAATCGATCAGTGGGTGCAGATCTTACAGATGGACGATTCGGCTGGTGACTACACGCTCACCAGCATCAAGCCATATGTCCGCTCCAAGCTTGCCAGTGTGTGTTTCATTGAAGCGCGCCGTGACATAGAAACATCGGGAAAGTACGTCGAGCAACTGGAGCAGCTTGTTGCGTTGAAAAGTGCTAGTGTGGCCGCTGACTGGTGTTATTCGACGTATCCGACGCGTTTGTTGGCGCGGCACTACGCGATACAAGGAGAGAAGGAAAAATTCAAAGATGCTCTACGCACATATGTCAAAGATCATCTTGAAATTCTCGTCGATGAGGATCCCCTCAATGACTGGCAAGGATACGCGGGGCTCTCAACTTATTTGATGTACGTGGGCGAGGATGACGACTGTCTTGCGGCCTGGTCACTGATTGTCCCGACGCCCGACACCGATTTGAATAGAGAGTCCCCAGAAGATAAGTCATCGGAAGAACTCAGGGGACCCTTGTATATTGTGTGTGATGGAAAATGCGGAACCAAGTGGTCATTTTCCAACGATATTTACGCTTGCAGACAATGCGATGACATCCAACTTGACCTGGCTTGCTTGAATAAGCTGAGAGACGGAACTTTGGAAGTCAATGGCTGTGGAAAAGACCATGAGATGATCCACGTCCCAGCCTATGATGCGGCTGAGTTAGAGGAAATCGGCGATGGGAATGTCAAGGTCGGAGAGCAAATAATGTCAGTTGAGGATTGGATCCAGAGGCTTAAAGAAAACTGGGGAATCAAATTGAGCTAGACAATTTTTATGAGATTCAATAACAATCCATTGAAGCTGCATGTTTAGTTGCTTCAGTACCTTGATACAACGCAGTTGATCATTGAAACCGACTCGTTTAACGGAATTTCAAAGACGGGCCACACAATCAAGTGGTCAACAGGTCACATCGATGCAATCCATCCCTTGGTTAATTTGCTCCGAATAGCCACCAAGGGCGCAATGGAAGTCACGGAAGCGCGTCCCATGATATCAAAAACAGCGATGTCTGCCTGCATTTCTTTCAGAAACCAAGCCCGCAATTCAACCGCCACTAGAGAGTCAACTCCATACTGATGCAGTGGCAGATTGATGTCAAGCTCATTCGCTCCGAGCAGAATGGCCTTGCAGAGTTTCTGTTTCAGCGCATCCGTGACCACTTCGATGACCTGTTCTAGGGATTTCGATGTTCGAAATGCAGTTGCAATGTCAAGCCCACCTATTTGATCAAGATGGGGGCCAGTAGAAATGTCATCCAAGTTCAGATGGTTGAACAATGGTCTGTCTAGCCAGTAGGCTGTCCCAGCGCCCCTCTCAGTGACCTCTGGATGAATACCGATAGAAGGCTGATGGTCTAGATCCATATCCCTGCATACCTGTGGATTGCAGTAGATGTCCAGCGCAGCGCAGAACTGCCCTTCAGTAACTGGACGAAGCGTGGAATTTTCCTCCGTTCTGTGCAGCAGCACTTCATTCTTCGCAACGACTCCAGCAAAGGTCATGACTCCCAGATCCAGCGAAGTTGCTTTTTCGCCGAGGCCCAGACGGTAATGGCACAATGCGTCTTGGAAAGTGTTTCCTGCAGCATAGTTTGACTGACCCTTTGTAGCTATAAGTCCACTGACGGAAGATAGCATGATGAAGAAATCCAATCCTGTGGGAAGGACTTCATGGAGATTCCAGGACCCTCGTGCCTTGGGATTGACTGCAGTTTGCCAACCCGAGAATTCCATGTCCTCAAAGGCAATATCCTTCAATCCGTCAGTGAAAATTCCATGTACTAGTTGTTCGACTAGACGTGTGAACTTACATGCCAGCCCGTCGCCGCTTGTATACACCCCTTGATAGGAGGCATCATTGAATGGCATTCATTGATTACCTCGCACAAAGAGTTTTTATCACAAAGGTCGCATGGTGGGGCCATAAGATTTACTCCTTGAATATGCAACTCAGCCATCATTGTTTCCGCATCGTTTCCCTTTGGTCCACTCCGAGACAGCACGAGGATATTGCGTACACCCCGACTGACCAGCCACCGGATGATAATCTGACCAAGTCCTCCGAAGCCACCTGCAACAACGTATGTTCCAGAATAATCAAAGGAGCTATGTCCTCTCGCTTGCAAAACCATCTGCAGAAATAGTTAACAAGCTATACAGGGTTATTGAATTATATTTTCAACTTGCAGTAACTTGATCATTTTCTCGCATCTCAATCACCATTTTCCCATGGTGATTCCCACCCTGCATGGCACGGAAGGCCTTTTCTATCTCACCCACTCCATAAACTCGAACCGGACTCGGGGGTTGTAGCCGTTGCTCTGTCATCAAGGACAAGATCAAGCTCAATGCCGAGGTGCAAATCTCCGGACGAGTTCGTGTTAATTCAGCTAAGTCGACTGCGCTGAAGGTACAATTCTTTGAAAACTGGGCCATGGGAAGATTGTTGTTAGACATGATGTCTCTTTTACCAATCTCAACAAAAGTCCCGAAAGCAGCCAGACATTCCCAAGACTTTACCAAGAGCTCTCCTGAAAGGGAGTTGAACACAACGTCCACTCCTTTTCCAAAAGTTCGATCCATGATAGCCTTGGCGAAAATTGATGACCTACTGGAAAATATATTTTCTTGCTTGACTCCATAAGCCTCAACGAGAAATGCCTTCTTGGCTTCAGATCCAACAGTCGCAAATATCTCAGCCCCAATATATTTCGCAATCTGGACTGCTGCTTGTCCCGTTCCTCCTGCCGCACAATGGATAAGCACTGTCTGACTCTCATGCAGGCCGGAAACATCCTTAAGTCCGATGTACGCTGTGAGAAAGTTGACTGGTATGGAAGCTGCTGAAGAAAGCGATAATTGTTTTGGGATCAGAACAGCAGGTTCTCCCTCTCGCACGCGAAGATGGCTCACACAGCAGTTAGGCGCAAGTCCGACGATGTGATCTCCAGGTTTGAACCTTTTGCAGGTAGCACCGACTCTTGTTACTATGCCACTGTACTCATGTCCAATACTGTCTTCATTGAGCTGCCCCAACGCAATAAGGACGTCTCGAAAGTTGACTCCAACACAAGCGATCTGAACTTCCATTTCGTTTCCAGCAAGAGGGCTCGGTTGAAATTCAACAAATTGGAATCCCTGAAGTAGGCTCGACCTCTGATTGTCCAATCTCACCGGGATACCACAGCCAAATTTGTGCTTGGTCGCGTTACCGGGTTCAGCCTGGGCAGAAATAGCAGTCTCGAGTTTTGAATGAGGTACCACACGTCCCACTTGCAACATCCCGTTCTCTTCCATGAATGATAAATCGTTGTACTGGTTTTTCGCAGATGAGAGAATGTGGCTGATGAGGCTCATCGCCAACCTGCTGTGGTGAGACACATTTGAGTCTAGTGTCTCAAGTGAAAGAATGTATCGGTTTTGCCGGTTATCTTCTTCGGCAAGTACTCTGAACAATCCATCGATGAGGTGATATTTCGGATGAGTAGAAACTCCACATCCCCCTTGGGTAATCCACAGAGTGGTGGTGGTTGACAAAAATAGAGATTGAAGAGTGTGGAATTGTTCACCATCCATGTCATACATCAAGGGGTCGCTGTATTCGAGCAGGAAAACTCTCAGAAATGAATGTGAGCTTTGAGCTGAAGAAAGCGAGCGATATTCCACTGAGTAGCCTGCTACCTCGCAACTTCTTCGCAGTTGGCTACCAAAATCCGTCTGGGCAGTATTATGTGGATCAAGGATAATTTCGATAGTTGCCTCGGAATGCGGTTTCTGCCGAATTTCTGCTGTGGCCGATGTGATTATGAAAGAACTTTCATGGCAAATTGCATCTTCGAAATCACGAAAAACAATATCACACCCCGAAAAGCCTGTTTGAAGTAAAAGTTCGTGCCACCGAGACTCATCAACACATGGCCCATCTTGACGATATGGCTCCGAGCCTATGGTTGTCAGCATGGAGTGCATGTATAAGAATAAAATTGATTGCTCACTCAGCCACCAACCCTCGAGTAGTCCAAATATCACAGAGGAACGAGCCGGGGCTGTCATTTCGCATATGATGAGCTTTCCACCACTGATAAATCTTAGCAATATTATCAAAGAAGCTAGGCACTGGTCTTTATTCTCACGGTCTTAACAGTTTGCGACAGTGGGTCAAAGATTTGGACAGATCTGGGGTTGCATGAAGCACCTGTAAGACCCGGGTTAGTATCATGCCAGGTTCGCATAGTCATAAATGTCTCACCAGAGATGCAACAACCATGTCATATCTTCCACACTCGAAGCCTTGCTGCTCAGGGTCTATTTCGATATTCAAGACCTTGAAGTTCATCCGGTTACCTTCCTCTTTGAATCGTTCCGCCGCGCCACCAAAGAAACCTGGTGAGATATCCGTATAATCCCACCGCCCATATCGTGAAGATACAGAGCCATCAGAACTGCGGCCTAAGGCATCAAGAAATATCTCAGTGGAAGATCCTGTGCCCGATCCAAGTTCCAAGATATTCATTTGGGGATTGAGATGCGCTTCAAGGTCCAAATACTTTTTCAACTGCATTGCACCAGGAGATCGATGTAGCTGAGCGAATAAGATTAACCATTCTGGCTCCAATATAGCAACGGAAAGCTTACCGCATTGTAGTAATTGCCAATGAGATCGTCTGTGTAGAGAAATTCGAGAGGGGCGAGTTCATTGGTCAGAAGCTGTGGTAGATTCTTGGCGACGGTGACCAGAAAACGGGCTTCATCATTCGCAGCCTCAAGTTGACTCTCCAACCGTTCAATGTATGCATGGTCAGTGAGGCGAATCTTCCAGGGGTTGGAAGAGAACATCGAATGGCCCTCATCCAATTGCCGTTTCTTTTGGAGCGACCATTCGAGATATTTGATTTGATGATATTTTGCTGCTTTGTAGCCCTTCCGTGATACCGCATCAAGACCGCGAAGCAGATTAACAAGCAAAACAAAATCAGCCTGGATATAAAGTTCCTCCGGGCTCACAAAATCATCTTCCAATTCACACAGCTTTTTGGCGACTTCATTATCAAGTAGCCTGAGATCAGGCTTCCACTCGATTCTATGGCAAAGTTTGCCCTTGCTAGACGCTTTTGTCTCACTGGATGAAACAACACTTACCGATGTACACTCGAGGCCGTCTAAAACCACTACAGGATTTCCCGATGTTTCATTCCAAGCCGTAATTCTGGACAAATATTTGCCATTGCGCGATGGTCCAGTTTCGGTGTGGACTTCAAGAACATCACTGCGGGCTTGAGGGGTTTCAGCTGAGATCCAGATGCTTTTCAAAAATGTAGGAACCGATGTGGGTACAACTTTGTCACCGAACTGCGTTGCAGGCCATAGGGCAGTTTGAATAATTGCATCAAGCGAGGTTGGGTGAATGGTCTCATTCCGAGAAAAATGAGGGTTTCGCACATCACAAACCACAACATTCTGATTTTTTGGAATCATACCAACACTGGTGACGTTTTGGAAAGCCTGACCGTAGCCATAGCCACACTTTCTCAAGTGAGAATAAAATGATTCAGCGTTGGCTGTCATAACACACTTTTTCCTTGTCTGCAAATAAGAGTCCTGTTGTCTCTTTTGTAGTTCTAGCTCAACTTGAGAACCGAATGCAGGCTTGAATTCTTTATCATGGTACAAGACTTGAATAGATCCTGAGCAGTTGAGTGCCCATGATTTGTTCGAAAGGCTGTAAATTCGGAATTGAAACCAGTCAGCATCTTTGGAAGTCATTTGCTCGACGCGGTGCATGTGAAGACTCGTTTCGCATTCTTCCACTACATCTGATATTTGAATTGCAGCGTGCAAGACTAAATCATTGAGGTTGAACCCAGATGTTTTGCGTCCTTCTTTCGATATCTGTTTTGCACCCTCGATGACCATCACAATCATTCCTGCGCCAGGGTAGATTATAGACCCATTGATCTGAGACAAGTCAGCATCAGTGAACGTTTTTCGAGACATTAAAAATTCGTCCTACCCGATGATCTTTTACCCAGGGTAGATGAGAAGCTCTGATTATGTTCCGCCATTGAGGTTCCAGTGGATTCCAATTGGGATGTTGCGCTCCCAACAATTCGTTCGGCGCAAACTGAGGTAGCCTTGTGTTGCGGCTCATCTGACTTTCGTGCCAGTAAGATCTGCTATGATTGAATGGATACTCCGGCAAATCTGACAATGCTTTTAGAGTTCTATCGCTTCCCCGGAGAGAATGAAACGCATTGACCAGTGAGAGGTCAATAGCATAGCCTGCAACGAAAAGTCGACCAGCGACATTCAAGACCGTGTCAATGGCAGATACGCCTCTGACCAACATGGTTTCATATTGGACGGATTGCTTGCCACAGTTGTTAAGCACGTCTTTACATGGCCCCTGGAGTGCTGAATGGGGCCCGACCTCCAGAATATGATCAATCTTAAAGGCCCGTCGATGGCTTCCATCGATTTTCCTCTTTCGGGTCTCGGTTTCTCCAGAGAGAAGAGTTGTTAAAGCGTCCGAGAAATTGACTGGAGATATCATATTTCCAACCCAGTAGCTTGCCTGCACAAGAAAATCATGCGCGATCCATGTTCCCGTCACTGAGGATATCATCTGAGGGCGACCTCTTTGTTCCACGCCTTTCTCCAGGGCACCCATAGCCACCTCGTATTGAGTGGCTATCTCTTTCATTTGAAAGGAGTGGTATGCAACTTTTACCTGGAGTTTCCTGCAGAATATATGATCTCGGTCAAAATGGGCTTTCAAAGTTTCAATCTGATTTGCTTCGCCGGACAATGTGATACTCTTGGGGCTGTTGATACAAGCAACAATCACCTTCAAAGTTTCGAACTCGTTGTCCAGCCGCTTGATGAATGGTTTTACTTCTTGTGAAGAGAGTCCAACCGCCAGCATTGACCCTTGGAACAGACTGTTTCTTTCCACCATCGCGCTCCAAGTGCCTCTGTAATATGCAATTTTCCAGGCCGACTGTCGACTTATTGCACCGGCGCAGTAGCTTTTAGATGTGAGAAAGGTAATCGACGAGAATCATGAGTTTGGAAGAGTCTTACGCAGCCGCAATCTCCCCAGAAGAATGCCCAACAACGAACTTGGGCATGACGTTGAAGTGATGGAGAAGATCTACCAAAGCGACTTGAAGGGCCGTGCAAAGCGTTTGGCTGTACTCCGTTTGGTTCACATTGCTGTCATTCTCTGACCTTCCGAGCTCCTCTATGTTTTTTTCAGTTCGTATTCCCGAAGTTGATTGGATAGAAAGGTTACTCACCAAAAAGGTCCCATTCACAATTTAATGACTTCAAGAAAGTGTTTGCATCCCTGATTCCATCCCTAAAGACGGAATATGCGTCGATGAGCTCTCGTCCCATAGCATACCATTGTGCCCCTTGCTACAAGATGTCAGAATTTGCGATGCGAAAAATATCCCAGTCACTTACGCCAGAGAAAAGAAAAGCAACATTTGCTGACGGATTGGAGTTGGTTGGTTTAGAGATTCGATTAATGACTTCAGTACAGCTTCCCGAGGATGGAATGACTGCAAACGTTCTCCAAGCCAAATGGCTTCTCCTGGCTGCAAGTGTGTATGCAAGATTTTCAAGGTATATTTCCTTGTCTTTTCCAAACAGCTGAAGTGAGGCCAAGTGGGATTTCCATGTCGCTTGGATACGTGAAATCCCATTCTCATCTGACGTGGACCAGACAAGCAATCGTGGTGTCTCACGGTCTTTATTGATTTCAGTCGTTTCAAGAAAAGTGTCGCGAGACTCTCTCGGACGATGAACGACATTATGGTTCCCATTTTGGTAATGGCATCGAAGATAACCGAGTGCATCGTCCAATACGATATGGTTATTTGATCCTCCAAACCCGAAAGAGCTGACTGATGCTCGTCGCAAGCCATCTGCTGACCATGGAACTGCTTCGTTCGGGATCTGTGGAAGACAAGTCAGAAGATATTTATCCCGCCCATACGTTGTTTGCAGCAAACCTTGATATTCAGAAAATCACCATCAATTCTGGGATTGAGTTGGTTCAAGTCCGCAGTGGCTGGGATCACTCCCTTTTCCAACATGAGGATGGTTTTAATCACTCCAGCAAGGCCACTGGCGCCTTCCAAATGACCAACGGAGGATTTCACAGACCCTCTTCATGATGTTAGAAACCAATTGTACAACTAGTATTCAAGGTACAGAGACTAGACTCACATGTATAAGGGGTCCTCAAGTGTGCGATACTTGCGGAATATACTTCCGATGGCACGCGCCTCGGTTGGGTCTCCGACAGCAGTTCCTGCATTGCATAGTAAATATTCCGGGAAATTCAAAATTTATCAGAGGATAACTTGTGACCTAGACATACCGGTTCCATGCGCCTCGACATATCGGGTCATCCCTAAATCCAGACCAGCCTTTTGATAGGTTTCCCGAATCAACTGAGCTTGCATTTCCATACTAGGCTCCATAATTCCAGGAGTCTTCCCGTCTTGATTTGCTCCGGAGGATCGGATCACTGCTCTTATGGTATCTCCATGACGCAAAGCATCCTCTAATGGTCGAATGAAAAGAGCTGCGACCCCTTCGCCGCGACCATATCCATTTGCCCGTTCATCAAAACTATGCGATTGACCATCCTTTGACAATAACCCGAGATTGTCAAGACAAAGCATAGAATCAAGAGCTAACAATATATTGCTGCCGACTGCAAGTCCCTGCTGGAAATATTAGCTGTTGGTCTTGTGCCAAGTTGGGACAAGCCTATACATGCCATTGATGACTCTCCACTCCAAATAGATTGACAGGTCAGATGTACAGCCATCAAGCTACTAGAACAAGCGGTGTCAACAGTGGAACTTGGCCCCTGCAGGTTAAAAAACCAGCTGACTTTGTTGGAAAGCATGTTCATTGACGTTCCCGTCGCACAAGTCTTAGGCAACTGCATTGGATCTTTCGTCAACATGACATGGTAGTCATGACTAAATGACCCTGCAAAGACGCATGTCTTTGTCCCGGTAATCTGATCGATGGGATACCCAGCATTCTCCAACGCCCGATACACAGTCTCGAGGATGATACGCTGTTGCGGATCCATTGCTTCTGCCTCGGCGGCATTCATATTGAAAAATGCAGCGTCAAATAAACTAAGGTCTTCTTTCATAAAATATCCACCCTTCAAGGATAAACGATCAAGTCTTGTTCGATCCTCATGGTAATGTGCACCGGCATTCAGACGATCCTCAGGAAACTCACTTGCAGCAGACCTTCCTTGAGCCAGCATATTCCAGAACTCGTCTGGAGTGTCCGCATTCCCGGGGAATTTTAGCGAAAGGCCTACAACTGCCAAAGGTGGCATTTCAGGCTTCATACCACAAGACGTAACCATAATTCTGTTGACTCAACACTTGCAAAGAAGTCTTTGCACTACTGTTATTGAAGAGCCACTCCGATTTATATCAATGAAAATGTGTCCATCGTATGCGCACCACATGCGATCGCCATTGTGGTCAGTGAACTTACTAGTGAGATTTAGTTAGATCGGGCTGCGCGTATTCCCCTCTACCCAGTGCCGTCGGCCTCTTTCACACCGATCTACTCCACTTTCCGGGGCTTTCTTGGAGATGCCCGGCTTAGATCCAAGCAGAATGATCCAATCGCCTATGAGATCTAAGCATCGTGTGGGGCGATGGATTGCCCTTTCAGCCGCTTCTTCCCTGCCCAGCCAGTAGCCATCGAGGCTCTCTGTTGGTCTACATAAGTTGAACTCTAATACGGGCTCTATGCCATGCTTGCATTAAATAGTAGCAGCTCGGGTGATCAAATTTGCACACGGGGCATAATCTGTTTGGTCGGTGCGTATGAGCAAGAGGTATCGAAAAAATGGAGGACTATGTCTGTCGTTAGCGAGGGGCCTTAAGATGCATTATGTATGGATGGAGCATGGGGCCAGATCAAATAGTAACCCTTGTCCACGTAATTCTATTCCTAGTGGATGGGTACAAATGCATTCCTGTTCCTGATGCCGCAAGAGCCTCTCAGTCTAAAAATACCCCGCCTTCTATAATTGCTGGTTACGAGGCTTTCCCCAAGTCCCAGACTTATTACAGGCAAAAGACTTTGAGTAGACTTATGCCCTACTCAAAATGCGCTTTCTATGGTAAAGTACCATGCGTTGTACGATTAAATTTGTCGCGGACTAACCGAGCTCGCATAGTCTACACGGGGTAGGAAGTAACTCCAATGTAAGGACCCATGTTGAGTTTTAAAACCGAAACAAATTCTAAGGCCTCGATTCTTTCCAGATTTTTGAAACTCAAACCGGTACCGCTTACAATGCAATGAGTTCAATCAAGCCCAGACAACTAACAAAGCTTTCAGCCGCGGTGCGATATGAATTGGGTAGCCATCACACTTATGATTTTGTCGAAGGAACAGTTCCTGCAGAAGCCTGTGAGTGCTCTCTAGCTTGAATGGAGCAATATCACTGATGAACATAAAGCCACCCATGAGTTTATCAATCCAACTGACGAAACGTTTGCTTGGTGTGATCCCCTGGTACCCGAATCATGTCTGCGACTTGACACATACATTGACCGGTATATCGAAGAAGAAGGCCCTTACGATGGAATTATAGGATTTAGTTCCGGATCACTGGTCATATTGTCCTGGCTCATTGAGAAGTATCGCCGCGGCAAAGCAAACCGGTTGCCGATAAAACTAGCAATCTTTTTTTCCACTTCCTATGAGCCTTGGGATATTGATGCACTACGGCACGGTCGCATTTCTCATTTGGACTGTAGTTCAGTTAGTGAGATCTTGGACTTGCCCACAGTACATATCTGGGGTTCGATGGATGACTTGCAGGAGCATGCATGCAAAGCCCTTGGATTTTGTAACAAGAAGAAGATGTCGAGCTTCGTACATGACAAAGGCCATGAGGTACCAGTTTCAACAAAGGATGTTGTATACATGGCTCGAGCGATAAATCGTGCTATTGAGCAGGTCTAACACTGCAAATGAATTTTGCCTTGTCGGTGTTACTTCTTTGTCGCCATGCCTACAGCCCTACAGCAATGTTTCAATTTTATAACCACCTATGCAATGAGCTAATCAATATCTCACTGCATTAACACACAAGTAAGTCCCCGAGCATTGGATATAGATTTCAATGTGAATGCAACTAGGGAAAAACTTTAGAGAATGAAAAAGCATCCACACCTATTCTGCTCTGCTTGGGTCCTCCAGTGTCGTGGGCAAGGCTCCTGACAAAGGTTAATCAGCAATATTCATGCCCGAGGTATCAGTTAATCACGTTAGCTCACTATACCAACTTTGGAACCTTCCGAATATGCGCTTTTTTAGATTTATATTCCTGTCAACTTTGCTCATTGTTATTATAAACCTTGAAATGCATTTCAATCGGTCTAAAAGATCGAGTTGTCATTGAAGGTGTGGGCGTGCATTGAAATTGAGACTATGTGATATGAAATTGATAGCCTGAAATTACCACGGAGCAAGTTCACTCCTACAAAGTATCAAACTTAGCAAAGAAGATTACTCTTTGTTGAACCAAGGCAGATCCAATTGGCGAAAATTTATAAAGTGCAACCAAGGGGATCACCTCTAGCTCGGCGTGCTGAATGTCTTCTGAAAGCCTTTTGAATCTCTAATTTCGCTGAAGTTCAAATAACTACCCAGTAGTGTCCTCACTGCTATCAGGATTGGCTGAACTCGACATTATCCCATTTCTGAATCTTCGATCACTTTAATCTCAGGGTCAAAACACCTCATTCGAGATTGACGTAGTGAGATTCGATCAAGGCTGAAAATGTGAAGTCAGTCATCAAATGTAATGGTCACACTGAAGGTCCCGAGGGCGTGCCAGTGAAAGTCCGAGACAATCATTGCCGGACGCTATTGATAGTCTACTTCTCTCGACTTGCACAATAGCAAAGAATGACATTTTTGTTTATGCTCAGTTACTGAGAACAATGAGGTTGCCCTATTGATATGATTCACCGCTTTGGTTGTTTGGGTAAACATGAACGCGGCAGCTGGCAGGCACCTGACTCTTCAGATTAGTTATTACTTGAATCTCGTTTCTCCCTTCCCATCATAACCATCGCTATTGCTGTATCTTGAATCCCTCACGTCTGCCGTATTGAGCATCACTGGCTATCAGACGAACGCGTCGAAAATGGCGTCAGCCATATGTCGAAGCATGCTCGCGAATTTCCTTTCGCGGGTACTCAACATCCTTTTGAGTCCCAGTGGATCAGGCAATATGCTGAGCCAAACAGATGGTGCTTTGCTTACGAAGAAGGCCCCAGAGGACTTTGGCTACCTTTGGCTTTTAGTCTTCACCATTCATCTAGCTTTTTCTACCATGGTATTGTTTCGGTCTTTTCTTGGCTTTGAATGGTTTGGATCAAGCAAGCAATCCCTGACTGATATTCATTAGACGCGTTATTACTTAGGCAATGTGGCAGGCAGGCTTTTGATTCTCGAGATTTCCCACGCAGATGCAGCTCAGAAAGAAGAAGAGTGTCACAGGAACAAACGAACTCCAATCTTCCGAAATGGCAGACAAGCGATTCCGCTCATTTATCGTGCGCAGACGTGGAGGAACTCATCCAACGCCCTCATGCTGTCAATACTCTACAACATCATCCACTTGTTAGTCCGAACTTGCATCCAGACGTTCATATTCACACACAGTGCTCTACAACCCTTGGCGTACGCCATCTCATCTGTGCTTCTGTGTGACATGCACTTCTTGAAGACAGGTGCCGCAATCGCAGCTAGCTTCCCACTTTCATCATTGATGACGACCGATGACCCAAACAGATTACAATACCTCGCTGGCCCAGCTTTTGCTTTGGGCATGGCGAAAGCATTGACAAATGCAGCGGAGAAAATAGTCCAACACCTACTGATCTCTCCTCCCGAGCAGAGTGAGACAGAAACAAATACGCGGGTTGGAATGCATATTTTGGTAGTGATCCTCGCGATTACCTTTTGTGTGGTAGCTATGATACCAGGAACCATAGTTTTGACAGTAACTGAAGCAAGTCTCTTGCCTCCTGGATTGGAGACATTGATTCCGTCTGCGACCAAAGGCCGTGGGATGTTGGTGAGCGAGCTGCTTGGTGGATGCGAAATACCTTCTGGCTTTGCCGGATGGGTTACTATCATGAAGCCGTACCGTGTGGCTCAAATCATATGGCTTATTGGACTCCACCTCCAAAAGTGCCATTTGCATGTCCTGGTTGAGCTGGTCACCTCCTTCATTCTTCTAGCCGTGATTGCAGGGTAGATGGATGACTATGAATGAGACAAAGGTTTATCTTCTGCGTGATTGAAGTTCCGTGAAGCACTTCGGTTCCGTCTAAGGTACCTAGGTGTATGATCAGCCGTGACCTCTGACCCTAAGCATAACATACTCTTCGAGCTGCTTTCATCAACAGTCAAACTTGTTTAGGAATCCGCGACAGGAAACTTGTAGAAAAGATGCAATGTAGGCCTCTCTGCGCGAACTTAAACCTCAGAGTGTAGGCGGCACAGTAAAAAAGTCTCTACGTTACCGTTGTACGTCACCGGAGGTTCTTGATATTGAGGCCGCTGAATAATGGTTTTAGGTTCGGCATGGCGTCGGAGCCCTGGATGTGGTGTTGCCCCGATTGGGTTATCGTCCTTGTCGATCACTTCAACTTTGCTCCGGCCACTGTCTTGGCCAAAAAGAACTTGAGTGATTCATAGTGTGGCGGAGAAAGACACGCATATTCAAACATTGCCCCGTAGTTCCCCTGTCTCAGGAAAAGTGCACAGGATATATCCTGCAGCTTTCTAGAATGTTCGCAGAAACAAAGAGCTTCCTCTCCTCCGCAATTCCGCAATACGAAGCAATGCCAAGACATCCAGGTGCTTATGTAAATACCCTGTGTTTCCAGCCCTGGAGGTTTGGTGGTCTCTAGATAATTTCGGAGGACTCCGATATTCTGCACCTTACAGGGTCTATTGCACCGTCTTTTTTCCCCTATGTGATCTAGTTCAACTATAACGTCGCTTAATCCCTTTTGTAGGGTCTTGCCGGGGTCTTCCGCAGGGCCCTACGGGGCCGCCAAGAAAGAGTACGTACGCTGACTACGTTAGAACCTTGAATTTCCTCAGCTTGGTCACCGTGTGGCTGAGATACATTGAGCGCAGCAAAGTAGCAAAGAGTGCATTTAATTGCAATTTATATGCCGTGTTTGCCTACCATGACCAAACTGACACGGAGGCAATTGTGGACTGTTTGATAGTTCACTTGCCCGAGCGAGACACCTCGACTCTATATCCCACCAATACGAGGGACCGAATTAACAATGGGGCATCTCCAATGCAGCATTTGTGCCTGGTTAAGAAGCCTCGGAATGCAGGACGCCTCATCATCTCTGCAGATCAGTCGGATCATCCTCCACCTACCGAACTTCTTATGCTAAAATTGAAGTTCTTGGCATACTAGCCCCAGGCTCATGGAGAACCTGCAACAGACTACTTGCTTAGCCTAACTTGGCAACAATATAGTGTCTGTTTCGCCGGCGGACCCACCGGATTTCCTTACTGCCAAGATTGCTCTGGAACGGTAGCTACTCCTTCGATCACTACCCACTTCCAATCGGAGGCCGTTCAATCAATGACCCTGTATCTTAGCCTGTCTGCACCATGCCTAGTAGGCTGTGGACCTCTGTAGCGGGTCTGATGGGCCATTGCGCGCCCTTTGGTCGCTGAGAAACGATGTGATTCTTATTCGTGGAGTTTTGATGGAGCATATCACGCTTTTCGTCAGCTGTGTCTTGGAAGGAGTATACGCATTGATCCTTGGAATGGCCCTGGAATGAATATAAAAGCTGGGAGATCAACTGTTGAAGGTCCTCTTTTCTTCATCCACGTCAGTTCAACTCAATCTTGTCTTTCTCTTCGTCTAATACCTTGAAGATATATCAATACAATGGTTCAACTTGCTTCTGCCCTCGCCGTCGGCCTTCTTGGTCTGACTGCTGCTGTGTCCGCTCATCCCGGCCATGATGTTCGTGCTGAAGCCGCCGAGCGTGCTTCCTTCCTGAAGAATGCCAAGGTTCACCAGCGCAGTCTCGCGCAGTGTGCCTCCAAGCTCAAGGCTCGTGGCCACGAGAACGCCAACGTTGCTCGCCGTGCCAACCGTGTCAAGGCCATCCGCCAGAAGCGTGGCCTCCAGCACAGTGAGTTTCAATTCGTCTAATTACCATCACGCAGAAACTGATCGTATTACATAGGTGCCCATTTCCACAAAGCCCGCTCTCTTACCAGCATCCTTAACACCGATCACAACTCTACTCTAGTTGGTGTCAGCCCTTCTACCGACCCCAGCGTTCTATTTGGATCCGAGTCTACTTGCATCCTCGGCCCCGATGTCACCCAGGGACCTTACTACGTCACTGGCGAGCTCATCCGTGAGAACATCGTTGAGGACCAGGAGGGTGTCCCTCTCTATATGGACATCCAATTGATCAACACCAACACCTGCGAGCCCATCCCCGATATCTACACCGATCTGTGGCACTGCAACTCCACCGGAGTCTATTCCGGTATCGTTGCCAGCGGTAACGGTGAATCCTCCGATGAGGCCAACATTGACACCACCTGGCTCCGCGGTATCCAGCCTAGTGACAAGAATGGTGTTGTCTATATGGAGTCCATCTTCCCCGGCCACTACACCAGCCGCGCCACCCACATCCACGGTAAGGAGAAACTCCATTACGCGTAATCCTGAACTTGAAGCCTCAAATAACTGACACCGGACCAGTTCTCACCCACCCTGTCAACGAGACCACCGTTAATGCCAATGGTACCATCTCGGGTCTGTATAGCTCGTCGTCTTCGCACGTTGGCCAGATCTTCTTCGACCAGGACCTGATCACTGAAGTCGAGAAGACCGCCCCTTACAACACCAACACTCAAGATGTGACCACCAACGCCAATGACTCCATCCTCTCCGAAGAAGCTGACACCATTGACCCTTTCATGGAGTATGTCTACCTCGGTGACTCCGTTTCTGACGGTATTTTCGCTTGGATCTCCATGGGAATGGACCCCACTGTGGACACTACCGTTACCCCCGCTGCTTATTACACCGAGGATGGCGGTGTTGAGAACGAGAGCTCGGGCTCCGGTATGGGTGGCGGTGGTGGTATGGGTGGAGGCTCTCCTCCTGGCCAATCTGGTTCTTCTACCACTACCGCTGCCGCTGGTCGTCGCACCACTGTTTAGATGAAGCATATCGTTTTCATTTAGAGGAGACTACATCGCAGCAACGGTAATCCATTTGATGGCTTTATTGTCGCCTTTTATGTACTTCCTTGTATACTTGTCTTTGTTCAAGTTCAGTTCTGCGACCGCTGAATGCTAGCCAGGAGGCTTGGTCGCTCTATTTTTTATATTGAGACACTCCTTCCCGTGGATTCATATGCGACTTAGCTTATCCGCCATCTTTGGAAGTGAGTCATTCAGTATATACTTGTGATAATTATCATTTCCTGTCTTTCCCGACTTGTTCAAGCGATAAATTTACCCCCTGAAACATATACGGCATCACGTAGCTTGTCTGCCATTTCTCCATTAGCAGATTCGGATACTATGGCGAGTATGGTAACTCATTAGTGCAATGCAATAACGTTATAGTGATGCACAACAATCATCACTGGCCCCAATCTGTCTATCTGCGGGGAACTCGCATGATAAGAACGTGCCATGAACTTCGTAAGTTACCCCGCGTATTCGGGACATATCCCAATCCTATAAATCTACTCAGTTACGCTATTTTGCACTTCAGTTTCATCAAACGCAGGCATTCTCCAGTATAAATTGTAATTATGACCACAGAAGTGACCCCCCCAACCATTGACATTTCGGGTAGGAGACCATCACATCTAGATGGCGTAATATTCTTGCTAATGAAAACACGTTTTTTCCAGCATTTTATGGCAACGACAATGCCGCAAATCAGATTCTCATAGAACAAGTCCGCTTAGCTTGTAAAACATTTGGCTTCTTTCAGATTGTCAACCATAACGTTCCGAACTCCCTGCAAGAGGATATCCTGAAGGAATCAGAAGACTTCTTCAATCTGCCTGTGGAAATCAAAGAGAGATACGACAAAGGTGTGATGGCTTCCTTGAATCGTTACGATACCCAAAGTCATTGCGCGTTACAACATCTAATATGCTGATTGCACAGATATTGGCGGCCGCCACCTTGGATATGAGCGTCTTCGCGCCCAGAATTTCGAAAAAAAGACCGAAGGCGACTTGAAAGAGGGATATTACTTTGGCACGGATCTACCACTTGATCACCCCTATGTCGTCGCTGGTAAGCTCAATTTTGGACCGAACAAGTATCCCGAAGAAGTATCTAGCCCGAAACAATTCAAGTCGACAGTAAAGTTATATTTTGCACACTTGGAGGGTTTGGCCCATGATATCCTGCGCATATTGGCTGCCACGCTGTACTTGGACGAGAATCTTTTCGACGATTTGAACGATACGCCTATTGCCACATTGCGTCTGCTACATTATCCCCCACAGCCACCTACTGCATCTCCCGACGAGCGAGGTAAGATATTAATCTATGCGCGCCCCGTAATCTGATCTTTATGCAAGTTAAACAAAAACGAACGCATCCTAACTCAGAACAACCTCCAGGAATCGGTGCACACACAGACTTTGGCGGAATAACAATCCTCCTCCAAGATATGATCGGTGGTCTGCAAGTCATGAATCAAGCTACCGACCAATGGGTGGATGTACAACCAAGAAAAGGCGCCCTCGTCGTCAATTTAGGAAATTTGTTCATGCGCTGGACTAATGACACGTATATGTCCAACTTGCATCGCGTTATCAATAAGACTGGCAAGGAGCGCTACTCTGTTCCGTTCTTCTTTTCTGGGAATCCGGACTATCTTGTTAAATGCTTGCCCAGCTGTGAGGGCGCAGAGGGCGCGAAGTATTTGCCTATTTCGGTTGAGGAATGGATTGCTGGGAGATATGCTGACACATACGGCTCGACTGATGTTTTGACATAGACTGGGACTTGCAGAAGTGGATAATACGGATAGGGTGCACTTAAGCACGTGTTTCTACCAGTAAAAACAAAGATGCAGTCAAGTAACAACCATAATTAGTGTGCTATCCTTGATAACATATCCTCAAAAGGCCCCAGCTCATAATTATGCCTATGTTTACGAAGAGAGATAAGGAGCGAATCTAGTGCAGGTTTGCCATCTATATGCTTCTATGAACTGGCCTATACCGTATAGTCATAAATACAAAACGAAAGCGAAAGGCAATCCGCGAGAGTTCGTTCCCTTGATTTATGAAGAGGGAGCCCCATCTCCAACTTGGCTGCCCTTGGGATAATCACCGAAGCATGCCTTCTGATAGTTGGCGGCATGCTCCAGAGTGGGAATGCCATGCAAGAATCGATCAACAGAGCAGAAGCCATTGGTGGCTCCCTCACAGCCGACAACACCCTCAACAGGCAATGGGGCATTGTTGAGGACGAAACGGATATACTGTGTGGTTTCGTCTGTAGAGTTCAGAGCAAGGTTCTCGTAAAGCACCGGGTCCAAGTCATTGAACGAGTGGTTACGAGGGCAAGTCCAAATCTCAGACATGAAGCGAGCACCAAAGGGAGTCATCTCACTTAGAGAGAAATTGCGCTTCGGGGCATGGTCAAGGTCGCCTGGCAAGCCATGAGGACCGTACTTGAAGTAGTTAACACCAAGGGCGTTGATAACCGACAGAATGATATCGTCATGGGACATATCCATGTAGAAAAGCTGACCGAAGGGGAATTGAGCTTCGTTATTGTCATATGTATAATTAACGCTTGTGTCACTGGAGGTGATTAGCTTCTGTTGAAGCCGAGCTGCGAGTTCGAGGACGTAGCCAATTCCCTGAGCACGGCCTGTTGGAGATCCCCAGGCATAGTCTCCGTAGTACTGCACGTCGACATTGTACTCAAAGTCCTTCCACTCCTGTTCGGTGAACAACGAACAAAAGGAGGACCCCGCGAGACTGGTGTACTCGTAAACGCACAGATTCTGCATGGCAAGAACGTCATATGCGGTTAGATTGAAGTCGCTTGGAAAAAATTTCGAAAGACGAGAACGAGCGGCCTTCGTGTACCGAGGGATGAACTTTTCCGCAGAATTATCACTGAAGTATCCAGTCAATATGTTTTCCACCGAAAGGCTAACATGGAGGTATGTCGACTTACCCTTCAACATAATCACCATCGCACGTTTCGTATGAAGCAAGAGTGTTGTTGAAGCCAGATTTCTCGGGAATTATAACAAGGTCATATTCACTGTAGGAGCTGTTGGCACCATTATTACCAAAGAATCCACCTGTTCCGCAAAGTCAGTACTTTGTCATAGCGAAAAGAAGTTCAACTCACTGAGCCACCAACGGGCACTCTCTAGGATGCGACCTTGAGATGTGGTGCGGAAAACAGGCTTAGGTCGATCAGTGCCGTTTGGATAGACATTCAGAGAAGAATTCCAAGCCGCCATAGTGTCGCGATCAGCACGATACAGTAGTCTACCGTATTTGGTCCAGAAGTTGGCTCCTGATGTCGCCTCGGTGGCTGCACCAGTTTCCATCAGGGCGTCCGAGCCAAGGACATATTTCCAAGTATTCAGGAAAGTCAGCGGACCTGAGCCCACCTTTTTCTTTGGGTGGGACTTGGTATAGTTGGCTAACTTGGTGGCGAAATCTTGCATGCCTTCACCGTCCAGAGGATAATCCGTCGGGTACCGCTCTGCGTGACGATGCAGGACATGGACCTGAGACAATTCGCAGCCCTGCGGCACGCCCTTGGGAACGCCAAAGCTTTCGGCGTCCTTGTAGGGGCTTAGATTGGCCCAGCTCTTCTTCATGTCGAAGCCAGACACATAACTGGCCCCAGTTGGCTCTGGAGCTGAACATGACGCTGTAGCCGCAAAAGCGACCAATGTGATTGCAGCGACGTTCTTCATGGTCGACCCTCGGAGAGCGGAGAGCGGAGGTTGGACGCCAAGACGATGTTCACTCTTGTTCCTGGAGGGCTTCTGGCACCCAATTAACTCAGTCCCTGCCCAAAATCTCGATCTGCAACCAGAATACAGCTAAATTGGCGAAAAACGGTCTTTGGCAGTGAATTTCCACTCGGAAACCTTGAAGTTACCTTGGGGAAGTCTGTTGTCGGCGCTTTGTTTCTCCGATCTGGTTTCAGTACGTGATCGTCGTTCATCTCCCCGGAGTATCTCCGGCTCCTTCACAACTCTTCGAAGGATTCCGCCGTTCTCGCGATAAGACCCCTAAAACAGGAAATGAAACCCGAATCTTCCTGGTCTTTATCAGATGAAGCTGTTCCGATCTTTATCTAGCATGTCTCAGGGGTGCAGGCGTGCCGTTCAGGGGTTGAATCGAGGCACGTGACCTCTAAATATTGACGATTGCTAAAAGATGGCATGGGTTCTTATTGATAATATAAGAGTTCTGAAAGCAATTGAATTCATCCGAGGGGAAAATGGGGGGTCGGGGGGTGGACTTCTTGAAACTCCCGACGACATTGAGAAATCCTTGCTCTAGTAGGCTGATATTGGTTATGAAGAGGACTAAGTTAACTAGCAGTAGGAAGGGAGCTGCTGTGAAGGTCATTATAAGCACAGAAGAAGCTAAACTAGAGAGTTTGAAGTAGGTACAAGTCTCACAGAATCTTGTCATTAACCCGGTTGACTAATTCATCAACAGTAGCAACAACGTCATCCAGCAACTTGACAGCGAAGTCAGACCACGACTGTACAGTGACAATCTCAATGCAAAGAGTATCACCCTTGGGGAACGCCTGCACCTTAATCTCCCGCAAGGGCTCAAAATGTGGGTAGACAGTCTGCATGCGACTACTGGCAGTCATGAAAGACAGATCTTCAACGTGCTCAACGTCCTGGTGGACAACAGAATCGAACCAGTCAACTGTCTCCGGCCAGTCGGTACATTGCTGGGCAATCTCCTTCAATCCCATACCCTCGTATTGCGCGCTTTCAAGATGTTGCCGCTGGATAAATCGCAGGAGATCCATTGCAGTCCATCCCTTTGCAAAATTTACGCGCACAGGTGCATATTGCCATGATGGTCCAACAACTGCATCGGCATTGGGAAGGCCAATGTTCCGGCCACTGACTACCTCACCGAAAGTCACGTCATCAAGGGAGAGACGGCGCGCAAGACATAGTGCCCAAGCTGCAGTAGGCAGAGTAGCGACTGTGATGTCTCTCGGTCGTGCGGCGATGCTGACATCCTTGGAGATGGCGAAGTGGGCGCCAGAAACAATAGGGATGTCTGGTTGGATCTTTGTCATGCATGAGCCTTGCAGGAGATTTTGCCAGTACGGAATGCTGACCGCCATGTTGGCGCGAAGGACGTGGTCAACATATGAGGAAAATGGCAGGGCTTTAGGCACTGGTCTTCCCTCGTAAAGAGCTGAGAGCTGTTGCAACAAAATAGGCAGACAGATCTCATCATACTGAGCATGCGAAATGCGCATAAGCAGGCTGCTCTGTCCGTCCACATGTTGAACGAAAATGAACTTCACGAAGGGAGATCCACGCTGTATGCGCGATTGAACGTCTACCTCGCAGACCTTTTGGCTGAAGGCCTCGATGTCAGTGTCGATCTCGTATTCGACGATTGGACATTCGATTTCTTCCACCACCACGCCCAGGGATGTTCCATCATGCTCGACGAACATCGTTCGAAGAATCTCATTACGAGAAACAAGCTCCTGACAGCTTTTGAAAAGCTGGTCACGGTCCACCGCGATGTCCATATAGAAAATTTCGTATCGCACGGAATAGCGAGGAAGTTGAACGGTACCCTGGACAGCAATCTCCTGGAGTGGTCGGCTTGGATACGCGTCGATGACCTTCCACTCGGGCTTGGCCAGCTTAGGATGAATATTGGCGATGAATGATTTGATGTCGGTGCATGCTAGAGTACTGAATGGTACGTATTCATGGGCAACCATCTCCGCCGGCTGAGCCTCAACAGCATGTTCAGCCATGTCAGACAGAGTCCGGTGGTCAAAGATGGTAGTCACAGTCAGCTGCAGACTTTCAGCTCGTGCCTCGGAGACTAACTTCATGGCACGGATGGAGTCACCTCCCAGGTCAAAGAAGTCATCATCCAAAAGAATATTCTCGAAGGGGACCTCCAGAATTTGCCCCCAGAGTCGTTGGAGCTTTTGCTGAGGGACGGTCGCCACAGCGGTGCCACTGTCGTGTCTCTTGACGCGAGGTCTGCTTAGTCCGATTTGGGCATCTTTGGCACGAACAATGATGACTGAACCTTCACTGGTGTACTTCGCCAGTTGGTTGGTAGAGCAGAGCTTCGCAGAATGGCCAAGCCAAGTTGGCGTGGTAACAAGGTCGCCCACATCTGACTTGCCCTCCCGCTCAACGACAAGTTCTCCAACTCCGCCAACAGGAACCAGGCATTCATGGTCGTTGGGATCTACAATCCAAGTTGCCTTTGCATCAGGATAGATATCCTTGGCGGAAAGACTTTTTGGACCTATTTCGGATAGACGACGTTGTTCCGTCATATCAACCTGTCCGGTGGAATCATAGATGCTTTGAATGCGCTGGCTTGGGTTGTCGATGAGCTTCTGGATCAGTTCGTCAAATTGCTCCAACACTCGCTTCATCTGAGGGATATCAATTGTCTTGGAATCAAAGCTGGCCATGATAAGAAATCCCTTATGATCGACTGTGAAGACCAGCATGTTGGAATACGAGTTGAATTTGAGTGCTTCACGGGCGGCCTCGGCTTCGCTTGTGGGAACGAATGCGGTTGCAGGGTTTTTCTCCAAATTAACAGCAGTCTCCTCAGCGGTTGGATGGATGACAATGCCAGTGCGCAACTCGCACGCCTCCCGTGCATCGGCGTTCAGGCGTCGGATGTGCTGCAGACCCATGTGCTCGTGCGGAATGCGGTGCAAGGCTTGATCATGAATGCTTTGAAGATAATCCGATACCCGAGCGTTGCGGTCGACACAGACGCGAACAGGGACAGTGGTAATCATTGGACCCTCAATCTCTTCTACAGCTGCGACAGGCGCCGTTCGGCCGGTCATCGTCTCTCCAAAGACAATGTCATCTGATGATGTGTACTGCGAGGCAAGAAGAGCCCAGGCGCCTCGAATAGCGGTGGCGATGCTAGTTGTTGAGCTTGATGATGGACGAGGCAGCTTGACATAGTGCTCCAGTAAAGAGTCGGCGCGAGGTTGGTATCCCACGCATGGGATGACAGGGAACTGAATGGACGTAGCACCTTGCAGTTGCTGAGTCCAATAAGACTTGGATGACCTTCTATCAGTATCCAGAAGCCACTTGATGAAGCTCTTGAAGGGGGCTGGACTGCCCACACTCTCACCGCGATATGAGCGGTTCACCCGATCCACGATCAACGGCATGGACCAGCCATCATATAGTGCGTGGTGAATGCTGAGAACAATACTACTCTTGTTCGTTGTATCATCTTTGACTATGGCAAAACGCGCAAGCTCTGTGCCCAGACCCATTCCTTTCAATGTGTCTTGGTTCAGGTATTCGGCAAGATTAGAGCTCTCGGTCCAGGGAGAGCTTGTCCGCACGACTGTTTGCATTAAACCGCGACGGGGTACCTGCACAATCCTGGTGCGTAAGATTCCAGAGTCTGCAGATACACCCTCGAAGGCAGATCTCAGCTGCTCGGCTGCACTGGCATCAGGAAGTTCTATCACTCGCTGTGCGACATATGCATCTGAATATTTGGCCGAAAGAGCCATGAGTGCTTCTTGGAGAGGAGTGCAGGGATAAACATCCTCTACTTCAGCGGGATCCAAATTGCAAAGATGTGCAACCTCCATCTGGGCTTCCTGAGGCTCCCAGCCCTCTGGGATGAGCGAGTAGGGAGGAATATCTGGCGTTTCCGTGCTCTTGATTTCCACCACATGTAGGGCTAGCTTCTCGATGGTTGGATGTTGAAAGATGTCGGTGACTTGAACGGCGAGAAGTTGCTCGCGTGCAGCAGCTACCATTCTCATGGCTTTTAGTGAGTCACCTCCAAGACTGAAGAAATGATCGTGGACGCCAATTTCAGTATCATCTCCAAATAGCTTCATCCATAGAACTTGAAGTCTGTGCTCCATCTCTGTGCGAGGTTCTACCTTCGCTGCTGTGGAGATCTTCAACTCGGCAATGTGTCGTCTTGTTAGCTCGCTCGCCAAAGCACGGAGCTGTTTCCGGTCTGTCTTTAGAGAAACCAAGAGTGGCATCTGGTCAAGTGGAATATATGCGGCAGGGATCATGTATCGTGGGAGATTAGTCGCAAGAGCCTCGTCAATATCGGACAGAAGCCTTTGGAATGCAGTCGAGAACGAAGTGATCTCTCCAGGAACACCCGTCTTCTCGCTCTTTTCCTCTGCCACGAAGACTACCAGTGTGGCATCCGATTTCTTTCCACCCGGAAAGACCACTTCCGCAGCGACGCTTGCTCCGACAGGAAGGTAGTTTCGGACGTGGTATTCAACTTCACCGAGCTCCACTCGTTGACCTCGAAGCTTCACCTGCGAGTCTGCACGTCCGATGAACACAATACTACCAGATGCATCGGGGTCATACCGGACCAGATCACCTGTTTTGTAGAGACGACCCTTGCGACCTGGGTAATTTCCGCCACCTGCAATCAACCAGGCAGGGTCCTCGATGAAGACCTCTGCCGTCTTCTCTGGGTTGTTGAGGTAGCCATCACCAACAACTGGGCCTTCGATGAGCAGCTCTCCGACAGCACCGATCGGAACCAACTGGTCCTCGTTGGATGGGTTCACTACCCACGTCGTTCCTCCAACGCCCTGTCCTATACTGGTGTACGACCTATCGAGAGGAATGGAGTTGTTGATCGTACAGCCAACCGTACATTCAGATGGCCCGTAAGCAATGACAATGTGCGTCTTTCGGCCCCAGTCCGCAGCGTCACTAGCAGTGATCGCTTCACCACCGAGACCCAGAATCTCCAACGAGGGCATGATATCGGGAGCTAGAACACGCGCAACTGATGGTGTCATATGTGCCATGTTCACGCTCATGCTACGAATAGCACCGCTGAGATCGTTGACTCTTTGATCCTCTGATGGCACACAGATACACCCACCATTAGCTAGAGTGCACAGCATACAGTCTACACTGACATCGAAAGCATATGATGGGAAATCCAGCACGCGCGAGTGCTCTCCATATCCAACAGCTGCGGCACGAGGCACCGCTCCACTGGTGTAGTTCGAATGAGAGATGACCACTCCCTTTGGCTTGCCCGTACTCCCGGAAGTGAATTGGATGTATAGGGCCGATGATGCGGGTACGATCGGTAAGATGACAGACGGAAGCTCAGGTTGAGTTTTAAATAGAGTTGGCCCAACAACAATCTGCGTTCCATCAGGGACGATACGAGAGCCAAGACCTGTCTGCAACTCCGACGTCAGAATAAATTCCGCATTCACCTCGGTGGCAATTGTGCTAAGTCGTCCCTCTGGCTGACTAGGATCCATAAGGACCAATGCGCCACCTGCTTTCATAACTGCCAATACACCAACAATGGTCCACATTGACTTCTCGAAGCACAAAGGCACAGCTCGACCGATTCGCAGGCCCAATTGGACCAGATGTTTGGCTAGCCATGTTGACCGCTCCTCGAGTTGTGCATAGGTCATTTCCCCGTCCCACGAGACAACAGAGGGACGTTCAAGCTGGCTTTGTGCCTTCTCGCTGATCATATCCTGGATACAGCGGTCGATTGTTTGTGGCATTGGACCATTCCATTTCCATATTTGTGCGAGTTCCTGATTTTTGATCTGGATAGCCTCGCAAACAGGCTGTTCCAGACCTGCAACAATGAAGGAAATAACATCCGCGAAAACATGGGGTAGAATGGCGTTGACGGGTTGGGTTGCGGTGGGAGCTTTCGAAATTCCACGAATATAGAGTTTTCCCTGCGAGTATTTTGCTTCCAAATCAAATGCGGACTGACTTAGTTAGCAGTTGAAGAGTTTCAGGAAATACGGAAGTACTTACATCTGTGGTTTTGCCAGAATCCTTCAAAGCCATTATGTCTTCGGCTTCGGAAAAGTCACCCAAGGTTCGGATGACTTGCAAGGCCGACCCTAACGTGGTGGCATCCCCCTCAATTACATCCTTGATGAGGGCTCCTTGAACCTTTCCGCTTTTCTCCCAGGAAAACCCTGCATCTTGACTTTGTACAGTCCCGCGATGAAGCAGAAGCACCCAAGCCAGAACGAGGATCGGCTCTTTATCAGTCTCAGGAAGAACTGCCGCACAATTCAACCAAATTGAGTCATCATGCTCGGGAGAAACATCGGGAGCCAAAGAGGCAGCACCGGGCTCAATGTACTCGCCCATGTTTACTGACAGTAACTCTGAAGGAAAAGACTTGCCAAGAAAATCACCCGCATTGCAGAAACAGACAGGTTAAGTATCGTTGATCACCAGGAACAAAATGCCGCAAGCCGCGCTACACTCATGGAACCATAACGGACAAGGTCTAACCGATTTACGCCGAGCCTTGCAAGACATGAAGCCAAGGCGTATACTCCAAATATACCAAAGTGGAGCACTGTATTGTTATTTTACACAATACGTAACATTCGGTAAATTACAGATACAGACCCTGCCAAGAATGCCGAGATGCACTGCCTCGTAAGCTTGGAAGCTCCGCAGTAATCAATCAGCAGGGTCCAGTGGAGATCGTTGATGATCAAGGCCTTGACAGGCATCCTGGTGCGGTCGGTTCCGTAATCGACCTCAGTATACACTGTATACAGCTATACGTGCCCGCACGCTTGCTCAGTTCTGTTTGTTCGCTGGGTCTAGTGCGAGCACATTTCTGCGACATCGGATCCTTGAGAGATGGATCACGATGATCATTTTCCAAAACAATCATGAATTGTTTTCAACGTCGTATCATGGTCTGCTTCGGGCAATTTGGTTGAAATAGCCATCTGCAAGTATGGGAAACCATGTATCGTACATGTTGCCTGTGATGATAGCCAAGGACTCGGCTTTCGGAATAGCTGGCAACTACACACCAAAAAAAGCTAGACAAGGATTATCAATTTTCTATGCACATGGAAATCTCCGATCCGAGCATCCTCGGACGACGCTGCCCCCAAATCTCGCGTGCTGATCGACCTGTTATTTAGTCCCTGTGGTTCCTCTTCATAGCTTGTCGGCGTTGGTATCATCCTCTATCATGACCATGAACAGTCTCCCCTTAGTGCGTCTTCCAGAGCCCTGGAAGACTACCTATGAGCTGGACGTCACTTCTACTGAGCACTCTGTACGCCGATTCCAGCTGCGCAGAGCTCCCCGTGCCGACGATGGTGTGCCACCCCCGAAGCCACTTCACCATGCCTCGTTGAGTTTTACAGACCTGGCCCAGCCTGATCCTTCTTCCACGCCTGGTGATGGAAATAACTCTCTCTGGGCTCGCGCCCAACGAAGTCCCGTCACGCATATCACATGGTCCGGCTCAGAAACACCCACTGTGGGCCAGATTTGGAATATAATCTATGCAATTGAGACATTGCACAGCGAGTTTGAGATATTTCGTGCTGTGCTTTCCGGCGAAGGCAGTGAGCTACTCTCATGTGAGCTGCGAAGCGTTGGTCTGGCCATCGCACACCCTGGGCCTTCTGCGCCACCGGGGAAGCCCATCCCGGTTTCCACAAACCACATTGGCCAGCTAGTCTTTTCCCGCAGCAACTTCTGGCAAGGAGCTGGGTCGCCCTTTGGCACCCGTCCTGCATGGGTATCGGACCCGGGAGTTTACAGCTTCATGCGCAAACCCTTGAACGAGTACCCTACCCGTCCTCGCCAATACACTGTTACCACCGGATTTCCTGAGCGCCGCGTTCATGCCCACCACCCTGTGCGTTCACCAAAGCCGGCCCCGGGATCCCGTATATACAGTCGTTATATCCCACACCTGAACGAATTCTTTTCGGTCTTTGCACTGGACTACAGAAATGATGAGCATCTCCGGCTCTTCAACACTTGGCAAAATGACCCCCGGGTAGCGCAAGGTTGGAATGAAACTGGAACTTTGGACCAGCATCGCCAATATCTGAAGACCATTCAGGAGGACCCGCATCAAATTGCCGTGCTTGCCAAATTCAATGATACCTTCTTCTCCTACCACGAGCTTTACTGGACAAAGGTATCTTTCCACCGCCATTATCATTCGCAAGAACGTCTGCTCACCATATTCTAGGAGGACCACCTGGGCGCATACTACCAGGCAGGTGATTGGGACCGAGGCCGCCACTCTCTTGTCGGTAACGAAAGGTTCCGTGGCGCACACCGCACAATGGTGTGGTGGTCTAGTTTGATGCACTACATTTTTCTAGACGAGCCCCGAACCGACTTTGTCACCGGGGAGCCGAAATACTCCAACCTAGCCCCCCTGACGTACGACCACGCCACAGGAATGAACCTGGACAAATTGGTGGATCTCCCTCACAAGCGCTCTGCGCTAATTCTTGGAAGTCGGGAAAAGTTCTTCCATGTAGCACCCCTGCGGTTTGATGGGTCCGACATGTTGGACCGTAACCCGTTCCGTTCTTTGAAGCTATGATGTACATAGAACTTACAAATATAAAAATGTAACATGTTTGAAATCATGAACACGGCACGAACGAACTATCCATAACGAATGAATCAGCCGAAGGATGAGATATATCCGCTTAACCCCGACGACGTTTGTCAGCGTATTGCCGTAAACGTTACTTTTTACTTTTAATGTCTCAATTTTGCCAAGCAAAGCCAAGTGAAGTCAATTCTAGGCGAAAACGCGTCAGCACCATCTAATCTGATTCGGGATGAAATCCAGATACTACATGGCCGGGTCATCCCGGCATTCCTTCGTAGCCAAGTTGCCCCATTTTGCAATAGTGAGATTTGGAGAACATGCGCCATATTTAAAACGCCAAGACATTTTGGAGAAAGAGTTCATGTGTCAGTTGCTCCTTAGAAAGTATTGATCATCAGTGTCCCACGCATTGTATAAGCGACGTATACTGTGGCAGCAATCGCTCCAGCAGTGTTAGTGCCGCATGGAACGATCAACAGTGCTCGGGATCGGATTCGACTTCCCCTTACTGCTCTTGAGGAGACGATCCCCCAGTCCGATACTTAGTGGAGATCCTCAGTTCTCGGCAAACAATTTCGGTGTTACTAGCGTGGATGTCGATCTGATAAGGGTCCAAACTTACGATACATTGAAACATACGAAATTTGCAAAGTTACGCAAAATTACATGGTTACACGGTATATTACAATACGCCGTTCTCTTGGTATTCCAGCGGGGCGTGCATTTTTGTCAAGGTTTCTTAAAAAGTTGAACACGGTGATGTTTCTTCTTCATCCCTCCTTAGAGAGAAATCATTCAACATGGGTGAACCAAATGCAGCACCCAAGCGCACCGTAAGTAGCACAGTATCGTTATCATTGACTGCAGAAGCTGATCGAATCTGCACCAGTGGAGAGACAGGGCTGTCTTCTTCAGATTGTTTGTCTATGGCGAGCCTAGCAAGTCAGACATCGCTCTACTGGTTCTGGCAGTTGTCTCAGCAATCGCCTCGGGAGTCCCATTCCCAATCATGTCAATCGTCTTCGGTCAATTGGTGGATGAGATGAACTCGACAACCTGCAACGCGAACAGCTCGAATGGTGCATCCTATCAAGCGGCAATCAACTCCAGAGTCCTGATGATTGTCTATATTGGAATCGCCTACCTTTTCCTGGTCTACATCTATGTTTTCACGTGGAACATTACGGGCGAAAGACTTGCTCAGCGTCTCCGTGAAAAGTATTTCAAGGCTTTGCTCCGGCAGGATGCGGCTTTCTTCGACAACCTTCCTGCTGGAGAGGCCTCCTCCAGAATTTCGGGCGATATCACCACCGTGCAGCAGGGTACATCTGAGAAGGTAGGCATCATGATGAACTCTATTGCCTTTTTTGTGACCGCCTATATTGTTGCCTTCATCAAGGATGCAAAGCTGGCTGGTATGCTGGTCTCATTGACTCCAGCATATCTGATTATGTCCCTGCTGGGAGGATACTTCGTTCAAAAATACTTTGGACGCGCACTGGATAGTATGACCAAGGCATCTTCAGTGGCGTTGGAGGCATTCTCGAATACCATGGTTGTTCATGCTTTCTCGGCGAATGTCAGACTGGAGGAGAAGTTTATTGAACTTTTGAATCCCGGCCGAGTTGCCGGCATTCGGAAATCTATTGCAGCTGCTAGTCAGGCTGGTTTGCTTTATTTTATTGCATTCTCGGCCAATGCTTTGGCATTCTGGCAGGGTTCGAGGCAGATCGCCGATTCGGTCGAGAATGGTGGAAGTATGACCGTTGGAGCCACATATACTGTCATTTTCATTCTGGTGGATGGTAAGTTTCTGCTAAGTTGTTCTCAAGTTAAAAATAATATTCTGACCTTGTTGAAATTAGCCTCCTTGATTCTCAGTCAAGTTGCACCGTTCATCCAAAGCTTCGACGCCGCTTCGGTCGCATTCACCAAGCTACGTGCCGATATCGATCACTCCTCCCTCATCGACGGAACCGACGAGAATTTTGGTGAAGTCTTGTCGGAAGTCAAGGGTGACATTGAATTGCGCAATGTCTCGTTCGCGTTTCCCTCTCGCAAGGATAAGCCAGTGCTCCAGGATCTATCTTTCTCTTGCCCTGCTGGCCAGCAAACTGCTATCGTTGGCTTGTCTGGGAGTGGAAAATCTACTGTCGCTGGAATGGTGACTCGGTTCTATGATGCAATCGAGGGATCTGTATTGTTGGACGGAGTTGATGTGAAAACTTTGAATGTTCGTGCTTTGAGAAGCAATATCAGCCTGGTGCAGCAGGAACCATGCCTGCTTGACCGATCCATTTTTGAAAACATTGCCTTAGGATTGATCAACTCCCCTACCCATAGCCATCTCAAACCAATCCTGACAAGCACAACGTTAGCTGAGATCGCACAGGCTGTAAGGGATGGTCAAGGGATTGTGCCCGCATCTCTGGAACATGGTGACCTTGCTCGCAAGATCGTGGACTTGGTTGAAAATGCCGCTTTGCTGGCTGATGCCAATGGATTTATCGAAAAGCTACAGGAAGGATATGGTACAATGGTCGGTTCCAGTGGCAACTTGATCAGCGGTGGGCAGAAGCAGCGTATTTCTCTGGCGCGTGCTTTAGTCAAGGATCCCCGAATTCTCATTCTCGATGAAGCCACTGCTTCCTTGGATTCTGCAACCGAAATGCGCATCCAACGAGCCATTGAGACTGTTGCTGTCGGTCGCACTGTTATCACTATCGCCCACCGTTTATCAACAATCAAGAATGCCGATAATATTATCGTCATGAGGCAGGGAAAGCTCGTTGAGCAAGGTAGTCACTCTGACCTTTTGGCTCGCAATGGTGCCTATGCAGAGCTTGTCCGTCTACAGAATCTCAATGTTCACGGCGCGGGAGAAGGGTCTTCGACTCGGTCTGTTTCGCCAGTTGATCAAATCAACGAAAAGACTCAAGAAACAGATATCTCGGCTGTTGATGATCTTCCTGACAATAACGAGAAGGCCGTTGTGGCCGAAGGCAAAGACTCCAAGCCTAAGGAGAAGGCCGGCGCCGTTTCAACTACTCGATCGTTCTCTGCCACAGTCGGATCTTTGGGCTCGATGTTCCGTCCATACACTTTTGTTCTGATTCTCGCCGTAACAGGTGCTGTGGTCATCGGAGGTACATACTGTGGATCGGCTGTGATCTTTGGTAATGTTGTCGGAAAGCTCAGTGGATGTGAAGACCCGCAGAACATCCGTGATGCAGGTGAATTCTTTGGTCTCATGTTCTTTGTCCTGGCTATTATCGAATTCTTTGCAAACTTCCTCAGTTGGTCTCTGTTCGGATGGATGGCAGAGAACATCATCTACAAAGTCCGAGTTCTCTCACTACGCTCCATCCTTGAGCAAAATCTTGCATGGCACGAGTCTAATGACCGCAACCCATCACTTCTGCTTTCTTTGATCACGACTGATAGTAATGCCCTCGGAGGTTTGACTGGCTCAGTTGTCTGCACAATCCTCTCAATTTGTGTCAACCTGGTCGCTGCGATCATCATGACACACATCATTGCATGGCGTATCGCTTTGGTTTGTCTCGCTGTCATTCCTTTAGTACTTGGAGCTGGATGGATGCGAGTCACCTCTCTCGCTTCATTCCAAGAAAAGCATCTGGAGGCCTTCGCCCGTTCCGTCGGTATCACTGTCGAAGCGGTGAATTCTATTAAAACTGTCATGTCTCTTTCACTTGAGCACGAAATCATGGGTACATACCGTCGTTCACTAGCAGCTCCCATGAAAGAGATGACCCGTCAGAGTGCCTGGGTTAACCTCTGGCTCGCTATTGGGTACGGCATGAGCAACTTCCTTTATGGTCTTGCATACTGGTGGGGAGCGAAAAACATCATTGAGGGTCGCTATACACAGACCCAATTTTTCATCGTCCAACTGGCTCTCCTCGTCAGCTCCCAGCTATGGGGTCAAGTATTTGCTCTTGCACCAGATGTTGCGCGCGCCTTCCAGGCCACTCGCCGGCTACTGAATCTACTGGATCTGGGATCCACAAAGAACCTATCAAACCCTATTGAAGGTCTCCAAAGGCTGCTTGGGAGTTCAACAGCTGATATTGAGGCTGCAGCCACTATGCGCGAGAAGATCGATGACACCCGCAGCGGAACTAGCGTCTCATTTAAGCACGTTCGCTTCACTTACCCTGCCAGACCCGATACTCGTGTCCTCCATGGACTAGACTTGAACATCAAACCTGGTCAATTTGCTGCATTGGTTGGACCCAGTGGTGCCGGCAAGTCTACTATCATTTCCCTCGTTGAACGACTCTACACCCCCGAGTCAGGTATCATTGAAGTCGACGGAAAGGATATCGCCCACGGAGACATCTCATTCCGTGATTCGATTGCCTATGTTCCACAACAGAGTGTGATGTTCGAAGGAAGCATTCGTTTCAATCTCGCACTTGGCGCCCGGCCAGGTCACGACATCTCACAAAGCGACATGGAAGAAGCATGCCGATTGGCCAACATCCATGAGACAATCATGGAACTACCAGAAAGATACGATACGCCTTGCGGTCCCAACGGTGATCGTCTCTCAGGTGGTCAGAAACAACGACTTGCGATTGCCCGCGCATTGATTCGCAAGCCTAAATTGCTCTTGCTTGATGAATCGACGAGTGCCCTAGATGCAGAGTCTGAGCGTCTTTTGCAGGATGGCTTGGAAAAAGCTACCAAGAATATGACGGTCATTGCGATCGCGCATCGCCTGTACACGATTCGCAAAGCTGACGTGATTTTCTTGATTGAAGATGGGCGCTGTGTTGAGCAGGGTACACATGCTCAGCTGGTTGAGCGCAGTGAGTCTTACCGGGTCAATGCCTTGAACCAGGCTGTTGATGGATAGAGTTTGGGGTGTTTATAAAAGTAAAGATACCGCTTCTTTGATATCTAGATTTATATATTTTAATTGTATAGAGTTGATCGTTTGAACCCAACCACTTTCCAGTTATCAAAAATTGTTACTTGCAAGATGCCCAGGGGAAAAAAAAATGATTCATTCTATTTCTATATTCAGACTGTTCCGCTTTTGTTCCGTGGCTACGCCCAACATTCATCGTCTAGGCTGTTGCTTCTCCGAGGCGCATCCATTTCCAGCAAACTAACCCAATTAGTCAAACCCAATCACTGTATCAAGGGGTAGATACTTACTTTGATATCCAAGATCCTCATTGAAGAACATGTTCCGTACCTCATCTCCTGAAGAAATGCCGGTCATAGGGAAGTATCCAACAGCAGTAGCTCCAAGAGCCAAAGCCATCATAGGCTTGACCTCAGCCAGCTCGACAAATGTAGGCTCGGACTTATATTTCTCTGCCATCATTTTCTGATGAATATTGACAACAGCAAAGTGACCCTGGTGCATAGCAGCTCCACCACGCTTGACACCAGACCAGCAAGCAATATCCCCTGCAGCATAGTGGTACTCCCTGTTAGAGACGTCACCAGCAAACTCAAGACCGGGTGTGATGCGAATATAACCTTCGGAGTTACAGGCTTCCTTTGGTAGGTAAGATGATGTGGGTGTGAACTTGGAGACAGCATTGATGACATGATCCGCGTGTATTTCCTCGCCATTGGAGAGCCTGAGTTTGTACTTGGGCGGCGTAGGTCCGTTGGCTGGAATTGTTTCCTGGACTCGTGTGCCCAAAATCAACTCCACATTGGATTCTTTGAGGAGCTCCAGTGCCTTTGCACTGAATTCTTCGGGGAGTGGTTCGGAGGAGAGTAGGGCTTGGCGGGAGTGAATCAGAGTTACCGTGCTCTGTGGGCGAAGCATCTTGAGTTCTGCTGCGATTTCAATACCAACAGCACCTAGTAGAGATTAATATTGGTAATAATGAGAGCAAAGTATGGGATAGTACTCACCACCACCAACGACTACAACACCTTGCGCGGCATTTTCAATAGTCTCAACTGAGTCTGCCATTTCGGCAAGATACGCTTCACGACTCAACGACTTGGGTGCGCTTGGCCATTCTCTCCTTAGACCAGTTGTAGCGATCATGTAATCGTAATTCTCCTCCAGAATCCTGTGGCCATCGCTTGCTGTGGTCTGGTTAATCCGTGCGACGCGCGATTTACAGTCCACGGATTCTACACTTCCCTGGATGATCTTGATATCCGGGGACTGGAGGGCAGGGATGTCTTCATATTTCTTCCAGAAATTACTAGCATCTTGGTTGGAACCAAGTGCAAGAGGGACACCGATCAAGTGGTCTAAGGTATGCGCCATTAGCAGTGTGTCACGGTTGGTGGGAACTACAACATACAATACCCATCGCGCTCATCCACAATGGTGACTTGAACAGGAATCTTTCTCTGGGGCGCAACTGCGCTGGGATCCAAGTTGAAGCGACATTTCCGGCCATGACACAGATCGATCAGGTTCAAAGTCGCGGCCAAACCAGCGTAGGAACCTCCGACAACCAGGACCTTGTATACTTGCTCTTCAATTTCAGGCATTTTGTGCGTGTATTTAGAAGATTTGTTGATGAATTTTCACTTGTTGTTCAAAGAAAGAAAGAAGAATAAGACGAGGAAAAAAAAAACATTCCGACAACGGCTCTACATCGGACATCGGATCTTGTCAATTTAATGTCACATCATACCAATACCATACCGTACCACACTTTTTATCAGATCCGGTCTCGGGGTAACTTGGCGCCAAGACTTCAACTATACAAACTGTTAAAATATTTGGATTTCTGAAGATTTTCCCTTCAAATTGCTTACCCCTCCATCTGATAATTCTGAAGCCCCCTACTCCAAAATGGGATTTGTCGTTGTTCCTGCCACCCTTCCTGACATCCGGGCCATCTACGATGCCTGGTTCGCCGCCTTCAAAGGCCAAGTGATTCTCGATCTCATCTACCCTGGCAGTGATGTCGATGATGAATCTTTCCGTAAAGTACATGCCGAGGGTACTTTGGGATATTGGCAAGGCTTGAGCATGGAGCATACCTTCCAATGCATTGATACCGACACTGGTCGCGTCGCTGGCATGGCGACCTGGCAGGTCTACTGGCGCGAGCGGACTGATGCTGAACGAATCAAGCCTTGGATTGGGTGGCTTGAGGGAGACCAGCGCAAGCGTGCTGAAGGGTTTCTGGAGCAGCTTTGGGAGAAGAGAGAAAAATATGTGGGACCAAAGAAGCATGTTTGTAAGTGAAAAGGTCAGCCTTACAAGCATCGGTAAGCTAACCGGTTATAGATTGCCATACAGTTGCAGTACATCCAGACTATCAGGGTCGTGGAGTTGGAAAGCAGCTTATGCAATGGGGTCTCGAAGCATCAGACAAGTTGAATGTTCCAATCTATCTGGAATCTACCGTGGAAGGTGTTCCTTTGTATAACAAGCTTGGCTTCCAGACGTTGGCGGAACCCATTATCTTCAAGCCGGAAATTACTGGACGTGAAAAAGAAATTCAAGCGCCATTGATGGTGAAGATGCCCAAGGGTGCGGGCAACGCAACATTTGAGCAATGGGCCGAGGGCGAATCCTCCACGGCGTGAATGTGCTCCACGCAAGGATCACACAAAACTTAGATAAATATCGATTTCAGAATGGACTGTGTATTAGATCTGTATTCAATATGTGTACATGTTGAATTTCTGCAATAGCCAAGAAATGAACTATACTATTTCTTAGCGTCTTGATACAAGCCACTTTGCATCGGTGACCCTTGTTGGCTGTTTCAGGGGTAAAAGACACCCGACAAACGAATACGGCTTTGCATGATATTCCTCATTTCGGAGTCATACCATAATCTCCGACAACGCATCCTTCAGGTGAAGAACTATTCCCGGTAGAATGCCAAATCCCATAGATGATACCTACCAGTAAGATAAAATGCCCCATAGCTGTCGGCAGTTTCTGTCGGACTCGAAGACCCAGCATTACTTGAGGGTCCAAGCGAACAGAGACTTCATGCCAACTCTTGGCATATTCTAGGCAAGACGATCTTACCATAAATGACTATCAATCAGGCAGATGCCTTTGATCAATCTGTTAATATGAGCCAAACTTGAAGATGACTCAGGTATCACGGATCCAAGGCCCGCAAAAACAAAGTGCTCACCTTGACGGCAGTGGCTTGGCCACACCCGGCGGAACCATTGACTGGTCAACGCTTACAAGTATTGACTTCCCCTAGCGACGCCATTGACTGCGTGACCCATGGTATGTACTGTATGCTCGGGTATACAAATTACTGTGGAGAAAGGGAAAACGATGAACAGCTCTCTGTCTTTTCGAGTTTTAGACGGTCGGCCACGAGGTCGGTTGTAGTTCCGGCCCACCATCAGCTCATCAGCGCACCAGCTTGGCAGTGCCGATCAGTGACTGGAGTCGACCGAAGGCAGCTAACCGAGTGTGCCGCTTGCAACGGGGGGATGTAAGCTGCTGTATTTCATGTGAAATACAAATACAAGATTGTATACAATGTCAATACGATTGGTGTACCTGGTATCGTGCGTGAAATACAAGTGGGGCCGCAGATCTTATCTGATCCTGTGTTATCAGATTGTCGGCTTGCGCCGCCTACGCAAGCTGGTATACTGACTGTACAGTAGGATGAGTCTTCAACCCTAGCCGAGGACGATCACAATAGGTCTTGGCGATAATCATTCACAGGGGCATGTAAGTATGATCCGACATCGGCCAGAGTCAGGCATTTTCTCAAGCCCCCTGTCGAGTATATTTGTTTTGTAGCCAGTCGGTGAAACACAAGCTGTCTGTTATTGTGCCTGATTCCCACGCAAGTTCGACCCAAAATGCGTGCTACCTCCATTGTCTCCATTATATCCGGGCTACACGCTACTTTGTGCCTGGCAACAGACGACAGCTGGCCATGGCAAACCTATAAGTCCAGCTCTTTTGAGCCTCCCAACCTCAACATCAAAAAGTCCGGACCAACCGCCCCTGGCTACCTGTTCTTTGATCAATCATGGGATGCCCATCAGTACAGTGTGTTCATGATGTCGGATGAGAATGACCTAATTTGGCAGAGCCCGGCTGGCGATGTGAAGGACTTCCGCGTACAGGTGCTAGACGGAGAGCCGGTCTTGACCTACTTCAATGGAATTGGTATCCCTGAGCCCTTTGGTTGGGGGTACGGTATCATTCAGATTTTGGACCAATCTTACCAGAGCATCTACAATGTTTCGCTTCTTCACGATAACTTCACTGCCGTTGGTACTGTTGACAGCTCGAGTTTCGTTTCTTGGCTTGATATCCACGAAAGCACTATGACCTCGGACAACACTATGCTATTGACCGGTTATAATGTCACCAGGGCTGACTTGAGCTCCGTTGGTGGGCCCAAGGATGGCTGGATTGCTGACTCGCTCTTTTATGAGATCGATGTTAAGACCAACGACATCTTGTTCCGCTGGAGTGCTAAAGACCACCTTGATCAAATCACCTTGGAGGCTGTCCAGCCTTTCTACCCTATCCGTGACTGGGGACATAACAGCAGTGCTCCGTACGGCTACTTCCACATCAACTCGGTTGAGAAGTTCAAGGACGGTACTTTCCTCATTTCGTCTCGCTACTATTGCTCCTTGTTCAAGATTTCCAAAGATGGAACCGTCGATTGGTCTATCGAGGTGAGACACCAATGCTTTCTGCTCTGTGCTATTTCGACCTTGAGCTAATTTATCTATCAAAGGGCCAAACTGGCGGCGACTTCCTCCTGGACGGAGTCAATTTCGCTTACCAACACGACGCACGCATCCAAAAAGAGACCACAAACGAATTGATCGTCAGCATCTTTGACAACGCCAATTCTGACGTTGAGAATGGTACTGACCATACCGAGGGTATCTTCATGAATGTCAACCTGGATACGAAGAAGGTCACTCCACTTCGTCTCCTGGATGACCCGAACGATGAGATATTCTCTGTATCCATGGGAGCCGTGCAAGCCTTGCCAGGAGACCACGTTCTGATGGGATATGGGTCCAACCCGACTTTCAAGGAGTACAATGCGGATGGGTCCCCTGTTATGACCGTTCAGTTCGGGGAAGATGGTGTGGTGTCTAGCTACCGGGCCTATCGTCACCCCTGGGTTGGCATTCCAAACACTTCTCCTGATACATTCGCCTGTCACGACGCCTCCCATAACACGACAAATGTTTACATGAGCTGGAATGGCGCTACCGAGGTTAAGCAGTGGAAGGTTTTTGGGGGCGTTACTCAAAGTGGCCTTTTCCCGGTCGGTGTGGTGCCAAAGACAGGGTTCGAAACAAGGGCGTCTGTCAAGGGTGGTCTCAAGCATGTCCGTGTTGAAGCTCATGGTCGTGGCATTAAAACGGGAGTCTCGAAAACTGTCCATGTTCAGCCTCGGTGCTAAGCAGGTCTGGGCTTCAAATATTGTGTACTTTTACCTCACTAGGTTCATATGGATAGACGTATGATAATACTGAGCTAGATAAATAGAATTCAATATCGTGTTGTACGACGGTCCAGTTTGATTGCAGGGTACGGATTACAATCATAGCTCATTTGAATATTTTTTACCTGAACGCCACAGACCTGGATATATAGTCGAGACTTACTTTCATAATTGATCTGGAAATTTCATTGACAATATTCTCATTTCTGGCCCTTTTTAAATCAAAACTAAATTATTAACATACTGGTATATAGGTGCGTAGCACCCAGGTTCTTCATTCAAAACACAGTTCCCTTCACCTGCTTGAAGTCCTTGACCTTGATATCGCGCCATAACGCAGTACAGCCCCAGGCGAGAGCCAGCATGCACACACTAGTTATAAGCATGTAACGCTGCGCATCTCCGTATGCATGAGCGATCGCATTTCTTTCCAGGCTTCCGAAGGGATACGATAGCTGAACGTTGATGTTTGAGTAGACGGACGCCACGTTGACTTCTGATGGCAAATACTTTGCCAAAGCTTTAGGGAACTGGCTCGTCCAGATAGCTGCGGAAACGGTACCTCCGATCGCACTTCCAATACTACTGAAAAGATTCAGAATAGCAAGCACAACAGCAATGTGCTGGTGGTCAGAAGGTGCCATCATGGCAAGTTCACCACAGATAACGGTAGTACCACCCGCAAATGCGACGAAAATTTGAGTCATGCAAATATAACCAATACCTGCATCAGGTTGGCGGAACTTGATCATCAGCCCCACTCCGAGAATCATCAGGGGGAAAGAGAAATAAACTGCTAGCCACTTGAAGCGGCCTGTCCAACGGATCAGATATCCGACAAACAGGCACCACAGGCACGATCCAACTCGGTAAATGGCTGAGACATAACTGGCTTCCGTGACATCCAGACCCCAGACGACCTGGAGCATGGAGCCAAAGTAACTACCCCAAACCATGGAGTTAAAGAACTCGAACACAAACATCAATCCGCCAAAGAAGACAGTTCGGTCCATCAGGAGTTTGAAGGGGATGAAGGTCACCGGAGCCCAGAATCTCTCATAGACAGCAAACAAAATGATCAGAGCTCCTCCGAAGATGATCATGCATATAATCATAGCAGAGCGCCACTGGTCCTTTTGATAAGACCACAGACTAAACGGCAAAAGGAACAGTGCCATACCGCCAGCAAGAAGAATAATTCCGAGCATGTCGACCTCGATTAGATACTTCTTGACTGATTGTAAGGTCAGAGGACTGCGGTTATATTGGATCAGTCCCATCTTCTTGGCCTTTTGGTGGTTCCAGAAGAATAGAATGCATAGCGGCGAGACCACGACCGGGACGATGATGGTAAATATTCCGAATCCCCATCGCCAGCCAGGGCCTTCCAGCACACTCTGCGAGATGGGACCTCCAATCCATGTTGTGATGATATAAGGGGAAGTTGCAAATGACAACATCAGGGCTCGATTCTTCAGGGTTGAGGTGTCGGCAATGAAGACAGTCAGGCAATAACTGACTCCTTGGGATCTATATAAGGTAAAGTTAGTTGAAGGCATTAGAATGGTGTTTTTGTTTCATCACTGACCCCACGGAAGAGAAAACTTGTGCAGCAGCGTAAGTTTGCACGTTGTTGCAAGCAGCCATCATGATAAAGCCCACGACCCATATTATCAATGTCAAACTGATACCCTGAGGCCGACCCCATGTGTCCAGAATTTTTGCCAACGGAATTTTACTCAACCCGCCAATTATGTTGGCCATAATACTTGTGGCCGCAGTGAGAGAGTGCAGTGAGAAAGCACTAGTCACATAAGGGTTCAAGGATCGTATAACAACCTCCTGAATGGATGTGACGAAGTAAATGAACCAAATGCTTTATGGAAACAATGAATTAGCCAAATTTATAGCAACGTTAGTAAAATTTGAACTCACATCGCATATGCCAAGATAAGATGCCCCTTGGTCCACACCTTTGTAGCCGCCTGGATTCCCCTGACACCAGCCTGAGCCTCCTGGTCAAGGGAATCCTGATCTGATGCATCACTGTCGGAGACATGAGTAACTCCTTCAGTTTTCTGTGTGGTATGAATCTGTTCATCTCGCTTCTCGGATACTTGAACAGGGTCGGCTGCCATCTTGCTGTCCATCCACTGGTCCTTAAGTTGAGTGCAGAGGTATTCAGATGTCCGAACACTAATGTAGCCAAAGTGCGACGATCAGACTTATATAGTCTAAGTGTTGAATCAGCCGATATCGGGTGAACAGAGTCTTCAAGAAAAACTAAGCGAAAAGTATACTAATGAAGCCAAGACAGGGCTGGGCTGAAGGTGAAAATTCTCCCGTTTGGCAAGGGTGGCACGAGGTACGACTTGGCGCATCTGGCGCAACTCGCCGAGCTCTTTTTCGTGTGCCTAGACACTCGTAGAAGCAAGGTTTTCTCTTTCTTTTGATGTAACTTAGCTCCCACCCTCGGGCTTGTCCGGTGGGTTCCTTGGACAGAGCGGAGCTTTGATTCCGTTCCGAGTGGCATATCTGATCGGGCTATACTCAAGGTCACATTATTTGTCTTCTTATTGAGACAAGCTCCTTGGCATAACGAGTCTAGCCTTCTTCCCAAATTAAGTCAGTGTTGCGCGACTTTCTTTGTTCAAGCGCCGCTCAACGCATATTCGAGTATTGCAAAAACGCCGGTACCGTACTGTGACAGCCGGGGCTCCGATGTTTTTGGCGGAACTGCCAAAAATACGCCTACAACGTTACTTGGGCTGGTCGAAGGAAACATAGCCCAATACGATTCAAAAATTTTCTTCATACTAGCCCATGCAGCTTGTCTAATGTATATGTATATCCGGGTTTGGCCAAGACAGATATCCGTGGATCACATGTCAATATTTGTGCAAATGGCAGACAACTTCTAGCGACCTTCTGTACACAATGTTTTACTGCTGTGGCCAGTAACATTAAAAGTTTGCCTCTGTGCTGGAACGGTAGTCCAGTCTGGCTATTATTATCTGCTCTATCAACAAGAAACAATGATAACAATACAGTCCATGGAGGCCCTTGTTTTCTATGTTCTCTTAGTCAAGGATTGTCTTCTTTATCTTTGCCAAAACTATTGTTAACACCGCAGTGATAAATAAGTGGTCAGATTCTTTCGAAATATGAAAGAGTAGTTATCTTTCAGAAATTATCTGATCGTGGCAATCTTGCATTTACAGTTCACTGGTAATTCACCATCAAGAGCAACATGTATGAAACCGCGAGATATATTAAGGAGTGTGCTAACTTTAAGAATCAATTGCAGACCCAGCTTGTCAACATTGAAAGATTTCCACATACAGGAGCTGAAGGGCTGGTTGCATTCACGCGAATTCAGAATGAGCTTATCACAAAAGCGGAAGTTCTTAGCCGATATAGTGATCCATTAGACCTGCGTGTTCGAGTAGACGCACGTGTCCAAGAAAAATACGGAGAGATGCAATTCAAGCAGATTTGCCGTGTGATCAGACTTGAGCTGGTTGAACTGAGAGACGTAAACGTGTTAGACAATGTCCACACTGCACAACGACGGAAACTCGCTAGGGCTATGGAGGACATTTTGGCTACCTTACCTTTTTAAATTTGCTTTCCTGATATTTGCCGTTTCCATGCCAGACTTACTGAAACGAAGTCCATTAGATAGTTTTTAGAATAATACAACAGTTTCCTTATACTTTAAAATCCACAGAATCTCGCAATAAGATCGCGATATTCTGTAATAGTCGGTCTACTATATCTGTAAAAAAACAAGAATTTTGTAAAGATCCTGTAGAATACAGCCAAAGTGACTATTTCCCTGAAATAGCACCATCTCGAGGACTCATAGTAATATTCATTCAGTAGTAGACACAAGTGGTTGTTCTTCTCACTTGTGCACATGTCATCCTCTACGTATGCTGGTCGATTGCAGCTAAGTGCGGTATGCATCTTGATTCCTCACTGAAGCAAGTTCAGACTTAGACATCCTAGGTATATTCCTATCTTCAATTGCAGTGTTTGGCGAACTTGTTGATACCAGTAGCGAAACATGCTCCGTTACAGCATTGAGTACCCAGAGTGCAAGCGTTGCCAGCTGAAACAACAACCAGGTCAGTACATGTATCTCTTTATTTGTGACCAGATTCATAAAGTTTGTTGAATCCCAGGGTACCCTACTGGCTTTGCATCGCTTTTCAATGATGTTGTCTGCCAAAGCAGCTTCTGAGTTGGCAACGGCGGCAGCGTTAGCGAAAGCTGCGAAAGCTGCGATGAAAATGATGTTGAAAATCTTCATTATGATTGAAAATAAGACAGTAGAATGAAATTGAGTTTGGAAGTAGTGATGATGATTTCATATTCGTGCAGAGAATCGTGGTCCTATTTATACATCCCAGGGCAGTCCTTTGGCCTTCAAAATCGGAAAGTTCACCCGAGGTTGGCTGGCCATTGCTTGTCAGCATGCTTATGAGATTTATCTGATCGTACTATCCACTCGTTTAGATGAATTGTGGCCCGGAGACATTAGTATCAAGGGCCTGGCTGCCATAAGCTGCATCAAGCTTGGCAAGCCACTAATCGTAAGGTCTGAGGACCAACGAAGTGAGACATCGTTGGGGGCCAAAGTCAATCAATCGTAGTCTCCGGCTTGTGTTCCTTCCGATGGCCGAGCAAATTCAGCAGTAATTAGCGAGAACAATCGACTGATCGAGCTATTATAGAGGTAGAGACCTTAGAAAAGGTGGCCGCCAGCGGGACTGTTGATTTTTGTATAGAAAGTAGTGGATTTCATCAATTTGCCACGCAAAGTGCGCGTCGGAATATGAAAGCATTGGAAATGGCCTTCATCAAACCGAAGACGAAGTCAAACAATCATGAAGCTTAGCGGTATTTCTTCTATCGTTAGAAAAGAGGAAAAGTAAGAAGCAAGAGATGCAATGCAGTCGCATTATTCGGAACGGCATTGTGATCTATAAATCTCTTACAGTGGAGATCAATCCTGTTGCGCATGGCCCGCACCTAGGCGCACTATTGCATTGATTTACATGCATTGCTATAATCAAGTGAAATCCGAAAGGATAAACACAAACAGACAATTAACAAGGGAAAGTGTGTAGCCAGTCAACTTACTGAGTACGTATGTATAATTAATGATATGTAGATGGAATGAAGCTTTTGGACAGAAAGACCAAATAAGGAGATTCTGTGTATTTAGAAAAAGCCAAATAAGAGATCAATTATTCATCTTGACAGGCCGTTCTTCTACCCAAAAAGCTAGATCAAGGGAGTAGAGCGATCCACGAAGGAACAAAATGGTTAATTTAAAAGGCACAGAACCCATTCAAAACTCAATACAAGCAAAGCAGAAAAGCAAATGAGCATTCTTGCAATTGATATCAAACGTCTTCAGAAATTCAAGCAATGGCATGACGCGTGACACTAGTCTTCAATATGTAGTCAACAGACGATGCAAAGTATAACTTGAAGTGAAGATGAAGATGGTCTTCAGTTCGGTTCCGCGAAGAAAATTGATATTCTAGAACACGACACCCTTAACCTGGGCAACCTTCTTCAGGTCGATGTTCTTGATCATGATGGTCCACGCAAAGGCGAGAACCATAACGCCCAGGCCAGCTGAAAGCATTCTCACTTGAGAGTAACCATAGGATTGTTGAATAGCATCTCTCATGGCAGTGCCGGGCGCATAGCTTAGCTGCGTGTCAACATCTTCGTAAATTGCCTCCAGATTACTCAAGTCAGGAAGGTTTCTGATGAGTGCCTTCTTGAAGGTGTTGTTCCAAATCGTAGTCGAAATAGTAAGACCAGCGGAGTCACCAATGGTACCAACAACGTTGAGCAAAGCAAGTGCTGTGGCAACGTGCTGGTGGTCCACAGCGGCGAGAATAGCCAGCTGCTCGACAATGATGAAGATGGATCCACCAATCGAGATGAAAATCTGGCACATAACTTGGTATCCAACACTCTGACCGGGGTGACGGAAGTAGATCATCAATCCCTGGGCAAAGATGTAGAGAGGAACAGAGATATAGAGAAGCCACTTGAAGCGACCAGTCTTACGAATAGCTGCTCCAACACCAAACAACAGTACACCGGAGACGACGTCGAATGTGTTAACAACGTATCCAGATTCGGCAATGCTCAAGTCATTGACTACTTGGAGGTAGTTCTGGAAATAGTTGTTCCAGCAGTAGTTCGAAAGCTGGTAAGTTGCATCCAATAGACATGCGCCGATAACAGTACGGTTGGTAAGGAAGCCCCAGTTAAGAAGAGGAACTGGGGCGATCCACTTCTCGTAAAATCCGAAGAAGAACAACATGGAGAAACCAACCACAATCATGGCGATGATATAGTCGGTTCCCCAACCGTTAGGGGCCTCGCTTGCAATATCGAATGGAAGCTCAAACAGGATCAGACCGGCAGTGAAAATAAACACTCCGAACACTAAGTAAGGTTAGTATTTCTCTTCTCCGCGGGAATCAAATTTCAGTTGCGATAATACTCACAGTCGAATTCGATTATCCAGTACCAAACACTTTGGAAGAAGCTGCGGCCACTACTCTCCTTCTCGGTCACAAGGCCTGCTTTATGAGCTTTGTGAAGGTTAAACTTCAAAACAAAGTATAGAGGCGCAGCGATAATGGGGAAAATGATAGCCCAAGTGCCGTATGCCCAGCGCCAGCTGACGTGGTCGTAGAACTGCTCTGCAACCTTGGGTCCCGCAAATGCCGTGATAATGTACGGCGAGGAAGTGAAAGCGTAAGCTAGGGCTCGATTCTTCAGCTGGGTAACATCGGCGGTCACAACGTCTACGGCGAATTCCATGCCACTAAAGCCGAGGTAATAAAAGACCTAATTCTTGATTTAGCACGTCCTTTTCCTTTCAGCTGCGTTGCGGCTTACATTGGCGGCACAATAAATAGGGAAACTGTCACAAGAAGCCATGAGGACCAGCCCGACGGTAGCACAAGTAACCATAAGCGCAAAGCCTTCCGCACGACCCCAGGTATCCATCATTTTGGCGACGGGAAGGAAGACGGCAGCGGAAAATGCATCGGCCATCGCAGTAGGGAGACCAGAAAGGGAGTGTTGTTGGAATGAACTGGCGACATAAGTACTCAAACTGCCATTCACTGATGAGACGAATGCATAGACGAAGTAAAGGAACCAAATACTATAGGATTGACACGTCAGCTTAGATGAGACAGATCAAGTGAGTTGATTGACATACTTGATCAAAACAGCGATCAGTGCAGGCTTGGACCAGGTTTGAGCAATGGCCTCGGCGTCTTTAACACCATGCTGAAGCTCTTCAAACGGAACACCGGGCACTTCCGCGCCATTGTTTGGAAGGGCTTCGTCTGCCACGGGGTATGTTTGATCAGCCTTTGGCTGATTGACGTTGCTAGTATCAACATCGATCGAACTACTCGCCGCAGCCTCCTCGCGGTCGAGTTTCGTCCGATGAAAGACCGCCCGGGCCCTTTTGATCAAAGGGCGAAGTGTCATAATGAACAGTTCGCCTCAAAGGGAGGTCTGTCCAGCGATTCGAGGTAAAATGTTCTGGAAACCTTCTTCTGTTCCTCCAGGGAAGGGATGATCGGAGTCAAAATAAGTAAGAAAGGAATGCGGGAAAAGATCAGATAAAACAACCGAACTCGGGCGCCTTCGAAAACTCAACAAGAGACAGCACCACCATGGTTGTGGAGCACTGGAGCCAAACAAGAATTCTGTTCTTTCTGTTGCTTGTTATTAGTCCATTGCCGTGGGCCCTAACTCCACCAGGGGTCAGCGACAACCGGCGTCGGCCGGTGGCGAGATCTAATCAGATCACCGCATGAGCTTGTCCAACGAGATCTTTACCTCATAGAGGGCAAATGCCCGTGGCGTCGCCTTTAGCCGCTCGAAGCTTCGCTTGGCGTCTTGGTAGGAAATTAACAGTGGGACCCTTGGGCATTCAAAGCCAACAAGATTCCACTGCGCCAAGAGCCGAAAAACGCGCAAAGTTCCGATAGTTATCAGATCTGCCAAGAGGTGGTGGTGAACGCAGCTGTTTCATCTCTACACGGACATGCAAGTCCCTCTATATGATCAAATTGGTGACGGAGGGGAACTTTTAGCGGGGCTTTGGTGTCGAGATATCTCTTCTGCTGTTCCAATTCACCACTAGGTCGCATTCTTCCATTAAATGAAATGGAGCCCCTTCAAGGGCGCCTAACTACCAAACTCTCCCAGCAGATGCCCCGGGGTTTTCTCGGGTGACGCGCATTTTCACCTGTCTCTCCTTCGTTATTGGGTTAATTTAGTGCTGGACATGGGCCTCTCGGGTTTATGAGGCCGGTCTCGGCGGTCTATCATAATTGGCAAGTTGAATGACGATCGGCGACAATTGCGGCAAGGAGAAAAGTATGTCGCAGAGGATCAATGCCATTTGCACACGAAGGTAAATTTTGCTTATAATAAGCATTCACCAAGCTTTGCTCTTTGAAGCACTTTCGGCCTTGGTATGCCTTGGTATGCCTTGGTGCTTTCTGGTCCTTCCGTTGTTTTCCGTATGTTCCACCTCAGCCCTCGACCAATTATATTACATTTAGACAGAAAGTACGAGGATTCGGGTTCGGGATTGATGGAGCTAGAATCAATTGTTCAGATTCAAACTCGAACACATCAGATGATCCATATTTCCTTGGGGGCTGAACTATATCTATTCCCTAGTATGCCCTAGCGGAGATGCCGTCGAAATAGTCAAAGTCTTTCAGGAGAGGTGAGACAATATTATCGAATACGGACTCATCAAAGTGGGGGTTCTCAAAGCCATCGCCTTGACTTTGGGACCAGTACAAACAGTCCTTGACGACGTCACCGTAGCTCGAGCCGCTCTCACAGTACACATCGCGCAGCAATCTTGCTGCTGTGTTGAACTGAGAGCTCTCCTCGGAGGCATCTGCATCTCCAGGCCGAACCAAGGTACAGATAGCTCTTCCCAGCGATAGTTCAATTAGCGCAAGTGCCAACGGGAAGAGAATGTGATTACTGATCTGGCGCCGTCTCGAGTCCGAGTCTACATCGGGCGACAACCCGTTGAGGCCCGTCTCAGATGATCCCCGAACTCTTTGTACTAGATATGGACGTTCAAATTGAGGAAAGCCGGATTGCGTGGGGCGGACAAAAAGAACATCAGATGTTCCCCATTTCTGCTGGAGCCATGTTCCGTGGAGTTGGAAGACACTGAACGCGAGAAGGGTGGCAAGATGGAGCCTGTCGCGACGACTCAGTTCATTGGTTCTTTGAATCGGAGAACCCGGCGAAGAAGGTGATCCAATCAGTGTCTCTTGTAAAGAATGAACATGCATCTCATGCTGAATGCTACGCACTAGGCTTATGCCGTACTGGCATCCGAGTTTGGCCTGCTCGCTGCTGATGTATCCAATAGAATCCAAGTTCGTCGGACTCGTTGCGTCGACCTGATCAAGGGTAGAGCATAGATCAGCAATTGGTGAACCCAGATCGAGCATGGGCACTGTGTGAACATTCTCCATGCAAACTGTTGCTGGTGAAATGGAAGTAAATTGCACTTTTCGTGCGGGTGCCTTGAGCAATTGAGGTTCTTGTGGAAGGGAACAGGGCTGAGTCTCCTGCCTCGCTACCACTCTGACCTCGTGCCAGCGTCCTTGGTATGAAGTACTACTTCTCTTGGGTGGTGGAAGGATTAAGTGAAAGTTTGGGGTCCCGATTGCATCAGTTGATCCCTTCGCCGCATTTAAGACATTCTGATCAAGCTGGAACCCAACGGAATGTTCATCATGACATGATGAGCTCCAGCATTGACCACTTTGAACCAAAATTATATAGAGTGCCTTTGCATGCCGTCTGTTTTCTCGATAACGATTCAGGTATCGTCTCCTTCGAGCCGGACCACCACGAGATTTGTCCCGTTGCTGAGACTGTTCGCTCAGAGTCTTCAGTATTTGATTGGTCTTTTCAATTTTGTCCAGAATATCCTGATAAATTGCAGCAGAAAATATCTTGCGAAATTTTAGAGCGTTCAGGGACTTGATCGATATAGACTGCGCGAGTAAAATGTATCAGCTTCGCTCTCATTTTTACCAAGTAGTACGACTTGCTGTTGTATAGTCCCCAGTCTCCAATCCAAGTTTTCGAGACAGGTCTTCTAGAAGGTCGCACAGCCCTTTCACGGTCCGAGTAAAAGGGACATAGTTGCGATCCAGCTTTTTGATCAATCTTTGTTGAAATTCGATCTCACTCCAGCCAGGACCCTTCGGATTGCTGATCAATTCTGATCTTTTGTCATGATCGTCGACAACATCTTCGAGAGATAATTCCAACGTATTTAGTAAAATGGCATACTGCGCACTCAGGCCGGTAGAGTAGTCCTCCAACTGCCATTTATACCGTCGAAATGCCTTGATCTTTTCTAAGCCGCGCGCGTAGTTGTCCAGTTGGTTCACCAGCAAGGGGAGAACTGCCAATATGACACCGGTAGTTTCTATTCCTGTCACCATTGTCGAAGCAACTAAGATAAGTGTCAAAGCCAGAAAAGAGAACGAAGATAGTGAAAGGGTGAGATTCGTTGAGCCCTTTACCCCGCAGCCCCAGCCTCACTTCTATCTTCGCCTTTCTCACTTCCTAGAGGGATCATATCCTCATCGACAGCCATTCTAGGTGCAGAAATGGCTACGATTGCCGTCATTCTCAATGACTGCTTGAGAGAGTTCACGGATCTAACGGCCTCTGGGGTACTCGCGGGATTTGACGATGAAGTCACCGAACGCCGGTGGTTGGACGAGTTAGGAAGACTTCGAGTCTGGGCTGCCAATATTGGTGCGCATCAAACAGGACAGTCGTCGCTAGATTATCGGCTCCGAGATGCGTCTCATTTGAAGAGTGAAACGACAAAAATCTTACAGCGAACGCTGCAAGTCTTACGAAACTTGCAAGAGGTTACTAAGGAAGACCAACACGAGTCATCCGAAGAGACTTTCAGTGATGACAATGAATTCGAAGTTGAAGTCGAGGAAAATGAATTGACCGACATTCAAGTACTCTATCAAAGCCTGCGCAACAATATAAATCTTCTATTCCAAATCTCTATGGCTATTCGCAAACCCGCTGATCACGATCGACTTGTTGGAATGAACCTCAAACACGCTTCATTCTTCAAGCCCTGGGCGCAGCAACATATTTCACACAAATTCCCCGACGCTGAGGCGAGCACAATTCTCCGTTTGAGCGCTGCCATGGCGAGACAAAAAGCGGTTCTCAAATATTTCGAGCGGCACAGTGCCAAACTAGGCAAAGGTTTATTGGACCACGATGATGCAGAATCACATCTCCTCTCTGATACAGTTGCTACCGAGATGACACTGGCCACCGAAATGGATCATCTTCACTTTCTTGAAACAAACTCGGTGGCTGGTTTGTCGCAAACCTCGTACGCTTCTAGCATATTCACCGGAAATGATTCTCTTTCAATCCCAAGTGCTCCAAAAGAGTCAGCAGATAGAACACCATTCGAATGTCCGTATTGCCGCCTCGTGATAGTCGTTAAAAACACCAAGGATTGGGCCCGCCATGTTTTCAGGGACTTGATGCCATATGTTTGTTTGTCTCACGACTGCATCACGCCATCAAAACTATATGAAAGTCGTCGACAGTGGTATCGTCACATGTGCGAAGCACATTCACTGTCAGATGGGCATCAGAATCTATCGAGCTGTCCTCTATGTCAAGTCAATATTGAACCACCTTTGAGCTTTGAAAAGCATGTTGGCCATCACTTGGAACAGCTGGCTCTCTTTATACTACCTCGAACGGATACGGAAGACGAACAGTCATTGAATGACTCGCCCAAAACGGCATCTGTGAGGGGTTCTCGGGATCCCAGTGTTGCTGGTATATCGGAGACAGGAGTGGAACGAGAGTCTTCTGGCGAGATACAACGCAAATGGGAGTCTCCTGAAGAATTTCTGATGCGGTTAGGTAAGCTTGATGAAGATGAGTTTCAAAAGACCGCTAGGCAAGCTCGCTTTGAAGTTGATATTATTGGTTCAGCTCGAGAGGCTGCGTATTTGCCGCCATCGAGTGACCCAGGATTTCAGGATTCCAGTGCTTCTAGTGCGCCGGAGGCAGAACGAAAATTGAAAGTGAATGAGCAGTTTCTCATGCGGTCAAATAATCTTAGTGAGGATGACTCTGACAAAGCTGTCAGCCAATCTTCGCCGCAGATGATGGCTCATGAGCAGAGTTATGTACTTGATCCTGATGATCACGAGACAAAAAGAAAATCGGGAAATCTCTCTGAGTCTGCTACGGCCTTTCTGCGCACTTGGTTCCATGATCACCTAGATGATCCATTCCCTAGTGAGATGGACAAGCAGGCTTTTGTGACGATAACTGGGTTGTCGATTGGTCAAGTCAGATCCACTTGAACTATGCAAACGTTTTGTTAGAGACTAATGTTTGAGAATAGATTAATAATTGGTTTATCAATGTTCGGCGGCGACGGCTGCCTATTCGACGAGATCAGATGCGCAGTGATGATTTTGACTCCTCTCGAATACCGTTAAGTCACGCCGAGGGCTCTGCATACCGTGAGCAGATCAAAGAAACACTCGCTCCGCAAGCAGTTATTCGGGACCAAGAAGACCAGCCAACCAAGGCACCCTTGGTCCGGCCTACTCAATCCACAACGGTAGATCGTTTGAGAAGAAAATCGCCAAGCCTAGAACAAATTATACACCCGTCTCCTAGGCTCACTCGGCGAAGCCAGTATGATCGCACATTGAGAGACAATTACTCACATACCAAAGCCACATGTAGATCGGGATCTCCCGTATTTACGGCCGACATTGATCAAAACGCCCAATCTTCAAGTTTGGTAGATGATGCATTCTCCTATACAACGCCCCGAGAAATTTTTGATCTAGACTATCCGATTATACATCGTTCTGCTGGAAAAGTCTCAGGCGTGGAATCCCGAAGAGATCGAGCTGAAAAAGATGGCATCCGCAATGATCCTACAGCAGACTATTTATTTTCAGACACAGTGTTCTTTAGTTCAGAGCCCCAAAGACCTCCAAAGAGCAAAGATGACCCCATGGAACCAACTTCTCCGCCTCCTCATCCTACCACAGTGCCTGAAAATCCGCGAAAGGGGATTCTCAGGCGTCCAAAACCCTCTTTCCCAGAAGATCTGAACTTCATTCAAGAAGGCGTTGCGCCAATCAAAGATGCAACAAAACCCGGTATTCCTCCAGGGGCACGGTGGACAAAGATTGATAGAAGACTTGTTAATCCGGAAGCTCTAGAAGCTGGAAGAGAGCGTTTTGAAGAACGCTCAGATTATGTCATTGTTTTGCGTGTTCTCTCAAAAGAGGAGATTCAAAATTACGCGGTCAAGACGCAAGAAATTCGAGGTGAGCAACAGTGAATTCCCCATTTTTATCAATCCCTCGCAGACTCATATTTGGTGGATATTCTTCCGACAAACTGACACGAGCTCCTTAGACGGGCGCCAGAGACAGGTCCAAGAAAAAGGGAAGGAACGGCATAAACTCAATAAAAAACAGGTGCAGGACACATCCGACGCAGGTGCGCAATCTGACACCGTTGAAACTAAAAACAGCGGTTCACTCCTGACGCTCATCACGTGACATATAGAAATAAAGGGAGAAAGAGATATCCGGGAAACAGGATCCTGATATAACATATAAACTAAGATAAACAAGACAAAATACATGAACTCTTCTCCTCAAAAGTCCAACATTTCAACAATATTTCAATAGACACTTCATAGCAAGCAGGCTAATTTCATTCCTCATTGCAAAATATATAGGCTGTCGCATTACTTGCCTTTAGATTTGCCGACTCTATGTTCTTGTCTGTCAGCCCTTACATATTCCAGTTGCTATCTCCGGTTTTCTTCAATATAGGTGATGGGTAAGGCAGACACTACAAGAGGGGCTGTAGGGTCTCATGCAGCAGTATTCGCAATACATGAATAAATCTTCTTCAGCATACGTCTACTTTGCTTTATATCATGAAAGAATGGGAGACCTATGAATGACTCGCCCTCACCCCGCGTATATTACCACGTTGAAAGGTGGACTGGCCTTCAGGTCTCCAGAGTGGAAGAAAGACACGCCAAAGTGTCGACTACCGAAATAGGCACTATACTTGGATCTAATACCCACTAGGCAGTCAGACCTTCCCATTATCTGGTGATGAAAGTAGCAGCAATGTACATGGGCCGTACATTTGGTGATCTTTTTATATTAATATTTTGTACCAGAGTTTGTTTCGATCGCATCGGAAAGTTTGGAGACGCTCGTTGAGCATCATCACATGAACACTCAATATTATGAGAAAATTCAACTCCCTTCCATAGGCACACACAAAAAGAGTAAAAGAAAATGATTAGTTCAATTATAGGAAGGTAATTCGTGACGCTCGTGGAATGCATCATCCCCAGCAGCCAGCTCGGACTTTGATGCCTGGCCGTCTAACTCTCTGGCGTGCATACCCTTTCCAGGCTGAGTGCCATTTGAAAACACAGACTGTGTATCATGATACTGTGTCTGTTGCTGTGGCTGCTTTCGGTTTCGAGATCGAAGTAGGAAGAAGAGCAGAGCAGAAATTGCGGCAACCCCAACGACACCGCCCACCACGCCACCAGCTATGGCTCCTGTGTTCGTGTGTGACGATTCAGTAGATTTATTGGAACCGGTCGTGGATGATGGAGTTGATGCTGTAGTCGATGCTAATGAGGAGGCTGAGGATGTTGAAGATGAGGTGGCAGTTGAGGATGCAACAGGAGTTCCTATCGAGCATGGTTAGTAGTCTACCATATTGGCTGCCATTGTCAACTAACCAACTGAACTAGGGTCCAGGGCTATATATTTACTCCCGCCGGAAAAGCCAGGATCCGCACACCCAACCCAAACAGTACCATCCACGTTGAATGCACTTTGATCTTCTTCGCAGCAGAAATACCCGGTCGAGTTAAACAAATTCCAGCTTTTGTCTGCACATGTGGGCTCAGTGGCAATAGATGCCGTGCAGTTCAAGGTATCTTCACAGCATATAAAGTTGGCCTGGGAAGCCTGTGAGTCGAAACAGAATGAATTTCCGGGGCAGCAGGCCTGCCAATCATCCCATGTTGCATTGGGGGTACATTTCTTTTCGGTATCACCGCACGTGTTGTTTCGACGAAGCGCATATCCCTCGACCATGTCTGTAGTCATTTTGCGGGGTCACTTGTCAAAGAATTTCGTGATACCAAGCTTTCCTGAGCAAAGAAGGGGGAATATGAGGAGAAAGTCTCGTGCAAAGGTTTTCCGGGAGGCTGCGCTGATCGCTGGGGCGCAATGACATTTGCCAATCATGAAGCACACTAAATGAGATGAGTGCGGGCCACAATGGGGGCCAAACCGGGGCACAATTGGGGCAGGTTTGGAGGTTAAGCCTCTTGAAACCCGTGTTTTGTGGGGCGGGTTTCCAATTTTATACTAGTTCTCATACTAGCAAGTCGATGGATGCAGATGCGAAACTTGACCCTGAAGATATTTTGATCCTGGCTTCATCCAACGGGATGTCGTGTGTTGCATCACAATGAGGGATGGCATCTCCATTGCGACCAGGCCTTGGGAAAACGACTGTGTCTCCAAGCAGGGCCATGTTTCAATTAGGCTGGTTTGCCCATTTGAGAAACGTGAGGATTTTGCGTGGCAATAAGTGATTGATTTTTTGTCAATAACTAGCATCTCATGGATATGGCTTCACAGAATTCACATCAAGTGGTTAGGCTTTAATATCAGAAGCGACCGGACTACGATGCGCAATAGTCTCGCAACTGCTCTGGTGGAGAGTCCCACACGTGACTCCCTCTTTCCGCCTGGGCAGAATATGGGGCACGGGCCTTTAGGGCTGATGGCAACAGTCAACTACTGTAAGTTTGCTCATGGCCAAATTGCAACCTGAAGCCATACCAGGTTCATATACAAAATTGGGATTGTCTTCCTAGAAATTGTTGTGTGTTCGTCACTTACCTGCAATATGGCATAATGGTGCTCGATCTTACTCATTCTCTCGTACTCAAATCGTGTCACCAGCGCTTTATCCCTCAGAAAACAATATAGGCCTCATTCGTGGTCCTTCGAATCAAATGATCAATCCTTTTCCACCTGTCGAAATCTTTCAATGCTTATACATGAGTAATTGCACAGACGTCAGAAATAGTCAAATTTTTAGCATTCGTTGCATCAAGCATGGTCAATCTTCAATTGAGAAAATATACGAGGAACGTCTCGGGTTTTTCCTTCTTTTTGCTACTTGGCATCCCAAGTACCCGGAGAATAATCACGAGTCTAGTCTGTTAATCACGCAAAATGGTGATTTTTCCTGCACGTCGACTTACACTACACCAAATCAACCCCTCAAAGTGGAGAGGCGGCGTAGCCCGCCCCAATCAGCTTGAAATTTGTATCGCCAGCTCGGTATGTAGTCCGAAGCTTTCGGCACGAGAAGCTTCCAAGCTGAGTCTTATCTTTGAATCTTCGAGTGACTACATGTTCAGTCGCGTACTTAGTTTACTGACATCATTTGGCGTACTTTCCGTCCGACAGTACCACACTGTCAACAAGTTCTTCTCAAAACCATCGCACCTACTTATTAAACCGCGCAACAACTGTTAAGACTTCAATTCAAGCTCTCAATCTCATTTTAGCACTTACAATGGAGCCGTCACTTCCATTTCCCTCAGCCTGTCTCTCACTCTGGCACCGGGGAACGCGTTCATTTCCCCACCTGAATGCCAATCATGAAGAAGCCGTTCCGGCTTCTAGCAAATACGTGATAATCGGCTCTGGAATCTCCGGCGCCTTGACAGCCTGGAAACTGATCGAGGACGGCGTCAATGGCCAAGATATTCTGATCCTCGAAGCTCGAGAAGCCGTATCTGGCGCTAGTGGAAGGAACGCTGGACATATTCGACCAGGTAGATACCTCGCATAGCGTTTCGCAAATCCCATTGATCGGACCTGAGAGACATACTTACACCGCACAGATGCATTTCGAGGCTTTCTGCATTATTCTTCTCTCCATGGCCCAGAACAAGCCCAAAAAATTCTTGAAAACGAGCAGGCCGTGCTGAGAAATATCCGCCAATTTGTCAAGGAGCATGACATCAACAACGACTTCACTGATCTGACCACGTTCGAGACCTGTCTTACACAAGACGCTGCAGATTACACAGCTAAAGCCTTCATCGCATACAAAGCTGCCGGCGGCGATGTCTCACAAGTTCAAGTACACGAAGGGGACGAAGCAAGAGCTAAGACTCGTGTTCCGACTGCCATCAGCGCATACGAATGGCCTGCAGCATCCAACAACCCGGCCAAGCTAGTACAATGGATCTTGGCTGATTTCATTTCGAAGGGTGGTCAGCTGTGGACGCATTGTCCAGCTACGAAGATAACAAAGTATGCGGGTTCAACCCCAAGTGCAAGATGGAATATTCATACGCCACGCGGCACAGTCGCAGCTGAAACAGTCATTCACTGCACGAATGCATATGCTGCTTTCCTTTTACCCAACCTGTCGGATTTCATCACGCCCCGTCGCTCACAAGTCAACTCGTTCATCCCGTGCCAGTCATTATCAGGGGCCGAGACCCTGAAGAAAACAATGGCACTTCGATATAGTTCGAGCCATTTCTTCTCGGTTAACCCTCTGCGCGATGGGACGATCAATTTCGGGGGTTCGGGGACGAGAGATGGGTCTGATACCGAGGTAGAGAATTGGAAGGCGCTGCTTACATTCGATGATAGGTGCTTTCACAGCACGCTCGTGAAGAACAGCCAGGTTGAATTTGAGAATCTCGCTTCTGCGTCTATTAATGACCCGTTGAGGCTTGGAGAGGGCTTTGATTATGCTTGGACTGGGATTCAGGGGATCACACCTGATAATGTGCCTTTGGTTGGGCCCGTTGGGGGCTTAGAGGGGCAGTGGATTTGTGCTGGATTTAATGGACATGGTGAGTTGGCCATTTTTTAATTTTCTGCTTAAGAAGGGGACTGATTTGGTTAGGAATGGCGACCATCTTTACTTGTGCTCCTGGGTTGGTAAAATTGATGTCTGGGCGGGTGTGAGAGGAGACGGGGTTGCCGGAATGTTTCCAGGCTGGAAGAGTCAACATGAAGCAGAGAAGTGTGTTGTAGAACTCTTCTTAATGTATCCCTCTACGTAGGACCAAGGCGAATAGTCCAAAAAAATGGTGTTTTTTTTTGCAGTAAGAATACTCCAATAATGATATTCAACGATCCACGCGGGCAATGGTCAACAGACAACTTTCTGCAATTGTATGCAACCGAAAGATCACACCTTTGATCATGAGCAAAAGAATTCATATAAGCAAATTTAGACATGAAATCTCCCTACAGAGCAAGATCACAAATAATACTACTTTTCGACCCCATCAGCATGGCCATCCACACCCCCGGGCATCGGCGTACACAGGAAGTCACCCCCTTTGGCCCTTTTGCCACAGTACCCAGTACAGCATTCCAAATGCCGACAACAGAAATGGCCATGTTCCAAACATTCTCGGTGTCGACCCATCTTCTCAAAGCACCGATATCCGTACCGGCCATATTTGCAATGATATCCATCCGGGCAGTCATCGGTACTGTCGCAGCCCCGAACGCATGTGGCATCGAGACATCTATAGCCAAAGGGACATTCTGTGTTTGTTTCACAAACTCTTGCGTATGGTGGAGGAAGACCCTCTTCTTTCTTGTCTCGGGGCGCCATGTCCCCGAATAGTTCGGGGTAAAGGTCGCTCCCAGTCGGGCTTTCATCTTCGAGACTGATTTCCTTGGTGGTTTCTCGTGGAATAGGCTCTCTATATTCCTGCATTTGAACGCTGCGTTTTTCTGGATTGTTTTCTTCCAAAATGGCATCCGTCACCGGTAGATCTGGGAAATTGACTACTGTTAAGCCCCCGATGAAGTCATGGCGTGCAATAGTGGAAGGTACGGGATACTTGTGGGCATTTTCGGTGCCAGTAAAAATGCCTTTATACCATGCAAGAGCAGGATCCGTATCCTTGTACATCGCTGGGTCGGAAGAAGACGGCTTGAAGAATTTTGAGATCATAGGAAACAGAGTTATAATGAGCAAGGCAGTCAAAAGCAAAGAAACGCAGGCGATCAGAAGCTGTAAATATAGAAGACGCGGTGCTCGCACTGGCTCCTCGGTGGCTGGGAAAGGTTGCGATACTGGCAGGTCTTCACGTACTGGCAGCGCGTCGGAAACTGGGAGCTCTTGCGACCATGACTGTATCTGAGATGATAGCACATCTATGTCGATGGAGGATTCATCGGCTTCTGAGGATTCTTCGACTTCTGGCGACTCTTCGACTTCTGATGGTTCTTCAACATCTGATGATTCTTCGACTTCTGGCGACTCTTCGACTTCTGACGACTCTTCGACTTCTGATGGTTCTTCAAAATCTGATGGTTCTTCCACTTCGAACAATTCTTCGTAGAGTGGTGGATGCTCATATGCTGGAGGCGGATAATATGCTGACATTTCGTGTCCAAATTCCAACTCCTGTAGCTGGTGGGACATGACGAAGTTGATGTTGAGTTGTGATGTAGATTTGTTTACGGAGGTTCAGGCTAGGAAACCGCCTCGATGGATAAAAAGTAGTTGGTGCAATCTTCTTAACTTTACGCGCCAGTGTCTCAGGCTTCGATGAAAATATTAGCTTGGTTAGTTTGAGTTTTTGTTTTCCCCTATGATGAAGGTGTTACTTCTTGATGTGATGAAAATTGAGACTTTGGCTTCTGATGGGGGGGGGGGGGGGGGGGGGGATGAAAGGAGAGAGATAGATTCATTAGAAGGGATGTTAAATTTTGACTCATTTCATCTATGAGGGCTATGTTTTCTATAGCCCATGGAATCGTTCGATGTCGAACTTAAGTTATAACGTTAACTCGGAAGTAACAGGAAGCGTTAGTTAGGGCAAAGGTGAAGTATATCGATCTGTGCCCGGGATCCCCCGGAAAGTAGCCCTGGCTGCGAATAGAGTCATTGCCGTAGGATATAAAATACCACCAATCAGACTAGAATTCCAGGAACGGGATCAGGGCATTGTAAAGTATGCTGAGACTCGGAAAGTGAAGTAATTGGCTGTTGCAGCCTCAACCTGCCAAGACATCGCCCCATTCCATGGATGACGTCGCACGATTCTGGGGTTTCGTTGGAACTTCTTCTCCACTGACTTTGATTCCTTACCTTTCCCTTCCTTTTCCACACCCCCCAACTCTCAATATGCCTCCTTTTCGCAATTTTCTCGGTCGGAAGACACAGCCCAGTGAACCCGCGGGCTTTGACGACAACTATCTCTCTCCAAATCCCCCCGCGCCGATACCAAGCCGCAACAGCCAGGATGGGGAGCCCACCGAATATCAATTGAGTGGTATGGCCCCGTAGCTTGTGTCGCAGAGAGATCAAACCCTGATGTATAGATTTATACTTACGTCGATATCTGCAGTGGTCAATGACGGTGGTGTATATCTACCAGTATGGGCCGATCCCCTCATGCGCCGGACGATCTCTAACTGGAACACAGCCTTCTCCTCCCGAGAGATCAAGCTTCTGGCGCCGATACCCTGGCTCCAACAAGTCGTCCAATCACCGCGACCTAGTGGATGAGAATGAGCCATTCTCTATATCTCGGGAGTCCTTCGACTCCTACCGCCGATCATTTGTATGTCCCCGCAAATTGAAATATCGTATCGCCAATACTGAGCTTTTAGGACATCTCCGCCCGTTCCCCTATCATCCACCCCGATGCCGGTCCCTCTCGGACATCACTCGATTCCCGCTTCTCCCGGTTAAACTCGTCGTCGGGGGCCCAATCAAACTGCTTCGCCAAGTCCGACACCATGGAGGAGGAAGCCTTTGAGGATGTGGGCTTGACTGACGAGACAAAGCCCAAGAAGAAAGGATTTCTTGCCAGATTTGGTGATTCGGGTGATGCCCAACAATCCACGGGAAACAAGTCTGGCACATCGACCTTCGGGTTTCACATTTCAGGCAGGAAGCGCGGCCAAAGTGGTGTCGGCTCTGAGTTAGGCTCTATGAAAGCTCCTGCTGCTATTACTGTAAATGAAGAGACCAAATGATTGGTCATGATTGACGACTTCTGTTTAGTGCGGTGATTTATCTAGGGATATCCCCTATGGCGTTCTGGGTGGTGGATTGATGCAGCCACACTCGTTTGGAGGGTTTATATCCGACTTTGTCGGTTTCGATATTGGCGGGATTCCTGGACAAAGCCTGGGCGCCTTTTGTTACTTATTAGCATTCTGTACATCTGTTTTATCTGCCTGTCAAGGTGTGACTGGTATGGTCGCAACTGGCATGGTCGCACGTTTTGGACAGTATTTTTTTGGGAATATTGAATCAGCACATAGAGCTGAGATTAATAGAGCTACTTTACATGACATTTAACTTAACCTCGTTGGCTGAGAACTTCCACTGAACTTGCTTGAAGTTATTCACTGCGCTATCAACCTTATCAATGCAAACATTACAAACACCGGCAAAAAAACTTCCTCCGCCTCCAAAAAAAATTATCCACCAGCACGATCAGTCTCCGCTCGAACTACTCCATTACTTTTTGTTTCAGTCATTACACAGCCTACTGAAATTATCTTTCATAATGGCTGGATTAAAGCGTGCTGTCGACGGCAGCGAGGAGCGCAATGGCAAACGGAGCAAGACCAAGGAAGTCTCCGCCTCCAAGTCCAAGTCTGCGCCCGTGAAGAAGTCCAGCTCCGGATCCAAGAAGGACTCGAAGAAGGAGTCCAAGTCCAGCAAGGGCGACAAGAAGAAGCCCTCGAAGAAGGTCCAGAAGGAAGAAAGCGAGTCCGAGGACGACTTCGACATTGACGACGTTTCCGACGAGGACCTCGATGCCCTTGATGCTATCTCCGAGGAGGATGTTGAGATGGATGATGTGAGCGAGGAGGAGGAAGAGAAGCCTTCCAAGCCTTCCAAGTCCGAGAAGGAGGGAGAGCAGGAGGATGCGCCACACAAGAACCCAAACAGTAAGTCGTCTTCCGGCCTTTTTTCACCATCATGTAGTTAATCGCTCTTGACTTTTTCAGGCAATGCCTCTCGCGAATCCCATGCCAAGCAAAAGGTGCTCCAGCAAGAACGCAAGGCCGCTAAGCCCAACGCCGATACCATCGCCCGCTCCATGAAGTTGTGGGAGCAGCTGCGTCGCAAGTCACACGTGCCGCTTGAGCAGCGGAAGAAGCTTATCAAGGAGCTTTTCGAGATCATCACCAACCGCGTCCGCGACTTTGTGTTCAAGCACGATTCCGTTCGTGTCATTCAGACCGCTCTCAAGTACGGAAACCTCGAGCAGCGCAAGCAGATTGCGCATGAGTTGAAGGGCAGCTACAAGGAATTGGCTCAGAGCAGATATGCTAAGTTCCTGGTCGGAAAGTTGATTGTTCATGGCGATACCGAGACCCGCGACTTGATCATTCCAGAGTTCTACGGCCACGTCAAGCGTCTCATCCGTCACCCCGAGGGTTCATGGATTCTCGACGATATCTACCGCACAGTTGCTTCCAAGGCGCAAAAGAACAGACTCCTCCGTGAGTGGTACGGACCCGAGTTCGTAATCTTCCAGGATGAGAACGACACCACCGCCGATCTGCCCAAGATTCTCGAAGCCCACCCCGAGAAGCGTGGACCCATCATGAACTACTTGCGCGAGCTCATCAACCACTTGGTGCAGAAGAAGAGCACCGGTTTCACCATGCTTCACGATGCCATGTTGCAATACTTCCTCAGCACAAAGCCCGGCAGTAACGAAGCCAACGAATTCATCGAAATGCTGAAGAGCGACGAAGAGGGTGACCTGGTCAAGAACTTGGCTTTCACCACTTCCGGCTCGCGCGTCATGTGCCTCACCTTCGCATACGCCAACGCCAAGGACCGCAAGCTCCTTCTCCGATTCTACCGTGACACCGTCAAGACCATGGCTGGCGACTTGAACGGCCACCAAGTCATCCTCGCCGCTTACGAGGTTATCGACGACACAAAGCTCAGCTCCAAGTCCTTCTTCCCCGAGCTACTGAACCAGAACGACGGAGCCGAGGCCCGCAACGAGGAACTTTGCTTCCAGGTCAACGACCTGACCGCCCGTATCCCCATCCTCTACCCCTTCGCTGGTGAGCGCGTCAAGTGGCTCCTACCAGAAGTCACCCAGAAGGTTCTCGAGGAAGTTCGCGAAGTTCGGAAGGAAACCTCCAAGAAAGACCCGGCCGTCCGCCGCGAGGAGCTCGTCAAGGCCGCCTCGCCCACCCTCCTCGAGTTCATCGCCGCCCGCGCAGAAACTCTCCTAGAGACAACCTTCGGCTGCCAATTCCTCTCGGAAGTCCTTTTCGAAGCCGACGGCGACAAGACCGCCGCTCTTGAAGCCGTCGCCTCCGCCGCCAAGTCACACACCGAAGCTCGGGATACAGCCCACGCCGGCCGTCTCCTCAAGTCGCTCGTTCAGGGTGGCCGCTTCAACCCCGTCACCAAGTCTGTGGAGAAGGTTGAGCCCGCACTGAACTTCCACGGCCTGTTGTACGCTCAGATCAAGGATGAAGTGATGGACTGGGCCACGGGTGCTAATCCCTTCGTCGTTGTCGCTTTGACTGAGTCAGACGACTTCGAGAAGAAGGCTGAGCTCCTGAAGACTTTGAAGAAGAACAAGAAGGCGCTGGAGCAGGCCTCGGCGTCTGGAAAGGAGGATAAGGATGGAAAGAAGAAGCCCAGTCCTACTAGCAGTGGTGCTAAGCTGCTACTTGAGAAGATTTGATTGTGATTCCATATTATAGCCTGTGTAATTTACGTCTCCAAAAAAGCATATTTTGATGATACTATTTACCATTTCAGTTAACTTATATCCTGTTCCAAAAAGTACCTGCTTGATTATTCGTAATCGTGCTTGGATTGTATCTATGTTCCTCTCGCTAGTCTTTCCCCTGGCCAACGTGGTGACTGCGTTCTTAACACGAGTAGCATCAGTCCAATACCAACCAGGTTCAAGATCCCCAGCCCTAAGAAGCAATACCCCCACCCCATCTTGTGCACCAGAGGCACAATGATAGCGGCTGCAACGGCTGCACCAGGATTTCATAACATATTTCCCAGAGCAAAAGCACCAGCAGCCTGCTGAGCAACACAAGACGTCAAAAAGACATTAGAAGCAACGAACATCCAAGACATCCCAAACCCAACTGGAACATATCAGCATACTTCAAAATCCATAATCAAGAATTCAGAGTTGGTAACATACCAAAAAAGGTAGCGAGCAACACCACCCCAGGATGAATCCCATACTGAACTAGAAACCCAAAGTCCCCTAACCCAACACACGCAACAACCAAGCCCCAGCCCAAATCATCCAATCTCTCCTCCGAAGAAACATTCTCCACCCCATAAGCCTTCATAGCCATCTTCCTTTTCCAGTCCGAGAAACGCCCCGAAATAATAGACCCAATAACCATGGTAAACCCAGCAACAAGGTACCCAGCCCCAACAGCAGTACTCGACCAATGATATACACGACCGAGGGCAGTAGGAAGTTGAACAGCCATACAGAAGTAGGATGAGTAAAGGACCGCCGTATTGATACACGAAATCCCAATTGGAGGGCAACGGAAGAGACGCCAGTATCCTCCCAAAGTCGGTTTGGGCGGCGGAGGGCCCCTTTCTGATTCAGGGACTGGCTTTGCAGTCAATGCTATTGGAAAAAGGAGGTACGGTTTATCGCTGTACAAGTTTCCGTTTCCGACGCGCGCACGTAGGGTTTCGGGGAGGGTAAGGAGTAGGATGAGATAGAGGATTGTGCTTGATATCGCTGGAGTACACCCATTAGTATGAATATCGATATCGAGGCTGCCATTGTATACTGGGTTTGATCGTTCCGGGGTATGGAATTGGTACTAACCGAGGAATCCAAAAATCCATCGCCAGGATGTCCTGTCGACGATTGCACCGCCGATTAATGGGCCTAGGATTGGGCCGCATTGGGGTCCGAACATGAAGTAGGACATTGCGCGTGCTCGTTTGCTTGGCTCTATGAGCTGTTTTGAATTAGTTAGTCCTTTTGTTTTATCTCTTACCTTTGGGAGAGATGGGTTGAAGGGTTTTCTTTTCTCACATCTGCTACCGTTCCAGCTCCCAATGAGACAACAGCGGAAGATCCGAATGCCTGCACTATGCGCAGGACAGTAAGAGCCCCATAGTTGGCTGGTACAACTGCAAGGAGGATATTTGCCACGATGTAGACTGATAGTGAGATGATGTATAATGGTCTGCGACCTTTCCAGTCTGCGAAACTGGACCAGAACATTGGCTGTGAGGGATTTTGGTTAGATTGAGCATTCTCCAATTCAGGATCGTCGATGAACTCCTACTCCAAAGGCAAATACTAGCATAAAGACATTGACTGTTACGTTTATCTCAGCTTCTGTTCTGTGGAATTGTCGCGCCAGGATTGGTAGGGCAGGCAGGTAGATATTTGCTGAGAGAGGACCAAAGATTCCTGCAATTGTTATTATTGTAAGGATTAGTATGCAATTTGCGCGAGTGAATGCTGTGTATGGCTGGGGTAGTTCGGCATAGGGTTGCGAGCAATCCTGGGGTCCCTCTGCTGCTTTGGCGATGGTGAGGGCGTGGGATGTTCGTATCACATGTGGCTCGGCTTCCTGGTTGGACTTTTGTGGATTGGACATCATTCCGGTTGCTATTGAAGAGATATGGTATGTGGTTGAGTACTGAACATTCAATCGTGAGAGGTGAGAGAGGGGAGAGGAGAGTTAGGGTTTGTTGACGCACGGGAGCGATCTTTGACGGAAAGCGCTCAAATCAACTCAGATTCTTTGCTTAAGCTCCGGTGAAGTGGTAATCCGGCGTCAATTCTGGCAATTTGCATCACTTCCCACCCTTCAACGACTCAAGTTTCTTTCTGCTTTACTTCGTTTATCCAACAGTCGTGACATGCAGAACAATAACAACATGCAGGTTAATCACCACAAGAAGACACCGGAGCAGTCTGTCGAAGAGACAGACGTCCAAGCAGTACAGACCACTGACCATAATTATGATGACCTAGAGCAGGCTGGGTCCAAGGCAGCTTTCAATTCGAAGAGAGCCTTGTGGGCATTTCTAGTTCTATGCTACTCGGTAAGTTGTTTCAATACACTCTTGCTCTAGCATCGGATTCATTGCCCGCATTGCAGACAGGTCCAACGTTCTCCATGGTCTCGAACTATGTCACTGTCGCAATCCTATCAGCAACCAATTACTTGGGACACCAGAGAGGATCTACTAAGCCATGCCCTCGACACGGCACAAATATCAACTGTCTGGTGGCATTCGGCGGAGGGGAAATTGACTACAACAGCTATCCGTGAGCTTGACGCGTTTAATTTATTCCCTGGTAACTGATGACTGACAAATCAAAGGTTGTATCTCCGAGCAATCAGTCGCGCAACAGAAGGCGTGGTCGCTATCCTTACGGCTGGATTGGCAGACTTTTCTTGTGCGTATACCCCATCAAGTTGTTTGGTCGCCAGGGCTAATTCGTATGAAGACTACCGCAAGACGATGATGATTTCCTCCATATTGTTGCTTGGTGCCCTGGCCTTGCCTTTCGCTGGTTTAAAAGGCCGATCATACAGTCATCTCACTGCCTTGTCGGTACTGTATTGCCTTTTGACAACTGTCGGAGGCGTCTACACAGTCATTGAAGGATCATACATTCCGATCTTCATGCGATCGACTGGCTACCTCCGGGACTCGTCCGCCTCAACAACCGGAAATGAGAGAACAACGTGGAACAAGGGTGTCTCAGTCAGTGTTCTTGCCTTGGTCTCCAGCAATCTCGGAGGCTTGACGGCCTTGATTATTGGAGTGATTCTTGTCTATGGACGCGGATCATTTGTGAAGGTTGGCTACTTCAACTATCTCCTTGCAATAACCATCGCAGGCTGCATCACGAGCAAGTCGAATGAATATCCGCAAACTAGGTGCACATTCACTAACTATAATAGTAATTTTCGCTCTCCTTGGTCAATATCTCCTGCCATCGGTGCGCGGCAAAGAAATCGACAGCGCGAAAGACAACACCCCTTTACTGCTGGCGTTCAGGAATTGGTTGATATTGCTCAAAAATGCACCGCGCTACTCAGAAGCCTTCAAATTCTGCATTGGCTGGGTTCTTTGGAACACAGGGTACGCCAACCACCTTCAGCTCATGGGAGCACTCTTCCTTCAAGTCACCGGCTTCAACCGAGGCTCGGGTGTGTACTCAGTATGGTCCTTTACCAGCGTGATATTCGCTTGTCTGGGCTGTCTATCCTTCATGTATCTCTACTCCCGACTCCGAGTCTCATGTTCGGTGAAATCATATGCATACGCATTTCTCACGGTGAACATCCTCTGTGTTCTGTGGGGCTGTATCGGAATCAGTAATGTTTCCATCGGCTACAAACATCAAACAGAGTTCTGGGTTGAGCAAGTGCTGTTTATGTCCACTGGCAGTGCGCTCCGGGCGTATAACCGTGCTATCTTTGCTTCTATGATTCCGGAGAATTCGGAGGCACTGTTCTTTGGTCTGGAGATTACGCTCGATCTTGCTACCGGATGGATCAATCCTCTTGTCACGGGTATTATTCAGAATCGGACGCATAATCTTCGCTTTCCTATGATTCCTAACTTATTGCTTATGGCTGTGGGATTGGGGTTCTATTTGACGGTCGATGTTTCTAAGGGGATTGAATAAGCTAAAGTGGCGTTGACATATTAGTGCGGTTTTGGTTTTCAAAGAGGATAAAAAGATGGAGTAGCCAATGGTGTATTATTATTTGGCTATAGCTTTTGTTATGATAGGAATGTCATGCTTACAATATCATTAATCGGAAATGAATTTCTAGTGTATACTGAACTATTAGTTGATGTTAGACCTTCCGCTCGATTCTAGCCAAAAAAAACCCCTAAATAAAGTATGTATGGTTGCCCAGATATATCGCGCAAATTTGCTCAGATTGACTTGGTGCTCTCAAGAACGAGGTAGGGAGCGACAAAGCCTTTCATATTAAATTAACTCCAGCAATCGGATATGTATGGAAACAGAACTTCAATACGAGCAGGCCTCAAGGAAACAAGACAAAACCACAGCAACGCGAAATTTAGCACCTAAATATCAAATACAGGTCATACTCTCCTGAAATGAAGCCGAACATCTCGTGGATGCAGGCGCCCAGCCTGTGAAACAATCGAATATTCAGGAGTGCATCAAGGCAGCCAAGATTCAGAAACATACCGAAGTCATCCGATCCTCCCATGCTGAATCCAACTTCCACCGAAGAGTGTTGGTCAGAACGAGAAGTGTAACTCGCACTTCCAACAGAGCAAACTTCTCGCCCAAACATGCCCGAGAGCCACCATGAAAAGAAACAAATTCAGCACGAGCCTTGGCTCGGCGATAATTTCGAGAAATCTGCTCACTGTTGATACCCCACCGCTCTGGTCGAAATTCATCGGCATCTGATCCCCAGGCTTCTGGATCCCTGTTTGTGGAGTATGCATTGTACCCAACGTATGTGCCTTGCGGCAGGTAAATGCGGTCTGCAAGCCAAGCAGGCTCGGATACGCGTCGGTTAACGAGTTGTGATATGGGTGGTAATAGTCTTAAACACTCCAATATTGTTGCGGTTAGATATGGCAGGTTTTGTAGATCGTATGGAGGGCGCAGGATATTCTTGAGGGTAGAGGTATTGATTTCATTGCGAAGCTTTTCTTGTATCTTCTATCATTTTTTCGATATCAGAGGGGCATCGTTTAAACAACGAATTAAAAAGAATAAACTAACCGGATACTTCGCAAGCAGGTATAAAGATGAAATAATCAGCAATTGGGAGTTCTCTTGACCGGCGACGAAAAGCACATTGAGATTATCGCGAAGTTGCTTCGTGGTGAGGGCTCCATCATACCATGAAGCCATCATTCGATCTCTAAGACATGTTGATTGCTCATCTTTTTGTTGACCTGGCAAGTAACTCTTCGATATTTCCCATTGCAATGCGGTGGAAATGTCGTGTACCAGCTTGCGATGATCCAAGACCGGAAAATTCAGAAATATAGGATGAAACAGGTGTTTTTTGAGGTTTCGTTGTGAGGAATGCAGTGGGACTTCGTTTTTCATGTTCATCATTTGAGACTCATGACTAAATCCGCTTAGCGATTCCCAAAAAGATGAAGTTAATATACTGACGCTCAATCACTTTCTCAATACAAGAATCCAACCCCAGACTGAATTTTGTCGGCAAGCAATGATCTTATCTTGCCAGCCCAATAGACAATTCTTACGGACATTGATTCAAGAGCAAGATCCATCCACAATATCTCTTTACCGTGGATTTTCACGCTTTATGCTAGAGGATCTAGCCTCCCATGCTAGCTCAAGATCCACTTCACGGTCTCAAAGAAAGAAAACGACGGAGAGCATTTCCTTTCAGATGTTATTGCGCAACCAGGCATACTCCAATTTGGTTGAACTTTTTTTTCCCGATCATATCAGGCTGTCAATTCACGCGCATGCCAACTCGGGTCCCAAATTCGGCATTTCCTTATTTGACCGGAGTCAGACTCGCGTGGTCGATGATTTGGACGATCTCTCAAGTGTTGCTAGAACATCTCATGACTTCTTGCATATTCCCACTCCATGGCATAATTGTGTTTTTCAAATCGGGGGAAGGGATTTTACGTATGTCACCAAGTCTCGGGTCATTCAAGATGCTCTGAGGTCGAATCGAGTCACTGGATGCTGGGTGCCAGGAGATTTTGACCGTGGTTTTGGTGGGTATTTTCACATCGATGATTATGGGACCATGCGATGGCCAATGGAATCGACGCAGTGAACAATCTGTCGAGCCCAGATCGGGGGATATCAAGCACCATAGATGCTCTCAATATTGTGACTCCTAAATGACATTGTCATTTTTGAGACTGCTTCACTATGAGATCGCGAATTATGCTTGCGATATTGTCAAATTCACATGTCGTATTCCAAGTTTTGGGAAGAGAGCATGGTTGGTATTCAAGAGGATAGCGACGCTAATTTGGATGTTTCATGGCTCTTCATGGTGTCTGGTATAGTGTGCCAATGCTCTCAGCCAGTACTGGTCTACAGTATGCAGCTAGAATCATTGACGCTAAAAACCTTAAACCCCAATTTTATATGCTTGTTGTGACGTTGCGTCGTAGGGGTCGTGGTGGGCGAGATCTATATCATTCAGACCATAAAGGCACGAGGATGACCATGCCTACATCGGCGACACCTTGACCCCGAGATAGAATTGTCTAGAGCCTGCATAATTACATTTGCCCAAAAATAAGTCTGAAACCGAAATTAAATTCTCCACAGTGGACATTTCCAGGGATCGTCGATCTCAGGGGTTCGTCCAGTGGTTTGTTTACGAGATTCCTCAAGGGGAAGTGTATGAGTCTGTAGGCGTCACCCAGTCCAAGTAGATATCTGCTTGGTCCTTACATGGTGCAAGGTCCAGTACAAGTTGAATACTGTAGTTTATCCCTATACGAAGCCGAGCTAATTAAACGGCTGGGCTTGGCGGGCTATACTCGAAGGGTCATTGGCGTCGGCAGACATGATACGTTAACTGATAGCTATGAAACATGAAACCAGAAACCGGAGGATCCAAGTATAAGGTCAGATCTGTAGGGTCAAGCATAGACGATGTGTCACATACTGACACAGCACTATTGGCAACTGTAAATCATAGTGTGAGCCTAAATCCCATGCGAATATCTTCAAAAACTTCAGCCTCCAAAAAAGGAAATGATCAGGGCGCTAGACTCAGCCCGTTAGGGGCCCAGGGTGACTTGACTTTGTTGGCTTGGGATTTCTTCTCTTTCTTCCATTTCCACCCCCTCTAATTTGTGAATACCTCCAGGCCCCAGGGCCTGAGAGAAAGAAAGAGAGAAGCAATGCCCTCACTCACGCTGCATGACCCGGACATGATCCTCCCATACGAAGGCGAACGCGAGTCCCAAACCCCGTCTCCACCGCAAATCGCCTACTTGTCGCATCTCAACTCCCGCAACTACGACCCCAATGCCCCCATGGCCGTGGGCTCACGACAGAAGAAAAATTTTTCCCGCTCGGCCTGGACACACGAGGATGTAAATGTCAGTCGTCGCTTGTCGGACATCGGCGAAGAGCTGTCCCCAGCCAGGTCGGATAATTTCGAGACGGGGGACTCTCACGAGTCGAGCTCCCCTGATGAGCACGAGGCCGAGTCGAGTTCCAGCTCGACCGTGAGCGCGGGAAGTCGACGCGCTTCGGAAACGAGGCCAGTGGATCGTGATCTAGCGGCTGCTCAGGCGGAGGTCGTGAAAGCGCAGGCGAGTGTGGTGGGAGCCAGTCCGACCCTGGCGGCCAGCAACTCCGTCGCGTCGGCTGCGGCCGAGGGCAAAGGGCCCGGGGAGGAGTTTTCGTCGGCGATACTGAGCAGTGAGGCGGAGAGGATTCTGGAGAATGCGAAGAAACGCTTGAATGTACGTGATCCTGGCCTTGTGCGCCTTCCATTAGTCTCACCCCCGGGGGGAATGAGAATCGGAATGAGAATGGGAATGCTAACATCTCGTTAGCTTATGGAAGGGAATCTGACTCGCGCTCGCTCGACTACGCGTATGACGCCCTCGCCCTCGCCCTCTACGCCGGGGAATATCCCAATGGGCATGCACCACCCCGTCGGGGGACTGTATCGATCAATATCCCGCACCGATCCCAAGAACTCGTCGCTACGTCGGCAGTCGCTCATTTCCAATCAGGATTCATCGAATAATCGACACTCGAGGGTTCATTCGGAGACGAACATCCCGTCCGAGTCGAGCATGTCGAATGATAAGAAGGGCATGTCTCGCTCAGTCAGCGCCATGGGCGCGAGTACTTCGTCCAGTCTTCATACGGATGATCGGTCGTTCCAGTACGAGCCGACGAGGGCCTATCTGACGCATCGGGCGTCCATATCTTCTATAAGACCTCCGGTGCAAATCCAAGAGCAACCAGCCGAGCCCGAGACTACGCCGTCGCCTATCTCGGATGGAAACAGCTTGGCAGATTCACCGCAGAGCTTGGGCATCTCTGATGAAGAGTCAAAGTCTAGCCCCGACAGTTTCAGTCCTGTGTACAGTTCATTTGGACCGCCTAGTCGTGCGCAGTCGCAGTTACAAGTGCGCGATCTGCAGTATCAGATGAAGGGTCTGCATATCAAGATCTCTTCGCTCAAGGTGAAGACTCAGGAGGATAATCTTCGCAGGCGCAGTCTGCAAAGTTTGCGTACGCCCAGTCCCCTGACGGCTGCTGATCACTGGTATGCCAATGCGCTGGAGCTCAAAGATGGCCGCAGCAGCCGTGGATCCAACCCCAGACGTGATACAAGCTCTGAGTATGCCCGGCGTGTCTCAAATGCTGGTTTGCAAAACGACCGGCGTGCCTCGGGGGATAGTCCTGTGGAGCACCAAGCTGAGAATGCATCGACGAATGCTGGCAATTGGCAAGATAATGGGCCCGAATACGATGACAACCAATCTGTCGCGGAGACCATGTATGAAGACGCTGAAGAGGGCGACTATGACGAGATCGACCGGGAAGCTCTGGATGAGATTCTCCGTGAACCGCTTGACGATGACCTGGAGGGACCAATTCATATCGATACTACGCCTCACGAGATGCGCGAGGATGCCTTTGACTACGAGCATTTCATCTTGCACAGCGCGCTGGGCAATTTCGCGCGACCACTCCGCCGTGCGAGCACCAGCTCCAATGGCTCCATTGAAACCACGCGTCCAACCTACACCGCAAAGCACTCGCGCACCAACAGCGCCATGTCCGACTCGACGGTGGCAACCTTTGCAACCGCAACCGAAGGCCGCCGAGATGATGAAGATGACATTGACAGCGTGATGTACTGGGACCGACGGTTCAATCACGGTCCGTTTCCACTTCCACAGCCCCCTACTGAGGTCCGAACTAATCCCCCGACAGAACTCCGACATGGCCACGGACATGGACATGCCCACACTCACTCTCATTCCCACCACGGCCCCAGTCCCATTCAAGAAGCCCAAGAACCCGACCGATCAGAAACCCCCCGTGGATCCCGTGCCAATGGGGATAATACTCTCACCCCTGTCGACGAGGTCCTCACCCCACAGAAACAAACCGGCCGCTCCTCAACTGCCGGCACCGCAACACCAAACTCCCTCGTCTCATCCCTCGTCTCGACTGTGCGCGCTGCATCCAGCACCCCCGTCGCCGGCGGCATCAACGACGATGACACGCAGATGCTGGAAACTCTCTTTGCCAGCCTGGGTAATGTCTGCATGGATCTGCAGGCCATCACGACCTCTCCAGAGCCCGATCACAACGCCGCACGTGTATTACGGCGCCGGCTGGATGCGGCGCGGAGAGTGTTGGAGGGCGAACTCGACGCTTAATGCTTAATCTCTTTGTCTTTTCCTATATCTATTCCATCTCTGCATTGCGATGATACCACGATTTATCGCGAGAGCGAGATTTACTCTCTTTTCGACTCTTTTTTCTTCTATTTGGCTGTTTCATATTTCTTTGTTTGGATTATTGTGATACCCAGTGTTTTTGAGGTTTACTTTCTCTTTTCTTTCTGTTTCTTGTCTTGTCTTGCGCATTAACGGTCGAACTGGTCTCTATATCTACCGGAGACGTCAGAGATCGAATCGTATTATTTGTTAATACGTACTAAGCGCATTGTATATGCTTTGCATTGTAGAACCTATCTTTGTTCACATCCAACCCTATATATGTAGACTTTTGTTTCCCTGTCATAGTCTCGTCAGATTCTCCTCTTCATCTTCAGCTCACATTCCCCGGATCTCTTAAATCTGGTCTTTGACATCTGTGTTCTGCCTCTCTCCCCCCCTTTCTGCCCCGCGCAGATCCCACTTCACAACATCCCACCACGCGAATCATACATAGTCAGTCCAGGCAATCCCATTCCAAGCTGATCTTAGACCTGAAAACTAACTAAATCCTCAGAACCTCCCGAGAAAGTTGTCTCCACCCAACACAAATCACAAACCCTCAAGAAAAAAAAAACAGAAAAAAAACAGCCAAACTGAACTCATCTCCAAGAAAAAGAAGGCCAACCCCTGACCTTCGCAAAACCCTCTTAAAATCTCTCTTCATTCAAAAAGCTCCAGAGCCAAAGCCCTCAGAGCCCAACATGCCCCCAACCCAACATCCCCCCACCTCACGCCGCCTGCTCATCTTCCAGGAGACGCGCAACCCGCAAAACACAGCCGAGATAGTCTATCTGCCCGTCAACAAACTGGGGCTGCCCATTTGCGGCGATGGACCCGAACTGCCCTCGATTCTGGAACTGCCGTTGCGCATTTTGAGGGTTTTCACGGACATTTTTAATCAGCCGAAGTATAAGGGGTGGTAAGTTCGTGTTTTTTTCTTTGCTTTTTCTGCTTATTTTGCTCTTTTTCCCTTTTTTTTCCTGTCTCTTTTTCCCCCAACTTCCACCTGGACGTGACTATTCAATGTGCTTGAAACTGACTGGAGTGTTCTGCAACAGGGCTGTTCTTTCTGCTGGGCCGTATCATGATACCTCGGAAGAAGGGAAGTTTTATGCAGTTGTCTTGGAGCAGATGCAGCTGGTTCCTGGGCAGAGCGGGCAGGTTGATAATATGATTCAGAGTACGCCTTGATCTTGGTTTGGGCATGGGGTTGGGGTTGCGGTTTTCTTATTTCCATATTGTTTTCTGTTTGTCTTCGTGTGTATATTGTAAGTTATAACTGAAGTGAAGGGACTCGTTGCTAGTGTTAACGTGATATTACGACCAGCTTCCGACCGCACTTCATCGCGTGCAATTAATCATGTATCTCGTGTCATTACATCGATTCTGACAGGGCAGCTCCCCTGAGACTTCTATCAAACATGGTCATCGAGAGGGGCTGTCCCCGATGCACTCAGATGGTCTTCAGAGATGTTGGCCTGGAATGAAGGTTGCCCTTGGCTATCTGCCAGCTGCAAGGAATCTTCCTGCGGGTTGTACATCACTATAGTCGAATTTCCGGAGTTCGATACTGCATATGTCAAAGAGACGTCTGGGTGCTTATAGTCATCAGAGATGCAGACCTGCCTCTATAGGAAGCGAGAGATATCGAGGGTCGATCTCGGTATCTTGTATTGATACGCTCTCCTCAGTAACAGAAAAGTTCTTTTTAAAGATGAATACTGTCCAAAATAAGCGACAAATGTTTTGGGCGCTCTTGTCAGTAAGCTTCTCATACGTGAATTCGCGGTGGTACCCTAGAGTTTGATAGTAATTTGTTGCAGCGGTAGATATAAGATTGTAGTATAAGAACGGCTTAGCCTCTCCTTGAGCTTTAATTGCCTGTATCATAGCAAATTGGTTCGTTTTTCGCGTTTTGACTGAACCAAGGAGCCACTTACACCCATTGTCAGGGCGAATCATGCCTTGCGTATCTTGCATCTTTCACGCTACACAGATCGTCAGCCCTAAGTTACTATCTATCAACGTCTCTGAAGACCATCACCGTATCATGGTTGCCCAAGATGTTTAGTAGCAGTTCCATTATTGCACAGAATCATTCTACCTAGGCTGACTGGGTCTTGTTTGACCTAGACTAGTTGGCAAGGGAGATGGGGGCTGAGGATATAGTTTACAATGAATGAGTACACCAAGAGCATCGATTAAATAAAGGATAGCATTTCCGCTCGATACAAAATTGACGTGATAAAAGCCTCGGCTACAAATAACCAAATCAGACACCGCAACCAATCCGTTGGCAACACCTACTAACACCCCCGAGAAAGAAAAGAAAAGGGAAAAAAAGGCTGGGAAACTGTGACAACAGAAGATATCCTCCGTGGTCATTTCTTCGCTTGAAAAAGATAAAATGGTTCTACCCCTACAAGATAATTCAACTCCGTTAAGCAAATCAGACAAGATGCCCGCGTCCGCTGGGAATGGGAAACGGGGGATGTACTCGAAAAGATTCGTTGCATGCGTGTTTTGCTGTCGCTATCATATCGTAATGGATGACTGATGATCGCCAGTATGTGGTCCTCTTAGCAAATAGTGCGACTTGAATATTTGTTTTGCTTTGTTTTGTATTTTGGTTGTTCTGAGGGATCAAGTGGCATTGTTGGGCTCGAGGAGGTTGGCACTGTGGTGACAATCCAGGGAACGTGAGTCGGACGGGTCGAAGACGGCGTTCTTGCGCTCTTCGATGTAGTAGGCTGTGGAAAAAGAGTCAGGGAGAACTTTTGCGTGGACGGGGTCATTTAGTAACTTACGTGTAAGTTGAATCATGTCGAACCAGCGGACGGCCCACTCATCGCTGCCGTCCACGGCCTTGAGAATGCCGTTCTCGGGACGGAAAGTGGCCTTGGGAGGGATGTGGCGCATGCGCAGAAGCATCTCCAGGATGTCGGAGAAACGGTCAGACTGGTTGAAGTAATAGGGAGGGCGCTTGTCCAGGGGCCACTATAACACCTGTCAGTAAGGGTGCAATGAGATGTCGATGGTAACAACTTACGCGGCCAGAGAAGTTTTCGTTGTCCCATGAGCGGAAGAGCCAGCAGGTGCGTTCCACGCAGTTCAGAAGAATAATAGCAGTAATGAAGGTATCGAACCAGCCACACTTCTGGCGCTGAAGAAGGCGACGCTCGAGGTCGTTGATGACAAACTTGCTCAAGGCCATGGCACGCTTTTCCATGGCGGAACGCAGCTGGCTGCAGAGAAGACCGTAGGACTCGGGGTCGGACACTTCCTCAATAGGCAGACGACCCTCGTCCGAGGGCTGAGAAAGAGAATGCAGTGAGTTAGGAGGGAGAGTCGGGTTGTAGTAGGTCTTCCAGGTAAGTTCGGTGTCAACAAGGATGTGAGTAGCAACCCAGAGCTCCAGCACACGCTCAAGAAGAATATCCTGTTTATTATCAGTAGAGTTCCTATACATCGACAGATCAAGTAAATATACCTTCTTCTGCTGGTTAATCTCGGCAGCGAGCATCAGGGTGGGCTTCATAAAAGGCGAGGTCTCTCGCTCATAGAAAAGATGTGCGTTCTTCTTGATGTACAACTCAAGCTTGCTGGGAATGTCATCGGCATCGGCATCCAAGAGGTAAACCTCTTGGGTGGGGCTAGAGAACTGGTCATCTCCAAGGCCCTGAAGCTGGGGGTCGAGAGCAGACACCGAAGCACGATGGCCCTGCAATCCACTGAATGTCATGTAGGAGTTACTCTCTTCAAAGTGGGTGACCTCGATGCGGCCTGAATAGTGCTCGAACTTGACCTGGTTTTTGATGCTATTGGTGTCATGGTAGGCAAGTGTTGAGTTCAAGTCTTGAGTGTTGTCAGTTTACTGCAAAACAATAACAATAACAGGTGAGCAACTTACTGGCATTGTAAAGTTCGAACTCGTCGGAAAGACGAGTGCGCAGGCACGGATGCTTCCACAGGCGAGCGCTCTCCACACTAGCGCAAGTGGTGCAAGGGGTATCGCCAGAACACTATCAACGTCAGTCAGTTTTCAACCAATTCAGAATGTCATTCTTACGGGTTTCTTCAGCATTCGGCAACGAAGACAGGCGCCCTTCTTCCGTACATCCTGGACCTCACGGCGTCGCTCAGCAGTGAATCGGCCGCGAACCTTCGGCTTCATGGGCTTCGTCGAGTTGCCAAATTCATTCACAAATCCCTTTGCCTGGGTATTCGGGTTCATAGCAATGGGCCGGGGATAGGAAGCAGCACGCTGGGTTGCAGCGGTCAAAGATGGGTCATGCTCATGCAAGCTGTCGAAAAGCAATTGCTCGTGTGTTGACAACTGTCCACCCCACTGACCAAGCTTCAATCCATCAGAGCTAATGTTATCGCCATCAATTGACAGTCCCTGTGGGACCATTTCGTTGGCAGAAGCCGCGATCATCGACAGTTGCGATTGGCGCGCATTGGAGGTCGACTCCGGCGACATGGAGGCATCACCCAGGGGTGGAGACATGGAAGCCGGGTGTTCACCCGGGGTGTGGCTTGGAAGGGCAGGAATACTAGGAGCGTTGGACGATTGAGGAGTTCCTGAGACACGTTAGCGAGCTGTAGGACTGCGACGTCGGAGGTGGAAACAAACCTTCATTTCCGGTACCTTCGATCTTGCCCTCAGATCCTTGCGATTGTCCCTGGAAGCCCTCGGCCTCCAGTGCAGGGTCGACAATGACTGTCTTTCCTCCCGCAGTCACAGACTGAGTGTATCCGGGGCCACGCTTATTGACATCCGAGGCACCAACTTGTCGCGACGCTTCGGCAAGCACATTGAGACCATCGAAGTTGGGTCGGTTGGGGAATCCGCCTTCACCCGACTTTCCTTGTTTCCCAGATGGTGAATCCTTGTTCGAGTCGCCGTCGGTGAGGTCGGGGAGTTCGTGGAGTCGCAACAAGACGCGTTGACGGTCGCGGAGGGGGATGGCCTGGCATTTCTTGACCAGGTGGTTGGTGAGGCTGTCAATGCGACCTTTGGGAAATATCTCCCCGCAGGCTTTGCATGTGTGTTGGTAGCGATTGCTCGCGTCTTCCAGCTTAGGACCTCGGTGGAAGAACTCGAGGATGAGTTGGTTGGGCTTGCGACCCATTTTGCAAGGTGCTGTGGGCGTGTTTTAGGATAGATTCACGTGTAAATCAAATAATCAGCAAACGTGAACAAAAGAGTATCAATGTCTTTTCCAAGCAAAGCACTGGATCCCACCAAGTTGGGGTTGGTGTATTGAGCAGGAAAGACGGAGGGGTGGAGGAGGATCGTGCAAAAAAACACGTGCACAGTCACTGGGGACTGGGAGGCCCAGTCCGTGAACCTCGAAATACAAGCCTCAAAGAAGAGACTCGAGACTGAACAATAGCAATATCTCGACGATTCAAACGAAGATGTGCGGGCAAAACCTGGGCAGTAGAGGGCGGTCTGGCAATCGCAAGGGGAGGAACACGCGATGGAGGCTTCACCGCACGAAAGGCGGTGATGCTGCAGGGCGGTCACGGAAAGGCGGTGATCAAGATCAAGGAATATCAACTCTGGAACTATGAGGAGTTTCAGGTCGAACGTTGGTGATGTTGTTGATGGGAAGAGTAGTTGGGGAAGAAGGAAGTCTTGGTCACTTGTGCCACTGTGACTGCTACACTTGTCTCTCCAGAATGTATGCGAAAAACTCTATGTACAGCTGTATGCAGCTCGTTTATTTCTTTTTCTGGTTTTTATTCGTATCGGTAATGTCAAGGCAGCTTCCAGTGTAGCTTGCTTTGTATTTGATTCTCTATGGAAGTTGATCCTGAGTGGTTTCTTTGGTGTTGCTGTCGCCGGTGCGATTATATATCTCATCATCGCTTACCGTGAGGTGGCGATTTACGAATGTACCAACCCATTCACGAATGAAGCCAATTTGAGCCACTAGGATATAGTGGCCGTGTTTATATAATCCCAAAGCTACTGTATAGATAATAATAAATAATATCCTGTCTCAGTTGCCAGCTGTTGGCACGCTCAACAGATCCGGTGCTCGGGAGGCCGCCAGGGTACACCAAGCACTTCAAATATTCGACGCTCATTGCGACTCTCAATCAATCTACCTGCATTTAGTTTGGCTTGCTGCGTGCGAAGGACATCGGCAAATAGTCCCTTTTGATTCAAGCACATGCCCTTTTTCCGTGCCAATAACCTCATACTTCGGTTGAAGATATCATTGCCAGTGAAGTACAGCAACGCCGCCCCGATCTCAGAATCAGGAACGAACAACAGATCTATTCGACGCCACAAGTTGCTGCCAGGTATTTTCGACGCACCATGCCATTTAGACCCATCATTTTGCGACGACAGGGCAAGGCTGGCCTGCAGGAATCCACAGCGGAACAACTTGGGAACGACGAGTCCAAGCATGACTGAGCGGATCTGGTCCAGCGTGGTCCCAGGCTTGGTTATCAGACAGTCAATGTCCCCGCAGGTTGCTGCCCCGCGGCGGTAAGAGCCCGAGATGATCACCTGCATATCCCTGTCCTCGGTTTGCACCGCCTTTCGCACAATTGCGCCATGAGCTTCCACCTCCTTGCGAGGGATGCGTTGAGAAAAGTCATGATATCGCTCTACCCCGATGCGTTGCTGTTTGCTCAAAGGGGCCCTCTCGAGCAGATCAGCTAAAGACATATAGCCCTGCGCCACCCATTTGGACGCCTGGGTGAGACCAGCACCATAGACGCCGAGGAATTTCTGGATGAGCCGGTCTTCCGGAGTTTCGTTTGTGTTTTCCAAGCGACGAAGACGGTTGGTCAAGACAATTTCTTCAATCTTGTCCGCTAGTCGCTCGCCAATTCCAGGGAGGGCTCGCGCTTGTGTTCGCGTGGAAATCTTCTTTGGTTGCTTTCTCAAAGCAATGATTGCTTTACGGTAGCCGAGACTTCGCCAATGATCTGCTGTTTGGGTATAGTAGTCCAGCATCTGCTGAAGTACTTCAATGGTCCGGTGATTTGGATTGTCGAGCTTCCCACCGGGGTCATACTTCTGCATACATGAGAAGTTCTTTGTCCAGTCTGATTTGTCCTTTCCCTGAGACTCTTTTGGTGACTGTAGTTCGTGGTCTGAATCTGTACCACTTGAGGTTTCATCACTCGATGTGGTAGTATGATTATCGTCCAGAAATTCTAGCGGGTCCAAGGGCTAGACATGAAGATTAGTTGCTTGAAATCTCAAAAAAACGGATGATACGATTTACCAGATGACTAGTTGCTTTTGCCTCGTCGATAATGTCATCCAAGGCGTCACGCTCCCGGAGATTCCTGATATGCATCTCTTCGCCAGCAGGTTCTTCAACAGAACTGGCTGTCACTGCTTGTATACTTTCCTCGAATCGAGGCTGAGACGATTCCGGATATAGGGCTTGTTCCCGGCGCGAGGGCTTCAACGGTAGATCAATCGCTGAAACTGACTCCCTCACAACATGTGACTGCTTCTGTCCCTGTCTTTTCTCCTCTATGGTAAGCTTCGGGACTCCATTGACCCTGAAACGCAGCTGCAACGGATTCAATACTGAGCGAAACTGGATGCAGTCTGAAGGATAGGATTCATTCACAAGGACCACCGTTGTCTGCGACCTAGTTAGCACTGAGATCGGAATTTTTAGTGGGTGTACTAACTGGTAAAGCATCGAGCTTAATAGAGCCTAAAAGGTCAGTAAGAAGCAGTTCTTTGTCGACAATCACATGTGTCACGGCTTTCCCCCATGCTCGACTCCATGTGGCTCCGTATTCTTGGGCTCGTTGAATACGGAGTCTTCGCACTGGGGAGACATCATTGTTTGGGAAAAAGTCTGATCTCGAAAGGTAAGTGAGAAATAATAGAGAAAAGATCATGAAAAACCCACAAAAGACCAAGTCTTTGAAGATCTGCTGATCTTCCGGTATAAACTTTGCGTTGTTATTCCTCCTCTTCTTCAGGGGAGGACCCCCAGACTTAGTGGCAGGCATGCAGCCAGTAGTTTGATGTCTGATCAGAGCAGCAGGTTTCGAGTCATTTGGCAACGTGCTGTCTTTATATTGATGAGTGCTGGGGGAAGGTTGAGGATCCGACTTTGCTCGAGGAAGTGAGATTCTTTTTGCAACCGGAGCAGGCACAACCGAAGCTGATTCCTTGTATTTTGGATGGAAAAGAAGCTCGTAATTTTCGTCTTGCTGGTCTTGATCGTCTGATTTATCCTGTTCATCCAGCTGCTCCAGAGACTCGAAGAAGCTCTCCTTGCTGTGAGTGCCCGCCATTTTAGTCCGGTGCCCAACCGAGAATCGCAAGACTAGACCAAACAAAAATCATGATAAAATCATGACACAAGTCTCTAGGCACACAAGGTTGCGAATGGTTACCAGTGGACGCGGTTGACTTGCGCGAAAGCGGCGCCAGGTCACGGGATCGGTCACTACCTCAATCTTTCATCATTCACAGCGAGGCGCCTCTGCTGCCTAATTTTGAGGTTCTTGGCGTTGAGAAGAGTTTGGGTCTCGGATGTTGCTGTGGTCACGGTAGCGATGTCGTCGGGTTTGCGCCAATGTCTCTAGAAGTATAGAACAAGCCACTCTGGGCAATATATCTGGGCGTATACTGAAGAAAAGGCTAGCACTTGAAAGTCTCATCCGATATTGTATATCCCATACCTAAAGGATTTTATTCTTTTCGAGTTCATCCAGTCCAAATGCAAACACACGGGAAAATGCACATTCGATGACTTCCATTCCCAAAAGGGTAATATTGCTTCACGTGATCGTGGATTTTCGGAGACGGAGATATTATTGCATGAAAGCTAGACAACCCAATATCTCTACACTCTTACAGTCCACTTTTCTCAGCCCATTGACTGGGAACAATCATTATGTGGAAATCTTCTCTTCCAAACTTTCTGGTCACTGACCTCCCGCTCCTCCAAAGCAGCCGCTGTATAAGCTGCCAATTCCGCAACCCAGCTAGACTCGCCCAGCTCCGACCGAAGCCCTTCTCCGCGCGCCATTATGCTACAGCCAAGGAGGCTACCAAGAAAGTTGCTCCAGTGAAGCGCGATTTAAAGAGCGAGACTCAATCTCTCGCAAGGCAACGCCTGACCAGCTCCATCGAATTTCAACAGAACCAAAAGGATGGCCCTCAGCCAGGCGACTCAGACTTTGCTCCCCCGAGACTGGATCGACCCATCGGAAGCCCAGTGCTACCATTAGAGGGACAGAATACAGGAATTGACACCCGTTCCATGTCCCAGCGGCGCGACGACTTCACCAACTATGACCGACACATCAAGCGGCGCCAGGAATTGTACGAACGCGCATTCTTTCTGCCTCTGGCAATCAACCAGTGGGCAACAAAAATTAAACACCATGCTAATCTGTAATTGCAACTCACAGGACAAAACAAGTCGCCAAACCCTACTTCCGCGAATGGTCTAACCTCCGCCACCACGAAGGCAAGACCTTTGTCTCAAACCCACGACTCTTCAAAGCCGACAGATCCCTTTACTTCCCCAACATGCGTGGCATAACCCTCGCAACACCCAAGGATGCCCAGAACACAACAACCCAGCTGCGTGGTAGCATTTCCGTCGTGAATCTGTTTTCGAGCGTCTGGGCCGAGGGCCAAGTCGCGACATTCACAGGCCCGAAACAGAACCCAGGGCTTGCGGAAGCGCTAGCTAGCGGCGGAAAACATGTGCAGCGGATTGATATCAACCTTGAAGAGAATCGCATGAAGGCGTGGTTGATCAAGACGTTTATGTGGCGTATGCGGCAGAAGTTGCCGAAGGAGCAGCATTCACGGTATTTCTTGGTGCAGAAGGGCTTTGACCAGGCCCTCAAGGAGACTGTTGGTATGATGAACTCTAAGGTTGGGTATGTATATCTTGTTGATGAGGAGTGTCGGATTCGCTGGGCCGGAAGTGGGCCGGCGGATGCGGAAGAGTTGGAGGGACTCAATGCTGGTTTGAGGAAGTTGATTGAGGAGAAGAAGGCTCTTTCTGAACTGTCGGGCTCGACTCGGAAGAATTAGAGAGTTTGTGGCGAGTGTACCAATACCGGACCGAGATTTGTATATGATGTGATTTCCCTCTCATTTAAAATTTGTACATACAATAGAGAATGTGTATAATATAAAGTATCAAGAATACCCGCCGGTTGACGTGCAAGAATTATCATCGTATCCCTCGTCAAGTGGGACACATAGCAATGCCCAAACCTGAACGCCTTGGTAACAAAAGTCCACTCGCTGGATAGCAGCAATCGACGCAAGAACAATAAGACGAGACAGCGTAACCCCCGCAATAACAGTTGAATATATCACCGGAAGAACAGTAACATCAAGAAGCAGAATCCGATAAAGCATCCAAGGATAATAGCATCTCGCCTCTTCTTGTTTCCAATCTTGCCAATGAGATAGTTCATGCCGGGTACATTACTAGCAGCACCGACAATCCGTCGGTTTATATTGGCAATTGTCTCACGCTGGACACCGAAGTTCTCATTAATGGCATATGCCTGGCTCAACACCCCGTCCATCATATTGTGGCTGTTGTCGACTCGCCCCCGCTCCTCGAGCATGTACTCAGCCTCGGCGGCGGCGGGGTTGGATGCGCGGTAGGAGTCAATGTCAGATCGGACATTGGAGAGAAGGTTTGCGCGGTCGCGCGATTCAGCGATGGCGGAGGTTAGTCGTGTAAGCTCGCGGCGATGGTCTTGGAGTACTTCACGATGGCGGGAGACATTGTTCTGTTTCAAAGCGGAGGATGTGAGGGTTGCTTCTGAGTCGAGGAGTCGGGATAGTTGAGCAATGAGAGATTCACGCTGTGCGGTACATAGTTAGCTGTCGCAATTCTTTCTTGGTAGACTTGTTACTCGCGGCTGCTAGCTTACTCTTTCGAGGAGGTCTTTCAATTGTGACTCGAGGCGCAGCTCTTCCTCGGTAGGTGTCTGTGGAGGTTTGGTGAGGGAGGCGAATTGTGAGTAGGTGTGGAAGAGATTCTCGGTCTATTGGTGGCGTCAGTAACATTCTATAGGGAGGTTCCTGAATATATTGGTACCTGAGTCTCGAGTGACCGGGCTTGTTGCCGGAGTTGTGTCCACCCAGAACCAGTAGATGAGGCCATGGCTGGTAAAGTAGAAGTAGAATGGAGGAGAGAAATTCACAGGGGGGTAACAACTGTTCAGAATTAATCTCCAGACCGTGCAAGGGCCGAGGTGCGACACTACGTAAGTTGGCCATGACGGGGTAGAACAGTCTAACCGGATGTGACATAGTGACACCCGATATCTCAGGCATTAACATCAGGCACCAGTCTCAGGCACCAAGGCACAAAATGCCACACACATCACGTGCCCGCTTAGTGTCGCAGAGTTCGCTTAGCCCTAGTCCCACAACCAGTCGCAATTTGACCCTCGGACATCTTCAATTCTCAACGTCGACAACCCACACAAATCGCCGCCATCATGGTACGTGCTGCCAGACAGAACCTCTGAATGCATGCTGATGAACCTCTCTTTTTTTACAGTCGTCCAAGGTCAAGGCCGGTCAGCTCTGGGGCAAGAACAAGGATGAGCTCGCCAAGCAGCTCGAGGAGTTGAAGCTCGAGCTTAACCAGCTCCGCGTTCAGAAGATCTCCAGCGGCGCTTCCACGAAGACTCAGAAGATGTGCGTATCCGACACCCCCGACTTTCCTTTTTTTGTGCGAATGGATTCGAGATTTGCGGGATGGAAACAATCGAACCCCCGATCGGGACAACGAAACAAAAGGATTACACCAGCAAATCACCCATGGGATCGATGAGGAAGAGACGGATATCACGATGGCATTGAGCCGAGACGGAGTTTCTCAAAAGTCATCAAAAATTGATGCTGACTTTTTTTTTTTTAGCGGCGAGGTTCGCAAGTCGATCGCTCGTGTCCTCACCGTCATCAACGCCAACCAGCGCGCCCAGCTGCGTCTGTTCTACAAGAACAAGAAGTACCTTCCCCTCGACCTCCGCCCCAAGCTCACTCGTGAGATCCGTCGCCGTCTCACCAAGCACGAGGCTACCCGCACCACCGAGCGTCAGCAGAAGCGCGCCGTCCACTTCCCCCAGCGGAAGTACGCTGTTAAGGTATGATCATCTCGATCAGTCCTTGGTTATGAATTGGTGGAATAGTGATCGGATGTTACATCTTGTTATCTGCCACTTTTTTCCAAGGACTTCGCCACCATTCGAACCGAACCCAATACTGATTGATTTCCTGCAGGCTTAAACGCAGAACTTGTTCGGATAAGGAGTTTTGTGGGAAGACGTTGCTGGCCTTGGACACAAGCAGGACGTGAACAGTGTCGACCCGAGCGCTTGTGGAGGGGTCGGTTTTTTCTCTTTTTTACATCCAAAAAATGGAATTTGATTATGTATCTAAATAGGATGCAAATCGACTCTTGACATGACATGACTTAGACATTTCTTGCTTTTTCAGGGTTGGGTGAGGAACTCGTCAATTAACACGACTCCGTACTCAGAGATGTGTTCCCACATCAGTCGTCCAGATTTCTATATCGACAAGGCCGATTGAATCGAGAACATGTCTGGATCTATGTATTCTGTCTAAATAAACCCGCCTAGTGGGCAATCTACCCACATAACCCTATTGATCCCCAGTATCTACTTGGACCTTTTACATCCCAACCGTATTTGCTCCCCAGAACATATCGCACAAATTTTCTCTTCTCTTGTCAACTGTTGAGATGGATTTCACCACAACGAATCTTAATACAAATCACTCAAGCAAACTACAAACCCTAACTTCTGTGCCCATGTCCATGCCCACTTCCATTCCCATTCCCACTCCCCCCGTCCCCAGAATCAACCTCAAGAATCCACATCCCCCCACAAAGACAAGACCTCAGCACTCCCAACTTCGCAGTCATCTTAAAGGAAAGCATAGACCTAGGCAAACTCGTATCCCCAGAAACCTCACAACACCTTGCACACCGTCTCTTCTTAAGGGGCGCAACCCTTCCCTCACCACCCAACAAAAGTGGCGGCCTCAGCGCACACTTCTTAAGAATATCAACATCCCGCTGTTTTCGATAAACCGCAGTCCGAGTATCATTCCCAAAGCCCAACCAGGAATAATCACCCAGATAGATCGCCATGCGATTAATCTCCAGTTTCAGCGTCGGCACAGTCTGCCGCAGCAGCGTCGCCACGGCTGATATTAGAACTGGTGGAATGCGTGCGTTGACGAGTAGTTCTTTCTCTGGACCTGGACGTTCAGCATCGCCGAAGCCTGCGCCTTGATAGGCGTGTTTCACGGCTGAGTCGACTCCTGCGAGGAATTTCTCGTAGACGTCTATCCGCACCGGTGAGGTTTCGAGCGTTTGGCAGATTTCTGTGTAGTAGATTCTGCTGTCTCCGAAGAGAGAGGCCGGGTTTGCACTTGCAAATCCTGCGTGTACGCCTCGGAGACCGCGGCAGATGAAGCGGAGGAAGGCTCTTGACATGCTTGAGAGGAGGATCAGGAGGGGGAGGGAAGAAGTCGTTTTCACTAGGTTTGTTAGCCTTCAGCTAGGGAGTGAATGGGAAAATAGTGGCTGGGCGTACGCTTTTGGGTGAATGCCTCCTGGTCGTTGAAGACACTTTCAAATTCGTCGGCCATGTCGAAGACTTCGTTTAGGAGCCAGTGGGAGAAGTCCAGCGTCCATTTTGTGTTGCCCAATACCAAGCGTAGAACATCTTCGGTCTTTAGTAATTGATTATGGGGATGAAGACGTGGGTGTGGCTTACCTGGATCGTGTGTTTCCGGCTGTACACCTTTATTATACTGGAAGAAGTATGCAAACAGAACCGAGGAATGGCGTAGTTGCAGAATCGCCCATGGTACAGAGGAAGCAAGGTTTCGGCGCTTAAGCCTTCCTCTGTAGCCCAATGCAGCTTGCAAACTAAGACAGCGAGGGATGTACGGGTGGCTCATGAGCTTCTCTTGATCGGCAGTAAAGTTGCAGTTGACCGGTAGTGCACGATAAACCTCACTAGTAAATGTTGTTTGGGCCTCTTTGTGATTGTCAGCGGGATTCGTCGATCTAAATGCCGGCAAGATCATGCACTTACCTGGTGACAACTGCCGAAGAGCAGCCATAAGAACATCGTCTGTGTTACATTCGCTTCCACAGCCTCGGCAGAATGCCACTGTCAGTGCAGCAACGGCAGCGGAGAATTTTGCTATGCATTGATCAGCTTTGTCGTTTTGACGGGCTCAAGGCGACACATACTCTCGTCATATAGTCCCTCGCTTGATCCAAATGAATGCTCTATCACTCTGAGTTGCATCTGTCCATCACTATCTAGCGTAGCAACAACACAAGAATTAGGCGAAAAAGCGAGGTAGAGACCTAAATATGTCAGTTCGCGCAATCTGAAGCAGAATATACCAAATCACATACCAGATGGTTCTATTGGATACTGGAATCCCGCCTGGGCCAGACAAGTGACAGTGTTCGAGTCATCCATCCCATTAAACATCGCCATTGTCCTTGTATCATAACATGCGATGGAACTGTCGTCGTGTGTGACGGCTAATACTGTCCCATGCTCGATCAGATCGACAGAGACAACGTATTTATCACAATAAATATCATCCAGTCGGCGCAACTCTAATTTTGGCTATATAAAAGTCAGCATCTGTACAACAAATAGTAATCTATCCTACGTACCTTTGTTTGGGTATTGCTCTTCTTTGATGCCACCTCATCAAACTTGGGATGAAGTGTCTGCGGTGCAGATTCCAAATGCCACCTGAGCATCACAGTCGGTGGACCTTGTTGCTCTTGGTAGTCTGGCATGGCATGGAGAGGCTTTGAGAAAACAGCGAGGATCCACGGATTGGCTGTGGATCCTTGGGGGCTGTCAGACTGCGCTGGCATGATTTCCAGCCGTGTCAATGAGTAAACAGAGTTCATAAATGGGACAGACTGATCTGAATGGTCTGGGCCGCGGTTCACATTGAGTATGTTGCCTGGCATATCCACCTTGCAGTGGATCAATCGGAAACTGGGGACCGGTGGAGGCTGCTGTTTTCCCTGAGTGGGCTCCCACTGCGGTGGATTCCAAGTAATATGAACTCTGTACAGGCACATCTTCTGGCATGCAGAGTAAGTGGCAAGGAGTATCCCGGCTGCATCGATGTCAGTACTGCAAAATAAGTCTCCGCTAGGATGCGCTACCTTGTGTGGCGACCATCGAGGCATGTGTTAATAACCTGTCCGAGTACCCTGTATTTTTCAATTCGGCGGGAAGCTCCGCCCATGTGCTATTAGGGTTTTGGTATATGAGTTTGATCTGGCCGGCTCTGGTCACGCAGAGTAAGGCACCTTTGTTGGCTGGGTGGAAAGGCCCAATTGGGCGTCTGCGGAAAGGAGTATAAGCCCATCTCCCATTCACCTTGGCCGCTTGATGGAATGCGTGTATCTTGAGTGTAGTGTCAGAATTTGTTGGCTGGAATTTTCAGATGGAAATGGGACATACAAAACGTTGGGAGTTCAACCACATCAAACCAACGACCTGGCTGTTATCATCGCCGGATTCAAAAGACGCTTGGCGCAGAATTGAGAGGCTGTTCAGAGCAATAGAGATAGAATAGATGGATATGCGACCAGAGCAGTCCACAACGGCCAATTCCGACCCGGTTTCATTCCACGATAAATGGGCTAGTTGGTTCCCGTGATAGGCCTCTATTGATGTCGTAAGAGGTGTTTCTTTGCCTAGGTTCCATTTTCCATCCAAAGTACTGCACTGGAGATGGCGGATATTGACACTGAGTCCATCTTGAGAGATCGACGCAATGCAACCCATCCGGGACCAGGCTATCTTGCTTTCCGGTTGTTAGTTACCCTCGCATACCTCTAGAATGTTCAACTCACTGGCAGCATCCCAATAGGCGCATTTCGTCCAGACATTGTGCGAGTCCTTTGGTAGGAGAGGCGGCTGGCAAGCCCAATTCCAGGGAGTTGGACTCGCCAAAGAGATCGTCCACATTGATACCCGTATCCATCATCAAGGGCATAGCTTCTGACAGACTATATTCAATACTTTTCAAACGGGGAATCGATGTAGTAGACCCAGCATAGCTCTATAGAGTTCCCCAGCGTATTGAATATCAAACGGGCTTTATTATTTGGCCGGGAGGCGGTCAGGGTCCTTGAACACAGCGTTTCTTCCCTTTGCAAGACACTTCACTCTTGATCATGAAAACACAAGCCCCGAATAGATCAGCCAGAGTGGCAATGTTCCTATAGATCTGAACTAAAGATGCCGTTTCGTCCTGGCAGGAGTCAACCCGAGGTGCTGAGTCAGCACGTAGCCCTGCCAACGCGATCGGGCCAATCAGCTGACATCAGGTGACCCGCTATCAAATCCAGCGAATCACTTCCACCTCAACGGTTCAATATCGAAAGGCAGCAAAACACTGTGATGCTGCAAGTGTGAAAAAAAGGCCTGGGTCCACAGGTTCGTACGTGAGCAATTGTCTATATCTGCTTGATTTCATCCCTCGAGTCCGCAGATCGCAATTCCTAGTTCCCCCTCCGTCTCTACCACACAACCACATTCCTTCACAGGGAATCTAAGCTCGCTTCGGGCCAAAACAAACGTGTGAGGAGCGGGCCAGGTCTTTTTTTCCTCTATTCGTTTCATTAAACGCTCCCCCTCCAACCCTGACCTCATCGTCCCCTTCTGCACACCTCTACTCCCACACATATCCCTCTCCTCTTCTTTTCTCCCTTGACACATATTTATGGTCGACTGTTCTATCCATGATTCATCCATTCTCCTTTTTCTTTGGTCTTTAACATACCTCTGAGCTTTCTATTCGGTTTTTCTGCCCGAATATCTCTCCTTGGGGGAGTGACATCCTTCTGACGCTCCCTGTTACGTGACCATATTTCTCCTTGCCAGCTTCCTCAGCTTCCATCATGGGCTACGATTTCGATGAGGTCTCCGAATGCTCGGACTTAAGTTCTCTCCCCTCTTCTCGGGCATGCTCACCAGAACCTGCGGAACGCTACCCGACCCCGTCATCCCAAGCTGAATCTGGCGCTGAGGGTTCTGCGCGCCAAGCCGGTCCCGCGAAGAGGAGACGCAACCCCCTACCGAAGGAACGGACCACCCAATACCTCGACCTGTCCAAATGTCTCTATGAACAGAATGACCAGCACAATTTGCTCGTCCAGACCCTTCGCCACCAAAAGGATATCGTCGTCATCGCTGGTGCAGGCATTTCCACCGCCGCCGGTAGTAAGTTTCTGCTGATATTCTGCCGCATGAGCCGCGCCTAATATATGTATAGTCCCGGACTTCCGTTCCACAGATGGTCTGTTCAAATCTTTACAAAAGAAGCACAACCTAAAGGCTTCTGGCAAGCTTCTCTTTGATGCCGCTGTCTACCAAGATGACGCATTGACCCTGCCCTTCCACGAAATGGTCCGGTCGCTGTCCGAGGAAGCTGCCAAGACCAAACCCACCGCCTTCCACGAGATGCTCGCCCGTCTAGGAACTGAGTCTCGCCTTAAACGACTGTACACCCAGAATATCGATGGCATTGAAACCTCTATGGGACCCTTGGCCACCGAGGTCCCGCTCAACGTCAAGGGCCAATGGCCCGTGACTATTCAATTGCACGGCAGTATCGAGAAGATGGTTTGCCAGAAGTGTTGCTTCCTCTGTGACTTCAACGGCGACATGTTCACAGAAGCTGATCCGCCCCCTTGCGCAAAATGCGAAGAGAACGACACGGTTCGTCTCATTGGAGGCTACCGGAGCCATGGGATTGGACGTATGCGCCCTCGCATCGTTCTCTACAACGAACACAACCCCGACGAAGAAGCTATTACATCTGTCATGAACTCGGACATCAAATCTCGCCCTCGTGTTCTCATTGTTGCTGGTACGAGCTTAAAGATTCCCGGGGTTCGTCGCCTTGTCAAGAGCATGTGCGCGATGATCCGTAGTCGGAAGGACGGCGTTACAATGTTTATCAATAACGAACCGCCAAGTGGAAAGGAGTTTGATGACTGCTTTGACTTGGTCGTTCAGGGATCCTGCGATGAAGTGGCACGCCAGGCAAACCTGAAATCGTGGACCTCTGAGGATATCAGCGAGTGTGTCTACGAATCCTCCCCAGAGCCGATAGCCGTACTCCCCAGTTCACTGCGTGCGCCAACTGTTGGATCTTTCGCAGTTGTTGTCACGCCCAAAAAGCGACCACGTACCGACTCTGGTCTTATTACACCTTCATCCGACCAGGACGAGAAACCTGCCAAGAGGGCGGCCACCAAGGCTTCTAAGGTCACAAACCCCGCCAGCAAGGGTCGCAGCATCACAGAGCTTCTCAAGTCGCAAAGGGCGGTTCCAGCGAAGAGTGCAGCGAAGAATGCACTCAAGCCTGCGCCAAAGGCTGCCCCGAAAGCTGCTCCCAAACCCAAACCGAAGGCCGGAACCGCTGCTCCAAAGAAAGGAGCCAAGGCACCTGCCAAACCCAACGCTGCCATCACTTCGTTCACCCGTGTCACGAAGACTTCAATCAAGGCCGGAGCAACCGATGTCAAGACTGGCAAAGCGATGCTCCCCGTCCCTGCTGGTGCGCCAAAGAACAACGGTCCTATCACCAAAGTTACAAGACAATCTGGCAAAGCAGGCCAACTCGATACCGAATCTCGTCCTCCGCCTGTGGCGTCCTCCTAAAGTTCTTAACACTCTCATGACCTCTTTGCTTTTCTACCGACCGCATGTCATGACTTGATGCATGGTTATGGAGTACTGGTTTCATTCTTATTCTCTTCTGATTTTCTATTTTCTATTTTCTGGGACTCATTGGTCAGATTCCCTTCTTTGCTGTCGGCACGTGGTATATCATTCTACCACTTCTTCCGTCTTTTTTTTCTTCTCCTTCTGGACTGTATTCTTATTTGCATCCCCTGCGTTTTCCCTCTGGGATAATGTTTGCTGTCCTTTTTCGAAAGATACCATTGATAGATAAGGGCTTTTCTGCATGGTTTCGGCGTTTTTTGGAGCCTGGTTTTTCCCGGCATATGATGGGGTTCATCATTTCGTTCCTAATTGATTTTTCTTCGTCTTCTTCTTATACCTTTGCTTTCTTTCCCATGTTGATTATACCCTGCTTGGGTATTCTTGTGGATTTTTTGGTCAGGATCCGTGGCTTGAGATGTCTTTTATACCTCTGGTGTTGTATCATTAATATATTTCCTCGATTTCCCTGGATATGTTTTACTCATGAACATTGTCACAATACCCGTAGATTACTATTTGGTTTCATTTCGTAGTCTACTTGGTTGCCCAGTCTGAGCATTCCTGATATACATCAAGATACGCCAGTTAACGTTCAAGTCAGCAACATCTTCGTCAACAGTAAAACACATAACTCGCAACATGAAACCCATTGATCATTCATTATATATATAGTACAGCACTAATATTTCTGTTTCTTTTCCCAACCCCTCTAGCCCATTTTGTCGCATCAAAAACGAAGCCCCATCCAGAATAATATTGAAACCCGAAATACAATTTAGCCAAGCCCAAGATTATCCCGCAACTGACTACCAGGTCCATCCTCGTCCTCATCCGTATCCTCGGCGTCAGGGTCAAAAGGCCCCTTCCTAGCTCCAGGCTCACGATCAAGATCCTCAACAACCTCAAGATCATCCTCGGGCCTAGGACGCGCCTCGCCCTCCCCTTCCTCCTCTTCCTCCTCCTCATCTTCCTCGTCCTCTTCATCTTCCTCTTCAAGCTCCTCCTCCTGCGTCTCGTCCCCTGCATCTGCGCCAGTACCAGCACCCGCGTCAACTCCAGGTGCAGCACCCCCTTCCTCATCACGCTTCATCCTCTTAGCGGGGTTATCAGTCATCTCCACATCGCCATCACCATCACCATCGCCAACGGCAATCCCAGAGACATCAGCTTCGCTACCCGGTACAGCGCCATTCTCAGTCTTCTTAGGCTTGCGTTTGCCAGCTTTGATATCAGTGTAGGCTTCTAATTCCTGCTCGAGACGGCCGCGGAAGGAATCGAGTTCTAGCTCCGAGAGGGCGTTGAAGACATCTGACGGGGCGATCGTTCGCTTGAGGGTTGCGTCGTTGGCGCTGGTATCGTGTCAGTTTTTGTTTCTTGTAGGGCATGTACTGGGGATGTGTAGTAGTTTTATCCTGGGCTTCTCGGGGTAGCAGTATAGCATGGAATATCGGGATGTGAAGTGGATTGGTGCTCGACAAAGTAAAGACATGAAATCGGATGGGATATATCGAAAGGGCAAGAAAGCAACGAAATGGAAACCATACTGTGAGGACAGATACGAAACAAAGACCGTTGCCGCCTTTTGCATTGCTAGTACGGCATCTTTCTGGATGGTCGTGTTGGGCGGGAGGACGGCCTTTGCGAGACGGATTGTCAATGATCGTGGGAGGAGGTAATCCTATAGGACGCAGATGAAGGACTGTGTTAGCTATGCCATGCCAGAAGTTATATCCAGAGCCATGTCCACAGGCAATGCATGTGTATACTTCATTTGGGCGACTAGGCTTACCTCAACGCTGACACCAGCCTCCGCCCGCGCCTTCAACTGCTGCTCCGTCGCGAAGATGGGTTTATCTGTTTGCTGTGCTGGCGGTGACTGGAGAAGGGAGTCATCTGGGTCGGCTGGCGTCACTGAGGAGGTCGATTTCCGTGGTGGCATTTTTGGTGGTTGGGTGTTGCGGATGAGGTGTGGTGAGTTTTGGAGATCGCAAAGGATCAAGGATGGAGTAGTCGTGCCCCTCTCGTATATTGGATCACTTCTCGAGGAGTTATGTGGTAGGCTCTTTGTTCTGTTTGGGGTTGGGCTTGGGTAATCGTGGATTTCCAAGGGGGCGCGCGAACGCGTTGGGTTTCTCGGGATGCGCGAGTGTGGAGGCTTGGCGGTTTTATACTTCCGACTTCACCTTCTTCACGCCTTTACGTTTGATTCGAGCAGGGATTACGCTGAGAGTTCTCTGGAATTCATTTTTATTGGTGGTTTTGCACCTCATATTTCAAGTCAAATCTAGGAAACGATGGAATGCCGACATAAAACGCCCACTTTTTGGTATCCAGAAAGTATAATCAAATGAGATAACGACTTCGTAACACGAGAAAGAAGATGATGGCCTTTACTCGGCCATCTCCTCATCCTCACCCTCGCCGTTGCCCCACAGGCCCTCGATCTTGAACTCCTTGGCCCACTCCGTGACGACCTGGGCAGTGTCAGCACCAGGCTCGGCAGCAGCAGCGGCCGGAGCATCCGTCGAGGCAACGACGGACAGAGCGGGTGCGTTGGCCCAGCCCTGAATGCGACCGTCTCTCCAGTCATTGATGACTGTCATGGCGGCACTCTCGATGTTGGGGACACCGCCCTTTCCAAGACGGCCGCGCTTGCGGGCAACCTGGACAAGGAAGTCGGTGGTCTTGTCACCGTTGCTGGGGAAGAGAGCCTGGATACCGTAGAGGTCGAGCATCTTTTGGATGAGGTTCTCTGAGCTGGATAGACGCTTCATCAGGAGGTTGACTGCGGGAATGGGGTCCTCGATCTGCTTGGGAGGAATGGCGTTGAGAAGGATAAGGCGAGCCTGCTCTTCAACCTTCTTGCTCTTCTTGTTGGTCTTGTCGCTGGCGGTGGGGAAGACGATTCCGGGGGAGTCAATCAGCTTGAGCTTGTTGTCCAGCTTGACCTCACGGAGGTTGGTGGTGACACCGGCCTCGGCGCCGGTAGGGCAAGCATTGCTTGAGCCCTTGTTCAGGCGTGCGGTGAGGGCGTTGATCACAGAAGACTTGCCGACGTTGGGGTATCCAATGACACCGACGGAGATGGAGCGCTTCAGCTGCTTGCTGCCAGCATACGACTTGAGAGCGCGGAAGAGCGTATCGGAGGTGCCCTTGACGGTCAACTGCTTATGGTCAAAGCTGTGTGCGGTCCCTGAGCCACTGGTGGCCTTGAGAGGGAGAGTGGGGAAGTAACGGCGCAAGTGGATCAACCAAGCCTTGAGAACTGGGGGAGGAACCAGGTCAATCTTGTTCAAGATGAGGATCAAACGCTTGGAGCCACCATCGGCAGCCATGATCTCGCGCTCGATGTCCTTGGACCGAGTTCCCTCGGGGTCACGGGCATCAAGCACGTACAACACGACATCAGCGTTGTCAGTGACCTGCTTGAAGACCTTATCGAATTGGCGCCGTGAACTCTCCTTGGAGAATGACTTTGCTGTGATCAGAGGAGGGGCATCGTCGATCACGGCACCGCCCTCATCATCCTCATCCATCTCATCGTCGTCGTCCTCATCCTCATCCTCCTCCATATCCTCATCGTCGCTCTCGTTCTCGTCGTATTCCGCAGCACGAGCCCGTGCTGAGGCGAGGAGGGCAGCCATGGGGTTTGAGTCATCGCCATTGCCTTCCATATCGTCATCCAGCATATCGTCCTCGTTGATTTCAACACCGTGGTTGTCCTTAACGGGGAGGCCTTCAGCCTTGCGGGCGCGAGCCTCATCACGGATGCGCTGTTGTTCCTCTGCCTTCATGCGCTTCCGCTCTTCCATGTCATGGAGGAGCTTGTCCTTGTGAGGGAAGAGGTTAGGAATGCCGGGGTCCTTCTTGATCTTAGACCGCCATTCTGGGTTCTGCAAAAGAAGAGTCAGAAACTGTCAATGAATCTGTATAAGAGTCCATGTAAAAAGTACCTTCTTTGCGAGCTTTCTCTGCTTCTTCGCCTTGGCAACTGAAGCCTTTTCAATCTTGTGCCTGAGGCGGACGGGCGTCCGCTTGGAATGCTTGCCTGTAGACCATTAGTTTTGGATCAAAACTTCATAGCCATATCCCAGCAAGTGGAACTCACCGAGCTTGACCATTTTGAATGCACGTCTTTGTATATCGCAAAAAAGTGCACAGCAAACCTTCAAAGTCCGTCTGCTACGGGGAATAGAAAAAGTTGAGCGCCAAGATTTCCACAGCCGATAAGCGGATTATGTGTTGGGCCGATCTCCGAGTATGGGCTGACTCAGCAGTAGGATGACTCGGCTGCGGGTCGATTGCCAAATTGGGTAAGAAGCCGGAGTCAGCGAACGAACATACGACACTTCCAAGGTTGCCAATGACCTGTTCTTGACATATCAGTGGCGAGATCATTGACGGGTTTAAAACACTCTTGAGTCGACTTCAGGGCAAAGACAATTCTATCTCCTCATTCCGTCTCATCCACCTTTCGCGCATATCAACACTCCCCGCATCACCCCTCTCTCACCATGTCATACCCATGTGGATCTTTCTCTGCGCCTGCGCAGATTCATGAGTTCGATGGCATCCTCTCCGACTTTGATGGCACGATTATCGATTCCACAGATGGTATGTAGTCTTTACCCCAAGCTCGTGCGAAGCAGTTGAACCGAATGCTAACCATCCGTTCATAACAGCAATTGTAAAGCATTGGCACGAGTCAGTGACAATCAAACCCTATACATACTCGAAAGACACCTGCTAAGACTTGTTCCTCTTCAGAATCGGCGCCGAGCTGGGCGTGGACCCCAAGACTATCCTGGCGACCTCCCATGGCCGCCGCAGCATTGACACAATGGCACTTTACGACCAGACCAAGGCCAACTGGGATTGTAAGTTAACCTCACACACATATCTACCTCTACAATTCCACTCCGTAAACAGCTAACAACCCCCAGATGTAAACTACATCGAAGGCCAAATCCCCAAGAAGTACGGTTCCGACGCCGTCGAAATCCCCGGCGGCCGCGCCCTCCTCTCAGCCCTAGAAGATAACAAGGCACGCTGGGGCGTCGTCACCTCTGGCACCCGCGCCCTGGTCGACGGCTGGCTCGAAGTCCTCGGTCTCACACACCCCGAGATGCTCGTAGTGGCCGAGGATGTGCCACTCGGCAAGCCAGACCCGCGCTGCTACCTCCTCGGTGCGAAGAAGCTCGGTCTCGAAGAGTCCAAGTCGATTGTCGTGCTTGAGGACGCGCCATCGGGTATCAAGGCCGGCAAGGCTGCTGGGTATAAGGTTATTGCGCTCAGCACCACGCATTCGCTGGAGAAGCTACACGAGGCTGGTGCGGATTGGATCATTCAGGATCTGACGAGTTTGCGCGTTGTTTCTGTTGAGGGAGGCAAGATCAAGCTTGAGATTCGGGGTGCATTGCAATAGGCATGGGCGTTGCTTTGGCCTCGACTTTCGTCATATTTCTTTCTTTTTCGAGTTTTCGAGGTTGAGGACTGCAGTTGGTGTCGGCTGCATAGTGACAGGGGTTGTGCAGGCTGCGTCTCAACGGGTTCTTTGGGTCGGAGTTGGATTACACGGCATAGATAGAACAGGTTTAATCTAGATAAACGTGCACCACATACTGGGCTGTCACTGGCTACATTTCCGTTTCTCAGATGTGACTCTTGTGCACAACGTCACATGTCCCATCGCAGGTTCTCTACGCCTGCTTTGTCTGGATATCCAGGCCGGCGCATGAACACCTGGACAAGAACATGAACCCCCTCTCGTTCGTGTGGCGCACCCAGAACCAGGATGCCTCGGCTCTATTTCCAACCTCCATTTGCATATCCACCTAGACGTACTTTGTGGTGGCGAGGGAACCACCAAGAAACCTAGATAAGCCCGGCTATAGAGCCCAAGCTCTGTCTTGTCTCGGGGAATGATTGACACCACCACGACGCCGATTGGGTCGGGACTCTTCTAGACAGGGCTAGATGGTTCCCGGCCGGAGCTCTCAGGCGTTCCTGAAACAGGACACGGCGTTGACAAAGTGCAGTACGTCCGTTCAGTAAACAAAGTTTGCTGGTGGCTTATCTGTGTGGTATATGACTGGTGGTTGGTGATGGGATCAAGGTAAGGTGCAACCAGGTACAGGACAGCACAGGACAGGGCAGAGCACATGTACATTTACAGGACGGGACAATACGGGCCGGGTCTTCTACGGCATAGGGTATTGTACATACCATGTGCAGACTTGCTTCCTCGGATCCTAGAACCTTGTAGAGCAGACAGGAATTCGGCCGTAACCATCAAGCAGGAAACAGCCTGCACGATGAGCATGGACGGGCAACAAGCTAGAGCACAGCGGCGTCACCGTGCAACGCCGGGTACAGAGACGCTTATTCTCTTCCGTGGTCTACATAACAGCCTACTGTATACGATGACAAAATGAGGCAAGAAATGATGTCTTCCAGTCCAGATAGAAAGATGGGGAGCTGAATAGCTGTGCTTGAGTAGGTTACATGCATGCACAAAGCTCATCGTCCAAGTTCCAGCTCCTAGCCCACAGCTCCCAGCTATAAAACAAGAGCTGATCGGCAGTGAAGCTTGAACGGGTGCATGAGGATGGCGTGGGTGGCGGGTCGGGACTCGCTGTACTTTTATAGAATACCATCAGTCTCGCCACGACATCGATGCTTAGTGTGCAGTACTGTACGGTATATCCAGCAGTACGGAACGTAAACCGGAGACGGTAAATGGTAAAGTACAAAGACCCAACCATCTGCGGCAAAAGCATCCTTGCAGGGGACGGGCGGGACGTCCCAAAGCCGGGTCTGATCGGGCAGTCTGGTTTACAGTGGACACACGGCTGGACTGCATGTAGGGTGTAGTCCTGCAATGCGCTGCACTGCACGGCGAGTGCATTGTACAGCACGGGAGGTGCTCCAGAACCAATCAGTCTAACAAGGCTGCGAACGACGGTTCATGCACGCTTGAGCCTTAGATGGGTCTTGAATTGGACTGTGCAAGTCGGAAACTGTCGCCGTGGGTTGAGATGGTTTGGGTAGGAGGTTGAGCGTGGGTTGGTTGGGTTTGAGATGGTACATACTGTACTGTATCTCGATATGTAGGGTACAGGGAAGCTGAGACAAGACGAAGCCAAACGCTCGAGCTCACGAGGATGGGTATCTGTGTCGGTGTACATGTACAGTACCTTGTTCCCGATGTGCATGACGAGAGTCTCACTGTCATTGGTGAACCTGGAGTGGGTTTAGTATTGATCGTTGTGTTTCGCGGAGCGAACTCATCATTCCGGCAGGGGAAGGGCAAGGGAAGCTCGGGACGGGATCATTTTTTGCTTTGTACGCCCAATGAACGGGCAGCGGTGAGAGATGCTGTAGAGAGTGAGAGGTTCCAGTATGCAAGGGAGTGCAGGCGGCGCACGGGTCCAAGAGTGCAGTCAAATCAAGCCCAGTTACATTGCACAATGAGCTCAGGGTTCACCAAAATGCCACTGTGAGTACGGAGTACTTCGTACAGTAGTCCAACTGTGAGCAGACAATCTCATCACATGTGTAACAGGTTCTCTTCCGATCTGGGCTGCAGGAGAATCGAAATGCACCCGGGGGGAGACTTGACGACAGACAAGGGACTCGGACACCGCCACTCAGGTGCGCCACAAGGGGGGGCAAGTTGATCTGTCACAGAGCTCTATAGTACCAGTCTTCATCCTCACCGAAATACTCCGAAACAGCAGGCTAGGCAACAGGGGGGCATAGTTAATTGGAGATCAGATTGGTAAGTCGATCATTCTGAGACAATCTTCGGGGATGTGTCGTCGATCAAAACTAGTCCAAATGAAGCAGTGGTAACTGTCGGGAATTTCTTTTCTTTTTCTCCTTTTTCACACTCACAGGATTTGAGATTTCCAGCGCAACGGTTCACCTCAGATCCAATAGTCCAATGGAGTCAAGGGGTCAGTGCGAACTGCATGATCTACCCAGGGGGTAGATCCTCTGAGATCTCCATTGTTACGGTGCTGGACATGTACATGGCTCGGGACTTCTCGGTCGAGCTCGATATCAAACTGGTCCACATCCCCTTGGTTGCTTGGACCTGGTGCCCAATGAAGTATGCGACTATACTACAAACACGACATTACAGTACTGACACAATGGGACAAAGTACAGCTGATGGGACAGAACCGGGATATCAACTTTGGAACGCCACAGCATTGACGCTTTCTTCCGCACGCTCGTTCTCGGAAATAGAAAGTGACGATCAATCCTGAGAGGCGCCGTGCAGCACCTTGAATCCGAGCTGTGATGGTCGCCGTCACACGGCATTTGACGCTGCGGAGACTTGCCCAGCACGCTATTAGGGCGAACAAAGTTTGTGATGAGCTCAAGGCCACGTTTTGTGCTCTGATCGACGTGGACCCCCCCCCCCCTCCTCGTCTCCAAGGTCTCCACGACGGACTTGAGTGTTTCTCCGGGGAGGAGAGAGGGTGTTTTGGGTGTTCATTCTGGTCCTAGACCTGGCCCTAGCACCTCCACTGTCACTCCCGATTTGTATTGGCTGATCAGCCTTGGAACGTTGGCAGTTCGGGCCCGATCATTGTCCGTAGAAAAAAGGAGGTCGATCACTAGGGAGGGGTAACTCCGTTGGACCGGGTCATTGTTGGATATCTTGAAAGTGGTTCTACCCAATGTGCCGAAGCAGGGATGAGGCATTAGGCTCTACAGTACAATCTCGCCTCCCGTATCATCGTGGTGAGCTCATTCACCTGCTGACTCCATCGATTTGACTTTGGTGCCTATCTTGAACGTTTTGCTGTCAATAGTTCTCAGGGGATTGGATATGTTCCATGGTAGTCTGTCAGCCGAGCCGCGTTTGTCCCCCGCCCCGTGTAGTCTAATCAGCGGCAACATCGTATAATAGTTATAACCGTATGCTGTGACGGAACTTCAGCTGTCCACCGTACGTTACCCCAGTGGTCACTGCACACGGAGTACAGGCTCCTGTACGTCCGGGTTCCCGGAACGAGTGCAGCGATCTCCTTTTAGTGCATGTTAAGGGGGCAAAGTTCAGACCCCTCGTGACTTGCTTGCATGGAGCCTCTAATTCCAGGACGTTTAGCGCTGGACAGGGGCCAACCGGGGAGTCGGGAATCACCAAGCCTGTCGATGCCTGAATCTGGGCTGAAATTAAAAAATAATAATAAAAAAAGGTGAAAAGCTCGGCAGATCCTTGAAGTGATCGACGGGGATCTGTCGACTATTGATGTTTAGTGAGTCTTGGCTGACTGCCATGCGCCCTCACTAGGTTCAATTCGTGCTAGCGGAAAGGGGAATGTTCAGACACGGGGAAATCAGGACATCGGGACTTGGTCATCTGGAGATAGCTTCACATCCGTGTGTTTCCACAATCAATAGTGGGCAAGTGTGTCGGTTCCGTTCGATCCCAGTCGTGGAAGGAGAATCTGGGAGTGTCTCCTGTATGGGTTTGTGTGGCATCGCCACTTAGCCGAGCCCTCACATGGTCACTTCACAGATAATAATATACCTGAGACGACTACCGGGTACCATACACTGCCCCCGATACACTAATGCAGGAACTCGGAATACGGCCCTGCAGATATGACGCCAGAGTCTGATAGGTGAATCTGTGAATGTGTGAATTGTGTGAATCTTGGGAACTCTGGAAATCGTCGGTTCCGCGGGTTTGTTCCCGAGTCTCCGCAGTCAACCTTGGATCGTTTGTTTACTCGACTTTGATATCAGATCGTAGAAGAAGGTGCTGTTGTCACGTCTGTACGGTATACACTGTATAGAACGAGCATGGACTTTGTCAATGTGACCTACCGCCCCCTACTCCGCTTCGACTGGGTCGATTGCCCCATTGGGGCATTTCAGATCTGAGAATTCGGATCTCTCTGGCTTTTCGTTTGTGGATTTAATTTGATTTTCACAAGATCCTATTAAATCATTGGCATCCCAGAATTCGCCAATATTCGGATTCTTATTATAACCCTACTGTACAGTACACATCGGTTCACAGACCTTGGACCTTTCTTACCACCCGTTACCGGACAATACCCGTTCCTCGCCCAATTAAACATCGGGATCAGACGTCACTGTACCGCCCCTTACCAGATCCCCCCCCCCAGGCTCTCTCCATCTTCTTTTCCTCTCTCTCATCTCTACTCTACTCTACTCTACTCTCTCTCTCTTTCTTTGCTTTTTTGTTCTCTTTTTGTCACCGACCCCAAGTCTCTCCTTAAACACCGGGTATCATCACAGTCTTTCTTTTCTTTTTCGTGTGATTCCCCTACTGTCACTCCTTTACCTGCAGAGGGTTCTTTTCTTCCCTCCCCTCCCCCCAATATCGCATTCCCGCATTCCGATCTTCCACTTCATGATATAGACCTCTATCCCAAATCACCTGCCACTTTCTCGTGCGCGACCTTTAGTACACTTTCTCTCTCCCAATCTCTCTTACCGTTCTACCTCACCATGAGTTACATTCATCCCTCATGGAACTATCAGGGCCATCAGGCTATCCCGATGGACCAACACATGGCATATGATCCGTCCATGGTACCTCCCCCGATGATGCACCCGATGGATGGGTACATGTACCCTCACCCACCAATGGAGATGATGGACTACTACCACCAACCGATCATGGACTACGACGAATACACAGAAAACCTGTCGCGACCACGGTTGACCAAGGAACAAGTCGAGACGCTCGAGGCACAATTTCAGGCTCACCCCAAGCCGAGCAGCAATGTGAAGCGTCAACTGGCAGCTCAGACAAATTTGAGCCTGCCGCGTGTGGCAGTATGTAGTGGAATCCCCCGTGGAGTCGCAGTGAAATCTAACGTCGTCGCAGAACTGGTTTCAAAATCGTCGCGCCAAAGCCAAGCAACAGAAACGTCAGGAAGAATTCGAAAAAATGACCAAGGCTAAGGCTGAGGCCGAGGAGGCGGCCCGTCGGAAGTCAGAAACCTTGGAACAGCTATCAGAGTCTCGTAAAGGATCGATCGTCCAGGAGGAAGACAAGGCTGCTACTCCCAAACCGACATCTGCATCAAGCCACGCCAAGACAGATTCCACTTCCAGCCGCTCTAAGCACCACAAGACAAAGAGCGAGTCAGCGCGAGAGGCAACCTTTGCGTCCCTGCAGCGGGCGCTGAATGCCGCCTGTGCCGCCCGGGATCGATTTGGTCGCCGGATCAACCCCCGGGGGAAGAACGAGCCTGGTGTCGAGGAAGAACCGGTGTCGCCTGGTTCCATGCCACCACCAAAGTCGGCTTCCCCTCACAGTGGTCTTGCCAGCGTCAACTCTTCGTTTAATGGCTGGTCTGATATCAAGGAAGAGCCAGTATGGGAATCCAGAGAGCATGATCAAAACATCGGATACACGTCGGCAGAGCAGAGCTCGTATTCCGCCCCCCAACCAATGGCCGAGATTCCAGGGTCGTCCCATGCAGTGCAACATAATGTGGACACCTACTCAAGTCACCTGCCGCCTCATACGGAAGAATGGTCTGAGGACAGGGATGGATCTGACCCTAACCTGATCTACAGTAACATGCAGTACCCAATGTCCATGCAAACCCCAGATATCTCCGTGACCCGCCGCGAGTCTTCTGATGCGCTGAGCACGTCGTTGGAGGGTATCGGGATCTGCACTGGTCAAGCCGGAATGCCTGAGTCTGTCAATCGGGTTGAGGGATGGAAGGAGCCGGGCAAGGAGTTGGATATCGCTGCTCGACGCAAGCGTCCCCGTCCTGCTGCCATTGGCACTTCGGGCACTCGTGGTCTTGCCAACTCAACTTCCATGTCTGCGCTTTCACCTGGTGCCCGCATCCCTAGCTCCGGTGCCGGCAACTCAATGAGACACTCCAAGTCCACTCAGAGCCTCAACTCACGATACGCCGGTGTTAGAAAGGTCTCTGCTGCCCAGCGATCCCCTCTGAACTTTACATTTGCCGAGTCTGGGTCTCTCAAGAAGGCCGAGCAGATGCTGCGTCCCTCGGTCTCGACGACCACCTTGGCTCCTCCGACTCCCTTGACTCCTCAAGATCTCCAGCACTTCATGCCCGCCTCTCCCACCGACAGCAATTATTGCATGTCAGCCCACTCCACCACTCAGTTCTTCCCTACCTCTCAACCCATGCAAGTGAACATCGCCTCCCCGCCCACCACCCCGCTGGACATCTACTCTCCCTTTCCCTACCAAAACGTGGCTCCCCCGATGTCGGCCCCCGCCCACGTCTCCTCCTTTCCCGAGTATGTTACCTGCGGTGAGCCGGTTCCCATGACAGCCCGCAGCTGGGCCGACACCGCCTCCATTTCCTCGCCCGAGTACCCAGCCGGTCTCCAAGTTCCCCATTCGAGCACCGTCTCCCCGATGGGCTACGACGCGACCACCGACCACACCGGGCATTTCGGCATGGAGCCCGTTTCCGGCTCCCCACCCTTGATCTACTCGATTGATGCCGACATGCCCACCTCGGGCGAGCTCGCTCAGAAGCGGGCTGATTTTATGATGCACGAATACCCGGAGCATGATGGCCACTTCAATGGTCATTTGCCGATGCAAAAGCCCAAGGCCTTCACCTTTGCCAACAACACGACGCCAAGTAACTACCCATCCTAGTCTCTTGACCTCTGATGGATGTATGAGAAATGTGCGAACTGGTGTTTGGCCCGGGACGAGTTCACTACGCATAAAATCCCCTCCCCCTTCTGTTTATTCCACCTTCATTTTTCCACACTCTACGGAGTAGCACTGTCACTTTACGTCCCTTATATACTTATTCTCTTTTCGTGTTTCTTTTTTTGAGGGTGGTCCCACCGGAATTTGTTTACATATTTGAAGCTTTCCTTGCATGTTGTTTATTGGCCTGGGATTATACTTACTGTTATGGTTTGGTGTCTGATACTGTACGACCTTTTAATTTCGCCGAGTTTTCCAGTGATCCATTGGAACTCGAGACTTCATTTCGTTTATTTTTTTTACCTGATTATCTGGGTTTTGTTGCCCGGAATTGGTGGGCTTTGGGCTTTTTGGAATTGGAATTGGATTTGCATATGGCAGCACTTGGTTATTTATTTCGTCTTTGATACATACACATACCACTGTCCCGTCTCTATACTATCACCTTGGTCTCCAATTCTTCATGTAACGTTGAAAAATTCAAATGATGTTAAAAAGGGGCCGAGTTAACCATTTACCCGCCAAATCCCCGAGATCCCAGGAAATAACGATCTTCCAGCACACGGCTGGGGCTTTACCGCGATTGGTGGAGTCTGGTGGTTTTCATACAACACTAAGACATGAGACAGTTAGCAGATGTTAACCAAATCACACTAAACAATAGCCTCACTACCGAAGAACACTGACGCAGCACTAACGGAGACGCACGTGTTGGCGACCATAGGATATCCGCGCCGGGGAATGCGCCACAGCAACGTCTGCCATTCCCCATTTTCTTCCATCGCAACGTCCACCCGGAACACGTGGGAAGGAAGCTTGAAAAGTATAAAGAATCAACATTCCGCCGATCTAATCCTGTTTATGAATGCCTTCTGGACTATTCTCGACCATTGAATTGCATATCCCCGCGTACTCCGTGATCCTCGGCTTTTGGTCCTCCCAACTCTAGTATGAAACTCTCCACTCTCGGCTCAGCCCTTGTGGGCCTGACTGCTGGTGTGGTTCACGCGTCGGCCGTTTCGACTGCTGCGACTGTGGAATATACGACTGTCACTGGGTATTTCCTTCAGGATGAGGATGCGACGGATGCGAGTACTTTTGATTATGTGAGTTGATGTTACTGTCCTAGCTTCCTCGATAATTATCTGAGAGCAGATCGAGGCACAATGGGGTTGATCTATGTGATGTGCTTTAATGTATAACTTATATGTTATATACATTGACTAACACTGTCACAGACAGCAGTAAACTTCGGTCTGATCAATCAGACCTATCCCGCCGATTCAAAGCTCAAGAACGCGGCCTCCTTGTCTCAATGGGAGCGTTTCTACCATCAGGTCCTCAAGCTCAACCAGGAAGCCGGTGATAAGGTCGAGTACAAGGTCCTCTTCCTCGGCAGACATGGCGAGGGATGGCACAATGCCGCTCAAACATACTATGGAACCCCAGCATGGAACGTAAGTCTCACAATCCACCCAGAACATCCCGCCCCCCGACGTCCAACCCAACATCCAAACTAACAAAACACCACCAACAACAGTGCTACTGGGCCGAACTAGACGGCAACAGCACAGCCAGCTGGGCCGATGCAACCCTAACAGAAAACGGCATCGACCAAGCCCTCGTAGCCCACAACTTCTGGGCCTCCCAAATCAAAACCCAGAACATCCACACCCCAGACGTATACTACGTCTCCCCGCTCACACGCACCCTCCAAACAGCAAACTACACCTTCAATAACCTCGCCCTGCCAAAAGGAGCAACTCCCTTCAAGCCCACCATCAAAGAACTCTTCCGCGAAGGAATCAGCATCCACACCTGCGACCACCGCCGCAGCGCCACCTACATCAAGTCGCTCTTCCCCTCGTGGCCCCTCGAGTCCGGCTTCGTCGAGGAAGACCCGTACTGGAACGGCGTGGAGGGCGAGACGAGCGGTGCGCAGGATGTGCGCAGCACCATTGCCCTCAACGAGGTGTTCTTCGGCACCAAGGGCAAGGTGCAGCACGAGCAGCCGTTTGTGTCGGTCACATCGCACTCTGGTGAGATTTCCTCCATCCTTCGTGTTGTGGGCCATCGCACGTTCAGCTTGAATACCGGTGCTGTTATTCCGGTTCTGGTTAAGGCGGAGAAGATTGGGAAGGGCGCTATTGCTGCTCCTACCACTACTGTTGCCTGGGAGGTTAGTCCCCATTGTACCGAGCCGCCGGTTACTTCGGTTTCTGCTTGTGTTTGTCCTTCCAGTGCGGCTCCTGTAACTACCGCCCTTGCTACTGGGTTTTAGATAGTCCTGGTGGCTTTGTTTGAGTATGGTGGTGGTGTCTTATTGGGGTTGTTGCTATGTACTAAGATTTATTTTGCTCGTTTTGTTTGTTTAATATGATATTGTTAGACATGTATGTCAATACTCTTATCATCTTTTTGCTTGTCGTTTGCCGGTATCTAATTAGTCTGCCTTCTCGGATCCATTATTCTCATCAATCGTTTCTTTTCTTCTTCTTCTTCTTCTTCTTCTTCTTCTCCCTATCGAAGAACTATGTTTCTAAAAAGTGACTATATTAAAGAACACGGACTGGTGTACGAAGTAGAACTCATACCCAGTCTCACTAAGACAATCACACTTCATCCAAATTAACAACTCTCTCCTTATATAACGTTATATTACAATCTTTGAGAATAAAATATCTCATTCATCACAACTCCTTTCTTTTCTGTATATATATCGAATAAATTCAACTAAATCCACGAAGAGGTTCTACCCTCCACACCACGCACAACCAACGTACAAAAATCAACTCAACCGCGCAAATGATCCACAAGAGATCACAGTCAGTAAATAATCTCCAAAAACAAAAAAGAAGCGTCCCCGGGAAGGCTCGAACTTCCAACCTCCTGATTAACAGTCAGACGCGCTAACCAATTGCGCCACGGAGACTTGCTTGTGGCAAAATCAGCGGCTGTGTGTGCTATGAGTGGAGACACGTTGGCGCTGGAAGCATCGATTTGCTGTGGGTCCATTGTGTGTGGGCGATTATTTGGGACATTGGGAGAGTAAAGATGTTGAATCCTTTGTGTTTGGTTTTCTTTCGGTGGGTTGGTATCAATCTGAAAGTCATGTTGAATATCTTTCTAGTTGGTGGACTAGATATCCCAGTGGTGATATTGACCAGGCGTGGCTTTTTCTTTTGTTTGCCATACCTTTTGTTGTATAAGAGCTTTTCTGAGGCTGTTACAATGGGCAGATTTGATCTCTGTTGAGCCGTACAAGGAGTCTAGTCTAGTCTAGCGGTGGGTATAGATCGCGAGAGAGGGGAGAGGGAATGGAGAAAACATACTTGGTGGTTCAATTTTGGTTTGAAGAAAAAAATCCGAAACTAGTCATGTTTCGGCTCTTGGGGCAATGAGGTTCGACAGACTTAGGGCAAAACTTCAATGAACACTTTATGTTATTCAAGCCTTGGTCTTCAGTACTCTTCCAGGAAACCCCAGCTTTCTCATATATCACACTTAGCCTGAATTCAGGACTCCCTCCATCTCCTAGACATCCATGGATCTTGCACTATATCCCTATACTACATAAGATATTTACAATACCTTTCTCTGAGACAGGAGGCAGTCATTATCTTTAGAAGATAGACCGCTCAATTGAGCTCAATTGGCCTACTGTCGCTTAACTCATTATTGACTGTACCGGCTACCAATTTTTATGTATAACCGACGAACAGCTATGTGACGTAAAGCTTGAGATTAGACGAGTGAAACTTATACAACATTATCAATTATTCGATTCTATTTTTCTCCAACACAATAACCTTATAAAGGTAATTGCTCGAAGGAAAATGCTCCTACGGGCTCGTTCTATTTGCAACCCAACTGCTAAACAACACAGACGAATCAGTGCAAGGATATACGTACCAGTGGTAATAGATTGGATTTATGCGCCTGGAACTACTACGCAGATATCTGCGAATAAAGGTCAATAAAGACCTGGACATGTACAATTTCCAAGTTGGAGCAAGGCCTGACCCCAGCAAACCAGTATATTTTCTCTTGTCTTATATATCACCAAAATCCGCAGATCTTCAACAAGCACGTCTCCGTGGCGCAATTGGTTAGCGCGTCTGACTGTTAATCAGGAGGTTGGAAGTTCGAGCCTTCCCGGGGACGTTCATTTTTTGTTTTTGTCTTATTATTCAATGGATGATTTAATTTTTTTGGGGGGAATGCCATGAGCATTATTTGTTTCTGGATTTTTTTTTTTTCTTTTCTTAAATTTGAGAAAGTCAGATTTGTTTGGTAAACTCAATCTGTAACCTCCCGGCATTTTCCAGTGTCGTGGGTTGCCGACAGAAAAGCAGGTTAGTCATGAACATCAGCTAGGGTTTTGAGTAATGCACTGATACTATTATTGTATTAACTATAGTGATACTCTGGGTTTATGTGGAAGATTGTTTCTACTTTGGATGAGGCTGCATGTTGAAGCTGCTCCCAGATAGCTCTTATGGAAAAGCTTTTGCATGTGCTTTTCGTGCTTTCTGTTTAGACTTCATGTCGTCTGTTTCCGGTGGAAATATTGGAATCCCATTGAAGGACTACTGCATCGATTACTTTACTGATCTACTCGGTTTTGACTTGCTCGGGCTAAATATACCTTGCCTATAAGCGAGGAGGAAGAGATACCCGCATGGCGCTGCTACTTAGTGACTTCGCGTGCTATAGTCTTGGGCTCATGTGACCCTCCTCGATGGAACAACATTAAGTCTCTGTGTTGTTTGATTATACGTACCCTTCAGTGCAGTGCTATGTATGCTTTGTCGTCTATGATGCTCCCGCTGTGAAGGACCACCGGGAAGTAACCGGGTACTCTCTATATGCACCTAGTAAAAAAAGAAAATAGCCTATATCTTGACTAAAACCCATCGCAAATGCAGTCTTATGCTGGATTCATCCAATCTTGTTAGTGTACCATTCATTTATTCGCCATTTGTGGATTGCTGGGTGATCAACTCAAGTTGTGGCTGGATCATGGCTAGGCAGGTTATACTGTAAGGTTCGTGGTATCTAGGCAGTCGGAGCCTATACATGGGACTTTAGGCTCGTCTTGCCTTGTTTGCAGGGGATTTGATTGTGTGTGGTGTTCTGTCGGTCTTGATTTTTTCTTTGTCGACCTCGTATTGTGGTCTACTTTGGTTGGTCGAAGTATAAGGGCTGGTTGTGATTACCCTTTCGCGTATTAGTATTAAAATTGGCTTTTGGGCCATCTCAGTAATTCAGCCTATGTGAATAGACTCTGTTATATGTACTGGTCTGTTGTTTGGTCCACGTCGTGGGCTAGTTCATCGGCCTATGTCATTCTGCGGTTTGTCGCATGGTAATGTCTACTGGGCGTATAGAAACCACAGCTAGCCGATATTCTATTCCTATTTATAATGGGGCTTGGTTTGATATGAATTATGCTGACGGTGGTGAGTATCTGCTTGATTTTCAGGGGAATTTGCGTGTAGTCGTGACAGTATATTGGTGCTATACATATTGAAATGGGATAGCGCGATGGCAGTCTGGTCAAAGCAGACGGGTCGACAATAGCAGTAGGAGCATAGGCAAGCCCAACAAGAGGTAGGGCTATAGGAAAGGAGAGCACATAGGGATGGTCTGAAGAGAAGAATGTGTCTGTCTTGTTCTACGTAGAGTAGAGAGGTCTTAAATACATCATGAGTGCTGAATCATCCATAGACCGCTACTTCATGCAGTAAGCAATTCCCCCACTACAATATATATATTCTGTTATGAGCCCTTGATGTCACATTCGATAAGTTATGCCTTTTTATGTCAATTTTTTTGGACCCTTCTTTTGGTATAAGAAGAACTTCTCAATATAAAGCTCAATATTAGTTACTAAGAAGATGGACTAGATATCCCAGGAAACTAGGGTAAGTGTTTGCAGCTTTTTTGGTACATTGATTTGAAATTCTTTTATATTACAAACACACCTCGAGTTTTTCATCAAGCAAGTCTCCGTGGCGCAATTGGTTAGCGCGTCTGACTGTTAATCAGGAGGTTGGAAGTTCGAGCCTTCCCGGGGACGCTTCTTTTTTGTTTTATTTTTTGTGGTACCCGTTCGCACTTGTCTATGACTGGGACACACGCCACACAATAACAATGGAAGTGCTGTATTCCTCTCAAATATTTCTTAGGTGCCCCAAAGCCCCAATATAAAAGAGAACTGCCCCCATCTATCAAAACCTAGGAAACCAACTGGGCTAGTATGCAGAGTATCATAATAGTCAAAAGTCCTGGGGTTTAAAGAGCGTCTTTTAAGCAAAGATCAAATCAAACAAATATCGGTCTTTTGCAGAGTAACCTGACCCCAACCGTTGCAATACTAGGAGACCAGACAATGAGCCATAGAGTAGATAGGTCATATATCTACTACCAGTTACCATCAACCTGGAACTAGACCACCTAGGCCAAGGAAAAAAGACAGAATATAAGACGAGAAAGCATCTCGGATGCCAATTTGATGCGAGAAGTAAGAGTAGACTGCAGAAGTGGACTCCAGAGAGGTAGGAACAAACACACCATGCAGAGGTAATGCAAGATAGAAAGAGCAGCCGAAGATGAAATGAAGAAGGCGAAACCACGAGTCTCGATCGAGACGGTAATACACAGATAATAAGATAGCACACAGAAAAACAGAACGAGTTAGAAACCAATACACAGTGGAGATGCAAGTGAACACTGAACACAGACTTCTCCGAACAGTCAAGAGATAATCAGACGTCTCGGTCAAGGTACAAGGACAAAGAAACTAGACCAAATTTTCAACGACCATACACACACTTCTATCGACCATGTATAGGGCTGAAATAGAAACGCACAAACTCATAATCTTGTAACACTCTGTCCAGATAGTAGCATCAACGCCAAATTGATCAAAAATCAAAAGAGAGAGCAAAAATAAAAACGCCACTCAAGACACTCCAGGTAAAATAACAACCAGGTAGGTACCTTGATCACGTACAACTCAACAAAGGGTATAGGAAGATTGGCCCAGATAAACATTAACCGAAGATCCTTCACACCATAGGATGCAGTGAAGAATGCAGAGGAACACTGGAACATCAGAAAAAAGGGGAGTAAGTCAGATACGGAAGAGAAACGCAGAGGACGAAAGCATGGCAAGAAAATGGTGTCATAGACGATGCTGTAAAAGCCAAGGGGGGAAGAAAAACACCAATCTAAACAACGCTGATTGCAACCTAGTAACCCCATCCGCTGCCACCAAGTGGGCTACCAGACTGGCCTGGCTGAGGCTGTCCGGCTTGTTGTTGCATCGGCCCACCAGGTCCAACCCATCCAGGCATACCGGCGCCTCCCATGCCCATTGCAAGACCCGCCTGTTGGGGGTTTCCAGTCATGTAGGGCTGACCACCAGGAGCCTGATTCGAAGGGTACATAGGTCGCTGTTGCATGCCTGCATAACCGGCTGGTGTGCCTCCAGGATAGCCGCCCATGCCTTGCATACCCTGAGGCTGGGCCTGCTGTGCGTGTTGCATCTGAGGGAATGACTGTGGCATTTGCGGTATTGACTGACGCTGCTGGTTCCGAGGAGACTGGTGGTGCTGTTGCTGCTGTTGTTGCTGCTGTTGCTGTGCATGGAGAGGAGAGGGTGATTGCTGGGGAACCCCGGCCATTTGTTGACCATACTGAGGCATACCGACGCCCTGATGACCAGAAGAGGGCAACGGAGAGGGCTGTGGTTGGGGCGGTGGCTGTCCCCACATTTGCTGCTGCTGAGATGGATACCCGTAAGGTGGAGGCTGAGCCATACCGGTAGACATAGACGGGTTCGATCGTTGATGCATCATACCGGGTTGCATACCCGGAGGCATCCTGAGAGGAGATTGTCCAACGGCTTGGTGAGGCTGCGAGTAGCCTGGTTGGCCGCCCATCATAGCATTTTGGTGCATCGAGGCTTGCATCGAAGGCTGTTGAGCCATTACATGCTGAACATGCGAAGGGTTTTGCATGCCACCAGGGGGCATATGGGATACCTGGACTGGCTGGGATACAGACAAGCCCGAATCAAGAGCGGTACTCGATTGAGGCTCAGTTTCAGGGGCCTCTCGGGGCCTCGAGTAAAATTCATCAAGACCCTTCTGGCGGAAGCTGCGCTGCGAGCTCAAAATCTTGTTGAAATCAGCAGTATGCGAGGCTTGGTTTAGAAGCTCTGCTGCCGAGCTAGTTTGCGTCCGGTCATGGTACGGTTGTCCGGTCATTTCTTGACGGGAGCGAGGCATGACATTGTAATCACGCAATCTAGGGTCATCCGTTGTTGCCATCTGAATCATCGGGAGAGACGATAAGGAAACAGAAGCGTCACTGGCACCAAGCGAAAGACCAGGAGGCAACGGCTCGATAGTACTGCTGTAAACAACATCGTTATGGGGAAGCGCCGGTAACAGGTTAGTAGTAGGTTCCGTAGTTGTGCCATCCCTAGTCTTGGCCGCGCCAGGGCGCTTCTCGCCTGCCAGGTCATCCTCCGTGAAACCCTGCTTTCTTGCCTTGCTCTCCCAGTAATCATCCCGAACCCGACGGCCATTCACGATCACCCGGCTTCCGAATTGTCGGAACATGGATCTGGCGGAAACGATGGCAATTTGACGGGACCGGTAAGAATAAGGGAGAATATCTTGCTGGATGAGGTCGTCCTTCTCGATCTGAGATGCTATGATCTTATGTAAGGACCGATTTTTGTTGAACAAAAGATATGAATCGCGATAGTTCAGCACCCTCGCGCATTCGGTCGCAAGCATGAACAACTTGTCACCACGGAGGGGAACACGGAATGTCCGGCATTTGTATTCGCGACCACCCTGTGGGTATCCCATAGGGTCTGCCTTTGTCTCTCCTGCTTCATCGAATTCCTTTGGAATATACTCATCGCCCTCTGGATTCAGTTGGTCGGACGTATGATCCCTCACGGTAGGTAACGCTTTGATCTGCGACTTTGACGGGGTAGTCTTATTTTCCGGGGGTGAAGCAAGAGAAGGTGACCCGGCGGTTGCTTGCGGAAGTGGACGAGCTTGCATTTGGGGTGTTTGTGTGGGTGTGTTGGCGACAGGTTGTTCGCTGGAACCTGCGCGAGGAGTCTTTGGGGGACGACCGCGCTTTCGGCGACTTTGCTCATCTAGAGATATATAAGTTAGTACAAATCACGAGAGACCCCAGAAGCTGTGTGATAGAACAAATAGGCAGGGATTGCCAAGCTAAAGAAAAGTATGAATGGAGCGTATTGATAACGTCTCCCCCGCCGCGCACATACCATCATCCAGATCTCCTTCGACATGTCCATTTCCACTGTGTTCTGGAGTGCGACTACGCTTGACACCACGGGGACTTGTAATGGGATGGGATTTTGCTGGTAAGACAACAGATACTAGTAGGGTATCAGTTTGAAAGCAGCGACGGGGGAGTGATACAAAATAAATGGGCCGACAGCGAATGCGATTCACAGAGGTCAGGAACAGGGCGCGGATGTGAGATACGATCGCGAGGTGAATGGAGAAAACAACCAAGGCGCGCAAAGGGCAGGGTAGCATAGACAACACATACCAGAGTTGCTCAAGTTCGCGGGATCGATAGTCCCCGAGCCATCAATGGAATCCTCCAAACCATTCATTGTAGATAGGGAGTGAGCTGTGCCATACATGGTTCAAATCGCCCGTCGCAAATGGCGCGTCGGGATGAACGCGCAACGAGGCCCTGAAGAGGGAGTGGCGCAAGAGAGGACTTTTGGCCTGAGATCAGCGGATAGGTCGAGTGCAAGGAGCTTTGGGGCTGGGTTCGTTCGGATGAACTTGGGAGGGGAAGGACTTGAGGCGGTGAGCGTGGGTGGCCTGAGAACTCAGGGGTCAACGGCAAGATATACACTAGAAGTCAAGGCTTCTACTGCACTTTGCACTTTCTTGTCTTTATCGGGGAGGAATCCAGTCGCAAGGGGAAACAAAGGGTGTGACTATCTTGTGATTGGTCTCGAGAAGCAGAAGAATGAGACTTAATGTCTTCTGCGAGAAGCCAAAGTGGCGCCGAATCAGAAAAAAGACCTATTTCTGCACGCAGATGCCCCGTGCTCTTGGGAAGCACCGAAAGCAAGTATTTGGATATCAAATCCAGCAAAATATACACAGCCCAGATTGGGGTTCTGGGTTGTTGACGAAGATTGGTACTTTCGGGCCCCCGGGGCAATAGGATCGCAATAGAAGCGGATATGGATCACCCCTTCCAGATCTGGAGAGGAAACAAGAATCTTTTTGTGATTCTCTAGGCGCGGATACGGCGCCAGGGTTTGAACAGGGCCAGGACAAGTGAGATCATCCACGGTGGAACCCGACTGCAGCCTAAGCCTCAGAATGCCTTTCTTTTGCTCTTTTGACTCCGACTTTTGACTTCGGGATTCAAGACGGACGATGTTCCGAGGTGGCACAGTGATCGAATCCTCAATATGGGTTGAGCAGCACGGAGGACCCTGCGTCTGGGCAACAAAGAGAGGGGTCTACAGCAGGAGGCAACCGAGAGAAACAGAATAGAATAACTAAAAAAGAGGTGCAACGGTAGCACAAGAACACAAGGCTTTTTCAAATCTCCAAGTCACTTTAGGGCCAATCACGAGATCGATCACACCTGAGGTATTGGTATTGTCCGTGTATTTGTATATTCGGAATTTGATATTTCCATGCTGATCGTTGGAGAAGGGCGGCTTAGGTACGGATATAAAGCTAAAGAACCCCCTCGATCAGGGTTTAATTATCTCGCCTTTCTAGTTCAATCCTGAGACTCCCTCATCATAGCAAGGGCCAAAGCCTAGTCACTGTGATAGGCCTCTGATAAGGCCATGATCGTGTCTATTTAATCTGGATTCCAGCACAGTGTAACTCCAGGCGTCCCCCAAAATGCCAGCCCGATGAGGTTATGAAAAAAGTAGGAAATGCGAGTGAAGAGAATGGCAAATCGAGCTCAAAAATGCAGATGACCTTATAGAAGCGAACAGAGACGAATCTCATGCCAGGAAATATGCATGTCTGCGTCGGCTAATGCAACATGCAGGTGCGGAAGGTCCAATCCGGAGTAGAGCAACAGAGATATGCGCGGTCGGATTATATCGGGTTGGATACTAGGGGTTCCTAAACCATAAGAACAAAGGACGCTATCATATTGTCTGAGTCGTTCTGGCAGTTCAAGCTCTCCAAGTCTTTCCTGCCTTTGTGTCGATTTTTGATAGTTCGGGCAACGATTCCCCGGACAAGACAACGAGGGGCCATAAATTAAAATAAGAAAAGGGACCGAGGGGACTGAGCTCCGGCTGCACCTTGTCAGATTAGCAGGACCTCGGAGCCAACGACCATTTAGAACTAGTGCTTTATGGGTGAAGATAGGCGGGGATATGTTCGTAGAAGACTTGATTTGGCCCGAAACTTTCAGTTTCATTTAGATATCATGCAGTGCATAAGTTATCTCGTAGTTTCAGGAAAATGAGAAGCAAGCCGTGGTTAAATTGAAAGAAGATAGCCCTATACGTCCCATAGTATAGATACCATGTCTCTCGTTCATGTCGTAAAACTAGTGCCTTTTCAGACCAGACCAGGAGTTATGCAAGCCAGGGGATCAACCTGTGATTTGTTCAAAACCTAGCAGATGACCAAAAGAGAGGCTATTGACGGGAAGAAAAGGTCACTTGAGCGGGAACTAGGGAGTCGATCAACGGTCCATGCGCGAAATAGAATACCCTATACTGGGCCAATCAGCATTAATCGAACTTCCATACGACGGTATTGACTATGTCGACGCTGTCGCCGAGCTCGGAATTAAGTATTGTTATACTCGGGGACCGCAACATCCGCAACGGCTGTACGAGGTAGAGCAAGATGTAGGTGGCACAATAACGCCCGTCTTGACATAGGCAGACTGCACCGCAAATATGTGACTGTACAAGGTCCAAACTGGAAATCAGTCAAAACAATATAGAAATATACACCCTGGTCCGGGTTTCACAACAGCCGGCCTTGCATCGCTGCCCTTTCCATGCTCGGCGCCGGCTTTTCTCCCAGTTACACAGATGACAACAAACGCTGCTGCTCTAATAGAGTACAATGGGACTCTACAGTTCAGAATTAGAGACTAGATCTCTTATTGATCACGGAGACTCAATTTAGACCTTGCAGGAATCGATATATGCATTTTAATTGAATATCCAATGTAGTCCACAGTGCCGGATGCAACATGCAGTCATGATTACGACCTCAAATAACGAATCGATGTTTAGTTCATGAGTTATTGACACTGCTATCCAGGCGTTTGTATTGTTTACGCTACGTAAGGCTACATTTTCGCTAATTTGGGCTCTGGCAGAGCACTCAATAATTTCCATTAACCAAGGCCACGCCCTACAAATAGGTACCACATAGACTCAAATTACAAAAACGGAGTAATTAAAATCCCAACGCTACATATGACTACTACATTACCGCCACTTAGCTAAATACAAGTCTGGTTCACAATGCGTAGAAGATCATCGCTTCTTTTGTATCCCTTCATTCTCGGGGAACTATGTTTCGACACACGCGGAGCCATTTTCTTGAGACAGACTTTAGATGCTAACAATGATAGCCGGCCGTAACCACGAGTCATTGTAAATGTCAAAGATCAAATGTCCAGCAGCGTTTTTTGCCTTTTACCTACTGCAATATCCGGGTCAAAGTTCAAGAAGTTTCTTTCTGGATGCAACAGCGACACCAAATCTTTAGCAGCACATTTATGCGCATATTCCAGCCGTAAAATCTAGTTCTGACCGGGAGTTTGTACCAGGATGTCTACCCCGGAGATCAACAAACCCCACTGGTTGACAGGCCTTGGAACGGCGGCAGCCTGCGATGGAACGGGCGGCACAGATCCTGACCTATCCTGGAGAATCTTATATCCGTTCATGGGAGTCTCTGGGACAGCCAGTCAGCCATGATTTGCGGGGAAATGTCAAGCAAGCGCTGAAATATAAAGTAAAGTACGCAGGCAATGTCATCACGCGTCACAAACAAGACAGAACGCCAGGGGCCATGGTCAACCTTTTTCCTTATTCGGTATTCCTGAGATGACCCGAAGCGTTGTGCGTCAGGGCCTATGTGTTGTACAGACTCACATATGAACTGTTATCTCCTAGCTTTTGATCTGTCACAGTACACAGACCTTTAGCATGGCTTGGAAGAGGTTCAATGACCGACAGTCCGCTTAAGATTTGATTTTGATTTGATTTTACAAATATACAGGGATGAAGAGTGTCTGTAATTCATTCTGTATATAGCTGGAGGCATAAATTTAGTCAAGGTGTCCTAAGTATGTGTCATTTTAGACGCACAACCCCAAATCAAGTACACCGACTATGATATAATTGGCGCCAGGATTTTGCCTCGGAATCCGAGTGACTCAGGCTGAATTCATAGATCATACGTATATACTAGGCGCGTGGAAAGGCTTATGACCCCTGTTTCAATATTGCATACAGATCTGAGCGGTTGATGAACCCGGGTAACCAAGTTGCCCACCGAGTGGCAAACGAAATACTCATTGGATCCAATAGAGGTGATTAGAGAATGAAGCCAGGGGTTTTGTTGTAAAAGTTGCCTGATGTCAAGTCATAATTCCACAGATACGAGATCTCGGAACGACGGCAGTGGCGCCCACCGACTCCATGTCCTCTGACATCTACTGTATGGCGCAACGGTTCTAGTAAGCCCAGCAATTACATTAGCTGCAGCTGTACGTCTGAATCTGGGAAAATCAACCCTGACACGGCAATGATTGTCACGTTCAAACCCCGGCTTCGTTTAGGCAGTAGCGTGAACGAGGAATGTTTCAGACCGCACCAGGAGCCGGTAGGCGAGGTGCAGTGTGCATGGGGTAAAAATCCCATGACCCAAAGTTTGAGCAGGATCGGCAAAGTGTAAAGTTCTTGAATCTGTAGATGCTCTGGAGCTGGGGAAGTCGTCTGATACGGTGCAGTAGTTGTCGCTGGGGCTTGACGAATCAAAGAAGATTGAAAGGGACTAGCGGGACTAAGAAAGATCTTGAGTCTCTTTCTATTGGGCTAAATGGCCTTTGGCTTTGGTTATACGAGATAGAATAATGGACAACAATCTGGTGAAGGATAGGCACTTATCACATGGTGCAGACGCTAACATACTACAATGTTGGATTGCGCGGTCATCTGACCAAGAACCAAATCATGAATGACAACGCATTCTAGGAGGTCATGGCCAAGACGCTTGAATGTAGGTCTGTGCCTTGAGACGAATGGAAGACAAAGTAGAGATTCTAGAGACCTGAATGATTATGGTGATATTCATCAGAGTGCGCTAAGCAAGATCACTTCTAACGATACATTTGAGTTATCTACTTTATTGAATCTCAGGCTTACATGATCTGAGTTGATTCTACATGTAGGGTCACTAGAATAAAGACAAAATTACTCTATAGAGACCAGAATACCCCCCGAAAAGCTACACAATTATTTCACGGGCTGAGTAACTCGAATCTTATATGATTCATCACGAGCAACATGGATCATTCATGGATTCTTCAAGCCCTACCAAATCTGATTTTTGTTTGTATCAAATGCGACCGCAAGATGTCCAACTCAGTATAAAGATCTCGGCGGGACGGCCGGGCCGAGTCCGAACCACGGTAGGGCGAATTTATGTCAATATAGAATGCTACATCGACAATGGGATTGTGAGACTGTATCAAAATTGGAGACATTGTTTTAACAAAAAAAAACTAGTTATTGTAAAACTGGATTGAGCGTTTGCCCCTTTTCCAATAAAGGAAAGTAGCGTGGAATTTTTGCTGACACGATCCCAAGCAAAAAAAAAACAAAATAAGTTAACGTCAAAAAAAAATAAACCTTCACTAATCAATTGAAATTAGTGCAGTCTGGATATAAGTTACATCGCGAGAGTGACCCAATTCAAGTATTATTGAAAAATATTATAATGGGCTTCAAGCCATTTTTCATGTGATCCCTTAATGACCCTAAAGCCCAGTGAAACAAGAAGCCCAAATTGAGACATCGGGTAAATAACGTCATAAATCTTTCTGTTTCAATGTCAGATAAGGCCCTCAACTTTATTGACGGTCGCTCGTGGTTCTCATAGAAACCGCGGTACGGCACGGACAACATCCGTTGAACTTTCAAGCCTCGAAATGTCGGGCGCCCGCCGCTAGAGTGTATCCATCCCAAAGTAAGATGGCGGTTGCATGGAACCGACCAGACAAAGCAGATATAAATCTGCAGCAGGACGCGAGCAAATCACAATCTGAAACCCAACGCCTCGTTCATAAACGTTTATTAGCTCAACACATGTGAGAGAACTAGTTCGAGCTAGAAGCTGTGGTGGGCCCAGCTACGACGGCTAGCGTGAGAGAGGAACCTGCTTTCCACTGTCCAGCCCTTGGGAGGACATTCTAGACTGGGTTCTTCGGCTTAGTGGCTGCAATAGCCTTGACCAGCACATTGGAAACAGTGGGGTTCATTACTGCAGCGGATCTGGCCATATCTTGATTCTGGCCTCTGGCCGCAGTCGGCTTCGTCAACGGTGTTGCGTCTTGCGCTGCAATTTATGACTGCCTGACTTGTTCTGGATTTCTCTTTGGGTCTGGGCTTTGGGGTTTGAGGTACATGTACTTGTAATCCGTCCCCGGGTTGCTGTGCCGCCCAGCTTACTACAAAGTGTATATCTAGTCAGCCTTTAATAATTGGGGGATAATGGCTGACAAATTTTTCCAGTCGGAGCCATCGGAAAACACCATATTTGCCATTGCCATATTGCCGTCTTTTGAGCGCCAAATCATGGACTAGTGGACTCCATATTAAAGCGCCACCATTTGATTTGTTTGGTTGGTCTCGGCGGAAGGGCTGGGTACAGTCGATTTACAGTAAAGAGGGGTCTGGAGCTTAGCCACAGTCGCACGGGCGGCGGATATTATAACCAGGCGACTCTGGGACTACTGGCCGTCTTCGGCGGATGGACACCTGGCGCTCGAAAGATCGTCAGGAGGGGGAATATGAGTGGGACACCAGTGTGTGGAATGCTAGGAGGGGTCGGTGTACCTGTACACATGTACACACAAGACCATTCACCACATTAGCCGGGGGAAGAGGGTGGTCGGGGAATGTCCAGCAGTGGACCTCTAGGGTTGTCAAAGGATTGAATGCGCGAAGTTAGGGTTTGCTGAGTCACCCTCGCCTTCTGGGCATCCACAACAGAAGCGATGGTTAGAGAAGACGGTGGGAGATCAGGGTAGTTTTAGAGAGAAAGTTGAATTCTATTTCTGTTTGCAGTTGATTCAAGGAAAATAACAACATAGACACGCCTGGTCATTGTCAGTATTATCGTTCGCATCGTGAGACTGAAAACGTTGCCACGGGGGGGGGATGAGGGGGTTCGGATTTCCAGGGAAGGTAATCCGTGGGGATCGTGAGTTTCCCCATGCAACGTTTCTATTTTTCCCTCCCATTTTTTTTGTCTTTTCTCTCTTTTCGCTACAGTGCAGTACTATACAGTAGGGATCCTCACGGATAACGCAAGATAAGCTCCGCAGAAGGGTCCCCACCGAAAAATTTTCGAAGCATCAACTGATCAGAAAACTGGGTCTCTCCACCTGGAGGGTCCGAATATGCCCACCGAGTACAGAGAATTTTCACACCCCCTTTCCACTGTCCCAACTTCCCTCAGAATCTTTCAATTTTTTTTCACGGAAGAATTACAATGGGAACTAAATAGAACACTGATGGTCAATACGGGGTAAAGTTCACGTAACCACAGTTCAACCACGATGTTAGGGTTTCTAATGAATCATATACAACAAGCCACCAAAAGCCAAGGGTTGGCGGAAAAAAAAGGGATCTGGGCCTGACACATCACAGGCCTAGAACCGGTTTCGTGATCTGGTGACACGGCAGAGCGCTTGGACCAGGTTCCCCATTGCACGATCTGCACGTATAAGAATTGCTCCTCTCTTAAAGCCTTTCTCCCGCCTTCTCCTGGGCTCTCTAATAGTTCTCTGTTCCTAAAACTGTGACCTACTCATTCTTCCTCTCTACACTCGACACTCATACACTCAACACCCTTAAACCCCAACCTTTCCATACATACATGGTTGCAATTTTAAAATCGACTCCCCAGCCTCAATCATGAACGCTGGTACCACACAAAGAACACCCAAGACACCAAAGCCCACTGCCTCTGTGCCAATTCCACAAAAGAAACGCTGGCCCCCCATGGCAAACCGCAATGCCCTCCCATACAAGCTCACACATCTCTCCAAGGAGAAGCTTGCCCGTGAAGCCACGGCTCCCGATCCCGACCTGCGCCGCTGCGTGGCTCACTTTCGCCTACACTGTGGCTCCGTGATGTGGACCGAGAACGATATGAAGTCTCGCATCAGCTCATTCGACTTTGAGGACACCGATGAGGAAGATGATCTGGAGGAGATGAAGAACGCCGACCTGCCTATGCCGAAGATCCGCGCCCCGGCCAATGAGCCTCAGATTGAAATCACCAACCAACAAGTCTCCATCAGCACCGAACCGGTCGCTGTTCCTCCTCCCACCGCCTCCCCACCTTCTCCCGAACACTCCAGCGAAAATGGTTTTTTGGAAAAGGGCCGTAACTGTCTGGAGGCAACATCAAAACACCTCTGGACAGGAGGATCATGCATGGTTTCGCCCATCTCGGGTTAAACTGGCGCGATTCTGACGATGCCCTTACTCTACTATTCTCCCCACCTTCACACCTTCATCCTTTGACCTCCGAGCATTTCCTGAACCATTTTTTGCGACCTACGATACCATGACTTGACGACTTTGATGAACAACCAAAACGAGCACTGTACATACTACTCAATTATCATTCAGACACTATGTCTTGATTAATCTACAAGAAACCTTTTTTTTTGCTGGGCAAATATCTTTCTCCCCAAACATCTTAAAATAAAACCTTCCATAGTAACATCCGTTTCCTACCATTTCGCCTCCACCTCCACAATCCACCGATCTATTCTTGACTTCCCAAAGTGGCAGGTTTGGCGGATGGCGAACATGACTCATCCAAGCCGCGTACCCGGTCACCTGATATCCTCCCAAAACGGCGACGTCCCATCGTGACGATCTGTTGCCCCGGAGTCATGGTCTGGAGAACTAACGCAGGCCCCAAAAGTATGACTGGGGGCTGTGGACCCGGTGGAATAGGAAAAGAAGTCGATCATGGATTATGTATGGGCCTGAGTCAGGACCAGTGGCGAGGTACCCGCCGATCGGGTCAGCTTTCATCATAGAGATGTCACATCCTCCATTGTGCTGGAGCCCGCTTCAATGCGCTCCGAAGTATATGCTCAAACAAGGTTTGAAAAGACATGCCGTTGTGGGCAGCGATTACAGGCAACTGAGACCACTCAGGCTTCAAACCCGCCAATGAGTTGATCTATATCACAGACAACCGTTAGTATACAGTACACGATACACAGGACACGATCAGAGTTGACGTCAATATGACAATCCATCATGCCAGCCCTGAAGGAACAAGGAAGATAAGCAAACAAGAGTACACGACACAGCATCAGGATATCCGCTCAATCAAGCAATTGAGGTCATCGACATCTCGGCCCGATGGCCCGATGGCATGACCCTCTCTACAGAATCAGTCGTCACATACCTCGAGAACATTAGCCACCCCGGCCGAACTATCGAAGCGGATATCAACCCTCCCCCCATCACGACAGCCGATGGTTCTCCAGGCCCGCAGCGCGACCGTGCATGCGCGCTCGACCAACGGATCTGCCCGATTGGCTGGGATCTCATCCGCGATGCCATCCCAGTTCTCACTCGTCTTGGATTTCTCAGTTGCAAACTGCACAGCATCCACGTCAACATCAACGTCGGAAGTCCTGTTCCCGTTGAGCTGATCCTTCCACACGATCTCGTCGACCCCTAAGACCCATGCGTCATCGCCTGTGCCTAGGATCCCCACTGTGAACTCGCGACCCGCCAGGAACTTCTCGACTAGGATTGCTTGGATGGCACGTGTGCTGGAGCGCAGCTCTTCGGCAGCTTGGCAGAGCTGATTGACGTTATGGATGACGCTGGACTGCCTGATTCCCTTCAAGGTGTTATCTGCAAGAGGCTTTGCGAAGAGCGGGTATGACGCCGGGTCCAGGAGTGACGATGCATGTCTGGACCCTTTGGTCAGGGAGTTAATGACGTTTGGTGTTATGGGTTTGTCGGGGTATCGGTCTAGATTGATGATCGCGAAGGGGGAAGTCGGGATGCCGTAGTGCTCAAGAACCATCTGCCATTGCCTGGTTAGTCACCATTGCATAGGGCTGGCTCTTTTCTAACATCTAGACAGCGGACCAAGTTCGGATACAGTTCGGTCTGTCGTCTCCTCTCCCCCTTCCGCCTGGAATCATCACGGTATGCATAAACCAAATAAATCAGTGCACCCCACCTTCGTCTTCCCCTTGTCCAAACATAGCGCCATAGTCGCTGTATCCGAAAACGTAAACGGAACCCCAAAGGCCTCTAGCATCGCAGGCACCTGCGCTTCCCTTGCAGCTCCATACACCCCCGCTGCGAGATTCACCGCTAGATCCCACTGCCCCCCTTCCCCGGCACCAAGCTTTCGAGCCAGCGTTTGCACGTCCGGGATAGGAACGACCCTGTGACCTAGCCGGTGGAGAGTGACAATCACATCCTCGGCCGGGGTGCAGATATCTAAATGGGAGATGTGGGAAGCCGGATATCCAAGGTCGCGGTATATCTGCGGGTCCTCGTAGATGAGCGCAATGAGAAGGTTAGATTTAGACCGGGTCATTCTGGAACGGCGGTGTAGAATGGAGATCTTCCGTAGATGATTGTTTTAGGGATGGGGGCTATCATTTATCTACTTTTCGAGGTGACTGCATGGCTGCCCAGATGCTCGAAAATGGTCGTCTTGTTCATCGCCCCTCTTTTGGGCTGGTTGTTGAATATGCACGACGTGGTAAGTCCTCGTCGGTCAAGTTTAGCGCAGTCTCAGGCTCTTTATGCAGTGTGAAGTGGCCGGGTTGTTTTGGCCAGATCGAGTTTCGTTTGGTCTCATTTATGTTAAGCACGCTAAGATCTTGTTTTTCTGAACGCTGGTTTGACGCCTTGAATCCTAAGTTATATTTTGCAATTATTAGGTAAAATTGACAGAATGTCCGAGGGAAACGTGTCCAATTTTTAAATGATATACTGTGTGATATACGCGACCCATCTTCTAAACAATGACCAACACAGAACGATTAACCATGCTCAAGATAAGCAGAAGTAATATAGCCTGAGTGCATGTATGATTTGATCTTGCCAGATAAAGCTATTCAAAATTGTCCGGCCTGAAGATGCAAAATAATAATAAATAAGGCTTTGCTGATGCCATACAATGAACGAGGTGTCTGCCTATTCTGGATATGGTATACGGCTAACTTCAAATTCGCCGACGCCACCTACATGCCATATGGCCCACTTTCAACGGTTAAAATCGACGTAGCTTGTCTGGCTATCAAATAAAAGCATGCTTTATATGTAAATGTACATTAATCAGAGGACCTTGAAAAGGCAAGATCGAAGTCGTTGAAGGTCTCCACTGGATCAAGGAGGCCAAAGTCCAAATGAGATTGCGTCAAGAAATCCAGCATAGTAGGTTGGTGAAGAGCCATTTCTGTAGTTAGAAAGGGCACGTTGGATTCGGAGAGCTGGGTGTTCAGATCATCCAAGTACGGGGAGGTATGGGGATGATCGGAGAATCGGCGGGGTCGTGAAGACGTAGGGAGTAGTTCATCGTCCATTGGTGATGGGTTAATGGGCTCATTCTCATAATGATCAAGCACTAAACTAGGATAAACAGGATGCTTATTAGCACACATTTGTACCCGTATCAGGTGGTCATAAAGATCTCTAGACGCAAGATTGCCGGATAAGCTGAGGTTCTTGAGTATCTCCAAGGCAGTCTCCGGAGCTGTGAGATCGGCTGGAATCCCGAGAGGCAGAAGACGTGCCACGATTAGGACGAGTGCAGCTGAGAATAGGTATGCAGGGAAGGCATAACCGTATATTGCGAAGGATCCTTCGGTCCATTCGTCCAAACATAAGGCGAATGAATGCCTTGCTGAATGAATGCATGCTTCACTCAAAGTGACCAGAACTGGTGAGATTGTATCGTTGAACTGGTGGGAACGGCCTTTTTTGGTCAACTTCAAGACATGTAAGAGGACTGGTCTGATGGCCAGGATAACACACTAAAGAGGTCAGTGAAAATTGTCCCCCACAAAAAGCAAAAGCAAAAGCAAAAGCCAAGCTGAAAACTTACAAAATTGAATTGAAGATGCATCTGAATCACATCTTTGGGGTTGGATGTATTTGGATGAAGCTTCATTTGTTCAGGGAGAGATTGAACCAATTGTTTCAATTGAGTCAAAAGTTTCTGTTCGGAATGCAAGAAGCTTTCAACGGATTGCTTCTGGCAATAGATATAACCAGTCGTGTTGCCGGTAATTTTGGCAAGTTCGATAGCTGTTATTGGGAATGCACTGTCTGCAAACTGATCCGGGTATGTTTCAGAGGCCAAACTTGAGGGAAGATCGACGTGAATCCACTCATCGTGAATTTGAACAGGAAAGCCGGATTTCGAGCCCCAGAAGCGATCAAGTGTATAGATACACCACCAAATTCGAATTCGATGTTCTCGCGCTACTAGATGTAGATTTTGACTCTGCGGGACGTTATAGTTCAAGCCCATGCTCAGCGCCAGCCGCAATGCATTTCCAATGAAGAGATAGGCTGAATGGAAGCGATTCAGAAACTGGCAGAAGAATGCCTGAAAAGATGTTAGCAGAGGAAAAAACCCGTTAAGAAACCACATACAAGCAAGAGTAGACTCTCTATATGAATCATGGTTGGTCTTTCGGGAATGACCTGCACAAGACTCAATGCCTTTGCAAAATAATCCAGCCCGGGTACATGCGGTTCATCAAAAGACCCGTTCACAGTCGAATAAACTTGCCCAATTGCAAAGAGAGCAAAGAACTTGCACTTGATACTTTCGTTCTCGAAGTTCTGTGTCTGATAAACGTTCTGGAGCATATCCATAGTATCTTTTTTCAAAACAAAATGAAAACTAGACATGATATGACCAAGGGCAGTTTTGACCAATAACTGCGCACACACAAGGCTAGGCCATCCTGTCCATTCATTGAGGAGAGATGTAATTGTAGACTCGTCAGTGTAATGCGATCTTGGAAAATGCGGCATTGGCGTCTTCGTATTCTGAAAAAACTGGCATAGACGAGTGGCAAAGGCAGTACAAGTTGCTTCACTGATGTAGAGAGGAAGCATTGAGGCATCGTGGGATTGAAACCACGGCTTGTTCCTTATGAGATGACTTTGTGCTATCGAGCCAGCATTCTCCTCGGCAGTATCGGGACTTGACCTAGAGTCAGAGGTTTGCTCTGATCTATCTAATCGCATTTCTTTCAGATTACGATTTCGGTCATGTAGCTCTTCGCTATCCCTCAAGAGTTGCTCGAGGTAGCTGCAGTGTGTTAGCAATGGTGTTGATCCACTCAACTGTATTCGAAAAAGCCTACCTTTCATCCACTCGTATTTTACGATCCCGAGTCGCATACCTGCATTGAGCCTCGTAGCCCGCAGATCGACATTTTGAGCATGGCTTCTCTCCGGAGCATTTAATCTTCTGCGCGTGGCACCGGTGACAACTTGGAGACTATCAGCGGAACGTCTTTGTTGCACTAACAGACACTTACGCGACAGCCCTTTTCTTGGGCCTTGCAGGGGTTCTAGGAAGATTTTGCTGACTATGACGTGAAGACATGTAAGAATCCGCGCTCATACCGAGTGGAATGCGCTAAAGATGAGAGAAGGGAGAAAACGTGGCGGGGAGATGTCGGCAACTTTTAATTTCGCCGCTTCCGTCACGCTTCAACGTTAAATCTTCTTCGTCTTCTCTTGACTGTGCAAATGTACATCTTCAGATAGTTTCGTTCCAATTAGATATTGGGAATAGTTGGTGTCAATATATACATCACAAGATAAGAAAAGAAATAATGCAAAAGAACGTAGTAGGGGCCATTCCCGTCTCTCTAATGCAACAAAAACCGCGAAGGAATGTCTTGAGCCTGAAGCTCCAATGAGACTGAACCTTTTCGTCGCTTTGGAGGAGTCATAACGTGAACTTTCAAGCCTTTGTTGAAATTCAAAATACACAAAACAGAGATGACGAGCGTGACTCCCATTAAAAACAATGATATGGAGGAAAATAGTGTCAGGGAGACCCGGACTGAGGCGAATTGCTGGCTTTGGCTGCGCAGGTGCATTCGATAAAGCGTCAGGCCGAAAATTCCCATGATAACGAGCATGAAAAACTAGAGCAATTGTGAGTTTGCGGTTCGCTTCTCATATAGGAGCCTTGGATTGACGCTTACCATCATAGTAATGAGAGACTTTTTCTTCTCACGCTTGCAGAATTGAGCAGCCCCAACCAATGTCGCTATCGTAATCGGAATCAATGAAGCGTTAAGAATGAAATCAGAGTCCGTATATTTGAGGACGACAAGAATAATTTGAAGTTGACTTCCGAACACGAAGAAGAAGTCAAATTTCAACAGCGCGATATAAACCTATTGAATGTCAGCTTCCCAAATATTCTCTCCCAAAAAGAAACAACCAAACAATCAAAGTAACGAACCTGATAAGTGAGATACCTCCTCTTCATCTGTAGATCGGCACTTATATTCTTATAAATTGACCACGAGAACTCCGCGCGCAATTTCCACGTAAAGAAGGTCATAGCAATAGTGCACACGCCCAAGATAATAGGAACAAGCACAATCTCAATGCGAAAAGTATGCAGCAACTGATCGCTGACAGCTTGATCGTTCAGCGCAGTCCTAACCGTACTCTTAATCTCCTGCATCTGTAAAAAGCCATAGGTCAACAGGCCCAAATTACAAATACAGAGCCCGACCAGTTGGATTGTATTCTTTCGGCGCAGGGCATCGTACGAGAGAGCGAGTTCGTATAGTAAAGCGAAGATGTACAGGCCAAGGAAGGACTGAAGGCGCATATTTGCATTATCTTTGCCGTCGTCATCGAGGTGGTGGCGGAGGCTTATGAGGATCCAGCTGGTATATGGCACTGAGTTGAGTTTCGGGTTGGAGCTTGGATTTAGATTTCAGGGAGATCGAGCGCATACCTTTCAATTGCGCATGTGGCGACTGTTTCAGCGATCACTGTTATCGAAAATGCGCGTGTCCATAGTGTGTTTGGGACGTATAGTCGTGGTTGTCCCTTGTGTGGTACCGTGTGCTTCAGGTGGTGAAGCTCACGTTCACTCATGATAAGACTCAATGGCACGCCCGGGCAAAGGACGCGACAGTCAATTGATTTGGTCTTTAAGGCAGACTTTTTGGCCGCGCATTGAGGTTTGAGGGGGATTGTTTCAGGTATATGATAGGCCTGGATGTGTGCGATTCTTTGCCCGAGGTCGGGGTTGCATGGGCCAATTGATGGAGTAGACTTCCATATCCTCAGAGAGAGAAGAGAAGAGGAGGGAGAAAGCTCTCTCCAGGAGGAAAGATTATTGAAAACGAATACGGCCTTGACTTGAAGGTGGGGCCACGCGTAAGGCTTCTGAATGGCGATCTAGTCGTATCACTAACGGGGCACTAATAGGGGTATCGGGGGCTGCTAGTGGACTTAGTGCGTGGATAGATTTGGTGATAGCTGTGAAGATCAACACTTAATTTAGTTGCTTGGGTTGCAATTCAACTGCCTGTTCGCCCTGTGGCTTGACTCTGATCGCTCAGAGCTTCTCGAAATAGTTCTATAGCCAAGACCTACTGCGATATTAAAGCGTAGTCTAGATCTTACTAAATCGACTAATGAATGTCTCGCAATAAAATGAATGTCTTGCATGTAAACGCTGAAGTAACGTGGGAAAAATATAAAGCCCTAATGCCAGAGCTGAGCCTCAATCCACGCATTGCTAAGCCAGTGCTTTAACCATGCTTTAACCTGAAGCTTGAACTCCACAGCCCAGGGGTAATAACCCGAACACCAATAAAATCAGAGTGAAAAAAAATAAAACACATAACAAAATCATGAGTATCAGCAAACTCCGCGTATAATGCATGATAAATGACCACGCTATGGATTCAGACATGCTTATGTAGTGAACGTTAAAAGTCCATTTCATCATCCCAGCCAAGTTGCTCGTATATCGACTTCGACTGCGATTTGTCGGGTGTCACTGGTACAGCCGCAGGTCCTTTGACTGGCGTGCCCATGACAGCGGGCGGAGAGTGAGCCCGAGGAGGATCGACAACCATGGCGTCGGGAGATTTTGGGAATAGTATAGAGGGGGTAGTGGGTGTCTCTTGCAGTGCACGCTTTTTGGGGGGCGTTTCCATGATCGCCGAAGATCGCGCATTGGTCAGAGACCAACTGAGCTGTTGAGATGAGGACATTGTCTCCGTCGATGTGGAAATAGTCTTGTGGCGCGAATGGACAGGTGTACCTGGCACCATTGATTCGTTGATAGAGCGGGGAGCAGGGAGGTGAGGTACCCGGAAGAGACCTTTTCCAGAAGAGGAAGACGGTCGACAGGCAGTTATGGAGTCCCCGAGTCCACTTTTACTCTGGAAGATTGTGGAAGAGGGCCTTGTGGGAGTTTCATGCACAGCCCCGTCGGGCTGACTGGATCGCGGACCTCGTCCATTGAGACCGTCATGCGGGTTGAAAGGATCGGAATCCGCGCCAGAGAAGGATATCGCCCGTCGACTTGAAGAGGGAACCATGAGCGGAGACTCACCGAGAGGAGAGTTCTCCACACCGGCGAATGATCGCGACGGGGCCAGACTGCGAGGCAGCGGCGGTAGACCTACCATCTCTTTCCTTCGATTGCCTCGTGGAGTTGCCATGACCTGTACACCTTCACCGAACGGATTGCGAACAGGGTTCCTTGACTTCCTTGAACTGCCTCCACTGGTTGTGACGCGCTTGACTGCATCGTCTGCGATATCCTTGGAAACGAGCTCTCGGTTTGGTTTCCGCAGCGCGTGAATAGCAGCATCTAGCTCCTTCTTCTGGTCGACCAGCATCTGGACCTTTCTCAACTTGGTCTCATGCTGTCGCGCCACAGCATTCAGGTCAACCTCTCGGTTTTCCGTACGCTTCGCTTTGTGAATGCCACCTCGGACACTGCCGCTCAGAACAGTAGGCAGCAAAGGTTCCGCTATATCGCGCTTCATATTATGCTGTGACGGGGCGGTATTAGAACGACTTAGTCCCGGATGCCGGACATGGGACGCTGCCGCTTTCTCATCCGTAAGCACACGCTGTAATGTCCGCCGAGGCTTCTGTGCTGGCTGCTGTCGCTTGACTTCGGCACCAGGTTCCACTCGATGCGCTTTGCTTGATTGCGTTTTCTTCGAGACAGGGGAGATGCCGCCAGATACACCGAATTTGCGTGTGATCAGTTTGCACTTGTCAGGGACACGCGCAGCATAGAATGGAATGATAACTTCCGTGCAAAAGTCGCGCACTGCATCACTTTCGACTTTCTTGCCTGACATATGGCTGGTACTGAAAGAGGAAGCCTTTGCCGTGTCGGCGGCAGATGTATCTTCCATGCTCACAGCATGCCAAATGCACATTCGATCGAGGTGAAGTTCGAGAAGCACGTTCAAATCCTGAGATTTCTTGGCCTTGGATTTCTTCGGTGTTTGCTTCTCGCCTTCTGGTTCTTTTTCCTTGTCGGCGTTGTTCTTCTCTGCTGAGGCGATGCCCATTTCCAATACCATGACTTCCAGAATCAACAGAATCTGAAGCTGGGTCTCACGAAGCCTGAGATCAGAAATCTGCTTCTTGGACTCTGCTTCGCGTGACTCCAGGGCTGAAGACTCGTTCGTGAGTCTTTCCTTCCACCACCGATGGATGAACCCTTCCTCCTCAGGATATAGACCATTCTTACCGAGCTTCTTCTTCTTCTTGCTCTTCCGCTTCTTGGATTTCGCACCATCATCAGAGTCCGCTAGCACAGCGTCACGAACTGCTGATGGCACTGCCTCTCTGTATTTGAGATCCATTTTCTTGGCTGCAAGGATAGCCTCACGATAGAATTCAACAAGCTCCGCAGATCCATGTGATTGCTCCGTAACCCGCGCCTGGAAAGCATTTCGACAGCGCGTCAAAGGGCCCTTAGCAAAGTATGCCACAGAAGTCTAAGAACAATTAGCCATACACCCCCCAAAGTCTCAATACTCGCGAATGAAAGCACCTTTGAAACATAAAGAGCCTGCAAATAATGATCCCGCATCCCATCCAAAAGCTCCTCAGGCGATTGCTGCATATCAACGACATGAGACTCAACCCCATCAACGTCCATAGCCTCCCCGCCATCCGCAACGCCATTGGATTCAGTAACGAACGGATCACCATCAGCAGCATCAAAGCTCCTTGACGGCGCAAGCGAATGACTTCGATGTTCAAAAACCCCAACAAACGAACCCCCAGAAACACCGACATTAGCCTCAGTCGAACCAAAGACAAGCGCAATGTCCAGCGCAGGCTTGTACCCAGGTCCCACATTCATATCAATGCTACAAATTGGATCGTCAATCTGAGCTGCTTGCCACCAGTCAAACCCATCCGGCAGGACAGTAGATTCGTCAACGATTCCATGCCTAACAACTTCCTTCTTGACATCCATATCTGTATCCATGCCCTCAATCTCAGCCCAACCCTTCCCCGCAACGACAATATCACCCTCATGAACCCATCGCGCGAGTTTCGAGAGCGAGTACATACCCCTCTTTACACGCTCGACAATGTAAAGAGTGCCATTGGCAAGTAAACGGACTGCAAGAACAGTGGGTATAGCTTTGGCACCTAGGTCAACTTCCAGCGTCGGGATATCCGCTGTGAAGAGGCCGCCTGGTTCATCGTCTGAGCGGGAGGATGGTGTATCGTCTAACCAGGAGAGGGGGAGGCGGAAGCGGGGGAGGGTAGTTATTGGCTCAAGGATTAAAGGTTGATCTGATAGAGAGGCTGCGTGGGCCTGGTTGATTTGTTTGTTAGTTACCAAGTTCAAGTCAGGTCAGGTTAGGTCAGGTCGAGGAAGGGAATGGGTGTTGGTAAGAGGTTGAGGGTGGTTTGGAGGAGGTTGGGTAGGCTTGGTATGCTCTGGAGTAAACTCACTCTGATGACAATTGAAGGGGTCGCAAGCTGGCCAGCAAAATTGTTGATCTCATCATCGTCGCTTCTCTTGCGCTTCAGTGTTGGAGGGGTTGGTTCGTGCAGTTTGTTCAGCGCGGATGAGGTGAGGGGATCCAGGATGTTCGGTACTATACGCGAGGACATGGTCGCGTTTAGAGTGGCATCGTGTAACAACGCGACGAATGCAAACAAACTCTTGCAATTAAAGACGTTGAAGATGTTGAATATGTTGTCAAATCGCGTTCAAGGCGTAGTGGGTCGGGCGTCACGCGTCGGGACGTGCACTCCGCCTCGACTTTAATTGACAAAATCGGAGTATGAAACCGCAGAGAATGAGGAAAATGGAATCAGAATTATTACAGCTACCAAGTAAAAGTGAATCGGATAAAGTACGATGGGAACAATATTAGGTGTGATAGATGTGATAGATGTGAAGTTATGATTATTCTATCGCTAATGTTTAGATTAGCTTGTCCAGGACCTACGAAGAGCCTTGAACACTCTCACAGAGTGCTACGTAGACTGCATCGCATCGAGAGAGTATAGCCATGTGTGGAAGCAGGACCAACCAATTCTCGAAAGAGTACCGTGGACGGTGTTGAGGTATTGTGAGGTTGTTGAAGACTGTCGCTCCTGAAAAACGCCAAAAAACTTCCTTCCCAGCCGATGAAAAGTGGTATCATGTTGAATTTTGTCTTCGCCGAAAGGCCCGTCTTTTGCGCGACCATGCAGATAATGAAACAAGGAAGTTGACCTCAAGTGGAAGCCAACTTCTGGATTTTGTAGGGGTTTTTTTTTAAATTCTAATGCTCATCGTGCTTCGAGTTGTTGAAAACAAAGCAAACTCATCACGGTCGTCAAATTATGTCCAGCATTACTGGATCATAGTCAAGTCCGCTTAGAACTTGAGGGCCCGGGGGGACTCCCAGGAGAACTCCTGGTTGGTGAAGTGACCGTTCTTGGCAGTCTGGATGTAGATGGGCTTGGCCAAGTCAAGGTCCTTCACGATGACACCGGGACGGAGATCAAAGTTGTTACGGATGATCTCGACCAGCTCGTCGGAGGTCTTGGAAGAGGTGCCGTAGCTCTCAACGAAGATGGAGAGGGGTTCGGCGACACCAATGGCGTAGGAGAGCTGGACGAGGGCACGGCGGGCAAGCTTGGCATGGACCAGAGACTTGGCGATCCAGCGGGCAACGTAGGCGGCCGAGCGGTCGACCTTGGAGTAGTCCTTTCCGGAGAAAGCACCACCACCGTGGGCACCCCAGCCACCGTAGGTGTCAACGATGATCTTACGGCCAGTGAGACCGGCATCACCCTGAGGACCACCGATGACGAAGCGGCCAGAGGGCTGGATGTGGTAGACAGTGCGGTCGTCAAGGAGCTCAGCGGGGATGACCTTCTTGACAATCTTCTCCTTGATAACGGCACGGAGCTCCTCAGTGGAGACGTCGTCAGAGTGCTGAGCAGAGACGACGACGGTGTCAACGCGCAGAGGCTTGACGGCACCGTTGTCATGAGCGTACTCAATGGTGACCTGGGTCTTGGTATCGGGGAGCAACCAGGGGATGGAGCCGTCGTTACGAGCAGCCTTCATGGCAGCGTTGAGCTTGTGAGAGAGAAGGATGGTCAAGGGCAGGAGCTCAGGGGTCTCGTCGGTGGCATAGCCGAACATGATACCCTGGTCACCGGCACCGAGCTTCTCAAGAGCCTCCTCGTAGTGAAGACCCTGAGCGATATCGGGGGACTGCTGCTCAATGGCGACAAGAACGTTGCAGGTCTTGTAGTCGAAGCCCTTCTCGGAAGCATCGTAACCGATGTCCTTGATAGCGCCACGAATGATAGCCTGGTAGTCCAGACGAGCCTTGGTGGTAATCTCACCGAAGACCATGATCATACCTGAGAGAAATGTTAGATTCGAGGTCATATCTGGCCTGAAAGATCAGAACCTACCAGTCTTGGTGGCGGTCTCGCAAGCGACCTTGGAAAGGGGGTCCTCAGCCAGACAGGCATCGAGAATAGCATCGGAGACCTGATCGCTGTTTAACGTGTTAGTTTCGAAAGAATTGGGAGCGAATGTCAGACTCAAGAGGGGGCAAACTCACGCAATCTTATCAGGGTGACCCTCACCAACCGACTCGGAGGTGAAGAGGAAAGTGCCGGGCTGGGAGCCGTTTGCGAGAGAACCCATTGTGAATATGTGTAAAGGGGGGAATTGGAGGAAGAAGAAAAAGAGAGAAAGAAAGAGGGCGGTTGGGGAGGAGAAAAGGGAAGAGAAGGGGAGGGGAAAAATTGGTGGGGTTTTTTTTTTGCGAGTTACACCACGGGTACCAATAAATATGCAGTCCAAGTGGGGACCAACCAGGTACTGCCAATGTACCGATGTACGCCGTACTTTCTGTCCCCCGTGATGGCGCGATCACCAGGGCGGTGAGGCCTCGGAGAGCGGTGAGGCCGGGCAGATCCCGGCAGTGCAATTTTCTCCTTACCCGACGCGATAAGAGATAGACTGCTTTTCTTTTTTATATAGCAATCGCAAGCACTAGCACCAGCTTTACCCTACATCATGTCCAAGTTTGGTGTCCTGGTTATGGGCCCTGCAGGGGCAGGCAAGACCACCTTCAGCAATGCTATGATCCAACACCTGCAGTCGACTCGTCGCAGCTGTTTCTATGTCAACCTCGACCCCGCCGCCGAAACCTTTAGCTACGAACCAGACCTCGACATTCGCGATCTGATCACCTTAGAGGATGTGATGGAGGAGATGGGTCTGGGCCCCAATGGAGGCCTGATCTATTGCTTCGAGTTCTTGTTGCAGAATCTGGAATTCCTATCAGAGGCGCTGGAGCCACTGAGCGAGGAGTATCTGATTATCTTCGATATGCCGGGTCAGATCGAACTCTACACGCATATTCCACTCCTCCCATCCCTCACCACATTCCTCTCTCGTCAAGGTCCCCTGAACATCAACATGTGCGCCGCCTATCTCCTCGAGAGTACCTTCGTGATCGACAAGGCCAAATTCTTCGCCGGAACTCTCAGTGCCATGTCTGCCATGTTGATGTTGGAGATTCCCCACGTCAACATTCTCAGTAAGATGGATCAGGTCCGCGATATGGTCTCACGCAGGGAGTTGAGACGTTTTACCAATGTGGACGTGCAACTGCTGCAGGATAAGGAGGAGGACGATCTTACCGCTAGTGCCAACCCCATGGCAACGGATGCATTGATGAGCGGTGGATCCTTCAAGCAGTTGAATCGTGCCGTGGCTCAGCTGATCGACGACTTCAGCATGGTTTCATTCTTGCAGCTGGATGTCTCGGATGAGGACAGTGTGGGTGCGATCTTGAGCCATATCGATGATGCCATTCAGTACCACGAGGCCCAGGAACCAAGAGAACCCAAGGATGAGGTCGAGGTCGAGGCCAACTACGAGGACTGAATCCAATAATTGATACGCTGCATACGGAATGCAGCGAGCCCCGGCTCGTTCACGACCGATCACATCCGGAAATGCAGACATGTCACCTGCAGCTGCAATCCTGCTGCAGCCTACACCGATTTCTTTTAAAGCGAGAACATTCCACCCCCCCCGATACTCCTTGCACTGTGCATTGCTGAGCTGGCAGATTCGGATGATCTACGAAGCGGGTGTCCTTCCCGCCCCATGATACAAGGTGTATGACTTTTGAATCTTGAATCCGGTCGGAAATAAAAGTTGCCTGAGACAACGATGACAGGAGCCACCAGCCTGAAGGAAAATTCTCACATGGATATAACCAGATACCCCACATGATAGAACCGATAATGAAACCAAAAAGAATTTCATGCAATATACCATATCTAACCTCCAAGTCAACCAACACCCGCTAGACCAACCCAGCAAGCCGAAAAGAAAGTGCCCATACACAAAACGCTCTCAATTTTCCACTCACGCCGCATATCGCATTGCCATTGCCATTGCATTCATCGTTTACCCCAACGGCATATGAAAAAAGTCCCCAAAAAAGAATAGCCTGCAATAACTTGAATTAAAGACCTACTTCCCCCAACATAAGCAGCGGCTTTCCCCTGACTCTTCTCAACATAATCCCCCACAAACCCAGCAACAACACCAAACAGCCACCCGGCATCCCTCGCCGCATCCTCAACACCGACACGATACACATAATACCCAGCGCCGAACAACGAGCCCCAAAAGACAAGTCGGAACGCCAGCACCACCCAGAACATAATCATGCGGAATGCATAGTCGAGGATCTTCAGCGAGACCAGAATTATAATGGCTAGCAGGCAGATTGAGAGCAAATCCGGCATGGCGCCGGAGTAGCTTGTCAGGAGGGTTGATAGTGGTTCGATCAGGTATGGTTGTAGGATTGTTGTTCGGAGCTCCGTGAGGCGCGAGGTGAGATGGGCTTGGGTTGTTGATTGGAGGTAGGATACTGTTGGGTTTTGGAGGATTGTTTGTAGGTTCTCTGGTTGTGGTTATGGGTTATTAGTTTATGGTTGTTATGGGGGTGAGTGGTTTGGTTTGGGTGGGGGTGTGATGCGACAGTATGTACCTGGTAGGAAATCCATGGTCGCTGCTTGTTGGAGGTTGAGCTTGAGGTTCAGGTTGAGATTCAGATCTTGGATATTGGGTTGATGAGTTGGCGATAGGTGTTGTCGAGGCGAGAGGTGGAATATGATATGATAGAAATGCAAGGGTTCTTTATGTTATCGCCAGGCGCAGGTCTCTTTGACGGGGTAGCCGCTTGGAGTCTTTGTGATCGGCGACAATTGGTGTTCTCGAGAAAGCGAGTTTGAGACAGGGGTGAGAGTATCGCTTTCTTTTGTTGCGTTCCGGTTCGACGGTGTTTAAGGATTCGAGAGTCCTTTGTTCGTTGCGGACGGTGCTTCTGTGGTTTTAGATCGGTCGCGAGAAGGTATCGCAAGAGGAGGTTGCAAAGTGCGATCAGCTGGAGAGAACGCTGAGATACGACAGGGTATAATGTTATATGCCGATGCGATCAACAGTTGAGTATACTGAAGAAGTTGATATCCAAGTGACACCCGACAGGTGCAAAACAATCAAACATGGCATGTGAAAGGTCACGGCCCCGGGGATCAACAACTTATTGTCTCCCCCAAGTCAATCTCAACTAATTGGATACTTTCAAATGCTTAGGTTTCAACTTTATAACAGGTTATACTGTACATTCAATTAAATATTTACCACAATAAAGGCGGTTTTTATATACAAGCATGGTCGCAGTCCCCACCAATCCGGTCTGTAAAAAAGACCAACGCCAAAGCCAAAGTTTGGACACAGTCAGCGCGGTGCCACGCGCGTAAACTTCACATATAAAAGAAAGAGTCCAAAACAGGACTGCAGAAATACTCCAGGTAGAACTCCAGGACATCAGGGACTCGCGATCGCGGTGGATGGGAGTGTAGATGTGGATGCAGGTGTGGTATAATAAGAACAGGAAAAGACAATGCGCGAGATCTATAAGGCGTTCATGAGTGACCTCAGAGCGTCGCGCTCAGTCTGAATCTCGCTTTGGAGTTGACGGGTCAGGCGAAGAGCATCCTCTCTGTGTATTATGTTAGTGAAATGTCAAATGAAAACCCGGACACGGATAGTCAAGGAAAAGGGATTTCTTACCTGTCAGTTTGAAGCTGGGCGACATGGATCTGCGTGCGGTTCATGCGTCCAACCACTTGCTCCATCTCCATATCCGCATCGCGGAGGAGCTTCTCAAGATCCTTGACTCGTCGTTCGAGAACCTCGGCCTGGACAACATCGGTCAAGGGAACGCCGTCACCACTCGAGGTCTGATCCAGACGCGGCGAGCGGGCGTCGAAGGGCGTGCTCGGTGGCCGGGGTGAAAGACCAACGAGGCCGCGGCCTCCGTTCTTCATACGCGTAAGCTGGGCATTTTGGCTCTCTCTCAAGAGGCGAACCTCCTCCTCGTGCTTGCTCATCTCCTCTTCGGAAGTTTGCTGGGCCACCAAGAGGACATCCTCTAATTCCTTCAGGCGGTTCTGCAGAACATTGATTCGGTTGACTGAGATCTTCTGATCATTTTCACCCTTGTCAATAGCCTCTGCTAGCCGGGCGTGTAGAGAGGCATTGTTTCGAAGCTGGTACTGAATCTTGTTGGCCAGGGACTCTGTACGGTCAAGGGAAGAGGTAAGCTCTTCTGAATTAGCGACATTCGCCTCGGCCGCTGCCCTATCGGCCTGCAGATGTTGGTAGGCAGATTCCAAAGAGGAGGAAGTCGCCATGACTTCCGCAAAGTCCTCTGGGTTGGATTTCCATTCATCAGAAGCAGCAGTATCCTCCTGGAGAAGAGCGCGCAAGGAGCTGGTCTCTTGTTCAGCACGGTCCAAGTCCATCTTGAGACCAGCAAGGTTTTTCTCGGACTGCCATTTCCCGTCCATAGCATCTTCAGCGCGCATGCGCAGATGGTTGACTTCATCACGAAGACTATATACCTCCCGCTGGTAGCCCAGCCGCCGGGGCTGGCCCGATTGCTGGGCCCGAGCAAGCTCCATCTCAAGCATACGGGTCCGCTTCTCATATTCACGGGCCTGGTATGCTTGACGATCGAGCAGACTGCGCAGCGTTCTGTGAAGGACATCGCGTTGAACCTCGATGTCGTTGACCTTGTCATTCAACGACTCACGTGTTTCGGGTGATTTGCCCCCGTTGTTGGAAAGGGAGTTGGATCGAGATAGTGAACCCGAACGGGCGAGGCCGCTGGGCTTGCGAGCGAGGGAGTTCGATCGTGATAATCCAAATGCTGAATTCCTGGGTGAACTACCTTCCTCGGCGATCGAAGCGAATCGACCGCCTTGTAATTGGGCCAGTGAGGCATTTTCGATTTTAAGAGCTTCAATTTCTTCTGCAAGCTTATTATTATCCCGAAGCTCGTCTCGGTCGTTGCGCAACTGTTCAAGCTCGACTCGCATGGCGGTAAGCAAGTCTTCAAAATTGTCCTTGGACTGTCTCTCTTCAAGTAACTTGCGCTTGGTGTTTTCCAGAGCAGTCTCAAGTTCTTTGGTTTTAGACGACATATCAGACAAGTCGACTCTATCCCGTCGAAGCTATGACAATGTTAGGGGGTTCTGTTTGTCTAGGGCTGAAAGGACCTTACCTGTTGAACCTGACTCTCCAGAATTTGAACATGCGACTCAGACGCTGTTCGTTTGGAGCGTTCTTCTTGCAGCTTTTGGGATAATTCGACCTTGAGTTGAGCTCTTTCCTGTTCTGCAGCACGACGGATCTTCTCAATATCTTCTGACCGGCCAGCGTCTGAAGCATATCGAACAGAACTAGTCCCTGAATCCGAGAAATAGTCACTAGTCCGGCGGTTGGAATCCGGACCTTCTAATTGTAAACGTTCCACTAGATCCTCCAGATCCATCTCTCGGCGTATAGACCCTGCCAATTCAGAGCTTATCTCTCTTAATTCATTCTCCAGGTCCGAAATTTTAGACACAAATACATTCTCCTTCAAACTCCCAGATCCAACTGACGGAGTCCGTGCCGGGAGATTGTAGCCATTGCTCTTGGTATCATAGGGAGAAGGAGGTTTCATAGGAACGTTTGCTAACGGTGGCATCGGGGAAGGCATTGTAGAGCGACCCGAGTCGGATATCTCAGTGCTGGACGATTCAGCTCCAGGAGATGTTGTTATATTATTGTTGTTATTCGCCGCCTTCCAGCCAAAGAAGGAACTGATCTTATTGCCTGGTGTCTTGGGGAGTCTGGGGTCCGTCGAACTCATTGACATTGATCGCGAATCCACGTCGATATGTAGAGGGGGTCGGTTCATAGGGAGGTGCAATGCCATACTCGTTGCCCGTCGTGTTGGAGGAGGGGACTTGAGGACCGGGATGAATGGTTCGCTATCTAGTCGACTGTGTAAGGGGGTTGCGGTTCCATATGTGAACTGGTGTTCGTATTCTTCGTCAAAGTAGTCTGGCCCGTCGTCGTCGTCTTCGTCGAGTACCGATCTCAGGAATGCGGCAGAACCAGGCCGGGACGCCGCAGTATCCAGTTGGAGCGGCTTGGGGGGTGCTCGTCGGGAATATCTGATAGACAGGGGCACGGGATTAGTCTTCCAGTAGTTGGAGAAGCGGAGCGGCATGTATATGCCACATCCTTGTCAATCGACCAATAGTCAGAAGGAAAAGGAGGGTCTATCGAGGTCCGGGGGGAGGCGGAGGGGAGAAGAAGCCAAGATCTGGGGTCAGCGAGGTCGCATACCTGTTCGGGTTCTTTTGGACCGATATAAAAGAGTCTCCATCCGCCGTTGAAGGGGAGGGTGGTCTATCCACAGGAGCAGAGGGAATGAGAGTGGGTTTATCTCCCTCAATCGAAAGGGGAGAGGAGGGGTGAGTAGGTTCCGAGATCAGATCGACATTCTGTGGGACAGGTTTCCTTCGAAACTGAGTAGGGGCAGGATTAAGACTAAAGCTCTCTGACGGAGCGCCGAGAACAAGAGACGCCATGAAACACCCTGGACCGTATCAAAAAATAGCCATCGATCGACAATGCCGATTAACACGGAAAGTAGAAAAGCGCCGAAAAGGGAAAATATTATTCTCAGGAGATATCAAAGGTCAAGGAAGAAAAAGGAGAAAGGTAGGAAGAGGCTTAGGGCGATTGGCGCAAACCGCCCGTGGGTTCCAGACGCCATTCAGTAGCTCCGAGTCAGCGTGGAGCGCAGGGGGGGAGGTGGGTCTATCCTTTGCATTGATTCCATTGGCAATACAATGGAGATAGGCCTGGGGATCGACGAGGGGAGAAGCACATGGATCTTTGCTGTTGGAGGTTCAGGACTGCTCCGAGCATGCCTGAGTAGCCAGCCATGGAATCAAGACACTCCAGACCCAACTACCGCATTGAACAACGAAAGGCTTCAATAGTGAGCCGACCACCCCTTGAGTCGAGGAGGTTTGGAGAGGCTTGGCGATTCAGGGGTAGGACGCGGGTACTGCCCAGCTGGTTTGACCGCCTACGTTCTACTGTTCTACAGATTCCCAGGTTGAATGCCTCTCTTCGTCTTCATCTTATTCATCGACTCGGAGGTTGTTCGAAAGTTAATATTCAATAGATTAAGGGGTTCTCGACTGTACAACTTAACTCTATACTCTCTCCTCGGATCGTCGGTGGAGCTGCCCCCTTTTCCCCTTACGGAGTATATCTCCCTCAATTTTGTGATAGTCAGAGACGCCAACGAACGTGCGCAATCCTGGGATGCACGCTACACGAACCCTGCCGTGTACGCCACCAATCAGATCAATCTCTCCTCTGATCGACTCGGCGTCTCGCCAGCTCGGACCAGCGCGTGGCATGGATTTCTTCAGCTAAAGCGCTAAGGCTCTCACGGTCACATTGGATACAACTGGAGCCAATCTGATTGCACCAGGGCAGATTGTGATGCGCTGGCCTGAAGCTTCAGTATGTCACACAGGAAACTGCTCGGTTCTGATGACCCCCCCACTGGTCAAGCTGACACTGCAATTCTCATCCTTCGGGGCTGATTGGGCCCTCGGATAGGATGCTAAATCCGTAGACTTCATGGTCAATGGGTCTCAGACTCCCATGCATCAGTGAACCTGGACTCGGAAAATTCTGGTTGAGCGCTAAACTTCATTCATAAAGAACCGGCGTCTGGAAATAGGCATTGCTTGCGTCTCACCCTTTCACAGGGAGGTTTTGTCGGTCTTGGGTGGTGACCACCAGACTTAGCTCAAACCCTCGGTCGCGCTGAATGACGCATAAAAGCAGCTCTGCCCTGGTCCCAGGAATGTTTTTCAACCCTTTCATAGCGAAGTAAAAGAGCTAAATTTAGGTAGTGGCTTGATCTATTGTCACACCATTGAGTGATTGATGCCGGCGCCAGTGTATAGGGCTGCCCCGTCAGGGTCCACCTTGGCTGCCAGAGACAGATTGATCGCAAGCATCCGTTCGTTCTGGAATAATAGCTGTTTGTGGGATTAATTGTGAAATGTTTGATTGAACTCATTTAATACTATACTCCTATCATCGATAGTACTTTCGGAGTAATTCTGAAGTCCCCTTAATTTACTTCCAATTATATAGTCCCGCTGATTCCGACTCCAACAAAGGGATCAATAGCCCAGCCCGCCTACTTTGCCCACACAGACTAAAAGCCATACACAACACTCACCAGCTATCCCAGTTCATTCAGCTGTACGTCAAAAGAAAAGTGGCTTCTGCAACCCCGTTGACTCCACCCCCTTGGCGGTCTAGACCATAGACTGTCTCACCCCGAACATGTCACGCATTTAAGAATTGGATAGCTCGACTCCATAAAGGGTCGATCAATCAAGGATTCTGGATCCATAGTAAATTACCAGGAATAGCCGCCGGTTGGTTTCACCATGGGAAGCGTTTGCGGAACCCTGGACCCATCTGCGCGTCTACTCTGTCTCGCCAGTGTATCTAGACGTTTCAACCGAGGCTGTATTGTCTGATATTGGAGTTCTCGGACAAACCGACTGGATAAAAGAGAGCCGAGACATGAGTCCACTGCTGGAATACGCACTTCACACCAAGGGGCCCATACAATGGTGGACAGGTTATTGTTTGATCCTGTTCGAGATCTAATTTTGGCTTGAAGTGTATGGATGATAAACAAGAAGACGAATGCGCAGTCACAGAGTTCGCTCAAAATAATAAATTCAACATAATTACAGTAGTCGTATATAGTGTTCCATTAGCCCATGCCTCATGCCATATATTCATATCACGCGTGTATATCTCGGTGCCAATTAGGGTTATACCCCTCTGCAGTTCCAAACACATTTCGGACTGTGTAATTACCATTGTGACTTTCATAGTAGGTTGCTCCGGCAATGCAACCAAGGATTGTATGGAAGAAACCAGTGATCACGCCATATACAGCGCCAGCGGCAGCAGCGACATGGTAAGGACATATATCGTAGCCTGTTGTGAGTAGCCAGGGTGAGTAAATGCAAGTATAAGGTAGACGTGGACTCCAAGGGCATCGCGAAGACGAAGGCTTCTGACTGACCTAGATTATGGCACATCCGTGCAAACACATATCCTCCCAAGGCATCAAGCCCTATAACCATGATTTGGGACTGAGGTTTACCACCGTATAATCCTCCAGCCGCTGGAAAGATGAAGCAAGTATCAGCAAAACCTATCTTTTGGGGACCTGGATACATGACCAAGGATAAAGTACTTACACTGATATATACCAATACATTCACCAGCAAGTGGAATGGCAGCGACAACAGCAGCAATGAGCAACGCACTCGGTGCTGTTTACAGTCAAACCTAATCTCTGCCACTCGCACCAGACAGAGAGAACATGTACTCACCTTCTCCAAGCACCAAGTTGCTGACCTCCGCAGTGATCAACACACATATACCAAAACTACTAGCCATCAAAACGAGTAAAATCCATGCTGGCGTTGGCAAGCCAGCATATCCAACGAATTCAACAAAAGCCAACACTCCAGATTTAGTCACACCGGCGATCGCACCGATCTGCATAGCTCTAGCCGTCAACGGACTGCCATTGACGTGCGCGGCGGTCGCAACAGCTGCAGGTCCAGCTGCAGCATTGGCTGCAATGTCGAGAGCTGCAAGGGCGAAGAACGTCCATACTACAGTAGAGAGGCGGGTATGATCAGAAAAGAGACACGAAACGCGAAAGGATTGGTTCATCACTATGCATGTGGTTTTGCAAGGAGGATTAAGCAATTTGCTGCATGCGCCCTGCCTTTTTCAAAAACAAAGCAAAAGAGCCTAAGACATGACTTACTGTTGATAGCTGGAGATGCAACATTGTCCATATCCATGATGGGCGAATTATCACCAACAGGCAGTTGGATACAATACTGTAGTCAAAGCTGAAGATTGCAAAGAGAAGTAAAACAAAGGAAAAAGAGCAGAAACAATTTGACTTATCCTATCACAAGAATACGAGCAACATGGTGTCTTATAAGAAAGCCTCAAGCCCCAAAAGAAATCCCACGATACAGCAGCAAAAAGCCTCGCTCCGCCAGACCTGGGGCAAAAGTGGTAAACTACGCGGGAGGCTGAAAAAGACCCCTTCCCACATTGAGTGTTAATTCACGATGAAGGATACGAATGACTGCATCGCAAGATACAGTTGTACACCCTTCACCCAATCATGCGCCTCGATTGGCGAGACTAAATTTCTGGCGTCGACCGGAAGACCCTGTGAGCCCTCAGTTAGGCCTAGCGGTTCCTGCAGTAAGCACAATCCGTAAGCCACACGGGGAGGAATCCCCAGGCGACCCAATTGCAGCCCGACGAAGCCTGCAACCGCAACAACTATCACTTGCTTGGCAGGCTCAGCCTCTGCTTGTTGTGGTGTTTATGACGATCTCGGGGTCCCGAATGCGAGAATGCGAGCTGCAATTTGTGGCGCAATGAGCTTGCTGTGGCACTTTCGTGCCCGGGTGCCTCTTTTTTCATGACTCTTTCCTTGGCTGTCTTTTTTCTCTGTCGTGCAGATTGATCGGAACTTCGGACTTCGGGGCTTTTACGAGGCTTTCAGACAGGCTCGCACAAACGATGATATGGGAGGCTGACCCCGAGCTTGAGATATAACGTTAGGGCTATCCCCTTTCCCCCTCCATTTATGTCCTTGCTCGTATACTGCTCTAAAGGCTGCGACGCTATTACAGCGAACATATTTCACCCAAGATGAACTCAACAAGCTGTGTCATAGTGGCCAACTCCGATGTATCAGGAGTCGGAGTAAGTCCCATGCCAAACTATATCCTACCTGCGACTGTCCAACACCACACTGACATATCGGCAGATCCGCATATCTATCTACGCCCTCTGCCTCGGCGGCTCGATAGTCAGCTATCTCCTCCGCGTCTTCGCCGCAGGCAAAGACCAAGAAGAATTCTCGCGTGGTGTCTCCTCCGCTCTGGGAATGCAAGGCCTGGCAATCCTCTGCACGGCAATCTACCAAACCTTCCGGGGAGACCTGTCCCTGTTCCACGCGATCTGCGTAATCCATCTCCTAGCCGTACTAGGCATGGACCTAATTAGCAAAGGCCGGTACGCAGGCCTCGGTCCCTGGCGACTCTATTTCTTCGCTGCGATCCAAGTACTGGCGCTGGCTGCCTTCCTCGCGTTCAATGTCTATGTTTGGATTACAGCCCCGCACTTTGGCAGCCAGCCGGAATGTAATCAGGATACGGTTTATGTGATCTTTGGTATTAGTATCAAAGCTACCTCGCCTGTCTTCCGGTACATCATCCTCGGAACTTTGGGGGCCATTGTGGCTAGCTATGCCATTGTTTTTACTTGTATGCTGCCGTGTCTTTGTGGGTTTATTGCTCATCGGAGACGGAACCCTGGGAGTGAAAATCGGCTTGAGGGCCAAACGAAGAGGGGCTTTAATTGGTTTGTGGAGGTGAATCGTCCTGATTATCGGGTGACTGATCCCGATGAGACCCCGGAGAGCTTGCACGGGCAGGCGTTGCTTCGGTTTACGCTTAATAAAGCGGCTTACTGTGGGTTCTGCATTTACTTGATTGTTTCGTTGGAACAGACTATCCAGCGGAACGATCTTGATCCGGAGGAAAAGGGATGGACTTTCGGTCAGGTTATTGCTATCTTCTTATTGTTGGGTGTTGCCAATGAGCTGCTCAATGTGCTATTGGCCAGTTGGGATAGGAAGCTACAAAGCGCAAGCGCAAATTCTCAGCAGCTGGTGCAATATGCACCTGGTGCTGGGCAGTCTGTACATTCCGCCTCGTCGTGATATGGCTTGATCGTTTTGTTTATTTATGTTGAACGATAGTACAAAGATTTCTCATGCATATCACCTTGGCACAGACCCCGTTAGGATATAACATAGCTAAGCTAGCTTGTAGATAGTCTCTAAATATAATCACATGTTGTGCACTACTACCTCTGTACATCTCTTGCAGCAATACGAAAGAATAGAATGCAATTTATACAATAGCGTGAAGAGTATCTATCGCTAGCGACAGCTTCCAAACGCCAGGCTTGATATGTACTCCAAATGTTCAGTCACCAGAACTCACAAACAATACTATAATGACAAAACCGAGACAAGAACCAGGCCAAAGAAACGAAGCAAAGCCAAATATATCCAACCCAAAATCAAAAAGTGTGTATCATCGCACGTGAAAACATAAGTAAGCTCTTACCAACTTGACCCTAATAAGGGATGAAATCAAATTGCATTCGGTCTATGTGGAAAGTTAGCATATCATCACAAACATGAGAAACTTGAGGATCATACCAAGGAAATGACTCCAATCTTCTTCATCACCAAGCTTGTTAGCCCAGTATTGCTCTAAGAATTTCAAAGATTGGAGAACATTGGGAACACGAATAGTATCATGCAAGGAAGAGAGTAGTTGCCTGACAGTGTCTCGATCTTCCCCGCAAGCCTCACAGCCCGCAATGAATATCGGTGTGGTCAACATGACCCAAGGTGAGAGACCCGCCGACGGCCCGATCTGCGCTGTACATTCTAGGATGCGCCGGACCGACCGCTGCACTTCTGGCGATGCAGTGGGCGTCTTCCGAAGCCGCCGATGAATCTGGATGAGCGCACTGTGCTGGAAAGCCTCGTTACAGAGAAGAAGCTGTTGCGCATTTTCAGATGATAACCCTTGCGCAGCTCCGGGATAGAACGAGGGCTGTGAGCTCGACTCGCGATCCATGAGCTGCCAGATTGCGAATTCTAGAGATGCAGCATCATCTTCGACATTGCTGTCAATCTCTCCTGCGACAAAACCCGGAGTAACCTTCTCAGTCTCATTGACCCGCCAAGCAGCAGCGCCAATCTGCCGGAAAATAGCCGCAAGATCGACGGTGAACCCCCAATAGTCATCTAGGTAATCCGGAGATTGTCCATAGCCCATCAAATCCGAAGACGCAAAGTCCGAAATCTCTCCAATCGGCGGCCCGTTCCCAGTCAGAGCTGTCAGCGATACAATCGACCAATACCAGCGATCTAGATAGCGACGGAATCCGCTCGCAGACTGAAGCGAGTCCTCACCAGCGGCATCAGAAGCTCTCATCAAAGCCCTCGCCCCATCAATATGTGCCCTCCATGAATTCGGGTTGATCGCCCCGGAATGAATCTCAGCCAGACATAATGTCCGGGCCGTCGCCACCAGCGCCTCGGAGTCCTTCGACGACGGGTTCTGTAGCTCAGTACGGAAATGCTCCAGGCTGAGCGCCATCAACCGGGCAATATCCGGTGCAGTCTTCACAGTCTCCGATTGATTATGTAGGGCCTGAATATGGATCGCCGAGAGCGCAGTGGTGGCATAGAGCAACGAGGGAGTCTGGAGGGCCATAGGCACCAGCATTCGACAAATATCCTGCTGCATGCCGGAGTGGCACGCAGTTATCTGGGAAGCGTCATTGATGAAATGGTGCAGCAAAGCCTTTTGATCGGAGGAAAGGGACGAAAAAGGGTCGACGGGTTGCGACAGCGTGAGATCTGACCCGGTGCTGGCCGATGTTGATGCTGAGATCGATGTCGATCTCGTTGCTTGCGCCTGCGCTGCCTTCGCCGCTTTAGTCGTGTAGATGAACTCTCCTGGCGAATATTCTGATCCGGTTAGTGACGATCTGGGTCAAGGACTTCCTGGTAAAGTCCACATACCAAGTCTTTCCATTCCACCTGTGCCGACGCAGGCTCCGAAGCGCGATCGCGAGAATGCCCGTCCTCCCCACTGCAGCTGCATCGCATATTGGCATTGCTCGCCTGCTGTTTGGCAGCGACCGCAGTTTGGCCTCTGCTCGTCGCATTTTTGTCGCCGCGCCTTACATCTCTTGCAGCCTGTGAACGATCTCGACATGGGTGCTGTGGTCTGGTGGGATGTGCGGCGAAGAATTTCTGCGGGGAATGTAGAGATTCCCCAGTCCCGCGTGGCAAATGTTGCTTCTGGGGATTGGCCTTGAACAAACTAAGTAAATTGGTCTATTGAATTTGGGAATAAGAGAAGAACCAGGAGATTTAGAAGAAATCCAAGGGGCAATCAATCTTTGCCTGGAATTTGGACTATTGCGGTGCATCTTGGGGTTCTTTAGCGGTCGATCGAAGATCCACCGATTTACAGTCTGATATTCCCCCAATGAAACAAGATAGGACATATTGAGTCTTATTCTAGCAAATATTCCATGAGAAACGAGAAATCGAGGATGCGCTATGGCAGAAATACACAGTATAGACCAACCGGAGTATATGTTCATCATCGGGACAGCCATCAACACAACAAAACAGAACGAGGTGATCACCCTTCGAAGGTGTATCGAAGCCATTCGCCCACAGCATGCAAACTCTCCCATCGTACTGATTCGTCTTTATCAGCCATCAGTTCCATTACCCGAGTCTTCAATCCGAGTCGCTCCAACTGCGTGCGACGCTCCGGAACTTCCTTCACAAGGCTACCCACGTCGTTGCAAGCGATAGCCAGAACCTGCTTATCATTTTCCCAACTCTTAGACAGAATCTCAGCCAGCTTCTTAGGCAAAGCACCGTTTGACTCTTCAACAATCCGACGGGCGTTGTCTTTCCAGAAAGTGGGGTTCTTGTGGGGAGGCGACCAGCGCAGATGGCCCGACTGAACTTCGGCGGCGTATTGATCAAAGGTGGTTTGGGTCTTGGTGTATTCATCCAGCATGGAAGACAGAGCTGTGAGATCCTCGAGAAGGTCCGGGTCGGTCAAATGACGGCCGGCCAGGTTGGTGAGGAGGGCCGGAAGGCGAACGAACACAGCGACAGGTAGCAGGGTGGTCCGGTTGCTGGAGCAAAGATTGAGCAGGGTGGCAAGAAGAAGGCGGGTAGTCTTCTCCTTCGGCGAAAGGCGCAGGAGCTGGGTGTAGAGTTGAATAATTTCATAGTTCCTAAGCGGGGTTAGCAGGGGTAACTATCCGTCTAAGCAGATTCACTCACTCTTGGAGTTCTTCGCCGACAAGAGAGCCCTCGAAAGCAAGCTGCCAAACAACTAGAAGCACACGGTAAAGGAGTTGAAGGCCAACACCACCGGCGAGACCAGGCTCAATGCGGCTGGTACCTCCCAGTGAGCTAGCATTATCTTTGCCCCCAGCCGCAGACCGGAGAGTATCGATCAAGGGGTCTAGCGTTTCCTGCCTTTGTTTCCAGAATATCTCCCGTGCCTGAGTTGTTCTGAGCAAGTTTGAAAATCCTTGGACACCAATGTCCTGGAGTCCACTATCTTGGTTCTTGGTTAAAGTCGAAAGATAAGTGTATAGCTGCGGGAGGGCTTCATTGTCCCGAGGAGCGGGCTTCGAAGTAGCCACAAGACTATGCGAAACAAGAGCAGTGAGGAAAGTAGACGTGAGCAGAGGGATTGGGTCTTCGGCGTTTGTCGAGTGTTGCAGGAACGGGAGGAATGGCTTGTAGGGTTCAGGGTGAGAGATGAGGGAGTCGGCCAGAGAAGGAACGTCTAGAAGACCGTTGTCAATATGCTAACTTTCAAATGCATCCTCAACTTTGCGCTTACCTTGAATGAGGTCCGAGGCAAGCACCAGGATGTACTGCACGATATCGGTCCTCCTGGAGGCCGAGTCCAAAACACTTTTACCCTGCGCACCTCCGGCCAGCAGACCTGTGTATCCAGCAATATCCTGCTCTATTGTCTGGCGGCGCTGCTCCTTGCGCACCTTGTCCACCGCCTTGATCTTCTTCAGGTGGTCATCGGTGATGTTGCCCGCTCGGACAGCGCCCTCCCATGGAATTGGCCGAGCTCGAATATTGTTCTGCAAGGAGCTGAGGTAGGTGGGTGGCTCCAACGACATCATGAAAGTGTTGGAGAACTCGAGCCGGGAAAAAGAGCGTCGTGTCTGATAACTGGAGGTGTGTCCAGATGGACGGGGGAGCTTGGGATGACGGAAGCCTGCGCCAAGACATCCCAACTGGTCTGGTCCGAACTCGTCTTGACTTTCTACGTCTCTACATCTCTCCCTCTTTCTTGCTCATTCTGCGTTTGAGGAGTCGTTTTTGTGTATTCATAACGACACTTGCGCTCTTCACTCTATTGGCCAGCTTAATCTGCGCCCAGACTGCTGCCTACTCTAATTCGGGGTCCATCCCGCCAGTCTCTCGTTTCAGCCTCTCACCAGATCGTTGGCATTGCCGAGTACGGTTTCAATAATCTCGCCATTCGCATTGGTGACTGCAAATCGCATTACAAGTCATCCCCCCACGGTGATCGCGATCTCAAAGAGCCCACGTCCGAGCGCAGCCCCCACCGAATTCATGCGAGCGAAACACGAGGCCTTTGCTGCATACCAGTCGTTTGTTCGCATTGCCAACACTAAAGCCTATTAAAATGTCACAGAACTCACAGCCATCGAATAAAAAATGGGGAGTGGGATCCTTTTTCCAACAAGCAGTGGCGGGTGTTGAGTCTCGGCTTGACCACATCTTGATGGAAGAGGAGGCGTCGCAGAATAATTCAACAGCTAAGCCTTCTGATGCGCAGAGTGCGGAAGCGCCTATCAGCAAGATACCTGCTGCTCGTACGCCCTCATTGATGTGGATTACAATTAGGTGAAGTTGCTAACGTCTTTGTAGCTGTTTCCCGCAGTGCATCAACTGCGCGCAGGAATGACCGGCTTCAGGAGCGTCTAGCCCGCGCCATGGTGAAATCAAACGCTTCCAACCTTGCCTCGCAGTCTCCCCAAAGCCGAGTTTCATCGCCGCCTGCTAGTCCGGTACCTAGTAACGGGGCCCGTTCAAGTATGGATATCGATTCTAGCATTGCATCGAATGTGAACGTAGGGGATGACTCTAAGATTACCCCGCCCAATGAGCAGAACACTATCAGTGGACTGGATTCCCCGAGAATGAGCTACGACTCAGGGGTCTCGTCACACGTTTCTGCGGATGTCAGCGTACCGGACTCTGCACCCAGAGACTCTGTAGATGTGGTCCAGCCAGTAGTGGATTCGGAAAAGACCAGCCAAGACCTACATGAGTCCCAACGCAATGAGACACTCAGTGTTGGCGGTTTGAGTGACAGTCCTCGCGTTAGCCTTGACGTGCCCGCAGAGACACCAGATGAAGCCCAGAATCCGGATGTTGCTCGCCTGCAGGCTGATCATAAAGCTGCCGAGTCTCAATGGCAAGAAGAAATCCACGGCTATATTGAAAGGATCGACGCATTACAGTCAAAGCTTAAATATCTGGCCAAAGATGCTGCAGAATCTGCTAAGATTGCTGCAGCAAGCGCTACCCCTGGCAGTACCCAAAAGCAATTGTTGGAAAAGGACGAGAAGATTGCATTGCTTCTTGAAGAAGGGCAAAAACTTTCCAAGTCGGAGATGGATCATCGGACTGTGATCAAAAAGCTCCGTCAGCAACTCACCGACAACAACAAGTCTCAAGCAGAAATGAAGAAGAAGACAGAGAAGCTCGAGCGTGACCTAGTCAACTCTGAAGTCAGAGCTAAGCGGGCAGAGGCTGCAGAAAAAAAGGCAACTGAATCTTTGTCCTCTCAATCAAAATCAGCAAAGGACCTGGAAGCTCTCACGAATGAGCGCAATGCGCTTGTTCAGACTGTTCAAGATATCAAGTCACAACTAAACCGAGCCAACTCTCGCGCTGAAGCTGCTGAAACAAAAGCTAACTCTGACGCCTTGGAGCAAGAGAAGCATAGAGTTACCGAACTGGAAGAGGAATTATCTAGTTTGAGTATAGAGCGCGATATTGGCGAGGAAAAGTCCAAGAGAGAGATTGCCGAACTCAAAGAGAAGATGGAGCAGGAAAAAGAAAGAGCTCGCATGCTCGAAGCAGAGTTGAAGGGCGAGCAATCTGTTTTGGAGAGCAAGATGGAAAGTCTTCGTTCTCGCGCAGAAGAGGCTTCATCGGGTGCAACTGGGGAAACCCAGGCCAAACTTCTGCGCCAGATTGAGACTCTGCAAACCCAATACGCGGTCGCTAGTGAAAATTGGCATACCCTCGAGGGCTCTCTGCTTTCCCGGTTGGCAAACGTAGAGAAGGAGCGTGATGATACTGCCAGACGTGAGAGCGACCTGCGGAAGAAGATTCGGGAAATGGTAAGATCTCAAACACCTTCATTTGGTTACGCCAGCGCTATTAACACCGATACTAGAACCAAAAACTCAAGAAGTTCGAAGAAGAGTTGGATAGTGCTAAAGAAGTCGAGCATGACCTGGAGAGCAAACTCGATGAGCGCATGCAAGAGCTGCAGAAAATGCAACAGAAGCTCGAGAAATCGGCAGATGAGCTCACGTCAGCGCAAAAGGATTTGGTCGAACAAAAGAAGACATCAGAAGCCACCTTGACGCAGAAGCTTGACGACGAGCGAGCTAAGTGGAGGGACCAAATTCACTCGCCCTCACACCCCCGCGGAATATCCCCAGTTCCTTCTACACGGCGTTCAAGCACCCTCGACGCCATGAACACGGTTCTTCCCGACCTCCGACCTCCAAGTCGACGTTCGTCCAATTTCCCCTTCGCGTCCCCGGAGATTGGCACACCACCCCGTCAGAACTCCTATCCCGCCTCTATAACCCAGACGACTCTCTCGCCGCCGCACATCAATACCGGTTTGTCAATCTTGGAAGCACCTTCTATTAACTTCGAGCCGGATGAGTACTTTGCAGAGTCTGGTACTCCTGCCACTCCGTCAGCATATGGTGGGACTCAGATACCGCCGCGTGGAATCAACGACATCATCTCCGAGTCCACGACTGGTGCCGGTCCCTCCGTTCAGCTGGTTGAGCGCATGAGTGCCACCGTGCGCCGGCTGGAGAGTGAGCGTGCTGGCTCCAAAGATGAGTTGGCGCGCGTCACCACTCAGCGCGACGAAGCACGCCAACAAGTCGTGGATCTTATGCGTGAGCTTGAAGAAAAACAGATTTCCACTTCTCGCGTGGAAGAACTCGAAGCTCAACTTGACGACCTCGACCAACGATACCAGACAACACTCGAGATGCTAGGGGAAAAGAGCGAACAGGTCGAAGAGCTGAACGCTGATATCGCTGATCTGAAGAAGATCTACCGCGAGCTAGTCGACAGCACCATGAAATGATGGCAGACTAGTGTCATGCATGTCTGCTTATGAGAGATTGGGCTTGCTCGGTGTTGACCTGTTAGATTAGAGCGATTGCGCATGTAAATAGAATACGGAGTAATATATCCTGAATTGTACATCGACCTGCAGCCGTTTCAGCCCTGATCACATGTTTATTCATCTCTTGACCGCTATCGAGCTCGTGTTTGGCCCTTGGCCGACTTCACCACAATCAGACCCCGATCTATGAGTCAGATAGACTCTCGGGCATTAGGGTATGTTAGGCCCGCCACGGGGATAAGACGCTAATCGCCGGACTTGGCACTTGCGCAATCCATGGATCTGAAGATCTGAACCGTGGGAGGCCCGACTTGCTCGGTCAGCAGCTTAATCTGACGCGTTGACCCTAATGAGAGAATCTCACCTCATCCTTTCTGACCCGTAATTGCGGAGCCTCCCGAGTGCTTTTTTGTTGCGGGCATCTAGTCTTTGTTGGGCTCGGGGTCGGGTCAATTCATGTGTCTGTGTGGGAGCAGGCGCATATGCGCGAAGCTGATTGGCCGTTTGCAGCCAATACCCTGATTTCAAATAATAGGAATTATGATAGATAATCATATTTTGTAAGCATAAGATGGTAGCGACGGTGAAAGAAAACTGATTTCTAATGTTCGGATTTTAGTCGCGAGTCATGGACTCACCGCGAAGGCTCGGTGATAGCGGTATCATGCAAGGCTGAAAGTATATAGTCGGTCTGTGGTACCTCCCATAGTTGAGCGTCTGGATCTAGTCAATATTTCTCCCTTCACCTAGCTTTATAGCCATAGCCCTTTAGGCTATTTATTCATACCATGGAGGCTGTTATCCGAGAGGCCCCATTCGGGCAGCTTGTTCGTTACTTGACAAAGAACAAATACTTCCAATATCCCGAAGAGAAGGCCGACTTTAAGCTTCCCGACACATGGCTTCAATTGTTGAATGAATCCAATCCTTCCAACAACACCTTTGACGACAAGAGAACAGAAGCAGAAGCAGAAAACGGCCATTTTAGCCCGGGGAGCAGTGAGCTTATCAGCCGCACCTCTTCCACCACCATCCCATTCACAGAAGCTCGCCTCGAAGCCGATGAACAACATGAAATCGAAAAGATCAAGTCAATTCCCATTGCCCCCAAAAAGACAAAGGATGGTGCCATCCTCGTCGACTGGTACTATACCGATGATGCAGAGAATCCTCATAATTGGTCGAACAAGAAACGGGCTCTTATCACTACCCTAATTTGTCTCTATACTTTTGTTGTATACACCACTTCCGCCATCTATACATCTTCGACGCAGGGTATCATGAAGGATTTTGGTGTCGATACTGTGCTCGCTACGCTGGGCTTGTCATTGTATGTTCTCGGCTATGGCATTGGACCATTGGTCTTCTCTCCTCTCAGTGAGATTCCTGTCATTGGACGCAACCCGGTCTACATCATCACCATGTTCCTGTTCGTCATAATCTCGATCCCGACTGCCTTTGTTGGTAACTTCCCCGGTTTGATGGTTCTCCGATTCCTGCAAGGATTCTTCGGTTCGCCTTGTCTTGCATCTGGCGGTGCTTCCATTGGAGATTTGTACAGTCTGATGGCACTTCCATATGCCATGATGGCCTGGGTCTCTGCCGCATACTGTGGACGTAAGTGTCGATCCTCATCTTTCTCCCCCATCCTATCTAATTATGAAACTAACACAAATGTATAGCTGCCCTGGGTCCCCTTCTATCCGGCTTCGCCGTCCCAGTCAAAGGCTGGCGCTGGTCCCTCTTCGAATCAATCTGGGCCTCAGCCCCAGTATTCGTCCTCATGTTCATGTTCCTCCCAGAAACCAGCAGCGCAACCATTCTCCTCCGCCGCGCCAGACGCCTCCGCAAAATCCACAACAGCGAGCGGTTCTTATCACAGTCCGAAATCGACCAGCGCAACATGCGCGTCTCCGACGTCGCAGTCGACGCCTTGATCAAGCCTCTGGAAATCACAATCAAGGACCCAGCCGTCCTCTTCGTTCAGATCTACACAGCAATCATCTACGGTATCTACTATTCCTTCTTCGAGGTCTTCCCCCTTGTCTACCCAGTCGACTACGGCATGAATCTGGGCCAGATCGGCCTGGTCTTCCTGTGTATCATGGTTTCATGCATCCTCGGAATTCTACTTTATGTCGGCTACATCCACTACTGGATGAATCCTCGCATTAGGCGATTGGGCTTCCCGGCACAGGAGGAACGCCTCATTCCTGCGCTGCTGGCTTCCTTCGGACCGACGATCGGGTTGTTCGTCTTTGCTTGGACTGCTCGGGCGTCTATTCATTGGATTGTGCCGACAATCGGTATCACCATCTATGGTGCTACTGTGTTTATTGTCATGCAGTGTATCTTCGTGTACATCCCGCTGAGCTACCCCAAGTACGCGGCGAGCTTGTTTGCTGCCAATGATTTCTTCCGCAGTGCGCTTGCTTGTGGCAGTGTCTTGTTTGCTCATCCGCTCTTTGGCAACTTGGGCGTTGCGAGAGGTACCAGCTTACTTGGTGGATTGAGTGTTATTGGTATTATTGGCATTTGGTTGCTTTACTTCTATGGTGCCAGACTTCGTGCTCTGAGCAAATTCGCTCTCTCGGAAGAGGATGCCTAGTGATTGGATTGATATCTGCACATGTTGTGGATTACTTTCAGGGGAGTTGTTGAAAAGCAATATCGACTGCATCGGACAAAGGAAAGTTGAAGAAGGAAGAGGGACGCTTTATGAATAACTGTAAATTTCTAATTTATAATACAAATGTTTCGATATATCCATCTGTCCTGTAATGTAATTCAGCTATCAATCAATTCTTCGTTGTAATGAGGACAAAGTATTACACCGAGGAAGGGAGATTTGGACTCCGAGCGTGGGAAATATGTCGTACTGTAGCCCATCTCATATCCTACCTACAAATCTCTAAAAAGGCACAGGCTACAGCGTGATGCATATTACGAGTAAGCTTTTATCCCAACTAACCACGCTCCCGGGCATCCGCCACTCATCTCAACTACATTATCTTTCTGAGTAGCATGCTCATTGGACAAATTTTCAAAACATTTGTTTGACTTCTTTGGCTTAGAACCTTCGATATGGTACAAATAGTTCGTTATATAAAGATTTATCCGACTCAAGACTTCACGACGTTGAACCATTCTATGTCGACCTATTGGGTGATTAAGAATCGTACTATCTTACTGATGTACTTATACTATTCGCTATAACTTATAGAGTACACATAGAAAGAATGTAGCCTCTTCAGTATCGAGAGTATGTATCTGTCATCCTGGCTCAGCACTAACTGAAGACGGAGAATTCACCCCTGTTAAAACCCGAGCCATCGAGTCATGATATTGGGGGCTGTTTCAGTAACGCAAAGCCCGAACCTCAGAGCAGAAACAAACCAGAAATCTGAACAACATACATTCATAACTCTGCCTTTGACTACCATTCTAACCCAATCTGTCCTGCAAGTCTACTCAATTTTCTTTCCGTGAATTATATTACCAGTCCGTACTTTTGTTCTTTGATTGCTTACCGTAACGACTCCCAAGGCTCCCCCTATTGGACTTGTGTCGCTTCTTACCCTCACCCAAATTTGTGGCTTCGAAGCCAGTCTACCATGGTGACCGCAGTATTGACAAGGGTGGAAAGTATTGTGGTACAAGAGTCGATTCCTATGGAGGCTTTTTCAGCGCCAATACAGCAGAAACCCGAGAAACAAGACAAAAACTCAACACCTCTGAACTCAGCACAAGAAACCCAACACGGCGAAGCACCAGTAGCACACACAGAGGGTCTTGTTACCCCTGCCAAAAAGCCATGGCAGTTCTGGGCTGTGTTCCCAGCGCTGTGCATGACCACGTTTCTCTCGGCTCTCGACACGTCCATACTATCGACTGCCCTTCCGACTATCGCACTGGACATCAACGCCGGTGAATCGTATATGTGGATCACAAACTCCTACATTCTGTCGTCAACCGTAGTGCTCCCATTATTCGGCCAGACGGCCAATATATTCGGCCGTCGATGGCCCCTGATCCTTTCGGTCATAATCTTTGCAGTGGGAAGCGGTCTTGCCGGGGAGCAGACAATACGGTCCAGATCATTGCCGGACGAACCATTCAGGGCATCGGCGGGGGTGGTATCAACACACTCGTTGATACTGTCATCTGTGATCTCGTACCTCTTCGCCAGCGAGGGAAATATGTAGCTCTCATGGCAGCCGTATGGGCAGTAGGGACGGTAATTGGTCCTGTATTAGGCGGCGCCTTTGCTGAGTATACGTCGTGGCGCTGGGTTTTCTACATCAATCTTCCTCTTTGTGCTGTGTCATTGGTCTTATTGGTGCTGTTCCTTCGAGTTTCACATCCAAGTTCTGGTGGTACCTTATGGCAACAGCTACGCCGTGTCGACTATATTGGCAACGCCATTCTCACAGCCACGGTTGTCTCAGTCTTGCTGGCGCTCAGTTGGGCAGGGGTTGATTATCCGTGGTCTTCATGGCGGATCCTTGTGCCTCTGGTACTTGGGCTAGCGGGTTTGTTTCTCTTCTACGCTCATCAACGATCGCGGTTTTGCCAGGAGCCATCTATCCCAACTAAGCTATTCTCGAGTGGAACAGCCATCTGTGCGCTGTGGATTGCATTCATCCAATCAGTCTTGCTCTACTGGGTTGGTTATTTCCTGCCCATCTACTTCCAGGCGATTCGCAGCTCGACTGCTACCGAGTCCGGGCTGTTTGTACTCCCCATCACGGCGGCCATTGCTCCCCTCGGCATCATAACTGGTGTCTTGATTGCGTCCACCGGCAAGTATCGCCCGTACCACTTCCTGGGATACATATGCCTCACCACTGCCACCGGACTGTTTTCATTACTGAACGATCACTCGCCCGCTCGCGATTGGGCCGGCTTCCAGATTCTTTTCGGTGCGGGCTCGGGAATGATCTTTTCCAGTACCCTGCCTCCTATTCAGGCCTCCCTCCCTGAATCCGACATAGCTACTGCTACCGCTACCTGGGCATTTATGCGCAGCTTTGGTTGTATCTGGGGGATCGCGATTCCGACTACTGTCTTCAACGCGCGGGTTCAGGAATTACTCTATCGCATTAGCGATGTTTCTTTGCGTGAAAAACTTGCCAATGGGGGCGCGTATGCAATGGCTAGTGATGGGCTTGTGCGCACTTTAAAAGACACTCCACAGTTGATGGCGGAAGTACTAAGTGTGTATCAAGATAGCTTGCAATGGGTGTGGTGGATCGCTATTCCATTCGGTGGTGTCGGACTTCTTCTTTGCATACCTATCAGGCAACTGGTGCTAAGTGAGGAGTTGAACACCGAGTTTGGATTGCAGGCGGGAGAAAGAAGGGAATAAATCAACAGGTATGGAATATGTTGGTTTGCCATTGTTTGCAATGATCATATTGAATGCCGACTGATAGAAGTGATATTCGTTATTCGTGCGGACCTCAAAAGCCACTTAACTGGGTAGTTGAAAGCAAATAAGTTCACAGGCCGAAGAAGAACTACAAATGCAAACAGGCAAGATTCCTTTCGTCCACATCCCTAATTGGCTTGCCGATGAAGATTTGAGAAATTTCTTTCGTGGAAGAGACATAACGATATAGCAAAATCTGTGCATCGCATTTGCATAGGTATCCATCAGAGCACGTAACCAGCTCTACTGGATCATTTCTCACTTAAAAAACACAGGTTAAAATTACAAAACAAATTACCGCGGCCTTTCTTTCCATACAGGAAGGCCCGTTCCAGCAGCGACATTTTACATGCCCTCGCACTTGCACACCACATAGGCGGCGCAGAGGTCCTTAACGCCTCCACCGAAAGAGGCGTAAGTCTTCTCAGCATCGATGCTCACATCCAAACGTGGGCCTTCAGTAAATTCGCAGACTGTTGTCTGCTGGAACGAAGTAAGCATGGCACTTGAGGCGAAGACAAGACCTTCGCGTGCAACCGCGGTGTGGCCCCAGAGCTCCTGAACGGGGCGCTTGACGCCATCAACGGGAACAGCGACGTTGGCATTGGCACCTGACATTTCGTTGGCGAGCTGAATCGTGGCAGGCTTGACCCAAGGAGGAGGAGCAGCAGCAGCAAGGCCGGAGGAAGTGAGGAGGCCAAGGACCACAGCAGTGATGTTGGTGATTTGCATGGTCGGATATGTTGTTTTTGTTCTTTCAGAAGAGTTATAGTGGTCTTGTTTTGGAATTTTCAGATTCTTGGATTGATCTGACAAGGAGATATAGTTCTTGTAGTGATTTAGATTTCATGCTTGGTTAGATCGTGTTAATATATCCTTTGATGGTTGCTGGTTGCAAACCAATCCATTTCATCATTACATATCATCGTGTTGGAAACATCACAAATTTCCGTCTTCGTCGAGTCTTTATTGTTGGAATGTCCTGGATTGCCGTATTCGGTAGGGCCCGAGCATGTCTTGGCTGTCCGCCCTCGGCTCCAGTCATGTGCTTATTCTGCCGCAGGCTGATGACTAATTCGACCGTCACTTCCAAGGTTTCTATTTCTATTCTGGAATGGGAACGGAATAGAGCATGAAAACAACCGACCAAAAGATCAGGTAACGGGTATGGAATGACACTAAGGCTTACTGCTGGCGATTTGATCTGATATCATAAAATTCAGTGGAAGTTCAACATTTGCGAGACTGTTGTGGATGATACAGCTCCTTTATGATGATTTCTCTTATACCGCATCGATTGCCTTTGTCGGAATTATCCAACCGGAATCCGAGCTGTTTAATTTATTGACTGTAAGGTTTGGCGTTCCAAAGTTGAAATGAAATGCAATTGATTATCGGCGTTCCACGGCCACAACGCCAAGTTATTTCTTATAAAGTAACCACCAATCTCATGAAGTAGATACCTTGCCTTAGAAGGGCCTAATTTCCTGAAATAAGAAAGAGAATAGTGAAGCATACCAGTGCCAAAATGCAAAACCATCAATTACTGTACAGTAGACGCCCTTCAGTGACAGATCCACTTGGAGATGCCCCCACGCCGAATACTCCGAACACTCCGATATGACACAGCCATATATAGAGACGCATTGACTCACAGGATTTGGTTATAAGCCGCTTCTTTCGTTCTTCTCTTTTTTAATCTAACACTGTTCTAGTCCTCATTCCCGAGCCAATTACCTCAAACCACGCTTCAGTGCAGACCTCATCCTCACCCAACCATGACCCAAACCAATATCCACATTCCAAGCCTTGGAAACACCAATGTATTCACCCGGACATTGAGCATAGATGACCTGAAGAGCTGCGTAATCGTCGAAAGCGCATTTTCCGAGCAAGAGCGCTGCTCCGAGGAAAAGGTAAGCTCGCCAATCAAGCACCCCCGAAACAAAAGGATCCATAAGTTAATTGAACAATGCTAGTTCCGCTATCGCCTGAGCTCTTGTCCAGATCTCTGCCTGGGTCTATTTGTCAACAACGAAGATGAAAAGCCCCCCACACTGATTGGCCATGTCATTGCAATCCGCTCGCCATACGAGCTCGTGACAGATGGCTCGATGTCCATGCCGGAGAATTGGGAATCGTTGCCGAATGACGAGCCTGTCTTTGTAGATGGGGAGCTAATTGGGAATCACAAGTATGGTGATTCAATTGCTATTCATTCTGTTGCTATTTCACCTGATTATCAGGGAAAGAGGGTGGGTAGGGCGCTTGTTAGTGCCTATGCTCGGCATCTTGAAAATGGGTCATTTGGAGCGAGTAGAGCTGTGCTAATTGCTCATGATTATTTGGTGAACTTTTATGAGAGTGTTGGGTTTAAGAATTTGGGGTTGAGCAAGTCTAGCTTTGCCGGGGGTGTTTGGTATGACATGGTATGTTCTTCTTCTCAATTTTAGCTAGACGCGGTTGGATTTAGATACTGATATACTGTTTAGACATATGAGCTTTGAATGAACAGTGAGAAAGACGAGGATGCGAGTTCTGCTCTAAAATAGATGGGATTGGGTATGATAATGAAAATGTCTACGACCTTCTTATTTCCTTAAACGCGTTAAATGCAAAAGCTGAAGACAGAAGAACCAGTTTGCTTAGGTGTTGGTTTTTGAATTTGGTCACTAGTCAAAGACTGATATTTGAAGCACCAAAAAACAGCTCTAGATAGAGGGCAAAGTTGGATCTAGGGCTAACAAAGATGGATGATCCGCAAGATTTTCCCAAAAGTCAGTCTCAAAGTCACACAGATCCTGGCTGAAAAATGCAGCCCAGTCACCATTTTGTTCCGTCTGGGTAATTGGCTGGGTGGAGCTTTGTATTCCTTCTCGCTGCATTGAATCAAGGAAGCGCTCTATGGTTTGCGTTGCCTTGGATATTAATGCATAATTTGGATCACTAGGTCGAACAATGCTGCCAACTTGAACTTGTGCAACAAAAATACCGAGATTGAGCAAGGTTTTAGACCATGTTGAGCGGATCTCATTGATTGTAGAAGTTTGTTTCAGCATCGAAAGCAGGATTATGCCTGCTGCTGGGAGTCCGAAGTGGGCGATCTGTTTCAATTAGCACAATGATCAAAGAGCTAAAGTAGGTATTGGTATTATGAATACCTTCCAAATAAGCCCTGTTCCAGAATTGACAAGTTGGTCTCGTAAAAGGATTACTTCAACGACGAGGGCAAGCATTTGGTCTGACACATCGAGGATGGCAGGATCTGGCCTTGCTAGGGTATCATGGAACAGCAATCTCAGCAAAAAAAGGGTGTGAAGGTAGTCGAGTCGTAGGCCAGCTAGGAAATCACGCTCGAATGCATATCGCGAGCACTCTTTCAAGCTGGACTTGAGTCGAAAATTGGCAGGAAGATTATCCCACTCCGCTTCTGCCTTCGTCTGAATAAGACTGATTTGCTTAGTGAGAAGAAAATAGCCAAATGGGAGAAAACAGGAAGATACCTTGTTTTTGAGTTGAAATCTTCACGCTGCTTATCGCGGAGTAATTCCATAATATCTTCTTTCAAGGCGGCACATATAGTTGCCCATCGAATTCCTGCCCTATAACTGACTGGAGTGCCTAGTTCCGATGTAGGACTTTCACCCTGAATGTGCCGAGGATTTCCAATTCGCTCCGAGCCTTTCGGCGTCGAGGGCAACTGGAAATGACAGAAGCGTTTGCTCATTCGAGGCGGCCGACCAAGGAATAAAGCGATGTTTTTGTCTGCTGAGTACATTGTGGCCCAAGCCGTCTTTCGAAGTTCTGCTAGGAAGATTGGAATGGGTGGTTTGGTCTTTTCGACATCCTCGTGGTAGCCAATGGCAAACATGGAGGATATTACATCTCCAAGTCGACTCCATGAATGGTAACCTAAAAGTTTCGGTTAAAAATTAGTTGTGGAATAGCATAATGCAGCCAATACATACTTTGATCACCATCAACATGAGTGTGCATAATGAAGTTTTCATACTGTAAAACGATCTGTAGATCATTCAAGCAATCCAACGAAAGGGCAATATCCAAGGCCAGATCGCTAAGTCTTGTAGCCAGCTTTCTAAGCGCGAATTGGTCATTCTCCGTTTTGAATAATGGCGGAAAGAAAGATATGTCAATCGTAGCCCGACTGACAGCAGTAAGAAAGATGCCGAGACTCTCCCATCTGAATTTCTGATCAAGAAACTGAGCAGAGAACTCTGAAATATCGGATATGCCATAAAAGCTCAATGGCTTGCGGGAGTTTTCTGTCAGACGTTGTGCATACGCCAAGTGCCAATTATCTTCCTGCGAGAAAGTCGTGAACAACCGGGTCATATTTTCAGTGCACTTCTCGGTGAAAGGCTCTGCAAGTGCTAGATTTGTTCCTGTTGCAAGCCAGAACAAGACAAATTCCTTCATTGCAGCCAAAGGGAAGGTGTTAAGAAGTTGCCTGAGCACATCTGCGCCTTGGATCAGTAGCAGGTTCTCACCAGCAGACTGCGATTGCATCAACATTGCCACATCTGGCCCAGACGCACGGTACGTCTCAGAGGGATGATTATCTTGTGGGAAGATTTGATTGAAAATTGCGACATGGCTAGAAGATCCCATAAATCCAGGATTTGGATATGGATTGGCCCTCGGTGTGTAGGATGAAGAAGACTGGGCCGGTGATAGCCGACTGTAAAGTAGAATAAGCACATGAAATCAATGTAAGTAGGAGTTCTATAGCAGACCTCGGCGACTGCTGGGCCGACAAAGGTGACTCTTCGACTCTTTTTCTTTTGAACGGCGTGGTTCGATAGATGCAAATCCCCGCTCTTTCATTACTCTCACAACGAGAACATGCTGGTCTCTTATGATCGCAGGCAACCTTTGCCTTTCTGCAGGCTTCACATGCAGCTAATCTCGAGGCCATGATCAAGCTCGGGGTTGTGTACAAGAGAGAAGTGTGAACTGCGGAGAGTCCGGAGCGGAGAAATCGATCCGGAGTAATCGGGAACTTCTCCGCGATACCCCAATGACCCCGGACCTTGATGCATGTTTGGTGGACAACGTTCAATTCTGATAGTATTCGGTTATTGGCCAAAAGGACAGGCATTGATTATCTTTCATGATTGTCTTCCATGATCACCAGGCCAATCACGGGCCACAAGTAGGCCACAAAGAGAACATCCAGGCCGGATCTAGAAGTACTCCAACTTGGGTCTAGTATACTTCCGCTAGAGAATTTTGAATATCCAGATTGAGAGCATTATGCAGAAGCTGCATATAGTTTTTGTGAATTCTTGAGAGCAAGCATATGAACATCGGGACAGCAAGTAGGAGAGAAAGTAAAGGTATTATGAATCACAGCGGATAACCTAGCGTAATACCTGATTCAAGAAGACTTGTGAAAAATGACAATACCCCGTAGTGGAATTTGAGCTCAACTTCAAGCCAAAATAAGAAGCCAAAATAAGAAAGATAAACCCCAAACAAGGACAAAGAGGCTTTATAGTTGAAGCGTCTAGTGTTTATACAGCCCCGCCGTGGCGGTGAGCAAGTATTGCCAACCGTCACATTTCTGAAGCTCATCCCCCACTCTGAACTGCCCGCATAACTGAATACGACGCAATCAATAAACAGCAGAACACCAATTCTACTCCACAATTCACCCCTATTGATACACCTTCAGGGTTCTACAAGTCCACAATGGCCCCCAACGAGGCCCCCTCATCAGACGGAGCTCCCCCAGGCTCAAGTACGATCTCAACTCCCGATACATGCGACTCTGTTTTTCTAGCCGCCCTCACAACGAGCAATTCAAGCTAACCAGTCTCTGGAATCAGTCAACCTCGCCTCCCTCTCCGTCCCTCAGCTCCGTGCTCTCCAGACCCGCCTCACCTCCGAATTGGAACATCTGACCACCTCGCACTCGAAGCTGCGCGCTGCACAGGCCAAGTTCCGCGACTGTGTGCGCTCGATAAACGAAGGTGTCACCGGATCCGAGAAGAAGGGTACCGATGGCCGTGATGAGATCCTTGTTCCCCTGACCAGCTCGCTCTATGTCAAGGGCCGGTTGACGGATCGGGAGAAGGTGCTTGTTGATGTTGGAACTGGATTCTACGTTGAAAAGGTATGTGATAGGGTGATCTCTGGGGAGGTCAGATTTCGAGTTGGGCTCACATTTTGAGTTTTAGACTTCCGCCAAGGCAATTGAATTCTACGATGATAAGGTCAAGGGATTGGAGTCAAATCTGCAGGATTTGGAGAAGGTTGTACAGACTAAGAGCACGCAGTTGCGGGTTGTTGAAGAAAGTAAGTCTTGATCTTGATCTGCCGATCGGAATTAGAGGTGTTGGAAAGTCTTGCTAACACCCATCACAGCATTGAGACAGAAGATGCTTGCTGGAGAAGCTAACCCCACAGCTGGCGGTGGCTAAATTTAAGTCATGTGTTATGAGTAGGTTGAATACGACATATTCCAAAGGAATAAAATACATAAGTTGATGAACTACACTATTTCAACCTGAATCTTTTGCGATGCTATGAATGGCAATCACTTGATGATTGTTATATCTTGTGGCATAGGATAGATCTCCTTTTGGAAATACCAAGCACGAAACTCTAGCTCGACATTCTATTCTACAAGGCTAGGCATATAGAGGAGAGGAGAAATGCTTGAATAATATGTTAATGAAGCTAACCACTGACCAGTCGTCATGTCCCCTTCTGATTGTTCACGCAATGAAATACAATAGCAAATAGTTGACTGCCAGCAATGAGTTGCAACTCTCAAAACAAAGTCCCCACGTTCACATTGAGAACCTTGGTCACAGTAGATTCTGGAGACCCCAGCATATGTGCAATCTGATGCAGGGCACCCATGAACACACAAAGCTGAGCCTCCTCATCAATGTCTTCTCCCTGGGATGGTGGGAAAAACGTCGAGAGGCACGCCTCTTGTGCGAACCGACTGGGATCGAATTCGACATTTTCACCGAGCATCTCATCCCAATCCGGATCGAAAAGTGAACCTCCCCAAGTCACATCGGGGAACTTTAAAACCCGGCCATTGGCCACATTGTATCTCACAAAGCGAGCAAGCTCAAACACAAGGTTTGTACCCTTGACGCTGAATTCGATGGCAGACTTCTCGACAAAACAGGTCAGAGGCGAGCCAGGTGGGAACTTGGCCATTCTTTCCGGAACTGAGATGATGCTAAGCGCGCTCTCGTTCCATACGAAGCTTAACTTGCGCATGACATCCTCGACGTCGGGAGGTATGTCTTCCTCCTCGAGCATGTCCAGAGCTTTGATCTCCAATTGCCAGTCGGACCTATTTATGCAAAAGAAAAAGCCATTAACATATGCCATTGAAAACTGCGCAGGGATTAACTTACCGGTCGAAGTCAACCATGCTGATTTGCATGGGCAGTTCTGATTCTCCAGTTCCATCAGTCTTCCGTGGCTTGAAGCATCGTATTTGGTTGATTTCGAATTCTTCGCTGCCCCGTGGAAGCGTAAAGTTAGCTTCGATGCGTACGACTTCGTCACTGTTGATCTTGTACTCAAACGATGCAGAGAATCGTGGCTGAATATTCGGAAAGGAGCGAAGTGGGATATTGCCAGCAGGAATGAGTAGATTCCCCGCACTCATGACACGTTTAATTAGCTGATTCTGGGTAAGCCGGAGTCTAAAGTCCAGGTCAGTTTCTCGCACGTCATTTTCCGGTTAATATAATGCTAACCCAGGAAATAGTTGGCCTTTGGCAGGAGTGCTGATGAGCATGTCAAGGAATTCCAGATAGAGAAGTGGATCAGCTGTACCATTGGGCTTCTCATACTCTCTCAGAACGAGTGAACCGAATTTGACACGCATCTGTCTGTATCCGTGGAAACGAGGAACGAAGTGCAGTGCGCGCTCCAAGTGATCAACGATGGCGAGCTTGTTCTCCTGCTTGGCCTTCTCTCTTTTCCTCTCCCAAGGGGCAGCTTGATTGGCGGGCAGTTTCAATTCAGAGAGATATGGCTTGACCAAGTCTGAATAACTCTGCATGATAACGTCCTTACGCATGATTTCCGGGGGAGGTGGCTCGACGAGGAATACTCTGATCTCGGTCTCGTGTTGCAAAGACAGTGTCTTCCACAGCTCCTTGTAACTATTAACCACTTTCAAGAAATTGTGTTCGTCAGATCCAGACAAGTACAGCTTGTCCCATACTCCGGGCTTGGTATAAATATTGACACCATATTGAAGACGGATGGAATCAATAAGCTGACGACGTGATGCCAGGCACTGACCCAATGCTGGTCCATTTGGAGGCCACGAAAGACACATCTGTAGTACCGATACGCATTAGCCACAAGGTCCTCACTTTACAAGTGTGTGAGCTATAATCTTATCTCATACCGTGGTTTCAGGGACACTGTTTGAAGCGTTTCGCAATTTCTGCGAATGCACAGTCTGAATTTCTTTTGTCTCCGCGACACCGATTTTGAAAGTTGAGTGAGAGTTGATACGGGTCCAGTCCGGAGCTGTGCCATTTCTCTGCTGTGCGACCTGAATAATCAAGGTGTTAAGGAGAGTATAGGCTGCCAGAACCTGGCTTCCATCTCCCCAAATGAGAACAACCTGTTGATGGTGTTAGCTCAGAAGCAAAACAATGGGATCTAACAAAAATAAATCAAAAACTAAAGTTGCGACGAAAGGAGATACTGATATGTCACAAAAGAATACAAAACTCACCCGTTCACCACGATATCCTACGGTGAGATATGCACCTGTAGCGTCAACAATAAACGTACGAAAGTTCGTGATGGGTTGGCCAGTTTTCTTTGTGAATTGCGTGACACTGATAGCAAAGTCAGTGAGAGTAAATCGCATATTTAAGGTAGGTATACAGACATGTCTTGGAACTGGTTAATGGCCAACGGCAGGCGGACGTATCCTGCGCAATGGTTAGTAGTTGTAATTGAAGTCTGCCTAGTGATATTACCATCGGGACCTGCGCCAGATCGCCACTTTGCTTTGCCGATGGAGTCCTGTGGTGCAGATTCAACAGGTGCCTGAGTCATCCGAGGGGTGGAATTTGTGCCTACGTGTTGGGAAGGTTGACCAGTTGCACGCACCGGTGTCCTAGCAGCTCGTGGTTGAGCTTGCCGGAGTGGCGAGGATGCCGATATTCCAGGAGCTTGGTTGTTCACACCAGGTGAGAAAGACGCAGGGGCGACGGTGGAGTGTAGATTTGCGATATTAGACCCATCTTGAAGTGAACCCGAGCCTTCCTTGGCTCTTGCAGGGGATCTCAGAGCGAGAGAGGATTGATTGCAGTCATCTACACTAGTGACCACTCCGGTAATGCTGAAAGGGAGGGACCAAGCTGAGGTGGTTAGAATGTATATACAACTCAAAGCAAAAGACTCTTACCCGCTGCCTGCAGCTTCTCCCAACTGTCATAATCATTGGTATGAAATATAAGTCCACGGGGACAGATGTACTTACTCCTCGGCAGACTGATCTTCGTCGGCCATTCTGTTGGACTCAGCTTAGGTTGATGTTGGGTTTGTGTAAGGGAAAAGTTACAAAGATTGTCAAGAAAGCCTGGCTCTGTTGGGTGTTGTTAGAGCCGAGGATGTTGAGGTATAGGAGCTGAGAGTGAAACTAAAGAAAGAAGGTGGCAAAAGTTCAAGAACGAAGAAAATGGTGTAAGTGAGAATAATATGATGACCACTTTAGGGGGAAAGTGAGCCTTGGAGAGGGGCGACGTAGGCTTAAGATAGAAAGCGAAGTTCTAATGAGAAACAATAAAAGGGTCAGGGTTGCGTTGATAATGAACGATAAGAAGTAAATGCAGAGGAAAATATATCAAATATAGAACTCTCGGTGCATAGTGCTGTGCACTGAGTGAGATCGGATCAGGGTTGAATCGATAACGAAGAGACATGATGTAAACCCCGAAGAGAGTATATCAAATATAGCACTCTATCTGCAAAGTGTTCTTCACGGAATGGGATCGGATGCATTTTGAATGTGAGATTGACCATGAATAGCGAACATGAGTAGTTGCTATGCATCAGAAGTGTGGATATGACTGCGCGCCACTAACAACCTTGGAACAGACTGAAAAAGAAAGACCTCGGGGACTCCAGTTAAATTAAAAAACAATCTTCTCCTCAAGGCATGTGTGCATATCAAGGTGCGGATAAATCGATTTGAGGTCTGATGAAGTAACACCGTTACAGAAGTCAGAGAGGAAGTAATATAGAGTAGGTGACGGTAAATTGAGCGCCGAAAACGGCTACCTTCGATGCCAGTTTAAGCGTGCTGTTTACCAAAATCTTAGTCATTAAAGCATCATGTGCGTAACTTAATCACTATCTGCCCGCCATTGTTATCTGGTCACTGAGTGCCCAGAGAGCGCTCCCTAAGCACTTATAGTTGCTTAGGGATCAGCTCGGTCAACGCCATGCGACTTACAAGCTCCTACATCATGACAAAGAACCTCGGCTGGCCGCCATCTGGGAGAATGTGCAGTGAATTCTTGAAAATGCGATGGGAGTTCTTCATGATTGGCCACCAAAGCCCGCCGCCAGGCTCAGCGTCAGTCTCGATTTCATGGCACAAAAGATGGACTATGGGTTTTTCGATACAGTCTTTTTGAAACTCTTGGGCATGTGCTGAGTAGTGCTACCGCTGTGGATGCGGCCTTGACAAGTTGTGCTAATAACAGCTCTGTCTCTTCGCAAGCAAGATTTCATATCAAGTCTGCCAGCATACATTGGCAGGCTTTCAAGCGTGGATATGTCACATTTCATTTTGACCCGGAGCGATATCCCGAGTTCTTCCTGTAGATGAGTAGAAAGTAGAACAGTAGAACTGTTCTACTCGACGACTTGTCGACTGTTCTACTACTTGCATGATCACGTGGTTAGGCTGACGTAAATCTGATATTCTCATGGGGTAGAATATGTATTTGTGCTGAGGGGGCCGTAAGTGGAAACAACAGTGAGACCGCGAGAGTCATGGATGACTGAAAATGGATAACGCAATCCAAAGGGAGTCCTCTCGTCAGCGTAAAAATTCGACACTCGCGTGCGAAAAATGCCGGGTCCTCAAGGTGAAATGTATTCGGACTACGGAGGGAGAGCCTTGCACCAAGTACGCACCGCGGGCCTGACCGTATAATTTCAACTTGAGCTAATTTGAGTAGATGTACCAGATCAAACTCTCAATGCGTAATTCCTGAACCGAAACATAGTCCTCGAGGTTCACAACGAGCGAAACCGTACGTGACCCTGGAAGGCTCTATCTCTAACCGGATATTCTTTGCTGACAGGTAGGGGATGTAGGCGGCTGCTCGATCTTGAGTCCAAGCTCACCGATATCATCGGTCTTCTTTCGCGCTCGAATGCACCCCTTTCTGGGGTGGAAACGCCCGTCCACGCGGACTTCGGGCTGTCTGCGATTCTCGAATATCCTGGTGATAGTCCACACCGAGTGACTGAGTATCTGAGCGGGGAGTGCTTGGCTAATTCTGAGTCGAGTGACGGCCCAGCGTCGAGCGGAGAACAAAATACTACTGAATCTGTCCTGGAAAATTTGTCGAACTCATCTAGGGACACGAGTGCCGCATGGATCGCTGATTTGGGACTCGGTCCTGTCGTCCTCGAGCACCTTCTGGACAAATTCCGCGGAATGGCATCCTTTTTTCCTTTCGTGCGGCTCTCAAATGACTCTACTGCTGAATCAATGGTTAACGATCGACCATTTCTCTTGCTTGCAGCCGTTGCTGCTGCGTCCTCGAAGTATTGTCACCTTCAGGATGCTCTGATCGGAAAATTTAAGAAGTCCTTGAGCGAGCGGGTAATTATGGCTGGCGAGAAGGACCTAGATCTGCTACAGGGATTACTTGTTCATCTTGCCTGGTAAGATCTCGGATTAGGGACTACCTCCTAATTTACCGGCATCAGAACACCCGCAAGCTGACCAATGTAAGGTTCCAATACCACTTTGTTCCAGGAAGTCAACAAGCCTACCAGTACATACAAATCGCAATTAGCATGGTCATTGATCTCCGCCTTGAGCAGGAAGTTGCAGACCTGCTCGAGCAGGGAATCGAGCTTGGTGATTCGTATAACCTGGAAGCGTGTCGTGCGTATCTAGGTTGCTATTACCTGTCTGGCATGTACGATGCTCATTTCCGTCCAAATGAGCGATCTTAAGCCTGAACTGACCTCAACAGAATAGCAATGGCTTCCCAGAAGCCCAACAATCTTCCGTTCCACAGGGATATGCTCAAATGCGCAATGATGCTGCAACAAACCCCAGAATTTGACACAGACCTCTTGTTATGCCCAGCCACAAAGGTTTTGCAGTTCACCGAGGAAGCTTGTGAAACCTACCGGTTGGAAGGGATTCATGGTGCCCGGTTACACATTCATGCTGAACGATTAGAAACGTGGCTAGAGGATTGGTGGTCGTCCCTTTCGATGGATCTTCGCGACACAGGTAGGAAGCTCTCAGGTTTCGGGGGTCACTGTCAGCCAACTGACTATTTCATAGTGTTGCTAATCAACGGCTATTATGCTGCCAAAATACGCATTGAAGAAATGGGCTTGGTATACTGCTACGGACAGAGAAGACCGCCGTCCCCGAAGACGCAGGACGATTCCACCATACTATCTGCGCATCCGATGGTCATCAATAACTTGATAAAATGTGTCAGTTCGGCAAAGGAGTATCTTGATCTCTTCTGTGCTCTTCCCGCTGCAGAGCACAGGACCTTGCCGTTCTCTGCTTGGTATCAAGTTATTTTTACGGTATTTGTGCTCTACAGATTGTCTGTCGAGCTGCCAGAGGTACCTCAGTGGGATGTAGAGATTGCACAAAAGACTGTGGATCTACGAGATTACATTGATACATTGCTGTCTCACTTACAGGCAATTGAGCCATTGCAAGATACCCAGGTACCCACCCGGAGTCTCTTCACGAGGTTGCCCGAGATCATAGGAAGTGTACGGACTTCTTATGCATCGGCCAAAGAAAATCCCGCAGAGATTCGTGATAGCCGTCGTGCTCATTGCGAACTGATGGGTTCGAACAACACATCTTCATCTGTTCGACGGTTACACCGCTGCCCTGGAATGCGGTATTTGAGCGGTCACAGCGCTCGGGCTCAGCCTCAACCCGCGCTACAAAGTGCTATTGCTACGGAAGTACAGAACATAGAAGAGGAGACAGTTTGGGGTGATATTCTGTTTATGGACACATTCACTAGCATCACAGATCCATCATCTATACAGGTTTGACGTGTTATCTAGGTTTCCAGACCTCAACCCCACCGTTAAGGCCTTAGCGCAGATCATTAATTGAAAGATCCCCATTATCCGTGTCTCTGTCCACCCAAATCGCTACATAGCCGCTTTAGATGCGTCCACAATTTCCGTCACGTTTTCCCAGTTCTTCTCGTGGTTTAGGAACGCTAATGTATAACTATCTACAACGCCTGCGGAAACGGGAATTAGGGATTCAGTATTGTTAGGAGAGCCGCAATAGTAATAAGTGGACTAGAGAGGTCATAGGTCAGAGGATGGTGGTCTCCTCGCAATTTGGAATTTGTAGCTCATTATTGAGATTTGGTTGTAGTGAATACCTCAGAACTCGTCGGGGAAGATATGGGTGGAGATCTTGTTTCCAGTCGAATCATATCGCTGGGGCAGGACATTAAAAAGTCCATCGACATCCCGTGGCTCATAATCAAGCGACAATGCCGCCTGAATGAGAATGTCCAGGCCAAAGGTCTCTTTGATCCAGTGTGCAACCATATCCATCCCCGCCACAGCTCCACTACCAGTCCAAATGTTGCCATCAATAATCCACTTCTTCTCTTTCGTCCACTTGACAGTTGGGTATTTCTGCTTGACCCAGTTGTACTCCAGGTTGTTGACTGTCGCCCTCCTGCCGTCTAAAGCGCCAGTAGCTGCAACCACAGCGGACCCGGTACAAGTCGTGAAGAGTAGCTTTCCAGAAACAACATGGCGGCGGATGAGGTCCTGCAATTTTGGAGGAAGATTGGTACTCGCAGGGCTATCTCCACCAACAAGGAGGATATCCAATTCGGGGACGTCATCCACAGCGACCGTAGGCACCATTGTCACAGAACTTGTAAGCTGGTGCACTGGCTCCAGGGTCTCTCCAATATGGTGAAACACGAATTCGGGGGCCTTTCCCAGAATGGCCGGATCCACGGGAGTATAGCGGTTGATACCCTCCATCAGCATTCTGCTCGCGGAATTGAGCAGATCAAATGGTCCAATGACATCGATTGTCTGGTAATCGAAGACCAGAGCACCAACATGGATAGGGGCCATTTTGAAAGGAGAATTGAGAGAGAGAGATCTCAGATGCGATTTGTAAGTGTGTAAGTTGTTCTGGTATTTGCTGTAATTCTCAGCGTTTAAATACTTCCATTATCTGGATGCCATAATCGCGGAGCGGGCTGTATCTAAGCATCCGTCCTCCGTGGTCGACAGTCTTGGCAACGGGCAGTGAGATCAACTCATAATCCGTGTCCGCGGTTTCTAGATTTAGCCTCGGTGATGAATTTGAAGTAAGCCAAAATATGACACTAAGGACACTTTCTAGAAGCTGCAAACTCTCCGATAAGTTGCAAATTCATGTGCGATAAAGGAATATTCCTTCCAATGTATCTAGATTTCCAAATTTTAACATCATACCTTGAATGCCGCTTTTAGCCTCATTTTCTAGTTCGCAGCGTCGCCTGAAATGAGAGAAGATTGTGGTCCATTCTACGACGGGCTTAACGGATGTAACCTTGCATGTGGTAGCTTAAAGGAGGGGAAAGCGTGGCCGGTCCTACGATCTGGCTTGACAGCAGCCCTATCTGATATAGATCATGTCTCCCTCCTTCCAAGCTATCCCAGGCAGCGTTGGTGCTCTGGATACAATGTGTCCTGAGACGGGGAGTGGAAGGAAGGGAAGAAGGAAAAGAGCGGTCGAGAGGGCGAGGTCTAGTCTTTTATGTCAAGGCTACGGAGGGAGAGGTTACAAAACAGCGTATCGGGGCGCATGGCCGGGAACAGCAAAACTAGCCCGATGCAGTAAATCACAGTTCCCATTATTACTTAGGACATGCTTAGAGATTGACTACTATACAGTATTTCATCATTAGGATCAATTATATCTCAAAAAGGCCCAGCCTGTATAGGCCAGCTCGGCAACAGTACGGGTTGAATAACAAATCAAGAACTGAATCTACAGTATCTGAGAGGCAAAATCAATTTTTTGAGGTTATAGAAGTCGTGGTATATCTTGAGATAACGATTGTCCCCTGATCTTTTGATTTGTGAGATTACCAAGATAGACGAAAATTGTAGTGTTTCTCATGACGCCAATAGTCCGGCGGGGGCTTTGTTCATGGGAAGAGCACTGAATTGCGGAAGGATCGTGATATTTCTCACGATATTAATAGTCGTATGTCCTTGCGGTTCGCGAGAGGGTTAGAGCTCGCAGAAACCGTGGTTTTTCCCATGATATAGATAATCGGATGATCGTTTGGTTCGTAAGATACTAAAGCGTACGCAAACCGTGGTATTCCCTAGGATATACTTTGGTCAAGGATGTGTAGGCTCTCCCGAAGTTCCTAGATTATCAGGAAAATCCGTGGTTACTCCTATGATGGCAATAATCAGTCCTCACACTCCGATGTGTCATGGTGTCCCTCTTGCCTGCGGGCTTGAATCTCTATGGCCACGGCTTTCGCTGCCACGAGCCCAGCGATGTAAGACTTGTGCTCCCTCACAGCCAATGAGCCCTGTGATTGTATAAATGTGCTCCCTCGCTGCCCTGAGCCCCGCGAGTGTTAAAGGGTGCTTCCTCGCTGCCCTGAGCCCCGCGAGTGTAAAAAGGTGCTTCCTCGCTGCCCTGAGCCCCGCGGGCGTAATAGTGTGCTTCACAGGATACAGTACGTGTGCGTCAACAACAATCCTCGCAGGGGGGCGCTGCATTACCAAGTGAACTCCGCAGGGGAACGCTGTGATGACAAGTGAGGCCCGCAGGAGACCGCTGCGTTAACAAGTTCTCTGCAGGGACATCTGCGACACCAAGAGTCTCCGCAGGGACATCTGCGACAACAAGAGCCTCCGCAGGAGACCGCTGCGATACCAAGTTTTCCCTTACAGCCTTGAGCCCTGTGATTGTATAATCTTGAGCTTCCATGCAGCCTTAAGCCCTGCGTTATCAAATTTGTGCTTGTTTAGGTGGTCCGTGGCGCCGCGGTGCCAGTCCTGATCCTCTGACCATGTGTAGGCACCTCTTCGTGGTGTCAGAGACTAGTATTCGAATTTGTAACAGCATTCGATGAAGCCAAGACCTGCCTAACATCTTCATAATCTGTACCGTGTTGCAAAGCACCTTAGCATAGACAATCAATCACCAACTCAATCTAAGTTGGGATTCCTCTTTAGCGACCCGTATTCCCACTCTGTATATCTTTACTGTAGTGGATGATCCTTTTGCTGTAACGTAAAATCGCATGATTTGAGTGTAGCACACATAGCGATGTTGTGTTGTGATGCTGTTTCGGTAGGATGTTTATTATGCCAGTGAAGTGAAAGTAGACATTTCGAGCTTGTGTGTTGACGTGTTAACGTGTTGATGTTGATGTTGATGTCGGTGTGGTGAAGGGACTCGTGATCAACGCATATATAGGTTCCGCTTGTTCGAGAAAGCCACACTGGTGCGTAGGGCAACTTCGCAAGACGGACAACTCGGGCGATGAATCTATCCGTGTTAAGATTGTACAATCATATTGGAAGACTCCGTCGTTCAGTGTGCGAAGGCGGTGAGGTTTCTCATGAATGAACAGTTTATTAGTCACATCTTAATTGAGGCCTATTGGAACCTATCTCTACTATGTACTGTAAGTATTCGAAGCGAAATTGTAACACTGTGCATTCGCTTAAAATATACTATTTTGAGCTCTTATATATATCTTCTGGGCGTCCTTCTATGATGTATAGGCTACTAGTAAGGAGCTAAGGGCAGACGCGGATATATATCATGATGTCTTGCTAAGACTACGCATATATGACATGAACGTAGTTAACCAGCCTCGTCAATATTCATAGACATTGCCTTTGTTAAAAGGTTACGATGCAAGTAGGGATGATGACGGGTATGACCCTACAATATAGATAATCTAACAATAGATTACCGAGGTGTTTAAGTCTGGAGATTCTCATTTGTGCGAGAATCTCCTTATATACCAGAAAACTCTGCCTTCAGCTAGTCCTAATTAGATTTCCCAATCACTACGTTGCCGTCATGGCTCATTCATGGCATAAACCATGGCCGGCCACCATAAATCTCAACAGCCTTCGTGAGTATGTCAATGTCAAGTGTGTTGAGATTTATGGTAGCCGGCCATGGTTTATGCCATGAATGAGCCATGACGGCAACGTAGTGATTGGGAAATCTAATTAGGACTAGCTGAAGGCAGAGTTTTCTGGTATATAAGGAGATTCTCACACAAATGAGAATCTCCAGACTTAAACACCTCGGTAATCTATTGTTAGATTATCTATATTGTAGGGTCGTACCCGTCATCATTTCTACTTGCATCGTAACCTTTTAACAGATATAAATTCGAAGTGATCAACAGAATATGTTTTACTGATATACTGGCTTCGCAAACCTCTTTTCCCGCATGCATCGCAAGTGATGAAAAAAACACACGAAGAGCTGCAACTGTGCAAGGGTTTAAGAAGGGCTTAAGCTTAAGCAGATACCTTGACGCAGTATTCGGCCCCGAGTCCGGCCACAAACCCAGCGCCAACGGTCCAGAATTGATTGCAGAACCAGTAACCACAGCTCTCGGGGCTGCTAAGGTCTACGCTATAGATGAAGTATGCCATTGCTATGGTCACGCCGCCGACAGTTCCAATATAGTAGACGCCATCAAAGCCAGCCCACCATCCACACAGCGTAAGAAGCGCTACCTGACAGCTGACCAGCACCGACGTTAATAGCTTGGTGGTGGACTTGAACTTAACGGCCATGCCCTTGACGCCGGCTTTTTCGTCATCGCCGATATCTTGATGGGCATAGATGGTGTCATATGTGACGGTCCACAGACAATTGGCGGCAAAGAGGGCAAACGTGGACGGCAGGCGATACTGACCAAAGGGTTCCATGCCTAAGGCAGCAATGCAGAAGAAGATGGCCCATGCAAAGGGGAAGCCGAGGACGACCTGCGGGTAGTAGGTGACGCGCTTCATGATGGCGTATATTGAGAAAAGTACAATGATGATGAGCATTTGTGGCATGCAGGGCGCTGGAAGGCAGGCGATGATCGGGTATCCGGCGAGGATCAGGGCGACGGTAAAGACGTGCGTCTGGACGGTGGTAACGGCACCTCGAGCAACAGGACGATGGCGACAGCGCACAACCTGGCGATCAAACTCCTGATCAACGTTGTCATTCCAGGCACAGGCAGCGCCGCGGAGGAGCAGATTGTACGGAATCATGATGGCGGCCAGGGAGAGCAGCTTGGGTGGACTCGGGGTCTGGGGCGAAATACAGGCAGCGTAAAGGATGCCGATCACATAGGGCAAGTAAAAGGCGTAGAAGCCAGCGGGGCGGTCGAGGCGCATGAGCTGAGCGTAAGGAACCCATGAGGGAGGTAGCTTGGAGAGGACGCCCATGTTGGGATCTGTGTAGGGCGGAAGATGAGGAAAGTAGTTGACGTTGTCGACTGGCAGTCTGTGAACTAGAGGGATTTCGTGACCGGTCGTGGAATCAGCATCACGGCCAAAGTCGTTCTCTGCGCTATATCTTCTCTTAAATTTGATATTCTCTGCAGGGTCGCGCTGCGACAACCGTGCTTGGGGATATGTGGCCATGACCAAGATAAATTGCCAATTGGATAGAATCTTTGCTGGAAGATGCCTATCGTGAGTTGAAGATACTTAAATTTTTTAATCCCTTTGTACGTACTACCAAGAAGGCTGCAGAGCTTGGTGGGATGGAACTTTCGGTATGAGAATGGAGGTGGATCGACCGAGTTGAGATAGAGTCTATATTCTCGCAGCAAGAACAAAGATTTGATTTATATCTTTACTTACTACTTAGAAATTTCCATAAAAGAATGTCTATCATGCAATTACTATTGCTAAATCTGGTTTTACGCTATCGTTCCTCTTCGCTGCAGCCGGTCCAATCATCATCGAGGCGACTATGCTGACGACTGGATGTCTGATCGATATTGAGCTTTGCAGATTCATTTATCATTTATCATTTGCTTATGTGCATCGTTCGGCCAAGAAATAGAGGGGCATCTTGTTGTGCGCTTGCGATGCCTGTTTTTCTTCCGTAGTTGAGACCGGGTCTTTGTTATAGGCTGATGTTGTATGCCTAGAGTACAAAGCAGGACTTGTGATCCAGGCGTCGTTGGTGAGATAGTGACAGTCTCATATAGCAATTGGCTCCTTACATCGTGCCGATCGTCCCAATCCGAAGACACCCCAAGATTCAGCTTTCCAAAGCCGCCTCCACCATGAAATGGATGAGATCGGTTTTACCCACAAGCATTTATTCTGCGGTGTCCGAATACCACAGAGCATGAATTGCTATTCGCTCTGGCTCAGCCGTACCTATATGTACTAGCAAATTGATTAAAAAGATTAAAAAAACAGGTTGAATCATCAGATCATCCGGCCCAAAAAGGGAAAGTGTGGCAGATGCATGCAAATGCGTAGGACCATGGGGGACGGTGGTGCTGTCTAATCTGCTATTGAAGAAGAACAAAACCTCATAGTCCAGTCGCAATCTTCAGAACTGGGACCAGCACCGGACTATTCCCAAGCCTAGTGCTGCCCTTCTTCTTCTGCGTCTTCTCCTACAAACAAAGACAATCTTCTTCAAATAGAGACAATGATAGGCGATACGCAGACCCATAATAAAAACGTAAGCAAGCATTTCTTCTTTGCCTGTCAACAGCGGTCGGAGAGTAAGCGATTGAAATAGAGCAAAATGCTCAATAAATAGCATTAATTTAAAAAGTAAGGTAATTGTATAGAAGGAACATAGAGTTCAAAAGCAAGTAAAAGCTTCTGCATCCTACGATAAAGCAAAGTTACTTTCCTGGGGTTGTCGGTGGCAAGCTAGGGATATTCCAAAGGCCCAGACTTCGACATACATATCATGCAAAGTATGAAGCAGCAAAATATTCGTATATGCCCGCGACGCAATCACTGCCATTCAATAAACCCCGACTTTGAAAATTTGCCTGCTGTAATGAAGTCGTCAAGTAAACGCATTCAGGCGACTAACGTGAGTCAGGACTGCAATTGGCCCAAGGCCGTGAAAAGCCCCAAGGAATAAAATCCCAGAAGCATGATCCAAAACCATCCCGCATTGCCCCGATTGAGTTCTCCTGCATTTCAAATGATGAACGGCACAAACCTAGGTGTCTGCCGATGGTAATCCTCCCACTCTCTGCCGAAGCTCTCGTGGAGTATCTTCTCCTCCTTTGCAATCCGAGATGGAAGGGGAACTATCACTGCAAGAACCAGAAATACCCGATTTCCATAGACAATGCCGTTCAGAGGAGAACCACTAATGATACAGCCCAACACACCGTCCGTACGTAATATCAACCCTGAAAAGCAATAAATGAGCAAAACCACGCCAGTATATGAGGGATGCTGCATCCACGCATAGACCCCTGTCCGTATGAATTGCGACGGACGAGCTAGTCGGAATGTGAAATTTTCACGGAGCTGCGAGTATGCGACTAGTCGAAGATATCCTCCGAATAAAGACAATATGATGAGTACCGCTGTAAAAAGATTCCATGAAAAAAGCTCGCTGTTCAGGGAGGACGATACGCAAATATTGTTTGCGGTAAAAGGAAAAAGGGCAGCTAAGCCGTGGATAACACCAAGCCCAGCAGTCGTATAGCTATATACTGTGAGAAAATTAAGGTACTTTTTGTTGTGTTAGTGCAGTGTACACAAAACTCGAAAAGTCTTTCTTACCTTTGGATATGCCATAAGGTCTGCTTCAATTGCGTGGCTTGGATTAGCGTTCGGAGGATTAAGAGCACGTTTCATTAAATAGGAAGCTTGAAAAATAGACGTCGCGAAAAGCAAAGACATAATGGTCAAGCTTTTGGGAGGTTTGAAGGAACATAGGTCAAGACCGTTTTATGCTTAGGATTTTGGAGATTAGTTACACCCGCACCGCTATATAGTTCCCTGAGACCAAGATAGCTTATATAGATTGCTAATAAATTTCAACCGAAAGTCATGAAAATTTTTGAGTCAAGATATTATGCACAAAGAACTTGGTTTCGGATCAGTCCAGTGGCTTGTCGCATCGTAACATCCATTTAGCGGTGTGATGCTGGTAGATGTAACTTAAGTATTATTCTAATGTGATAAGTTTGAATCGTAAGCCGCGCGGGCTACTCGTCAAACTTATCAACCCCTTGCTTGGCTAGCTCCACTGCTCTACTTCCTTCTCCAACCTTGCTCATCACACTGAATTGAAACCTCACCGTACATTGAAGCCTTTACCCTCACTGTGATCAATCTCAAGGGATCTGCGAGGGGTACAGACTTAAATCAAGCGCTCGTCGGTCTCTGCTAACACCTGGGCGAGACCGCCATCTGGCTGTCGTAAATTAACAGCGATAGAATCGATTATAGTTATAGTTTCTAATGAGCATCCACGCGCCTTGATTATGGCTCCAGAACCGCACGGCAGTATACGACACAAAGATAGAATTAAATTTGCGGTGTCTCATAGAGTTTTGGATAATAGCCAGGCTAAACTCGAGAATAGCCGGTTCGAGGAGGTCATGGATAGTCTCGGTGTCCACCTCGTCGCCATCGGGATCTGTTTGACTGGTGAGCTCGCTCGCGGCCTCCGTCACCTCGCACCACGATTTGAGCTGTCGGCTTCTTGGCTGGAAGAGTGTTAACCGAAGATGGCCCTGCTCAAGGACTCGGTCCCAGTAGTAGACCGCTGCCAAATGTCGATATTTTTCCGGCGAGACTGCCGGTTTTTTAGTCCAGTAACGGGGTCCTGGGAGGTTCCTCTCCGCGTGAAAGTACTAAGTAGTTGGGCCTCTACTTTCTGGTCATGCACGAGTACAGTCATGGTTTTCTCTAGGACCCGTCCAATACTCTCACAGATCAGGAATAAAGACAGCTCGTCCTGTACCCCAGGGAAGTCATTGTTAGGGCCGAGTTCCTTACGCTCCAGCCCTAGGAGATGGATGTAAATGCCAGTACGCGTCATCTGTTAAATTCACGATGCAAGTAGGGGAGTGTTGACGACGTCGAAGGTACAATATAGATAATCTTTGAATTGACTACCGAGTTGTTTAAGTCTGAGGATTCTAAAGGTTACAACTGATACAATGACCAGAATTAGGGCACCAAATGCAACAAAGCGCTACTCTAGAGAGCCTGCAGCCAACATACTTAGTATATAGCTATTGACATATGCAACATGTTCTATTGTCAACAAGGAAGGTGTGTGGTCGGTCATTATTAGTAGGTGGACAGCTATACTTCGGACCGGAGTATTTCTATTCCCGAAGTCAGCCACAGTCGGAGATGCCTTACCATCGAGGCACCATAGCTTCTAAATGGCCTTGAATAGCACATTCATATTCAAGCGACCTCATTGATAGCACAATAGACAAAGGCAAGCATATTGAGCTAAGAAACTACGTCAACATGAAGAGAAAGTTATGTTTCACACCTCAAAGAACTCCAAGCACCTGATTGGGCCGAGCTTCCTGCTGAGCTAAACCCAATACGGAGTAAAGTGGACAACGCGTCCAGCGCGTTTTCTCCCTCTTCATACCTTCGGTCCGGCCACACCTGCAGCAATGAGCGACAGCGAAGCAAGCAATTCTCCCAAACAGAGCACTTCCGCCCGTGAGAGGGCTCAATGGATGACCAAGGGAGCCCTGGTCCGCGACGATTCCGACGACGAGCTGGGGGTCGAGGATCTCCCGTGGGAATGGATCTACGATGAAAATGAACCAAAGGAGGAAGAAGTAAAAGATGGCAGTCCACAAAAGCGAGGTCGGAGACGTTCATCACGACCTGGTCCCCAGCGCCGGAAGATTCTTGCGGCGCGGATGGGTCGATTCGAATGCAAAGTCGGCGAAGTGATCCTCTTGAAGTCTCCGGAGGCCGGAAAAGACTGGGTGGGCGTCATCACGGAGTTTGTGGAAGAGGAGGATGACGAGGAAGAGGATGAGACGGTCAAGTCCGCCAATATTATGTGGTTCGCTTCACCCGACGAATTCATGGGAACCCGAAACAAGCGCCGCACCGATGCGTTGCCCAACGAGCAGTACATCACTCTCGATTTCAATACCAACCCCTTGACATCCATCAGCGGGAAAGGTACCGTTATGTCACAGAATGCCTTCTACAGAAGATACCCGAACGGCCCTCCAAAGGATAAAAGCGAATTGGCGGAATACAACAAGTGCATTGTCTGTCGGCGAGGCGTGAACCAAGTTCAGGGACGGTACACAGATGAGTTCTTGTGGGAAGAGGTATACAAACAAGATAGCATCCATGGCCTGATCGATCTGGTCAAGGAGGGCTTGAAGGGTTCAAGGAAACGCAGGGCTGCAGACGATGAGGTGAGTTGCAATGGATGGCCTCCAAAAGAAACTGCTGTAATAACACTCGCTCAATAGTATGTCGACAACAAGGAGCCTGCTGCTCCCAGCACCCCAAGAAAGAGGCAACGACTGGCAACAGGGAATGCGACGCCGCAGTCACAGCGCAAAAAGGCCCTCACTACCCCAACCCACAAACGGTACGCCAAAATGTACGATAGGTGACCATGCAGCGCTGACAAGCTACTAGAATCGTGGTGAAGAAACCACTCGAGTTTACACCATTGGGTACACGAGTCCTCTCGCCTACACACTTTGCATCCCCATATCGTCAAGCCCGCAACCTGCTTCATGTCTCAACCGTTCCAGACTCGTTGCCGTGCCGAAAAACCGAGTTCAACACTGTATACAACCATCTCAGCGCTGCTATTATGGAGGGCACCGGTGCTTGTATCTATATCTCGGGTACTCCAGGCACAGGAAAGACAGCAACAGTGCGCGAAGTAGTTGCGCAGCTGAATGGCGCCGTCATGGAAGAAGAGATGGACGATTTCATCTTTGTTGAGATCAACGGCATGAAAGTCACAGATCCGCACCAGTCATACTCGCTACTGTGGGAAGCCCTGAAGGGTGATCGAGTATCTCCTTCACATGCACTTGATCTGCTTGAACGAGAATTCTCGGCCCCTTCTCCCCGTCGGGTATCTTGTGTGGTGCTTATGGACGAGTTGGATCAACTTGTTACAAAGAACCAGTCCGTCATGTACAACTTCTTCAATTGGCCTGCTCTCCGCCACTCCCGTTTAATTGTGTTGGCTGTCGCAAACACCATGGATCTCCCCGAGAGAACTCTCAGCAACAAGATCTCCAGTCGTCTCGGTCTAACCCGTATCACTTTCCCTGGGTACAGACACACAGATCTTATGGAGATCATCAGCACCCGTCTCGCGAACGTCCCCGGCAACATCGTCGACCCAGACGCCGTCCAATTCGCAAGTCGAAAAGTAGCAGCCGTCAGCGGTGACGCTCGCAGAGCTCTAGACATCTGCCGTCGCGCCGTCGAAATCGCCGAACAAGCAGCTGAAGCAGCCGCGGCAGAGGACGCACAAAAAGACGAGACAGAATCATTGCCTCCGACACCAAGCAAAACTCCCGCCCGACGCAACAAGGCATTAGCAGCAGTAGCCGCCAACGATCTACCAACCCCCAAAGCCGGACCAGCAAAAGGTCAACCTGGTCGAGTAACAATCGCCACAATCAAGCAAGCCATCCACGAAGCGACATCCACCCCCCTCCAACAATCCCTCCGCTGTCTCCCTCTATCAGGCAAGCTTTTCCTCGCTGCCCTCTTAGCGCGGGTGTCCCGAACAGGAGTCTCGGAATCGACCTTTGGCGACATTCTAGACGAAGCGCGCCGTATCGCCGACGCAGCTGTTGCCGTTGCTGGTGCCGCCGGTGCTGGCGTCAAGGATTTCCTGTTAGGTGGTGGTCCCAGCGCTCGAGTGCGTTCTATGGGATATGCGGCTATGGAGCTAATGAACTCTGGCATCCTTGCGCTGGAGCAAGGCACTGGGTCCAGGAGTGTGCTCGGTGGAACTACTATTCCAACTCGGGGTGACCGTAGCAGCAAAGTTCGGCTTAGAGTCGCAGCGGAGGATGTTAGGTCTGCATTCCGCGAGGATGTCGAGGCTAAAGGCTTTGGGTTGGGGACTGAGCTGTGATTGTCAGACGGAGTTTTAATGTTGGTCTCTTGAAATGTTACAGGACGCATCGGTTGGAGTCAGTGTGTTAACTTATCGCACTTTAGCTTGCATATGATACCCTTTCGGTCAATTGGACTTTTCAAATGTAGACTAACGTTCATGCTATGATGGGTAGGCTAGCGATTCGACATGTGTGCCTGGTAGAGCCTGGTTTGACTCGATTGAATTCCGTATAGTACAAAACATTTGGTTCTCTCTGAATACATGAACTTTCCAGGAAAAAAGCTCCTCAAACATATATCTGAGGGACGCAAACCCCAGTATTGACCACAGACCACGCTGAACTCCACATAGTGCCGATACAAGAACTTGATGGCGAAACAAAAAGAAGGGTATTAAGAAATCGGAACAGAGACCACAAGGTGATGTTTCTAGTACCGTTGTCTACCGAGAGTAGGAGCCCATTGAACGGGATGAGTCTCAGGCGTCGCATCCTCATCTTGCTTCCAGACCTTGATGGTCTTGTCAGCTTCACCGGTAATGAGACGCAGACCAGTGCGATCGAAAGTAGAAGCCATGATTCCAGCTTCGGCTTCGAGGGAACCGGGTTGGGCAGTGGTTTCAACAGACTGGAAACGGTGGCCGGTCTTCCAGTCCCAGAAGGACATAGAGCCGTTGTCGCCACCGGAGAAGAGGACATTCTCGTCGTTCACAGCGAGGGAGTTGATGACTGAGTTCTGGCCTTCGAAGTTCTGCATGAAGTCGCCCTTGGGACACATCCATTGCTTAATGCTTCCGGTACTGGCACTGGCGAATGTGAATTCAGATGGGTGAATGGCGATGTTGCGGACACCCTTCTTGTGGTGTGTAAGGACGCCCATGCTCTTTCCCGCAGCCAGATCCCACAGACGGACTGTGGAGTCCAGCGATCCAGAGATGATCTGAGGATCGGCTTCTTGACACTTGATGTCGGCGACAGTACCCTTGTGTCCGCCGAGGACGTGGACGTTGCTTCGTGTCCGCATATCCCAAACTCGACACACACCATCACGACCACCTGTAACAAGCAAATCAAGACGAGGGTGTAGAGCAAGGGTATAAACACCACTCAAATGACCATGATAGTGACGAATCACCTTGTTGGTCTCCAGATCCCAACACTTCACCATCTTATCCTCACCACACGAGAACAGGTACGGATGCCGAGGCGACACGGCCAATCCACGAACCGTGGAGATGTGACCAGTAAGCGTAAGACGCAAAGAGCCCGTTGCCAAATTCCAAATCTTAATCGTGCGATCTCCCGCTCCACTAGCAAACCACTGGTTATTCGGCTCGACAGCCAAAGCCCGCACCCAACCCAAGTGTCCTGAGATAACGCGCATCAGCTTCCATGGCGCGTGCCAGTCGGGCTTCTGCTGCTTTGTGGCCGAAGGCCTTGTGATCAGGCTCTTGGGCTGCTCTCCGGCCTCGGCTGCGCCTGCGCCAGCAGCTGGCCGCTTCACAAGTGACATCGAGGCACCGCTGCCATCTGCAGGTGTCTGTGACTGGATCTTTGGCCGTTTTGTTCGCCCGGCTGTGGCCTTGGCTTGCTTTTCTGCGAGTGCGCGTGGTAGTTCGGTGATGTCTTCGTATTCGACCTTTCGTCGGTAGGAAACGCCAATTGATCCGTCTGTCAGGGTTGAGGGTGTGACCATCAGGTATTCGGGGCCGAAGAGCTCTGCTGTGCGCTTTGCTGATGCGCGCACCGCATCTTCGGCGGACTGCGAAGGGGTGTAGTCCATTTTTCTGTGATTGAGAGGATGGGAAGGAGGTAGAGGCGTGTCTCAAGGGTAGAAGCTCCACAGAGCCGCGGGTTGATCGTGCGCGCGATGAAAACCCTGCGATGGCTCGGGTTTGAGAATCGGGGTTCCAAACAAAACCAGTGTATCAGGAGGTTGATGGCGATTTATCCCGAGGCGACACCGGGTAGGATTGCGAGGCAAGACAATGGTTGTGGGAGAGAAGAGGATGTGCATGAATCTTTGCCGGAGTTCGAGTGGGTCTGATGCCTGAGGCGGTCAACTGTATATCTTCGACGTGAACAACTGAATCACACGTCACAGCAAGTCCTTGCCCCAACAACCAGTCATACCTTCTCTGGTAGGTCTCTTTCAATCGTCAGCATCCAATTCAACCTTCCATTCTGTGAATCGCGAGCGTAAGTCCAGCTGACTCAGCCGGTGTCCTTATCGCAGCTCTTATCGTTTTCCTTCTACAAAGTCACCCAAAGTCATGGATTCCCAGAAGTTCGCCCTACATGAAGCTGCGAGAGAAGGCAGAGGTGAGTCTGTGATTCCCATTGACATACAACTTTGTTGACACCTTAATCCAGACCAGGTGGTCGAGTCGTTGCTCAACGTGAGTATCCCGATCTAAGTCGCCCCGCAACTAATGACATCTTACACTGCCACTTGCTTCACCCGCTTTCATGGAACACGACTAACAGTGGAATAAGGCCAATCCCAAGGCTGCCCTAGTCAAGGATGATGATGACCGCCTTCCGATTCATTGGGCTACAGCCTACAATCACGTCAGGGTTGTGGAGTTGTTGATGGGCGCCAAAGGATTCGACCCTGATGTGGAAGTGAGTCGTGATTATGCCATAGATCCCCCTGAAAGATCAAGATTGAAAGCCATCCAAGGATCTATACTAATGTTAGATAGGATGGTACAGGCTGGACCCCTCTCATGATTGCAGCCAGCCTGAAAGATGCTGCCGGCGATGCAATTATTGAAATACTGCTGCGGAAAGGAGCTGATGTTTCAATTAAAAGCAACTCAGGCCAGGTCAGCAATTCAAGAACCATATCATCATCAAACTTATATCGGAGCTAACAAGCCTGCAGAATGCTCTTCATTTTGCTAGCTCCAAGTCTAACACCTCAACTGTCCGCACATTGCTTGCCAATAAGTGCAGTGCCAGAGTCAAGGACAAGCGCGGTCAACTCCCTCTCCACAGAGCGGCAGCAGTGGGATCTGTTCCTATCTTGAAGGCCCTTTTGGAAGAAGGCAAAAGTCCCGTCAACGCAACGGATGGCGACGGATTTACGGCTCTTCACCATGCCATCTCGGAGGGACACGGAGATGCAGCAATTCTGTTATTGAAATCTGGAGCTGAGCCTGAGAAGCGAGACAGTGATGGGAAACTGGCAATCGAGCTGGTCCCCGATGAAAAAGTCAGTCCCCCAGGCTTCCGGTCTACAGCACCGCGTAATTGTGATGTGGCTATCTAACATTCAAGCGACTATTTAGGTGAGGCAGTACATTCTGCAGACCGCAGAGCGCGAAGGAATCGACCTCCCTTGATTGGATTCAGCGCACGCTAAAAACAACCCTGCAACTTTTCCACCTCGGGCTGTGCTTCCCCGCATCCCCCAATAGTTATGCAACCCAATTTGCCTGCTCTAGTCCCCTGGACATATTTTCATATTATTGAGTCCCATTGATCATTTCAGAACCAGTAGCTCAGGAGTCATATGTCTGGAAGTGAGTGGTGTAGATCATCGGGAGGTTGCTGCATACCCTGTGTGATATGGGCTGCATGTAGACAGCTGTCAACCAAATGAGGGGCCTCGGCAAATATTGTGAGCAAGTAGCAGCAATAACCGAAGGTCTGAATCAGCGGAGAAATAGTTATATGCAGTGTTATGCCCCGATTCTACAGTCTGGAACCCCTCCGAGCTGCATCCTGTCTATAATCACTATGCCTTCCCCAGTCAATACTCGTCTCCCGGTGGGAAACAAAGACTTTACTAATGCAACTGTTGTCATAATCGGTGCCGGCATATCTGGTATGCCCGACTGCGTAATAGTAAAGGATCAGAACTGACTCTATAGGTTTGTGCATGGCAATCGATTTGATCAAACGCAACAAATGTCACAATTTCGTTATACTTGAGAGAAGTAGCAGTGTTGGTGGAACATGGAACGATAATAAATATCCTGGATGCTGCTGTGATGGTGAGTTTGTCCCTGGAGCCATTCATGTCTTGCCAACTGACATATCTTGTCAACGTCTAGTTTGGAGCTCGCTCTACAGCTACTCATTTGAGCAGAATCCCGATTGGTCCCGGGAATATCCTGGGCAAGAGGAAATTCATGTGAGCTGTACTAGCCCTGGATATATTATAGACGATCGCTGACTCTCGTGAACAGGCCTACTTGATGAGCGTTGCGGAGAAATACGGCCTTTATAAGTATATTCGATTTAATTCCACGGTCGAAGAATCTCGATGGGATGACACTGAATTCAAATGGAAAACCAGTGTGATGGTCTCGGGGGCCAAAGACAGCGAATTCTCCAAATCCTACACTCTGAACTCCGACTTTCTGATTTCGGCCGTTGGCCAACTGAATCTACCTCGTGAACCAGACATTCCAGGACTGGAAGACTACCAAGGAAGAATGATGCACTCTGCCAGATGGGATTGGAGCTATGACATGACAAACAAACGAGTGGCAATCATTGGAAATGGCGAGTCTCACACTCAGCCCTTGTATATCGTCTAGCTGCCACTAACATATCGCTATAGGAGCTACCGCCGCCCAGATCACCCCAGAAGTAGCAAAAGTTGCCTCCCATCTAACAGTATATCAGCGAACCCCAAACTGGGTGATCCCCCGAATGGACGGCCCAGTATCACCCTTCCAAAGAGCGCTATTCAAATATGTCCCACCTCTCCATTGGCGCAAACGCGCCCTGCAAATGGACTTCCGCGAAGCCTTCCACGCAATCATCCGAGACGACAACTCAGATGTTGCCCACATGATTCGGAACATGTGTACCGGGAGTATGAAAGCCCAACTCGCAAGCAAACCTGAGCTATGGGAGAAGTTGACTCCGGACTATGCACCGGGCTGCAAGCGGATCATCATCACCGATGATTACTATCCCACTCTGGCGCGGGACAATGTCGAGTTGGAAACAAGGCAGATTACACATATCACTGAGACAGGGATTGAAGTTGAGGGCTTTGATGAGCAGGAATACGATGTTATCATTCTCGCTACGGGCTTTAGGACGGTGGAATTCATGCATCCGATTCAGATCCATGGTGCTAATGGGCGTTCATTGCAAGATATCTGGAAGGATGGGGCTGAGGCGTATAACGGGGTTACAGTTGAGGATTTGCCGAACTTTGGGATGTTTTATGGTCCTAATACCAATCTTGGTGAGTGTTGACGATCTCTTTCCTGGGAGGAGAGTTTTCGATTCGGATTTCTGACGGGACTTTAGGACATAACTCAATCATTCTAATGATAGAGGCGCAGTCTCGATATTTGAATGGGATGGTTGGGGAAGTGATTCGTGCTCGACACCAGGGTCAAACATTATCTTTGAAGCCAAAGCTAGCAGTACTGAAGAGTTTTAATGAAGAGCTTCAAACTGCTCTGCGAAGTACCAGCTTCGCAGATCCCAATTGCAGCAGTTGGTACAAGAGAGATGACGGTGTCATCACGAACAACTGGTCTGGAACTGTTGTCGACTATCAGGTTAATCTGTCAAAGGTGCAGTGGCAAGATTACGATGTCGACGGTACCGGAAAAAGTGGTGTTGAGCACAAGACTGCTACGAAACTTGGCCGTGTTCGAGAAGAAACTTTACTTGGTAATACTACATTGTTGATGGTAGGTACCGTGAGTGTTCTGTCCGCAGTTGGCTATTTACTCGCTCGATCAAAGCTGGTCAAAGCCCGCTGAAGATGACAACATCATGGAGACCCATTAGCTTTTTTCAAATGTTACTTGCATAGTGGCATAGGGGCTTGAAATTGAGCTAATAGTATGATTTAACATTGGTGTCTGCATGTTTTAACTCGCTGAGATAGCTTGTATTGTTTGCTAGGCTCTATCAACTTTGCCCTTTTTTTCATCCACAGAGAGAAACAATGTCCTCCGGAACATATGGTGTCAGAATACCAATGAGATCCGAAAGAGGAACCCAGTCAAGAATACCATGAATGCTTCTAACAGGTTGTCCACTGTACAAGACTCGGGCATAGAGAGTCTTTCTATCAGTTTCCCAAACCTCGAAAGCAATGTTAGATGCCATCGCAGGCCAGCGTAGAGCCTCGATTCCAAGGGAGCCCAGAATAGGACCAATGTCACCATCATGGATGAAGATATGACTGTAGTCAAGAGAAGACTTTCCGTCCTGAACAGCCTGCAGACGAGAAACAATTTCACCAATGAACAGACCCTCAACAACCTGGATGTACTTGACCACATCCGGATTCGTGCGCCAGTAGTAATTCCACTCCCAGTCACCGGCACGGAAAACCTCCTCGACCATCTCCTCTGTCACACAAGCAGACGAGTTCGAAACACTGCATGGAAGCTCATAGCCATTACAAAGCCGAGCCTGGAAGTTATCCGAGAAATGATCAAAAGTATTCTGCCACGAACTACTTGTCGCGCCGAGCATAGACCCAAGCGTGGAACGCAACTCTGCAGTGACAGTCAGATGCTCTTTCCACTGCGAAGTAGATTGCAGGGAAGAAAGCGTGGAGCTAATACCCGAGCAGGAATAACCCTCATTGACAGTGTCAACGGAAGTAACCATCTGATGCAGTGGCAGGGCACCTGTGTACTCGGGCCACACACCCCGCAAGACCGCACCAGCCGAAGCCTGCGTGAGAGCCGAGTCACTTGATCGGAACCAGACTCGGTTGTTAGGTTTCTTGGGAATCAGACCGAGCTTCTTGCCATAGACGGCCCACAGATCCTTGCCATGCTGGTATCCGTCTTGAATACCACCGATAGTGATCTGGGGGTACTGGCATGTTCCGTTCACGCCAGGCGTGAAGGGGTTGGAGGGGTCTTCGTATGTCTGCGCATACATTGGTACGGGTTGGATGCCGCTTGCGCTGTTAGGACCACCGTAGAGATACGGGCGTACATTATCGCATTCATAGGCTTGATTCTGGGTGTCATTAGCGCTGGAATTTTTTTTTCATGATCATTTTGACTCACTTCTCCCCCGGGCAGAATGTTGTATGGAGAGCGTCTCTGGTGACGCTGCAGATACTCCAAATAAACAAGCTTTCCTTTGGTGGACCCCTTGCTTAAAGCTGCAGGCAGAGCATATTCCTCCGAACGAGGATGCGGCATGGAGCAATAATCATAAGTGCCGTAGGGATCTGCAGTAGCCGGACCATTGGTCGAAGCTGTGTAGATACCGCCATACGTCCCAATAGTACTGTTGCTGATGTATGCAGTATCATTGAGGGTTGGAGGGTAAAAGGTGTCCGCAGGTGTCAGAGCCAGCACCGGGCTGGCTGCAGCAAGCAAAGTGAGACCGCGCATGTTGGACAGAGACTCAGGTAGCAAAGACCAAGTGTCGAGCAGACTCGTGAATATAAAGGCATTGTGCCATGCCACTACTGCCCAGCCGAGCAGAAACACGCTCCACACTCCGAATGCCAGTCGCGACCTGCCAAACAAAGCACGTGGGACTGACAGCTCCATCTGGCAATTTCCAACAGCCGAGTGGCGTCCACTATTGACAGTAGTCAACCATTCAGACACATTGTTGTGAGGGTTGACGTTGAGTTGAGTGATCTCATTCCCCTTGCCGAAATCGCTTGGCATTGCCGGGCCATGTCCAGGGGTTAATAGTTGAGGCATTCCCGCGCTACATCCAACATTTTCGGTTCCAATTCGGTTCCAACAATTAAGCTATGTGGAAAACCTCAGTTGTCATAGCCACGGTGGCCTTGTGCCCGTTAGTCTCTTCTTCATTGGCTGATTTCGCCCTTCAGAAGACGCTCAGCGATGCAACCCCGATATTTGGATCCTATGTCAAAGAGTCGGGCAAAAAGGCCGAATGGATGAAGGCATACCCGGATAACACTTTACTTGTTCACATGAACATCCCCGGTACTCACGATGCCGCAACGTGGAATTATACCCAAGCAACGCAAGATGCTCTGCGAGGGATCACAGACTTGAATCAAGTCACTGTTCCAGTGCCAGAGTCATTCCGCTGTCAAGAGTTGCCATTGATTGATATGCTCAATGAGGGTATTCGAGCCTTTGATCTGCGCTATGCTCTGGACCCAACCAACTCCAGTCTCATCTTCTACCACTCTCAAGCACTGCTCTCGGAGACAGCTACGATGGACGATGTGCTGTTTGGATTTTATAAGTGGCTGGATGATCACCCATCTGAGACAATATTTCTCTCGTTCCAGCATGAGGGCTCGACAGCTCGCTATGCATCCGACGATGCGGCATCGCAGCTGAAGATGTACAACGCTCTGACTTCTTCCGCCGCGCGTCATTATTTTGTTCAGACCAAAGACCAGTTGGGCACATTGGGTGATGCGCGAGGAAAAATTACCTTGATGCGCCGGTTCGATCTGGGCAACCTGCCGGATTCCTACACAGCCGCCCTTCCCGGTCTGCACTTCTCGCCTAGCGCGTGGACCGACAACGGACCGGATATCAGTCTGGTGTACAACTCGAAAAAGAATCTGACCGCGTATATTGAGGACTACTACCAGCCTCTTACGCCGATGGGATCGGATGCGATCGAGAATATCAAGTGGAAGTACAATGCTACCGTGGCAAACATTGACAAGGCCACCACCCAGCATCCAGATAGTCTCTTCTGGAGCTGGGCATCAAGCACAAACCTCGACAATAACCCGCCTGACTGGCCCCGCATCATGGCGCTCGGAAATGGCACCAAGTACACTCCAGATGGTGGGGTTAACCAGCTCCTTCTGTCATATCTGAAAGAACAAAAAGGCAAACGCGTGGGGATTGTGATGTTTGACTTCTTTGACCAACCCTCCACATTGATTGATACATTCTTGGACATTTGAGCGAAAGCTCCCTGTATTGAAACCGCACTGCTGACGACTATACACAATGTTGACACTGTCAATGTCAACACCAACCATCTAGACCATCATATAGAACCAATAAATATGCAAATATCTCACATAAGTTATACAAACCCATCATTAACCCCATCACTGTTCTTCAACCCGCATCAGCCGCGTCTGACGTGGAGATATCTGATTTCCCGCGATTGGCATTACATTACTCCATACAGGCACAGTGGAGACCAACAAAGTTCGGTCACCAAAGACTAGTCGCTTCTTGTTTTTCTTTTTTTTCCCGCGCATTTGCAGAAGGTTAAAGGATCGACATGGGGCTTCATGCGGTGGACCCTCCAACGTGCATGGAGTGGTTGAAGTAGGTACGCCGATGCCATATGCAGGTGTGCTTTTCACCTTATTCGCCCTTTGCAGCTGCTCCGTGTTTCGGGACAGCGAGATCGGAGAGGGACTGAGGCGACATGATGTGCGTCTCGTCATGGCACTCAGTCCACTTGATCCATAGTCGGATTGTTGTAGGGTGGCTATGGAGTATAAATGGGTGCTGGAGTCCCCTGGGTTTTTCGATCCTTTCAAGCTTGTTTCACTTCTTCTTCGGCAATCCTATACTTCAACATGGCTGCCGCTGATATCATCTCATTGACTGATCAGATTAAGCAGGAGGTCTCTTTTGAGTCTTCTACCTCTGGTCATAGTCATGCTCGTCTTCTTCGACTTGTGGACGAACTGAAGCTGGCTATTGAGACTCCCACTGAGACTGTTCTTCGGTTGATCTACCAGGTAATTGCTCTTGTTTTTCCAATCATAATTGGATCTATACTGACCAGCATGTCTATCAAGCCACCAGAGAATGCTGCCTTGCGTACTGTGGTGGACTTGGGTATCTTTCCAATTCTTGTAAAGGACGGACAGAAAAACGGTCTCTCCGCAGCAGATCTCGCTGTGTGCACTGGTGCCGACAAAGGATTAATTGGTATTTTGCTCATTCCCAACGCTGAAAATCTACTCACATAGGACAGTCCGTCTAATGCGAGTCATGACGGCTCTTGGCCTCTGTGCAAGCACCGAGGCAGAAGTATACCGGCCCACCGATAAATCTCTCTCGATGACCCAACCAATCGGCCAGGATGGCATTCCCTGCATGTAAGTATGAAACACGCATTCAACTATCATGACCCACTGACAACATGTAGCTATGATCTGACTGTCCCGACCCTAACGAAACTCCCCGAGTACCTCCGTGAACACAATTACAGTAATCCCGAAGAATACAGTTCATCGCCTATGAAATGGGCTGTGGGCCAAAGTCAATTTGAATGGCTCGCAAAAAACAAGAGACATCAAGCTCTTTTCAATTCATACATGTCCAGTCGACGCGAAGGCAAACCCAATTGGCTCGACGTCTATCCCCTAGAAAGACTAGTCGACGGCACAGCCTCACATCCCGACTCCGTATTCCTCGTGGATATTGGCGGTAACCAAGGCCATGACCTTGGTAGGCTCATGGCTCAACATAGGACCACACCGGGCCGAGTTATTCTACAGGATCTGCCCAAGATTGTCTCAACCGTCAACCGGCCAGGGATTGAGGCAATGGGGTATAGCTTCTTGGACCCACAGCCGATCAAGGGTAAGTCACCCTTTAGCTTGAGTTGATTAAATTGTTTCATACTGACAACCTTGAAGGGGCGCGAGCCTACTACTTCCGAGCCATCTTCCACGACTGGCCCGACCGTATTTGCCACAAGATTCTGTTGAACACTGCTTCTGCAATGGATCCTACCTATTCGCGCATCATTATTGTCGATTTCGTACTGCCTGACACGAATGCACCTCGCATGCAATCTGCCATGGACATCCAAATGATGAGCATTGGTGCCGGCGTCGAAAGATCCAAGCGCCAATGGACGGAGCTTCTAGCCAGTGCTGGTTTGAAGATTAACGGGATTTGGAATACAAGTCCAGGAATGGAATCGATCATCGAAGCTGTTCTAGACGTCGGTGGCCTGGAAGACTCGGAATGATGATGTAGGGGATATACTGTAGTACCGACTAGGGCGTTTTCAGAGGATTACTTTGATTTGGGCTTTTGAATATGAAATTCGATTTCTTGTTATATGTGAAGAAGCTTCCCATTCCGTAACAAAGTATGAATATAAATTCAATACCGAAAATACCATTCTAAATCATGCCATGCGCAATTCAAGTCTCCGAGCCGTGCAGGGACACCGTCAGAGGCGCCGATCCAAGCCCTTCACAGCCCTCGCACACTCCTGAGGGCCCACCACAGTCCACTGCAAAGCTTGTCTGAGCCGGTGCTGATCATCGATCAGATAAGATCGACTGCTGTCACCAATTGGCACTTTTCGCCCGTGTGGAACTGGCCTGTTACCTGTGCGTCTGGGACTGTCACTCGAATTGACCTGCAATGACCCGCGATCGAGGTGGCTGATTCCTTCTGAATGCCAAAATGATCGTCCCGAGTTCCTTTGTCGAGATTCCTTGCTGTGTTTATTGATCGCACAGGACTCGAGCTTTAAGAGAGAAACATGGAGCGTACAAAATGTCCTATGCCAAGATTTCCTGGTGGGTGAATTCGGTATAATCTCATGCGCTGAAACAGGCCCACGTTTCATATGGTAATCATTGATGTTTGTGTCAGATATACGTTATGTAGTTTCTACGCACGTCGGAGCACTAGACGAATTAGGTAGCGCTGTGGGCGATTTTGTGGCTCTTTTCATATCATAAGACCGTCCAAATACAGAATGCCATCTCTCTGTATGACAGCTGAAGATGGAGAGAATTTAGTCTCCGCAGAATCATTCATAGCTTTTAGATCGATCGATTTTCGACCTCAACTATGAGAGACACACTTGCCCGCTGAAGAAACGACCTATTTAGTTGTGATACATGACAAAGCGTGGAAAGTTTCGCCAGATTAGGAAATAAAATAGTAAGGGCCCAAACGCGTCCATCAACATGGATGAGATGAGATAATGTACAATTCAGAGATAAGGCTTGCTAATGTTACATGTTGCAGAGACCAATCGCCCCCATGCAACTGAATTCACAGCTGCATCAACAAAGATTCGACGAAAGTGCGTAGATTGTCCAGCGACACGTCTTCCTTAACGTTCAACCGGCGGCACTGCACCTCGAGGGTCTGCTGTTTCTTCCACCCATTACCAACAACCACGATGACAGGGTATCCAATCAGATCCGCGTCGCCAAGTTTCCATCCCATGCCTTTATCACGATCATCAAGGATGACATCGACAGGTGCCGCGGGGTCAGCGGTGAGGTGATCATATACCTGATCAGCAACACTTTCCATGCCCTTTCCTGGGACCACGACTACCTCGTAGGGAGCAATGACACGCGGCCAGTTGAGTCCCTTGGAGTCTGCGAGTCTGTTCGCAACGGCGGAGATCATGCGCGAGACGCCGATACCATGACATCCCATTTGCATGGGAACGATCTGCTCCTTGGCAGAAGGCTTCGCACCAGATTCGGCTGGTCCCTCGAGAAGAGATGAGTTAACCGACACGTTTGCATTGAGCACTTCGCTGTAGCGTGTTCCGAGGTGGAAGGTGTGTCCTAGCTCGACAGCAGAGTGACTAGTCAACGATCCATGCGCGCATTGTGAGCATTGATCTCCGTCATGGACTCGGACAAGACTGAGCTTGTTCGAGGTGTCTGGGAAACGGTCTAGCTTCGAATACTCAATTTCATCGGCCGTGCAGCTTGCTTGCTCAAGAAGGTCGCTCAGCGGTGGCCGTTGGTATACCCGAACCTGCGAATCATACAGATCCAACACACGTGGTTTGTTTGTGGAAGATTTGTTCTTTTTGACATGGGCTGTCCATTTCTGCAGTGGGTTCTCTACACTGAGGTCGAGGTTAATACCGGCGGCAGTGGCAATGGCCTTTACCGCATGGGAGTTGACATGACGTTCAACAGGCTCCGTGGCGCTATTTTGCATCGAGAACTTAGGGTACCAGCCCCGAACAATAGTGTTGCTGTCGTGAGAAATGGCCATCCACATGCCAGTTGAGACTGTCGATCCACCTTCAACTTCGTTGCCGGTCTGGAAGCCAGGTAACGTGCTCGGTTCCGTCTCTTCGAAGCTATGTGTCTTGCCATCGGCAAGCTCTTCATTGTACACATGGGCACAGTGCGAGCAACTGACCACATCGTCTTCGCCCTTGGGGCTGATGAAATGATATTCATGGCTTAATGAGCCGCCCATATTTCCGGAATCTGCAGCCGCAACCAGATAGGGGATTTTAAGCTCATCAAAAAGTCCCACATAGGCCTGTTTTACGGCGCTGTATGTCTTCAATGCTTCACTCACACTATAATCAAATGTGTAGAGATCTTTCATGATGAACTCCCGCCCGCGGAGTAGGCCTTGTCTCGGCCGAGCTTCATCTCTGTATTTTCGAGCTTGACAGATTAAGAAAGTCAGCATATCCGAAGATCTCAGTCCGGCAAAAATAAGTCTCACAAATCTGATAAACTCGCAATGGCAGGCTCTTGTATGATGTTGTCAGATGCCCAACAAGAGAGGTGATTTCCTCCTCGTGAGTAGGAGCCAGAAGGAACGGGGTATCTTTCCGATCCTTCAGACGAAATAGCTATATGTTTTGTCAGTAGAAGTTCTTTACTCCTATGGAAAGTGGACCTACTTCGGAGCCCTCGCTCAATCTGCCAGACCGTTCCCAAAGTTCCTCGGAGGACAATGAAGAAAGCGAGACCTTAGAGGCGCCTAATGTATATGAGTGACAATTACTGGATGTTATGGTGAAAGACCCTACCAAGGGTGCGCATATGCTTGTCAATTAGGCTTTCCAGCTTGTCCTGGACACGTAACCCCAGAGGAAGCATGTGAAATACCCCAGAGTATGCCTGTTTACAGTCAGCGATGGAGTTCAAAACAGAAAGCACAAAATTACACACCTGTCGAAGAAAACCGCCTCTAACAAGAAGCTCATTTGCATCCTCTTAAGAGATAATTAGCATGTGTTCATCGCAATTGACATCGTAGCTGCAGAAAGCGCACCGTTTTCACCGTCAACAGATTTCTTAGACATTCCACCTGTAGGAATCCAACAATTTGACACACGGCTCCGGCCATCAAACTAAGTCGAGTCAGTATACCAATTTTGTGCTATCCGGACAACATGGAAGGGCGTACGTGAAGATGACATTGCTGAACACGCAGGCTCAACGCCAGTCGGCGCGATGAGACGCGCGCAAGACTGGGTCGCAGCCCAGAAATCATCATGAACCCCTACACGAACAATCCCGAATTGCATAGGAAGCTGAAATGGAAATAGTCGAGCAACTCGAAGTCTCCCTGATGTTTCTTATCGGCCTGGTCCGAGCGCCCGATAAACCCGCCGCAAAAGATTTCTCCGTCCAATTTTCTTTTCTCCAACATCAGTCAATCCCACACCACCACACATCATGGTCAAAGGGAAAGGAAAGCCCTCTTCGGGCGCAAGCGATACTGTGCCCGATGCCAGTGTTTCGGCTCCCGATGCCCAACCTACGATCGTCATGCCAGACGAGAGCGCCTTCGCTGGCCTCCGACAGAAAATCGAACAACGTTTGCAAAAGCAGAACCAGAACTCCGGCAAAGGAAAAGGAAAGGGAAAAGATAACAAGCCCCAAGCGCCCACTGAAGATGCTTCTACAAAGAAAGGAAAGCAATCACCTGCCAAGCCCATCAAAAGCCAAGACGCGCATGGCAAGAAGCGGGATCGCAATGGCGAAGTAATTGCTCGGGAAGAGAAGAAAGGTGGAAAGAATCAACAAGAGAAGCCCAAGGGCTCCAAGAAGAGCAATGATGATGAGACCCTGCGCCAGGAGATCCTCGCTATGGGAGGTACCGAGGAGGACCTCGATCTTCTTGCTGGTGTCGACTCTGAATCCGAGGTCGAAGGCGATGATTTCAAGGGCAAGGGCGGTGACGAAGATCTCCGCAAGCAACTTTCCAGTATGCTGGAGGCTGCTGGCCACGTTGTGCCGGAAGACCTAGAGGATGATGAAGTTGAGGAAGAGAGCGACGAGGACGTTGAAGCTGAGGAAAGCGAGAATGACGCAGAGATCAGTGACCCAGAATCAGATATTGAGGAGACACCTGCCCCGAAAGACAAGGCCGAAATTCCTATCCCCAAAGAATTCGCCAAGCTGGTATGTCATAAACAACCCATCGGCACGAAATTGTGGCTAACTTTTATTATAGAACGTCGTTCCTCGGGCCGATTGGTACAACGCACCTCTTCCTCCCCTTCCCCCGACCACCAAGCAGATGAACGCCCTGCCCCGTCACATGATAGACCGTATCCACGAACTTGGAAACACCCTGCTCCAAGAAGAAAATGAGCAATATGCAGCTGCTCAGAGATCCAATGCTTCTTCGTCCCACAAGTTCTACTCGACCATCATGGCATCTGGTACCCTGAGTGATAAGATTTCTGCCTTGACTCTTAACGTTCAAGAATCGCCCCTTCATAACACTAAGGCATTGGAGAGCCTCATTGCCCTCGGAAAGAAGCGTAGTCGTGCGCAAGCAGTTGAGGTTTTGCGATCCCTGAAGGATATGTTCGCCCAGGGTACTTTACTTCCCGGCGATCGTCGTCTTCGTTCTTTTGCCAACCAGCCTGGTCTCGTTGCTGCTTTCCAGGGTGCTGGTGGTCGCTGGAACGACAAAGACCCTCTTCCCGGTGGCATTCAAAAGAGCCATCTTATTGTCTGGGCCTTTGAGAACATTGTCAAGGATCAGTTCTTCGAGGTTCTCAAGATTCTCGAGATTTGGTGTAACGATGAGATTGAGTTCTCGCGAACCCGCGCTGTCAGTTATGTCTACGAACTTCTCAAGGAGAAGCCCGAACAAGAGTCAAACCTGCTGCGTCTTTTGGTCAACAAACTAGGAGACCCGGGTAAGAAGATTGCTTCTCGTGCATCATACCTTTTGCTGCAGCTGGAGCAGGCACATCCTCTGATGAAGCCGACTATTATCAAGTCCGTCGAAGAAGTGCTGTTCCGTCCCGGCCAGAGTCAACACGCCAAGTACTATGCCATCATTACGCTCAACCAGACCATCCTGAGACAGAAAGAAGAGCAGGTTGCTACTCAACTACTTCACATCTACTTCGGACTTTTCCTCGTCCTTCTGAAGCGTGAGCCTAAGCACGAGGCTAAGGAGGCACCCAAGCCCAAGGGCAAGCACGGAAAGCCTCACCACAAGGGACCTAAGGGCAAGGAAGACCCTACTAAGGGAGCGGCTCAGGACGATGAGATGCGCGAGAAGCTCATCTCTGGTGTCTTGACCGGTGTCAACCGTGCCTATCCTTTCACGGACTCGAACAACGAGCGGTATGTACTTTTTTCCTATTGCCTTGAGCAAGATACTAATATTTTACTAGCATGTCGAAGCACCTTGACACCTTGTTCCGCATCACCCACTCTTCCAACTTCAACACCAGTATCCAGGCTCTGATGCTGATCCAACAGCTCACGGCATCTAACCAGGTCGCTGGCGATCGTTTCTACCGCACTCTGTACGAGTCCTTGCTCGACCCTCGTGTTGCTACATCTTCCAAGCAATCTCTCTACCTCAATCTCCTGTACAAAGCTCTTAAGAATGATCTCAACGTTCGACGAGTCAAGGCATTTGTCAAGCGTATTGTTCAAGTGCTTGGTCTGCATCAACCGGCTTTCATCTGTGGTATCTTCTTCCTGATCCGCGAGCTTGAGAAGACCTTCCCCGGCCTTTCAGCTTTGGTCGACCAGCCTGAGGACAATGAGGACGACGACGAAGAGATCTTCCGTGACGTTCTCGACGAAGATGACGAGCAGCCAGAGCCCACTGCCGTGGAGACCAAGCCCAAGGAATCCACCGTGTACGATCCTCGCAAACGTGACCCCGAGCACAGCAATGCCGACCGAAGCTGTCTCTGGGAATTACTGCCCTACACCACTCACTTCCACCCCTCCGTTTCTCTCAATGCTGCAAACCTCTTGGAGCACAACCCCATGAGCGGCAAGCCCGATCTCACCCTGCACACCCTCACTCACTTCCTCGACCGCTTTGTTTACCGCACACCCAAGGCCTCCGCCGCCTCTCGCGGTGCTTCCATCATGCAGCCCCTTGCTGGTGGTGAAGCCGCCGACCGCTTGGTCGAAGCCGGCAAGCAGGCACAGAACGAAATGCCTCTCAACACCGATGCATTCTGGAAGAAGAAGGCTGCCGACGTTGCCGCCGAAGATGTCTTCTTCCACGAATACTTCACCCGTGTCAACAAAGACAAGGAGAAGGTTCGCGCGAAGAAGGGCAAGGACGTCAACGCCGCCGCCCGCGACGGAGAGGACGATGTCGACGGCGCCAGCGACGACGAAGACGAGATCTGGAAGGCTCTCGTCGACTCCCGGCCCGACCTGGAGGCCGACGGAGACAGCGACGACGACCTGGACATGGACGACCTCGAGTCTGCCTACGGCTCCGACGACGAAGGCGAAGGCGAAGGCGAGGACTCGGACGGCGGTGTCATCTTCAACGACGAGTCCGACGTGCCCTCCGACGAGGAAATGGCCGAGTTCAGCGAACCCGAAGAAGCCGCTCCCGCCCCCAAGACCAAGAAGGGCAAGAAGGCCCAAGAAGAGGACGACGACTCAGACGACTTCGACATGGACGTCTCCGACGACGAAGCCTTTGTTGACAGCGACGAGGATCTTCCCTCGGACATCGAAATCGGCGGAATGGACACGGCTCCCGCAGATGTTCCTGCGCCTGCCGAGTCGGATCGCAAGAAGCGTCGCAAGCTCAAGCAGCTGCCTACTTTCGCTTCTGCGGACGACTATGCTGCCTTGTTGGCCGACGACGACGATGGCATGTAAAAAGCTCGTTCTGTATTTATTTTCCCCCCACCAAAAATTATGTTTTGCATCTGGAGTTGGGCTGTGCGTGCCTTTTCCAATTTCTTTGCTATATATTTTATTTGTTATTCGTTATCTATACATCGCGTATCTACCTCGACACATCTAGTATATTCACTCTGTTGTTGCTCTTATGACGATGCCAGAGTGAGAAATTTCCAGTCCTACAGTATACAATATCATTGCTTCCATCCTACGACAGCTCTTACGTATACTCCCAGTCGGACCTCAAGACTATAATATAGAGCTAGACCTCAGGCCAATGTCAATATCTTCGTAGCCACAGCATTAGCCCACTCCTTCCAAGCACTAGACAGCAGATGAGACAAAAGAAACCCATGCAGCAAGACCATTGCACGGCTCTGGGCGCCAACACATTCAAGCTTTCCAAGACTGCTTCACCCCTGTATATCTACATCTACTAGAGCGAACTCGGCGTAACACCTGCAAGTGATTTCAGAACCCTTAAGCGACTGCACCTTAGTGGATTTGAGAGAGCCAACGGAATACCCAAAGTAGCAGGAGGCATTGAAATAAACTATTTCGCTCCGGTGGCTCAACGCCCTTGCCGAGTGGACCATTTGCCATCGCTGCGGATTAGCACGCAAGAGGGCTAGAACGAGTATGGTATCGTATGGTATTGGTATGCGTGCTTTGGGGGTCTTGCGAATGGTTGAAGCATCAGGCAATGTCTATGTCATTCAGGGCGAATTCCACGGATGCCCTCTGATGGCATCATGAGAGGAGGCAAAGGGCCACCGCATCAACCCATGTCCTCCAGCCCTGGAGGGCTGTCGGGCGCCCCGGCACGGAGCTGACTCAGTACTGAGTCAGCACCAACCGGAGATTCAAGTTGATGCCTGAGGCGTCACAGGGGCATCGTCTCGTATCTGGCCAGGGACCACAGAGACTACAAATTACAAACTACAGACTACAGTATATACTGCCGTTACATATTCCTCGTGAGCCTGTAAGAACCTAGACCGCATACCATCCACACAGTCCATCACAGACATATCATCCCATCAGTGGTCCAAGTTCGAGGATCGGCCCCCACTGCATCCAGCGATAGAGATGATCGAATCAGGGCAAGGGAAAAAGTCTTACACTTGATACTGGAGATTCTCAAATACCAGATACCAGATACCAGAGACCAGAGCATCCATGTTTTCATTGCCCCGTGTGCATGGATTCTAATCCTAGGTCTCGGACAAGGGGGTCTTATTCGTTCGACCGTTGCCGCATGCGGGGCCTGTGGCATGGAGCTGATATGCGGGCGCAACCGACTTGACCCTCGTGGCCCCCTTGCTGCTAATACGAATGAGGTGTGGGAAAAGAGAAAAGCGCAAACTGAAGGGTGGAGAAAAAGAGAGGATAGCGAGGTATCAGAACAGGCAAAAGAAGTGAACTAGGACCCCCGGGGAGAGTCAGGATCCAGCTGCCGTTCCAGGTATCAACAGTCCCTTGGCGTTCAAGTGGCTTGCGCCTCCTGGACGCCCATTGCGGATGTCTCCACGTCATGAACTCAGCATGTGTACTCATCTGCGATCGACAGGTTTTTCTGGCCGGGATTGGTAGTGGAGCAATTGGAAATGACGGTAATTGTTCTACCCCGTATCTCTGCCTTTTTTTCTTTCTGGGATTTTTCTTGTTTTTAGTTGGGTTTCTTGGTTCTCCGAGTCTTTTCTTTACTTATTTCCTCTCTCTGTCTCCCACTCCTAGTGTGGTTCTCATTTTTTTGGAAATACTACCTGAAGTGGTATCCGAGCCCTAATCCGTCCACCACGCCTGTCCGACTGGTGTCACTACAGCGACTTCATCTGGCATTGGAACAAGGTAAATCGTGTTCGCGCATTTCAATAGAAACTCCACTGACACCGTCCCAGAATCCTATTGAATATATCCGAGAGAAATTACATGCATTCGCAGATCACCACCTCTCCTCCTAACTCCACCGAGTTTCGGCAAGCGCGACTCGTTCGCTCCTTAAGTTCAAAATGGCTGGGCCAAATCAATCAACTCCAACACCCGCGGTCGGCTGGGACCATGACCGGGATATCGACCGCAGTCCGGACCTCTCCGATAAGTCGGAGGAGCCTAAGCTGAAGGATTATGATCTGGAGAGCCATGGTCGGCGGCGCAGTTCGGGTCATGTTCATGCGATCGATTCCTCGTCCACGACGGAGAGTGTCGGACGCCAAATTGAGATGGAGTCGGAGAATACTATCAAGTACCGCACGTGTAGTTGGCAAAAGGTGCGTTTGATGCAAACTTGCATTGCAAGGAAATCCAAGAAATCAATGAGCCCTAATTGACTAATAATTGCTTATAGACCGCTGCTCTGCTTTTCTCGGAATACATCTGTCTGGCTATCATGTCCTTCCCCTGGTCTTATTCCATTCTGGGCCTTGTCCCAGGTTTGATTTTGACGGTGGTGATTGCCGGTATTGTTCTGTACACTTCGCTGATTACCTGGTATGGATAAATATCGCAAGATCTGCAACATTGTCGTTTATACTGATACTTTCTTACAGGAGATTCTGTCTGCGACACCCAGAAGTCCGCGATGTGTGTGACATTGGCCAGTACCTATTCTGGGACTCCAAGATCGCCTGGTGGGCCACAGCTGTGATGTTCCTGCTGAATAACACCTTCATCCAAGGTCTACACTGCGTCGTAGGCGCCGAGTACCTCAACACCATGTCGAACGGCGCCGTCTGCACAGTCGTTTTCTCCCTAATCGTGGCGATCATCTCATTCGTCTTCTCCCTCCCCCGAACATTTAGTACGCTATCTAAGGTAGCAACCCTGTCGGCATTCTTCACTTTCATCTCAGTCATTCTTGCCGCCGTCTTCTCTGGTGTTGAGGACCACCCGAAGGGATATACCCCAGCAGACGGCGCCCCAATCTTCTTGGCCCTCCCTCCCAAGGGAACTACCTTCGTCCAAGGCATGAACGCTTTCTTGAACATCAGCTATACATTTATCGGCCAAATCACTCTCCCCAGTTTCATCGCGGAAATGAAAGAACCCCGCGATTTCTGGAAGTCAGTCACCGCAGTCACAATCGCTGAAATCATCGTCTTCAGTCTCGTTGGCTCAATCACCTACGTCTACACAGGAACACAGTATATGACCGCTCCAGCCTTCGGTTCCCTCGGCAATGACTTGTACAAGAAAGTGTCATTCTCATTCATGATCCCAACAATGATCTTCCTAGGCGTTCTGTACGCCTCCGTCTCGGCTCGCTTCATCTTCTTCCGTTTGTTCGAGGGAACCCGTCACAAGGGCAATAACACAGTTGTCGGATGGGCTGCTTGGGCTGGAATCCTTGCTGCATTGTGGGTGATGGCTTGGATTATTGCTGAGGTTATTCCCTTCTTCTCGGACCTATTATCGATCATGAGTTCGCTTTTCGATTCGTTCTTCGGTTTTATTTTCTGGGGCACGGCTTATATTCGTATGCGTGCTGCGGATCACGGGCCGAGGTTCTTCATGGTCAGGGGAATCCGAGGCTGGTTGGGATTCATCTTCAATGTTTTCCTTATTCTTGTTGGGTTCTTCTTCTTAGGACCCGGTACTTATGTGAGTTTGTCGCATTCGCGTCTTGTGAATCGTACCCTGCTAACATCTCTCCTTCCAGGCTTCTGTTATGTCTGTCATAACCAGCTATAAAGAAGGTACCGTTGGTGGTGTCTTCACGTGTGCCAGTAATGCACTTTAAATCACCGCAGGGCGGTACCTTTTCTTTATTCTCTCTGGAGTGTCGTTAGATTTGACTCGACGCATCCGTCTCATTTTTTGCATATTGTTTCGATCTACCGGGGCTTCAACCCTGGGGACTTCATGACTGTGATGACCAAGAAGGTAAGGGGTGGTGAATGTTTGATTTGTGCATGATACCACCTCTTATGATAGCAGAAGGTTCTCTTTTTGGGCGAATCAATCACGCTCTGCGGCTCTGGTGGTATAATGCATTCCAAGCTGTAGAGCTGGTTCGGCAGGGCGCCTGGAGTTGGCTGTTGTACGCCTTTTTATAGTTATTGTATATTTCTCATCCCTGCATTCTCACAGATTGTCTCAATTGAATGTGGGCTATCGGCTTGGAGATTCCTCTGCTCTCCGATTTTGATTTGCCATTGCCGTGGCACTTGTCAGTTATCTTCCGTTCAACTGAGTTACGAATCTGTGTAGTAGGGTTCAAAATACTTTCCCGCCCCCGCCTTTATTTGATCTAATGCACTTCAATTCAAGTGAAAACGAGCTAGAAAAGACATGTCAACCCAGGGTAGATGTGACTATACTATTGACCAGTTAAAATGTCCCAATTCATAAGACAGGGTGGTTCCCGACGACATCAAACTGCCCGCCGCGATACAGCCCATCCCAATCGGGCAACCAGCTGCTCCGGGAACCGCCCTATCAACACGTGACTTTTCCGCTGTGCTTCCCCGAGGGTGGGCTGGGGACTTCTTGCGCGCCATTTCTTTCTCTTTTCTTTCTTCTCTTCAATTCCTCAGCATTGAATCACCATGTCTAGCATCCGTACTCTCAAGCGCGGTGTCGACCTCGTCGCCGCGAGGGCCGCTGCCCTCCACGCTCCCCGCGCCTCTATCGGCTCCACTATGCTGCGGAGGGAGCTCTCCTCCGCGGCCATCGTCCGCCCAACTGCTCCCCGACCATTGAGATCGAAGACTCCAGTTGCAGTTGCAGCTTCACGAGCTGCTAATCAGGCAGTGCGCTATGCCTCCAGCTCCAATGAGTCTCTTAGCAAGACTCAGCTCTATGATCTCCACATCCAGCGCGGGGCGAAGATGGTCCCTTTTGCCGGCTTTGATATGCCCCTCGTGTACTCCGACATGAGCCATGTCGAGAGCCACATGTGGACTCGTGAGAAGGCTAGTCTTTTCGACGTCAGTCACATGTAAGTTGGCCTTTTCCGAGAGAGATTGAACTTGCAATGGCTAATCCATTTTCCGTTGTGTAGGGTGCAGCACCACCTGAGTGGTCCCGGTGCCATTGACTTGTTGAAGAAGATTACACCCTCCTCGGTCGACAAGCTGGCCCCCAACACCTCCACCCTGTCTTGTCTCTTGGAAGATGGCACCGGTGGAATTGTCGACGACTGTGTCATCACCCGCCGCACCGAGGACAAGTTCTACTTCGTGACCAACGCCGGCCGCCGCACCGAGGATCTCGAGTACCTGACCGCCGAGATTGAAGCCTACCGCTCCCAGCACGGCGCCGACAGCATCAAGTGGGACATCCTCGAAGACCGCGCGCTGGTCGCGCTGCAAGGCCCCCTTGCCGCCTCCGTCCTTCAACCACTCATCAACTCAGCCAACGCCTCCGCCGCTGAGACCGACCTGAGCACCCTCTACTTCGGCAACTGCCGCGAGCTGCACCTCACCCTCCCGGACGGCACTCCCACCCCCAACCCCCTCCTCATCTCCCGCACGGGCTACACCGGCGAAGACGGCTTCGAGATCTCGATCCCAACAACCGGAGCCCCCCAGCTTGCCGAACAAGTCACCGAGCTCCTTCTTTCAGACAACAGCAAGTCCCGCCTAGCCGGTCTCGCCGCGCGTGACTCCCTCCGTCTGGAAGCCGGCATGTGTCTCTACGGTCACGACATCACCACGGCCCAGACACCCCCCGCCGCAGCTCTAGGCTGGATTGTCGGCCGTGATCGCCGTGACGCGGAAACAGCAACCTTCAACGGTGCCTCTAAGATCCTCGCCCAGATCGCCAGCCCGAAGAGCATCCCCCAGCGCCGCGTCGGTCTTACCGTCGAGAAGGGTCCCCCGGCCCGCGAGGGTGCTATCATCGTTGACATCGCCGACCCCGCCAACCCTGTTGAAGTCGGTATCGTCACTTCTGGTCTTCCTAGCCCTTCGCTTGGAGGTGCCAACATTGCTATGGTGTACGTCAACACTGGGTATCACAAGAAGGGTACCGAGCTTGGTGTTAAGGTCCGTAACAAGGTCCGCAAGGCCAAGGTTGTTGGTATGCCTTGGATTGAGAGCAAGTTCCACCGCCCTCAGTAGATGATTGGCTACGAGAGGGTATCTTGTGCTTTGTTTGTATTGGTTTGATTTTGATCCTGATATTAGGGGTCATGCGAAGACTAGCGCGTTGATGATTTTAACATTTCCTCCTTGTATATACGTTTTCCCCCTTTTTACGACCGTGGAGCTTAACCTCCCAAAAGACTTATTGATTTCGCACTATTTCATTTCATGTAGACTTGTAATGTAGTGAATTAGAATTGCCGTGGTTGATATGGGGGTTTCCCGATTAGGGCTAAATACCCAGCAGCATCAAAAGCCCTGGTCCTATTGATTTTACACACTCAGTCAACGGCATCGAACTAAATAATATAATAACTGGCGACAGCCAGTTCTCGCAACCCTAGCCAATCTCAAACCCCAAAACCCTTCCTCCCATGTCCACCCCCAAGGACACGACCATGCCTCTCAAAATGTAAATGCTTCCCAGAATCACCAACCTCCGAACCACCAAACAACCCATCCTCAACCACCCCCTCCCACCTCCTAACAGTCTCACCAACAACTCGATCCTCCCCCTGAACTGCAGGAGCCAAAGAAGGCGGCAAATCGCCCACCTTAGTCCCCCAACCCCCCTCCTCCGCCCCAAGAACAAGCACCAACTCCCTCCCTTCCGTGAAAAAGTCATGCCCAACCCAATTCCTCGTATAATCAACCCCATCAAGGGTAGCACTCTGAATAAACCCACTCCCACCCATGCCCCCACTCCCACTCGTCCCATTAACAGTATTAAACGCAGCCCAATTCACAACCTTAACCGTCGCCGTCTTCCCAGAAACCGGACTCACAATACTAACAGCCTCGAAGAATGGCACCGTGAGCAGATATACGCTCTGTCCAGGATTCGGGAATAGACCCATCATGGCCATTGCGACGAAGGAGCCCATTGCGCCGGAGTCGTCGTTGCCGGGGAGTCCGGCTGGAATGGGCGAGAAGTAGTCTGGGATGTAGGTTCGGACGCGCGAGGTTGACTTTGCGGGGCGGCCTGCGTAGTGGTATTGGAAGACTGTTAGGAAGGCTGGCTCGTTGCCTATGTATGTTATGTTTTTGTCGTGGAGGTAGTCGAGGCGGTTTGTGAAGGATTGGGGTCCGCCGAGGGTTGTGATTAGGGTTGACATGTCGTGCGGGACGAAGCTGGATGAGTTGTTAGGGTTTGGGGGTACTGGGATTGGGAGAGGGTTGGAAGGGATTGGTTGGTGTTCTTACAATTGATATTCCCAGATACTCGATTCAAAGGTCTCGCCAGCTGTGTTCTGCAATGAACATGCATGGTTACTTGTGTCGATGTTCGAGCATTCAAGCGGATCTTGATAGCCCCATGTCCCATTTGGATATTTTGGCTGGAAGAACCCCGTAAAGCCGGTGTCATTGCCTTTCCAGAGGGACTTCTGGTCCTTTTTAAAGAGGTTTTGCCAGTTGCGAGATCGCTTCTCGTACTTCTCTGCGTCGGCTGTCTTGTTCAGACTGCGTGCCATCTGGGCAATGGCGAAGTCATTGTATGCGTACTCGAGTGTGCGAGAGATACTGCGGGTCATTGTGCCAAATCCTTCATAGTCGAAGTCCTCTACTGGAATGTAGTGGAGATTCTTCCAGCTGCGTAACCCACCGCGGCCTTCGCTTGACCAGTCGTATGGTTCTTCTTCGGCGTCTTTTTGGACGGCTGCGTAGCCGGCTTCCCAGTCTATTCCGTCGCGGAGACCTTTCAGGTAGACGTCTGCTAGGATGTTGTCTGCATTTGAGCCGCCTTGGGTGAATCCTATATGTGCCTCGTTAGCTTGTACGCTTAATTTTGATGAGCTTGGGTGATTACCTTTGCAAAGAGACATACGACAGTCTGGTAGCCAGCCTAGATGACGCTGCGTATCGATCAGTGAACGGACCATTTTGATTACAGCGTTAGGATCGAAGATAGTCAAGAATGGAATTTGGGATCTGAATGAGTCCCATAGACTTAAATTATTATTAGCATGCTGTATGTAACATTAATAAGAGGTCGACTTGCCAGTAAAAGCTGTCGAAATAGGGCTCTGTACTAGACCAGAGCACATTCTCTCCAGTGTAATCCTGGGGGTTGACCATCGTGCGATATACGCCACTGAAGAAGTTTGTGAGAACCGAGTTATCAATTCCAGTCCGGGACACGCGAATGGGACGCATTTTCTCAGTCCACTGATCAATGGCTGTCTGGTGAGTGGAATTGAAGTTGAAATCCTTAATCTCAGACTCGGCATGCGAGCAAGCCTGCTGCGTGCTCACGAAGCTGACTCCAACTCGAGCTAGAATGGTATTATCTGGAGCTGTTTGGAAGCGGATGAATCCACCGCCCTGTTATCCATATGTCAGTCATCATCATGGTGGTAAGACTATATGCAGCTTACCGGAAGAGGATAACCATTAATAGACCTCGAAATCGTCAAATCATGAACATCAGCACTCGCGCGAGAATTGACAAAGATGCCACTATCCCGCTTCGAAGCCGGACTTTCAAAGTCCGCACAGAAGTGTAGCACGTAAGAACCACTTCCAAAACTAGGCGCAAATCGCGCATTGCCAGTCATTCGACCAGTAGATTCATTGACAGAAATACTCGCATTATCCTGCCTCGAATCCGACAAATCGGTAAGGTCAAGCAGGACTAACGGACTGCTTCCATTCGGAAACTGGAATCGGAACAAAGATGTATGCTGCGCAGCAGTCATATCAACACGAACCCCAGACGCAAGCTCAATAGCAAAATATCCCGGATGCGCCTGCACCGTATCGGGCTTGTACTTGACCTTGCGCTGCTTTTTAGGATACACACATCCATTCACATCATCGTCGGCACATTTTGCGTATGGGAACAGCGGGAAGTTTCCCAGCGAGGGACTGCCTCCAGTGCCCGAGTCATGCATGCTTGAGAATCCGGTCACATTGCCGCCTTCGAAGGCGAAGCCGCCTTGGTTGCTTTCTGAGTCTGTGTCCGCCACAGCTTTCGCCATGCCGTATGGCAATGTAGCGCCTGGAAAGACATTTCCTGTATAGATGCAGTGGTCAGAATTGGATTACATGCACCCGCGTAGTGTTTAAGCTTACCTCCGTTGGCAGTGCCGATCAAGGGGTCGACATATTGTAGGACATCGTAGTCCTCCACTGGAGAAGAGTCCGTCGCGCTGACCAAGATATGGCTGCTAGCGAGGGCTAGTGACAGTAAAAGCTGATATTGTGGCATGGTCACCACGTCGAATAAATTGGAAGACTGGGTCGCGTGCTGGGAAGAATAGTTTGGGGTTTAATTTGTTGCTGATCCCCTTTCATCCCTGCATCCCAGGGTGTGCTTGCCTCGCATGCCAGTACTTCCCCTGTCGATCCCCGCATTCCGATCTGCATGGTTGACTGGCATTTGTCTACCAAGTTGAAGGGTGGTGCAGACAGTGCAGAATTACAGGAAGTGGATGGTTGGACCGGGCTGGGATGGTTGGACCGGGCTGGGATGGTTGGACAGGGTTGGAGATGTGATTGAGAAACTGACCATGACAAGCACATTAAGTGCCAAGAACGAGATTGTTATGTGATATTGCCCTCGTTCTTGGAGTTTGTAGATTTGTCAATCAGAAATGGTTGTTCTCAAACTATATTTCTTGATGGCTTGAACTACGAGGGGTTCCTCATCTTGGCTTAGGGCTAATTGCACTGAACATTGTCGTTCTGTATACCACGAGATGCGCCGACTTGCACTCTTAGAAAACAAAATTCTATAAACCATGATAACAGGATTACTCCAAGCTTTTATGACAAATTATCCAAAACTTACTGTGTGAGTCGAATTAATTCATAGTGGGATTGTGCCACATCGCACTATGTCTATGTAAGGACTGTGAGACATGGTATGAGAATCCAATGAGCTCAAAGCAATAAACCCTGTATTTCGCAGTCATAGTATAGAGCATCGGATCCATTCCAGTGGGTTGAGCCTCTGGTCAATAGCCAGTACACAGTACAGTATACCATTCAATGCCACATGGAACAACAATGAAAACACCAGAAGCTCGCAGGGATGGATGATCTTTACAGGTAGATCAAAGCATAAATTTAGTCTACTTCCAAATTGGTCTAACTAGTGCCTCAACATTTATCCTTTTGTTCGGTGATCGTAGCGCAGAATTTTGAACCCCGAAATCCGACGGTGAGTCCGAGGGTGGAATGCAATGGATAAATTATGAATAACCTGGATATCTTGTGAGCTAGGCCAAAGCTGTTCCAGTGTCTTTCTATTGGACTGTATTGATTTTTGACTGAAGCCCCATCTAATCCACAGCATGAATCTAGAACTCGAGTGTGGAACTATATGTCTGCCTATGGGTGCGGGTCGATGCAAAGGGCACTGTGCTGTACATGATGGTAACGTTATATAGTTATATAGAGAAGTTGAGGGATAATCATCCAAGATAGACAATCACATAATCTATACTATACCTCCAATATCTCAATATCTGCAATATCTCCACTATCCAACCCTTCATCCGGGGTACATATTTAGTGTAGAATCAGTTACCTAGAGCTATTTTAGGCAATTCTGCACTACCCTTACGACCAAGAGCAAAAACGTGCCAGATAAGACAGAAAATCAAGCATCCGTGGCGTCTTCGCGAACAAAAATCCCAAGATGCAAATCGCTGACCTGCGAACTCCGAAGTCGAGATGCCGAGGTCTCTCGCACTCTCCACTCTCAACTCTCAACACTTCGCCTCTCTGATTTTTCCTGTGGTTTCGGGCTTTCGCCATGTTTCGTCCTTTCTCTTCTTCCCTTCGTTCCATTCACACTTTCCACACTTCTCCCCGACTGCTCATCCAGCGAGCCTATCCACATTCTTTGCCCGGTTCCCCGAAGCCTCACCTCCGCGCCCATTCAACAGGTAAGACATCTCCTACACCGCATCGTTCAACCCTAACGCACTACAGAAACAACCCAGGTCGTTCCTCCACCTTCACCCACTCCAGCCAAGCCCTCGCGTTTCCGTCGCTTCGCCGGCTTCACCACAATCGCAGTTTTCGCATTTACATTCGGCGTCATCTACCAAACCCAACGCACCGTATCGCGCCTCATGTCCGTCACAATCCCCACCAACGAGGAGACTCTCTCCCTCTACACCCCGGAGGACGCGACAGCGGAGGAAATCGAGACCACTCTCCGCACCCACCCCGTCGCCGAGTCCCTACGCGCTAACCCGGAATTCACCGAGGCGCGCCCACACCTCAAGATCCCCGAGGCCCTGCGCGCCCGCAGCCTGACCGGCGGCACCCTACGCGGACCGAACAAGATCGTCGTGCCACCCCTGGTCTTCAGCGAGCGCGATGGCAAGAGCATGGTCTCGTTGATGTACCTCGGCTCCGATGTCTGCGGGCACCCGGGTATTGTGCACGGCGGTCTGCTCGCGACGATTTTGGACGAGGGACTGGCGAATTGCTGTTTCCCCGCTTTGCCTAACAAGGTGGCTGTTACGGCCAATTTGAACATTGATTACCGGGCTCCGGCTATGGCGAATAACTATGTTGCTCTCCGGGCAGAGACTGTCAAGGTTGAGGGCCGCAAGGCTTGGGTTGAGGGTCGCATTGAGACTCTTCCCAGCGATGGCAAGGATCCTATTGTGTTGGTTGAAGCCAAGGCTTTGTTTATTGAGCCCAAGCAAGCTGCTGTAAGTGCATCTCTGAAATTTTCATTCTCTTGGATTTTTTCCCCTGGATTGGGTTGCTAATTCGCCACAGGCATTGTCGAGTCTTTACAAGGTGGCGTGAAATTGCTGTTCCTGGTTCCTGGCGTTGGGAGTTATAGATGTACATAGAGAATACAAGGATATACTACTGTCTCTGCATACAAATGTCCAGATCTCATCTCGAAATCTCGAAATCTAGATCGCGAGTCAGCTGATTTTATACAATTGCGCCATCCTTGACCGCCAAGATCTGCGAGCCCCGCGGATCCTCATTTCTTACGCGGCCCTGCCCCTCGTCATTGCTCTTCCTTCTTTCTTTCTTTCTTTCTTCATACAATTCTTCACAAAATGTCGACGTATGTTCCAAATCCAATCGCAATTCCATTGACTCAACTAATCATTCAAAAGCAACATCACCTTCCACGCCAGCGCCCTCACCCGCAATGAGCGCACCGAGCTGCGCAAGCAGAAAGGCCTCACAATCTGGCTGACTGGCCTCTCCGCCTCAGGCAAGTCCACCCTGGCCGTGGAACTCGAGCATCAGCTCGTCCGCGACCACGGCGTGCACGCCTACCGTCTGGACGGTGACAACATCCGCTTCGGACTGAACAAGGACCTGGGCTTCAGCGAAGCAGACCGCAACGAGAACATCCGCCGCATTGCCGAGGTGGCCAAGCTGTTCGCCGACTCCAACTCCATCGCCATCACCTCGTTCATCTCGCCCTACCGCAAAGACCGTGACACTGCCCGTCAGCTGCACGAGGTCGCCACTCCCGGCGAGGAGACCGGCTTGCCTTTCGTTGAGGTCTACGTGGATGTGCCTGTCGAGGTTGCTGAGCAGCGGGATCCTAAGGGTCTTTACAAGAAGGCCCGTGAGGGTGTCATCAAGGAGTTCACTGGTATCTCGGCTCCTTATGAGGCTCCTGCCAACCCTGAGGTTCACGTCAAGAACTATGAGCTTCCCGTCCAGGACGCTGTGAAGCAGATTATTGATTACCTTGTCTCCAAGGATTATCTGCCCAAGAAGAACTAAGCGAGTCCGGTTCGGATGTTGGCTACTGTATATAGAATATGCTAGATTAAAAGATGTCTTGTACAGCGGATTAGGTTTGGGTTTTGTTTCTGTTTTCGCTTCTTGATTCCCCCCGACTTGCTGTACATAACATACTGGACAATACATTCTCGATCTGAGGAAATCGACCATTTGGAGTGTAATCGTTGTATTGGAGGCTAAACAAAATATCCAAATGCTAGTTTGTGATGTACCAAGATGGTATATGTACGCAACGGCTATAACTGTGTCTTCCCCGACAAGCAATATCTCTGTACTCGACTCACACTCAGTGGAACTCGAATTCATAAAACACATACGGTGTGTACTCCGCACCACCCTCTCCACCAGCATGCATCTCACCAGGATCATCGCGCTGCACACGACCCTTCTTGTCACGCCCAAAGGCATTTCCAGCCAGATATGAGTACTTGTTCTCCAGGTTGGACTTGGCACGATCGGCCTGCTTAGAGGAAGGCGCCTTGAACAGAAACGGTCAGCAATTGTCCTGTCAAGCAAAGTCCCCAAATAAGCCAGTAAAAGGTCAAGGGAAAGGGAGGGGGGAAGGGCAGATACGTACTCGCACCAAAGCACAGATGAAATCCAACGGCAAGCCATACCGCAGGACCGTCTCGACAAACACCCTCAAAACCAAAATATGAATCCAAACCATGACAGCCTCACTCCAAGCCGTGCGACCAAGCCGCAATGTCTCGCCCCAGAGCTTGCGCTCATCACCACCAACCCGCTCGACCTCCTTGCGCTCCTCCTCTTTGCCACCCTCGACATACTTAAAGTCGCGCGGAATCCACTTCTGCTCACGGCATTTATGCACAAACTCGGCGCTGTGCTTCTTGAACGACGTCACGGCATACAGCGTGAACTCGCTGTCGGAGGCGACCAATTGCGCGGAGCGGGGAACCACCATCGGCGCGACAGTCTCGTAGGTCTTCAGGAAGTCTTTTACTAGTTGGGTTGGGACGGCGACCAGGTGGGTTTCGATGTATTCGGAGTCCTGGATGATGGACTTGGGGTCGATCACCGAGGCGAGGGACTTGGTTGAGAGGTTTCCTCTGTAGAGAGAGATGTGTTAGCTTGAGGTTTGGGCTATGTCGTGCTACTTATTCTTTTCCGGTCACGTACGTTTGTTTGCGTTGCAGCTGGGACAGGTTGTTCTTGACCTGGTTATATTGGGAGTACTTGAATCGGATATCGTTGTCGATACTGGCGGCTTCCTGTTGGAGACATGAACGGTCAGAACCAGAGTATGAGATGGGGTATGCGTGCGCAAATCATTGCTTACCTTGTGCAGCAAGTCGATCAGCTCGGCCAGCGGCTTATCAGCCCTGTATTTGACCTTGTTCCATTGGAAAGTCCGCAGGTATTGATCAACAGGCTCTGTAGAACACTCCAGTCAGCTCACCGACACGTCTCAAAACAAGCCAGTGTATAGCCAGCGCGGGCGAAATAAAAAAGCATGGAGGAAACATACTATCATTGACAACCTTCATGCTCTCAATCTGTGCCTCGTCGCCGTCGAGGATACTTTTCAAAGCATCGCCCACCTTTGCAACAACACCCTGGCATGAGGCCTCGAGCTTGGCCAGCTCATCTGCCTGTTGGACCAAGGCGTCTAGCGTGCCGATCTTGAACTCTGGGATCGGGAAGGAGGCCGCGGAGGCATTGTCCGGGGAGATGGTGGTTGAGATGGCTTGGAGGGCGTCGTCGCGGTGGTGCGAGGGAACGATAGAGTTCGGAAGGGAGAGGAGGAGGTATTGACTGGGTTTGGACATTGTTGCTAGATATTCATAGAGGGGTATCGGGGTATTGTATGTCAAGGGGCCCTCGTGGTGGCTTTGGTTTGGGGTTGAGAGCTCGGGTCGACGTAGGCGGTGGGTGCTTGGGCCACCTAACTATATTCAGCACTCCCTTGAGCTTCACTTGTGCTATGATTTATTTCTTGTCGGATCAATCTAGTTTATATGTGGAATGTGTATTCGTAATATCGTGGTGTCTTTGAAGTGCATGCACACATCTCATCTACTAAAGCATATCATTTGAACTGCCGGATCGAGATGCATAACGCTAGAAGACTAGCTAACGCTCGCTCAGGGTTGGAATAAACCAAAACACCAACATGGGAAAGGAGAGACATGAAGCACCCAAGGAAGAATAGAGAATTTTGAGTCCCGGAAGCAGCAAAGCTAATTGCGATGGGGTGTCGACTAACTTCGAACCTGCGGAATATGTAGGGAGAAAATGGAGGGGAAAAAAGGTAAGGGAAGAAAGGGATCACAGGGTATCTGTATCGAGCGTGCATTGCTGATCGTGAACCGAGTATGAAAAGAAAAGGGAACTGTAACGGTGGTATCTGTACAAAAAAGGCGAGCAGGCATTGAATCAAGGTAAAGCATGGGGATTTCGGAAAAGTTGTCAACACCGAACCACACCAAGGATTAAAATAAATCATAAGTGGCAGCGTGATCGTGAGAATAAAGGAAAACAATAGAGTAGAAGATAATGGCTTTAGCCTTGCATGCCCATGAAGATTTCCTGACAGTTCTCCACCAGGAACTTGAGGACATCGTTCTTCTTCTGGACATCAGTCATCTCGCGGGCAAGAGACTCAGGGCGCATGATGGTTGGCGCGAAGACCACAGCGACGTTCTGGCTGGTCATTAGGTTCTCCTCGTGACGCTCAACAACACGTCTAAGATGGAAGACGAGGAACTCCAGGACGTCACGGTGAACACGCGGCAACTCCAACAGACTCTTCTGCATAAGTTCAATGCGTCCCTGAGTGGAAGGGATCTCGACAGAGTCGATGATAAGTTCATACACGTCAAAGGTGACCAGCGGGTTAGGAAGCTTGCGGAAATACTGCTTCAAAGTAGAAGTGACAGCATGGATATCAAGGTCAGGGTCAGAGATATCGTAATCGAAGGGAGAGCGTTCAAAGCCTTCGCGAATAATTTGGATAGCGGAAGCGGCACCTGACTTGCGATAGATACCCTCCATGTCCATTCCTGATGAATTGGTTAGCTTTGATAGATCTACAAAGGTATAAACCAAGCATACCTCGGAGCTCAACTTCCTGAATACACCTGGTGACAATGGCGGGGATGATGCTTTTCTCGTGCTCCATGCGGGCCTCGAGCTCAACACCGAAGAGTGCTGGAGATTGTTAGCTGATACTATTAGGGCTGTCGAGGGCATTGGCAACATACCATCACTGGCAACTTCCGCCAACGCTGGCACACTGTCAGCTTGAGACATCTTTCCTCCCTGCTTGTGTCTCTGGTTTCCGAAAAATCCAAACCCTTGACGACTTGGATCTTGAGTCTGGGAACGTGGAAGACCACCGGCAGCTTCTCCTTCGGTACCCATGAGGGCTCCCTTGAGACCCTTCACACCCTTGGCAACATTCTGGCCACCCTTCTTCCAGTTGAACTTGCGGGGTTGTCCCTTACGAATACTAACAACCTGAGGGCCTGGAACGACTGTGGCGGTGGCAGGTTCGGATTCTTCTGCGATGTGCGCAGTTGAAATGGAGGGTTGGAGATCATTGTAGGCGGGCTTCAGAGCCTCAATGGAAGTTGTGGATTTCTCCTTGTTGTGAGAAATGCCTAGACCGTTGGATCGGGGTTGACCCTCGGTGGCCTTGTAGAGTTCTTGAATCTGATGAACAAGCTGGTTGTTGAGCTCAGCCAATTGTGCGTTCTTTGACGACAATTGCTCAAACTCCTGGAAGATCTTTTCTTTCTGACTGAGCATAGACTCAAGTTCCTCGGTGAGGTCATTGCGCTTCTGAATAAGTTCTTCGATCTGTGGGGAATAGGAATCCTTCAATTTTTGAATTGATTCGGCCAACTCCCGCAACACATGGTTTGAGAGTTTTCCAAGATCCAAAGGTCCACTACTTCCACCACGCTTTTCCGCTTCCATGTGATCGGTGAGGACAGTGAGCTCACGCAGGACAATCTCACGCTGGGCATCGAGGACTACCATAGTAGAGCGCTTCTCAGACAGCTCGGTGTTGACTTGCTTGACATTGGCCGTGGCACGAGTCGCTGCTTCCAACTCCGCGACGCGCTGGCGTTCCTTGCGCAATTCATTGCGGAGCCAGGAAATTTCCTCCGCCTGAGAACCTGCGGGACTCCCGATGCTGGCGCCAGCTTGGCTTCCATTGGCGGGAGACACGGGAGTCTTGATGTCTCTTGCTCCACGTAGACTCTTCTCGCTGTAACTACGACCATGGCGCACCGAGTTCGAAACACGACGCAAGAAGGATTCACTCTCTCGTCCAACAGGGTCATCGCCGCCAATGATTCGAGACAATTCTTCATCCATGGAGAAGTCACCACCGCTGTTGTAACGTAGCAAAGATGGCGAGCCCGCACCATCCAGTTGAGAGTGCGAATCGAGGGAAGATGTGTTCAATGGAGCGGGCTGAGGAGGTTGGAATGTATCACTCCGCAGCATTGGGGAGTCTCCATATTGCGACGAGGCAGGAGATGATCCGACCTCCTTTCTAGGAAGCTGATGGTGTCTGCCTTCAAGAGAATCACCCCGCTTGGGCAAATGGGGGAGATTGGAGGGCTGGGAGCGGGCAGAGTCCATAGAGCCATTATCGTGGAGACGTCGAAGTTCGTTCGATGGACGAGCCGGTGCTGAAGTGATGCTGTCTAAGGGAACCTGTCGTTTTGTCTCACTAGAGGCTTCCTTTGATCCGATACTACCGGGACTGGTGGCTTCGGAGAAGTTACTGATTTCTCTGAAGCTGATAGGGATGTCGGTGGAATTGCGCTTGGAGCTCGACCGTGCAGGCCGAGATGAATCAGCGGTCTGTGGAGGTCTGTCGTTGGAGACACTGTCACTTCGTTCCCAGCCCTTCTCCTGGTAGGCAATGTGAGGAGACGGGTTTTCGGAAGAGGCACGAGACTGAGGCTCTTGGAGATATTCACGTTCGTCGTGAGAGGCCCTATGCGATGATTCACCCGATCTGACTTGACTGAAATAGTCACGGGGAGGCTCTTGTCGTGTTTGCGAATGTCCACGAGAAGAACGACCTTCTGCAGAAGGATCAAAGGCGAGAGGGATCAGTAGTTCACCACCGTCTGCATCAGTATTCCGCACCATTGACTGCCGACTGCTTCGGTATGTGCTAGATGGGAGAATGAGATTATCTAGAGGCAAGATTAGTGAAGGTTCACATAACTGGTAGCTGTCCAATCAAGTCCAGTATTGCAAGCTATTCAAGGCCACAACTGAGCGGCGAATAGATGCAATGCTCAATAGCTCCCGGGAATTGAATAGCGGAATGAATATATTCTCGCTTACCATTGTCTGCTGCCAAGTTTGAAGCCGAGCTCTCCGGCCTCTCATTCGCATCCGGTGTTCCCACCATTCGGCCAGGATCCGGCGTCATTCCCTCCTGGTATTCACTCGGTGTTTCATCCATGATTGAGGCCTCCTCCATGCTTGGAGGCAAGGAGGGCAATGACTTATCCAACTTCACATTAGGCCCGGTTGGCTTCTTAGTAGTGGCGCCGGCTTTTCGTTTTCTTCGTCTCGCCATTAAAGACTCATGACAATCCATACAAAAGATTCCTTGTGAGGTACGCGCATAACGGAGGTTCTCAATCTTCTTCTTGCAGTTTCGACATCTGAAGCATTGAGCGCAGAAAGCCTGATCTCCAGTCAAGATGGCCAAATCTTCAATCTTGTTGTTGCAGGAGCTGCAGCTGTACGTGCAGTTGCTGCAGATAAGGGATCCATCGCCTAACAAGAGGAGGTGTGCGTCTGAGTCGAGGAGGGTGCTGCAGGTGCTGCAACGAAAACAATCGATATGCCACCTGTTTCCAGCTGTTACTAGTTAGCAGTCTGTAGATCAAACACCGCAATCCAATACTCACCAAGCTCAAAGGCTTTCCCCTCTTCTAGTGTCTACCGATCTTGTCAGCCAGGTCCTCATCCATCCTCACGTATATTGCTCACCTCTCCACAGCCCTTGCATGGGTAGGACTCATCCTGCTCCATGGGAGAGTCTGGATAGCTCTGGGTGTCCATCTTGAAACCCCTTGGTTAATTCACAGCAACTGTTGACAATCGTTCCCACGTTTCACAGCCAATTCCAACACTGGACACTCAATCACGTTCCACAGACGTGTAAACCGGCGATTCGTGGTCGCAACGGTGCATGTGCAGCTGCTCGATGCTTGCGAGCGCACGGCGATAGAGATATTGGGGATGGAAATTGGCGGCGCAGATTTGGAGGGGGGGACTCGACAGGGGGGGCTGAAAGAATGGGCAAGTGGCTGAATCTGCAGACTGCTGAGGCGTTAATCAAAACGTGATCCAGCTCTAGGCTTAAGCGTGAGACACCCGGTCTGGTCGAGGCAATAAGGCTGATGACACCTCGAGACCAGGGTCATAATGGCTCACGGGCCAGGGGTGTTTCGACGTACCTGGCTCTTGCAAGCCGTGCTACAGGGCCGTTTCAGATAGATAGGCGCGGGTGTTGCGCTTGTCGAGCAAGCGAATGCGGGCTGCCCCTCGCGGGCACTGGGAAGTAATTTGGAGATAACCGGACAAGCTCCCGAGACTAAAAGGAAATGAGATCCGAGAAAGGAATAAACGACAGAAAGACAGAAAGAGAGAAAACCCCAAGAAATGAAGTTGAGATGATAGGGGTGGGGGGGGGGGGGGGATTAAAGGAGGAAAGACCAAAAAGGGAAGAAGGTTGGCGGCAGAATCTACGGTCAATGTTCATGTCTTTCCTTTCCTCTCTCTCTTTTCTCCTCTCTTCTCTAGACTCTCCACTTGCTCCTGGGATTCTCTATCTTTTGCTTCCCCTTTGTGCCTGTCTGTACGTGTACCCAAATGCTCTATGTATACGTGTACAGTGGACGCCTAGAACGTGCGGGCCTTCAATCTCCTCCAGACAGCCAATGAGCGCTCCCTGGTCGTTTACAACTGATGTAACTGATTTGATTCCAAGGGGCATTGTGCTTGTCAAATACTCTAAAAGAAAGTACTTTTTGCCAACACATCAACGCCTCCATCCTGCAGGGGAAACCCCGAATCACAACAGTTCAGCTCTCCAGATCTACAGTGCACCCCTGGCCCCATCGCCTGTTCCACCTAAGCTCAACTCTTTCAAATTGCGTGTCACAGATCCCTGGGGCTGAATTCAATCTTGGGAGTTTATTAATATTCCCGGACTCCTTCATCTCAGCTTTGGCCCGCTGTTTCAGTATTGTGAAACGCCGGTATCACGTGGCCGTAGATCATATTGCAAGGGGCTTGTCTCTTATATTAGCCGGTAAGCAGGCCGTGTGGATGGTGAATGGACTGTAGACGGTTGAACAAACGACTACAGTATATTGTCTATAACCCTGCATTTCTTTTGCATTTCTTTATCCGCCCACTACATCACTATGCACTGACACCGACGTGGTCTCCCCCGATGTAGCCCATACTGAGCCTACGGGGCTCTTTGCCTATCTTGCACTCACAGACCACACTGCTCGGAACACCAAACTCTAAGGCTAATTTAGGAACTCTCGGGGTTTGCATCAAAAGGGGTCTATTTCAGGCTAGTTTCACACTATATCCAAATCATATCGGAGATTTGATCTGATCCAAGAGATGATACCATGTTAACCAGGAGAAGGGAACAGCCAAGATCGCAACGGAGAGAGAGAGGTAGGACTGGAGTGAAGATACGTTCATTGCACACCCTATCCTCATATCCAACCAACTATGTTAGCATAGACCAAGAATCGCATGCCACAATTTTGATCCATCCGGGATCCACCTGCAACTATCAATCTGGTGGATCAAGGGATGATCAATGGAGACACGAGCTATAAGTTCATGCAGAGTCTCCCATCTCCTCATTGCGGTAGCTAAGCAATAGGCCTGGTTCCCACTAGCTACTAAGTTATAGTGACTGTATTGTATAGTCGAGGCCAATATAACCACCTCTAGTTCATGCATTACCCCCTGTCCACACCGCCAAGGGTGGAGACTAACACGCGTGAGCCCATCAAATCGCTCGAGCTCCAAAGCTTCGTATCACGTCCATTCATCTATAGCCCCCTCTGTGGTCACCCGCGCCAATCGCCATGTCTGAGCAAAGGAAAAGGTCAAGCCACACAAAGAGCCGCTCGGGCTGTATGACATGCAGGTAAGTACAGTAACATAAGTTCCGTTTCTTCATGTCCCTTGCTACATGGCGAACAGGACCAATCCCCGGGGCATCTGCTGATACTCACCAATTGCGGAACAGAATCCGACACAAAAAATGCGACGAAACGAAGCCCAATTGTCGCCAATGTACCTCGACGGGAAGGATATGTGATGGATATGTTCAATTGCCCGATAAACGAACGCGAGCTTGGAGGGAGCAGACCATATGCCAAGCAGAGACTCTGGAACCCAAAGGAAAGGCTCTTTACCGACGCATAACACCTTCTGTATCTATTCTGGCTCCCCCGATCAAAGCTAGCCAGATAGGTCACACCTGGAGTGAACGTTGGTATTTGGAACTATTCGCCAAACTCACCGTGCACCAATGCTCGGAATATTTCGAAGACGTTTTCTGGTGCAATTTTATTCACCAAGTTCTTGAAACTCAGCCTGCAGCTCGATATGCAGCCATGTCCTTTGCAGTCCGGCATTGGCAATATCAGCTAGAAGGGCTCAGGCAGACCACTGATGACAAAAGCATCTTAGCTTTACAGTATTCGTCCAAGTCAATTTCGTATCTTCGAAACAGCTTGATTCGTGATACATCCGACCGTGCACATAGAGAGACAGTCCTTGTCACTTGTTTGATCTTGACCATGCTTGCACTATATGAGAACGATACAGTTGCTGCTAGCCGTCACTTTAATTCTGGATTTAAACTGTTCCGGTATTGGGAAGCTGTGGATTATGATAGTAACTCAAATGGTCGGGCTTTGAAGCAGGCATTTGTTCAGCTGCACTTGAACTATATGACTTCCAATAATCCTAGATTGTTCGTTGACAACCAACGCCTGGTTTCTCCTCAATCTGCCGATATCTCTGCCCATAGGCCTCCGAGAGACTATATAAAGATAAGAGCTGAGCAATTTTTGGGTGTCATTCCGCAAGTAGCCATGACATGTTATCCTCATGGTGGATTCTGTATTGGACCTGCGAGCTTGGCTCTTAGGCCTGGCACACCACCTCTTTTGTGCGTGCTTCGATTGTGGAGAAGTCAACTCAAGACTTTCTCGACGCAAAAAAGCGTTCTTTCGGAGTTTGATCATTATGTTCTCATTTTAATGGAATTATGGACTGTGACCATCAATGTCAAGTTGACTGTCTGTGATAGCTATGAATCACTTGAAGTGAGATATGATGATTATAATGAGCAGTTTCGGGCCGTGGTCGAAATGGCGAGATCACTGCTGCAAGAAAGCTCGAGCAAGGTCTTGCCGGCGACTATCATTCAATCCTCTCTTGTGCCTGCTCTTCTCTGGTGTGGAATGAAGTGCCGTGATTCTTTAATACGAGCCGACATTGTGCGGCTTATTGATGAAATCAAGGGGCAGAATACCACGATATCTGCATTTTTGATGGCATTAAAGAAGGTTATTCAATATGAATCGGGTGATGTGAAGCTGGGAGAACAAATCCCAGAGACAGCTCGTCTTGCTTCTGTGAAGCTCAACATTATACCGGGTCAAGAGAAGGTTGACCTGTGGTATCGCACATCTGCGTTGGACCCCCACCTAATTGATGATGATTTATGGCTATATAATAGCATATCCGTTTAGATGATCGAGATATGGAGTTATAGATGAGCCCGCCATACAGTAGAACCGAATCAAGAATCAAAGTGAAGAAAAGCGATGAGCATGCTTATATATTGAATATATTATACGACTTGAACAAGCTCAATATTTAGTTCCTCGGGCCCTATCTTTCATCGTACCATCAAAAGAAAATATTCAAAATACATTGGCGAGAAATTTAATAGAACAAAAAAGAAGCTCTGAGCCTCGAAGCGCCACTGGTGGCCGTAGCTGAAGTAGCCTCGGAGGCAGACCGGACCAGTGAAGCATTTGTCATCGCAGTAGTTGATGATGATGATGATGTCGTAGAGGCAGCCGCTTTGGTACTAATTGGACTGGTTGACATTGAAACCTCAACGATATCGGTCTTTGTCGAGCTTGTCGAACTTGTGCCAACAGAGCTCACATTGCTTCCACCATCACCGCATTGGACCACAGTTTCCCAGCCACCAGCAAAGGTCTCCTCCCAGTACGATGACTGATTACCCAGAGCAAAATAGGAGAAAAAGTATCCCGAGCCAGGCTGCTCGTGCGCATTCTGGAAAAACTTGACGGCACACTCGTCGCTACATGGGAAGTCGGTTCTGGCCCAATCCTCGCTGCTGGGATAGGTCAAGTAGCAGTAATCAGAGCTGCGAATGTATCAGCGCATGCACCCTGAGCATACCACCATTTATCGAACTCACCCGCTCGTGGCACAAGCTTGGCCGTATTTGTACTGGAAAACCTCGCCCGCGGTGGCTACGGCAGCCTCATAGATATATTTATTCCCGCTAGCAAGTCCGGCTCGATCGCCATCCTTGCTGCATGCAGTATTGACGTTCTTCAGATATTGAGATAATGAATCTTTGCATGTCGATGTGCACATAGCTTGCAAGTCCGACGATTGCGGGTCGAAATCGGGATCCATAGACGCCACAATCTTGAGGAGGGTATCATCACAGTCGATGTCAGCGCTGTAGGCGTCCTTGCAAGCCTGTGAAGTCGTGTCCGCCAAGTCCTTGGTTGTGTAGTCCCAACTAGGACCAGACGTATCGAGGCTGAAGGTAGCAGTCGCCTGGCCCAACGCAGCAGATAGCGCGAAGAGGCGCAAGATCGTCGTGGCGGAGGTCATTTCACTAAAAGGTCGAAAAAAACAAGAACAAATGGAGTAAAATTATAGTTATTCCTAATAAATGAGAAATGAGAGACGAGAGGTGGGAAGTGAAACAAGTTTTTTTGAAAGAACGAAAAGACTGCACAAGTTATTCAGGGTCAAACTTTAAGCTTTCAGGGAAACAAGGACTTATAAGCGAGGTTTTAGTCTAGATCTAGAGATATTTAATGGTCCCCAAATTTTCAGGGGTTTTCGGCCTTTAAGCCTCAAGATCCACAACGTGAAGAAATCCGATAGGTTCCTAGGGTCAACTTATTATGAAAGTGATTTGGTTCCTAGAAAAGAACATCAATTACACCGACTACCAAGAATTCAACAAATAAATTTCGGAGCCAGTTCAATGACCGCTGCTGCATAGGGGGCGTGAAAGCTTGAGCCCTGTTCGATTGCCGCTAACCAGCTCTATACTAGGCGTTTGCTCGGTGGCGGCTTTTGCAAACCCTGCAACCTCATGTTGGGTCAAGGGGCCGGAGCTTCCGATAGGACATCAAGGGCCGATAATTCCCAAGAACGTCCCGTGGAATGCTATTAGAAGCCGTCTGGTCTATAACTTACCTTAATAAAACACAATTAGTCAAGCGAAAATGTATCGCTGCTAGTTTCGAACTTGAACAGGGTCCTTGTCTCCAGGCTTACTCATGGAACCGTTTGTTTGTAGAAAGAGAAAGGATATAAGGAGTGATCGAAAACAAAATACTATAACAGGTGAATGGCTAGCACATCAAATCATTTTGGGATACCTTACTCTACTCAGCACGAAGCCTAGAAAGTCCAGGAAATAGAGGGTGAGATATTGCAGTGACGCTGTGAGCTATAGGTCTCCATAAGAGCACCGAAATAGATAAATAAAAAGCTGACAAGCCGGGAATCCTTAAAAGAGCTGCAGTAGCAAAATCGCCGTCTGTATGTGGTTCAAGACCTAAAAAGCGTCAATCCTTTGAACTTGGCACAATATGTATCTTGCCACTCAGCCATCCACACCCTACTACGCATGTTCAATTGGCGATCAAGAAGATCTTAATCTAGGTACTAACTACTTGACCAAAAAGCAACTTTACTTGATGAATTTAGGCTTATTTTTACAACCAAAAAGCTACGATAGCCTCGCGATAAACACGAAGGTGAAGCCTCACTGTGCTAAACATCATCCGATATATATCTCACCAACGCGTCGGTTTGAGGAATCGAGAATTCAGATGGAATATCTCGACTTTACTTTTTACTATCAAGGATGAGAGATAAAGTGAAAATGTGATTTGCATTGTTGTCAAATATTCGACAATAATTTCATATATAAACATAAATGCTCGCCAACATGATGCATATTCAAACATTTCCAGCTGGCCACTCGACACAACAGTGACCTAGCATGACAAAGCAAAAGAAAATCGTCAAAAGTCATGAAGATATGTACACACGCTACATGCTATACATTATACAGATGAGGTGGCATTTGCAGCAAATGCCATTTAGAGGCGGTGCTGAACAGGCGACTCAGGAGCCGGAATGGAGGCAGTAATCTTCTCAATGGGCTCATCCCACTGCAAGATACGAGCCATCTTGTTATATGAGTCAATACCACGGCGGGCGTGATCGGCAGGAACAAAGGGATCAGTTTCACCCAAGGTACGGCTAAATAGCTCGAGAGAAACCCAGCCACGGAAACCGAGATCTTCGAAGAAAACGCGTGCAACATCCAGAATAGGGAGATAGCCGCCGCGAGACTCCTCGAAGGGGAAGAGACGAGCGTTGCGAGACCAGTTCATACGCACGGGGTTGCCGGCAACGTAGAAGGGGTGCTTCTCATCCAGAGGAGCAGAGAGACGCTCACCATCAACGAGCTGAACGTAGAAGATCTTGGCGGGGTCAATGTTGGCAGTGCGGAGACGTTCCAAGGATGCAGCCAGATCAGCAGCCGCGTTGGGGGTACGACCAGTGGGACAAGCAGGGTCAGCGTAGACACGACCGGCAATGTTGAACGAGTCCAAGCAGAGACCAAAGTTAGGACGGTCAACATCACGGACAATCTCCCATGAAGCTTCCCAGGTATCAACATGATCACCCCAGCAGAGAGCCTCGTACACAAAGCGGAAGCCAGCACCAGCGCCCAGATCAGCCAGACGCTGGAGATCGCGAACAATGACGGCGCGGTCACCAGTTGTGCGTGCAGCTCCAGTCTGGGGATCCGGACCGAGGAAGTTGGAGGGGACTTGGATCATGTCTGTGCCCAGCGCCCGCGCCAGGGTGAACCACTTGGGAAGCTTCTCGTTCACGAGACGGTCTGACTCGGCCCGGTCGATGAGGCCTTCGTACATGGAGAACGGCTGCAGGCAGATGATGGTCATGCCGAGACGTTCGCACATCCGCCGTGTTGACTTGGCAGCTTCGAGGTGATCTCCGTTGAAAACGCGCTGGGCATAGCAGTCCAGGTCGTCAAAAAATAGTTCGATGCCTTCAAAGCCGTGGGCTGCGGCTTGCATCAGTTTGCCGGGAAGGTCGTGGACCCAGGGCCGGCCCAGGGACATAGAGGCAATGCCGGGACGGTTGAAAGCCATATTTTAAAGTAGTGTGAATGTGGTGAGACTGTGACAGGGTCTTTTTATAGATCGAAGTAGGCGAGGTCTGGGTGAATCTTCAGACTAGGTCAGGATGAGAGTAGATTTCGTAGAGGGGAAGTTACAAAAGGGAAGATATTAAGTTAAAGATAAATGAAGGATATTAGGGCTAAGAAGAAGAGATAACGAAACATTATCCCCTCGAATTGTTCTGCCTTTTCCCCCGTTGGAGGCGCGTAAGATCACAAGCGGCTAAGCGTTGTGCCCGGAACGTTTACCCGCTCAACGTTCCCCACTCGGAACTCCGCCATTCCCAGGCTGCGGATTTTTCTTTAGAAATGCAGAGTCGCTGGTCCCTGACATTACTATTACTGTATTTCCGTAGGCTCCGCCAAGTCAACTCCGAGGCCCCGAGTCGGACGCGGTTCAGGGTCCGCAATGTCCGGGGCAATGACACATTTTCCGGGGTACTCATGCACACAAAAACCCCCGGATTGAACTTCCACTTGACACCACCTTGCAAAAAAAATCGATTCGGCCAAGCTACTATATAATATCCGACCAGAATGTCCGTTAAAGTTGCAATCATTGGCGCTGGCCTCATCGGCCCCCGCCACGCGAAATCCGTCCTCTCAAACCCATCTACCGACCTTGCAGCCCTGGTGGACCCAATGCCAGCAGGCGAAGCAATCGCAAAAGAGCTCAACACAAACTACTATCCAACAGTGGCATCTTTACTCGCTTCTCCCAACCGCCCAGACGCAGCGATCGTCTGCACACCAAACCACACCCACGTCCCTGTCGCGAAAGAACTACTAGCAGGCGGCGTCCACGTTCTCCTCGAGAAGCCAGTAAGCGACACCTTGGAAACAGGCCGCTCGCTCCTGGAGTATGCCAGCGCCCCCGAGCGTGCGCACCTCAAACTCCTCGTCGGCCACCACCGACGCTTCAACCCCTACGTGCGAGCCACAAAGTCGATCCTAGACTCGGGCTCCCTAGGCCGCCCCATTGCCGTGAATGGACTCTGGACCCTCTACAAGCCAGATGCCTACTTTGCGCCCCCAACAGACTGGCGTGCCTCCAACGACCGCGGCGGCGGCGTAATCCCCATCAACCTCGTCCACGACATCGACCTCATGCACCACCTCTTCGGCCCAATCACCCGCGTCACGGCGGAAAAGACCCTCCCCCAACGCCCCAGTCCACCGCACAATGCCGACGAGGGCGCAGCCTTGACAATGCGCTTTGCATCTGGCGTTGTTGGCACATTCCTTATCTGCGACGCCACGCCCTCGCCGCACAATTTCGAAACCGGGACTGGTGAAAACCCTCTCATTCCTCGCTCGGTTACTGGTGGTGATTCGGACTTTTACCGTATCTTTGGATCGGAGGCTTCGCTTAGTGTGCCTGACATGACGCGTTGGAGTTATGATGGGCGGGCTGAGAAGAGTTGGAATCATGAGTTGACTGTTGATCACATTGAGCTGCCTGATGAAGCTTGGCCGTTTGATTTGCAGCTGGCGCATTTTGTTGATGTTATCCGTGGTACGGCTGAGCCTAGTTGCTCTGGTGAGGAGGGGTTGAGGGCTTTGATTGTTTGTGAGGCTGTTCAGAAGGCTATGCGGTCAGGTCAGCCTGTTGATATTAATGTGGATTTGCTTGCGAAATGAGATGGAATGGTAAAGTCATGCTTAAGGCGAGTTCTTTTTTCATTTTCTTCATCTATTCATTTTTGGTTGTTTGAAAAGTTTACAATGATTGATGTAAAGATAAAAAAAGGGTATATTCATTGAACAACATATACAACCAGGCGCTGGTTGCATCTTTGCACTCTTGTGCAGTGTATATATAAAACCAGGCGGCCCCAGAAGAAGGCACGCCCTATTCAACCAAGACATATCGAATCCAAGGACAGACACAGTCCGGTCCGACTCAAACGACCAAATCATACCAATCTACGCAAGACATCATCAAACATGAGAGTGAAAGAAAAGAATCATCAAGTTCAAGCAAACTTTGCCTGAGTCGCCTCAACCGAAGCATGCTCAACCTGCTCATCGGCAATCTTGCCAACAGAGATACCGGACTCCTCAACATCGTGACGGAAGCGAGCTTCGTCATCACGAAGTTGAGCAATCATTTGTCCGTGTGCGCGCCAGACAGGCTTGATATCGAAGAGCTGGTCCATGCTCTCAAGGGGAATACCCTTTGTCTCAGGGACGAGGAAGTACACAAAGACGATGGAACACATCATCAGCGACGCGAAGAAGAAGTACACGCCATATCCCATGGCTGTGAACATCTGCGGGGTGAAGCGCGAGATGAGGAAGTTCCACAACCAGTTTGAGGCGGCAGCGCAGGCTTGAGCGAGGGAACGCATGTTGGGGTCGAACATTTCCTGTTGGGGATGTTAGCTTATAGACAAGGTATGCTTGGGTAATATATCGTAGGATACTTACAGAGTTGAGGACCCAGGGGGTTCCGTTCCAGGTGGGGGTGTAGAAAACTGTCCACAGGTAGAAGAAGAACATGGCTGCGATACCGCCGCCGCTGAGAGTATCGCTGGCGTTTTCCTCTGGCTTGGCGATCTTGATGTAGGCACCGACGATCCAGAGACAGACGGAACCACCTGCGGCACCGACGAGGAGGAGGTTTCGGCGACCGACGTGGTCGATCAGCCAGAGGAGCCAGATAAAGGTGACGACAGTCTTGACAACACCGAAGATACCGGTGGTGAAGAGACTGGTGTTGGTACCACGGACACCGATCTAGAAAATTGTTAGCGCGATTCACTAAGAACATAAAAGCTATAAGATGAGATGAACTTACCGACTTGAAAACTGTTGGACTGTAGTAATTGATGGCGTTGATGCCAGAGCCATTCTGCCAGAAGAAGAGAGCGCTTCCGAGGAACAGGCGCCACATGACCTTCTTGTTAGTTCCAGCAGCCTTGAAAGGCTTCCAGAAACCGATACCGATGCTGCGGCGCTGCTCCTCTAGGGCCTGGTCAATGGCACCAATTTCCTCGATCATGTAGATGTCATCAGCAGGCAACTGGCGCACCCAGCAGAGGTTCTTAATAGCCTCCTCACGGCGACCACGACCAAATAGCCATCGGGGCGACTCGCGGATAAAGACAGCACCAATGATAAGCAGACCAGCAGGGATCAGTTGAACAGCGAAGGGGATGATCCACTGCTTATGAGAAGGAGCCAAAGTTTCGGAGACACCGAACTAGTAACACGATGTTAGTAGAGAACACAACCCATATAAGACAATGACAACTCACGTTAATCCAGAAACCAACAAGACCACCAACTTGCCAACCGAGCTCATAAACACCAACCAATCTACCACGAATAGCAGGCGGTGCTAATTCAGAAATATAGATAGGAGTGATGTTAGAGCCAGCTCCGACACCCAGACCAGCAAGGACACGACCCGCATAAAGCAGACCAAGACCACGATCACCATTGACACCAAGCATAAGACCAGCACCAAGAATGAAAATCAAACCAGCACACAACAAACCGATCCTGCGGCCCCAGAAGTGTCCGATCGGGTACGCGAGAAACGCGCCGAAGAAGGCACCGGCCTGGTAGCAGGAAACGATATTGGCACTGATGAGATTCTGGGTAGCCTTGGACATGCTTTCAAAAGCGAACTCGGTCTTGAACGACTCAAGGGCGAGGGTTGTGCCGATGAAGGCACTGTCGTAGCCGATCATGCATGATGTGCATGAGGCTACTGCTGCCAGGAGGTAGACTTTCCAGTTGTAGACTGCCTTTGGGGTTGGCCGATCTTCGACCAGCTTTAGGATAGACATGGTGGCGGGTCAATATGATATAATAGAATAGGAGAAAAGAATTGAGTGTGTGAATATTGCAAAAGGAGATCTTGATCTTAACCCAGTGCTAGATGCAGAGAGGTAGGAAGACCTTCGACCTGAGGGTAGGCGAACTACCACGTGTAAGGTGAGGGAAGTGATGTGCAGGGGGTGAGTGTGTGAAGTGAAGTGAGGAAGAAAGAAGAGGGAAGGAGGTTGAAATAAATAGACGAGCCCACGCCACGTTTTTTAGGACCCAACTAGCGACGATGGGCCACGAGCTAAATTAGCTTTAGCCCCGGATTGTCGATTTGCCCGTGGAAGAGAGAGAAAAGAGAAACCTGGGGTTGTGGGAAGGGGACAAAATCGTGGAGGTGTGGAGGCGGAGAAAGATATAGCGCAGATTAGCTTTGAGAAAAAGAGACTATTCGCCAAGGAGCGGCAAAACGAATACTCTTCAGTGAGGGAGAGCAGTACGAGGAAGATTTGGCTTTTTTTGCCTCTTGGCGTTGTGGCTTTTTGGCTTTTTTTTTTCATAGCAGAGACTAACTCTGACTCCCAAGGCTTGGATTTGGCACTAAGAGAAAATGCGCCGTTTGGTTGGACGATGTGGATCCGGGGAAGAGTCTCGTGACTTGTATAGTTCTGGCCGTCTGGGGCTCTCTGGGGTACCCCGGGGGCAATGCCAATGCACGTCCCAAGACTTGGGCCCAGATTGAGACCGAAATAGCGAAAATAGTACACATTTGATTGGCAGGTATGGAATGGAGCCATGTGCAAGCGAGGGTGGGAACGGCCAATGACTGTTTGAGGCAATGGAGTGGCGGGGAAAAGCGCTTCCCCGGTGGTTCTGGGCAGTGCTGGGCAGTCCTCGGCAGCCCCTGCGAACAATCTGTCACTGGCGTCTCACCCGGACACTTAATTTGGGTGCCGTGGCTAGTCCAACCTTTGTTGTAACTGTTGTTCTCTGATTGGCTTGATTGGACCTACTGCGAGTCATTGTTGACTCCCCATGGGGTGAGTGTATGAGGCTGGGGGAAAGCGTTCAGCCCTAGGGATGGATAGTGGCGCACGCATCAAGTATGTCTACAGTCAAGTCAATGCAAAGGAAAAACGAGGAGAATACATCTGAATGACACAACCCCTTCATGTAGAATACCAAACCCCGGTTAGTAATTCAAGAGTCCCCCGAGGCCGGGTGTCCAAGCGGGAGATCGGATACCGCAGCGGAGTGGGGAAGAAGTGGGAAGGAGCAAAATGTTTCTCCGCCCACGGCTCAATATTTTCCGACTTCATTTTGTGTTATAACATAACCCCTCCCCCTCTACACAGATCGACTGTACACACCGACAGATCTTTTCAAAATCAATCCATCATGTCCGTCGAAATCAACCAAACACCAGAGGAGCCCATCTCCATCCCATCCCACCTTGATGGCGTCGCCTACCTCTACGGTCACCCTCTCCTCAACTCCCTCTCTCCCCCTCTCCACCAAACAGTCTACAATGCCCTCGGCCTGAACTGGACTCAAATCCCCCTGTCCAGCGTGACAGGCACATCAGAGACCTACCCCCCACCCTACACGAAGTCACCCCCAATTGAGAAATACCTGGCCTCAATCAAATCCAACCCTAAATTCGTCGGTTCGTCCGTGACAATGCCCCACAAGGTCGCAATCATGCCTCACCTCGACGACCTGACCGAGCATGCCCGCCAAGCCGGCGCCTGCAACACCATCTTCCTGCGCAACGACCCTGTCACCGGTGAACGCCAGTACGTCGGCACTAACACCGACTGCGACGGTATTCGCGAAGCCCTCACTCAGAACGCGCCCGATGCCTCGCGCTTCCGCGGTCGTCCCGCTCTCATCATTGGAGGTGGCGGTACCGCCCGTACCGCTATCTACGTTATGCGCCGCTGGCTCGGCTCCAGCGCGATCTACATCGTCAACCGTGATGCCGATGAGGTCGCCGCCATCGTGGCCGAAGACCGCGCACGCAACCCGGACCCTAAGGCCCAGGCCCCGCTTATCCCTGTCACTGACGCTGCCGAGGCTGCCCGTCTCGAGGCTCCTGCTGCTATCGTCTCTGGTATCCCCAACTACCCTCCCAAGTCTCCCGAGGAGTTGAATGCCCGTGCGGTCGTTCAGGCTTTCCTTGGCACTGCTGCCAATGCGGAGAAGCAGCAGGGTGTTATCCTTGAGATGTGTTACCACCCTAACCCCTGGACTGAGATTGCTCAGTTGGCTTCTACTGGTGGTTGGAAGGTGATCCTTGGTTCCGAGGCTCTGATCTGGCAGGGTCTCGAGCAGGCACGCCTTTGGACTGGCAAGGATATTATTGGTACTCCTGGGCTTGTGCAGCAGGTTAAAGATATCGTTAACAAGTCTATCGCTGAGCGGTCGACTAACAAGTCCAGCCTTTGAGTGTGATGACTTTTAAGACTTTTGATATCCTTGTTTCTTTACTATTTATGACTGTATATAGCGTGAAATAGTTGCATGGGCTACACAGGTATATAGATGGCGTCAGTTCCGGAATATATGTCACTAGATCTATCATAAATTGTCTCATGCTTGGTATGTAATGTATCGTGTTATGCCAAAATAAAAACGTTCACGTTCACGCTCCCGGTCGTGAATAGTCCAGGTTGCGGACACGGCGCCAAACTTCACGTACTGTGCGCTCTTGTGTCTCGCGGCCTGTCTCGGTGGCGGAAGGACCAGCCGGTCTGGAGCTCGTTAGTCAATTTTCTGGAAGTGAAACGAGCTGGAATTATGGAAGACATACCTAATGGCCAGGTACAACCGACTTCCCAACTTAACATCCTCAATCGGACAGGTAGCCTCATTTTCGGGAGGATTAGCAGTAGTCATAAGACCACCAGCTTCCAAAAGAATCGCAACACCAGCAGCGATATCCCTAGAAAGCAATCAGTCAAACCAGAAAAGCCAACAAAGGGGGGGTGGAAATAAACTAACCACTCCCAACAGCCTCCCTCCCACCATATATCGAAAGACCCCATAGCAACATAAGCCAAATCAAGCGTCGCACTACCCAAGCTGCGCATGCCATGCACCATACCACCACGCCCATTCCGACTACCCAGCTCAGCAGCCATATTAACAAAACTTTCGATCTTGCGATGCATATTGCCATCAGGGATATCGCGGCGGTCCTTGCCCCACTCGCAGGAGAAGATACACTGCGAAGGCGCGTTGGCTGGCATGGGCGGGATTGGGTTATGCATTAAGGGCAGGCGCCGCGTCTCGTTTAGCCAGGCGCCCCGGCCGGGGCAGGCAGACCATAGTTGATCGGTGAAGGGGGCGTAGATCACGCCGATTGTTGGACGGTTGTTTACCACGAAGCCGATTGAGACACAGAACATTGGGAAAATGTGTGTGTAGTTTACCGTTCCTTTTTCCATTGTTAGATTTTTGGTTTTGGGGGTAAATTAAGATTGACCAAGTTTACCGTCTAATGGGTCGATGCACCATGTTGGATCGTTGTCGATTAGGTAGTCGCGCGACTGGCCTTTGGCGTATGTTTCTTCACCGAGGAATCTGAAGTTTATCAATATTGAATGCTTTTGTTTGATCTTGTTTCGCTAGAACTGACTTGTGAGTGGGGTATTTAGCTTGCAAAGCCGATCGAATAAATACTTCGACGTCTGGAGGGGGGTAGTTAGCTTTGTATCCCCCGGTCTTCCTGCCGACGTCTTGGAATACCTTCGTCTGTCTGTGTGACAATATCCACCGAGTTTTCTTTTTCCTCAAATGTTTGAGCGACTCCGTTTGCGTTGTCAATGCGCTGATCTACGCGGTCCATGAGCATCTTGCCGGCCTTACGGCCCAGGTCAATTGCGAAGGCGTAGATCTCGTCATACTCCTGTTGGGAGAAGATTACGGTCATGATGGGTGTTATGGCGTGTTGCTCAATTATCGACGTAGAATATGTGTATAAGAGGAGAAGTGAGAGGGGAAGCTACTTGAGTCACCCGGTGAAAATTGGAGGTCAGAGGAACCGCCACTAGCCGGGGCTTATCGAGAAGTATCCACTAAGGCTCCGGGCGGGCGGTTTGGAGTATAAACTGGCGAACTGGTTACTATTTACTACATGCCAACAGTATTCGATATTGACTGAGAGTCGATAAACGAATTGTGATGCATGGATGCACCTTTCATACTGGGCGACGTCTAAGTGGAATATCATATCCAAGGTATCCGCCACGTTCTCCCCGCAAATCGACCAGCCCAGAGTCCAACGGTCTTCTGATTTGTAACACGGCTAAAGATAGCTCAATCGCTTAGAGAAAACAAAAGAGGAATCTAAGCCTCAAACAAATCTCAGCCCCGGTCACGTTCATGCGTAGTGTGGGGGGATCCATCTGGGTACTCGGTCAGCCGGGGTATGGACAAGAGCTCCCACACTCGCACCCAAACTCCCCACAATCAGGATGGAATTCGAAAGAAAATGAGATCATCCGAATACAAGCCCCGACACTAACATTGCAATGTTACAATACTGTACAGTGTACGGAGTAGACCCCTCCAATTCTCCGAGTTCTCCACCAAAAGTCCGCGGCAGATTACTCACCCGAGGCAAAATGCGGAGGCAAAAGTCTATACCGAATAACGAAGCACATATTATACATTTGCAACATATCCCACTTCCATCACGACTGAATCCAATTCCCGTCCAACCCCCCCAAAATACCATACTCAACTACCATCTACCACCCACCAGCCACCAAAATGCCCAAATCAATCCTCCTCATCAACGGCCCAAACCTCAACCTCCTGGGCACTCGCGAGCCCCACATCTACGGCCACACGACTCTATCAGACGTTGAGAACAGCAGCCGCGATGTCGCAGCCAGCCACAACGCAAGTCTAGAGTCTTTCCAGTCAAACCACGAAGGCGCAATCGTGGATCGCATCCAAGCAGCGCGCGGCAAGGTCGACGGCATCATCATCAACCCAGGTGCCTACACGCATACATCCGTCGCGATCCGGGATGCGTTGCTGGGAATTGAGGTTCCTTTCATCGAGCTCCATGTGAGCAATGTTCATGCCCGTGAGCCGTTTAGACATCATTCCTACTTTAGTGATAAGGCTGCTGGCATTATTGTTGGACTTGGAGTCCATGGGTATAAGGTTGCTGTTGAGCATGTTTGTTTGAATTTCAAGGAGTTGGAGAAGGCTGGGCTTAAGTCTGCTCTTTGAGTTGGTTAAAGTTGGCGAGAACTGGCAAAATTGACTGTATATACTTGTTCGGTGATGGCTTTTATGAATAGATATGATTTGATCAAGTGATGTATTGATATTGGTACATACTTTGCTTAGCCACGCTGTTTGGGTAAGATACTATGTGTTCTGGTAAGAAAGGTGGTTCTGTCCATACCTTAGGACAGCTCCATCGAGTTCTATCAGGTGTGTGAAAAGTGCTTCAATGATTGACATGAACCACGACGTCGAGCTAATTAAGAGAGAGGCCGGCCAGCGGCACAGGTGGTCCCGTAATATCTCGACAATTGAGTGGTAGATTCGAGACAATCATCGTTTGGGCGTTCCGGACATGCCCAACGACTGCGACTCTCGCCGTACACCCGGTGGGGTTCCATTGCCTGGTATTTGCTGCGTCTGCGCAAGCAGGAACGGCTCAATCTGACCCGAGAAGGAGTAAAGCTCTGGGATCCCGGCATCTGAGACGAAGCCTAGGTTCTGCATGAACTCCGGCTGATTATCAGCTCTGTACGAAAGGTGTGTCAGCAATCATATGATGGAACGTTGAATAAGAACGACATACTTCTCGGCACCATCCAAGGATGCTAACTCGTCAAATAATGCATCGAGATCGGGGGCAATTCGCCTGCGTGGCGGGCCGTATCCATCCATGTCGACGAAAGGACCCAGACCCATTGATGGATCCTGATATGCTGCTGGGTGGTATTGTGTAGGGTATGGAGGAGAAAGATCAGGAAGCATGGCTGTGCCATTCTGAGGCTTGGGAGGAGCCGAGGTATGATGGCGAAGTCCGCTGGCGAGCGCTCCGTCCATATGTCCCTGTTGCGGAGGTACATCTGGACCACCACCGACAGTCGCTAATGAAGATGTAGATGTAGGAAGAAGTGATACATCTTCAATATGCTGTGTAGCCCGTAGCCAAGGCGTGGAGATGAATGAGTCGCTAGGAGCAGATGTAGGATGTGCGTTGGATGGAAGGGGAGGTCCGTCTGCAGGAGGCATGTGATGTGAAGGAGTGCCCACTGAGATGGAAGAAGGCATAGTGATATCCCCATTTACAGAAATTTCCATTTGTTGCGAAACAGCAGGAGATGCACCGCTGACCTGTGGTCTGTGTGGCATAGGCTGATTTGCCGCTTGTCGGTCAGATATGTTCCATAATACAGAAAGATGAGAGGAGAAAGTATGAATCTTGTTCCGCAAACCCATATCCAGATCAGAAGGAACCTCTCTAGACAGAGAGCGCGGAAGACCGAATCGAAGCATCATGCCAAAGGTTGGCGCAGTGGCCGCGAAACTGTAGGTATCCATGTAAAGCTGAAGCAGCTGGAGTAGCCGGTTCACACTCTCTGCCGCGCGAGCTTTGTGTGGTGGTTCCGCGATGTTCTGATCAGCTTCCCGAATGGCTATTTGAGAGCTTAACGCGATGACAACACTTTCATAAGTTATTTCCAGACTGAAGATATGTGGAGATGCCAGTTTGATAGGACGGCTCTGTAAGTCCACGCGATAGCTTTTAGGAACAGACGTTGTCCAACGATGCAAGTGCAGTTCCAGTGTTTCAAGCTGCGACCGAGAAATAGTCGGGTCATTTTTGCAACAGCAAAGATCATTAAGAATGGACACCAAACCGACAAGACGATTGAAAGTGCTGAGTGCATGAAGCGGTCCGCGCTGCATTGAAGCACGAGAGGCCTGGGGAGGCCGTAACCCAGTCTGATCTTCCCATGGATGCCATTCCTCGAGTCCATCCTCGTTGATGGATCCTACCCTTGCCAAGTCTGCCCTCCTCAATGAAGGACATTGTGAAGTTTGTTCAGCAATAAGAGTCTCAAGAACAAAGCAGCCCAGGAAGACGTGTTTAGCTCGGCCAAGCTGCTTGTCTTGGCCAGGTGCCCTTGAAGATGATGAATAGCAAGGCTGATCAAGACCTAGTGCGTGGGAGATTCGCACGGCTTGACCGACAAGCATCCATGACCCAGTCCATTCCTGTTGGCCAAATTTGACCAGACCCAGGATTAACAAGGCTTGAACATGACCGATCTCATGCGGACCACTTTCAGATGGGATGAGTTGTCGAGCAATGTTGTACATTTTTGAAGGGCTCATGTGGGAGTTGGTTTGTTCGTCGGCTTGTCGGGTCGCTGCGATCGAGGCATCCTGCAGCGATGCGAGGGTGAGAACAGCCCACAAGGCTGCATGCTCGCCAGATCCCGGGGCGAGACGTGACACGTATACATCACCTTCGGTATATTGAAAGGCAGTTCGTAAAATATCGTGTTTTTCTAATATGGGAAACCAACATTGCGTGTAAGAAAAGTAGATGTCGAAAAGGGGCCATGCGTTGTAAGGAAGTCGAAGTGGTGTTTTCATCAGCGATCGAGAGTCTTCGAGGGCAGAAGAGAGAGCGTAGGGCGGTGATAAATCTTCCGTCGAGATTGTTTGAACAGAAGAGTCGCGCATGGGACGGGCGCCGATGTTCTTCATCGATGGCATGCCAATTGCTGTCCGAGAGGGTGATACACCTGGTAATGGAGTCTCGCGTGCTTCCATTCCTTCTGGCATCTGCCATTCTTGAGCTTCAGCAGAGGCAAGAATTCCATCGACATCTAAAGGTGTTTCCCCCTCGCTGTAGGCTTGGAGGTTTCGCTCCCTTTCCTCTTCGGGTTGCTCAAGGACGACCAGTATTCGCTCAATGTCTCGGAGAACGGTGCTGTTTTTGAAGGAAGACAGTAACGTGTCGGAGCCCTCTGCTTCCTTGCCCATAGTGGCCAAGTGACTCGGAAGGTTGATTGATCGCATTAAAGCCCGCATCACATCCTCACTGCCTTGTATCCGTTGGAACACCAGCCCCCAGAGTAATTCGAGGGATCGAATGTACCCTGTGGGCAAGCCTCTTTTCTTCGGATTGGCTTTGTATGTACAAGGACGACAGAGCGATGCACAAGTCGAGCATATTGGCTGTATTCCGTCGCACTTGTCCTTTTTCGAGCGGCAGCTGTCACAGGCCCGGGAGACTCGCTGACGCTTCGGTTCGCCCATCGCCTTCCCATCTTCGTCGGGGTCAGTCGCTCGTCGTTTCGATTTGCCGCCCGCGCCAGTGGCTTGGCGCGTTTCGGCGCTCATGGTGATTGAAATCGCGATCCACCTATATGGTTCGGTCGCATGTTCCTGCAGCGTGATCGTATGACGAGATGAATCTTTTGCCGACGGCGGCAGCACGGACGAACCGGCCTCTACGCCATAAATCTAGCCCCACTAGCGTGATTTGAAGATAACCGAGGGCGTTGCAATGGCGTGCACGAGGTGAAGTTGTGAAGGTGAACAGTGCAGGCAAGTTTGTTCCGGGGAAAGATGGATACCCGGCTAGCGGTGAGCCAGTCAGTGCCCTGCAAAAGGTAATAGCGCACAGGCCGGAGGCGGCGTTCGACCACCACAACGAGTTTTTCGAAGATTAGCACGTTAAATGAACGCCCTCGAAGTTGCGACTAATTCAATAGACAACCGATGATTTTCCCGGGGCCGCATTTGCACGTTTTTCGCTTTGACCTGCAACTAAGCGTAAAGTACCGACCCCGCGGGGAAAGAAAAACCGCCGGCAGAAGGCTGAGCCGCCTTATGTAATGGTATCGAGTCGGTAATTTCTTCTCTTCTCCCCGCAAAAGTGGTCGCTTACCATATCCAGGGCCCTTCACTCCGCAATTTCTCCGATCCGATTTCGACTTCATATTCATCTGACCGTTGGACTTCCCCCTACTTTGTGGTAATGGGCATTCCTCGCTGTTCGTGAAATCTCTCCTGATCACGGGTCCACTTCTTTGCGCCATGTCTATTCTAGCACGCCCCCCGAAACGGAAACTGCACGAAGTCGAGCCGCTGGAGGATGGCCCTCGAAAGTACAGTTCCAGTGGGTTCGCATCCCCCGTCGTATCCATGTCCAGACCGTCCTCTCGTCGATCGAGCGAACACCGAGAAGTTTCCGACTCCCATTCGCTGCCGTCCTTGCGGGAACTTCACTCCAATCGCGGATCGCCCGTTATGTTCGAGAACAGTCACCTCCAGACCCATCGCACCTTCAGTCCAAAGGCATCCATTGTGTTGATCGGAATTCGTGGCACGGGCAAGTCGAGTCTCGCGGTTATTCTTGCCGCAACCTCCGGCCGGCGCTTGATCGATGCAGACCGCTACTTTCAACAGATTGTGGGATGTTCTCGTGCGGCATTTAAAAAAGAGAATGATGGCCTCGTATACCGACAGCAAGAGGCGCGTGTCATGGAGTCTATGCTGGCAGATAACCAGGAGGGATGCGTGATTGCTTGTGGGGCCGGATCGATGGAGCGCAACGGACAAAGACTTCTCAGGGAGTACGCCCAAACGCATCCAGTGATACACGTCATTCGGGACCCAGAAAGCATTCAGTCTTACCTCAAGGCTTGGGATACCCAGAAGGTCCGCCATTTTCTCGAGATATCTGGCCCGATCTACCGAGGTTGTTCAAATCTCGAGTTTTTCAATCTCTCGGAGACTAGAAGCGACAACACGGATAAAGACGACGCCAATACATCGCCAGCACATAAGATCGAACCACGATCACATACCCCCATCCCGTTCTTGACTTTGAAACGGGTGCAACGGGACTTCCTCCGCTTCATTGCATTTATCACTGGCGATATCGCCGAGCTGAACAGCCAACATGCATCCTTCCCACTCTCGCTGCTACCTGTGGAATCCAGGAATTATACTTCTGCGGTTACTGTTCCACTTTCCAAGCTAGGCGAGCAAGGTGTCGACATTGAAGAGCTGGAATTCACTGCCGATGCTTTCGAGCTGGCAATCGATGTTGCAGACCCTTCAGCCCAACCGGGAATCGATTCAAATATTGCAGACAGCATCAGTCAAGCCGTGGCGAACATTCGTCGTAACATTATCGTCCCCTTGATATACCACGTTGAAAGTTATACCACCCCTGGTGGCCCCTCATCGCCTACCCGCACTCCTGTTCGTTGTACCGACGAAACCTATCTGAATCTTGTTCGACATGGGCTGCGCCTCTCTACAGGCTTCCTCACTGTAGATCTTTCTCGTGATGACCACATCATATCCCAGATCATTTCAGCCAGTGGTCGGACTCGAATTATTGGCCACTTCGAAGCTTTCCAGCCATTGCCGGGAGGTTGGGATGGTGATGAATATATGAAAATTTATGAACGAGCCAAAAGACTCGGATGTGATGTTGTGCGATTATTTCAACCCGCGGAGTCCGCGGAGGACAATCTTGCAGTGCAACGATTCCGCCATCGAGTTCAAAGTCTCCCCGTTTCTGGACTTCCCTTGATTGCCTACAACACAGGCCCTCTCGGCCGCATGTCTCGCTGTTTCAATCCAATTCTTACCCCTGTCACACATCCATCCCTGGTCAATCAGCCGTCAACCCAACTACGCTCAGATATCACTGCCCGCGAAGCACAGCAAGCTCTCTACAGCTCCTTTACGTTGGATCCGATGCAGTTCTTCGTCTTTGGTGCAAACACTACATATAGTATGTCACCGGCCATGCACAACACGGCATTCAAAATATGTGGGTTGCCGCATAAGTATTCGATCCACCAGTCGCCCACTTTGCGTGGGTTGAACGATCTAGTCGAGAATCAATACTTCGGCGGATCCAGTGTCAGTCTTCCATATAAGACAGAGTGCATTCCTCTGCTTCATTCCATGTCTACACACGCTCGCGCCATCGGTGCTATTAACACCCTCATCCCTATCCGAAATTTCAGTGACACCAACAATCTCCTCCTGCAAGAATCCTCAGTCTTCCTTGAGAAGAGTCATGCAGGTCCTATCAAGGGTCTTCATGGTGACAACACCGATTGGATTGGTATCTGCAATTGTATTCGCCGAGGCTTGTCCCCTGCGAACGCGGTACGACCGTCATCTACCGGCCTTGTCATCGGTTCTGGTGGAATGGCTCGTGCTGCGATCTACTCCATGATCCATCTCGGCATACAGAACATCTTCGTTCACAACCGTACTCTTGCCAACGCAGAGAAGTTGGCACATCACTATAACCGACAAGACCTTCACATCAAAGAAGCCCTTGGATCCGGACGTCCCACGGTCCACATCATCGCTTCGCTATCCGACCCTTGGCCCGCCGATTTCAAACAACCCACCGTTGTAGTTTCCGGTATTCCAGCTCACAGTATCGGCGGTCAGCCAGCGCCGAACTTCCAAATGCCCACCCACTGGTTGGAAAGTCCAACAGGCGGTGTCGTCATCGACGTAAGTCATCATTCCCACAGCACCCTCAATCTCCCATGAGTTCCATCTAACCACCTGCTATAGCTGGCATACAAACCTCTGAACACCCCTCTGATGAAACAAACTCGCGCTCTATCCCATCGCGGGTGGGTCGCCTTGGACGGCCTCGACGTCCTCCCCGAGCAAGGTTTCGCTCAGTTCGAGTTATTCACCGGTCGTCGCGCGCCTCGGCGTGTCATGCGGAGTATCGTGCTCCAAGAGTACAAAGACGATGAAGGCAATGATGATCATGACGCAATACAGGATCGACTGCAACAGATGGACGGGCAACCCAGCTGAGGCCTTTCCCCGTTCCTTCAGGCTGCCATTGACCTCCTGTGGCATAATCTTACCCCGAGCTGAGCTCTTACACCATAACAAAAGTGCTATAGCGTAGTGTGCAAGCACTAGGGAGGGATCACTTGACCTTTCTGTGGCATTGAAGCCCATGTGCATTGTTGCGCTTGTGAAATGAGTGATATGTTTATATATATGTCTTAACGATACCAATACGAATGTGCATTGCACTGATTTCTGTTACTCGCATCCCTAATAGAGCCGAATGTTGCAGTCTTCGCTTGCGTCAATAACTTGGCAACCATGGTGGACTTCACGTTCCTCCTCAGTCAACCATTGAAGCATCGCCAGAGGAGGGATCGAAACCCCAAACACTGTCGCTGTATCTTTGATGGCTTGGAATTGAAAAGGAAGTCAACGGCGAGATCTAGGCCAACTCATCACATCCCTATGTGATGCCAGGTGGGGGAACTGGACGAAAGGTGAGCCCACAGATCCGCAGAAATAGACCAACAATACCACCAACACACAGAATGGAAGGTTGACCCCCAACAAAACATGATAGCTGTGCATAATGTTAGAACTCAGAGGAGATATCTTTGAAGAAATCCTGTCATCTCATGGGAGCAGGTCAGCTGTGTCATGTGGGATGCTATGCTCAATCATGAAACACATGACCTGCAGACGCTTGAAAAGTGGCACGATTCGCGACAGGCCAAAGCCGTGCGAGTCGGAGATTAGCGATTATCTGATTGATAACCGGGATCCAGCTGCGCTAGTGAACTAGCGTGAACGTTGGGCTCCGCTTCAACCTTGGGAGTTTCCCGTGTGAGCTTGAATAGTTAACTTGGACTACCAAATTCGACACTGTAACCTGGGAATTGCTGTCGCGATGGATTGCACAGAGTTGGGTTGGATTGGGATATATGTGTGGGTTAACGCGTCTCGGGCAAGCCCCGAATGCGCCAGGGCTGACCCACCACAACAAGGATTATCGCTTAAGTCTGCCAGCTGGAGGAGGGTCCGAGGACGTCGCGCAGAAGCCCCCGCTAAGAAGGCTGTTCCTCATTTGCGCTCGGCGAATCAAGCCATGGCGACGGAAGCCAAGACGAGCACAACCGCCGCAGCCACCCGAGTTCGTTCTCGGAGTGCTCTCTTTGCTTTTTGTTAAGCATCCGACTTCGGGCCAGGTGGTCGAGATGGGTAATGATCTGCCTTGTCTCGTGCGAGCTTGAATATTTAGTGTTGGTGACGTCTGGGTCTGTTGGGATTTCTCTACTGCCAGCCACGATGCACGTTCACCCTCTAATACGCCGAGCGCGAACGGTATATCGGCGCATGCCAAATGGAGCAGCTCGAGAGAACACTGAGACAGGAACAGTACTCAAAAGCAAAGCACAGGTAAATCCCGAAGGCCAGGATGATCTCACGTTGAGCTACACCACTTCCGAGCCCCGCGACCACATACCAGATGAACATGCCCAGCGGGGTGTTCAAGATGTTGAGGCTGTGGCATTGACCTGGTCAAAAGGCTACCTGATTGCAGTCTTCATCAAGTATGTATCTGGTCACACGGCACATTGCCACAATGCATGTGCCATCAGGTCCTAACCGCACGAAATCCCTAGTATTTGGTGCTTATATTTCGTTAATGCATTCCAAGCAACAATGAACACCAGTCTCAATCCCTATGTGACGAGCAGCTTCCAATCACATTCGCTCTCTGGGGTTCCCACTGCGCTCGGCGATGCCTTTGCGGCTGCCACATACCTTCCAATGGCGAAGTTGATGGACGTTTGGGGCCGCGCCGAGGGGTTTTTATTTATGATAATATGTCTTACGATCGGATTGATTCTCATGGCGACCTGTCAAACATTTGAAACATACTGTGCCGCCAATGTAAGTCTTCAGATGCTAATTAAAACTAGTGGATATGCGTTGGTTGTGAATTGGACTCAATGCTGACACTGCACTCTCCAGGTTTTCTGGTACATTGGTTTCTACGGCACAGAGTATGCAATCGATGTTGTCACTGCCGATGCTTCGACCCTTCAGAACCGTGCCTTTGCATATGCGTTTACATCCTCCCCATACATTATCACCGCTTTTGCTGGACCAAAAGTGGCAGAGCAATTTTACTATGAGATTTCCTGGAGATGGGGGTTTGGCGCCTGGGCAATCATCACGCCTATCGTCGCTACACCTCTATACGTTATGTTGAGGTACAATCTTTATAAAGCTGAAAAGGAGGGATATAGGATCAAGAGACCAAGTGGTCGTACCATGTTGGAGAGTATCTGGCATTGGACCGTACAGTTTGATTGTGAGTTTTCAGTATCGTCACCTGGTTTTATCTGACCCAACCCCGATATTATGAGTTCTAACTTAAAGTGATAGTGTTTGGTGTCTTGATCTTTACTTTCGGGCTGGTCCTTTTCGAGCTTCCATTCGATATTGCTGCTTATGCTCCCGATGGCTGGGCCTCGGGGTATATCATTGCGATGCTTGTCGTCGGGTTCTCGATGCTATTCTTTTTTGCAATTTGGGAGAAATTCCTGGCCCCCGTGCCCGTGCTCGAGTGGCGTTTGCTCACGAATCGTACCATCATCGGTGCGATTCTCCTGGATGCAACCTATCAGCTTTCTAACTATTGCTGGAGCTATTACTATACCTCCTGGTTACAGGTGAATAATGATCTCACTATCACCACCTCCAATTACATTAGCAATATCTTTGACATGGTCTCGGGTGTGCTTCTGCTTCTTCTCGGATGGTTTATACGCATGGTTGGTCGTTTCAAATGGACCTTGTACATTGCAGTTCCACTTTACATTTTTGCTCAGGGACTGATGATTCACTTCCGCACTCCAAACGGCAACGTGGGCTACCAGGTGATGTGCCAGATTTTCCTGGCTATCGGAGGCTCGGTCTTCATTCTGGTTGAGCAGCTTGCAATTTTAGCTGCTGTGGATCACCAACACGTTGCCACCGCCCTCGCTCTACTGAATGTGGCTGGGACCATCGGAGATAGTGCAGGAATAACCATCAGTACAATCATTTGGCAGGAGACGTACCGAAAAGCTCTTCATCGATACCTTCCTGCATCGGCGTTGCCAGATCTTAATAGCATTTACGAGGATCTCACAACTCAAACGAGTTATCCTATTGGGACCCCAGTCAGGCTGGCGATTCAGAAGGCCTACGCTTATGCCGAACTCAGACTGCTTGCTGTCGGGTGTGGTATCATGGTTCTAGCAATTCCTTGGACTATTTTGATCAAGGATATGGATCTTAAGAAGAAACCACAGGTCCGGGGAACGGTCTTCTAGTTACGATTCATTACTTTGCAACTAATGCCGGTTGCCTTTTTCATTAGGCTGTTCAAATTCAAAAGTGTGCTGCTCCTCTTGGGCTAACCATGAAGAAAATTCGCCTAGTTGCCAAAATTATTAGTGTCAAATGGGCCACACGCGTCGATCTCGTGGGGCCAAAAAAGTGGGTGCGAAGGCGGGTCGTCGGGCACCAAAGTACTGATTTAAGTGATCATACCGTAGTTTAGCTTACGAGTAGTGACGAGTTTAAATAAGAGAAGCAAGTGTAGATCCAAGGTGTTGATAAAACCGAACCCGATATCGGATGGGACTCGAAACGCTCTAAGCGCGTGGGGCTAGGGCCGAGGGCGTTGGCAGTGAGCATCCCACTAGCATCAATGTTGCATCACCGACCTTGGTCTCTGTGCTCACCCTGCCATAGCCTTAAGCTATTCACGGTCCTGTCCTTGGCCGTCGCAATACCCGTATGACGACCACGACCGACCAGTCAAAACAGCTGGAGCTACACAACCTGCTATCGTGGATCTTACCATGTGCCACGAAGGTAAAACGCAACAGATGGACTTCGGGTTCTCTAGATCTGACGAGATTGAGGAAATAAAAGATCTGAGCGAACTCGTTTGCGAAAATAACGGAGCGGTTGAAATTGTCAAGGCGGGAAATCTCACAGCACTCGTCCAACACTTGACTCGCCATGACAGGCTTGACGCGTCTTTCAATCGGATATTTCTCACCACATACGAATATTTCACATCAACTCCAGAGCTGATCGATCTCCTTGTCCAACGGTTTGCCTGCCCACCACCTATCGCTCTTGACTCAACTCAAGCAACAGAATGGTCAAACCAGACAAAGCCTTTGGTTCAAGTGCGCGTGATCAATATTCTAAGACAATGGCTTGAACATTTTTGGCCTGGACCAGACGGACATGATGATTCTAATTTACTGAAGCTACAGTCTTTTGCGAGAAGTGCTGTCAAGGAGACAACTGCGGCGCAACAACTGCATGAGCTTGTTCAACGTCGACTTGCGGGCCTGGAACTGAAAAGATCTCATCCATCCACTCCAAAACCCCCGAAACCGATTCTCCCCCGAAAGCTGAAAAAATTTGAGTTCATCAAACTTGACGCTAAAGAGATCGCTCGTCAATTAACAATCATGGAAGCGTGCATGTTCAGCAAACTGCAGACGTGCGAATTGTTACATAAAACCTGGCAAAAGAAAGAAAACATTGATACTTTTCATCCAGCGCACAATTCCAAAGCGTTGATTCGATACTTCAATCAGCTTTCGAATTGGGTTGGCGCCCTTATAATTGCAGAATCGGAACTGAAAAAGCGAACGCAATGTATAGGACATCTGGTCAATGTGGCCACCGTATGATATAATCCCCCCTATTCAAAAATATGGATACAGCCTAAGACTAAAGCAACAGGAATGCTATAATCTGCAAAATTATTCTGCCGTGATATCTATTTTATCGGGACTAGAAAGCGCCCCAGTTTACCGACTTGCTCGGACATGGGCAATGGTTACCCAGCGAAGCTGCGATGCACTAAGACCCTTACAATCCATGGTCTCAAGTGCACAAAATTATAATGCCTATCGTGAAAAGATCCGAATGGCAATCCCACCTTGTATCCCGTTCCTTGGTAAGTCCGATTGGAAATTTATTGTCAAATCCCCACCACTAACGAATGATATCATGAGCAGGCCTTTTCTTGAAAGACCTGACCTTCATTGAAGATGGAAACCCATCCATTACGCCAGAAGGCCTCATCAATTTCCACAAATGTTCCATGCTAGCTTCAAGTGTTCATGATATTCGGCGATTCCAACAAACATCCTATTGTCTACAAATTGTTCCAGAGATCCAGGAGTACCTTGTTACTCAATTACAATCCGCCCCTGATGTACATGATATGTATGAAAGAAGCTGCATGCTGGAGCCTCGGGGTCGTGGCGAACACAGGCACAGGGATTCTTATACCCCCACCGGGGGTATGACAACCTCCATGGTGATAGCTTGTATGATTTTAGATGATTAATGTTTGTATCACAGAAAGACTAAACACACTGTACTTATTCGGTAACGATAGCTGGTAGTAATATTGAACCATTTCATCAAACGCTGGTCAGAATAATCGTCAGAAGGTCGAAATGGTAGTAAATTTCGAAAGTAGAATGGTTCTATGGTGGGCTAATTTTAGCGCCATGAAGCTCCGATTTGATAGTATATTGCAAATCATGGAGATGTCAACTATGCGCGCTAACGGCGCCCCGGTTATCACGGCATATAATTCAAGCTCTTTAGTGAATTATTTGTCTTAATCGGAATATCGGCATGTCTGTGGTTACAGCTGCTCCATTTCCGAGCCACCGAGGCCCCGAGATCCCGAGAGACCCGGCCCGAATCCTCAAGTTGGCATCGATCATTCGGGAGTCCGGCCCGAGTGACAAAAGCTTAGTGCAGTCTTATCCATGTACAAAGTTTTTTTGATATTTTTAATTGCTAAAACATCTTTTTAAAGTAAGAAGACAAACGGGAAGTAGGGTGTTAGGATGATTGTTATCACGAGCCAAGAGGATTCTACTTTGATCAAGAGATGCAGTATAGGGAAATTTGTAAGCTAAGAAGAAGAATCTATGATTAGTATATCTGAGGAGAAAAACACATTGTAGTCATCTTAACAAACAGGTCTGATTGAGATGGCACAAACAGACTCTGATTGCCTAACAGATATCAAATAATTCTCCATGCTTGCCCAGATCCCCACGCTAGGCATAGGGAAAAAGGTGCCTCGTACAATCAAATTTGCCCACTGCGTAAACAACCGTGGCATATGTAAATAGTAGTATCACATATTGCTCCCACCAAAAAACCAAGATACCGAAGATGATCTAGTATCGCGATAATTGTCAAATTGGACGAAGGACAAGCATCTTAGACAGAAAGAATCTCACGGTCAACAGTTTTGACATGCTTCATGAAAGAGAGCAGTCGCTGTCTTCGGTTGTAGATGTTCCTCAAGTCGATGCGAGCCTTGGCCTCGGCATCGTTCTGTCCGGTGACCAAGATGAGCATGAAAAACGTCTCAATGATACTGGGGGGCACATTGGAGATCAACTGTCCAGTGAGGCTCCAGTGCATGGCACTCGATGTAATGATACAGCCGATGGTTAGCAGAAAGCCAGCCACAACCATGAGTAGGTTTGAGCTGATTGCATCCATGTAGCGAGACGCACGTTGACTCAGAGATGGCGCTTTGGATTCTTCGACCGAGGGGATCGGCAGGGATAGCCCGTCGAAAAGTACATTGTCATCCTCAACTAGCCCATCGACTTGGGTTTCAAAGTACTGGTGAACCTTTCCTTGAATGTTGCGAAGAACGAAACTGTCGAACAAACCCACAAGTCCGGCATAGGTACCGATGAGAAGCCACCAGGTGTTGTTGAACTTGAAGACGGGTCCAACAGATGCCCAGGTGATAATGACCAATAGGAGAATGATGAGTCCCGCCAATGTACCAATGACGTCGGCATAGTAGAAGACGACAATTTGGAGGTAGCTCTCCTTCGGCGGCATGATTATCTCGCTAGTATTAGGCCGATCGTCCTGGCTGAGACGACGGAGTTGTTTCTCAAGCGCCGAGTCGAGTCGGAAGATTGCTTCGACACAGTTGTGGGTGTATGCTGCATAGCATTCACGAAGGCAAGCCAAGAATGCGAATACAAAAACCATCAGTGCAGAAGTGGCATCGTTGATGTACAACTGCCACCGATTTGACCAGCCACAGTAATGACCAAAACCTAGCCAGACAAAAATACCGACCCAGTACAGACCAACCGTTATGATATGTCCAAGCAACTTAGCAGAAAGGATGATGGACCGGGCAAAGAGGCTTTTCGTCCGGAGTCCATGATCCAGAGAAAGCAGAGGCTCATCCTGGCACTTCTCTGCGATGCGGCGAATAGTGTCAGGATCCATCTTTGCCTTCAGTTTGACGAGCATTCGGCGGTGGCTGCTGCAACGAGATTTCATCTCAGCCATAGCGGATCGCTGCTCCGAGTACTCTCGAAGTAGTTGGCGCATCAGGAACGAGTCGAAGACGTAGCACATAATAGCTTGAACATCGGATATCATGGCGACCCAGACGACGGATTGACCAAAGCGGATACCCATGAGAGCCCAAGTAAGGAGGCCTCCAAGAATTAGCAGGAAGACAGGAGACGAGCCAGCAATACACACGACAGCATCCAGCCAACGGTCCACCAGACGCGGGCTTGCCTTGACCTTGTAGCCCGAGGTATTCTCCTCCGTGACGACGACATCAAAACCAGTGTCCGAATCCTTTTCCAACACGACACTCTGCGTCTCCGCAACTCCCTCAACCTCGCACCGGAAGACAGGCGTGTAGAACTGCATTGCGACAGAACATGTGATTACTGTATGGGCGCAATTTTGAATAGTTCCAACGCGTGATACGATCACAGCCGGGGTTTCTAAGGCGAAAGAGTACCTCGGGAGATGCGCCAATGACTGCGGGCCCAGTCAGTGTGTCCGTGATCGGAAGATCGACGAAGACAGAGAGGTTCATAGAGTAGAGAATAGCCATTCAGAAGTGGAAGCAGGACACAGGATGTGTCTTGGTGCGATTGGAATCGATTGTGGAAAGAGAAGACCCTGGGAAGAGGAAGAGAAAGAAGATGGGAAAGGGAAGAGAGAAGAGGGAAGAGGGAAGAGGAAAAACTCGCAGTGAGAGCTTTAAATACCTCAATTCGCGCAACTCACTTCTTCTAAACTAAAAGCGTTGTTTACTTCTCCACTGACTGAACTTGGCGGATTCACGGTGCGCGTTTTGTTTTCACTGGCCACATACCCACGATGCAATCCAGCCCTCAAGCTATTGAAGATTGATGATAAGCATTCTTGTCACAGGTAGCGGTTTGCCATGAGCCCGGAGCAACCCAGAAAGGAGTGGAAGAGTAAGGTTTGCGATGGTTTGCCGGAAGGAGAATTTACGAACCCGAGGAAAACTCAATCCAGCACATATGAAACGGTCAAGCCTGTTAAAACTTACGATGAACATCCAGAGTGGTTGATTCATATGGTTTGGTCTCTACTAACAGATTTTCGGACCCCGGAAATAAGAGTCTTCCTGTGGTATTCAGCCTGATTCTGTTCATCTGTTCTCCTGGTGCATGATATGTATAGCGAGTCTTAAGAGAGGCACGAATAACATAGCAGGACAATTAATCTCCGCTATCTTTTACTGATTATATGCGTGTCGTCTGGATCTTTTTCCTCGCTGATTTTATTTTACAACTTAGCAAGCGATTAGCTTCTAATTAAGCACGTGCTGTGGGTAGAAAGAGGTTTTGCCTCATAACTTTAGTCCGAATTCAGCCATCAGTCCTACAGTATGCCAACAGCTTCCCTGCGGGGCCTTGCAGAGGTCTGACCGAGTTACTTTGCCTCTAGTCACCTTGAGTGACGAGAGGACTGGAATTCAAGATCGACACTGAACAGTACCAATGACTAGATTCACCGTGACCCCTACACTAGGGGGAACTCAATACATTACTACGGTGCCCAGGCGCTGTACTCACTGAACCTTTGCCTGTTTCGGTCCACAAGATCCCAATCGTTGAAAGTCGTATCTTGCAAAGTCAGTACAAGCAGACTTTTCAATGGAGCAGTCCAAGGGTTTGGTCCAATAGATAGCACAATCCAGACTGTATCCTCGTGTTATCTGTTTCACAGGGAGAATTGGTGTCAGATCCAAGTTTTCAAGCATAAGCAAATGGTGTTGCCTAAATTTCCACCCGTGTTGGGTCTTCGGACCGGCTGCAGAGGTAAGCAGACGGACCTAAAAAGCCTCATACTTAGGAGAATTGCTCCCCGTAGACATTGTAAAATTACTTTAAAATACATTTCACCGCTGTTGAAATCCTCATTCATTAAATTGCATTCCATTTATTGTACCAAAAAGCTATTGGAGTAAGAAAATAACCTCATGAAGTCTATGGGAACCGTTCGGGCACTGCGTTCTGTTCATGAAAGACAGTGCGGCTGTAAGTGACGTGATACTCTTCAACGCTTTTACACAAACTGAAATGATTGCACATGAGATTCCTGTCAATAAATTGATATGAGACTTGACAGTCAAGAACGATTTGATATTGCCAATATACCAATTCCAATATCACGACTGACCAAGGATAGTTTGAGGGATCACAGATGGGCTTCATGTCTCAAGTTGCTGATGTTTTGTGTATACTCAATTCATCAGGTGGATGATACTGACTCCATTTATCTTGGAACTTGTTCAGAAAACATTAAGGACTGCGATAACAACGTATGCTGAGCCGAAGGCTCTGGATCCGAGGAGGTGGCAAGGGACCAGCTGCAAAGGATATAGAAACCCAAAGACCACAATCTCGCCGTGTTCTCTGAGTGCGTTATTTGCTCTCTCGGCTTTGCTGGATATGCTTTGACACTACTTCTGATCGGTAGGATTGCTTAGCATGTCCCACGGCGCTGTGGTTTTGAGGCCTGTTGCTCAACAGTCTTGAAATCGTGTGCATAGTAAACCATTGAGCATCTAGTCAAGCAAACTACGCATTGGCTAGCGGTCTTGCTCACTGATTTGCTCAAAATCTTTCTTTGAATCCATCGGCTGTGACGCTATCTACGCCTTCTCGAAGAAGAATGCGCAAAACGTAGTTCTGTAGTTTGCGCGACCAGGTGGGTGTGTTCCAGTATCGGAGTTTGAGGCCGTGCTCATGGGCCATGTGTACCTGGTTCCGCACAATTGAGAGCTGATGCTCTGTGAATCCGTTGAAGCCCACTACCCCGACTGCCGTGGTGAAATCAGCAGAGGTATAGTAGCTGTTCTCAGCAGTATAGTTGTGGTTCTGAAAGTGAGATCCCGAATGCAAAAGCGAAAGCTCGGAGAGAGGTGCATCGTAAAAAATGTCTCTAAAGGTACCACTCTCCAATATCCGATGGAATGGCGCGTTGCCGGTAGCGACGATTGTAATCGGCCCTTGCACGATAGATGATCCGTTGAAATAAGTCAAGAATCCGTCCTCTCGAAGGGATTGAAGTTGGTGAACAAGTAGAGACCAGATGCGTTCCGGGTCCACGTCAAAATGGATCAGCAACACCAGGGTCTGTGTGGGATTATTGGCAAATGCACCTAGGAAGTTGTCTTCCTCCCAGTTTTCCCCAAATTGTAGCGTTTCCAACTCCGTGCTTTCCTCGCGAAGTACCCTCAGAAGAGGACCCAGATAAAGGCTTCGTAGATTCAGTCGTCGTGATAGCATTTCAGGATTGGTTCCAACCAAAAGCTCATTCCCAGATGGATACACAGTTATTTCAATGCCGGCACAGCCCGCAGAAATTGCTGATTGAAATTGCAGTTGGTGTCCATGAACGCTGTGTGAGTTACAGACCACGGGAACTTCTTCGCGGGCAGTCCAATGTGAAAAGAAGGAGGATGGGCCATTGAAAAAACCGAAACCTTCATCATAAGAGCAAGTATTATATCTGATGAAAAGGCCATCACTTTGTGAAGCTAAGCAGAGAAGTTTGAGGATACCGCTGGTTTGAAAAGAAAAACAGATTAGCTATGTTTGACCAATCAATCTCGTGGGTATATTCATAAACAGTGTGTAGATTCTTACAGAATAGTCAACAGTCCCCAACAACAGCGCTGTGTCGTTCGTCTCGAAACTGCATGTTTTGACAGTAGAAATGAGTTCCAGAATTCAGTCCTGTAAAGAAAAACATTCCGCGAATTCCTCCTGGGTATAGTTCCAGGTGGGGGAAGTTCCCAAGGCTCCTCCGATACGCAAGTATTTGAAGACATAGTTGTTCCCTTATTCGAAAATGAAGCCAAGAGGTGTCACTCAGGATAAAGATACAGTCATGTAAGCTTCTTTAATTTCCCTAGAGCCCCTGATTGAATCATTTACGCGGGAATATTTCATGACGGACCCTGTCCACATCGAAAATCCGTCTGCCTAGACGCTCTGACCAACCCTTGTGCAGTGAGTGGTGTTTTTCCATGGGTCTCGGCGACGAATTAGGCTAAGCTTGATGGACACAGGGTGCTAAATTTCACTAGGTGGAGTTTTCCGGAAAGCTTGATATCGGGAACCAATCCAGTAATGCAAGTGACATTATCATTTCACCCTTTCGGATAAACCAATGTGACTGTGCGGAAGTAGAAATGGGATTCTACCGCCAAGAAGGCTTGGCTAACTAGAATTGAGCTTAGCACCGAGGCATAGCCTCTCTGGACTTTCTGGCATCCGTAATTCCTTTGATTGTGTGTCCTAGACCAGCTGGTTGGGTCGATAGATAGGGTTTGGGGATCACTCGCTGGCAAAACCCTGGTCGCTCTCGTATCAAATCTTTATCTGAAGGCAACACGTGCGGATGGTTAGCCAGTGGGATTTGGGGGCCGCGTGTTTAGATCGAATTTGCTTTTTCTTCTTCCGGTCCAGGACCTCACTCATGCTTCAGCTAGCCCATCTCTACTGTATACTTACGTAGTTTCTACCGTCCAAAATAACCTAGTATACTAAGCCATAAGGATACTCCTGTTCTATTAACTTTGCATGATGAGCAAATTCAACGCAGCAAATAATGGGAAGGGAAAACTTTATTGAGTCAAGCAACTATGTTGCTGCTAGCCAGAGTTGGCTCACGTCACAACTTCAGAGTGCCTAGGCATCTACTGCCACTGACTTATTAAAAATCAGACTTTAAATTGATCCTTGATTTACGATCTTGTCAATTGATTGGGAATTCAATCATGCCTGAGATTCGTACATGTGGAAGCCCAGAAATTACTGCGATTGGCGTTCCATCTTTTCTATGTTCTGGAAACATTCATTGGAACTCATGACTTACGCGCAATGTAAGAAGAAGAGGTAATGCGAGGCTGAATGATATTTCGTGGATTGAGTACTGCCAATGAAACCTTTACTGCGGTTGAATAGATCATCAACCAAGCTTCGCGACAAAGACGCGTCTGTCTGTCGTCATCCCATCGCCGCTCTTCCATGGCTTTGGTAAGAGATGTAGGGCTATTTACCTTTCTTGTCATTCACAGCATCTGAAGTTTGGGGCTAACATAATTCCGAGGGGAGTTGTATCACCCCCTCTGAAAGTCTTGCCGAACTACTCTAAATCGCTTGATTACTTATAGCCTACAACGTTTCATTATTTCATTCTGTTGACAATTGATCAACTACCCGCTCTTAACAAGGTCATTAGTCGAGTAAACCGGCATGATGCCCCATTCCCCATCGCCAAATCTTGAGGCAACCTCTCCGATCACCAGTAACCCCTTCGTCGACCCAATTGCAGACCCACCAAAGTTCGACATAGCTAATGCAGCGGCTGTTGAGAATCAGCGACGACGAAACGGTCGCAGGGGGATTGATTCTGCCAAAGTTGTGGTACCTCAACCGAAGAAAAGGCTGTTCTTCAATGAAATTGGTGATACTCTAGCGGACCAACTCTCTGTGGACCCTGATCAAGACAAGAACCAAGGTTTCCTGGGCTTCTCTACTCTCAAACGTGTACACGGTAGCCTCACCATGACACCAATTGCCTCACCATGCGTTTCCTCCGGGGATAGCAACAGTCGCATGCTAACAGGATATTACGACACACCACTCAAAAGTTGGGACAATCTCACTCATGAATATGAGATTACCATTTCACCTCCCTTGACAAAAGCTGACTCTGAGTGCCATCGTGGAGGTTCTCCTCATATTCGGTCCAAGCCCCAGTCGCACTTGAGCGTGTTTAGCTTGGATAACTTCTTTGCGATGACAGCAATTGAACAACTGACAGAGTGCTACGGAAAGGTCGCTCATATGGGTATCTTGGATCCCAGCTACCGTTTCTTTGTAAATGAAACGCGTACCGCAGCACTGTCCTTTAAAGTGCAAAACGGGATCGCAATCGTCGGTGGAGATCCGCTGTGTGAACCGAGTATGATTCCGGCTCTTCTAGCAGACTTTGCAATTTATAGACGACGGCATAGCTGGGGAATAGCGTTTCTGGGAGTCAGCGAACCATTTGCACGACACTACGCCAAAGCACACGGGTGGACGACAATGAAATTCGGAAGATCGCGCGTCCTCAATCCGCAAACAAACGATGTACTTCTCGAGCGCAGTGGAAAGCGAATCCTAACACAGACCAGACAGCTATTGGACCGTCGCAAGGGAGGGATTGCACTTGGTGTTTACGCACCTGCAACACACGGGGTAGATCGCCAGCTGCAAATGGAGCTATTGGCCATATACGAAGCCTGGCGCACAGATCGCAACATCTCCGGCATCCAGCAAGCTTTTATAACTGTATATGATCTCTTCGCGCTACCAGCGATGATGACCTTTGTTTACACCCGGGACCCTGACGGCCGCCCCAACGGCTTCGCTGCCTTACGCCGCCTCGGAACAGTTGGCTATCACCTCGATCCCTGCATCGCGATGCCAGGAAGTCCCAAAGGCATAAGCGATCTTCTTGTCGTCGCCTGCATGGCCCTTCTTCATCATGCCGATGTTTCATATTTAGGCCTCAGCTTCGAACCCCTTGATTCCATCTCTCGGGGAGATATCGCCGGCGTACCACCTCTAGTCTCTCATCTAATTTGTGGCTTGTACCGCCATGTAGTTCATCGCCTTCCTTTGCGCGGCAAAAAAGCTTACCACGATAAATTCCGACCGGATTCGTCCCAGGACTCTGAAATTTATCTTGTGTTCCCAAGATGCATGACATCTCCGCGCAACTTACTAGCAATGGCACATATGGCGAACATCAGTTTGTGCAACGTCTTCTGGGAAGATATTCGGAAATGGGCTTCTAAGTGCAGGAAAAAGTCTTCGTCAGAAATGCCGTCAGATAAAAGGCGCAGCACCAAGGAGAATGTGTAATGTCTTGGACAGAGTGATGAAAGAATACAACGTGGCATTGAAGCACGCTGTACTTGAGATGGATTGAAAGTCATGCTATAAAATGACAAGACAATTATCATAAATGTGACTTAGTCTTGAGCTAGCACAATGATTATTGGTTGAGATCTGAAATAATTTCCTAATGATGCTCCATTGGACTCACCGTGTGGCTATTTCCGTCTTCCAGATGTTACCATGCGCACGAAGATCGCTGCCATACCATGAATTCTTCTTTTCGTCTCATTTCCTGAAATTCAAGTGGCATGGCTTTCTCCATGTCATAGATCCAGTTTGCTAAAGAATATTTTGATTTTTCATCATCTAGTTGATCTTTTTGTAGGTCTAAAAAGTGGGAATGGATTGAACTATCTAACAAAGGAAGCCTTCATCGCTTCAAGGGTTCGAAATGCCTGACTTCGTACGCGTTATTTTATCTTTTGGCTGGATTTCACTTCCTGTACCATAGCTGGCAAGCGCCTCGACGCCTCTCACTTGTGGCAATGACACATCGTTTCGGCAGCCTCTTGCAACAAATCTGATCCCATGCACCAAAAGGTGGCAGTGCGCAAATCGCCTGCATTTACCTGCCTTATTACACTTGGAGTCTGGGAACAGTCTAGACTAATCACCAGAAGAGTTAAAGGTGAGATCGAGACAATGGACTTGATTTCGTATTTCAATGACGATTTGCCATAGAAGTGAGGCGTGGCTACCACGTTACAGAGAGCTACAATGATATTAAATTTACATGAACATCAATATTTGGGTGAAAGAAATACGATATACGCTTCGTTTTCGTTCGAATAATAATACTGGAATAAGTTGGGTTCCAAGGGTCACACTGGCCGGATTTGGTCAAACAGGCAGTGGTACCCACTCATAGTGGTCGGGTGTCATACAATAGTATGAGCTGACCAGGGGCAGCCTTCCGGAAACGGGGAATGTGGGTATTTCGTCACCGTTGCGCGTCTAGATATAAGCAAAGCCCCAGAATTTGCAATTGGACTATGGTAAGTTAAGCTTTCGCAGATAATCATATCCCTTGCATAGATGTCAAATTCTATGCCCGCGAACACAACATCACGCGAGCTTTCTACGTTTGATACAAAGCAATGCTCGACCATAATCTGTCATACTTTATAAAGTTGATGGGATAGCGTGCAAGATAGTTTCTAAGTCCCTAGGGCATATACTACTCACCATAATGATGAGCTTCTGGCGACACTTACACCGCGGGGCTTTTAGAGCCTTCTACGCCAACAAAAGCACAACACATGATGAAGAGAATCTTGGTTGTGGATCTGAATTGTTGAGATGCACACGAAAAAATCGACAACGGATACCAAGGCCGAAAAAGTCTACCTGGCTTATTATTCTAATAGATCTGGTGGTCGTTTGCCTGCTGCTTCAGACTTTCGAGCCCCTCATTATTCTGCTACGCAGAAATGAAGAGCTCTTTGGATCGCGGGTAGCTCTGCATACTACTTACACGCCTGATGCCGAGCATCAAAGAGCCTCTTCGTGGGAGATACCGCGAATCCTACACCAAACCAGTGCCACTGAAACGATACCAGACAAGTGGATTCAGTCGCAGCAGAGTTGCAAAGAAGCCTATTCGGACTTTGATTACAAGGTAGGCATTATCCACATTTTGCGAAAAGTGCCATCAACCAACCCATCGAGGCTGAGTGTCACGCGGAATGAATGAGTGGACTTTACTGATTGATTATCTAGCTATGGACCGACGAGTCGGCGCGAAACTTCCTTTCTATCGAATACCCTTGGTTTGTCGATACCTGGGACAAATACAACTTCCCAATCCAGCGTGCAGATGCTCTACGCTATTTTGTTTTGTATCATTTCGGTGGTGTCTACCTCGACATGGATACCTGGTGCAACCAAACATTACCCATTCACGAGATTGAATCTGACACATCGACACAGTACGCCTTGTTCAAATCAACAGTGCCGACCGGCGTGACCAACGACTTCATGGTAACCACTGCAAGACATCCAGTTTATGCGGCAGCAATTGCCAAGTTACCCATCTTCCATGCGATAACTCGCCCCTGGGCTCAATGGCAGCCATACTGTGCCATTATGATATCCGCCGGGCCCATGTTCCTCACTCTTGTGATCAAGGAATACTTGATTCAACAGCCTTCACTACCCTCGCCGATAGTAGGGGTTATCAATGCAACGCAGTTAGCGCCGTACACTACCGATCTGGAGAGCGGTACTTGGCATAAATCCGATGCACGTGTGCTCATGTGGATTGGACATAGGCCATGGACTTGGTTCTTGATGGGAGCCGTCGGATTAGCGATTGGTCTATCGATCTTTCATCGTGTGCTCATGATGATCTTTGGTGTACTTCGCAGGGTCAAGTCCGACTCCTGCAAACCGAAATTGGCCAAGGCATCATAACAAAAATAGTATAAAAGAATTGAACTTCAACGGGTATTAACTAATTGTAATTATGTACATGATTCATCCATCCAGCGAGAGTGTTGGGTCAAAGAATAGTTTCATATGTATGACAGGACTTGGAGCCACGATCAGAGTCATTGCAGTAGGTTGCTTGCACAACTTTCTCTAATCTCAACAGTGAGGTCCCCTAGAATACCTTCAAAGGGAGGGGTAGACACTGTCACGATGTAATTTTCGTCGTCCACATTGGCCAGATGAAATTCGTTTCCAAATCTTTTCCAAGGCCCGTTCCAATACAGAGAGGCGATCAGACTCGTTTCGTCGCAGTAGAGATCAATCATGCCCTCGATACCGTGGCCTAGAACTGCACTTCCGCAGATCGATACCACAGTAGTTTTACCATGTGGAATTGAGATCTTGTTGACATCTTCAGGGGAAATGATTGTGAAAGAGTCGCCCTTATTGTAGGGCTGGCCACTAGTAGTACTATTAGTCGAAGAACAAGCAAGTCATCATTCAGGTTCACGATCATACCGGACGCAAATGAGATTCCTTAGAGAAATGGGGTTTCGGGCCAGATGGTTTTCTATGGTCAAAGAAATATGTTGTGTGGCGTGATAATTCATCAGATCTGACTGGGAGTAAAATGAAACTTTCTGATAAACTGGGCAGTTCTTCGAACTCATATACTTTTGCGCTGATGCTCTGATAGGCTAAAATCATCAGTCATTCAAGATAAAGAAGCCTCCCATTTCGGCTTTGGGTTTTAGGCCGACGATAAGGTCTCAGCATGGATTGAGATGTCACCCGATTGAATGGATCAGGAGACGCGTAACCCATCACTATTCAAGAACCGCATACATGGATAACCAAACCCTAGTTATCCATGGCAGTGATGTCACCCGAGACACACTTCGGCCGATGCGTGGGGCGATTGTCGGCATCGACGATTCTGCGTCGTAAACTTTGGGTCTTTGCCGTTCGTTATCGTACCCAACATCAGACTATAATGATTTTCAGGTGCAAATCATGGCTAATCCGATTTGGAAGCATATGATCTCTTGTAGTGGGCGAGAAATGTTGGTCACGCTGAGGCTGAAAAATAGGATCCTCGAAATCCGCTTGACCAATCCGCGCCGAAAGACTCGTTTTCTGTTGCTGCCAAGACCTTACCACGCATAAAATATTGAGCAAGCCGTGGAAAACAGATAACGTGGAGATCCCGATAAAGTGCAGTAATTTTATTCGGAATATGGGAATTAAGGGAAGCTCGATTTGATTCGACTCCGTGGAATTCAGCCGTTGTCAGAAGTCTCTTCTTGACTACATTTGGCTTCCTAAAAAGCGTGGTAGGGACAACTATAGTCTGGCCTCTCTGCTATACATAGAAAATCTTCATTCGGTAGCTCAATTACGTGCAGAAAATGAAAGCAGATAACGCAACGGCTAGAGAAAAGCAAGAACCAGTGCCTGCCAGACTGCTCCCAAGCCCCAAAGTTTTGACAGCGGCATTAGTTGACTTGGAGCTTACGGTGCTCGAACCTTGTGCAATAGCACCAGTAGTATTGACACCAGACATGTAGGTCGTGCCACTGCGAGAATAGGTAACACCGAGGTTGAGGTTTGCTGAGGTATCATATGCAAAGGGTGCGGTGTAGTTATAGGTTGGCTCACGGCCTTTATAAGTGTCAATCACAGACTGCAAAATGCCGTTGTTGGCGGAACAAGATTCGTTTGTGGATGGCACCGGCCAAGTTGACCGAAATTTCGAGTAGCCCAATGCCTCCAGTGGGCCAGGGAGAGACTCGTTGAGATATAAATTAGTTGTATCCACCTTCCAGTTAGTGTAGTTGACTTTGTCAGCCACAGGGCCGAATATGTTTGCGCCGCAGTCCCAACGACCGAGCGAGGGAAGCCCCCAGTTTGCTGAGACAGTAGATATAGTAGAGTAATGGGTGTACATAGTGTGGTCGCTGGTGCCAACAAGGTCCTTTGGAATTGCGCCTCCAATGAGGATCGAGAATACACGGTTGGGCACGGTATATGTCTCGGTCTCGTCGAATGTGAGCAGCATCAAGGTGTTGTTCCAAAAGTACTCGTTGTCCATCAGTCCAGATATAAACCCGCGTGCCCATTTTGCACCATAAGCAAGGCTCGTGTCATGGCCATCGTTGGTCATGTTCGGTGTGAAGAAAGCCCACTGGGGTAAGGTTCGAGCCTTTAAGTCATCTTCAAAGCTTGAGAAGCCCTTGATCAATTCCAGCGCAGTGGCATTGTTCGTGATTTTATCAAATAGAACCAGTGGGTTGTGCTTTCGAACGTAGGCCAGCTCCTTTTGCTGGTTTGAGAAGCTCTCGCCCTGGAAGCCAGTGGCTGGAATGTCTTCCTGGTATTCGGCCCAGGAGATACCTTTCGTGTTCAGAAGATCAACCACTGTTGACACATTGCTAGGTATTTGGTGAAAGTTGTCTATATCTTGTCAGTCGCGCTCTTTCTTGGACAATGACTCCGCCAAGCCATATTTTACCATTATCCATTCCGTAACTATCGCCCGAAGCAGCTGCACAATAGTTAGGCTCACTGGTGTGGCCGGTCGCAAAATAGTTGGTCAAAGTGATCCCCATGGTAGCCAACCACTTCAAATCAGAGTTGTTGGCACCATCGGTATAGTCCTGTCATTTTGTAAGCGATTGTACTATATTGTGCAGATTGAATGGAAATCACTATGTTTTCCAACCAGATCTGGTAGAACCGGTCGAAATAAACGCCTGGAACATTGGAAGTCGACGCACGAGGCGCGACATACTTCTTAGATATACCAGAGTCGCGGCTAGCGACGGATGCAGCAGTTGACAGAGCGCCGAATGTTGATAGAATGAGAAGACAGGTCATCATGAAGTGAGAGGTGGAGGGGGAACCAGGAGACATGAAACTGACGGCAAGCCATTGGCACTGCGGCTGCCTTTTCAGCAACATGTTCAACTCCTGACACTGTGCTTGCTGATCTAGGGAGCAAATTCTAAGAATTTCTTGAGAATGAATGTGTGGGGAAGATGCCTGGGGGTCCTCTCTAGCGTCAGGGTCGAAGCTAACCCCGGAAATAGAATACGGATACGGGCTTACAAGGAAAATTACCGGGACGCGTCACCTCAGATACGGTTGTTACCGAACACAAACTAGACCACTGTACTATAAGAGACAAGGGTTCATGAACATGGAATAAAGTGGAAGATAACTGGGACAAACTTCTTGGATATGACGACGATGATTATGTGTGCTATATCCTATCCGTTCTTCTCGGTAGTCGGGGTGTTTTTTAATAACGAGACGAGAGCCTAGAGGTGGGCGACGGTGCCAGCGAATTGGCTGGGCTGCTAATTAAGTTCAAGCTGACTTCAATTCAAAAAGCAAAGATGACGAATAAAATACTGAAATACATCTTTTGAAGAATGGGTTGGCCACCGTCAGGTATTCATTCCAATGACTTCGGTTGGTACTTCTATCTGGACCCTGGCGATGAAGTATTATCGTCATTCTTGTGATTGCGGAAAGGTGCGGGAGACCCTAACTTAATATCGAACTGACCAGACTCGATCATTTAAATATCCCATCGTATCCGTCCTTTCTTTCTTTCAAACGAGTTGTTTTTCGTCAAAATGATCAAACCTGCTATCTCTGCCAAAATCCTGCTCTTCTTAGCAGCACCTGTCTTTGCCAGTATTAATTATCCGCCCATTCCGAAGGACTTGACAACACCTTTTCAGGTACGCTTGGCGGTTAATGGACACTATGGTAAGAAGTAGCAGCTATTCCATGAACATGGCTTGGAACCAGGCCACTAATAATACCTGTCATCCAGCCGTCGCCGTTGGATGGAATACATATGCATCATTAAACGAGAGCTGCGTGGCGTATGGAACCTCACCAAACAACTTGAGCTCTATCTCATGCTCGTCCTCTTCGGTGACCTACAGCACCTCCCGCACATGGTCTAACGCAGTAGAGTTGACCGGCTTAGACCCAGCCAAGCTGTACTATTACAAGATCGCCTCGGCGAACTCGAGTGTGGAATCTTTCCTCAGCCCTCGCATTCCTGGAGATATGACCCCTTTCAATATGAATGTCATATCAGACTTGGGGATTTACGGAAAAGAAGGATTCACAATTTCGCAAAGAGACTCCATTCTCTACGTCCAGCCTGAACTGGACCACACCACTATTGGCCGTCTTGCTAAAACAACAGAGGATTACGAAGTCATCATCCATCCCGGTGACTTTGCATACGCCGATGATTGGTACCTCAAGCTGCCAAATGAGAAAGAGGGTCAAAAGGCCTATCAGTCGATTTTAGAAGGGTTTTACGAGCAACTTTCACCAATTACTAGGCATAAACTCTATATGGTCGGCCCGGGTAATCATGATGCGGACTGCAGTGAAGTTCGGCGGCTCCTCAAACAGTGCCCCGAGGGCCAGGAGAACTTTACCGATTTCAAGCACCACTTTGGAAAAACCATGCCGCAACCATTCACTTCGACTTCATCCGACAAGTCCGCTCACTCCCAGTCCGACAAAGCACGCAGCCTCGCCAAGCCACCTTTTTGGTATTCTTTTGAATACGGAATGGCGCACGTTGTGATGTTTAACACGGAAACTGATTTCCCTGATGCACCGGACGTCAAGCTGGAAAGTGGGCCATTTGGCAAACCGGGCGAACAGCTAGAATTTCTGGAGGCCGATTTGTCCAGCGTGGACCGAAGGGTAACCCCATGGCTCATTGTGGCTGGCCATCGTCCGTGGTACAGTACTGACACTGTGCATCGCTGTGAATCGTGTCAAGACGCCTTCGAAAAGCTGTTCTATAAGTTCGGTGTCGATCTAGCCATATTTGGACATGTGCACAACTCGCAGAGATTGCTGCCGATTTTCAATGGGGTTGCCGATCAAGAAGGCATGCACAACCCTAAAGCCCCTATGTATATCATTTGCGGTGGTGCGGGTAACGTTGAGGGTCTGATTCATATTCATCATAAGCCCCACTATACCAAATTTGCTTACGATAAGGAGTACAGCTACAGCACGGTGAAGTTCTTGGATGACAAGCACCTCCAAGTTGAGTTCATTCGCTCCTCAGACGGTCACGTTTTAGACTCCAGCACCTTATACAAAAATCATTCCAATCCTTTCGTCACTCAGTGAGTTGGGCTGCGGTACTGATCTAGTATGTTCCCATGCATCACAATTTCTATGTATTTCCCTGCGGCACTATTTTGAAATGTACAGATTTGAGCTTTCAAGATGAATTCTCTTTTTCTTCCTCAACGCGGTTTGAGGGCCTAATTCAATATATGTCAACAGTCTTTCAAAAGCGGTATGATGTATGTTTTCACAACTTTCGTGGTGTTTGTATGTCATGCAGGGTAGGAGAAGTAAGAGTCATTGAGGATTCTTACCTGAAACGACGATCTTTCCTCACCTTGCTAAATCAAAGATCAAATCGAGCTCTCCACTTTCATTTCTAGGACAACAATCATGTCTTTGCAGATGACTGAATCAGCTCGATAAATCATTGAGCTATATAGAAAAACTCTAAGCTTACTTTATTCTAGGAATAGAAGCTGACTTGAGGCTGAATGTTCATATCACGCCAATGCAAACAAAAGCCGACTATCCCGATCCAGTAATATCCCCCGTGCCAAGCCTAAGTGGCAAGCAAACATGAGAAGAAACGCAAGAACAATTTAATATGAAAGGAGAATTGAATCAAATGCTTGGTTGCCGGCTTTGCTTGGAACTATTTTTAACTTGGCGGAAGTCAATGCTATACTCACTCTTTCAGGGGCGAGTGTAAGCCGTTGCACGTATTCTCGGCACCACTAGAACCGACTAACTTGAGAGAGTAAGACACATGCTAACTCAGCATGCTAGATTATCCACCCCGCTGTGTAGAACCGGGCACAGCTGCTTGCTGCGATCTCGATAAAGTCGATGCGCCCACATTGTCAAGTTGCGCTTGTCGGGGATTGTTCCAGCGGCGATGATTCTTTACACATCCGGCGGAAAAGGTTCCATGCGTTATGTTTTCATCCATGGGAACCATGAAATCGGTCCTTTCTCGGATCAAGTGACTGTGGATGCCAATATTGTGATTTTCAATGGGCAAGGCAACATGTACGTCGTAAATGATTCTTTCCACGGGTAGCATTGACAAAGTAGTGTATATGGCAACAACACCGACAATTTCTTCTCAAAATATTCTTTCCGCAATGGAGTATGCACTAAGTTGGATGGGCAGCCAAATAAGTTTGTTCCTGCTCAAAATTTCACTGAACGACTTATGAAAAATGTTTCCATTCCCACCCTTATCATGGGGGAAGTTCCGGTGTGAGTCAATTTGCTGCGACTTGACGGTGGAAGATCGGCTAACATGGTCTGCTCCTTCTATAGTGATCAAATTGGTCTTTCCTCGAAACCTCACGATGAATTTCTTTATCTGTATGATTTGTTCCGTTCTTTAATTTCCCCTCCACTGATTGTCTCTCAGAGCAGTACTGGTATATGGCCGGGATGACCGTGCACCTTGCAGTCTCGATGACAGAATCTACCTTGCCAAAACAATGCGAAGCTTTGTGCCGTACTTTGTTCAGTCAATGTCTATCAGAAGTGACAGTTATCTTCCAGGCGATGCACAGAATTTGTGCAAAGAAATCACTTACTATCTGAAGCTGAAAGCGAACGAAGAGGACTTGAATGATTTTATCGAAGTATACCGGAGCCATTATTTCCGCAATGCTTCAGTGCCGAAGGAGGCTATTCTTGAATCATGCTTGCTTCACATTCTCAAGATGCCTTTCGACCTCAATTCTTCTATTATACATGGTCTTATAAAGCAATAACAATTCTGCCGGTTTCTTTGAATGGCTGCCTAGGCACCGCGTACATATTTTACACGAATTATATTGTCGCATCAAAATGGGCCATCTAATTCAAAGCCGGTCAGAAATTTCTAGACAACCTTTTGTTTCAAGTTCATCACATTTTGGAAATGTCAGGTGTGTTGCGCATCTAATGACTTGAACGTGGTAATGAAAAAAGCATATCTCAAATTCAAGATTCTTCTTCATCTCCCCCTTCTAAATCTATATTTTCTAAATATTGCACAATCTATTGCAAACAAAATGACTTATAAAACAAATGGACTCATTCCCTCAATATTCCAAGAGCACCGTTTGTTCTTCCGTTCAACCAAGACTTATTCAGATGCCTTGAAACCCATTTCAGTCCAGTTGGCATTCACCTTGGACTTGATTGCCTCGGGGTAGGAGTTCTTGAAGTCAGCTGCCTCCCAATCGGCACCAGTGGTATATTCAGTGGGCATCAGCGCGTCGGAGACAACCTTGCCACCCTGGACTGGGGATCCGTTTCCATGAGACATGTATGGGATGAGAGGGAAGCCGCGGACGTCGTCAAAGAAATACTCATCGTAGCTAGGGCGGCATCTTGTGCAGAATGCCCAAATCACGTCCTTGAAGTCGTAGACATCAATATCCTCGCCAACTAGAACAAGGCGATGGATGGTATATCCGGCTTTGTGATTGAAAACCAAATCACCAACCTTCCGGCAGAATTCTTCAGAGGTAGTCTTCATCTCACGGAGCTTCGCAGTATCTATTTGAAGCGCTACCCAGGTGACTTGAGACTCGAAGGGAGACATAGCCTCCTTAACTGGGAGACCGGCATCCTTGCAGAGCTGGTGGATTTCAGCTGCAGCGAGAGGACCAATCATAGTGTGCTAAGAATAGTGTCAGCCAGATGTTGATATGTATAAATATCTTCGTTGAAGGACAGAAGCTTACTGTCTCATCCGTGAGGCGACCGCAGTTTGAGACTGGCAAAATGGCATTGTTGCGGTAGGTAATCTTGTTGACCTTGTAAAGAGGGCAGGAATGAGTATCGCCGGGGAACACGTATCTAAAAGGTTTTAGTCAAGAGTTTTCATCAAGAGTGTTCGCAATAGGAATAGGGCTCAAGCTTACCCGTGCATCTCTCCGAATGGTCCCTCGGGTCCGGTCTCAGTGATTGACATAGTTCCTTCTAGGACAATTTCGGCATTGGCGGGAACGTAAAGATCGTTAGTCTCACATTTGACCACGTCGATAGCATGGCCCGTCATAGCTCCGATATAACCGGCCTCAGTGCATCCATCGGGAAGAGGCATACTAGAGGCCATGATAGCGGCAGGAGGAACTCCAAAGGCAAGAGCCCAGGGAACGTCCTTGCCGATAGCCTTCCACTTCTGCTGCATCTGCCACACATGCTGGGGAGGAATAACGAGACCAGCCAGGTGGTCCTTGTCGTAGACCATGGCTCGGGCAATAGACCAGTTGGTCCAGCTGTTATCAGGAGATGAGATTACATGCATGCCGTAGGTCTGAATATATTTTCCTCCGTCGGATTGGTGGAGGAGGGGAACAGGAAGCTTTGTCAAGTCAAATTCTCCAGCGTTCAAAACGTTCTCCTTGCAAGGACCGGACTCGACAATTCGGGGGGAATAGGTGTCGAGTTCTTTGCTGAAAGCATCTTGTCTAAGATCTCTTTCATTCCAGCGGTGGGCGGCAGTGCGAGGTGGCGTGCGAGTCTTCCATATCTAGACTTAGGATCGGATCGAAGAGAGTTAGGAGCTCCCAAAATGCGGAAAAGGCCGTCGTGGGCACCGGTCAGGTTGTTGAACAGAGGCGCCTTGTCATCGGTCTCGCAAACCTTGCGAATGATGGCACCAGCCTCGAGATTGGGATCAATCTCTCGGTCGATCTCCACCAAGTCATTATCCGCTCTGAGGGCTTCGACATAGGAACGGAAATTCATGTGAGGAAGATCCTGGACAGCAGTCTCGCTGTTGATATGGTGGGTTCCATGGTGAGGAGACATGATTGAAAGTGTAGGATGAGCGATCGATACGATGTTCTGGTAGTTAAAAATCAAATGCTGGACCAAGTCACCCTTTTATATTACCAGAGCACAAAGTTGATTAAAACCCTAACCGCTGGTTGTGGAGTCATGATTGTCTATTCGTGGCGTGAACAATATCGATCGGAGTATAGATGCCGGGAGATCCAAGCCCTTCGGGGGCTCGGAATCCTCGGATGTTCGGACTTCTCGGATTGCTCGGACTGTCTCGGGTGGGAAATGAGTTTGGGTGTTTGTTTCATAGAGCAGCTCCCGTTTGGATGCAATACTTTGTTATGTTTGTAATGGGACTTCATGTTATGCCCAGTAATATTCTGATGATCAAAATCAAATAAAGAGTATCTATGTGTTGAGGAATATGGTGAATCGTTGACTTCCCGTCAATAATAAGGCAGGAAGATCTGTGCGGTATTCTTTAATGAATGTACCGAAAAGCTCGATCTGGAGTGTGTCAATTGAAGCATCTCGGAGAAAACGATAAGCCTGTTCGACAGAATGCTGCACAATTCTAAACTCGACTCACCTTCGATGCCAGTGATAATTCGCAACTATTCATTAGATATGACAGATGTAGAAGCATTGTTCTCTATGAGCCGTTGAACTTCCTGCTAGAGATGTTTACTGATGCCCTGACAAGATTTGCTCCTGCTGTAGATCCAATCTCCGCATCATCCAGTTCTCAACCCAAGGTAGCACTCCAAGCACCAAACGCCTCTCATCACGGCATCGGTGCCAGAAATTACTAATTCTGATGCGAATAGATTTAAGAGCAAACGAAGATGGTGATATCCCTGAGTCTTAGAGGGAATAAATCCCAAGATCAAAAAGGATTTGCAAAGAAGTCTGAAAGGGCCGAGCATCAAAGAACGCAGAATTGTGGCTTTCAATCCCATCAGATCTACAGCAGCGCACTGCCGCATTGTATGGTGTACTGTACTGCCTTTCCAAATTGCAGCTTCATGCAAATACACCCAGATTGATCGTCTCTCTTCTTAATTTTGTTCTCGCTGTTTATCCTTCGCTCCCTCGTACTTTACCCGAGTTTCTCTCTGTCTTAATTTTGGGGCTCCATGCCCGCTTAGCCGTACTGAGGCTTTAGGCTGGTAGTTTGGTGGTCAGATGGGTGATTACTAGAGTAGTATGGAGTATCTCTCAGGTTAGGGGCTTCCTCTAGACGATGTGGCATTCACCAACTCGCTCAATATCTTTCTTTTCTCTTTGAAAGGCCCACTGCTTTTCATTGCCTTTTTCTTTGATTTACCCAGAGTTGAGTATATCCGGTGATTGTACCGGGGTTGATCGAGCTTATCGGGTATTGAACTGAACAACCCCTGACTTGTGCGCCTCTCTTGCAAGATACAATGACTATTCCAAAGATTTGGAGATAGACCTTTTTCATGTCTCCGGCATGCACTGGCTCCAAATAGCATCACGATGGGGTGTTCCTGAGGCCGCCCGCGTGGAGTTTTTGATCAGCCCAGACGGCTCAGTGAGCTGGATTGGGATTGAGATCGAGCCCGCGATGTTGGAAAAGAAAGAAAAGATATGGTGGAAACATATATCATAGCTATAATATTTGATAAATAGCCCTTGAAACATCGCTAAATCGGTGCTAATGTTACTTCAAAACTCATACGTTTTTAAATTGATTTATCAATCAATCAATGTTCAACTAACCTTTTATAGTCTAAATAGTATCGTAATGGCTATACAGGGGCATCATCCAGTTGAAGCAAGAATTTGCTCGTACGTCTGATTAAAATAAAAGAGAAAATGAGCTGGCTCCCGTGGCGAGAGAAGGGTGTTATCTCGATATATAAACCAAATCATGTACCCAAAACAAAAGAAAACCCTGGTGGCGGAGGCAACCAGGTATGAAAAGAAAACGCGCAGAGCACCATCCGCCACTCCACATTGTAAGCTTCTCTCCCCCAGAGCTCCTGCATTAACATCAGGCTCTGTTCACTATTCCCGTTTTTAGCCTCAATGGCTGATCAACGTTTTTCCTTCCCTAATGGCGCAAGACAAATGAAGGACCATATATTCGAGTAGCAAATTAAGGGCCATGATCTCTCCACCCTCAGCCGTGTCAGAAAGCAGTAGTGAGTACGCAGCGTCTTCAGGGCTCTGCTCCATGGCCTCAAGTTCGAGGTCTTCTGGTTCATCATCGACGTCAAACTCAGAATGTTGAAACTGAGTAAGGAGGCCGTTTCTATGCAAGAATTGGCAACGTAGCAGGATGCCAGCGGGTCAAAAACGATCAAATCGTGGTCAGTTGCTTTAACTACAGCTCCGAGGAGCTAGGTAGAAGGTCGTTTGCGCACACGCAACTCCCGGAAGAACTCCAAATACAGACCGGTTTGCCTTGGCACAAGGAACAGGAAAGGCGACGCGTGCTCCGAGTAAGAGACATGTTCTTCCTCGCACCTACGTACAGACGCACGTAGAGCTGGGGCAGTGTGTGTAGTTGGTCAGCGGCGCTTCCCGAGGCGGCAAGGTTAACCCCGGGGGCCTTCAACATTATTACAAACAATGAAAGGAAACGCTGAGCAAATAGTAGTCTGAAGAGGCTTTCGTTCCACCAGCTTTTTGGTCTTGGTGTCAAAAGTATCCTCCCCCGTAACAACTTCAAACCTCATCTGATGTTGGACAACAATTGCTTTTTTTGCTTCCATATGAAAGCCCTGGTCAGATGGGCTATATGGTGGAGGGCTCACATCGTCCGCAGTATCAATTTCATAACAACCCAGGTCAACGTCATCGATCACAGCTGCAACTTTAGGACAATTAAACAGAATTTTGATGGGGACAATCCAGTTGTTTTCTTCGTCTTGTGAGATGATATCCTCTTTCTTGACGTAGGGATTCCGGTCAGACCCCCAATACCCTTTCACAGTTCCCTCGCACAGCTTTCTTGTCATATGACCCTTACACAGAGTGTATTTTTGGGTTGAGCCATCTGGGGGCTGGCTCATCACCTTGACTACTTCCTCCGCATACCATCTCAGTTCCCGTATCACGAGATGCTTATTTTCTGTAGGTCGTCGACTCGGAGATGCTTGCCAGCGAGGGAAGATAGTAGCCGTAAAAGAAAAGGATGATTCGGATATTAAATGTGATTGTTGTATGAGACTTATTCTCTTTATCAATTTTGAGAGAGGAAATTGTAATGCCGCTCGGATCAGGTGGGTATTTTCGGAGGTCACTTGGCGGCAGATTGTAACACATTGACTCTTTGTGACAGACTCGTGACGATCAGCCGTAAATGAGGCAATTATCTGATATGTAACAGCTCCCAATGGTGTCTCGGTGGTTGTGGGTATAGTTGCTGGAACGTCCAACGAAAAAGAGTATTGGCAAAGGGACCGCTCTGGATGATCCTCAATCTTTTCCAATTTGCAAATCATTGACGATATTTCGACAGTGTGTTCCTCTCTAGTCAGGTTTTCGGGAGGTTTCACTATCGGTCTGAAAAAGGAAGGGCAAAAAAGGCGCGATTTTTCAATCGAAAACCGTCGACTGGCCTTCGTGCAGCAGTTCTTGTCGGAGGTAGTTTTCACGGTTTGAATGAGGCGAGCATAGACCGTTTGGGTCCGTGTCAATAATGAATCTGAGTCTGCCGATATCGTAACCTGGCCTGAAAGTGTCGCGACATTGCCCTTTTCGTCCCCTCGAGTCTTGATATTATGCGTAGAAGGAGCAACCAGCTCCAGCGTGAAGAGATCCATTCATGCAAATGGAAGAGGGGGGAATGAGATTCTGTGCGGCCAGCTCATGGCCTGAGTGTAGTATTATAAGGGTTACGTGGGCTTAGAAATCCTCCTTCGTCATGCCTACATGAACTTATCCCATTCACTACATTGTTTGCGATGGGCGATCCATACCCAATGAGGAAGCCAAGAGGTGCTGTTAGAGTTCTAAGTGGGTCCGCTAGACCCTTTGGGGACAGAAGCTGCAGTTTGTTCATTGAGGGTGATGCATGGGTTCAGTTAAGTATTGACGCTACACGTTGGTCGAGTTCAATCTGAAGTCGATGCAACAGTAAATTCTCGGTTTGTGACGTTCAGGTTGTGCATCACAATATCACAGCATTGTCCCTTGATCCCTGTGGCATGCGATGAACCTCAGTGAAAATATTGTATGTATCATCAGTTCATACACATCTGACCATTGCTGGCCCTTGTGATACTGTACTCCCCATCTTACTTGCAGAATCAGTCCTGATTGTGTGCGATTCGAAGGTAGTGAAACAACTGGCTGGAGCAGGAAGCTATACCGGTGACTGTGACTTTGACTTTTGGATCCAATATTGCATTCGTCTGACGACACACGTCTCCAAGTGAGAAACCAACCGGTTTTGGCTGCAGTAGCTGGATTTCCAGTTGCTTCACTCAGAAGAGACCGTTGATCTATAAACCGCCTTTCCGCTCGGGGTGGAGCGGCTTAGTCCGCCGTACTCCGCCACATGTCAAAATCTCAATCAAACAACCTGATCAGGTTTAGCGGCTCGCCAACTTCCGAGTATCAAATCGCAAAGACTTTCATTGGCACCTGGTCTTGCTGTACCTGAACCCACTCCGACTTTGTTATCGCTGCTTTGCTTAGCTTAATGGACAAATGTCCGAGCGTTCGACGAAACAACTGCCCCCAAAAGGTACCAATCCTCCTCTCAGTCCCGGCACGCTTCTAACTTTACAGATTGCCCAACGTGCCAAAGGCGACGAATCAAGTGTGACCGGGGGCTTCCTGGGTGTTACAAATGCAGTAAACGTAATTTCGAATGTCCAGGGTATGGGCTGAAGCTCAAATGGATCGAAGGGGTCGCCAGTCGTGGGAATCTGCGGGGCAGATCGATTCCTTCTGCAAACACACCTAACGCTGCATCAAAACCCTCACATCATTGGCCACAATTAAGTACAAGCCAAAATGACCCGAATTCCCAAAACATCTCAATCGCCAATTGGTATACCTCATCAACTCCATGGCCTGCCTCGCCCCCTCACTTCCCACCCTCGCCTCTGTCGGAACGTTGCCTAGCACAGCCTCGCCCACTTCACGTGTCGCGGCTGATTTCTTGGTTCAATGAACGGGTTGCGCCTCGACTTGCGTGGGTGCCTCACCAAAATGCATGGCAACATATGATTTTACCTATGGCTGAAAGTTCCGAGACCGTTCTCTCTTCGATTCTCGCTATTGCTGCTCACGATCTGGCATCGGAGTACCAGCCGAACGATGTCGGGTTTCAAGCATACCACCAGATGTCGAGAACGTACCAAAATAAATCTCTCGCTCTCCTAGCGAAGGAGTTGAACTCTCTTTCCGCTTCGTCCTCCTTCGGGTCGGATGTGAGCACATCATCTGCCTTCACTCTTGCATCCGTGATCATTCTTTGCAACAATGAATTCATGCAACCGCAGGGAGCTGGATGGCGGGTCCATCTCGCAGCTGCAAGGGAGATCATCATGGCAGCAAAAAGCAGATCACACACTTACAAACCATTGGCCAGCATTGAAGAGTTCCTCATGATTGAATTCTACGAAGCCTCTGTTTGGGCCAATCTGACGACTTTCGATGACTCCAACGAAGACGTCAAGCCTTTTCCCCATAGCAACGAGACTGCAGTCTTTACCGATTTTGTCCGTGTTATCGATGAAATCACTCAAATGGAGCGCCATAAGTTTCGGTCCCAATCACAAGGCCTACCTCATCATTCCGGACCAACGCCGGCTATCCTCATGCAAATCAATTCTGCTCGAGATAGCATGCTTCACCTTGCTGATACTATCAACTTTCACGTCGAGGAAGATCGAAAAACCTTCAAGTTGGTGGTATTAATGTACTACCACGCAACTCTCATCTACAGCTGTCAAGCCCTGGGAGAATTGCCTACCCGAGACTTCGATGCCCACAGTTCTCGCGACGAGATTCTCCAATATTTGCAATCCCTTTCCGGCATGCGGATTGACCTCTTTGCTCAAGATCTTGTTTGGCCACTATTTATGGCAGGAACCGAAATCCGAAGCAACCCAGACGCGCACAACGTCATTCGCGCTGGTTTTCATTCGGTGATGCAGTTCAGTCGCACTTTGGACAGAGCGCGTGTCTTGTCATTCCTGGAGTCTTGGTGGCAAAGCCCTGTTACTTACGTGTCTTGGATCGATCTGGCGCGGAAGCAATATCGTGCTTCACATTGTGATTTTCTCGTGGTTTGATAACTCCATGCAACCTATTAACAATATAATATTATACTAGAGATAGTGATTGGCCTTGGTGGATACTCTATCTAACATCTATGACAGTTCATCTAGAAATCGCGGTCCTGTACGTATGTTTGCATAGTTATGCCAAGGTTTTGGACATTTGCTATACAAAGACTTTAAACGCTATTGCACCCAAGTAGGAACTTATCAGTCCCATCTTCTCGAGAAGAGCATTGAATTCAGCATTTTATAAGTTTCTATCCGAATCAAAGTGTGAGAAGGCAGCCTGTCACCGAGACCAAGTACGACATGTGGATCAAAAGGATGTTCGATAGCAAGACTTGTCTGAATCTTTGGTCGTTCTTCGAAGATATCGTTGCTTCGCTGAGGAATTTGCCGTGCAACGTCTTTTGAATCCAGAAAGACCCTCGGATGGCCGAGTACATCGAGTCCTCCCTAAGGGGTGAGATTTAAGTGCCGAACAGAGCCTCACCGGCCCACACGTCATGAATCAAAAGCTTAAGTCCACGTCGGCAGAGTGGAAGTTTTACTGAAAACATATCTAGAAATAATGAATAACTTGAATAAACGTGATCAAGTCAGCCTGAAACACCCTAGCTATGACGTTGTTGAAGACAACACTTTAAGAGCAGCAAAAATGGCCACCACAATGCAAAGAAATGAACCACCGTTCTATCCACGGATATATCTCAACTTTTGGGGGTTTCTCGCTGGTATTCACATAAGAATACAGTGTTCCACGTCCATTCCGACATCCACACACGCACGCCCAACAAATAAGTTCGTTTTTCTCGTCTATGAACCCAGGATCATGGATTTTTTGGTTTCCGTCAGTGCATTTTGGTCGGGGTGTTTGTTGATCGACTCTGAAAATATTGTTGAAATTCTCGAGTTGCCAGTAAAAATATCTTTTGTGTAAATTTTGACGGTCAAGATCTTGGGAGGGTGGGAATCCTGACAGAATCTGGCAGGAGGCGCACGTATGTTGATGACCGGCGTAGTTCCCTGGGGTGAAACCAATCTGGATAGCGCTCGAGTGGGAAGGGCTTTACGCCTCTTGGGCCCAGCGGGCTTCGCGCAGGGGCATTTCCTCGCCGGCCTGCTTGCGGCTTCCGTCGATCTCGCGCTTCCATGCAAAGTACTCGCCAAGGCGGGTCTCGGCGTAGCCGGCGTAGTCAAAGTCAATCTGGGAAATTTGAGCTTGAATGAGAGCCCACACACCCCTATTGATAGGCATTAGTATTGGTTATTATCTAGGTTGTTCTCGTCGTCTTGTCCAAACTCACCAGTAGAGACCAGGGATACCACGGAACCGGTCAACGTCCTCGTACAACCGATCAACAATCTCAGCCTGTGCGGAAGCGTCGATACCACGCTGCTGACAGTAACTCTTGGTATACTCGGTAAGGAACTGACGACGCACTGATTTGGTGGGCATCATGTTGTAGTCGCAGTCATAACCACCCCACTCAGCAAGGTGGTTGGAGATATCAAAGGCAGCAGGAGCAGGAACCGCGTATTCGTAGTCAATAAAGTTAACCGGTGCGATACCGTCTTCGGGGATGGGCGCACTGTTCTCACTAGGAAGAACAATAACGTTGGCGCAAAGTAGATCGCAGTGCGAGAAAACAAGCTGGAGATCTCAAATATTAGCCATAATCCACACAGCCGCAACCACAATTACAATTGCAATCGCAATTGTCGTCACACATCCAAGGAGCGAGTTCACATACCCCGTCTTCACCAATTCCCTTGCCATCATCTAGGACTTCAACGACCCACTGCAACTCCTTCTGCAGGCTTAATCGGCGCGCAGCCTGCTCAGGGGTGGTAACTGGCAGAGCCAGCACCCACTTCTGCAAAACAGCCCACATAGATGGACCACCACGACGGGGTTGGATTACAGTGATTTCATCATCCGACTGCGCGATTTCCGCATCAATGTCCTTAACTGAGGCCGCGCCGCTACTAGGGAGGACAGCGTGCCACTGCGCCAGACGGCGAGCAATGCCGCGCCAAATAGGTGGGGAGGCTATATCCAGGTGGCCGCAGGGCTTGCCGCGGATGAAGCGGTACAGCAGACCGTTCTTGAATCGGGCGAGGAGGGGTGGGGCCAGACCGCGACTGGCTAAGAGGGCGTGCGACTTGGTTTCTCCTAAGGAATGAATTCTACTTCAGCAAATGTCGCAATGGGCAATGTGTGTGGATGAGGCGCAATGGGGCTTGTTTTGGAGGGAGTTGGACTGTGGTGGTCCGGCGGGTTGGGGGTTTTTTTGCTCGTACTTTCGCGGTCTATGAGGATCTCTGTTCCGTTTCCGTATGCCCTCATCAGTACTGCCTCATTGTCTATTTGTTCCTCTGTCAGGCCTGCTTTGTTGTTGATGATTTTGAGGAGCTGGGAATGTTAGTTTGGTTGTTCGATTTTTTTTTTGGAGGTTCAGGTTTGGTCTGCTGGACGTGACACGGGGGGGAAACGCACAGTATTCGTAATGCCGTCGGTGAAGCGCACGAATTGGATGTTGTTGCCAGGTCCTTCCCAGTCGGGGTTGAGGGTCAGGATCAAGCGCAGGGCTGAAGCCTGGGAGTCGGCATGGCTGTAGGAGAGGGGAATGTAGCGGAAATCCGGCGCGAGATCTGTCTGAGTCTCTGTCGAGCCCATGATGGCGAAGCGGAGAGCGGGGTGGGAAAGGGGTAGAAAATGGGGTGGAATTTCAGGATACTGAGAGGTGTGAAGTGTTCAATCTGCGAACAGCGTTGTGGCGCCTTGAAAATCAGTGACACTTTTGCTGTGGGTAAGGGTGCAACAATTGCAGGACCAAAGGGGTTGGAGAGTAGGAGGTAGCGTGGATTATGTATTAGAGTATTAATAAAAAGTCAGGGGTGATATGAAAGAACGCTATGTCGATGGCGGGGAGGTTAATGAGACACGGAGGGGAGGTCTCGTGCTCCCGACCCATGATTGGAAGATGACCGCCTACTGGGGCCTTGGGGCCTAAGGTACTTCATTCTTGCTGGGTAAATGTACTGCCTGGCTGCAATATTGAGTTTGGAATACTTGGTGGTGGCGAAAAAAATACCATTTCCAACTCAGTACACATCTATCTAACTATAATCCCTGACCCCTCGACGTCAGCCTGCACCTGTAGAGCCCTATCAATGTTTGTTGACCAGGTACCAAATCCTCTGTCACATGAAAGATGGCGGCGCACGTGCAGGTAGTCAGCCCTATGCCCTGGTTCCCCCTTTTGGTCAGGCCCACAGTATTTGTCACAGAATCGGAAAAACGTTTCTGCTACCCGACACCGAGACCCAATCAGCACTAGCGCCAAATGATCCGAACTGCATAAATAGGACCTGCTCGCCCGCGCCATTTGTCTTTTTTCTTTTCTCTCCATCATCAGTAGTGGTTTACTATATCTATAGTAAATTACAACGGGGCTCCATAAATATGGCTTGCTGAGGGTTATCCAATGGTTTCGGCCAACGTGGGTTTTCTTCCGTTCCCGGCCCTGGAGAGTAAAGGCGTCTCTCTTTTTCCCAATCACTTTATGGCTATGCTAGGGTTTCCTTCGGGAATGCTCCATGGGTTTTAGCTGTGGAGAGGACGTTACATATCTTTTTCGACTTGAAATTCTGTCTTGGACAGGTAGTAGTTGGCAATTGAAGCTACCTCGGTAGCACGGAGTAGACGGTGCATGCTCTTGCGTGTTACTTCCTAGCTTAAGTCTTGTGGCTGATAAGCTCTGAATGCCGTCTGGCGCAGAATCATCCGTATTGGTTTCTTGCAACGATCTCCACGGTTCGTCCACAGAGCCTCATAAGCTCTTGAACTTTTGGATGGTCTTGTGTATGTTCCGCTACAGTTCATAACGTGCTAGCTACATACTACGGCCTACGGCCTACACGTACACGGTTAAGGACCTCGTTGTCATCACCATCAATCCGTTTAGTTTTGATCATAAAATGGCGTCTCATGCGAGTTCACTCATGCCCGACCAGCATTTCCAATCTGGATACGCTGCCCGGTCCACTTGTCATCACTGCGCAACACAGGCCAGCTAGTACCATCAGCCTTGACCAAGGTCAACTCCAACTTAGTGCCCAACACGCGGAAGCTCGACTGCTCGGGGTCAATGGCCGCAAAGAGGCTGTATGTATCCTGGAAGCGCTTGTTGTCGGTGGTAGGAAGGTCGAAGACAATCGAATCGGATGAAAAATCGACACGGGCACGCTCCTTGTCAATCTTCTTGAAGTAGAGGGAAACGTTGACAGCTGCGGGGGTCTGATAGAAATCGTTCCTGTAGATGGAGACATCGCGTCAGTTTTATGCTGGCCGGATAAGTGAAGCCATCATCATATGGCCTAGTCGGTTGGTCTGTATGGATGTACGCACCTAACATTTTCCACCTTCTCTTCGCCAGGGCCCTTGGCCTTGCCCACGAACATGTGTCTTGTCTTCTCTGTGCAGCCGGGGATCCTCAGGAACTCGTCGAACTCGAGAACGCGGCGCTTGCAACAGGACCAACCCTTGCTGCCCTCATGGAAGACCGGCTGGCCGGGATGATGGGTGCACTTCTCTTCATCGCGCGCAGTCGAGCCAGTGTAGGTGGCACCACAGCCTCTGCGACGACATGTCGCGTTAGCCGGGATCTCAACATCAGGATCATCCGACTCAGGTTCTTCGATGACCGGCTTAGCGGGGGGCGACGCGGGGACGGTAGCGGGGACAACAATGGGCGGACGCTCGTTCTTTTTCTCGACAGCGACGACGGGAGGGGGAGTGGCAGCTTCCTCAGGCTTGGGCTCGGGCGCCGGGGTATCGTCGACGGTGGAATGCTTGCCGGTTGTGCAAGGTGGGATGGCGAGGAACTCCTCAAAGGTGAGGACGCGGGGCTTGCAGCATTTCCAGCCTAAGGAATTAGCAAATGTCAGGTGGCGCGTAAGGGTGCAGGATCGCAGAGTGCGCAGGTGTAATGACCCGTAATGAGCATCTCAAATGAAGCGAGGGGCACCGATCTAAAGCTTCTCCAAGGTACTTAACTTACCTTTCTGCCCCTCGTGGAACACCGGGGGTCCAGGATGGTACACGCACTCCTCCTCGGGGTCGGAGAAGGTCTTCCCACACGCTTTGTGAACACACTTGCCAGCCATGATGTATGAGCGAAGAATGTCAAAGACAGAGATTGTGGTGATGGCGCAGGTTGCCTAACGGGGTTTAGCGGGGAAGCTCGAATGTTCCATCGCGGAGAACGCCTGACCGCCGTCGCGACACGCCTCGCTTTCGACTGCTTTGTGCTTTTGTCTCGTTTTCTCTCGCTTGTCGCTTGTCGCTTGTGGCTCGGAGCTTTGCTTCCATTATGTTTCCTACACGCTCCCTCCTTGGCTCGGCTCGCCTGACGTTGTTCACCCGCGCAGGCTGTGGCCTATGCGACACCGCCAAAAACACCGTTCTTCAGCTTCAGAAACGTCGATCCTTCGAGTACGTCGAGCAGGATATCATGGAACCGGCAAATAAGCAATGGAAAGATGTATACGAGTTCGATGTGCCCGTGCTCCATGTCCAGTCTGTGAACAATGGCTTACCCAAGGCGGCTGCCCTGTCGGACGCTAAGAAACTATTTCATCGGTGGACCGAGCAAGAGGTCGAGCGGTCTGTTGAGGAGGTGGAGAAGCAGGAGTCCTGATTGCAGTGGTGCAGCCATCATGACATTGAAAATTGCATCGCATCGTCATTTTGCCATCAACATCGCTGGGAAGTGCGTAGCCGGAATAGTCGCACCTTGCTCGAATTCTCTGATGTACCATTTCTGCTTATGGCTCCTGGTGAGCCCATGTACTATTATAATATAGATATATCTTTGTTGAACATCAACTCTCTCGATGTTATGCATATATCCCTACAAAGCTAGGTCGAATCTAGGTACGCCCTGATGGCTCCGTTGAGAACATAGAGCTTTTTCAATCATCTTTTCTGCCTTGACCAAAAATCTAAATGGAGTTCAAATTGTCTCGCTCATTGGCTCATAGAGTTTTATTCAACTTTCCATCAAGAATGACTCTGTTAGATATGTGACATCAATTATCTCTAACATCTTGGTGTAACTATATATCCAACTCATTAGGATGTGTATTTGGCAAAATTCCTAAGTTAATTTTTTTTTGGTGCGGGTATCATTTGAGTCTGGGAGAGACATAATCAATAAATGTAAGAAGATATTAATCAATGCAAAAAGAGAGACTAAAGAGACTGATCAACTGTACAGACCCAAGGCGTGTACCTCAGGTATCACGGATGAAGACATAACATGACCAGATCGGGAGGCGGTAAGGCAACGACGACAGCATCTCTCATCTCTCCAATTCCCTCGAGATCCGGATGTCACCAGCTCAAAGCAGGTTGCGGAGTAGAAGTCGAGATGTTGGCTTTGGTTTTGAATATTAGCGATCCCAACTTCTGACGATCGCCACTCGGTTTCTTTCAACATCATCCGACCACCGCCCGCCCACGATCATTGCCTTCTTATTTCAAGTCGGCCAAGCGATCAAAGATCGAGGATACCTAATCCTCAGACATTCCGGTGAGATGAAAAAAAGATTTCAATTAGGGATCCACGCGAAATGGCGCCATTTTGGCGTTGCAGTCAACCACGCGCAGCACGCGTCAAGCTCCCGAGAGCCGGCCACTGTACATAGCTGACAATCATGCAGCCAGATGACAGAGACTCCTGAAATATCAAGTTGAGTCTAAAGTACTTACGGTAATTGCAATACTTTCTTTGGGCAATTATATTGCTGAAAATGTGATCGTCTGTTGCGTTATGGTTAAAGGAGACTGTCGCGACATGGGCACGCACCAGAAATAAACCACACTACTAATATGACAACCAGACGTTACAAATTATGACCGAACCCCAAGGCGTGACCCTGGGAATGGTAGAAACACCGCTGGCGAGTGTTGAGCCAACAACACCATCATCGGTCGTGTCGTCAAATAGATCAATCCTCGCGATAAATGACCTTGGACCCGCGTGCCACCAATGCAGAAATAAGCACACCCGCTGTGATCGATCAAAACCAGGTAAATGCTACATACTATGCGAAATAACTAGTTTTTAACGTGTCCTGCAGTATGTGGAGCATGCTCGACATTAGCATGTCCTTGCAAATATTTTCCTAAGTGATTCATGTCTCCAAGATTGATGAATATCCATTGACTAGTGACTCTAGTCAAACTGGCACACCGGAGCATGTCCCCCGACAGCAAAAAATACCATCGCGTGATTCACCGTTCTTGATAAGCTCTACCTTCTCTGAGCCCAAGACTACGGGTAAGCATCGGCGGGAGGAGAGCAGTGATGCCACTCAACATGATATAGAGAGCTCATTTTTGAAGCCTTCCAAACCAACCAAGTCTTCTCACAAACCGGCTGCCAAACGGGCGAAGTTGACTGCAGACAATGAAACAGAAGTCCGGTGTCAACTGATCAACGATATCAACATCCAGAGATCAAATCATCGCAATATTACCTCCAATGATTTAAGAGACATCATCGCACTTCTGATTCAAGCCAAGAAGAGCCGAAACCCTATTTCCCTTAGTGACGAAGAAAAGGAACAGTGGCTGGAGCAAGATGAACTTATGAAACTTGCCGCCGACAAGATGGAAAGGGGTGGTCGATGCTCACGCGCTGCCTTGAGTCGCTGGGAGCTATTTCTAACTGCTCCTATGGTTGAGGAAGAAGACAAGAAAGACCTCGAGCGGATCATTGCGGTTGAAGAATCTCACTCAGCCATGTCGGTGAGCACGGGATATAATTTTTTGCACATTCGCCGCCTGCAGCGGATCTTTCAAGACCCTGTTGCCTATGGCGTGAAAGTTGATGCATCCAGAAGAACTGAATTGACGAGAATAGTCAAGGATGCCATTGAGAACAAGTGCGCATTGACTCGGGCCACACACAAGACGATTTTGGAATTGCTTGATCCAGATAAAAAGCTTGTGAAACATGACCAGCCTTCAAAATCATCCGGAGAAGAACGAGGTACATCTAAGCCCAAAACGAAGGCCGCGCCTTCTTCCAATATCTCCCAACAATCTACGCCTTTACGTGCCCATTCCACCCAATTTCATGAAGAGCTTGCAGATGTTTTGGATTCACCACCCACTCCGTCTGTTTTCAATTCGAAAGATTTTCTGTCTACTCCCACTCTCAATATGCCTAAACCCAAAAATTCACCTGGAAATATGCCCTCCAGGCCCTCCTCACTCCAACCACAACAACCCCAGCGACCCCAGAAACCAACGGAAATACAGAAAACCCAACAAGCTTCCACCCAAATGAAGCCCGACACTCCAAAAAAGCTAATAAATGTATTTGTGGAGCAAGTCGCTCCACTAATGCCAATCTTTGACCTCGATGATCTGGACCGATTGCTACGAATGACCTCACTGCATGGTAGCTTCGCGTTCCGTGAGGTCGATCCAACACTGAGTCTTTGCTTTGCGCTGGCTGCCCTGCAATCTCGAGACCGTGCTCACTGGAACTCTCAGGAATGGTACAAGTGTGCTGAAGCTGAAATGAAGTTGAACGAAAGCAGCGAGAGCTCCATTCTAGCCATTCAACGACGAACACTTCAAGTGCTGTATCTGCAGATGACGGGAGATCTCAGCAGAGCCTGGAGTATTTTGTCTCTGGCTCTTGGCCTCGCAGAGGCAAGCGGAATTCAAACAGTGACCGGCGGTCCTTTCGCTGTAGACAAAATCTCCCAGCAGCGCAACCGAGTCCTATGGCACTCCCTTTGGTTGATTAGACTGAGCCTAGCTTCGCAGATGGGCATGAACTGGCAATCCTTAGAGACACGTTACTCGGCGCCACTGCCAACTAATATTCCATTGGGGTCGAAGATAAGCCGAACACAGCATACTGCGATATCTTCTTTCTTCAATGCTTCTGTTTCTCTTTACAAGCATATGGAAGATATCTTATCCAATGACGAGCATCTGCGCTTGCGCATTGACGTGTGTCCTTTTCGATCCTTATTTACGGCAGACCTCTGTGATTTTTTCGAGCTTGACGGCAAACTTTTGGAGTGGAAGGAAGTTCTGCCTTCTGTTCTACATTGGGACGGAACAAACATCGGCTTGTTAATGGAAAATGATGCTGTCATTCGCCGTGTTCGTGTTCTAATGCGTCTGCGATATCTGTCCATCCGACTTCGCGTCTTCCGCCCTTTCCTGATCTTCTGTTTACGCCTCTCCCATACATGCTCATGTGCATCCGGCCCGCATATTCTGACGGGCAAAGAAGCTGAATCTGTTGACTCTCCTGCTATTCTCGGTATTGTCCGCGATTCGACCTTGAAATGTCTTGCCGCAGCACAAGATATCATCAAAATTCTGACCGTTGTTCATGGCAAAGGTGCAGGCAAGGGCAACGATGATACATTGAGGATTACTACCTCTTCATACGAATGTTTGGATTACATCTTCACCTCAGCCCTGATTTTGATTGCCTGCCGTGCGATCCCTTTCATCGCAAAGGGGGCCGGTGCGAACAAGTATATTTCCAGCATGAACGAGCAAATACGCCACGCTGATGTCCTCCTTCGCAACTACGAGGAGTCCTCTCAGCAGACGGACCAGCTTACCAACCGAATCCAACGATGCCGCGAAGTCCTTGACTTGTTGAAGGGTCAGATTGAGAGTGGGCTTGGGGTGCAGAATCCGACCGTTTTCTCAGATGCGAGGGTTTCCGTTGGCCAGCATGTCTGGAAGAGGCTATACGACCGACTGGGGCTCCAAGAAGAAATTTCGTTCCAAGAAGCTTCGTCCAGCCATAGTACCACGGGACGAAAGAACTATTTTGCTTGGGTAGAAAGTCTACCTACCGACTTGGACGGTTGGGACCCAGTCAAAGCACGATAAGTGATCTATGGCTCATTTGATGACTTGGTCATGATTTGCTGAACAGATATCTTTCATCATCTGTGACATGTCATTGTCAGTCCACTTTGAGCTGTGTTCTATCATTTTATGTATGCACTTTATTTTTTAAACCTACATCCGACGTGATTTAACTGGAAAATGAAGATATTTCATCTAAAATTACGCGCCGGAAGCATTAACCGACACCTCGACACAAGCTTAATCCTTCCAACCAGCTCGTTTGGCAATAAGCTTAACAGCATAAACCAAGCCCAACAGAACCGGCACCTCAATGAGAGGTCCAACAGTCGCAGCAAGAGCTTGATTACTATCAGCCCCAAACACCGCGACCGCAACAGCAATGGCCAACTCGAAATTATTACTCGCAGCTGTAAAGCTCTGCACGGTCGAAAGCCGATACCCAAACCCAAGCCGATAAGTAACAAAAAGGGTCGCAAAAAATATGATAAGGAAATAAACAATCAGAGGAGCAGCAACACGTACAACAGAAACGATCTGATGCACAACATGCCGACCCTGCGACGCAAACAGCACCAAAATAGTAAACAACAGTCCAATCAACGACCAGGGACTAAGCCACTTCAAAAATGTATTGTCGTACCAAGTTGCCGAGATTCGGCGGAGCGTGAAGCGTGTTAGGATCGCTGCGCCGAGAGGGATGCCGAGAAAGACGGCGACACTTTCGGCTGCGGTTGAGTATTCGAATGTCACTGGGTCGCCGCTTATCACGCTGATGAAGAATAGGCCCATCGGGGCGAAGAGGACCATTTGCAGGATTGAGTTTAGGGCTACTAGAATGGCGCAGTATTCGTTATCGCCGCCTGCTAGCCCGGTCCAGACTAGGACCTGTAGGTTGTGGGTTAGCAATGAGCAAGGATCTTGTTACAGCATGGCTGATTTTGAGAATGGACTTGAGATACGGACCATTGCAATGCATCGTGCTAGACCGACTATAATCAGGCCTTCTCGTAGTTCTGGTTCGTCGGGTAGAAAGGCCCAGGCTAGGGCTAGCTGGAACAAGAGAAAAGAATGAGGATTAGCGAGGGATTGATTGTGACCGTGATATGAGGAATGGACAAACCATGAGAAATGGCGCAATGATCCAGTTGAGGACAAGACTAAAGGCCATCTGGATCCAGATATCCTTCTCTCGGAATACATGGTGCAAAGATTCAAAGCGGACTTTGCAGAGGATGGGATACATCATGACGAGGAGACCGACCGCTAGACGGAATAATATGAGTTTGGAGAGTCAATCAGTGGTAGATGGAGATATAACGCACCGATGGGAATCGAAACTCCCACAAAGGTTCCCTTTTGAAGGGCTGGCCCTGTATTTGGGACAAAATTGCCCAAAATTATGCCGATTGCCATGGCAAGAAAAATCCATAGTGCAAGGAATTGATCTAGTAGACCGAGGCTTGAGAATGCGGATTTCTTTCCCTGGGACTCATTTGGACAGAGGACTTCATGCTGTTTCTCGATATCGCAGGTTTTAGGCTGGTTGACCTCTGGGGCCAGATGGGCTGTATTTTGTAGGGAAGCCATACTGAAAGTTGAAATTTCACATATAGAGGAAGCAGGGTAATATGATGAATGGACGAGAACAGTGTTTCTACACCGGCCTGGTCCTTGCAAGTATAAAATTCTCCAAGTTATCTGAATGTCACCCGTGGCTGTTGATTGGTCGACTTTCTCTGGGGATTTGATCCCCAAAATTTGTGTCTGCCAATCAGAAGCGAGAAGAATATTTGGACTTGGCGGGGTATTGAACTCGAGCTTCATTTGATTTCAATAAGTCTCAACATCTCATCACACAATGTCAAACAAAGCACCCTGGCACGCGGCATTCCCTGCCCCTAAGACTGTTGCGCCCTCTTTATCCCGAGAGGAGTTCCTGCAATGGATTCAAGAGGGTAAAGAAGCTGGCAAGGACTTTGTGCTTGTTGACTTACGGCGAACTGACTATGAGGTACTCATTAAAGGGGGAAAAATCTGATACTGTCTTGATTATTGACCAATGTATAGGGCGGCACAATTCAAGGATCATTGAACCTGCCTGCTCAGAGCCTATACCCGACGATTCCGACTTTATACTCCCTTGTATCGAATAGTAAAGCCAAGTTTGTGATTTGGTATTGTGGTGAGATCCTAATTCTTCCGGCTCTTCAGCCTCCATCATGAGCGATGGACTAAACAGTATATTCCATGTAGGATCTTCTGCAGGCCGGGGTACCCGCGCAGCTGGTTGGTTTGCTGATTATCTTGATGACAAGAATGATCAAGAGATCAAAAGTCTGGTACTTGCTGGAGGAATTAAAGGGTGGACAGCAGCTGGACCAGAATATACAGCCTTGATGGATGGGTATGATGCGTCGGTCTGGGTAAAGTAGTCATCTCTTTCGATTGATGATTTAAGGCTTTGGGCACAAGTCAACCCAGGCCAATCTCATTGGATAGCTTCGGAATGTCTGAACAGGTATAATCCACAATCCAACCAAAGGTGGCAAATTCTATCGAACAGCAATGTTAAAGATGAACGGCGAGTTCCTACTAATGTAAAGTTCGCCGGAAGAGAGAACCAAAAAACGGTCTGGAGAATTCCTAAAGTATAGTAGCTTATTACATGTAGAGAGTGTCCTTGTCTTTGCAGACGACACCCTGGATACCACCGAGACTCGATATCGTAAAGAGCTACATCATACAACGGTTAACATAATATCAAGACGATGAGAAGAACCGACCAACCAAATAAAATTTCATGTAACATTTGAAATCAGTTATTGGAAAGCTGAGGCCTCGAGTGCGTTTTCGCAAGGTTGCTGTTGAGAGACTCGCCTCCTGCATCGTCCTGACGCCGGACTGGACACGGGGCAGCAACTTCACTCAAGTTGGCGTAAGAGCTTTCGGTCATTTGCTCCGTTCTAGTATCTTCATGTGCTTTGGGTTGTTTAGTCCCGGAATCCGATTGCGATTTTTGTTTCTTCCTACAGCCGCAGGTGAGCACCTGTCGGATGCTACCATGCCTCATAGCTTCTTGGAGAAAACGATAAATGTAATGAGTGTACAACAAGATGACCTTCAAAAAAGTGCTTGACATGAGATGATGTGTTGCATGCAGGCAGAAGGGATCTCGTATTCAATGAGATGGCCACTATAGCTACGTCACCGGTATGAATGGGCGATTGTATCGACCGGCCACCATCCCGGTTGGGCCTCCTTATCAGATCCGAGAACTAGGCCGGTATAGTTATTATTGAAAGCAAAATGGCTGTTAGCGTTCTAGAAGAAAAAATACACTTATAGATGCGATCTGCGGGCGGACTTTGCTTAACTCCGAAGCCTGAACTCAACTTCGAACCATTTTCTCACAGTATGCTCTTGTTCTCCCTTGTTCACCCTTGCCATACCCCAATATGTCTGCATCCCATAGTCAAGACGAGAACATGTCTGCAGGTGTTCTGGAGAGTCTGGACCCTGCAGCCCGTCGCAGAATCCAGAACCGCCTCAATCAACGCGCAAGCAGTAAGCCCGTCGCCACATCATATCGCTGACTATCAACTCTCAGACTGACGATGCTTCATCAGGGAAAAGACGCGCTGCTCAGTTCAAAACGTCAGGACATCCAGACATGAAATGGATCATCTATACCGACCATGCAAACACCTCGAAACCCATCAGCCAACCCGCCAAGTCAGAACATTACCCCTCAAGCCATGAAGGCACCCCGACAACAACCCAGGTCACACAACATGAGCCGAAGCCCTTCAGTCAAAATGAATCAGTAAATCGATATAAACAATTAGACGACATCCAAAGAACTGCCATGCAAAGCCTAGCACAGAGAATAACTTCCCCACGGGCAGTCCTCTGCGTATCACAATACAACATTCTCACCGCAATCTTCGCCAACGCCAAAATAATCGGCCTCACAATGGACCTACTCAACGAAGACATTGCATCCCAATTCAACATTGTCGGCATGCCAACATTCCATCTCCCAGCAAGCCTTCTCCCATCCGAATCACAAAAGGCAATTGTCCACCACCCGTGGATCGACATAATCCCAATATTATCATTACGAGAGGCTCTTTTGATCCGGGAGGATATCTGCGAGGGAGACGAGTTCTGTGGTGATATGTGTGGGATGTGCGCCCCTACAGACGAAGTCGGGCTTCGGGTTTGGGGGGAGCCGTGGGATCCGCGCGCTTATGAGGCTTCGGAATATTTGCTGAGAAAGTGGAGTTGGATGATTGAGGAGTGTCCGGATCTTGTTCGGTCTACGAATTACTGGAGGAGGAAGCGTGGGGAGAAAGCTCTCTCATTCCCATGAGATGGGAGGATACTTGATTGCCCGTGGATACCCATATGTACGTCTCGAGGATGAAAGGCATGCGGGCGCCTTGCTGAGCTCCCCGAGACGGGAAACGACGTTCACGTCAATGACGTGATAATGCAGCGAATCATTGTATATGTACTCATTGAATAGCATAATTTAGTAAAATTGTCGAAGGAGCGACAGGGTGATATCGAGATATTGCAGGCATACTTCTTTCTGGCCAATGAGAGTGCTTCGGACCCCCCCACTCTGCCGAGCCCCTGCCGGGCCGACTAAGACTGACATTGAGAACATTCTAGTTGCTGTCTAGTTGCTGTCTAGGTGCATACCCTGCAGCCTGCTATCTCACTGACAACATTTGCTTGTGTCACAAATAGGTTCGTCCGCGAAAGGGTTTCGTTGCAATACATGGTCATAAAATCTCGCATCAAGGTAGTATTCTAGCTGGACTACCCGCTTGCCGAATCCGTACATATGAATTCATTTGAATGATGCGAGCATTATTGAATGAACCGGATAATACCAATTGAATCCTACAATACGTACAATGAGGCTATCAATATTGAGTAGATGAAATGGTAAATTCAATTATTAGAATCCAACCGGCGGCTAAACCAGAGCCACTAACCAGGTGTATATCTAGAAGTATACGCCAATCCCAACAAGAAAGAGAAAAGATCATCACACATATCAAGGGACATAGATGAGCACAGCGGGGGCCCAAAAAGTCTCGTTCTAGAACCACATGATGCCCGCCACCAGGCCAATCACCACAGCCATACAGCTCCCGTGGAGCTCCTGCGAGTGCCGACCAGCAGCAGCATCGGTGGCTTCCTCAGCACCAACATTCTGTTGAGCCGGGACGGGAGGTGAACTTTTTTGGTCTTCGTCTGGGACGGGAGGGGACTTGAGGTGAGGTATTAATGTTGTTTGGACGTCTTGTTGGTCGTCTGTGAAAAATATGGATTTGGCATATGTTGCCCCGGAAAGCGCCAATCGCTTTCCAAAACCAATGGTGGCATGGCAGGCCTGCTGGCACACCTTCTGGAAGGATTCAGGGAGCTGCAGCCCTGTTTCGTGAATGTCGTGGGAGGAATGATAAGATGAGGATGTCGTGGTTTTATGGTCTATATCGGGGGTCGGAAGAGTGGATTCATCCACAGTGATGGTGGGGTATGCATCGGTGGAAACTGTCACGGAGCGGTTCGAGAACGGGGTGAGGAATGGATAGTCTTCTAGTTGTTGGATGAAATAAGTTCTGAATGCGTGGGCCCTTCGGGTAAATGAGAAGGATGATTCGCGGGCGACGGACGAAATTCGACTTTTATTCGCGACGGTGGTCGTCTCGCTGGCTGGAATTGCAGCGGCCCCTCCAATGCGCGACGTGCGCGATTGGAGGTTCACACGCGATCGCCGGGGGCCTGTGAGAAGCCATGGGTTCCTGGGGTCGTTCACGGGGTGTGCGTTCGGGGGTATTTCGGCAGATCCATCTTGAATCAGGGGAACCTCTGGGGAACTAGCATGAGCAAAATTCGACCATATGTGTTGGGACGGAACAACAACTTACGGCGTGATGTACCGGGGTAGAAGCTAAAGTCGGCGAGCTTCAAATTATAAATATTCGATAGCGATGGCACCAATGTGAGTAGTGAAAACACAACCAAGGCGAGGAGTGGAAGCGCGCCAGGTTTATCCAAGCCGGACCGCATCTTCCCCGCTCTGGATTTAATCTGAAATCTTGGAGAAGAGGTTCAAATTTCGCGAGCGACAGGGTGCGTGAAGTCCATGGGAGAATCGGGGGTTTCGCGTCTCCAATACAGCACGATTCACGAGTCGCCGAGTCCACAGAGCGCCTGCGCGCGAGGGAGGGGGAGAGGAGGAGAGAATAGGAGGAGAGGAGGACACTGAGGTGAAAGTCGAAGGTAAAGGGAAGAAAGAAGTAAGAGAGCCAGAAATTGAAGATCCCCCGTTAGACGATAAGCCGTGTCTGCATTTCTTGGCACAGAGACTGCAGATGACGTCGACCAACTATATGTAACCCCGAATGCGTCGATGCTCTTTTCTCTTTTCTTTTTTCCCTAAGGACTTGGAGGCTTTGAGCTGCTATCTCGGAATTATCTGTCAGAGTGAAGAATGTTCCATTATGGTTTTTTTTTTCTCTTCCAAGAATGCTGCCTCAGGCTCCGGCCGATCTGCACATCTTCAAACAGGATTTGCCCATTCACGTTTTGTTTTTGACCCCTCCATGTGGCCTGCTGTCGGTGATGTGGGCCAAGTTTCCATCGCTCGAGGCAACCGGATAATATGGGACATTTATAGCCGATCGGCGCAACTGCTCAGAAGCATCCAACGCCCTACGGGGTTGATACTGAGCGCTCGACCCTTGGCGCTCGTCAGCGGAGCTCTGCCGAGTGAATGATTGGGCGTTACCATGCACTAACATGTTGGTTGTTGCTATTTACAAGGCTTTCCGCTAGGATCTACCTCGAGAAAAGCAAGAATCGGCGTCAGCCAGATCCTGCGCTCGATACCAGGCTTGGAACACCCAATAGCCAGCTTCCCTTTCTCAGCTGGTTGTCCTCGAGCCCCGACATTTACCCATTTGGGCATTCAGTATTTCATGTAGACCTTTGGCGTCATCCATGCATATGATTGGCACTCGAGTGTGGCACCTGAAAGATCAGCGAAAACAAGCTCGTGAAAGAGATGGTATAGAATGGTTACTAGGCCCTAGAGAAGATTGCATGACGATCGACGAGATAAGCGGCATCGTAAGATACATTAAAAGGTATTGAGGTAGGCATTTGTTGATTCTAAACTTGTTTGTTTACATTGGCCAAAATGACCAAAGTTCCAAATGCACCTGGCAATGAGCCAGCTGCATGCATGGTCGATACCCTGTCGGGCTGCTTACATGTACCTTTCCTGCAAACAGATGTTCAATAATTGGAGCTGCATTGCAACCACAACCGATCACTCCATGTCTTCTAGCGAATCATTATTCTCTACCCCACTACGTACCTAGTAAGCTCAAGCATCGGCCATTCTCAATGTTACTCTTTCTCCTTATGAAGTAAGATGTGGTTAGTCAAAGCCTTAAGGAATCTCCGTTCTAACAGTATTAGTAGTGGATGTATTCATGGAAAGACGAAAGAACCAAGGAGATGTTGAAGTTGTAACTTAATAGTCAATAAATGCACCAGATACGTAGCCCGTCATCTTGCATATTGTCCGGGTGTGATGAACAGCTATCTGAGGGGGAATACGGACTATTTAGAGGAGCATGTTTCTTTGAGGCCAAATCTGCCATCTGAATCTCAACCCCCAGAAACAACTTGAAGAACAGTCAAGATGATACGAGAGCCACATGACGGGCTGTCAATATGGAACTTGAATTGATAATACACAAGATAAGCTTACTATACCGAATCAATTCTTCCTACCTTAGTACACTTCTTCCGTGGGAGATGTTTCTACAATACAGTTATGATTCATTCTCAATCCTTGCTCCATGCAACTCATGTCACTGCTAGAAACTTTCTATTGAGTCAGCGTACAGATAATGACATAGCCTGACTTTATATCATCGGAAGAAACAGTGTCGGAGTCACATACTTCGCACGGGATGTCAGTAAAGTTTGAGGCTGCAAAGGTCCCCAGTCTTGGCGCACGTGCGCCGTTCATTGGTGAGAAAGGGAGAGAGAGAGAGTAGACGCGTGACAAGGTCGATCTGGGGAATTCGAGCTAACTGGATTCAGAGGAGTATAAATATTCTTCCTCTTCAACAACCTCAACTGTGGTACATATGTGCTATACTGAAGTAGCAAAACTCGATCGGGTTTACTAAGCGCATTCTCTGCTCTGATTGGCTGCGCGTACCTGATCGGCTGCCGCACCCGCCAAGTGACGTGACCCAACTCTGCCCAAGAAATTCTCCCACTTCCATGCAACGCCTTGAGGTACAGAGGACGCACTCATGCAGTCAATTTGCTTGCTGCTGGGCCTCGCAGCCCTCATATCTGCTACTCCGCTAGGTCAGCAGTTGGTACTGGGTGAAACAGAGCCTGCCGGACAGGTGCTGGCGTCGCGCAAACCATTGAGTGGTCGATTCTTGCATATAACAGGTACGTCGGTGTCGCATACACTTCTTCTGGTGTGACCAGCTCCGCTAATACCGAGCAGATTTTCATCCCGACCGCCTCTACAAGCCCGGCACCTCGATCGATCGCTCGTGCCACCATGGTGATGGACCCTCAGGATACTTTGGAGCCGAAGGCACCGAGTGCGATTCACCCCTATCCCTGGTCAACGAAACTTTCCGCTGGATTGAGGATAATCTGAAGGATGATATCGATTTTGTGATTTGGACCGGCGATTCTGCCCGACACGATAATGACGAGAAATTGCCTCGCTCGGCCGAGGAGATTGTACAGCTGAACAGATTTCTGACACAAAAATGGGTGGACTTGTTTAGCCAGGAACAAGACAAGGATACCGCCGGTGCCGTCTCGAAGTTATCTGTCCCTGTGATTCCGACCTTCGGCAACAACGATATCATGCCCCACAACATTTTTAACGAAGGCCCGAATAAGTGGACGAAGCGCTTTGCCGATGTGTGGAAGGAGTTCATCCCAGAGGACCAGCGTCATACCTTTGTGGAGGGTGGCTGGTTCACAGCTGAGGTGGTCCCCGGTCGGCTGGCGGTGATCAGTCTGAACACGATGTACTTTTTTGAATCCAACAGCGCGGTCGATGGATGCAAGGCCAAGTCAGAACCGGGATACGAGCACATGGAATGGTTACGCGTCCAGTTGAAAATCCTCCGGAGCCGAAACATGAAGGCTATCCTGATGGGCCACGTTCCCCCAGCGCGCTCCAGCGAGAAGAAGAACTGGGATGAGACTTGTTGGCAGAAATATACTCTTTGGATGCATCAGTATCGCGATGTTGTTGTCGGCAGTCTTTACGGTCATATGAACATTGATCACTTTATGCTCCAGGACAGCAACAAGGTCAAGATCGCTGATGCTGACGGGAAGGTGTCTGTCCGCTCCAAATCCAACTACCTCGAATCACTCCGAGACCAGTGGTCTTCTTTGCCTTCTCCTCCGACTAATGCCTTTGAGGAGCTTGAGGAGATCATGTCAGACAACGATGATTCTGACGTGACTGTCGCGAAGAAGAACAAAAAGCACAACAAAAAAGACAAGAAGAAGCGCAAGTTCCTCGAAAAGATTGGAGGTCCGTGGGCAGAGCGATACAGTGTATCATTGGTCGCACCCAGTTTGGTCCCAAACTATTTTCCAAGTCTCCGTGTGATTGAATACAATATCACCGATCTCGACAATGTTGCACTTGGCGTTGATTTGACCTCTTATGAGACTCAGTCTATCTCCGATGATGTTGACGACACGGCACATGAAACAATCGAGCATGAAACATTCGAATCCAACCCGTCTACCACAGACCCAGAGATTCAAAAGAAAAAGAAAAAAGACAAGAAGAAGAAGCCCAACTTCAAAGTTCCCGAACCCCCATCTTCAACCGCTCCCCCAGGTCCCGCGTACTCCAACCAGGCGCTTTCGTGGCTGAGCTACACCCAATACTTCGCCAATCTAACACAGATCAACCACGAGATCGCAACAGGCCAGCAAGGCGACGATCCTCGTATCAACTTCGAAGTCGAGTACCGCACAGATGATGACGTGTACCAGATGAAGGACCTCACAGTGCGCAGCTACTTCCAACTCGCAGCCAGAATTGCCGAGGAGGATCAAGCCGACGCAGACAGCCACAGCGGCTCTCATAGCCTGACGACTGATTGGTCTGCCACCAATAAAAAGAAGCCCATCAACACAGCCTGGCGCACTTTCCTGACGCGAGCATTTGTTGGCTATGAAGATATTGATGATTTGCTTGACTAGGGCCATGTCCTTTACGTTTTCTTTTCTTTTTCTCGTTTCCTTTTCTTTTTTTTTGCATACATACATAATTTGCATTTGGGGGCCAAGAAACTTGTGCATGATGAGGTGTTACTATAGGTTCCTTGTGGTGGTACATTGGCAAAAAATCCCGGTTCAGTGGATAAAGAGATAAATTTGGACATTGAACGTTATTTAGTTGTTGAACATCATACAATATGACATAACTTATTTGACGGCCATTCTAAGTTTCGCTTCTTGAATCGCATTGTGATCTACATTGCTATTCTGGCGGTGTAGACTAGGATCTTCACTAACTGATTGCCTGCACCGGCTATGATTATAGTCCATGCATCGGTGATCATAGCAGTGATTTACCTGCCAGTGATGCAATCTCTAGACCATCACGCATTATCACTTTCCATCGCAATCTATCTACATAGGTCAGTTGCGAACCCGACTGCACCTTTTCCGAGGTTAAGGCATGTCCGAGCTTACAGCCACTGCCAACGTGGCAGTCCGAGCTAGCAAGGTTCAGGCTTTTTTATATTGCATTGCCCGGCGTCTTGGGCAGCGACTTAACCGGTTTTTGTCTACATATTGGCCGTAAAGTCTCTGATGAGTAACCCCGTGCTCCCAGTAAGTTATGGTCAATTGTGCTATCTTCTTGCTGGGTTATCACGACCCACCCTGGGGCATTGTAGGTTCCCACTTGCCTGTAAGTAGGGCCAGTTATGGAGACCTTGGACCAAGTACGACAGTTTAAGAGCCTGCCGAAATCTCCGATTTCTAATTAGAAATGGGGCCCATCTTTATGGCAGTGGGCCTCCTTAAGACCTAATCAGCTCTCGGCGATAGCCCTAAAGTACAACATCCCTCATACAATATCTGAGTTCCTCGTTCTGGGACGAACAACAGCAACGTTACTCCGACAAAGATTGAGCAGCAAATTCCCACACACAGTTTACTACTGGCAAGATCTCAAGCTCGATATGTGCATGTTCTGCAAAGCTACTCAATTGCAACCCACATCACGTGATGAGGTTCCTCTGCGTAGCCATGAGAGCGGCAGCGAAGAAGCTAATTGACTTGCAATTTGATCCCCATCAGGTTGATCAGGTTAACGAGAGCACCAAGTTGCCAGCGTGGCCGAGTAAGACTTGGCTTCCTTAGCCCGACTTGGGCACTTAGCTGCTATTCTACCCGAAGTGCTGGTCGCTTACTAGCCAATCCCTGTTTATAGATCCCGGCCCTTTGAGCCGCCACGTAGACCATGAACCCGTCCAGCGTGCCGGAATTGGCTTCACGATGTGACTAGTGCATGGACAACACAGAAGCCCTTGCCACTCAGGCGAGTGTCCTTTAGGCACTGATAGTATATTTAGTTCACGGTGGGCCTCCAATTCCGAGTCCAGCCCCCCGCTCCATGCGTCATATCAGGGGAAACCTCCGTGCAGCGTGCATATGTTCTCTTTAAATCTCTTCCCTGTGGGTTTGGCCTACTGTGAATATTAACAATTACACAATCGTCACCGGAGTGAACTGCTTCAGCTCGACCAGCTTCCCACCCGAGACACTTCCTTCCCCGCACAGTGCGTTGGCACCGAAATTCCTCACTCCCACCCCCCCCCCCTGCTTTACCGCACGATGCGTCGAGTCTCGCAACTCCTCCGTTTCCTGTCCTTGCGTTGCTAGGGATATTTTGTGTGTCCAGCCTCTCGCCACGGGGAGATCCGGCGCCTGCTAGACCGAAACAGGCAATATTGGTTTGGATTGATCGCAAGCACGCTGCGCGCTGTGTCGATTCTCTCCCAGTATACCCTGATTTGGATGAATTGGGCCCGGTAATTATTGGATGGTCCATACTTTGGGGATCCGCCTTTGTCGAACTTCACTGGATAGCTCGATTCCCAGCGGTTCTGCTTCATTGGAGGTTGGTTCTCGATCTAGTGCATATCTTGGACCTAGGAGTGATCGTCAAGATCAGTTGGCTTGACGCGTCTCGGAGCATGGTGCAGGCGCTTCGTTTGCGTTCCATTTCAAGCCTGTTTGTCGCGCGCTTGAAGGTAAATTATTGTCTCGTGTGATGCGCCTTTCTTGCAGATGTCTCGAGCTCTCACCGTGTTTCTTTTTTTCTTTCGCTGCATTTCTTTACCCCTGTCTTATCTGACTCCCAATTTGCTGCATTGAGATCCAGGAACAAAATGACTGACTTGTCTAGTTCCAATTCCCCCGTCACCGCGACTTGCGCTTTATGGATGGCCTCCTCCGAAGTTGACCAGAAGGCCCTGGGCAATTTTGCGGCCGCCATGAGCCATGAAAGCCCATATCTCTCGACAATGCTATACAAAGTACTCGGGGTGTCGGTCATGTTATCGAAAAAGCTGCTTCGGGCCCGCAAGCTTCGGCGGCTAGATACAACACGCGAAACAAGATCCCTCCAGCTGTACCACCACATCTTATGGCTCTCCCGCGAGGGCCTGCTAATATTAGAAGGTGCAATTCTACCAAAAGTGGACATGTCGGTGGAGCTGAAAGTCCTCTCCTACAAACTGCGCGCCTCATTTTACCACATTTTCGTATTATTCCACAATCGCCCCGTCGTCCAAAATGATACCGAGCCTCCAGCTCGCTTCAAGCATGACTCAATATACGGCCCAGACTCTCTCACAGCTCTGGGCGCAGCCGACCCTCTCCATCCCAAATCTCTCTTCACCTCTCGGCCCCCAGGCCTATCGCCTGTTCAGCCCGTCCAGCCACCTCAACCAGCCTCCTCCTTTCTCCTCCCTCCCCTGGACTACACTGCCACAGCAACCGCCTGCTTCAACCATGCCGCAGCTCTCTCCGACAAGCTTCTCCCGGGCTCCCATCCCCTCCGCCTATCCGTCAAGCTCGAATACGCCGCCTTCCTCTACGACTGCCTGCAAGACCCGATAGCCTGTCGCCGCCTGGCCAAGCAAGCAATCGCAGATGTCTACAATGCCCAAGAAGGCATGGACGACGAAGCCTTTGAAGACGCAGCCGAGATCGTCGGCGTACTAGGCAAGATGGTCAAGCGCGGCGGCAAACCGGGCAGCAGTACCGCCGCCAGCAGCGTATCACGCGGTGGTCAGTCTCGGAGTCAAAGTAGAAGCAGTCGCAGTCCCAGTCATCTCGATACGAGTGTGCCTACCACAGTTTCTCCCGTTCCAGTTACGAAATCCACGCCTGCTCCTCCCTCGGTCTCGGGAATGGAGCCCGCAGTTCCCAATGCGAACATGATGAATCCGATTTAATGTCTCGGTGATGCTTAACGATTAAGATGAGCGCATATGCCTTTTGAGTTTAGCCTCTACGGAGGCCGTCTTTGGACTTGGAATTCCGTGCTTGTGTATATAGCCGCGCTTTTCGTTTGCTGTATCTAGATATGCGTTGTCATTTGAGTTCAGTCTCTGAAATAATTCATTATCATTTGATATCTCCCGTAAAGGAAAGAGCTTTTGTATCGATCAGTCTCGACCAAAGTCCCAATTTGGCCATAGCCAGGTCTTATGCCTGAAAGCGAGCTGGTTTCAAAGGTACTAAGCGTCTGTTGAAGCCATCTATTGAGATTGCTCGTAGCGATGCTGAGACTGCGATGGTCACCGAGTGGTCGGTGTGGATAATTGTTGTATGCTCCAATGATTCAATGAGATATCTGATCAGCCTGAGCTTTCAGAAGATGCATGAAACTTCGAGTTCTGTAGCCCAATGCTTGTGCTCTGCCTTGTCCTTCTCAATGTCCTTGACATGAACATGATTGAAGTCGTCTTTAGATGCATCGAGAACGATTTCAAGTGGTTTTTTTTGGTTTGCAAGCGGATTAGGACATTTTGCTTCGCGATCAATTCCTTTTGGCGATAGAAAGATTGTCCTTTAGATTCCGGAGCATGGTGCGGTTTCTTCTAGTGAATGCTAGACCAGGATTATGATTCATCCAATTCATTACAATGCTAAAAGTTTGATGCAATGTTAGGGGTAAATCTGGATGTAAAGTTAAATACTCCAAAGCGCTAGAATGTTACTGATTTACAAGTGGCATCAAATTGTCTATTCTTTAGATAAACAAGCTGTATTGAGATAGACGGAATTATTGACAGTATAATTAAGAAGAGCGTTTCTACTCTGCCCAGCAAAGGCGATAGTGGTGCCCCCAGTCTGCACAGTCGCCAGTTTAGTAAATAAGTACCGTAGCTTTCAGATGTAGTCACCGAGCTCCCAGGAACTCTGTCATCCCCAGCGAAACTTAGGGTTTGGTGTATATATTACTGCATTGGCAATTAGACATCGGTTCTGATTGTCTTCATGATCTTGTTGCCCTAGTTGGTAAATCCCGTCTATGACCTAGCAAGTGTGAAGCACCTGGGCAGTAAATCACCCATTTGCCTGACTCGGAATAAGATGATGAACCTGTGTTAGTACCTATATATCCTATAAAATTTACTGTTAACATCTGTTGGACATTGGGTATAGACCGGCGCCGGGAAATTGACAATCCGTGCTCCGAGCTTAGCGCCACCGACGACCATTGAACCCCTGCTGATACGCATCATTGATCTGGTTAACTTGCTGTCTAACTTGAAAACTTGGATACAATATATAATACTGCATGCACCATTTCAGATTCAACGCCATCTGGACCTTGACCTGAACAGTGATACCGCTGGCCGATACGCAGGGGATGAGATAACCCAACCCGTCTGTTCAATAATATCTGGAACGAAAGAGACGCAGACCGAGCCCTTTATATCAGGGCCATCATGGTTTTCGCTGCGCTTTATCGCGTCTACGCGGGCTTCGTTCATCCCCCACAAGCTCGAAAACAGGATGATGCCATTCGATTCGGACTTCTCGGAGCATCCAATATCGCGTAAGTAAAGATGACCAAACTGGTGTGACTTATCATTCATTATGCGTTATTTAGCCCCGCCGCTTTAATCACACCGGCAAAGTCCCATCCAGAAGTCATCGTCGCAGCCGTTGCAGCTCGGGATCGCAACCGCGCAGAGGCTTATGCCAAGAAGCACGGTATTCCAATTGTACATTCCTCCTACGAAGGTAGATCTCCCAACCGTATCCGAAATACATCAAGCATACTAATATCCCAGATCTGCTGAATGACCCCAGCATTGATGCCGTCTACATTGCTCTTCCCAACAGCTTGCATTTTGAATGGGCTTTACGCGCAATCAAAGCCCGGAAGCACGTTCTTCTAGAGAAACCATCGTGCTCAAATGGAGAAGAGGCAAAGGCGCTTTTCAATCACCCCTTGGTCAAGGCGCATAATGCTCCCGTTCTCCTGGAAGCATTTCATTACCTCTTTCATCCGGCATGGCAGATGTTCATGTCGCTCATCCACGATGATGCTTTGGCCGGGCCGGTGAAACATGCACATGCACAGCAATATCTTTTTAAAGGGGTCATTCCGGCTGATGATATCCGCTGGCGGTATGATCTTGCAGGTGGTGCGATGATGGACTTTGGGACGTATACGGTGAGCTGTTTGCGGCAGATTATGCGCGAGGAACCCAGCGAGGTGGTTGAGACGCATTGGAGGGCTGTTCCACAGTCGCAGTCTGATCGGGATGATGGGCAGCAGATTGATCAAGCTATGAATGCGACGTATAGGACTAGCAATGGTGCCACTGGGACTATTATTGCTGACTTGGTCACATCTGGGAATTGGCCGTTGCTGCCTGCGTCTTGGACGAAGAGTCTGCCAAGTATTGGCTGGCCGAAATGCGAGGCTGAACTTGGTGAGAAGGAGGTAGAATCATTTGGGAGTGCTGACAATGAGAAGCATTTTGTCAAGCGGAAGGTGACGTTGTGGAATCATCTTGCGCCGAGTGTGTATCACCGGATTGATGTGGAGGATACTCACAGTATCCGTCGGGATGGGGCTTTGCTGAGGACATGGACAGAGTCACGAAAGTTGAAGTCGTACTCCTGGCCTTCTGATGATAAGCAAAAGCCAGCCGGTGAAGACTGGTGGTCAACTTATCACTGTCAGTTGCACGAGTTCGTGAACAGGATCAAGGGGCGTGAGGGCTCTGGAGTCTGGGTTGATGGCGATGACAGTATCAAACAGATGGAGGTCATAGATCGAACATACGAAAAGGCCGGTATGAAGAAACGGCCAACAAGCAATTTTGAGCTGTTGGTTTGATGTACTTCCGGGCTGTACTTAGCCCCAAGTGTTAGGCTAGCTAGGTAGGCAGAGCCATGCGCAACACTCCAAAATCGAACGTTCAACCAGCAGAGCCGCAGTATGACTGTAGCAAAGACAGAGAAATAGCCACGAAGAAAATGCTTTCATTGGGAAGATGCTCTAAAGACGTCTAGTTAATTCGCAAGCCTGGGAAATTAATAAATAATATACAAATGATTCAAACGGATTCATGATTAACTTTGCAAGACGCCCGTGATCTTTGTTTTGAAAGATTTGAATCTCGAGATGTGGTTCGTTGGTAGTTTTGATCATTCTCATTTATGCCAATGCCCAAGGGTGCGACGTTTTCCGAACCATTGCCACTCCATCGGGGCTCTAGGCGTAGATCATCATCCTCTTGCAGCATCTGAACATCCTCAATAGTAGATGGATTTGTACGGATAACAACAAGCAAACTGTTGAGTACCGTGAACTCCAATAATGACTTGATGCTGTAAACGACCGGTTTGTATGTTGTCTGGACGTCAAAATGATTCGTGTATTCCGTTGTCAAAAGTGAGGCGTCTAGCAAGACGGAAAGGGCGTTGACGATGATGAGATTCCAGATGACTCTCCGTCCGCGGCTCCCTTTCATAGCCAGAACAGGCCTCAGGTTGGTCATGGTTTCCCAGACATAGAGACCGCTGATAATGGTTTCTTGAACAGCGAACCCAGCCAATTGAACACGCTCGTAGATATCGAATGGTTCCACAAAGCTGTCAACGCCGCGGTTGATACCCAGAAAAAGTATAGTGGTGGGGATGTGTAAGGCGCAAAAGTTGAAGATGATCATCCCCAGCACCCAGCGAGAGTAGCGATCGACGCATGTCACCAAGTGGAGACGAGAGTATAATACCACAGACTGTCCGGTGACCATAGCGTACCAGCCGATGCAGATCAAAACACACATAGGAAAATTAGGGGCGAGGGCGAAATAGCGGAGGAAGGATGTGACCGCGTGTAGGAGAATCCCTAGTGTCGAGACGAACATGCTCCAGAAGTAGAGACCACGGTAGCGTCGGAAGGTCATGAAGATCGCAACCATGATTTGAAGAACATTCCAACATGCCACGCCAAAGAGCGCTGCAATCACCATGGCAAGAGCCCGAGAAATCTCGAGAGGCCCGGTTTCGCCCGCCATGATGGTGAAGGGATGAGAAGCTCAAGTCGATTGGCTTTGCTGAATGGTGTAGGAGGTTAGGCAGCCCATTGTAACTGAATAGACATGGTGAGAATGCGCTCCGACTGGAAGCTGGGAGCTGGGAGCTGGGAGCAGTGAACAAAATGGGGGAAAGCAGGGGGAAGGAGGCTAAATTTCAAGGGTCTTCACACATTTGAGCAGACTGAGTTTCTTGGCAGGCTCGATCGGGTGGATTGGCGCATTTAGAGTTGAACGAAAATGACGGGGGTTGGGCAGTCACTTTCCCCAGTACGGAGTACTTAGGGCACAACTTTTGAACCTTTTGACTGCAGACCTCATTTTTTTGTGCCAGATACCTTTGGATATCGAAGATTTAATCCTTTCATACTTACAATCATGTTGATCAACGAGTATCGATAATAGTCATACCATCCGTTTTCAGTCCAGATGCTCAATCAATCTGACGTATACCCGCCCGGCCATACTTCGGTACAATATGGGGCAAATCGCCCTCCCGAACCGGGGTTGGACGTACCCGGACACTCGTGACGTAGTTCTTGGATTCTAGAATTCATGTCCACGACTTTTGATTTTTGGAATGGAACACTATTGGCTGTTTTAGTATCAAAGTTGTAGATACGCCTGAGGGAACTGGGTCATTGACGAATGGCTGCATAGGAACCACCAGGGCCTCACGTCTTGGCAAAATCCAGAACAGACGAGTTCACGGCGGAAAAGAGCAGATCCATAACCAACGCCATGTGGGCTGCTAGTGTCGATCCCACATGGCCAACGTGAGGACATTTTTTTACCTTCCGCATCGAGACACGTTTGGCGCTCGGATGAAGCTGAAGTTCCGGCCGAAATGGGTTTGCGCAGGAACTGAACCCCTGTCCGCCAAGGTGGTCATCAACGCACTAGACGAATATTGCTATTGTACTAACGCAAGCCATTGATTTATGTTTGGGGCACTTTTAAAAGGCTAGACCCTAATAGGCAGCTGGCAGCTTTCACTAACCCTGAAGTAGTATTCCCTCTGAAGATTCACCGGCATCTTCCGAATATAAGATAACCACTAAAGATCCCGCTAGCTTAGTGGTGCTACTTTGGCAGTCTCTCAGGGGCATAGCTCAACTACTATTAGTTCTAGACCAGTGACAGCGATCTGCTCTGAAACATTGACCAAGCCTCAATAGCCACGTTGCTCGTCTGGCTGCAGGTAAAATTGCTAGTCATTTCAAGTATGCCCCCTTAGTGAGAATCCATTTCAACTTCGGGCGATTGGTGCCGCGCTTTTATTATCATGGCCGTCGTCCACTCGAAGATCCTGACCTTGAATTGCGTGTTACCTATTGGATGCCATCCGCAGCTATAAACACTGCGGTCGAAATAACGATGTAATACTACTGAGATCAGATAGGGGGAGATAACCAAACGCGTGGCTTCATAGACAAAAGGACGTAGATATTAACGGGATTTCTCCACTAGTGGATTTCATTGCTTCTTTGCTACATCGATTACAACCTCCGGAATAGGGATCGGCCCTCCTGGGGAGTTCTCAAGTCGCGCCGTCAAAACTTCGACGCCTGTTTCTGTGACAAGCATGGTATGCTCTATTGAATTCCAGGTTAGCGCCCATCGGCTCAAACTGGCCCTTGAAAAGAAGGAAATACGAACCGAATTGTGCTGTTCGTTTACCGTCCATCGTGACATTTGTCCAATCATCTGGCCAGTTCATTTCACGGTTCGTACCCAGAGTCAAGATAGGTTCAATGGTGAACGTCATCCCAGGTTTACATGTTCCGACAGCCTTGTTCTTCGCGTAATGGGGAATCCAAGGAGGAGGGTGGAACTCGGAGTTGATTCCGTGGCCACCCCAAGTCTTGACGACGGCCAGGCCCCTGGAGACCGCGTGCTTCTCGATAATCTTACCAAACTCTCGAATCGGTGTACCTGGCTTGACTGTAGCTATGGCCATGTCCAAGGCCTCTCGTGTCGTTTCAATGACTCTGATCGAGTCCGGGTCCGCTTTAGCCTTGTCGCCAACGTAGTAGGTCTCATTCACGTCGGCATGATATCCACCATGATACAAAGAAATATCGAGATTGAGGATGTCACCGTCAAGAAGGATTCGCTGATCGGGGATGCCGTGGCACACAACCTCATTGGGTGATGTGCACAATGACTTTGGGAAATGGTTGTAGTTGAGTGGAGAAGGATATGACTGTCTCATCATTCAGCAGCTTAACATGTCTTTTGTAGGATTAGGATTACTTACCTGCCGCTCCACACAGGCCTGGTGACAGATTTCATCGAGATAGTCTGTGGTCACGCCGGGCTTAATCGCCGCAGCGGTGATATCAAGTACTTCTCGGGCCAGCCTGCACACCTTGCGCATAGCCTCCTGACCCGCTGTATCCAAGAGATCCCATTTGGAGCGGCTCAAGCGCATCTCCCGCTTGGGGATGCCATCCTTGGCCCAGTCTGGATGCTTTATTGTCTTTGGCACCGGTCGTCGCGGGGAGAGTGGGTACACTGCTCTGACAGACCCTGAGTATGGATATGTCGGGAAAGGGTTGTGAAGCCCGCTAGCTGTACTCATTTTAGAACGTCCAGTCACTGGTATTCTAAGCACTCACCATTTTGTGTCTTGTGAATCGCCTTGTGGGTGATCTAATATTATCGGTGTCAGATTCCCACTCCCAAAAAGAGAGGTAACGTACCCAGTTCCTTTTGAAACAGTCTTGATTACAGAAGAAGCTGCTCTTGTTACCCAGCTCCAGGCATGTTGGGCATTGTAAGCTACCAGCGTCATTTTCGCAATCAGCCCCAGAGCACTTCGGCGCGGGATCGGACATGGTGGCGAATTGAGCTTGACTCTTGAGTGGGCAGAGGATATCGAATGAAATGGCTGCTTATCAAACTGTTAATTTCCTACTACTAACGTTTCCTCGTGAAAATGCACAGTAGCAAACCCCTTTTTTGCATCAAAATCGGGCGATCTTAAGCGGCCCCTCACCAGTCTAACTGCCTTGGGAAAGGTGCACGATGTCTCCGAACAATAGACTGTCCAAGTAAAAACTATCATCAGGACAATGACTACTCTCACGTGAATGCTGGCTTTTGTCTTATGAATGTAGGTAAACGATAAGAAAAGAAGCAAGGAACTGGACCTCAGTAAAGAATTAAAACACCATTCAACGAGTCAATTTAGCGAGATTTTAAAATTGACCCGTGTGCTACTGGAATACACCCAAAGCTATGTAACCCACTCCAAAATTTGCAAGTATTGCTTTTCCAGCTCAAAAGATAGGATACTTGCCTTCAAAGTAAATAAATATTGATCATTGAAGTAATCGGATGAAACGATGTTCCGGCCACGACAGCGACGGTTTGTTTGGAAGCAAGAAGCAACTTTCTATGCCATTGTTTAACTAAGCCCTTAATTCAAGCATTGTGCTCTTCCAAAATACCGTACTTACTGGACAGGCTCTAGTCGAAAGAGTTCCCAATATAAGCCAAGCGATCAGGTGAAGCGTCTATCGGTCTGAAATTGAAAAATTGCCTCATAGGTGGACCGGCGAGTGAGAAGAAAACTCATAAAAGGATTACATATACCTTATCAGCCCATAATTATCATGAATTAAATTTGATCTCTTATAGAGCGATATAGATATTCAAGTGGTGGGTGTAATGTTCTTCCAATAGAGGTACAACTACCGAACGACATGTCCGTCGGATGAACTATATATTTTAGTGGATAATCCTACGATATATCAGATGTCTGCTGGTTGTCTGAGGTAGAAAGTCATGTTTTAAAACAAAGCTTTTATCTGTCCGGAATCTTCGTTATCTCTCAAGAAAACTTCATAGTAAATGGCCCCTTGGGATTGATGATAAAACATAGATCATTCGTAGTAAGTTAGGTCTTATTGTTAATGTTACCCATATATGCCTATTACCTAGTATTTACTAGGCTTCTTATATACTATCTCTATTTGGCATCGACCTATCTGTTATATCAAACTGCCATCGCGCCGTTCCTTTCAATGCATGCATTAAAGGCTCGTCCATACTAGGACTCTTTAGTCTCGAGCATATCCGACCCGGAAAGTCTCAGTAATGAGTCAAGCTGAGTCATTTATTGGAAGATACAGGCCAAGGAATCTGAATTTGGAATAGCCGATCCTGGACTTGGTTGGAGCTTGGTGTCAGCTTACTAGTCCTGTCACTTGTCGCCGCCAGCGAGAATGTCACACGTACAGACTGACCACTATTAGAAAGGAAGGGCCAATCACATGGCTAATCTAAATGAGTAAAATCGAACAAATTGGGTCTAGTGAGAGCCTCTAGCCTCGGTGATATGGTCGTACCCCGAGCCATTTTATTTCATAGCCGGCTAACATGGCATCGTTCCCGAACCATAACCTCGGTATGCTTTTTTTCTTTTCTTTGTTTGAGAAAATTCTCCTTTATTCTAGGTAATAGTACAATGAAATTTCATCATGAGGTAGTATACTCGCACCTGTGAAAAACTTGTCTTACAGCTGTTACTGAAGCTCGCCGATCCCGAGAAGGCTCGGGATCAGCCAGTAGACCGTAAGCCCATCGGGTGGGCAGACACTTATCTCGGCAAAGTGGCGAGTAATTCATGTATACCTTGACAACTTCGTTGTAGGGTGCTTCGACATCTGTAGAGTTTCAAAAGAGACTGAGTAGATGCGGTATGCGACCTCACATACATTCTTCAATCCCGAGCTGGACATGTATGTCTTTGGATCGTTAGACCAAGAGACTCAAGCTTCCATGACACGAAATTCAAAGTCCTCCAACCCGTAAATACCATCCAGTGGCTGGGGAATAGCCAGACATATGTTGATCGTATAAAGGATCCCTCTCCGCGGGGAACATTCCAGCCTCCGTTCCACAAAGAATGCCTCCCACTATTTTCCAGATCGGCCCGGTTCCTTGGGCTCGTTTTCGGTCCAACCTCCGTCGGAATAGTGAGCTGTCACGCGAGATTTGATCTGATCTGCGAATAGGCGTTCATGCGAACCCAACGTAGCGCACGGTCAGTCCCCCATAGTTAGAGTCGTATAGGGGAACACGTTCTATTAGACGCTGGCAGCCCCGGACCGAAGTTTGCTCAAGCGACTGATCCCAAAGGATCGCATGTCGCTGCAGTATACTAAAGAGCACGCCTGAGTTAAAATGACTTGTCTCCTATAAGAGGTTAGCGTATTGTGGGGGAGGAGCCGTGAAGGATGCAACACGGAGAAACCTCCGCGCACCCAATGGCTCCTTTTGCGGCGTTCGGTTTTCCCCTGTAAGACAAAGGATTCGAAGATGAGTTTCTGGAGAACCTTGCAAATGGATCGCTTTGACCAGGAGGCGCAATATAACGAGATGGCGACAGAGAATAATTTGATTTGGGAGGCGAAGCCCCCAAGATGCCACATTGCCACTCAGCTGAGTAGAGACCAGGGCGTAGCGAGTAAATTAAGTAGTTCACTCTCCCTCATGTGATTTTGGAGGCAGTTGCCTTGTAGTACTCTGGCATCAGTTATTCCACCATTCAATGGACCTTGAGGTATTAGGGCCGAAAATCTAGACTTGCCAGGTTCATGCAGCGTGAAATTGTCTGCGTTGAATCTAGCCAATTATTAGATGAGAAGGGGGAATGCAGCCCCAACTGCTAGACCGCGTTTTCTCTTGCCTCCTGACGGGATGCAGGGCCGATTCTCCAGGAATCAGACCCTGGATTCGCTTGAGTATCAAAATGAAAATAAAGTAATGACTTTGGGGTCGAGTGGTATGATTGGGGAATGTCCCGGTTCCAATCAGGATACGGAATACGGAGCTCTTCGTGCACGCCACTAACTAGACGTGTTTATTGCTAGCGAGAGCAGGGGTTGAGGGTCACAAGGTAATTAGTCTGGGGAACCGGAGACTTGACCAGTCTTTCCGAAAAAGGATTCTAGTCATTCTCTCGAACCGATTTGCTAGGAGATCTGACCGGCTGAGATCTTGCATTATAAGAACCTCACGGCCTCTCGTGGTCTCTCATCTTCTTGGAGATCCACGGTTTGTCGCGTCTATCCCGCCCATCGCCCATCGGATCAAATATCGCATCTATCACTTCGTATAGCCGCGCGGGAAGGATACAATCATGTCGGACGTTAAAGCTAGTGAGGAGGTGCATGGCATCTCCACTGCTATCGAAGACTCTCATGTCATTGCTGGATATGGACAGACTACCAAGCGAGAGGGGGCCAAGACAAAGGAAGTCCACAACGTGAGTTTTGTCGTGAACCGGATCTTCTATTCAATGCAAACTGACGCTTCAAATTAGGCGGATCTGTTTGCTGCCATCGAGGAGACAAAAATTGAAAGATGGAGCAAGGAGTCCATCCACTTGTACTGTATGTTTGACCTGGATACGATCTCCCAACTGGGAGAAGCTGGTGCACACTTACTGACGTCTTTGCGACTTTTATAGTCTGTATCTTCATCGCATTCTGCTGCGCATGTGCCAACGGCTACGATGGTAAGCTCCTTCGAGCCAAATTCCATACGAGCGACAGCTAACATGACTCCTAGGATCCCTGATGGGATCCGTCCTGGCCATGGACCATTATCAGGATGTGTTCAAAACTGGCATGGATGGACCTAAGGTCTCTGTGGTCACTTCCCTGTACACTGTGTAAGAGATCCTCTTCAATTCCTTCATTGAGATTAGCAACTAATGTTCCCTTTTCCCCACCAGTGGATCTATTATCGCTACACCATTCAGTGCTACCATTTCGGACAAACTCGGTCGTCGCAAGTGTATGTTTGTTGGGGCTTGGGTTATCATCATTGGATCAGTCATCATCGCGAGTGGTATGACTCTCGCACAGTTCGTTGTTGGCCGTTTCGTTCTTGGTGTCGGCATTCAGATCATGATCGTCTCAGCTCCTGCTTATGCCGTGGAGATTGCTCCACCCCACTGGCGTGGTCGTGCTGTCGGTGAGTACCGAGAAGCCCCAGATTCCTTGAAGTATATGCGATGGAGAGTTTGCTGATATTCGGAACAGGCTTCTATAACTGTGGCTGGTTCGGTGGTTCCATCCCCGCCGCTGCAATCACTTACGGAACCAACTTCATTGGCAACAACTACCAGTGGCGCATTCCCTTCATCTGCCAATGCTTCGCTTGTCTGATCGTTATTGTCTCCGTTTGGTTCATTCCCGAGTCACCTAGATGGCTCATGACCCAAGGCCGGAATGAGGAGGCTATCGCTTTCCTGGTCAAGTATCACGGCAATGGAGACCCTAATGCCCGTCTGGTTCGCCTTGAAATTGAGGAGATGAAGGAGGGTATTCGTGTCGATGGTATTGACAAGAGATGGTGGGATTGTAAGTTGAAGAACATTCATCGAACCATCGCAGATTGTTGAAACTAATCGAATCTCCCAGACCGTCCCTTCATTACTACCCACAGCGGCCGCTGGCGTTTCGCCCAAGTTATCATGATTTCAGTCTTTGGACAATGGTCCGGCAACGGTCTCGGTTACTTCAATGCCACCATCTTCAAGACTATTGGATATACTTCAAGCTCCATGCAGCTGTTGCTCAATCTCGTCAACTCGATCGTGTCCGCTGTCGGCGCTCTGATTGCTGTCAACTTGACTGACAAGATGCCCCGTCGTCCCGTGCTGGTCTTTGGTACTCTTGGTGGGTTTCCCTCTTTATTTCTTGATTCCATCGACTGTTCCCAGCTAACTGATATCTAGCTTGTGCCATTACACTGGCCATCAATGCAGGTATCCTCCAGGAGGTCGCAAACAAAGGTCACATTAGCAAGAGCAAGGGCCAGGCTGCTCTTGCATTCTACTATCTCTTCAACGTCGTTTTCTCCTTCACTTACACCCCACTCCAGGGTGTCATCCCAGCCGAGGCACTTGAAACCACTACTCGTGCCAAGGGCTTGGCTCTGTCTGGCTTCATGGTTAGCAGCATCAGTTTCATCAGCCAGTTCGCCACCCCCATTGGTCTCCAGAATATTTCCACCAACTACTTCTGGATCTTTGTCGGCTGGGATGTGGTTGAGTCCGTATTCTGGTACTTCTTCTGGTAAGTTCCACTCTCTACGCTTCCCCTGTCGACATCAATTTGTGAGCTAACCCATTTGGTGTAGCGTCGAATCTCAGGGTCGGACCCTCGAGGAGTTGGAGTGGGTTTATCAGCAGCCCAACCCAGTCAAGGCTTCCCAGAATCTCGACAAGATTGTCGTGCAGAGCGATGGTACCGTTACTGAGAAAATCGAGGAAGACGCTTAGGCTTGAAGCTAAGCCTTGCACGGGTGGGTGGACAATGTTCAACAATGGTGAGACGAAGTGTGGGACTACAACGTTGCGGCTGCAGTGTATACCCATACACTTTCAGCCGGCTGCATAAAGTTGATGTGAAGTGTTTTAATCTAGTAGGTGGATATTTATTTGTATTGAGCAATTTAATGAGATACCAGTGGTTTCAGTCGCAAGTTGCAAGTCTACTTGACCTTTTTATTCCACTAAAAGTATACTTAGTTTGAGCAATGTCATCCGTCTCAATATCATAAAAGTTAGCCAGACCATCAAACATCTTATCTCGACGGAGAGTTGCGGAAGCATCCCCGTCCCGCACCTTAACCGAGCCTTCCCCGGCCCCCATGGACGAAGTGGAGCTTAAAACTCCTGGAATGAGGGGCGATCGTGATTCCACAGATTGTAACCAGGAGAAATTTGAATGCTGCGGAGTCAATTTGTTTCTGCCGAGAATTATCCAAACATATCCAGCTCAATGACCATCGTTCACACGCAAAAAGACACTGGCAGTGCCCCAGTCAGTGCCGCGGCCCGTGTGGCTCAGGGGCAGACGCCACCGAATTGGGTCGACATCCAGGAAGAACCAGCCTATACCCCGAGAAAGATCAAAATTATCTGCGTCGGGGCCGGGTGCTCTGGGATTACTCTCGCACACAAAATCAAGCATGAATTTCATCTAGCAGACTTCATTGACTACACGATCTACGACAAAAACGCGGAAGTTGGTGGAGTCTGGGTTGAGAATCGATATCCCGGTGTTGCTTGGTGAGAATATCCCGGTGCTATTTGTTGTTGGCAACATCTAATCTTTGTTTCAGTGACATAGCTGCTCGTAGGAGCCATACATTCCTCTGTTGAACTGCTAAATGACTGATTCTTTAGATGCATATACATTCCGTTTCGAGCCTAACCCAAACTGGTCTCATTTCTATGTCTCTGGCCCGGAGATTCGTGAATATATTCACAACACGGTCCGGAAGTGGGGGCTTGATGAGCATGTTGAACTGAACTCTAGAGTGATAGAGTCGGTGTGGGACGATGAGCTAGGGAAATGGAGGGTCAAGATTGAACAGAATGGAAAGATTAAGGAGGATGAAGCTGATATTTTCGTGAACGCATCGGGCATATTGAAGTGAGACTGATATCTCTCTCTGTGTGTCTTGCAATTGCTAACTCGGCCTATCAGCAACTGGAAAATGCCAGATATCAAAGGCCTCGCTGACTTCCGAGGAAAGTTGGTTCACACTGCGGATTGGTAAGGAAAGACGAGGCTATGAAATTTCTACCACACTAACTATTAGACAGGGATGATAAGTATGAGTGGAAGAACAAGCGCGTGGCAGTCATTGGCAACGGTGCATCTGGGATACAGTGTGTTGCTGCCATGCACTCTCACGTATCCAAACTGGTCAATTATGTTCGCAGTCCTACATGGATTACCCCCAACATCAATGCGGAAATGACAAAGACTGGGGATAACTTCGCATATACACCTGAAGAGCAAAAGCAATTCAGGGACGACCCTAAAGCATTCTTTGAATTCCGCAAAGAGGTCGAGAACCAGTAAGTACAGGCCGGACATTTACCGTCGAACAAGCAACTCTGACACGTTGGATTTAGTGTCAATGGAGGGGCATACGCAACTCTCAAGGATCATCCCCTTCAGCACTGGCTGAGGGGAGAAACATTAAAGCAGATGGAGGGGAAATTGAAAGCACTGGACCCATCAATTGCATCTCATATCATCCCTCAATTTGCACCCGGCTGTCGTCGCCTTACGCCTGGGAGTGGATATCTTGAAGCCTTCTCAGCCGGAAATACTGAGATGAGGTGGAAGGATATTGAGCTCATCACTGAAACTGGAATCCGCACAGTTGACGGAGATGAAGAAGAATTCGATCTTATTGTCTGCGCAACAGGCTTCGACACATCTATCATTCCACGCTGGAAGCAGATCGGGAAAGACGGGGTTGATTTGAGAGAACATTGGAAGGATGACCCGGAGGCTTTTTTCAGTGTTCATGTTGATCAGATGCCGAATTATTTCATGATCGGGGGACCGAACTTCCCTGTATCCCACGGAACTGTGACGACTGGGTTCGCTATTGTGTGTGACTATATCTTGAAATGGACAACGAAGATTGCCACAGAGGGTATCAAGTAAGTCTCGGGGGAGTCATCAAAAAAGCTACAATTAGCACAAGCTGACGCTAGTTGCAGATCGATCGACGTGAGAAAAGAATCGTTGGACGATTATAATGTTTGGACTCAGGAGTATCTCAAACGTACAGCCTTTTCGGAAAATTGTCGCAGCTGGTACAAGAACGGAAAGTCTTCTGGGCTAATCACAGGCACCTACGCTGGAACTACGAGTCATTTCCAAAAGTCACTAGAGCGACTCGGTGGCGAGCATTTTAACATACGATACAATTCTGTCAATCGCTTCTCATGCCTGGGAAATGGTCAAATGGAAGAAGAAAAAAACGGAGACGGCGAATTGGCAAGTTACTTTGTTCAGGGAGTCTGGGGCCCTTGAACTGTATGTCGATTTTGGGGACATTGACGATCGTATTATCATTGGCTGATGTGATATTGACTCATTAAACAAATGTTTCTACACGTAGACATGTATCGACTTCTTGGAAGTCGCTGGCTCATCCACTCGGTCGCTGTCCGTTGCATCCCAACCCAAAATGTCATCTTCGCTAGCATTACCGTCTGAGATACGCATCATGCCTTTCCCCGGGGCGGTAGGTGTCAGTCTCCTGGATCTAGGTCCAGAACTTCCTCCATGAGGAGACCCTAATTCATAAGTACTGCGTCCTGTCCCAGTTGTCTGTCGTCCAAATGATCTCAGAAGAGAACGAATGCAAGGAATTGACGCTGTGATAATGACTAGGTATGTTTCAATGTATAGCCAGCGATCGAGGTTGATGGTTGCCGTTGTCGGGTCGTTGACTGCGTGAGCGAGGACTCGGGTTTGCACAGTTTTGATGATGGAGGCGACCATTGCACTATTAGAGAACAACCAGTTAGTCGGATCCTTCGTACATAAAGACTCAAAAAGACTGATGACTTACAAAAGACCTAGTCCCAGAAGTGTGACTAGACCCAACTTGACTTGTAACTTCAAGTTCAAATTCCAGAAGATGTAGGTTGAGAACACAGCAAGATATAGGTCGGTAGCTGAATTGAAGGCTGTCATATACAAGAGTTAGTGATATGTTCCTGTTGAGCGAAGTGTAATAGAAAGAAAGAACAACATACCACCTTGGTAGTATCCGTAGTAGGCTTGAACTCGAACATCCCAGCATTTCCCATTTCCATCTTGTGTCCAAATTGCTGAAGCATGTCCAGGACACTGAACAAAGAGTATGACAATGAACATCACATTTGTCACGATCTGCAGCCCAGCTAGAACCCACAGAACCATTCTGTAGGCCTTTTTAGTTCCGAGAAGCCCAACGACGAAGACGATGAAGGCGATTCTACCCAATGTACCCCCGCAAATGCCAAATGTCTGCGTCAGATAGTCATACATTATGACTGTAGCTCTATTATCGGGGTTGATATCCCACACATGGCGGCCAAACCCCCACTGGACGCCCATGGTGACCATGACTGATCCGACTATAGCTAAACACTAGAGGACAAAGAAGTCAATTTTGGCCTCAAATCTCGAATGAAAACAAAATAATCTCGATATGATATTGATCAGATAACTAGAACAGGGAGAGAAAGTGCTAACCAATGCCGAAACCATCAAGATATCATCCAGTCCGAATTTTCGAATTCGTATCTTCGCAGCTACTCTCAAGACGATGATGAAAACAGCGACCCCAGTGAGCGCCCAGACTTCTCTGAGAAGTCGGGGACCCACATTGTAGAGCACCTCTCGTGGTAAAACATTCATGGTAATTGCTCCAGATGCTGGCACTTTTCGCAGCATGAGCGACGGGAACGACAAGAGAGAGTCATATCCATACCAGACAATGATCATGGACTGTGGGAGTTATATTCAATATTTTGAACAGCCGTTTATCAAGTGAAGCGTTATCACGCCTCATCGGAGATTTCCATGGTCCTAGGTTCTGGGTGGCTGAACCGGAAGTATGACTACTTTAACATGTTCATGTTGTGTGGGAGGGCCGTCGGCGGTCTCCGCTGGAAGTCCGGACACGCGACGATAAGCAGGCGTGAAATATGCGCAGTTCGTATGAAGCTTAATTGCTGGGATCAGGGCAGGGCGTTGTGTTGATAATGACTCGCTTGTTGATTGGCTCCCCGCGAAGGATGCGATCGGATCTCCTCGGGTATCGTGCTTGTACTTCGTAGGCTGAAATGGTTATTTGGCGCTGATGCAGTCCAATAGATCATGCGTGTTTAATCTGTAGTCAGGGGTCATCAGGGGTCTCTCGGACTGTCAACCCTCTATCGTTTAGCTAAATAAATTCGCTGTGCGCCGCATAAAACTAGGGCCAAAAAGCTCGGACATCGAACACATATCGAAGTAACTCCGAAATGTTACAAGAGCTTTTTTCATGGGAATGTGCCGTGGTTGGACACAGACAATAGATACAGTTGGTAGAAGGGTACAGCCGTGGGTGCAAGGAACCGGAGAAAAGATGGAGGCACTGCTCTCGTCACATAAGCCGGATCACTCATGATGACTATCAGTGATAACGTTATAGCAGTGCTAATGCTCACAGAGGAACGCAAAATGTTCCTCTCGTTGACACCTTGTTTATCATATCCCCTGCGAACCTGGAGATCTCTATAAGCTTATTTGTCTCTTTTGTTCTCACTAACTTGTAACCTGAAACAATCTACGCCGCATATCACTAGTCGAAATTTTGTGGAGAATCTAGAAGCCCGGAAAGAAGTTGTGTAAGCCAAACAAATCCCTGGATTTTCCTATCTCTAAAAAAAGCAAAATGACACGCGACCACCTAGTAAACATATCGGAAATGAGGGTTCGCTCGATCGGTGATATCCTCAAATGCGTGAGTATAGTTAACATCAGCAATAACCTCGCCCGACGCAATCCTAGCATCCCGCTTCCGGTTTTGAAGACTATACCAGACTCTCAAAGCGAGAAGAATGAGGATGACCAGACCAAAGCACCCCAATAAAATCGAAAAAGCGAGATAGTACCGCGGCGCATCTTTATCGCGGAACACTTGAGGACCGATTGAATTACCCGCAGCCCAGAACACGAAGTTACAGGCAATGATGAAAGATTTCTTGGTTTGGCCAGCGACATTTCGAGAGAGGAGAGCGAGAGAGAGAGACGAGACCGCAAAGAAGGAATAGAAGATCCAGTATGCGATGAGCATGCCGACTCTCTTGCTTGGGGTGAATGGGATCCCAAGAAGAACTGAGGATCCCAGGATAGAAGGGATGACAGATGCAATCATAATCCAGATAGTCTGGTGGAATTTGCGATCTAGGTAAGCCGAGACAACCATGGTGATTGTTGTTACCGCCCCGATGACCATGGAGAGGAGTTGACTTTCCCAAGTGGTAAAATCGAATGATTTAAGGATGATGTTGGCATAGGCGCCGATTCCGCCCGATGGGATAGATGTCAGAAGCTGGATGAGCGCGAATGCGTACACTGTGAGTCCGTCAGTAGGTGCAACCAATTATTCTCAAAGGGAAGTTCATGTGAATAGACATACATTGGGGGTCAGTCAATGCATCCCAGACCTGTTCCTTTCTAAAGTTTCGGTTCTGCAGACCAGTCTGATTCTGACGCACTCGCTCTACCATCAATTGCTTGTCTTCTTCGGACCAGCATTTTGCTCTCATAGGAGAGTCCGGCATCCAGAAATAGACAAATACCGCCCATATCACAGTGATCAACCCGTAAGTCATGAACATTGCTTCCCACGACTTGAGCGGAGACCAGGAAGGCACGAAGGAAAATCCGAAAGCCAGAATACCGCCGACAATATTTTGGAGTCCATTCATCATGTACCTATCAGGGAACTGTCAGCGGCACTAAACAGGGTCAATGAGATCTCAACGTACCAGTAGTTGATGACACTTCCTTGCTCTTCTCGCTGGTACCATGTGGCAGACAGAATAACAAAGGTCGGCTGGCATGCGGCTTCAAAGGCACCCATGAGCGCTCTAAGTATAACCAATCCGGTAAAGCTCTTCATCGCGGAAATGAGTGTGATGCAAATACCCCACAACAAGATGTTCGCAGAAAGCCATTTTCCAATTGGCACCCGTTGAATGATCCAGTTTTCCTGTAGTTTTCGTCAGCAATCAGCAATCAGAGTATATAAAATGGTTGTATAGGCTAAAGTACCGGATACTCAACGACCAAAATAGTGAGATAAACGACGGTCGTCAGCCATTGATACTACAATTTATCAGTAAGGCTACCCAAACTCAAACTTCAGCAATAACTGACCTGGTTGTCTGCTAAATGCGCATCCTCCATAATACCCATTATTGAAGCAAAAGACATCGCCCCCTTGTCCAACGTCTGAATCAAATATGTGAACATCATCACCACCAATATTCGCTTATCGATCATTCGTCGTAGTCGTTTGTTGGTCGCCTCATCAATATGTATAGCTGTTTCGGTCGCATATTTGGCAACCTCCTTGTCGACTAGCTTGTAATCAGTGTGATTCTTTTCCGGGCCTTCATCGTGGAAACTAGAGGTCCCCTCTATGTCCCCGTTCTCATTCTTATTCGTAGTAGTCATTATGGCGTTGGCGGACAAGCATTTGAATATTCTAGCAACAAGAGAACAAGGAATTGGAGTCTATTAAAATGCAGAGAAGGCCCACGACAAGCCATTCCCAGTCCGGGGGATGCGGGGGTGGAGGCCTGGGGTCGCCAGCTTCGGTAGAACATCGTCCCCCATGGGGATGCCAGCGGAGATATGCCCCCACGTTGCATGACATGCCGAATGTCCGTTGGTCGGAATTCAAGTCGCGCTAGGGATTAAATACTTCAGAGCCTGGCGGGGGAATGCCGATCATTGTCTCGGCTCTCTGTTAATACCCTCGTCGGCAACGGAGGTGGCCGTATTAGCCCTAGTCGTGCTCCACCGATGGGAGTGGCTGCTCGGTGCAACAACAACCCGAACAAGTCAATCCCACTTCACGAGTGGAGAAGAGAAAGTCGCTCGGGGAATCGTCACAGGCTTGTGAGGGAGATTAGTCTGACCATCAGCCGAGTCCACTGCCCCAGAGGTTTGGGTCTGGTTTGCTTTCAGATACACTCTTACCCTTCATGCTGTAGCGTTTGTCTAACGTCGATATCATGTCAAACAAGCCTTTTGTGGCTTTCAGCCATTCACTAGATCACCTTGATCTTATTGGTGCTCCGATTCTAGTAGACAAGCATGACTTCATCGGTGTTCACCATGCCGCTCGAACACTCACCGAGGATTTTGGTCGGGTGACAAAGGGCGATGCCAGTCCTTTCGAAACAGTAACAAATGATCAATCAATATTTTCCATCGATTTGCCTCAAAAGAGCGCCATTATCATTGGATGTATCGACTCTTGCTGGATGCTCAACCATCTAGAGCGATCAGAAAAGATTGACACTCGCTCTATTCGAGGAAAATGGGAGTCATTCCTCACTGCTGTTGTGAAAAATCCTTTTGAGGGATGTGAAAATGCATTAATTATTGCTGGCAGTGATAAAAGAGGTGCTATCTTCGGCGCTTACACGCTCTCTAGTCAAATAGGCGTTTCTCCGTATGCAATCCTAACCGCTCCAATTCCACCCAACGGTTTCAACTAACACTCCAAGATGGTATTGGTGGGCGGATGTCCCAGCCAAATATCACCCCAAAGTCTACGCCCTACCTATAACGACCACCCACGGCGAGCCAAGCATTCAATACCGTGGCATCTTCATCAACGACGAGGCGCCCGCACTCACAGGATGGGTACTAGAGAAGTTTGGCGGATACAACAGTCAGTTCTATACAAAGGTGTATGAACTTTTGTTGCGTCTGAAGGCAAATTTCATGTGGCCAGCGATGTGGCCCGGATATCCCAACCCGGGAGCAGTTTTTTTTACAGATGATCCCGAGAACCAGCGGATCGCCGACGAGTACGGGATTTGCATCTCAACCTCGCACCACGAACCTATGCAACGCGCGACGACGGAGTGGTTTGAAGAAGGACACGAGGATGGTACCTGGGACTGGACAACACATCGTGACGCGATAATCGACTTCTTTCGTGACGGTGTGGTTCGAGCAAAAGGTCTCGAGTCGTACTTCACGTTGGGTATTCGTGGTGAATATGATCGTCAGATGGCAACTGATGATCCTGGCAAAGTTGTGCGTGACGTGCTTAAGCAGCAGAGAGCACTGTTCAAGGAAGTTCTTGGACGTGAAGATGCTGTTCCACAGGTCATGGCCTTGTACAAGGAGATACAGGATCTCTACCAGGCTGGAGAATTTACAGTGCCTGATGATGTGACATTGTTGTTTGCAGATGACAACTTCGGTTCTTTGCGGCGCCTGCCTTCTGGGTCTGAGATGAATCGAAAGGGAGGCGCTGGAGTATGCTATTCACATATCCTGCTTTCATGATAGCTACTAACTGTATCGTAGATTTACTACCATTTTGAATATGTTGGGGCTCCTCGGAGCTACAAGTGGATCAATTCCAACTCATTGGTTTGTCTCTCTTGTTCAAATCTAGAGATCCAACCAAAAAGTACTCACACGTTGATAGGGCAAGATATATCATCAGCTCTTCATGGCACACTGTCGCAATGCTCGCAAGATCTGGGTCTTTAATATCGGAGATATCAAGCCGATCGAGGTCCCATTGACTTTTGCAATGCAGCTAGCATGGGATATTAACTCCATAACTGCAGACAATATCCCTGACTTCTTGAAGGACATTGCATCCAGCTATTTCAGTGATGACTTGAGAACAGATACGAGCGCCATTTGGCATGAGTATGATCGTCTGGTCCGCATTCGCAAACACGAGCACATTGACCCTGATAGCTTTTCATTGCTTCACCATAATGAAGCAGATGAGATTGTAGCCCGATGGCAGGCATTGGATTCCGCTGTCGATGTTCTTTACAGTCGAGTCCCCACTGACCAGAAAGTCGCATTTTGGGAGCTCGTTGTACACCCAGTGAAAGCCAGCACAGTATTCACACGTCTTCGAGTCGCCCAAGGTCGGAACCAGCTCTATGCACGTCAACGACGCAACACAGCCAACAGACTGTTGCGTGAAATTTTGGACTTGTTTGATGCGGACTTCAAACTGTCGCAGGAGTTCCACTCCTTGGCTGGAGGTAAATGGAATCACATGCTATGTCAGCCACATCTGGGCTACGGCGATACATGGCATGCTCCATCGAGGGATGCGATCTTTGGATTAGCCTATGTCCAGAGACATCAGAATAGCAATTTGATTGTTGGGCAAATGGGGATCGCCGTTGAAGGCCACGAAGGCATTCGGGCAGGACGTATCAATGAGGAAAGTGAACGAACACATCCAAGTCGACGCGACTTGATTCCCGGCCTGACTCTCGGTCCCATGAGTCGGTACGGCCCAACCAAGCGCTGGTTTGATATTTTCACCAGAGGGACACACGCTATACATTGGTGGACATCAGTTCCATATTCATGGATGCAGCTTTCTGTCACGAAAGGCGTTCTAGACCCTGATGGAGACGACGCTCGTGTTTGGATCTCGGTATTCTGGCACCAAATTCCAGTCGACTTCAATGAGGAAGTTCTGATCACCATCTCATCGGAAGAAGGGGATTTTGAGCACGTCCATCTCCCCATCCATAGCCAGAGTGTCCCAGATTCCTTCCATGGCTTCGTTGAAGCAGATGGCTGTGTTTCTGTCCCTGCATATGGAATGGGTGTCAAACCTCCCTATCGTCATCACCCAGAGCTCGGTCGCGGAAGTGAAGGTGCCGTCACGCTCGGAAGTTCTGACGTCTTGAACGGGAACGATACCCCATTCCTGGAATACCCTGTCTATGTATTCTCACATTCCAATACCTGCACCGTTCGTCTGTATTTCAACATGACTTTGGACATTGATCCAGCCCAACCAATGTCCTACGACATTGGGATCAACGATCAACTAGTCGAATTTCACAATCTTCTGGCAGACTCGGGGCCAAACAGAGACAAATTTCCAACACTGGGCTGGCCAGATGCTGTCATGAACTGTGTTTGGGAAAGAACTCATCCCATCGATGGCTTAGGTGCCGGTGCTCACACCATCAAAGTCAGATTGAACCACCCGAATGTCATCTTAGAAAAGATTGTGTTGGACTTTGGTGATGTCCATGAAAGCTATCTTGGGCCCCCTAAGAGTTTCTGTGTGTCGGATTGATCATCGCTGGTGTAAAGCAACAACCCATATAGTAAAATAGAGCTTGGAAATCTTCTCCAATTCTCAACATTCAGTGGCGGGCTTGTCCACAGCGGTTCCTCACAGAATTCCACAGAGAACTCTCGGCTGATCTAGCATTATCTAAATCCAGTCAATGCCAAGTTCGTAATAAGCAAGGCTTATGCATGGCGAGGACACGATTAGACCCGGCTGACTGATGGCATTTAGCCGAGCCCCCCTCCGTCGACCAATCAGAGGACGTGAAATCCCTTCAAATGAACTGTCAGCAATAAATCAGCATTAGATCATGCACTAAGCCCCCTTCTGGCCTAGTGTCCTTATTGATGCTCGATAATGCTTCCATAATCCTTGAGTCAAGCCCTGGAGCTTGCTGGAGCTTGCTGGATAATGTGAATCCCTATATAAACCCCAATACCCCTCCAAATATTTTGCTATTCATCAGAAAAAAAACCCCTCTCTTCTTTCCCTCATCACAGTATATGAGCAATTCATCTCAAATAATGTCCAACCCACTCTCACACGCCAAGATTGTCCTCCGCCGCTCCAGTGAGCGCGGATATGCGGAGCATGGCGGCTGGCTCAAGTCATTCCACACCTTCAGCTTCGCCAATTACTACGATCACCACTTCCAGAGCTTCGGCAGCCTAAGAGTCCTGAACGAGGACCGCGTCTCTGCCCGCAATGGATTCCCCACACACCCCCACCGCGATGCGGAGATCTTCAGCTATATCCTCAACGGCGAGCTCACACATCGTGACAGTATGCTCAAGAAGGGCGCTGAGGGTGACCAAGGAAAGCAATTCTTCCGCATGAAGCGCGGAGATGTCCAGTTCACCACTGGTGGAACAGGTAAGCACCTCAAGTCTTGGCCTTGAAACTATAACTTAAGGAACCCATGCTGACGTGAGACAGGTATCGCCCACTCCGAATTTAACGAGTCCAACAAGCAGGTGCACTTCTTACAAATTTGGGCCCTACCCTGGAAGCACGGCCTGAAGCCCAACTATCACACTCAGACCTTCTCCGAGGCAGATAAGCGCAAGGCGTTTGTTCCCATCTTGTCGCCTCTCGCTGCTGGCCCCGAGGCTACCATTGCACAGGAAGAGGCCGCTGTTCCCAAGATCCCGGGCACTATTCCCATCCATGCGGACTTTGTCATGGGTGCTGGTATCATTGAGCCCAAATCTTCTTTCAAGTGGAATGTTGGCGCGGGCGAGATTGTTGAGTCGAAGAGAAAGCGCAACGTCTACATTCATGTCCCCATGACCAAGCAGGGAATGTCTAAGATCATGCTCGATGGCCGTGAAGATGCCGTGCTCGAAGAGGGTGATGGTGCCTTTATCACATTGGTCAATGCTGGAGATTCGCTTCGGGTCGAGAGCATCGGAGAAGTCGAAGCGGAAGTTATCGTTTTGGACAGCAACTAAGCTATAATGTATATAATGAGTTCTTTACCTGCTTTTGACTCCTTTTGAAGATAAATTAATGATTATTCCATTTGTCAAACTCATTACCATAAGACTTCCTGTAGTCAAGGAACGGCTCTTGTGTATCATCTTCCTGGAGGCCTTTGTCCTCATGAGCGGTACCAAGGCAAATGGGCTAGTATATGCAGTCATTCATCGGAATCGCTCAAGTTGAGATCCAACTACTTTTTAAATAACTTGAAGCAAGGTACGGCGGCAGAAGATTACCAAAGCAGGCACTTGATCTGAGGCAAAATTTGAAAACAAAATGGCAGAAAACTGAGAAAAGTAAATAATGGCATCATTTGGAGACCAATAAAGCCAATAAGACCTCATCACAAAGCCAAGTGGTGACGACTCAAGGCTCAAGCTGCCTCCAAGATAGAACCATCTCTGTTCGTTTTAAATATGCAACAGTGTTTATGAGAAGAGTTTCAAGCGCCCTGGGCCTCTTCAGTTTCTTTCCCCTTTCAGTTCAATTTAAACGAAAGAATGTAATGAGAATGTGATACCAAGGTATTGGTAGGAGTTTTAGTAAAGCATGTTGTGTTGTAGGGAAGTTTTGAGCAAAGTTCCAAAGATATACGTAAGCATTTTTCACCCTTTTACCTCAAGAATTTGAAATTAGGCATTTGCTATCACTAATGGCCTTTAAGCTTGCCCTCGATGCTGGCTGGACACTACTTGGTGGCTTGAGAATGAAAATCTGTTGGCGGGTATTGTCTCCGGACATTAGCACTTCACGCCACAGATATTTCACAACATGTCAAACCACGATATGTGACTTCAAGAAATTAAAAATAAGGTTAAGGCCCTGTCAAGTAATTCTCCATTTCTCCGATGAAGCTTAGGTTCATTACATCCACATTGGTGTGCGCACCACTCATCCTCGTGTGTTGCCGCTTTGAGATAAGTCATCATAATCTCTCCAAGCGGTTTGAAGTTTCAATTATCTCATTTAATGCACATATGCCTTCAGAAAAAGCCAGCACGTTTGGGGCCCGGTCCGATTTGGGACTCCGTGACTCCGTGGAATGTAGGGGCATACATCAATTGCTTCTTTCTCCTGTATAACGGGAGCCCATTCTTTTAGTGTTCCGACCTATCGCTTACTCCAAAATGTACCGCTGTCACTTTCTGTGTTATTTTTCAAAGCTGGCTCTGGAATTTTGCCGACAGCAATGGTTTATTGAGCCAATTATGTTAATAGAAAGTAGTATTGTCACATTACTGCCGCCTCAAGCCCCAGGAATATGTATAGTTGCGACAAAGGAAGAGCTGAAGTGTAGTAGACCCTTAATATAAGTACCAACCAGGGGCGTGTCCAAGAAGTGAAAGGTTTCAACTGTTCAATTGTCCTCGTTCAGACACGTACTATTTGCAGTACCATCTACGTGAACATGCATGCGCTTCAGCCTCTCTTCCTGTTCAGTGCAGTCTTCACGACCGCTCAAGCGTGGTCAAAATTTGACAATGGGGAAGTAAAGGTAAATCACATATAAAACGGAGACGTTTGGTATAAAGTGCAAGAAATCTAATTTAAGTCTTATGCAGGAGCCCGCTTATCCTGCGCGATGCCAGGCGGACCCATGTGCCAACATCACCTTCACCAACGCAACATATGTTTGCGGTGATAGCCGTCTAGGTCCTGTCAAGCTTCCTAAAAGCTTTCCCCTGTCGACGGAACTTGCGACGTACGCGCGATTCGGTGATCTCTGCCCTTACGAGTTTATTGAGAAATGGACATGGCCCAACGGGTCATACCACTATCCTTCCAATGATGGATTCGTTCTGAACGATGCGGGAGAGCCAATTGAAGGCCAAACTACACTCCCGGTTGGCCGGAAGATTGACCGTTTCGGTGGTGAATATGGCACTTACTTTAGCCCCTTGGGTGCGCCTTACATCGAGCGAGCTTTGCCCCCTTCGAATTTGGATACATTCGATGGCGATTATCCATACAACTACTATGTTTATGAGGTGATCAAAGAGCTTAATGTTACTCTTGGGCCAATTGCGCCATGGTTTGAACAGCCAGGATTGGGCACTCAGTTTATCACACCCTACAATGCCTCAGACCTCGTGGATCTGAAATATATTCGGCGTCTGACCAAGTCGGAGTATGACGAGAAATCAGAGTTTTCAGACAACTACACACCGGGACCAAATTCTTAAACACGCCGAGGTGACTGGATTTAGCCGGGCGACGTGGCGTTTTGCAGTTGATGGCGATCATGGAGCTATATGGAAAGATGAGTTGAATGATGAGTAAACAGACAGAACTTGAATGGAGCAGCTATAATACGTGTCTAGCTATTAATAAGATTGCAGTCCTTTTCCTATTTTACTTGAATATCGCACGCAATAAAAAAAGCGTAACTAACATAAGATTCGATATTACTATTCATGCCACTTTCAACGAATTATGGAAAGAAGAAGTTGGCGCGCAGATTATCGATGCGATTTGCAAATGTCGCTTCTTATCTTTATACGGTAACTCTGGCCAACGTAGTTGCTGCATTAGTCTAGTATTACCTCAGTATGGAAGCCATAATGATGTTCCTCTTTTATCGCACTATGAGCCCTCACGACTGCACCATCAGATTAATAGACATTCCGAGCACTCAGTTCCCACTCATAATAACTTTCTCGCCGACAGATGACATTGTATAGATTATAAGTTATATGATTAAAAATTATGGAAAGTAAATGTAAATATATGGTGCATTTACATGGGAGAAAGATTAAGCTAAAATCGGTGTGTTGCCATTTCTGGCAACACCCACAGAGCACTGATAGGTTCTCACAACCCTTGCTTCTTAGTATCTTGAAAGAATAAATCTGCGGATTCAGGATCAATGGTCGATCATGCTATACAAAGAGACCATACGCTATCTGCGCCAAAAGCGATCCAAATGTGGGATATCCGAGAAAGCCGAGAATCAACAAAGAAAAGCTGCTGCCGAATCATGTTATCGCAGACTAAAGTATCTACTAGAGTCGATCGAGAAGACTTTGGCGATCATGGGTTCGTCTCTTTTATGAAATTGCTCGAATCCGGGTCTGAATACCTTGAATGGTCCAAGCTTGATATCTTTCGGCGTTTCCCTTTGTCCCTGGTATGTACGGAATCGATTAAAAAAGGACTTACTTTGAAGATCTTTGTATAAGTGGTTTAATTCAGTGTGCATTAGGAATGCCTTCTGTGCCTCGCAATATACACCTTCTGTATGCGCATCCCATTTTCTCTGATTTCGGCTGGATGCAATTACAAGTGTTGTCTTTCAGAGAAAGCTTCGGGGATCAACTTTAGTGTCTGTATATGTATTTTCGAAGTTTGTTCAATCATAAAAACAACAGACAATAATTCAAGAACTTGATCGCCACTATCTTTTTGATTGGACCTCGGTGGAGCGGAGCTTACGACCTACATATCAAGGTTGCATACTACCATCCCTGCCGTATAAAAACATAACTAGCAATTCTAATATACCACTAGCCAAGTACTTGAGCTTGAAGAGCTTTTTAATATCATCCTCTGAAGGTGGTTTCTTGATTTCCTGAGGCCAGCATGGTGTTCAATGCCCCAATTGTAGCAAACTCTCGGCCGAACTTATAAAAATATTCAGGATCTCTGATGTGGCGTTAAAGAGGTCTGGGCGTTGCATAAGTACGGATCAGTACTCTATGTGGCTTCCTCCAGGATACCAGGTCTGACCTACTGTAGCCCTCAAAGGAATGAGTACGATCCGTGGGTCCGATCAGGTCTATAGAGTATCCCCAGAAATTATTCAATGGAAAGTGGCAATTCAGGCCATACTAACAGGTAGATATAAACCTTTTCTTAGCCTCAGAGCAGAGTTAGTACATTTTCACAGTCCACTGCCAAATAACTTGGCTCCCACTCTACTTATATCTCTAGAGAAATGGCTGATTCAGATGGATCTGAATCTCCAAAGAACAGAGTACCTCAGCCAGTTTTTCTTGTGAGTTCTAGATCTGAGATTTCAAAAGGTGGATTGTTACTGACTCGCATCCTCTATAGGGTCTGTTATGGACTCTCACGGGTTTATCGTTTATTTTCGATTCCTTCCGCATAGCAGTCCATATCCACTCATTCCGTCGCCTTTGGATAGATGATGCTCTTTCCATAATTTCCTGGATCATTATGCTCGCGGCAGCAGTTATGTGGCAGGTTGAAGGAGGGATTCTGTATCAGATATACGCGGTCAGCGACGGATTGGAAGAATTCTCTCTGGATTTTGCCGAGAAATACGTCTACTTCTTACGCTTTACTACTCCATATCAGATGCTTCTCTTCACTGGTCTGTGGTGCATCAAGTTTGGATTCATGATTTTCTTCTATCGGCTCAGATCGAAAGTACGAACGCACCAGATACGGTACTGGGTTGTGCTTTTTTTCACCGTGGTCGTCTATATCTTGTGCATGGGGCTCATCGAGTACAAATGCAGCTTTTCAGGGGCGGATTACATTCTAAGTGAGTATTTTAGGGTCTGCCAAGGTACGCATACTAACGCCGTTGCACAGACGAATGCCCGAAGATAAATCATATTCATTACGAGCAACGCACTTTCTATGTTATGTGTGCTGGGGATGTTGTCACAGGTCTAATGAGTAAGTCGACTGAACCTATTTGACTCAGAACTTTTTCTAATGGTACTTTTCACTTTAGTTCTTTCTGTCCCGATCGTTACTTTATGGAACACACGAATCTCACGCCGAGATAAGATGGTCCTGTTTAGCATTTTCTCAGCCACTTTACTGGTCATGATTATCTCTATCCTCCGTGTATCGGTGAACACTTCTCTGAACACTCCGGTCGATCCGGGCTGGCTTATATTTTGGAGTTTCATTGAGATCAATACAGGTATAGTGTCAATAATCTATGTTGCCGAGATTTTTCCTTTCTGATGTTTTATCCACAGCTATCATAATTTCATGCGCCGTTTCTCTTCGACAAATATTTGTCAAATCGAAGCAGCAAAGCCCTCGACCGTCAGCCGGTTCGTCCAACTTGACACCAAGAAAATCATATCCTAAGGTTCATCAACGGTCTATTGGAGATCTTGAATCACACGATAATGAGGATATTCTGTTGTCGTCAATGAGTGATGTGCATGTCCGACATGAGTTTGAAGTGGTCAGTACTTCTGCAGCGGAGAGTGCCGACGACCAGACGTTGAGTCCACAAAAGAAGAGCTTTGCCTAGTTTCTTGGACTTTGTGGGTACGCGAGTCTAATCTGTTGCCTCTTTGTCTGTCATCTCGATGTTGTATGTTGTCATTCGAATATCTGACTCTACATATCATCACCATATATGAAATAATGTGAGGCAATCAATAAATTTTAGCATGAAATACATTGATACTGAGATTCCACGGCTTTGATCAAGGCAAATGCATATACTACTATATAAATGTTTCAATGTGGTTATAGAGCGATCTCGCGCGTAAACTCAGCCTCAAGCCGATACAGCCTCCTTTGACTTTCTCTCCTGTGAGAGATCAAAATCCCCAAACGACTCAACCCCTGCTCCACGCAAGTAGTCCAAAGGGGGCTGAAAGCCGACAAATCCGATGTTAGGGCTAGACAGCTCATAGCCCATGGCCTTTTGGGCCTCAGGTGACCAAGATAAAACTTCATCTGCAGAGTTTGCGAGGTAAGTATTCTCTTCTTGCCGATGGAACCCACGCGTAAAGAACATTCCATGCAATTTCCGCCGTTCTGTCGCTGTCATATTTGCCCCTCCTGCGTGATAAAGTCCACCCAACATAACCCAGCAATCAGTCACATCCATCTGGGCCGCACCCGCCTCATGCATCATTGGGGCACGATCGGAGCCCCAGAGATGACTTCCTGGGATGGCCAAAGTGGCCCCGTTCTCCACGGTGGTCTGTACTCCTGGGACCATGAACGCCATCATCACGTCTGAGCCGACTCGATAGCCCGTTGCTGTTTGGTCCTGATGATCTACATGAAAGTTTTTGTCATCTCGATGTAGTCGTTGAGCTTTGGCGCCTGGGCCGATGTCGAATGTCATGGCAATGGAGCACACTGCTTCACTGGTGTAGGTGTGCTTGGTCTCGCCGTAGAAGTTGGATGTTGTTTTATCCACAAATTTGGCCGTCAAGGTTCGGATCAGGCTGTCCACTAGCCATGTTTCTCTGGCTGTCTTACTGCGACCAGCGAGATTGGAACATCTTCGAGTTTCTTCGGGGAAGAGATCGCCCTGTCGGAAATGAGAAGCAACTCCTGAGAGACTGGGGGTCTTTACTTACCTTCCATGGCTTATCTTGGTCAAGGTAAGGCTGAACTTCGGCATTCACCTGATTCACGGTCTCGGTATCTGTGAAATTCTTGATAACACAACAGCCATCCTCGATGAGGGCTTGAATAATTGCAGCCTCGTCCCCGCGATCGATACGTTGGATCGTTTGTTTGACAGCCATATTTGGTGAATCCGAATCTGATACCAGGTGCGAACTACAGCTAAATAGCCTGCGAGTCTTGATAACATGGCCATATCCGACGAATGAAGGGCATTCTATACTGGCAGGTGGAGCCGTAGCGCGGAGATAATCAACTGCCAATGGCTGCGCCTTTTTTTTACCTATCGCATCCCCCACTTTCTGAGGATGTCAACCCCGACACGCTCCTGTTTGAGCTGCCGCTTTCGAAAAGTGCGATGTGACCGAGCATCTCCTCAGTGTTCTCCGTGCAAGAAGCGGGGGCTGCAGTGTGAGATCCCCGATCCTCCGCCTAGACTGCTTTGGCTGCGACCACTAACTGGGGTCGGCGAAGAGCCAGAGGAGACCCATGCAAGGCGAGAGCTTCTTTTTGGGAGTATGGAATAATCTCTCCTCTCAAAGATGGCACTGACTTCTTGCAATGCAGCTCATGACCAAGCACAGAATTCAGCCGATTTGGTCTCGTCAACTGGCGAGAACTCCATCGTGTCAATCTTAGAAGAGCTTGACCAGCAAAGCGATAGCATTTGCCTGAATGAGATCTTATGCAATGGTCCATTCCACGTGTTTCAACATGAGGAAGTGCAACCTACCCAGCTCGATACTCTATCCGAGATTCTCGGTCCAGGGTACTGGGATACTTCAATCGCCGATATCGATCATTTAGTTTTGGCTCATGATAGTTCACTTCAGCTTGCCAACCTGGACAATCCGGAGCTTATCAACTTTGATGCAGAGCTGCTTACTTCCTCGCGGGACCTATCTGCATTTAGCGCGTTGGCTTTTTCTGGCGCCAACACGCCTGCGCCACCAATTTCATTGTCTGTTTCTTGCGGGGAGTCCCCAGCAGATCTTATTGACTTTACTCTGTCGACCGCTAAGATGTTACTTGGCCATTATCGAGACACTATGGTATCATTCTTTACCCCTGCACGGGTCGCGGCGCAGTCCCCGTGGGAAACAATGTACATTCCCAGTGTATTCTGCACTGTGGGCGAAATTCAACTATCAGGAACCAGCAGCAACGCCAAATTATCTCTGCTGTTTGCAATCTTTGCGGTCAGCGCGTTCAGCTTGGATGGGCTTAATCGCGTAACAGACGCGCCAAAGCGCCAAGACTGGCGTGCACTCGGTGAGATGTATCGTGAAAGGGCCAACAGGCGATTAAAGAGATCGCTATATGACCTGTCATCTCGGATCAGTAGGAAGAAGGATAAGTATAAAGATATTCTAATGGCTTTGCTAAGCATGGTGACAATTTGTGTGGGTTTTGGAACCCCTGTCGAATCCCCTTTTAATTATGCTGACCAGTCCAATAGGTGGTGAGTGGGAATATGAAACATGCAGCATACTATTTGAGAGATATTGAGGAGATCATCAATTTGTATGGTATGCGCAAAGTTGCTCGCTCATCCAAAGTGCGCATGCTTCATGGTATCTACCTCTATCTCAGAGTATTAACCGAGCGTGCTTGCGCCGATGACCAACGGCCGAACGCAGGCGTTGGGGACCGCCACATAGCCTTGTCAGGCGAAGCTTCATATCCACAGCTTGCAAAATGGGATCAAATCCTTGGATTCACTTCATCCGGGTCACATTCTGACCTCTCGGCAATTCATAACATCCCAAGCCATCTACCTTACAAATCAGCATTCGAAGAAATATACTCTGTCCCGCAATCACTGTTTAAACTTATCCTTCAAACAACGCAACTGATGAGACGCGTTCAAAAAATGCAGAATTTTGGCAGATCAATGGCCACTGATCACGATGCACTTGCGGTAACGGTCAAGGAGTTGGAGACCAACATTTGCGATTGGGAAAGTCAGACTCGTGATGATATTGAATCTCATCGCGCAGCAAGTACCCCTCAGAAAGAAGAATTTCCGTATCATCTCGTTCAAGCAGTCCAAAAAGCCCTGCTCATCTACTTTTATCGATGTATCAGAGACGTCAACCCGGCCACCTTACAGCTTTACGTGCAGCAGACCATCTATCATCTGCTTGAATACGATAAGCAAAAGAAGAATCACAAAGACCAGTCCGCCAATACTTGCTGGCCAGGGTTCATCGCGGGATGCGAGGCACAGGATCCCCATCTCCGAGATGAGATTGCCAACTGGCTTGATCGATCGGGTCAGTCTACTGGTATTCGCATGTTCACTGTAGCTCGTGAGGCAATCCAGAAGGTTTGGCAGGCTCGGAGCTGTCCTGGTATGGAAAGCGTTCCTTGGAATCAGGTGCTAGACAAATATAGTGACCTCAGGGTTTTAGTGTTAAGCTAATATTGCATTGGACTCTAATGGTCGACCATCACATCCTCTTCTTAAAGAACTTCATTTTTCCTCCCTTGATACTTCACAGAGATTTGTATCCATCATGCGATATAGCAGATTCATACTGCAGATACACCTGGAATTCAGCGAAAAGGCTCTCCTGCATCACAATTAACAAACTGGATCACGTACTACAAACATCTCAAAACCCTCGGAAAAAGACTTACCGGGTCACTTGTGTTCTCAAACGTAAACCGCGCAGCCTCATCATCAATAAGAACCTTTCGACGACCAGCAGCAACAGCAGCGTCGGCAGCAAGCTGAACCTGACAACTCTTCTCCATCAAAAGGAAAAGATAAGCGGCTTCGTCCACGGTTCCTCCAACAGTCAACAGGCCATGATTTCTCAAGATCATCCCCTTACCATTCCCAAGACTCTTCGCCAGCGCGTCCGACTCCTCTTCTTTGAGTACCACTCCCCCAAAATCCCCATACACGCTCTGCGCATCACCGTAGAAGATAGCAACATCTTGGTTTAGCATCTCAAGCGGCTCAGCAAAAGCCGACCATGCTTTACCATACGTCGAATGGAAATGACAGGCTGCGTGGACATCAGGTCTGTTCTTGTGAATGGCACTGTGTATCAGGAAGCCTGCTGCATTTGCCGGTCTAGAAGTATTGCCTCCCACGGCGGTCCCTGATTCGTCGACGAGGATCAGGTCGGAGGGGGTTATCAGTCCGAAGTGAAGGCCCAGTCTGCAGCCATACGTCATTTATTAGCCTCGTCTCGCGGTTTAGTACTTTGCCGGAATCGTAGTACTCGGAATTAACCCTCAGTACCTACGGATTTGTCCAGAATCGATCGGGGAATTCGGGGTCTCGCAATGAGATGTGTCCTGCCATGCCCTCCACGAAGCCATGTCTAGCAAAGACTCGGAAGGCGCCTGCCATATGATTGAGCATGTAGGCCCGTTGCTTATCGAGATTGCTGAATTCGGGGATCCCTGGTAGCGTCGTTCCCTGAGACAGGGCCTCCAAGCCCTTGCTCTTAGTTGGGACGGTATCAGCCACTGAGGGAGCCATCTTTCATGTTCGGATATCAGATAAGAGGAGAGAATAAAAGAAAAGAGTTGGGGAAATTTTTGAAGGCGGCGCTTTCGACTCTCTTATCAATGCGGGGAAATTGGACTAGGAAGGCGAGGCCGAACTTGTTCAATGGAGAGATTTGAGACATTCTTGGCTCTTTTATAGACTGATTATGATGTATATATGTAGGGAGGGGGTAGTGAGATCTTTTGTTTAGATCTCAACTGCATCTTCAACTACAAAAATGGACTCAAAACTTCCTACTGGAAGTCTCGACGGCGCAGCAGATTTACCCAAGAAAAGGGAACCGGGCCTCCATGCCGTTCACTCTTTTGGAGAAGGCCAGATTCAAGAGGATGTTGAGAAATCAGGCAATCTGCATCGGACATTGACACCTCGTTTGATTCATGTAAGTGCAGTACCAAGAGCGAAAGGATCTACCATCTCCAACCGAGCTAACGATCATTCCTGCACAATGTAGGTCATTTCCCTGGGCTCCAATGTTGGCAGTGGCCTTTTTATTGCTACAGGTAAAGCCCTGGCACAAGGAGGTCCAGGAAATATGGTGATTGGCTATCTCATTGTTTGTATCGGCGTATGGGCCAATCTTCAAACCCTAACGGAAATGACAATCGCATTTCCTACATCCGGCAACTATATCGACTATGCCGATCGTTGGGTTGATCCTGCATTGGCATTTGGGGCGGGATTGGCTGAATGGCTAGGTGAGTGTGGACTGTCCGACTACACCTGAGGTGATGAATGTGCTGATGCTGTTTGGTAGGGTGGACGTCGGTTTTCGCATCCGAGGCTACATTTTTCGTGGTTCTGGTCAATTTCTGGGCTAAAGGGGTTATTCCAGAGGCTGCTCTTCGTAAGTCCTATATTCCAACCTCGGAGCTGCATTTTGTCTCTTTCTCACCTCCAGTCAGTGACAATCTTTCTGGTTATCTGTCTTGCTGTCTTTCTGGTGCCAAACAAATACTTTGGTTGGTTGGAGTATTTCGGATCCCTTGTGAAGGTTTTTCTCTTTATCTTCATTACACTCATCTCCCTTGCAATCATTGGCGGTGCTGGTCCGTCAGGTTATGTCAGAGATGGAAGCACTTGGACCGACTTGCCAGTCTTCAAGAATGGTTTCGGAGTAAGTCTAGCTCCTGTTATCCCCTGGTCTTGGTCTCACATTCTGTTCAGGGCTTTGCAAATGCCGCTCTACTTGCAATCTGGGCTACTGGAGATCAAGTCTTCATCGGAGTAATGGGCGGCGAAGCGGAATCACCGCGATATTCCATGGCGCACTCAGCAAATCTAGTCCCCTGGCGAGTAGGAGTCTTCTATCTCCTCTCCGTCGTACTTGTTTCTTTAATTGTGCCGTCAGATGATTCGCGTCTACTGGGAAGTTCGAGTTCTGCTGCCTCTCCATTCGTCATTGCGGTGCAAAATGCAGGACTCAAGGGCGTTCCCGACTTGATCAACGCCTGCATGATCATTGGAATTACAGCAATTGCACTGGAGAGCATCTTCCTTCCGTCTCGGGTCCTTCGCACAATGGCACTTCAAAAGCTCATACCCTCCTTTTTGGCAAAGACGGATGAAATGGGAAGACCAAGATGGGCTCTCTCTATTACGGCCATTGTGGCAATTATCTTGACTTATATGAGTTTAAGTGGTAAGTATTGACCGTTCTGCCTTTTCCTAATTCAACTTTCTAACCAAATTTGATTCTATAGCGGGCGGATTAGAAGTCCTGAATTGGCTCATCTCTATCACAAGCACATCTTTCTTCATAAACTGGGCGATTATCGCCTTTACATCTTTTCGATTCCGCGCTGCGGTCAAAGCTCAGAAAAGCCAGATCTTTAACGGACCTTATGGCTGGAAATCTGCTTATTGGCCTCTTGCTCCGACAACGGTGTTGGTTATTTCTACCTTTCTCCTGGTCTGTGTGCTGTATTTGAGCATCGACGGCGTGGTATGTCAGTCATCTTCCTTGCTTCGAATCAAATAATAACAACTATTGGATACAGGCCCAGACCGGTTTCACTGTTTACAGTTTCTTCTCCTACAACATTGGCCTTGTCTTGATTGTTGTCTCAATGATCTTGTACAAACTCATTTTACGCACACCCTGGCGTGATCCAGCGATGGCTGATCTGGTGACTGCTCACCGCATACTATCAGCGAGTGAGATACAAGAACTAGATGCCTATTATCAGCGACCGAGCTGGCGACGAGTGGGTACATATTTACGGATGTGGTAGTTATCAGCTGTGTTATAGTTCAACTAAACAGAATGTAACTTATACACCAACTCAATCAAAGCTGTTCCCCCATGGCACTAATATCTTTCACGGCATCAAAGTCCTCCAACAATGCCTGGAACTTCGACTTGGACATTTTCCAAGACACTGCTCCCAGAGGCAACCGAAGCGGAACACGCTCCTCGCGGCTCGCAATTTTAAACAAGGTCTCGGCAATAGCAGAAGGCTCCATTCCCATGCCAAGTTTCAATCCCTGGCGCACATAGCCCTCCAGCTTTCTTGCTGGCATATCAGGACCTGCATAGGCGGGATGAGGCGTGATATGTGCCTTGCTATGACCTTCAAAACTAGTTTTGACACCGCTAGGCTCGACAATACAGAAGTTGACTATGAAGCGTCAGCGGCCACGTTCATCGCTGAAGAGTCCGGAAATGCAAAGAAAGAATAAATAACTCACTGTTCCAGTCTGGATGCATCTCCCTGGCGACCGATTCCGAGAATCCCTCCACGGCAAACTTGCTAGCATGGTAAAAGGCATGACCGGGAAACGCGCACAGCCCCGCCAATGAGGACATTTGGAAAATCAACCCCCCGCGACGATCTTTGGCCTGTCTCATTACCTCGATACTGCGGGTTGTCACACGCACAGTCCCGAAGAACAAGGTCTCCATCTCCTGGTGCATTTCCTCTTCCGTTGCAGCCTCGGTATCACCCGAAAGGGAGTACCCGGCGTTGTTCACCACCACATCTAGGTGGAAAGATTCCCCAAAATGCTGTGCTGCTGCAGTAAATGCGTTGTTCACGGATTCGACCGAGGTCACGTCCAGGGCAAGCTTCAGAATATTGATGTTGTCGTCTGGGAGGTAAGATAGATCGGCTGGATTGCGCGCTGTTGCGATAATGCGCTGGTTTGGCTTGCTTGCGATCAAAGTGGCAATTGCGCGACCTATACCTGATGAGCATCCGGTGACTGTGGCTTTGGTTAGCATACTCCTTCGCTATGCTCACGTTGCGCATTGCATTACCTAGCCAGGTGGCACCATTTGGTAGCTTGTAAGGCTCAGTATTGACAGGATTCATTGCATTCAGGTCTCTGGGACTTTTCAATTGATAATACTTCTTTGGTCATTTGAGATGAGCCAGCTGTTTAAATACCCTCGTGCCTACGCCGTTCTCGGATCTATAGAACCCATTTCCTCCTCGGCTGTGATTGGCTGGGAGATTCGGCGACCAGAAGCAGCTTAGCGTGCAGTTGATACTTGGCTTCTTAACAAAGTCCCTGCAATCGGCGTCCAAAAGAAGTTTGGTCTATCAGTCTTGGATATAGGTTGGTGATGTCTGAGCGCATTGGGGTAGAGAGTAAGGGGAGTAGTCATATGCCGCAAAATAACGCACTAAAAGCAATTGTCTTTGGGACACAATTCATCATTAATCTGTTCCAATGTCTTTCTGATCGCATAGAAACAATCGTAAAACAGTAGAACGAAGGGGAAATGGCTAACATTTATACCGTGACTGTGACAAGGACATCGAAACTCGACCAAAAATAGGATCGGCTGACATGGCAGAGGATCTCCAGGATATTCAAAATCCGGGGAAACCGACCCTTTCAACATGAATAAAGTATGTCCATATTCTTTTTCAGTTGAACAGTTATTCGTCGCCATCGTTTGCAAGAGTCCGTAACAGGGACCCCTAAGCGCGGCTATCCACCCCGATTCGGACGAAGCCCTACCCGTTACATCATGTTGACTCCCTCGAGCCCATTTAGGGGGAAACTCACTCTGCAAGTCAATCCCCGCAATATACGAGCTGGAACTCATATAAGGTCTCATCCCCCATGTAGAAAGAAGTATGCCCTCTTCGCCATTAACAAAATGGTCCAGCTCACCCCTTCCGCCTCGATGCTTCTCACAACCTTGACAGCCATGAGCGCCGCAATGGGTGTCTCCGCAGCAACAGTGACCAGCAGTCTCCTACTAGCCTCAATTGCCGACCAGCTATCAATCCCAGCATCGACCTGGTCGGCCAACGGCACGCACACCGCAAAAGGATTCACCAGTCAATCGGCCGACACGGCCGACATCGACGGCCTGAAGCAGGATTGCGATAATATCAATCTGAACAAGAAGCTCGCGACTGATTTCCGCAGTGATGTGCTTGGTGCGGGTGTCATCGGCTTCTTTTACAAGTGCGAGAAGATCAGTGATGATACCAATAAGTACTGGTTTACTATCAGTGCTGGGGACAAGGCCCAGATTGATCGGCTTTGTGATCAGGATACTACCTATCCTATTGTTTACGATCAACAGCATGATACGTGGTTTATTGATGAGCCGTTTGATTGTACGCGTCGGTCTAATCCATCCGACTTTTATTGAGGTGGGACATTGTTTGCGTTGGTGAGTTTGTGACTTGCTGGACATGTTGATTGTATGATGCTGACAGTGCTTTGAAGTGGACATGAGGCAGAAATGGGTCATCGCGCTTGAAATCAACCTTGGAAGGAAGATTCATCAACATTGAAGGATGGCAATACTCAAGAGTTGGAACTACTTTTGCTTCTGTTGAGTCTTCTTGTATTATGTGACCCCAATGCAATACTAAACTTGGAAATTCGATTGGAGATGTCAAAAAGCAATCTTTGTTCTGAAAAATAATAATGACAAACAAAAAGGAAAATGGTGTAGAGTACAAGACATTGCCAAAGTAAAGCAAGGAGTTAAACATCAAAGAAATAACACAGGAAAAGACCGTAGAAAAGAGAGCAAAAAATTACTATTGATCCGTCCGGGCCTCAGGGGCATCAAGCCCCCACTCAGTCTTCAGATCAGGAGTGGGGATACCCGATTTCTTGAGAATAGTCTCAGCAAGAGCAGGTATCGAATTACTCGTAAGAATTTCCAGAATTTGCAAATTAGCCTCCAACTCGCGGGTGATCCAGTTTCGGATCTCAATGGCAACCAATGAATCCAGACCATAAACCGAAATTGGAGCAGCGGGGTCAAACTCTTCAACAGGGCGCATGAGAATAGTCGAGATCTTCTGGATGACAGCAGCGCCGATGGCTGCCTCGGCACCATCACGGTTCTTGGATTGACGGATAGCAGTGGCTGGGGAAATTTCGGTGCCGCTCTGCGCGGACTCGGCCAGTGCGCCTGCGCCAGCGAGGGTAGATAGGCGCAAGAGGTGTGAGAGCTTCGTGTCGTTTACCCAGAATGGTTGTTCCGTGATTGGTGTTGTTTTGACGGCTTCGAAGCCTGCGACGCAATGTCCTTCGCAGGTTGTGTCGAAGTCTTGACGGATGGCGGCAGTGACGAGGCCACGAATGTCTGTTGCATCAACGGATTCAGTGCCCAGCTGCTTTGTGATTGCCTCGCGCTTTTGGTCGTCTGAGAGGTATCCGACTCCGCGGACGACGGGCAGATCGATTGTTGAGCAGCGCATCTTGGCAGACTCGGGGTATTGGGCCAGTGCCGCCATGAAGGTTCCGCTTGCTGCGTATGGGGATTGACCCATGTTGCCGACGAAGCTGGCGGCGGATGAGAGGTTCACGAAGAAATCGACACTGCCATTGTTGGTGGTGATTGCGTTCTGGATATTCCAGATACCGTGAACTCGGGGCATCATAACGGTCTGATAGTCCTCGAAGCTGAGCTTCTCAAATAGTGTATCCTGAGATTTCTGTTAGCGGCAGTTTTGATTGAAACCAGGATGAATAGCTTACACGAAGGACCATGGCTCCGAACACAACACCGCGAGCAGGAGACATGCGAGTGAGAACGGGGACGAGGTTCTGTTCAACACTAGCCTTGTCTGCAACATCGCAGCGACAGACCTCGACATTGACACCTTGGCGAGTAATCTCTTCGATCGTCTGCTTTGCCTTTTCAGTCGAGGCACCGCTCCTCGAAACCAGGATAAGACTTTTGACTCCTTTCTCTGGCAACCAGCTGGCAATTTCAAGGCCAATTCCCCCAGTTCCGCCGACGATAATGTATGAGGCATCAGGGTTGAGGAGATTCTCATCTCTTCTTGCGGGATGAACCTGGATTGTTGTTCAGTAGACGTCTAAACGTTATTGTAAACAGGGGAAACATACCTTGACCATGGAGTCATTTGTAATCTGAACAACCATTTTACCAATGACCTGCCCACCTTGCAGAGCCCGGAACCCAGTTTCAACCTGGGAAATTGGTAGGGTGGTGATCGGCCATCTGGCCTGGGCATCAGAATCGATAAACAGTTTGAAAGCATCACGAAGCAGTCGCTTGGTCAATTGCGGGCGTTTCTCCCGAACCATGCCCAAATCAACCGAGGCGAAGGACAAGTTCTTGTTGAAGTGAGCCATCTCCAATCTGGAATTCTGCGTAATGTCGCGCTTGCCAAGCTCGATGAACCGTCCGAAAGGCGCAACACATTCAAATGTTGCTTGCAAAGCATCACCACTGAGGGAATTAAGCGCGACATCAACACCTTCGCCACCAGTGGCTTGCTTGATGCCCTGGGCAAAGGAAATGTCGCGACTGAAGAAGATTTGCTCCTCCTCGAGCTGGTATGTCTCCATCAGGAAGTTCTTCTTTTCGATGCTGCCGACCGTTGCAAAGATCCTGGCTCCAATGCTTTGAGCAATAATGATTGCAGCTTGACCAACTCCTCCAGCGGCGGCATGGATCAGCACACTCTCATCTTGGGTCAGTCGACCTAGATCAATAAGTGAGTAATATGCCGTACAGAACACGGCAGGAATTGAAGCTGCAATCTCAAAGGATATGTTATCTGGAATAACCCAAACACCGGATGAGGGGCATCGGGTGAAAGTAGACAGAGAGCCAGGCGACATTGCACAGACACGATCTCCAACCTTGAAATCGGATACTGCAGAGCCAATTTGAGTAACAATACCACTGCATTCCTGGCCTAGTCTGTCACCCTTGAGTTGACCCATGGCCATCAAAACATCTCGGAAGTTGAGGCCAGTGCTGTACACTTGGATTTCAACGTGATCATCCGGCAACGCTGTGTTGCGAGAGACATCGTCTGTGAAGTAGAGTTCATCCAAGCCTCTGCCCTCGCCAGCAGCAAGCTTCAACGCCCGGTTTTGCTTAAAAGGCTGGAGCTGGGCAGGCGCATTCGGTGTCTCTTGTTGAACACTAAGGTTCAATGCATGGTTGTCGACCAGTCGGGGAACACAGACATTACCATTGCGGACAACGAACTCCCAGTCATTGTGCATCAACTGCGAACGCTGGCAGAAGACACCTTTGAAGACATTTAACATGTGATGGACAGCTTCGGCGTCCGGCATAGTCTCGCGTTCACCTAGGTCCAACGTGGCAAACTGGAGACCAGTCTCTGATCGGACTGTTCGGGCAAGGCCAATTGCCATGTTTGCACCAAGGGACTCCAGATCATTCTTGCTGTGACGAACGACCCACAGTAGACCACGAGCGCGGCTCAGCAGACGTTGAAGTGCCTGGAATTTCTCCTGTGTGAGATGAGACAGGATGGATTTATCCATACCACCGAGGAAAATACACCATTTTCCGGTGACATCGATCTCATCGGAATTCAAAGCAGTAGTGGGCAAGGCGCCGGTTACTCGTTGAAGACCGGACTCCAAGCTGAGCAAAGAAAGACTGCCGATTGACTCAGGACCGACGATGACAACATCACCATGGTTCATAGGTCCGACAGCCGGGCTGTTGGCAGTAGTTGTCATCAGACAACCGGACTGGAAGGATTGTCCTGGATACTCCTCAACGCAAAGATCAATACCGCTGAAGTCGTTTGCCTTCATAACATTGCTCCATCCCTCAACAGTAAGAAGGGGCCCGTCGTTACGGAAGTCGTCATTGGCCAGCCACCATCCGGAGAGAAGAGCAAAGGGGAAATGACGAGCCTTGGGCACAGTCTCCTCAATCAACATGATTTTACCGCCAGGCTTGAGGAGGGCTCGAATGTTGGCCATGGTCTCATTAATGTTAGATGTGGCATGTAGGACGTTGCAAGCAACAACAACATCATAAGACCCAGTATTGAAGCCCTGCGCAGTGGGATCAGCAGAGATGTCCAGAGTCTGATAGGTCATTAGATGGCACCAGTTCTCGAACTTGGTTTTGGCCTTCTCAAAGAAACCGGGGGAGATATCGGTGTAAGTGTAGTGCCCGAACCGAGGAGTAGACCCAGCTTCGCCGCCGCCCATGCTTTGGAGAATGGGCATCGTGGCACCACCCGTACCAGCTCCGATCTCGATGATGTTCAGCTCAGGATTTTGATGGGCCATCTTGTCTATCACAACAGAGACATTGGCATAGGCCTCGTGAAGGGCATCGAGGTCAGTGTAATATCCGCCGATTCCATCGTCTTCGAGGAGAACAGTCAAGGCGTCGACCTTGCCACGAAGGATCTGAGGTAAGAGCTCTCCGACCTTGAATGTCAATTCGCCGGCTCCGTTGACTGTTCGATTCTGTTCTAAAATATCAAGGGTTGGAGCCTCTGCTGGGTCAGCCTTTTCACAGGTGTTCTGAGCCCAGCGGTAAAACTTCTGATGCTGGGGCTCAAAGGTAGAGACTTCGTCTTCCGACACAGACTTCAGCATTTTTCGCAAGTAGTACTCCGCAACGGATTCGAGCTGCTGCATGCGCTTTACACCTTGTGCTGTGTCTGTCTCTGGGCGTGCAAGCTGGCGGTAATCGTCCCCGGAGAGGAAGTCAAAGCAAGGCTCATATTGCAACTTGTAGCAGATCTGGTCAGGGGCATTGTCCTTGGATCCCTTGAGCTCGTTTGATACGGGTACTAGAGTGATACCGTTGATGTCAATCAAAAGATTGGCAGAGTTGCTGGGATCGGTGGCAAAGATGCGGTTGTTCTCCGGGTCAGCAGCTGATTCAGTGCCTGATTGCTGGCCGTATAGTTGAAGTTTGGTGCCAGCAGTAATCTCTTGACTCAATGAAACCGATATACTCTTGACATGAGAAGGAACATGAGTAATCTGAGCACCGGGCTCGCCATAACCACGGAGAACCCACATAACCTGGCTGCACAGATCAAGTGTGACTGGGTGAACGATACAGGGGGTCTCGTAACCGAAGGGCATGGCTGCCTTGGTATCCGGAACACAAATGGTAGCCATGGCCCGACGGTCTTTGTCCACCGAGATATCAGTCAACCGTTGGAAAAGCGGACCATAGTGGACACCACCGCCGGAGATATTCTTGTAGAGCATCTCGTGATCAATCGGTACGTTACAAGCATGGCGCATTTCCAGTGCCTCTTGTGCAAAGCGAGCTGTCGTCTCAAGCTGCTGTCGCGAACCATCGACAGGATTCACATCCTTAGCTTCTTGAACCATGATGAAGCCATTGCAGTGCTGATCCCAGCCACGACCTTCGGCCCATGAGAAAATCTTGAACTCGTGCCAGCCGAGGACGGATTTACTAGGGGCCTCGGTGCGGGTTGGTCGCAAGCTGAGCATGGTCTCTACAGAGGCGTTGTCCGGGACGGTGAGAACGCGGTTGATGAAAATGTCGCGCAAGTCAATCTTGCCCGGCGTGATGTGGTGGATTTGGGCGTGCTGAGAGATGGCTTCCATGGCCATGGCGAGGAATCCTGTCATGGGGTACACATTGCTGTCGTGCACCCTGTGTTCACGAATCCACGGGTGGTCGTCGGCACGAATAGTGTTTCTCCAACGGGGCTCGAAGTCCACATTCTCGATGGTAAGTGAGCCAAGGATATCACTACGAGGGAATTGGCGATGGAAGTGATTGTCTCCTAGTCGCGAGCTAAACCAGTACCGTTCAGTGTGGTTCCAGGGATACTTCGGTAGGTTGGTCACCACAGAGAGCTTCCTGCCCGAGCTGCTCAGGTTAGGGAAGTTGATGGCCTGGAAGTTGAGATTCATTCCATTCATGAACAAGGAGCCAGCCAAATTCTGAACAGCCTCAATGGCGTCAACCTTCCGCTTCAAAGTATGGAAGTACTGCACATTACTCTTCGGGGCGTGCATCTGAGCAATCTCCTTGACAGGTGTTTGCAGAGCAGGATGAGGGCCGATCTCCACCAATGTTGTGACAGGTGAGACAGCCTTTTCATCTGTTAAAAGACTCTTCACGCCCAGGACGAATTCAACGCGGGAAACCAGGTTGTCAACCCAGTACGACGCATCTAAGGTGCTTCCCGGAACCAATTTGCCGTGCACGGTTGAGTGGAATGGAATAACAGAATCTTGAGGCGCAATTTTCCCCAGTAACGACCGATATTGTTGGGACACAATCTTCATATGGTGAGAGTGATAGGCAACATCGACTTGCAGTCTGCGCGTGAAAATTCCTTCCTTATCAAGAGCGTTTTGGAGAACGGTAATCACTTCAGCATCTCCGGACAAGGTGACACTAGACTCGCTGTTGACACAAGCAATGACAGCCTTGTTTCCGCGCATAGCATCCAGAATTTGCTGGATGTCGGAAGCGCTAGCTCCAACAGCCAACATGCCACCCTTGATGGATTTGTCGTTCGCGACCATGTTTGCTGCAACACCACGGGAATATGCAACACGGACACATTCCTCCAATGACAATATTCCGGCTGCATAAGCCGCTGCAATCTCTCCACTGGAGTGACCAACCACTGCCTTCGGGCGAATACCCCATGATGAGAGCAGGTCCACCAAGGCCAATTGCACTGCAGTACAAGCGGGCTGGCTCATATATGCTGCCGAGATTGAACTAGTGTCGGAGTCGGTTAAGAGCAATTCATCTTCGGAATTGTTAGCGTTTGCGAGTTATGCAAGGAACATTTTGTGAGAACTAGACGTACCAATGATTGAGAAGGAGGCACCGAGTGACTTCAGAGAATCATCCACGGACTTCATGGTCTGCTTGAAGATCGGATATGTACTCAAGAGCTCCTTGCCCATACCGTGCCATTGTGCACCCTGTCCAGTGAAGACGAAGCCGACAGTTGGCTCTTTGGAAGAGCGGACAGGCTCAGTGCTCAACAGAGCGGTATTCAACTCTGTAGTCACCTTCGAAGAGACAGCAGATCTCCACGGAAGGAAGCTTCGACGCTGGCCTAGCGTATAGACCATGTTATCGAGCAGACTGTCATTAAATACCGGCGGGTAAAGATCTAAATATCCTCCGAGCGCTTTGCCCATCTGAATGGCTGCTTGCTTGTCATATCCAGAAAGAACATACAGTTTGCGCGTTAAAGGATCTGCGTATGCCGCACCTTCGCCTTCATGGCGGGTTCCACGCGCGAGAATAACGTGGGCGTTGGTCCCGCCAAAGCCGAAGTTGTTCACGCTAGCGTAGGGCTTTCCACGGGGCCATGGCATCAGTTTCTTGGGTACCTATTGAGCTCTAGTCAGTAAGTGGCTCGTCTCTGCTGGCCAGTCCTGTCTTACTTTCATATTCCACTTTTCCATGGGAATCTCTTCATTGGCTTTTTCAAAGTTGCAGTTGGGAGGGACAAAGCCTCGCTCAAGTGCCAAAGCAGCCTTGATGACAGACACCACTCCACTGGTTCCCTCCAAGTGTCCAATGTTCGACTTGACAGATCCAATGAGCAACGGCTGTCGGGGAGATCGACCCTCTCCAAATACAGCATTTAGTGCCGTTGCCTCGAGCGGATCGCCAACTTTGGTGCCAGTGCCGTGCGCTTCCACGAATCCGACCAATTTCGGATCAATGCGTGCTTCTTTATACACTTGGCGAATCAATGCTTCCTGGGCTTCCCCGTTTGGCATTGCGATACCTCTAGTGCGTCCGTCTTGATTGAGACCACTGTTAACAACAACAGAACGAATCGCGTCTCCAGCAGCCTCTGCGTCCTCGAGGGATTTCAATATAATACATCCAGCACCTTCACCACGACCAAACCCAGTTGCTCGATGATCAAATGCATATGAGCGGCCGGTGTCGGAAAGCAATCTTGTTGGGTAACTTGTTAGTTTCGGAGGAGAAACAGTTCGGCTGTTGTGCTTACCTGGAACGGGTCATAGACACAAAGGCCTCGGGAATAATATTCAAATGACAGCCTCCTACAATGGCGAGCGAACATTCACCATTTCGAATGCTTTGCGAAGCTAAATGCAGAGCAGACAAACTGGAAGAACAAGCAGTATCGACAGAAACACTGGGGCCATTCAAGTCGAAATAATAAGAGACGCGGTTTGCCTGCAATGCCATAGCCGTTCCCGTGGCAGCATACATGGGGATGCCGTCGATATCTCTCGTGTTGTTGATCTCATAGTCCGGAAAAGAGCCACCAGCGAAAACACCCACTTTCTTTCCAACGATATCTTGCTGTGGAATCCCGGCATTTTCGAGAGCTTCATACACACATTCCAGCATAATGCGCTGTTGCGGATCCATGGAACGGGCTTCTTGGAGAGTGATATTGAAGAAAGGCGCATCGAACAAGCCAAGATCCTCTTTCAAAAAATGCGCTCCTTTAGGGTTGAATGATCCAGGACGATCCTGGTGCGGGTGGTAAAACGAATCGGCGTTGAATCTACTCTTTGGAATTGGCGACCAGGCACTGCGGCCTCGGGAGCAGAGATCCCAAAATTCATCGAGTGTCGAAACATCGCCGGGGAGGCGGCAGGACATGCCAATGATGGCCATGCGCTTTGGAGCATCGCCAGTCATTTCGGGCTCGGCAATGGTGGCGTGCTCGGTCACTGGTGTGCCAGTCCCGGAGGGTTGTTGGAGACGCATGTTGGATAGATCGGGTCTTGTCTAGTGAATTTGGTCAAATTATGTACCTGGCACTGTCATCACCAAAATCAAGCAAGAGTCCAGAGAAACGAGTGTCAGATGTTGAGAAGAAACGGAATATATGGAACAATAGGATCACGAAGGAACGAAATGGGCAATCGATTGAGGTCCTTGGGAGAGGAAACGAAGGGTGATATCAATTGTTATGGACATCAATCCCTTGCATGATCACACAAGCGCGTGCTGATCTTTGGCTTGCACTTCCCCGATTGAAGGGGAAGGCGAATCGGACCAGGGTATTTGGCGTTGAGGTCCAAGCCTTCTTCCTTGATGACGCAAACCAGTGGCAGGTGCCTCGCGGGATCTTACAGACACATGCGCATATCCCTCTCCACTCGTTAGTCTCTTCCAGGGCTGTAGATCAGAAGTAGATCGGATCGTGTCTTGGGATGTTTTGACCAATGTTGTGGGGCCCTTGCTAAGGCGAGGGTGCATTCCAACAAAGGGGCAAAATCCCCGACCCTGGCAGATTCTTGGTGGCATCATTTGTCCCTGGCGTGACTCTTATACACTCTGACTGATATATCCGTTCTGCTCGTGGACCGTTGGAACCGGAGCCGAAGCAACCATGAAGTTCCTCTGTTTGCCGGGAGGCTATTGCAACATCACGGTATGTTGTAGTTCACTATCTTTCGAACCAAGATATTAACTCATACACTAGTCCCTCACAACTCAATTAGGTGAGAAACCACCATGGATGCTCAATGTCGAAGGTGGACGTTGAAAGAGAGTATCTAACGTGGGTCCAGGGCCATTTGCCGACGCGCTCCGCACTCTTGCCGACGCCGAGTTCTTCTACATTCAAGGCGAGTTCAAAGTAGAAGTTCCAGAGGAACATGCTGGCTTCTTCGGTCCTCCTCCAAACTGGACGTTCGCATGTCCCGATGGACCCGAAAAGATGCTCATCAACATGAGCGACTTTCCCAGGCGCGACACGCCAGAGGAGGCGATGAATGTGGCGAACGATCTGGCTGGCAATCCCACGTTCTCGTGCATGCCTACAGTCATGGATCGTCTGATCAAGATCATTGATAGCGAAGGCGATATTGAGGGAGTAATTGGCTACTCCGAGGGTGCCCAGGTGGCCGCCTCACTCTGTCTGGAGGAAAAGAGAAGACAGGAAGCATATGGTCGGCCTCCTAGCCTGAAGTGTGCAGTCTTCTTCTGTGGATGGCCTCCTATTCACCCGCACACGGGGAAACTCGTTCTGGCTTCGGATTATGAGGAAGAGCCAATTACCATTCCTACCTGCCACGTCATCGGCGGCGCTGATCCGTTCGTTGATGGCTCGATGGCGCTGTACAATATGTGTGAAACGGACACTGCTGATCTCTTTGACCACGGAGGGGGTCATATCGTTCCAAGAGGGAAAAAGATGATCGACGAGCTGGCCCCAATTGTAAGCGAAATGATTTTCTCTGTGCTTTAAATCCGGTGGTGCAGTTGGCATTTCAATTCAAAAAAAAACAATGGACAGATTTTATATCTCAGGCGTTCCACCTATCACTCGAGTAGCCCTAATTCATCACTTCATTCACCTCCACGGCTATAGATCCAGCCACTAGAATCATGCTAAGTATCAACGAGAAAGACGACTACGCCAACAACGGCCTCGTCTCCGCGTCACTCCCATCCTCAATCTCCATCAGACGACCCTTTCCAGGAAACAAAGCAAGGAAAGTGCCAATCCCCAGAACACCAGAATACCCTCCATGACTATTCTCCCCATCACTCACCCGATCAGACTCTGTCTCCTTCCAATGCCGTCTTACACGCTGCACAAGCCAAACAACCCCAAGAACAACCCCTCCAACCGCCCCCGTGCCCAGTATGGCAATCAACACGGACAAAACAGTCAACGTGCTCGCATGACAACCCAATGGAAGCGCTCTAAGTTCCCATCTCTCCTTCGAACCAAGCGGACAAATCGTCTCCGAGCCGATGGGCGCCAATATCGGTATCCGTGCTGTATTGGGGACACAGGTCGACGACTATAATGCATCAATCCAGGATTAGTCAGCCTCGTTTTGGTCTCCCAAGTCTCTCTTTCTCTAGTATCAATAGCAGCACCAGCACTAGTACAATACGGGGAAGAGGCAGATCCTGCCGATCGGGTATGGATCTGGAATTGCAGTGTTCTGTGCACAAGTGGCTTTTCTGAAACCCCTCTCTCTCTCTCTTTCCCCCTCTTGCCATCCCCCATTCCGGAGGCTGGGAAGCAAGGGAGAATGTGAAACAGTAGTGGGGAATCTGGATTGGACTAGATAGAATGTGAACGAAAAAGGGAGAAGGTGAAAAAAATCAATTCAAAGTCAAATCATTGACGGGCGGATGTCTGTACATGTAGCAGGGGATCAGTGCAGTGTTGGGTTGTTCATGGTTGTGCACTGTAGATGAAGAGAGAGAGGGGGAGAGAGAGAGACATCATGCAGTAAAGAATAACCTACTATCGCACACCAGCTGCATGGAACATCTCCTGCTAGACAATTCAGACAAGATTGTCGGCGCCAGCAGACGTGGAAGAGGGCATCGTCAGCGGTGGTCAGGGGGCTGCTGCTGTTTACTAGGAGTTCGGGGTCCATGACTGGGACAGGGACACATGTAAGGTATTTGATAGCGAGAAGCTCTATGCCCGAGATCAATTGTGCTCCCTTGCAGTGGTGAAGGGGAAGAGGAAGTTGGACTGAAGTTGGGGCTTCTTTGTTTGCGGGGTTGGTATACTCGTCACTGTGAGCCAAACCCGGACTTTGGAACTTGCATTGCATATCAAGTTACCGGGGATATGCTCGATGAAGTCCTGGAACAAATACAGTCTACAAGATCCCCATTCTGGCCAAGTGGTAGTACAGTTCATATTAGACTAAGAAAGCATGAGACCATAACATGAAAACGTGACTGGGGAGTCCAAATCCACCTCTTCGTCCAACATCAGATATTTCAATCCAAGGCAAATACTGGTCCAACTCAGACCACACGTTTGACCTATCAAACGATATGTTAGCATCCCTCCTCGGGGTTCAAGGCTAACCTCAATGGAAGAACCAAACATACCTCGAAGAATCTCTTGAGCCACCACACTTGGAACACACCCTCACCAATAACAACCGCCAGCTGGAACATACTCCACCACTTCACACGGCCGTTAGTGCTCTCGGCTGTATTCCGGTGTACCCGCTCGCGCACCACAATGTACGACTGCTCGTCCTTGACCTGTGTCAACGCCTCGGAGAGTTTGCGAACTAGATATTTCAAATGATCAGCCCGGAGCCCTTTCTGCCAATTTTCCTCCTCCCAGGGTCATGGTGGCGCTTACCTTCAGTCTCGAGGGGATCCTGCGACATCTCGGATTCGGGCACGTAGACAATTCCATGAACGTTGAAGGAAACCTCCTTGGAGTTGGAGGTCCAACCCTCATTGCTGAAACAGTAGTTGTATTTTCCATCGGCCTGCGCGGTGAACGAATAGTCCTCGGAGGAAACGGCTTGCTTGAAGTACTGGCGGTTCCTCAGGGGATCCTCGACCTAAAGTGCGGCGAGCAGTAGTTAGCATCTGATCCAGGGAAAAGGTTCGCTGAGCCGAATTGGATCCATCCTCCATCGCTTGGTCTTGTTTTGAATGGTATATCCTCCCGCTTTGTTTTTGTTTCCATCTCCATCTCCGTTCACTTCGGGCACTCCGCCAGATCCACCATTCAGAACAATCAAGCGACTGAATTGAGGAACCCAAGGCTAGGGATTTGCCGTACCCAGAAATCAATCTCCAGGTTCCCGCTTCCTCCAAACTCCCGGTCTCCGACCTGGAAAGTCACGGTCATCACATCATCGCGGTGCAGGGACTCGTGGAAGCATTCCCGTGAGTGGGCCTTGAGCTGGATGGTGTGCGCGGTGGCAGCGCTGATGTATCCCAGCGCAGTGACTAGGAGGGTAGTTGCTGAGAAGCGCATTGTGACGGTGTGGTGTGAATGTGAATGTGAATGTGAATCTTGTCAACACGCAAGGTGTCAATTCGTGACGCTCGGACCATCTCGAATAAACAGCGACTCCGCCTTTGCTTATATGCGGAAGTGCAAGGCGTTGGGTTTGTTTGATGTTTAGTGGGATTTAGGGACTTTCATTTGACGTAAAAATAACTGAGTATATCGCGATAGAAATATTAAAATACCTTACTAGGTGATTTCATGCTAAATGTGGGAATATATCCTGTGTTGCTCCTCGCTATGAGTGTCTTATACATCACGACATGGCTTTGCAACCGTAGATTAATCAAGTTCCAAGAGTAATTTATTAATAATTCTAAAGACTTATTCCCACTGGATAATAGAAACCCAGAGAATAAGTCAAGTACATAAAGGTTGACGATAACTATACCGATGGCAGAATGTAGGTCCACACACAATAGCCAACAAGGATAAGCAGTGAACAAGAACCAACAGAGACAATGTGGCAAGATTACTACTCATTCAGAAATCATAACTCTATAATTCTAATAAAGCCTTCATCGAACAAGAACCTACAACAATCAATTACAAGGACAGCAATTCAAAAAAATAAATCCCACAAGAAGTCCACGTATAAGGGCCCCAAGTTAGAAATCAAGTAACTTAATATAGTAACAGGAAGAATATGTAAAAAGAGCGACATGACTATTAGTATGCATAAAAGAGGGAAAGTGAACGATAGGACAGGAGAAGAATAAGGGCTGGAGTGTAGGCAAGTGTAAGTGGAAATCAAGAGAGATATTCAATGTACAAGTTTTGGCGAAGCAATAAACGAGAAAAAAAAAACGAAAAAAATCCAAACCAAAAACGGGGTGGTATCAAATCCGAAAACACGCAAACATCGATCAACACGGGGATAAAGCCGAAAGATATGATATGTATGCCGAGAAGGGGGAATATGGTCGATTTAATGAGAGGAGAGAAATGAGGGATGGGAAATGGAATTGGAGGGTTGGGGTGAGAGAGGCGCACTGCAAGTAACGAAGAACGCAGGAAGTAATAGGTCAGATGGGATCAGAACAAAGGAAACAAGAGCGATCTGTCTGGAGAAGATCAGGATCACCAGCCAAAGCGTTGCCGTAAGTGATAGTCTTACTATCACTCCTGCTCAGCAGGACTTGGACTCAGCTCGTCTTCGCCTGGGCCTTCAACTTCCGACTCGGCCTCATCATCTTCATCTTCACCTTCAACCTCATCAATCTGAGGCCCAAAAGGACCATCATCGGCACCCTTCGGCGAAGCAGAGACCATGCCATCGACAGTACTCTCATTCTCATCAAAGTGGCCCTCCTCATAATTTGCCGGCTCGGCATCATGATCATAGCTTGAGCGACGAAGCAGAGGCGGGGTTCTGGGCGGTTCGGGGATAGGGATATCCTTACGAACTGAGCCGCGTCTCGGGGTAGAGGTGAATCCCCTCAAGGGCCGTGTCTCAGCGAAACGCGCAGCAGCGCTAGTCTGCGGGGCATTCTGGCGAACGTGGGAGCTTGGTGGTGTTAGGAGACCCGAGAGGAAGGCACCCGCGTTACTTGGTTTTGATGGAGTCTGATCGGATGAGCCTGCATTGTTGTCGCGGGCTTTGCGCCAGTTTCCCCAGGCTGCGGCTGCGGCGAGGGGAAACGAACGGGGCGAGGCGGCGAGATCTGAGAGGGATGGGAGGGCGCTGGCACCCGAGCCCATGCGTTCCTTTTCTTGCTGTTGCATTTGGAGGTTGGCCTTCAGGCGGATGGCTGCGTCGCGGACGGCGTGTTGGTTGAAATTGGGCTGTGAGACAGTCTTGATGATGTCCTGGAGATCGTCGATACGAACGCCTAGAAGCTCGCGCAACCAGGTGATTTCGGTATCTCGCTCCTTGATCTTGCTTGGGGCATCCTTGTCTATCGCGGAAACCTCTTGCTCAAGCTCCTCAATGCGGGTCTCGCGCTGCTGGAGTTGGTCCTGGAGAACGAAGATAGATTCGCGCAGAGCCTGAGGAGAGATACGTTCGGGCTCGCCAGATCCCTTGCTGTAGGACATGGAAGGCGTGGACCGAGAGTGGGAGGGTGCTGGAGTTGGGGCCGGTGATGAGACGTCGTTTGCCTTGGCACTGTGAGCTGCCTCAGCAGCTGCACGAGCAGCAGACTGAGCAATCTCAAGCTTCTCCTCGAGATGTTGCACTCGCTCCTGGTAGTGCCTGGCCTTGTCCTCCGCTAGAGCAACACGTTCGTTGGTAGTGTTCTCGCCGCGCTGGCGATCTTCAGACGAATTGTGCAGAGCGCGAGCGTGGCGCTCACGCAGGTCATTGAGGACCCGCTCGTGCATCTTGCGAGTCTCATCGATGGCAAGATCCTTAGCTGCCAAAGCAGTTACCTTCGAGTCTCTAGCCTCCTCCAAGAGGAGCTCATAACGCTCCCGGGCGGTATCAGTATCCATGCGGTTGTTGTCAAGCTGACTCTGCAGGCGAATAATCTGAGCCTCAAGCTCAGCGCGAACAATGTTGACCTGGCTGTTGGAAGCCTCCAAGTCTGCCTCCAGCGAGGTACGGGTACGCTGGATTTCAACCCGGCTGCTCTCACGAGCTTCAGAGAACTCGCGCTCGAAGCGACCAGCCTTCAGCTGCAGATCGTGGTTCTCAGTCCGTAGACTGGTGATCAGATCCTCCAGTCTACCATTCTCCTGCTGGCCTTGTTCATAGAGGAACTTGATCTTAGCAGATTCCCGCTCCTGCTTCTCGAGCTGACGAATGTCCTCCTCGAGCTTCTCACGAATCGCAAGCTCGCGGGCGTGAGAGGCGCGCAGTTCGTTGTTCTTGGCGATTTGATCCTCCTCCTTCCTGCGCCAGGAAGACTGGTCACGGGTAACATCAGCAGTCAGGCTGATCATGTCATCCTGAAGACGATCGAACTTCTCAGTGAGGTTCTGGCGAGAGACCATACTATCTTCAATCCGAGTCCGTAGGTGATCGATAGTCTCATGGAGAGACTTGTTCTCACCCTTGGTGACATCGAGCTGACGACGGAAGTTATCGCTAGAAACGCGGTACTCATCCAGAGTTCCCTCCAGGGCAATGTTCTTGGTAGATAGCTCAGCGATAGTAACCTTGAGGGTCTCGGTCTCCTCAGAAAGAGACACAGCGCGGAACTGCATTTTCTCGAAGTGGGGAATTTTTTCTTCCTTGAACTGGAGGAGACGAGACTCGGCATCTTCAGCGGCGGCACTGTGACGGGCCGCGTCTTCCTCGGCGTACTTCAAGAGTCGCTGGAGCTCAGTCATAGAGTCCTGAGCCTGGCGGCGATCCTTATACTCCTGGTCAGCGCGCTCGTCAGCGAGACGAAGCATGCTCTTCAATCCCTCAATCTGAAGCATCAGACTATCAGCACCGATCTCCTCGGCCTCAGACAGGCGAGGCGTCAACTGGGCTTGGTGGGCCAATTGCTTGGCCATCATTTCCTCGACAATTTCACGCATATCGCCAACAGGGTCCTGAGCAAGCTTCTTGATAGTCAAAGCTTGCAGCTCAGCAATACTCTCCTTGAGCTGAGACATCTCACTGTGGCTTGAGTGTGGCGCCACACGCTGAGGAATATCATGGGTGACGAGCGCTTCCATGACGACGTTCTTGAGCATCTCCAGCTTGCGCTCTCTGAGGTTGTGGGGTGACCGATCTCTAACAGAGGCGGTCTCATGCTCGGTATCATCCTCGTCATCGGCGTCGCTATCCTCCATTTCGGCGGAGGTGCTACGGAAAACGCGACGGCTTGAAGCACCAGTGGCAATAGAAGCAACAGATTGCTGGATGACAGCGAGGGCCCGCTCCATTGGACCCAGGCGGTCATCAATGGCAGAGCCAACAAGATCGTTGATGCGACGGTCAAAGAAGCGGTTGCGGTTCATAAACTTCTCATCTTCACCCTCAGAGATCATGTCGTCCCAGTCGCTGACGTGATCATTTTCAGTAACAAGCTGGCGAACAGGGGACTGAAGACGGGAGATAAGACTTTTCTGAGGAGAGAAGGTAGCATTGCTGTTGGCATCGATGTCCGAGCCAAGCTTGGGGATGCTGAGCTTGTAGGTCTTGGGGACACCACCAGGGCTAGGACTGGGGGCTTCGCTACGGGCCTCTGCAGAACCAAACGGCTGTTCTTTTGTGGGACCTCCCATCGACTCTGTGAGGTGTTCCTGTCGGTTTTGGAAGGGAGTCATGTGCGCGGGAGTCGTGTAGGCCGGAGTCATGCGTCTTTCGATGCCAACGTCCGAGTCATCGTTGAGCTGCTCCATGATTGCGTTCAACTCTTCATCATCGGGCGAGTCGTTCTCAGAGTCCCAGTGGAATCCCAGACCCTTAGGCTCGCGAGTGATGATTTGGGGCTCTGGCTTCTCAGTAGATTCCGTATCCATATTCTTGGGTGGACTAGCAGCAAAGCGGGAAGCCATGATGCCGGCTTGAGGCTTGGCAGCAGGCTTCTTCACAGGTGTTTCAAGAGGCTTCTGCTCAGAGAAGCTATCAGGCTGGACTGAGGTGGGTACAAACTCCGAAACAGCAGGTTTGAACTCGAATGCAGGAGCAGTGGGCGAAAGAATGGTGCTCTTGATGGAATTCTTGGATCCATGAGCGGCATGGTTAGGACCCTTTGCAGCAGCAGTTTCATCCAAAGTAGCCTGCTTAGGTTCACGCTCTTCGATGACAATATTCTTGGATTCTCCAGTAGGCTCCGCCTGGACAGGCGAGGCACCATTGGACCTATTCTCGGCCTCGGCCTTGGCATCGAAGAGAGTCCAAGTATCAGCCTCGCTGGTAGGGGTGCCTCTGCGTTCGACAGGGTTCCTCTCATCAGGCATGGCGTTCTCCTTGCCCTCGGCAACAGACTGGAGGGTGCTCGAGGACTGCGCGTTGCCGGCCTCTCCCAGAGGGTGGGTCGAAATGCTATATCTAGCTTCGCCTTCAGCGTGGCCCACACCACGGCGAGCACGCTTGTGACGATCAGAAGGAACAGGTCGGCCATCTCCGTTATCCTCCATATTTTGCTCTTCTTCTTCTTCTTTGTTTTCTTGTTCGATTTCATCTGGACGCACGATGGGGATAGCCTTGGATTGCTTGGATGGCTTGGAGATCTCGTCGATGTCAATATCGCCGAAGATCTTGGTGCGGTTAGGCGAGGGTTGGTCGACGCTGGCAGTCGACTGAATGCTGGCAGATGGGTTGAATACGGGAGCATCCACGTTGAATGATGCAGCAGAGAATTTGAAGCCGCTGTTGCTTTGTGGCTCAGATTCAACCGGACCATTCATGCTGCTGTCAGGCTCAAAGGCATGAGGAGCAAAGCCGAATCCTTGCTGACCCATGCCGCCAAACTGGAACGCATCATTGTTGAAAGGCACAGGCTGAGCACCGAAAGATGTCGAAGGATCGAATGCCTTGGCCTCCACATTGAGAGAGGAAACGGAGAGCTGTGAGCGGTGGCCATGATAAGAATTTCCGCTGGGCTGGGCCTCATGCCACGGAACTTGGTTGGGCATGACACCACGAGTTTGTGGGGTTCCGGAAACACTGGGGTTGGTATCGAGATCGGAACCTTCGTGCCCGTGGTGCTGGTGGTACTCATCGTAGAATTGGTTGGGGTGCTGGGAGAAAGAGTGAGATGCTTGACGAGAGCCATCTTGAGGATGCTGCTGGTCGTGGGGCAATGCCCAACGTGACTTGAGCATGCTGGCATTAAGACCTGCGTGGTTGACATCGTGATAGTCATCTTCCAATTGACGATCAATTGAGTCTTCCAAGTGATAGTCGGTATGCTGCATCTGGTCTAGTCCTCTCTGTAGGTTTTCGCTGAGATTATGGCCATGTCCACGAGGCGTAGGGTGGGCGATTTCAACATTTGAGGCGTGGAAGTGATCCGGGTGCCCATTAACAGGGGTCTGAGGAGTCTGGTATGGTAGGCCCGCTTGGTGCATATCCGAATGCATACCATGGCCGAATTGATCATCGAAGACACCCTTATCATTAAAGCCAGCATGGAAAGAGCCCTGATCGTGCATTGGTGAGACTGGTGAGAGCATGGATGCAAACTGGCCCATGGCACCTGGACCCCCAGAAGCACTAGCCTGTCGGGCATTGATGAAGCCTTGAGGAGTCATAGAGCCCTGGGCAGGAGGTGTGGGCTGGAACTGGAAGGGATATCCTCCCATCATATTCTGTTCCACGCCCATATACGGAGTCTGGATCAACGGCGACGCCATGGAGCCCAGACCAGGCGTAGGAATTGATGGTTGACCGAATGGAGAAAACGTGTGAAGTTGACCCAGAGGATTACTGGCTGCTGATCCAGTGGGAATGGGCGGCGATGCGACGAGACCTGGGAAAGGAGTGTTGCTCTGGTTGACAGAGTAATCAGGCGAAATGGAAGGCTCGGGCTCGGGATCACCAAATGATACTCCGAGAGCCCGGAGCTTCTCTTCTTGAAGATTGGCGACATAAGCATCCCAAACAGCCCTATCGGGGAAGTTGACAACGAGCTGCTGAACCTTTGATTCCTCGTGGAGCTCATATGGCTCGGGGTACAGGGGTCGGCTCAAACCTCCCAGAGCCGTGGTTTCTGAGGGATCCTCAGAATCACCAATGGTGAATCCGCGGATATCGTATCCTTCATCCTCCCATCCCTGCATCCGCTGCTTGACGTCCTCAGGAGTCATGAGACTGACGCCAGATTCCTCTGACCCTCTCGTATCCTCCAATGGCAATTCAATGATGCAAGCCTTTCCACGCCAAATCTTCTTCTTCCGTCGAGGAGTTTGAGTGGCCGACCTACTAATCTCAGAAAATTGTGTTTTTAGAGGAGCCAGGTCGGTATGTGCTGCGTTTGTCGACGGGTCGTCATTCGCATCTGTTGGCGGCGGAGGAAGCGGTTTTTCTACCGGCGAAACCGCCTCTATGGTAGGTTGGGTGTCTGACATATTGTTCTGTGGGGGATCTTTGTCGTAAGCAAAACCCCAGAAATCTTCCTGGCGCAAAGTATCCGCGCGTTTGTGGACCGTCTTCTTGACCTTCGCACGAGCCGCAGCTTTCCTTCCAACAAAGTCAGAAAGCGTAGGTGTTTTCAGGAGATCGTCGTGGCGGATATCTTCCTCCAGACCAAGCCAGTCGTCTGAAGCGTCGTCTGCAAAGGTATTCTGCGCCGTAAAGAAGGAAGGCGCTTCACTGCCAGAGTCGTCACTGAGCCAATTACTTCGCTCCGTCCTCGGCTGACCCGTTAGATATTGATTAATCCAATCCTGGGTAAAATCCCGAATGGACTTTCCTTCGTTCTGGCCGGCAATTTCCCGCTCCGCGGTCTCAAGCGTATCGTTCGTGGTACTCGATCTCCGGAACTCGGTGTAATTGGTTACCGATTGAACGGGGGAGCTTTCTCCAGGTGGGTTATCGACCCCGGTGAGTTGGCTTTGGGTCAGTGAGAGTCTGCGTGTACTCGGTGCCGCATATGGGGACCCCCAAGCGGTGGTGTAGTAGATGCTGCTTTCTGGCCTCCGATTGACCGGTGACGATGTCAGAGAATCTCCGTTGCGGTAGAGGAATGGCAGCGGCGGGGGCTCGAGTGAGATGCTCTGCGGTGAGGTTTGTTGACTAGGGGAACCGACGGTCGATGGGCTCGAGTCTCCTGACGGAGAGGACAAGAGTAAGGCCGGAGCCAGGCGCGGTTGATCGCGTTCAGGGCGCGTATCTCGTTGAAACAGTGGGGAAGAGGCTGAAATGGAGACGGAGGGATCTAGATCTGTAGAATCCATCCAACGCGATTAGATTGGCATATTTGGAGGGGTGATTGGCAAGGGGAAGAATGATGTTGAAATCGCGTGGGAGAAGACTCCGTAGGGGCATTCCGTCGGAGCCTCGGGGGGAAATTAGACATTGGACACTAAACACTCACCTTCCGTGTCGACTCCTGCAGCAAGCACTTGCTTGCCGCTCCGCTTATTGTCCAGAATGTTGACGCATGGAAATTCTACAAAGCAGGGAGTAGGACGACAAGGGCAGAACGTTGAAAGTTTGGAACGTTGGAACTTTGGAAGAAGGGAAAAATTGGCCTCAACGTTGGTGGACCGGTAGTTGGTACCTACTAGAGGGTGGATAACACCTGCTAATGCGGTGTATAGGGTACTTTGAGTCCAGTGGATGATCTCTTCCTTCAACAATGAGGCCGTTGAAGCCCCAATTGCAGTCCTCCACGCTACGCCAATTAGGCCCCAAACTTTGACCCTTACTGCAGATCAAGGGGTTGACCGCCGCAGATGTGTCTCTTCTTGCTTTCTACGAGTCCCTTACTGGGTGAAGCACACATGAGACCAAGAGATCCAGCGATCCAGTGATCCGGTGGCTCAGAGATCCAGACGTACAGACAGCTCGATACTCAGACAGGAGGATTTAGTTCCAAGTAAACAAAGATTCAGGGGTAAGAGAACCGTGGATGCAGGTCCACGTGATATGGTCCACTTGATACAATCACGTGTCAAGACGTGAAAAGCCACAGTAACTGAGGCGGATGTGGCTGATGATGGTTTTTTTTTTTAAATGTTTACAATAACTTGAATTAAACGATATGTCATAGTTTCAAATGCATACATCAGAAAGTAACTATCTACCAACGACAACTCCCCATGTTCCCCAATTTAAGGACAGGCGGTATCGAACTTGGTCTTGCGGTCGGCAGTGAAGAGACCCCAGTGCTGCTCATCCATGAGCTGACCGTTGTCACCCTTGGAGTCAGGCTTCCAGGACTCATCAAAGGCCTCGAAGTAGAAGAGATCAACACCCCAGTCCAGCATACCGCAGACACCAGTCTTCCAGAAGGTCTCTGCATTCTTGGTGCCAGCCTTGGCAGCATCATAGTCCGAGCCACCATCGGTAGGCCAGCCGGTCTCACCGTTGACAATGTTGATCTTGTCAGCGTTTGCACCAGCGACCTTCTGGATGTGCTCCATGGCACCGGACATGTCGTCGAAGTAAGTCTCGTGAGCCTTGTCGGCAGCAGTGCCCTGCCAGTACGCAAAGGCATTGGCCAAACTATGACATACTCAGGTCAGCACCGGTCATTGTGAGGGAGAAGGGGAGGATGTTCACTTACACATAGGTCACAATGGGCTCCTGAGTGAACAGGTCGTCGGCAGTACCGTCGGCAAGCTTGTTCCAGCTGTCGGCAGTACCAACCTGGACGCCCTTGGGGACACCGTCCATGACATGCTTGATGTAGGTATGGAGCTGGGGTCCGGTCAGGTCACCGCGGTAGAGAGTCTCGGAGCCAACGGTGATGGCGTGGATGACGTCCTCGTTACCAGGGATGGCCTTCTGGATGGCGGCCCAGTCCTTGGCGAAAGAGGGCTCGGAAAGTAAATTGCTGGTATCGGTGGGCTTGCCAACCCTAGACAGGACGAAGAATGTGTCAAACACGTCTCAATGCGGTGGGGAGGTAGAATCATCGAACACTTACCACATGCCCAAAACAACCTTGAATCCCTTGTTCTTCGCAGCAGGCAGGATGTTCTGGGGGGTGTCACATTCGGTACCAGAATAGGTACGGACAAGAGTGGACAGGTCCTTCAAAGCATCAAAGTCGGCTTCATAATCGCTGGTGGACTTGCAAGTACCATCGGCGTTCTTGTCACCGAGAGAGAAGCCCAGAGTCCCCTTGGCGGAAACGAGAGCTGGGGCAGCAGCCAGCAGGAGAGAAAGGATACCAGCGCGCATGATGAAAAGAAAGTAAAAGACAGAGAATGTAAGAGAAGAATGCCAGGAATTGAAAATGAGCGTGGAGGCAAGATCTTTTTAAAGTCCGTCAAGAAAAATGGAGAACGGTGAACGGAGGACGGGGGAGTTTGGGGGGAAATTCAGGGTTTGGGACCCTGAAAGGGTCTTGCAGTGGACCTGCATAGGGGGTTTGGAGATTCGGAGGTCTGGACTACGCGTCAACTTGGAATAATGTGACTGCCTTTGTTATAAGTGAACTTATAGATAAGTTAACTTAACATTAAAATTCACAGTTCTTGTTCATGTCTATCACGATCAAACTTCCTCTTGTTGTTCCCCCGTCTTCTTCCCTCCCCCATTGTCCCTCCCCTACAATTCACCTTACCACTACACAATGCCAATAAAGTCGTGATGTCACCCTCAACCCCAACTCGAGATCAACCTTGGAAAAGGGTCTTCTACGGTGGAGAACGGAGAGCTCGGGGCAAACAATAGCCATCGTGCTACTCACCGCTCACGGCTGCCCCGATCCGATATGCCTCGGAGAAGAGAACCGCAGCGAGAGGGATTCTGGATGTCAATTTCTTTGGTTCGCATGTTGGCCAATTGGGGTCTCCTTCCATTGGCTTCTCTCTGCTCGCCGCTTCCAATACGCTGATCCGGATCACGAAATGGTCCGATCCTCTGTCCCTTGCGGCCGAACGAGATACATCGTTCAAGGGGTTGGCAATGAGCAAATCATTGTCATCAGTCTGGTTCCAGAACTTCCGCAGAGAGTTTCGTAATGTTCCAGACTGATTTCAGAAGGATTGCCCTCCGGTCAGCATAGTTGCTATGATGTCTACCTAGCTACTGTGGTATCCTCGGCCTCACTCTCTTACGGCACATCTTGCTTTTTGGAACCTTTTCTCTTACGAAAAGCAAATTCTCTGATTCTCAGCTGATCATCTTCAGCAAACTTCAAGTCATAACGTTAATTCATACTATATACATATAACTAAGAATAGCTCGAAAATGTAGTTGATCGACCAAAGACAAAACACCTGAATCCTGCCCTATGATCTACAACTAACTAATAACTAATAACTCAATATACCAATCCACCCTCAAATCCAGTCAAGCCACCTACTTTGCACCATAACTATCCCGCCAACTCCCACTTCCTCCACCCTTGCCCTTGCCGTTCCCAGTATACCAAACCCAAACCCCCCGGCCCCAGAACAAAACCTCAACAACCCCAACAGCCCCCAAGAAAATAATCAAAAACACCCTAACCTTCCTCCCAATCCCATTCCCAAGATCCAAAAAGTCCACCACCGGTGGTTCCGTCTCAACCGCCCCGACATGTCCCGGCGACGGTCTAGATCCGGACCCGGTATTGAGAGCGGAATGGGACAGGGAGTCGGCATCGGCGATAGAATTGCCCACTGAGGATGGCGATGCCGATGCCGATGGCGAGGGAGGGGTCCGGTGGGAAAGTACATGGGCAGCCTGCACTGCCTGTGTGGAGAAAGCATATCCATATCCGGATCTGCGTCGTCCAACGTGCCCATGTCCATGTCCATGTCCATGTTCATGCAGACATGACATCGGTGCTGGCGTTGGCCAGACCGGTGTGATCCGCTGGGAGCTGTGGCGGGGTGGGGAGGGTGGGTTGCTTGTCCGTGGTACGCATGCTTGGATGTGGGTATGGAGTGACTGGGACTGGGCCCGGGGGCGGAGAGCTTTCATTGCTTGGTTGGGGTGGAGTTTTGGCATCTTGTATTGTAATATATCATATATCATACAACATATTATATTAGGTGCAGAATGTAGTGTGAGTGTACTGAGAAGATTGAGATTTGATGCAGTTTCGCTACGTGCATGGCTTGACACGTGCCGTATGGCAGATGTGTCCAGCTGACTACTCGCGCTGCAACTGATATTTCCAAGGTTCCCCGCATGGAGTGTGATTCAACGGCATTTGGGGGCGGTGAATGGCTTGGAATAGTTGACATGAACTGCTATAAAGTCTCCCCCAAGTACTAGGCCGAGTCTCTTGATATCTTCTAGCTTCAATAGAGACGTTATAGCCCGAGAGTCTAAGAGAGGTAAGATAAAATGGAATATTTCTAGGATAAGTAAGACTTTACCATAGGATTGTGGTAAATAAAGGAGAAAATCCACAAAGAGAAAGACATGCAATTTCTGTAATCTGATATTAATTGAATTGAATGCAGTGTCAAGACTGCTATAATTTAGCTCAAGTATTTGCAAAGCTATTGAGATAAATGCAAACTGACTATCTCCTAATATCGGTGGCATCCAAACGGACATCCCCAGAGCGGCTTCTTTTTCCTGATACAGTCACAGTCCAATCTGTTAAATGAGCCGCTGTCCTTTCCTATCATTTTGTCGAACCAATCTTCTATTTCTAGATTCCATCAGTAACCGCAGGGACTAAATAGTGAGGTACTACTAACCTTCGTCTGCCTTACGGTCTAGAACTCGATTGGCCGGACAGCAAGCAATTGGCCTCAAACCAGAAATCCACTCTTTCAACGAAAGATTAGCTTTGCGAACGTCAAAATCCACTTGGCCGCTTTTTTTGTTTCCACTGTTGACTTTTTCGAAATAATAATAATTGCCGTCACACATAATATCTTCCAGTGAGAGTGTTTCTAGAGATAACTCGTTCTGTAAAATGTCCAAAAAGCTAGACACACAAGTCATCTTTTGTTCGTTGCGCTCCCATGCCATTCGGGTTTCCAAGGTCGGACAGACTGAACCTAGAGCATATTCAAGTGGAGAACATGGGTGATAAGTAAAAAACCACCTTGTGCTTGGATATTCTCCTGTCGACGATTCAGAGGATTCGGAAGTCGAGGAATGCAGTGGTGATTGGGATGCACTTTCTTCCCATGCTGTTTCAGATGCTGGTAGGACTGGTAGGGGGGCTGGTCCATATTCCGGCAGGCCTACGGTTGGTGTGTACGATGATAATGTTGGAAATGATGGCAGTGTTGATTGAAATGATGGTGATATTGGATTGAACCCCAGTGAAGTGAGCTGAGACGCTGTCGATGTATATCGGATAGATCTTTCATTTTCCTGGCGGCTAGGAGACTCGCTATGTTGCGTTCTAGGATTTTCTGTGGCTCTCGACTCCTCACTGCGCATTGTTACCCGTTTAAGTGTAAGAATGACCAGACCTTTCTTTACACTGAGCAATAGTGATCTCAAAGAACTGAAATTGAAATCAAGCTCGTGAATATGAAGCTCCCGGAGTCGAGTGAAGCTAATGTCATGGAACATGTTTCCAACGTAGCTTTTTGCCGGATAGGCAGGCATCTCATCTTGAACAAGATAAAAAGGCATATGATCTTCCGATAAGATCAGTCGTTTCAGTTGAGGTGCAAGCTTCCTGAAGAATTTCAGCCAAGCCGCCTCATTGAGATCAATGCATAAATGAAGATCCTCCAGGCCTTTTAAAGTAGACAGTAGAGAATCGAATTGTGCTTCGTCTTCGGGGAGGGCAATCCTGGGGCCGATATTACCACAGGACTTAGAATCGCAGGTGTGCAGCTTTCGGGGTCTGCAGCTTGAGCCACATAACGCAAGAAAAAGCCTTGATAATGCCAAGGAGTTCAGTTTCCGTACCTGGCTATTCTTCCGAGTTTGCGTAGACTCTCGCAGGCTGTAAACATCGAATCGAAAATCAATCCGGTTCATCATCTGTCGCCTTCCGAGGAATGGAACTGTCTGCTGCCGGGGATCAAGCAAAAACTCCGTTCTGTAATGTGCGAGTCCTATTGTTTGGAGGTTCTTGAATCGATCCATACATTCCCGAAGTCGAATACTGAACGCTTCTGATCCCAGTAGGTTGAGATTATCCGCAAGCATGGCTTTATGGACAGCATGTCGACTTTCTAGCTCATCGCCATTGACCTGCCGGCAGCTTTTTGATGATATAGAGATCATGCCGAGGGTCTGTTCAGTACCATTGAATACAATAGGGATCATCCATAGCTCTTGGACGTGCTCGCGGAGACCATTTGACTTGGATAGTTCTTCTAGTTCGTGGAGACTTTCGCTTGTCACAATGAAACGGATTTTTCGGTAATAGGTCCCCGCAAAATTCTGCAGTGAGCTTTTGTACAATTCGCGGCATGATAACCTCAGAGCGACCAATTGCTGGAAATCCAAATAGTCACATATCTTTGAGATCAATTCCACGGGCAGGGCTCCAATGGACATTTTGGCTGCGCGTGCCGCGTTTCAAGGTTGAGAACAATGATAACAAAAGACTCGGTGTGTTATCCGCAGCAATGAGTCTTAATCGGGGAAAATTGCTTTTTGGTTATCAAGTTCCGAAATTCACGAAGAATATGGAGTTCAGTAACCAGGAATGACGGACAATGGTGTCTGCCAGAATCTGCGGGAGGTAGAAAGCATTCCAAAGTGGAGCAAGTAGTAGGCACAGGCCAATTCAGTTCGCGTAAGACAGCAAGGTCGTGTCTGAGAGTCAAACTTCGTGCAAAATCTGTCCAGAGTACATAGGTGGCTATAAATTAACTTAATGGTTTCTTCAAGTCTAAGCTACCTACATACTTTTTCAAGATCCATTACCCTCAAGTTTATGACATTAGGGGCAGTGCATCCGGCTGAGTCAATGCATCGAAGGTCAGTGGGGGCGAAAAGAAAGGAGACCGGGTGGGCAAGAAGTGAAAGTGCGTGGGAGACTAGTGGAGAGGGCAAGTGGTCGTTTATAGAGGAACCAACGGAGCGATAACAGCGGCCACTGCGGCACTAAGCCCAGTCGGGTGGCCGCAGCAGGGCCAGTGGATTGAAAAGGAGGGAGGCATAGGATTTCATCGACGGTGAGGGGAAAAGATTCTTCTTTGATAATATGCCTAGTGATACTCCTTGGGGAGTGGTAAATTTTCACTATGGGCGAAATTCATATTGAGCTGACTCAATGCCTTAACAAACTGCTGTACGTACAGAGGACAGACATGGATACAGCCGCAATATCAACGATCATACGTACACCCGCTAATCTTAACAAGAATAACATCATCAAACAGTACACGGAAAATAGGCCCCGCATGATATGCAGGGGCTCAGTGACCATGATTTAGACAAGAGCACAGTAAGACAAGAATCAAACTCCTGTGGCCTTTTATAAGAAACAAATATGTAGATGGATATTACCAGTCTTTCCGCAAACTTGCCCTCCCCGGAACGCCAACCAGCCCAAAGATCATAGTAAGATATTCTTCTCCCGGCGTAGCGTCTCTTTCAGTGCCGTCAGTTGGATGACTGCGACTGTTTGCTTGGGAACAGCTGCAGGGAGTTCGACCAAAGCTTTGCGCATGAGGACGAGGCCGATTTGGCCAAAGAATCCCAGAATGCGTTCGGGGGAGGAGCGGAGGAGAGAGCCCAGGAGAATAATTTGGGTCTCCTGTATTTCTGAAGGTGGAATAGCCAGGATTTTGGTGATGGAGTCCCAGAACATGGTGTTGGGGAAGGGGTTTTTGCGAGCTGTTTTACCGAAGTTACGCAGGGTGATGGCCGCGTATCCGGATCCCAGAGCAGTCATCCGATCCAGGTGTGCTTGCTCGGAGATGAACGGACCGTCGGCTTCTTCACGCCACCAGCCCAGGGCACGCCGTCCAGAATCGGTTTTGTCGTTGCCAGTGAAGCCCCAGAGGGCAGGGCACACTACCCGGAACTTGGCCATCAAAACGTCTGAAAGGGGCATGCCCTGGTACATAAAGGCCTCCTGGGAGAATATCTGTGCTGCCATGATGCCAAGTGGCTCGGCATGGCCTGGGTTGAGAGCTGCTTCGGTGAGGAGGGCAGATATCAATGCCTTTGCGTAGATATTCAAAGCATAAAGAAGCATGGCGGAAATCTTGTGTTTTTCCAAAGCCATATTAGCGGGTGGAAAGGCCATGAATCGTTGCACATCAACCGAGGGTTCGGGAATCGCAGCGGCCTTTTCAAGCTCGGACTTAATTTGGGCAAGCTGTTTGCAGGATGATCAGTATACTGACTTGGGATAGAATAAAGCGTATCAACTCACTTGAGCTGCGTTAGCACCCTTGCCGGCACGAAGTTGACCAACGGACTTCCTGATCGTCCGACGTAGATCTCCGACATATTTCTTCATCTCGGGATTCTTCTTGCTCTCGCCAACCAGCCACGCACGAAACTCTTTAAGAACTTTATGAAGCTCAACATAGCGCTTCTGGGTCGCGAGTTCCTTTTCAGAGAGACGTCCAGCCCCGAGCTTTTGCTGCTGCTGACTGCGAGCTCGCTCTTCAGCTTCCTCCTTGGCTTTTTGAGCATCTTGCTCTTGCTTGCGCTGTTGAGCCTCAGCTGCCTCGCGCTCTTTGCGCTGGCTCTCCTGTATCGCTGCGTTGCGTGCGCTTTCAGCCTCCTGGGCTTTACGTGCTTCCTCTGCCTTGGCCTTCTCCTTGGCCTGTTCTTTGGCCAGGCGTTCGGCCTCCACACGCGCGGCTTCTTCCTGCTCACGACGGAGTTTTTCGGCTCTTTCCTTCTCGATCCGCTCTTTCTCCTTGCGGGCGGCTTCTTCTCGTTGTCGCTGTGCCTCCTCTTCTGCGCGAACGTGCGCTCTGAGGGTAGCCTCGGCCTCTTCGCGTAATTGTGTATGATGTGCTGCTGCCTCATCTAGAGCGGCATTATGGATCGCTTCTACTTCACGATCCTTTCGGTCGAGCTCATTCTCGTAGGCAGTGCGCTCATATTCATGGACCTTCTTCAAGTCAGCATTGAAGATTTTGACGCTCTCAAGACCTTGAATGAGCTCTTGCATGATCTGCCGCGAAGGGCTGTCCATCGTGGAATTGTCCAACGGTGGCACATATCGGACTGTCATTGTGGTGTGAAATGTGTAGAACGAGGGGATATTGAGGTTGGGATTCGACGACGAATGGGTCGCCTCAGTTGCGTGGGGATGTAGGCTAAGAGGATATCGGAACAAAGCAGGAGTCTGGGTATCGGTGGGAGCCTCGAGGTAGCCGAAAGTTGTGAAGGATAAATTGGGTGAAGATTGAATCACAATAACGAATATGGAGAGGTCAGGTTGTGCAGTCCCATTTCTAGTGCTGCTACTCCAGGTGTTATTGTTGGCTATGCCAAACTCCAGGCGACGACTTTTTATTTGTACTCGGTAGGGTCAACCACGAAGTCGAGTGCTTCGAGGTACGGATCCAATCAAAGCGCAACCGAGACAAAGACGTGCTGTACGCGTCCTATAATTAGAGGAATCGAGTCACGATCAATGGATCAGTCCCGGCATAAATAGCGCACCTAGCACGAATCAGTTTAACGCGTCGCGAAACCCATTGGGCTCGTTGATAGCTTACCTGCGTACCTGCACGGAGTTTCAGAGCCGTTGAAGCCCAAGTGCAAAATAAATTACCTTAGTCAGCACAGGGTTCCCTTGGTTCGCAGGTTGCATCACCATTTACATCATCCAGAGCTCTTCTTTTTTTTCGTCGGAACAGGAGTCTAGGCTGGATCATTGAGCTCGACTATTGAATATCATCGTAGGGGATGGTAGTGACCTGTCCAAGGGCACTCGCTTTAAATGCCCTAAGATCCGCATCTGACTAGTACAATATACAACAATCCAGATCATCCCTGGATTCATACAAGAAACTCCTAGGAGACCCCCCAGAGGTGTCAAACATCCAATCCCCAGTCACTCCAAAGTCCATCAAGTCAACTTGACTTTTCGATGCCATCACCATCCACCACCATCCGGTAGCAACGGCGATCATACGGTGTATAGGGGATACACGTACTGGTATTACCATCTATCCTTCGTCATGTCTCACATTAATATCCCCTTTAATCTATGATCAGAAGTGTAATTATTCGGTTAGGTAATTTCGAAACCAGGCCTTTCTTTTCCGTACCACCCCACACCCTCTTTGTATCTCATCATAACCTCTTCCTCTCTCTCTCTCTCCTTTCTCTCCCCTCCTCCCCTCCATCTTCCTCCATCCTTCTCTTTGCCTCCCCCCATTCCTTGAATTAGTCGATGCTCTTTATCGTCTATTCTATCCTTCTCTCCATTCACAGTCTTTGCTGTCATTCTCTAAGATAGCCCCCTTCGGTATTCTGGGACAAGCTCAGCTTTGTTCTCTAGAAGTCTCAATCTCTTCGATTTCTTGAGCTTCTAATTTCGACTTCTCACCATCTCCGTCGGTTGACTCGCTCGTGCTTGTCAGTGTGATAGCTTAAACTACGATACTCGGTCCTTGCATCCTCGAATCGAGCTCCCTTTACTTTGTGATCGCTGGTCACATTTGGCGTGCAATTGATTCGACTGTCATTTTCGATTGACCGCCTGTCTCCCCTCACCGCTTGGCTGGCGAGCAAAGAAGATCATTTCACTTTGGACCTTGCAGACGTCATTTTGGAATGCTAGGGCTCAGAAGCCGTCATTAGTTTCTCAGGTAAGACAACTACTATGTCCCCGCAGACATCTTTTGAAGGATACCCGTTCTGTAACCTTTGGTATATTTCTCATACTTGCATCATCGAGTGATCTTGCTATTTGACTTCTTTCCCCTGAGGGGAAAGCGCTTATCGCGGCTTCCGTCTTGAACGCGCTTCCCTCAGAAATGCCACTTCTCTCCTACCTTGTTTGCCAACTTTTTCTCACTTTCTCTTTTTCCCATCATGCGCTGTATCGTGCCTTGACTGATCCATTCTTTCCTTCCTGCAGTACAGTTCACGCGTTGGAGCTTCACTTCACTTCGCACATACAAACTTCTCTTTTTCGGTTTGTGATCCATATCACTTGGTTCGACTGCCTCCTGGCATAGTACCAGTCTTTCCTGTCATCGGATCAAACCCGTCACCACACATATTACACACTCTACAGTGATAGTCATCTTCTGTCATCTGGGATCATGGATCAACAGCAGAGTCAATCCGGGCCCCAGGGTCCTGGTGGACGCAAGTTCCATATCGCTCACCGGAGAAGTCCGTCTGAGCTTACCCCACTGATGTGTATGTGATATTGAACCGCTCATCTTCTATCAGTTGGCTGACTTGACAACAGTGGAGAACCTAGCCATTCAGCAACAAATTGAGTTGCTTCAGCAACAGCAACAACAGATTGCTGCCACACACCAGCAATATGTTAACATGGGCTTGCTGCAACCCCAACAATTGGGCCAAGTGCCCTCCTTCCAACCAGGTGCCTCCATGGGTGGTGTTAACCAACAGGTCAACGCATTCCAGTTTCCCCAGCAGGGTCAGCAACAGCTTGGAGTTCCCATGAACCAACAAAACCAACACTCGCACCGTCGCAACCAATCTGCTCTTCCAGGCTTGCCGATGGGCGGCCCGCCCCCCGCTCCCTCTTCCGGCGCGTCAGGATATGCCGATTACAACCAGCAGGGCCAGAATAACAACCACAAGAATGAAAATGCCGGCCATGGCCGTGGTCGTGGAGGCCCTCCAGGCGGCGGTCACCAACGTCGCCACTCCCTTGCTCTTCCCGAGGCCAAGAAGGCCGCAGAGCTGGCCCAGCAGAAGCGAACAGCCTCTGGATTCCAATTCCCGGCTCCTGCCCCTGGTGCAAGCGGCGACGGCCAGCCATCTTCTGATGATAAGCCTGCCGCTAGCACTTCCCCTGCTCCCCAGGGACTTGGATTCCAACGTGCCGGCAACATTCGCGCTGGTGGCCATGGCCGAAGCCAATCGATGGCTATTGGCGGTAACCGTGGTTCCATTTCTGGACGTGGAGCGGGTGGTTTCCAATTTCCCCAAGCCCCCGAGCCCACGCCCTCAACCGGTCAACCCGACAACCAGCGGCGAGGAAGTCAGGCCGGCCACGCTCGGTCATCTTCGCGCAACTTCGAAGGTAACTGGCGCCAGCCGAACAACCAGAGCCAGGGTCAAGATCAGCAGAGACCCATGGGTCAGCAGCAGCAAGGTGGCTTCCAGCCTGGTCACCGCTCGCGTGGCTCGGTGAACCAGTCGATGGGCTCTATTGGACAGTTCCAGTACCCCCCTCAGCAGCAGCCCCAGCTTATCCAGTTGCCTCAGGGTCAAGTCATGATGGCACCTCAGATGTTTGGTAACCAGCAACTCAACCCTCTTCAGCTGGCACAACTTCAGGCTATTCAGCAACAGAACGGCCAAGGTATGGGTCTCCAGGCCAGCCAGCACGCTCCACCCCAGATGTCTGTTCAGCAGCAACAACAGCAGCAACAGCGGAAGACTCTTTTCACTCCCTACCTACCCCAGGCAAACCTACCCGCACTCCTTAGCAATGGACAGTTGGTCGCTGGTGTTCTGCGTGTCAACAAGAAGAACCGCTCGGACGCGTACGTGACCACTGATGACCTCGATGCCGACATCTTCATTTGTGGTAGCAAGGACCGCAACCGTGCCCTTGAGGGTGACTTTGTCGCCATCGAGCTGTTGGACGTTGACGAGGTGTGGTCCCAGAAGAAAGAGAAGGAGGAGAAGAAGAAGCGCAAGGACATCACCGACGCTCGTTCCAACAGCACTGCTGGAAACGACAAGCTCGGTCGCGCCGACTCCACTGGTGAAAGACAGGAAGTCGGTCCAGATGGAAGCATCCGTCGCCGCGGCAGTCTTCGCCAGCGTCCTACCCAAAAGAAGAATGACGATGTCGAAGTCGAGGGTCAGAGCCTCCTCCTGTGTGAAGAAGATGAGATCAGTGATGAGCAGAAGCCTCTGTATGCCGGTCACGTCGTTGCTGTCATTGAGCGTGTTGCGGGCCAGATGTTCTCCGGTACTCTGGGTCTCTTGCGTCCCAGCAGCCAGGCTACAAAGGAGAAGCAGGAAGCCGAGAGGCAGGCCAGAGATGGCGCCCACGGTCGTTCCCATCATGACCGTCACCAGGACAAGCCCAAGATTGTTTGGTTCAAGCCTACCGACAAGCGCGTTCCTCTTATTGCTATCCCCACCGAGCAGGCACCCCGTGACTTCGTTGAGAAGCACCAGGATTACGCCAACAGGATCTTTGTTGCTTCCATCAAGAGATGGCCCATCACCTCCCTTCATCCCTTCGGAACACTTGTTGAGCAACTTGGAGAGATGGGTGACCTGCGCGTCGAGACAGACGCCCTGCTCCGTGATAACAATTTCGGATCCGATGACTTCTCGGATGCCGTGTTGAAGAGCATCGGTTGGGAAGACTGGTCTATTTCCAACGAGGATTCTCTGGCTTCGCGCCGCGACTTCCGTGAAGAGACCATCTTCACGATTGATCCCGTCGACAGCAAGGCTCTTGAGGATGCGTTCCATATCAAGAAACTTGCTGATGGCAAGGTCGAGATCGGTGTCCACGTTGCTGATATTGCTCACTTTGTCAAGGGTAACTCCCTTGTTGACCGTGAGGCCAAGAAACGTGGTACCGCTGTCTACTTGGTTGACCGCATCATGAACATGCTGCCGACCCGTGTTTCCACCGAGCTTTGCTCTCTGGTCCCCGGAGAGGACCGCCTTACAGTCAGTGTTGTTTTCACGGCCAACACTACTACAGGCGTCGTCGATGAGGATGTTTGGATTGGCAAGGGTATCATCAAGAGCGCTGGTCGACTTGACTACGACCAAGTCAATGCCATTGTCAAGGGCAAGTCCAATGAGAGTGCCAGCGGTATCTCCGCTGGTAACATTCGTTTGTTGAATGTGAGTATTTTTCTTTGCTGATCATTGTTTACTTGTGCTCACAATATATACAGGACACTGCTGGCAAGTTCCGCGAGGCTCGCTTCGGTAACCGGGTGTCCAATGTTCCTGTTCAGCGTCTGCTTCAGCAGCTCGATGATGAGAATGTTCCCGTTGAATATAACATTTTCGAATCTACTGCCGCTCACGAACTGGTTGAGGAGCTCAGCCACCAGGCTAACTCCTTTGTTGCCCGTAAGCTCGCCAGCGCCATGCCTGACAAGGCATTCTTGCGCCGTCAGTTCTCGCCCAACCCTCGTCGCCTGACTCTGTTCGTTGAGAGAATGAACCGACTCGGCTTTGAAATCGACGCCAGCAGCAGTGGCAGCCTCCAGAGCTCCCTGTGCAAGGTGCAAGACGTGGATCTCCGCAAGGTAAGTACCTCATGATTTATCGTGAATCAGTGCATGTATTGACTTGATCCAGGGTATGGAAACTCTTCTTGCCAAGGCCATGCAACGCGCCAAGTACTGCGTTGGTGGTGCTTCTGATGAGATGCGCCAACATTACTTGCTCAACGTCCCAGTCTACACCCACTTCACCAACCCCTCTCGGCGCTACACTGATATTCTCGTTCATCGTCAATTGGAGGCTGTCCTCTCCGAGGGCGCTATCGAGTTCACAGACGATGTCGAATCTCTCAACAAGACCGCCGACCTTTGTAACAACAAGAAGGACTCAGCACTCAACGCCCAGGAGCAGAGTGTTCACATTGAAGCCTGCCGCAACATGGACCGCAAGAGCCGTGAGATTGGCGGTGACCTTATCAGCGAGGGTATTGTTCTCTGCGTGTACGAGTCTGCCTTTGATGTTCTCATTCCCGAATACGGCTTTGAGAAGCGTGTGCACTGTGATCAGCTGCCGCTGAAGAAGGCTGAGTACCGCAAGGACTCCCGTGTGCTTGAGCTCTACTGGGAGAAGGGCGTACCATCCTCTGCATACATTCCCGAGGACGAGCGTCCGAAACCTGGCAACTCTCGCGCTGCCCAAGCTGCTGCCGCAGCTCGTGAGGCTGAGGCTGCCCGGGAGCGTGCCAGAGAGCGCGACGAGGCTATGCGCAAGCAGACTGAGACCGGTACCATGTCTGCTGATGATGTCGATGCCCTCTTCGATGATGATGAAGACGTGGATGATGTCACTGAGATGGCGGCTGGTGTGTCGCTCAACTCGGCTGACCGCTCCACTCAAAGCATGCCACCATCGCCCACCCGCAATGGCCACCACCAGCAGGGACCTCACCGTACCCGCTCTGACCCTAAGATTGCCTCTGGTGCCAATGATGCTCCAGAGAACAAATTGACCAACAAGGAGAAGTATTTGAGCCTATTCAAGCTGAGAGAGGTGGATGGAGACTTTATCCAGGATGTCACTGAGATGACCCGTGTTCCTATCATCCTGAAGACTGACCTGAGCAAGAGTCCTCCGTATGTATCCCCAGTTCCTTCGCTTTATAGTGGTCATTCGCTAACCTCGCATTTAGATGCCTCACTGTTCGCTCTGTGAACCCATACGCTCTGTAGAACTTGGAACTCCGGTTTCTTTTCTTTTTCTCTTTCACGGGACATATTCTTGCATGCGTACCTTGCAGATTCTTTGGTCGTACGAAGCGCTTGTCTCGTGCGCACCTTTACGGACATAATCCAATCCCGACATGCGGATCGAACATATCTTTATCAAGTTCCCGATTCTTGATATCGCTTTTTCTTCTTGGTGGCTTTATCCGACGCATTCTACCCACCATCTTTCCGACGTGTCCTGGGATTCTTATACTTATCCTATTATATGTGCCAAGCGGTTGTTTGTCTTTTTGAGCATTTTAGTTGTTTCTGGAGAGAAAGTCATGAGTGCTGGTGTTTGCCGCCTTTCTGGCCTGTCTTCTGCAGTCTCATGTCCTGGATTGTTGGCAATTGCGGGAGCAGATTGATTGCAGCTCGATAGTCCCAGAAAGTTCTTCCATTAATTTATGGGTTTCTAATATTTTGGCTGAGTAGTTGTCATCGCCTTTCTGTACAAGTGCTTAACCTCTTTGCACGAGGGTCGTTATGTATGATATTTGGGTGAGCTAACTAAGATCCGGGCACGAGATAGAATCCTCCTTATGCATATTGTTGCAAAAGTCCCCACACTGATCCTTTAGTCACTCATATGCTTTAGATCATCAAATTAGGCTCTAGCATCAATACTTGTAGACGGCATGTATCCCACACAGGAATGCATCCACATTAGTGTTGTATATACTTTCTTTTATTCTTCCCCTCTCGACCAAAAGATAGGCTTCAAATCTAGCCTCAGCCCTCCTCTTTGTGGATTGCCAGGGACCATCTTCTATGTCGGTACTCAACGGAGACAGATCAGTAGTGCTGTGGGCAATTGCCGGGGCTTGGCTTTCGAGATTTCGACGAAAGAGTTCCATCTGGTGAAGCCTCTTGGGTCCCATTGTTGTTGTACTGTGAGAGTAAAGAACAATTGAGGAAGAAAAGAGCGAGTCAAATCCACAATCCATCTTGTCTCCTTCTGGACAGGTCTCTACGACACAACATCAAGAGAGAGCATCTCGTACTCCATTGAAGTCTAGCCACGTCTGTATAGTTAGCCCGAAGCCATCAAAGTCATTTATATCATTACAGTGAACGCCAGAGACCGCCAGCGCAGGACTATCCCAGCTTGCGCGCTTCCAAATCCACCCGCTCAATAGGACTGAGATACCGGCGACGGTGGTACCAGCCAAAGCACTTGATGTAAATCGCAATGGCGAGGACCTGCATGCGCTGCTTGAATGAGATCCGAGTCTTCCGAGGAACGAATTTCAGATCCTCATGCTCGCTCTCCCACTCCTCACAGACGTCATGGAACCGACCAGGCTCATTGGAAACCACGCCGTCGACCTCGTGCTCAATCGACCACCGCATCAGATTCGGCTCATCGACCGTCCAAACATAGACCTGTCGTCTGGCGGCGCGGGCTTCCTCGATGAACCCCTTGCCTAGCGGGCCCATCAGGACCTTCTGATTGATGTTGAAGCCGACGCGGGGTACGTCGAGGAACTGGCGCGCGTACGTCGGGTCTGCGCAGATGAGCGACAGTGCGTAGCCGGGAAGATGCTCTGAGGCGGCGGAAATGAAGCGGCCGTTCCAGGTACCCGCTACAATGCGACGGTGCCAGTCGGATCCGATGGCAGCGATGGGGACGGATGCGGTGGCTTGCGCGATTCCTTTCATGATGGCGTCGGGATCTTGAGTGAGCTGGGATAGGATTAGAGAGCTGTATGATGTAGGGTATAGCGGGGGTAATACCTTGATGTCAAGCAGAATCCAGTAATGTTCTCGGCCCGGTTGTCTGAGGTATTCCAATACATCGATGAACCGGGGCATGGGCTGTGGAGGGGCCTGCACGGTTCGCAGGGTTTTCAGATACTCCCAGTCACAGTCTCCGACATTCTTCTTGACACCGTAGCATCGTTCGAGGCTTGGGTCCTTTGGTTGGTGAGGGTCAGCGTGGCCCTTAACTAACGGCAGGGATGGGCACTTACGTGTGAAAGTACCACGACTCCATCGCGCGAGATGTGAAGGTCAATTTCGATTGCGTGGGCGCCTACTTCGATTCCCTTTTCGATTGCCAGTATCGTGTTCTCGGGGTATTGACCGTTGAACCCTCGATGGGCGATGTTCTGGGGTAACCGGACATCCTGATCGACCGGGTGGAGAAAGTGGGCTTGGGATGATGCATTAGTATGACGACGGTGGTTGTGAGAGGACAACACAACGTACCTGGCACCTTTTCCGAGAGTATAGGTGATGTGTCGGTCATATTGAAAGTATTGAAAGTATTGAAAGGAAGAAGAATGTCAGGGCAGAACTGCAGGAGACATACAATAGACCCCCGCTTGGAGTTCGCTTTCGCTTAGACATGCAGATCCCTGCGCATCCAGACATGATCGGCTGATCTTCCTTGATATTCGCCTGTTTGGGGAATTGTGACGTTTCGCCATGGCCGCATTTACTTGAGTCGAGCTTTCGAGCTCTTGAGCTCCCTCGAAATCAAGGTCTAGAGCCCTTGAGGCCTTGGGAGCACCTCCACGATTACTCAGCTTCTCCAATTTTATGATTCCATGCAATTCGCATATTTTATGATATTTCGAACGAGCCAAGGGTATCAAAAGCCATGGAAGTAGATCAAGGCGTAGATGGGAAAGGCATCAAACCAAGTAAGATTCAAAACCAAAGCCCAAGCCATCAAGACAAAAGAGAGTCGAGCCAAACCAACCGAAACGCCGAGGACCGAAATGCAAAGCTAAATCATATCATGATCATATGAGGATAAGATCCAAACCGACAACTCATAGCCGACGTACACCAAGACGGGGCTTCGCCTTCATAGCAGTTGTTTTGCGCAGACCACCGATACTCTTCTTGCTCTTGCTGATCTTCGAAACGGGGATGGAGGAAGACAGCGATGGGGTAGGTGTGTGCTGGAGGGATGTTGGTAAGTGAGGATTACTGTTGAGCGCCTTGCAGTGATGCAGGTCCCGTTTTTCCTTGAGACCGCGAATAGTCGCGGAACCGCGGTTTTCTTTTCCGTCGCCGCTCAGCCGGCGGGAGGGGTCGGCCATTGATAGAGAAGGGAAATCCTCAAAAATAGGCATTGTATCGTGAAGTCGGCCAGAGGCGTTGATGCCTCTGCTTAGGAGAGAGAGTTTCGGGGTTTTGCGTAGTGGAGAGGATGTGCGGGAGCGAAGGTTTGCGGTTATGTTTTGTTCGTTTGAAGACAGGGTTGGTGAGTCGGTGTCAGAGTCTTGGTCAACTAGCATCATGTCTGCTTCGTCTTCCGGGTAGGGTATTGAGAGGACTGAGAGGGGACGTTTGCCCAGGGCGGTTTTGCGGGGTGACGGGGGTGCCAGGTTAACTGGGGAGGGGGAGAGTGATGGATCGTTTTCTTTGCTTGCGTTGGCTTCATTTTCGCCATCGGTATTTTCGTCGTCAGACATTGATTGGGAGCCCTGGGCGAAGGGGTGTGAGTGTGCAAGGGTGTCGATTGGTGTGGTTCGGCGCATGGGCTTCTTTGTTGCTGCGGTGTGGGTTCGTCGCTGTCTGCGAGCTCGTTGGAGGGATATCTCTTGGTGTCCCTCGATCACGGCTGTTGTATCATCGCCTCGAAGCTTTGCATCGTTCACTGCATCTTTAAGATTGAACGGTATTGGGGCGTGAATTGAGGCCATTAGTTTGGCTTGGTGAGCAAAGGCGGCATAATTCTCTTGCAAGAGGGCGCCGGCAGAGGAATTCAGCGCAGAGTCAGGATTCGGGTAGATGAGAAGACATGAGATCGTCTTTTGCATAAGTAAAGTTGTTAGCCAAGGTGCTGGATCTATGAGCTGGGGGTGTCAATATCACTTACCACCAGTACATCGCGCAGCGTCAGGTTCGGTTGCCAATCCCGCTTAAGGGTATCGACACAGACAGCACCGGTAAGCTCCTCCACATTGGGGTGCCAGATTTTTGTCTTGAATGTCGCCTTGGGTGGGCTCTGAGGATAGTCGACCGGCATCTTGAGGTCAAGCCTCCACAATCCTTCCGAAAAAGGTGTGCCTGGCGGACCGGTGAGAAAGATGTTCAACTGTGATAAGTCGTCATCCTCCGATGGCTTCAAGTAGTACGGCGGGAGATCGTTGTGTAAGGCGGCATGATCGGCAGCGAGCCGGCGCAGGTTGGACGGCTAAATCCCAATGTCAGATACTGAGCAGTGTTTTGGCCCACCGCTACTGGTTGCTGCGGGACAACCCATGCAGATAGCAATTCAGAGCAGGATAGCTTACCATACTGAAGTTGACAGGTTCTCTCAGATAAGTAAGCAGAACAATGCCTTGGAGCTTCGCAAAGTACGAAGTACTGGGTGTAGAGGGACTGGGATCAGAGCAACAATCGATAAGACGTTGCTTTGTTGTGGTTCGTTGTGCCGCTAACCTGTTTGGGCGCGTGTCAGTCAGGTGACTGACGCGTCACTTGCGCGTCACTAATATTACCTCTTTGGGACAACATCCCATGGGATAGTCACAGCCTTACAGCTGTTATCCCTTCTCGATATCACCTCGTTCTCCCTTGCACCCTTCCTTGTCCTACCAAATTTAAGACAATATCTCACTGTTCTCACCCTTGATGGCGTCAATTCCAATGGACCAGTGCTTACAACTGCTTACAATTGAATGCTGTCAGACGAAAACGTCAGTTTGTATTTACCCAAGTACTGAAGCTAATCACAAGCAGAGAAGAGAAGAAGTGAGAAATCAGGTGCGCCAAGAAAGATGCGTTTCATATCGCTGTTGGAACGCAAAATGGGGTCCTGTCCCTCAAAGATTACAAAGCCCATTATTATTAATGACATGGAAAGCAAATCGCAAAAGAAAAAAGTTACAATGCTCGCGTTTTCATATCTCTCATTCCCGCTGACCCTGCTACCGGGTCAACATTCCATATTCCCATGTACAGACTGGATCACTTGCGCCTGGGACAATCACAGTGCAGCAGGCAATCCGAGTCATGAGCCATAGTAGCTCAGCTCCTTTACAGGAAAGCAACCAGAGCAGCAGCGGCCATGCCGAGGCCAACGGGGCCGGCAGTGGCGATGGCAGCACCACCGGTGGAGACAGAGCTGGAGCTGGCGCTGGCACTGGCACTGGCGCTGGAGTCAGATGACGAAGAGTCGGAGGAAGAGGAAGAGTCCGAGGAGCTGGTGGAAGTGGAGGTGCCGGTGGCCTTGGAAGAGTCGGCGCTGCTGGTGGTCGAGCCGCTGCGGGTAGCAGTGGACAGAGTGCTGCTAACACCAGCGACGGGAGAGGTGAGACCGGCCGGGATAGAGGCGGCGGGCTGCTGCGAGGTCACGACGGCGGGCTGGCTGGTGACCACGGAGGCCTGGCTGGTGACAGCCACGGGCTGGCCGGTGACAACACCAAGGGAGTTAGTCTCGGTGAGGTACTTGGTGGCCGGGTTCTCCTGTTGAATCTCTTAGTTTCGATTGTCAAGGTGTCAAAGACACTGGAACTCGGCGTTGCTTACCACAACGGTCTCAGAAGCGGACGAGGAAGTGCTCTGAGCCTGGACCAGGGCGATGGCCGAGAGGGTGGTGAAGACAATCGAGAAACGCATTGTGCAGGTGTTGAATTAGTGATACGGTGGAGAGAATTAAAGTAGAGTAGATGGAGTTGTGGAGAGGAGAGAGGAAGAGAAAGAGGCAAACAATGGGCTTTTATTGTCAGGGAAACACACGTCCTATATCCGGTACTTTCGTCTCAGCCCTTGGAAATGGATGCGCCAGTCATCGGACAGAGTCTGGATCTAGCGTCCCTTGGGATCTGCAAGGTCTTGTAAATTCTATTTTAGTCTCTCACCAGGTGTAAGCTCTACAGTCGACAGGAGGCATTCGCCTCTGCTCAATGTAACAGTCACGCCACTTAGCCTAGGAATCCTCAGGGATTCCTCAATCCCTTCACAAATCACTCCATCCAAGATCCCAAATCCTGAATCCCAAATCTCAAAGCCAAAAAATCCAGACTTGCTCAACCTTGGCAATATGCGCCAAACACTAGTGGGCCTCGGTCCTAGTGTCTGAGCACGCTTCGTATAAAAATAATAATACCATAACAACGACTCACAACAACGACCAGTCACATCGACTCAGGTGCAACCATCTCGGCCAGCTGCCCGAAAAGCTTACTCCCTTGCCTCTCTTAAGTCCCTGTCCGCGTGGCAACATACGAATCCCGTCCAAGTCAGTCTAAATCCTGGCCTAAACTGCCTAACTCTGGAACTAAGGGCACAACAAACAGGCTCAAATGGCGCCATGTCCTGCTGCTAAAACCTTTGGGGGCGAGCTAAGATCGGCTAAGTGAGACATCAACTTTCTGCACCCACCCAATCAGCGATCTATACCCTTTCCTCTGACTTTTGCTTTTTGATTACTTCCCCTTTTACCCCAGAGCCTGATCTAATTATGATATGCTATACTGCAAGGGTACTGAATACAATAACGTCCTGTACAGCCCTGCATCGCCACAATTATTGATTCCTTTGACGGGCAACGATTCTGCAATTCCGATCGCAGTGGGTCTGTTTCCCCTCAAACGGGAACGCCGTCGGTTTACTCCATCCAGTAAGGACCGACTCTATATTTGTAGGGAGAAACAGAACTCTTCTTGGGTCTCCAGGTTTCCACCAGACTCAAATTCGGGGTAAACTTGCCAGTCCCATTCTCTGTAAGCAGACAGTGGAAACTTGCTGCCTGGACTTTGGTACCGAAGAGACAATGGTTCACACCAGATACTGCTGAAAATCAGGGTTGTACTGGATGCTCTTCAGATGCGTGCATTGTGCGACCTGGACAGAGCTTGTGAGCTACAGTATGTCTGCTCAAAGATGAACCGATCACAAGGGGCTAGAAACTCATCCGTATCACTTGTTTCAAATATACAGTCATTTGCATCCCTTGTTTGCAATTTTTCGCTATTTCCAATTCTGTGCGTCTCAAGCCAAGGCCACAATCTGTACATGTAGGATCCCCGATGGTGATCGACAATATGCATTAATACGCCTTATGACCCCTACGCGGCTATCAGCTTCAGCAATAGGGGGCACTTCTGGGCTCACCTCGGATGTGAGTTGGGCGTCCTCATGAAGAGAAATACTACGGAGTACTAGACGGTGCAAAATGAAGATAGAAAGTTCACGTTTCGTATGATTGCATACTGGTCTCCTAGGTGATATTGGTAGAAAACTATACCGAACTTGGATGTGTGCGGAGAACTACCAAAGAGGAAAACGGGGAATGACCAGCCTTGCCAGCACGTCTTATTCTCCACTTGGTCTCGAAATTGTCTTTTCACTCAATATTCTAAAAGTCTTCTTTCATCCTTCAATGAAAAACTTGGAAATCTCTCTTAGCAGATCAATTGATGCATTATCCCGTAACTTGACAGCCACAGTTTTGCTTTGATATATATATACAGTCTTCAACATCTTAGTTTGATCCGATGCATTGCGGGTGGATAAAGAAGAAGCATCTATTTGCGCTCGCGCCTATGCATACTGTATATATACCTCTGATGGACCAGAATCACCACCGAGTGAGAATAGTCCACGTGCAATAGTCAACTGGTGTACATTGAAGTCCATGATGGGTGGCCTAAGTTACGCTAATACATTGAGAAACAAAGCCCGCTTTCACTTAGATATTCACTAGAATTCAGCTTGTCTACTTGTAATACATCTAGCAAGTTCAAAGGTACAATATCGACAAAAAAATAACCAGTGAATGGTTAATAGCCACAGTTCTACTGGATCATTGTCGGACCCACTTAAAAGGTTATGCACGTATAAAGTTCACAACCCTGACTAATCCACACAATTTCCATGGATAATAGATGTTCCTACCGGGTTGCCTATTCTGTAACGTTATCCAAAGCTCTCCAGTACGGGCGGTTATAGTCAATTCACCGGGTACTCAACACGAACACACTTAATATGAACAGTGACATAGAGCTTGAGCGACTGCGGGGATCTCTCGTCAACCAGCCTGACACCCCAGCGTGGAAAAACCAGCTTCATCGAAGGATTCGCCGCGCAAATGCCTACCATACATTGCAAAACTCACACATTAATCGACTCATCCAAGTGGCAGAAGACCCCACTGCAGCGCGGCTGTTAGATGATGAACCAAGCACCTCAGCTTTCCACATCAAAGCCGCCATCTACACATCCATCTATGGCACTATTGCAGTCGCGGCGCTGCAGATCTACGCCGCGGCGACAACACGTTCATTATCACTCTTTGTTACCATGGCAGAAAGCTGTTGCGAGTCTATCAGCAATATTGGCCTCGATTACCTGCACAGGAAATCCAAGAAACTCAGCCATTCAACCAAGTGGCCCGCGGGCGCAGCGCGACTCTGCAATGCCGGCAACATCTGCTTCGCTTTTGCCCTGATGGCTGTTTCACTCGTGCTGGTCGTCGAGTCGATCCGTGCCCTGGCCAGCACCCAGCATGAGCTTGGGAAATTCCACGTGGCAGCTATTATCGCTGCTGCGTGCGGATTCGGCATTAAGCTTTTCTTGGCCATCTATTGCTTCATGTTCCGAAAACACAGTAGTCAACTGCAAATGCTTTGGGAAGACAACCGCAATGACTGCTTCGAGTATGGCTTCGCCATCTTCACCTCGGCAGCGGGTGCCAAGCTGAAATGGTGGGTTGACCCGGCCGGCGCCATGTTCATCGCCTGTGTCATCATCTTCACTTGGATCGGCACGGTTCGTTCGGAGTTTCTGGATCTCTGTGGACGAGGAGCCTCGCCCGAGTTGGTGCAGGAAATCGTCTTCCTGACTCTTCGTCATTCTGATTTGATTTTGAAAGTCGACACTGTCCATGCGTATCACTGGGGTGAGGACTTGTTCGTCGAGGTTGATATCGTCATGGCGCCTGAGCGCAGCCTTCGCGAAGTCCATGATGTGTCGCAAGAGCTCCAGGATAAGCTCGAAATGGTCGAAGGCTTCGGTCGAGCGTTCGTCCACGTGGACTATGGTAGGTTTTCTGTATCGTTTTGTAGCTCGTGTACAGTTCCACTAACAATTTTAGAAACGTCGCATATGCCCGAGCACCGCAAAACCCGCTGATGGAACTAACAGTGGCGACAAATGTTTCCTTCTATTTCAAAATCATTTGTCACTCTAACCTTGCTATATCAGCCCAAGGCTCGGTGATAAGCTCTATATCCTTGAAACCGCTCAGGACAAGCGATAATGGAGATATAGATATCCCCATATAAGTTAATAGTGGATGTATAACATTAGCGTTAGGATTAGCGCAAAGTTTTTTATTCCTTCATGTCCTGGCTGCGCCTCATTTGGCTCACTTGGCAATAGCACCTCAACTCGATGCAGCCTACCTTTGCATCTCCAAAGTGCGGCAATAGGATACTTTCACAATAGCAAATCAAGATCAAGCAGGCGTAAATAGATAGCAGCAATGAGGCTCGTGTGGAGCATATCAATTCGACATGACACTCTCGTCGCTATGAATACTATACAACTTCCAGCAACAAACTATCCCAACTTCAGATTTCCACATTTACTCTTTAATCGGCACATCCTGGCCACGAACCCAGTTCGCAAACTCCTTTCGCTTGGCCTATAATTCCAAATATTAGTCTCTGTAACCTACTTCGCTCACTGAGTATGATCAACATCCACTGGTAGATCAGACACGACATGACCTAACACGGCGCATAGACGCACAAAGCAAAGCCACCACCAAATATCACAAATCAATGAACTCACCCGGATATCCCAGAACGCATAACGCTCCTCCAAACTCAGGAACGGGTTGCGCGCCCCGCCATCCCGCTCGATAGCGCCCGCCCAGTCGCGCCAGCTGACGGGCTTCAACTTCTCGGCACCGAGAACGAGGCCAATTGATACAATGAGGACGGAGACGAGGGTTTCAGCGATGATGTCGTGGGGAAGGACGGTGGAGGAAATGTTGCTGTAGAGGACAGTGTGTTCGTGGGCGGAATAGCCTCTGCAGAAGGGGCTGTCAGCTTATTCCTTGGTAGCATAGAGTTGACAGGTCTGTCATTTCAGTGGTAACGTACGCATGTCCGAGAAGTACGAGCCCGAAAAGCGTGACCAGGCGCGCGAGGAAGCTCATGGTGGGTGGTGAGGGAGGTTTGGGGGGTTGCGGAATTGGGGTCGGTGATCGGGTCTTGTCAATGCAACTAGATTTGTCCGTATGTGAGGGGTGTTGTTGTAGTCCACAGTAGAAGAATCAGAATAAAAAGCCCAAGGCCCTGAGCTTGTGAACTGCTTGACGTAGGAACTTTGAGGTGTAGTCCGCCCGGCGGGCCATCCCACGGTTTACATAATCACTGCCTGGGACATCTGGAGCCCTGGAGGACTACAGGACTCTGTCTATATCGCTCTGATCTTCCTTTTGTTGATTACTTTTGCTATCATCGTGCAAGGAATATGTGCCATGTTGATACACTACCAGTCATGATATAATGATTCGGTTTTGCAGTCATGATTGCCTGTCACTTGGCTCCTGCAGACTAACACAATCTAACCAACAATATAACCACAGTGATATTTGTATTGGCTGCTTTGATCGATGAAACTTTGCAGGGTATGCCAATGAGTAACTCACCAAATAGCGTGCTACCTATAGCGGCCTTGTATTACTGGGCAGCTCTTGATGAATGGTCAGTATACTGTACATCCCGATCAGTGATTCTCCCTCGGTATACAGAGTCTGCCCTCCGGCTTCCCGCTACTGTACATGGCTCCATCCCAAATATACTTGCATGTATCCTTCCTAGGCGGTCAAATGAGCCAGAGCTGTCGTTTTAGCTGATTCAGCCTGCCTGACGCTATGACAACAGAATATCTTAACCCAAAGGGCAGCCCCCAACTTGACCGCCTCGTTGACGTCGGTCACCTCCTTGCTTCGTAAACGGTCAATTGGACATCCGCGTATATATAGCCTGCCTTGGGTCTCTATCCCTCTCCAGGATTTGTCACGAGTAATCTACAATGTGCGGAATCAGCGCTGCCCTTTCACTGGCAGGGTACCCCGCGCAATCGAACGGGGATCGCCTGTCATCTCTTGAGCAACTCAGCAAGAGTCTAGATCTTGTTCAGCATCGCGGTCCAGATGCGCGTGGGGAATGGGCCAACGAGGAAAGCAATGTTTGTATGTGCCTGGCTTGACTCTTCGCCTTTCAATCCATTCAAATTACTGAGCCCTCTTAGATTTGGGACACGTTCGACTCTCTATAGTCGACCTGAGCCCACAAGCAAATCAGCCCTTTCATGATACTGCGAATGATGTTCACGCAGTCGTGAATGGTGAGTTGTACAATGACGAATACTACCGAGAGCTCTTGGGTAGTGAATATGACTTTCACAGCAAAAGCGATTGTGAAATTGTGTTGGCTTTGTATAAACACTACGGGCTGTCCTTTGTGTCTCACCTCCGAGGCGAGTTTGCTTTGATCCTGTGGGATGCCCGCAGAAAGGTGTTCATTGGCGCGAGGGACCGCTTTGGCGTCAAGTCTCTATACTACACTGTTGTTAACAACCGACTTCTCGTGGCAACTGAGATGAAGTGCTTTATTCCCTTTGGATGGAAGCCAGAGTGGGATGTTCAAGGTATTCGAGAGTGTGGCTGGATGTTTGGCGCCGGGACTATCTTCAAGGGAGTCAAATCAGTACGTGTGATTTTTCTTGGACTACTGGGTATTGCTGATCCAAATTAGGTTTCCCCGGGGCATTATATCATTAGCAAAGGGTTTGGCCCTATTCAAGATGCAGTCTACTGGGATGCTGAGTATCCAGACAAGGTGATTGGAAGCCCATGCTCTCCCTTATCACTCAGAATCCAACGCTAAACTTAGAACAGAGGACACCGGAAATTCGATCAGAAGCAGAGATGATAGAGGGCGTGCGGAACCGCCTGATGGAAGCCATCAAAATTCGCCTTCGTGCCGATGTGCCTTTGGGAATCTACCTGAGCGGTGGAATTGATTCATCGGCGGTGGCTGGCATGGTAGCCCATCTCGTCAAGGAAGAGGGGGCCAGACTCGGCAATGATGAAAGCCATCTTCTTTCAAGAATCAAATGTTTCACTGTGCAATTTGACAAGGATAGTGGAGCTGACGAGTCCGGTACGAGCCTCACCATACATTACTCACTTCCAATACCGGGACACTAAGCATTACTAGATATCGCGCAGCGTACCGCTGAATGGCTGGGGGTAGACTATCACCCAGTATCCGTCAACGAAGACACTTTTGCTACAATGTTGGCGGATACTGTTTGGCATAGTGAAACCCCTGTGCCAGATACGAATGGCATAGGAAGACTCGCCATGGCTGAGGCTGCCAAATCACAAGGGATTAAAGTGATATTGACAGGTAACTCTTCCTTTCAGTATTCCTAATTGACCTCGATCTAACATTCAAGTCAACAGGAGAGGGATCCGACGAGCATTTTGGAGGATACAAAGATCTATCGAGTGATTTCCTGCTCGAAAACGATCCCTCATGGCACTCTGCGCCATCCAAAGAGGAGATTGCCGAACTAGCAAAACGAGTCAAACTCCTCTATGCGAGCATGGCCAAGGACATACCTTTCAGTAGAAATAGGGCACCCGAGTCAACACGCCGAATGCTGAACAATACCTCAATCTTGACCTTCCTCTCGTTGGTTGGCTGCATGCCATTCGCTCAATGGACCGACATATATACGGTCACGTCTCCCGAGACTGCACAAGCAGAAACTTTGGATGGACGCGTTCGAGACGCGTTCGCCAACCGGTGGCATCCACTCCATACAGCAGAGTATCTATTCACGAAAGGCTTCTTCAGCAACTTGCTACTTCGGTATCTTGGTGATAACATCGACATGGTGCACAGTGTCGAGACTAGACCTCCGTTCCTAGACCATCATTTGACCGAATATGCCAACAACCTCCCACCAAGTCTGAAGATCAAAGTGTCGACGTCAGACGGGTCACTTAAGGAGAAGTACATTTTGCGAGAGGCGGTTCGTCCCTTCGTCACAGATGAAATCTATACCCGACAGAAGAAGCCATATGTTGGACCTACCAATTTCCAGGAAAATGGGCCACTTCATAAATTGTTCGTCCGCCTGATTACTCGGGAAAATGTAGATGCTCTTGGGTTTGTGGACTATGAAGCAACACTGGAAAATGTGCGCAAGGCATTCCAAGATAAGGACCAGTGGGCTTTGCGAGCTGCGTTCTCTGTTTGCCAATTTGTGGTGCTTTCGCAAAGATTTGGGGTAGCCAGAGCTACGGCTCCATCCCTGTGTCATACTTGCTAAATAAGTTACTTCTGTTTGATGTGAAGGCTTTCGGCTGTCCCTCTTCACCTTCCGTAGATGCTGAGAAACTTACACAGTATCAAGACCGTGAAGTTGAAGATGAATATGATCATCCTTGGTGGAGCTGATGGCCACAATCGCACTTCGCCGTAAGTCTGATTAAAATATCGATCAAGTCTTCTGAAATGTGGTATTTAGGAAGATTGGCCTCCATTCTCTTCTGAAAAAAATAGCCTCCCGGATAGCATCTCCAAGGGCTTGACCCAATGCCCGAAGAGACTAGAAACCGGTAGTGTAACTGGTAAGTCATGACCAGATGTTGACCTCAGACAGGTTTATGGCAGTCAAAAAGGTAAAGTGTCGACTGGCCCAAGCTTGCATACAAAGAAACAGTTCATTGGGGTAGGATTCGGACTAATATGAAGCGTGGATTGTTTTCTAACGCTATAAGTTATCAATTTCTAAGCCCAAACAACAATCTTGAATTCCACACTGCGTACTCTTAAGTTAAGGCAATTCGGTTGTCATTGATTGCCTTGAACAAGTCAAGTCCTTACTTCAAATTGTGTATTTCAACAGATCTAACCTCAGCCTGGCCTCGATGCCCAATGACACCGGTGCCCAACATCTAAGCGGGGTCCATTGGCCTACACTGAATTAAAAAGATCTTCATGGGAATTGACAACAGTCGAACCAATTGCCTCACTCGCTTGGTCGTTTGCTATGGCTACAAAATTTACTCAAAACGTATTTGGTCGTGAAATTTTTGTTTTTTTCATCAATGACCGGTCATGTCCGGACCAGCTTTCTAGTTGGTTTCGTAAAAGACTTCCTTGACATCACACATTTGCATCACATCCTACTTCGTAAATGGACATCGCAAATTTACAGCTTCTGCATGGCAGCGATATCGGTGGACTGGACGTGGTCCTCGAACTCCTCAATCTGGCCCTGGAGCTCATCGGTGGAGACCTTGTCGTCCTCAACGACCAGGTTGATCTGGAGCTTCTTAATACCGAAACCGACGGGAACCCACTTGGAGGCACCCCAGACGAGGCCGTCCTGCTCAATGGAGCGGACGTGAGCCTCCATCTCCTCAAGGTTGGTCTCGTCATCTGCAAAAAATATTGTTAGAACATTGATCAAACAAAGCAAAAGATAGTGAACATACCCCAGGGCTTAACCTCCATGGTGACAAGGGACTTGGCAGCGGGCTTGGTCTTCAGGGCCTTCTTGGCCTTGTAGTCCTCGAGACGCTTGTTGCGCTCGGCAACAACGGCGGCGTCCTCCTCCTCAGAGTCGGAGCCGAAGAGGTCCTCATCGTCATCCTCCTCCTCGGGCTTGTCCTTGGGGTTGGAAGCAAGCTCAGTGGTCTCGGGTCCGTAGGCGGTGAAAGCCTTGGAGGAGTCACCGGGGAGAGCGGAGAATTCGCTCTCGTAAGAGGCGATGTGCTTGTACCAGCGGGCGGCGTGGGGGTACTTCTCAGCGTCGGGGGCGGCGCTGAAGGCCTTGAAGGTCACGACATCGGCCTGGCTGGGGGAGGAGCTGTTTGACTGTCAGTGATGTTGTCATACATCGAGTGAAAAATCAACATTGTTGCATAGTAGCAAGATCAGAGATGGGATTGCTCCCTGGTTCTGTAGTCATACAGCGGGGTCTTAAATCCGCCTCATAAACACGGACCAATGTTTCTCATCATGAAAGTAGGGGGTAAAAAAGCACAACAACATAAACAGGGAGAGCTTACCCAACAACGTAAGAACGAGTGGACAGGAAGTGGTTGGCCACTGAGGGGCACAGTCAGTCACCAATTGATTCGAACCAAAGAAAATCTCAGGGGCGCCTACGAGTCAGGCCGGCATCAGAGACAAAGTCGGTGAAACCCATTGTGAAGAGAATTGAAGTGGTATCTGGGGGAAAAAAAGGAGAAGAATGAAACTGGAAGAAATCGAGGGGTTAAAAAGGGAGGATTTTTTTTCATCGGATAATCTTCGCCGGAAAAACGTGGGACACGGGTCAGGTGACTGGTGACGGTGGTGGTCCAAGCTTCACAGCTCCTCCGCCACTCAACTGGGACGCGGTGGAGCATTCGAGAAGCATCGCGATACACGACGTCCGAGTATTAAAGCGATGTGATCACGACAACTACCCCTCGTCGCGCAATTCTCATCATGGCTGCAAGATTGTCTCTTACTGCTCGTAGAGGACTCCTACGAGCTTCTAACCTACCTTCAGCCCGTCTACTTACCCCAATTGCTCGTTCGAACCTCCTCCGTACCACATCTCTCGTCCTTCCAGCTACCCATGTCACTCCGATCTCTGTCCGCCAATATGCAAAGGGACGCCCTCACCCTCCAGGCGGTACCCATCGCATGGACATGAGTGGAGGCGAAGAGAAATCCGCTCTCGAACAATATGGTGTTGACCTTACCGATAAGGCGAAAGCTGGCAAGCTTGACCCAGTAATTGGTCGAGACTCGGAGATTCATCGCACGATTCAGATTCTATCTAGACGAACCAAGAACAACCCGGTGCTCATCGGTGCAGCTGGTACCGGCAAAACTGCCGTTCTCGAAGGCCTGGCCCAGCGAATTGTACAAGGCGATGTTCCGGAAAGCATCAAGAACAAACGGGTGGTCTCACTAGACTTGGGATCGTTGATTGCGGGTGCTAAATTTCGTGGTGACTTCGAAGAACGCCTCAAAGCCGTACTCAAGGAAGTAGAAGATGCCCATGGAGGAGTCATTCTCTTCATCGATGAGCTTCACACCTTACTAGGCTTGGGTAAAGCCGAAGGCAGCATTGATGCTAGCAACCTGCTCAAACCTGCACTTTCACGAGGCGATCTCCAATGCTGCGGTGCTACTACCCTGAATGAATATCGATTGATCGAAAAGGATGTAGCTCTCGCTCGACGGTTCCAGCCTATCTTGGTTGGTGAACCGTCGGTTCCCTCAACCATCTCCATTCTGCGTGGTATCAAAAATAAATATGAAGTGCACCACGGTGTCAGAATTACGGACGGTGCGTTAGTTGCTGCCGCCACCTACAGCAACCGCTACATAACCGATCGATTCTTGCCTGACAAAGCAATTGACCTTGTTGATGAAGCTGCATCAGCACTGCGCTTGCAGCAAGAGTCAAAGCCAGACTCCATCCGGGAGCTGGAGCGTGACATAACCACTATTCAAATTGAGCTCGAGTCTCTTCGTAAGGAGACTGATGTTAGTAGTCGCGAACGACGAGACAAGCTTAAAGAAGAACTCAAGATCAAGCAAGACGAGGTCGGTGAATTGACAAAGGCCTGGGAGAAGGAGAAGTCTGAAATCGACGCCATCAAACGTACCAAGGAAGATCTGGAACGTGCCCGATTCGAATTAGAGCAAGCTCAGCGGGAAGGAAATTTCGCAAAAGCCGGAGAGCTGAGATACTCCACCATCCCCGAGCTCGAAGGCAAGCTCCCCAAAGATGGTGCTGAGCAAGACGCTGGGCCACAGACTTTAATTCATGACTCGGTGACTGCAGATGACATTGGCAACGTTGTTTCTCGAACTACAGGCATTCCTGTCAGCAAGCTCATGGCGGGAGAAGTCGAAAAGTTGATTCATATGGAGGACACTCTTCGAAAGTCAGTTCGTGGACAAGATGAAGCTCTTTCTGCGGTCGCGAACGCTGTTCGTATGCAACGAGCTGGTCTCAGTGGCGAGAATCGTCCCCTGGCATCCTTCATGTTCCTTGGTCCTACTGGTGTTGGAAAGACGGAACTTTGCAAGAAAATGGCCGAGTTCCTCTTCTCCACCGAAACTGCAGTTGTGCGCTTTGACATGAGTGAATTCCAAGAGAAGCACACAATCAGCCGCCTGATTGGTTCTCCTGCCGGATATGTTGGGTATGACGATGCCGGTCAGCTTACCGAGGCCGTCAGACGCAAGCCTTACGCCGTTTTGCTATTTGACGAATTTGAGAAGGCGCATCGGGATATCTCTGCACTATTGCTGCAGGTTCTCGATGAGGGATTCCTGACTGATGCTCAGGGCCACAAGGTCGATTTTAGAAACACCTTAATTGTTCTGACTTCGAACCTTGGTGCCGACATTTTGGTTGGAGCAGACCCCATCCACTCTCACAAGGACTTTGGAGACGCCGAGCTGTCTTCCGACATCAAATCAGCCGTCATGGATGTGGTTCAGGGAGCATACGCACCCGAATTCCTAAACCGTATCGACGAATTTATTATCTTCAAGCGCCTGTCCCGCGAGGCTCTACGTGATATCGTCGATATCCGTCTCAAGGAGCTGCAGGCCAGACTTGATGACCGTCGCATGACTCTACAAGTTGATGATGAGATCAAGGACTGGCTCTGCCAGAGAGGCTATGATCCCAGATTTGGTGCTCGGCCTTTGAACCGTCTAATTTCCAAGGAAATTGGAAATCGATTAGCTGATAAGATCATCCGCGGTGAAATTGTTTCTGGTCAAACTGCCCGCGTTTCTCTTGATGACGCCAAGTCTGGACTTGTAGTCACCACCCAGGAGGAGTAAATTATTTCATGACTGGCGTTTTCTTTTTTTTGCATATTCCAGCCATTTGGACTTTTTCTATTGATTCTTTGGCTATTGCATGTCCTTCCTCGCATATTGCGACTCTGTATACCATCACTCTACTCATGCAATTTGTACATTAATTTAAATTTATCTCATTCATTATGCATTCTACGTAAAGAAGAGTCCGTTAATCCTCTCGCGCACCCGCCTTCATTTAAACAAGTTGGATAGCAATTGCTGAATGTTTTGCAACCAGATTCATGGGCCCATCTATAGTAAATAAACCTGAAGAACGTGACCAGGCACGGGATGGGAGCCCACCATCCATTCCATCTTGGATTCCATCTCAGATCATCCAAGCCAATCCTTCTCATCGAGCCAAAATGCCTTCATTTAAGAGAAAATGGAAGTCCTCTCATGCTCCAATTGCATCTCATACGTCCGGGCCACGAGGTATAGGCCTCTCTAGTCGAGCAACGAGTGTTTCCAATCGCCCTTCTCAAACTCCAGTTCCATCCGTGCGATCACCTGGGACTACCAATACCAAGATTGAGACAGATCGTTCAATTGGAGTAACTGACAATGAGTTCGATGACCATGTCATTGCAGCCGTTGATATGAAGGATGACACTACCGTCGGATGCGCCTACTATTCAGCCGAAGAAGAGAAAATGTACTTACTCGGTGACAGCCGCTCCGGAGGCTTAGAGACAATCGAGACTTGTAAGTATTTCCATTCTGCAATTCTTCATTTACCTTACTGATTGGGTCATCTCCAGTGCTGCTCCAGATCAAACCAACAGTCGTTCTAATGCCTCCTCGTGTTGATCTGGATGTACAGAACCAAAACCAAAACCTTGCGCAAGAAGATGGTATCTCTATCTTGCCCTCGCTCGACTTCCTCATTTTTATTTGTATGCTGATAATGTGGGCTCTAGTTTCGTCGGCCTATCTTCCTTACCAGATAGACGTTCGTCCAACATCAGAGTTCAGCTACTCAAATGCCGAAAGCAGACTCCTTGGGCTGGAAATCTCATCTAATCACGAAGAACGAATTCGGTTTTTCGTGCCCCAGAACGGTCTTGAAGGCCCCGAAGAGGTTAATCCAGAAGAGATGGGGTTCACACTTCAAGAAGGAAGACTGCTGCACATTTCTAGCTCTATCGACATGGACAATCCGGTGACCATTGGCTGTGCAGGAGCCGTACTTCAATGCCTCCAGCGGCGAAAATCATCAGCGCCGACACCTCTCGAAGGTGGAAACTATTATCAAGTTCGAGCGCTGCAGATGTTCAACATTCGGAATACGATGTGGATTAACAACAACACATTCACTTCTCTGCAAATCATCCAACCGGAATCGCATCCGAATATGTTCAATCAAGGCCCGGGCAAAAAATCAGCTTCGGGGAAAGAGGGTCTTTCTGTTTATGGTCTCTTTCATCGTTTTGCGTACACACCTCAAGGTAGGGCAAGACTCAGGCAGATCTTCTTTCGGCCCAGTCTAGATTTGAACATCATTCGAGAACGCCATGACTTCATCGATGTTTTTTCTCGACCTGATAATCTTGCGGTGCTGGAGAAAACGACCAAGGCTTTGAAGCATGTCAAGAACTTGAGGCTTGTTATGGTCAATCTTCGAAAAGGAGTTAGTACTGGCAGTGGAAAAATCACCGGGTTCAAGACTACGGTTTGGGCTTGTCTGCTTGCTGTATGCTTTCGGCTCCGTGTTTTATCTGGCGTTTTCCGGTGCTAACTACATGGTCAGTTTGCATTTTACACCATTGATATCCTAGATGCACTACAGGAGGTCTCTGGGGCAGAGGCCTTAGTCCTCCGAACCAAGGTCGATACCATCATCTTCATTTTGTTTCTCTTTCTTTTCTAACTTCCACAGGCTCTTCGCGTATTTGAAGCAGCACAGCTCTACAGAGTGGGCCGCATGATCCAAGAAATTGTATGGACATCCCAATTGCACTTCGGTGACCTATCTAATATACACAGGTCGATATCGACAATTCTGAAGATCAAGGAAGAACGGTAGTAAAACAAGGAGTTGATAGAGAGCTCGACAGAATCAAGGACAGATATGATGGACTCAGCAGTCTTCTCAAGCATGTTGCCCTTGACATCGCAGCGACTATCCCTGAAGTCCTCGATCTTGATGTAAACGTGATCTACTTCCCTCAGCTTGGGTTCAATATCACCATTCCACTGGATGATCATGGCGTGGCACTCTACAGTGGCGCCAATAACGAGTGGGAGTTGATGTTCATCACGGAGAACAGGGGGTATTTCAAAGACTATCGTATGCGAGAGATGGATGAGACTCTAGGAGATATCTATGGTATTATCTGCGGTAGATTTGCTTCATCTTTTTTATTGGGGGTCTTTATGAGATACTGATGGGTGTGTCATTGCAGAGAAAGAAATTGAGATTGTATACGATTTGGCTCAGAGGGTGCTTCAATATGAGAACGTGCTTGTCGATGCATCTGATGTCTGTGGAGAAATTGATAGGTAGGTGTTTCTGAGATGCGGCTTGAACTTCACTGATATCGCTTCACAATTACAGTCTTCTTGCTCTTGCGCAGGGCGCCAGTTTCTATAAGCTGGCTCGTCCCCGAATGGTTTCAGAGAATTGCATCAAGATCAAGGGTGGAAGGTGAAATCTTGAAATTCAGAAGACTCTCGATCTTTCTGACGATATTCAGACACATGCTCCAAGAAATGACAGTGCCATCGTATGTGCCGAACGATACATTGCTCGTTGGTGGAGATGGGGAAGTTAATAGCAATGATGCACCTCCTTCTTCGGATCACAACCCAAGTATGTTGATTTTGACTGGGCCGAACTATTCAGGCAAAAGTGTTTATATGAAGCAGGTGAGTAAGTGTCTGTCATAAAACAGACGACTATCTTACAGTGCTCTAGGTGGCTCTCATTGTTTTCCTGGCACAAATTGGAAGGTAATAACTGTCACAGTCACGCATGGTTATAGTTTAACTCCCATTACAGCTTTGTTCCTGCAGTGAGCGCCGAGCTGGGAATCACTGACAAGATCTTGACCAAGATCAACACCCAAGAGAGTGTCTCCAAGGTTGGTCAGAGTCATCGTGTACTACGAGATGCACTGTAATTAACAATCCTTAGATCCAAAGCACTTTCATGAATGACCTACAGCAAATCTCACTATGTTTGAAGGAAGTCACGAGCCGCAGTCTGATTTTAGTTGATGAATTTGGCAAAGGAACCAACGAGGGCGGTTAGTTCGCCTTCATATTAACTTTATCTTCGTCTCTAACTCTTACAGATGGCATAGGGCTTGCCTGTGGAGTCCTTGAGTATTTACTAAATCTTGAAACTGCTTCCAAGATCATCGCAGCAACCCATTTTCATGAGATCTTCGAGAATGATTTTCTTGCACTACGACCACGGTTACAACTCGGACACATGGAGGTCCAGGTTGATCAACAAGTTCAACAAGTTGCGGATCAAGTCACATATCTTTACAAGTATGTAAATGCCACTACTTTCTTTTGCTATTGAATATTAGGCAAAAGATGTTAACAGGTCGAATAGCTTTCGTCTTGGACGAAGTAACAAGAGCTTCGGCACGATGTACGTTTCCTGGTTTTTTTGCCCTTGGGGCTTTCACAATCTAGCATTGGTCTGATTTGCTTGATACAGCTGCGCGGCTATCAATGGCATCGACTCAGCCATCGTTTGTCGTGCAAACGAGATCGCCCGCCTCCTGGCTCGGGGCGAGAACATTGTCGCTGCATGTGCGGTGTTATCTCCGAGAGAGATGGAAGAGCTTGAAGAAGCGGTAAGAGGACGCTTTGAAGCATAGAAAGTGACTAACTTGGCCCTCTCTCAAGGACTTACTCGCGAGAAAATTCCTGGAACTTGACTTTTCGCATGGAGCCTCAAACCGCAGCACGAATGAGGTTTTTGAAGGCTTATTTGACGCTTCGGGACAATGATGGGATCAAGTGCATCGAGGCGCGATATGCATGGATTCTGTATACCTTACACTAAGGCAAGGCATCATTAATTGGCCCAATACGCGTCGTCGATCTTTAGTCTTACCAGAACGATGACACTAACTCACCCAATCTATACAATAATCTTTAATTCCGTCAACGGAAAATAGGCTTTATCGAATTGAACTCTGCTTACCTCGTCTATGTGTACTTGTGGCGACTGAATTTGTTTGCTTAATCGATATGAGGCTCCCAATTACCTTCAGCCAAGTCTTCATCTTACACATTCTCAATACGATAACAATCACTAGTGATTCTTACCTACTCGTAGCTTCTATATGAAGATGCTATTCATGAAAATGAAGCACAGTAGGTTACCTTCCAGCTCCTCAAGAGTAGAAGTAATCTAAAGCCGCATGCTTGCTCAATTTACTTTCACTACGACCCAGGAGTAGTTTGGGCTGCGTTTACATCATTAGTTATGAATAACTCTGCGGAACGTTAAGATTTAGGCTCCTCTTCTTCAATTTTGTAGAGGTATTGTCCATGTTTCCGATACGTCCTGAAGAAAAGGCCAAAAGCGTTTTGTGCCTTGTTCGCTTGTTATATGTCGATAATCATCATCTAAGTTTATAGCATGAACAAAGAGATAAGAATAATGAATAGAACAGTTTTGATCTTCGAGTTAGCAGAGATGAAAATAGGGGTTATATACACATCGAATGCCTGAGACTGCCCGCAGCAAACGCCATAAAAACATACACAAGACCATGAATTTTATGATCAAACAGCATTCACAGCTTGACACTCTTGACCAGGTTCTTCTTAATACCCGTAAGCTCACCAGCATAACCACCGCGGCCTTCACCACCCTTGTACAACTGCTTGGTACTACCAAGCTTCTTCTTCTTCTCCTCGTACTTCTTTCTCTTCTTGACACGCGGATTACGCGAGTCCTTGCTGCGCTTAGCCATGAGACCCTTGTTCTTCGCGATCTGGTATGTGATGGCACGCTTGCCATCAGGCCCGACCTCCGCCTGTTCGTACACCTGTCCGCCGAGGCGAGCAGCCTCGGCGTGAGCATCAGCACGCGCCTGCTTGTCGCCCTTGCGTTGCTTAGAGCGAGCTGCCACCATGTCGTAGTACTCGTCGTCGTCGGTGCCGGACTTGTTGCCGTCCTTGCGGAGCTCCTTGGCGACACGGTGATCTTCTTCATCGCTGTCACCGCCAAGTTCCTGGTTGGCGTCAAGTTGCTTGCGACCACGCTTCTCGGCCTCCGCGTTGAGACGTGCCTGGCGATCGCGCAGACGTTCGCGGTAGGGAAGATCGGCATCTCCGCCGGCATCACGGCCTGCGGCATTACGCTTGTTGGCCTTCTGTGCGAGCTGAGAGGTGTAGAAGCGGAGGGAGCGCTTCTGCTTAGCCTTCTCCTCTGCCTCGCGGGCTGTGAGGGCGTCCTCGTCGCCAAAGTCGGAGTCGTCGTCCTTGGCGGCTGCTTTGGCTTTCTGGGACTTGCGTTTCCGGGTAGGCTCAGTGACCAGATCGTCGAGATCCGCGAGACCGGCTTCGGTCTTGCGAATACGTTCGGCGCGCAATGCTTCGGCTTCGGCCTGCGCTGCCTGGGTCTTGCTGAGCTTCTTCGACTTCGAGTTCTTGATTTGTTGAGTCTTGGGTTGCTTCTGGACTTTGCTAGGCTTTGTCTCGATTTCTTGAATTGACTCCTCGTCGGATTCAATGTCTGATTCTTCGACGGCCTGGAGGTCCTTCACTGTATTCCAGAGCTTTCGGAACTTAACGAGCGAGCCCATCACTGGGTGTTGTCGAAGCTCGGCAGGGGTCATGGGGACATGTTCGTTGATGGCGTCAGGGGAGGGGGAGGAAAGAAGCATGAAGTACATGCTGATGGTGCCAAGATAGGCAGACAACGCACGGTACTTCACTACCTCGACTGGAGAGGGTTGCGGCTCGTCTGTGGATTCGTCTTCTGTGGGTGCGGCGTTCGAGGCGGCACCTTGGAGTTCCTTGTAGGTGGACTGAAGGTCGATGAAATCCCTCGCCAATGGCTCAAACTCAGGGTATCTCGACTTCAGAATCTTCATCTTTTCTTCAGTATCCATATCATCGGTGATCTCAACCTGTGGTAGCACTTCAGTGACCACGCCAGTGTCTTCCTCGTCCTCAGCACCCTTGCCAGATTCCGCCCATTCAGACTCGTCGAATCCGAAATCGGCTTCATTCATAGCCTCCAGCTGCTTCTTTTGTAGTCGTTTAGCTTCTTGCTCTTCTTCCAAAGCATCGACCTCGGTTTCGATCTGGTCAGCATTATAGAGGTCCTTCTTCGATGATCCCCAGGCGGCAATGCCTTCTTCTTCTTCGTCGGATTCGGCACCATCTTTCTTCTTGGGCTCTCCCATTTCATCGTAGTCGTCCTCTTCTTCCTCTTCCGAATCATCCTCGTCCGAGTCCGCCTCATTGTAGCCTAGAATTTCTTCGTCGGAAGGCTCGAACATTTCCTCTATATAATAGTCAGACGCTGGTTCCCCATAACGGCAAATCAAATATTCACAAACCTTGCTCGGCAACTCTGCGCCGTCTCTTTGCCTCAGGGCCTTCTTCCAATAGAATGTGGTCCCGGCCAGTTTGGAACTCATCTTCAGAGTCATCAAAGCGCTCTTCAATGTCAAACTTGGTAGGCTCAGGAGCAGACTTCTGCTGGGCCGGACGGCCGGCCTTTCTCTTCTTGCTACCCATTGTGAGAATGTAGCGACAGTAACGATGTTCTATCGCGATAACCTGCGGACCTGAGATAAAATTATTTTTTGAGCCTTCACCGCCCTGCGCTAGGCTCAAGTGGGGGTGTTTGCTCTGTTTGTGAAGTCTGAATTCTCAATACCAGTAATGTTACAAAACACACCACAAAATGTCAATACCATTTCGAAATTTTGTATTTCTATTTCAAGCACCTCGCATCGCGCGCTTGCCTGTCTCCAACGCAACTGCCCATTCGTGATGGATATTCGCACGTTCACTTCTCAGATGTCTCGTCTACCCTTTCTAGAACCCTTTTATAATACATCTACCTCGGTCTTGGGGGTTTCCACCCTCGTTTGTACCATTATTGCTTTTACTATTGCTAAGATGTTTGGTTTTGGGTCTTCAAAGAACGAGTTCATCGTTGAGGGCAAGGTATGTGTAATGAGCTCGTCGAATTGAATTGTGCTGACTGTGTTTTTTAGACTGTCGTTATCACCGGTGGCTCTGATGGCATGGGCAAAGCTGTCGCAATCGAGCTGGCCGAAAAAGGCGCCAACGTGATTGTGGTTGCTCGCACAATTTCAAAGCTTTTGACTGCCGTCGATGAGATGAAGGTAAGAGGAGCATCCCTGGTCATCCGGTCATGAATGCTCACTTGTTATTCAGGCTGCTGCTGGCAACAAGTTCACCCAGAGATTCCACTATATCAGTGCTGATCTCACTGATCCCTCCGAATGCGAACGAGTTATCGCAGAGGCTACAGCATGGAATTCTGGTGCTGCTCCAGATGTTGTTTGGTGCTGCGCAGGCTTCTCTCGCCCCGGATACTTCATTGATGTGCCCATTGAAGATCATCGCAAACAAATGGACACGATTTATTGGACAGCCGCCAACACAGCCCATGCCACGCTTCGCAACTGGCTAGCTCCCGTTGCCCCAAGCGGGCAAATGAAGACCCCCAGGAGACACCTTATCTTTACCTGTTCTACTCTGGCATTCGTGCCCATTGCTGGCTATTCGCCATACTCGCCTGCCAAAGCAGCCATCCGTTCATTATCTGATACTCTGAGTCAGGAAATTGAAATGTACAATGGTGCTTTTACTCAACGCCACCGCACCGATGCTCCTGCTGCCGATGTCAAGATCCACACCATCTTCCCCATGGGCATTCTCAGTCCCGGGTTCGACAACGAACAAAAGACTAAGCCGGAGTTGACAAAGCAGCTTGAAGAGGCCGATAAGCCCCAAACACCAAAAGATGTTGCGCGTATCTCGATCAGTGCTCTGGAGCGTGGTGAGTACCTCATCACCACCATGTTCGTTGGTGCCATCATGAAGGGAACTGCTCTCGGACCCAGTCCACGAAACAGCATCTTGGGAGATACCTTGCTGGGTTGGCTCAGCAATGTGGTATTCCTACAAGTCATTCCAGATCTTCGCAACAAAGCTTTCAATTGGGGAAAGAAGAATGGACTTCCCAAAAGTGCACCGGCGTCATAAGGGCTGGATGTTTTCTTACTTTGTCGGGGACTGGCACTTTCATATATTAAACCCCACACTCTATATTTATCCAGCGCATCCCTTGTCCGGTCTTGCTAGCACCTAAATTTTCTTCTATTGTGCGCTATCACCCTTGGTCGCAAAACCTTAGCATACTGTACAAAGAACTGACTATCTTTATTGTTTGCTTGTCTTTTTTTTTTTTTTTTGTAACAAGTATCAGCGTTTTTGTATGGCTGCAGGTGAAGATATATCGTTATTTTTCTCAACTTCGAATATATCTACGTACTGTATGCCATTGAGTCCAATAAAGGGCATTTGTAGAGTCTTGGGCGCCACTCGGAATACTTGCGGAATGCGGTGACGTAGACAAGGAAGCTTCCTGCCACCTCAATTTTGCCATCTTCTTTGACCACAAATTTCTTTGTCTGACATACATTTCCTCGACATTGAACATGCTCTGCTGTTAATAGATACTGGAGCGATCGCCGGCGCGAAGAAAACCGCCCCCCACATACTCGGCGATAGCGATTGTCTTCGATACAGCTTCACTCTACAGAACCTCAGCTCTGGGCAGTTGTCCAACCAACACGCCAAAATGGAAGCCCTCTTTTCAATTCCGATGCTATCACTATTCCTCGTTCCTGTCTTGTCCTCTTACAGCACCAGTCTCAACATAATCTTCTTCTACATGACATGGACGACTCTGGTGTTGTCGCATTCCCCACTACGAGTGGAATTATTTGGCACAGCCGCCGTGCGCATACTATTCTATGCGTTGCCATCCGTGATCTTCTTTCTATTCGACGTTCTGACTCCATCAGCGGCGGTTGTTCTCAAGGCGCAAGGCGAAATTGGACTACCCAGTGGAAGGAAGAATGGTAGGATTCGAGCCCGAGAATTCAAGGTTGCCGGATGGGCGCTGTTAAATCTATGCTTGAGCATTGCTGGACAGGCAGCCATCGAGTCGCTGCTTGTGAAGGGCTTGGGCATGCGCAGTGCGATCAAGGTGTCGCTGAAGCTTCCTATGCCCTATGAAATGTTCAAGGATATGATCCGGGGCATGCTGGGACGAGAGGTGAGTTCTCTTTTGTCTGATTCTTGCTCGCGATGCGGTCTATCTCAGTCCGGTTTGCTAACATTCCTGCTATCTCAGATTCTGAGCTATATTCTTCATCGCTATGTCCTCCACTCGAACAACTCATACCTCGCCAAATATCACCAGACGTGGTACCATGCGCTGAGGGCCCCATTTCCCTTGACTGCGCACTATGATCACCCGCTCACGTACATGGTATCCAGCTTCATCCCGACATACCTACCTGCCATGCTCTTCCGCTTCCATATGCTTACTTATCTCTTGTATCTATCTATTGTCTCCATAGAGGAGACCTTTGTCTATTCTGGATATACTATCATGCCGACCAGTTTCTTTTTGGGTGGCATTGCCCGCCGCACGGATCTGCATCTGTTGCTGCGTGCTGAGGGTAATTTTGGACCATGGGGCATTTTGGACTGGGTTTTTGGAACTACAGTTGGCGACACCGATGTTGAGGATGACATTATGGGTGAAATTGAGGAACACGACGTGGAGGATAAGATGAGGCGAGCTGTTCAAACTTCGAAGAGGAAGGTTAGAGGTGCCGGGAGAAAGAGATGATGCGATGTTTAACGAGTATATGGACAATCTTTGTTTTAGCAATGTTAGATGTATCTTTTTTGAATTCAAGTTTGTATTGGTTTGATTTTTTTTTTTTTCCCTCTTAGATTTTGAAGTTGTTCAATATACATAAACACAGACGGCGGTCCCCATGACGACCAAGTATATAACCACCAGTGAACTGATATGATGTTGGAAAAATGATTACTATGCGCAGCATATTAGCTGCTACATAATTTTACATCAATTGAAAACATATATGACCCACCGGCCAGTGAATTGAGTGATCAATCGATTCATTAACTGGTAGACGATGAAGGCTGCGTGGTGGCGATAAAACAACAATGCAACAATTGCTCTCAAAGAGAACAAGCACTCCAAATCCACGACTAGCTGATGGTGTCATTCGGCAACGCAAAGCTAGGGTTTTCGTGCTCTTCATCGAGGAACTTTTGTACGGCAAAGCGCAGATCTAGCCCACGGTGTAGTTCGCAGGGTCTGACATGTACAACAACCAGAAAAAAAAAAAAAGGGGGAGAAGGGTTGTAGCGACAAGACAGAGAAAGAGGGAAACCGTCGCCAACTCTTGTTGAGATAATTGGGGCTGAAAACCGGCCTTTAAGCTGGCGAATGTGGTAGTGTAGGGAGACTTTTGCAACGGTATGTATATACTAGATAGATAAACTGTAGATAAATATTATAGAAAATTAGTTAAAAATTAGTATATGCGTTTTTTGTTGACCATGTGGCAAAATATATAATGTAAACTGTCCCACCACACTACGATCTTTTGTTTACGTTTTCCTTCCTACCTTTGCGAATTTTCTTTTCTCCAGAACCCTTCTCATATCCTCCATTTATAGGACCTACGTACGATAAATATAGGGGAAGAAATAGATACTTGTTTAACTGACTATACGACCGTAGGGGACACTGAGCGCCGAGCATTGCTCAGTGATCAATGGCTTACCTACGCACACGTAATGATGCGACGACGAAGGGCTTGGTAAAAACGGAGCTTAAACTGGCGTCCAGTGTAGACATTTTCGGCAGCCGATTTACCGTCAATTAGCATTGTGGTGTAATAAGGACAGGAAGATGATCATAATTATCACAATGGCTACAAGTCATCACTGGGACGGAATAGCCACGAACGATCCTTTCAGGCTTCAAAGATCTCGGAAGTGAGCGGCTTGTCCCACAATAATATTGATCAAACAGACCGATAACAAAGAGCTAGACTACTTTGGCTGTCACAGAAGAAGATTGTTAAGGTGACGACAGAGGAAATTGCATGTAGGCCTAGATTCTAAGATCTATGTATCAGTTCCACAAAGATATCCGATCTAAGGAAGAACCTTATATTTGGCGTTTACAGATTAGAGCAAATACAAGTATACAAGTCGAAGAATTGCCCAATTTTAGATCGCCACCTGAACCTGGAATGGAAATTGGAGACGTAGGTCATACTGAACATAAAGAAAATCCAGCCCGCCTGCTGGAACGAGGAGATTTTTTAATCTTTTTTTTTGCTTGAAGTCTTTCTTCATAATGCGGCTTCATGCAAATCGGCCACACAAAAAAGGGAGCATGTTTCTTGGAGACATGAGAAGAACAACCGGATATCCGTATTAACCGCAGATCCTAAGAAAAAATGAAGCCCGTTTTTTGACGGATCCCGTAGGAGTACATGACATGGTTCATGAAACCGCCCCCCTGAAAGTCGTGCAAGGATGCCGATCTGCAATCGTGCCGCCCCTCGTTGGAAATGGTCCTCCCCAACTATCTACCGAACCCGCGGCTGCAACACATTTACCACTTCATCTCGTGGGGCTTGTCGCCGTTGCGGAGGGAGAAAGTGGTAGCGAGGTAAGAGCCGAGGAAGTCCTCCTTCTTGATGGAGGCAAGGATAGACTGGTCGATGGCCTTCTGGTCGCTGGCGCGGGCGCTGGCGACAACCTTCTTCTATTATAACGAAAAGAACAAATTAGCATTCCATTTTTGATCTGTTGTGGTTTTCCCAGGTAGATGTCGGTACGTACCTGGGGCTTCTCGCCCTGCTTGAAGAAGGCCTCCTCGGTCTTCTGCTCGGCCTTCTTGTCCTTGGTGAAGTATCCGGGAGCGGAGGTCTTCTCAATGGTCTTGGCGTCGACACCGCTGATGTCGACCTTCTTGGAGGTGGCGATGACGTAGCGGGAGTTCACGCGGCGGAGGGGAACACCGTTGATCTTGAAAGGTCCGGTGACAAGGAGGACACCCTGGTCGAGGGACTTGAGAAGGATGACACGCTTGCCACGGAAACGGCCAGCGAGGAGGATCAGGATGGTGCCGGGAACGAGGGTCTCGCGGACCTTAGCGGGACGCAGAGTCTTGCGAACCTGTTGATGGAACGAGTCAGTATCTCATGCAACACAGATAATTCAATTGAACGATGCCAATTGCCATGGCTAGATCTTCCCCGGATGATATGCGGTTCACACAAGAATTGAAGATTGACTTGACGGTGGGTTCTCTGACCGCACATTCTCCGTAATTCAATGTGCATCTTCAAAAAAATGCGCATGGTGGTCGCAATCATCCAGGCAAGTCTTTGCCAGTCGTATATCCTCCTCTTTTTCCTTGGTGTGTTTGTTCATAGGGTGTACTGACTTTCTTGGGCTGCGACTGATCATCCACGGGGTACCACTTCTGGGCCTTGTCGGCGGGCACGACCCTCTGGCTCTTCCCGAACTGCTTCGTCTGGCCGTCCGACATGATGGCTGCTGGCGAAGGATGAATGGTTGTCGGGTTGGTTGTTGGAGATTGGAGGTGAGGACTTGGACTGCTAGCGGAGACGGCTCCAGTGCGGGAATTCTTCGAGGGTTGTGCGGACAAAGCCCTATCACGTGTTTAACCGAAGAACCCTAGCGCCACTTCTGGAAGGTGACTCAGCCATGGACACCTTAGGCCTTAGGCCCCCAAAATAGGGCTGAGTGTACATACCATGTGCGCAGAACCACGGCTAGTCACAAACAACTGACGTATCCCGCTCAAAGCTTCTGTCTGTTTCTGTATTGGCTATCTCCCTCATCCCTCCACTTCTCTATCCATCCACCTGGAGTGGCTCAATTGTGTCAATACATTTCTTTCAATCGCTAGAATATCACCCAGCCACAAGTTTCCGCCATGTCGATAGCTCCCATCATCACCTTCAAAGCAGGTATCTGCGACCTGGATGTACGTGAGCTTGTTACTTGACGATCAACCCATCATATGGGTCCATCTATGTGTGTATTGAAAATATACTGATTAACCTGGTACAGACCACTACCGGCGCTGTGAAGCCCAAGCCTACCCCAGGCTACCTCTACCTTTACTCCGAAGATGATCTTGTGCACTTCTGCTGGCGCCCACGCAGCGCCTCCCTCGACGACCCCGAGCTCGATCTTGTTATGATTCCCTCAGATGGCAGCTTCACACCCTTCAAGCCCTCTGGAAAGGATGCCACAAATGGCCGTATCTTTGTATTGAAGTTCTCTTCCAGTTCCCAGCGATATTTGTTCTGGATGCAGTCCCAGTCTCAACACGAGAACGGTGACCTTAGCTGGTTCAGCCCCCGTGACCTGAAGCTTGGAGAAATCGTCGATGTCCTGCTGCAGGGTGAGGATGTCGACGTGGAGCACGAGATCGCCAACCTGCCTCGCCGATCTTCGGGCGACGACGACGAGACTATGGAGGACGTGGATGAACATGAGCAACCCCACCACGGTGCTGGTAGCGGTGGTGCTGGACCGGATGCCACTGGAGGTGATGTTCGCGAAGAGGGTCAGGAATCACGCGAGGGTGGTGCCGATGGTGGACGAGCGTAGGTACATATCTCTCACAATCTTCATTGGGGCCATTGAAGCTAACATTTGTTCTTAATCCATCTACAGTGCACCCACAGACTCCAATCCATCATCGGTAGTCCAGGACTTCTTGAAGTCCCTGGGCGGCCAGAGCCAGAGCCAATCCCAAGATCCTGAACGACCATCTACGACACTCCAAGACTTACTTCCTCCCTCGACTACACTACAATTCATCGATTCTGCTGATACCACCACTGCTGATCATCTACTGAGCTTCCTACCTCCCGCGCTGCTACTGCTGGCCCAGGGCAATGCCGAGGCTTCTGAAGCTGACACGGACCCCGAACTTGCCCAAGCTGCTCTCCTCTCCCTTGAACTCCCCCAGAAGAAAGACATTCTCCGCAAAGTGCTTCGTTCCCCCCAATTCACGCAAAGCTTGGCTAGCCTTACCGTGGCTCTCCGCGATGGTGGATTGCCCAGTATCAGCGAGGCCTTGCAGATCCCCGTTGCCAATGGAGGATTTATGCGGAGAGGCGGAGTACCCCTTGGTGGTGGCGATGCGGTAGACGCGTTCCTAGATGGCGTCCGGCAACATGTTAAAGATAAGGATTCTCAGATGGACACCGACTGAATCATAATGCATCTGTTTGTGTTTCACTTGTTTTAGTTTGTAGAACTATTTTTGGAAGAACCCCACCAGGCTACTTTTTTTTCCGTAAGGCGTCGTCAGCTGAACAATCATAGGTGTGAATAACCAGCGCAGTGGGAAGAAACCAAAAGTCAAGTCTTGTAGTGTATAGCGGAGAGATTCGTGTATAGATGTAAGGCGGGCATTCCGGGGGGGGGTTGAAGCGCATGCCGACGTCTCTTAGTGCAATCGCGATCCCGACATTGGCCTAATTCATCAGCCCCAGGGGTCTTATCCTACACTTCTTCTCATCCTTGTATTTCCAGTGTTGTCTTCTTCTCTGCACATTGTACAATTCACCCTGCCCTCGCCTTCAACACGAACCCGTGTCGCGACCGTGTCTGACAACCCGCCCAGCCTGCGATGTCTGCGATTCGGTAATATTTAATCTTGCCTGACGATGGCGCCAAGTAACCAGAGCCCTGGCAATGAAGAGAACGCTCCGCCCAATCAGATTCCCCTTCAAGATCTCTCGAAACCAGGAGATGCAGCCTACGACCGGGGGCGAAGCCCGCGCGGCAGCCTCTTCTCGCGACCATCGATGATGGGAAGGGGATCGCGGAGGACATATGAAAGTGTCGCTGAGGAGTCTCCTATTGATTCGGCTGGACCGAGCAGGAATCCCTTCCGACCAACACAAGGCCATGCGGAGATTGCCTCGCCGCTCGACGACGTGGGCGGATTCGCGCAAGCCATGTCCTCGGTTGGCCTGAACTTCGATGGACCACAATCAAGAGCTTCAATGTCCGGTCCCTCGGGAAGTCGTGGGTTTGACGACTCTGCTTCCGATCTCGATGTTGTGCCTCTAGACCCTTACGACCCCCACGATCCCCACGAATACCATATACCCGCGGACAATGATGATGATAGGGCTGGCCTGACAGATCCTCGATATCTGCAGCCGATCAGCGGAGCCGCGGGCACGGAGGGACGGCGGAGCAGCGACACTGGTGGTCACTCTCTTCAGTTCGGCGGTTCCCGGCTAGGTGACGATCTGCCTCACCTGGAGGACGGGTTGGGAAGTCGTCGTGGCAGCAGTGTTCGTGACCGGTCACGCTCGCTGTCTCCTTCTGCATCTGGAGGAGCTTTGCAGCGCGCTAGCTCCATGGTGAAGTCCATGTCGCAGCGTGTGGTCAACTTGAGTAATGAGCCGGAAGTTGTACAGCAATCAATTGAGAGGGAAGAACTCAATAAGAATGCCCGAATGGATGGGCCTCCGGTTCTGCCTGCAATGGTAGACTTTGAAGACGTTCTTCCAGAGGAGACAACTCAATCCACCACAGAGAAGCGTGCCTCAAGCAGACTATGGAAAAATCGCAATAATCCGTTCAGAGGCAGGTCACTCGGACTATTCGGACCAGACCATCCCCTTCGACTCTGGCTGTGTGATATCCTTGTTCATTCGTTCATGGAGCCCTTCATTTTGATTGTCATCGTTATCCAGACCATCTTGTTGACCGTTGAAGACGCGCTTCCCAATTACCCCGATTCAGTGAGATGGGGAAGCAGCAAACTTGATTACGTTTTCCTTGTCATTTTCATCATATATACCTTTGAGATAGTCGCCAAAATTCTGGTGTCTGGACTTATCTTCAACCCCGTCGAGTACAGTACATTGAATCGCACTCTCGGCGTCAGGAAAGCCATAGCGGAGAAGGGCAAGAACCTGATCACTCCGCATCGACAGGCTACTACTAAGAAAGCATCCATGCTACCGGTCGAACCGCAAACCTCGATTCTGCGATCATTCACCGGAATGAATGGACTAGATCCTGAAGTCTACGATGACCCATTACATAAACGCCGCGTTAGGCTTGCCCATCGTGCGTTTCTCCGACACTCTTTTAATCGCCTGGATTTTGTAGCAGTGATTGCTTTTTGGACTTCTTTTATCCTCGCTCTTTCTGGCGTGGAGAAAACTCGTCAACTGTACATTTTCCGCATGCTTAGCTGCCTTCGTATCTTACGTTTACTTGCCATGACCAATGGTACTTCGGTAAGTCTTCTTATTGAGGAACGGTGACATATGAAATACTGACTATCGCCCTATAGGTTATTCTTCGAAGTCTCAAGAGAGCAGCTCCTCTGCTTGTACACGTTGCCTTTTTGATTGGCTTTTTCTGGCTTCTATTTGCCATCATTGGCATACAGAGCTTCAAATCTAGCTTCCGGAGAACTTGTGTTTGGATCGACCCCGAAGGAAAAAATAATTTCACATTAAATAATGCATGGGATACACTACAATTCTGCGGTGGATACATCAGCAACACGACTGGAGAAAAGATGCCGTGGCTTGACTCAACCGGATTGAACTCAGGATTCAGCCCCAAAGGATACCTTTGTCCACCGGGGTCTTTATGCATAGAAGGCGACAATCCGTACAAGGGAACATTTGGCTTCGACAACATCCTTCACTCATTGGAAATGGTATTTGTTATCATGAGTTCCAATACATTCACTGATCTGCTGTACTACACCACCGACAGTGACTACCTCGCGGCAGCTCTATTTTTTGCATGCGGTCTTGTCATTTTGAGTCTATGGCTGGTGAATTTGCTTGTCGCTGTTATTACTCACTCGTTCCAGGTGATCCGAGAAGAGAGCAAGCGCAGTGCCTTTGCTGTTCAACAAATTGATGCTGTCGAGGAAGATGAGACAGTAACTCGAAAAATCAGCCCTCTCAAGCGAATCTATGACCAAACCGAATGGATCTGGGTCTTGTTCATCATTTTGGACCTCATTTCACAAGCGCTGAGAAGTTCGACCATGTCCGCCCGCCGTGCGCAGGTCATCGATACCACTGAGACTGTGGTCACTCTGCTTTTCCTGGTCGAGATTATCCTACGTTTTGCCTCAGATTGGCGAGTATTTCATCACAGGCGCCGCAATTTGACAGATCTTCTCCTTGTCATAATAACCTGCATCATTCAATTGCCGCCTATTCACAACTCAGGCCGCGCATATACAGTTCTTACTCTATTTCAGATATTACGGGTCTACCGGGTTGTCCTGGCATTTCCTGTGACAAGAAAGCTGATCATGGTTGTCTTTCGTAACACCGTCGGTCTGCTTAACCTTATCTTGTTCCTCTTCTTGATGACTTTTCTCGCTGCAATCTTCGCAACCCAGCTGTTCCGAAGCCAGATACCATCCGAAGATGAAGGCGGTAACACGATCATGATCACATTTGGAAACATTTACAACTCGTTTTTGGGAATGTACCAAATCCTCTCAAGTGAGAATTGGACAACCATCCTCTATAACGCCACTGCATACACGACCGACTTCAATACAGCATGGATTTCAGCGGCGTTTATCATCTTGTGGTTCATCGTTGCGAATTTCATTGTCCTAAACATGTTCATTGCTGTCATTCAAGAGAGTTTCGACGTGTCAGAGGATGAGAAACGGCTGCACCAGGTCAGAGCATTCCTGGAACAGAAACAAGTTCACGGAGCACCCCAAGGAACCTTGGCTCTTTCAAAGATCTTCCGCTTCGGTCGAGATTCAGCCCGGTATAAGGATCCACTTGATCACGGTCCCGCGGCGTTGGAAATGTTACTCAAGGATGCTGTGGTGCAGGAGTTTTTGGACGAAGAGGAAGGCAAGCAAGACGAACAACCAAAAGGCACACGAAGGGATAGCACATTGCACGACAACCGGGCTCAGGATACTGTTCAACCCGGTTGGATCTCACTTATGTGGACCAAGGCCTCCACCCTCGTTATGCGTCGAGAGCCGAACCCTTTCTATTCAAAGTTGAAGTTCTCCAGGGCCTATGAGGAGCTGGACCCAAGAACCATGGCAAGAGAAGTCGTCACTGCGGCGGAACAGAGAAAGCGGGACCAGCGCGAGTTTTTAGTCAAGCATCCCAACTACAACAAATCGCTCTTCCTTTTCTCTCCGAACCATCCTGTTCGGAAGTTGTGCCAACGCATTGTTGGCCCCGGACGTGGTCACCAACGAGTGGAGGGCGTCGATCCTTACAAACCGTTGTGGTATGCCTTTTCGGCATTCATCTACGCAGCAATTGTCGCAATGGTTCTTCTTGCTTGCATCACAACGCCACTATACCAGCGGGAGTACTTCCGCACTAATCGCAATTGGTTCGTCTATACAGATTTAGGCTTTGCCGTTGTGTTTTCTGTCGAAGCGACAATCAAGGTCGTGGCCGATGGCTTCTTCTGGACGCCGAACGCATTTTTCCGAAGCTCATGGGGCTTTATTGATGGAATTGTGTTGATCACCCTTTGGGTCAGTGTTGGCGGATCGCTCAGAGATGACTGGAGTGTCTCCAGAGCGATTGGTGCCTTCAAAGCACTGAGGGCTCTGCGTCTATTGAATGTCAGTGACAGTGCCAAGGACACTTTTCACTCGGTCATTATTGTTGGTGGATGGAAGGTTGTGTCTGCTGCGGCCGTCTCCATGAGTTTCTTGATTCCATTTGCCATCTATGGTATCAACCTCTTCAACGGGCAGATGATGAGCTGCAGTGACGGTGATTTCGCTGGAAACCTGACCAATTGTGTTGGTGAGTTTGCCAACTCGCCCTACAACTGGGATGTTCTCTCCCCACGCTCTGTAGACAACGCATTCTACGACTTTGACAATTTTGGCGACTCTCTCTTCATCTTGTTCCAGATTGTATCTCAAGAGGGCTGGATCGATGTGCAGGAAAGCGCTATGGGAATTACTGGAAAGATGATGCAACCGCAAGATATGATCGCACCAGAGAACGGATTGTTCTTCGTTGTATTCAACTTGCTTGGAGCTGTGTTTGTTTTGACGCTGTTTGTGTCTGTGTTCATGCGCAACTACACAGAACAGACTGGCGTTGCGTTCTTGACTGCCGAACAACGTTCCTGGTTGGAATTGCGCAAGCTCTTGCGACAGGTATCTCCCTCGAAACGCTCATTCGACGACGAGAGCAAGAAACTGCGGCTCTGGTGCTATCGAATTGCAGTCAAAAAGCATGGCCGATGGGCGACATTTGTGACTTTGATTCTTTGCGTCCACTTGCTTTTGCTAGTGCTGGAGTATTATCCCGAGCCTGCTTGGTGGGAACTGGTTCGCAGTATTATATTCTTTGCGTTCATGTTTGTTTACGCAGGAAATGTGATTATTCGGCTGATTGGCTTTGGTTGGCATCGGTTCAGTCGAAGCTCATGGGATCTTTATTCTCTCCTGGCTGTTCCCGGCGCTTTCAGCACTTCTATCATGACCATTGCATACAATAAAAGCCATGTGGTAGTTGAGCTCAACAAGCTCTTCCTCGTGTCGGTTGCTTTGCTGCTTATACCACGAAATAACCAGCTTGATCAGCTCTTCAAGACAGCTGCAGCCAGTCTGTCTGTGATTGGCAATCTTCTAGCTACCTGGTTCGTTTTGTTCTTGGTCTATGGCATTGCGATGAATCAAGCCTTTGGGCTTACCAAATTCGGCGAAAACGAAGACCACAATATCAACTTCCGCGATGTACCCAAGTCTCTGATCCTGCTATTCCGAGCCAGTTGCGGAGAGGGTTGGAACCAACTCATGGAGGACTTTGCTACTATGGTCCCACCATTTTGCACATACAATTCAAACTTCCTCGACGATGACTGTGGAAGTCCGGGATGGGCCCGATCCCTCTTCATCTCGTGGAACTTGATCAGTATGTATATCTTTGTCTCATTGTTTGTGTCTCTTATCTTTGAGAGTTTTTCCTATGTCTACCAACGGAGTAGCGGGCTGTATGCTATCAGTCGCGAGGAAATCCGCCGATTTAAGCAGGCCTGGGCCACGTACGACCCAGATGGAACCGGGTTTATCACCAAGGAGCAATTCCCTCGCCTTCTAGGAGAATTGTCAGGTGTCTTTGCGACACGCATCTACGAGGGCGAGTTCTCGGTTGGAAGAATTCTTGACCGGTGCCGAGTCGAGCCTCACAGGAACTCAATGGTTTCATTGCATGAGCCACGGCCGCCTGTTCAACCGACCTCCCGTGTTGCGTCCGGTGTGAATCTCGACGAGCTCTCTCGAATCATATCACAAATCCCTGTGCAAACCATTCGAGCGAGACGTGAGCGGCTGAATACTTTCTACGAAGAAGTTTTGGTGTCCGCAGATCCTGATCGCGGCATCTCCTTCCACCAGTGCCTGATGATTCTCGCCCATCACAATGTCATCAGCGACAGCAAGAGCTTGCGTTTGGAGGAATTCTTGCGACGCCGGGCACGCTTACAGCGCGTGGAGGAGGCTGTCCGCCGGAACACCGTCGTCGGCTTCTTCGATACCCTCTACTGGTCTCGCCAATTCCGCCGCCAAGTGGAACGCAAGAAGTCTGGCCGGATGAGCGTCATCCCGACATTCACCGTGCCCGAGATCTTTGTCGATGACCCAGTTGACGACTCTGATGAGCACGATGAGCCCGGTTCTGGAGCCATGACTCCACAAACTCAACCAGAATTTGATTCTGTTTTCGCACCCATGCTCTCGCCGGTCTCCCTTCACCGACGAGCAGAGTCCAGCCCAGCTGCTCGCCACGATACCTTGCCTCGGATTGACACCAATCTGATTGGGCGGGCGTCTGGGGCCAGCACGCCGACAAGGGAATGGTCAAGTATCAGTCCCTCCCGTACTCCGCAACACATGTATGGGGATCGCACCTCCTTCGAAACCCATGCATCGCTCGAGGCTTCTTCTGCCACGCGTTCTCGTCAGAATAGCATCATGAATGTACAGGGAGTCATGAATTCGTTGGACAACTCCGCCTGGGGTGAGAGTCTGCGACGAAGTTTCACGCAACGGCGACCGGGCGACCGATCGTCTGATTAGAATGTGAATGTTGGGTATGATGATCTATGGGGAATGTTGATCTTTTCACGACATGAGTAGAATGGAGCGGTATAGATGCATTGGAGGGGTTTGGTCTGCACATTCTCTTTTTTTTTTCCTTTTTGGCATGCCTTTGGATATATACACTAGGGCTGCTCTCTTATGTGGCGCTTTTTCTTTGGTTCGACTCAGTTTACTGTATACTACTCTCTTTGAGAGATTCTTGCATAGCAACGGCGTGGGATGCCATGCTTTTATGAAGCCATCGAACTATACTATTGACAATGATTCACTATAATCTATAAGCTCTAACTTTACAGAGATTTGAACTGGGCACATCAACTATAAAAAGGACTTGCATGGCTGAGTCAAGTGGGTCGAACTAGTGAATATTGGATATCGCCGAAAGAGGAAATTAGTTGGATGAACATCATTTCGACGGCTACATCATCTCTCTTTCTGGGACAATTGCATTCATAGATGGACCCAGAGATCATGAGGAGTTCCCTATGGACACCGACCTGGAAATCACCCCGTCTGGTTCCTGTTTGCAGGGACAATTACATTCATCCGCATGCGTCGACCGCGCCCAATCCGTGTCTCAACTCTCCCTGCAGCACAGTCCTTGCAGTGAATTTCGACTTGACATTCATATATTCCAACTGATTCCCTACTTCAACTCACCTTCAACCCTACTTAACCTCTTCCACATCACCTCTCATCTATTATGACAACAACCACATAACCACATCACACCACTATACCACCATACCACCATAAAATACCCGAAAAGCCTCACATCACCCGAAACCAATACGCAAGATGCACCACCTACCATCGCCCTTCCTCTCACTGAGCACATCCTTCCGCCGCTCGCGCAACTCCAAATCACCCAGCGAAGCCTCAAGCCCGCCCAGCTCAACAACAACATCGCCACCCTCCTCACCCACCTCACGGCACTCGCCACCACATGGCTCCCCCCACCACCTCTTCAATCTCACCTTCCACCCCTCCAGAATCCACTCGCGCACCTCGCGCGATCAGCAGGAGAGTTTTGCACCCCACACCTCTCATCCCCACCCCGACCTCCCGCTCCACGATGCAGCCCGCAACACCGTCAGTGTCCTGCCCTGCGCCGTCTTGCGAGGTCGCTCGTCGATGATGGTTGTCCGCCGCAGACCGTCCGCCATCGATATGGCGCTCAGTGAGGAGCAGTCGCGCTGTGACGGGAATTCCATTGAGCGGCAGGGGTTGGGTTTGATGGAGCCAAGACCGGTGGATCTGCAGGGGCGGGTCGGGGAGGTGCAGCCCCGTTTTGTCATGGGCGGCATCTTTGAGGTTATGGAAGGTCGTGCTTGATGGTTACTTTTTCTTGCCTTTGCTTTTCTTTTTAGATCTTTTTGAAGCTGTGATACTCATTGCTGCTGGACTTTTATTGTTCTTAATTTCTTGGTTTGGTTCTTGCGCGAGTGAATATGCATTTTGCCTGGAGTTGGGGTTTCCGCTTGCGGACAAGAATGTGAGATACGTTGTTGTATAGTTGTTTGTTACTGGAAATATATGACACAGACTGTACTTTTGCCTCGGATCATACCAGGGTTTTGGACCCTTGCTGCCAATTTCTGCCGAATGTACCTTTATTTAATGGAGTTTCTGCTCGAACCCTAATCTCGTGGCTATAGATATATAAGTTATACCTTGCCTACTGCCTAACCGATAGGCCAGCAATAGTGAGACAACCATGAGATAGCTTGCCCAACTACAAATCTTGTTTCTGTGGATTAGTACAGTCGTAAATTTGTTTGATAACTGGTTCATCTCGTGGTGCATCCCGCTTCACTATTATTAAGTTAAATTACGTGAAGCTAACTAAACTAACTTATCACAAAAGCCCAAGTTCTCGGATACACCGCTCATTAATAAAAAATATGGATCTTGATATTGACAATTCTAACAACAAAGATTCAATACAGATAAGGTATTAGCGTAAAAAAAGCGCCGGGATGAACATTTCAAGGCGAAACGAAATCCAAGACGCCCATAGACAAGCAATGCTATTCATACAATATGGTGATCATCAAAGTCATGCAATGTTGTGTATCATGAAAAAAAGAGAAACAAACTCGCTGAGTGCTGAACGCTGTGAATGCAGATATGGTAAGTCAAGAGATATCATATCTCCTAAGATTTGGTGTGTTGGCCTTTGCGTTGGTTAGGCCAGAGCTGTCCGCGGCAGTTGGATTCTCCGCAGAGGCATCGGACCGCTGCTGGATCCAGCTTACGTCGTCCCTTGTGGTCTTTGGGCTCGTAGTCACTGTCGTCGCTTTCGTCGCTGTCTTGAGTGGCCGGGTTGTAGTCAAAGGTCAACTCAGTGCCAGCGGGAATATTGCGAAGAGCAAAGAAGGCAAGGGTGTAGACTTTGGTATCGGCATGGGAGGTCGTCTGCACCGGAACGATCTTGCAGTTAGGGTTGCAAGAGTGGTTGATAAAGCGAGTGACGGATCCAAACTTGCGTCCATCGATGACATTCATTTGTTCTTCGCTATCGTCGTCATCGACATACCAGTCTAGGGAGAAGAGGTATGACTGATTGTGAGATCCTTCGATAAGGCTCTCGCGGTCATCGGCCTCGTTTTTGGTAATGACTTCGCCGAGATAGCGATCAATGAACTGCCCGGTGACTATTGGGTCAGGGGAACGGAGACCTAACCCCATTATCATTAGTATTGATATATGAAACAAGGCCAAACAAGATAGGTCTTACCAAAGCCTCGTGCTCCAGCATCGAAAATTTGGAGCCGAACAGTTCTTCCCTTCTGAACAACATGGTTCCAGCAATTGTCAAGGCAACTGCAGAGCGAGTTGCATTCCATGATCAAAGCCTTTCGAGCAAGGAACTCACGGGATGCCACGATGAAACCGGGTCTATCATTAGATTCTCCGTACGTGACGATTCGGTCTTCGCTGTCCTTTTCTTGGTCTAAACAGTCGCACGAGAGAATGGAACATTTGCCATCATCACAAGAACAGCCAAAGTTGTATTCCTCCTGAACGCGAAAGACGCCCGGGCGGTCAATGTAGTCATTGATGAATTCGAAATTGTCGGCTAGCTGGGCGAGAAGCTTGGGGTCCTGGACAGCAGTGGTAACGGGAGGACCGTTGATTTGGCTGAGCTTCTTCTCAAGGTTGGCACGAATGGCAACCAAGTGCTGTTTCGAGGTCACAGGCGAGAGATTAAGAGGCTTGTCTGATTTGCAGCTAAAAGATAATGGGTAAGAGCGGCGGTCGACAGGTGCCCGCGACTTAGGGTATGCTGCGCTAGCTATTCTCTTTTCCTCATCGTTTGTTGGAAAGAACTGCTCATTGATTCCTTGAATTGATTTTTTCCGGGCGATATCAATTAGTCGCTTTTGACCAGATGTTGGTGAAGGAATCACCACACTGAATTGCGACTTTGGTGGGAGCGTAGGTGAAGGAGTGGGTGTTGTGGGATGAGCATGGGAAATACGGCGTGCAAGCTTGTGTGGAACATCACTGTCTGATGTATCAGATTGGCTTGAACTTGCTGCGCTCTTTCTCTTTGTCGAGTCCACTCCATCCATTAGTCTCTGGTAGGTGATGCTAGGACCAAAAAGGGCTTTGGTGATAGTAGTATGAGGCTGTTTGGACCGCTTAGTAGCATTTGTGCCAGGCTAGAGACAGAGGGTTAGCACACAAAAAAAAACTAGAGGTAAGGTGGAAAGGTTCAAGAAAAATTAAACAAAGAGCCCTATACGCCACACGTGGAGGGTCTTTGTTTTGATAGTCGAGGTCAAAAGAAAGAACCCTTGGCAATGAAATGTGTGGGGCAGAGACAAAGGAAAGGAAAGGGGTTAAGGGCACAAAAAAGACAAGCACTCACTTCGATGTTTTCGATCTCTATTTCGCTGTCCCCAGTCAAATCAATGAGCATTTGGTGATTGGCCGGTTGGCCAAGCGGCACGCGAGGCGACATCCCGATCCCTCAAGGGCTCCTGAGGCAAGGGACGTGATGACAGGCCGAAAAAAACCCCGACGACGCGTCGCGTGAAGCCGGGAGTAGCTTGACGGTAGGCTCCTCGAGGCAACCAATGGTGCCGAGCAATTCAAGAAGCGAAGGTCACAAGCCTACCTAGACTTCGAAGGCGGGAAGTCCTAGGCCTAGGCTAATGATTAAATCGATAGGGGTGAAAAAACGTCCAGGGACGCGAGAAAATTAGCACAGTAGAAACTTCACAACCTTCCGGTCAAAATAAAGCAAATTCGAAAGAAATAGGTCGTTGTGGTGGAATAGGAGAGAGGAAAGAAGTTTGATGAGTTGAGGTGGTCAAGGTAAAAAGTTGATGGTAGTTGCGGATTGATATTGCCGCTAAGGGGTGACCCACCCACCTGACTCAGCATTTCATTCTAGCCTAGCTACTTGAATGTCTATAGTACCCTAGTACACTCGATCTTTGATTTAGTTAAACAACTTTTACGTAGCTAACTTTCAAGTTGGTTTATCAAGCATATGGTCTAAAGAGTGTTCTCTAATTCCGAGTTGGTTAGGCCAGAAGCGACCGATGGTGGTTAGTCGTGTAGGATCACGTGACAGATGTCAACCAATAGCCGTTGAGATATATCCATTACTCATCATTTTAAATCTACTTTTTTCGGCGCTAACTTACGATCATAATATTTAGGTTGTCCTTAATTTTTGAAACCCGATTTCTAACATCCGACAGCCGCCAAAATGGCGGTTTAAATCACAAAGAAGATATATCGTAAGTGGTAACACGTGACATCGTAGGCGGGCTATCAGTATTCCCGATAAAACGATGTCATATTTAAGTAAGGGGCGATGCGTTTTCCACGAGCTATATAACAGGCCCGGCCCACCCCATTTATACCGAAGGTTCCAAACCTGAAAGTATTTAGGCAACGCCAGTCATTCGAGACCCGCGTAGAAAACACATCAGGTATCCTCTATCAAAATGACAGATCGGTATCAAATTACTAATAAAATAATTCATTAGCCATATTTTCATAGATAGGATAATAATCAGCTTCTATCCGGCTTGAGTGTCCTCATTACCTCATACATACTGTTACGGACATACCAGGCACCAATCAGTATGGGGCCGCAACTTGTTGATGGGCGGTCATGGACCAGTCGATCAACCGACCCACCAGGATCACGTGACGAGCAGTCAGGAAGATTACACCACAACGCTAGGTGCCGGTAAAGCCACTTACGGCCCCCTCAGCACAAACACATATTCTCCCCCATAAGAATATCGGAATTACGTCAGCCTAACCACGTGACCATGCAGGTAGTAGATGGGTATGATGGTATACGGGTAGATCCTGCCAAGGCGCATCTACCAGTCTACCATCTACCATTCTACCAGGAAAGAACTAGGGATATATAGGACCTCATGTATCTAGTTTAGTTCTTCGTGTTCAATCATCCATTGTTACTTGTGTCTACTGTTCAGAAACCTTTGTGACTCGTATAACTTGATTATAACTTGACAACACCACGGGAAGGCCTATATCTCGGTATAGACTAACTCGGCGCTCTACTTGGCATCGCTCCTCGATACCCTCAAAAGGACTTAGCCCGTATAAGACCTGCTAGGCAGCGGTACGGTTGAGAGACAGATCGTTGAGGTTGGGAGTCGGCACGACAGGCAAGTATAACCTAAGGAATCTTCTAACATAGCGACGACCCGGAAGCAAGTGCGTAACACATACCATATTATCACGGACTAGCTACTTTTTTTATATTCGCTCAAATAAGTATAAGCTCTATATCTTCGTATGACGTCATTATCGCGTACTTCGTATAAAAGGCCAGCTGTTTAGAAAAGCATCACGTCCATCTTGAGAACTAGACCCAGAAGAAGAGTATCAATAGCACTATTCATTCCTAACTGCCTAAGATTTCCATTCCTCTATCTGCTTGACAGGAAGTCTACCGGCAAAAGACAAGTCAACCGTTTAATCCAAGCTCGAATACCCAAAGCCTTGTCGGAACCAGTCAACTGGTGGGTGCCAAAATTGGCCAGGAGGGCCCCACCGGGCGGTGTTCACACCCCAACTCTGGCGCCGCCCCGGTGGCAGTAGCGGTAATCACCTCATAACCCCGGGGGGCCCTGCCCCTAGCCGCTGACCCCCAAGGGTATCGCCCCAAGGGCGAACCTAGCATTGTGTCTTGGGACCCCTGACGGGTAGGTATCCCCACGCCCGAACGCAGCGGGTTTGCCCCTGTAATCCAGCAGCTCTCGGGCCAGTTTTCAGATTGAGATTTTCTTTCGACCTCGGACTTTACCCGAGTTTATTTTTTATTTTTTATTATTATTGGTCATGATGCCTAGTCAACAAAACAGTATTTGGACCTATATCCGCCTAGGATGATTTCTCTTGAGTGATTGAGTGGGAAGTTATTTATGATAATTTTATATCAAAATTCGAAAAGCCTGGTTGGTACGTACATTTTGTAGTGCCTTCCAGGCCAAATCTTGTCCAACCTAGAGCTTACTAGTTAACTATCTTTTCCATATGATCCTCGCCCGGGGCACAGAGGGTGAAAAGCTTGCTACTTTTTCTTGAGAAGTACGCTTTTCTTTACAGAAAATACGAGAAAGCTTCAAAGCAATAAGATATGATGTATGCAGCCATTTGTACCTGGAGCGACGACATAAAGTTCATGATAATGTTCAAGAAAAAGGCACAACACCATCCCCCGAGGCCTGACAACAACCCGCAACAAACAACCAACAGATGGCGTGCATGAACAAGAAAAAAACGCTAGCATTCACAAATTCTTTTTGACTCATGTCTTATATCCACCGTGTAGACCGAAGAGCAAATCTAGGGTAACACATATCGAAATAGGCGAGTAGCAAGTGCATAAACGCAAAACATAACACAAAAACTCAAACGGGGCTAATAAAGACAAATGACTTCTTCGTTAAAAAGATAGGGAAACGAGAAGGGGAAATCTGGACATGCAATGATAACGGGACAAAGCTAATGGATGCTCGTGCGGATGCGTCGTGGGTAGATGTAACTAAAACAAATGGACAAGGGGGCGCTAGAAAGCACAGCTACAGTCTTGTCAAGCAATGCGATATTCGGCCAAGTTCTATACCAGATAGAACCGGCTACAGTCGTAACGCATCGAGGATCTTCTTCGCCATCTCGCGGTACTGCCACATGCCACCAGAAACCTTCTTGAACTGAATACCATGCAAGGAGAAGAGAGGAACCTTGACGATCAGAATTTCAAAGCGGAGGACAAGGTTCTCTCCGGTGTCGCTCTGCACACGTGTAGTGGTTTCGCCAACGACCCGTTCGCCGGCCTGCTGGTTATCTCGTGCAACATATTCATCGGAGGCGTCCGAATTCGTGGTGAAGCTGCGATCCGGTGCTGCTTGAGCGCGGCGAAGTTTGGAGGACGCTGTGCGGGCGTCGCTCTGGCTTTCGTCATGACCCAGCAGTCCACCGAAGCTGATGCGCCGGCGGTGTCCGGAGACTGGACCCTGCCTGTCTGGACTGGGCGGGGCTACATCGATTACCTTGTCGAGATCAATGCTTGGGGCGTGTCGGCAGCTAAAGCCGCCCTTGATCTCGACATATTCAACGGCCAGCTGTCTCAAGACACGAATAATATCGGACCGAATGAGGGGTAATGGTTTGCTGCTAGTGGTCGAAACACTGAAAAGACCCTTGAGGAACACGGGCTTGGACAGATCTTCGCCTTCGTTGGCGCTCTCCAGCGCAGTACCTGCACCAGAGATGTCTGCATCGGTCTCTTCGGGGACATTAGCCTCGCGGGTAGCTTCCCGTCGAGCCCGACGTGCCTGAATACTTTCCCGGCGGGCATGACCAAGGGACATTGTGCGTGCCGTGTGTGTGCGTCCACCGGTCCTACCAGTAGGAACAACGTCCTTCTGGTCATTTGGCGCAACTTGATCAGAGCCACTGGTCGAAGGAGGCTGGCGGTCAGCCGGAACGTCAATGGCATCGGCATCGCTACTCCGTGCAGCCCTTCGGGTTCGGTAGTCAGCTGAGTTAACACTGGTTGATCTCTCCAAGAATTTGTTGGACCTGGCGGTACGATCCACCGAGTTGGGAGCCGTCAAAAGGTCCTGTTGTGGTTGACTGCTATTTGAAGAGACGCCACCCGGGGAAGGCTCCGCTCGCCGAGTCCTTCGAACACTGAAGCCACGATTGATTGGAGATGCCGAATCGGCTGGTGGTTGGACGCTGAGGGTAGGAGTGTTGGGGGTGCTTGTACGTTCACGTTCCATATCACGGCTGCGGTCTTTGGTTCTGCGAGTACTGAAGCGTCTCAAGAGACCGGCGGCGGCGCTTTCCTTCTTTGCTGGTGTGTCGTGTTGCGATATTTGGACTGCATGTGCCGATGGAGACGAGGAATGGAGAGTCTTCATTCCCTCTGACACCTCGTCCTCGCCATGGGTGCGGGCCCGTGGGCGGGATCTTCTTCCTGTATCCTTGTCTCCGGGCAGGTGGTACTGATTTGTGTGAGCGGCCTCCGGGGCCTGCAAATCAGGCACTTGAACATCACCAGGAGTCTGACGAAGACCAAGGGCTCCAGGCCGGGCTTCAGTGCGCTCACGGTCAAGCTTCTCCTTGACTAGATGGTATGTGGAGACAAGAGGACTATAAGCGTTCAACGGGTCATTTCCTAGCTGCACTGCCTCAGCCGAAGGCGCGGAGAGAGTATCGCGACTGGCCGCAGAGTTTCGCCGTTTATAGAAATCGAATACTCCGCGCTTGCGCTCTGCCTGGTTGAGTGCGGGTTGTTGTTCACGGAAGTTGAGTCTAATAGCGTGTTGATAGTCCTCTGACTCCAAGACCTTGGTTAACTGAGATGTAATGTATTCGGGAGGACCGAAATCGAAGCCAGTCATCTTCTCGATAACCTCTTGGTCCAGAGGCAATTGCAGAGGCTCGCGATGGGGAAGGTAGTTTTCCGGAGGAGAGCTGAAGCCCTTGTTCATCCATGGATGGGTCATGATTTCAGCCAAGCTGGCACGTTGCTTTGGGTCAGTGACCAACATGCGAGAGATGATGTGGCGGCACTCTGCGAAGGAGTCAGTGATGAGTACAAGCGGAGGAGTATCTAGCTGAACTAACCTGTAGAGAGCCCCGGTGGATATTCAACGACACCTTTCTTGATTTTGGCATGCAACTGGGGCATGCTTTGATCGTCGAAAGGCACCTTTCCACAAACCAAGACATAAAGTACAATGCCAAAACTCCAGACATCCACCTCAGGGCCGGTATATTGTCTAGCCTGAAGCAACTCTGGGGCGGCGAAATACAGACTGCCACAGAACGTCTTCAAGAGACTGCGTGGAGAGAAGAGGTTGCTCAGACCGAAATCAATAATTTTGATATCACCAGTCTTGCTGATCAGAATATTCTCGATCTTCAAATCGCGATGCACGATACTGTTGCGGTGACAATAATCCAATGCGCTGGCGATCTGACGGGCAAACTTGCGCGCCTGCTTCTCCTTCAACTTGCCGTGGGAAATAATGTAATCCAGCATCTGACCACCATTGACATATTCAAAGAGCATATACCAGTGGTATGATGTTCGAACGACGTCGCGCATTCCGCAGATGTAAGGGTGGTTCACCAGGCTGACGATGGCGGCCTCTCGAGCAGTTCGGATTTCCTTGGAGCGATCAGCTCTTTCTGTTTCCCGGCTAGTGCGATGTTCCTCGGTTGAGAGTCGTGGGACGATCTTGATGGCAACCTGCGACCGATGTCAGTACTGCGTTCATTATTCAAATGCGTCGACATCACTGCGCATACCTGTTCTCCAGTTTCGGTGTTTTTTGCTAATTTGACCTTGCCCATACTTCCTGCGCCGATCGTCTTACCGAGAGCCCACTGCCCTGTTGGGGTTGTGATTGTGGTCCGACGTCGAGGCGCCGCGGCAGCTGCGGGGGCACTTGTTCCGGTCGCAGACTGCGCCGGTTCCTGGGTGGCAGAAGTGGACGCCATATCGAAGCTCTCTCTTTGCCGCTGCGATGAAGGTTGTCTCTGGTGCCTTCGGGTAGTTTCGGTGCGGGCAGTTGAGGGGCGTTCCTGAGACCGGTCAGAAGACGCTTCCCGGCGAGAAGGCATCCGCGCGACATTGGAAGCCTCAAAGTCACGACGAGCTACACTCTCTAGTGCAGCATGATTCGAAGGCGGACGTCGATCATGGGAGGCAGTTTTCGAGTGCGAATACTGGGTTTGTGGAGGGGGCTGGGATGTGTTGGATGGACGGACCGCCACACTCCGTGTCCGATGGGGAAGATCAGACGGCGCTCGCGATGGGCGAGACGAGGTTGAATGGCTTCGGACCACCGTCGGTACTTTGGGTGTCGGAGCAGACATACTCAAAACAGAGTAGTTGGAAGCGGTCAAAAGAATGAACAGGAGGGGAGCAACGAGAATCGCAGCCAGGCCTTGGGGGGGCCCAGGCACAAGAACAACTTCAAGTGTACAACCCAAAGTAGGAATGCAAACACGAAGATGAAAACGAGGAAGGAAAAGAGAAGAAACGAAGATGGAGAATTGGGGGGAGAGGGGGGGGAGGAAGAGGGCTGGATTGCGGAGATGGGCCTTCGGTAACGTAACTAAGCTCTCGCGTTGATACCCAAATTATGTTTGAGGCTGGATTTCACGGGAAATTCACCCCTTTTTTTATGTGACGTTGGGTATGATTGTTTTTTGACTTAGTTCTCAAGGCTTAGGCTACTGTCTACTGTACATTAAGCCAAGTGAGCCAGAGTCCACGTAACAGCTTATTTATGGGGAGCCCCAGACCGTTAGTCACCCGCACGTGACGTCAACTATAAATATCCGAGATCTATAGCTTTTACACTACACTTAACTGGTGCTTCAAGAATGTACAGTGTTTGGCACGGTAAAAAAATAGCCTCAACAGAAGGTTCAATTGCATGTCATCAATCAGCGGTCAAAGTATGTTAATGTTAGGCTTTCTCCGTGGCAGTGTGAGAAGCAAGAGATATCTATTAATCACAAAAGAGATCTCCGTTAGAAGCCCTCATTTCATCTTATATCGGACTTCCTACTACATGATCAAATCACCACTCAGCTGGCCCAAACGTCGTCCCCGATGCAACTGTCTTCCGGATCGCCGTGTACAAACTATCCTGTTTTTCGTTAGGACCCACTTCCCCAACGGTCTTTCTGTCGGTTCACTCACCGTGGTCTCAAAGGGAGCCGTATTCCCCCACCATTGAGGAACAGTGACATTCGGCAGAGTGATGGCAAAGAAGATAAGAATGGTAGATAGAACCAGACCAGAGTCAAGTCCAGCAGCGGTGACATAGTTGTAAGTATGCCACCAGCCGCCCCACCGGTGCCGAACCCAGTAGTTGAAGATGAGGCCGAACATGACCCATGAGAAAAAGCTGATAGGCGTTGCTCTGTATAGTTTTAGTAAATGGGAAGCATAGAACAAGCGCCGTGGAGATCGATAGTCTTACGGAGGTAACCACGCCATAGCACCTAGCATTCTGTAGTGATCATGAGCACGTTTCTTTAGAATAAGGTGATATGACTTACACTGGGGCATTGAGAAATCTGAGTTTAGAGCGAGGGAATGCTCGGATCAACAGATAGAAGGCAACAGGAAGGAGAGCCCCGAGGAGCCAGAACCACTGCATCTGTGAGTAGATTGCCCCGGGGCCAAACATACGCGTGGGCCCAATGACTCCTATGAGAGAGATCAGCAAATGGATAGAATCGAAACCGGATTTAATTACCCCAGACAATGCTAGACGAGAAAAATGTCCGTCCGTTTGGGCAGGTGAAATGGGCTGCTTGTGTACTATTGCTCATCGTTAATTAGTGTCATCTCGTGTTGAATAGCAGAAGACTTACGAGCTGCAAACTCCTTCAATATTCCCCAGAGTCCAGTTCATGACCGCAATTTGCACAATACTTGCCCAAATTGTGGCAATGACTTGACACATGAAGGTAACGCGAGGTGGAATTTTCATGTAGTGGGCCATCTATTATCGAACAGGGTCAAAGATGATCGTTTATGTTGGAATAGAGCGGCGTACCTTGAGATCACCGCAATATGTTTGTCTGTTCAACAGTTAGCACAAAACTCAGCTGAAATTATTTCTCTGGTCTTACGCTTGTCCCAGGGTGATGGTACTGAAAACCTTGAAAATCATGACTCCGATGGGTTTTCCCGGAATCATGAATCCAGCTAGAAAGGGCGACAAGACATTGAGGGCTATACAGGTTAGTTCTATGCAGTTAAGATAAGCTAGAGCCAGAACTCACACAACATAATGCTCGTGATAGCGAGAATCATACAGGTCGGAATCTATCTGCAATCAGCAAAAACAAAATACCCAGGCGGTCATTGTGCAAGACATACAATGAAAACAACGGCGAGGATGATCGAGACGAAAAACGCCCACCCTGTTATCCTTGTGAGTATAGATATTTAGACAGTGGTCCACACAGGTATACATACACGGGAGCTGAGTATCATATGCCAGAACTCCAGCCAGCCCTAATGCGATAGAGGCTAGGAACAATGACACGTACCACCAGTCGGGAGCCTCCCGATATTTCTTCATCAATGTGAAATGGATATCTGCTTCTTGTTCCCGAGAGGCTTTAAATTGGTACCAAAGCTCTTTTCGATGGAAGAGAATGGCGTGCACGATCGCTGCTGTAAGCGCAGCAAAAGAAAGACCATAGTTCAACGCAAATGTTGGAGCCAAGAACATGGGCGAGTAAGCTTTGTATTTTTCTTCGTCGAATGAGAAGCCAGGCCCAAGAATTCTGGTCACATTGTAAGAATTCTGAGTGTTGTCATAAGTCGTGGAAGTGTTGATTGGAAGATAGGCAGAGTATCTACCATGGTCAGTAATGGATTGGATCCCGTCAGAGTATGTCTTACAAGGACCCAGAGTAGGATATCCCAATCGTGGTGATAATCACGAACACCACTAGTCCGATCAGAGTATTGACATGAGCGTGAACTGGCGCCAGTAGGGGGTCTTGAAGATAGGCCGAAACATAGCTGATCAGAATTAGCTTTCCACCGTGCTATTAAATCGATGCCAGCCATAAAAAGACCCACGTCCAATCAAAGGTGATGGGTATCAATGAAAGACCAGTCATTCCACCGAACAACTGATTCAAAACCACATTGTTGGGTCGGATCCCTGAAGATAAACTGGGTTAGTATGGCCAAATCTAAATATTCGCGGGCCCTTACAGGTAACAAACGCAAAGACAGACAGTCCTTGCCAGAGAACTCCAGGTACCCTATGAACTTGTCAAAACCCGAACCTAGATATTCATATACTGATGGGAGTACCCTACCAATACCAGATAAACGAAGCAGCCATCACATAGATGAAGTATCGATAACGTGAGATACTCCATCCATGTGCCTCAGAGGACTCGGATTTACTGTGGTCATGAAGCGCATTTAAGAGCGAGGTATTCGAAAATTGATTGGGCCACACCATCGCAGCAGGCCTTGAATAGTTAGTTTCGTAATCTTAATGAGGAACAAAATGCCGGGACTTACCAGACAAGAAACCGACGGAACACGCCTGCAAGTGACATACCGACTAGTTGACTGCTCAAAGTAAACAGAATCTGGAATCCCCAGGTCATTTTGAGATTGTAGAGTGCTGTTAGAAAGTGTGAGTAGATAGAGATATGTAGCAGATAGGAGCACACTTGCGCTTTGCCTGTAGTGCTAAGAGAGCATCGGTGGAATAAGCGTAAGAAATCGATACACTGAATAGTGGTTAATGCTGCCTTTCCGCAGATGGAATCCTCATTCTTACTTTGACATGATCTAAAGACGAATGTTAGCCCTATCATTACCACAGAAGTATCGCATTTCATATTACCGTGATGACTGCATGTTCCTTGATGTTGAAAGGTCCAGGGTTGAGCGTCCATTGCAACCCGAACGTATTGAAAACTTTAGTCGGCATCGTCTTCGCCCAGAAACAACCGATTGGATAGACTAGCAGCATCACCACAATAGCCGGAAATGAGATGGCAGGGCTCCTAATTTCAGATCAGAAAATGCTGAATTGCTTGTGAGTCAATACCACAGTCGGATCTTACCTCATGCTCAGGAACATGTTGAGGCCACTTCCGATAGTCACAAATATCATTCCTAGAATCCATGCGCGAACCGTGTTTGCGACCTCTCCGCCATCTGTGTTGCGCACTGCTGCACGAACCGACTCATACTGAGAGTCCTGTGCGATATCTTTCTCGAACTCGACGGCTTTTTCTTTGTCGGTCGTCTCGTGCACCTCATGGATTGCCCCCAGCTTTTCCTGGGAGAGATTCGGATCCCATTGATGGATAGGATCAATCATGTTTACCTTTTGAATGGACTCATTCTTGGAGATTCCGGGTTCTGGGGGTTCTATTCCCTTCATGATAGAGGTGATGGGAGACATGATCAATCGGCAGATGAGAATTAGGTTTGTCGCAGATAAGCTTAAACCCAAGACCAAGAAAAACCACCCACTATAAATAGTCAAGATGCGAATCCCTACATTCCCTACATTCTTCCCGTTGATAACAAAGTACCCCCTATTCGGTATAAACGCGGAGTAGGGCCACGCAGCACCCTAAGCTAGACTAGTGTGACAGATATGAACACCAGTCGGCTTGACCAGCGACAGATATACCCGATGAGGCATCTCTAGACCTCTTTATCAGTCGTAAACCCCCGCTTTGACCGGACTCCGCGTTTTTACCTATTAGACTCTCGTTTAAACCTAAGCGAACATCGGATCATCTGACTCTGTCTACTCTCAACCAGAACAAACAATCGCCAGATATCGTCAATATGGTTTCTGTCACGTCACCCAGGGGAATCGCCATCCAGCGGGCTCAGAGTAGCACCATACGCGACAGAATAGAGCGCATAACCGAGGATCTGAAGGACATCAAGAATTTTTATCCCATCGATATCTCCCCTAGGAGGACAGAAAAGTTAAACCGGTACCTCACGTCTGAGCTCGAGTTTTTGCGCGACCTTCCATTTGATCATTATGACCAAGATGGAAAGGTAGATTACTTGCTTGTGAAGAACTACCTCGAAAGACAAGTCCGGCAGCTAGTACTCGAATCCAAGCAAGACGAAAAGGCTGCACCACTTTTACCCTTTTCGGCCACTCTGATTGATTTATGCGAGGCTCGCGCTTTTGTGAAACCGCTAGATCCAAAGGAGGCTGCCCAGAAGCTCTTTCAATCACAGGTTCAGATCGCGGCCTTGCTTGACAAGATTAAGAACAACACCAGTGAATTCCAAATTGAGAAGACAGTTGCCTTCCGAGCAGTGAAAACCACAGATGCGCTTCGAAAATGTCTCAAAGAATGGTTCGAGTTCTATAAAGGATATGACCCCCTTTTTGACTGGTGGGTGACGAACCCGTATATGATGGTGGACAAGAGGCTGGAAGATGTTTCACTTGGTATACAAGAGGAACTGGTCGGCATCCAGCCAGGAAATGACGAGGCGATAGTGGGCGACCCTATTGGACGCGAGGGATTGGTCAGTGAGCTGACGGCTGAAATGATTGCATACACGCCCGAGGAAATCGTCTCGATCGGCGAAAAAGAGTTCCAATGGTGTGTCCATGAGCTCAAAAAGGCATCGCGCGAAATGGGACATGAGGACAACTGGAAAGCGGCCCTTGAAGAAGTCAAGCATGACTTCGTGGAACCAGGGAAACAAACAGATCTCGTACGAGACCTGACACGCGAGGCAATCTCGTTTGTCGAGGAACACCAGCTTGTCACCGTGCCGCCCATTGCAAAGGAAACCTGGCAGATGTTTATGATGTCGTCTGAGCGCCAAAAGGTGAACCCCTTCTTCCTCGGCGGCGAATGCATTATCGTGTCGTATCCAACCGATGAAATGGATCATGAAGACAAGCTGATGAGCATGCGTGGGAATAACATTCACTTCTCGCGTGCCACCGTCTTCCATGAGATGATCCCCGGTCATCACTTGCAGATGCACATGATTTCCCGATTCAAACCGTATCGGCGTCTATTTGACACACCTTTCTGGATTGAAGGATGGGCCTTGTACTGGGAGTTTGTTCTGTGGAATGATGCTCGATTCAAGAAAACCCCTCAGAATCGAATTGGAATGTTATTCTGGCGGCTGCACCGGTGCGCCCGGATCATATTTTCTATGAAGTTCCACCTGGGCCAGATGAGTCCTCAAGACTGTATTGATTTACTTGTCGAGAAAGTGGGCCACGAGCGTGCTACCGCCGAAGGGGAGGTGAGAAGATCGCTGAATGGTGATTACTCGCCCTTGTATCAGGCTGGGTACATGCTAGGAGCGTTACAGATCTATGCTCTTCGAAAGGAAACAGTGGAAGCGGGTCATATGGAAGAAAAGGACTTCCATGATCGTTTTCTGCAGGGAAACTGCATGCCAATCGAGTTGGTACGTGCCTCGATGCAAGATCAGCCATTGTCACGCGAAAAAACCCCAAATTGGAAGTTTTATTCGCTTTGAACTTATCCAGAGCTCGTACATAGATCGAGTTTGACGATGGGAAATGTCCAAGTTTCTGATGTTTCGATTCACTTCGGGTTATGAAACCATTGTAGTTGTAGTCCTACAAATGCACCACGTTCTAGACCAAGGTGTCTGTTGTTGTGCTCGAACCTCGTTTGATGTAGAATCGATTAGTCTGTCTCGTTTTGATTGCTATGCAAACCCACAGATCACATGTCTCATATTTCATGCAACGTCGCCGAGCACGTTCCCATTTTCTTGCTCAACTGGAACTCTAAATTCAAGTTGGGCATGTTTTCACGCCATTACAGTAGAAGGTCCCATTCCCGTCCCACTAGTGCTCATCTACAGTAGCCGACGTGCTTCCAAATCCCGGGCCATCAGATCTAGATATGATCCAAGAGAAGATCGGGGAAGCACTTGGACCATAGAGGGGCAAATAGATGATACTACTAGAAGAGAGGAAAGCAAGTTGCTGAATTGATAAATTTCTAAATCCTGGTATTATTGAACTAGTGAGAATGTAAAACTCCTAAGAAAGGTCGCATCGGCCTCCCATACTGTGTTGTACAGTTGGAGAGTAGAGACGGGGGGGGGGGGCTGGACCTCGGCGTAAGTGGTGCCTACGTCATACCCCCCCCACCAGACTGTGGCGCCCGAAGTGAATGACCTGCAGAGATCTGGACGGGCCTATGTCTGCCTTTCTTGAAAGCAGGATTCACTCCCACAATACAGGCTTGGATCTGGCTAATTACACAGCCACATCGCCTTAGGTCACTAGTGGCTTTTTTTCCTGCTTCCTGGTTGGGGGGTTCAGGGGCCGGCAGCGATTCTTGATCTTTTGGCTATGAAGATGGCTATGGAATCTCTAAGAATTGATCGTTAGAACAGTCAAGTTATTCGGAATAAGGAGGACTATCTATTGGATAGGGAGATAGTAGTGAATAAAATAGTTGAATATCATTGTGCGAAGAAACATTAGGGTAGTATTGAACATGTGGCACTTGGTTTGCCTCCTAGATTCTACCATATTCCTTGACGGCAATGACCGCATAGCTCGTCCATGGAAATCCATGAGTCTATTCGCAACCGACTTGAGGAACTTGGCCGATTTTGCACTGTCCCTCACAGACGTCATACTACGGGTTTGTGGGTCTGGGGATACCTTTGAAAGTGAACTCCATAATCTGGGGGGGGGGGGGTCTCGATTAGGTCGACGCAAAGAAGACATACCCGCACCTACAGTACAGTAATTCGCGAAGCTCCAGTGAGTTCAATGGAGCGTAGATCTAATACGGTAGAGAACAATCGAATCTTCGATGTACCCTACTGCTGGGATCGAAGCCACCAATCAAAAAGGATGTGCAAGGGGTACAGATGATTCTCTAGTGATGTCAGGAAGCTTGAAGCCGGCGGATTTTGAAGAAGCAGCCACCTCTCTCGTATAGTTCCAGGGTTGAAGGGCCAAACTGGGCGGAAACTGGGATGATCCGTTGTCCGATGACGTAATGACATCATCGCTCTATGCCAGCTTCAACATAAATAGCCCTTGTCTGTCGCCTCTTACTCTTCTTCTTCATCCAAGTCAATCTCCAATATTTCACTCTACCAACCAACCAACCAACCAACCAACCCAACTCTTTCATAATGGAGACCGTCAAGGTTTGTGGCTCTCACCTCGCATCACTCTTCATCTACTAACGACGATACAGAACGCCGCCAACTATGTCGCTGAGACCGTCCAGGGTACTGGCGCCGAGGCTTCCAAGGAGGCCAACAAGAACGTCGCCAAGAGCGACGAGGCCAAGATCTCCACCCGTGCCAGTGCCGCCAAGGACGCCCTTGTTGACAAGAAGGACGAGGTCTCCCACAACACCAAGGCCGATGTCCACAAGGGTTAGTGAACTTTGCATGACACCCCTATATCCTTGCATCATAACTAACACCATTGCAGAGGCCGCTAAGCAGTAAATGTTTCGCGATCAATACCCTTGATACCAATCGACCATTTCCTAATGTGGCGAGCTACTTGTGCCACCATGGCTTGCTCTTATGATTCTATGTAAATAGCGAAATAATACCACATAACGTCGCCTTGACATTGAAACTGTTTATTTCTCATCGTAACATTACGTATATCAACACCATATCAACACAAAACAACTGCAACACTGAGAAGTTGAAAACACATATTGCCATCAATATACATGTCCTGTTGTCACACAGTTGACTATTTTAACGTAGAGCAAAGTGCTAGGTCATGTAGTCACGGCTCTATATCACCATGTTGTCCCGTGAGTAAGTCGAGGAAGGTATAACTTAATTGTTCTTAGACGAGCTAAGTTACCTATACATAATGGGATCCCACAACACCATGATAATAAACATTTGCACTTATCCGGTAACAAGCTTATCTCCGAAAGAAATTTACATCATGTATTTTGTGCATGCAGTAATCGTTTGTGCCCACATGAGAAGTAATATATAGTTATGTACAAGTGCAAACGCAAAAACAGAATTACCGAGGCCTAAAAGAGGCGACATGAAATAGCCGTCAATGATAAAATAAGCATTGGCGTCAAGATAATTCGGACGAATATTAGAAGTGGAGCTGCAAGGCGACATCAACTCTGACTATCCCATATGGGGTGTGTTTGGGGTAATATATCCTTGAAAATAGGCACAAGACTATCCAATCGCACGGGCTTGGTTAAAAACGAATTCATGCCGGACCCAGTAGCATCGCGTTGCACGTCGGCTTGCGCAAGGCCAGTCAGGGCGACGATAGTTACTCGGTCATTGGTCGCTAATGTCTTTTCGAACTCGCGGATTCGCCTTGTGGCCACGAGGCCGTCCATGACTGGCATGGAAATATCTATTGGGTTTGTTGGCACCTGGAAAATTGCTGTATGACCTGAGTGACGACTTACCCATGATGATAATGCTGATATTGGAGGCATTGGCCTTGAAGAAGTCTAGAGCTTCTTGTCCGTTTTGTGCAAGTGCGTAGTCGCATTTTAACCTTTTCATGAACGCCATCAAGAGCCGTAGGTTGATATCATTGTCATCCACGAGTAGGACAGTCATGGGAGGTACAGGTTGAGATTCGGCTACTGGATCGAGATCCTTCGCTGGAATTGAGTGTTCATCCGAATCAATAAGAGAGAGATGTGAGCCATCCCCATGATCTGATAGTTTTGGGGGCCCAGACAAAGCCCCGAGAAGCTGACTGGGATTAGTTGTTGAATCTTCTGGGTTGTCAACCTTGATCACTTCACTGTAACCACTGATAGGAGTATTGAGAGACAAATTCTTTTCGGAATCATCATCGGTGGCTAAGTTTTCGATGGGCCTTGGTCTTTGTTCTTGCTTGACATTGGATGAATCAAGGCGTTGCTGTTGACGCTTCATGCACAATTCCAAAGTATTTGCCAGCTTGTGAGGCCCGCATGGCTGACTAATGAATTCGAAGACGTCTGTATCCCCTCTTATTTGAGCGTGTGTGGACATCGAGAGCGCAATCCTTGGGGTCGAGCATATGACAATAACAGGCGAAGTGAATTTGGTATTTGGGCCAGGGGCAATAGACTTGATTTCCAAGTTCCCGAGATCTAGGAATTCATGGGGTGAGATGTAAACATCACAATGGTCGAACTGCATCTGCGACGGCGCTACCAAAGAAACGCTCATGCCAAGCCAATCTCGGCATAGCTTTTGCAAGGATTCACAGCATGCAGTATCCAGTTCCGAGGTCCCTAGACCTAAGATTCCAATAGTTTTACCTTGAACAAGTGTTTTCGTCATTGAAACAGAGACGCGAGTATCCAGGCCGTCCGGAGTATCGAGCTCGGAGGCGTGATCAAGAGTCACGACAGTAATGACCTCAGTGCCGACATGTTGCTCGGAGTTGACGTGAACAACACCACCAAGCGATGATACGATTCGACGCGTGATGTTAAGCCCAAGACCATTGCCGGTTGTCATGCTGTCTTCTTGAGAGAACGCAGTGAACAATCCATTCCTAAGATAGTCCGGGTCAATGCCACATCCAGTGTCTTTGACTGCCACCGTGACCTCGGACCGCGAGACCTCACCACTCAATCTATGTTCGACTGGGGTTGCCTTCAAAGAGACATGGATATATCCGGCTTGGGTAAACTTGAGAGCATTTCCAAGGATATTACTAAGAATCACATGCCAAGCTCCAGGTCGAGTTGAGAACTTCCAGCTCTTAGCGCACTCAATGTCGAGAATCACTTTCACTCCCGTCTGGGTGATGACTGGTTTTTTTGGTAACGTAAATCCAGAAATGCCACGGAGCGGAGAGCGTGAGTTATCAAAGAAAGTGAAGCCCGAGAAGACTGATTCTATCACATCTTCTACGGCAGAATCGAGTTCGAAATAAGAGTCAACATCGACCTTTCCATAGGATGGACGCTCCTTGGTGGGATTGGGCTCTGTAAAGGACTTTATCTGGCCTCCGCCAGGTGTTTCGCGACGGAGTTCGGCCGAACGTCGTTTATGCTGGCATACTCGAGAAGTTGATTGATTGAACCCAGAAGCGTGAATGCACAGGCCCCAATGGTATGAACGAACCCACGTTGTAGCGCATCGGTCATAGTATCGCTCAGGAGCTCTGTAGTACCGAAAATTCCATGCAGAGGAGACCTCAGCTCATGACTGAGACCTGCAAGGAGGTCCGACTTTGCCCGCTCGGAGAAGTGGGCACCCAGTCGATGGACTTCAGCCATGACACTATTTCCCAATGCCGATAGAAAAGACAGTTCATCGTTATTTGTAAACACACGATAGGGCGATCGTGTCCAGGTAAGACTTCCCGAGTACCATCTCCCTTTATGTGAATCCCACAAGGGCGAGAAAACGATGCTTCGGGAATCTGGGGCGAGTTGAAGAAGTGCTTTGGCATCCTGGCGCACTAGAGCGTTTTGTGTTCTTTTGTACTTCTTGCCTCCAGTACGTCGGACGAACTTTTTGGAGTGCCCATCACTGGTGTCATCTGACGATATTACGCCGTTTTCGCCATAGTTGAAAATCTTTCCTCGCGGATAACGGCCCAGAAGTCCCCCAAGGAATGACTCGGACAATGAAATATCATTGTTCTGGTTTGATTCCTGGCTGACACTGGAAGCACTTGACGTTGAGAATCCAAGTATCTGACAGGGATCCAACGTGCCTTTGCCCGCAGAATTATTTTCCAAGTATGGCACACCCTGCTGTTCAAGGCCTTCTCGAGGAATGGCCTCGTCATCGGTTGAAGAATAAGAGGCACTCTCGACACCACTGCTGTCATTGTCGGACTTGACATCGTTGACCAAAGACTCCTGAGAGCGGAACTTGGCATCAAAGAAGACCACCGCTTCGACTTCAATGCTCTCACGAATGAGGTTGGCTGCGCGCGAGAATGTCTCTTTCACTTTGGCAGTATAAGTTTCCCGCGGTGATTGTCGCTCATCAGCATGTGTGATGGCTTCCCGGGTTGTCTGGTCAAAGTTGGCTTGGGCTTTAGTATCTCGTTTACTGAAATCTGCATTGGCCATCGGTTCAGCTTTCTTTTTGTCGAGTTGAGGGGTCTGATTCCGGGGAATATGAAGATTGTACGGATGGAAAGGCAAGTGACTGATAGGGCCTTTTTGTGCCATGGCCAAATGCATGTCGTGAGAAACTTGCTTATCCTGTTGTTCTTGGTTTACATGACCTTCTGACATGTCGTTGTTGTCACTCTGAAGGCAAGGGCCTTCGTTTTCATTAAGCCACGAGTTGCGCAAACTCCCCTTCCCTTCCAGAAAGCTCCCAAGTCCAACAACCATTCGCTCACTACGGGCATGCAGGCTTCTCGCTCGGCTTGTTTCCAAATAATTCATGACTGTGGTCCCCACATCAACCAGGAATTTCAACAGATCCGCATCCAGAGGATCGTGCGGTTTATCGTCAAGAATTGTATAAGCCCCTATCACAATGCCCTTCGGACTGATGATAGGGGCAGAGGCAATAAACCGAAGATTGGGAAAAGAGGTGACATCCGGGTGGTCCTTGAACTCATCATCTTGCGTAAGGTCGGGCACCACGAAGACTCGTTCAGAAGGAGTTTGTGTATTTGCAACGGGCTTCAAGACAAATTTGCAGAGACTCCGCTCATATGAAACCGAGCAGCTCCCAAGCCAAAGCTCATCCCGACAATTATGATCTGTGTCATCCTGTAGGCTCAGAGTTCGGGTGGCTTCCGTGAGAACGTGCTGCTCGTTTCGATTGAATAGCGATATCAAGGTTCGTTGGGCATCCAGTCGCAAAGTACCCAGTTGAGCGAAGGCTGTTAAAACAGGATCCACCGACGATCGTGCGACAAATTCTTTCGACGGGGTAATGCGACCGACATGGCGAAGGGCGCGCGCTTTCAAGTGGTACGACGGTAAGTACCTGCGGAAGCAAGTCGTATCGTTAGCCTATGGCGTTTGGCAGCGGTTGATTGCCTAGTTGAGAAGGATCTTGAGACAACCATCACTGGTAGAATTACTTATAGAATTCACGCTCGCTTGATGTCCCAAAGCTGGGGTACTGAGCGTTTCGTAACGAGGTCGGGCGTGACATTGCGCCATAGAGTTCGAGACGATCATGCGCGTGCAGTACAAGTGCTATACACGGACGTGTTGCCTTTCCATGGAGCCCTTGCAGAATAGCAAGTAGGGCACAGGTTGCGAAAGGATCGAAGACTTCCAAAATTCGGAGGAATGAGAGCGGGGTGCGGACGGAGAAAGCTTCCAGGGCTTAGATAAGTGGTGGCTTGCAGCCCACCTGAATGACCAGGAGAATGCTGATCATTGGTCCGATCAACGCCTACATTGGGAAGAATTTCGATTTCTCTGGTATGTTTCACCTCTGTAGCATTCTGATAGAGTAGAGAAAGAAGATCTCGTACTCCTATCTTCCATATTCTCCCTTGACTCCTACCATCCAAGAGGATTGCAGCATTTCTATACTTCGCCAACTTTTTTAAGGCGGCAGAATCAGGCCGATCTTTACCTAATCAAACTTTTTTCCTGCATATTCCACTTAGGGAAGGCGGTGGCGGGTGCTGGTCTGGGCAACGTATAGACACGATAGACTTGGAGATGTTGGGTTGCGCCATGTTGCCTGGATCTCAACCTTCGATTCGTGCCGATTTATCATCGCAGGCGTGTGATATTTGCAGAAAACGCAAATCGAAATGCAAAATCTCCCCACGGTCGGCTCATATACGATGCGGAAGATGTGAACGACTGGATCTATCATGCACATTTGTGCTACCCTCCAAGACAAGAGGTCCCAAACGGCGGTATGGAAGTCCCAAGGATCTCAACCGAGGGAAGAATATGTTCTCATGTCTATCAAGGTCTTCGGTCGGAGTGCGGTCTCAGATGCAACATAATCCCACAGTTTCATATCGAACCGACAGTATTTGTGACCGAGTCCTCTTCAAGTCTATCATGCAAGACTACCTCGATTATATCTATCCTATGGTCCCAGTAGTACACCGACCCTCATTCAGAAAGGCCTTGCGAGAGGACCAAGACTCGGAGAATGATTCGTGCTTTGCACTCATGGTATCCATTGCGGCCTTGGTCGTTGCAACAATGCCCAGCAGGTTTCAAGCCTACCAATCTGAGATTTTATCCTCCAGGTTTTCTTCCCGGAAAGAGTTTGTGCATTTTTGCTACGCCAAATGCGTGGGAATGCGGACATCTTCCTACTTCGACGAGCTTGGCTTTCAAAAGTTTGCCGTTTCGTATGTTTTCTTTGCGGCATTTTTGCAACTAGGAGACTACAACTGGTCCAGAATGTTAAGTGTGGAGGCAATGCAAATCGCTCGCCTTTTGAATCTTCATCGAATATCCGAGTATGAAGGCCTGAATTTAATTGAGACACAATTACGCAAAAAGGGCTTCTGGCTTATGTTTTACAGCTTTGTGTGTGTATTCTCAAAAACTTCAGCCGTTGCCCCTGAACACTAATAAAATCTATTTTCATCAGTCACGCTCATCTACAGAACCTCCTCGGAGAGCGGCTGACATACTTAGACCCAACTTTACTCTGTTCAATCAACCCCGAGGATCTCATGCCCCTGGATGTTGAGGATGAGTTCATATTTGAGTACGAGGTACTGACACCTACATCAAACAAGCCATGTCTCGTTACGGGCTTTATCCTCCATTCACGGGTGTTTTGGGCTGCCATTAGAAGCTTACGCCCAGACCCAACAATGGATGAGCCATGTCCTTGTGTCAGAGCCAAAAATCCCGACATGGAAGTCGTATATTACCAGAATCGCTTCCACGGTCTAAAATCCGTGATCGAGAATATTCCACCATCTCTACAACAAGCATGGACTCCAAACGATGAGGAAATAAACAGTGGTGATACAAGCGATGCAGAAGGAAGCATGAGTCCATTGCAATTCTCATCCATTCGGGCCAATCTGCATGTCACTCATCTTTGGCTCCAAAGTCTAATCTTGGATCAACTGGACGCCGCGCAGTCCCATCGGCAGAGACAGTTTGCAGCAGGTGGTTTGGATCAAGAGACAGCAGACCTAGACCAAAGAGCTCTTTGGATGGAGAGAGAAAATATCTGCCGGCAGCTTTTCTTCATTCTTTTCAACTTTCCACCTCTGAGCTTGGATGCCAACGGTCTACATCTAGTCAACAAAGTGCGTGATATCACAGCCAGCCTTCTCGCATGTCCATTCCACCCCGCCGATCCATTATCCAAGCAAGCGGCTCAGTATATCCAGCATTCAACTGAGATACTATCCAGGTTGGACCGCAGCGAGGGTATGAATACCATGCATCTCCAAACATGGGTCGACACAGATCGGCTGTGGAGATGATTACGAATTCGGGAAAAGCTGTATACCCGTGCAGGCAATATAATTTAGAATACCATATTTGCCATGAAATCCATTACATTAATTCAACCTCCGCCACTTTGTACTATGGAACAGATACATTGAACAGAGAAGCTCAAGTGGGCACCTCCCAGCTGCCAGACCAGAACACTGTTTCCTCCAGCTCCAAAATTTCCTCCAAAAAGGTTCCACGGCTGCTTGTTCCAACCATGATTTTATAAGCGCCACCGTGACTGCACCAGCTCCCGCTCTTCTCATCCCAGAAGCTAGTGGCACGAACTAAGTCGAGTGGAATTGTCACAACTTCTTCGGTGGAATTTGCAAGCCAACACTTGCGGAACTCCTTCAACTCTTTCACTGGTCGCCTGATCGGAGGAGATACTGGGGCGACATATACTTGAACCACTTCTGCACCAGCCGTATGACCAACGTTCCGAAGCTTACACTGAATTTGGAGAACGTTTTCAGAAGTTCTGATCAAGTTCAGATCTGAAAGCTTGAACTTGGTATATGAAAGGCCGTGTCCGAACGGGAAAAGTGTCTCCATATCCAATCCATCATAATATCGGTATCCCACGTATACATCTTCGCCATACAGGACTCTCCCACCCTCAGAGCGGTAGTTGAAATACGTGGGATTATCTTTCAGGTGCCGAGGGAATGTGAGGGGAAGCTTGCCGGACTGTTCAAAGAGAGCGATCATGTTAGCTTGGGATATCATCGAAGTAATCAGGGGCGCACTTACGGGATTCACATCTCCGAAGAGAACATCAGCAATACCATTGCCCGTCTCATTGCCTCCGTACCACGCATGCAACACAGCCTTGGCTTTATGGATCCAAGGCATCTCCACTGGGGTTCCGCTTTGAATGACAATAGCAGTGTTTGGGTTCGCATCCAGGACTTGCGAGATCAGCTCATCCGTATGGGGAGGCAGGCTCATATTTGACCTGTCTTCACCCTCTGACTCCCATTCGGCACTTAGTCCATCCACTAGGACTACTTGGTCCACATTTGAAGCCACTCGTACGGCCTCTGCAATGCCCTCCTGTGGTGAGAGTCGCTTGCAGGCACCAAACCGGAACCCTCCGTGCCCGAAGTCTACCACGCCGGGTACTCGGAATGTGCTAGTCTTGCCACAGCCCCATTGAGCATGAATTTTGTACGTTTTGCCAGCCTCAAGTTGTAGAGGTTCTGTCTCTTCAATGGTACCGCTGCCGAAGAAGCTTGTTCCTGCTGTCTGAACATCTGCGTTGTTGATAAGAAGCTTGTCGTCAACGTAGAGCTTTCCGGTTCCGTGGACAGTGAGACCAAAGTCATAGAGTCCTGATTCTTCGGGTACGAAGTAGCCCTCTGCATCGGCGTACCAAATTTTCTCCAACTCTGGGTGATTATAGTCCATGAAGATAATCATCGAATCAGTTTCATGTCGTGTCTCAAGTGGTCTCCTGTTCGACATCGCAGGCGGATCATTGAATGTTTTTAATGTGAATCCTGCGTCACCTGCATCGGTATGCAGGCGCTTGCCGAGCAATGGCAGCATCTGGTGTCCATACACTCCCTGTGCGAATTCAACTTCCCCCAAGGCAGAATTTGAGATACCTTCGAATGGAGTAACGGTATAATAGGGATTCAATGCCGCACTACCACCTCCGCAGTAGGTGGCAATCTTGGAGTTGGGGCCAATGATTGCGACCTTTTTGCTCTTGTTCAACGGAAGGACCTCATCTTCGTTCTTCAGCAGTACAATCGCCTCCGATGCGATCTTCCTTAGCAGCCTCCGGTCTTCCTCCCGGTTCAGTTGTGTCTCAGGTGCTCCCTCGGGGACACCCGATTTGCTAGCTTTCTGGACTAGCTTCAAAACGGCTCGCACTCGCTCATTTAATGTTGCGAGAGGGACTTTGTTTGAATTTATCGCGTGCGTCAAAGCAGAACCACGCCATCTTGGGGGACCGGGCATCTCGAGATCGAGGCCTGCATTCACGGCCTCGGACGTACTGTATGTTCCAAACCTTCGAAACGGTTGCAATTTTGTCAGTGGTTTTATACTTCGGGTTTTGAAAATCCTGACACTCACCAGTCACTCATGACCAGCCCATCCCAGCCCCATTCACCACGAAGGATATCTTGTAACAAGAACGAGCTCTCGGCTGCATGTACCCCGTTCACTTTGTTGTACGCCGTCATGATAGCATCAGGCTCTCCTAACGCGATAGCAATCTGGAATGGCAACAAATATATCTCTCTCATTGCTCGATCGGTGACGATCGAATTGACCGCCATGCGCTCATGCTCCTGATCATTGCAAACGAAATGCTTCAGTGTGGCACTGATATTCTTCTCCTTCAGACCTTTGCAGTAATGACCAGCAAGAATACCCGACAGGATCGGATCTTCAGAATACGATTCAAATCCACGACCTCCCAATGGACCCCGGGGGATGTTGATGGTTGGACCTAGTATAACGTGTGCGCCTTTCGCTTTTGCCTCTGCGGCAAGCACATGACCGATGTTTACGGCGAGATCTCGATCAAATGTGGCTCCAATCGCTGTGCCGCATGGCAGACATGCTGCTGGGATGCTACTGAAGAAGCGAGTCCCGCGCACTCCATTGGGTCCATCGGATACTCGAATCGAGGGAATCCCTAGTCGCGGGATAGGAACGGTGTGCCAAAAGTCCTCGCCTGTACATCGCCCAAGGATTAGTGGTATTACTCATATTCTAGTTGACGGAGTCTATCTTACCAGTCAATAGAGCGACCTTTTCATCTTGTGTCAGTTGTTTGATGAGCGTCTCAATGTCTGCATCGGCAATTTTCGCAAAAGCGCTGTCCACCTTGACGGGAGTTTCAACGGACGGCATTCTGTCGCCTTAGGGGTAGGATATGAAGAAGAAGCAGAATAGGAAATTTTCAACAGAACTACATCATATCAGACCATCCTTTGTTCCGAGAAATCCCGTGCAGTTCCATTTTCCCCATCTTGTCGCATATGATGTCGAACCCAGAGAGACAAGCGTCAACATCCAACCGTGGAGAGTATTCCCATAGATCTGCGCCTCCAATTGGACGCCAACTGTGGATTTCTCCTTTTCTCCTGTTCTTCCTTTTCTCCGTTTCTCCGTCTCCGTCCCAGCCGATGCCGACCCCAGTCCCCAGTCCTCCACGTTTTCATCCCGCAACTTCGTTGCCGGTGGGGAATCGCGAGGTGTTCAGGTGAATGGGGTTTGGAATGTAGGATCGATGATGGTTGTTACTTGCAAGCTATTGGTTCATGCCTTCTATCCCCGCCAATCTTCGTCAGTTTATGCCATGTTAGGGCTCGGAGGAACAGACGCCACGACAAAGACAAAAATCAGGACCCCGACTTCTCTATGAGCCCATCGGGAAATAGCGGTATCTGGGGTTGTCTCGGGTTCGAGTGATAAAAGTCTCTCTTGACCCCGAGGATTTTTAGTAGCAATTGTTCTCTTTCCCACTACAATCTGTGTTCTATTTTCCTGCAAGTTCACACTATGGGTTCTGAGCAGGGTGCCAATACTAGTGCACCTGCGATAGTTGACCAACTGGCATCCGTCACTCCCTCAGCTGCAATTCCATGGTGGAAGCAACGACACCTTCTTCGTCTTAATCTCACCATTCTATCTTTAGTCTTGTTCTCATCTGCCAATGGCTTTGATGGATCATTGATGAATGGTCTTGAAGCCTTGGACCAATGGAAAGAGTTCATGGATCATCCGTCAGGCTCATGGCTTGGTTGGATCAATGCCATCTACTGGCTGGGATGTGGTGTCGGATACCCCACGGCCTCCTGGATTGCCAACCGCTACGGACGCAAGCCGGGAGTGTTCGTAGGCTACTTCTTTTTGGCCCTTGGCTGTGCTCTACAAACAGCAGCGCCCAATGATACCGCCTTTCTGCTTGCCCGTTTCTTCCTGGGCATTGCCTCTGCTCTCTTTGGAAACGCTGTCCCCCTTCTCATCAATGAAATTGCCTACCCGGCTCATCGTGGCATCCTTAACTCACTCTTCATGTCAGGATGGTATGTTGGTGGAACAGTTGCTGCTTGGGTTGTGTTTGCATCGCGCACATATTCGTCTTCATGGTCCTGGAGACTTCCATCCCTCCTTCAGGCCCTGGTCCCGTTACTCGGTCTGCCAGGTTTCTTGCTTGCCCCTGAGAGCCCTCGCTGGCTGGTTTCAGTTGACCGAGAAGAGGAAGCTCGTGCTATTCTCGTAAAGCACCATGCTGCAGGTGACTCCTCATCGCCCCTTGTCAACCAAGAATTTCAAGAGATCTTGTTGACAATTCGGGCAGAGAAGGAGGCCAGCAGTGGAGGATCATACGCCGAAATGTTCAAGACTCCCGGAAACCGCCGTCGCTTAATGATCTCTATCACGTTGGGCATGTTTGCTCAGTGGGTTGGGAATGGAGTCATCTCATACTACCTGTCCCTGATTTTGACCTCGGTCGGAGTCACTGAAGTTCGAGATCAAACCCTCATCTCGGCCTGCTTACAGATGTGGGATCTGGTATTCGCCGCCCTTGGTGCATTCTTGATCGATAGATTGGGACGCCGGCCCCTATTCATGGCATCGGCTTCTATCATGTTCGTTAGCTATGTGCTTGTTACGGCTCTTTCAGGATCTTTCGCGGTTACTGGAGATACCGCGACCGGCGGTGCTGTCATTCCATTCCTGTTCATCTTCTTTGCAGGATACTGTATTGCTCTGTAAGTCTTTCACATTTATCAGACTTTTGCTCCCATACTGATAACTGCTTTTCTTAGGACACCTTTCCTCACCTCTTATCCCTGCGAGATCTGGCCATTCCGTCTCCGCTCCCGCGGCCTCACAGTGACATGGATTGCTACCATTGTCGGCATGTTCTTCAACACGTTTGTCAACCCCATTGCATTGGGTGCGATTGCATGGAAGTACTACATTGTGTTTGTTGTTGTTCTGTTGGCCTTCGGTGTCACCGCCTACTTCTTCTACCCTGAGACTAAAGGGTACTCATTGGAGCAAATTGCTGTCATATTTGATGGTCCAGATGCTCTCGTTGGAACAGGTCCAGAGGAGAAGCTTGGTATTGATGCCGCCGATGATGCTAAATCTGGCTCATCGGCCGTTCACAATGAAATGGCATGATGGACTCAACAGGAATTCAGTATGTAGAACAATAGTATTTCATTTGCTTTTGTGATCCAACTTCCTGTTCGGTTTTTTTCCAAGGTTGCCTCCTACATTCAGCAGTGCCAAGCGTCAATGGATGTTCTCGTTCTGTCGTTGCTCTATAGATACGCAGAGCTTATACTACGGATGACGACTGACATGAGTGATCTATAACTGCCAATGTCCTAGCAAGGTTAAAAGTATAGCTGTCATCATCAAATTTCCAACACAAAGCAAGCTGCTTCTGTCTTACACTTCTGGAATTGTTGCTTTGTACTCCAATACAGCTGGAGACTTCACGGCTCCAACTGAAAGCCCATAAAATCTGGCAGAAGGGGCTATGATGGATTGATAAGGAATCGCAGATCCCTTCCGTGAACATCATCAATAGCAAGAGAGCTCAAGATTTTAGTATGAATCTCGAAGCTTGAAGTGGTTATGGTCGTGAATTTCTGTCTATAAAATACAACTATTCTACCTACTTAGAACTGCTTATTGGAGATTCCAAATACAGTATCGGATATTCTGCATTAGTGGTACTATCTCTTTATTTTCACTTTAGTATTTTCAGCCGCATCTGGTTCAACTTGTCAAACAAGGTGGCGAAGCACCCGGGGTGTGTGGGTATAACAGGCGCTAGTCCGGGATTGCGATCATCGCAACTCCATAAGTCTTGGCTTTAGCTTATAATTTCTTTAAATGATTTCAAATAGACCTCGTTGGCTACGTTTCCAAAAAGAAATTACAGTGTGCATTCAGGAAACTGTTGCTTATGGACCCAAGCAGACCATCCAAACATGGGCGCGAAGCTGACCGCACAAGCCCCAACGGGTAACAGACTGCAGGGATGTTTGAACTGTGGACCCCTAAGCAGGGGCCAAAGTCTACTGTGCTGTGCATGGGCAAAGAGGGGGTCTGTTCTGCCTGCTGCCTCCGATTTCTACCCAGATATCAGTCCTGGTTTCAAGTCTTGCGGTGTTTCTGATTTACCATTCTCGTGCCCTTGACCTGTTCAGCACACAAAATCTAGAGGCAGTAAGCCATTTTGACAGCATTGGCACAATGCAAGGGCAGTCTCATAGCCACACTTAAGTTCCCAAATCTCCAATCCGCGTATTAATGGGGAAATAGTATCTTCATTATTTGTAATTCACTACCAAATTGTCGCATAAATACACATTATATAGTCAGTTTTAGCTTAGTTCCGACCGAACTTTCGCCCAATTCTCATCTCCAGCATCTAGCTCGCGGGGATAGACCGGTGGAGCAGACTGTTGAACACCTCTGTTCATATTCAGTTGCTGCTGCAAAGCTTCCATCTGGCGTCGTGTTCGCAAGTAGAACCACAAGATTGTCACGCATGCAATCAAAAGCGGCAACCCAACTCCAAGCCCAATGCCGAGTTCGGCCCCCAGGGGACTGTCACATTTCTCTGACGAGTCCAAGGCCAGAGCTGTTGAGCTTGATGATACCGCAGTCGAAGTATCGGTTGATGCAGAAGCCGATGAAGAAGTCGCGGTAGTTGCAGTTGATTGACTGGCTGTGGATGACGAGGTGGAAATTCCCAACTGTGCCACGGTGACATTACTATCGACCCAAGTATAGTTGCCCAACTGGGCTTCGCAGACGGCAGAGGCCCATCCCGCGGCTCCGCAGGTGAAGACCTCATTTTCGTTCGTGGGGCAAGGATACAGATTTGCCCATCCATGGTCAATCTCTGCAATTTTCAAATCATGTTAGTCTCTGCAGATAACGCGCATGGGCCGGGTTGAATCCCAGAGAGGACGATTTACCTTCGTAGCAGATTCGAGGGCATTCTGATATAGGCCACGACTTATCTGAACATGCTCCTCGATAGACTGTCATGTATTTCCCAGCCATGCAAAGGTTGTTGGAAAGACATGCTTCACCAGTAGCACAACAATGTTTTGAACCGGGGCATGGTATCCAATTTGCAGTCGCAGCGTCGCCATTAGGCCAATAGCAGGTGTCGGCAAACGTTGAGTGGTAGATGTAAAAAAGGAACAGGAGCGACAAGCGTTTCATTTTGTGAAATGGATTCAACCCTCCTCTTTGAGGACTGTCAGAAGTGACTGGCGAACTTGGCCAGTTTTGCGGGGGATGAAGAAATAAGAAAGGATCAGCGGGGCGAAGGGTATTAGTTATTGCAGCAAAAGAACTAATAGGTGGCAAGCTGAACGAAAGAAAAGGCAAATTGAGAGGAAGGGGATGGTTCCAGTATCTGATTTAAATCGGAAATCCATCTCCTGCAACAGTGACAGCTAAGCCGTTAGGTACAGAAGCCGGCCCCGTTCATTCCAATGGCCTGACCACTGAATTCCAATGTAGACAAGTTGATGTGGAAACAACGAAGGCGCTAAATCAAGAATAGCTAAGATCCCCAAATGGCCCCCAAGTCTGCCGCTCACATAAATACGCCGGGCGCTAATTGGAAACAGGATTGACAAGGGTTAGGGCACGGGCCGATTGAAAACTACCTTAGGGGAACCAAACGTGGAGTGAGGTCGGCGGCTAAGTTTGATTTCATATTTGGATCGCCAGCACATCTCTGGCCTGTAAATAGCCCGACTCAGGAGATGCCATTCATGGTCGCCCTTGAACGGAAATCTCCATCTAATAGCTTTAATCAAAGTCAGCCATTGGTTTATAGTAATGCCCCACATCGCGTCCAGGGTCAAGTCGAGCGCGTAACGGGCCAACCTTAAAAACTGTCAGAAACTCTCCTACTGCGAGTAATATTACTCAACGGAATTGGCAGTCAATAGTCAACCTGTCAATAAAAGTAGATAGGGCTAGGTATTGAACGAGTGTAATGATAATGAAAACTACAGTAGGGGCGAAAACAAATCCTGGGAATAGACAAACACATCATTCTAATACCGACAGAGTCCACTGGTTGTTCCAAGCCCTCCTTGGCGTAATATCGTTGACGCTGAGAAACACGGACTATCACATGCCTATAATAAACTCGAGAATAATCAAAACAGCCAACGCTCCTGTATTTTGCGAAACTGTGTGACTCATTGAACTGGGTTTGGCAGTCGACCGTCATAAGGTATTCATAGTATTCATCGTAGTGTATATTATACTTGCACTGTCAATTTGATAGCAATATACCAAATTTCTTCCTGGCCTTCCACTCTCCGTGCATATCTCCGAATAATACGTCTAGATGGGATTTCCGAGCCTTCTTTCGAAACTTCATTCAAGAAGTTACGACTTTAGATCCCCAACACGGGTAAGGACCTTCAGACACAAAGTCGCTTCAGCCAGAACATGTATCTCCACAGCGGGCTTCCAGCAGGTGATCGCTATCCAAGACCCAATTCGAGAAGCTCTTCACCATATTTGCTGATGTAGCTAGGGCAGTCGTTCGAATATAATTTAGATAGCAAAAGAAGGCTACGGCTTACTATTTCCAGCCAAGAAACAGCAGCTGGTAATAGATAAAAGACCTGAAACTGCTTATTATCTTGGTTGAGGTCTTCCTCGTCTATATCTTGACCAGTGCGAAGTTCACCTTCCTGGACTTTTCTTACAGTAGACAGCAACGTACTGTACTGTAGGGCCTGACGCTTATATTGCTTCTTTCTTATAATTCCCTTATTGTATTTGGTCAGTTCTTGATATCGCCAACTCAACTTGACGTTATTTTATTAGAACATATGATAATTTGTCAAAGGCCTAGAGCAGCGAATTGATGAACAAAATCAAACCACTTAGTTTGAATCTGTAGAAATCCCGACAACAAAGAACTCTTCGAATGACCCAATAATATCCTCCCCAGAAACTTGGGAGAAACGCTCACACATCCTCAATATCAAATCGCAGATGGAGTTCACGTCGAGCACTCTGAGTGTGGAAAGTAATAATTCTCACAACACACTTAATGCCCTGACCATATGCACCGAGAATAAAATATGAGACCATCTTTCCCAGCCGTGAGCCAAGCAGCGCATGAAACTCGGCTGAAGGAGCCGTCCAGGTAAACGGGCTATTATTCAAAGACCCAAGAGGTTGGCAGGCATCAAACACAGACCGAGCAGCTTGGTCCGTGTCAGGGTTCACAACGTTAAAGAAAAAGATGTAGCGGAGGCTACTGAGTGGGAAATTATTCTCGTAGACGGCTTTCGTGAGATCCGAGATCCAGGGACCTGGTGCGCTTCTTTGATGGTAGATATCTTCGATGAAAATCACACCAGGCGCTGTTCGGCCAAGCCAGAGAGTGCGTGAGCTTTCGGAACTCCGAATTGCGTACAAGTTGCAATGGGATAATGGGATAACACTTGCGAATTCTTCGAGCGGTAGGTCGAGAGGACCGATCCAGGCTCGGTATAAAAGTGGCAGGGTGGTAACTTTGTAGATATTTTGCCATATTTGAGAGTCGAGACTAGCCAACGTCAAGGTTGTTCGGGGAATGGGACATCCGGTAGCGTTTGGATCACTTGTCCATCTTTGTAAGGCTCGGCCTTGTGGTTCCCAAGCCGAGTACCTCGAAATCATCCTGTCGTTTGTTGACGGTCTCGTTTGTCGGGTCGTGCAGAGGGAAGGTGATGTTCGCTCGAGGACTCAGACCAAGACAAAATCGAACAGCAATTGAGGCTGAAGTAATGACAAGAGCAAGGCCTGATCTTGCTGCGGCAGGATTTGGAGAGAAGCGCCTGCAAATCCATTTCGATTCCAGTTAGGCTGCAACTGGTTCATTGAACTTTGGTCGATCGATCGGTTGATTGATGAAAGTATCAACAACGTAAAGATGGATCAGTTTTACTTCCAAAGTATTCCAGCAAGCATGTCAAGAATTAACTAAAGATTGAACTTTGTTTACATTATGATAAAGTGGCTTACTGGAAATAATAAAAGTGAACTATGTAGCCGCAATGCACAGACTAATAAATATGATATAGCAGCAGAGATATGAGAAGTTTCATAGCAAGGAAACTAGTAATTGTGAATTTGCGCCATTCATAAACGAAAAAGGTCTAAGCGCTAGTTGATTGCGGCATGAAAGCCAATGGCTTGATTTTGAATCATGTCGATACCAAAAACGTTCTGTCGACAATAGTCTTGGGCTATCGACGTAGAAACAAACTCTAAATCTAGTTGTTTTGCGTTCGGTTCATGAACGTATAGAAATGTATAGCATGGTTGTAACATCATATATGTATGAAAATAGGAGACGAAGGCCTAGGGTGTGAAGAGAACGAAAACTTATGTACAAAATGACAGAAATAGGTAGTCAAGCGTGAATCACTCCCAAGTTAACATGGTGTCACAATAGAAACTCCATCGATATATGCCGACGCAATCGTTGACGTAGTCAACTTGACGGAAAACGTAGTGGATGAAGATGAAGCCACGAAAGTGCCTTGGAAAACTTTCCAGGTGCTCTTAACTGCGGATCCAATACTGATGCTGTAGATGTTTGAGTTGGCGTTGTCGAATGAAAATTGTAGAACTGAGGCGGTGTTTCCATTCAATAATAAGTGGTAAAGTGAAATGGTGTATGTCTTTCCCACGACGGTGGGAATCACCTGCTTGAGCATTGATGTGCTTGTGCCGACAGTGTTTGTGTACAGATCGACTGCGTAAGCAGTGTTGACACCAGCGACATACATGTACTTTCCGCTACCTGTGAAAGAGTATGTCCAAGGAGAGAGGGACGTGCCACCGGAAGCTGTGTCTTCGAAACCTGGATTCGAGACGACGTTTACACCACAGGTTGGGGAGCTGGTGACGGTTGAGGTAACGGTGGTGGTTGTGGTTGATGAGACTGTTTGAGTGACAGTCACGTCAATAATTGACGTAGTAAAGGCAGTGCTGGTGACATCGATTGTGTTGGCAATCGTGCTTTGAAGAGTGATAGGTACTGTGGTAGTGACTGTGAATGACGATGTTGAGGTGATCGTTGCTACCTCGGTAACGTCAACAGTTGTTGTTGAGGTCTCTGTGACTGTCAAAGATGCTGTTTCAGTGGCGGTAACATCGGCAGTTGTGGTAGTTGTCTGGCTTGTTGTGATATCGACGGTGTCTGTATTGGTTTGAATAGTTGTGATATCGGTTGTGGCAGTGGCTACCACATCTTGAGTAACATTCTCAGTCACAGAGGCAGTCTCCTGGGCTGTTACGTCCACGGTTGTCAAGGTTGTCACGTCGCTGGTCACTGTGGCAGTCACAACATCGGTTTCCGTGGTAGGGCTATCAACGGTCACTGTCACTGTGGAAATATCGGTGGCAGTGGTTGTCGAAGAGGCAGTGACAGTTGAGGTTTCCATAATGGTCACGGTCTTTGTGACATCGGTGGTAACAGTGTCGGTCTTGACGGTAGTCAACACGGGTGCCCTCTTTGTAACAAATTCAGTTGTAAATTTGGTGATGTAAACAGTGTGTACCCCGGGAGCCACGGTATGGGTTGTAACCGCCTTAGTAATCTAACAGTCTGATCAGTATCTGAGGTTCAAGAATGAATATGTATACACTTACTGTTGGTGTAGCAACAGTCTTGGTGCTATACACCGTCGAGCCTCGATCCTCATCAAAGAGGAGCGAACATGCGCGCGAGAGATGAGTGGCATGAATACCCTTCAGGAGTGATGGAGTGATTAACACACCACGCTCGTTGATCACATCTCTCTTGGCGGGAGCTACTGTAGCCACGGTAGTTGTCGTTACAGTGACACCATCCGTCTGGACGGAAGTGATGGTCGCGGTTGTATAATCTGTGGCTGTCACGGGGATCGTGTTAGTTGTCGTCACGAAATCGGTCTGGATAGTTGTGTCGAATTGGGTGTTTGTTGCAGTCACATCGACCTCTTGCGTATTGGTGGATAAGATAGTTTCGGTGGCCGTTGTGGTGGCAGTATCAGTAAACGAAAGAGTCACAGTGTCGGTATGGAAGTTGGTGACAGTAGCAGTAGCAACATTTGTATTAAGGTTGGTGACATATTCGTTTGCAAGGTTGGTAATGAATGCTGTGACGTAGGCTGTCGAGTAGTCGGTAATAGTATTCGTGAAAGTTTCAGTGGTGGTATCCGTAAAGGACTCAGTGATTGTGGCAGCAGCATAATCAGTGATTTCGTTGGTGACTGTGTTTGTTATGAAACTAGTCACAGGTACTGTGATTGTTTCATAGTCGGGCTCGGTCAAGAAGAAAGTGAAAATTTCAGTAGTTGTCAGGGTGGACAAGTCAGTGGCCGTCAAAGGCACAGTGTGAGTCAAAGTTGAAGTAGTATGAAGCGTAGTCGTGCTAGTGGGCGGTTTCACAATTGTCGAAGTAATGAAATTGGTGGAAGTCTTTGTCACTTGGTGAGGATGGTCGGTAATAGTCTCCGTGATATGGACAGTCTTTGGTGCTGGAGTCACCGTCTTGATTTTGGTGACAACCTCACATTTTTCATGAATGAGATCACCACAGAAAGAACGGCCTTCCTCACATTTTCTGATCAAGCGAACCAGATCGCCAATGTTGTCTTCGGCCTCATTCACCGGGCACGAATCGCCCTGGTTGAGGTGATCTGCGGGTTGTGATGGTAGGGCCGAAGTGGTGGCTACGCACGATAATGCCAGCAACAGCGAAGCCTTCCACATGATTGATTGCAAAGGCACAAATAGAAGCGGGAACAATTCAAAGTTTGGAAAATTATGGGATTGTGATTTCATATATAAGACCTCCTCGATCCTGAGACATCAAGATCAAAGCTGACGGAGGGCATTTTGAAGCGATCTGGGGTAGATTTCCATAGGTCCTGATCAAGGCATTAAGCGGACACTCTGATGCTTTGCCATCAGCTAAACTGTTCAGGGGAAAGCTTGAACCTATCCATCCCCAAAGCAGCCACAAGACGCGATGGGCCAGCACGCTAGTGAAGTGGCGCAGGGGAGACCTTGGCCCAGGTTCCCTTTGGAACCAGTTCCATGCGGCTCACAAGCCTATTCTCCGGTCGGCTTCTGTGGCCGAGAATCATAGGTGAGTTGGGCATTTTCGGCGTCCCCGAAAGAGCTTAGGCACGCCTCTCGGCTATATTCTCCTGTGCCTAATGTTATTTTGGGAAACCTCTTTCCACCTGATATTCAGAACTCCAGATCATAATATGTAAACGAGGCTGTAGTTGATTGTTTTCCAAGGAGAAGAAGTCTGGAATTACTTTGAGGTCTAGAAGTTGTCCAAAGATGGAAATCAGATGATGTCACCACGTGCCTATTTTGACGCTAGTGAAACTCGTCTTGACACTCATCTTCAACATATTTTTTGCCTGCCCAGGTGCACTACACAATGTCTGAGAAGGTTCGAGATGCGGTAGTAGCTGAAGCTCAAACAGCTCGTGCTGTCATTCAAGATGTCATCATGTCTGGGGCGTATCTGTACCCCTTGAAGGTGAGGAGATAGCCCAACAACCATCAATGTGCTCCCTTTAGGCCTCTAACGACGGAGATTTCTAGGGTATCATATTCTTCGGAACACACAAGGACCTATGGGGCCCCTTCATCTCCCGCGCCGGACGGACCATCACCCTCGGATTCGGTGTTACCAGCGTGATGTTTTTCTTCACATACGTGCCCCAGATGACGATCATGGCCTTCACAAGTGGACCACTCGCTGCCATTTCCGCCGCGATCCTCGTTCTGAGCGAAAGCTCCGCCATCACAAATGTTCTATCCCGCTCTTTCCTTATCGAGGACGCCCTTATTGATACCTTCGACGGCACTCTTGTTGCCCGCGACCAGGAGCCTCTTGTTGCGCAAGGACGCCAAATCAAGCCTCGGTCGGGAGGAATGGATGCGATGGCGAGACTAGGGAAGATGTTCACCCGGCCGCTTGCACGACTGAGTCCACGGGCGCTACTGCGGTCTTTGCTTTACTTGCCGTTGAACTTGATTCCTGTGGTCGGCACGATGCTGTATATTTTCGTTCAGGGAAAGAGGGTCGGGCCTAGTTTCCATGCCAGGTATTTCCAACTCAAGGGTTGGAACTCTCAACAGCGTGAGGAGTGGGTGGCAAGCAATCGGGGAGCATACACAGGGTAAGTGGCTTTTTCTTTTATATCTGTCCCCTCTTGGGGGGTACCCTATTCTTGACGTTGTGAACGGAGATACTAATCCATGATTTAGGCTTGGGATCGCCTCGTTTGTATTGGAAATGGTGCCATTCGCCTCCATGGTGTTTTCTTTCACCAATACTGTTGGTGCGGCCTTGTGGGCAGCCGATCTGGAAAAGGCAACCAAGTAATCGGTTGGTATGTACAGTGTAATGAATATTGACGACAGTTAACTCACTTAGCAAATAATTAATAATGTTTGGCTTATCTCTTTTCCCTTGATGCGCAACCCTATTTGAGCTGGATTCCAACGAATCTATAAAGATTTAACACCATTTACTCGACACATCCGCCCATTATCCGACACAGTCCAATCATCAGATCCAACGGCAGTCAAGCCATAGAACACATCGTGGGGGTCATATTTCGCCTTCACCTGACGGAGCGCATTATAATTTGTCCCATAAAATGATTTTTGAAAATCCGGCTGGCGAAAGTCGGCCTGTAAAGAATGTTTAACTTGATCCATACCGAAAACTTATACAGAATAGAGCTTACCTCATTTAAATAAGCCCCAGACTCGGGGGCTAGCTTTTGCAACCGAGGGACATAATCAGTAGTCATCTTCTCCTGTACATCACGCATCTTGTCGGGTTGGTTGAACTCCCATGTCGTTGAGACTTTTCCGTGGAAGATTGCTTCACGCCATGCGGGCAGAACAGAGTTATAAACATTGCCGCTGACTTTGTGAGAAACATTGAGCGCGAAGGTTGCAAACTTCGCGCCATCTTCAGCAATATATCGAGCTGCTTCGATAAGATCATCATTCTTGTTTTGGACAACCGATCGAGGAATGAGCCAGCTGCCATATTGGGCGGTACCGATATGCGCATCTTTCATCATATTTTCGAACTCATCCAGATAAGAATCGAATTGGCCGGCATAGAAAGTATAGTTGATTGCCATATTATCGAGCCTGTTGCGGAATGGTTGAACCAGAGACTCCAAGTCCTTCGCTGAGATATTCGGGCCTGTCATGGGAGCAATGGAGAAGGAGGTATTAGTGAGGTATGCAAGGCTCATGATACCCATGTCAACTATCCCCGGAAGCATGGAGTAGTAAAGTTTGGCAGCCTCGTAGTAAGTATCTTTGGAAACCCCCTCACTCGTGAAAGTGAGGTTTAAGCCCGATGCTGGAGTACTCGTGTATGCTTTCGAAGTCATAGACCAAACAACACCATAGGTCCCTCCTCCACCACCACTCAATGCCCAGTAAAGATCCCTATTTTGCTCGCGGCTGGCGACAAGGAATCGACCTGTACCATCGATCACCTCCCATTCGATGACTTGATCGGCTGCAAGTCCATGGCGAGAAGAAAGAGCAGAGTGGCCTCCTCCTTGACTGTATCCACCAGCAATGCCGACGCTCGCGCATTCTCCGCCGACTATTTCTAGTCCCTGAGCAGTGGCTGCAGTATAGGCTTCTGTGCCTTGAACACCTGCGCCGAATTTGGCGACTTTGCCTGTGTAGTGCATGTCATGATAATCCTTGAACTCAATTCCTTTGATGTTCTGCATCCACAAGCCTAAAGCACCGGCGCCTGTGGACTTCCCATTGTAGCTAGTGAGGTCAGAAATCATGCCTCCAAGATGAGGATTTGGAAAGCATACTCATGTCCGGTATTTCGAACAACCAGTCTAATATTGTGCGTGGTAGCAAATTTCAACGTCTTAGATACATGCTCCGGTCGTGAGACATTGACTGCATAATGAATCAAGTTGCCCAAAGTACATTTCTTCGAAACTGGATGGTATGGGTCACATGTCCCGTTCGTGAAGAACGGGGCCATGATCGATGATGAAGAATCATAACTTGCTCTTGTCAATGGCTTATTAACCAAGTCAATCTAGACATTGTACACTTACTGCTGGTCGGGCAAAAGCCAATCTTCTTTTAATTTGGAACATTCTTGTGCATTATAGGATGGTGCGTGGCAAGATGAAGCCAATGGGTTAGTTTCAATAAGACGTCCATCAATTGATGTATTGAAAGCGCTCCAAAGCAATGGTGAAGGCCAGCATTCATCCCTTGGAAAGCATCGGCAATCATATTGAGTGGCACCGACTGCAAGGGTGAGGGCCAGAAAGCCTACAAAAAGTCCATAGGGTAGAATCTGAGCTGAGAATAGCATTGTTCAAGCTATTTGAATGGAAGAAAAGGACTGAGGTGAACGCGAAGGGAAAAAAAGGGTACACAGGCACGAAGATGCGACCCTCTTGTGTGGTGCTGAGGTCTCATTTTTGCGACCAAGATCCTCTAGAATTAGTGCCACGCCATGCAGATCTATGCAGCTAGCATTGGAAATTCTGGTTGCGGAAATGATTTTCATCCCTCCCTCGACTAAGTGAGTAAATAAAGATAGAGGCGTATGCCGTCATAACTTGACTATCTTAATGGCTCAGTGGTCTCGACACTAAGCCAGAATCAAAACTGCAGATAACATTACGATCGTAAGACTTCTCCTCAAAAAAGGGGGCAGATGTCAATTCGACTATTAACGAGGATCACTATTCTTCTCGGGCACTATTCTGCTTTATAGATCGGGGAACGGCGCTGCACAAAGCAGCTAGACTCGGCAAAGTTGGTGTAGTTCGTTACATGGTCGGTGAAGTAGCCAAGGACGCCGTCGGCTGTGCCTTGAGTGATAGCCATTCAAGCAATTTGGCTCGTCGAGAGGCATAATTGACTAATGTCTCACTTTCCCTAGCATCCCTGGACGCGCACAAGGCGTTCGACTGCGCGACTTTTGCCTTAGTGATCTTTGGCTTCGTGGTCTCTGGCTTAGTGGGTTTGGCGTCGGTAGATGAAGGCATTCATTTCCAGCAGTTCCACATGAAATATCGCACGCTCCAGCCAGCTTCGGGGAAATTCCGCACCTTAGTATCAGTTTTTTCCCCTTCTGACTTAGCATGGAGGCTAGGAGAATATTTGTATTGGGGCAATCTTCTCCTTCAAACGTTATGGGAGAGAGAAAGTATATTGGTATTCACTGCAATGTTCGCTTTATCAATTGATTTTCTTTCTTGTTGATGTCAGCGCAAAAACACCACAACGTCTATCACTAAGGCAGTCAAGATAATGTTTCTTCCAGGTAATATTCATAACTTTATTCTGAAATGGAACTCATTCATCATCCTCATATCCTCCGCCGCCCATTGTAAACAGGAACCTTTGCTAGACCGAAAACTGACGGACAAATTTCATACATAGAGAAGTAAGTGAGCTGACGAGCCGCCAGATCATAAAGACTATCAATCTACACTCTCATAAATCCTCGATATAGGTTGTTGCAATAGCTATTACTCTCCGAATAGCTAGGATCGATTATTCCTACGAACCGTATCTTACTAACTATACCCATCGTACTCCCACCCCTCTAATTCTCAGGGTTATCGTAAGCCCGCATAATCGATTATAAGTCAATGACAAGATATACCGTAAATCGGGGTACGTTATCCCCGACTTCAGCACCTAGTGATTCTAAATGTGGGTTGAAATCTGCACGGATCTAGTCCCATAACACCCTATCCTAGCGCTCTCGATCTTCAAGAATGACGCTCTTATATATCTCCTTGATAATGGTTTCTAGGAAAGGGTCTTAGCTATCGTACCGCTTTCCATCGATGTGATCGATTTCCCAATAGATATAACGGGTAATCTTGTCGAGACAAGAGGTCCACACTTCATCTGATTCCGGAGTATAGACAGTGCGATAAATAATAAAACCCCAAGGCCACTTAAAGTTAGCTATGAAGTTTACCGATGTACGATCATTGTCTTTCCACCATGGCTCTTGAATCCAACGTGCTCGGCGTTCATCATGAGAAACCATAAACTCCGAATCAGTCCAGCGTTCAGGCCAAGAAGGGTGGTGGAATGACTCGTCGTCCGACTCATCCGTTGTGGAAATATCTGGTTGAGACATGGTGATAATCGGGCAATAAGGAATTAAAGTGAAGTGAGGCAAATACTTTGGAGCTAGATGTGTAGAATTTTTGGAAATCCAGCTACATACGGATTATGTGCTGTACGAGAAATGGGTTCTAAACATGGATTGATGAGGTAATGAAAGAAGCGGCCTCAGGGGCCCCAACGAGGATCATTATCTTTCTCTGACTAACCAAGCGTGATCTGAACTCTACCTAGGCACGTTCCACTAGATCGATATGATTCTCCTATCATGTGACCCCGCCAAGACCACAGAAACTAGATAATCGATCACGCACCAACGCAAATGGTGGATCTTGCAGATAAGGACCACATATTTCACTTTTGTGAGAGCATATGGGATAGTGAAATCGGACAGGCGAATGAGAGCTGGTCATCTACATCGCTTCATTACTTCAAAATTCTTGGCGCCCCTATCAATTACAGAAGACCCCCGCTCGCTCCAAATCCTTCCGTCACTTGAACTTGCTCAACTTGCTCAGAGAGCTAGATACTTTTCCAGGCTATTGGGTTCTAAAGTTACATCTGAATTGTTACGCTCTTCACTCCAATTCCGCTCCGATGAAGGGTCGTAAGCGGATCACCCTTGCGTGTAACGGTTGTCGATCAAAAAGAACCAAGGTAAGGCATGGACAATGGGTGTCAAGAATTTCATTTGTCTAAATCTGAGATGGTCTATTGCTAACATCACTTTCAACAGTGCGATGGTATTCAACCAAAGTGCAGCGCATGCAGTTATCGAGAAGATGACTGTCATTATACTGATACAGAGAGTAAGCGAAAGTAGGCCGAAGTTCCACTAGCCAGTGGTCTATTTTCAAATTCATCTGACAAGGACTCAGGCGACCTAGTAACGCATATATTATGGCCTTAGAAGCGCGCGTGGAGTCTCTTGAATGTCGACTGGAAGCTGCTCTCGCAAATTCAACCAAAAGCTCTACCAAGGGACCCCGAGAAGACCCAAGCTCAACGACTTTCCCTGAATCCGTAAATGAGACTGAAAACCCAGTGGATGATTTGACTCAGGCATTTGGGTGTTTTACGTTAGGAGATACCGGAGAACTTCGGTTCTTCGGTGCATCCAGTAACTTTAGCATTATCCAGAATCCCTCGCTCAAAGTCGCTTCATCCCTTGAGGCGCGAAACCTGGGTATCACAGCAGCTCAGCAAAGCCCTGGATATTTTAAGCCCTCAGAGGAGCTACAAGATCATTTATTAAGCTTGTTCTGGCGGTGGCAAAACTCTTGGCAGTATATTGTATCGCGGGAGTCCTTCGTTCATGATCTTTATGTCGAAAAGAGCGGCCGCTACTGCACACCACTCCTCTTGACAGCTATCATGGCGCTTTCTTCTCGATACTCGTCCAGAATTGAACTTCGTATGGACTTCACTGATCCAAACACTGCGGGTGCAATATTCGCCAGACAAGCCAAAACAATGCTGGACTGCGAATATGAAGCTCCCACAACATCAACGGTCCAAGCGACTGCGATTTTAGGTCTATACTGGGCCTCAATCGATAACGAAGGCCTCGGATTCATGTATATTGGGATGGCATCACGAATGGCCATGAACCTGGGGCTACATTCGGACTGCTCCCATTACGTGACTAAAGGCTTGATTGCCCCGAAAGATGTGGAAGAGCGCAGTATCGCCTTTTGGGGGATATATGTGTTAGACAAGTAAGTCTACTCCTTCTCCCAGTTTCTAGGATCTTCATTCACATGAAATCCTCACTTAACAGATTGTATTGCCTTGGTATGGGGCGTCCTGCAAGCATCCAAGAGTGCAATATCACGACAACAAAACCAACGTTGAAACGTTACTCGTATCCAGATTTGCCAGAAGTGAACCGACAAATTTCTACTCCTTTCGATACCGCTCACATCACCGAGAATTGCGTACAAACTTGCGAGCTGCTCATGTTTACTTCGGAAGTAATTGACAAACTGTACACTTGCTCCTCCCCCGTTTTTTCAATAGCTGCTTGCGTGATCTGATATGAAATCTAGGTATGCACAGCGCTCGGAATGGACAGACCAAGAAAGAGAAGACCGAGCGATGCAAGTTCATCTACAAGCCACAAGATTCATCGATCGTCTCCCGAAGAGTCTGAAGATTTCAGAATCAAGTTCAAAGCCTTCTCCTCCTTATGTCTATCAACTCCAGTAAGATCACTGTGCGTCGAAAATCCTCAATCTGCTAACAGCCTATCTCATTGTGACAATCTAGTCTACAGTATCACCATTCAATCATTTTACTTCATCGTCCATTTCTAAGCCATTTTTCAACATCTCGTCGACCGACAGAATATGATCCCAATGGAAGTGATATTCATTCAAGGTCATGCAGGTTAGCCGCAAGGAAAATATGTGGTATCCTGAGAATATACGGGAACAATTTTAGTAACGTACGGGACACCGCTTCAATATCCGGCTTGACGATATGTTGACTTACAGGTTTTTTTTTATTTCTTGGATTTAGCGCTGCTTTCCAGTTTCCGCCGTTCATCCCGCTTTCACAGCCGCAATAATCCTTCTACTTGACAAATCGATGCGAAAGGAGAGCGATTCTAAGGAAACTACAAATTGCCTCCTAATCTGCCTCAGGGCTCTCTATGGAATGAACATCAACTGGAACTGGGCGAACAGATCCATTCGAGCTATTTATTCATTAGCAGCGCAGTGGAAAGTGGATTTATCGAAACTTCTTCTGGAACATGATATTCCAGAAGAGAACTTGGATCACTACAATCGATATTCTTCGGAATGTACGGGGGTCTAGCGTGAGGCCCATGTAAGAATACCAAGTTGGTTGGCCCACAGTAGTGGAGATGATGCTAAAATCATATCCATAAGAAATGCTCCCAAGACAGAGGGGGATGACCATCTGATTTCAAATAAGTTTCTCGCCATTAAGATCAAAAGTATGCAGCAAGACTTACTGCCAGGTGGGCGAGCGTAAACTTTGCTTGTCCCATGTTTGCGACTGAGACTTCGTAGTGGCGTGTCGTGCATTGCCATTGAAATATCGGCTTTCATATCTTAAATACCGAGACTCATTTTTCAATGTTCTACTGATAGTGTGCTACGGCTTCGTCGATAAGTTCAAGCACAGAGCAGTCGATTGATCTACCGGATGCTAAATAACCGGATATCGCGACGTTGTCTGAAATCCAATTTGAACTTTGATAAGAGTATTTTCAGCTATATCCTACACATTTTAACTTTACAGAATATCAAATCCACGAACAGGATCGACAATCTGGATAATAATCTCCCGGTTTCCTCGTGTTTGAGCTCGAGTAGTTGTTATCCGGATACAGGGAGCGGATACTAAGTATCCGAACATTTAATGGGCAGATAGTGTATGATACAAATAGTCAAGCCTTAACTCACTTCGCTGTACAACTTCTTTCTTTCACTTTATCATCTCTCTCATAGCTTCACTGGGGCTTTCGAATTAAATCTACCCGAACATGTCTGCCAAGACCGTCAAAGTTGCCGCCATCCAGGCTGAGCCTGTATGGAACGATCTCGAAGGGGGAGTGAACAAGGCAATTGCTTATATCGAAGAGGCTGCTTCCAATGGAGCTAACGTCTTGGGATTCCCCGAGGTGTTCATTCCCGGCTATCCATGGTAACTTGTGTTTACCCTTCCATTTTAAATGTGCATCATGGCTAAGTAAGATTCAAAGGAGCATGTGGGCCAATTCGCCGGTGGATAATGCAGCTTTCATGGATGAGTATTTCCGCAACTCACTCCCCAAAGAGTCGGAGCAGATGGACCGAATTTGTGCTGCGGTGAGAGAAGCTGGAATGTTTGTTGTTCTCGGGTATAGTGAGCGCTACAGAGGATCACTTTACATCGCGCAGGTACAAAAGAATTCAACCTTACTTCTTCCTTTGCAAAGAAACTAACCGGGTGAAGTCTTTCATCGACCCCGCTGGGACTATCGTGCACCATCGCCGCAAGATTAAGCCGACTCACGTGGAACGCGCTTTCTGGGGTGATGGCCAAGCTGAGTCCCTCCAAACCGTTGTTTCGTCGCCTTTCGGAAATATCGGCGGGCTTAATTGCTGGGAGCATACTCAAACTCTTCTTCGTTACTACGAGTACTCGCAAGATGTCGACATCCATGTTGCTAGCTGGCCTCTCATCTGGGACATGCCGCTCCAGGAAAAGATGCCATGGACATACCAAATTACTCCAACTCTCAATTCTAGTCTCTCTCAAATCATGGCTTTTGAGGGCGCTTGCTTTGTTCTCGTTTGCACTCAAATTTTGACCGAAAAGAATCGCGAAAAGTGTCGCCTGAAAGACTTCGAATATGCCACTGCACCCGGTGGTGGGTTCTCCATGATCTACGGACCCGAGGGAACTCCTCTGGTTAAGCAACCAGCCCCTGGTGAGGAAATTATCCTGTATGCCGATGTGGATCTCCATGACAAGGCGGTCGCAAAGCACAATCTGGATCTTGTTGGCCATTACTCCCGGCCGGATCTGCTCAGCCTTCGAGTCACAACCGAGGCGGGAAAGCCAGTCCATTTTAAAGAGTGAGGCTGAGATACTTCTTCATTGAACAGCTTTCAAGATGATGGAAATAAGAAGTGTTCTATTCTTGATTACTCTATTCTTCATTCGTCACACGAGTCTGTTTTTTCTCCAGTAGTTTGCAGATTGGAATATATAGTGTTGATCTCATGATGGTGAGATGGATTGGGCTTTTGCCATGTCAATAAACGCGACTTCCTTCACTGCCCACAATAGAATGTCTCACGATGAATTAGTCGAATTAGAACACGTGCAAGGTAATGAGAAGGCAATCCATAATCGAGCAAAAACTAGTAAACCAACTTTCGAGATCATAAACACACATCCCGATGTAATTCCCCGAATTTGAATAATCATTCGCGTTTGTAGTTGAATCGCATATACGTACATAATGGAACGAGCAATTTTGTGCAGTGGTGATTAGACTTCCGCAGAACCCAACTTAACGTGAACCCCAGACCTAACCTGGATTAGGTTTGGTTTTCAGTCATCACCTTCGACCCAGTATTAGCATAAGCGCATAAGAATAAAAACAGTTCAGATTAAAGTCGAATACGAATAAGTAAAATCCGTATTCGTGTGTAGCCCTAGTTTTTAACTTATCTGCATAAGAATGATTAATCATACAGAATATGACTGTTCTGATTGGTCTTTTCCGGCGATTATGGAGTTCCTCAGAAAGGGTACTTGATATCCGGATACGCCACTATATTGGTCAACAAATTGTCTTTCACAGTAGCTAGTACACCAATGCCAATCTGCGGAAGCGGGTATCAGCTACCCGGATAGGTAACAGAAACCAAATCTAAATCAACAATCTCCTACATATAGATGAAACATAACTTGGCCTCACTGGACGATATTTTGATCTATTGGTTCCGTCTTCCCGTTTTGATCTCAATCAAATTTGCCACACAAATTACTACAGAAATTGTCCCTTGACACACGATGCTAGCCGGCAAATTTTCCCATTCATCTTTCTTCGTCCAGTGCCTTTTTGGGTGTCAGCATCATGGGCAAATCCTGGATGAGGAGAGGACAGCCTTAATCGAACAGTTTCTGATTTTGTTGCAAAGTTCTGCTACTCATACCGACAAACTAGAGCAGGAAGACTCAAGAACCCCCGGATTCTCAAGCACCATCTTCGTGGCCTATTGGCAGCAAGAGACGGAATACCGAAAGTGGTGGAGAAGCGAACCAGTCAAGCAATTCTGGAATTCTCTCCCAGACAATGCAGGCTTCTGGCGAGAAAAATTGGCATTCCCCGCCTCGAGAGTTTTGGCCGAGACCAATCACCACATCAAGAATGGCTTTTCCCATGTCGCAGACTTTGAGCCACTAGTTGAAAAAACCGGGTACTGGGGCTCATATCGTGATCGTATTGAAGAATCGACCTCAGATGACAAACTCTCCTCCCCGTTTGAACTTGCTGTCCCTACCGAAGAGCACCGGCCTCGGATTAGTTTGGGACGTACCATGATCGAAAAATTCCCAGACAATATTTGCTTTGTTGTTGAGGGTCAGGACTATGGCTCCATGGATTCTACGGAACAGGACTACTGGTTTGAGAACTTGGAGAATCTTTGCGATGATTGGGTCATGACCACGATCACCACGGGCCATAAAGACGGCATATTGTCTGCTCGGCTATGTCACGAGACTGCAAGCGGCCCAATAAAGCCTACTGCCACAAAAAATACAGTACTGAAGCCGAAAGCGTTGACATTGAATCGACGTGTACAATACTTCTACTTTCTCGACATGTCCTACATGGAGCGAATTGGTCGCAAGTACAAAACACATGTCACACTTCGACGCAAGTTTATGGAGGTATACGGGCCAGGTGGTCCAATGGAAGGTGGGAAACTGATTTTGTGGGTAGATCTGGGAATCCTGAAAGGCCATAATATGGAGGCTGAGTATGTTGGATGTTTTGAGGGAACTGGGTTCCTGGCTTATAGGGATCACCCTGGGTTTACCACCAAGGTAGACTTTGAGGAAGTGTAGGAGAATGGATGGAGTTTTTCTGTTATCAAGCATCCATGGGGGCTTTCGTGCTTTGCTCGCCTGCTCCTCTTAGTCTCTTTCGAGAAATCCGACTAGAGATCTTTGCAGGGGCCAACTTGACCAACTCGGCAGTAGCCCTTCACATAGATTCCTTATAAAGGCTATAGAAATCGTCCTAAAGCCTGGGGATAAACTTAAGTTTAACCTACTAAAGGCGTCAAGTAATTATGTTTTACAGGTACATACATAATAGGTCTTGAAATGGGATAGCGCGATGGCAGTCTGGTCAAAGCAGACGGGTCGACAATAGCAGTAGGAGCATAGGCAAACCCAACAAGAGGTAGGGCTATAGGAAAGGAGAGCACATAGGGATGGTCTGAAGAGAAGAATGTGTCTGTCTTGTTCTACGTAGAGTAGAGAGGTCTTAAATACATCATGAGTGCTGAATCATCCATAGACCGCTACTTCATGCAGTAAGCAGTTCCCCCACTACAGTCTTTAATAATAATGCCGTCACCTTATCAGTTAATAGGGATATTATTATCTAACCTAGTGATTATCGTTACTCTATAATATAGAACATATAACGTATAGACTTCGTCACATCCATGATTCAGGAACTGTTCGCTCTTGTGTCATTGTGATCCATGGAACCTTATGATCATAATGGTATCTTTCAAGTCACGGTGTTGATCATATCCGATTCGTTCAAGATTATCCTCATCCAATTTTACGTAAAAGAGACAATGTTTTACTTGATGCTGTTTCCCTCTTCAAGAACTAGTCTTAGACTAAGAATACTATTATTGCTTTTGCTCTTCTTCCTAGTATCTATTCTTAATCACCTAGCAGGCTGTCTACCTAACAACAGACGAAGTTATCTTCTACACTCTATCTACTTATCTTAATGATAGCTCGTTAACTATAATTAGAAAATTCATAGAGCCTAGTTTAAGACAGTCCTCATATTTTTCGACTATAGCGAGTGCTCATCCTCTATAGTATATAATATTTCCTTCTTTTTTACGCTCGGTCTTATACTCGTAAGTGAGGCTACGTGATACGCCACGTTTGATACGCTTATTAAGAGCCCTCCAGAGATCTTCAGGAAATATTATCTTATGAAAAAAAATTAAAACAAACAGGAATCCAAACCGTAGTCGGGTATTTATCACCAAGGTTTAGGAAAATATGCGAAGGGACATTCATCATCTTATCATCACCCCTTCTCGGCCCGTTCTCGCATCTATCACCTTGATCTCTAGGATTCACACATCTCGCCCGTACTCGTTCATGCTATTTACAGAGTTATTGAGAGCAAGAGGCGCTGCTTCCTTCGCTCCCTATGCATGTCATCCGTAGTCAATTACGGGCTAGCTTTGCCGTCTCCACCTGAGTACAACACAGCTCGGTCCCGTGTTCGCAATATACACTGAATTCGTACTAGTTGAGATTGTAAAGCTGGGATACAAGGCTCTACTGCAGTGGTTTGGGGCCGTGATTTGGAACTTACTTGGCCCCTAGCCAACCAGAAATAAGAAAGGGCGAAGGGACATCAGCACAGCCCCACAATGTTGTTCCTAGCTCGGGGGCTAATCTCAGAAGAACCGCTACCTACTTATGAATGGGGGCGGCAGAAGTTGTGAAGATCGACATCTGTATCGAATAAGAAGGCCTCATGTAGTGGGTCGGGATTAAATTAGATTCCACAAGTTCCCTCACATGGATTCGTAGCGGTCACTATGTCAACTCGGGTGCAGACACTTTTAGTCTTAAGCGACTTGAAAACATATTTATATGGAAGCTCGACCAGCCCCGAAACTAGAATAAAATACCATCCTCTTTCCAATTTCCAATTGATTGTTCTTTCCATCTGTCGTCACAGAGGTTGATCAAAAAGCTCTCAGCCACCATGCGTCTTTCAACGCTGCTTCTCTGGGCCAACGCGATCATTATTGGAGCTTCACCGCTCCAGTCTAGGTCGCAGAAATCCAATATCGACAGCATTGAAAAGGAATTCCCCGGCATCTATTGGAAATTAGCTGCTGACACCTGCACTGATGACCAATTTGATACTCTTTACAGAGCTACCAAAATGAGCTCGACTATTTTGCAAGGAGCGGCACCCAGCAATTTTGGCTCTAAGTCGACCGATGGTGGCTTCACCGAGATATACGACACCGCGGCCTGGAATCGGTATTTTTTGTCTCCTGAAAAAGTACACTCGCGTGACCCGTCATACTCTTGGGCTGTACGTTGAATTGCAAAACATCCATAATGTCTACTAGTATACTGACATGATTGAAATCATTAGCTCAATCCTACGGCTTATCAGACCGTCATACGTGAGTTCAACTCCTCTGTTTTCCTGATTGCGCTGCGTACTGACAATAAGACAGACAACATGCAGCAGGCAGCCTTTTACCCAACCCAAGGAGGTTTCGGCAAAAGCGGCGAGACTCTTCAGGGTAAACAGGTGACATATACATGCAAAGATATTCTTAACAACTGTGCAAAAGAAGCAAATAAGCTCAAGACATGGACAGGCCCGTAAGTATTTGAAACCTTATATATGGTCTGAATATCCACTTATCCTATGTCTCTAGGTCTGCAACAACTATACAGCCAGAACATGGCGAAAATCAAGTCGGTGGTTAGTCCAACTCGGAACATACTGACAGTTTCAGTATGAAAGATTAATTCTGTGAGATTTAGGAATTTTGGTCCAATTTTGTCCACGTTTCTTCAGTGACGAGGTGGAACACATTGACGACGTTGTTAAGGGCTTTAAAACGGCCAACAGGAGAATGAGTTGGAACGGAATTGCCAATCTTAAGATACATGAGCATACCATATTGCACGAGTGGATGCATTGCAATATCTTTGGATATTCTCCATACAACCCAGACAGTATGACTGCACAGACTGATTTTGATACCTGTGCTAATATGGATATTAGCATTCAAGACTGAAGCAATTATTCCGGACATTAAGAAGTCCGGCCTGCCAGGTTTTGCTGATGGGGTGGTTCGTTCAATCCTGTTCATTGACTTGTTCGTTATTCTAACCACGGTCTCTAGGTTATGTATGGAGACGACTATGCGTATAAGTTTGCACGAAAATACAACGCAAATTCTAAGTTCGGAGCAGCCAACTTGGAGACTGCAAGAAATGGTAAGTTCCATTGTTCTTGCCTAAGTGAAGCCCTGTTAACGTTGATATACTTCATATAGCCGACAGCTATGCTTTGTTTTACGTCTACAGTTATTTGAACAGCGAATTCGATTGGAGCACAGATGGGTCAGAGACCGTTGAGAAACGCGACAGCGGCGCCAGCGAGACCGTGGTTGTAGATGATGACAACTATGGAAACGCCCGGGATCTATCAGACCTGGACGAGATGACCGATCCAGACAACTGTTCCTTTGATGGAACCAATAGTACCCTCAGTGTCGCCTGTGTATTTGAAGCCAACTATGCCGACCTTGCACTGTCAAACAACACTGACTACGAATGTGATACTACTCGGACTTCAAGCGTGCCTGCTGAGATCTTCGGAGGCATGTACAGTAAGTTCTGCGCCAAGGTTGATGAGAAATCAATGTTGAGCTGGTTGGTGAACTATGAGGGGAATGAAAAGTTCCAGCTCCAAAAGCGTACCCCCCCAGCGAACCCTTCAGACTACAAGGGGGTGATCGGTTATTTGAGCTTCCAGAAGAAAGATGGTGACACAAAGTGCTCAAAGAGCTGCTCAGAAGCGTTCGAGTATCTCAAAGCGTGCCCCTGTGAGTAAACATGTGTAATGCAGTCAGCAGACGACCACTAACATTTGTTATAGGTGGAACGACCGGACAAGGGATGTACAGTATGGCAACGGAGGGATCTCTTGATGTGGGTTGCGGAATCTATCAGTTCAGTGGTCTTGAAAACAGTCAATGAGTGGTCAATCCCAGTGATGGGACAAAAGAGTTGCAACATAGATGGGGAAGGGGTCCAGGGTTCCTGGATGGCTATGAAGTCGTCGAGCTTCCTATGAGTGTGAAGTGACGCCCATGAATTCTCAGAAGTAGTCTTGTTGTAATTAATATTATTGTTCTTCTTCTTCTTCTTCTTCTTCTTCTTCTTCTTCTTCTTATCATTATTGTTGTTGTTGATTTTAAACATTGAAATCATTCATAGTGATTTGCACCAAGGTGGAAAAATTCCCACTCGACCAACCATATATTCAAGGTATGTAGTTTTGCATCCCATTAAATCTTTGCCTATCAGAATTCTCCAAAGCAACTTTTGCATTTCAGTTTCGGCTCCTCGGGTGCAGGGCTAAAAGGGCACCCCCCTAAGGCTGCGAGTCGCGCAAGACAAAATTGTGGGCCAGGATAACCTTGGAAAGTTGAGGGCGCTCGACCACCGACATACAGACCTATCTGTCTGGACTTTCAATGGGTTGGCAAAGCCGGGGGAGACAAAAAAAATGCATTCGGTTTCACATTTATCATGAAAGGAATGCAATGCATATAAAAAAATTTAAGAACTGCTCACGCACCGACTTGAACGATGGACCTCGGCATTACTAGTGCCGCGCTCTACCAACTGAGCTACGCGAGCTGAATTATAATGGATTCAGAAACTGAAGTTATAAGACCTTCAAATATCTATACTTGTATGTTTTAACGAGCAACTTTTGGAGGCGTGAAAACGCTTTGTCTCTCCCTATACAAGCTATATTTTGTACTTTGAACATCATTAAATGCACAACAGTTCATTCCTGGCCCCCTTTAACGGTATTCTACTATCGAATACAACGATTTCGTCATGTTAATATCATGATTGCCCACTGTAGTTCTATAAAAATATATCTCACAGGGGAGGAAGCTGTCGAGATCATCAAACCAGTGAGAGAACAAAAAAGGCAGCAAAACTGCAAACGGGATCAATATTATCTTCTTATTTTCGTAATTCAAGTTCAAGTCAGCTTCTGATAAAACATGTGTCGCCTAGCTTCATTATCCATTCTTAGGAAGTAGTGGTCTTTAAGGTCTCTCCGTAGCTAGCCAAGGTCTTTGTGTGTCTTGGCGTTGAGAACATCTTTTTCATGGGGATCCGCTTTTGCCTGGAGGCCCTTCACGGCCTCCGTGAGAGTTATAAGGGACTTGAGCACAGTGCTTTCTTGATGCTTCTTCCGGGCTTGATGCACATCCTCGAAAATCACCGGGTCGGGTGATGAAATGTGCAGAAACCGACTCTTGGCTTTCCATACCTGACAAGGTGTAATTAGCCAACCCCTAGTCTGGGCAGCGAAAGAAATTCTGTTCATCACAGTAGAGACATACGTACTTCTGATGGCGGGGCTTGCTGTGTCACCTCGTTGAGATGTGGGATCCATCCGGTTCATCAAAATGCCAACAATCTGATGTAAATGTTAGGGGTCTTTTAGCAATTCACAGAAGATACTGTCGGAATGCCACGGATTTGATGCAATTTTAGGGGCAATTTTAGATGCAAAATTACATGTAAATATAATAGTAATAAAGCTAGCATTATGCTTATTTATTAGTGACATCATTTGTTGGGGGTTATTCAGCAATTAACGAAAGGTACTTTGGGAAGCTACAGTGAAACAGGCTGACAAAAGTAGACAAACAGAAGCAGAACAAAAAGGTAAAATACACCAGACTTTTGAATATGAATCAACCTGGACTCAAATAGCAATCGCAAGATGCTCACGATGAAAGGAGACCAAATCATCGCTAGCCTCAGCCTGCCCAGAGCCGAACGACTTCAAATTCCATTTGTCCACACTTTCAACCCCTTCCAAGTCATGTCCAAATAGACTGAAGAGGTCTTGACTAAGCCGTTCATATTCGGAGTATTCCTTGGGCCAATCCCCAAGACGCTCGACGGCCAACTTGAGCATGTGCAAGTGTTGCCGAACGTGTTTCCCTTCTTCCATTTCTCCCGGACTGCCGGGGGACGAGGGGGATGACATTCCAGAGATAACCTCCATGTCGACATCGCTTGAAGAAGAGGACGGGTCAATGAAGACACGTAGAGCATTTTCATGTAGCGCTGCCGCCTTTCGATAGTATCGATAAGCCAGCTCCTGACGACCCTTTTGGTCTTGATAGCCTTGCGCCATGCTAGTGTACATCTGCGACAGGAGAACGGTAATCTCAATGGTACTAGGGTGGCGAGGCCCATGAACACGAGCGCAGTTGTATACAAGTTCTTCTGCGAGGCGGACTGAAGCTGCGTAGTCCCCAACGAGGTAGCGCGTGATGACGAGCATACGCCCGAGAGCAAGTGTGTATGCATGCTGGGGCTGTGACAGGGCATACGCATCCCGACTGTTCCAGAGGGAGGTGAGGACCCAGGCCAGGGTATGGTAGTCGTGTTGCTCATCGAGAACCTTGATCAAGCTATTGACATTTGCCACGTCCAGCTGCGTGAGCTCGATGTTGTGCTTTCTGAAATAGTTGAGCGTATCACTTAGAATTGTGGCCGACACGCCTAGCATCTGCTTCTGGACAGACGCTGTTAGTGATGTATTGATTTCTCGGCCAGCGATAGCTAAGCCCAACTTGAACACCAATTTGCTTGTGGCCTGATCCGAGTAGCCGTTGTGTGCTACAACGTATTTCGTCGCCGCGGACGCGAGATTGCAGGCGGACTGGTAATTTCCCAAGTCGAGCTGCTGAACAACACCATTGAAGCTAGCGATGGCAACTGAACGGAGGAAGTTGCGCGAGGTATGAGAACTGAGATACTCAATAATCGTTTCAACGAAAACTTTCACCTGGCTGGGATCGAGACTTAGACTGGATCCCTCGGATGCCAAGAAAAAGCTGATGTACTGGTCCAAGACCTGAGCAGCAGCCGAAAGACGACCCCTACTGAGCAGGAAAGCGTGCAGGCGGGCAACCGTAGCGGCAGTGTGCTGCAACTTGCCATCTTTTGAGCTGAGGATAATTCGGAACTGCTCAAAGTACAGATACTCCGTGGTCAAGGCAGCGTAAACTTCGTTGAACGTGGTTGAGTTGTTTGCGGATTCCCTGATGATGTGTTCGAATTGAGCCAAGAAAATTAGGCTCAAACGGCGGCTTGTAGACTGCTTCTCCTTCTTCATCATAACCTGGAAATAAATATTGTCTGAGAGGTCCCGGGCTTCCTGGAGTTGACCAGCTGCGATGTAGCCAGATGCAATGCTCTTGGCCGCAGCAGTCAGCTTGGTGGAGGATGTTTCGGTAGACAAAATTTTGAAAGTTGCTTCATGCAACAGGGTAGTAGCGACTGGCGCTTTCTTTTGTTTCGTATAGAGTGAAACAAGCTCCTCCATCTGACTCAATGCTTCCTCATGTGCCCATCCATAACTGGAGCGAATGAACGTCAAACGTTGGTTGCGAATAGACTCAACCTTCTGTAGCTCTTTTGAGGACATGTTCTCTACCTTCGAGGCGGTCAAGGATGCATTTTGCTGCTCATAGATGGCCCCAAGAATGGCGCGGATGTCTTGATGGTCGATTTCAACTTCACTTGACTGTATCTGCAAGAGACCTTCATAGAGCTGAGTCGCTTCAGTGTCATATCTTTTGGACTGCTGACAGATGTTTGCCAATGTCTTTGTCGCTTGAATGGTGATTGTCGCGTTCGCACCGAACAGGCTGGTGCACGAATTACGGTACTGTACCGTTACATCGTGGATGACAGTAATGTCCGTTCGAGCCTCGCGTAGGCAGTACACATAGTGCTCATATATATTTTGAACAATTCCTTGATCTTGAAATTTTGGGCTGATTGTGGGGGTCTGTTGTAGAGTAGTGAACAACACCCGGTAGGGCTTCAGCGCATCCGCGTACCGCCCTTGTTTGAACAATTCGGTTGTCACAAACAAGAGTGGCTCAAATGCTTCAGGGTGGCAAGTATTTGAGTCTTTATTAAGTGATTGTATGATCTGAAGGTAGTAATCCATTGCGATGGGTTGCGGGCGCGTCAGTGTGGCCAGGGTCCAAAGCTTTTGGATCACAATAGGATGCTCTGTGCCAAATCGCTTAGTGTAATCAAGCAGAAGGTCCTGATGAATATTTATGACCTTGTCAACTTGAGAGGTACGCTCATACAAACGAAGAAGGTTCATGGTGATTCGCTCCAAGGTTTCATATCCACATGCTGGGCGATCGCGTCGAGCTGCATGATAAAGCCGAGTGCGAATATCATCTTCTTTGGTCGAGCGACGGCGGGAGCGATAGCAGTCAGCGAGACGCTCTGCAATTCCAATGCAATATTTGACTTGGGTCGATGGAAGGGTGACTTCTTCGAGCGACGGCGCAAACAACGATGGCCACACACTTCGAAGCACTCGTTTCAACATACTTGTGGCGTCATGCCACCGGTGTTGAGACAGGTACCTTTCTATCAGTGATGTGGTTGCTGCTGTAGAAAGTTCCTCGGCACTAGTTGCGCTGAATACTGTTTCCTTGAGGGTGGATTCTGTCATCAAGGATTCTGAGCGCATCACTTCCCGGGAGGTGGAGTGAATATGCTTTTCAACATTTTTGTACGTAGCACTTTGGCTGCTTGTACTTTGTGCGCAATGTTTGAAGACTTCAATGGCCATCACTGACAGCCCGACGGACTTCATTATCTGAGCAAGATCCAGTAAAGGTGGCACCAAGACTTCAGGGCTGGAGGTAGTCTTCTCGTATTGTTCCCAAAATCCGGCAACGATCGAGGCTGTTTCATCGGTCCTCTTCAGGCCTTCAAGAAAATGAGAATATTCTAGAACAGCTTGTAACATGACCAGCTTGTGCTCAGTAGAGTGACTAAGCCGATACTCCTGGCTTGCCTGCTGCCAAAGTTCCACGTATGTTTGTTCGGCTTCTGTAACCAAATTTTCTGATTTCTGTCGCTCAGCTTGGGCCAAGTGAGATTTGAGATCAAAAGAAAACTTGATTGCCTCATCCTGTTCGATCCCATCCAAAGCCAGGGTGGTACTTGTGTCTGTCGCTGCTTCTTTCCGGCCGTGAAGGTGAACCAGTAAAGAATCGTCTGCCTGTCTGGATCCTTTCCGTTGGGGTGTGTTATCTTCGAAAGATCCCTCCAAGTGGATTGTAACCTCCTGGGCTTTGCTGTGCTCTTGGATGAAAGTATAATGCTCTGACAACTGTGTCAGGGTGGAGGTGACCATGACGCTTGTCGTCCCGTAATGAACCTTGTAACATTCAATGATAAGTTGCAGCATCTCAATACGTTGAGTCATAATCGCCGTTTTAGACTCTGTGATTTGACTAGCTGTGCTCTCCAAGAAGTACTGTGCCATCTGCATAGTAATGAGATGTCGGACAGACAGTGTCTTGCGACAGATCATCGCCGCTTCGTAGAAAATGTAACTGCTCTCGACAGGCGTAACTGTGTGGATTTGTCTGTGGAACAGCGCCTGGGTCAATTTAGCTTGCAGAGTGGCTGGGTGGTCACAGGTCAAGATCTCGCGGTACAGTGCTGTTTGGATACCGTGAACGGTTCGGAGTGACGGTGTCAACTTACTCGCCCACACCGTCATCTCAAGAAGAGGTACAGTAGGGCTAGTAGGGAAGACGTATCGCAAGTTTTTTCCCGCTCTAGTGACCTCCTCGTCACTTGTGCACCCAAACGCGTTCTTGACATGGGTCGGCCAGTACCGAAGCGCAAAATCCAACAGAGGATGTTTCTCCAATAGATATTCCGTCACCCGTCTGTTGAGAGAATCCAAAGAGGGTTCGTGGCTGTCTGTCACATGGTGCTTTGCGTAAAGTAGAAGTCGCTGCGCAAAGTCCACATTGCGATCCCTGATCGCGGGCAGGAACTTGCCCTTTGAGAAAATGTCCAAAACCGCGGCACGCACTTGAGCATGCCTAAGATAGACCAAGTTATTTTGAAAGAAGACAAGCGAGGCTACCGGTTTCAATAGCTGATGAAGATCAATGTCATACTTCTCGGTGACATCAGGCTTGTTGGGTTGCAATGACAGGAGAGCCCCAAGTTCTTCATGGGAGAGAGGGCGGCTTGCGGTGGCCAGCCACACAAGAATTTTCTTCGTGTTCTCGTCCAGCTTGGGTTGTAGTGTATGCAGAACAAGATCGGGGATTTTGTATCCTGCTTTCACGATGCTTCCAACAGACTTGGAAAGCGCAGATTCACTGGCCGGATTCTCATCGCGCAGCCGCTTCGTAGCCAATTTTGCCCAGAGAAAAGAGCCATCAGAAGTTTCTGTGATACGGGAAACCGTAAGCTCTTGCTCATCTTCAGACATGGTGTTAAACGTCGGAATTTGATGAATAATGCTGCGGGTGACTGCGGCCACATCATCAAAGGTGAGCCCTAATGTGGCTCGCACTGCAGTCTGTGAGACAGCTGACTCGACTTCCTGAGACCCGAGTGTGATCAGCTTTATGGAAGAGTTTTTCAACGCTGTCTCGTGGATTCGATGCAGTAGAGCCTTCTCCGCGCAGGTTGATTCATCGACACCATCGACAATCAAAACCAGCTCTCTTGTGCCCGATAGACTGGCACCGACGGAATTCGTCAAAGCATTCCAAAGCAAATCCTCAAGGGCGGTTTCGTCTACTGTAAGCTGGCTCTGGTTATAAGCATCCGCCAAGACCTGATACAACTGTACATTTCCCAAATGTTTGCTGAAAAGCTGAGACAGGATTGACTTTATGAGGGCACTTGGAGTTGTCGAGGCATGAATTCGACCATCTGCAAAGGCTAGTCAGAGCCACATAGGCTTAGGTGGAAGGACAGCGATACTTACTTATAGGTGCTAGGATGGCCGTATATTTCATTCCTCCGACGGGATGTTGAAGATAATCGTTGATAACAGTCGACAAGACTGTTTTTCCGGAGCCTGGCTTGCCAACGATAGAGAGCGCTTGCTTTTCGCCTTTCAAGAACCGCGTCAGATACGGCTTGACCCACATACAGGTACCCTCTTCGCGTTCTTGGGCGGAGGGAATCATCTCTGTAACATGAGCGAGTGTCGGGTCTTCAGGCTGCAGCCAGTCCTTGAGCGTATTTATGCCAACATCTGTGTCAACATGGTTAGAGTGACCAAGATCACCTTTGACGCTCTGTAATGACTATACCTTGATCACCGCCAAGACCCTCTCGCACTAATTGATGACGCCACATCAGTTCTGCAGCATGCTCACAGCGACCACGAAAACTGTCAATCGGACTGGGAAAGGTGCTGTAGATATCAACGGAGACTGATTCAGAGGAAACTAGCAATCGGTGGAAATGTCTGGCCACACAAACAACGAGAGTCACCAAGTCTGCCAACGCAAGGATAAGCTGATCTTTGATATCAGAAGAGACAACAAAGAGCTCTGCGCGATCTAGCAGGTTACCAAGCCCGGCAGAGCAGCGGTAAAAGAAGCCAAAAAGGTCCATGAGAGCAGAGGCATTTGACTCGCCCAGCTATACACTCGCGATTAGTAAAATGATAATTCAGGCTGGAGTTCCATCTAATGTACCTCAAGAAGGCTCGCACAATATCCATAAGACATTTGAGCAGCGAGATGACTGTCGCCCGCAAACTGCTCAATTCCTGAATCGAATGAATGGACACGCTCGACAAACAAGGCCGCCCATACCAGGGCCTTGTCATAACTACTTCCCTCGGGCGGGAGCTTCTTCATTCTCTCGCATCGAATCCATCCCAACAGGCTGGCATAGTCAGTATCGGAGACCCGCGATGCTGCAAGGTCGTCGCTTCCCCGACGTGCAAGTAAATTAACTACTTCGACGAGTGTGGTCCCTTCGCCACTGGACTTCATACTACTGATGTCGTGTTGGCTGAGGCGCATCTCTCTAGTTGGGGTTGCGTGTTGCTGCAGTGGTTCGGATGTCCGCTGCAATCCAAGAAGAGAAGTGGATGCGAGCGGAGGTACGCTCTGTGGTAATGAAGCCATGGCTGGCTTTGTTTCTTTGCCGTAATATCAAATTATTGAATATCATGAAAGTATTTTTTTTTCGTTTTCCATGGACAATGTTAAGCACTCTCTTTATACCTCTACACTTTGCACTTTACTCACTATCATATTCTCTTTATCATTTGAGAAGTCCTCGACGTCAGTATGAGGCAGGTGGAACTGTACGCAGGTAAGGCGTGAGCTACTGTACGTCCAAGGAAATGATATGTCTTCCCACTTCTGTTGGTGTTCCAAATCCGTACTTCTCAGAGCCTTTGAATCGATTAGGTCATAATTGTGACGAGCTGGGGCAAACAGAGGACGAATGTCTCAATGTAGGTATTTGGCCGAACATCCTTGACAGCCTTCTCCGCACAAAGTGAAGTGCCCGAGTCAGCCTATATTGGCAAATCGGAATCTGGCAGTGAGCTGCACTGAGTTTGGACCACAGTTCTAGAAAGCTGGAAGACTGACGTCGTGAGAACAAGGACAAAGGATGAGCGAGTCTGGATCGGTACGGGGAAGCTCCCGAGGTCACAACCCATATTTGATTGCAGATCCACGTCGGTTCCAGAGTAAGAAGTTCAAGTCTCTAATGTACCCATGGTTCAGTATTTGGAATGATCGACGCTAGAAAAAGAGGCTATATGGAACTGCCCGTCTTCGAGCGGCCGGTGACATAGCCAACCACCGACCACTCTGTACTATGGTTTATCCAATTTATTAAAAGGTTAAGAATTCGATGCAATATTAGAAGTAAATTTTTATCTACATATTATTACTCAAAAAGCGCTCAAATGTAACCAACTTAGTAGCGGCATCGAATTGTGTGTGGGCGTGGCTTTTTAGCAATTGACTCTGTTTCATGGTTCAGGGTAGCACCACGTCCAAAGGAAATTGAGGGATGGTACTATACAATGGACCTCAAAGGCCCCAAGGGAGATGAAATAGATGCATCCATACAGTGCTGAGAAAAGGAAAAAAGTTCATATATCGGAATTGGCCGACATGCGAGCTGGCGAAGTGAATTTTGTTGATTCATAATGAAGACAGCGATTCTTTGGTTGACATCCGCTTACGAGTTATGTCGCCTCCAGAATGAACACATCACACATTATCTTTGTGCCATTTCTCTACTTCTTGTTTTCGGTTGTTCAATGATTGATACAGTATGCTCAATTGTCTGCCTTATTTCTAATGTAATGCATTGGGATACTAGAGGAATTAGCACTGAATTCAAATCTGTATTTGTGTTAGACAGTGCCCCAGCGTCCCGACCCTTCGGTCATAACATCATTCGAAACCCACATGGACGCAACCGGCATGCCACATGGACTGATAATTCACGGCACAAATAGAAAATCTTGATTCTTAAACAAATTACACTGACTAACTTTCTATGGATATGCAAAGATCTTGAGCTGTGGAAACAAAGGTCTCAACAACACTGTATGCAGTGGCGGTTAACGTCATGACAGAAACGGAATATAGGCGAATGTAGAAGACTATCAGGGTCAAACGATATCAAATCCAGAAATTTGATTCTTTTTCCTTGGAAATTTTGAGGTCTTACGGAAGTTCCGACCGCAATTTAACCCAACTGGGTGACGCCTAGAATTGCCATGATTCGTTCAATTGTTATATTTAGACATTAGATACGTAGAGTCATTTCATCACGAGCGTTGCATTTCCTCATAGTGACCCAATGCAATTCTATCATTTGGGTTCTAGCATTGGGGAGTGTAATTTCTCGGGAGTGGATGTTTGTCCATGGAGTCGTGTGAAGTCGTCCAAATATCCCTTGGTGGCTTGGATGACATGGGGGAGAATCCCTTAGATGGATCACTATGACCGTCGAAAACAATTTTCGGTTCGAGCGCTGCTACCCATCGCGATCCGGCCTCTTGGCACTTCATTCTCCAAGGTACGGATGGGTGTTGTTGTAGACTGCGTCTCCCGCAACAACCAAGCTAATTGCAGGCACCCATAAAGACGTTGTATCATCTGTGTCTGTATGGCCCAGTCTACCCATTTACAATCACTTGTCTTCTAATATGAAGTGGTCTTACTCAAGGGGAGCGGCCATCACGAGCTTTTCCGGGATCTGCCAGGGAAAATATTTCTCGAAAAAGCGACCATGCCTTCGGGAGACATGGCCTCGGTCATTCGAGAGACGGTCTCCGACGTAACCACGACATTCGCCTCTGGAAATTTTCGAGGATGGTACCGGTACTATAGGAATTATTGGCGTGGGCCTGCAAGACATTAATCGTCTTGAAGTTTTTCACAATGGCTACCACTTAGTTTAATAACTCTTTGGCAGCAGCTTAACTAAGTATCGACCAGCACCGCATCTCCTATCATCTCCTATCAAGTCGAGGTAGTCGGCACCCACTTGAGGTGATCATGACCGGCTGGTGTGAACTGATTTACGCCGGAAAGTTTTCTGGGGAATTCTTTGTAGTCGAGACACATGTTGTAGAAAATTGAAGTTGAATCTAATTTGATGGAAGAAAAAAGGGTTGACACACATAAATGGGAAACTTGTTCTTGGGTCTCTATTTAAATGTTGGGTATACGTAGCTGAATGGAACTTGCATCCAAACATCGGCGAAGAAGTTAGGTTGCGATGGGTAATAATAAATCAGTAAGCTGGACTCACTTGAAGGCAACCCAGCATCTATGATCCTTCATAAGTTACTTAGTGAGATAAGTGATCCTATGGGATGAAGTGTTGACATGCTCTGAGAGTACTCATTTCGAGGCTTATTGGGCCAAACTCACGACCCTGGGGATGTGAGTCATTTGCTTAGGGCTCACTTTAACCAGTAACAAAAACACCGCATGACTCACTGGCTTAAGCCTGAATACTGACAGAACAGCCATCGATAGAAGCGGGGGCGAGGATTGGTTCAGAGACAAATTGAAGAATTGAACTAATTCAGTCGAGGCTCCGGGATCCGAATCGGAGTCGGGGCAATTGTTCGCCCTGCCGGGCATACAACCATCCGACCAACAATATATGTCCAAGAGTATTATACGTTTGAATAAAACAGTAAGCTGATTTACAGTGCAACACATAATCTTGTCAATACTCATCCCGCCGTTCGCATCGCAATGTCAAAATTGATAACCGTGTTTGGGGCCACTGGAAATCAGGGTGGCTCAGTGATTCGAACTATTCTGAATGACCCTGTGTTGTCTCAGGAATTCCGAATCCGCGCCGTGACACGAGATTTGACTAAACCCGGAGCGAAAGCTCTAGCTACGGAAAATGTGGACGTTGTGCAAGTAAGTGAGGAGTGTCATTTGCTCAACGGCTATACAATTATCCTCTATACTAACAGGAATCAACAGGGAGATATGAGTTCTGCTGAGGATGTCGCTAGATTAGTTCATGAAGCGCACACCGTTTTTCTCGTTACCAACTTTTGGGAATCGATGTCTGCAGAACCGGAAATCCTTCAAGGCAAGATGGTCACAGACGCTTGTAAGAAAGCGGATGTCAAGCATCTCATATTTTCTTCCCTTATCGATGCGTCAATCGCATCCAATGGTCGTCTGGTGAATATTACTCACTTTGATGGGAAGGCCTCCGTGGAACGATATATCCGCGAAAGTGGTCTCACAGCCAGCTTCGTCATGCTAGGTATTTTTATGACTGAAATGCATACCATGATTCAGAAGCAAGAAGATGGCAGCTTCATTTTGCCGATACCAGTATCATCAAGTGCAGTTGCTCCCTTCATTGATGCTGGAACAGACACCGGTATGCCTCGCGAAGTTCATCCTATTCATAAATATGACTGCTAACATTAGAAGGCAACTTTGTACGTGCTGCTCTCAACAATCCGCCACAGACCAATTCTCAAGTTATCTACGCAGCCAGCGACTATTATAGTTTTGATGATCTCGCGCGGGACTTTGAAAGCGTGATTGGTGCACCACTGTCGATTATAACAGTTCCCAGTGAGACATTCAAGGCTACGCTTTCCACATTCTTGCCACCAAACATGGCTGAAGAGATATTCGAGAACTTGATCCTGCTCGAGGATCCGGGATATTATGCAGGTGCCAGTCTGGCCTCAAGTCTCAGTCTATTATCGGATAAGCCTGTGAGCTTAGTGGACTTCCTTACGCAAAACAAGTCCAAGTGGTGTTAGTAAAAGCCGTGGCAAAAAACGTGGACAGGCGAGCGTTAGCCTCAATCGTCGCATTCCGTGCGACAAATCCATATATCTGCCTTAGTATAACTTGCTGACAGTGCATTACTTTATAATCCTCTTTGCGCGACCCTTGTTCTTAATATGTGATCACATAAACCAATTAAAATTTCTCATGAGGTATCAATCTGACTGATTAATTTAGCAGATAAACCAGCTTTGATGCGCGAACTTTGCCTTCACGTAGCATCTGAAGACCACTCAAAGCTCCAGTCAAGCCTCCTGACTTCACCTGATACGGATGAGGAAGAATGCGGCGCTCTTCAAGAAGCTTCTGCGCTGTAGCCCACCACTTAATTCCGAATTCAAAGTTGCTGGCATCTGGTGATACGTCCTGTGCTCCCATGCGATAGGATTCTCCCAACACATCGTAAGCCATTGAGACATGTGAGTCAACATCATCTCGCGCTGATCGAACATCAAGCAAAGCATTGTAGCAGCCTCCTGCGGAAGAGATGGCAGCGCTGCAGATAGCGGCTGATTGGGGAGTAGAAATTGTGTCGAGAACAAACTCCAGGGCATCATCAGTATCCTCCCTGATTTGATCACCAACCTGGGAATCATGGTAATCGAAGACAGCATCTGCCCCCAACTCGAACATCAGCCCGCGGTTGGCTTCGGAGCATGTCGTAACCACTCGTAGTCCGGAAAGCTTTGCTAACTGAATAGCAAGAGTACCGGTGGCCGTTGCGCCTCCGTAAATTAAAATATTGGCGCCCTCTAACTCGTCCGAATTCTCTCCAGGGAAGGGCAACTCCATGATCTGATAGAGGTTCTGACCAACGGTTGTCAAACCAACGCCGAAGGTAGCAGCGGCCTCAAAACTCATAGACTCTGGGATGTGAATCTGAATATCGCCCTTGGCAATCACATATTCGGCAAATGCCCCGCCGTTGGGACGCACTGCATTGCTGCCATGAACGAATCCGGCCACGCGATCGTCTTTCTTGAAGGCCTTTTTAACCTGTGGACCAACAGCTTCTACTATTCCAGCATAGTCGCAGCCCACAATCGCCCCATTACATGACACAAAGTCAATATGACGCCAATCTGTGGGATTCAAAGCCACTGGGTGGTATCTTAGTTTCTGTGGATAGAAGAAGGGCATGGGTCCAAGCCAGAGATGAAATACCAGCTTTTGTTTTGATTAGAATAAAATCGTCAGGGAGCTCAGGGAGCGGGACATCTTGATTCAGTATCGCGCGGCCTGGTTCTTGAACGATAATGGCACTCTGAGTAGTCATGTTTAACGGGTGTTGTGATGTGAGAAATAACGGTGAGAGATGCTACGGAAGAATCTCGTATCTATCTGCCAAGATAAATGAGACACTCCACTGGTAATATACAGGGTAGATTTTCTGTCTTTGATAGGGTGCTGTGTTGACCCAGACATTCCAGTCTATCGAAATGCTAATGCCAGTACCCACCTCCGATGGGGCGAAATCGAACCATTGACTTTTGCGCGGTGGGGTGTCTGTCTGGTTATTGTGAGTTCCCATTTGAGTAAGATAGTCGACTTGTGCGTGCATGCACAGTCCATAGGCCGTGCGGATGTGGGTGATCGCTGTGGGGAGGAAGGGGAGCAAGCCCTCCCCGGGTTGTTCTAGAGTCACGTAATAGCATGAAATGGATTCATAGGAAATTCTAGAAAGCCAGATTCTATCGTCATAGCTATTCCCTGCATGATAGCCAGATTAGCAACGACACCACGTTCAGCCCGCGGCCCGTCGCAAGGGGTTAAGAGCGGCCCGGGGGTCCTTAGGGCCGAAACTTTGTCTAAGTCAGGGAAGACAAAGAAGGGAAGAAAAAGGACAAAAAGGACAAAAAGAGATAAACCAAGGCAAAGTCCCAATTTTCTTCCTTAGCACGAGGGAAAACAAGTATCTAGGGAGTGGGATCGGTCTCAATCAGGGGGGCTGGAAAGTGATCGTTCCCCACTGCGGAATGAGAATTTAGGATCTCACCAACAAAAATTCCTGCATGAGTGATCGTCGGCTATGACAGCGCGGATTGGCTCGGCGTACTCCAGATTATGAGTGTGGATCTATAGCTGGAGCGTGTATGCCATGAAAATCATTACCCCAAACCTATATTACGGGGATCTTGAAATACAGTGACCGAGACTGGTACAGCTCTGGTCTCAATACGGAGAGCTTCTCTATCAACACGTATTGTAAAGCGCACTCTTGCCCTCCAGGTGCTCCCGCATTGGCGATCCAGTTCGTCACTTTCTCTCCACTTGGTAACTTGTTATGGGTTCAGCCTCAGCCGCACTTTCCGGTGGATCAAGGAGTCGAATGGGATTTCTATTATGTCCCTCCTCATAGTGATCAAGATCACGATCAATTGAATGAAGACTATCTCTCAGGGTTGAATGATCTATAGCTTAATGCTTAATGTCTGGAGTGCATAGATAGAACCTCACCGACCTGAGCTCACAAAGTATGTAACACTATCTCGAGAGTTTGGAAGCTCCACAACAATTTCTCCGCTTGGTAAATAGCCACTAAACCACTAAAACATGCATGTGAACTGCGAGGCTTCCCGCACTTGTCACTAGCTTCTACAGCATTCATGATCTGAAAGAAAGGGTTGCCGAGGCCAGGTAGCTCAGCTCATCAAGTATAATACCCCACAGCCTCCCAACTCTCCGACTTCAACAACCTTATCTTTAATTCATTTGACATTTGCAAGATGCCCGGCCGACCGACCGCAACCTCGCCCCACCCAGAAATGGAGGGAATTGCAGTCATCGGAATCGGGTGTCGCTTTTCTGGGGGTGCAACTTCTCCTGAGGATTTCTGGCAGATGCTATGTGAGGGACGTACTGGACACGGAAAGATTCCTCCAAGCCGATATGAAGCTTCTGCCTGGCATCATCCTAGTCATGATCGCAAAGGCGCGGTAAGTATTCCTGAATCGACTCGCATGGTCAGTACTTTCTCAAGTACCTGAGCTGACAGGATGATAAGATCAACCATGACAGTGGATTCTTCTTGGAAGAAGATCCTTCCCGCTTTGATGCACCATTTTTCTCTATTACTGCAAAGGAGGCAGCAGGAATGGACCCAGCACAGCGTTTGCTGCTAGAGGTTGCATATGAAACGTTTGAAAATGGTCCGTCAAACCTGTATCCCAAACCAGCGGAAGAGCACAAGCGCTAATACTTGTTCAGGTGGTATTCCAATCGACTCACTTCCAGGTAGTAACACAGCCGTGTACTCCGGGTCGATGACCAATGATTATGAGCTATTATCGACCAGAGATATCTATGATATGCCTCATAACTCAGCAACTGGAAATGGAAGGACCATGCTAGCAAATCGTTTGTCATGGTTCTTCGATCTCCAGGGCCCCAGTATCATGATGGACACTGCGTGTTCCTCAAGTTTGACTGCAGTGCATCTTGCAGCTCAATCCCTGCGTTCTGGCGAGTGCGGAATGGTAAGCTCTTAGCCTTTTAGCGGTTTGACTTGAGTTTAACCCTAGACTATAGGCACTTGTCACTGGAGCCAGCTTAATCTTGCACCCTAATTTCACACAAAGGCTGTCCTACATGCATATGATGAGTGCAGATGGAACAAGTCACTCATTTGATGAGTCGGCAAATGGGTACGGCCGAGGAGAAGGCATTGGTGCAGTCCTTCTAAAGCCTCTCAGCGCTGCTTTGGCCGATGGAGACAATATTCGAGCCGTTATCCGCGGCACGGGCATCAACCAGGATGGTCGCACTCCTGGAATCACCTTGCCAAGTCCCACATCACAAGCAAACTTGATTCGCTCGACATATGAGCGACACGGAATTTCAATGAGAGACACTGCATACTTCGAAGCACATGGAACTGGAACGCCAGTCGGAGTGAGTGAACCATGATTCACAAGTCTTTCTGGAGGTTTCAACATCTAACTTGATAATCAGGATCCTATAGAGCTGTCTGCCGTTGGAATGACCTTAGGTGAGGCACGTCTAGCCACCGATGAGCCGATATATGTAGGCTCCGTGAAAACAAACCTCGGTCATACCGAAGGAGCTGCAGGTGTGGCTAGTTTGATCAAGGTCATTCTCTGTCTGGAAAAGGCCACATTAGTACCAAATGCTGGCTTTAAGAATATTAACCCCAAGATTCGCCTGGACGATTGGCGGTTGCGCTTGAGCAACAAAACGATACCCTGGCCAGATCATCTGCCACAACGAGCCAGCATCAACTCATTTGGATTTGGTGGATCCAATGCTCATATAATCATTGAGAGCACCAAAGAAGCCTTGAGAGGAAACGATGAAGATAGGGAACCTCCTTCGCGTGTTGTGGTCTTTTCTACCTTTGACCAAGCTGGTATTGAACGACTGGGTCAAAGTTGGAGTACCTTCCTTCAACGTCAGCGAAAAGCAGAGAAAGAAATCTCGATCAAAGATCTTGCCCATACGATGCTGAATCGCCGGTCTCAATTGGGATTCCGCAGCTTCGCAGTTGCCAATACGGGCGATCAACTTGGGGAGATCCTGGAGAAGGGACTGCCTAAGTTTGCTCGAGCTAGTCGCCAAGTCCACACACGGATCGCCTTTGTTTTCACTGGTCAGGGTGGACAGTGGGCCGGTATGGGCAGGGAACTTCTGAGGATGGCAGTTTTCAGAGAAAGCATGGCGCATTCGCAACAGATCCTCTCTGCCATGGGATGTGCCTTTGATATTGTTGAGGAAATCCGTCTTGACGCAAAGGAAAGCAATATTAATCGACCTGATCGCAGCCAACCTATAACGTGTGCCTTGCAAATCGCTTTGGTTGATCTTTTGGCTAGCTGGTCTGTCCATCCTAATGCGGTCGTTGGTCATTCCAGTGGTGAAATTGGTATGTGAACTTCCCATCTAACTTCATTATTGTCAGTGCAATCAACTAAAACAAATTACTTGAATAGCTGCCGCCTATGCTGCTGGGTATCTTTCTCATGCAGATGCTTTGCGAGTGGCATGGTTCCGCGGTTTCTTCTCGCAGCAGATTGCGGAGAGTGACAAGCGTGGAGGTATGCTCGCTACTGGAATCTCGGCGGAGGATGCAAAGAAGTATCTTGATGAGCTTCCACCGAGATCGGTCGTTGTGGCTTGCGTTAATAGTCCGTCGAGTACAACACTTTCAGGTGACGTAGATCTGATTGATCAGCTCGAAATTAGGCTACAGAAAGACGGCCACTTCGCTCGAAAGCTCCGCATTGATACCGCCTATCACTCCCCTCATATGGAAGAGCTAGTCGAGGTGGTCGGAAACGCCATAGAGTGCATCAATCCGGAAGATCGCCATCACGATTCGATTCCTATGCTTTCATCTGTCACAAAAGAGCGTGTTTACTCTGCCGAGCTTGGTGGATCTTACTGGGTACGAAATATGGTCAGCTCAGTTGAGTTTACCGCCGCAATGTCGCAACTCGCAACTCTAAGTGAATCTACCAAGGCTCGTCGTCGACCTGTTCCTATTAAATGGACATCGCTCGTTGAGATTGGCCCTCACGCAGTGCTGAAAGGACCAGTCACTCAGATATTGAAAGCTGTCAACACTAGCATGGCAACTCTGCCGTATCACTCCTTGGTGGCGCGTAACCAACACGCTTTGAAAACCGCGCTTGAAACTGCAGGGTCTCTTTGGAGTACGGGACATGGTGTTGACCTTGCAGCGGTCAATAGTAGTGTCGATGGCACGACTCCATCGGTGGTTTCTGATCTGCCTTCTTATCCCTGGAATCACCAAACATCATTTTGGCATGAGCCGCTGGAGACAGCTCAGCTCAGACAGCGCAAGCATCCACGCCATGACATTCTGGGTTCTCCTCTAGACTACCAAAATGCCTTGGAACCTCGGTGGAGAAATTTCCTCCGTCTGCCAGAAAATCCTTGGATGGCTGATCATGTTGTGGCTGGATCAATCGTTTTCCCAGCTGCGGGTATGCTTGTGATGGCTATTGAGGCGGCCCGGCAGCTCGCCGGTGATCAGGACAAGGTGAAAGGAATTGAGTTCCAGGATGTTCGATTTATGCGTGGAGTTGTAATTCCCGAGGAGGACCGGGGCCTGGAAACAGTTCTTCAGGTCTCCCCACATCCCGGGATCCCCGGATGGTATCAGTTTGGTATCTTCTCTCTTCCTTCCGGGGGATCCTGGATTCAGCACGCAAAGGGTGCATTCACCATGCAGTATGAGAACCGAGAAGATGACGAGCTTACCGCGAACTGGGACGCAGCCGTGGACCGTATCAAAAATACTCAGTCAACTGCACAAAAGGCTGATATTGGGGAGACATATCAATGGCTGTCTCATACGGGAGGACTGACAGTTGGACCAGCTTTCAAAACCATCACAGATGTATCTTTCTGTGAATCAGAGCCCCGTTTATGGCTTTCTGGTGTTGTCACAGACACGAAGCAAGCAATGCCTCACGAAATTGAGACGCCCAGTTTTATTCACCCCACAACTCTTGATTGTCTCTTCCAGTCTGCCCTTCTGTCTTGTTCCGAGGCTCTGTCAAGCAAAAACGCCAACATCCCCGTTGGTGTGGACCATATCTATATTGCCGATGCCTTCCAGCCAAAATCTGGTGATCAATTTGCTGTTCACACTGAAAGTCAGTGGCGAGATGGCAAGTCCCTATCGAGATGTATTGCGTCGGATCCCTCCTGGACAAGGCCCTGGATCACATTCGAAGGTGTTCACTTGGGACGCCTTCCATTCAATCCCAATTCGCAAAAGAAGGAGGAAACAACTTCTGATAGCAGATACTCCTCTATTATTTGGGACGAACACTTGGAGTCCTCAATTGTTACTGGCCAGAACCCCTCTGACGGCAGCAAAGGCGCGGTTGTTGAAACTAGCGACTTGCAGCTGGGAGACTGGATCAAGCGTATTTGTCATACAAATGGAGATGCTCAGGCTTTGATAGCCACCTCAAACACAAATTACTCCTGGGTTGAAGACCTAGAGATGGCACCTGGTGCCGGAAAGCGACCATGTTTAGGAAAGCTCACCGTCGCTTTGTGTAGTTCCAAGGACGAAGAGAAGAGTGATTCCCAGAAGAACCTCGTGGGAACCCAAATCGTGACCCTGAATGCACTTGGTGAACTTCCGTCTTCTTCTCTTGCAGAGCAGTTGTTTGACCTTGTCGTCATTGACGATGTCAGTTTATGGGATGGTAAATCACCACAAGCAATTGTTTCGCTTCTTCCCACCATTCTTGGGCCTGGTGGCTTCGCGGCAATGCGCATCTCGGATGAAAATATCGCATCTGCAGTAGATACCTTGCAGAAATTCAATGGTCTTGACATTCACAGCATGACCGAGGATCGCAACTTTATCATTACTCGCAAGAAGCCGGTCCAATGGACCACAGATTCCGAGATCTATATTTTGAGTCCAACAGACAAGTCCAACTCGTTCCCTGTCTTCGACCACCTTGAGAAGATCTTTGCCACCCATAACGTTCACCTGGTCTCAGTTGGATTAGACCAGGTATCAGCACTGGAAAACAAGACTGTGATCTCATTGCTCGATTTGGCGGGTCCTTGGGTATCTGAATGGACAGCTGATGATCTCAAACATCTTCAACAGTTAGTCCGTGCAAAATACGTTCTTTGGATCTCCCCATTCTGGGCCCAAGGAGGTGTCGAAAACGTCGGATCAGGTGCCACCGGGGGTCTTCTGCGTACTCTTCGTAACGAGCATTGGAATACTAGTATCCCACAGTTGCTCGTCGATGCCGAAGACTTACAGGATCAATTTGGACTAGCCTGTGGGATTCTGCAGGTTATGCAGCTCACGACACAGGAAGGTTCCCGCCGTCATGACCTGGAGTACCGTCTGTCGAATGGCCGTCTTTTGATTCCTCGTGTCCTCGAAACCCCTGCAGTCGATGAGGCTATGCAAACACTGGTCAATGGTCCCAAGCCGGTTTTAGCAGATCTCACGCAAGACCCGAGACCCCTTGCGCTGAACATCGAGGACACTAACCGTGCTCACTGGGTAGAGGAGAAACTTTGCGAAGGAGAACTCCCACCAGACCATGTCGAGCTCAAGGTGGAGATGGCCTCGGTCTTTGACCTCAACGGAGAGCTAGGCAAGAGCCCCGAAACTGTCCTCCCAATGACTGAAGTCTCCGGAAAGATCACCCGGATTGGATCAGAAGTGAACGATCTCAACATTGGTGACAAGGTTTTGACGCTATTCTCTGCAAAGTCGGGACTTTCTACCTCTCTTCGCGTGCCGGAGAGTGACACTATCAGGATACCGGCAAACACGAGTCCTGCACAGGCAATCTCAACTCCTCTTGCGTATCTCAATGCCTATCAGATCCTCACCGAAGTCGGTCGCCTGCGCGCGAATTCATCTGTTCTCTTGGTTGGATCAATCAGCCAGACTCTTCGAGCTATGATTGATTATGCTCTCGCAATGGACATGCATGTTATCGTGGCTACTGATTCTCAGGATACTTCTGATCTTCTCTCCACACGCTACCCAGATCTACACGATCGTATCCTTGGTATCCACGGCAGTCTGGAAGCAAGTGTATCGAGATTAACCAATGGAAGTGGAGTTGACACCGCCATTGGTTTCCTGGGTGGATATTCGGGTCGCGTTGCGGCTAGATGCTTGGTTCAAGGCGGCCAGTACATCAACTTGTCCAGCGATATGAAGTTGAGTGCTTTGCCTGAGAGCTTCATTGACAGTGGTTGCACTTTCTCTTCCCCAAAACTGCAAAGAACATTCTCGGAAAAGCCTGGTAGCCTCCATGCCTCGGTTCGTCATGTCATTGACTTCATGAAAAAGCACAGAATGCTGGAGCGCGTGGAACCCTATGCTACATTCCCTGTCGCCGAGGTACAGGCAGCTCTGAGGTATTGCAAGGAGACTGATACCCGAGCTATAGTGAACCTTCAGGCTCCGGGTCAAGTTCCAATCGTGCTTCCGCTCCCAGAGCTTGCTACTTTGCCTGTAGATCAGACTTACATCCTAGCCGGTGGACTAGGAAACCTTGGCCTTGCGCTTGCTGAAACTTTGGTACAGTCTGGAGCCCGCCATTTGGTTTTCCTGGGCCGATCGGGCGGTGTTCAGCATGATCAGAAGCTCACGCTTGATTTGCTCCGTGACCGCGGATGCATCATTGACGTCGTACGCTGTGATATCTCTCGCCAGGGAGATATTGATCATCTTGAATCCAAGATTCGAAACAAGAAGTGGACGGTCGGAGGTGTAATTCAATGCACGACGGTTCTTAAGGTAACTCACTCTATTCATTTAGTTGACCAAGCGCAGTAGCTAACGTGTTTCCATTTACAGGACACAATGTTTGAGAAGATGTCGTTTGATGATTGGACCCAATCAACCGAGTCCAAAATTCGTGGGACATTGAACTTGCACCACCTTTTCTCCAAGCAAGAAAGCTTGAACTTTTTCGTGGCTCTATCCTCCGTGGCGAGTATCATTGGAAACATGGGTCAAGCTAATTACTCTGCTGGAAACGGTTTCATTGATGCGCTCATGGAATGGCGTCGAGGCAATGGCTTGCCCGGTCACTCCATCAACATTGGTCTTGTCCCCGATGCCAGTGGACTGAGTGATATCAACGAAGATCAAGAGCAGCGCCGACGCCGCTACAAGCATCTTGAAGGTACAGAGATCATGACCCATGAGCTTCAGACCTTGCTGCGCGTGATCATCAACAGCAAGCTTTCTTTGCCTTCCCAGATTGTAGCTGGTATGACCGACTCCCTGTCACGCAAGAATGCGCCCTCTGCATGGCTTTTCGACCGCAAGTTTGATCACCGACTGGCTCTTGCTGTTGAACAAACCGAGACCACAGAAATCCTCACTAGTACTTTGCTGAAGGAGTCTGGCTCTGTTGATGCAGCAACCCAGATTGTTGTCGACGCTCTTTCCGAGTATCTGGCCCATGCGATGGCTACAACAGCTGATTCTATCGATCCGGATCTACCATTGTCTGCCTTGGGTGGTATGTCTCCATGATTCCTTCCCCCTGATCTTGCTGTACTAACTACGCTCACTAGTGGATTCCCTCAAAGCCACAGATGTACAGAATTGGGTTTCGCGCGAACTCGGGGCCGAATTGACCTCTTTCGAGTTCCTCGGATCCCAACCGACCAAAGCATTGGCGAGGAAGATTGCCTCAGCCAGCACCTTCGTCTCGGAATCGAGCTGAAGCAATAGCGCGGTCTAGCCTTGATGATCGGAGATTTTTTTTTAATAATGATAGACTTTGATTCGTATTTTCAAACATAATTTAATACTCTTGAGACTTAATTGACTTTATCTCGTGTGTGACTTTCCTTTCCATGTCTTAGCCCCTGTCTCTTGGGGTCAAATGGATCGATGTCGGATCTGTAATACCGTGTATATTACTTACAATACCCTGTCACGGCATATTAGATTCAAGTGCCCCAATAGTTCGTGAAATCATCCACGAGGGTCCACAGTCACGGCCTATAATCGACTTCCATGTTGGCACTGGTGGGTCTCGGGCGCTGCCCGTCACTCATTTGGTAGCCTCGTACGGAGTCCTGCGTGCCAGTCGGGATCCCGTTCAGCCTCAGCGAACTTAGGGCCATGTAGATACAGATGCAGCGGATGTGGATCTGCAATGGAGCTTGGTAAGGGGAATGTGGAAGGGGAAGACGTGGTTGGCGGTGAGGAGGGACAATCCTTCTCCACCAAACTAACTCTCCGTCATTGACAGCAGCCTCGCTCGTCGGGAACTGGATCGGCACTCTGAATCGGGGCGATCGGTTCATCAGAGTAACCGAGCTCATCTCACCGGTGTCATTTCCTGCCATTGGGCCGTCGGTGGCGGGGCAATACAGTGTATGGGATGTGGCCCCTGAAGGATTCTCAAGATCCTTCGACGCAAATGAGGCGAATGGGAAAGCGGACCGCGTCGCACGGGAAGCTTTGTATACAGTACTTTACCGGCACGGCTTCAGTCATGTCTCCCCCTAGAATGATCTCCCTTGCCGATGCTAGATGCATCTAACCCAGGGATATGGATATTGGCCACGGATTGCTACATGGCAGGTACTGTACAACTGACTGGGCGCTTCATTCTTGGTTCCTTTCATGCGAAACACTCGGCACATGAATCTCGCCGAATGAGAGCAGGAGCCGGAAATGTCCAATCTATCAAAGTACTGTGCAGCGGACCCGAGGTTCTCCGAATTTGTCAAAATTCAGCGCAAACCCAACAAGACATGCGGCGGGTCAAGATCTACAATGAGGGGAAGATTGTTGATCTGTTGGCTGGACCGTGGTCAATGGACCCGGCTGGCGCTATGATCAGCGGGAAAGTAACTACTGCAGGTAAGGCTATTGGTACCAGGGCCGTGTCTCCTGGAGACTACATGTTTCTAGGGCCATGCGTATCCACATCGTGGACCCATCTCAGCCATGAAATACGGGAACTATGGGTTGGCGCGAGGAACTTTCCGAGGTTCTGATCTCGCTACAGTATGGTATTGACGCATGACCTTCCCTGATCTCCCATAAAAACATTGCTCTTTTTGTGCATTCAATTTCACACACACCTCCCCCTCCCCCTTCTTCTTTTCTCATTGCCTCCAGTCATGGCAGATCCAGAGAAGAACGGTGTGCCCATGCCCACACACCCGACGAGGGTCGTCCACAACAACTCCAATTCCGTGGGAACCATTTTCTCAGACCACGGAAAGCTTGTGGACGACTACTCTGCTAAGGAACTTCGGAGTCGTCATACTTCTGCCGCTTTAAGTGACCTTGAGGGTCAGAAGCCTGCCGAACCTCGACGGAAACGTTTTTCGCATTTCAGATATAACGTCTTCACTGTCTATAGACGGCTATTTACGATTACCATATGCGTGAATCTGGCATGCTTCATCTATGTGATGGTCTCCAATCGGCAGCTTGTGGCACTTGTGGATGCAACCGCTGTGAACTTGGTAGCGTGCGGTCTCGCTCGGCACCCAATGGTGATCAACGGCATTTACAGGGTCGTGTGTTCGCTGCCTAGGTCGGCGCCGCTGTGTATGCGTCGTGTGGCAGCTAAAGCAGCCCACTACGGTGGTGTTCACAGTGGCTGTGGTGTTGCATCATTAATCTGGTATATCGGATTTGTTTCTATGGTTTCTAAGATATACTGGACATCATCTCCTATCAGTCCATTGTCGGATGTGATGTTCACAGCTGCGCCAATTGCCATCGCCTACATTATCCTTTTCCTGTTGTTCGTGATGGTGGTTGTGGCGTATCCGACATTCCGCAGAAAGATGCACGACTACTTTGAGCTCACCCACCGCTTCACTTCATGGACTATTTTGGCCCTTTTCGTTGCCCTGCTCATGCTATTTGCCCGTGAGGTTAGTAGGGCACAGAAAGAGACCATGGGGTACTTCCTCATCACTTTGCCCGCATTTTGGCTATTGATTGCTGCCATTGTGGCTGTTGTCCACCCATGGCTTCTACTGCGGAAGGTCCCCGTGGAACCCGAGCCTCTCTCTTCACATGCTGTGCGATTGTCGTTCAACCACACGCCGATTAGTTTTGCGAAGGGTATTCAAGTCACAAAGAATCCCCTGCGCGACTGGCACAGTTTCGCTGGATTCCCAGACCCTCTTCCAGAGCCTGTGGAGGAGCCTACACCGGATCCAGCTGCAGAGCCCACTTCGGAGCCCGCTACTGGTCGCCAATCGGCTCAATTCAAAAAGGGCCACCGGAGGAGTTTCTCTATCGTGGTATCAAAGGCCGGAGACTGGACAGCCGATACTATCGAGAACCCACCCAAGGAGCTCTGGAAGCGCGGGTCACTGATGCGTGGCGTTGGCTACGGTCTTCGTCTCTTCAACCGTATTATCATTGTGACCACAGGATCCGGCATTGGACCTTGCCTTGGATTCCTGGGCGATGAGAACCGACCTGCCATCAAGGTCATCTGGCAGACACGTACGCCGGAGAAGACATATGGCCAAGATGTGATTGATCTGGTTCACAAGATGGGCCCCGATCCTATTATTTGGGACACCTCTATAATGGGTCGTATTGATATGATCCCCATGGTGCGCCAGCAATACAAGGAGTTCAACGCGGAGGCAGTCTTCGTGATTAGCAATCCTTCGATGACCCAAAAAATCGTTTACGACTTCGAATCTCAAGGGATCCCAGCATATGGCCCGATTTTCGATTCATGATATGTTTTTACGCTTTGATTTTCTTTTCGGGTGCTCTACGATGTTTCCGTTCAGGCAATGTTTAAATGAACTCCATCTACAGCTCTGTTAGATTAAAACACTTGCCCGAGTGATGAATTTATTTTAATGAATTTTCTTTTTTTACCATCGTTTTACACAAAATAAAGATTATCAAGAGAGTTGTATCAGACTGCCTCGCAAGATGCGTGATGGCGACCGGGTGTTACAATCGCTTCTCAACGGATCAAATGTTTAGCTATCTGTTGGAAGCTGTCAGAGTCCCTCAATCAATCCCTTGAGCACGCTTGCTGTGTCCACTTCTATCCTGGAAATGTAGCGATTGGTTCGAGAATAGCAGCCGATAATATCGAGATGTACACGCAATTTGAAGATCTTGTGTCACGAAGTCCACATTGGCTAGCAACCACTTCAACCCCGCCTGATCTTCGTAGCAGATCCGTATGCTCTGTAGAATACGGCGGCAACCTTATTCTGACAGACAACTCTTCCTATACAAAAAGAGGCCCTCCATCCACTATGGCCCATGCGCATTGACAGGCTGTTCAGCCGCATGGGCGCGGGCCGTTCCGTGGAGAAAACACAAACAAGCAGCCCGGAGTAGCTTCAAAGGGGCTAAAGTAGCCCTTGTCGCGGGCGTTCTTGGGCTGGCGTCCGATGGCTCAATGTGGCAATACCCTGCATCTTAGTTCTTCATGGTTGGACTTGGCGCTGACAAACACAAAACCTCAGTCCATCCTTGAGCCCGAGTACAGACATTAACTTATCAGGTAAGTAATAGACGTGCGACAAGCTTAATTCATCCGTAATCACCTATTGCCTTTTGTAAGTTCAGAGCTGTCAATACGGAATATTGAATTTGGCAGGCCACTGTCACAAGTCAAAAAAAAAAAAAGAGGCTCTTAGCGCATTCCATACACCAATCAGATCCGGCGTCGCCTGAGACACGCAGACTCGCTTGACCGTAATTCCGGAACACACAATGTTTCGTTTTGCAGACTTGTTCATGGCGCTTTGTAGTCCACGTCAATTGCAGATCATCGTGTACACTATAGTTGAATCCCCACACATTGAAGACAACTCAATGCTTGGCTGAGCCACATATACAAAAATAGTGTAGGGCATCCGTCAAGAGACTGGTAAATTTTGGCCCCCTAAGCTAGTCAGAATCATCATAATCCGGATTCAAGCCTCGGAAGATGCCTAGAAACTCCTATTCATCCCATTGGATGATGACGCGAGCTAGCCTGCGCTGATAACATGCGTCTGCCTTCAGCTAGTTATTAATGGAAGCTGCCAAAGACAAGTCAGAAATGATTTTTTTTTCTTTGTCCTGATTCTTCCCTCCATTCGGCCTGTTGTGCTAGAAATGTTCAACATGAAATGTGGAATTTTCGATCGAAACAGAGACAGGGCTCGAGGTCATGAATTTCGGAGGCCTATCGGGCAATCTTTAGCCTCAAGGGTTAGGCACCAGCCTTATACAACGGCATGCCTACTTCTTGTGATCGTGTTTCTCTTAATAGTAGGCTTTCGCCACCATTCCACTGGTTTGTCCCCCGCGGTAGCTGTTTCAAGATTGCTGCGAAGTAATGTATAGGACGCTGATCAGGATACTAGAATCGGCCGATGACGTAGAGCTAAGGAAAGCGCAATTCGAGCTGGTCCAGAGCACCAAGAACTATAACGCCCATTCTACGACTGTGGGTGTAGTTATACCAAAAATTCGCTCAGACGATGTGAGATGGCTTTGGAGCTATCTCCAGGAACAGTACGCAACAACCATGACTCGTTCCTGAATAACGCTGACAAGAATATGATTGTCAGCAACGACACCACTGCATTTATGTATTCCATGGACAAAAAGCCCGAGCTGGACCTCCATCTTGCACATTCTCATCGCGGTCGCGAAGTCTCCGCGTACCTCTCCTACGTGATCGACTATTATGACAACCTACCCCCATATTCAATTTTCATCCACGCAGGCGCGCAACAACGACACAATGATTTATTCGGGCCTGATACAAGTGTCATACTGCAAAACTTACGCCATGAAGCTATAGAAGCTAAGGGATATTTGAATCTGCGTTGCATGCACAGCCCAGGTTGTCCGACGCATGTTGCGCCAAACCATCCCTCCCAAGCCGATATCGAAGCTGGCGATGCCCGTGCACACTTTGCGCAAATATATCGGGAGCTCTTTGGAATGAAAGTCGTAGTTCCGGATTATATTGGAGCTCCGTGTTGTGCCCAGTTCGCGGTCAGTCGCAAACAGATCCAGCAACGGCCGAAGAGCGAGTATGTTCATATGATGAACTGGGTGGACGGGGCAAGTGCGCAGTTGATAGATAGTTATGCCGTTGGATGGGTTTTTGAAAGCTTATGGCATGTGGTCTTTGGCATGGATGCAATTGAGTAAGTGGTTCTTCTTCCAGGAGCCCAGGCGGGAGATCAATGGTATACTAATCACTTTCAGATGTCCTGCTTACGAACAATGTCGTTGCGATCACTACGGATGGTGTGGTCCTCTGGCTTCTGGGAATGTTTTGACTCCGATCAGACTGGAAAGCACGAATCATACGAACATTGGACTGTGATCGCCTCTATTTTAACTGATAGTCTTGATTTACGCTCTTTTTCTTTGCAGATTTTAGGCGCAAGGATCTTTCATAGATGTGTTCCTCTGGGGTTTGAGTACCATTTCAAGGCGTTATTTTGTTTTCGTGGGACTTATTGCATGCCATCCAAAATTTCAAAGAACAGGAGTTATGTGTTCGATAGATTAGAAATTGATCGATTAGTTGTGAGCTGTCATGATATTTAACTTTGACAGGTATAGCAGAGGTCAGTGGCTGAGACGTGTCAAATCTTATGTCTATAATATGAGAATCTAGGGAATTGACGCCGAAAAGAACCGCTTTCAACGCTAGAAACAACTTTTCCATCCTTGGTGAGGTAGCTTTCAGCAAACCATTCGACAGCCAATTTGAAGTTCATACTGTGTAACTCCATATGATAAACGACCATTTACTCTTATCTTGCGTTATTGATGAAATACCACTGCAATATTTTTGGAAGATGCTCTCTAGAATTTCGCCCGTACCCTGGACGCACCGACTAATGAAGAGCTGAAACAACCTCAAACGAGTCCGTGGCGAGTGTGAGATTCAAAATCAACAACCGGTCTGATAAACCAGATGTTCAGAAAAGCCTTGTAGAGGCCATTGTTCCACATAGTGGGTCTAAACTCACTGGGCAGGAGATTAATTCAGAGGCGTTTGCCGTTCTGTGTTTTCTATGGAGATCGGAAGGTATGGCTAAACAGCTCCTAAGGTAGCAGGATCCCATTCCACGTCGGGGACACTCATTCTTCTCTTTTGGCACCTTGTCCAGAACCCTGGGTCGATGGATCGTGTGTATAAGGAAATCCACACAGTACTAGGCCCTATGCGTCTTAGCTGCTTGATCTTTCATTCAACTTCTGCATTCTTTTTGTCTGTATTGTCGCGTGCACACCGTTAGTTGTTATAGAATGCCATCGTTGATATTAGCAGACAAGCGTGGAAGTATTCAATATTATTATCTGCAACCAAACGTGCAACCCCTGTCTCCAGTTGTTGGGATTTGAATGATGTGCTTGCTATGAGCCTACTATGAGCCCACTCGGAGAAACTAGAACAAAAGGGTTGTTGAAGGCACCATGGCCAACTTTTAATCTCTCTATGACGATAGCGTACCTAATATCTCGCAGGAAATCAGGCTGCTAGGCGAGGATTGATGATTTATTCGATTTAATAAAACAAACCAGATTTGATACTATGTGAAGGGTAAAATGGGATGTAAAATACAATACTCGAAAGCGCTAAAATCTGACTAGTGGCCACAGAGGCAACAAAACAGCGTGTCAGGGCACTCAACCAACAAAAGCAACTGCCTCGATACGCCAATTCACAGGCCGTTTACACGCTCAATGTCCACTGCAAGATCGAATTTTCCATGTGATCTGAATAACCACAACTAGTATAAGTCTTGCTTCCATACCATGTCCAATTTTCACGCGGGATTCTGGAAGAGATTTTAGCGCTATGATCCACTCATCCTCGTATCCATGCTATGACCCCGCGAATAGTTTTCAATAATTCCCTTGTTCCGGTAATTTCAAGCCGATCCCTGTTGAAGTTTCTCACAGCCATTAAATTATCGATTCCCACGTGTCTCAAAATGGTGCGATCGCCAGGTTTGCAATGTCATTATTCGAACACCTCGGTTCCTGCATACATTGCGCAGTGGGGCTTGCTCGAAGCTACCAATAAGACTTCCAAAGAGCATTCCGACCGTCGAAACTCAATCTCGCTTCGGATTCTTCAGGTCAGGTTTGAGCATGGATCTGCAGTGAGCTAATCATGCGCCCCTGATGCAGATGCTGCGAGTTATATACAGCAGACAAGCTCCAGGTGGAGAAAGGGCCAAGTGAGATCTTCGGTTTTTCAACTCTCTACTCCAGGATCTCATAAGTCATGTATATCAATCGACTGCTTGGACTGGCGGCAGCCTCTATAGGTCTCGTCAAGGCTGTCGAGCTGACAGGCTACGAATATATCGTCGTCGGCTCAGGGGCCGGCGGAGGCCCGCTGGCAGCTCGACTTGCGCTTGCCGGTCACAAGACGCTATTGATTGAAGCTGGTGATGACCAGGGTACCAACGTGAATTACACAGTGCCAGCCTTCTCTGCCAAGGCATCGGAAGATGAAGCCATGGCGTGGAACTTCTTTGTGCGGCACTATGCAGACGACGATCGACAAGCTTTGGACTACAAGACCACATATGAGACTCCTGATGGCGGCGAGTATACCGGACTGAATCCGCCAGAGGGATCAATCATGAAGGGGACATTATATCCTCGTACGGGCACTCTTGGAGGCTGCACTGCCCACAATGCGATGGTCACCGTCTATCCGCATGAATCCGACTTCGAATACCTCGCCACACTTACCGGGGATAGTTCATGGTCTCCTGATAACATGCGCAAATATTTCGAGCGCATGGAGAAGAACAAGTATCTTCTGCCGTTGGCGAAGGGCCACGGCTATGACGGATGGTTAGGAACTGAAACTGCACCTCTGAGTATTGTATTGGAAGATCCCGAGCTTCTGAGCCTGCTACTAGGAGGAGCGTTCTCTTTGGGCAATGTGACAAACACCGTTTTCAACTTAGGTACACTGCTTCTCGGTGATGCAAACGCCGACTCTAAGCTGCGTGACACTCTTCCTGGATACTATCAAATTCCGATTTCCTCCGATGGCAATTCTCGCAATGGTCCGCGCGAGTTCATCACTGCGGTTCGTGATGCCACTAATAGAGACGGGTCTCAGAGATACCCCCTCGATGTTCGCACCAACTGCTACGTTACCAAGGTAACTTTTGACGAGTCTGTTAGTCCGCCACGGGCCTCGGGTGTGGAATTCCTGGACGGTAAATACCTATATCGGGCTAGTCCGCGCTCTAACAGTGCTGGAAGCGGTACTGCAGGCTCTGTCAAAGCCTCACGCGAAGTCATCGTTGCTGGCGGCACCTACAACTCCCCTCAGATTCTGAAGCTTAGTGGCGTGGGACCGGCAGACGAACTTCGCAAATTTGGAATCAAAGTGATCTCCGACCTTCCTGGTGTCGGTACCAATCTCCAGGATCACTATGAGACTGCTGTACAGGGTCATATTCCCAACAACTGGACCGCACTTAATGGCTGCACCTTTGATCAGGGCAGTGATCCATGTCTAGAGCGCTGGGAAAAGGACGGACTAGGTGGTCGTGGCGTCTATTCGTCCGACGGATTCGCAGCCGCGATGTTCTACAAGAGCTCTGTCACGGCCGACGACAGCTACGACGTCTTCGTGTTCGGCGGACCAGTCAACTTCCGCGGCTATTTCCCAGGGTATAGCATTAACATTACTGAGCGTCACGATTGGTTCTCTTGGGCCGTTCTCAAGGCACACCCTCGCAACCAAGCCGGCTCCGTGACTCTGCGCTCGGCTGACCCCCTTGATATGCCTGAAATCGTCTTCAACTCGTTCGATACCGGAAGTGGAGATTATGAAAAGGACTTGCAGGCAATCACTGAGGCTATCGGCGTTGCTCGCGGTGCCTTTGATCGTCAACTGGTCGAGGTGTCTGAGGTTCTTCCTGGTGACGATGTTCAGACTGATGAGGAAATTCATGACTACATCAAGAACACCGCGTGGGGTCACCATGCGTCGTGTACATGTCCGATCGGAACGGACAGTGACCCTATGGCTGTTCTTGATTCGAACTTCAACGTGCGGGGTGTCACCGGACTTCGGGTTGTCGATGCATCAGTGTATCCTCGTATTCCAGGAACTTTCACCGCTGTATCAACTTACATGGTGGCCGAAAAGGCAGCCGATGTGATTCTGGATGCAGTCAAGGCAAGCGTGTAAGCGTATCATGCTCGCGCTAGAAATCGAGGATGGTAGATAGAAAGAGAGGGATGAATCTTGGACTTTAATGCAGAATGTCATCGTATAATATGTACAAATGCTAATGACCTTTATCAACAATAAAGAACATTTTTCCCAGTTGGCAAATTTATCACGTAGCGGGACTTGGATATTTTTAGGCATCGTCGCTCATCTTATTATCAAATTTATTCTGGCTTAGTTTCAATTTGAAATCGAAGGCTTTTCCAACCCCCAAACAATAAGTTCATCCTGTTCATGTCGATAATCACTGATGAACTTGAACCCACACTTTTTCAGCACCCCGGAGCTTCCAACATTCTGCACTTCGCAAAGAGCGAAAACCTTTTCCTTCTCCCCTGGTGGCTGACTTCCTTCAATGGTTCTCCTTGGAAGATCCCACCACATTTTCAACAACAAGTTCAGTGCTTCTGTCATATAGCCCTTTCCCCAAGCCTCAGGGAGCAGCGCATATCCAATCTCAGGGAATGGATATACGGCATTGATACTCACAGAGCCAATGACTTGCTCCTGTGACTCTGGGATAGATTTATCCAGAATAGCATAGTTGAATGAGCGGCCAAGCACATCAGATGGACCCTCCGTGAAGACTTTCGTTGACATCCATTCACGAGTTTCTTCGACGGATTTGAAAGGTATTTTAGGATGGCTACTTGGGTCAGTATGAAGTTTTCTATTAAATTGAGGTCTCAGATATAACGAGGACATACTTCATCTGCGCAACTTCCCACCGGGAGCGAACTGCATATAGCGCAGGGGCATCAGCATCAGTGACTGGCCGAAGGCGGAGTCGATCGCTTTCAATTGAGGGTCCCTGTGAAGGGACAATTGCGTAGACTGGTTGTTCGGGGAGCGTATCCATGTTGAAAATGTCTTGGATGAATCAATTGAAGAGATGAAAAAAAAAGAGAAGGGGAAAACATGCGAAGGCGAAGATGTAGTCGAGGAAGCGGATACCAGGATGAAGCGGAAGGTTCTGATTGGTCGGAATACTTTGCTAACCCCGTCTCGGAGCCCGACTGACTCATTGCGAGATGACTTCAAGTTGGATGATTCGAGGTTGATTGCGAAACAAGTAGATGGTCAATGGTATAGTTTAAAGATACTAAAACTGAGGGTTGGCTGGGGAGAACAGCAAAAATCAAGGATCTCGGGCGCAATAAAGCACTCCCACAACCCTGATATTTCCATAAGTCTTGTATCTATTTACCTACGCCTTGATGGCTCGAAATAGCTCCTCGAATGACTCACTCAGTTTCACGACATTATAGAATCTCGGACACAATTATCAAGCCCCTGAAATGTTCCAATGCCGGGCAATTGGCCTTTTGCGCAATGCCACAAGTTGGCACGCCTGGATCATAACGTATGTCAGAATTGAGCTCTTTGAAATCATGGCTGGCCTTGGACTACGATAAATTCCATTCAATCGGATTGAGACCTTTACAGAGAACAAGGTAGCTTATCAATTCGTTATACATGTTGCTTATCTAGCAACCGGGTCTAACCAGTGAGCTATCGGCTGGTTCGTTGGTGTCAAGCTAACACTCACAAGCTTTGCATATAACTTAAGCCTTGAGTGCTACTAGGAGCATAAATAGACTACCAATACTTTTATCTGATGTACTAGTAATGTGAACCACTCGGCTATCGGACCCTTCCGACAGGTCCACGGGTAGTATCAGTATCGCCTTGTATTTAGTTCCTAGTGTGATGATTGCCCATTGTCCAGACTTTCTAAGGTCTGCCAGTCTCTCCTACGGGAACGTCTCCTTGTTATCAACCTGTTTGCCTATCCCCCCTCAGTATTATATCCGCGGCGTTGATTGGCTGCTTTCTTATCTTCTCCGCGTCACGGGGTTGACCCCACAGTTGATGTAGTCTGCATTTCACACCTGCTTCCGAGGTTCTTTGTTATTTTGGTTTCTTGCGTAAAAAGCTCGATATGCCAACAGAAAACCGCAAGCGTGCAGCACGAGCGTAAGTGATGCATATCTCGTTAATGGGCCTGTCTGACATATCACAGGTGCGATGAGTGTCGAAGACTAAAGGAGAAGTGTGAAGGTGGAGCCCCTTGCAGGAGATGTTCTCATTTTCAGAGAGTATGTGCATTCAAAGGCTTAGTGCCGAGGAATCGAGAGTTCCGTCCTTACATTCCGAGGTAAGAAGCCAGCTCCTGCTACGAGCGGGCCTATCTAACATGCAGAAGAGACAAAGTGGTCAGATCTGATTTCCCGGAATTGATTGAGCGCACAAAGTACATGGAACGTATTTTAAAACGCGTGATAGAAGGAATATCCTTGGATACCAAGAGTCTGGGGAAATTGGCGGACGCACTCGACGCCGATTACCATGATAAAGGTGGAAATCCCTCTGATCCCCAAGATGATGAGGGTCTGAGAATGGACGACGAGGCTTGTACAATGGAGCCGGTGGGGGATAACACAACTCGTTCGTTCTTCAATTTTAATCTAAGCCTGGACGCAGACTAATGATCGTCAGACTTTTCCGGAGAATTCTCATATTGGAATTTCTCGATGCGCATCAAAAGTCATATACAAAGCCAAATCAGAGAACCAGATACGCGAGTATGTATTACCATTACAGTCAACATGCAAGTTGCTAGGCTAACAAAGATCAAACTACAGGATCCTGATCATTCTTCGGACTTTCCACGCGCCCATCACTTACGTCCATCAAATAGCCATCTATCAGCGGCAATCGCATCTTGTCCTCCTCGACACATTGCCAATTTTCTAGTGAAAATATTCTTCAAGTACTCAGAAACCCACTACTTCTTGGTACAGCAGTCATGGATTCTTTCAAAACTCGACCTACTATACAATAACCCAGAAAACTTTTCTCATAAGGGTGCGGAAGTCACAGTGGCAATTATTTTATCGGTGCTTGCAATTGGAACACAATACGCTCATCTTGAATCTCTCAGCCAAGCGCCAACAAGCGCATCAGGTTCAACATTCTCGGAGGATGATGTTGGCACCACGTTCTATCAACAGGCAATCCGTCTGCTACCGGAAATCATCGAAATAGCCTCACTCGAAAGTGTACAGGCTTGTTTATTGTTTGGCTATTATGCACTTCCCATCGACGCTTCTGGGCTTGGGTTCATATACATTAACCTTGCCATGCGTCTTGGAATGCAGAACGGTATGCATCGGAAATGCAAGAATGAGGCCTTTTCGCGCTCCATGATTGAAACTCGAAATCGGGTCTGGTGGACAGCCTATGTACTAGAGAGGTATTTGATTTAATTTTAGCATTGATATCATATTCATGGCTTTGGCTCATATTCATGCAGGAAGATATCTCTCTTTCATGGAAGACCTCTTTCGGTACTTCGATCGGATGTGGATGCCAACATTCCTCTCTATCAAGCAAGTGTTCAGCCACAAGATTGTCCAGGAAGCATAACACGAGCAGAGATCTCAATTCAACTGGTTCATTTCCTCGAAGACACCTTCCATGAAATGTGAGCTATTCATCGCCATTTCCTTCAAGCACTTCGTTACTAATAGCAACAGCAACCTCCTACGGAATTGCCAAAAGCAGGAGATATCAAAGATTGTCTCACGCCTGTTAACAACAAAAGACGCTCTGACAAACTGGTGGGATTCCCTTCCGAATGAGGTCGTGGCCGTCCAAGCGCAGCAGCCCGAACATATTCGCTCAGCAATGCACCTAAAGCTGGAGTATTGTCTAGTGCGAATGTTTTTCGGTAGACCATTCCTCCTCAAACAAGAAACCACACACTCCAACACAAACTCACCCGCCCACTCGGAGGCATTCGACGGTCAATCCCGGTTGACCGATGGATCCCAGAATTCCACACTAGGTCGAAATGATCTGATCACTGACTGCATTCGAGCAGCAACCGAAGCTCTTGATATCTGTAGGGTACTGCGAGATAGCGGGCTCGGTCTGGCACGAGCCTCGTACATCGAGTACAGTTCGTGCCGGGCCTCGCTTCTCGTGTTGATTGCCTACTCAATTCAGAACTTTTCGGAACAATTCCGTAAGTCCTTATATGAAGGCTTGGATATGATCCGAGAAATGTCTGCTGCTGGCGAATCTGCTCGGTCGGAGGTTTCGTTAATCGAGTCGCTTGAGCGTGCTCTCGCCCGGCTGCATACTGGAGCGCAAAAAGTGCGCCCGAGCGAGCCCCAGCGAGATTCAATGTCCGATTACGAAGCTTTCAAGAGCTGGGGTGCATATCTGGCAGAGAAAGGAAAAATTGGTTGCTCTGGATCGGCTCCGAATGCTTCAACTAGTCATGCATCAGCGGCAGCCTTGCCAACTGGCGATGTTGCTGCTTTTGGAAATCAACTGGACTGCATGCCTGAAGCGAGCAGTGACCTGTTCAATTCCTTTGATCCTATGATTGAGATGTCGATATTCGGCACCGAAAATCTATCACCATCGGTTGGATGGCCGACTTACACCGAGGCTCAGGTCTTGGAGCATTTTCTAACGAATCCGCACTACGGCGCAGGTTGAGAGGCAAGAAGCGAAAGAGAACATGCCCTCATGAAGTGTCACAACTATGTCGATTATGCAACCCTATATCCTACTTGAAATCATATGTACAATGTTCAATTACATACAATCAACTAGAAGCAGCCACAATCCCGTCCGCCATATCAGGTAACGTATTCGACATCACCTCCATCTTCGTATCAAAGATCTCCTCGCAAGACTCTTGCTCATAAATCGTACAATACGCGCCCCGGAACCCAACCTTGACCGCAGCCGACACATCCCACATATGCGCAGCCGCGAACCACTTCACGTCATCCTCTGCAAACTTCGCCAGAGCAGGTCGGTAGGCCGCCAATGCAGGCTTCGCCAATCCCTGTGTATCACAGCTAATAAAGTTCTCCAGGGGCATATCAACACCCGCACGTTCAAAGTAGCCCCGAACGCGCTTTGTATCCCCGGTCGTCAGACACCAGACTGTGAACCCAGCAGCTCTCAGCTTAGCAAAGCACTCGCTGGTGCCAGGTCGGAGTTCTAGTTCGGAATATCCTTGCACGCACTGGTCGCGTTCTGCGTCTGTCGCAAAAGTCCTCGGAGACTCAATCCCGCACATGTATAGAGATCGGTAGAAGAGCGCAGTAATGATTTCTTTGTAGGGGCGGTAGCGCTCCGAGATTGAGAGGAAGGTGAATTCCAATTCGGCGGCTGTCATCCAGGCGAAGCCGAAGGAGTGGGCGGTGATGTTCTTCGCGAGCAGTTTTTCGCCGATGACGCGGTTAATGCAATTGTAGAATGCGTCAAATGAGACGCATGTACCGACCACGTCGAATACGACATGCTTCTGGTTCGTCATTGTGGTTGGATTCAATTGGGGGTGCTTTGTTCGGAGCTTGATATTGATGTCAAGGGATTGCAATCTTGCAAGGAGTACGAATTGGCTTCGAGGGGAAGATAGTGACTCTCAACCCGATAAATCTCGTGATATTTCCCTATCGAACCTTGACAAGCGCAATCGCAACTCCCCGCACCGGCGTTCCATGGCTCGTACTATTCCCCTTCGGGTAGGCCCGGCCCGGTGATTCCTCATTGGTCAATTAGAGATGTTTCCTGATAGGCAACTTATGTGTCTTGCCGGCTTTACATTTAGCACGATATCCTATCTTGACGTCCGTTTTAAAGTCACTGGCTTTACTCGATAGGAACTGTAGAGATAGACAGGATAAGCTTCTCGTGACTAAAACTCATGACTAAAACTCATGCGTCCTACTAGGCAGTGAAATAGAGAAGATCATTTACACTACGTAGTAGATCAATGTAAAAGGTTTTGGAAGTGGGCAGAAGAATATCGATTCGCTAGATATCAGAACGCTAAGAACGCAGCAATTCAAGACCACAAAATATTAAGCTTATTGATGCCACGCTTCGGCTTGGGCTCCGGCTCGGGGTTATTCTGGTAACTTTCAATGAAAGGCCGAATAGGAATGTCCGCCAGCGGAATGATCTTGGTCTTCATCCAGAACTTGTAGGCGAAATAGACTATCATGATAAAAGGAAGGTTGAAGTAGGAGGAGATAAAGGTTTCGGTGCTCCAACGGCCATTCATGAAGGTAGTGAATCCTCCGGTGAAGAAGAGAAGAATGAACACGATCAAAGAGACCCAAGTCGTGTAGGGTTGGAAGGGTGCAGCCCACGGAAGCTCAGTATGGCGATCGATGCCTTGCTTCTTGCAACCGTAGAGGAATCGCAGGTAGACAACACAGATGCAGATCCAATTGACCAGAGTGGAAATCGAAACGAGGTCTTGCAGCCAGGTAAAGACAACGCTGGCTGAGCTGGATAGAGTCATATATCCAAGAGCCATGAAGACACCGTAAATAGAGATGGCGACGTAGGGGATTCCGAAGCGGTTGAGGGGCTTGAATACGGCAGGGGCATGGCCTTGAGTTGCCATTCCGTAGAGAATACGAGATCCACCCAGCATGTTCGAGTTACCCGAAGACCATGCCGAAGTGAGAACGACTGCGTTGATGATTGACGGCACAACTTTGATACCGGCGTCACGGGCAGCAATCACAAACGGTGACTGGGCAGCAGTGCCAGTTGAGCCGAGCAGAGCGTCATCAGTCGATGCAACGACCAGGCCGACCATGAAGATGGTGATCACGTAGAAGAGCAAGATCCGGATAAAGATCCGTCGAGCGGCCATCGGAATCGCCTGGCGAGGATTGCGAGTCTCAGCGGCTGCGACGGTGATGTTTTCAATTCCAGAATAGGCGTAGAGGGCGTTGTCAAATGTTTTCCAGAATCCCAGAAATCTTCCCAGAGCACCTGGTAGCCCTAAGTACTGCACCATAGGTCCATAAGGGGCCTTCCAGTACTCGAACCCAATGGACTTGTGACTGGGACCTCCACCACATGTAATGACCAAGGCCATGATGTTGATTCCAATCACGAGCATGATTTTCAAAATTGAAAATCCGAACTCCAGTTCTCCATATACGCGAACGAACAGCAGGGCAGTAATAAGCATCAACAGACCGAAGACTGTGATCCAAATGGCGTTGTTGATGGTGGTCCAGAACTCGATAATAACGGCGGCAGCGACAATTTCGGAGGGTATTGAGACTATGTAAGAATAGACTTGATTCCATCCATTGGCGAATGCTAGAGCCGGATCGCAGAAGATCTCTGCATATCGAATCACACCACCATTGAGAGGGGCCAAGGCACCCATTTCTCCAACACCCCAAACGACACTCGAGACTGTGAGACCAATGATGGAGTATGCAAGGAATGCACCCAGCGGGCCAGCGTTGACAATTGCTCGTCCTGAACTGAGGAAGAGACCCGTCCCAACTGTGCCAGCGAGAGCAATCATCTGAATATGGCGTTGGTGCAGACCCTGCCTGAACTCTTTGATTTCCTCCAACTGGCCAGCAGCATTCTCCACATCGTGTGATTTTGTCATTTCGGTCTCGTGGAGTTTCTTTTCGGAGGGCGTTAAGGCATTGATGCCATTGTCATTCCCCGGCGTATGAATCGTGAAAGTTGGCATACTTGACGAACAGAAACCAAGTCGAAGAAAAATCCAATACTCAATGTTTAGACCACCACGTCAATTTTGTACTTTTAGGCATGCTTCTCTTTCTGTCGGGCACAGACCCCAAACTATAACAGCTTATCGATAGCTTATTGCAAATTGGCGGGTTATCGTTGGTGGACGGAACCGGATCCATCCCGGCATGATCGATAATGAAGTTTTAGCCCCAAAACGAGCATGAAAAAACGTAAAAAAAAGCATTTCAGGCGCTGAGGGCGCGTATGGTCCTCAATTGCGGAGGCGGCCAGTGGACCCCCGGTGAGTTTCCCTTTCGGGAAATCTCGGCCCGGTCTTATCTTATCAGACCTGCAAGTCCGATCACGGGCATAAACTCTATCTTCTATAAGAAACAGCCAGAGCTTCTTGCATCGTCCACTAACCATGGCTATCTCAAACGGAATGACCGCTCCCACTGCTGGTACATCCAAGTGCCTGCCCACTCACACGCCCGGCGAATGTTTCTGGCAAACAACTCGACATGAACTCAGTGACCACCGATCGACCGAACAGCTCCCCGAACACAGTGATATCGTAATCATCGGGGCAGGATATGCAGGTGTCAGCACAGCATACCATCTTGTCCAAGATGGAGGCGCGTCCAAGTCGATCGCGATCTTGGAAGCTCGAGGTGCGTGTTCGGGGGCAACTGGCCGCAACGGTGGCCACTGCAGACCGGATTTCTATGGCCACATCCCCACATATATGGACCGCGCGGGGGATAGAGCTGGAGCAGAAATTGCCGAGTTTGAAATTGCCAACCTTCGTGCCTTGAAAAAAGTCATCGAGCAGGAAAAGATCGATTGTGATTTTACGCTTGCGCGGTCTGTCGATGTGTGGTGTAACGAGGAGTCTGCCAAGAAAGCCAAGGCCGTCTATGATAGGATAGTCGCTGCGAACTTTGAGTACATGGATGATGCAGTTTTCTATACTGGCGAACAAGTCGAAGGGGTATGTGATTTCTGCCCATAGCTCAAAAATGTCACCGCAAACTAACACCCCCCTAGATCTGCGGTGTCAAGGGCGCCAAGGCCTGTGCAAGCTTCACTGCCGGCACCATGTGGCCTTTCAAATTCATTATGCACCTTATCAAAGATCTCCTTGTAGCAGGAGTCAACTTACAAACACATACCCCGGTCACCTCTATAACCTCGGACCCACAAGGTGGCTTCATTGTGGAGACACCTAGAGGCAAGATGCATGCGGGCAATGTGATCCACGCCAATAACGCCTATGTTTCAGGACTGCTCCCAGAGTACGCTAAGAGCATCGTCCCCTGCAAGGGCATTTGCTGTCGCATCACCGTCCCCGAGGGAACCACTGCGCCCCTCCTCAATAACTCCTATATCAACCGAACGGAAGACAACACGCTTTCGTATTTCGTCCCTCGAGCAGATGGCAGCATCATCGTAGGTGGTGCTGCTAGTGTATTCCGTCCACACAAGAGCCAATGGTATGATAATGTGGACGACAGTGTCCTGATTGACTCCGCGAAAGACTACTACGACAATTATATGCAGCGCACGTATCGCGGATGGGAGGATACTGGCGCTAAGGTTGACAAGATCTGGACCGGTGTCATGGGCTACTCATATGACTCAAACCCTCATATTGGACATGTTCCTCAGAAGGATGGTCAGTTTATTCTGGCTGGTTTCAACGGTCATGGTATGCCGGTGATTTGGTTGGCGGCAAAGGAACTTGCCAAAATGGTTTCCAAGGGAGTTTCCTTTGAGGATACCTCTATGCCTCGCCTGTTCCAGACCAGCCAGTTCCGTATTAATCGTGCTCAATCTGGAAAGGAGGAAGATGGTGATATTATTGGCACTGGTAGCTTTGCTGCGACTAGGCCTTGAGATGTGAAACCGCGACCATGTAATTAATGACACACTTAGGACTATTTTCTGACTTACATTTGTCTTATCCTAGAGGATCTTGAAGTTCAGCTTATCGTTAAAGTTATGTTGAGAATCCAAAGATACTTTGAAAAAGGAATTCGCATCGTTCGTACGCCTCGTGATTGCTGATTTCAATTAACGAGATAATGCTATCTCATGAATTTATTTTTAAAGAACTAGCATGATACAGACCTGATAAAATTCAAAATGATTAATATTCCCTATGGAATCTCAACTAAAAGTGACCTATGATATACAACGTACTATTCTGAGAATTTAATCCAAACTGGATTGACTCTCAGTTACTCGAACTTCAAGTCGCCACAATCCAGAACACGATGTCATCGTCTTAACTGGAATCAAGAAAAGTACTCAAGGTCCTAAAATTAAGAGCAGCTAGCACCACTGGGAACGTTCTCGCAGCTGTAGGTCTTGCCACCGGTAACAGCAACATCGGACCAGGTCCAGTCAGAGCAAGATCCATCACCGCAGGCGATGACAATGTTGTATCCATCAGAGTCAACAGCGTCAGTTCCGGTGATGTTCTCAATGGTGAGATCAGTGATGGGGATTCCAGTGGAGGGAGTGCCACCGTCGAGGTCACCGCCATCGTAGTTCTGCTCGATGAGGATTCCGTAGCTACAAGGTATTCATTAGCTTCTGGGAATATAATCATGACAGCCTGCACAACTTACTCAGAGATTGACTCCAGGGTGATGTCCTTGTAGGTCACGCCCTTGATTGTGCCGGTATCACCTTCCGAAGCCTTGATGCGAATACCTGATTTGAAGCGTTAGTCCTGGCTCTGACTTTCATTTTGATTGATTTTCTTTACCATTAACGGAGCTCTTGACAGTGGAACCCGAGAAGGTAATAGTCTCGACGGTGTTGTCAGATCTTCCACCAACAGATCCGATGGAAAGACCGTGGCCGCCGGAGCAAATACCGTTCTCGAAAGTGATTCCCTAGAGAGAATGTTAGCTCCAGTACTAACCACCATTTTCTAGAGTTTCTTTGGGTACGTACGGTACCAGAGTTGATGGCAACGCAGTCGTCCTGGTTGTAGACGGTAGCACCAGTGATGATAACATCGCTGCTACTTCCAATATCGAAGCCATCAGTGTTGTGACCACCAGCCGAGTCACCAGCCTCGTTGTTGATGGTCATATCAGTGATGGTCAATCCATCACATCCGTTGATGCTGACAGCCTGAACAGGGGTGTTCTCGATGTAGAGATCGGTGATGGTGGACGAGGTGAGGTCGTGGGCATAGAAGAACTTGGGCTTAGTGACACCACCGTTAGATCCCTCGCCATCCCACCAGCGGGCTCCGTCTGGGTTGAGCTTAGCACCACTGGCACCCTTGATGGTGATTCCAGTGCCCTCGATCTGGAGGAGAGGGCCATCCCACTCTTCGTATCCCCAGGTGGTCTCACCCTCAAAGATGACCTATTATATGCGAATTAAAATCAAGTACAAAGTAAACATGTGTAGATAGTCAGTCTTACAGTGGTATCATCCTCGAGATCACTGAGATCGAGAGTTGTTCCGGAAGGCACAGCAACAGCCGACAGGACAATGGTTGAGCATGACTTCTGAGACTTGCTTGCACTTGCAGCACCACTGGATCCAGAGAAGGTGCAGCTGGTGGCTCTCTTAGCCAGACTGGGGGCCTCAGTAATAGCGGGCTCAGCGACTGGGGATGCGATCGCAGACACTGCCAGCGTAGCCAGCGCCAGGGAACCAAGAATTCGGGACATTGTGGTAATTGGATACTTTTCCAGAAAGTATTGCGATCTTTAGTTCTTGGATGTCTGTCCTGGTATGTGGATTTCGGTGACTTTATAGCAGATCCTTTATGACTAGTCACCGGTCTAGACTATTCCCCAGCTAATAACACGACGTGTTTGAGAATAAGCAGCTGCATCTGTTTTATCCTCCAATTGCCGGTCCCATCTCCTCTCTGTATGTGTTTTTATTGGCTGTTAATAATATAGTATGAGCTTAGGACAATTCCAAGCTTCAGGGGCGTCATATTTTAGCCTGTTCGGAGGATCTTGGTGAATAAATCAACCAGGAAGAACCAATAGGAGGAATGTCTCCGCTGGGGGTCAAACAATCAATGTTTCTTGTCTTGTGGCCAAGCAGTGCCACAATGCTTCAACATATGCGGGCGCTTCTAATTCGCTGAACTATTTACTTCCGTGAACTCCTCACTTGGCCGGACCTACTGCAGGGGTATGTTGTGCACACAGTGGCATGAAATTTTGAAGAATCTCTACATCATAACCTCAATTCGAGTGTCTTTTTTTTTACATTGCTTTCACTCTATTCTAGTACTATTCCTGTTTTTTTTTTTGTTTACGTTTGGTTGCCCATTTAAAAATCTGAGGTGGATCACAGGGATCAAGGGTAGGTATGAAAAGACCAAGAGCCCTGTCATTTTGGCGTGCATAAAGAAAAAGACCCCGGCATATATTTTTCCTTCAAGTCTTTTAGCACAGTCCTGATCATAGACTGAAATGACCACATAGTCTAGCGCCACGTTTCGACCCTAGCTAATAGCACTATTCACCCCGCATGAACGCGTCACGCAAGCCCCTGCCTCCTTAACGGTTTAGTATTCTGCCGCGTCATACGTCCACATTGATTCTAGAAAACTATACGGTAGAGTATCTAACTCGAAATCACTTAGAATCATAAACTTGTGACCCGCAAAACACGAATGTACGTTTGTCCACGGCTTGTCAATACTTCGAACCCGTAACAAGACAGCAAGAGAACTTCTCTCCTGACAAAAAGCCACAGCAGATAGCTTTATTGCCAATCGGTGAGTTAATTAACTCGCGCGAGGCATGTTGAAATGGCGCGTAACTTCAATGAGTCGTTACTTTCAAGTAGCAGACTTCAGACACGGATCTCTCGAAGCCGGATGTTCCCACGTGTGAAACAGGATCCTTTGACGGAGATTATCCGCATAGTACTTGTAGACAATCCTAGTTCATCTGATAAGTTCAATGGCTTCCTTTACTTCATACGGAAAGATTTTCTTGATTTGATGCCTGGCGTTTCAGGCCTCATTTCTCAACGGGTGTACAGTAAGTTAGATGATGCTCCTCGGAAAATTTCTTCGTCTCGGTTCAAAAATCTACAAAGCCTGCCGTGTTGAATACCTCAAGCAGGGAACTTACAGGGTCCATGTGGTTGATCTCTTACCATAAGCAAAGCCACTCGGGCGAACTCCGGCCTATCTCCCGCCAGGGGAAGGGAGTGGCACGATAGAATTCATTGCCTCTCCCAGTCTCAACTAAATTCGATCCTGGATTCAGCATTATTCTTGCTGATCCCCGCGGGCGCTTATTCAGATAGGCAAAGCGTTGAACTCAGCCCGTGGTGAATGCTCCGACAACCCTTCCGCTCCGACAATTCCTCCTCCCTCGGTTCTCGTATAGAGGTCCGTTATACGGTGTTTCGGAAATCAAGTCTTCGGGTTCGAGCTCGGTCTTCTCCTCTACAGTAAGCATAAGAGCGATCTTAACCGACCCATCAACATGAAACCGCGACAGCCCCGTAGACTACTCCAGTGTAATTAAACGCGTCGATCAATTGCAGATTCGAGAACTTACTCCATACACCGTTGTCTCACAGTTTATGGCACCTGCATACAGTAGAGGTACTGTAGACACAGGACAAGAAATCAATGCAGGCGATTCCTAGAGTAATCATCTTATCTCGCTTTGTGCATTTGACAGGTCCGCTATTTTAATTCACCGTTATTCAATATGCGTCCTATTTTTTTGACACTTTCTCTATCCACTGCTGTGGCTGCGGCCTTTGTTCACCCAGGTGCGCTGCATACTACCGAGGATTTCGAGCGTATTCGGAGCCATGTCGTTAAGGGGGATGAGCCTTGGAATACAACATGGACCCTTTTGACTTCTAGCTCCTATGCACAATCATCCTACCTCCCAACACCAAAAGAGACTGTCTACCGCGGGTACAATGGTGTCGACTCTGAGAATTATCCGTCTCTCTATCGGGATACCGCAGCCGCATACCAACTTGCGATTCGCTGGCTAGTATCCAATGATGCGAGCTATGCAGATGCTGCAGTGAACATTCTCAGCTCATGGGCCGCATCACTAACAGATATTGAAGGTACCAGTGATAAGTTTTTGGCTTCGGGGCTATACGGATATCAAATGGCCAATGCAGCTGAGCTGATGCGTGATTATTCCGGCTGGTCGAGCGACAACAAAACCCTGACAGGGACCATGTTGACCAATGTATTTGCCTCGATGAATACTCGGTTCTTGGAAGAGCACAATGGGCAGGATTATTATCACTACTATGCCAACTGGGACCTGTGCAACTTGGCATCCCTGGTCGCCATTGGGATCTTCACTGATAATCAAACAATGTTCGACTATGCTGTAGATTATGTGCGCACCGGGCCTTCCAATGGTGCTCTACCTGTGTTTTCTATCGCCAATTACACCGAGGCGGACACCGGCAAAGCTCTGGTTCAGGGTCAGGAAGCTGGTCGGGACCAGGGTCATGCTACACTGGATATGGTTCTTCTGGGTGTGGTCGCCCAACAGACGTATAACCAGGGCATCGATCTTTTTGCTGAATATGAGAACGAGATTCTGAATTCGTGGGTATACCTCTACCTGTCCTATCATGCCTTTTTCTAACTAAATTTCCCAGTGCCGAATATACCGCCAAATACAATGTCGGGTCCGATGTTCCCTACACACTGTACCAGAGCTACCAGGGAAATCAGACTGTTATCTCGAACAATTCGCGTGGAGACATTCGCCCTGGATTTGAGCTCCTCTCGGCTCATTATGGACAGTTGAAAGGACTCAACTCTTCGTGGATTGATGCCTATCGCGATATGGTGAATGCAAATTCTACGAGTGGTGTTGAGGGTGGTGGTGGAAACTATGGCCCAAACTCGGGGGGTTTCGATGGCCTTGGCTTCGGATCTCTTCTTTATCGACTTTAAAATGCGAGGCTCTGTATTTTAGGCGTGGTTGATTCCCTAGGCTTTTTTTTTCTCGGTGTTCAAATCTGTCTCCTACTGGCTGTTGGTTGTGTCATATCATTCTGTTTCCATCATGGTGTTTAGTGTATGTCTCAGGGTCCTGGCCCAGGTCTAGAGTTGACGGGTAAAGTCTTGTCTAGTAACAGGCACGGTAAATAAAGAAACTTATATCTGATGACCGTCTTTAGTCAATTCATCGCGCATGCAGGTGGCGTCTAATCCGAGAACGAGCATTTCTCCTGGAAAAAAACGAGAACCACGAGTTGGAATACCAATGACTGTAGAAAGGATGTCTGATTGTACATAATCAGGTTCGCGATTTGCAATTTTTGAACACATGCTTGATCTAAATAGGCATACGTAGAGGCTTTGGCTTACACTTGATTTTCATGAATTCAAAGTTGTGCTTGGCCTGGATGTATATATTTCGACCAACGTTATTAGCCACTGGTAAGTGAGTACACTCTTTTTTATCTACGTACAACTCCTTTTCATTAGAGCAAAGGGAATGTTTAAAACAATTATTCCCATGCCTTAGGACGCCGAGAATGACCACTTAATACACTGGAAATCTTGGAACGTACATTGGAAAAAAGTCTAGCATATTCGTTCAATCATGGTTATGAATGCTAAAATGTGAGCCCTCACAACAACCATCCGGCGGTCGTCTAGTTGGTTTATGGCGTCAGACTGTAATTGACCATTGTAATCTGAATGTCGCCGGTTCGACTCCGGCCCACCGGAATTTTTTTGGTTTCTTTTTTTTTTTCAACTTTCCAATTTCTGGCAGATTTGATTGGTAGATGCCCCACACTCATGTGCTTTTGAACCAGCGTCCTCAAGGACACACAAACACAGAGGAATGCAAGTTTCAAGTGGCTGATAGACACGGCTATTTTGACCGAACACAGCGATCCCAAGGGGGAGGTGTTATCCCTTGCAACCAGTAGCTGCGTGGATGGGATTTATTTATTTGAAACCTCAACCTCGGGGGATTTCAAAGCCATACACTAGATCTCAAATTCCAGATCCGTAGAGAGAGTATCTCCAGTGGCGAGATCGACTCTTTCTTGTGAATCGGAAATGCTAAAGGTCAAGATGTGAGGCTCCGTGAATATGCTTGAGCATGTCGTTTATATCCAGTGAGACGAACAGTGCGCCAGCTTGAGCTACACCAAGAGCAGGGATGGCACAGACTCCAAGGACTAACTGGGGGCCACTTTGGTTTATCCCAAGGCGTTAACACATTGGCTCTTCTCACCACCCTACTGAGCCAGAACTGGCTCATTATTCCCTCACACATATTCAAAGCCGACCAAAGCACCATCTGTATCGTGATCATGGCTGAAAATCGCAATTGGGAGCAGTGCGAGGCACGAGAGGGCATTGTCGAAAGACCCGATGGAGCGGGGTTGTTCGTAGTCACCAGAGGGGCACCAAGACAGTCCAAACAGCCAGTCGTCGTCTTCGAGCCTGGACTTGGAGTCAGTGGCTCTTGCTGGGCAGCAGTGCAACGCATGCTAGATCCTCGCATCCGAAGCTACGCCTATGATCGTGCCGGACATGGACAAAGCCCAGAGTCTCAAACACCGCGCAGTGCAGCAAACATGGCCGTCGAACTTCTCAACACCCTCAAAGCTGCGGAGGTTAACGCCCCATACATCCTGGTCGCCCACTCCTATGGAGGTATCATCATGCGTGAGTTCTTAGCTGCCGCGGGCTCAGATGCGATAGCTGGAATGGTCTTGGTCGATGCCAATCAGGAAAATACACACCCGAAGCTTCAAATCCCGTTTCCTTCCATCCAAGCACTATGTGGTGAGCGAAACTATTTTGACATCATTGGGCTTCTGCAAGAGAATGCCCTCACGCCGGAGGAGATGGGTCGGATCGGAACGGACGCAGGACTCCCATTGACGGCGCGTGCGTCTCAGCAAGAAGGAGCGTTCTTGCTTGAGAGCTCTGCTGCTTTAGGAGAAAAGGGCCAGTTTGATGCATGCCCGCTGGGAACACGCCCTGTCACCGTGATTCGGGGGGAGTCACGTCGCGACTTTGATCGCCTGCTGGTGGCAGCCAAAGAAAGTGGCAGTGGCAGTCAAGAGGATTTGGATCAAATGGTGGACTTCCTTACCAATCGGTTTGACGTTTTCGATCGGGATTTGCAGAGGCAGCAGATGCGCTTGTCGGAGAACAGCCGGTTTGTTCAGTCCACCAACAGTGGACACGCAGTGATGGCTACCGAGCCAAAGTTGGTCGCTAATGAGATTCTGGCAATCTGGGAAGCGAGCGTTTGAGTACAGATCACTATAGGATCTGTTCACTTTTTAAGGTTGGAGGCGGGGGGCAGGGGGGTGCTTTGGCACGAACAAGAGCTTGTCGGTCGATATGGTGTGTGTTCACTAACAGCATCCGAACAAGCGAAGCAGTACACCACGAAGCTAGGAAGATCCGCAGCAAGGGGAACCTCGGAAAAAGGAACGTGCAAGGTGGAAGCTTCTGTCAGATATTTTAAGTCAATCGAGGCGGTCGCGTAGACAATAGCATTTTTTTGGATTCGAATGTGATTTATCCCACTCATGTGTTTGGAATCCAACATCCTTCAGCAATCGTATCGTATCGCTAAAGATGTCAGATTTTACGGAGGTTTCCCAGGCATGAGGCCCGCATTCCAAACAACATGACGGCAGCTGAATAATTGACTCCGGTCTGGTATGTTGGTTTCCACGTTGATATTTGTTGACAACAGATCCCTCTTTTGCAAGGCGTTGATCAATTCTTCTTTTCTCCACTCTTGATCTTCATCAAAATGCATATTCCCACCCTTGCTCTGGTGTCTCTTTTACTAGGTGCAGCGAAAGCGAGAAATCAAGATGGATCACCGACACGATACGATTTTGTTATTGTTGGCGGCGGCACAAGTGGACTGGTTGTTGCGAACAGATTATCTGAGATGACAGGCTACACGGTGGCGGTTATCGAAGCTGGTGATTCCGTCCTGAATAATGCTAATGTTACTGACGTGTCTGGTTACGGTAGGAGCTTCGGAACGAATATCGACTGGGCCTATGTGACCGAGAACCAGACATACGCCGGCGGCAAGAAGCAAATTATGCGGGCTGGGAAAGCGATTGGTGGAACAAGTGTTATTAACGGTACGTGATGGTCCTCTTCCGGGGAATAGCATCATCAATTCATACTGATGTATACATGGTTGTCCAGGAATGTCGTATACCCGAGCCGAAACAGTACAAATCGATTTATGGGAAAAGGTTGGAAATAAGGGTTGGAATTGGAATTCTCTTTTCCCATACTACAAGAAATCAGAAGGTTTCCAGGTGCCGACTCCAGACCAAGTCGCTGCTGGCGCCGACTATTACATCAGTTATCATGGGGAGAAAGGCCCATTGAAAGTTGGTTGGCCCAGGATGATGACCAACGGGAGCGTGCTACCCGTACTCGATGAAACATTATCACAGCTGGGTGTTCCTTACAACCGCGACATCAATGGGGGCAATATGGTGGGAGTCACATCTCATCCCAATACCGTCGACAGTGAGGCCAACATCCGGGAAGATGCAGCTCGAGCTTATTTCTGGCCGTTTGAAAACCGCTCCAACCTCAAGATTATTACCAATACCCGAGCAAACAAAATAATCTGGGGTGAGGACTCGGATGGCCTGGCTGTTGCGACTGGAGTAGTCGTTACGGGTCCCCATGGCGATGAAACGATATATGCTTCCAAGGAGGTCATCCTCTCCGCTGGCTCTTTGAAATCCTCGGCATTGCTGGAGTTGTCAGGCATCGGAAATCCGGATATCCTCACAAAATATGACATTCCTATCAAGGTCAACATCTCCACAGTTGGCGAGAACCTGCAAGATCAAACAAACAATGGTCTTTCATACGCCGGCAGGGAATTTTGGATTGGTGGACCAACCTTCTCTGCGCTCCCTTCAGCTGAACAAATATACGGAGGTCGTGTTTCTGGACTCGCCTCATCGATCAAGGACAGCCTTGAAGACTACGCAAAGGCTGTCGCTAACTCGTCAAATGGTGCGGTTCAAGAAGAGAATGTCTTGGAAGCATTCCAACTTCAGTACGACCTGATCTTCAAATCACGAGTTCCATACGCAGAGATAGTTTTTCTTCCCATTGGACACAGATTCTCGGCTGAATACTGGCCGCTCCTTCCTTTCTCCAGAGGGAGTGTCCATATTCAGTCTGCAGACAGCTCTCAGCCACCTGCCATCAACCCAAACTATTTCATGTTTGAGCAGGATCTGGATGTCCAAGCCAATGTCGCCAAGTTCATTCGCAAGGCCTTTGAAACCGACCCCCTCAGTGATCTTGTCGCCGATGAGTTCTCTCCAGGATTAGAGCGTGTTCCTTCGAATGCATCCGACCCTACATGGCGTGACTGGGCCAAGTCAACTTGTAAGCATCCATTCATTCCATGACAGACAGGCTCATCGAGTAGACAATAAACTAACACTTCTTCAGATCGATCAAACTTCCACCCTGTCGGCACAGCTAGCATGCTTCCAAGAGACAAAGGAGGAGTGGTCAATTCTGAGCTCAAAGTCTACGGGACCAGGAACGTCCGTGTCATTGATGCTTCCGTTTTACCATTCCAAATTTGTGGCCACTTGACAAGCACCCTCTACGCTGTTGCTGAAATGGCGTCGGATCTGATCAAGAGGAGATACATCTTCTAGCGAGGCTCATGGCTCAAAATTTACACGAGGAAATGACTGGGATATGCGAGGGGAGATTCCCCTGGTGTATGGTGTATATATGGACGGTTCCGGGATATACGCATGCTATGGTTGTTATGAGGTACGACTCGAGAAGGAAGGAATTTCACGGCAGCATTTACGACTTTGTACTAGATTTTTTGTTGATGTGGACTCAATCAAATAAGTTTCATACCAACTGTTCTCATGTCAGTAACCTTAATGAACTGGGTCGAGATACCTGTTTCTAAATCTATTCACGAATAATTTTGATATCCACTTCGACTCTTCTCCACCTGAATATGTACTGCGATATACAGCAGAGTAATTCTAGGACGCTGATTCTTGTTCCCGAGGGGTTTCGGGTATGTAACTACCGATTTTGTCGTGAGAGAGTTTGTGGCTAATGCCATTGACGCGGCAGTGCTGAGCGAGTTTGAGAGCAAGATCTAGAAGATGACCATGCCTAGGATCACGGCGACGGAGACTACCATCACCAACTGAGATTCCCTAGACTAGACACACTGTATATATTGAAGCCTAAATAGCCATCAAATCTTTTGCAGCCAAAAGATTAGGGTCCCGCAGTGAAGAGGGCCGCAAGGACCGAACGTTCTGGGGCCGGGCTTACTAAAAATGAACCCCCCCCCCGGGAGGCCACTAGCCGCTTGGCTGCGCATGGATTGAATCCAGTCTTAATAGATTCTGGTAAAAAGAACGCTTAAAATGGCGTCGAAGGGAGCCGTTTTCAGCGCTCATTTTACCGTCACCTAGCGTTGTGGTGTAAATCAGCCTTCCTTTCGAGCGGACTAAGAGGCTTCGGGACCTTGTTTCCGGAGTATGTCCCATTTATAATTGATCTATACCCGTCTCTTTCTGGGTATTGGGACTTGATCAACACTTAAAAATCTTCAGTCGCACATTGTCAGACAATCTGTACTCGCCACTTGTTAAGCGAACAGACCAAGTTTAGCCAGAATGTCTAACCTTCCCACAGTCCGCTGGGGTATCATCAGTAAGTCTCCATCTAGTCGACACCAGAGCCAAATATATTCTCTTTTGGGTTAGTCGCAATAATTATAGCTTGGAAACTAACAGATTTATCAAGCGACCGGCTTGATTGCCTCGTGGTTCGTTGAGGACCTCCTTCTCTCAAGAGAAGATGCTAAAGTGGAACACGTCGTCCAAGCCATCGGCACATCCAACGCCGAAAGAGGACAGGAATTTGTGAAAACACACTGTCAAGGACAAATTCCACGGGTATATAGTACATACGAGGAAGTTTACAATGATCCCACTGTGGACATTGTCTACATTGGAACCCCCCACGGATTTCATTTCCGGGATTGTCTGCAAGCCATTTCCGCGGGCAAGAACGTTTTGTGTGAGAAATCATTCACATTGAATGCGAAGGAGTCGAGAGAGATCTTTGCAGCCGCCCGCGAAAAGAATGTCTATGTCGCCGAAGCCATGTGGCTCCGTCATCGACCAATTTTCACGGAGCTTCAGCGACTGCTCCACGAAGAAAAGATCATTGGAAATGTCTTCCGCGTATTTTCGGACTTTGCCTCGGGTGTGGACATTGCCTCGCTTCCTAGCACCTCCCGATATCGTGATCTCGCCCTCGGTGCGGGGTCTTTGTTGGATATTGGTGTCTATTCGCTGACCTGGGCGAGGATGGCTCTGGGGAGTACCCCTGGTCAATCGGAACTGCCACGAATCTTGGCTGCTCAGACTCATGAAGAAGGCATTGAAGTTACCACCAGTACCATCTTGCAGTATAATTCAACGGGACGGCAGGGTATTGTTACTTCGACGACCAAAGCCCTTGGTGCCCCGGGTGAAGTCTTTGCGGTTGTGCATGGCACCCATGGATATGTTGAGATCGAGGGTAGAACGCCTTCTGCCCCGGAATCTTTCACTGTATGGTCTAAGCAAGAGGGCAATCCGGATCGTGCCTTTTTCCCGAGGGAGGCTTGTCACGGGAAGAAGTATGAGTTTGCAACCGTGGGCCGGGGCTTTGTTTACGAAGCGGAAAACACCGCTCTGGACATTCTTGAAGGGCGCAAAGAGAGCCGAGTCATGCCATGGGCGGAGACTCTCTATATGATGGATATTATGGACGAGATCCGACGCCAGGGCAACACCGTATACCCGCGGGAATGAGATGTGATGTAGATGGGGGTTTTTAGGTTATGGAATGGATATACCAGCCAGTTGAACATAATAGAACATCGTATACCAGTACAACAAAGCATGAAATGGATAGAATGCATAGAATGTATGAAACAACTCAACATCGCCAAAGCCATCGACGTCAACCCCTAGAAGCGACGCCCAGAATGGAAAGTCCAGGCGTCGATCGTTCCTCGGTCAACTCTGGGGAAAGCGGGGAAAATCAACCATTCCTTCTTCATCTCTTCTTCTCCAGATCTACAACTGTCGATCGACTTGGGATTACACTTTGTTGAACGGTTAGCGCCCGAGACCATGGTGGTGAAGGCCTGCGACCGCTGCCGCTCGAGTAAGGAGAAATGCGCCATTGCGACTGATAACCCGGCCTGCACCAGATGCATTCGCCTGAAGTTACCATGCTCTATTTTGCGTCGCAACAAGCGCGTGAGCCGTCGCCTCTCTCCAAAGACTCCGGTGAGTGACACGCAGGTCGCCGTCTCCAGCGTCGAGCTCGTGGCAACCAACAACCAGGCCTCATACACCGTGTCGAGTCGACGACCGGCGTCGTCAGCTTCGACCTCACCAAGAGATCGGACGGAATCATCATGGACACCCGAATGTACAGGGCCTGTGGTGATAGCACCGGAAAAATTGCTCGCCTCAACCCTCAATCTCCAAACCACATCAGACGCGTTGCGCACCGTGCTAGATGTGGAACAATTCTCCGTCATACATTTACCTTTTATGCTGGGCGCCAGCTTCATTCCCGAGTCTCAAAAGACCGTCTACGCCATCTTATGTCTTTCGGCCCCCACTCTGACAGATGGCTACTTGGCATTTCTGGGCCTGATGACCAGCTACCAGAAATCACTTGTCATGCGTCGCAGCGAGCCCGATATGTTCAAAGCAGCAATGGGCTTGCAACGATTGCGAAGTGTAAAGATCTCCCACGATTATGATGCGGCTTGTGCGCTTTTTCTGGGCCAGACCATGTATTTGTTCAACGTGCTTACCGCACCATATTCCAATACTGCCCATTCAATTGTCCGGAGCGCGCTCATGTCCACGAAAAAATGGGTCCCGCGGCTATTACAATTTCCTATCATGGACACAGTAACCATGACACCCATTCTGATTGACACGGTGGAATGCCTTGTTCATCGTGAAATCCCTATTATACGGCTCCATCCTCAACAGCGCGTCATTGTCGACCGATATGCCGGCCTGTGTGCGACTCTTCTGCCTCACCTCTATGACATCTGCGAATGCAGCCACACGATGAAGAGGAATGTGTTTGAGGCTGGTTCCGAATCACATCCTGCTATCTATGATCGACTGGATAAAATTGAGGAGATAGTTCAATATTGGCGGCCTAAAACACCCGCTCATATTTTCGAGAATTACGGCCAGCATGCCGTTCTTGCAATGGTGACACAGGCGAATGTTTATCGCTTGGCGGCTCTCTTGCTCATTCACCGTTTGCGGCATCCTCTCGGTGTCGAAGATGCAGGAGCGCAAAAGCTGGCAAATAATATTTTTGCCGAGTTGGCATTCTTTGCTAAATCGTCGGTTAAGGAGACTACCGCTTTACCGGTAGTGTTTCCGTTGACGATGGCCATGTTTGAGATCAAAGGTCCCGGAGAAGATCTCTTGGAACGATTGGCCTCGTTCACAGTTCAAAGTACAAGTGCTTCTCGGCTTCAGGAATTCGTGAGGCTGGTCCGGTCTTCGCGGGAATCTGGATTTGAGGGCACTTTGTTCGATTTGGTGGAGTCACATCTCCATGTTGCGATGCCACCTTAACTCCATACATAACAAAAAAATGTAATGCATTTCGTGTATCATTCTGCAACGTCTTCAATGCATAATGCCAAAATATCAATTTGCTCTCGCTTTCCCTGCGGAGTCGTTATCATGCGTTGTGGATACAAGCCGGCGGGTCGGGCCGATCATGATTTGACTCACCATGGCTCACATCCGGTCATCAGTATCGTGATGGGCGAATCTGCTCTACAAAAGACAACATTATGCCGTATTTTGTGAGATTCAAATTACGACATGCTTGCATCTCACAGAACCTCAATTATCTCTACTTCGACCTCTATCTCTACTATGGAAAATCTTCTCCCATCTGGGATGCACATCATCCCCCCTGATCTTCTAGATCTACGTCCGGACGCCAGCATCGACTTTGATCTACTTCATCCCCAGCCAGTTAATGGAGTCAAAAACATATGGTTTTTCTGGCATTCAGGATACGCAAACATGCACCCGTACACGCAGCGCACAGTGCGCGCATGGTACCGCCGATTCACAAAACAAGGATGGACGGTACGGGTGATAGATCGGCAACCGCAGTCAAAAAGCAATATCGCCGAGTTCTTGGATGTGGCCGACCCGGCCATTTTCCCACGCGCTTTCACAGAGGAGACCATCGCTGGCCCTTACGCGCTGCAGCATACTTCAGATCTTGTTCGCTGGCCCCTGCTCCTGCGGTATGGAGGCGTCTACGCGGATGTGGGTATGATGCAATTTGGTGATCTGGATACACTGTGGAATGAAACAATCGCAAATCCTGACTCCCCTTACGAGGTTCTATCTTATACCCCTAGTGATCAGAACCATTACAGCCTTTGTAATTATTTCCTCGCTGCATTGCCAAACAATGCACTCTTCCACCGCTGTCATCGTCTGCTTCTTGCTCTTTGGGGCACAGATGGCGGTAAGACAAGCACAGACGGGATGTACGCAAGCCCGTTGCTTCAAGGTGTTCCTCTGATGGGTGGGGAGTTTACTATCACCGAAAATGATGGAAGTTTCATTGGCCCCGTCGAGACCAGTCGCCTGTTGACCGACTATATTATTCAAGGTCAGGTGGCCACCGCAGTGATGGGACTGGTCGACACCGAAGAGGGCTGGGATGGTCCAGCCTATTGTGTAGCCCATTTCTATGCAATCGATTTCATGGAAGGGTCACAGCTGATCAACGAATTGACTGCCTGGAACGGGCAGGAGGCATTCGATTTGTTGTCTCTCAACATGCCGCTGGAGGGGGAAACCGAATCAGACAAGCAAAAACAGGCTCGTGAGATCGTCGAGGCATGTTTGTCTCGCAGCTTTGGATTCAAACTTGCCCATGGCTTCATTCTGCGTGTCAACAAGGTTACTCTCGGCTCGCTGTGGCGGGACAATCTAGGGTCCGATATCAAATCTGGCACGTATGCGGCTTGGCTTCGACATGGGGCTGCCTACTGGAATCAAAACAGCGTTCCCAGCCGGGTGGCGCTTCCTTTGATTCGTCCTACCAAGGTTGGGAGGCTACTTGCACCACTAAACTAAACTTCTATGCTACCTGCCCTACTGGCTCCTTAGTTAGAACATCTACCTGGTTCTACAAAAGGCCAAACTACCACTTGCCCCTTCCCTTTTTCAACGGTGTAGTCGCGCGGTTTCGGTGATTCTTACCCGGCGAGAGCGTACTTTTGACCCCATTGTTACTCTATATATTCTCCTTTAATAGTAAAGCAAGTACATACAACCACAGGGTGTGGAGAACAGGGTTTCCCGTCCGCTCAGCCGTACTTAAGCCCCTAGATTCTGCACGGTCAATAATCAATGCGCCTTTAGCACCTAAGCAGCCACTAGGGTGAGTGTAGGTGATATAGGTGAGAAGTCCATGGGTAGAAGCTGGAATGTTACCATTAGTCCTTATGAAATTTTCGATGGCGTAGAGAGGAGCGTATTCACAGACAGATGGTTTATAGAACATAGCAGCATCGCCATAGGAGGGAGCATACCTAAGGTATAGAGGTACCTGAAGTACGTACTGGGGTTTAATAAGTCTGGTATGAATGGACCGCCGCTGCCTTTCATCCTTCTCTTCCTACTCCTCCTCCTCCCAACCCCCAGCAGACCGACCAACTTGACAGAAGATGGCTCTTATCATCCCAGACTGGCTGCGAGTGTGCGTCCTAACGACCCTCTCTATCTCAGACAAGAGACTGACTCCGATATCAGAATCCTCATCCTGTTCAGCGGGGCCTCCTACCTGCCCCAACTGCATCGCCTCTGGGTGCGCGGGAACTGCGAGGGCATGTCGCTCGGCTATCTTCTGTTCAGCCTCATCAGCGCGACCGAACAATTCACCATCGGGTTCTTCTTCATGGTGAACAACACGGGCGGATCGGATTTCTTCGTCGAAACTCCGCTGACGACCGGCGACTGGCTGAACCTAGCCCAGCTCACCCTGGTTTGGCTTTTACAACTCCTCCTGTGAGTCTCTCAGGCGTCCGTATTAGAATCGCATCGATAAAATTTCTGACATGTCCAGCTTCATCCTGTGCCTTTGGCTTCCCTCTTATAATGGCATAGGTCACAAACTGGGGGCGCTGACGGTGTACATCTTCTTTACCCTCATCTCGATCGTGCCTCTTTTCATTGACGCTCTCGACCACGACATCTTTGGTCCCCGCGGCAGCTCTGACCGCAATTGGGCCGAAGCCCTCTACAGCGGCGGGCACCTGCTGTTCCTGAACCCGATTGTCACGATTGTGGCGATCGGCGCGTTTTTCTACCAAGCGCGGGCTATTCGTGCCCCGCCCATCGGGGATCTGCAAGCCGTCAGTATCGAGGGGCTCCTGACCCAGGGTGTCGTGTTTGCCGTGGTGGCGATCTCGTGGACGATGCGGGTGAAGTTCCTAGACCTGTCGCTTGGGGATATCATTGCGCACGGGGGATTGTTTAGCTGGTACGAGCTGGTCGGATGGGCCGCGGTCGATAATGCGGTGTTTGCTATAGTGCAGATCTCGCTGTTCTGTCTTGCGCGGAAATACGGAGGGGTGAAGATGAATGATGCCGAGAGGGAGCCTCTCTTGGGGGCTGCGCGCGACTAGGACTGCCGCATTGTTTACTGTCTAGCAGGAACTACAAGAACATGAACCAAAGTTCGTTGTCCGGCGGGGATGACCAAGATGGAAACTTCTCATTTCGAATCAGCTAAGGTGAATTCGGCGAGATTCGACGCCGGAACGACCAGCCGCGGTCTTCCCTCATTATCGGCCGGGTCAACCACCCGTCCATTTAGATGACAGGGTAGCGTCACCCTGGTGTTGGCATGGTCCTCCTTCCCGCCCCAAGCCCACCAGTCGACAGTCCCACCATTGTACCGCACGCAGAAGGTCTCGCCTACGTGCGCATCGCGGGGAATACTCGTCCAGCTCTGTCCCTGGACATGCCGCGAAAATGTCCACAATCCCCCCGGTCGGAGGGAAGTAAAATCTTTGTGCGCGGTGACGTTGATGAGCACGTCCGGATCATCGTAGATAGCGTATCCGTCTATGGGCGACTCGGTGTCGATAAATTCAAGATCGGTGCCTTTGCGCCGATAGAGGCAAAAATCGTCTTTCAAAATCCAGGTATGAAATATGATGGCCTTGGCCTCCGATGAGATGGGGCGGTGGTAGTGGACCTTTCCAGTGATCTGGAATGGACCCTGACGATCGATCGTGGGAGGACATTGCAGTTCCACGCTGAGAATTGGGGCTCCAGGCCTACAGCCCCCTCTGGTTAGATCTCACCACAAGTGAAACATGCCAGAAAGTGAGAGAACATACACACAATCTCCGCCTCCAACAGGCTCTGGAGACACCTTGGGCGCCGGAAAAGAGGGCACACTGTCCACCGAGAGGAGAGTCCGCGCTCCTCCTGGTAATACGACGAGATCCCTTCCAGACTCTAAACAAGGCCTCAGCTCCTCCTCGAGATGCTGCTTTATCGTACCCCATTCCCACAGCCCAATCGTTCCCCCCGGCCAAAGCAGTTCATATGTCGTTCCCGGCCGGAGCTGCCGTTCCCAATGATCAGGCAAGCTAGTCCGAAAGGACACCGAACCTCCGGTCTTCAACTCCCAGAGTCCCGAAGTCCATGGGGAAATCTGGACCGAACTGGATTGGACCAGGGCCGGGTTGTATACAGGATCTGGTGCGATCTCGACCCTCTGCAGCGTGATCCTCTCATCAGCAGATCGGACGTGGCAGAGCAGGATAAATCCACCAGGCACGAACCCATCCCCAACGGGGCTCCACTTGAATAGACACGATCTTCTATCAGAGTCCCTTTGAGTCGGAAGTCGCCGGATGGTGCAGAGGATGCGTGGAGCGTTGTGGATATCCAGCTGCAGACAAGGGGTATCTAGCCTGGCGATGGTTAATTCGCAAAACGCTCATTTTTGGGATTTTTGATCGAAAGGAATCCAACGTCGGGAAAACTCACGACCGGTTGGCCCCAGTAATTGTAACATAGGGGCAGATTTGGTCGTCCATACTGTGGGACGTGGAGGAATCTGTCTCCTAGCGTAGGAGGGTAATGACAATGACAGATTCTGAGCCGGATAAGACGGAGTACATCTACTTTATACAGTACATAGACTGCCTGGAGAGATGGCTGAAAAATGAAGATCAGGAGCATCAGCACTATATAGGCTTCTCTATCCGTAGGTACGCTACTACTATAGGCCTACCGCATATAGGCTAAATCCACCTTCGCTTATTTTATGGTATTTTCCTCTATTCAAATATCGGTTTCCAATACTAACATAACAATTCCTCCGGGTAGCATTAAGTTAAGCCTGGGAGGGGGTATATAATAAGTAAGAGTTTCGGGTACCTTACAATAATGTATGTAAGTAACACAGCCGTCCTAGTATTTAAATAATCTGTTCTTAGAAAATTATTTTTACACGGTTATCTATATACTGAAATGGGAACGGCGCGAGAGCAGTCTGGTCAAAATAGACGGGTCGACAAATGGCGACAAAAACCTAACAATAGGTTAGGTTAGAGAGCTCTAGACAAATGACGCCTACTAGGGATAACTAGATACTATATTAAGGAGTAGAATGATCATAAATCGTGAATCAGAAAATAAGTGGCATTGTTGTATCTATCTGCTCTTCTCTACAGTCGTAGATTGCCTATATCACTTACTTCCTCGAGAAAGTAGTGCCTGAGGCACTAATAATATATGTCACGTGGTTTCACCACTACACCACCTAATTCTAAATTATTATACAATTAATCGAAATCCTAGTACCCGTATATACCGTCGTTTAAATAAGAGTTTAGGGTTAAGATCTAACAGGGAAAAAAGGCAAGGGTTCAGGTACAATGGGGTTATGGATTGTTCCTAATTTATGTGTATAGTCAGACTAATCTATACAGATCAGTAGTAAAATTTTGACCACGAGATTAATTGAAAGCAAGTGAAGACTATCACTAAAGGATAACAATCATTTTGATGGACTATTTTAGGGCCACCTCACTTAGTCCTCTTATTTCTTCACTTATTATAATCTCTTCGAAGTGATCATAGTGTCAATAAGCGCGCCTATGGCTGCGTTTCAGGTGTCTTTTCAGATGACCATTGACGGTGCTCTATCATGTAGGAAGTTGTTAGCAGTTGTACCTCCAAGACATTGACGTCACTTGGCCAAACTTGCTTGTCTTTCATCACAGCAATTCTTGGGTTCAATATAAGAGAAATAGGCCACTCACCGGACTAGCAGAAGGGGAATTTGTGTCCGCGGAATGTAGATGATGGGAGAGAGTCGGTGATGGTACGGCAGGAACAAATGACTGGATATCAATTCCACAGCCTCCGTAGATAAAATTCGGGTTCGATGTAGTAGTCACAGCTGAGTCACGAAACAGCTCGCAACGACCACCCTTGTTAAACAACCAAGCTCTACACCCGCTCAGGATCTGGCATTTCGAAGCACAGGCCGTGGTATCAGTGATGTTGTAGCTGAAAGTCATCGGCGCACTGCTGAAAAAGGCGATGGTACCGTGAGACGTCGAGTCATGACAGCGGTCATCGACAACATTAGCAGCTGTGCTGGCCAGCAATGCTAGAAAAGAAGCAATGAAGAGGCGCATAATGTCTCTCTCTTGTTGTTTTCACTTCTATGCAAGGTCAGGCAGAAAATTAGAAAGAAAGGGGCTCTCAAGCATACTCTGTACAGGAATTGGGATAGGAATTGATCGGACAGTGGCGATGATCAATTTCAAAGAAAAAAAAATAGAATAATTATATTACTGAAAGGATTGCATTCGGGAAATTTTGCAGTCTTCTATCCAATTGTCACAGTCCGCAAGAGGTGGTAATACCTTCGTTTTGGTACTGAAATTACCCTAATTGTCTCATCTAAGACATCTGAGTGTGCTAAACTCGCTCTAATCCTCTCCTTGTAACGGGAAAAGCGGGAACATCATGTACAAAAAAATCTCTACAGGTACTATTGACAGTCCGGTGTTTCTGAGCCACTGTTACGCACAATTGAAGCTTTAGAAGTATGCATGTAATCTTGGCATTCCGATCAATGTTTTTTTCCGATTAATTTGTATTTTGCCAAAAAGTGAAATACGCAGGAAACCCAGGACGCATTAGTATAAAAATTAAAATATAAGAGACCTCATTTTTCATTTCTCCCTACTGATTCATCTCTTCTGGTTCAATTTACTGTTGATGCTGTTGGTCTCTTTCGACATTGTTCTGTGAACAAATCAGATAAAATGCGTTTATCAGTTGTTCTCATGGGCCTTTTCGCCTCAATACAAACAGTCCAGTGCGGCAAGCTCGCTAATCCCTATGAGATGCTGTTCCTCTACTATGCCTATCAAATTGACGAGGCGGCCAAAGCTTCAGCAGTGGCTTCCGGCGTCGATTGGGACGAAATCATATCACCCGCATGCCAGGGCAAAGACTGCACATTCGGGACATTTGTGAAGTCCACCTTGACCAAGAAGGGCGCCAAAGCTCTCACGCCCACTGCACTTGGCGACAGCCGCTCGCCTGAACTTTACGAAACGGCGCAAGACATGGTCAAAAACTGGAAATATGACTTTCACACCCTGGTTCTCGACAAAGTTATCTCCGGGGCGAAAAACAACATGCGCGAGATGATTGCAGTAGCCACTCTTCAGGTCCAGGGCGCTCGAGGCGTGAAGCCATCCAGTCCTCTGGTAGAGAAAGCATGGACCGCTCTACGCTACGCCCAGGCAGAGCGGCTGACTGACATGATTCAAAATGTTTATGCTAAGAATTTGAAAGGATTCAAAGCCGTAGCCTTCAAGGCACAATACCCTGATATCAAACTGGAATCTACGAAACGAGTCCTCGGCCAAGATACGACTGCCGCCGTAACTCGAGACATCATGTTCACAGATCTTGACTACGTCAAGATGGCCGGAAATTATAAAGGAACAGATGCTGCAAAGCTTGAGGAGTATCAAACGACGCTCAAAGATTATCTGGCTTGGGCTGAAGGCCCAATGGACACTGTTTCCGGTTTGAAATCACACAATGCCCATGCAAGATTGTATGGCGAATTTTCAACTTTTTTGTCGACGGGGTGCGGTTTGCAATTGGAATAGAAAAAAAAATCAAATATTGTTTGTCATTTGATAGTCATTCGCTTAGATTATTGCAAATTTAAATCGCAATGACTTTCATAATCTAGCGACATCCCCAAACCTGCCTAGAGACTATTTCCAGGGGCCTTTTCAACGAGCTTGTCTATTGCACTTGTATTTACGACCCAAGAATTGAATTCTTCCATATAATTACCCCACTCGCCTTAGCGTAGATTGTGGAATCCACCCTTAGGGCCTTGAGATGAATATTTTCGAAAGGATCTTTCCCCTAACCGATGGCTGATAAAATTTCGAAGGTTTTCGAACACTGACTGGGGCGAAACTTGAGCTAATCACTGAGCTAAGAAAAGTTTTCACCGGATTGGTAGCACTAGTTTCGGACACAGGATCGAGTACGGATCAAGTACGCTAAGCTAGGGCATTTTTACAGGGTCTAAAGATCTTGGCACACCCAACAGCATTAGCACACTCGTAATATATTCTTTGGATTAGATTCATCTCCGATGCCAAGAATATCAAGTGGTATTAAAAAATTTGCACTGGCCCCAAACGTTCAAATTACGACGGGGAAGGCGGAAAAAGTTGAAAGCGATGGTCAAAACGGACGAGACCTTTCTGCCTGAGGAACAAGGTGACATTGTACACATCAGATGAGACATCCAGAGTAGCTTCTTTTCCATCTCTCCTTTCTCCAGACTTTTACTTACCAGAGCCCAGAAATGGATACCAAAATGGACAATTCTGGTGACTTTCTCCTTCAGGTGCCTGGGTTCAACGCCATACCTGTGGATTATGAGCTAGACGTCAATGAGTGCTTTGCCCATGGGGCAACCGATCATCGCGCTCTGCGTCTCACGAAGACTGAAATCTTGATGTTGCGTCTGATGGAACATGTCACCGATAAGAAAAACTGGGAACACGACATTTTCGATCAAAAAGTTGTCGCTCAATGGTACACGGACGCCGCATTAGACTCGAATATTGGAAGCGACTTGAATTACGAATGGGACATCAATTTCGACATAGACCTGATCTCGAATATGACATGGAACTGGTGCATTCAGGAGCTACGTGATAAAGCCCTCATGTTCACACAGAAGGGTTATATTCTCACCTTCAATGCCGATTCTGGCGTCTGCAAATCCGACCTGATGGTTACAAGCGACTTACAAAAAATGTTCCAAGACTCGTTTGATCAATTGTTTAATCAAGATTTGAGACATTCCGACGAATCAACGATAGACCTGGTCGACCCGTCGCTTTTCATGTTGGCCTATGGTCAGACAGCTGTTCTCAGTCAAGGTGGCCGTGTCGATATAACCAAAGAAAGTATCTCAGTCCCAACAACGGGCCTCAATGTCCATGTCCCGCCAAATCCAGAGACCTTCCAAGAGATTGACGACCCATCGCCTTGGTCAGAAAAGTATCAGTGGCTGCCTTGTGAAGTCAAGTTTCTAAGTCACGAGGGCACAGACGTACGAATCACCTCCTACATCAACAATTTGGACCCTCAACATAGTCAAGCCTATGCTGCAATTGAAAAGCTCATTGGTTTGAGCTTAAAGCCATGGAATGATGTTCTTAAGAAGGGGACGTTGAGCAGATACCCGCTACGTATCAAAACATTCGGATTTGAAGCTATCGATCCCGACAAGATATGGGGTACATTTCAACCTAGAAACTGGAAAAAGAAGTCGCTAAGTCAAACTTGGACACAAGATACGTGGGCAGATTATTGCATGAAGGCAAAGGAGTACCTGGCCTTGCCGGAGCTTGACCAGAAATACCGTGTCCGACACCAGGAGCCAGATGAACCTGAAGAACCAGACGACATACTTGGCTCTGTTCAACCATGGATATGTGAAGACTGGAAATGGGAGGATTTCTGGGTGAAACCAGTTGAATGGAAGTGGGAACGACTCAATACATTCAAGTACCCAGAGGCTGGGATTTCCTACACTTACGAGGACTGGAAGAAAGGGAAAACGACTAAGCCTGTTATCGGCAAAAGGAAAGACTGCAGTAGCTGTTTGGACGTCGACCATGTGTACCAGTCTATCTCGTTACAAGATGATTTCCGCGAGAAGGGATTACAGGTGATTATTCGTGTTTCTAGCATCGATCTCACACCTGCGAAACCATCATTCGAGGGGGACAAGGATTTTCATGTGGAAGGTCTCCTCAACGAGCATATTGTCGCCGTAGCGAGATACTACTACGATGTTGAGAATATTTCCGACGCACGCATTTCCTTCCAGCAAAAAGATGATCTCGATCCATACGAGTGCAGGGTTGGTCCGGATGCTATGCACAAGATATTTGGACTCCCACCATTTGACAGAAATGAATACGGCCCAGAAAAGCTTCAGATCCTTGGCTCGGTGGCCACACAGCATGGTCGATTTCTTGCCTGGTCTAACACCCTTCGTCACAAAACCAGACCATTTACGCTGAAAGACATGAATCGCCCCGGTCACCAACGCTTCGTGTCTCTTTTCCTGGTAGACCCCCATTACCGCATTTGCTCGACCCGAAATGTACCCGCACAGCAGCATGATGGGTGGCGAGATACTGTCTACGATGAGCTAGGAACTTCAGCCCGGCTGCCACAGGAGGTTGCAGATGTGATAATGGAGCAGATAGGAGACTGGCCTATCAGTTTAGCCGAGGCAAAAAGATGGAAGGAAGAGTCGGAAGAGGAGCGGTATCCTGCCGAAGTGGATCCCTGGGAGCAGGAACGGTACGACTTCGGAGCTCTGATTGAGGATATGGAAGAAGATATCGTAGTTAGCCCTTCTGGAGAGCGCACACTTCATGGTAGACCAGTATAACCTGGGAGTGCCTATTGAAGTGCCTTTTGTACCCTAAAAAGTTCAATTCACGATGAACTCCTAAAATACAGAGATTCTGAGCTTATTTTTGATTCTATGCTTGAAATAAATCAATTTGAAAACATTGCCATATTAATATCGAGATTTCAAGTGGAGCGACGAGAAAGCTGGTAACCGGATGTTACGAGCCTCGGCCTATATCAGCTACTATAGCGCTTCGAGCTAAATGGTTAGCTTCGGCGTTAGAAAGTGGCGATTAGAGACAACGGGGCCCGAACTATTAGAGATGAGACATGAAAACCCTTTCTGTAAGCTTTTTGGCCCCCGTATTTTAGTATTGTCGACTTGGAAATACGGTATTACTAGTGTATCGAACTATATGTATTTGAAGCAGAACAATTTGCTCCATTTGTCTAGGTTGGACAGCACAAGAATACAGAGCAAAGAATTCTTAAAGATTAGACGAAGAAACTAGTATATAGGGGGTTTGATTTCTCCTAGCTTCTCCTGATCGATGAAGTCTGCAGTGCTCCCTTGCTAGCTCCCAGGTGCCAACACTTTCTTTTACAACACTTTTCTCAACTACTTTCCAACTACATCTGTTCTTTACTTTTCGGTTCACAACTCCTTTTTTTCTTCTTTTTTTTGGCTTTTTCTCGTTTTTTTTTTTCTGGTCGCTGTATCGTGCCCGAGGTCATGCATGGGCTTTTACACATCTTACTAGCAGCATGGCTGTCAGCAATGCAGGCCCAAGCAAGGGCAGTTTTTGCCCACTTCATGGTTAGTATGATATCAGCATAAATGAGAGCTTTTTTTAATAAAATTCTTGCAGGTCTCTAACACTCTCCATTACACAGTTGGCGACTGGGAAAATGAAATGGCATTGGCTCACGAAGCCAAAATTGATGCCTTTGCTCTCAACATGGCTGCTGGAGAGACTACAAATGGGGGCTCAGTTGGCAACGCATTTCTTGCAGCCGAGAACTATGGGTTCCAGCTCTTTTTCTCATTTGATTATGCCGGAAATGGCCCTTGGGCTGAAAGTGATGTTATCAGTATGATCACGACCTACGCCAGCGAGCTCGTTTATTTCCACCGCAATGGCCAACCCCTGGTCAGCACCTTTGAGGGACCAGGAAATGCTGCCGACTGGATCAACATTAAGAAGCAAACCGGGTGTTTCTTTATTCCGGACTGGTCCTCTGTTGGCGCTCAAGCTGCAGCAGGCCTCGCGAACGGTGTGGCGGATGGTCTCTTTAATTGGGCGGCTTGGCCAACGGGAAACACTGATATGAACACCTATGTCGACGCCTCTTATATTGATTTCCTTGAGGGAAAGCCATATATGATGCCAATCTCTCCCTGGTTCTTTACCAACATGCCAGGCTTCGACAAAAATTGGGTGTGGCGTGGTGATGATCTCTGGTTCGATCGTTGGGAGCAAGCCATGTATCTTGCCCCAGAATTCATCGAAATCATTTCCTGGAATGATTTTGGCGAGTCTCATTATATTGGTCCGATTCCATCATCGGATTCCTCCTTGGCGGACTCCATATACACTGCCTTTGATACTGGTCAAGCCCCATACAACTACGTCGAAAACATGCCCCACGATGGCTGGCGGGCTTTCCTACCCTGGTTGATTGATACATACAAAAACAATGTCTCGAATATTGAGCAAGAGGGTGTACAAACTTGGTACCGCCTCAACATAATCGGTGGATGTTCGGACGACGGTGGAACTACTGGCAACACTGTCAGTCAGCTTCAGCTTGAGTATTATCCTTACCAGGTCTTGCAGAACAAGGTCTTTTTCTCTGCCCTTCTTATTTCAGCCGCCGACGTCTCCGTTTCAATTGGTGGAAATAACCTAGGCGGCCAGTGGGATAGCATCCCAAGCGACGGAGCTGGTATTTATCACGGATCTGTTACTTTCGCATCTGAAGAAGGGCCTGTTGTCGTGAAAGTTACTCGAGGTGGTGCTGAAGTCGCCAGTGTTACTGGTCAGAGCATTGTATTTTCATGCGCAACCACCAAAGCTGAAAATTATAATGCCTGGGTAGGCAGCGCTATGGCTTCCACAACCGTTGACATAACACCGAAGTATTCACTCTCAAATGAGGTCTGCGTCGAAGGCTGGGGTATCGGAAACTTTGACGGACTTTGTTCATTTACTTGCAGTCTTGGCTACTGTCCCGTTGGCGCCTGTCTTTGTAAGAAGATGGGACCCCAGCCAAAGCTCCCCAAGAGCCAAGGGGTCGTTGGGTACCCCATTGCCAGTATGACCGGCGACTACATTGGATTGTGTGCCTTTGCATGCAATTATGGCTACTGTCCCAGCTCTGCTTGTGGCACAACCGAGGTTCCTTTGACCGTCAGCACTGTCTCTGCATTCACCCCAGATACTTGCACTGGAGGTGAGGGCGATGGTGATCTAGCAGGTCTATGTAGCTACGCCTGTAACTTTGGATACTGCCCGATTCAAAACTGCACTTGCACCTCTACTGGGCAATTAAACGTACCTCCTGCTGCCGACTCCAGTCTTTTTGGTTTCTACTCGGGAAGCGGCTCGGATAATGGACTCTGTGATTTTGCCTGTGAGCGAGGCTACTGTCCGTCACCCACCTGTATCCAGAGCACCGGCAGTTCTGGCAGTGATGATGATGAAGACGAGGATACAGTTTGCGATGATGACGACACTAGAGCAGAATGTGCCGATGACTACTCGGATGACACGACTGGCTGTGACTACAGCCTCTCCTTCAAGAGCTTCAGTGACCTCAACGCTGCATCAAACAGCTACACTAAGTTCTGCAAAAACTACTACTCTCTGGGTGTCCTTTCTGAAATGCTAGACGCATCTCTTGCCAATTACTCCAGCATGAGTGGGGGCTATGATAGCGAATTTAACGAATACGTCAAATATGTGAAGGAAGAAGTCCCCCTCACTTTGGAAAGTTTGATGGATGGCGGCGGCGCTGGAAACGCATTCTTTCAATGCACCGAAGGCGCTGGTATCAAAAACATTTCTACCACCACCTGTCCATATCATATCAGCTTGAACCACGACTACGATGCCAACGGCAAGATCTACTACGACCTGCTCAACGCCACAGACTGGTGGGATACATTGTTATCCAAATATGGTCTGCAAAAGAGCTGGGTACAATTGGGTGACCGTGTCATCAAGAATCACTGTGGCCCCAAATTGAACCCGGACGGGTCTGTCTGTCACGAACAGACCTGGACATGGGTTGGTTTTCCCCTGGCAGCCGATAACATCGTGGTTGACAATCCAGCCACCCTTGTTGAGAAATCGCTCCCCAAGATCCACAATCTGATTGAAACCATTACTATGACTCGAATTCTGATTGTCACCGGTGCCTGGGGTGGTGCTATTGACGACGTTGTGGTCAGCTTCTCTACCACAGTCTTCACGCTCGTCCAGGCTGTGGCTAACATGGCCAAGATCGAGAAAACCGCGGAAAAATATGATTCAGAAAAGAAGAAGAAACTTGCGGAAGAGATTGTCATGGCTTTCCTACTCGTTGTTCCCTTCATAGGCGAGCTCGACTTTATCGTTGGAGAAATGGATGTCCTAGCTGACGTCATCACGATGGTTAGTGATGTAGGTATGCTGGCTGATAGCATCTACAATGTTGTCACAGCAAAAGATACTGGATCTGCTATTCTTGCGATATTCGGCGTGTTACTCGCAGGGGGAATTCCCACGTTTAGGGAGTTCAAAGAAATGTCCGGAGCCAGACGGGCCATGAGTGATGACGATATATCCAAGATTGGAGCTGAGTGGAAAGAGGCTGATGATCAGATGAACAAGTTGATTGACGTATGCTACTAATGAACATCGTGGGGGTGCCGTGTGGCGTTTTCATCAGGAGAAGAATGGTTGAAGAATCAATGTCTCTTCTTCAGCTTGGACATTAAAACATTCCATATAGATTCAAGTCAAGCTGAGCCCTAATGCAGTCTTTATTCCCTTTAGTTCTGATAACCGAAGCATACACTGGTTCCTACCTAGGTATACATGTCTAGACTTCCGCAGAACTCAACTCGACCCGGGCACAACCCAGGCTAGGTTGGGTTTTGAGTCGGACCCCCGACCTAGCACTAGGCCAGGTAAAACGGGAAAATTTCTAGTACGGGTACAAGATGCAATCAAACAGAAGTTCGGTCAAACGGCGTCTGAGTTGGTGGGACATAGCAGCTCTCCAATTCAGGATTAGCCCTAAAACTAGGATGACAAGAATACAGAGCTTACTGTGCAGAATGCCTGCACTTCCTTCACGGTCTTGAACTTGCCCTCTGTCATTGCCGAGACGAGTGTTCGTCATGTTTCTTTGTGATTTCGAGCTCGTTGATGAGAGAAGCCCATATTTGCGGAAAATCTCTATCATATTGACTCTACTATATTGCTTCGGACTTTTAGTGATGGATTCGGCCAGTGTGAGCATCCCCGGGGGAATAAATTGTGCCCGCAATTTCAATTGTGCAAGAATAGCGGCATTCAATTTAGCCTGCTTGACCGCCCTCGCCCTTCTCACCCCTAGTCGGGCTATAGTATCACTTTAACCCATATACTTGTTCTATGTATTTCGTTTTAATACCAAAACAAGTACATACGACCACAGGGTGTGGAGAACAGGGCTTCCCGTCCGCTCAGCCGTACTTAAGCCCATTATTCTGCACAGTCAATAGTTAAAGCACCCTTAGCACCTAAGCGGCACTCTAGGGTGAGTATAGGTGATATGGGTGAGAAGTCTCGATACTGGGGTGACAGAGGTGAGAACGGGTGACAACTCTCACCCTTGGGGTGATAGGGCCCAACTCATTCTAAACATATGCCCGTTCCCAAAAAAAAAGACATAAATACAAGTCCCAAGGCTCTTCTCTTGCTCTGTCATGATTCTCTTTGATTTTCTTCGCCATTGAAAATATGTTCTCCGGAAAGAATAACCAGAAAGCACTCCAGGAGCGTATCGCACGTGCCGTATCACGTGGTTTTACACGTGAATATTAAAACGAGAAAGAACATGAGGATAATACGATCTGTCACTGTGAGCTAGCGCCTACGACGCTAGAGAAATACGACTATGCAGTTGTCAACTGGGCCCTGTAAGCTTGACTCGTATTTCGTCGATCTTATACCCTGATTATAAGTAGATAGAGGTAGACTGCGACATTGTACGCCCACGGGCACTAACTTAGGACCCAAGGCCCGTCCATAGTGGGCATTGTAGGAACGCCTAAAAATGCATAAGGTCGCCCAAAACGGATGGATAAATCGCTGACTTAGCAGAATAAAAAACTGTAACGTGATTCACTACCGAGCTGCGCACCCCACCTAAAAACGCGTCATTTAATTAGACCTCTCTGTTACGGACATACCAGGCACCAATCAGTATGGGACCGCAACTTGTTGATGGGCGGTCATGGACCAGTCGATCAACCAACCCACCAGGATCACGTGACGAACAGTCAGGAAGGTTACACCACAACGCTAGGTGCCGATAGGGCCACTTACGGCCCCCTCAGCACAAACACATATTCTCCCCCATAAGAATATTGGAATTACGTCAGCCTAACCACGTGATCATGCAAGTAGTAGATGGGTATGGTGGTTTACGAGTAGATCCTGCCGAGGCGCATCTACCAGTCTACCATCTACCATTCTACCAAGGAAGAACTAGGGATATATAGGACCTCATGTATCTAGTTTAGTTCTTCGTGTTCAATCATCCATTGTTACTTGTGTCTACCTTTGGAAACCTTCGTGACTCGTACAACTTAGTTATCACTTGACAACACTACGATCTAAGCCAATACTTCGGTATAGACTTGATCGGCGCTCTACTTGGCATCGCTCCTCGATACCCTCAAAAGGACTTAGCCCGTATAAGGCCTGTTAGGCAACGGTACGGTTGAGAGACAGATCGTTGAGGTTGGAAGTCAGCAACCAGGCAAGTATAATCCAGCAAGTCTTCTAACATAGCGACGACCCGGAAGCAAGTGCGTAACACATTGAACACCGTCTCGAACTAAGTTTCGAGTCACCCACCTTCGACATGGCTAGCAACCCGGCCACCAGCAGCAGTGCATCTAACCGAAGCACTACTACCAGCGGTAATGCACCAGCCAGTGCACAGCAATTGTTTGAAATAGTCCAACAGTTGCAGGAACAAATCATGACCCTGGAGGCGCAACGCACCATCGCCACGGTCAAGATTCCGCAACCTAAGTTCTTCGATGGAACGCGATCTAAGCTTCGTTCGTTCCTTACTCAGCTGGACACCAACCTACGTATCAACAGCTCCAAGTTACCCTTAGAGGCTGACAAGGTCATCTACGCTTCAACCTTCCTTCGGGGACCTACGTTCGATTGGTTCGAACCATTCCTTAGGGAATACCAAGAAGAGGAAGACCATGAAGTGTGGAGCGATCTCACCTAGGAAGTCTTCAACAGTTACAGTCAGTTCAAAGAAAGACTGAAGACTACCTTTGGGGATGTCGACGCAAAACGAACGGCTGAACGACGCCTTCGTCGCCTGCGACAGACCACGTCGGTGAGCGCGTACGCTGCCGAGTTTCAACAAATCATCTCACACCTCAGTTAGGATGAGGATCATTTTGTCGCGATCTTTGAGGACGGACTCAAGGACAATATCAAAGACGAACTAGCTAGGAACGACCGACTAGACACCCTCGACAAGATCATCACTATCTCCGTCAAGATTGACAATCGTCTGCATGACAGAGAGATGCAACGACGAGAGACACGTTAGTGGAGGTCCTACGGACAGAGACCTACCACACAATATCGTCAGAACGATGGACGACCAAGACAACCACCTCGTTAAACACGACCTGTGGATCTATATAGACCAATGCCAATGGAGCTAGATGCCACGCGTGAAGAATAAGACGAACGAAAGAAGAAGAACCTCTGCTTCAATTGCGGGAAACCAGGACACCGCGCTAGAGAGTGCAAGTAGAAGCGGCCGTAGGACAAGCGACCACAGCTACGGGCAACACGCGAAGAAATGCGTGCGACCTAGGAATCCTAAGACAGCTGGGATCTGAGCACGAAGCTCTAGGAATATCTCTTAGAGATCTAGGAACCAACGACGGAGTTCCTAGGAGAGATCGAGTTCCTAGAAATAGACCTTGACAGTGTTGAAAGTCAAGGGTGGACACAGCACATGTCCTGGGAATAACAACAAAGGGTCCTAGAGACAGTCCACGATTCCTAGGAGTGGGGCATAGGGAACCCAGGAGCTAGTCAGGCGCTCCTAGGAACGGCCTGTGACCCAGGAACCGGATCCACACTCCTAGGAACGGGCCACGAGAGCCTAGGAACGGAACACACGATTCTAGAGACACCTACCGAAAGCCCTCGGAGCGCGTACCGTCAGCCAGAAAATGACGAAGAAGCAGATAAGCTTATAGCCGATCTCTTATGCGAGATCCGGGCCGAGAACCTGGACCAGCACCTCATTAGCGCTATTGAGGAAGGCGAAGACCTAGAAGGATGCCTATGCGAGAGTTCCACTTACGCGTGCAGCGGATATGCACGACACCCGAAACATGGCAAAATGGCCACAGTGGCATATTACGACGAAACGTGCACCACCCACGGGTCCGATAAGTTAGACTATGGCATCGAACCAAGACCACTACGGTGGATGAAGAAGCCGAAATAGAGAACCGAGTACCAAGGAGTTTGGTACAACGGCAGACAAATCTACGATTACCAGAATCGGGGGATTGAGCAACTAGCTGCAACCACTAGATTCCACCTCAAAGTTGAAGTTATCTTTCCCATGGGGAAGGCCTGGACACTCATTGATTCCGGAGCCACTAATAACTTCATAAATCCACGGTTTGTACAGGCCAATGGGATAAGCACTATTCCATTGACCCACCCTATACCAGTATCCGGTCTAGACGGCAACACGCTGGGCTAAGGGATTACACATAGCACTTGCACTATGCCTATGTCCATTTACGGACACCCTGAGTTAATTCGATTCAGTATTGTCGAATTAGGGAACTACGATGTGGTTCTAGGCATTCCATGGTTACAAAAGCACAACCTAAGCATCAACTGGCAGACTGAACGAATGACCTTTAGCAGATGCGCGTGCAAACGAGAATACGAGTTATTCGAACAACGTCGTAAGGGACTAGGCGGAAAGGCAGCCAGCATCCCGAGCGCTTAGCAGAAGGACAGTAAGACTGAGAAGGGCCCACAGAGACCCCAAGGTGTGGTCGACAGGCAGATTAAGACGATCGCCCCAGATGTTACAGAATAATCTCCGGACATAACTAATAACGAATTGTCTTAGTATATGATTGTTAAATATGAAAAGCTGTATGCAACCAGCAATGAACCACGGATTCCAGACGAATACCGCGAGTTCTAGGATGTGTTCACCGCACCCAAGGATAGAGTGCTACCGGAGCATGGACCCTTTGACCACGAGATCAACACGATAGAAGGTACTGAACCTACTTTTAAACCTATCTATTAGTTATCGGAAAAAGAGTCGTAGACGCTCAAGGAATATATCGACGAGAACCTAAAGAAAGGTTATATCCGGGCTTCAAAATCATTAGCCGGATACCCGATCATCTTCGTACCAAAGAAGGATAGGAGTCTTCGACTTTATGTGGACTACCGACATTTAAACTCGATCACTAACAAAGATCGACACCCACTACCTTTGATCTACGAGATATAGGATCGGATTGGCGGTGCCAAGTTCTTCTCGAAATACGATATCACCAATGCGTATCATCGAATCAGGATTAAACTAGGCTATAAATAGAAAACGGCATTTA